AAATGTCATGAGATATTCTATTAAACTCTCTGGTCTTTGGCTATCATCTCCTAAGATCAAATACTTTGATGTAGTTAGTTATACACATGTAACATGATATACACATGTAACATAATTATCTCTTTCTTTTTCTTAGGAGAAATCTCTATCTCGTGGAACCCTTAGATGCTCTTAGAAGTTTTCTCTAGTCAACTTGATTCAAAATACTTCTGGGGCCATTAAAGAAATACATGGTGAGTAGCATCTAGTCACATCCTCCACCTAAGCATATAGAGATTGATCATTGACGATATCTTCACCTCATCATCTATCTCACATAGGTGATGATGTTGATCATTGTCTATCTCAACCACCTTGAGAATTGAACCAATGTGAAGCAGAGATGACAATAAATATCATAAAGGTGGATCTCTCTCTATTTCATCATCTAGAGAGATTGTAAAACTCTAACGATACTTGAAGATAAATAATAAATGTTATAATTTTAACTTGATCTAAGGTTTGTTTCGTAGAGTCTCACTTACTCTTAGGGCAATATTGAGAGTCTAACCCACTATATGGGTCAATATCTCATTTATCTATCTCACAATCCCCCCACCCCCAATGTTACTACATCTCCTTAACAACTTCACCACACACACACTCTCTCTCTCTCTTACCCTTCCCCTTGTCATGTCTTATATCTCTTTTGATTTACCTTATTTCTCTTGTAAGTCATTATGATTTACAAGAATCTTATCTCAATGTTATGTCATCTTCCTCCTCTTTGGGTTAGTAGATTCAACAATGTAGATATTTTATTCATCCATCTATAATGGCATGGCATTTTCACGACATTGTCAACCAATAGGTTTTGCTCCCTCTCTTTCGTCTACAAGTAGGGTATTGTCTACCAACAAGTATTATCCCACCATCTATTACCGTATTATCTTATTTATCAAAATATTATTGATGTCCCTCGGTTTATCTTATATATTGGGGCCTATATCAACTACCCATCAAATCTTTGTCACCTTGGTTAGGGTTATGATTTGAGGTGTCTCTAGATTCTTACAACATATGTTCGAAGGTTCAAGAGTCATCTTTTGACATCTTTAGAGGCAAAATATTAAACAATGATGATGTGGGCATGAAAATACTACAAGTTTGTCAACTTCAATCATTCACTAAATGAATCATCTATGTAAGCCAAAAGAACTTGTTGTTGGGTTTTTGGTCTATATTGTGATCAAGAAAAGAGGTTGAATTGATCTTAGCTTGTCTTGATCTTCTATTTTGTTTGCTACAGTGTGTACAAGATTTATATTAAGAATATACTTTGACTATTTCAATGTGATGTTTTCTATGACTCACATGATTATGTAGTAATTTAGTATACTACATACGTCCACTCTCTAAAAACAACTGTGTTTTTAAGTTCTACTATTTCAGATCGCTTGATCACACCCATTAATTAATAGGTTCAGATCTCATAGAATTTCACTTGAAACTATGCTCTAGATTCACAACTCCAAAGAGTTCACTATTGTTCAAAAGACAACTCTCACAATAGATCTAGAATCTTTATTTGTTCTCACAACAAATCTTTATTGTGGGTTTTGTTCTAAATTTAAGTTTAACTTTAATGCTCTATATATTCAATGAAGAAAATAAGACTTGTTGTTGAATGAATGATGTTTTTTTCTCATTGAGATGCTGATCAAATATTGAATATTTGTAGAAGAATGTTAGTCAATGAAGCTCATTTAATGCAATATAATTTTTATTTATATTAATTATTTTGAGTTTGTTCACACTATATGCTTGGCCTTTATTTGATTTCACTTTTGAATGTTTGTAGAAGAATGTTACTTTGTTGGCGAAAGAGAGTGATTAAAGAAAAACTTTGTACAATATATCTTCTTGAATCATTATAGATTTTTAAATATTTAACTACTTTTAAAATAAGATAAATTCAAATACTTGAGTGAGACTAATATGATATATCTATATCATTAATTGAGTATTCTTGAGATGAATTAATATGTTTATCATTTATCACTTAACATTAACATTCAAGTCATACCAACTCTCGCTTTTTTGCTTCTAATGTAATAACATGATTGGGATATTTTTGAAAGACTCTAATGTAGATAAAATATGACTACATATCACAAATCAAGTTTAACAACATTCAACAATAGATTTTTTTGATGAGAATGAGATTCATTAGTTCAACTCTCAAATATTATGAATATGATCATTCAATATGCTCAATTATAAACTATGATGTGTCACTCTCAAATGTTCATAACATTATTTTTGTTGAAGACACTTGACAACATTTATCTTTCAATGTGTTTTCATTGTACATAATACATAACGATTTGTCATTTCAAGTATGATATTAGTCTACATATAACTTTCTAGTTTCATGTTTTGTGCTTGGTTGTTTCATTCAATACTTGTGTGTTCATCATGAATACTAAATCATAATATATTATGTAAGCATGACAATATAATATAATAATGTGTGCTATAAAAGATTCATATGTACATGTGTGCTTGATTTATGCATTCATCATTATTGATCATAATCATTCTTGAGCATTTTACTCATCATCATGTATGTCATCAAAATATTATTTTATTCTAACATGTGTGCCACAACAATTGAAGAAACCTTTGAAGAGAAGCAATTGACTATGTCCATACAAGAAGGCTCTATGGATGATAAGCTAAACTGAATTGAGATCAAATGAGTGGGCTTGGAGCCAAAGGGTGAAGGGAAAAGATGAAGTGACTCTAGAATGATATGTTTGCATGGGAGTTGGTAGAAGCATTGTCCTTTGAGTATTCAATCTTAGAATAATAGTGAAAAAATGTCTTTTAAATGAGCATATGATTAATGCAAGGCATACTCTAGAACATGAAAATAATTTTGAGCACATGTTGGGCATTGATGATATTAAACATCAGATGCATGTTGGTTGAGACCCATAATCAAACATATAAAAAATGACCTAAGCTTTTTATATCTAGGGAGGATTAGACACACATTAGTGGGCTTCATTTGGGTTTTACCTATAGCAAAGTTTGTTGAAGGTTGATTGGCATTCGAATTAGGTCCAAGGGTGAAGGATTGTTTTCTTTGAGCATATGAGTTATAGCTCTATTTTTGAGCCACCAACAAAAGTGGATCATAGGCCAATGCGATGGACATAAATTGATAGGAATAAGTAGAGGCTCCACATAGATATCTTATTGTTGTATTCCTTCATTGTATCCAAACTACATTGATTTGAACTTATGTAAAAGTCTTATTAAACCTCTATGGTATAGTATATTAGACGTGTTACAATCTCATGTGCCTAATCATGACTTGCATAATTTATCTGCACACACTATATTTGTAAATTGTGTATTGATAATTATGTGCGTGTGGTTACTATTGGGAAAAATAAAATGTTATTTTTTAAAAATTATAGTGATAAAAAAATAAGAAACACTTTTCAAATAAAAATATTCTGAAAATGATTATCAACCCTTTCAACATTATCTTAATACATTATTGTAATGTCTCAAGTTTCTCTATAATTTTGAAAGAGTTCTTAGTGATGGTTTCTCACAAGTAGTGATGAGTGATTACAAGTACCTTGACTTTTCTATAACCATCAATTTAAAAGGGTGAGCTAGCACTAGAAATGTAATCCTTTTGCCCCAAAGTAGAATCTAAAAGCAAGTAATATTAATCTAGAGGAGACTAGATGACATCTTATGCTTTGGGTTTCAATTCTAAGTAATAATGAATATCTTGTGTACTGAAAACTAATAGTATTTTAACTTTGAAATTCTCTCTTAGTTCATTCTTAGTTCCTAAATTAGTTTCCCTTGTTGCTATTTGATGTAAAAAGTATGTTTGAGATGAACAAGTTATCTAACTTTATGTTTGAATGTCATAAAGTTATTTAACTTCATGTTTTAACTTGTCTCTTGGCTATGTCTTTTGTTCCTTAGCATCCTAACTTCGGCACCATCAGAATAGAGCTTGAAATCAGCACCAAGAAATAGGATGACACCTAACAAGACAGATAGGATGATTGGAAATAAAATTATAAGAGAGACTTGATAGCAACCAAGGAATCTAATGTGCAGCAATTGGACTAACTAGTGAGGTCAATGTTAGGTAGGTCCCAAGTTGGCCGCTACCACCACCAAAGATGGCTCACTAAAGTAGGTTGTCACTTAAGGGCTTGCACACACCACGTGACGGCTTGCCATGCATCAACAAGGGTTTGCTCCTTGAGTAGATTGCCCACTGCTGGATTGAAAAATATTCGTTAGGCCTTAGGGTTTACAATGTATTTTAGGTAGTGTTTATGTATCAGGTTTCTTTATGCATCAAGGATTCTAACGATTATGATCCACACGCAATCTTTCCAAATTTAGATGTAGATGGACGGTTCAGCTGAAGCAAAAGCTGTTCTTAAAGCTCAATACGCGGTTGCATGGGATCGCAGTATGATTTTTTGCTACTCATGGAGCTCAGTACGTTCTTCTATTAATAGCCCAACCCAATCGAAGAGCAGATACTATTTGTTATCGTCCTAAGCTGAAAATCTCGTTTCGCGCGTTATTATGTCGTAGGGAGCGCACAGTTTATCCGAACGCATTTTCTATCCAATGGTTGCTAATCTCGGTTGACGTCCAGGTTCAAATCTATTTTCTATCCAATGTGCCTTTTAAAGGAATATTTCACATTGAATGGGATGTATAGGACCAAAGTGTGAGCTTCATAACATCGGCCAGAGATTTGCTATCCTTCTTGTTTGGCCCTTGGAACCAATAACGGAGTTTGACAGAAGCCACTCAAGGTTTACCCATGAAAAATAACCCGGTAAACTAACAACGACTTCCATCGTCTACAACGATCTGATGATCAGACGACCACCGAATGGCTTCACGGTCGGCCTCAATGCGAGACCACTGTGGACGACTCCCACCGCCCCCTCCGTACGTTCTCACCTGCACCCCGCAACCTCTTCCACTGCAGCACCAACTTTCAGAGAGAGATAGATAGATAGATAGATAGCGAGAGAGAGAGAGAGAGGTAGACAGATCGACAGATAGATCGCGAGAAAGACAGAAAAATAGACAGACAGACAGATAGATAGATAGATAGATAGATAGATAGATAGGACAGACAGATAGATGGATATATATATAGAGAGAGAGAGAGAAAGAGTTAGATAGATAGATCGACAAAGAGATAGATCGCGAGAAAAATAGACAGATAAGTAGGTACATAGATACAGAGAGAGAGAGAGAGAGAGTTAGATAGAAGACAGATCGACAGATAGATCGCGAGAAAGATAGACAGAAAAATATATAGATAGATAGATAAATAGATAGATAGATAGACAGATAGATGGATAATATATAGAGAGAGAGAGATAGAGAAAGAGTTAGATGGATAGATCGACAGAGAGAGAGATCGCGAGAAAGATAGACAGATGAGTAGGTACACAGATACAGAGAGAGAGAGAGAGTTAGATAGATAGGCAGATCGACAGATCGCGAGAAAGATAGACAGATAGATAGATAGATAGATAGAGATATTTTCTTACCGGTGGCGGGGGGCCTCGGGGGAGGGGGTTTGGAGATGACGACGGCTGGGACATTGGCGACGGCGGTGGGGGTGGCGGGGGCGAGGGCGTGTGTGGGGACGCCGACGGCCTGGGCCTGCTGTTGCCAGTGGTACCAGGGGTAGTAGGGCAGCGGCGCGCCGTGGACGAGAAGACCCGCCTGCTCCGCCGGGTACGACGCCGGGGGGAACTGCGCCGGCAAGTAGCCGGCAGCGCTTCCGCCGCCGGGGTGGCTGAGCTTCTGCCGTCGCGGCCAAATTCTCAGATCGTTAGCCCTCCCATGCGAAGTCGTCCAGAACAATTCCATGAATCGTGAATCTCCCTAGAAAGATCTTAAAGATGATCGAGGGAGTTCTTACCCGGCTGTAGCCCACATCGGCGACGTACGAAGGCGTGTATCTGAGGAGAATCAAACGAAGACGAAACAATTCATGTTCGTGGATTTCACGCAATAATGAACTCACACTGACTGATCATGTAACAAAAAAAAATCATTGTGTTTATTCCTAGTCGATTCCAATTACTACGGTATGACAGTGAATACTTCCATTGAATTATCAGTATAAGATAATCCAATATCTAGGAACAAGATGCTGATCTACTCATGCTTTACAAGGTAAATCCCCATGGAATTATCTGTAAGAATAGCCTAATATTAAAGAAGAATATGTCAAACTATACGAATTTATTCCTAACTAGGCATTCAGTTTCTTGTGATTGACTAAGGCGGGCGTGCCATCGGCATCCGGTGGAAGCTCATCATCAGAGACGTGGTTGGTCAACGGTCCACCCCTTGGCACTCAGCTCTGGAGATGTGGTGCCCACCTTGGCCTAACCGGGCGACCGGTGGTGGAGAGGACAAGGCAGCCTGTGTGGACCCGGGCTTAAAGAGAACAACGTTGGATAGCTGGCAGTTGATCCGAAGTAAATAGTTAAACGGACCGGTTGGATTTCCCGAGGCGAGATCACGTTGACCAGGAGAAGAAGAGTGTGAGGCAGGGACAGTTCTTCACGTACCCGTAAGAGACGTAGTAAGGAATGCCGTGATAGTGATGCTGGAATGGCGGCGCTGCGTAGGGGTAGTACAGCGGTACGGCGGCGCTGGCCGGCAGCGGCGGGGGGGTCATCACCCTGGATTTCGGCGCCACCAGACCTAGTGATGGAGGCGGCGATGGCGTTACCGGTTGAAACGCGGCAAATTCCGGAGACCAAAGAGGGAGTGGAGGGGATATGGATACCTTGCTGGGGCTGTGAGACGGCGGCGGCGGCGGCAGATGCGGGGGATGAGGATCTGATGCGACGCGCCCCCAGTGAGGCGAGGTTGCAGTTGGCCCGCCGCCCATTGATTACTGGCGTCGCCTCCTCGCATGCCTTCTTTGCCGCTTCCGCTTCCTTGAACGTCACCTGCAGCGGCCACCGGAAAGCCCACATTCCAGAAAATTGGAAATCCGGAGTGAGAACATGAGTCTCTCTCTCTCTATCTCTCTCTGTCTCGCTGTAAATCAATAACGATGCCGCTGATTGAGCGATCTCGTAGAGATAGGAGAGACTTACGAAACCATAGCCCTTGGATCTGCCTGTAGCCTTGTCGAAGATGATCACAGCCTCCAGGATCTCTCCGTACCTGTCGAAGTGTTCCCTCAGCGACTCCTTCTGCGTCTCCCACGCCAACCCCCCGACGAAAACCTTCGTCATCGACGTATCCCCCGCCAGCCCCATACTCGCCACCATACTCCCTCTGTCCTCTCTCTCTCTCTCTTTCTGGGAATTCTTCAAGACATCTGAAGAGAGAACCGGCGGCGGGTCGGAGGGGACACGGGGCCAAGAAGAGAATTGAGCATTGATGCAGGCTGAGTTTATATAACGGCATTGCCCACAGCTAAGGGCGTCATCTTTTCCGACGAAAACATGTTCCCCCACCACAAAATGGAGAAATAGGCTTTCGAGGACAGACAGACGGAAGGTGGGGGAGGTGGCGGTGGCGAAATGCCGACAGGGAGGTGACAGCTAAGGTCATCCCTCCGCCCCCACCGCAACGTGCCTCTCCCGGTCCCTTTTGTTCTCTGAACTGTCTCTTCATTCCTTCCCTAATTAACCCCCCACACCCACCGTTTACTCCATTAAAACCTGGTATCCACGGTTATACTGAATTAAATTTGCTCACAAATTTGGACAAACTATGGCATAATTTTATCTCTTACTGGGATTATCTTACTGAGCTGTTATCGGGATTACTCTCACTGTTACAATATGTGCCTAATCTTGGCCCCATCGTCCAATATACCCATCCCCGAAGAGAGAGAGAGAGAGAGGAGGTGGGGAGCTAGTGAGATGGGTTGATTTTCTTCTTCGCCGTCAGTGGAGAGGTGCTGGATATCAGATGAAGATAAGTGCAGAGCAATCCGGGCGTGGGAATCGTCCCCTTCCGGGATCGCCGTCTTGTTCCTTCTTTTTATCTGTTTTTTCCTTTGTTTTGCTGCCGCTCTTTTGGGAAAAACAAAGAAGAATCAGACGGGAACGACGAGGTTCCAATGAAGGATCCATAGACTACACCAGGATGACGCCTCCGCAAAATCAAGTAGGCCACTTGGACCCATTTTCTTCCTTGTTTTCTTTTCAGGGCCCCCAGTGGTTTTAACGTGGACAACTGTACTGCACGGAGAGAGAGAGAGAGAGAGAGAGAGAGAGAGAGAGAGAGAGAGAGAGAGAGAGGATTAACTTGTCCGCTGGTGGTCAGCTGGTAAGAGTGGACTGAGCAGCGGAAAGGGAAGAGACCGATGGGCAGGTGGACGAGCTGTGAGTGAGCTGTAAGAGCCGAGGACGTGAGTTGGCGGGGGATGACACTCCCTCTCTAATCATGCCTTCCAGAAGCCGAAATCCAAAAAAGGCGATGCCTTTGGCCTTCCCCACAAATATAATACCCCTCGTCAAGCTTTGTTTATGGTTGATCTCCTTCCCTCAACCTTGCGCACACTACGCACATGAAGAGCCTCTCCTCCTCCCAGGGCATCCCACCACCGACTGCGTGCTGCCACGCGAGGTCTCCACTCCGGGGCGATGAGTTGGCTGCCGGATGCCCCGCGGCGGGCGCGCCGGCGGCCCAGGAAACGCGCCGCGGGCGGCGGCGGAGATGGGCAGGAGGAATTCCATCTTCCATCAGATCCGGGGACCTCGAGATCACGAAGAAAAAAATCTCGGGAGGATCAGAGATGATCGCGTGTTTATATTTGTCAATACACATTTTTTATTACGGCGTAAATTATTTGGGCATAGATAATTAGAATATTAAAATAATGGAGTTTTTTTTCTCGAGATCAATCCGGAATTTTAATCGGGGTTTGAGGCAGACACCATTCTGCTGCGTGGAAACATTAAAATAATGGAAAATATTTATGCAACGCCCAACTAATTTTCCTTCGTGTTGTCGTGCACGTGTTAGTACATGTCCACATGATGACGTATTAATTACCATAATTTGTATTATTTGATGTCGAAATTACCGGTGGATGGGGAATTTAAGGGTTCATTTATTTATGTTAATGTGTATATTATTTAGGGGGTTAAGGGCTCGGGTTGGGTGTGATTATATAATTAAACACATGTGTATATATTACTCAATATATATATTTTATTACTGCGTAAATTATTTGGGAGTAGACAATTAGAATAAATCCCGACGGAATCCCTTTAAAAATTATTTACTATTTAAATATTATTTGCGAGTAGAAATATTAAAAAAGTCAAACTAATTATCCAAAGTGTAGTCCATGGTGACGCATCAGTTATTATTTTTGTATTATTGGACGTCGTAATTACGTGTGGATGAGGAATTGAATGGTTAATTTACTTATGTTAATCTGTGTATTATTTGGGGGGGTTGACGAAGGGACTGGATGAACAAGGGGCCGGCGGCGGCTCAACGTAGGAACCCCCGACTCCACCCGTTGCTCCGATTTTCGGACCCTTCGAATTTCCCAAACGCCACTCAAAATCGGTATCATACCCATTTACCCAAATCCGCAAGGTCCTCCGCTGGTCGGGTCATCCTCTGTCTCTCCTCTTTCATCTCTGTGCAAACACGACGGCGGCGGCGGCGGCGGTGCGGAGGAATACGGGTATCCGGTGGAGTACATGACAACCGCCACGAGTTCATTCCCTTCCCCACTCCCTATTCATCGCGCCCCAAGGCCTCCATCTTCAATCCCTCAGCTCAAGCCTCTGACAACGCCGTCCATCCTCCCCACCGCGAAGACTCTCCCTCTACCCCACCACCACTTGCTCCGCGCCGCTCAGTCCTCTGCCTCCAGCGAACTCTCCCCCGTTGGCGCGGCGGCGTTGGCAGCTGCGGCCGGCCCTTCAAAGGACGACGCGGCGCTGCTCTCGCTCCTCCGCCAGAGGAGGACCGATGAGGCCTATGCGATCTACGCACGGTGCCCCCAACTCCCCGGACCCACCTGCCTCAGCCGCCTGGTGGCGCAGCTCTCGCACCAGAACACCCCCATCGCACTGTCCCGCGCACAGGCCATCGTCCGCCGGCTCCGGGACGAGCGCCAGCTCCACCGCCTCGACGCCAACGCGCTCGGCCTGCTCGCCGTCGCCGCCACCAAGTCCGGCGCGCTGCAGTACGCCGTGTCCGTCATCCGCTCGATGCTCCGCTCCGGCTACCTCCCCCATGTGAAGGCCTGGAGCACCGTGGTCAGCCGCCTCTCCGCCGCCCCCGACGACGGACCCGCCGAGGCCCTCCACCTCTTCGGCGCCGTCTCCCGCAGGGTCCGAAGCGTCGCCAACGCCACCCTCACCTCAGAAGCTCGTCCTGACACGGGCGCCTTCAACGCAGCTCTCAACGCCTGCGCGAACCTCGGGGACGTCCGGAGGTTCACCCAGCTGTTCGAGGAAATGCCAGAGTTCGATGTTCAGCCCGATGTGTTAACATACAATGTCGTCATCAAGCTCTGCGCGAGGGTTGAGAGGAAGGATCTCCTCGCCCTGGTCCTGGAGCGTATCCTGAGTGCAGGTCTCGTTCCCTGCGTCACCACCCTGCACTCGCTGGTCGCTGCCTACGTGGGATTCGGCGACCTCGAGACAGCGGAGAAGATTGTACAGGCAATGCGAGAAGGAAGAGCGGACATCTGCAGTATCCTCAGAAACCAAAAGTCCGAAGAAGACAGGGATGGCGCCGGCCACGGAAGCTTGGCGGAGGAGGACGAGGCGGAAAACCACGCCCTTCTGGAGAAATTGGTGAGGTCAGAGGACGATGACGGTGGCGGCGCTCCGCTGCTGCTGCCGCGTACGTATGCCCCAGACTCGCGAATCTACACCACCCTCATGAAAGGGTACATGAAGGAAGGGCGGGTGGGCGACGTCGTCCGGATGGTGGAGGCCATGCGGCGAGAGGCAGACCCTTCGAGCCACCCCGACCAGGTCACCTACACCACGGTGATAACCGCTCTTGTGAAGGCCGGTTTCATGGACAGGGCCAGAAGCGTGCTGGGGGAGATGGCCCGGCAAGGCGTGCCGGCCAACCGCGTCACCTACAATGTCCTTCTCAAGGGCTATTGCGAGCAACTGCAGCTGGACAAGGCCAAGGAGCTGGCGACGGAGATGGCCGGCAACGTGGGGATAGAGCCCAACGTCGTCTCCTACAACATACTCATCGACGGGTGCATCCTCGTCGACGACAGCGCCGGGGCGCTGGCCTACTTCAACGAGATGAGGGAGCGCGGAATCGCCCCCTCCAAGGTCAGCTACACCACGCTGATGAAGGCCTTCGCCCTCACGGGCCAGCCGAAACTCGCCCACAAGGTGTTCGACGAAATGGCGAAGGACACCAGAGTCAAGCTCGACAGGGTAGCCTGGAATATGCTGGTTGAAGGGTACTGCCGCATGGGGTCAATCGAGGAAGCAAAGAAGATCGTCGAGCGGATGAAGGAAAGCGGTTTCCTCCCTGATGTTTCCACGTACGGCAGCCTCGCCAACGGCATCGCCTTGGCCAGGAAGCCGGGGGAGGCTCTGCTGCTCTGGAACGAGGTGAAGGAGAGGTGCGCCGGGAGGCCCCCTCTGAGGCCCGACGAAGGCCTGCTCGACGCTCTGGCCGACATCTGCGTGAGAGCGGCCTTCTTCAAGAAGTCCCTTGAGATCGTCGCCTGCATGGAGGAGAACGGCATCCCCCCGAACAAGACCAAGTACAAGAGAATATACGTGGAGATGCACTCGAAGATGTTCACCAGCAAGCACGCGTCGCTGGCCAGGCAGGCCCGCCGGAGCGAGAGGAAACGGGCGGCCGAGGCCTTCAAGTTCTGGCTGGGACTCCCAAACTCCTACTACGGCAGCGAGTGGAGGCTCGAGCCCGTCGATGACTTCTGAGCTCGTGCCGATCTTCCCAGAACGAACCAAGGGAAGAAGGGGGGAGGGGGCTGCATCATAGCTCCACGAAGGCTCTAAGTTTCTTTTCTTTCTACCATGTAAAACCCCGTCTTCCCCCATCGGAGACACATCCTCCTAATATACCAACGTTCCTATCTTATGATACTTGATATTTTTTGGAGGCCCCCCAAAACAGGAAACTTTCTAAGGCCCACTGTGGATAAATAGCAGCTGAGTAATTTAGTTATTTAAAATGAGGATAATTCCAGTTCTTTTAGTAATAAACAAAGTCGGCGTTCGGTTGCCGAATGCGGCGGAGCTAACAGCCTCTCCGAATTCTGTGGTCGTGCGGGTGGAGATTCCGAGAATTATCGGGTCGGATCCGGGCGGTGCGGCCGGCCGTGCCACTTGGCGGAGATGACGTGTTGAGAAAAGAAAGCTTCACCACGGTGGGCTCTCTCTTTTCCATCGGTGGTCCTGCCACATCGGACGGTTGCTAATGCGCCCGCGCCAGACCTCGCGGGGATATCGGCGACTTAACGGCTGAGCGAGTCGGTTTGTTTCGTGAAACACACGGTCGCCGGTGGAGGCTTACTCCGGCAACGGGGCCGAAGAAGGGAAGGAGGGAGGGGAACGGGGACCTGGTGGGGAACTCCGGCGGGGACTCTGCTCTGCTCATCATCTTCAAATCCTCTGGGGAGCGTCCATTGTTCTCGACTGGCCGCCCGTCGACAGGTTCGTCTGTATTTGCAAGTAGTAGCTGTAGCGTAGGGGGTCTCTGGTTGCTTCTTCTCCTTCGATCGTCGTGGAGTCGCTTGAGTTTTCTGTTCTGGTGAATTTTGAGTTTGCTCTCTGGTCCTCTGGCAGTTGAGAACGTGCTGCGATCCGTAGGGTGGGATTTGTTCTTCTAGGCGGCGTCGCATAATGGACGGCCGGGCCAAGAAGAGGGTGGAGTCCGAGGAGAAGTATCATGCCGAGAAGCGCGCCTGCAGTTCACCGGGAATTAGGCCTGCGTCGTCTTCGTCCAGCGAACCCCCGGAAGTGCCGGCGGAGTCGGCTTCCTCCTCGTCCGATCACCATACGGCTGAGCTACACATGGCTGACTCTTCCTCCTCGGTTCGTTCGGAAAGGGGGTCCTTAGACGGGTCCTCTTACTCCGACGGCGGGGACGAGGACGACGAAATTGATCCTTATCCCTACCCTGGGGCTGACCAACGCCAGTGCTATAGTTACAGAGGAGAGGGCCGATACGGCTACTTCCCATCCACGGAGAAGATGGAGTCACTCCTATCTTCTCTGGACTACGATGCAGGTTCTAGCGCACATCTTGCGGCGCTGACGGACCTTTGCGAGATGCTATCGTTTGGTTCGGAGGAATCTCTGGTGAACCTTGTGGCGGACTCATTCGCCCGATCGCTTGTGAGGCTGGCAGGGCTCGAGAGTAATCCTGACATAATGCTACTTGCAATCCGGGCACTCACGTATCTCTGTGACGTGCTTCCAATGTCAGCTGCCGCCATAGTGAACCATGGAGCACTTCCCGTTCTTTGTGCCCATCTTACGTCGATTGAATACTTGGACGTAGCGGAGCAGGTCTGTTGATGCTTTTAGTGATGTGATGTCCCCGTAAAATTCGATTACGGCTTTTTATTCAATCCGATCATTTTCATTATGTTTTTATTACAGGGAATACAAGCCTTAGAAAAGATTTCTCGACGTCAGCCAGTTCCTTGTTTGAGAGCAGGGGCCATTATGGCATGTTTAGCCTACATTGGCTTCTTAACGACAAGTATTCAGGTATTCGTGCGATTGGACCAGCCAGCTAATATCATCAGTCCCATTGTCGACTCTGTTTTGATTGGAGTTCGAATTATGAAGCATTCATAATCTGCTGATTTCTTATCCCATCTGTTTATCCCTGTCCTCAGAGGGTTGCTGTTTCTACTGTTGCAAATGTGTGCGAAAAGCTCCCTACAGATTGCTCTTCGTTTCTCATGGAGGCCATTCCCGCCCTTTGCAATCTTCTCCATTATGATGACAGCAAGGTATCCAATATAGCGTCTTCTAGTTCATGATCCATGAGTTGTATTTTGCAGTCGTCATTCTCAGATCACCCATTAAAAAATTACGCCTCGGACCTTTATCTACCTAGGGAATAGACCACGTCAAAAAAAAAATTAATTGTTTTCTCTCAATTATTTGTTCACAGATTGTGGAAACTTCAGTTGTTTGCTTGAATAGGATATCTGCAAATTTTCTTGACTGTCCAGAGTCACTTGATGACATGTGCAAGCACGATTTAATTAATCACTGTGTTAGATTGATTTCCTCCTGCTGCCAACCATCAGTCAGCCAGACGATGTCAATTGTATGTATTCCTTTCATCATGAGAATGTTTCTCTGCTCAGTGAGGCGACTTCTTTTGGATTGTCTGAGATAATTTATGATCCATCAACAACTGCAGGACTTGATGAGGATTCTTACAAGGCTTGCTTCTGGTTCTCTTTTAGCGTTCAAAGAACTTTTTCAGCTCAACATAAGCACCATGTTGAAGGGGATCCTTGAGACCACTGACAATTATCACATCATGTTTCATTCTTTACGTGGAAATAGGAACGACAGTCAGGTCTGTGCATAAATTGTATTGATTTTTAATATTTTAAAGCCGTGTTTCAATAATCCGAGGATTTTTCTATATTTCATATATGAGTGAAGATAATCTCATGATTTTTATTGATTCGTCTTCTTCCTGCTTCATCTATTCTTTCTAAGGTGTTTTGGGGCCTATTTTGTGGAAAGTGAAAATTTTGGGCATGAAATTCAAAAGTCGGCCTGGATTAATATGCCACTAGTCCTTTTTATGCTCAGATTATTGATTAGTTATGCTCCTGAATGCCCTAGTTGATTAGGATTGATTAAGTAGTCAGTAATTTTTCCAAGAGAGAGAAGGATCTGCGGATGGGAGGATCTTGGGTTCCATCTTCCCCATGCAATTGCTATGCTTGGATGTCCACAACTTAGACATTCACAAATGTGCCTATACCTTGGGCGTCAAATTCAATACCTGTGTCTTAAAGAAGTACCTGATGCATGACAAAGGGTCATAAGTTTCTAGTTTCGTCTTCCTGATTGTACGTTTAAGTATTGTTTTCCTGCTTGTACGGAATGCTTTCTTGTTCAACTGACCATTTATGACTATTGTCATCCTATCAGCCGCTGAAAGTTTCACCAGTTCCTCTTGTAGACGATACTACCACGGAGAACAGCTGATAAAAAAAATTAAAAAAAATTGAAGGACCTTTTGTGTACTTCGTTGACTCATTGTTATTGTATAAGCGTAGTTTCAGTGATAAAAATGAAAATAATTTTTTTTAATGATTTTTTTAAATGTCACAGATCTCATTTTTAGTACGGGACTATCTACGGATAAGGGGACACGAGTGATTTCAAGGAATATCTCTGAAACTATTTTTTTATAGAGAATATTTTCATTCTGGCAGGAAACCGTCTCAATAACTTCGTAATCTTTTAGGAATAACAATTTTTATGCAATGGAATATCCATTTTCTTCTCCCATACTGTTTATTGGGCGAAAAAGTTATCTAGATAGAAATTATGTTCAGTCTTATTTAAAATAGCTGGTGTAACTTTCATGTTTAAATGTCGCATATACATTTCTTCAAGTTGTTTGACTTACTGCATATCATGTATATGTCCGCTCCTTCTGTCCGCCTTCCCATTACATTGAAATTTTCGGTGATGTGATTACAGGGGTCTGTCCCTTTGGGGCTGTTAATGGACTGAGACAGTCTCAGCTTTCTTGTATGTCAGAAATCTAGGATTAGTTGTTCATTCTGGTTCTGTGCTGCTTTTTTATGGGTATGTTGGTGATAGTATCTGGAAACTATGATAGCTATATGCGATCAGAAGACAGTCATTGTTAAGGGATCGATATCAGGAAAATTTGGATTTACGCCTCGTGTTTGTTTGTGTTTATGATACATATTTGCTACTTCTGTCTTTGATACGGATCTAAGTTCCTCTTGTGTGATAGGAAAAATTCTCAAATATTGTTTTTCTTGTTAAAATGATCGCAAGTGACCACTAGAATCCAAGAAGCTGCAGCTGTTGCTTTTTAAGATATGGTGTGTGAAAGTTTCGCTTGTATATAACTGTGTTATTTGATTTCCAAGAGAAAAAACTGTTGGTTTACCTTTTTCTCCCGAGTGCTGTTGATGAATGGAATTCTTTGCGGTGAGACTACTGTTGCATGGACTTTTTTGAGAGCATTGTCACTTAAGCTCATTCACGCATGTCTTATTCAATTTACAAGCTATTGTAGCATGCTTTGTAGTAAACTAAAGATAAGTATTTGTCATATAAATATATCATATAGGTTGGGTAGTATTAACACACTTCGCCACATTATATATTCTTATATTAAGTGATTGTGTTCCAGGTACATGAAGTGCTGAAATTGTTGACTCAACTTCTTCCTTATTCACGAAACAAGGAGAAAGGCCTTGAGTTTGTTTTGGCCAAGGAAAAGATACTAGCTCAAGAACCCAATTTTTTGCATCAGCTTGTAAAAGATATTCTCCCTATACTGATTCAGGTATTTTTCTTGATATTTCTTTAATGATTTTTTTAATTTTAAGAGTCTGTGTGATACATTTCCGAGAATTATGTCCACCTCTAGGTACAAGAAACTATTTTAGAATGAACTTCTGAGTAAAAAAATAAAGTCTGCCCCTTCCCATGAGTCACTCGCGGCAATCGTATATGCATGCCCTGTACAAAACGTTTTTGCCTATTCCCTAATTTCTGTCCGATTGATCAAAATCAACTTGTATATCCTTCCTCAATAGAGTTCTATGCAATCACGATTTTTTTTAGCTCAAAAAATAAAATTAATGCATGAAGGACCCAAATGGCTGTCAGGAAACTCCACCCTTCGAACGAGTTGTGCCTAGTGAAATTTCCAAGAAACCTAATCAAATTTCCATCTTTCTCTTAGGTTTTCCAATTTCGAATGTATTTGATTTGGCACTACAAAGGCGAATGCTTACTTTTCTTCTCGTTTCCTTCATAAAATGTCCACATTGATTCGTCTTTTGGTCAGGTCCCAGTAGTTTGATCCACTTTGTTAAAAAGGGTTCCGAAATAAAAATCAACCTGAAGCATGTAACTTCCAAGGGACAGTCGATTCCCCATATATTTTCCGTCCCAAAGAAGATGCTTTCATTTCATCAGTATGTAAGAGTAGTTCACCAATACACGTATTTTTATCTTGAATAAATTTCGTATCTTTCAATCGTGCCGAAAACCTTCCATTTTCACAAAATGAGCTATTATTTGAATGGTTTATCTTCATAAAAAGATCCTGAGAAAAATAGCTCCTGATGTTGGGGTCCACTCTGTGCTATTATTTTCTGTATGACAACAGCATTTTTGTCAGGCTTTCTCGCGAATGGCTTGGGAGGCCTATCTTCTAGTGTATCTTTAAACTATATATTTCTCTGATCTCTAACTTGAATGTAAGGTGTTGTGACGTCAATTCACCTTATTTTGCGTGACAACACCCCTGTCTCCTAATCTGTCTGATGGATTTATTTAGTTTCTAATGGGACACATATCCATCTAAGTCCAGCAATCGTGTTTTCGTTACAGAGGTCTTTTTATTTATTTCAGTATGCATAATCACATTGCCAACAGTGCCAGTTCTATCCTAGAAGAAACCAATTGGAAAGAATGGGATTCTCTAAGCAACTATATACATTGGAAACGTGTTACGTCGATATAACAAATGCAGGTTGCCTCTAATATTCCACAGTCGGCCACCGCCATTATCTCCTAGTGATTTTAATGTATTCTTCTGAGGCATACTTTTCAGTTCTATATGATAAAATTTAATATAGATGTAATTGTGTCAAGCTTATTAGTATTTATTAGTGTGAAAATTAATATTAATGATAATAATATTTTACTCGTTTTTTATCTCATTTTTTTCCACAAGCAACAGCCAGTTAAACATGGATTGTATTTGTATAGATCTGGTTGTCATTCCGTTCTTCTTCACAGGTTGTGAACATTGGTGCGAGTCCATGTGTCTGTTATGGTTGTGTCTCTCTCATTGAAAGTATGGTCTTCCTAAGCTCATTGGAGACGCTTCTTGACTCAATAGAGGGTATCAACTTTTCAGGGTAATGGCATTCACGAGTAGATCTGTCGCTAAAAAGGCATACACATGAGACTAACGCAACTTATTTATTGTGTTTATGACAGTTTTTTGGCTGCATTACTCAAAAGGAGAGATAATCATGTGCTGAGTTCTTCTCTGAAAACTGTTCAGATTCTCCTGGAAAGACATTATGCTGCTTTTGTCGGCCTCTTCATTAAAGAAGGTGTTGTTTATGCAGTTGACGCACTTCAAATGCCGGAGAATGTCACCCAATTTATGCCTCAGGCCATTCAGCCTTGTCGAGCACCAAGATCTGAATCTGCTGGAATAAGCATAAAAAAAGATTCTAAGTGCTTTTGCCATGTGTTTGACCCACGTGATTCTCTGTCGTCCCAGTCAGGAACTTGCGCAGTTAGCGAGGAAGCTGTTCTTGATTTGGCGAAGCAGATAAAGTCAACCTACTTTAAAACTGTCATGGCAAACTCTGAGACGGGTTTGTCGGATATTCTTCAGAAGCTTAAAATCTCTTGTTCGAACCTGGATGACCGCGTGGAAAATAACTCCAAACGTGACTTCTGTGCTCAGAATGAAGAGTACTTGGCCCGTATACTAATGCAAGTCATGGAGATTCTTAATGGAGAACCTTTGTCCACATTTGAGTTCATTGAAAGCAGATTTATGAAATCATTGGCTAATTATTTGTCCAATGGGGTGTATTTCCAGGCAGAAGTGGATGACTCAGACTTGGAGAATCACTTTTCCGTAATTTTTACAAGGTTTCGCACATTTGCTACCATCTGTTTGTTAAAGTCATGCCAGCATTGGGAGGGTATGCTTTTGAAGCTGTTAGTACGGAAATTGCTAAGTGCTCTCGCTACTTTTGACGATTTTCCAATTGTCTCGAGTCTCAGTTACCATCATAGATATAGCTATGCTGATATTCCATGCAGAGGTTATACAATTAATCCATGCCTAAGGGTTCGATTTGTATCTGAAGATGAGTCGGTATCAAAAGAATACGCGGATAATGTTTTAGCGGTTGAGTCTTCATCATCTTTCGATGAGATTGAGGGAATTTTGTGGCCCAGGATTAGCGGCAAACAGTCCGGCCAACTTGGAGAATCCACAGGTAAGGGAGTAGGTGAAACCGGTTCAAAGCATAGTGGTGGATCTAAGGCCCATGAAGACACATATTTAGCAGAGGAATGTACTGAGGAGATGACTCCATGTCAAGAACATAAAAAAGTCATAGAGGTATCTCAAAAACTTTCTATATATTTAGAGGCATGATTTCCTTTCTTCTGTTTTTTAGCTACCATTACTATGATGCACCTTATGGAAAATAACCAAATTCAGTTTTGGCTATCCATGTAATGTGTTTGACCATGATTCTATTCTTAGCCTGTATGCAAATGTGGTATTTTAGTATGGAAAAGTTGCCGCAACTTTTTCTTCTTGATGGAAAAAACCGCTGGTTTTCCAAAAATGTAACTGTCAGGCGTGCCTGGGGATCTTGTGATGATAATATTTTCTGGTCTGGGTATTCTGATGTTTTTTTTTGGTATTTATTAGTGATTAGCAGAAGGTAAAGGTTTCTAAGTGTAATTATTGATCAATAAAAAACAGCTGTATTTACTGGAAAATCTTCAATTTAAAATACTAAATCAATTTTTAGTGTCCTTGGTTCGCTGTTTTCCGTTACATATTATTGTGTTTATTATAATCTTAATTACCTTTTCATCCTCGTCCTTGTTAAGCTTTACCCCGTTAACATGGCTTAGCTTAGAATTTTAAAATTCCACTTCCACTTCCGATGTATTTTTTACACTGCCATAAACAGTGCACATTCCCGTGGTTGATGCATGGTATCTTTCTACTGGGGAACTTCATAAATATCGCTTCAATTTCATTCTGGACATAATCTTGTTTCTTTTAGAGAGGTTTTCAGGTCAGGCCATTCCATTTTAGAAACTTTCATCGACCTACCATATGTGCTTTCTTCAACTATTTTCATTCGTCTACCGAAACTTGAGACTATCTTAGGCAAGTATTTAAACAATCTTGCCAATAAAGTGGATTTGAGAGTGTACAAGGAATTTAAATCCGAAAACTCCATTGATTAGATGGTGTCGTTTTGTCAATCAAAAGGTTTTCGAAATCTTTGGCATGGTTTTTCAAGCATTCCCCACGAAATATGGTTGGACAAGCGCCCAAAATGTCCTACCTGCTTAGGAAATCGTTGGCATAGTTTTTTAAGCATTCACAGAGGACTGCTCATGTTTGTAAATGAATATATGCACTGGTTCGCAAAGGGCCATAGATTTTCTTGCAGTCACAAAGCTATTGATTATTTCAAACAAGATGAGCATGCCTGAACCGTAATGTTTCTGTTTAATTTTTAATATTAATACTTTTTCCATTTATCTTATCTTATTTTTCAAAAAATATTTATTTTATTGTCTAAATTATTTTTAAGCCTACTAAGTTGTGACATAACACCTCACCTTCTCACCCTGGGCAGTAATCCACTGAGATAAACTTTGTACCCGCGCCTAGGTTTAATTGTTAAAGTAGTTGTAAAATGATTTCAAATATGGATTCATGATGTTTCTAGTTAGATCGTTTAATATCATCATGATTTCATTGAACGTCACTCCATTATTCACATAACTGACGATGTCCAACTGCTGGAAACGTACTATTTATGGTTGATTTTAAAATGTTCTTATCTTGTGGTATATCTGATTTTCTTAAACATCAGTTCACTGTCAATCAGGAATTCCAGCACTCTGTAGCAGAGGATGCCAGTGTAACAGATGAGGAGCTCGTGACATGTAAGCATGTCCTTTTTCTGTTGGGGAGGGGGCTGAGTGGGAATCCCGTTTATTTTTCTGGTTTACCTTTGGTTGATTGCTGAGTGTATGTCTGCGAATCAATATAATTATTTAATTGACGACGTCAAACGTTTCTTAACAGATGTTCGTGTGCCTTTTGTTCATATAGGTATTAGAGGATCAAGATCTGTATCTCGAGTCAATGGACATGATGCTTCACCAAAATTGCTTTTTTATCTAGAAGGGGAACAAGTTGATCGTCGTCTAACTCTCTTTCAAACGATTCTACAACATCAATTGGATGTCGAGAGTGATGTGGCAGTGGGACCTAAATTTTGGAGTGATGTCTATAGAGTGACATACAAAAGAATAGAACATAAACAGTCCGTTCCTAAATCGTCTCCCACTACTGGTTCGAAGGTTACTTGTGAGAGAACACTTCTTTCTTGGCCAAAACATCCTTTTTTCTCCTGCATATTGGACGGTACGCTTCCATGTAGACTGGATAAATCAAAATCTTCATATGATGTTTTGTTTTTGCTGAAAGTTTTGGAAGGCTTAAATCAAGTCGCACACAGAATTTCATCCTATGAGACGATCAAGGCATTTGCTAATGGTAGAGTTTCGAATACTGATGATCTTAAACGGACAGTATCTACAGTTCCACGACATGAGTTTTTAAGCAGCAAGCTGAATGAAAAGCTAGAGGAGCAAATGCGAGATCCTTTGTCAGCTTCCACTGGTAACATCCCTCCATGGTATAGCCGTATAATGGCCGTATGCCCTTTTCTGTTTTCTTTTGAAACAAGATGGAAATACATTCGGCTGACTGAATTTCGTGCTCCACGGATTCAAGAAAATCTTTCACGTCGGTGGGATAGTAGCATCTATTCCCCGAACTCTGGAAATAATCAGAGATCACATACAGGGAATGTTGCTCGTAAAAGGTTTATAGTTGATCGGGACTGCATTCTGGACTCTGCTTCAAAAATAATGTCATCTCAGATCTATCGGGACTCCATTCTTGAAGTGGAATATTCTGGAGAAGTTGGGACTGGTCTAGGTCCTACACTGGAATTCTATACCCTTGTTAGTCGGGAGTTTCAAAAGGTTGGTTTGAGCATGTGGAGAGGAGATCATAGCTATGTCACAACAAAGGAAGATAGTGACTCTGGTCATGTGGTAGCGTCTTTAGGTCTTTTTCCTCGTCCATGGTCAGAAACCAGGAGTTCCTCAAATAGAATATCATTCAATAATGTTAAGAACTTTGCCCTTCTTGGGCGGATTATTGCGAAGGCACTTCGGGATGGAAGAGTCCTGGATCTGTCTTTCTCTAAAGCTTTTTATAAGCTCATGCTTCAGCAGGTATGACTTTGAGTGTACATCTGTTATTTTTCAGTTTGAAGTTTAATTATCACTTTGAGCAGGTATGGTTTCCTCAAATTGAAAAACAATCACCATCTGTACTAACCGTTATTTACATTTCTCTTCAAGGAGCTTGATGTGTATGATGTCCAGTCATTTGATCCTGAACTTGGGAGGACTTTGCTGGAGTTCCTGGCTATTGTTTATCGGAGGAAGTACATAGAATCTGCTTCAGGGAAGAATGCAGGAACCGGATCTGATTTACTTTACAGGGGTAGTAGAATAGAAGATCTTTGTCTGGATTTTTCTCTTCCTGGTTATTCCGACTATTTCTTTGCATCTGGTGATAACCCTGAAATGGTAATTACATTGCCTTTTTACAACTTTCGGTTGTCTCCTGAGAATAGTTTATTATACTCTCATTTAACTGCCTCTCTTCATTTTATAGGTCAATATTGCCAACTTGGAAGAGTACGTTTCCCTGATTCTGGATGCAACAATTGGTAGCGGAATCTCCAGGCAAATGGAGGCTTTTAAGTCAGGTTTTAATGAGGTATGTTTGGCTTCAGAAACAGTTGATTCTTGGATTCGTCGATTGTGTTGATACTAGATTTGTCATCCTTTTGGTTGTGGAAAGTTGAGATAACATTTAACATACCTGCAATTTTCTGACTTGCCTTTAAGTCTTCCTCGTGCTGGAAGGTGAGCATTCACTCTAAAGCTAAAAATAAATAGCAGTATGCAATCCTTCATTTATGATTTCGTATTTAAGCTAGTTAGATTCTCTCTTCCAGCACGCTAATCCTGTAGGCCCCTTGATATTTTACTCCGAGTCAGTGGTAGGAGCGCTGTTCTAAGAGGGTTGACTTTTTTTCCGATTTATCACTCTCAGACGCAACTTTTTTTTCGTGTGTTGAAACGTGATTCCTCTTATTGGTTGTGAATAACATGGGCAAGAGATCAAACGAGCGGACAAGACCACCTTACCTGAGAAACTAATTTCCTCTTGTTGAAATCCATTTTCTTAGACAGAATTTCACTTGCAGAGATATACGTCTGTTCTTTGTTGATCTCTTTTTGCAATGACATTCTTAATAAAGCCTTCTCTCTCTACCCCATTGGAACGAGAGGATTCAATGGATAATTCCTTCAACACTCAGCGGTCACAGGCAGATTGTAGATCCTGTTCTACGAGGGCAGTGCGTTACTTATCCCTTCCCCGCCTGCCAGAGTCTTAGAAGCCCTGAATCGTCATTTTTTCCCCCATGAAATACTGAATCTCTTGGACCCAAGGAACAAACGGGATTCCCGATTACCTTGGGTACTTTTTCCTGCACACCCTCATGCCCTTCGTAGTATGTCATTGATTTTGAAAGGGACTTGTGAGGCTATGATTCATTCACATCGTTATGTTCCCCTGACATCGTTGATATGAAACATCTAATTCAAAAATAATAACTCTTTGCTGAAAATATTTTTTTATTATGCCTTCTTCAAAATGCTTCACCCATGTGGCAAGCATCGCAACCCCATTTCTTACTGGGTTCTTTGATGTTAATAAGGTTTATTTGAAAATAGATCATGTTCAGTTGTTTAGATAAAGTAAGACACACGTTGTCATGCTGTGTATCAGAGTCAGTCAGCTTTTAGTAATCTATGAGGTGTGATGTTTGTGGATATCCCCTCGACATGGCTGCATGAGAAAGGGGATCCTTGGGAACGTCCTGTTTAGTCATAGTATGCCAAACACCCTACACTCTCAAGTGACTGAAATGAGTACCTCTTGGGCATGTTCTCCTGTATATATGTAGACACCTTACCTCTAATCGTATTGAGACAATGCGGACGCATTGTCCTGAAAAATACATTTCGACCTGGATTTAACAACTTTTAACTTAAGGTGGAGCCATGAAAGAGCTGAGGCATGAATCACCATTCATTGTTTATGCAATCAGCATCTAGCCATTACGAGAGTGCGGACTCATAACTCTCTGTTGTAGACTGAAAAATCTTATATTAATGGAAGGCCCTTTTTCTCCCTTTTGGCGCATGGTTGGTGGTAATAGTGTATTTTTCTAAATTACATGTCTGATCTTTCAATCTAACTTGGTAAAAATGTACCAGGCGTTGGCGTACAATCGATCAATAAAAAGCAAATCAATGCATCTGATCTTTCATTTACGTTGACGTTCATTGAAAGCATAGAAAGTCCATCTTCATACTGTATATGCTTCAAGTTTTCATTTTGTGTATTTTATCCATTCAAAAGCTCACTGTAGGACTAGTTGTGATCTTTTCATGTCCCTGAATGTGAAAATCTGTCTTTACTACCTGTCCATTCGTCTGTAGTGATAAATTTACATTGGAGAATCATATTTATTTTATTTTTCCAAGACGTGTGGCTTTTTATCTTTAAGAATGTTCTTATAAAACTTCATGGTTGATAGGGCGTCCACGCTTGGGATAGCGAACATATTGGCATCACACGAAGATTGTTGTATATTTTTAAATAATTCAATTACATTTTGTGGGTCTTTCTTCCCACGAACATGATGAAATGCAGTCCTATTAATAGAGGGGAGGGATCAGGCTTTTATAGATTTTACAACATAACATGTTTAGCGTCCAACAATAATAAGCATCGGTTTCTGATGATACATCGAACCCCGTGTGTGGTTCATGTTGAAGCAATCAACCTTTCTTATAAGTATTTCATGAAATACATGAATTTCACTTACTTGTAATGCACGGCAGGTATTTCCTTTGAAAGCTCTTCATATTTTTTCTGAAGATGAGCTCGAGCGCTTATTATGTGGGGAGCAGAATTCATGGACGGTGGGTTATCTATTACTTTTCTTTAATACTTTCAAATCCCCTTCAATATCCTCTGACCCCCTCCCCCTTCCCATCTGGTTTCACAACAGTCTGATGAGCTCCTGCATCACGTTAAATTTGACCATGGTTACTCATCCTCAAGTCAACCCGTCATCAGTGTAAGCACTCGCGTCAAACGTCCTGCCCCCATCCTGCTGTTGAGTTCATCTCTCACTCTCAGAATCCTCTGTGGCGTATGCTTCATTGCAGTTAATGGAGGTCATCCAGGAGTTCTCATGGGACCAACGTAGAGCTTTCTTGCAGTTTGTGACTGGGGCACCTCGGCTTCCCCCTGGAGGCTTAGCTTCTCTCAACCCTAAGCTCACAGTTGTTCGCAAGGTATCCTTTGAATGAAATCTAACCCACTCCCTTTCCATATATTTCTCCACCAAAAATGAATCATTTCTTGCTTCAACAGCACTGCAACGACTCCACAGACATGGAATTGCCGAGCGTGATGACATGTGCCAATTACCTGAAGCTCCCTGCCTACTCTTCTAAGGTAATCACTCTTCCCTCTGAGACTGGATTGTGGCTTATGAACGGTAGTTACTCATGTTTCATTTCCTATGAACCATAATTTTCTGGCCATCCAGCTTCACTCCCACTTAATGTTTTGGAATTCCCAAGTCACCAACTGGCTCTGATCTTGCAGGAGCTACTGCGGGAAAGGCTGCTGTATGCGATCACGGAGGGGCAGGGCTCCTTCCACCTCTCCTAGTCCGGGAAGCGGCAAGCTGCGTGTACATATCCTCCGGTTGCCGATTCCTGGCTCAATTCCAACCCAAAGGGTGCAGCGGCCGCTCAAGGTATGCTCCATCGCCACCAATTGTCGATGTGCAGAGAGCGTAGTAGGGAGGCGGTCGATTTATCTTGTACAGGTTAAATAATAATAGCCCGTAGTCGGGAGTGGTAGGTGTAGGGATATGCAGCAGAAGATCCGGCCCGGCGGCGGCGGCGGCCATCCACTAGAAGGACCAGAACGGCTAGCTGTATGTTTGTAATCTAATCCTGGGTGCCGTCTTAGTCTGCAGTCAGTCACATTACGATCAACTTTTGAACCCGTGGTTGATCAGTTCGCGCCGCTGTGGTTTGCCGATGGCCATTCTTTTATGAGTTTCTTACTTCAGATGGTGGCTTCAACTCTCTCTCTCTCTCTCTCTCTCTCAAGGTACAGAACGTGTGTGGTGAGTCATCGAAAACGACTAAACTGTAGCTAAGGAGGTGGCCGAGTAAATTAATAGGAAATCATTAGACTGATCCACGTCTCAGAAATTTGATCGAGCACAGTCAAGTGTCAACTAGATCTTATTAGATCAATCCATGAAGAAACGATGGTCGGAGAAATGACCCACTTGGCATCTCCAGACAAAGGTCTGGTAACGAGTTCATACGGATCTTCATGGTGAAGATTCGCGGGAAGATGGTCTAAAACCAGTTTGGTGGAATGATCAAGATCTGATCTTTGCGAGACTTTGCCTCACCGTCCCGGCCAGTTCCTGCTGGCCGATTCCCGCCAGCCCTTCCACCACCCTATGCCTGACCCTAATGTAGGGGATGAAGCCCACCTCCGACATCTTCACCACCATCTTCCCGGCCGTCACGAACTCCTTGCACTCGAGGCACCCCTCCACGACGGCCTCGTACTCCTCGAACCCCACAGCGACCCCTTCACTATCCAAGAACGCCACCACCTTCGCCGCCTTCCTCCCCTGGCCTTCTCTCCTCAGCGCCCCCACCACCTTCCCCACCGTCCCCTTCCTTGGCACCATCCCCTCTCCCGCCACCATCTCCCTGAGCAGCGCCACAGCTCGCGGCACGTCCCCCACCGCAGAGCCACAGCACGCATCGATCACCGCACAGTAGCTGTCGCAGTCAGGGCCGCACCCTGCACCGGCCATCCCTCGCAGGACGCCCACGGCCTCCTCAACCTCGGAAGAGGAGCAGAGAGAGAAAACGAGGAAGTTCAGCGTGAGGAGGTCCGGTCGGTACCCAACGCCGCGCATGGACAAGAGAAGGCGAACGGCGGGCGGTTTCCGGCCGTGGTGGGGGTGACGGAGATGAACCCAGAAGAGGGAGAGAGAATGGCGGGTGGAGGGCGGCGGGGAGAACCCACAGCGGATGGCCGTTTGGAGGACGGCGAGGGCGAGGGGGAAGTTCACCGCGGGGAGGTGTGGGTGAGGTTGAGGAAGGAGGACGGAGAGGAGGGCGGCGAACGACGGGTGGGAGAGGGAGCGAGGGCGGCAGAAGGACATGAGGGATTGGAGGATGTCGTCGACGATGCGGGTAGTGAGAGGAGGCGGAAGGTGGGCGAGGAAGGAAAAGGGGTCCTCATCCGGCGGGGAGCTGCCGCCGCCGCCGCCGCCGGCAGAGAGGATGAGGGGTATCCGCCGGTGATCGTTGGACTCGATGGCGGTCCTGATGGCCAGCTGAACCGGGGTTTCGGTGTGGAACGAGGATCGGAGGCGGAGACGAGGGAGGAGGTGGAGGGCAATCCTCGACGCGGCGGCGGCGGCCATGGGAGGAGATCCCTCCCCAAAGAAAGACAGCGAGAGAGACGGACGGAGAAGTTCGAGTCGAAGAAGACGACGTCATTACCACTCGAGCTACTCCCATTTAAATAGTTCTGGATAAAACCCGTCAATTTGGGGTTGAAGGCGGTGGTGGGCTGGTGCAGAGGTTGACTTCCTAAAAATAGAACTAAATCACTCGATCCTTCTCATATAACGGGAGTGTTCCCTTCGTAAAACAGTCAACAAAGCTGGGAAGATGAATGAATCAAAGGTTCTCGAGCCTGAAAATGGCAGAGGGAATGTGTGCCATCCTCTGGGCTTCTGCATTTACCTGGATTCGGGAATATAAAAGTATATGAATCGAACGATCATAGAAACTATTCTACAATCATTAATATGACTATCGACGAATCCATAAATTGGACTGAACAACCACTTACAGGAATAATAATAATAATAAAGGATCTTGCAGGAATGAGATAGAACAGATCATATGATATGATTTGGACAGCTTCCGCAAGCCGAATGATCGGATGATATGCATCTGTTGGAAATCTTTCAGCAGAAATCAAATGATTCGACCATCAGAATAACACATCAGCGTCAATTAATATACACAAACAGACCCTAATTTCGGCTGTTCAAGGGGCGGGTATACCTCAGAAGAAGCGTGTCACAGGAGAAACAAAGAGCACAAAAACAAAGACAAAGCACAGCTCCCTCGTGGAGCGCCATACTTATCAAGAAACGAAGCCACAGAGTCATATCATCTCACTTGGAAGAGATGACGTTATTGGCCGTGGCGGTCAGCTGCTGCTATCTTCTCAACCAGATGTGCAATGGTGCAGAGGGAAACAGAACGAATGCAGTGTCAATAACTACTTTGGAAACGAACCAGGGGGGAGTCTAGCGCTTGTACACGGTCGCCTTGTAACATGTACGGATGCAGTCACCATTCGGCTTATACCTCCTGGACCTGCCCGGCGTGGTAATAACTGAGTAGATGCCCTCCAAGAGTCACAGCGATGTGCTGGGAGTTGGCAGGTTTTTAGTGTACTTGGTACAGTCGTAGGGTCCGACATCCTGATTTTTCCGCTTCACCTGCGAGGGATCAAAAAGGGCAAACAAAAAAAGTGGTGAAACAAAAAAAAAAAAAAAACTGAGTAGCAGCACGAGAAATAGTAAAATAAAACATTTTAATCTAATTATGGATGCCACAATGAGGTCACACAATGGCACCAGCGTATTGGTAGGCTTGTTATGAATTTGACTGCGGTCATTCAACCCAATGCATTCATTTTATCACCGAAAGTATAAAGGATCCACAGTACAGGAGGTTGAAGAGAAAAATATATATTTATGCAAAAAAAAAAAAAAAAAAAGATTCAATGGGAAGGCAGGTGATCTGACATTCAAATCAAAGGCGATTCGAATGATCGATATCTTGCACCATAGAAATCGATTGGAACGATAACAAGAAGTGAAAGGGACAGAGTAACATTATGGATCTTTATCTAGTTATGAATGCTTGTATAACATCACAGCCAATCGTTGTGGGGCGAAAAACTGAGAGGAAAATAACACAATCGGCCCACCGAAAAAAAGAAACTATTCCTTTCGATTTCATGTTTGGCCCGTCAGAAACTTGTCGCGAATTCAAGGAGATTTTAAGTTAAGGAACACAAAGTTTAAACATTATCATATCCCTCTCTACAAACATGAATTCGAGGAGATATAAGTAGACAGCTGAGACTGAAGATGGTAACAACTGGCATAATGTGTTATTATGTTCATCCAGGATGTTATACATAATCAACATCATACTAGTGCCTTTATTAGAAAACTTGGCTTCAAAGTCAGCCTTACAGCATCAAATGTCTGGCTTCACAACCGCGCCACTTCAAAGTTTATACCTATTACAGGGCGACTTGCTTTTCTGTTCTGAATTGCTAAATTACATGCAAACATAAATTAACGGTAAACAATTTTCTCCCCGATGGTAAATTCTTCAGGACAAGATTTTCCCGGCAACATTCGGAAAGAATTTATCTACTTCTTGTGTTAACTACATGCAAAGGAATCAGAGTCCGAAGCTATTTATTTCGTATCTACTATTTATTTTGTGATTTGTATGATTATAATGGATAATTAGAGCGAGTATTAGTCTTTTCAAAAGAAGATTGAGTATCCAGATTCACTGACGCCAATCTTGATCTCGATTAGATAGAATCGGAAAAGCCCATTCGTTTTAGGACGGGAGATTAAAAAGTTGAAAAAATAGAAAAATTAATTAAAAAAATATGGAAATCTAACCATGAAGGTTTTTCTATCTTCTTCGGTATTCTCATTTGAATAACATTTTCTAATATTCTTAATCTTTATAATGAACGCCAAAGATTGAAGGAAATATATTCAAAATGTTACATTTGCAGTAAACTGCGCCCTAGCTTGCTTTTGACAGCTAAGAGGAATGCAATGCTGTCCAAGATTAACTGCGAGTACTTTGCAGAACGTTTGAATGGGGCTAAGTCAGATTCATAATTTCAAAAGACATTGGATCTTCCTCTAAGGAAAAGGAGAGCATTTGCGTGGGAATTTTCATCTGCTTCTTCATGACATGATCCAACTAAGAAGCCCATCAAACAAATCATGAAGAAACTGTCAAATAGTAAACTTCTTGGGACCAGTCGCCCAGGAGGTACCTCTGCAAGAATCTCGATTGATTCATGACACTTCTTCAAGAATTTAATAGTTTTGTTAACTCCACAAAGTAAAATTGCTTGAAGATGACTTACTTCTTATAATCCTTTGAAATTTACATGGCAAAAGTATTTCTTGGAACAACGGAAAACCTGCTGTCTGTTTGAATTACGAAAACTTTATTTCTAGAAAAAGGCAATCCCACAACCTACAGCATGAATAAGCTTGCGTTCGTTATATTCTAGCCACGTGCTACTGTCTGCAGTCATATTACTAGGACAACCACTTTAAGAGTAAATAACTATGCCACCATAACAATTTTCTCTTCTTGGAAACACGTAGTTAATGGAATAGTGGATCATTAATTAGATTGTCGACAGATATAAGTAAACTATTGAACCAAGTTTTTACACAAACACTTTAAGAAGTCTGTTCCATCCAAAGAACGGTAACATCAGCGTACTTGTAGAAAAGGCAGGGAAAACCACTTGTCACAAGAAGAAAAGTTGGTCCGAAAATAAATTAGCCAGCTTGCATCCGAGACCTTTTTGAAGATTTAGAGTTGCAAAAATGAAGTAACAAAATTTTGGATCATCTTCCCTTGATACCCTTAAATATTGTAACTAAAAAAAAATTCGTCCGACAAGGTTATAAAAGATTGCAAATTAGAAACATCATAAGAAGCACTAAACCAGCCTTGACTTCATAAGCTAGAGGAAATGAAACGTGCGAACTGAAAATGGAGAGAGAATTTCCCAATCACCAAGGACTAGTAATAAAGTGATTAATCATAATCTGAAAAAACTGAAGTCGAGAAAAAACTAACATGATAATCAAGGTTCTCAGGCCAAACGTAGGAGCTCAATCAAAAAACATAATGAATAATCATTATCGTCATTAACACGGTCAAAAGGAAATGTTTATCCCACATAATAAGTAAATGATTTTTCAACTGTATGAAAAAAGAAACTAGGTTGAAGACACAGGGGGAGTGGGGAGAGAGAGAGAGAGAGAGAGAGTAAGAGTTCATTTACCGGTGACCATGGGCTTGGCTTTGGATTGGGTTTATCCGTTGGAGAATTTTGAACGGCGCCAGATTTCACTTGTAGAATGTCCTGAAATAAATCAATAATGATGTCTCAAATTTTTCCAATTGCAATAAGATATAAAGCTACTCTTTCCGCTGAAAGATAATAGAAACATTTGTGGAAATAATTACAATGATTAATAAAATATATTTCAAAGTATCTCAAGGTAAACTACACGTCATTCCCCTGTTAGGGGTTCAGGATCTCAGGGTAAGCTGCATATCAAGGAAATCAAAAATCAGACATCAGTCTATATATGGCAGATGGATCCAATCATATAGATGGGCGTGTGTGTGTGTGTGCAGAGCGAGAGAGAGAGAGAGAAACAACAATACTGAAGGTGATAAATAGACGAATGGCGAGCTGTGTGTGTGTGTGTACAGAGCGAGAGAGAGAGAGAGAGAAACAGCAATACTGAAGGTGATGAATAGACGAATGACAAGCTGCAATCAAAATCATGACCCTTAATCGCAATGGCAAAAGAAAACTTAAGAAACATGTAGCACATGTGAGATGAACAGTTGATTCACAAAATTAAAGTTTTACAAAAACCTGACTAGAAGAAGAGGTCAGGACTATTGTTCATATTTCTCAGCACATTCTACTATATATCACGTTATGTCAATGCATCTACAGTCAAATCATTTTCACATTGGAATTCTGTAAAGTCTTTCCTTCAGTATAACAGAAGAACACGAATCTCATTGTATTCCAAAAAATTATTTCGCAACCCATTTATGCCAACCGTCCTTCATGAACAAGTATCCACTTTCATCTGTCTTTTTTCAGCCACTCAAATTGGATATCTGAAATGGTCTAACATAAACTAGTGTTTGATCATCATACAGAACAAGATGCTAATCTCTCTTCCTTTTTTTTAGCTTAAATAACAACTACGTTTTTGTCTTTCTTCAATTAATCACGAAACCCTTCATTTAAGAGGCATCGTTCTATGGTCCCAACTAATAACGGAATACATTCTCAACTAAATTTATTACACTACTTTCTCCATTTAACATACAAAATTTTGCACTTGTCAATAAATTCTGCCAACTCAAGCATGAGAATAGCAGAAAGTTTCAGAAAACGTAAGTCAGATTCTATAAATTATTGTACGATACGGAACACTGTCAAATAAAAAGATAAAAACTTTATTGTCAAATCCTCTACATAAGGAAACGAGATGAGAAAGTAAAAAATCCTGACTTTTCGTGACGACCTATACATCAAAATGTCTATTTTGTCTTTGAGAAGAGTTATAGCCGGCTCCTGACAATTCAACAGATAATGGATGACAAACCAGACTGATCCATCAACAGTACTTTAAAGGAATGATAAACATTATAATCACAGCACTCTTGAAAATAAAATATTCATATTGATTCTAATGAGAAGTGTTCACAATAGGAATCACCTCGCCAAATGTCTCCAATGCAGCAAGCCATTCATCAGAGAATGGTGCAGCTCTCAGCTGAGTCAACAAAATGGAAGGATGTTTCGGCTTCTCCATGGAATCCTCCTTGCTGCCCAAGCATTGATAATGATTACTTAGAGGATATTCATGATCGTGGGCATATATAAAACTAGATGACAGGAGTTTACTAACTTTAATGGCTCTTCACTCTCGCATTGAGAGGCAAGTTGGTTTTTCTTTCTCTGATGTAGTACTTCAGAATGTTGTAGCTCCATTTTTACAGGCTGTGAACTCCGCACTTCTTCTAATATGATGGATTCAGTATTCATTCCGCACTGTTCAACCAAAGGAACGGCACATTCTGTATTCTCTGTTTCTGCTGACAAAACAACATTCTCAGAAGACGAACGGGGCAGTTGTAAGGGCGCCCTGCCACCCATTTTTGTTTTGCTGGATCTCAAAGAAGTCTCAACTTCTAACGAAGGACATCCATCAACAAATTTATCATGATTAACAAAAGCCAAACCAGAGGTTAAATCAAGCTTTCCATCTGCTGATCCCTTACAGACAGCAGGACCACTGGTTTCACAAGTATCATCCCATTTGGATGATACATCACTGCTCTGTGATTGCACCAAAGTGTCCACAGATTTTCTTTCTCCAACCAATGAGCAACTCTTTGTTGATAGCTCCATACTATTTAATGATCCAGGTACATAGGTTGGACCATCTTCAACAGATTCCTCCTCCGTGTTCCCCTCATCCATCAAGTAGACAGAATGGAGCTCCTTGTGACCATTTTCTAGACAGCTAGATACCAGAGATTTAATGCAACGTCTAGAAGTTTTCCTACTTGAAGCCTTTAGATCGATATCTGGACTTGCAGTGGGATCCCCTACAGAAGATATAACAAAATTATCTAAATAATCAGAGTATTCAGTAATCAAAGATGTTTAATAGAACCACCTTTTTCCCTCGTCGACTCTAATCCACATCGTTGATAGGGTTCATGTGATGCATGTAGTGTCCTCAAGTTGTCCATGAGCGTTGGGCGGTTAAGCTTGCTAAGAGTCTGACCGTTACAGCCATTAGCACGGGATGCTTGAGATTCTTTCTGCACTAATGGACGATTTTTCGCCTAGAATAATGCGGCAATAAGTAACATTATTATATGCTCATTGGGCCAAAACAAATAAGTAAATTGAACATTGAAAATAAGTCTGTAACATTAAACTACCGGACAGAAGAATCCCAACGAAGGTGTAGGCATTCTCAATCTTGATGCCTTGGATTGGCCCTGTGCAGGATTATGACCTCGTTGGAAATTCCCAGCATTATGTGGAAATGCAGATTCAATGTTTTCAGAGCTAGAAATCCCAGCTGTTGTAGATATACTTGTTGACGGTATTTGATTTTGAGGCTTTCTTAGAGAACTGGTTTGTCTCCTGAGGTCCAGTGTCCACGTGTCCACTGAGATAGGCAATCCGGAAGTTTCATTGACCTGTTCATAAGTACCATAGATGAAACTAGGAGCATGCCGATTCATTGTTGCAAAAAGAAGAAGAAACGAACAACTTATAGGCGTAACAAGTAACAGTTTATGGATATTATAGTGAACCATTATCTAAAAATGGCAATAAATTACTCACTGTTTTCTTCTTAATGGCGGGTTCAGATATTTTAGCAGACATAGTTGAGCAATTGAAATCTTTCTTCGTAGTCAATGAGGAATTTTTGAGCTTGGCATTCTGCGCCAACTTGGCTGCAAAAAAAAAAGGATATCAAATCAGTGTTTGGATGACTAGTTTCCTGAGGTTACAATATGAAGAGATATTCACGAGTTTTGCTTGTCATAAAGAAGCTACAGTTTGTAGAAAAATAACCTGGCTTCACATTTTGATTAGAAACCTTTGTCGGTGAACTACACACAGTGGATGCAAGAGAAGATGCATTGGACGTAGTTGCAGTGAGCTTGAGCATCTTTGATGCTGGATTTGATGCGTTAGTATTCGCTGCTCTCTTCTGCGTTTAAGTGAGTCAAGACTTGCATCCTTTTTGTAGATTGGGAACGGATAGTTCAAATAAATGAGTCAAGTTTATCACTTCTGGTTAAAAGTTTATCACTCCATCGAAAGAATAGCAAAAATAAAACATACCGCTGCATAAAGTTTTCCTATAATTAAACAACTTAAAAAAAGGATATGAATATGTGGACGGGGCACGAGGGATGCTTCTGCAAGTGCTTTTAACTAAGATAGTCTTTTCTGGGACCTGAAAATTAACGGAATTGAATTATAAGGTCATTCCTCGTCACACACAAAAAATAGTAGCCTTCATGACGGAGAAACTGGCCTCATTAGATGTATCTATACATCTTGGTTGATCTAAAGTAGAAAGCAAATCATTGGGCTTTTCATCGCTAAGCGCAGATCCCAGGTGCACCTCAGCATGCGAATTTACTGTAGCACTGACATCATAGCTCTTCAACGGTGAAAAATCTCCATTGACGTCTGTCAGGAAACTAGCACTTGATTTTGTCGCGGAGCCGAACAGAATGGATAACTCCGAGGGATCTAGAACACCTGGTCAACCGTATAACGAGATTAGAAACACCAGTACACACCGACAATGTAAAAGACCTAGCGGTGGCAATAGACCTTCGTCGGTGAAGAAAGCTTTGTTCCAGGCTAAACTCTTTCTCAGGTTGCGATGCCCACCCTTCTTGACCATCCTAGTTTGTGACATTGCCTGGGGAGCGGCTGCAAGATTGTATCGGTTTGCCGAAACCGTGTAAAGGTTCTCCTTGTTGTCCATGTCTTCGATTGACAAATTGGCGCAGTGCTTACTACGAATATTGTCTTCCGAAGCTGCAGAGGTCCAAACTGGAGATATCCGAGGGTAAAGAAGAAGCGAAAAAGAACCGTGGGAAAAAAACATGATAAAAGTTGATAAACTAACGATGCTACTGATAAAGGACGACAAGAGCGTCCAGATTTTGCCACACCAGTGAAGCCCGGACTTTTTACAGACTTCGGCAAGCACAAACGGAAACTTCAGATGGAGCCCCCCCTTACCCAGGAGAACACCTCAGTAAACCGACACCGGAGTTCCCTCCGGAGAAATAAGGCAATGAACAGCGTAAACAACGAAATCAGAAACAAACCGAAAACTAGAAAACCAGAAGATGAATGATTTCGGAAGATCAGTCAGATAAAGGGAGATCACCAGCCGAAGCGTGGTCCACCATCGAGGGTTCCAGCCGTGCCTCATTCGCCGGTTCCTCCATTCCTCTTTCAAACGACGAGGAGGGTTACGAAACTGCGCGTGAGAGGAGAGAGCGAGATCAGATTGCCGGCGACCAACCCGAAGAACCCGAAGATCTCCTACCTTCTCTTCCTTCACGACCTCACCTGATCAGTCACTTCAAACTGCAGAAGCCATGGGCGGGAAGCTCCTCCCTTCCTTTCCAAACCTTAAAACCTACGGCTGTCAACGGCCCATCTGGGCCCAATAATTTTCAAATCCCAGTCAGAGCTCAGCCCTTTTAACGGTCCGGGTCGGGCCCAATGATTTCCAGATTCAGCACTCCAACGGCCAAACTCTGGAGTTTCATGTGGATTTCTGGTCCATTCCACGTGAGTCTCACGTGAGTGAAAAGGTCTCCGGAGTATTTTTCGGGCCCAAGGCGAAAAATAAACCGGGCCAGGCCGCGGGCCCATTTTATCAGAGCTAATTTGTGTGTAAAAATCGGTTTTTTATACATCTCGTCAACCCCACGTGAGGATATTTTCCACGTCACTCTCTGCTGCAGGTCCATTTACCAGAGCTAATTTGTGTAAAGACCGGATTTTTATCTATCCCATCAACTCCAGATGAAGATATTTTTCACGCCACTCTGCTGCACCTGCTGCTGCTGCTGCTGCTGCTGCTGCTGCTGAACTCTCTCAAGGAGTTAGAGCCGAGTTCAGAGGTAGCGAGGAAAGCGCATGATTTAGAAGATGGAAAAAATATCTAAAATTGGATGACGTGGACGAGAACTTTCAAGCACCTGATCGGCGATCAGCCCAGTTCGTTTTTAGAAGGCGGGTCCGGATGCCACAATCGGTAAGTACAAGTTGATCACGTAGACCGTAACATATGACATGCGTCAGCTGAGCCATTTGTACAACAAAAGTCAACGAGAAATTAGAAACATCAAATGGAAGCTAAGCACCGAAGGAATCGGCGATAGGATGGACCCGCAAGTCAACCACAAAGCGACTGCCTTCCACGTGGGCCTGACGATCGTCAAGTCTGCGCCTAATCCTTCGCCTCTTCTTGAGCCGACACCTCTGGCTCTTCTTGAGGTGCTTCCTTCACCTCCTCCTCAGACTCTTCCTGCGCCAAGCCCTCTGGTACTTCAAGAGCTGTTTCCTCTGCCTCCTCTCGATCTGAGGACTCCCGACCCTGTTCCTGAACAATTTCCATCGTCTCTCCTTGAGCTACTTCGTTAGGCTCCAGCACCAGCTCCACCGTCTCTCCTTCAGCTGATCCACCCCCCTCTTCTTGCGCTGATTCCTTTCCCTCTTGGTGAACTAATTCCTTGGAATCTTCTTGAGATAACTTCTGCACTTCCTCCTGGGCTGGTTCCTTCGCCTCCTCTAGAGTTTGAGAAAGCGAGATACATTCATTCGGGTACTGAAAAACGAGCATTTAAAGGAAAATATAAATAGAAATAATGAGAGGTACCTGGAGTTTCCAAGTGGAGACCATTCAAAGCTTCGTAATCCCTTCTGCCATTAGGGTTAGCCTCACGAGTACATAGAGGTGAAGGTGGAGACTTGAGCCTGAAACTGATAAGAGCTGGGCCAAAAATGCGGTATCTCCCTGCACTGCTGAAAGCTGCCTCGGCATCAGCACGTCTCTTGAAGACTACTTTAGCACACTTGGTCACACCGAGAACCTCGGTCTCTGCTTCCTTGAGAGGGCCATATCGGCTGAAGATCCTGATGAGGTTTGTTTCAGAAGGAAGGGCACCTGGCTCATTAAAGCTCAGAATGAGCGCAGTTGGGGTGGAGTCCTCCAAACGTTTGTCTCCAAAGAAGGTCGTCTGCTTCTCCGCAGCTGAATCACGCTTCGCAGGGCTTACAGCGTTAATTCGCAGGTGGTGTGCCACTTCCATCATTTTGCTCAATGGAAGAGACTCCTGCACCAACTTCGTCTTTTTGGTTGTCGTGCACTGCATCAGCTGCTCGCCTCTCCTTTTCTGACGACCAGATGATGGTTTTTCTTCAGGGGTACTACAAACAAGTCTGTCAGACCAGTATGAGTCTGTCATATAGTCCGGGGTAGAGGCTCCAGACATGTCAGTTTTCAGATCATCCTTCAAATCTGACTTCCTTTTCCTGCCCCTTTTCTTCTTGATCTTCTCATCAGGCTCGTCCATAAAAGAGCTGGAATTCCCCAGGTTTGAATCTGGGGAATCGTCAATAGACTCTGATTTCTTTTTTCTGCCCCTTTTCTTTTTAATCTTCTCAACAGTTTCGCCCATAACAGAACTCGACTCCCCAAAGATTTCATATGTGGGATCATCAAAGGTCGCCGACTTCTTTTTCCTTCCCCTTTTCTTTTTAATATTCTCAATAGGTTCACCCACGGCAGAGTCAGAATCCCGTAATTCCCTGATTTCTGTGAAGAAGGAAACAATTGCGGACAAAAAGCTATGTCCTTTCATTGGATCCCTTGCAGTAAGGCAAAGCTGTGAAAGCATCTCTTCCGGGGAAGAATACTTCTTCGACGTCCCCCCTCTCATTCTCCCAGCTTCTTCAGGAGGGTAGGGAGAAACATCAAAAACATGGGGACTAACTTGATCAGCTTTCCCCACACTACCTTTCCTAAGACTGTCACCATTACATTTCATAATAGACGGTGATCCAGTCAGTTTGCTTGCAACTCGACTGATGCATTCACCAACTTTGAAAGATTTGCCAAAAGTTGGGGTTTTCATTTCTAGGTCTCCCAATGCATCAAGCCTTTTTTTCTTACTTTTTCCAGGGAATCCAAATGCAAAATCATCATTCTCATGTTCACTAGAAGAAGGTGAAAGGGATATTTCAGAAACATTCATTCCAACAGTCGTTCCATCACCATTTTCGATATCATCATGCTTTTTATCTTCCATCAACTCCGACAAACTTTTCTGCTTGCGACCATGCTCAGGGACACCTTGTAACTTCCTTTTTTTCTTCCCTGCACTGATATCGGCAACCACTTTTTCTTCATCCATGGATGCAGAAACTGACTGTTCATCTAAAGCATTGAGAGGTCTTTTCCTCCGAGTGGCTGAAGTGACAGTATCATTCTCTGATAATCCACCATGATTAACGGATGCGAAAAGTTCTGTGTAATCTTTTAAACGGTTAAAGGTGATCGTCTGAGCCTTAGCTACTGCTAACTCCAGCCCATCAGTTTCTTCACCAGGATATTGAGCTAATCCTTTAAGGTGGTCAAGGAATTTGTCAGGCTGAAAAGTGGTTGCCAAAAAAGTGTTGTCAGTAACTGTAAGACAAGATCCTTCACGGATGCCAGCATTATCAATCTTATGATGCTTGAGGTTGCTACTGACTTTCTCTGGTATACAAGAGCAGGACATTGCCAACTCCACACGCCTAGAGGCTTCAGCCAAGGCATTATCGACAGCAGTGACAAAGGTATCAGAAGTACTCTGATTTGCCAGCTGAGAAAAACATCCCTGGAATGGCCTCAGTTTTGTCTCGTCACACCATGCAAAAGTTTTGTCCCCAAAATATGCAACTAAGAAATGATCTTTTTTCTGATGTTTTAGAGCCATATCTGAGGCATCCAAGGGATCAAATATTTGCCCAGGCCACCAAGGATGACTTTTTACTTTGCCCCACACTAAATCAGACACGGAGAATGACGACTTATCCTCGTAAGCTATGCCATAAGATACATGTTTACTATCCTCTCTACTGGAAGGACTGATGGATTTCAAAACTGGCTGGTCTCCTTCTTCAAGCACCTCTCTTTCGTTTTGATCTCCTCCAGCATCTGACCCAGTGACTTCGCCTTCCACGTCCTCTGATGGTAGATTAAGACCTCCATCTTCCCTTTTACTCGGTTTTCCTTCATTTAAGACAACGTCAGATGAAACCAGATCCTGTGAAGATTCAGTCACACGCACTTCGGTGACCAAGCATGAAAGATGCGAACTATCATGAATATTGATTTGAGAAGTATGACAACCACTAGTCTGGACTACAGTTGACACCTTATGAACTAAGTCCATATCATTTTCCTCAGCATCACCCAAACCTGCTGCCTTCTCATTTATTGGACCAGCATCCCCATGTTCTTCCACTTTCTGGCCCCTGACATCAAGAAGAACAGTCGGGACCTCAACTTGACTAGGGTCGCGGCAGCTCCGATCCTTAGTTGTCTGGGAAGACCGCAGTGAGTCCATTCCAGAAGCTGGTACGGAAGCCTCAGTCCCAACAAGGTCCTTTCTGTCCGCAGTTCGGCGAGCTGTGTTCTCGGGCAGTATTTCTGCAATAGTTACATCAGTAACAGGGCTTCCATCTCGCGAAAAAAGATCTGCTTGATCGCTCGCTTTCTCTCCAGCCGGTTGTGGATACGTATTCTCTGATTCGACGGCTGCGTTCAGATCTGGTGCCACAACATCTCTCCTGAGGATTTTTTCCTCGGTAGGATCCGTCCTCACCGAACGACTCCTGTCTTCTTCGGTGTCATCAGCATATGCAACGGCAACATCACTTCGTTTCTTTGTAATCTTGGTTCCAGTACTCACATGCACTTCAGCTTCTGCTGTCCGGTTACCGTCATTCTGGCCCTTGACTACGTCTACAACGAGATTGGCCACACCTTTCGAGTCTTCGAGTCGATTAGGAACTCTCTCAGCTGCTGAGTGCGCAGCCGCAGCTGCGACTTTCGCCTCCGCGACAGTTCCCCCCGGCTGCCGCTGACGGGGAACCCTTCCTGGGCCATCTGAACCAACTTCAGCGGGAGCCCGGAAATCTTCCGACGGTTCAATTACTGCTTCTGAGGATGCCGCCTTCGCCTCCTCCTCAACTGTGGTTCCCACACTCGCGGGTTCCAGGGCGTCCACGACCGCGACGTCCGCGTTGAGGTCAAGGACCTCCGGCGCCGCCGCCGCCGCAGCCTCCGGCGCAGGGGACTTCCCGGACATGTAGCGAAGACTCTGGCATATACCACACCGTGCCAAAGTAAATAACCCTAACCCTAGAAAGATGTTCCAGCTCGGCCAGAGATGGGCGAGTAAAAGAAAGAGGGGGGGGGGGGAGGAGAAGGATGGAAGAAAACGGAATTCGAGGAACGAGACAGCTCGCCTTACCAGTTCGCCACGCTCCAGGACAATCGCGACCACACCAGGCGAACCGGAATCAGGCTTCCCCGCTTCGAGTAGGAAGAGGAAGAAGAAAGAAGAAGAAGAGAGACGAAGACGGTGGGCGAAGGGCGAGAGCACGAGATTAATGACACCATCAATGAACGGCACGTCGGCACGACTAGAGCCTCTTGTCTTCTTCTTCTTGCTCCAAAACCCCCGTTTCATGCGCGGAGCTAAGCGAGTGACAGTAGCAGCGGTGACGGGATCCCGTTTGAGGACCCGGCGAACGGGCGGGCAAAAGGACCGCGGAAGACGCTATCTTTCGCTTTTCGGGGCCTCCTATTTTACTATAATACACTATAAAAACAGTCTCTCTTTATTTAACGCCATATTTTGAAAATTTGTATATCTATCTATAATCTCCTACTGGGCCCAAAAACTCCCCGATGGATACTGGACCGAGATCCAGAGAAGCTCGGCCCAGCGCGGCCCAGCGCAGCCCAGCTAGACGAAACAGCGGTCCTCGAATAGCAGTCACCCTTGCTCCTCCTGGTGACGATATTTATGGTCATGTATTAAATTCTCCTAAAATATTAGTTCCTCCCGATAATGAATATCGGACCCTCAAAAAGTGGGCCCAGCGGATCTTGAGCGGGCTGTCCAACGTTAGGGCCCAATATCATTAACTATCGCGAGGACCACAAATCCGGGCTCGCCCCGTCATACTCAAACAGTATTCTGAAAAAAGATATACTTTTTATAATAATATTTTGTATCCCAATGAAGCTACGCATTGAATTGAATATATTATTTCATTTTACTCACGGCATTTATTTCACGTTTTTTTATAAATTTGGGACTAAAAAAAATCTGGAGGATAGACCATGATCTCTCGGGATGACGTGGCGTCATGGATATGGTGGGGCCCGTATTTCTTTTAGGGGGATGCCAGCTGTCATAACCGGCAATAATAAATATCTTTAAAATTTGAAAGTCCAATCTGGGATCAGGATTTCAGGAGGCCAATCCGCCACCGGAGAGAAGCTCGACTGCCCACCACCGCCGGCGAGTCCTTAACTGCACCGCCGTCGTCATCACTACGGCGGGGGCCTCCTCCTCCTCCTCCGTCCCCCTCCACTCAAAGTGGCTGCTGTTCCGCGTGGCCTGGTCGCGGCTATGGAGGGGCCCGGGGGGATTTATTGGCCCCTCCTAGTCCGGTTGTTGTCGTTGTCGGAGCGGGTGGCCTTAGGCGCCTGTCTCATCCCGCCGTGCCTGCGACTGCGCCGCCTACCCCGCCATTACGCCACTCGGGGCTGCTTCGCGTGAGATCCATGTGAAAAGAAGACGGCGTGTGGCCTCTCCGAGCGGCGCCGCCCCGCTTCCCGACGCGGTCAGCAGCCGGAGCAGGTCTGTCAGATATTCTCACCGTGCTCCGTGAAGATGGCCATTGAAAATTACTGAGACGTGAGTGGACGCTTTCTCCGTACGTGTGGCACGGGCCAACTCGATGTTTCCACCTCACGCGAGCGAGCGTCAGATTTATCTCTCTCGGTCTGATCTTCCGTGGGAGTAGAGAGAGACCCAGTAGGCGGGAGGTGGGGGTCGAGGACGGGGAACAGCGGCAGGCATTGGTGAAAGGGGAGGCTGCTGGCGGAGGCGGAAAACGAGCGGAGTTAGCACCGGAGAGGGAACGAGGAGAGTGTGTGAGTAGACGTGTCCACTTCTTCATTTTCTCCCATCTGCTTGTTGTCAGTCATCTTCTTCTTCTCTGGTCTGGGAGGCTTTTTTACCCTAAAATGCGGGTCGATGAGGGGCGGGAAACCAGCAAAGGATAGCCTAGTTAGAATTTTCGCCTTTTACAATCCCGATTTTTTTCTTCATCATGCATACGTTGAGAAGGTTTCTCATCATGATGGTAGTGTAGTCCCAGCCGCCCACATTCTTCATTCATCTTTTCGCCATAGTTGGTTCACCTTCTGCAGGCACTTCGTGCTGTTGTGCTATTTTTCCTTTCGGAGCTTTAGAAAAGGAGTCGCAAAGGGAAATGAAAAGAGAAGGGGAAGGACGGGTAGCACACCTTTACTTACCGACTGACGAGTTCTATCCATGCCTAGTAGTGAAGCCTCCTCCTGCCTCCATTTCTTCACCATTTGTGGAGCTTTCAGGAGGAACTGTTCACCTGGGTTGCGATTTGTTTTTATTGCGCTCCTGTTTCTTCGATTCCTTGGGAAAATGAAGCTCAAGCCGGGCTCTAGAGCAGGTGTTTTAGCAGTCAGCGGTGTGGTTTCGTTTCTTAGTTCTTATAGTTAAATCCTCCGAAAACTTTTGGGATTTTTAAACTTTTGGAAACGTCCTCGGTTTTCTAACCTCATCAATATTTCTGTTTTCGCCATTTCTTTATCCCCTGTTTCTCGTCAGTCACTATAGTCTCCTCGAACCCTGTGCCCTTGGGTGTACCCCCGGCGTGGTTTCCATGGGGTAACCTTCTCGCCCATTTAGCGAGGCAGATCTAAGGAAAATGCAGCTCACGCTCTGAAGTTCGGGTGCTCTCCGTATTCTACTGTCGTGACTCCGCTGTCCTTCGAATCTGGTCAGCTTCAGTGCCTCTCAGTTCTTCCACTCGGAACCCATCCCCATCCAGTATCGCTTGTTTTCTCCGCTCCGTCCTGGAAATGTGGTGAACTAGTACCGCTTGTTTTCGCGTCAGTCCTACCGATCTGGTGCCGGTGGCTTAGGGTTCTACGCCGCTTCTCTCTCTGTAGAGCTCTCCTGGTTCTGCTGTACGCTTTCTTACAAAGTTGATTGTTCTCTTGAGATGTATCTCTCGTGGCGCGCTCCAGGGTACATTTTATTAGCTTCTCCTAATTTTTTTCCCATGGGTGTTCTTCCTGTGCGGCAGAATACAGCAGCGGTCGGAGGCGCTACGGGCGAAGTTTACCATGCAGAAATCCAAGACTAGGTGGGTTTCTCCGGATTCATTGTGCCTTCCTTTTCTGGAACTTTTTTACCCACCCGCCTTTACTTTTGCCATTTTTCGAGTCTTTCAGCTGGTATATTATCTGTAAATCGTAGTTGCACTGGAAGGGCATTGACTAGGGATCTGCTCCGCATTGGATATACATTTCCGTTTTCCTTCTTGAACGTTATACAATAGAAAGCGAGAATCTACGTGAGTGGTAGATTCTATCTATCTGGGTTAATGAGGTTCAGCCAACCAGGAACTGGGCAAATTCCCGAACCGTGGAAAGTTTTCTTTTGCTTCCACGTCGGTCTCTCTATCCCTTCCCAAAACTAATAGTTCTGGTAGATTGGCCTATCTCTTTGAATGCAGAGTTTTCTGGTTCGTCCCTTTGTGTTCATATTACTGTTGCCCTTTCTGTTTTTTTTTGTTTTAATTTTTTTATTAGATTCTCTGGGCCAATATTGTATGGAATATATTCATTTGGAAAGTTTCAATCAGTACGGTAGAACAGATTGATCCAGTATCTTCGTAAAATTGACCTCTGATAATTGTATCTAGTATAGTGTCATACTAAAATTTGGTTTCCCGTTCAGCAAATGGGTTTCTATGATGTGACGATTTTTATTAAATTCCATGTGATTATATTTAAGTCAATGCCCTTTGCTTGTCTCTCTTTAACGACTGCTTTGTTCAAACTGTACGTTCTTTGTGTTCATTGAAAGATTTTCGGCTACCATTAATACCTCTGGGGGATTTTCTCAACGGCACTTGGGTATCTCCTTAGTGCTAATTTCCTCGAGGATCTTATATAGCGCCGTTCATGTGTATGATTATTTTGCTATAAATGCTTTCTTATTTCTTCTCTTTCTGGTACTCTTGGCGCAGGACTGGGTCTTCTGGCATGCCTCAAAAGACTTCCCCTGTCACCCCTCGATCCAATCGTCAACCCAAGGTGGCTGGGACGGAATCTGGTTCGTCTGGGTCGACTCCTTCTGCAGCACGGTCTCCTACCGTGAGGAGTCCGAAACCCATTGAGAGGAAAGCTCCAAAAAGCCCAGCCTCTGAGGTACACTCTTACTTATTTTTGCAATTCAAGCTTTTTGGTGTAATATGTGCACCGTGTTTATAGATCTGTGAGCTCAATTCCGATTTTTTTCTTGCTCAAGTTTGAAACTTTCCCTCTCAACTGTCTTCTTAATATGTCCGTCTGGAACTCTGTATCATGCTTCTATAACAAATTCCATTTTTTTTATGCTGAATTTAGTGGCGTTTCTTATGACTCGTACTCTTTCATGTTGATCTCTTGAAACATTATTTCCTGTTATTAACTCGTGTTGGATTTCTATCTTGCAATTCTAGAAAAAACCTGCAAGTAGGGTGTCGAAGTTAGAATCTCAGCTGACCCAGGTGCAAGAAGATCTGAAGAAGACGAAGGAGCTGTTAAACTCATCAGAGTCATCCAAGATACGAGCACTGGAGGAAGCCGATGAGGCCAAGAAGCAGTTCCTAGCCATGGCTGCAGATCTCGAAGACACCAAGCGGCAGCTGTTGGAGCTTTCCCGTTCTGAGGTTGCCAGTGCCCAGGAGCTCCAAGTGCCATCTCAGAACAATGACCAAGCATTAGAGTCTGAGCCCAAGTCTCCCAAGGAGCAAGACCCATTCGATCCAGCTGCTGTTGGCTGCGCCGTTCATGAAATCGAGAATCTTCAGCTGCAGATTGAAATGGCCGTAGAATCTGAGGCGGCTCAGTCTATGCAAGCACAACTTGCGCATTCAGAGCTGCAGATGCTGAAAAGAGACGTGGTGGAGACAACCTCGCTAGTGGGGACTCTCAAGGCTGAGCTAAATGGCTATGAGAAGTCAGAAGCAGATTACCAGGAACTGGTCAGCGAGACCCAACTCCAGCTACAGGTCGCCAACTCTACCATCCAAACACTGCATTCTGATGGTCTCAAAATCGTGGGAGCTTTCAAGGCTGTGTGTTCTGATTTAGAGGCGTCCAAATCCCAGATAAACTCCCTTGAGAACGTGGTGAGTGCTCTACAGTCAGAGGTGGAGAACCTGAAGTCGTCGTTGGAAGCGTCTGAGCTCAAACTGAAAGAAGAGCAGATTAACAGCACGGTGCAGATCTGTTCTGCTGAGGAAACTGTGAGCGCTCTGAAGGGGGAGGTGGAGCGATTGAGATCTTCTCTAGTTGAGGGCACGCTAGAGGAGGCACAGACGAAAACGCTGGCAGAGACTGAGCGTCCGAGGATTGATTCTGGTCTAAAGGAAGATAAACTGGAGTCAACGGTGGATGAAGCCAATGCAAGGATTGCAGAATTGAAGGCACATTTAGCTGAAAAGGAGGAGGAATTGTGCAAAGTTTCGGATCTGAACGAGACGCTGAGGCGAGAAGTGGAGAAGGTTGGGTCCACCACTCCGACGGAATGTGGATTGGAGTCAAAGCTGAAGTCGTCTGATGAAGATATTTCTGAAATGAGGTCAACTCTTGCCCTGTTGAGGGCGGATTTGACCGACAGGGAGAACGAGTTGCAGAGGCTTTCGAATCTAAATGAGTCACTGAAGGAAGAAATTGAGAAGCTGAGACCAGCTTCAGCAGAACCTGGTTTGGAAACGAAGTCGGTGGAAGAGGTCGACGAAGTGAAGTCAAAGCTTGCCGATTTGAGGACAAGCCTGACCGAGAAGGAAACCCAGCTGCAAGATGTGTTGGATGCAAATGAGAGGCTGAAGGAAGAGGTTCGGAAGTTGACGGAGAACCAGACGGAATCTGAGTTGGAATCAAAAGGGAAGGCATCCGTGTCTGAAATTGCAGAGTTGAAGGAGAATCTCATGGATAAGGAGACCGAGTTGCAGAGCATTTCCGAGGAGAACAAGGTCCTGAGGGCGGAAATGCGGAAGAAGGAAGGGGAAATGCTGAAGACCCATGAATCAGCCCAAGTTGAGCTCGAGGCCGCGAAGGCCTCTCAACAGGACGCCATGACGAAGCTGGGACATGCGGCTGAGGAAGCAGATAAGAGTAGCCAGAGGGCCGCCAAGATGGGCGAACAGCTGGACGCGGTCCGGGCTACGAACTCAGAAATGGAGGCCGAGTTGAAGAGGCTCAGGATTCAGACAGATCAGTGGAGGAAGGCCGCTGAGGCCGCAGCAGCAATCCTCAACACCGGAAGCAACGGAAAGCTGAGCGAGAAGAGCGGGTCGATCGATTCGGAGTACCTCAACTTTGGTGGAAAGCTCTTGAGCTCTCCGTACTCGGACGAGATGGACGAGGAAGCCACAAAGACGAAGAAGAACACCGTGCTGAAGAAGATCGGAATCCTTTGGAAGAAGGGCCAGAAGTAGCGGGCGACTCCCCTCCCTCCGCCGGATCATCTATCGATTACCCTTTTGACTCTCTCAGTTCTTCCTGCATCCTCCTGCTTCTTATTCATCCTCATCGCAGATCTTCCATGCCCGCAAAACTGCTTGCGGGATCGAGCGGGAGCCTGGTTTCTTTTGGCAGAACAGTTCATCGTGCCTCTCCGCCGGCCCTGGTTATTTCCTTCCCTTCGTAGTTTGATACTTATATCGAACATGTACACTGTAAATAATTATTTTTATGTGTTCACCTCACTTGGATCTTCGTGAACGTACTCCCTCATCAGCTTCTCCTTTTCCTCTCACATCAAGAGGACAGAACGAGTGGGTTCTGTCCCACCCCACCGTCTTCTTCCAGCTTCAGTTAAATCTGTAGCTGTTCGGCGGCCAAAATGTGTTGTGTATCATGGCGTCCCGTGGTGGTTTCGAGCTTCAGTGATTTGACTGAGATGGCGGGTAGGTGTGGACCTCGCGTTCCTCCATGGAGGGAACAGTCAACGTCGACAGGAAGCTGCAGGAGGAGTTCGGAGGCAGTGGAGCACGGTGAAAGTTCTCGGGGTGGGGCCCACATTGACTATACAACTCCCCGGGGCTGTGATGTTAGTCAAAACATCTTCGAATTGACTGTCGGGGATGGAGATAAGCGGCGTCGCCGGCAGGGGAGGAGGGGACGAGATGATGTGGGCTGTGATGAAGTCTTTCGTTAAAACTGATCGAGATACCCTCGACATGTTCATTCGTTCTAAGCTTTTGGAGGGGAGAAAATGTGATCTTTCTTCCGATCGCTGCTCATGCCCATAGGAGCTCCCACGGTGGCGCCGCTTGTCCGCCGCCGTCGTCGAGGAAGCAGGAGGGGTCGTCCTGCAGTGGGATGGTGGCGCCGCCGGTGGCGAGGTCATCGGGCGCCGATGGGGCGGCGGCCATCTTCATGCAGAGAACGGCGACGAGGTTAGCGCGTTGCGACTGCACGGTGAAGAGCTCCGCCTCCGCCTTGGCCACCTGTGCCTGCAGTTCGCCGAGTCGCCGCTGGAGCTGCCAGATCACGCCGGCGCAGCCGTAGACAGGGTCCCTGAGCCTGGCGTTGGCCTCGTACACCACGCTCTTCACAGCGTCACCTCTCTGGCTCTCTGGAAGCCCCTGAATCAGCCCATTCACAAGAAAATCTCGTTATCAAACAACACATCTCCGGCATCTCTCTCTCTTTCTCCTCTCTGTGTGTGTTAACCTGCAAAAGCTTGATGATGTTGCTGGCACCGAAGACCTTGTGAGCGGCGGCGAACTTGAGGGGCTCACCGGGGGGGAAGAAGGGGGCGAGGATGCACGTATCGGTGCATTTTCGGCGGAGGATCTTGCAGGCGGCGCAGGGGCTGGGGACTACCGCCGCCGACGGTGGCGGCGGGCATGGAAGAATTGTGGGGGAAGAAGAGGTGGGAGAGGACGAGAGGGAGGAAGCAAGAGGGAAACCCATGTCGGCAGTGGTCTCACTGCTCTCCATTAGAGCGACAAAGAAGACTGAAACTACTACGACGGTGATCCACACATAAAGAAGTGGGGAAACCAAGGAGATGGGTGTGAACGAAGGGGAGGAACGTCGGCGAGAACATGAGGCATAAAAAGCCGGAGTCCCAAAGCTGGCGGCTAGCTGTTGGCCGTCGACAGTTTCGCTGACTCCTCTTCGCCATCTCTCGGTATAAGTTCGGCGAAGAAGTCAATGCACATATCTGCCTCTACCTATCTCCTAGTTTTCCACGTCCAGAACTGCACCTCTCTCTGTCTCTGTCTGTCTCTGTCTCTGTCTCTCACTCGCTCATGAGCAGGGGTTCCACTGAGAATTTTCCACGGCCCAATGGGACTTTTCACATTAGGCTAGAAACTTATCCCAGGAACTGGGCGACTGCTAACACAACTCTCGACAGAGAAACGTCGTGAAGATAACATGACATGGCCAAGACCCAGTTATTTCCACTGCAGATGAACCTGATTCGAGCACAAAAAATTGAGTTCCCTAAGGTCAACAGCCCAACTGGGGAAGGATGGAAATCCACCGTGCTGAGTTTTCCTAACAGAAATGGGTGATAGAAACCCCCAATGAGGAAATAACAGATTCTATTTTTTAAAATATTGATATCATATACCAGGCACAGATCACAACGGTATCAATGAGCACAGAAATATAGATTTTGAGTTGGGCTGCTGCAGCCATAAAATGTAGTTGATCTGATCAAGAACAAATAATCTGACCATGGAAAAAAAAACAGCTAAAAAACAAGTAATATAATATCAAGTATACAATTCTAAGACACTTGGGGGGCATTCTACACAGGCACGGTCGTTTCTTTCAAGATCTGAATCCATTTGACATCATCTCGAGCTAAACAGGCCCATCTACACCACTAAAAGTTAAACCTTTTTCTCTTCTCCAGATAGGGCTGGGCTCTCTGGTACTCAAGAATCGACCAAACCAGGTGCCTTATAGAGAATCCTGGCCACAGTACAGAAGGGTTCTGCAGGTGGGTGATAGATGTCTGCCAGAGGAGGAAATTGCTCAGCCTTGTCTCCCCAGAAGTCCTGATCACAACATCTGGATCAGGGCAGCCGGCCGTGTACAAGCTTCTCTCCACGTCTTTCACTGACAGAGTCGCCACACTGGAACGCCCTTCCTGAACAGCTTTTAGCCTCTCTCTGCATGATTCTTCGACTGCATGAGTGATCTCAGCAGTGGAGGTGTAAGCAACGCACACAGACAGCACGGGGCCGGTGTTCGCTGAAGTAGCAGCCATAGCCTTCTCGATTGCCAGCCTCACAGGCTCGCTCAGCATCCGCAAATTCCCCCAGAAGTTGACTCTGACTCCGTACTTGGTCACCAAGCTCTCCTCCTCCAGAAGGTTCTCGAGTTTCTCGAGCATCAGATTCATCACATGCTCCACCTCCTCTGGCTTCCGCCTAAAATTGTCAATGCTGAAGGCATAGACAGTCACATAGGTGATGCCCATTTCATAGCAGTACTGAAGAGCGGACATGAGGGATGTGAGTCCGGCTCTATGACCAGCGCCTGTTTCCATCTTCCTGATGCGTGTGAACCTCCTGTTCCCGTCCATGATGAAGGCTACATGAGTTGGCATAGGGCCCAAAGTCAGCACATAGAAGAGGCATCTTCTGAGGAAACCCCAGAATCCCCCAAAAACATTGGCTGAGGGGGGGCTTTTAGAGCTCTCCATGCCGCTATCCTGGAAGCCAAGCCAAGAATATTATGACGATCAGCCCTAGTCGTCCCTGGAATTCGTAGAAAGGAAAAATTAATGCAAGTTCTTACATCTAATTATTCGAACATCGATGAGTTTTAACTCTTTTTCTCCAGATAAATTGACGATCTGCATCTAAGAAAACCGGTGCCGAGAATAACCTGCTCTATATCCAGCTTCTTCCTCGGCTCTAGGAGAATGCAAACGAGGAGAAAAGGCAATCAGAAAAATAAGGGATCGAAGAAAAACGATAAGGCCTGATAGGAATGCATGCTAACAACAAAACGAAAAGGCAAATGATCCAACGCTTTGAGGAGCCAGATCTCCTCTCGATCTTCAGGTAGTAATTTTCTGATCGGTGCTACAGCAGATGGACTGCCGAAAAAAACGTTTCCAGGCTAAATAATTGATATCCTGGGCAGGAAAGCGTTGCCAATCTACGCCACGGTAGGATCAGAGACGAAAAAGGGGAAACCAAGGACGTAAGCGCAAAACAATGGCGAAACACGATCTGAACCACCCCGAAACCTGCTCGATGAGTAGTCGGCAATGAGAAGCAGGATAACCGCATTCTATCCGCTGCCTGCAGTTGCATACCTGAACACTGGCCAAACCCATCCGCCCTCGCAGCCAGATGGAGGCCTACGTGGCTGGGTCGCTGAACTGAACAAACATAACCCTAGAACGGTGTTCCAGCTTCGACAGGAAAGGAGGGTTAGAGAGAGAGGGGAGGGGCGAGGAAAGAAACAAGAGCCGATATCGTCCCTTACCTGTTACCACCGATCTCGTCCGACGGCGACCACAAAAGACGAGCCGTGATCAGGTTTTCCGGCTTCGAGCAGGGGGAAGAAGAGGGAAGTAGACGATCCACAGTACAGCAGCAGGGTCTGGTCTTCACCTTCTACCTCCAACCCTCCCCCCATTTCGTGAGCGGAGCTAAGAGGGTAACACCCGCCGCGCGTGTCGGTATTTTCTTCTGCCATCCTATAAATTTAACATTATTCACAGATTATAGGCCGTTATAGCCCCAGTAGACCAAACACGTGATCCTAAAAATCCCTCTTTTTTTCCTGATTTTTTATTGAACCTTCCTTGAGCTTGACGTCAAGAAAACCCGTATCTTGACCCACGCAGTAATTATTTTCTCTATTTTGGCTCCTAAGAGAAAAAGTGATCGACTTTTACGTCATAAACAATAGTCAACCTTGTCAACGTCAAAAGAAACGGTTATTATAAACCAACAAATATTTATTTTAACTATTAAAAAACACACGAATTCTAAAAATACTTCTATGGGTCCCTCGCCTGGTAGGGCTCCTCATAGTCTAATGGTTAGTCATTTTAAAAATATTTAAATCCTATATTAAGTAAAAAAACGTTAATTGGGAGTAACACATAATAATTAGTTGTGAGCCATTGATACATAATTTTATGGCCAATTGAGCTTGTTTCCATCTCCCATATTCATTGTTTTGACTATTTAAAATAGAAAGTCAACTGCTAACATCAGGTGATTTTGTTGGCTTATTCGAGCTTGAGAGAGAGAGAGAGAGAGAGAGAGAGAGATCATTTCTTTCGTATTTTCCTTTCGTTTATAGGTACAACTTTTTATAGTGGCCCATCATTCTGGTCTTTAATGTCGGTCCTCTTATCGGCTTTGCTGCGGGTTCACGGAGAGGAATTCCGATCGGACGGGGGAGGTAGCTTCGAGTCGGTGGAGGGGAAGGCGCCACGCCACGATGCGGGAGCAGCCGGGGGTCGGGATGGCCTTCGTCTTGTTCGTCTCTTTGAGGGCCATCTGTTGGAGGAAGCTGATTGAATCCTGAAAATGATCCTCCCCAAAATCAGCACCTGCGGAGGCCCAATGGGCCCGGTGGTTTGGAAGGTTATATCGGTGGGGCCCAGCAGTTTGATGTTAGGAATGGACACGATACCGGACGAGCACCGAATCTACTTGGCCGCACGTGTAAGAGAGAGAGAGAGAGAGTGAGGGAGAGAGAGAGTGAGAGAGAGAAAGAGAGGGAGGGAGGGAGACAGAGGGAGACAGAGGGAGACAGAGGGAGACAGAGGGAGACAGAGGGAGACAGAGAGAGAGGGAGGGAGGGGGAGAGAGAGAGGGGGAGAGAGAAAGGGAGAGAGAGGGGGAGAGAGAAAGGGAGAGAGAGGGGGAGAGAGGGGGGAGAGGGAGAGGTAGAGGGAGAGAGGGGGAGAGAGAGAGGGAGAGAGAGAGGGAGAGGGAGAGGGAGAGAGGGAGAGAGGCAGAGGAAGAGAAGGAGAGAGAGAGAGAGAGAGAGAGAGAGAGAGAGAGAGAGAGAGAGAGAGTGAGGGAGAGGGAGAGAGAGAGATAGGGAGAGAGGGGAGAGAGAGAGACGGTGAGGGAGAGAGAGAGAGACAGCGAAACCTGTGATACGTCGGGGGGGGATGAGTGATTGTGCCAGCGACTGGGATGCCACAATATGGAGCTGTTGAAGGCGAAGCTGGAGATGTCGATGACGGAAGGAGCATTCCTGCTGCGCCCGCCCGTCGGCCGCCAACCAACGACCCGGGAGGATCTGCAGACGGGGCCGTCCACAACCACCGTCTTCCCGTTCGCCGCCACCGACGCCGTCGGCCACGCCCCAAGCACCCTGCAGACACGGTCGAGTTGAGATAAGAGAGCCGTGTTGGGATTCGTTGGTTTCCGCTGGCGTTGCACCATCAACCTCTACCTTTCGAACTCAAGAAGCTATTAAGGACTGAGAGAGAGAGAGAGAGAGAGAGAGAGAGAGACGGCAACTTCTCACCTTTCAGTAATATATAACCACTAAGGCACAGGTTGGTCGGTGGCATGCCAACCACGCCACTGACATTTACAGCATGGAAGGAAGCCTTTGTTCTACAGGGATTACACTCTCCCTCTATTCAAACTAATAATATCAGCAGCGGCGCCGGCAGATGCACCGGAAAGGGAAAGGCTGATCATCATCAAAGAACACAACTCTCGTTTAATCCGAAAGATTTCGCCGAGAGTTCATCGATCGGTTGTTCGTTTCTAACTGGGAGAGGAAGAGGTGGGAGGAACGACGTACTCGGTTTCCCTGATGCCGTCGAACAGTCGGAGATCGTAGACGGAGGTGAGCGGGGAGAAGTGGACGATCCCGTCGATGCGGTGCTTCTCGATGTGGCGGAGGGCGACGTTCCTCTGGTGGCGCAACTCCGCCTCAGGGTCGGTGAAGTTCTCGCCAGAAGGAAGATGCCTGTACATCACCGTCGTCTTCCTCAGCAGCTCCGCCGTCAGCGGCATCTCAGACTGCGACTCCACGACGAGCCAGAGCAGCGGCGGAGGAACCAGCGATAAGGCATCCGCCATCCATCTCAGGAGGGCGTCCTGCAGAGGGTCCTTCCGCCTCGTCGTCGTTACGGCGATGAGGAGCTTCTGCGGCGGCAGCTCCTCGCCAGCGGCGGCAGCGGTGGTGGAGGAGTCGTTTAAGCTCCGCCATTCGAGTTTTCTCTGGACGGCGTTCGTGCTCGACGGAGAGAATCCCATGAAGAAACCCACGGCGAAGCAGAGAGAGACGTGGAGGATGGCCTTCCTCCACGGTTGAATCCTCTTCTTCGTCCTGTCCAGCGGGCCCATCTCTACCTCTCCAGTTATCTCCTCAACGCCAGCGAGGAAAACAGACGAAAGGAGCTGCTGGAGGTGGAAGGAGGAGAGGAGGAAGCTGGTTCTGGGTTTGTTTGGTTGGACCTTCGCTCTTCCTTTCCCCCCTCCTTCAAGTCAAAGACATGGAAAGCTGGGGGGCAGCCGAAGGGTTGAGTGGGGTAGGAGGTGACAGGCCACCGGGGGGGACGCCCGCAGTGATTGGACCAAGTCAGCTTCCACGGTGTTTGGGGGGGGGGCGCGCAAAAAATATTTTCTTTTGAATAAAATAGTCCGACGAACAGCCGGCATTCTACAATTAAATAATGGGTTTTAAAAGGTATAATTTTGAGAAATAATATCAGGTAAAAGCTGATTCAATCTCTTCTGCATTCACTTTTCAAGATATTTCTCAAAAGGTTTTAACATGATTATGATTATGATTATGATTATTAGTATTATTAAAAATATTGAGCACTGTTCAGATTAAGAACCGTGTTTATGGCAGTCGATGAGATGATCTGCCAGAAACAGGGCAAATGGAATAGAACTTACAGAATCGGCACTTCCACTGTTCGTCCTTGGAAACCAAGCTGGCTTCTCTCTCACCGGACCAGAACGCGAAGCACCCCAAGATCCGACCCTTGAACCAGTCCTCATCATAGTCGAAAATATACTCCTCCATCAGAGAACGGTCTGCCTGGAATTCATATCTGCATTCATCCCAAAGTTCTGAGACACGACACCGGCGGGGCCAACACTAGATAGAGATAGAGAGAGAGAGAGAGAGAGAGAGAGAGAGAGAGAGAGAGTCATCACCATCACCTCAACATGAGCTTCTCCTGAGAGGGCGGTAGCAACCGGCAGTTATCTCCTAAATAAATGACAACATCTTCCAATGTCTGCAAGAAAAGATGAGGTAAAACTTGATGCAGGTAAACAGAGGAACCTTAAAACTTGAAGAAGCAAGTAAGCAGAATCTAGTCCTCTCATAATGAAGACTTTCAATCTGGCAGATAATACCTTTGCATGGACACCTAGTCTCGCACTATAATCTCGAACATCATCAGAGAGGGTGGAGTGAGGATCCAACCCAAAATAGCTATAGAACTCGTCGCTGGGGAAGCTATGTGCAACCGTGTTGTCCCACAAATACTTATAACACATCAGTTGAAGCCTGCAATGCAGAAGCAAGAACAATCCTCACAATTATTTGCTGCATCAAGATAACACGTAAAACATAATATTTATGTTTTATCTGAGATGAAGAACTTGTTTGAAGTAGATTACCCACAGGAATCGCATATTGGCATCTCATAAGATTAATATCAGTATGAATTATCTAAAATGTTTCTAAGTTATCCTAAATAATACAATAATGAGAGAGAAAAGTAATGAAGTCGATCATTATGGTCTAGTTTTACAAAGTCAACTTCACTGAGAAAAAGAAACGGATATATGTACAGCAGTCTCATACCTTCCATTGCGCTTCTGTGCTTCAGAAGGGAGGGTTGCTGTGTGACGGGTTTTGGTATCGACCAACAGAGGCTGCTGAACTGCTTCATTTTTTGGCATTCGGATTTCATCAATCACTCCAACCATCCATATCCCCTCCACGATTCCTATTCTAGGGTTATTCCCATAAATAGCTCAGTATTAGAAGGCTAGAAAATGATAGATTTGTTGTATAAAAAATTATCCACAGAGTGATAGATTCAAAATCATGGACATGTTCCTCTTAATGAAGATATGCATGTTAACTATGCCTATCTGCAGTAAGAAAACCAATGCAAAATTATATCATTCAGATTCGTTATTTATAATAAAAATTACAGTAATTTAAGAAACTAATGCAAATAAAAAATGAACTCGTCTTCAGGGATCTTAATAAAAGCAACACCATTCCATCGGAAGACAAATATGCGTCAGCTTCTCTTTTACCCCATGATATTATTTTGGAAGAAGCAATTCGATATGTTCAATAGAAAACGGCTCTGTTAATAACATCAATGCATAGTTCCAGGTTTACGATTACCGTTGAAGATAGAAGACTTCTTATTGATACTGCAAATTATCAAAAGTTGTCGAATGGTGATGATCTTTTTCATGATCTCTCTCTCTCTCTCTCTCCAAAAAAAAGGATAAAATAAGTGGGATTGGGCATTATTCACACAAAGGAGAACAATATCGTTCAAAAATAAATTCAACTAATGTAATCACCCATGACAGTACAGATTCATTTCGCAACATTAGAACTTCCAGTCGTTCATATTCAACAATCTTTAATATATAGCCATACACGAAATATTGACAGCTCAGAATCACAGTGCAATACTTTATGATGCATAAAACATGAGATTAGACGTATCACACATACAAATTTCCTTCTTTTTCCCTTGATATCTTTTCTGGCCCATGAAGGATCCCAGGTAACCACATCATCCGAATTCACGGTGGTGGATCTCTGATCTATTCCTAAAATCACGCATTTTGATTGAGAGGCCACATTTCCAATATGATCTTTTATGGGGAAATCAATGTGTAAATTTAGAGAAAATCCTTCTCGACTCTTATAGGCAGTTGTAATTCTTATCCAACAATATGTAGAACTTAGCTTGGATCTGAAAAGAAAAAAACTAATGTGTTCACACACGGGAAGAGAAGGATAACTTACATTGGTAGTTCACGGGTCAATCCATCAAATAGCAATTGACGTGAACCAAAAATAAAGTTCATCAATCTTACAGCCCAGGAATCCTCTGCAGATATGACACGAATTTCTACTTTTTCCATAACCTGCGTTCGTGACAAAAAAGATCAAAAATCAAATTGCAATTTTGTTTAGTTGCTTATTATTGGAAGAAGATAAGGTATGGCTTCTTCTCTTCGTGCAAATTTCTTTGTTGAACTATCACATGAAAAAAAGCCCCACATTTTGTGATATCCAAAATTGTCATGATCATAATCATAAGTACTTCTCACCTATAAATCTGATGTAGGCATAGGGCATTGGAAGGTAAAAAACCATAAAAATTGAGCTCAATTTTACTAGATAGCAGTCAACCTAATTCCAACCCCCATTCACTGTGACAAAAATCAAATGTACAACACACAGCAGTTAGAGGAAAGAAAATTTGACTATAGAGAATGATAAATTCCTAGTCGAAGCTAATAAGGCTGTAAGAATAATTGTCTAACACATAAAAATGAATGCCACAAAACGACTAAAAGTAATAGTCGAATACATAGGAAATTCATAACATAAACAGATCAAGTAATCCATCCAAGTTTCATTTCAACCACAAGCATATTAAGATGGCGCTCTTCATTCAATATTTTTGACATAGGCAATGACCTTGATTTTATAATCTCAATCATTATGCTAAGGTACTTTTAGAAATTGGGGATGAATTCAAAGCGATGCGAAGATTACCTCTTCTTCGAGTTCAACATGGCGTTCACTACCAGCCTTCATGGCCTTTGTCCTCTCAGGTTTCCCATGGAGGAGAACAAATTCCATCTGCTTTTCACACCATTCCTGATCTCGAAGATTCCCAAAAGGTAGACGCAAAAGGTTACATAAAATGGAAATCCAAAATAAAGGAGGAAGAACATAAATTCTCAATCAATAATGGCACTGTAGTAAAGGACATTGAAAATGCAGCATATATTGCATCTTTACCAACCGGTTAAAGAGGAAAATATGAATTTTAACTTTAGCTTTTCCTTATGGCCTTCCCAAATCTTCTAGCCCATCAGTTAGGATGCAAATTTCACAACGTACTTTCTTTTCAATGTGGGTGGTACCAAAAATTCATTGTGTGTAAAAAAAGTAGATACAAGGATGTATAAGTTTGCGTGGGTGTTGACTAAAAAAAATCCTACACAAAACCAATTGATATGCCAAGATGATGTAGTCTCATATATCAGAAAAAAAATTAACAAATAAAAGGGAGCGGTCACAGAAAAAGACAAGAAACAGATGGATTGTGAAGGCCGAATTAATTAATCAATTGAAGTTGAAAAACATGAGCTTCTTTAATTAGACAAACACGTTAACATCTGACGGACAGATCAAGGTAGACCTGCAGTCATTACAAAGAACAAGAGGCGCTGCCATGCGGACAATGCCGGCATTACGACAAGATTAATACCGTGGCTGTTACGTCGGTGACAGATAGAGCTCTTCTGATGCGAAACAGCTTCAACGGTGACTTGGATTGGGTCAGGCCTTGATCAGAATCCTCAATGTCTTGAGAAGACGCCCCAGGGGTAAGGATTGGCGGAGAAACGGAGCGGAATGAGCTCCTGCACTGCCTCAGAGACGCGACCGTCGAATGTAGGGAGGATAAGGGTAAGGCTCGAGGGCCAAGAGATGACGACGCCTGAATCAAGCTGCGGGCGGAAGTGATCGCGGCGTCTATGAGAGCCATCTCCTCTTCGGTCACGATTTCCAGCGGGATATTGCCAGGAATATCAATATTCCCGCCGCCGGCGTTCCCTGGGTCGTTGACGAGGGTGGTGCAACTGTAAGAAGAAGATCGAGTGGGAGAGGACCCCGATCCCATCTACCTCGGGGTTGACCACAGCGCACGTCGTCCTCGTGGTGGGTCCCACCACCCTCATGCCCGCTTCTCCCTCGCCGGGTTCGTCGCTCGTCGAAGGAGAGCAGCGGTGCGGGGAGAAACAGAGCCTCCTGTTTGTTGATGTAATCGGAGCGGCTCTCTATAACAAGCAAGCGTGTCAGTCGTACGTGCCACTGTGAACAGTTGGCCTTCTTTTTGGGCCTCCGTTTCTTAAAATGGTCCCACAGCCTAAGAAGAGGCAGTCTCGTGGTGGCTAATGGGTCCAACCCAATAATGTTAATGGGCCTAACGTTCTTGTAGCAGAGTGCTCTCTTGTCGTAAATAAGACCTAGGGCAGATTTCCCTCCTATTTCCAAAGCACGACGAGAGCGGAAAAGCTAGGCCCCGGCGGCTCCTCTGCGATCTACCACCGCTGCCTGAGAGGAGCGTAACGACTTCAGTAATCCGCTTGATCTCCAGCTCGTTCTCGTTCAGTTTTTTACATTTTTTAATCAGTCCCTCTCTGCACCTCGTAATTTGTCTTTTTTTTTGCTTTTCTGTGGCGACTGAGTGAGATTTTAGCTCAGAGTTTGTCTCGTAACAATATTGCTGCAGACCGTGGCGTGGCATTTTATCGTTTGTAGTCCACCTGTTTATCTCTAGGGACAGCTTGCTTGGTCTTTATTAGCTACTTTCTCTGGTTTATGTTGTTAATTTTTTATTCTTTTCCCGTGACCGAATTTCTCTTTTGAATATCTAGGTGGGACATTTCACGTTTCTCTCCATGGCTGCTAGCAATGATCCAACGGGCTTTGACAAAGAGCAGGTGCACGCTTCTTCTTTTCTCATAACATTGATGGGAGTAATAAGAAATGGCACAAAAACTGAAAGTTAGACTTATTTTTTCCGTTAATTAGGCATGCACTGCATTTATGATCTGGTCACCTCATACCTGTCAAGATGGTGTTTGCGGTGTTGGGACTAAATTTTGTACATAGAGATAATCTACGCTCTGGTGCCTCCAGGTCTGTGTATTCTTGATCCGGGTCCTGATTTGGATCTCTAGGTCTGTGTATTTTTTCAAATGAATTCATCTCCAAAATTGGTAACCAATGGAATAATCTATGAAGCTGTCTTTAGATGCATGCTCTATGCCATAGTTTTCTCAAAGCTATGGACTTCATTTTAGGAATATTCTGCGTGGGAGCCGAAAATATTTTTAATTTCTAAATTTCACCTCTGGTGAAGATGCGTGGATAATACGCCATTATATTTTGGTCTATATGCCCCATTTCATAATGACGGGGGTTTCCAATATTTTATGAAGTACGCATGTTGGAATTCTAAATAAACATTTCGTTTTGAGGGTGATGCATATTCATTGAAGAAAGTTCAATCTATATCTGGTATGAAACTTAACATTAATATACTTGGGGGCAACATAGGGGATTCCCATCGCTAAATGACTTGGTAAATGTAACAAAGTCAGACTAAGGGGGCACATGCTGCTTTTCTTGAACAACTAAAAAATTATGATCAGCATTGTTTGCATCTCCAAATGACATTGGAATGTGGTAATGTTCCGTTTGTTGAGCTTGGATCCTAAAATACCTAACGGTTATCAAATATCTGTCTAAATCCCTCCACGGACAACTGAACATATGCTTTCCGTGCAATTCCCTAAATAGTGCCAATACGCTCCATATCTTGCCTGACTTTCCTTTTCCGCGGAATTATTAGTTTGGATTCTTGGATGATAAAACATCGAATTGTATCTGCTTGCTAAAGGGTGAGGATATTCCTACTTCACTGCTTGCTACTCTCCCACATCCAGATTTAGCGCGTCCTTTTCTATGTCTATTAGCTCTATATCATTATTATTTGACTTGTCTATCTATGCTCTTCTATTAATCAGCTTCTTGTTGGCAGATCATTGGGATGGCAGAAACGGAAATGACGTACAGGGTGGATATGTTCAACAGGTACATCACCGGTTGCCAGTTCTCATTTCCGATGTAACCGTATTCTGTGCATCCGGCATGTGGCAAAACCATGTAAATTCTATTTGATATCTGTTCGGAAGCAATATTTTTTAAATGATTCTTTACTGGCGGGTACGCAAGCACAACAAAACTTCCATGTTGTCTCTTTTGTTACTTCAGAAACATCTCTCAGCTAGATCTGAGTTACCACGTTCCCTCAGACAAAAAGTAAACAAAAAAGAATAACTTGACCTGCTGTACCCAGAAAGTGGGATCAGCTTAGGCCACTAGAGACAGAGGAGAGTGAAAACTATGGGTGGCTGAGATATTCAATCGACTTTCTCCCCCTTTTAATGGGTTCGGAGACTTACGAGTGAGCAGAAAAGAGAGGAGGAAAGAGTACCTCTCCGGATTTTAAAGACAATTCTTCACATTTTCAGGGTGAAATAAGACGATTCTCTACAAAATATGAGCCATAAAGTGCCATTTTCGTTCAAATTTGGATACAAAATCAAGAAAAAAGTATAATTTGGTTGTCTTTTTGCAGTCTTTCGTCATTCTTCTAACTAGTCTTCTTGCATTACTCCTCTGGATCATTCTTTGCTCTGTAAAATGATTATGTGATCGCTGGATGAACTGAAGTTGTTTATCTTCTGCCTTCCCTCACTGAACCACCAGAGATGAAGTGGCAAGTCATTGCATTCATGAGCAAATAGATTGAGCTTCTCCGTGTTCCGAACATCGAGTATCACTGTCTTCTGATGCTTTATCTTATGCCGTTGTGTCTGGATATTTGATTTACGGTCACTTAAGATGAACACGTGATTTAGCCTCTGCCCACCGATTCTATTATAGCTTGACAGTGCTACGATAGATTCCTACAGCGAAACTGAGAAGCTTGATTTTTTTTTTGGTTTGGATAATACAGGCTCACAAAGACATGCTTCGATAAATGCATCGAGAAGAAGTACGTTACCCCATTCAAATTTCTTGTGTCTCACTCTGTATGAGGCCTCATATCTGATGCTGTCTTCTAATGACCTCTCAGTTCAAGATGTGCTCCGTTTCTCCCTTTCTTCTTGGGCTGTAAAATGGATTTTTCTTGTGCTCGTCCAGGTACAAGGAATCAGAGCTCAACATGGGGGAAAACAGCTGCATTGATCGCTGTGTTGCCAAATATTGGCAGGTATATATCAGTGATTGCCCCTGCTTCATATCCGTTGATGGGTTAATCCAATCTCGTGTCTAAAGAAATCTATTAATTTCTTGCGCTCTAAGACTCCTTTATTTTTCTCCTATTTTTCCCCCAAATACGTGTTAAATTTTAGTTTGGATGTAGAAATCTCGCCGTCTTCATTTCCGTTTTTTTTTCCCCTCTCTTCGTTTCCACTCCATCTCATTAGTTCATGAAGATTCTTTGCTCCTCACATCTGGGTTTTCCTCTGACTCAAATCCACTGTCCTGGGCCTCTCTCTCTCTCTCTCTCTCTCTCTCTATATATATATATATATATATATATATATATATATATCTGTGTGCTTACCTTTGTGGCTGTCCTTGCAGGTGACGAACTTGGTGGGGCAATTGCTCGGTTCCAACCGGCCGCCGATGTAACTTGATCTCCTCCTGCGCGGTGTGGGCCGTCGAGTCCTCGTAGCTCCATGGATTTCACCTCACCTCAAAGTGAAGATTCTTCACCCATATTTTTTAAAGTCAATCCACGCTGACCTCCATATTATGAATGAAAGTTCTTTCCCCTTTTTTCTTTTTACTAAATAAGAAATGGGAAACAGCAATGAGGAACTACCATAGTTCACCGTAGTTGGATTACTCTAATTTGCTACTCATATAGTCGGAATGATTGATCTTGTGCCTTCTATTGGCCATCTTTTTTAGGGCCTCTCTTAATCTCTACAGCTCTACTGGATGCTCCCCATTGGAACTATTTAGTTTGCAAAACAGTACATAGAGAGAGAGAGAGAGAGAGAGAGAGAGGGTACGTGGTGGCTATAGAGTCAGCCACATTGCACAAAAGGTGAAACCTCGTATTGGGGCGGGCTGGGTTTTGAACTTGGGCTGGCCTGAGGCTTTCAAACTACGGGCCCATTGACATCAGTTAAGAGTCGAAAATGAGCACAAGTTTGTTTGGGGTACGTGGTGGCTTTAGAGCCAGCCACGTTGCACACAAGATGAAACCTCTTATTGGGCCGGGCTGTAATTTTGAATTTGGGCTGGCATGAGGGTTTTCAGCCTCCGGCCCATTGACATAACTTCATAGTTAGAAATGAGCCCAGTTTTGGGCCCGCACGGTCAACGGAGCAAAAGTATTGTATATAAGGTCGGGGCAGCGCCACTTGCCTGCTGTTTACTTCCTCTCTTGGCGGTCCATCGCCCCCGATACTGCGAGTTTCTCAAATTAGGGTTTATGCAGGCCGTGGCTGGTGAGTCTTCCCTCGCTCCTTCCTGCATCCTCCAGCGGCGTGATCTTGCGGGGAGATGGAAGAAAAAAAGCAGGTGCCGAGGAAGGAAGACGAAGAGAGCTCCGAAGGTGGGAGCGTTGAGGGGAGTCACCGAGACAGGAGGAGTCGCCGAGACAGGCGGCGTCGCGAGAGCCGGAGATCGGAGAGGGACAGCAGCTTAGACAGCAGGCATCGGGAAGGCGGGAGATCTGAGAAGGAGAGGAAGAGGGAGAGTAGCCGGAGCTCAGATCACAAGGACCGTAGCAAAGAGAGCCAGCGGAAGTCGCAGAGGGTGAGTAGTCCCGATGACAGACACCGGGAGGCCGGGGATGATAGAGTCTAAGGGGGAGCCAGCGGAAGTCGGAGAGGGAGAAGCACCGGAGCGGGGATGCGGACAGGGAGAGGGAGAGGGCTAAGGAGAAGAGAGAAGGCCAAAGAAAGAGAGAGGGTAAGGGAAGAGAAGGAGAGGGAGAGGGAGAGTGAAAAGGAGAGGGCGAAGGAGAAAGAGAGGGAGAGGGAGAGGGAGAAGGAAAGAAGAAGGGAACGAGAAAGGGAAAAAAACAGGGAGAAGGAAGAGAGAGAACAAGCGAAGGAACATAGAGAACGGGAGAGAGAAAAGGAGAGGGCAGAGAGGAAGAGGGTGAGGGGCGTGGAGAAACACATAGATGAGGACGAGGGAAGAGATGGTGACGAGGTTAGGGATCATGATCGGAAGCATCAAAGAACTGCGGAGGATTCCCATCACAAGGAATGGGAGCAGCCTAGAAGGTCTGACCGGCATAGGGAGGATAGTAATGAACCTATGAAGAAGATGAAACGGAGTGAAGACGAATCTGGCACAGTGATTAAGAAGACCTATGAAGAAGGTCTTGAGGAGGAGCAGTTGAAACTGGATGAGGAGATGGAAAAGCGGAGGCGGAGGGTTCAGGAATGGCAGGAGCTGAGGAGGAAGAAGGAGGAACAGGAAAGGGAAAAAAATGGTGAGGCCAGTGGTGAAGAACAGCTGCAGTCCAGCAAGAAGTGGACCTTGGAAGGAGAGTCTGATGATGACGAAGCCTTGCCTGTTTCAAAGGTAGAGAAAGATGAAGCTCTGGATGAAGAACCTAAACCTGGAGATGGAGATGGTAACACTATGGCAGTAGACTCGATGGAAGATCTTCCGGTGGCTAATGGCAATGGAGATGCAGATGCTGAGGAAATTGACCCTCTTGACGCTTACATGAATTCTCTACAATTGCCTGAAGATGCTGAGAAGCCGGATGGTCCAGACACCTCTCAGAGGCCTAGTCGTACTGTAACCAACCAAGATGGTGTCCCCAACAATGACGTCACCATCATTGAAAAAAGGAGGAAGGACGGGAAAATTGTGATGGGTAGAATTATCCCTGGTGAAGATTCTGATTCAGATTATGTGGATGCTGAGAACGATGAAGTTCCTCCAGAAGATGAAGATGATGACGAGTTCATTAAGAGGGTGAAAAAGACAAAGGTTGAGAAGCTAACTATCGTCGACCATTCAAAAATTCAGTATCCAGAATTCCGCAAGAACTTTTATCTTGAAGTAAAGGAAATCGCAAGGATGACAGCTGCAGAAGTTGCTGCTTACAGGAAGGAACTCGAGTTAAAGCTACATGGGAAAGATGTGCCGAAGCCTATCAAGACATGGAACCAGACTGGCTTGACAAGAAAAGTTCTGGAGACAATAAAAAAACTCAATTTCGAGAAACCGATGCCTATTCAAGCTCAGGCTTTGCCTGTAATTATGAGTGGGCGTGACTGCATAGGCATTGCGAAAACAGGTTCAGGGAAGACATTAGCCTTTGTATTGCCTATGCTGCGGCACATAAAGGATCAACCATCATTGGTGTCTGGCGATGGTCCAATTGGGCTTATAATGGCCCCTACGAGAGAGCTGGTCCAGCAAATTCACAATGATATCAAGAAGTTTGCCAAGGCTGTGGGTCTCAGTTGCGTGGCCGTATATGGGGGATCCGGCGTGGCTCAACAGATAGGCGATTTGAAACGAGGTACGGAGATTGTTGTATGTACACCTGGTAGAATGATTGATGTCCTATGTACCAGCAGTGGAAAGATTACAAACTTGCACAGAGTTACCTACTTGGTCATGGATGAAGCTGATCGGATGTTCGATATGGGCTTTGAACCTCAAATTACTAGAATAGTTCAGAATACGAGACCAGACCGCCAGACAGTCCTATTCTCGGCCACTTTTCCACGTCAGGTGGAAGGACTTGCTCGCAAAGTGTTGAACAAACCTGTTGAAATTCTAGTGGGTGGAAGAAGCGTTGTCAACAAAGATATAACTCAATTAGTTGAGGTGAGAAAAGAAAGTGACAGGTTCTTACGGCTGCTGGAGCTTCTGGGTGAATGGTATGAGAAAGGAAAAATACTTGTTTTTGTCCAATCACAGGACAGGTGTGATTCTTTGTTCAAGGATTTGCTTAAGCATGGGTACCCTTGCCTTTCACTGCACGGGGCCAAGGATCAAACTGACCGTGAATCCACCATTTCTGATTTTAAGAGTAATGTCTGCAACCTGCTGATCGCTACAAGTGTTGCTGCAAGAGGACTAGATGTGAAAGAACTTGAACTTGTGGTAAATTATGATGTGCCCAACCACTATGAGGACTATGTCCACCGGGTCGGTCGGACTGGTCGAGCAGGCCGCAAAGGTTGTGCTGTTACATTCATTTCTGAGGAAGAGGAAAGGTACACACCAGATCTTGTGAAGGCACTGGAGCTCTCTGAGCAGGCTGTTCCTGAAGATCTCAAGGCTCTTGCTAGTGGGTTTATGGCTAAGGTAAACCAGGGAACAGAGCAGGCTCATGGAACTGGTTATGGAGGGAGTGGATTTAAATTTAACGAGGAGGAAGATGAAGCAAGAAAGGCTGCAAAGAAGGCACAAGCAAGGGAATACGGTTTCGAGGAGGATAAGTCGGATTCAGAATCTGAGGATGATGGTGTTCGAAAAGCTTCAGGCGATATATCTCAGGCCGCAGCTCTTGCCCAAGCCGCAGCAATAGCTGCGGCCTCAAAGGTTGCCATGGGTGCGGCCCCTGTTGCTCCCGCGTCTCTGTTACTCAACGGCGGCGGGCTTCCTCTTATTCCTGGTGCAGTCGGCCTTGCAACTGCTGCTGCAAATCCCATCTCCATCCTCCCCGGTGATGCTGCTGCCAGGGCTACTGCACTTGCTGCTGCTATTAACTTGCAGCACAATTTGGCTAAGATACAGGCCGACACTATGCCAGAACACTACGTAGCCGAGCTGGAGATTAACGACTTCCCCCAGAATGCTCGTTGGAAAGTTACCCACAAGGAGACTCTCGGCCCAATTTCTGAGTGGACTGGAGCAGCTATAACCACCCGAGGGCAGTACTATCCTCCTGGGAAGATACCAGCCCAAGGAGAACGTAAGCTCTACCTGTTCATTGAAGGCACGACTGAGTCGTCTGTCAAGAAGGCTAAAGCTGAGCTAAAAAGGGCTTTGGAGGACTTCACGGCGCACGCGTTGTCTCTTCCAGGCGCCTCACAACCGGGGAAGTATTCAGTTATCTGAGAATATATCTCATTTACACATAACATTGGATTGATGTTCCCTTGTCATTGATTTCCTTCCGACTGTAGTGAACAATTTTCCAATCCACTGCCAGGTGCCATCTCGAGGTGTACATGTATAAGCGATTGCCCTCCATTAGCATTGTTTATTCCTGCTAAGGGTAGCTCTGTAAAGTGTATATATAAATCGTTTGCCGATCTATATATCACTGATTTCTTTCCTCCAATGTTTCCTCTTTGACTTTTTTTTCCATGGTTAAAGATCCCGGCTGGATCTTGAGCTCGCACCCACCAGTTGACTGACGAGCAATCGACAGAGAGCTCTGTGGGTTCTTTACTTTTTTTCCTCATTTCTTCAAGATCATAGTTTATATAATCTCCGGTGGCGGTTTAGGCAGATGCTCTAGAGATAACCGATCACGGATGGATGAACCCGTGAAGAAATGATCGTCGTAGCTTTCATCTCTCATGGGTTTAATTTCTTTTTCCTCTAAAGAAACCCATCCCTTTAGATCGCACGTTCCTGGCGATAAACTCACTTGTCCTTTCCCATTTATGTAAAAAAATGCGAACCATGCTTTTATAGCTTCCGTGGCAACCAATCATTCAACGGGAGAAACAGCCAGTTCACAACTTCGCAGCAGGAAGCTACGCACCACCAAACTGGCCGTGGGGGATGGGGCGCTTCGGCACAACCACCGCCGCTCTGTCGTGGTGCGCGTGCCGCGCGGGAGGGGCCCACCATTCGGCATGGCCGGCACATGGCCAGACCATCGCCGCCGTGCGAGGCGAGTCTGACCCTGCGTCGCGTCAGCCAACTCCCATGTGGCGTTGCCGCCGTTCCCCTGCGGGCGAGCGGCTCCACTGGCCTTCCCCCCCCCCCCCCACCGCGACCAATTATTGCGAGGTTGGGTCTGTTCACCGCCCCTTTAACATCTTAAAAAAATAAAACCGGCAGGTCTCATTCCGTCTGCCCGTTTTGACGCCTGCCACAGAGATAGAGAGGAGGAAATGAAGCTGAAGGCTGGCATCATCGGCAGGTAGCTGCTGCCGGAGGAGGTTAGACCGTCCGGTGAGAACGTGGTCTCTCGCGGACCGTCGATTCCAGCACGTTCCTACCTCCAATCACGTTTCCCCGTCGACTGTCGTCGGCTCCGTTCGCTCCTCCTGTAAGAAGCGAGGAATTGATTAATGGGGGGGTGATTGGATTTTCTGTGACCGGCAGGTCTTATCGGCTTCTATGGCGCACTACGGCGGTTAGACATGGAAAAGGAGAGAGGAAAGATGGAAATTCCCGCGAGCTTCCGATATACGCGAAGGACGGGTTCTCGCCTGGCAGTGTGGCACTGAAGCACGGCCGGCGAGTTGGCTTTCTTCTTTTTCTTCCCCTCCTCATCCGTTCATCGTCTTCACGTTCGAGATGTCATCGGCGGTCCGGGAGGGGGTGGCGTGGGAGGAGGATCTGGGGCGGCTGGTGCCGGAGACTGGGATCCAGTACGTACGCCGGCGATGACGGATTGGCGGGGGTGGGAGTAGGATATGGTGGCGCTGCCGAAGTGAAGGCCGTCGGTGGCGGGAACGAGGACCGGTACCCCGCCGTTGACGGATTGGCGGGGGCGGGATTGGGGTATGGCGGCGTCGCCGACGTAAAGGCCGTCGGCGGGCGCGAGGAAGGATCGTCAGCGGCGGAGGAGTCTCTGAAGGACCAGGTGGAGGGGTTCCTTAAGGCGTCGGGGGAGCTGCTGGTGGAGTTGGGGAGGAGTTGCAAAGACATCGCGCTGCAGACTTTGGAGGGGATGGAGGATTCCCACGTCGGGAGGAATATGAGGAGCGCCTGCGTTTTTGCGGCCGCTCGTTTGGGGTTCTTGAACGAGTACTTGCCCGAGGACCGGGATCCCGTGCATGCATGGCCCGTCATCATATTTGTTTCCTTCCTCGCTCTCACAGGTATCTTAGATATCGGTACTCATTGTCCTACCCTTGCTCCTCTTCGTAGTTTGACGATTTCAATTCTCTTTTTAAATTCGGACGGAAGCAGATCCTGAATGGCAGTGAAGATTGTTTGAGAATGAGTCCAGTCTGAGAAGTTTGAACCGTAAACTACAAACTGAGTTCTCAATGTCTATTTTAGCAAATTTAGATTGTTATAAGATCGTTTCCTGTGTTCTAGTGCTTAATTTATTTATAATCGACGTGGATCTCTCACTTCCGTCACCATGCAGAATAAGAAATTTATATAATGGAAAATGTAGACGAAAGAGTGATAGAAGACCAATATCTAGATCCTGTGACTTGTTTTATGTGGTTTTGAGCATCACAACTATACATGCCTTATTTCTTATTCTGATATTTTCCCTTAAAATGTCAGCGTACTCTTCTTCATATTGAGACCCAATTGTGAACCGTCAATATCACTCTTCTTCACAAGACTGGGATTATGCTATCAAATTATGATCCGCTGTTTGTATTCTTTGTTTTAGTGGAGCCTCTAGATAACGATATAAAATTTATTCGAGAAAAACAAACTTCACCTAATTGTGTTAATTTCTTATTCTAGAAAATTAAGACCCACTTCTGTTTCTGTGTTTGAGTCTGGTTACCTTGGTTTCTAACCTACCATCCGTCATATATACAGTACTCTCCCCACCGCTCAACCCCCAGTTCAATGATTCGTGACATTATGAACTATATCTCCCACTGGGGACGTACAGTTACCTCCACAAGATAAAGAGACAAATAAATCTGCAGAAATAGAATGAACTGCAATGATAGAGACAATTAAATCTGTAGAACTATATCTCGCAGTTCTTTAATGTCTGATTCATTTTTTCAATGAATAAATTCATGCAGCATTATTTTTAGGCGCTGAAAATCAAAGTCCCAGGGAACTGCCTAAGAAGGTGTACATACATCCTCCCACAGCTTCTCACATCCGACTTCCAGATGGAAGGAACTTGGCATATAGTCAGCAGGGTGTTCCGGCCGAAAGGGCTAGATTTTCTATGATTTCTCCACATTCTTTTCTTTCTTCCAGACTTGCGGGTAAGACGTTTTCGCAATCACAGCTGATTGATTCAAACTTGAGATGTTTTTAACTGAAATATGTTATGAAACAGGAATTCCTGGCGTCAAAGAATCACTGTTGGAAGAGTTTGGTGTCCATTTGGTGACTTATGATCTTCCTGGCTTTGGTGAGAGCGATCCACATCCCAGTAGAAATCTCAACTCCACAGCCATGGATATGCTGGGTCTGGCAAATGCTGTGGGGATTCCGGAAAAGTTCTGGGTAGTGGCTCATTCAAGTGGAGGAATGCATGCATGGGCCGCCCTTCGATATATTCCCAGCAAAGTTGCAGGCATGTCTTTTAATACATGACTCCTTTTCAGCACATTTTGAATCATATTTAAAGACTTTTTAAGTTTGTTTTTTCTAAAATGAGGAAAAGGCATATCTTCTTGAGGCATATGGATACCAGTTCCTTTGGCACTCGTATAGAAAGTTTCATCTCCGTTTCTGATTAACACACACGTGTGCACACGCACAACTTTTTCTTTGGTTGACTGGAAAGATTAAAACGGTGGTAGAGTGGGCAGTTCAAATGTAGGTATGAGAGTACATTTGGTTGTTTCCTGGGGATTCAAGCATGGAATTCTTTGGCATCTCTGGACTTTCGAATCTTCCTGTATTTATCAAAGGCCTGCCTACTGATTGTACCATTACATATTAGAAGGAAGTCTGCTAAGACAGGAACTAATGATAGTTATACAGATGTCAGTTGAATTCTTGTTTTTTTGGTCGTCGTGTTTGATTCCTGAAATCAAATACTTTTCCGAAAATTTTAATAGTTTTTTTGGTTTTTCAGCTACTACGGTCTGAAGGCGTTGCTCTGTTCAAATGCAGATTTCAAGTCGCTAGTAGTGTCTAGGTTTACTTTCTCTCCAAGTTTAACTTATCCCCACATTAATCTTCTGCTTTCATTTGGAAACCTGTAGGAACCTAGAAATAAGAATAAGATTCAACTTTGAGGTTTTAAGATTAAGCATTATTTTTCTTTCTCATTCGCTATAATCTTGCCAATCGTATTTTTGGTTTGTCACGGTGAGGAAACTGTTTCCTTGACATTTGGAGGGCTGACCGATTCCTTTAACCTTTTGTAATGTTGGTTTATCAAACTGAAATTATTTTTCTGCAAGAATCTTGTTTAATAGCAGTTCTTTCGCCAGATATAACGTGTGTATGGACATTGTGATTTATTTGTAGTTGCAGATGCTTGTGAAGGTCATTTTTTTCCTTTAACCCCTGGAGCAATGATCATGGCGTGGTAAAATAATGATATAGACTTTTATTATTGCCATATGATTAAAAAATAGATTCCAATTTGAAATACATTTTTTAAATGTTAATTCGGGAAAATATCCATAGTGACCTATTTGATCTGTGGCTGTTGCATATTTCGTTTTGTTTCTAATTCACAAATCTCGAAATTTCAGGTGCGGTCATGTTTGCTCCCATGGTTAATCCATATGACGCAAGCATGACGAAAGAAGAGAAACAAAAAACCTGGGAGAAGTGGAGCTCAAAAAGAAAGTTTTTGTACATTTTAGCTCGGAAGTTTCCTTCCTTTCTTCCCTATTTTTACTCTAAAAGCTTCTTGTCTGGAGAGCATGGAGAACCTGAAAACTTGTTATTCTTGTCCTTGTCAAAGAAGGTATTTACAAGATAATTTTCATCTTTATTTTGCATCAAATCATATACCACCCGTCATCATCCCATTATCGAGCTAGCAGTGAATTTTTTTTTATAATTCGGAGTCTGTTGTTGGTACCAGTGGTGGCTCGTAAGGGAATTTGTTGCAGCCAAAACATCTTTTTTGTGCTCACATAGTTATTAGGCATTCGTCGTTCAGCTTCTATCATGATAAAATCGTCATCGTTCAGCTTCTGTCATGTTTTGTCCGTTGAATATAGGCTTTGGTGTTGGGTCCAAAAGCCGCTTACAGCAGGGATGTGTGCCAAATAACCCCGTAGCACATAAAACAATGGAACTAGGACACTTTGAACGACGTGGGCCATATGAACGTCAGTTCAATGGCTGAAATAAATGAGTTGAACGATCCAAGTAGATTCTTTCCTGGCTTTTCTCGGCTTTCTTGCCTTTTTGATCTGTTGCTCTGATGTTCTCAAAATCTCACAAGGAGGCATCTTGTTGCTTCTCGGTTTCTTCCCCTGGAAGCTTTTCTCTGAGAGTTGTGTTGTTGTTCCTACTCTTCATCTAAACGCTATTCCATGCCTGTGCTATCCTATTGTATGATGTTCCTGTAATGGGATGACCTCTTACATGATGCAATGCTCTTCTTAAGAAAAACATAGAACTAGACATTCCTGATTATTAGGTTGCCATAACAGGATAAAGCTTTGATGGGCAAGCCTTCTTTCAAAGAATTCTGGGAGAGGAATATGGAGGAATCAGTTCGGCAAGGGGATTCAAAGCCATTTGTGGAAGAGGCGATTCTACAAGTGTCGAGTTGGGGCTTCAATTTGGCTGAGCTACAGGCGCCAAAAAACCCTGAAGGGGAAGGCCTCCTAAATTGGCTGAAATCTTTCTACTCCCTCACTGAAAGGGAATGGACAGGGTTTACGGGACCCATACATATTTGGCAGGTGCGTATTCACTGCCACTCTCTGACTCTACTTTGTTCTTACTGTTGTGGCAACACACGCTTCTCATGCTCGCCAAAACATTATTAATCGCCCCCACCTTTTATGCATATTTCTCCTTGTCAAAGAGAATTATCTCTCTCTCCTCTATTTCTCTCTGCATTATCTTACTATAACGGAGTGTATATTTTTCTCCTTTTTTTCCTCTGTGGGGAGGTTCCAACCTCATATCAATGATCCACTTCACCATATCATTTCCCAAAAGTCGAAAAAGGGCAAAGGTCTTACTGTTCATGGAGTCTGACACGCTTTCTTCTCCCATCCGCATTGCAGGGGTCGGACGATCGAGTTGTGCCGCCGTCGACTACCGACTTTGTGCGGCGCGTCCTGCCGGCAGCAACGGTGCATAAACTCCCCGGTGAAGGCCATTTTTCTTACTTTTGCTTCTGCGATGAATGCCACAGGCATATCTTCTCCACTATTCTGGGCACCCCTCGAGGTCCTCTTGACACCATGGCTGAGGATCAAACAGCATCCGACGCCCCCACTGAGGAAATAACCGGCTCCCATCATTCGGGAGTCATATGAGCGGCAGCCCTTGGAATTTTTTCACCCCATGAAAATCTCTGCCTCATGGTTGACTTTTTGTTTTCTTTTTTTCGTCGGGGTGGGGGGGGGGGGGGGGGGGGTTACACTTGTAAATACCAAAGTGAATAACAGGGGGTAGAGAGAGGTACCACAGTGTAGAATTCAATGTGTTCTTTCCCTTGAAAAGGATAAAAATGTCGCTTTGGGAGGGGGGGGGGGTTTCAGACCTTCAAACGGTTCTGGGGCCACTCTACAGATATTTCACAGCGTTCCTGTAATCACTTGACTGCAGGAGCTCTCGCCAAGCACTGCTCTCAGAAGGCAGAGGTCGGGAAGAAGCAGGTTCAGCCTGTACTGTGTTTTGTCATGAACCCACTTGTGGATTACCTTCTCCTTTTGGAAAAATATTGATTGGCCGAGAATAGCATCGCTTTGGAGCAGGGAAACAACTTAATTGTCGGACCCACAATGGCTCCAGCCGTGGATTGGCAATCCAACGGTTGTGGAGAAGTCGTCGCGACGAGGCTCCAACATGGTGTGCGATTTTCCAGATCAGATGAGGACGGATAGCGTGCGAGTAGGGGCAGTGCTTCTGCAACGTGGCCCAATCGAATCTGAAGATGATATTTAGCGTGCGAATCGATAAGCACCCTTTCTTCTTCTGTTTACTGTTCATGGGACCGTTGGAAGGGAGCACGGGAATGTCTATGGCACGCGTACGAGCACAACTTCGCCACGACAAATGGACCAATGGGAGCTTCGCGTGGACGAGAGTGGCAAATCAGAAAATTTTCAGATTCGTATGCAAATATCGAGATATAATATCATTAATTTATCCAGAAATCTCGTGATTAAAATCTCTAAAACTATTTTAATGACAGTTAAACCACATTATAATTGTCTAAGAAGTATAATGTTTATTAAATATAAACCCTAGGATAACATGTATTATATAGATACCCATGAATCGCGTAGCCTCGGAGTTTTGGGGTCAACAGAGCGAGGGAGGGGTGGCGGGGAGAGTGTGGGGCGCGATCGGCAACGATGGCCGTGCGAAGAAGAGCTTCTCCTTCGGTGGCTTCCGATGGTGCAGCGCAGGCTCCAGTGGACGTTCGTCCTGTTCCAGGGGATGACCTTCCTACCCTTGCGCCCCCAAAGCTTGCGGTGATCCTCTCCTTGTCGGTGGCGTTCTTCATTCCGTTCTTCTACGTGGTGTTCTATGTTTACGACATAGAACCTGGGCTTAGAAGATCGATCGCTATCAATGCGGCTATGAGCTTTGGGGGGTTCTTGGTGGCTCTCCGGTCTATTCCGGTGGCCGCCAGGTACCTGCTGAAGCGGAACCTCTTTGGGTACGACATCAACAAAAAGGGCACTCCTCAGGGTACCGTTAAAGTGTGAGGACCCTTTCTTATCATTAAGTGTTCTGTCTTCATTAGGAATTGTGTGCTGTGTGAGAGTGCCGTATTTTTTGGGTTTTTGAGGGCAGCCTTAGACTACTTTCAGGTGCGCTCTCCATACGAGATTTTATAGAAATCTTCGTCATTCTCTATGAAATAATAATTCTTTCTTTCATCCATATTTTTCTGTTGAGCTCAGATGGTCATATTCAAGATGATGTTACGCGTTTCATTTTCCTTTTTTTTTTCCTTCCCTTGCCTTGACAATTAATCAGCCTTTTTCTCAAACTTTTGCTCTGCCTTTGGCTGTTGTGCTGTGATAAAATAGCATACTATTTTCAATGCTTACAATAGTTTCGATGAGTTGCTCGTTCAGGATATTAAGCATCATAAAATAGCACGTTTTGAGATAAAATTAGCTGGATGACAAAAGTTTGAATGTTTGTGTCATGCTTTATATTTACTTCTAATGTCCATGACAGCTTCATGTTATGCTGTTGCTAACTTTTACTTATATATGTATCTTTTTGTAGGCCCGAATCTCTTGGCATCGTGATTGGGATTGTTTACTTGGTTGTCACAATCCTTTTTCAGCAATTCAACTTCACAGCAGACTCCAATGTGTGGCTCCTCTTTTCTCTTCTGTTTTTATGTTCCCTCCAATGATTAAGGTGCATACGATTTCAGGAAAGAATTGGATCCCAGTTTGGGGGATTAATCCATAAAGTGAAAATCTTGGACTCTGTCTATGGAATTTGGTATTATTAATACAGTCTCGAGATGTATTTTTTCAGTGCGATCATTCAGTAGAGAAATGTTGAGGGTAGATTGTCAGGTTGATTTGATTTCAGTGTTCTCGTCCACCTAATTATGATAAAGGATGCCAGATGATTTCCATGCCCAATGTTTAGAGAACTATATGGTGTGGTCGGATGAAGAGGAAGTTCAGGCTTTATCCTTATGATAGTTGACTGGGGGGTATAGTTAGCTTGTCTAATCCCTACAATTTCATGATTTTTCTAATGCTTAGACATACTAATCAGGTGTTTCCTTTGTGATCTTTACGTGCTTGTGTTCCGTTTTCATTAATTTCATAATCTCAATTGACTAGGATTATCCTGTTGTCAACATAGATTCGTGGGTCCTGCGGGGATTGGAGTGTCTGTCTGTAAAACTTTCAGGGGTAGCGTTTCGTGGTGTTCCTATTTTTCTTATGTCCCATTTTCAATTCATTGCGATTTTTTTCAGTGTAAGCTTTCCTTTGTAGACAAGAAGCTAAGGGATAATTAGTTTATTTTTTGTACAGTATTATTTATCAATAATTGTGATGACAATCGGGTGTCTTCGTTTTTTGATAAGACCAAATGCAGTGCATAAATTTGGATATGAGCTAATGAGTGGGCATGATTTCGATCTTCCAGTGGCTTGTTGAGTACAATGCAGCGTTAGCATCCGTATGCTTCATGATTCTGCTTGGCTTTGTGGATGATGTTCTTGATGTTCCCTGGAGAATGTATGTTACGTTTTTCGTTGCTTGTGATCTCAAATTGTCTCCATTTCGAGTTTATTGGTTGCCTTTTCTTTTTTCTTATTTTTCATCTGGTTAATTGTGGAACAGAAAACTGCTGTTACCCTCATTTGCTGCACTTCCATTGCTGATGGCATATGCTGGTCATACCACAATTATCATACCGAAACCAATTATTCCTTATGTTGGACTGAAGATTCTTGATCTAGGTAAGCTGTAATGTGTTACAAAATTATCTGATAATGAGCTGGAATCGAGCGGATATCTATGCAATGTGTTCAATTGCCTTCATTGTTATTGTATTATCGGGAATGAGGAATATTAGTTAAATGCTGAATCAGTTAGACTGAGTCATCGTGAATATGCCTGAATGAGATTAAGCCAGGAAATTCGGCTATATCGTATCCTTCACAACAATATCACTCGTCACATTGTGCCCTCAGCCAACTCGGGAAATGCAAAGGATATTGTAGGTTATATAGGGTGCATATCCTCGTTGAGTTTGGGGTTTATTTCGTTCTCAAAATTTGGCTCTACTTCCAATCCAACTACTTTAATTAGTCCCCTAATTTGCTTCATCTTTCGCTCATATTCAAGTTCATGTATTGTAACAAGGATTGACTTGCAGTAGCTAGTTTCAACCCCAACGTTATTTGGGTTCGTCGTCAATTACTCCTATTGTCATTTCTTGAATTAAATGTTCACTAGATATTTTAGATATAAATTGCACCTCTATGGTAGCGCAAGGAAGCTCGGACGTTGTGGCACTTGCTCTAGAAAGTGAATGACGATCTTCTGCACAAATTGTTTGATTTGATATAGTGTTAATGTCTTGGTTGAAAACTCATGTGATGAGCTATTTATAGAACCCAACAACTCGTTTGAATTTCAAACGAGTGAGACCTGATCAGTCAAAACAAAAAAAAGGAGACCTTTTGGGCGGGGAATGAGTTTACTTGAGGGATAATGGTGGAGTAAATAGTGAAAAGGATGAAGTGAAAGTTTTAAAAATGATAAACATGGTAAAGCCTAGAAATCTGATTTATAGTTGTCATAGCAATTTTCACTACTATTTTGTGCAAATAACTGGCTCTTATTTTACAAATATTATCAACGATGAATACCATCCAAAGATTGATCGGAGTACCGGTGCATTGTCAGTTACTGTTCTTTAATAAACAGATGTAATGTACTTATTTATATATTTCATATTCATAGCTAAACATGCATTCTAAAAGGATTGGCTGTACATTCCACTGAATCAGCTACATAAACTTTAATCTAGTTTTGAGAAGGGGAGGTTCTGAGTGCTGTCACAGGCGGTGAAACCCCAAAACCTAATCCCGAACTGGAAGGCGGAAAAATAAGACGTACTAGTTTGATCAACGTTTGGGTCTGGTATTATATCAGGCACATATTACAGGGGTTGAACGGGACCTGTCCGGTCTGGTTCGTCACTTAAATAGTAAATTAAGATTACAATAAAGAAATAAAAAACAACTACAATTCATTTCGGCAGGAGGTTAAGTAGGTGATTGAACAGACGGGCTATGGAGGACTGTTGTTCACTATGCCAATGATATATGAGACAACACTAGGGATAAAGGCTGCTCGTAAGTTGAGGATAATGTTGGAAAATCACACATCGTGCCAGAGCTGGGTACCATCTCCTAACGTTGGTTTAGCTGAATTTTCACATGCTCAACAGCTATGCCGATTCAAGATTTGACTTTTTTGTGTGATGGGATACATGCATGAATACAGGCCATTCTTGAAATACTTACTGTGTGGAAAATTCATGTAAAATACTAGACCATTATAACTTGAGCTGCTTATTTGAAAAAAACAAATCTTATATTTATCATTACTCTGAGAGGAAGAATATGTGATGTTCTCTGGTATAAAGATTTCAGAATTAAGATTGTGTGGCAATGAGAAAAAATCTAGTCGGGATTTCTGGTTTTCATCTGATTCAGCAAGTTTTGTATTTGCTGTTTTGGATTTTCTAGTAAGGGGAATTAATCCGTACACTTACCGTTACTCTGCTATGATATACTTAACATAGTCAGGTACATTAAATCTGATTTGCGGGAACAAGCAGATCCTTACAAAGGATGAAGTGAGAAATAGAAAGAGTTAGCTATTACAAGAGGGAACAATGTATATGTGATCAAGTTTCTCTTAAGCCCTGCAGAATCACATAAAAAAAAATCCATCAGCCATGCTGGCAGACTAGTGAGTTTTATCAATGGCATCTCTGTTCTAATTGCTACAGAGCCATCATGAGAACTCTTTGGTCATTTGGCCGCAAAATACTGGCCACATGTTAACAGTGTTTATATCCCAGACTTTCTACCGCATGATTCTAGTTTTAGTGGATGATGCTTTTATGTGACTAGTGTATGACTCTGTGAGGCAGAAGAAAGCACTGTTTTCTGTCACTGAATTGAAAACCTCTCCAATGGACAAACGTATACAAGGACATTAAGAGTTATGAATTTTAGGGTTTGTACTCTTTCATATGAATTTGTGCTACTTTTTTCTTATTTTCTTAAGACAACATGTTTTATGATTTGTTTCTCTTCTTTCGACCTTCCCATACTAATTCCATTATATGAACCAATTATAATTCATTGACATGCCATTCTTTTGGGCAGGGGTGATATACAAACTATACATGGGCATGTTGGCAGTATTTTGCACGAACTCAATCAACATCCACGCTGGGTTAAATGGCCTGGAAGTTGGGCAAACTGTTGTTATTTCTGCTGCTGTAAGAACATAGTTTTTTCCTCGGAGTTGTAAAAGGATTGATTTTTTTTTTACTCAGAATGATCTTTCATCATATCAGAATTGATGATTGCTTTTAATCCGACAACAATCTGTTACTGTGATGCCAGGTTTTGATTCATAATGTTATGCAAATTGGAGCTTCAGATGATCCCGAGTATCAGCAGGCCCATGCATTTTCTATTTACCTTGTACAGCCATTGTTGGCGACATCCCTGGCATTATTCTCTTACAATTGGTACGGTGCTAAGACGACATACTCTGCCGACGATTCAATTATATGGCTTATTGGATTCAATCTGCTGATGATTCACTTGCAGGTATCCTTCGTCAGTTTTTGTCGGTGACACATACACATACTTTGCGGGGATGGCCTTGGCTGTCGTTGGAATACTGGGCCATTTTAGGTCAGTTTCTCCATCGCTTCCATCGTTCACATTAATGTGCAACTATTCTGCCACATTTACCATCTGGAAAGTTGGTTCCCATGGTTTCATGATCGTCAGTCTCTTTGTAGGATCAATTCTGCTGACAATGAATACCTGGCACTGCATTGTTAAGTTCCTTGCCATGTGTGACTGGCCTGGGGATTGGACTAAACCTCCCAAGGGGACTTTACTATCAGACTAATTGTCCCCTCAGCAAATCACTGATCAATAGCCCTGGAGTGTGAACAAGAATATAAACATAATTTCTTAGATGGGAAAACATGATATAGTTTATCAGCACGTATTTATTCATCTTAATTATTAGAACCTGGCCCTCGTAAAGTTGTATATTTTTTTCACTGACCTGTATTTCTGCATTATTTTTTTGGGGTTTGTTGACATCTATTTTCCTTTAACGTGCAGTGAAACACTCCTGTTGTTCTTCTTGCCGCAGGTTTTGAATTTTCTTTATTCATGTCCTCAGGTGTGCATAAACACAAATTTTTTCCCTTTATCTCTCTGCATTTGATGGCGAGACGATCCTCTCTGGTCAAAAGTTTCTAATTCTGCATCTTTCTTCTAATGCTGAACAGCTTTTCAAAATCATTCCGTGTCCTCGGCACCGCTTACCAAGGTAAATATTTCAACCTCAAAACACTCATAAATATTCCATGCATTAAAAAAAAATATTTTTTTAATTCAGGTTCGATCCTAAGAGCGGGTTGCTCACTGGCACAAAAGATGGAACCCTTGTGAACCTCTTTCTCAGACTGTTCGGTCGGTGTTCAGAGAAGTCGCTCTGCATCAGGCTTCTGGTTTTCCAGGTAATCGTCTTCCTGCAACTACACTATGTCACATATTTCTTTCTGTTCAATAGGGAGCAGTGGGATGATCAGCAATCCTGATTATACCCACATAGTTCATCAGTGTTCTCGTGGACCCACTTGATTCTCCAAGCTCCATTTTGGTGCATCGATCCTTTAGATTTCAGGGAAGAATGACCACTCCTCTCTGTCCTCTACAAAGTAATCATCTTCCTCTTGCTGCTCTTTTCTGTAACCTGATCTTCCTTTTTTTGGTATACTGATCCCTGCCCATAGGAGATAGAATTATTCCCATTTTACTGGAAGAACCCACCCTCCCCATCTTTGCCGTTCTCTATCAATCCTTGCACAGATTTCAGGGGCCGTAGTGCTGCCGTGTTCCTGTAGGATCCTCCCTTGTTCCCTTGTCCAGACCCCCTACTTACTTCTTCTTCTGGATGTTGACAGGCTCTATCATGCGTCTTCTGTTTCTGGCTGAGGCATGTTCTATCAGGCTGGTACAAGTGATGGAGCAGGAGGAGCAGCCCGATTTTCCTCACTCCGCTGACCTTGGGCTCCCATCATTCCCTGAAGAACACGTACTTTTGAGGTGGAGGAAGACCCTGTTGACTTCCCCCTCCCTCTGAAGGTCTACCCTACGGAGCGCTTCTCACTGAATCCATCTCCTGTGAGCTCTGTTTGAAGGGTGAATTTTCTTGACCCAACAACAGTTTTTTTTTTTTTTTACTTTTCTTCTTTGATTTAAGGATGATATATATAAAAAATTCCGCTGTCATTTATCGAAGACGTGTGCTTTTAGAATCGGCGGAATCGTCTCAGAATCTGCTGCGCTGCCCGTGTCTTGTAGAATTAGATTTTTCGAGAATCAGCTCCAAACGGGGGGGGAGAGGAAGTGGACAATTTCCGCACGCCAAAAGTCCGCTAAGTTTTCTTTGTGGGCCCAATTTGGGATTAGGATCCAATATACTCGGACTGGGCTTGGTCGGCGGAAAAGGCTCATGAGAGGAGCGGTAAGTTCACTGAAGGTGACCGTATCTAAAGCAGCAGCCAACATTCCAAGCTTGGGGCGACCCCGTTATGCGGACCCGAGGCCAAGAGTGAACTGAATTTAATTCGTTGGTCACACGTCCGCCGGCTCCCTCGGCGCAACGGGGCTGCAGGTTCCCCGGCCTGCAGTAACCCGAGGAAAACCGAGGGGGGGCCGGTGGAGGTGAAGGGAAAAGGCGACAGAAGAGCCAGCGGGATCGATCGGTTGCCTTCCATAGCTGAGCGGACGAGCGCAATTGCATCAGCAGCAGCTTCCACCGGCGTATCAATCCCTCGTTTCATCATCTTCCGCTCCCGTCTATCTCCCCCGGTCCATCTCGCCTCTTTGCGTTTCTAGGGATTTATCTCTAGCCTCGGCCGTGGCCGTGATGTTCGTGAAGCTATAGGGTACCTGTCGGACCTGGGGATATTACTGCTGGATTTCCTTTTTTAGCGGCATCGTCTTCTCTCGCCAACGGGGAGCGTTTTTCTTGATACTGGGGGAGATAGAGCGGAGTAATTTGGTGCCATGAGAAGTTGAGATTCGCTTCAGGGGTTCTATTCGAATCGAATTATAGTGAACAAAGAGATCAGTGCTCGGTTCTTCCGGAGCACCATCCGACGGTTGGTCTCGTTGATCTTTTTGTCTCTCTCAACTTCGAACAAATGGATATGGTTTCCAGTTGCAAGGTACTGTTCCCTCCTGCTGGACCAGTTTCTCCTGTTGTCGCTTCTGTTTCTGCCATGGAAAATGATACCGTATGTTTTTGCACGATAATTTGTGAGACGTTGAACTGTTCCACGTTGGTCTTGTGTGAGACCCGTCATTTCCTTGTTTTTTGAATGTAGTTGTTGAATGGTTTTTTTTTTTTCACTGGGAGGCATTGTGCCTCTGTTAAAATTGTCCAAGAATATGGACTTAGATCTAGAAGCATTTTTCTTTAACATTTTCCTCTTACTCAGACATTGACTCAGATTTATGCTGATTGGAGCTTGTTGAAAAGTTCAATTAGAGGGTGTTCGATTCAGGGTTTTAGGTTACATTCATGTGTTGTTTTATCTAAGAATCTTCTAGATGAGGATTTTTTGCGTGTTAACCTCAATTCAATTGACCCATATTCACAGATTCCGGATAGTCACGTTCTGAATATAGATTTATGGAAATAAGAAGCAGTGTTGTACCTGTTCATAATCGAAATGAAACGACTTGCTTCAATTGTCACTTAAATGAGGCTGCCTTTTTCTTCCTAAGAAAGTCTCTTTAAAGGATCGATGGAAATGGAAATCAGAACTGCACTGCTTTTGACCTGGTTCTACTTCCACTTACCTATTGAGTCAAGAAATGGCCAATCCTTTCTGTTTGTCGCCAGTTTTGGCTGTTTCTGGTCTGATCCTGTTATTGTTTCTGTTTCAATTTGCTTCTGGCCTCATACACTCAAAGTCACGAAAAAGGCATGGTGGTTGGATAGATTATGAAATTAGATTGACTCGCTTGGTTGACCGTCGTCTGAAATTACAAAGTGTATGATAGTACTATCTTGGAGCTGGATTAGATAAATAAAGCCTTCAGTAAAGAGTAATTGTAAAAAATGAAAAATACTCAAGATAGTTAGAAGTTGAAAAAAAAATGAGGAGATACGTTCTCAACGGTTTTGACATTTAAGTTCATACGTCCTTGTCCAGAGCATCGTTTATGTCCCTAATCAGCTGATGTATCATGCCAATTTTCTTTATGCTGTTATTATAATGTAGTTTGGGTGAGAATTTACTGAAGGAGCGTTACTTGGACGTGAAGCCATCACAATTCATCAACAAAAACTGGCCTGTGTGTAACAATGTGATTTATATATTCACTCAAGCCATCGAATGTACCAAAAACAGATTTTTCACATTGTGACAGTCGCATCATAAAAAACCCTATGAGCCATGAGATCTTTCCACTCGATCTTAACATCTTGTACGCTTTCTTGCCAATGAAAGTACTAGGTGTGTCAGGTTCTTTGGCCTTCATTTTCCATCCAGTGTGTCCTTCCTCAATATCTTGTAATACCCTTTCCAAACAACTCACAACTTTGTGGCAGTCTCTGCCACGAAACTAATTAACAGGAAGATGCATTATTGCCATGACAGAGGCATACATAGTCCATTCCACATCTTATTATGTGTTTCTATAATGTTTTTATGATTCGCAACTTACTTCATTTGTTACTTAATCGCCACGTTAATGTCCTGCTGAAATTCTTGCCACCTAAATGTTTTGAAAGCATAATTTCCATTTTTAATGGACTTGTGAGAGTGCTTCTGGCTTTTTTTTCTTTTTTTTTTTTCTTGCTGTGTCAACATCCTGCAATGTAAGATGATGCTTATTTCTGTATCCATGAGATGCGTACTGCGGAGAATAATGCACCAATTCCGTTAGTTCTCTCTTAAATTTTTTTTGGGATCAGCAAAATTTGATGGAGAAATACTATTTCTTTTTATTAGGTTCTCATGTGGTTTTTTCGTACGTGGCTTGCCTTAGGCATTATGGAAGATAACTCAAGGGGAAAGCCTTAAACTTGACAGGAAATCGGGTTTGATGTAGAATTGTCGCTTTGTGCAATGCTCCCTAGGAGTTATGTGGAGGACTCGAGGGAGGGGCCTTATAACTTGATATCATGAGGGTTCAGAATCTTAGATAGCAAGAAACCAAAATCGTTTATTTTGAGAATGGCCCTACCCTTCTTTGATTGCTACAATAGTACGGTGGTGTACTTTCATTGTAGATTTTGAGTTGCCTTGTGCGAAGTTTCTTCGTTGGTGAATAATTTGACATTACTCCTTGAAAGTAACGGTCAATGGATAGCTTCACGACAAAATTTCTTTTTTTCCTGCAATATGCTTGAGTATTTTAGACATCATAAGTTGATGCTTATTATGCTCCGCCTAAGTGATGTACTCTTGTCATTGTTATGCAATTGAACTGCAGCTCACAACACTATCTACTAGTCTGCTTTTATCATGTAAATTGTCTTCTGTATGGCTACATGTTAATTCATGCGAATGTTAAACCTATTTATAAGAACATGTAAAGAGTCAACGATGGTGCAAGCTGTATTAGAGTCTGTTTCTTTAATATTATTTTCATTTGAAAATTTCGTTTCATACGAGGGGTAAGCTGCTATATGTTCCATGTTCACTGATAAAATTTGTTTTGGTATCCACTTCAATAAGGTTTACTGTATGGTGTTTATTGATATAAGGCCTTTTTCAAGTTGTTTGCTCTACAGCCTTTTTATAGATTACCACGTAAAATGGTTTACAGGGCAAATTGGCATCCTTCCGCATTAAAGAGCTTAAGGATGTTCTGTCACAGCTTGGGGTTGCAAAACAAGGAAAGAAGCAGGTTTGTATCTGGGGTTCCCTTTTTCGGGCATTTCACCTTATCCTTGTACTGGTTTGAATAATTCCTTTTCTTAGGGATGTGTTGGCTTAGATTGTAGCAGTTACTGGCAGGTCCTTATTGGGTACCATCTCTCAGGGTAAACGGTGGACGGCGCGCTATTTTCGGTTTTGATTTAATAGGCACTAGTTGTGCACCTTCCAACTCCATCAACAGGATTTGGATACATTCTCCTGTTATTCTTTCTTTACGCACCAGATCCTGTGAACTGTAGCCTTTGGGGTCTCCAGAAAGGAAATATTGATAAGATAGGAACAATGTGCCTGTTCCCTAGTACCTTTTGACTTCTGCTAATGTAACTGATCCCATCCCGAGCTTCAAAAATAAGTTAAAGAACTTAAAGAGGAGAGATTTAATCAAAATCTAAAAAGAATATGAAATCCAACGATGATAAAAATATCCCTCAGATTTTCATTAGGCCATTTATAAAAGGGTTGTTAAATCTTTCACAACTGTAAGCTTGGAATAGTTAGGCAGTTAAATTTCAATGCCATGACAGCCGAATCGCTTAGGGTTTCAAAAACTGGTGAAGCCATTTTATTTGACCAGTCTATGGCAAACATACCATTTGTAGATTGCACATGGTTGAAGATTTTTCTTTGCTTTCTTTTGCCAGGAATTAATCGTTATTTTCACAATTAGTTTCATACATCCATCACTATTCATTTCTCTCCAATTGTCAAGTTCTGATGGAAAGTAGGGAAACAGGTGAGAGAATGGAAATAAAGGAGGAAATAATGAACTTTCACGATGTATTCAGTGGTTTCTTATATTTCCCGTAAAATGGATAGCACTTTGTCAGATGTTTTGGTGATGATATGTGGACTATGTCTTGAAACATTGCTTGGTTCTGTGTTGAAATTAATGCTTATAGTTTAGTCTTTTGCTTGTGCAGGACCTCATCGAGAGAATTTTACGACTTCTGTCTGATGAACAAGGTATTGATTTGATGGTAACTTGATGGAAAACATCTGAACTGGCGAGAGTTGTACAGGCCTCAAAATTGGCATTTTATTTTGCAAAAAATATTTTTGATAACTCTTGAGTTGGTTTTATGGCGTATAACTTACCCCTGATTGGTTTATGTTATGAATGGGTCTTTCTAATTGCAAGATTACTTGAATCGTACACTATAGCAATGCTTTTGAACAATTGTACTCTTCAATTAGAATTTTTTTCAATTCTTGTTGTTATTATGATATGCTTAGTTTATTTTCATTTTGATTGGAAAAAGCTTCATAGAGCGACCTTACTGGCCACAGAGGAGAATCTTATAGGAGAATCTTATAGTCATGCAGGAGCTGAGTCGCATAGCTTCTTATTTCTATGTATAAACTTTTGGTTGAAATCCTGCTTTTTTTGCGAAGGAAGAAGGTCAGGAAGAAAAGTCTGGATATAAATTGTAAACCAAAAAGTCTATGAGGCGTTAATTGTATCTAAATTTGGTGTGGGCATATAGTGATTTTTTGATTGTCTATATTGTTCTTTTTAATTGATGGCGTTCTGAAAAATGGTGATTTTGGACGTTTCGTACTCCTTACCACGTGAAAGAGTTTAATACTTCTGATTCCTGGGGAATGGTCATCTGTGATCGAAAGCTAAAACTTAGTTGACTTCATCATTCGTCGAACAGTGTTCAGTGCAATATCTTTAAATGTCAGACCTTTCATGACGCTCGTGCATATCCAGCATGGTCGAAACTGTGTTTCATGAGCTGCTGCTAATATATCCAGACACGAAAACCTTTCATTTTTATGCTTCGTTATGCTCTTATTTTTTTGGATTTATGCCATTTTTTCATCGAATTTTCAGATTGCATATTTTGCTGACATCATCCCACTTTTTCTCTTTTTTTGTGGCATTAATCATGTTCTGCCTCACTAAAATATTTTCTCTAAATAACAATAATCATATTTCTGCTTGGAATATCTACCCAGAATAAGTAGAAAATTTATGCAGTATTTGCTATTTTTAAATAAACACATTTATTTATTGATTTATTTGTTTGAGGGGGTACTAGCACGTTGCCAGGTTTTTCTTTTTGCGTCACGCATCTTAGTCTGAATTTTCCAAAATGTGTGATCCCAATGGCTTATTTAGCTTTTTTTGATCTCAGTATTAATCTGTTTCAGGCACATATCTTTATTCTCTGCAATGGTTATGAATGCATAGTGCGCATTTATATTAGCTCCTTGTGGTGGAGTTGATATCATCGGCCATATAAATGTATTGTTTTCCTTATGCTCATCTCATGTGCAATCATTCTTTTTTTGACATGTAGTTTCAAAATCTCAAAACTGGGGAAAGAGGAATTCTATTGGGAAGGATGCAGTGGCAAAAATAATTGACGAGATATATAGGTAAACAGAACATCCATCCTAAGCTTCTTAAAAACTGACTACATATGCATGTAACAGATATAATATAAATGGCGTATGGATGCGATATTTGACCGGTACATTCGTTTTTTCACCATCTACTCATCTGTATGATGTATTCTTGTGTAGAAAACTGCCTTTTTTCCTTTCATTTGTAGCTTTCTCTTGTTTATTTATGGTACTGAAGCTTGTTTTTCCTTTTGGATATTATCGATCTTTCTTGTTCATTCTAGCAGAAAAATGCAAGTTCCAGGATCTACAGATTCGGCATCAAGAAGCCAAAGTGGCTCTGATTTAAATTATGTGAAACCAAAGGAAGAACTTGATGATTCCAAGTTGGATATAAAGATCCGATGTCTTTGCGGTAGTTCACTGGCTTCAGAATCAATGATTAAGGTCTATGTTTGAATTGTCTTATTTTAGAACAATATCATGTGCATTTATTCTTTAGTGAAATAACTAATGCTGGAAAGATTCAGATTTTGTTCCTTTGCTTTTGTTTTCTGTTATTGTGAATGCCTCATTCTTGTTGTTTAATGCTAAAGTTCTTAAACAGCTACTTTAATTTTCATAATTGGAGGGGGGGATAATGAAATGGCAGTCGTATATTCAATTCATTTCTGTTTGCTTAGTAACCCTGGTTTGGGTGGATTTTGTGCGAGTTAATACATTAATGTCTTGAATACAGCTGATTGATATGTGCTCCTACTAAGGAATTAAGAGACGAAGGAGGTAAGTTTAATATGAGATGTAGCTCTCAGTTCGATTGAGTTAATTGAAACAACATTATCACGGAGTTAAGGGATTGGCCTTTTGTCTTGTTCAATTTCTTCCCTGACTCTGAGGGGAGGCTTCCGTTCAGTCAAGAGCAAACGTCTCCTTCACCTGGACAAGATTCCATTAGGCCTTGGCAGGTCTCTGTACAGCTACAAGCCGAGCTGACAGAGCAAGACCAGCAGCAAAAGGGAGATTTGGACAACCGCGTAGAGTCTTGTCTTCAAGCCGAACTGCCTGAGCTGCTTTATCCAGAGTTGCAACAGCTGCACTCGCTACCATCACTACTAGAGTTACTAGACTTGAGCTAGAGATGCTAGGAGAGAAAAGCAGGCAACTGGACAACTTGACTTTGATTTTAAGCCAGATGAAAAACGTAGTGTGGTCCCTAGCGCGCCACAACTATGCTAGTACTTTACTTTACTAAGCTCCTGCTTTAAAAGAAGGCGCTAGCGCTAGGTGCTTCAAAACGCTAGCCTCACGTTGCTCTGGCTTTCTTCGCTTTAACAAGTCGTTCCTGCTCTATCTAAGTAAGTCGAACGAAGCCGTTAAAGGAGCGTTTGAAAAGAGAACCAAGGAGGAAGAAGTCGGAGAAAGACCATTTGAAACTTATTATTTCTAGTTATGGCGTACTTTCTTCCCTTGAAAATTACCATTCCCTGAAAATAGGATATGCCTGGAAGCTGGGTGCTTTCACTTGAACTGGAACTGCCAGCATAGTTCCATTTAAGAAAAAATAGCTTAGAAGTATTCATTAGGCAACTCTGAGAAACCAGAGGAGACAGCCAAAGTAGATAAGAATAGTTTAGAGAAGTTTTCTTTTATCGATTCTTGACAATATAATTTATTGTCTAAATTTATAGTTTCATGTCCTTATACTGATAGTTATGCGTTCGATTTGTTTTTAATAATATTTTCATGACGTTTACTAATGGTGTAATCACACTCTTTTTAGTTCCTCATATAATGAAATTACTTTTGTAATTATCTCACTTTTAGGCGACTAATATCCTTGTAAACCATTATTGTTCGGTCTTCCCTCTTTTGTTTCTTCTCGCTCTATTGCGATGGCAACAATGACGAACCTCTGATGCTAGATGCTAGTTCAACTGACTGGTTGAATTGATGCTAGAACAGGGTGTTGGCAGTGTAGTTCTTTTAGTACTCTCTATAATACTATATTATGTCTTAGACAAACAGGCTGAAAATAGGAGAAGAATGTTTAAAAGAGCGGGTTTGCCACAGACAACCCATTTACTAGACTATGTTTTGGGATATGGTTAGATCAGCCTGATTTAAGGGGCTGAATTAGTTGAATCTGGTTGACTATGCCATAATCAGTCCGCTTCTTGAATCGGTCAATAGGGTCTACATGGATAAATCTCTGTTTGGACAGGTTTAAGAGGGTCTGAATGAGCTGGTTTGGCTGATCCAATTCCTATCCTGGTTTGTGTTGGATGGGGCTTGCCTGGTCTGGCTGTCTACTCCGGTTTTGGTACCAATGGCTTGAAAGTCAGGTAAATTGCAGCTCATCAAGACATGTAAATGAGTGGCTTCCGGGGTATGATGCTATTTATGATAATTTGGAAGTTGGGGCTATTCTGTTGAACTTCCAGGAATCCCCAGAAACCTCCCCAAAGTTTATGAACCACAAGTGCTAAGGAGAAAAACGAAATTTTAAGTTCCTAATGAATTAATTGATGGCCACAAACCAACGAAAAAGGTTTAATCCTGCAGAATCAAAGATTGCACTCCGGATTTAGTGTCAGTCAATTGGGATTTGGCCCTGGTTGAATTTCTTGACTTGAGTTCATGGATAAGAAAAGGGGAACAATGTAGTGTCCGTTCCATTTACTGAATTAGAGTTCTGCTTCTGGCTTGAACATGTTGACACAATTGTGGAACCTCTTTCTGACAAAAAGTTTAATTTTTCAATGCAATGTAGGCTAATATCTCCTATTTTCTTGGCTGGACACTCGAGTAGGAAATAAATCATCTTCAATTATTGTGACCAATGCCATGATTAGTTGACTTTTTTGACGAGGTCGATGGGTGAAGGGTTTTAACTCTTTTTTATAAATTTTGTCCCTGTCAAGTACTCAGTTTTTATCTTTAAAATGAAAACATACAACTTTTAGTTTCTGCACTCCAGTTGAATTCTTTTTTTGGGTTTCATGTGTTACTCTATACATTTGGCTCGATGTTTGTCTGTTGAACTTAGCTTGTTGACAATGCAATTTAAATGGAACCACCAAAACATCAGTTGATCACTTTTCTAGTGTTTCTTTCTTTTCATATTTCTTAAAGATTTGATCTTTTTATCTGACGAGCATCTGTTGATGTGAGAAAGAGTCAAGTTCATGTTCTGTGTTTGTGCCATTGTATTTGTTTGCTGCTAGATTTCTGATTATTATTCACGTGGGTGCAGTGCGAGGATCCACGTTGCCATGTGTGGCAGCATATTAGTTGTGTCATTATACCAGAGAAAGGACTGGACGGTGTTCAGCCATACATACCCTCACGATTTTATTGTGAAGTATGCCGCCTCAATAAAGCTGACCCGTAAGTATCATGCGCTTTCTGTTGAGAATGATGGCCTTTTAATCCCATATGTTATCTGGAATGTTGACGCAGTTTACTCCTTATCTGTTGAGGATGTCCAAATTAGTGTTCCAGATGGAAAAAGATTAGAAATTTCATGTGATATGCCTTCTATCTTATTTCGATTGTCGTTACTCTTGAAAGGAAACTAATGAATTTAATTTAAGGTTCCCTTATTTTCTATGATAATCATCTATTCTTTTTCTGTAATCGTTTATTTGAAGTGTGTTTGATCTCTCAGACTGTTTATTTTTCGATCTGCTTCTATGCTAGCATCTTACCAAATAAGAAATTGCTTCTTAGCTATTTCCTTTTCTCCTCTCTTGTTTATCCGGTGGAAGCTTCAGTCCTTTGATCTTTTGTACTCTTGATTGGGTAACAGTGGCCGATTTCTCTGCATTAAAAAAAAGGTTCTAGAAAGCTTTTTTACTTTCTGAATGCATTTATATGCGCCATTTAGAATATTTCCGTATAGCTGGAGTACGGATATCTCTTGCACGTGTCATATGTCGTTTAGAAAAAAATCATTGGTACGATGTTGTCCTCTGTTGAAAATGAAGTTTACCCCCCCTTTAGGCGTTTATTTCTTAAAAACTTAGCATAATGATCAAGTCCGTAAAAGTGATTTTTTTGTAGATGGGCTTGATACAAGACAAGATGACAGAGTAGGATCATAATGGAGTGATGTATCCCGTTGACCATTTCTCCATTGTTTTGTTCTGGAAAATAGAGACATAAATGTTGCAATTGATAATTTTGCATAAATTATAAGAAATATTGATTTGTCCAAGACATCTATTATTTACGACCACTTATTGAGTTTATTCATTCTTGATTAATCTAGACAATTGAGAAGCATGAATAGAGTGGAGAGCCAGACTAACGCTTGTGTTTGGATGGAACACAACTTTTACCTTTTTTTTTTGTTTTTTACAATGAATTCATTGTCTCCATGCGTCACTCTAGACATTTTTTTCCGGTAACAGAGGGCAGTTTGAAACTTCAACTTACATCCCAATTAGAAGCATCAGTAATTCAATTGTTTCTATGAATCTTATTCAATGTACGACAAAATTTTCTAGATAATGTGATTGATATTTTATTTATTGAAATGTTCCATGATACCCTATGTGATATCTATCATGTTCTTTAGTTGTTGTTTATCTGTTATTCAACATTATTAACAATTATTTAAATAAAGGAGAATCGTACTTTAGGTTACTGTATCCTGTGTTTTATGTTAAAAAATCAATCTAATTTGATGATCGTTTGCAAAACTAAACTAATTTTTTCTACTAATTCATTTTCAAATTCCTTAATGTAGGTGCAGATTTTTCCGTGAAATAAAATTTGGTATATATGTACTAAAATAATCTTCAGGAATATAATGTTGTAAAGAGGAGGAAAAAGGCAGAGGCCAATAGATCTATCTTGCTATCTATTTTTGACCCTGAAATGTAAAATTCTTGCTTCACGAAGTTAACTGATTCCCTTGAAACTCAGTTCTTCGCGGTGCAAGTGGTAGAATGTGAACTGTTCTAATATTATTATATTATATTAATTGTGCACAGGTTTTTTAGCCTTCCTGGGTTAATCTTCTTAGAACCTCTGGTCATTCTGTTGTAAAATTAATGTAAGATATGACTACATTCTGTTTATTGTTCTAGTGTTTAATGCCGGAAGTTTCTGTTCCATCTAAAAGTTTGATTGTTGGTGTTTCGTTTTATGTTTTTGTCATCGTTTGCTTCCACTTTTAATGGTGACACATTTTTAATATCGCAGGTTTTGGGTGACTGTGGCACATCCGTTGCTCCCTGTGAAGTTATCCTCTGCAGGCCCCGGACCCGATGGGTATGTCCTGCATCCATTACAATATTAGAACTCTCTTAATGGATTATCTGTCTCCATAATTTTACTTGGGATAGTTCACGTACAAATTCTCAACTTTTATTTAAAAGAAAGCGAATTTTCCTTGTTGACTTATATTGGTCTTCGTGTCACCAGTAACATTAATACTGATATGCCGTAGTGTTATTTTTACTGTTTCATGATTTTGTTTTCTAACCTCATTCTTTTCAGAACAAATTCTGCACAGCAATTGGAAAGAATGTTCCAGCTGAGTAGAGCAGACAGAGATTTATTACAGAAAAATGAATATGATCTTCAGGTCTGTTGTCTTCCTCAGTTTTGATTTTGGATCGTTTTTGCTCTTTATTTAATTTGGACACTTTTTTTAGAGAGAATGTATTTCATTTGACGAGGTCACTTCTGATTTGAGTTTCCATTTCCTACATTGCCTAACTTGAGCTTTGTACGTGCTCTTTGTCTGAAATCTAGCCAAGCTCTTCATTGATAACTCCTTGTTGATGGACCAGTGTAATTTAGCAGCTTAAGAATATTGAGTGGTGATTTAGGACGTAGAGGAGACGAAATAGAAAGTGGACTTCGCCTGGGACATCATTTTGTGCAATTGTCCGTTTTTATCAGTTAGAAACTATAACCAAGTGTATGTCTTGTTCAGATTTATCTGGAAGAAAAGTATGCTATCCCATGGCTGCACTAGAAATGGATATGATGATAATGTAAGTAGTTAATGGAGAAAACACAATGAGCCAAACAACTGGGGTCACCAACCCATGACTCATAATTTGAATCTTAGTTATCAGAACTTAGCCGCATTTTTATGAAGTACTTATTGATGTTGACCCGTTGTTTACCTTCGCTCTCCTATACTAATGAATGAGTTGGTTTATTTTTTGTGGTGGGTAGTCAGATTTCCCCGCTGGAGCCATGAATATTTTGGCTGGGGAAAATTGTGTGAGAGATTTTAATTCCTCCCTTTCCGCTGTTTTTTGGCTCCTTTTTAAGACAATATTTCCATTTTTCCTTTGCTCTAGTTGCAAAGAATGTGGGGAATAATGAGTCCTTTATTTTCGTTGCCCCATCGTGGGTTTTTATTGGACCTTCGATGAATTGACTATCCCCTGAGATTTGTGAGGAATTATTGCATTTTGACTAGTTCTCCTGCAGGTCTGGTGTATCCTTCTCAATGATAAAGTCCCATTCAGGATGCAATGGCCTCAATTTCCTGATCTTGTGGTCAATGGTATAGAGTACATTTATTTCCTTTATGAATTTGTTTCTATTGCACATTCAAATGTAGCTAAAGTACTGAAAACATATCCTTTAATTCGACATGTTGCTTCTTACTCTATTTGCTGGGAATGCTATGGCTATCGATTCTTAGTTCTTGCCTAGAAGCTTGCTATTTCTGAAGTATATCTGAATTCGATTGCATTGTGTAATGGCCGTCCGTAAAAAATATGCTATCTCCTATCGCGGTTTCCATCACTTTATACATAAACCTTTAACTCAGGTTGAAAGCCTTTTTGCAATGTCACGATTTTGTGCATCAAGACAGACCTGGGCTTGTTACACACTAGTCCCAGGTTGGACGCGGTAGACTTAAGCTTAAATCGTTTGCAATTTTTTTTACTTAAGGCTATTATTCTACCTTGTGAATTGATTTTTATATAACTTGGGGTGTTGTTAAACATATTTACATGTAACCAAGAGGTACTTCAGTAGGAGAAACCTGTTGTGAAGATATTCTTGCTATCGTGCTTTCAGCTCATTGAAAGCTGCAAACTCATTTCTTCCTTGAGTTACTGCTAGCGATATATGGCTGTATTTCTTCATGGGGATTGCCAATTGCTGACGCTTTAAGGAGATTTAGAGGAGGTTCCCCTGTCTTCTGTCTCTCCATGTGTCTACATTCTTTGGGTTTTTTTCCGTGGATTTGCATGAGAAGTTATTCCTGAAATGATGCTAAATTTATCTGTTTTTGCAAGTTTTGATGCATGGCTTGTTTCGTTTAGTAAAATTCTACCTTCATCCTTGTCATGCAGGTATTCCTGTACGAGCAACAAATAGACCAGGGGGTCAGTTGTTAGGTGCTAATGGACGTGATGATGGTCCTGTGGTGCGTTTCTTTTCCGTGATTTTATGTTTTTCATGTTCTATTTTAATTTGATTATTTTTATTTTGTATTTTAGCTTATTCCTCTTAAATTTGACGGAAGGTTTGTTTTAGGGGTTACTGAGATTTACTTTTCATACTAAAAAACCTTACTGGGTTGCAGTTTTTGCATGCTTGTGTATTCACATATTTTCATATAGATCTGGAAGGAAATTTTTCATGCTAAAATGGTTTCGTTCCAGATCACAACATGCAGCAGAGAAGGAATTAACAAAATTAGTTTTACAAGATGTGATGCCCGAACATTCTGTTTTGGGTTGAGAATTGCAAAAAGGAGGACTCTTCAGCAGGTAAAAGTGTTTATTTGATAATACTGTGCATAGCTTTTGAACTACATTATATGCCTTTTTATGGCGCCACACTTTTTTGGTTGATGGCTTTTCCCGGGGGAAACTGCTAATTGCCAGTATTATATAGTTTTTCTGAGCCATATAGAATTATTGTCCTATTTTTCTGTTCTTTGCCGGGCTTCACTTAACCAACACATTCGTCATTATAAGAAATTGGAGATTCCTGAGATTTATAAATGACAGTGTATATGTCAACCTGACTATCAGTTGGGAGGTAAGAGAAGGTTGCATTTATCATATTCCCAAGAGTATGCTGCAAGGACAACTTGTCATCTACACATGTTGCAAGAGAAGCTCTTCTAGTGGTTGGTACTTGTAATGATGGTCAGTGTCTTCAATTAATCCTCTTGTTGCATAATCCTTTCTCTGGCCCATGAGCTGGGATTTGCTTAGACCTCTGTCGTCCTAACTAAGAAATGTGCCGGGGATAGGATACTATTCTTACTAATGGCCTATCATAGAAAGTGTGCTGTGATTCCTGCTGCAATATGTTGGCGAAGTATAAAATTCTTGTAGGTAAATTTTATATACATATACAGCCATCAAGGCTGAAGGTTGCTGTAGTTTTCATGAAATTGTCGTTTTCATAGTTGTTTACATTTCACTTGCTTGGCTAGCAGATTGCGCCTTTTTTTTTTGGTCTTATATGATGCACACATCAAGTTAAGTTGCGTCTAGAAGAGGCACTTGGTGGAGTCTCGCTTTTTTCCCTTTCGTCTATGGCTGATCTCATTGTTTAATTCATTGTGCAGGTTCTGAGTTTGATTCCGAAAGAAACTGATGGTGAACGTTTTGCGGATTCCCTTGCTCGTGTCTGTCGTTGCATTGGTGGTGGGGCCACAACAGATAATGCTGACAGTGATAGTGACTTGGAAGTTGTTGCTGAGTTAGTTACAGTCAGTCTCCGTTGTCCTGTGAGTATCAGTCTTGTCATTTGGCATTGGCAAAACTATTCCTTTTTAAGATTGATTGTGTATGAAAAAATATAATCTCCAATTTCTTTGAATAATAGTGTGGATCTCACCTCAAATCCCACTTTTAATTTGTTATTTTTGTGTTCGCAAGATAGTGATATCTGACGAAATTATGTCTTCATATGCCTGGTCAGAAGAAACAAAAGAAAATTGTTGATTTCTATGGGGTACCTGGTGATATCTAAAATGATACTGACTGCTCTCTTGTCCCCCGCTCAACAATGAGTGCATGATATCTACCCGTCCCCCTCTTGATCATCTTGGGTGACAAAGTGCACGCCCACTATGATTCTTTGAAACCTGTCATTATCCATTGGTATCTTTGATGAGTGTGAATTTCGTTTATTAACGCTCATCTTCAGCCCTGTCCTCCAGCACTCATTTACTATTTTTATTTTCATCTTTACTTTTGAGATGCCTCCCTAACTATACATGAACATAGTTTTACCTTTGCCAGAATATTAATCGTTTTTCTTTATACTGAGGATATATGGATTTTCATTAGATGCGTGATCAGAAAATATTGAAACAGCGTTAAAAATGAGGAATTGAAGTACATTTTATAAAACGAGGGTGTTTTATGACTCTTAAGTGCTTGGGAATGAACTTGGACCATATCTGAACAACTCAGATGTGTAAGCTTCAGTAAGTCACAGATGACGTAACCATAATATATTATGTCAATGAGTGAAAATCCTGGTATTCTATCATTTGATCAAAATTGAAGAGTGGTTCAAAGTGATGCTTTTGTCGGTTCCCCTTTGTTGGTTCTCTGATTTTCTTTTTTGGGCCATGATGTAGATATGTCAAACCATGGTTCAGCTCCTAATAAAATTCGTTAGCACAACACCATAGAGGCTTGGGCTGATTACCGTGTAGTTCCTTCATCTTCCCTCTGTTTCTATGTTTTACTTGTTCTAGAATTGTTTTTGGATTGTTTTACTCCGTGACCTCATCCCATTCACCGAATGCAGTAGGAAAAGTGTCCCTTGCAGAATTTCTGATAATTTTCTTCATATCATCGACTCGTTTAGGTATCAGCTGAAAGATAAAAATGCTGCGTTCTCTTTAGTTTATCTTCTGTTAAACCTGAACACATTCATGGGGGGGCGTTCCAGAATTGCTTCTGAACTTTTTCTGCAGATTTCTGCAAATATTTTCAGTTTTAATCGTTACAAAATCTTTTACTTCATCTCATAGGGTAGGGTCAATGTTAGATTATGTGCCTAGCTTGGTTTTAAAATTACACGTCATGATTTGCGATTGATTATTGTAGCTTATTGTTACGCTTCTTCTCTTGGTTCCATCAGATTTCCATGCTTTATGAACACTATTGTCAGTAGAATAGCTAATGGTCATTTATGCCTTTTTTTTTTTTACTTCTTTCGTAGAGTCTGATTCTGTAGGACAAAAATAGATGCAGTTCTCTGCTTCATGTCAGCCGTTCCCAACAGTCTTGGCAGTCCAGTGGAATTTGTCATAAAAACTTTTAAGAAGCTTTTAAAGCAGTTTTTGAATGGGACTATCTTATAGTTTTTCCTTGTACGGTTAGCAAAAGTGTCAAAATATCAGTAGGGACGGCGTACATCAGTGGATTTGGTTTTGGTGCGATGTTCATGTCAAAGATGAAGATTGCTAACTATTCCGTCTTTATTTGCAGATGAGCGGATCTAGAATGAGAATTGCTGGGAGGTTCAAGCCTTGTGTACATATGGGTTGTTTTGATCTTGAAACCTTTGTCGAACTTAACCAGCGATCAAGAAAGGTGAGCTTCATAAAACCTATCATGCCTATCAGTTGTCTTATTTTGAAAAAAGAATACGAGATTTACTTTTCCTTCTTTTTTCAGTGGCAGTGCCCCATTTGTCTTAAGAACTACTCTCTAGAGAATATTATCATTGATCCATATTTCAACCGCATCACGAGTCTGGTAATGCCCCTGGAAGACCATATCAGCCCGTTGTGCTCGTATGTTCTTGTCAATATACTAAAATTAATTATCCTTTTTATTTTTCTTGTATAGTTACGAAATTGCGATGAAGAGATAAATGAAATTGAGGTAAAGCCTGATGGATCTTGGCGTGCTAAGGGCGACAGCGAAAATAGGACCCTTGGGCAGTGGCACCTGCCTGATGGGACTGTTCAGGTCTTTACTAACAGCGAAGTAAAACCAGATTCTGAGTTATTGCAGCAGTCTAAGCAGGAAAGCACGGGTGGTCTAAAACTGGGTATTAAGAGAAATCCCAATGGCATCTGGGAAGTTAGCAAACCCAGTGGCACGACTCCTTCATCCTCTGGAAATCATGCAGCAGAAAGGTTTGAGGGCCAATGTCAAAAGCCCATGCCTTTGAGTGTCAGCGCTACTGGTAGTTACGGGGATGGAGAGGATGTTAGTGTTAACCAAGAACGAAGGAGAAACTTTGATTTCTCAAGCAATGTCCCGGAGTTATTGGATCCTGTGAGTTTCAGTATTTACGGTGCTGGCGACAGAGTCTCTCCTGTACAGTCAAAAGATGCCGACGTCATTGTTTTAAGTGACTCAGAAGAGGATAATAATACTACATTAGCTGCAGCTGCATACGACACTGGCCCTCCGAGTGGCAATGGAATTCCTTTTACGGAGACTGATCCTGGAGCCCAAGACTCGTACCTGGTGGACACCGGACCTGGTTCAGCCTGTCTTGGTCTATTCGGCAGTGGTGATGATTTTGAAATGCCGCTCTGGCCGTTGCCAACATGCTCCCAGACGGGTTCTGGTTTCCAATTATTCAACACAGACGCTAGTGTCTCAGATACAATGGTGGATGTAAATCGCAATTCTCTCGGCTGCCCACCTATGAATGGCTTTGGATTGGGTTCTGATGGCGTGATTGGAACTGTTCCACGGGCCGAGGATTTCCCCATACGCCATTCTAATGAGTATGCTCGTCATAATCATCACCATGAATCGTTACACCAATCCAGGATGGACTCATCTGCTAGCCAGTCGAATGCCGATGCAAATGGTAGCCTTGTGAACAATCCCCTTGCATTTGCTGGTGATGACCCGTCTTTGCAGATTTTCCTTCCCACTCAACCGGCTGGTATACTTCAGCCTGATTTGACTCAGGGTGTTGACATGGTCAATGCCATCCCCACCGATGATTGGATCTCCCTCCGGCTTGGGGGCAATGACGGCAATCATATTGAGCCTGCAGCAACAAGTGTGTTGAATTCTAGGCATCAATTTGGTTCTGACGGTAGGATGGATTCGCTTGCCAACACTGGTAATTGCCTGATTACTTTCTTCCCTTAGAAAATCATATTTTACCTGCAAAGTCCTGTATTGTTTTTTGCCTCTGAATAATCATTTGGGCCTCAAGAATTCAACAGGAGGATTTTACTCGCTGCTCATTCTACCTTGTATGTCTTTTGTTTCTTATTGCAGCTTCTTTGCTTCTCAGCATTGCAGCTTCTTTGCTTCTCAGCATGAACGACGACAGAGGCTCCTCAAATAACCAAAGGTCTGATACCCTTTTTTCCCAGCCCCAACAGCCCAGGGCCGTGAGACCTCGGTTATATCTATCCATAGATTCTGATTGAGCTGGAAATTCTAAGTTCGCCATCATAAATCTATTTCTCTTATTCGTCCGTACATTTTGCCCTGGGTATGATCTGTTGTTCGAAGTGTAAGTTCAAGCATATCATATCCCCCTCGGGCCAAGGAAGAAAATAGCTCTCCAGCCTGGGATCATATGGGTCAACACCAGTGGTGTCTCCTTTCTGCCCTTCCCTTCTGTTTGTGACAAAGTGTACAAGAGCAGTGGTGAGCCTTGCCTCCCCCTCCCTCCCAAGGAAACTAGAGATCCAGCAATGAGACTTTTGCTGCGGTTTCCAAGTGAATCAAATATTAGCTGGGGATGGTTGGCCATTTTTGCGTCCTGCCCAACCCACAGTTATTCTTTTTATTTGGGATCCTCAAGTGACCCATGGCAGCAGTCCCTGTACATAGAGAAAGATAGTGTATGTAGGCGGAGAGCATCGAGGCTTCATGATGTAAAGCATTCGTCGGAGGGAAGTCCCTCATGTATAAATTTATATACCTGTATTTTGCATCCCATTGACGGTGGCTTGCTGAAGTCTGTACATTCAGGCGCTTCCTTAAGTTATTCGCAGCCATCGGCGGCACTCAGCTGACTGATTGATGCTTCTCAAGGTTTGCATCTCCTTTTATGAGGGAAAAAGAGTGCCTTATTGCAGCGATCTTCGCGGGCGAGCTCGCGCTTGCGCCACTTACTTCCCGATGAGAACATATTCGTAGAGCACCACGTGAAGAATTCGTACGCTGTAGGAATCTCGTGGTGGGGTTTGTCGAATTGAGATAAAGAGGTGGGATGGGGACGATACATCGTTCATTACACAAATGTAGTATCTGGTGACGGGCTTCAGGGCAACACCTCGTCGTGTTGCCGCTATCAGAGCGGCGGGACTGAGGAATGATCTCTGTCTAGGCGCCGCGGCCCATCGTCTGCTCCCCCGGGGGTAGCATGACCAGTGCAGAACGCCCGTTGAACCCTGGATGCGGCACCCTGCGGCGCAGCTCCCTCCCTTCCTGGCAGAGGGAGCACGGGTGGCAGAACAAGTGGGTGGCGAAGTCACAGACGGACTCGCACTGCTCGCGCTGTACCTCGTCCTTCACCATGTTGCCGCAGCACCCGCAGGATTTGGAGAACGCCTCGAAGTTGCCCTGCTCACAGAGTGATGGGTGTTTAGCGATAAGCACGTGGCGTTTCAATTGGCAAGAGCTTGAGTTGTTCTACTGAAAGAACTACAGCTAACACGGCCAATTTTTAACTGTACTAATATGACAGTAGACGTAGCCGGTGAATTCAACAGACTTAATCGTTTGCTTTCCTTCTGACTCTCCAAAAACACTTTCTTCCTCCGATTTCATTATGCACCAAGTTTCCTCTCTATCTCTGGTGGCACCCGCCCCCCCTTTCTCTCTATCTAGACCATCTGATTAACGCACGGGCACGAGCTACGATCATACAACAATGGAAGATACCCTAACAAACAAAACTATCTTGGATTTTGGCATTGTGAATACGCGCAGATAACCCATCAGGAAAATTAAATCATGGGGAGAACTGAGAGAACTGTTTTTATTGTAATATAAGGCAGAAGCTTACCTCAAGGTTGAATTTACGACGAATCGCTGTGCGGGTAGGGTAAGAAAACCATGGGGCCAGGCAATTCCAACCAAAAAATGAATTCCCAAGCATATAAAGGCCTGTATATGCCACGCAATGATTTGCAAAAGACCCCGAAGACAATCCAAGCCGCTCAGCATTGCCACCATAAAGAACACAAGGAGCAACACTTCCAAGAAGACCTAAAATGAACCGAATGTCAGCTGAGATGAAAGGTAGGGAAAAAAGTTTCCAATTATCACAATATTTGCATTACAATCGCGATCATCACAATATGCCTGTGTGAAAGATTAAAAGAGTGGATTCCCTGTGATTAATATGGCACCAAGTTTATCACACAATAAAATTCGTGCAAACGCAATGAAAAAACAAAACTGCAGGAAAAAGTGATACTTGTCTGATGCTTCAAGCGATGGGGGTTTGCAAAAGCAGAAAGAATGAGAAACGACAGTTTACTGCTTTGGGGAGGGAAAAATATCCCCAAATAAATGGGAAAATAATCATAGGCTGAGGATCACCGACCTCTAATCTCATCGATTTCCAAACTAATTGGATGGGAAACAGATACGGAAGATTCCAAATGAAAGAAAGCCAAGAAATAAAGCGTATTTGAGGCAAAACGACATATACTTAACGTCGATACTTCTAGGGCCCCTGGTCTGGGACCAGAAAAAGGTGAAATAGGATATTTGACAGACAAAGGACATCTTCCAAACTCTATTGATGCCCATCGGCTCATCTTCTATCATCTTCCTGAATGTTTGATTAAGCCGCGGAGAAAAGTCATCAGTTAGAGGTGATAGACGCCAAGTACATCTCGATCCCCTAATTAGAAACCCTTCTTGCAGAAAGGTGAATACGAGGGACGGAAAAAAGGCCAGGACAAAACATTTACCAGCAAGCATAAAATTTAAAGAATATATCAAAATCTCATTAAAAAGTAAGAAGGTTAATTGTCCCGGCTAGCAAACAGGAAAAGAGAAAACAGACGAAGACAACGGCCTACCAAATGGAATCAATCTATATAATACGACCTCAATTACTGGACCTATCATTCTCAAAGAGAGCGGTTCTGATATAAATCTACAGACCTACGATTTATTCTTCACGAAGAGAGGAAAAGGTAAGTGTCGATAATTGTACGTACAGACTTCAAGATCGCTGCTGCAGAACTCATCACTGCGCCCGAGGCAAGAGAACAGACCAGAGTCCCAGTGACCGCGGCCCACCGGCTCCCCCATGACGCTGGCGTGCCCTAGCGGCAGCCCGTCCACCGTCCACCCTCCGGCAGATCCCGGCGACGCGGCACCCAGGGGAGGAGCCGCAGGATCCTTGCAGACCTCCGCCTTCTTGATGTGCTCAGATCCACATCCGCTGTGCGCGGTGGCATCCTCCCTAGCCTGCTCGGCCAGGAGGGGGCTACTCTCCTCGTCCGCCATCGGGAACCTTCTTCCTCCCCTCAAACGCGCCTCAATTACACTTACATCGCGCCTCGTCGATCTAGTTAAATACCGCACCCGTCGTCGTTGAGCTGTTCAACCCGGCCCGTTGATCCCGCGGGTCACCGTAAGACTCGAAGCGACCGCAGCGCTGCCCCCTCGCAGTGCGCCACGTCCGACTGCGGGCCCCGCAGGCCCCGCTTCGTCTACCTCAGGGGCGCATCCTGTCGCAACCTTTGCCCGCAAGCAACGGTGGGCCCAACAATGCGCGGAGACTTTATTTCCCCTCTTTTCTCCCCTTCCGGTTGGGTCTTCACCATCAACCTGCCGCGTGAGTTGACGACGTGGGAGGGTGTTCGGCATCGACGGTTGACCCGAGCAGGGGGCAGGGAGAGGGAACTTTCGATTTGTACAGAAGACAGGACATGGTCCGGACAGTGGAGTAGGTAGTGCCATAATGACTACGTCGAAAGATAAGAACTTGGAAACGGGCGGCGCCGTCGCCTTCGCCGGCAACGTCAACCGGTTCTCGCCGCCGTCGATGCTCTCGGCGCGGTTAGTCTGGTTGCTATCGCTGCGTTCCAGAAGGAGTTGTGAGCCTCCAGCGCCGATAGCTTGGCGGCCCTCCATGCCGGCTCTGATTTGCATCTGCTTAGTATCAGAGGCCGCGACGAGAAGGACGGGGAAGGCCCCACTGCCGCCGCCGCCGCCGCATCCTCGTCTTCTCCTTCCCTTTCCCTGGGTTCACCGTCTGCCTTTACGGGAAAGCTATCAACGGGCTCCTTTGTTCCCATTCCACTTGGGGGTGGCCCCTCCGCCATGGACGGGGAGGCCCAGAGCTTGTTGGGAAAGGTGGTGGCGGCGGCGGAGGGTCGATGGGGAGCAGATCTGCACCGCATGAGCAAGAGCGCGTTCTTCGGCGGAGTTGCAGAAGCGAACACTTCGCCTTTCTCTCCTTCATGTTCAGCTTCCGCTGGTCCCACTCCCGGACCACCTTCCTTTAGAAGCTGCTGCTGCTGCAGCAGCTCCTGCTGGGTCTCTTCCCTGCGTCGGTAGCATCCGGGGTGCGGCAGCAGGAACCACCGGCACCACCCGCGTGCCGGCCGGCGACGGCGAGCGGCGGACGACGGCGCAGGGCCGAGGCCGAACATGGTCTTCATTCTGCCGGAGAAGGGGTTGCAGACGAAATCCCCCTGCTTCGATCTGGAAGAGGACCCACATTTTGAGGAAGACGTCCTCTTGGAGATACGGACCTGGCCGATGCAGGTGACCTTGGGGGAGGAGGGTTCCTTCTGGTCCCGGAGGTCCACAGCCTGCGCGGAGACGGCCTTCGCCATGAACAGAGGACTGGATCGGGCAACGGAGGAAGAAGACGACCTCCCGCGGCTGCGGCTGCCGCTGACCCCACGCAGCAGCCTCGCCAGCGGCGGAGCCGGCAGCTTCTCCATCCTCGCGGGGCTGGACGACACCATTGTCACCTTGGAAGACGTCCTTATCATCTTCCCTTCGCCGGCGGGCCCGGAATGGGAGAGCTTGTTGAAGATCAGCGAGAGAGAGAGAGAGAGAGAGAGAGCGAGAACTAGGGGACCCGGCAGCTGCTTATGCCTGCCTCCCCTGCTTCTGCTGTGCGCTTCCTTGTTTTCTACTGCGCGAAAGATCCCAGATCCAGAGACCCAGCTGCTCGCCAGTGACTGAGTGATGGAGAAAGAGACTGAGTGACAGATAGAGAGAGAGAAGAGAGAGACGTGTACATTGGCAAAGAGTGGACCAGATTGAGGTGGCCTGCGTTTCCTGTCCCCCGTGTTCGTTCGTGTGCTTTCTCTCTCCTCTCTTTATCTATCGGCGTCCACTCCGAATCGGTCGGCAGAGGCGAGCAACCCGGCGTTCGTCCTCTCTCTCTCTCTCCCAACTCCGAATACTTCGATTAACTAAATAATTATATGATAATATGGATAAACTTGTTTAACGGAAATAGTTGAATATTAGAAACTAAGCCTACTCAACATAACGAATTAAAAAATAAACTAATTTTAGCTAACCATGAGAGAGAGTGTGAGAGGGAGGATTAACCCAGTTAATCCTGACCGGTCGTCAAATCGGCCCTTAGATTTTACACACCTTGATTAAGGGTCAGTGCGAAAGAATCGTAATCGGGCCTCTCAGCCACGTGATCCGCAGGCACAACAGACCGAATGGCAACCGGTTCTTCCCCCTCCAGTCCCAGTTTAACTGGAGCGAATTTGCCTCCAAGTTCGCCGGTGTTGACCTTGGCCACGAGGATGGCGACGGCGGACTCCGAACGGCCGCCGGCGAGCACATTCGGCGTGCCGTGGCCGGCTCTCAACGACGGCCTAACCTACTCCGACGTCGTGAAGTCCATCAGTCCTGGTGCGTTCTTCAGTTGCCGTTTTCTTTTCTCGAGTAAGTTGTCCTTGTCTTTCGCCTCCCGCTGGGGAATTTCATTAGCGGCGGCACGGCTCGGCCCTTCCTCCTTTCCCAGATACGACTTTGCTCCAGTTCTATTCCTCCGAGTACGCCAGCTCTGCGCCTGTGCAAGGGTAGAAATCTAATAAACTCTTTTCTTTCGTCCTTCGTTGACCGTCTCCCACCCCCTTCTACCCAGTTTACTTTGCTTTCTCACGACGTTTGTTCTCTGCAGTTGGCTTCAGAGGATCAAGAATGGACAGGTCTGACACATGGACCGTGGACGTACTTTTTTTTTTCCCTGATTCAGGCAATTTGAGTTACACTTACAAGACATATGGATCGTCTTGCAGATAACGATCGACGGTCAAGTTGTTACGGATCCTGAAACAACACTTAGGTTAGTGGTACCTTCTTTAGATTTTCTCCTAGATATGTCATTGTTCTGCTAGGGAACCTTCTTTCCTACATTTTGTATTGCTGTTTATAACGATGATGGAAGCTGCGAGCTTTAGCGGTAAATGCTTAGGTATATTATTATTTATATTCTATTTCATCCTCATAAACTGTCACATTCAGTGTCAAAGTTTATTACCTCTACGGTCCAAGCTTGCACCGTATAAGTTTTTTGATAGATGAACTTATTTCCTTTGCTCAGAATTGGATCAGTGCTGGTCTACCACCGATTTCCGTGGGAGGAGCCTTATGCTTCTTATAAACTGGAAGTTCTTTATGAAGATGATGACGTTGTAAGTGGACTATTTCGCCATTTGGTTATAATTGAGGTTGTTTTACGTTTAAATCGAAATAGATGACCCCTGAACGAAAATCTCAAGCCACTGCTATTCAGTGGTTTCTTTCGTGTCAATAGGTCATTTACTGGTGACTTGAGATTATCATTCAGGCAGTCTCTCGCCAAGATATCAATCGTGTTTCACAGAATTTGAATTGGACAGTTTCGATCTTGACAAAATGATGATAATGTCTGCACTCTTTGTTCCAGATTGCGTTAAATAAACCTTCTGGTTTGCAAGTCTTACCTGGAGGTCTTTTCCAACAGAGAACTGTTTTAACACAGCTCCAATGGCAAGCAAACAAATCCACTTCATCATCATGTATCTCTAGAACTTTGGTAGTTAAGGATCGACATCCTGTACCCGTCCATCGTCTTGGAAGAGGGACATCAGGTTTTCTACTGTTATTATGCAGTCCATGTTTTCTATTTGTAGCGTCTCTGTTTATTAAAGAAGTCTTAAATATGCATGTAATATTAATAAGGAAAAATTTTCAATATGACACCGAATTTTCAAGATGACAAACTCTACATGAGCTGACCAGAAAAATCTTCAAATAAAAAATTCTGAAATTTTTATTTGTAGCCTCTAGTTTATTTTTCTTCTGTTTCCCGCTGTCTGGATAGTGTGTTCTCTATGCTGGATGCTACTTGAAAGTGGTGGGCATATGAGCGCTGCTAAGTTGTCCAAACAGCTATGAATCCTAAGGGACGAACTTGATTGTGTGATATGTAACCTATATGTAGTTTTATGGGTACGTACGTCTGGGTTTTTTGTCCACTTTAAGCAGTTTTTTTTTTGTGTGTGTGTGTGTGATGGTTTTGTGAGATTAAAGATTAACCTTTAGGTTTGGTAACGCATTGGAAGTATTAGGTTATGGTTACAGGTTGACAAGCAACTCTTTTTTTTTCTGAATACAATCCAATCGATTATTTGTAGAGATTTCTTCAGTTTTTGTTATGAATGCAGATAGCGTTTGTGCGTCTCTTCTTAATCCCACACATGTTTTTTCTTCTGTTCTCTTTTTCCACTCTTGCCCTTTTGTGATTTACACAATCAGAGATTGTTCAACTTGTTCTGTTCGTGTATCTTATTATATTTTTTTACTATGTAGAGATTGTTGCTTGAAACATCGCAAGTCTTATATTTTTTTCTCGGGGATGTGATTCTATAAGAATTGTTTGCTCATCCTAGGATTACAAGCATTTTCCCAAACAAGTCGTATCTTCAGTCATCCTTGCCGATAATTGATTTCTTCTCCCAGGAATACTACTTTGTGCTAAGACAAAGCATGCAAAAGTTCGTCTGGCATCCTATTTTGCAGACGGTACATCAGCTGTGAAAAGGTTTACTCGAGCGATTATTTTCTTGTTATGGCTTGTTTGTCCTAAACATATAAGCTGTTTTCCTGTGCACAGAATTTTCTGTATATTGCACATGATCTTCCCATAATCACTGTAGAAGCTCAGAGATATTCATCATGCTTTTAATGGATTCTTTAGTTTATCTAGTATGGATATTGAACTCTCTTACTTTACTATTTTCACTGTTCATTGTTTTTAACGTGACCAGGGACAATCATCCTTGCATTTAGGTGAAAAAATGAGTTGATTTTTTGCAAACATGTTAAAGTTATAAATAAAGAAATAAAATATGATTTTAAATAATAAAAATATGCATCATATAAAACTACAGAAATAAATATTAATGTAGCATTTTTATGATACTGTAAATAATTTAATACCTTAAAATGCCATAGTTTTTCTAAACACTGGCATTATGAATTTAGTTATGCTCCATGCTTGATGTAATCCTTATGAGGTACCATCTGCAAGCTTTAGGTTCGAAATTCATTCATTATAGCCTAGTGGCATTTCTGCCGCAGTTTCTATTTACCATCAATTATGTGTTTCCACAGCTTAAAACATATATTTCCTTTACTTAAAATGGATTCTCCGTGGGTTGATATTTTACTATACCCTTCATTCTTTGGTTGTCTGAGGAAAGAGGCTAGAAGAATATATCAAAGATAATTTAATTATCTGTTATGCATTTCATCACATGAATTAAACTAATTTCGTGGTGTGCATTTGTTAATGAGCTATGAAGATTACCAAATGTTAACTTATGCAAAAATTGAAGGAGAGACATCTTTTGTGTATAATGGTTACCCAGATTTATTTTTTTTGCTATATCATGGCTAGTGCCTTACCAGGTCATGTTTGGGTGTTTTAGGGGAAATTTCTCACTTGCATTGTTATATTCTATCGTGGTGATTTCTGTTCCTAAGCTCTAAACCCCTTTGCTGTACATGTTTTGTCATACGGAAATGATATTATTTGGAACCTCAATTTTTTTTTCATTAGTTCTCATCATTGGTGTAACATTTTTCTTTTGCCAATTAACAATTTTGTCATCTATGTTCTGTCTTCTTGAGCATTTCCTGGAAGTCTTGTTCAATTGATGTCAAAAGTAGTAGAATAATTTTTTGAAATCCATCGTCTTGGTAAAATTTAAATATGGTAACTTTTTCTTAACAGAAAATTTCATACCGATGCTGAATGTTTGAGAAAAGTATTTAAACTTTATCGGGCATTGGTGACAGGGATAATTGAGCTGGATGAGGTAACCCGAATTCCCTTTTTTTGAATAGCTTTGTTAACCTTTGAATAGCTTGTGACTTGAGTTTTATCATATTTGGTTCCAAAAAAATCATATGTAAAGTTTGTACCTAGGATTTGGACAAGGACATGTTTAAGCATATACTCTTGATGATGTTGCATGCTTAATTTATTTATTTTCTCCATTTCACTGTGATATAAAGTTGGAGGGGGGTGTCAGTCACCATCATTACGGTTTGCTACACCTGCATCACGTCACACTATTGTTTTTTGACTTTTCCTAGTCCCTTTGAAGGATCAAACATTAAATGGATGGCCCAAATTATTGAAGTATTATTTAGATCCTTAAGTTGCGAGCCTTTCCATTGTCTTCAGCATCACATAAACTATAGTGAATGGTTTCTGCGGCATATAATGTTTTGCCATTTGCCAATTTGGTGAACTCTCCTTTTATTGAAAGAGGTAAACGAAAATAAAAAATAGCTTCTTTCAGTTATCATGGTATATCTCAGAATCATGTAGAAGGTAATTACCATTTCCATTCCGCATACACTTGTGTCAGATTACCCTTCATATCTGATGCTCACCTTTATGTTATCTCCTGAACAATTTAGATGAATGAATTGCTAACCTGTTCATTCTTTCAACTAAGAGTTATGTACTCCAGGGGGAGGGGGGTGTATTGTTCAAACTACTTTGTTAAAACATTCCTCAGGATAAATATATATATATATATTTACCTTTTACTAGTATGACTTGTGTCTCTTCCCTGATCTGTTTCAATTCTTCCAAGCTCTTCAACCCTATAATGCATTTTTCTAATCGTGCAACTGTCACGTTGAGAATTACAGAGTAGTTTCCATTTGCTGATAAAAGTGCCTGGTTTGTGAAACTACCCCACCCTTTCTATCTTTTTAGTTATTCCCTACTTCCAATGCCCTCATTTTCTCAGTGCTAAGAGGGTAACCCTTTTTAGCTGAAGTCATCTCTCACTTTCCCTGCGGAGCACTGCGTCCATCTTACCATCTTACATCTTCAGATTATCTCCCTCTGTAAGCACTACTTTTGATGAATAAAGAAAATATTCTATTCGTGGCTAAGAGTGATGAAATTTATCAAATATAAAGCTAAAGATGAAATTTGTCAAAAAAAATAAATTAGAAGTCTAGTTGTTGACCTGTAAAGTATGCTGGTGCCTAGGAATTTGATCTATGTTTTCCTGTGATGTTCTTTTATGATTGTGGATACCCCATGAGCACGAGAAGTTCCTGATGAGTCCCTTGTGAGTATGTCACTTAGTTATTTACTATTTTTTTTCTACCTGGTGACCTCAAACTTTTCCTTGACGAAGGTTGTCATTGAGAGTCCCATTGGAGTGATCCATTACCCTGGGGTGTCAAAGGGCCTTTATGTTGCATCTTCATCAGGTTTAAATCTTTTATTTCCATAGTTTTGAAAATTCTTTAATGTTTTATTGTGTCCTTGCATTCGTTTTATATTCGATATAGCTTGTAAGTTTTGCTTTGTTATCCAGGGAAACCAGCTTTAAGCAAGGCAATTGTCCTCGAGAGGAACGTGCAAAGAAACCAAACACTGGTGCAGGTGTTCCTCACTTCCTATTCCTTGTCAAATAAAGAATATATATTTTGGGAGCTGTAGTGACCAGAATATTTTCATTATCTCTTGTATGACAGGTAGAAATTCAGTCAGGACGGCCACATCAAATTCGTATTCATCTTGCTTTTATTGGTCACCCCCTGGTAGGTACGTTATATGTCCTTCAGATTTAGTTTAATTTCATGGGGTTTTTGATTTATAAAACTTTATTTAAAGAAGCAGTGAATTTTCTGGAGATATTACAATATATAAAAGGAGTATGTTATTTGTGTTGCACTGCGGAAGAACAAGTGAGTTTGAAGGATGTTAAATTAAGAGTAGAACTTAGTTGACTGCTTGACAGCTGCGTCCATTTTTCTCATTTGAAATCTTTTGAAAATTGTAGGATAAGTTGACCAGTTCTTGTGGTAATCAATACTTTTGATGTGATGATTCAGAGATCGGAAAGTGAGCATAAGTGATGCAGAAAATAAGAGAAAACTACTTGCCATGAGGAGTTAATAAATTCGCCTATTAGAGGCTTGGAAACTTAAAGAATTGGAAGGAGTTGTGAAAAAATTGAGCAACCCTGGTTGACCATCCGGGGATAACTCCCCTAAATTGTTTTTCACACACTTTACCCTTGGGGCTTTCTATAAATTCTTCTTATGTGACTTTCCTCCCTCATGGCCAGGCAGGTTAATGAACCTGTTAATGAATTGCGTTAACACAGTTAGGTGCAACTCATGTGGAGATGTGCATCAGAGAAGAAGATGGTGCGGGAAACATATAAAAGCCAAGAGCTGCTATGAGAGAATTAGAGTTTGAAGAGGTTGAGGCCTTGAGTCCATAGGTCTACCGAGAGAAATGTAGAGGACCCCCATTGACAAACTAACCGTGATCATATGAATCATGAGACTCGCCGAAGGAAATGATGGATGCGGCATTGTGATTATCTTGTGGAAGACGACAAGTTTTGCAATAACTGGACTATCCATATATTCCGTGATGCTCGCTCAACACAGACTCAGCCTGTCCTTTTTCTCAAAAAAAATATTTTTTATTCTAATCAGACGGCTAAAAATTTCCAAGTGATAGTATTTTCGTATGATTATTTGTCTTTTACCCATGCTATTAATGAACTTTGCAACAATCTACCTTGGAAGAAAAAGGAGACCGACTGTGCATAAATTTGCTGAGCCTATTTTTTAGCTTACACTGAGTGAACAGTGATGAAATTTCTACTTCTGGCTTTCCTCAATTATGTTGAAATTTGATGTTGTGTTGAGTATCGGCATTCCCACTGGTGATTTGTGAAAAGCTGTGTTTTGGAATATTTATTGACAGGGGATCCTCTTTACGTATCCGGAGGACGTCCTAATTGTATTCCATCTGAGCGTACAGACGACAACTTTGCAGAAGATGGGTACGATAACATACATCACGTGACATCATGTTTTGTAGAGACCTTCATAACGAAAGCCTTTTGCACATACCTCTTCGCATTTGCTTTTGGCATCTTAACAAATTCTCTACAAAGTTTTGTAATGATGTCTTTTGGAGTAGTAATGCACAAGAAGATGTTATGACAAAGTCTGAAGCTCTAAAAGATTTCATCACAAGACGTGTCAATGGGAAGCCGTTTTCTTGTTTTTTTTGTTTTTTTTTTTTACTTAGAATGCTGTTAGGGATTTGCGGTTGCGACACAATTTCGTTTTGCGTTTGTTCTGTCTAAAAATAACATCGAATATTGATCGTTGATTTTCTTTTATTCTTTCTTCCGTGTCGTATGTTCACTTCCAAATTCTATTCTCAAATGCTCTAATTACAGAGGTTATCGTAAGCCCTCCAAGCCTGTGCCCGGAGATTGTGGTTACCACTTGCATGCGCACAAGCTAGTCCTATGCCACCCGTCAACGAACCAGGTAAACCTGGCCACCTACCTACGAATCGATTACTCGTTTTTTTGTTGAGGCTCGAATCCAAAGCAGAACTCCTCAGACACCTCGTGGATTCTAAATTGCATTGCAAATACTACTCTGCTGAAACGGATAGTTTTGACGGGTGGCTCCACACCAGATCCCCTCATTGAATCTCTCAAGAAGGGTTGAGCGTTTAGTTATTGTGACCATCTCATACTTACCCACGAGTTCATTACTGCATCATGAGCATTTCGTCCGTCCAGATTTCCGTGGAGCATCGTGTCCATTACTGCATGATGGACAGTTTTGACGGGTGACTCCAGCCCTGATCCCCTCATTGAATCTCTTATGAAAGGTTGAGCGTTGACTTACTGTGCCCTTCTCATGCCTGCTCATGAGTACATTACTGCATCATGAGCATTTAGTCCGGCCTTATTTCGGTGGAGCATCATGTTCATTAGTTCATAATAGACAGATCTGACGGGTGACTCCCTGATCCCGTTCATTGAATCTCCTAAGAAAGGTTGAACGTTGACTTATTGTCACCTTCTCATACTTGCTCACGAGTTCATTACTACATCATGAGCATTTAGTCCGTCCTTATTTCCGTGGAGCATCATGTCCATCACTGCATGATGGATGGTTTTCACGGGTGACTCTACCCCTGCTCCCCTCATTGAATCTCTCGAGAAGGGTTTAGCGTTGACTTTATTATGGCCTTTTCATACTTGCGCATGAGTTCATTACTGCATCATGAGCATTTGAATTCAGGCTGCCCTGAGTGTGCGGTTGGCCAATTTACTCTTTCGCACAAGTTCAATCCAGCAACCTCATTCCGTGAAGGATCTGATCGGCGTCTTCCTGGCCATTTTGGCCGGCATCATTGGCAGAGGATCGAGATCACCGCCCCGCCCCCGCCCATGCTGCGTGTGCGAGGAGAGCTGGATCAAGCAGAGGCTGCCGAGAAGATGCCAGCGTAGACTTTCTCCTGCTGCCCGCTGGTTGGAGAGGTAAAATATGGGGAAACATAGTTGTTCACAAGATCAAATCAATTATCTGACAGCTTTCTATGCCTGCATGAGATTCTGCTGGTTCTACAGTGCCACCTTCGGCAAAATCTGAGACTCGAATGCATCATCCTGGAACAACCTTCAAACCTTTTCTTCGGTTAGCACCGGAGCCGTCGATTAGCCCACCTGGTTGGAGGCCGGGCTGAGGACCGCGTTCTGTCTGGTCTGAAGGTTGCTTCGTAAATTTTGTTCAAACACGAGATCAGTATGCAGGGGCACTGAACGCTGACTGATGATCCTTGGGCTGGGGAGCCCGAGGATCAACCCGGTCCGGCCCGAAAAACGGCTGCATGGCTTGGGCCGGGATTCACGGATCGGCCCGGATGTACGGTTACGGCCGACTATTCAGAAAGGACAAAGAGGGTCATTGGGCGGTGTGGGCCACTCGGGAGTCGTGAGGCGGGCGCACTCGGAATTCGGCATTATTACCAATGAGGCCCATTAACTTCTTCTCACTATGCGGGGGGCCCCGCCGCCATTCTTACCGTTGGCTAGGCACGTGCCGCCTGTCAGTGCCACACGTCCCATCATCGCGCACTGTCTCCTTCCTCCCCCTCTTCTCCCCTCGGATTCCTCCTCTTCCACCCCCCCTTCCCCCCTCACTGCCACCCTGATCCTCTTCCATTCCCTCTCTCCTACTCCAAGAATCGCCCTGGTGGCGCAGCATGGAATGCTCGCAACCTCGCTAGCGATGATATCTCCAGAGGGACTCCGGCGAGGGTTTCTCCTTTACTGGCTGACCTTCTTGCCTCTACTGGCGCTGTACAGCGGCCAGGTCTGGTCTGCCGCGGCAGCGGAGCAAACCGGCGGCGCCACCAGATTCGACTTCGGGATGCTCTCTCTCACGAATCTGAAGCTCCTCGGAGACGCCCACCTGAATAAAGGCAGCATCCAACTCTCCCCGGACCTCCCCGTCCCCAACAGCGGCGCCGGCCGCGCGCTGTACGCGAGGCCCGTGCGGTTCCGGCACGAGGCCACCCGCCTCCCCCTCTCCTTCTCGACCTTCTTCTCCTTCTCCATCACTCACCTCAACCCGTCCTCCATCGGCGGCGGCCTCGCCTTCCTGCTCTCCTCCGACGACCGCCGCGTGGGCGACGCCGGCGGCTTCCTCGGGCTCATCAACGGCAGCGCCGTCGCGCTCGAGGACGGCGCCATCGTCGTGGCGGTTGAGTTCGACACGCTGATGGACGTCGAATTCAACGACATCAACGGGAACCACGTCGGCGTGGACCTCAACAGCATGGTCTCCACCGAGGTCGCCGACCTGGACGCCGTCGGTGTAGACCTGAAGAGCGGCGACCTCATCAATGCCTGGATTGAGTACAACAGCACCGCTCAAATCTTCCGGGTCTACGTCTCCTACGCCACCGTCCGCCCCGCTGAGCCTGTCATCTCCCTCCCCATTGACCTGGGTCGCTTCGTGAACGATTTCATGTACGTAGGGTTCTCTGGCTCCACTCAGGGAAGCACCGAGGTTCACAGCATCGAATGGTGGAGCTTTGCGGCCGCCGGATCCCCCGCTTCCTCGGCCGAGTTCTCCCCTGCGACGGCGCCGCCTCCGCCGGACTCGCCTGCCCCGCCGCCAAATGCAGTCTCCCCTTCAATCTCTGTGTCCGTGGCAAAGGCGAGCCCGAAACTCTCGTCGTCGTCGTCGTCTTCCTGCCAAAGCAATGGTCTCTGCAGACAGGGCCCGGCGGCTGTCGCAGGGGTGGCCACCGGCGGGGCCTTCTTCCTCGCGGTCTGCGCAGGGCTGCTGGTGTGGGCCTACACCAGGAAGCTCAAGTCCGTGCAGAAACCCGACAATCTGGCGGCGGAGATCATCAGAACCCCCCGAGAGTTCGGTTACAGAGAGCTGAGCTCCGCCACCCGCGGATTCGACCGCGCGAGGATCATCGGCCACGGGGCCTTCGGCACGGTCTACAAGGGCATCATCCCGGCGACGGGGGCTATGGTGGCCGTCAAGAGGTGCACAAACAACGGCGGCGGCAGCGACAGGCAGGGGAGAGCCGAGTTCCTATCAGAGCTCTCCATCATCGCCGGCCTCCGCCACCGGAACCTCGTCAGGCTGCAGGGCTGGTGCCACGAGAAGGGGGAAATCCTCCTGGTCTACGACTACATGCCCAACGGCAGCCTGGACAAGGCCCTCTACGAACCCAGATCCTCCGGCGAGGTTCTCTCATGGCGCCACCGGCGGAGGATCCTGACAGGGATAGCGTCGGCGCTGGCGTACCTCCACCGGGAGTGCGAGCGGCAGGTCATCCACAGGGACGTCAAGTCCAGCAACGTGATGCTCGACGAGGACTTGCAGGCGCGGCTGGGGGACTTCGGGCTGGCGAGGCAGGTGGAGCACGATAAGACCCCGGAGGCCACCGTGACGGCGGGCACCATGGGCTACCTCGCGCCGGAGTACCTGCTGACGGGGAGGGCGACAGAGAAGACGGACGTGTTCAGCTTCGGGGTGGTGGTGCTGGAGGTGGCCTGCGGGCGGCGGCCCATCGAGAACAGGGCAAGCGGCGGCGGCGCCGCCGCTGGCACGGCGGTGGGGAGCAATCTGGTGGAGTGGGTGTGGGGGCTGCACGCCGAGGGGCGGCTGCCGGCGGCGGCAGACGGGAGATTGGCAGGGGAGTTCGACGAGGGGGAGATGAGGAAGGTGCTGCTGGTGGGGCTGGCCTGCGCCCACCCGGACCAGGCGGTGCGGCCCACCATGAGGAGCGCGGTGCAGATGCTCAGCGGGGAGACGGAGCCGCCATTTTTGCCGGGCTCGAAGCCCTCCATGAGCTTCGGCAGCACCAGCCACCACCTCCTCCTCAGCTTGCAGGACAGCGTCTCCGACTGCAACATGATGACCGCTCTCTCCACTTCCTCCTCTTCCTCCTCCGTCAGCGCCACCCTGATGATACCGCGCGGCCCCTAACAGACGCTTCCCCCTCGCCGGCGGCGGCCGGAGTTCATCAGTCTGTCTCTCTCTCTCTCTCCCTCCACATTTTGAAGAAACTTCTCGCTGTACCTACATTAATTCCCCCCCGACGGCGTTGATCTCCGAGAATTCTGTCCGTGAATCTGAATAGCATCCATAATGTCCAGGAATTTTGTTCATCTTCGCCGCAGAGAGCAAGGTGACGGCGGGCTACAGAAGCCCGACCCCTGAACCCCCTCGAGCCCACGAGGGAGAAGATCCAGAGGAGCATAAAAAACCCTAAATGAGTTGGTGGGGAGGACCAGTCCGAGAGGACGGATCATCGACGGCAACGGACAACCCACCCACCCAACAACAGTCGGCGGGATAAAGGGGTAAACCCTCAGCGGCGTCCCCACGGCTCAGACAGGTCCGTTAACCAGAGACAGTTGTCCGCGCGTCGAGGGGACCCCGCGCCTGCAGATCCGCCATTGGAGCACGGGCCAAGAGACAGGCCGCGGAAGAGCCAGAGACCAAGGGGGATGATTCCAAAGAACCAGACGGACCTCTGCGAGGCGGCTGCTCCCCTTGTTGATGGCCGCTAGGACGGATCGTGATGGGTCGGGTGTACAGGGTACATCAAAGCCGTCTCATCAGTTCAGGAATCTCTTGAAGCAATTCAAGAGTTAAAGAGCTCTATCCTCTCTCTCTCTCTCTCTCTCTACAGACTTGTAGTAATAACCTGATGAGCAGAAACGAGTACCACTGTTTGAGATCATTACCAGTTTAGGAATCGCATGCATGATAGAATCTGTGATAATTGCACGCTCCAGCTTGGAAAGTGGTGACAGTCCATTTATCATCATCCCAAAAAAGGTCAAGAAATATCCATCTCCATCACTCTGCGTGCGAAGAGAACAGGCGACTTCTGTCAGTTTCGCATATTTGGAAAGGAACACCTTTCTGGGAAAAAAGAGTTCTTCCCATGGACATGTTTTCTAGAGAGAGAGGCAACGGGTTTTTACTGGGCCAGCATAGCACGTGGAAACATCCCTTTCACTTCAATTAAACAGCTCATGCGGTGATTTGATAATATGAGTCATCATCTAACATAGGAACAGGATTTCACTTCAATAATCAGATCAGGTTCAACAGGGCAGCTTTGATTATGCCAAACGATGTCAGAAATTAGTAGAGGAAAAGAAATAAGATAAGTCAAACTAAACAGAATAATGGGCGATCAAAATCACCTTGGGTCCACCTCTCCGTTATCATAATGTCTGGAATCAGGATACACAAAAGCCCTGAAAATGACAGAAAATCAGACAAGAACAGAGAGTCTTTACCTCAGTGATTGTAAGGAAGCAATCAGCCAACGTCTTTCCCTCCGGCGCAACGAGGAATAGCAACATCAAGGCAGGCCGACATACTTAGTCCGGACTTCATACTTAGTCCGGATTTCATGACACAGTCAGTCCCCTGTTCAAAGAAATATACAAATTCCTGGTAGAAACTGAGAATAAACTAGTATTGCTATTGATACTTTACAGTTCTGTCATGCATTTTTTTTTTTGAATACACAGGAAACTATTTTAACAAGTCCAATGTATCATAGAGCAACTAGTATATTGAGGATGTAGGCCCGCGCAGTAACCAAACGATCAATCAGTAGGGGACATGATACAAATGAATCAGTACCTTTCACCTCCTGCCAGGAACATTTCCCTCTGGAACAAAACAATTCTCAAACACATGCTGGCAACAGTAGGAGATAACTTGTAGAAGATATGGAAGAAGATAACTGGTGTCAGAAAGCAGAGGCACGTGTCACTTCCTCAAATCCCAATTTCATCCAGTTGTTGAACCGTGCTGAACACGCAATGACAGTGGCGCCAACAGCTGCTTGATCTCTTAAAAGCTGCACAGTGGCGCCAACAACTGTGTTTGACATTTGAGAAAAACTAATCATTTACTTAAATTTCCACATTCTTAGCAAATTTCATGAACATGATCTGCAGATTTTTCGCTGAAAAACCTGCTGAATTCATATGCATTTGGTTCAGATCATGCCCTTCTCCATGATAAATGGGGCGACTCGTTTTGATATAGCTGTAATATCTGCCTCGGCACAAGCTAGCTGTAATAAATGGGTTCAGAAATCAGTTTCCTTGAATAATACAAAAAATTCTAAGAATTGAGGAACTCCCCAGGCATGAGAGGAGAGGAGAGGAGAGCACAGCATTGACTGATTATACGTTGGAATAGCCACAGATGTGTGCCAAGAAAATTATAAAAATCGAAGCAAGGCTAAAAAATACAAAACAGTAACTTGCATAGAGTCACCGAATGGATTCAAATTGATTGCATATGAGGTTAAAAGGAGGAAAAAAAAAAATGGCAGCAAAAGTAATGATTGCATCTATCTTGGGGATATGAATAATGATTGCATCACTGATAAGAAGAACGACATATAATGCTGCATCAAAAATTGGCATATCATAGCCTGAACGGAAAAAATAATTCACTCTTCTACTGAACATTCCTCTAGAGGCAACATAATTAACATGAATGATTTTAAATAACCGTTCAAGTGCCCCATGATACATAAGTATTCATGCCTCCAAACAGAAATTGGTGTAACGACTGTCATGTGTTGGAGTTAAGAGAGTGAAATCCATAGAGACTATAGGTAAATCAAGCAGTTATGCAAAGAAAATTTTCAAATGGTATCAATTTTGCATAACTTAGAAAGATGATCCATGTATAACCCTAAAAAGTATGAAACATTAAGCTTGTGTAGGGATTTAAGCACAAAGATGAAAGAAATAGTGGAGGTTGAAAAACCATGCGACACACTAGAACAGATGATTGATCTCGTGCACACACTAGAATAATTCGAGAAAAAGATAACTCGGTTGCCCAATAATGGAGAGAGAAATAAGAGATTAGTTTTAGAGGATCTTACTTTACTATGTCTAGTGTTGGAGGATCTTATCGAATTTTCTTTTGAAAATACAAGTTAATTTCATGAGATTAGTGACCCGATCAATTAAGTTTAATCTCCACATATGTCACACCTCTAATGGGCACAGTATCACTCTCAGCACCACATGTTTTAATTAAATACACTAATTTCTTCAAAGACCACACCCTTCACTAGCATTAATAGTCTTTCAACACATTGTGTCTTAGCTCAAACTTTTGTTCACTCATCACCCATGTACTTTAGGGCCTAATGAAAAGAGTTAACTTTTGAAGCTTTAGTGAAATATTTGATATAATTTTCATCTCTTTTTTTGAAGTTCGTGATAACTTGACTACTATAGATGGAGTGTGATCTTCTTTTGAGTTTGAATAAATATAATTAATATTTTTTTCGTTCATAATTAAATCTTATTTTTTGTAAACTCCTTTATATTTTCTAATGTCTCTCTATCTTTTCATCACTTGAAAAATGATCACACAAATTTAAATTTCTTCTCATTACTTTGTCAGGTCACTAGTGACCTTTACTTGTTCTTCTATTTGAAGCTTGCTATTCTCTTGCTTATTGTTCTTAAACTTTATCTGAAGATTCATAGTTTATCAATAGATAATATTTTTTTCAAAGTTGAGCTCAAATAATGTTGTTAAGCTCATCGTTATCTCCATATACTTTGTCAATATATTACCATCTAGAATGTGTGGCATTGCTCTTCTCTCATTCCTTACTTCAAGGTTTGTTATTTTCACATCAACTATATTTGAAGCTTGATCTAAAGATACATGATTTATCAACAATTGTCTTTGCTTTAGGGGTTAAGTCAGAGTAAGTCTATTTGGTCTATCATTTTCTCCACATTTTTTGTTGGCATGTTAACGTCCAAAGTACATAACAAAGATTTATCTCTTTTCGCGATAACCTCACACGAACACTTTAATTCTTTCATTTGGAGATTGAATCTTACTTTAGAGATTGATCCTTTGATATTTTGCTACTCAACTTTCTAGTGTGTCATCACTTGAGTCTAATTTTGAATCTCACTAATGACTTTATTTTTCTGTAATTTTTAAAGAATTTGGCTACTAAGAGTTTTGTCTTTATGTTTCTTAAGTCTTGAGTTTGAATCTTATACTTTACTTCATATACTTCAAATTTTCAAGTATTTTTTTCATCGAGGCTTCTAACTTCTCATTGCTCAAGGTGTGAGTTTGAATCCCACAAGTGACTTTGTATTTCTTGAATTTTCAAAAACTTGGTTACATATGTTGACACCTAATTTTTAATACTCATTTTGAACTATATGACGCTACATTAAATTCATCATGAAAAACTTTCAATGACATAACCCATTGTATTCATTGTTAGTCATAAGATTATTCAAGCATCATCAATTCATATTTTGAATATTCCTCAAATATATCAGATTTGTAACATATGTCTTTAGAAAAATAATATATTATTTTATTAAATATTTATAAATAAAATTTTACTTGCACAATATATTATTTATAAATAAAATTTGTAGATAATATAATATTTATCAAAATCAAAGACATCATAATTCATATTACTCTGTAAAAAATTATCGTTAAAAAATTAGAGATTCATACGTGAAGACTAGGAGAATGCATGAGAAATAAAAATATTGAATAATAATAAGTATATATTGGCATACTTATGATAATATCTAATCTTTGAACAAGTGGTACTTATGGCATAGTGCTAGAGATTAAGAACAAAAAATGAGATGCTTTGCACTTAAATCATGTCGGCTTCTCCTAGATTAGTACTTAGATTATTATTTTCATTGCACTTAAAATGCTTCTTCTCCTCACAAAGAGGGCAAGAATGAAAGAAGAAAAAATTGATAGAATTTTCACCACATTAGAATGGAAGAACACACTTATACAACATGAATTGAGCGAAATATCCTCAATGACAATAACATGTCCATGTATATGACTGAACCAATGAACTCTCCTCACATAGAGTTCTGGATTCCTCATTAGCATAGACATCGGTAGAATGTGATTAGATGATCATATTCTAGATACTATCTAATTCATATACCAATGGATTAATATATAAATTGGATGTGGGCACCATAGGAAAGTCTAACATATCCACATGCTCACATCATACAATCATTTACACAAGTAACATTATGAGATAAATCATATTTAATTTCATTTTATCTATTCAATTCATTGTTTAGTATATGGCTTAAAAAATCTGGATTTCAAGGACTCAAGTAAAATGGAAAATCGATTGAGACTAAAAGGGTTTTCAACTATTTTGGCCAAATTTTCCTCGATATAACAAAATGATATGATTACTCAACATGTGTTGATTGTTCTTCAATCCAGTTGAAATAACAGGGGAAAGAAAGAGCTGGTTGTAATCAAGGGTCAATGACCATCATTCTGTAATTTATATTAACTAAATGACCAATTTATTGTATCATTTGTTAACCAAACCTAGAGCAATTGAATATATCAGAAGAAAAGAGCTTTTCGGTAATTAATTGCATTTATTTCTTAATTGCAATATGCGTACTGCTTTGTCTTTCATCAATTTTTTATGCTTGGTGCAGCTAGTCAATGGAGATTGAAATCACCCGATAGCTTCTATAATTGACATCCAAAGTCAACGCCATCACTAATTCGGGAAATAACACAAAACCGGTGTCCATGGCAAGACATTAAATGGCTACAAGTATGAACTTGAAGATGTAGAAGAAAGTGTAGAGAACCATATCAGAAAGATGGCGGTCAAATACGCTTGGTAGGACCTCATCGGAATACTCGGAGGGCACGTGATCAACCAATCTCACACGTGTGTCGGAGGCAACGGCGGGATTCGAACCCAAAAACGGCCGCATGAGGCAGGCGGATGGTCGGCCGGCCGAGACTGTTGTACTCAGCCTTCTTTCTCCTCTTTCCCGGCGACCATCGCCGGCGTTGGGGAAGCAAGCTCTCCCTGCGATGGAGGTCTCGCTGGAAAACCGCCTGCCTGAAGCCGACTCGTTGCCGGACGGTTTTGTTGAAAGCTCTGCGGAGCCTCAGCTTTCTTCTTTCTCTCCAGTACCTCCACCTGTGGTCGCCGAATATAAGGACTCTCTCCTGGATGCTGACTGCGGCCCGGTGCGTAGATCTTCGGATCTCCTGTTTGATGAGGTATCAGTCGTCGACCAGGTGGAGAGTGCCGTGAGAGTGGTGGCTTCTCCTTCTTGCATACCGGAAAACGACAAGAATGTTGGGGGCTCCGGTGGTTCGGCGGACGTACGTGCTGGCGCGGTGTCGGGATCTGTTCCTGGTCTGAGGAATGAACAAGGTCATTCGTCTTTGCGAGGTGGCGAGCAAGTTCTAGGGGACGACGATATTTCTAATCGAGGTAATAATGGAAGAGATTGTCCGCTGAAGTGTACAACCTCAAATAGTCCCAATTTTTTTTTGGGGGGGGCAGCGAAGCTATGCATTATTTTTTCGGAGGTATGGCTTGTAAGTGGAAATTTTCCAGGCCCTGTGAACGACTGAACCAAAGAGGATTCAGTTGTAACCTAGATGAAACATGTAAGAAAATGATTGAACCATAGTGGACGCTGTGCATTCAGACTAGATGAAACATGTGAGAAAATAATGCATGACTGACCCAAAAAATGGAGAACTTCACAAATAAAATTTGCACGGTGCTTCCATTGTCAGTATGGAAGTGGGGATCCTTTATTTCAGTTAAATACGTCATGGGACTAATCTATAAACAAACATAATCCAAAGTATCAGCCTTTTAAAAAAATCTCTGCTATGCAAACTCTCCACAATCTAACATTTATCTTGGTTTTAACTAAGAGTTTGAAAACATGCATTTGCCAATCAAGTGATGAGCATTTCTTTAACTTTGATCCTTATGAAACTTGATATCTGTCTATCTTCGTCTGTGCTGAATGGTAACCTACATTGTTGTGTATCAGACAAATAGCATTTTTATGCAGCCAATGAACAATTAATTGACAAGCACTATGGAGTTTTTCTCTGAACATATTAGAACATTATCGTAGCCGAAGAACAGCTTTAGTAGTCGAAGATAAAAAGGGAAGACTTGTTTGATTGAAAATTTTGATCTTGAGAAGGCTTATGACAGGGGACATCGTTGCCATTGAGAAAGGGTACCTTCGAGTGTTCACAAATCACACTGGTGCATGCATTATCTTTTTTTTTTTTTACGATCATTTGGTTCCATCGTCTCTCAAAAGTTTGTTTGCCTCAAAAATCAATATTTCCAAAAGAAAGAGGCAGTATATATTGTACACGCGAAATTATTAAATGAAAAGGGAAAATTAATTCATGTTTGGATTCATGTCTATCAGTCTTTTGGTACATACAGTTATGACATGTTTATTGCATTTTGTGGCAAAGAGTATGCCCCCTTTCTCTTTCTCATCTCTGTTATTTGTTTCCCGTTTCTTGCAGAGAATTTAGAGAGCTCGGGATTGCATGCAATCAATTCAAAACCTAAAGAAATATCTGCAGATGAGCGCCCTGAATGTCCGACGAATCAAAAACTTGTTAGTAACGTAGCCTCGTTATTATTTTTGTTCTGAAATCATTCCTTCAATGCATATTGAAAAAATCTTCAATACTATCCTTGTATTTACCTTCAGTTTTTTTGAGTGGCAAAATGAGCGTATCATTGATTGTGTCATATTTTCAGCTCGATCTATTAATCCTCCTGGAATGTAGCCTCATTGACTTCAGGTTCTCTAATAAATGAATCATCTATTGATTTTTTGGCCTATTCAAATCATTCCAAGTCAAACCAACAGAGCATTGGAAGAAACGGAAGCACTGAGCGTTTAATTTGATGTCAAATAAGTGAAAAATGCAGGAATTTCTGAAAACGTAAAGACATTTTCAGGGGCATGTTAAAATATTTTTGGTGTCTATTAAGCTGTTGCTGTCTCATCCAAATTCTGGTCTGGAAGTTTAATTCCTTCTATCCACCATTTTTTGCTATATATGGTGAGTTTTCAAGGACTAATACCATTTTTTATTTTCTTGGACTATTAATGATATCGTTTTCCTTCTTGATGATTTCTTAGGATGCTTCTGAAGCAAAACGCAAAGCTGGAAAGCGGAATGTGAAATCTGGGAAAGAGTCCTCTGAGTTTAACCTTTTGAGGTATCAAAAAGTTATTGCAGAAAGAGATGCAGGCACGTTTTCCAATCCCTTTTAAACATTCTTTGAAGGATTACTGAGTTATATCAAAAATAGATGCAACCTGGTGGACTAACCACTTGTTTTGTCCTCCAAACACAACCGAAAGTTCAGCGTATGATATTACCTAATTTATTGAAGGATGATTCCCATTTTTCACTATAATGATATATATATATATATATAGCATTGAGGTGGATGTTTGAAAATAAAGACAATTACAATGAATAATCGGAGAGGATAATTTTACTTGATAAGTTATGTAGTGAGTTAATGTGGTAAGGATATTTATCTTCAGTTACCTATTTTTTTATCATCATTATTTCGAAGAATATCTTCTGTTATATCTAAGAAAGTTATTCTGGCAGCTATTGTTGTCCGAGAAAGACTGGAATCACTTTGTAGGGAACTGCAGCGACAGAATAAATTGCTTATGGTACACTCTCAAAAATCTCCCCGTGTTCTCCTTGGTCATAGTACTTCATTTTGATTTACACGAAGGTAATCAGTTGATGTAGTTAGCGAGCTTCAATCTCTGTTTTCAGAAGCCAATTTTTTTGGAAAAGTGGATAATTTTCAAGACTTCAGTTGAATTTTTTGGATTTGACCCAAACTAGTTTGCATAGAGTTCAAGTTAAGGCATTTCTAATTTGGGCATGGTCAAATTCGTCTTCAATATCCTTAGTGACCCCTTAAAAAATCGAGTGTATTTTGCATTTTTCTTTTGGTTTGTTAGAGTACAGACCTGCCTGCTTCATTAGTTTTCAACATTATAAATTCTACTTATGAACCTTTGTACGTCAGCAGACTTATTTGTATCGTGTTGATACATTTATTTCTGTTTAACACATAATCTCACGCCATCTATTTTAATATTTGGCTTGTTGGTATTATTTCGACAGTGCTAACTATGAAGTTACATTTGTTCACATGAATAGATCTTGAAACGCAAAAACTTAAATACGGATAATTTATATCTAGATGTTTTCTATTTCATGCTTCCAAGAATTTGGCCTGTTTGAATTCAGTTCTGAGTGGGATGTGAGGAGATTGTACTCCGAAGTTTTCTTTGTGGAAAGAGGGAGTTATTTGTCGTGTTCTCAGAACAGAAATTTTCTTGAAGCAACTTGGGAAAAGCTTTATAAAGGGTAGGTGTTATTTAAAGAAGAGTGTTAAGGTGAATTCAAACAAGTCACTGCCATTGGTCTCAGTCTTTACAAGCCACAACAAAGTTAATATCCTGATTTCACATTTTTTTTACTTTTTTTCTCTCGACATGATACAGAGCTGCCTGTCCTTTGTCAGTATTTCATGTCCTTTCTTACACTGTACACGACTTCTTTTGAAACTCATTTAAGGCAAAACACAAATGTCCTGTTTGTGGTGCCCAAATTTGCAGGACGAATGCAAGAGAGTGTCAACTGAGGGGCAAAACGTGAGATCAGAATTCTCAAAGAAGTTTAATGATGCAATTGAGGTTTGTGTGCTGTGTGATTGATTCAGTTTTGACGAGAAACCACGTACTTCTGGATATGTTAGACACTTTATTATACCGGATAAAATTGATACAGAAATTATCTAATTCATAAATCTCACACATTTCTGTCTGAACATTTCCAATTTGTTTCACATATACTGATGGATAACTCTTTCAGGATGTCAGCAAAAAGCTTGAGATGCAAAAGGAAGAATCCCTTGCTCAATTGAAGGAGAATGAATTGTAAGGTTTCTTTTTGGAAACTCGTGTCTGCCTATTGTGTGATTTTGGCACTCCTTTTTTATTTACTTTCTGAGATGAATCTTTCCCTTGAATTTTTTTTGTTGAACTATCCTGAAGTTCTCAGTTGGATAAGGCATCAAGTCAAAACAAAAATTATAGATTCCTGGGGAAAGGCACATGCCCAGACAGAATGGAAACGGGAGCCATTCTGGTAACTTGGTTGCATATGCAGTAAAGAATATAGGCACATGCACACACATGCGCGCTTGTGTGAATGCGGACATGCACACTGACCCATATACACAGACGTGAATGATTTGATCTATTAAATCAATTGATTATTGGGATCCGTCTGTTGTAACTTTTAAAATATATATATATATATATATATCATCTCTTGATTTGTGTATTGAAAAAAAAATAAAAAAATTCTGAAGGAGCTTAGTAGAATGGAGGACATCCTCAGTAAAACAGAGCAAAATCTAAAGGATTGCTTCAAGGCTTTTAATGCTGAAGTCAAATCAGAGATCAAACCAAGTCCATTCCTCTCGGGATTTCCCATACCTAGGGCGAGTTATCCGGATTTAATTTGCTATTTGTCGCCAACCCAACCCATCTATTGGCCCTTTAGAATCAGATTAGGATAATCCATGTAAAACTTGTTTTGACTGATTCATGATTCCATGATCGACTGGAAGGTTCACTCTCAACATTTTTGGGTACCTGGAAGGCTAAACATAAAGAAGTGCATTTATTTGTCGTATAAGGATATAGATGCGGTTGGTTTTTCTTAATATCTTCAATCGCCTGCCAGCTTTTTAATATCTGGTATTTTTCTTACATATTTGTACCTTTTTTTTATCAGTACAACTCACATTAGAAAAGGAAACATTGTTTTATTTTTTATGTTAATCTAATAAGTCGGTTGAAAAGTATTTTCTATATGTTTACTTATAGGTTGAGAAATAAGTTGACTCATCTTACTGAGCAATATGCTCTCTCTGAACAGGCCTTTGGAGAAAAGGTTCTCTCTGTTATTACCATTTACAATATTATCTGCATCTCCCCTTCTTGGTCTACTCTAAAAGGATCGCTTTTACTTATGTCCCCACAAAAAAAAACTTTGATTGCGCAGTTGAAACAAAAAATGCTTGAGCTTCAGCTTGCTGATCTGAAGATTCAGCAGCATCAAGAGCGGACGGCACAGGAACAAACACAGAAGGAACTTTATGTAGAACAGGTCTCCCAATTATTGGAGACCGAAAAGAGTTTGCGCTTGCAGCTTGCTGCTGATGGAGAAAAGTTTCAGCAGTTCCAGGTGCCTGTGATTCAGACTTTGCCAATTTTGTGTTTTTTCATCACTACGTTTTATTGAAAATTTCGAAATTGTCGTGTTAACCGATCCTCCATTCTTGTATCAAGATTCACCGAAAACATGTTCATTTTTTACAAACTGGAAATCTTAGGTCCAGATTCGCCTGAAAATTGTTCACTTTTTACCAACTGGGAACTTTAGATCAAGTTTCACCTGAAAAATTATTCACTTTTTACCAACAGGAACTCTTAGATCGAGATTTCAACTTAGTGGAAAAATAGAGATGCGTCTGGAAACATTTGAATCCTTTTTGTTCTTACAAATGTCAACTTCCTAGTATAACTCTCTCTAGAATTCCTAGAATTCAGTAAGAGACAGAGTTAGCATGACTCTTGAATGGGGTGTTTGTCATGCATGTGCTGAAATATAGCTTGAGGACTCTTTTTTGTGTTATAAAGTGTAAACTCTTACTGAAGAAAGTCAGAAGGATGCCTGAAATAGACGTTTCATCATGAACCCAGACATGATACTCGGAAGTCCAGGCTAGGCAAGTATCATGTCTATTCATGACGAAATAGACATGTTAACTTGATGGTTGATAATACTTTCCACGTGGTTTCTAAAATCTTGAATTCGCCGCTTTGTGGTTGCGTCCGGACATGTGCACGAGCAATGGCCTTATCCACTAAAATATATATGCCTCTTGGCCATGATCTTCCCATTTAGTCAGATTCATGAGACACGAGACAACCGACACTTGCGTATCATCTAGTTACCAGGCTGCTTGTCAGAGTGGTAATACTTGACAAGGCTGTTTCCTTGATCTAGCTTAACGGTGGGGATCCATATGAATCATATTAGCTCACGGCACTGCACATCCGTGTGGATGATTTGATTTTTTTGCTTATCCAAGTCAGATAGATGCCTTTGCTGAAAACACTAATCATTTCTTTGTTTGTGCAGGATGCTCTGCTGAAGAGTAATGACGTGTTTGAAACTTTTAATAAAGAGATGAAAAAGGTATGCGAATCTAAACAGCAAAATTACATGCTACTCGAGCAACTTCGCCAATATTACCTTGCATAATTTCTTTGCTATGGACGAAATCAGATGACGAAATTAGTAAAAGATCTTAAGAAGGAAAACATCTCTCTGAAGACCAAATGTGAGGAGCAACACTTTTCAATTGCAAAGCTTCTTTCAGAGGTGAGCTTTTTATTTTCTACTGACAATTACTGATCGTTAGAAGATGAAAATTTTCTGTATATCCATTCTTTATTGATCAAATATTTAGGAAATGAATGCCATTTACTGACCTCTTCTCAGATTTAAGACATTTGCACTTTTCTGCACAGAATTTTCTTGTATTATCCTGTGGGCTGCCCCCGCCTTAAATCATCCCAACGGCCTGCACTACCTAAGTGGGCTTTTAATATCCTGGATGCTTCCATGCGTTTCCCCTGCACAAAAAGGGGGGAAACGTCCACAAGGAAAGCCTATCCGTAGCAATTTTCTCCTTATTTGCTGACCTACAGTATAGTTCACTACACCCTGACCTTCTGCTTAGCAATGAGTTATCCGGAAGCTTTCCCGTTGGCTTTCCATGCGGAGGTGAAATATCAGAAGCAAGGCCCATCCACGTCATCCCCCCTTCATAGTGCATTAGCAGAGTCCCAGTCAACTGGTTTGTGTATCCTCTTCTTTTGCAATTATTCATTTTTTGCGTGAATCTCTTGGATCAGCTCGTGGGTCTTGTCCATTTCTTCAAACATCACAGCATCTCTGTTTTTCCATGCATCATCCCCCTAAAAACCTCCGCGGCTTATGAGAACCAGGCCTCGGCCTGTTGCTCCTCAACAGTTACAGCTCTTTTATTTGCTTTTCTGTGAGTACAAGGGCGATAATTGCCGCACGATGTTCCCCTCTCTTTTAGAGAAAAAAAACAGATATGCCCATGAAAACAGTTGCTCTCTGGTTTTAACATCAGATCCCATTCCTTCTTATCATCTAAACAATCATGTCAGTAGGCATTCCTTCATATTTTTATTGCTTCTCACTTTCAAATATCGACCCCCTTTTTCTTCCCTCATTTTCCATGGCCACAGCGTGAAAGTATGAAAAAGGAGCTAGACAAGGCCACAAGGCAAAAGGAGAATCTCGAGTCTCTGTGCCGCTCATTGCAAGCAGAAAGGAAGCAGAATTGCATCCGAACAGACTCTGAGCAGGAGAACCCCTGAAGAACAGGCCAGACTTTGTGGAACCTCTTTTCGAGATTCTCTGCTATAAGAATGCAAATTAATCCGAGGGTCACCAGTTTATTTACTACCACCGTGGTTAAGATTATGTTACGCCAGATACTGTTTTATCTGATGTCTGACCAACACGCTGCCAAGAATAATATTGTCGATTTAATCGTCTTCTATATGTATTCAGCTTTGAGTTTTGCTGTCCCAAGAAATTGAGTTTTTTGGTTGAACATGAAGAGAGAGAGAGAGAGAGAGAGAGAGGCGAGCAGATACGAACCACCTTTCATGAAGAAAACAATGCACTCTTCCTTCAGTTACACTCTTATAAGCGGTCAGCGGGAGTGACAATTTATCTCGTCACAATTATCCTCAATTTCTTTGATCGAAACTCCTGCCTGGTCCGACAGCTGGAGGTTTGAGCCACAAGAATTTCCAAAGACATCATCAAACATGACAACTTCAAAGAAATTCGACAGCTGCCAACGGGAAAAGAAAAGTTCTTCCGAGTCAATAAGTAAAATTATGACCTCATATTAGAAAACTTATCGGCTCTTCTTACATGGTGAATGAAAAAGGTAGTTCAAAGGTCTTACACTCGAGCTTCTAAATCCTTTCCGATATAGGTGCTAGATTTACAAAAGTAGATAAATGGACTAGTTTCCCCTGTTGCTTTATTCCTCCCATCCAGACCAGATAAATAGTTAGATGACTAATGTAGCATATGACGTATATCTCAGTCATGATGATTGAAACTACTTCCCAGTCATGATGAAAATATTTGGAACGGGCTCTAAATCCCAAGCACGTCTGCAAAAGGCAATATGAAATGCACTTAGTTAGACATGAATCTGATGAAAGAAAGTGGACAGAGAAAAGCTCCCAATATTTTTCCTGCTGATTTTAATCTTGCAAGACAGAAATGGGTACACGTCAAACGAATGTAGCCAAAGAAAAACAAAGAAGATGTACTATGATTTTGACGATGTTCTAAGCAAGACATGATTAATGTCTATATAAATCAAGCGAAACGGGGTTTCAAGGGACATAAAATGCTTCTTAAAAATTGTGCTCGAAAGGAGTTCAACAGAATGAGGCCTAGTCATTTTAGAAACACGAGAGCACTCCCAGATATTGGATTCTGTGGCGAGTTAGGGCCACAAGTTCGTGAAGATGAGCAATAAAGAAGCTTAAGAAGATATGCCTGCATACTACTTGTTCCAACAAGCCGTAGCTGCCATAAACTCAACATATGATTCCAGCCATATAACCACAGACATGCAGAGGAAGTGCATGTTCACCGCCCAATGCATAGCAGGAGAATAACCCACATTAACCGTATAGCGCCACAAGGCACAGGAAAATATACATCTCGTTGAGATGTAAGTGCAAAATATACATCTCGTAGGCAAAGAAATTCATGGCTCTACAGAGATCCCAAAAAGGGATATTTGATGGTATCCCGCATTAGCAGCAACTATCTCATACCATCTATTAATCAGGTCACTTCATAAATAACGTCCCTGGTATGCCTCCATATTAATTGAAAGCTTCTTTTGTTTTTCTCTCAGCACAATGCTCATAGAAGAAATTGGCGAAGGATCTATTCTTGTTAATGGCCATCCAATTGCTCATAAATACATAAAATTATCCATTTCAGTACTGCACAACTAATACACCTCAATCGGTATAGAGGTGATCTACCGAGTAGCTGGATGACCCCCACAATCGAGAAAAGGCACGAGACGTTTTCTGCCAATCCCTGAACTTGCAAGAAATTTCTGCCATTTTCCTCTCACTACGCGGTTCACAATACAGTTCCGGACAGGAACGTCAAACTACTTCGTATCTCACTACGTCCTACTACATTACAGAAATATTTCATACTTTAGTTCCTTGATTCACAAACCATCCAATAAACAATTGAAAAGGATGGCAAAGGCAAAGTATCATGAACAAGAGGGAGAAGGAGACGGAAAACCATCATCTCCATGAAATCTCCTTGTCTCAGTGCCCAAGGAGAATCCCAGCTTGAAAAGGATGGGAAGGAGCTAATTACAAGGGATGGCCTCATAGAATGGCTGCAGGGAGCACCATTGAAGAACAAGAGGAAGGCCAGCGTGGGAGTACCTCGAGGACCATTCTGATGCTCAAGCTTGTCAGAGGCACCAGTGTGGAAAGAAGAATGAGCCCAGGAGGGTTGATTGTTTGAAGAGTTTACTGCAGTGTTCTGAGATAATCGTGACCAAACTTATGCGTGCTTGGGAATGTGAGATGCAGATGTATGACTTCTCCTGGGTGATTAGTATGCGTTTGCATGACAGAAATGAGTCCAATCTAGGTCCTTCCTCCAACCTCCGCATCATTACTAAAAAAATCTACAAAGGGTCAAGCCTATGAGGAAAAAATCAGGCAAAACGTGCAACTTTACAACGTAGAATCTACCATCCAAGAATTGTTCCCATATAAAACATAGCATCGTATGGGCTATCGTCCATGCAAACAATCCAATATCTTGACCTACTTTAGCAAGCTTTCTTACAGATCAACACTCTGAAAGCTGGAAACAATGATGGATCAGATGATTTCAACTTTAAAAAAAAACTGGCAGGCAGTTGGTTAGTAATATGACACTAATTTCCGAGAGACAACAGAAAAAATCGCAAGAAACGCTGAGTCAAACAACCAGAAATAAAAAGAAATAGCGAGACCGAGGAGAGAGACAGAAAGAGAGGCAAGATAGAGGCATAGGATTACTTTGCGATACCCTGATCTCCAATTCTGTCAATTTTCAGCTACAGGAAAGATTAGGACATCAGATCACAGCCTGGAAATTAGATTCCTAATTTCCTAGTAGAGCTGAACTCTAGAATTCTGATTGTTTAGCAAGGTTTCCTGGCCCAGAGGCATAACAATCGGTGACCCACATCCACAGACTAATGAAGGAAAATGTAAGAATCAAAGGCACATGTCAACAACCAAACAAGGGAATGAACATAATAACAAGAAAATGTCCATAAGCCACATTGGCACAACTTACGGTTTCAATCTGATTTCTTCCGAGCAGCCCTTGCATTGTCGTATTCAAATTTGAGGACGTCGGTGATGTGAGAGGTATCTTTGATATAAAAGAATCTTCCTAACGCACTCTCCTCGATAGCAGGAAAATAGTCGATGAGCAATGAGTTCACAACCCAGTACCAAAGTATCCCGAGGACTATCCCTAGGGTTGCTCCCGCAAAAACCTGAAAAATCCAAGCGTCACCATCGGCGGCATAAGGTTTCAGCAAACGTATATGCATAAAGAAATTTCTCAGATCCAAGCAGAAACAATCATAATAAGATCATAGAAAGGTTGAAACATAGGTATCTCAAATACTCGAAGATCCAGAGGTAACTGGAGAAAAAAGGGGGAAGTGTTGGGTATTTCTTTACCTGAGCAACGGAGTGGTATCCTAAATACACTCTGGAATACATAGTCAGTAAAGCGAGCGGCCAGGAAACGGCGGCGACGAAGACCTTGCTTGCGCGGGTGGAGATGCCGACACCCCTAAAGGCGAGCAGCGAGAAATAGACGGCGAAAAAGAACATGTATTGGGAGTGGCTAGAGGGCCAGCCGTGGGAGTCGCACATCTCGAGAGCGACGCAGGTCTCAGGACGCGACTGTTGGACGGACTTCTTGACGAGCTCGTTAAGGATCTGCGAGATGAAAAGCCCCAGCGCGAAGAACATGCCCTGGAGTTCCCGGCGGAAAAGGAAGTGGGCGACGAAACCGCCAAGACTGATGAACACGGGGATCAGGGAGACCCACGCGAGGAAGTGCCCAAGAGAGTCCCCCCGCCGGTAGCGGACGTGCGTCAGCGTCACGGCCTTCAGGGAAGGATGCGGCGAGTGGGCCATCGCGAAGCCTCACGGCGGAGAAGAGGCGATGGCGGCAGAGGACGCCGTAGGGAGAACGGGGAAATTGGGAAAGGGCGGTGGCAAGTTCCAGACCCACTCCCCTCTCCCCTTTTCTCTCGGCAATTCCGCGGTTTCAGATGGAACGCGAATAAATCTTTGGTAGTCGTTCCAAGAGCCCAATGCCGCTCGCAAGACCTTCGACGAAATGCCTGCCTGGTAAAAACACCTCGAACCCCAACGACACCGATCACCTCCCGACGTTTTCGGGTACATAACGGGTACTTTATCGGGTCCACTCTACGGAAGATCGATACAGGTAAATTGCACGACTTGAACATTTTGCTGCCCGCGGTATAAAACCCTTGGAGAGCAGAGAGAGCTTTAGCGGGCCACGCGTTGCAAGGAGTCCAACCGGAAATGGCGGAGGAAGCTCCCTCCCAGCGAAGGGATCCCGTCAAATCTTCAGGCACGCTCCTCATCCCGCTCGCTTCATCCTTCTGGCCACCGTAATCCCTCTGTGCAAGCTCAAATTTAGGTTATTGTCCCGAACCCTAGCGTATATAAGTCTTCTGATGCGTCAACTACGAGAGGTGTCGTCGGAGAGACTGTGGTAACGGTGGCTTCCTTGTGGGTAATTCTTATGGGCTGCCTTTAACTGCGATGCTGCACACTGCGAAGTGGTATGAAGTGAGGATTTGGTGCCACTTCGTCACTATGCTCTTCGAGAACTTGCGAATGTATCACATTAAAAGGTCTAAAAGGAGCTGTCTGATCTGGGTCTAACGCGGAATGGAGAAAGCCGAATCTGATGCGCGGATGACGTGCCGCGAAGGTCAAGCGTAGTGCATATAGACATGTGTGGTCTGTTTAGGATGGAATCCAGGACTAGCTTTTCTGCTGTCATTTATAAATTGAAAATTTTACTAGGATGCAGCACGATAGTTATCGATATTATCAAAATGTCCGTCCGAAATTATTATGCTCAGTTTGGTAGGTCCGTTTAGACTCTTATAAAACATGGAGGATTCTGGTACAATTTAGTGAGAAATAGGAATTCCGGCTGCATTTTTTCAGAGTCATAAGCTTTGTCAAAATTGATCGCGCTGTATTTCTTCATTTTACATGAGTATTGTTATTAGCAACTTATTAAATTTTATATGTATCTCGGTTCTTATGATTCAGTCAACTTATCAACTTCTATACTGGCTCCAGTACACGACCTTGCAGGACGTCGAAGGCGGCAGCATGCAGTTGCTCTGGGGAAAGAAAGAAGAGAAGCATTAGTACGCGCGAAACGCATTTGCAGATATGGACTTGATGATGATGCGACTTCTCAAGAAGGTAGCATGATCACTGATGAAGAGGCTGCAGCATTAGATGCTCAAACATCTCGTACTGTAGAGGAATTGAAACTGGTTGTGGCTCATCCGTGAGTGTTTCTTCTCTACCCTTGACAGTTTTTTCTAACCTCTTGATCTAGAAACTATGTCTACATGCCTCAAATTTTTATCGATTGTTATTTCATTGTACAAAGCCATATTTTTTTTAGTTAGAAGTTGCGATTCAGCAACTGGATGCTGGAATTACTTTTTTCTTGTTTTGTTCATGCGGTACTGGGTAAAATGACTTCATCCTTGATTTTTTTGTTATATTCATTCTTAACTTGATAGCTAGAGCATTAGGAAGATCCAAAATATTTCTGATGAATCGTTCCATTTTCTCATTCTATTCTCATTCCGGACAACCTTCAGGTGCTTTCTCGTTGGTAAAATTGACCTCCCTCAACATATTTCGACAACAATGTCCTCGTGAACATTATATAGCTTTCAGTTATTATGCCATATGCTATGTTCTTACTAAATGTCTGTTCAAAATTTAGATAAAACAATATCACTAATCATGCGGATTCTATGCATTTGTACAATGAAAATTGGATAATAAGTTAAATCTGACACATTTTCCTGATAATTTTTTATTTAATTTTCCACTTAGATCATTTTTATCTTTCAGTTGCTTTTCAGTTTTAGAATGATGAATCTTTTGAAAGATTAAGTGATCACACCCCCTTTTTGATGCATTTTTAGTTGGGTCTATGCAGTTTATAGCTTATTATCAATTTTTTCTTAATTTTTTTACCGGTCCTTTATGTCTCCTTCAGTTCCTATGATCCATATTTTCAATTTGGATATAGCATCCGAGAAATAAAGAAAAAATAATTTGTTGTACGATCGTTTTTAAACGTTGGAGTTTAGGTGAGATAATTTTCTCTACATTGATTTGATTAAATCATTCTATTAGCTGTTTATATTTATGTAAATTGACATCCGACAAGTAGCCCCACGAATGGAGAAGCCTCAATAAATTGAGGGGGGCCAGGACGAATGGGTTTGTCAATTGAAATAGGAAACAGTAAACTTCGACTGTAATTGCTGTTTCAATCTGATAAATAATGATAAGAGTTTATACGAATACGTGTATGCATGTGGGCATAAAAGGAGACGTTTCGTGAAACTATTTCCAGTGGAATGCAAAAGTATATTTTGTTGAAAGTGTAAATTATGTCGATGATCATTATTGGTGTACTTTATTATAGATGAAATTTACTATATGCGAGGGTTGAGTTATAAGATAAAAAAGAAAAGAAAAAGACCCCGAAATGTATGCCTATCCAAGTCTTGGAGGATCTTGATAATGATCGCCTTCTTGATGTAGGGGGAAAGGGGCTACAAGAAAGAAGATAGAGGTTCTTCGTGATTTGAGGCGTTTGCTGTCAAATTCTGAACTACCTCCTGTTGAAGCAGCTGTTGACGCTGGAGCAATTAACTTACTCGTGCAGTGTCTTTCATTTGGGTCACCAGATGAACAGGTGTCTAGATTTTTCATTTTTTACATTTCAGTAAGAACGTTCGGTGGCTCTTATCATTCAGAAATCATTTTCACGGTATTTGACGTGTGAAGAGGGAGTTATCCTTTTAGAAAAATTGATAACTTAAATGATCAATTCGGCTTTATTTGTTTCCAGTGTTCTTGCACATCTGCATGATCACCTCATAATAATGAGTGGCCCATTGTTTTTGCATTCTCCTTGCAGTTGCTCGAGGCAGCTTGGTGCCTTACTAACATAGCTGCTGGAGGATCCGAGCAAACAAGGTCCTTGTTGCCTGCATTGCCTTTGCTTATAGCTCACCTTGGAGGTTAGGTTTTCATGAGCAGTTACATGTAAACATATGAAAGATGAGACAGTGTCATAGTATTCTCCCTGATTTGTCAATTTCCTCTTCTTCTTTTTTCATGATGTAGTAGCCTCCTTGCTGGATCTCAGTTCTATAGTCGAAAAGTTACCTTTAGTGCTTTAATTTATTGTTCCTTTACGATGTGTTTTTTTTCAGAACTTATAAAACGTGTCTCTTCTCACATTTTTGTTCACATGGACCCAGTCCTGATGTTGAACACCTAATTGTCTTTTTTTTTCATACGACAGTTCTTGGCAACCAATAATACATTCTATAGTGCCATTGCCAACTTATATGCATGGGTCATATTTTTAGTTTATTAAATGTTTTAATACTCTTTTAATTGGTGGCTAGCTTCTTTTGGTTTTAAATTTCATTTGGTTAGGACAGACATTACGTAATAGTGTATGGTGTCAAACAACAGATTTCTCTTGGCCTACGATTAATGGATACAATTAATGACCTCTTCAGAACTATCTTAGACATTGATTAGGTTGATCAGCACCTCTAAAAATGGAAGTCATTTTTTTAGTTGTTTTGCCGATTATTAGCTTGAATTTTACGAAGATTGATTGAGAGTTTGGTCACCGAAAAATATTGGATTTGGTTATTTATATGTATGAATTTAGATATATTTCCTGAACATTTCATTCTAAGAGTCGTCATTCTGACTTGAAAATATTGAATAGAAAAGAGTTTGGTGCCTGTTGCTGAGCAATGTGCTTGGGCTTTGGGAAATGTGGCTGGTGAAGGAGAAGAACTGAGAAATATTTTATTAGCTCAGGGAGCTTTATTACCCCTCGCCCGAATGATGATGTCAAGCAAGGGTTCAACAGCAAGAACAGCTGCATGGGCTCTCTCAAATCTAATTAAGGTGTGGGTTCTTTCATTTCCTGATCTTAGCCTTATTTTCTTGATGGACGCTTTCAGCAGCTTTCCCTTCTCAATCACCTTCCGAAGTTTCCATTCGAATTCATTTGGCTTTTCACATGGTAGGATGGATTTGATGTCTTTGTTCTTAAATGACAGGGACCCAATCCTAAGGCCGCCACAGAACTTGTAAGAGTTGATGGGGTCATGGATGCAATCTTGCGACATCTGAAAAAAGTGTAGGTTTTTTCCCTCAAGAAAAAGATTTTTTTTTTTTCTGTGTTGACTGATAGAAGCTTCATGCATTATGTTGATTGCCTCACCACGAAATATCGTAGAAAATGTTTTAAAGTGAAGAAGAAATTACCACGAGCAAATGAAAAACTGAGTCACTGATCTGTGCACAGGGATGAGGAGTTGGTGACTGAAGTAGCTTGGGTCGTTGTGTATCTCTCAGCACTTTCACCTGTCGCGACCACCATGCTGACGAAGAGTGACATCATTCAACTTCTTGTGGAAAGGCTACGGGCATCAGAAAATCTACAGTTGCTTATTCCCGTAAGAGCCTTTTCTTTACGAAATACCACAGAAGCTGTTTGCAGATTGAATCCCCGATTATCTTTCATTCCAATGTTATGTATCACCATAGTGCTCAGACAGTCGTCAAGCACCGACTATCTTAGGCATATGACCGTGATTATTCTCTAGGTGCTTCGCAGCTTGGGTAACCTTGTAGCAGGGGACAGTTTCACAACGAATTCCGTCTTGGTTGCAGGTCGTGAGATCACAGGTCCATCTTCTCTGCTAATTTTCCCAGCCTTTATATGGTTCGTTGCCTCATTAACGTGCACACTAACATTATTGAGCTGAAATATCAGATGATGTTCTCTCAGCGCTTACAAAATGCCTTAAAACTGACCATCGAGTCCTTAAGAAGGTGGGTACATTTCTATTGCTCGTCCGGGAACAGAGAGGCACCCGTTTTCTTTACATTGCTGGTGAAATGTTTCAGGAGGCAGCGTGGGTTCTGTCGAACATCGCCGCTGGATCCTTGGAGCACAAGCAGTTGATTTTCTCCAGCGAGGCGGCACCATTGCTGCTGCATCTCCTGTCAAATGCTCCGTTTGACATAAGAAAAGAGGTGGCATATACCCTGGGCAACCTGTGCGTCGCCCCATCAGATAGTGCTAGCCCTCCGAGCATCATTCTTCATCACTTGGTCACCCTCGTTGACCGCGGCTGCCTGCCAGGGTTCATAAGTTTGGTCAGATCTCCCGATATAGAGGCTGCGAGGCTCGGGCTTCAGTTCCTGGAACTGGTGAGCGATCCGCCGCACGAATTGCTTCGGGAAGTCAACCCGTCTGCTTTAAAAGGCAAATAACTCGTTCGAAGGCATGGTACTGGAGAGGTTCTGACTTGCGTTTGTGCAGGTGATGAGAGGCCTGCCGAACGGGGAAGGCCCGAAGATCGTCGAGAGGGAAGATGGCATCGACGCGATGGAGAGGTTCCAGTTCCACGAGAACGAAGAACTCAGGATCATGGCAAATGGTCTGGTAGACAAGTACTTTGGCGAGGACTATACATAGATGAAGACCCTCCTTTTAGGCACTCCCTCTACCTGCGGATCTTGTGTATTATCACGGCTGCTCTAATCTATCGAGACATTTCACATAAAAATATCCGTGTCCAGTTGCATCAGCTGTAGAATGGTTAGATCCTGCAGCAAAATTGGCACGGCATATGGTCGGAGCCGTCATTGTCTCCCCGAGGAGAGATTATAGGACGAACAAGACAGACCTGGATTTTCCCTCCGCCGCCGGTGGAATCTCCGCCGCTGCCGGCGTGCGGCTTTCCTTCGTGGGGGGGGTGACGCCGCTGCCTGCCTATCGCGGTAGTGGTGGGGCGGCGGTGTCATCTCCCCTGCGAAAGAGAGCCGCCGCGCCGCCGTAGCCCCCTCTCTCCTGAACGTTGGCGCCAAGCGGGGAGGATAAGGGACCATTTATAGCCTACCCTCTCTTACGCGTTGCCATTCCCATCGTTCAACTGCGTCTCAAGGTGACATTCACTTGTCTGAACGACGACTCGCTCGCCTCTTCTCCGTAGTGATGTCTCGCTGAGGTGGGCCTCTTGCGTCAGCTGAAGATGCTAGATCTACGGACGGCCAATACAAGCTTAGAGGAGATTGATAGAGGAAGAGGTAGTCTCGTATGGCATGGGCCAAGGACGAATATCCCTTGATTTTTTTGTGTCAATGGGGTGACCAAGTTGTCTACGCCATTAAATACGAAGCGGTTTCTCACCGCTGGCACGCTTGAGCAACCGCACATGGCAAGCGCACGGCGAGGGCTGACAGAAGCCATGGTCACATCGACGTTAATAAATGAGATAGAGTCAACGCCAACCCTGGCGCAACCTTATGATGGGCTTTCCTCCTTACGTCAACGACGGCAGCTCGGGCTAGATAGAGATCCCCCGGCCCAGTGACTCCGGACGGATGACTGCCATTTAATCTGCCGGAAAGCGTCCGGTTTCCACCAAATTGGCCCTGGCTATCGCCGGGTAGCCGCCGGTGTAAGGATGGCGACGTGCTTCTTATCACGACACTGTCGACAATTAAGATTCCCTTGAGAGAGAGAGAGAGAGGGAGAGAGGGCGGTTTTTAGTGGCTGGTCAACAAAAGCTGCTTGCCCAGTCAGTCAGTCAGCTCTGTCCGCTCACCCATACTCGTTGGTCAGGCGTGGCCAGGGTTGGATTAGTGGGTGGAGTGAGAAGATTTCGGGGAAGACCCGCTCGGGTAGAACCTTCGGTTAGACAGTTGACGATTGCTCGAACTTGCGCCGCCAAGTTTGTCACTTGGCGGCGGCACCATCGGTTGCTCTGAATTTTTGAATGTTGAAGCGTTCATGGACCGGGTGGAACTACGCCGTCTTTCCTGCCCACCTTCTTCCCTGGCACCAAGTGGCTGCGAGAAACGTCGTAAACGCTCTATACCCCTTCACTCCCCAGGCGGTACGATCTTGCATAGGCCATTATCGAAAGCTCTGCGAGGACCTGAAAGTTTGCGAGAGCCGGGAGTCGTTCGCTGAGGCGCGGAAGATCCATGCCCGGGTCATCGTGTTTGGGCTCGCGGCCTCCACCTTTCTGCAGAACCATCTGTTGAAAATCTACTCCGTCTGCGGCTCCCTCGAGGATGCTCGCCGCGTCTTTCGCCGCACTCTCTTTCGAAATGCATTTTCTTGGAACGCCATGATCGACGGCTTATCGGCGTATGGCCGGCTGGATGAGGCAAGAGCCCTGTTTGTTGAAATGCCCCACAAGGACGCCTGCTCTTGGAACACCATGATGTCAGGCGCCTTCCGCAACGGTGAGTATGAGGAAACTCTGAAGCTCTTCGTTTCGATGCTTCAAAGCTCGAGTTTGCAGCCCAATTCGATCAGTTTTTCCTGTGCCATGAAGGCCTGCGGTGCCCTTAGGTCCCCTGGGCTCGGGCTCCAGCTACACGGCCTGGTTATAAAGTTTGGTTTCCTCGGAGAGGCTGCCATTGAAATTTCTATCCTCGACATTTATGTAAAATGTGGTTTCATGGATCTTGCCGCCCAGCAGTTTGAGTTTCTGAAGAACCCTGATATCTTTTGTTGGAATATCATGATCTTGGGGCTCTCGAGGTTATCATCAAGCTTAGAGCGCGCTCGAGAATTATTCCACCGGATTCCTGAAAGGAACATCGTTTCCTGGAACACCATGATTTCATCGTTACACCAACATGGGCACCGGGTCGAAGCTCTCTCTATGTTCGCCAAGCTGAACAGGGAAGGATTCGAACCTGACGCCATGACTTATGCATGCGCTCTACGGGCGTGTGCCAGCATCCCCGATGCCGTTTGGGGCAGGCATCTTCATGCCCGGATTATAAGGCTTCGGTCAATTGTCGATACCTTTGTTGGCAGCGCTTTGGTCGACATGTATGCCAATATTGGGCATTTAGGAGCTGCAAAACAGACCTTTCATGGGCTGACTGAGCCTGATCTGGCATCTTGGACTTCAATTACCAGAGGATTTGTCAAATCGGGGTTTGTTAAAGATGCAATTATTCTGTTTAATCAGATGAGGAAGGTGCCACTGTCACCAGATGAAGCAAACCTTGTCACGGTTCTTGGAACCTGCTCTTCGAAAGATCAAATGGGTCTTGGAATCCAGCTGCACTCTATTGCGGCTAAGATGGGTTTTGATGTTTCCACCGCTGTGGCTAATGCACTCACTGCAATGTATGCCAAAACTGGGAGTGTTCATGATGCCCACTCCATCTTCTCATCAACGCCAGCAAGAGATGTGGTTTCTTGGACGACTATGATCACTGCCCATTCCCATACGGGTGATCTCGCCAATGCCCTCTCAACTTTTAGGAAGATGCCAGAGAGGAACGTAGTCACCTGGAATGCAATGCTGGCATCGTACATGCAGAATGAGCGCAGGGAGGAAGGGCTCAAGATGTACGTCTTGATGCTCAGAGAAGCAGAAGCACGGCCAGATTCGATCACCTTCACCACCCTACTCTGTGCATGTGCTTATTTGGGTGTGCTGAGGCTTGGAAACCAGCTATTTTCTCAGACTGCTAAATTTGGTGTTGGTTCTGATGTCTCAGTTGCCAATGCGTCCGTCAAACTTTATGCAAGGTGTGGGAGGATAGAAGAGGCCCGTGAAATTTTTGATTCCATCAATGGAAAGAACCTGATCTCTTGGAATACCATGATCACTGGATATGCCCAAAATGGCTTGGGAAAGAAAGCTATTGAGGCTTTCGAGAGCATGTTACTCACAAGCACAAATCCTGATCGAATAACATTCATCGGACTTCTCTCGGCATGTCGTCATGCGGGGCTTGTATCAGAAGGGAAACATTATTTTGCCTCGATGATGAAGCATCACAATATTTTCCCGGGCACCGAGCATATTGCCTGCATGGTTGACCTCCTTGGCCGGGTTGGCCTACTGGAAGAAGCTAAGGCGATGATAGATGACATGGAAACTGAACCTACTGCTGAGATCTGGGGAGCCTTGCTCAATGCCTGCAAAATCTATTCCAGAGTTGAACTGGCAGAGAACGCCATGCAGAATCTGTTGAAGTTGGATCTGACGCATTCTGGGGGCTATTCCCTGCTCACTCGCATCTACGCCGATTCGGGCATGTCAGACGCTGCAGCAGGGGTGAGGAAACTCATGAAAGATAGAGGAATAAGAAAAAACCCCGGTTGCAGTTGGCTGGAGTTCGATAGCAGGATCCATGTTTTTGTTGTTAATGAGGCGAATCATCCTCAGATCGAGGATATTTTGGTTGCTTTGGACCAGATTACTATCAGAATTCAAGCCAAGGGTTATGAAAACCAGGTGGAATCGCAGAGCCGCCACAGTGAGAAACTGGCTTTGGCATTTGGCCTAATTAATCTCCCTTCCTGGGCTCCGATCCATATTATGAAGAATCTCCGTGTCTGTGCCGATTGCCACAGCTTTAGTAAATTTGTATCCCTGGTATTTACCAGGGAACTGGTGATAAGGGATGCAAGCCGTTTCCATCATTTCAGAGATGGCCACTGTTCATGCGGTGATTATTGGTGAAAGTCTTGCATGGGATACGATAAGAACTAGATCTGCCGGATGTAGGCATAAGATTTGCATGCTTCAACCAAAATCTATCCACTGCCGGATGAAGAAAATCTATACGGACATTTAGAGGAAGGTTGCCGTTGAGAATAGTGATTGTTCATTCGCTAAAACAAATGATGAGATTTCCCCATTGTAAGGTCTAAGCAACATCTAGGTCCCATCGTTTGGGCATGGTAGATCTGCAACTCAGGTCCTCAATTTAGGGTTTTCTAGGACTTAACCATACCGATTCTTGGGAGTTCTAGACTGCTCATGACTCATTGTTGGAACTCTCAGCTGATGATCTTAACATATAAATCAGGTAGCTTCATGAGCTCCGGTGTTCTGTAAATTTTCTAATTTATCCGTGCTGCCTTCCATGTTACTCCCATTTTTAAAATCTGAAGACGTAGATAGATTATAATCGCTACTTCCAGAGATGGTAGAACAGGATGCAACGAGAACTGCGCCCGGATGATGACCTGCGGCGTCTCGTCTTTTGATGACAAGGTGAGTACTCCTGAGGTATGCTGTCATTGCTTTAATTTCGTTCGTCATCGTTCCTGAGATGCTTAAAGATTTATCTTAAGCATTTCTCTTATCCCATTTTATCCCATTCAAGAAAATGCCTATGCCTTTTATCATGTGGACTAGTAGGTGCTGTGATCGCCATAGGTTCTTATCTTCAGACCTTGGAGTATGCAGGGTAATGTCAACGTAGAACCGGCAAGCGCGTGGCTGCCGCTACCTTGAAACCGGATGCACATGCCCGCGTCGCTGTCTGTGGGTGTCGAGGGATCTGTGATAATTACGTGAGGAAAAACCTTTAATGGAGACCGGCGGCGACTGTTGGATCATTCTCTCTCTCTTTTCAAACGCTCTCTCTCTATCCAGCCATCATTCTTCCTCGTCCCTTATCATGGTCTGGGGTTCATTTCTCTCAAATCCCAGACGGGGGGACACACGCAGTCACCAGATTGCCCAAGGATGCTCCTTGCTCCTCAAGGCGACAGTGCCGTGCTAAATTCCATTGGCGGTGCCGGCGGCCGCGGCGAAGGGCGGTGCACGCCTCGTGGCTACCCGTAGATGCCGTCAACTAAGGAGGCCGAATCATAGCACCACTGGTGGGGGGGAAGTGGCCTTCCCCCACGCGCAGCGACCCTCGCTGCAGATGGAAACGGGCAAGCTTTTCAACCCTCCACCACCGGTGGCTGTCCGTCGGCGGCGCATGACTCGGACAAGCATGAATCGGAAGCGAACAATGTACACGTGGCCCTCCCTGGCAAGTTCCTTCCATCGTCTATCATATTTTTTTATTGACGCAAATACTCAGAGCGAGGGTCCGGAGATCCTCTCACATGGCCGCCATCAATGATGGTCTTCTACCTAGTTCGGATCGGCCCTTCCCTTGCTTGCTTCTCCGGACTCGAGCATTATAAAAAATAATCACGGAGCAAAGTTTGGATCTTGCCACCGTCCGGATAAGTTAGATTCGGTTTGACTTCTTTATCTAGCAAGTTTCGTCTATTGCCAAGTTCACACTTTCAGTGCCACGCTGCTCAAATAACCGCAGTCCAGGCGAAGATTTTCACCCAGTGGACATCTGAGGAAGACGCATGCGGGCATCCCTGCAGGTGGGCAAGCTTGGGTGTTTGCATTCGATGATGGAGTGGGACTAAGACGGGCGGAATAGTCTGGCGGCGTGGACTTGGTGCCGGATGAGGCGGCGAATCGTCGGGTCCCTCCCCCCCTCCCCCCCCACTCCGCATCCCGACCCTGTATAATAATTAGTAAATGGGTATTTAGGCGCTTGTAGTCCTTGCAGAGGTGGTTGATGCGTTGCTTTCGACGTCCCCTCAAACCATGATTCCTTTCATCCACTTCTAAAAAAAATCTGCAACGTTCTCTTCGTCTGAGCTCGTAGCTTCGGCCCCCGCTTTCAGCTCTAGATGGGTCCCTATAAAGAGTGGGTGCCAGATGGCCATGGTAATCCATCACCCAGATCTCGAGAGGCACAGCCATGGAGCGGGGTTCGGGTCTGGCTTCTCTCCTCCTGCTCCTGCTGCTCTCCACCTCGTATGGTAAAGTTTGGCCTATCTTCTTCTTCTTCTCTCCCGCCATTGTCACGACCATGAGGCTCTAGTCCCTGGTGCACGGAGCAACATGAAAGACACTGTGAACTCGGATCGAAGGAAGTAGTTCGAGTCTGGGTAAAACTTAGGGACTTGACGAGCAATGACGAGCAATGACGAGCTTGACTGGATCACCATCTTGGGAATCGAAGAATTCGGCCGTAGTGTGATATAACCTTTCTGTTTTCATGGATCTCTTCTAATAGGACTGGTTCATTTGAAGGCAACGCGGAGCTCAGCCGGAGCTATTACGCCCAGAGCTGCCCCAGGGTGGAGGAAATCGTCAAGGAACAGGTGCAGCTGCTGTACGAGAAGCATGGCAACACCGCCGTCTCCTGGCTCAGGAACCTCTTTCATGACTGCATGGTCGGGGTAAGCCCGTTGGAGCTCGGCTCCTCGTCTCTTCTGCGTGTGAGAATACTTGTTCGCGGTAGGCACCTAACGGAGCGTGGCTGCGGGGGCGACGCAGGGATGCGATGCGTCGATTCTGCTGGTGACCGCCGCCGGCGCCATGTCGGAGCAGACTTCGCAGAGGAGCTTCGGCATGAGGAACTTCAAGTACGTGGCCACCATTAAGGACGCTCTCGAGCGTGAGTGCCCCGCGACGGTCTCCTGCGCCGACATCGTCGCCCTCTCCGCCCGAGACGGCGTCGCCCTGGTGAGCCACCGGCGGCCCCTCCGGCGAGCCAGCGTCCGCTTACTTATTTATGTTTTCTCCACACACTCGCGCAGCTGGGAGGGCCGTACGTCCCCATGAAGATGGGGAGGAAGGACAGCAGGGTGAGCCGCCTCGAGGCAGTGGAGGACTCCATCCCCAACCACGACTCCGACATCTCCCTGGTGCTCTCCCGCTTCCAGTCCATCGGCATCAACGTAGAAGGCACCGTAGCGCTGCTGGGTACCTGTCTGTCTCCCTCCTCCTCCTGCTGCGCGGGGTTGCAGAGCCTGACGCCGCAGTCTCTGCAGGATCTCATTCGGTGGGCCGCGTCCACTGCGTCAACCTGGTACACCGGCTCTACCCCGCCGTTGACCCCACGTTGGACCCCGACTACGCGGCGTACCTGAAAGGGCGGTGCCCGTCGCCAGAGCCGGACCCGACGGCGGTGGCCTACGGCCGGAATGATCGGGAGACGCCGATGACGATCGACAACATGTACTACAAGCACCTGCTGCAGCACAAGGGGCTGCTGCGGGTGGACCAGCAGCTGGCCTCCGACCCTTCCACCGCCCCCTTCGTGGCAAAGATGGCCGCTGACAACGGCTACTTCTACGAGCGCTTCGCGGACGCCCTCCTGCTGCTGTCGGAGAGCAACCCGCTGCCCAGCGACAAGGGGGAGGTCAGGAAGGACTGCCGCTTCGTCAACTCCGGATAGACCGATAACGTCCCCCAGTTGGTGTGGGAGCAGAACTCTTTCTGGATCCGAGTTCTACCTCAAAGGACAATAATCGAAGATAAAGATCCCACTTTTTCACGCACCCGTCGCTAATCTCGCGAACATAGAAGCAGTTTAACCTCAGAACCCTAGCTCGAAGTAAACTCGATGTCTAAGGTTTAAATGACGGTCTCATGAGAGAGAGAGAGAGAGAGAGAGAGAGAGAGAGAGAGAGAGAGGTCCCTACAACTCCAGGTTGTAGGATGAACTACTCTCCCGGGGAGGAGGCTGCTTTCTTGAGCATCTCCTTCTTCATTTTCTTCTTGGAAATCGTTTTCTTCTTCCTCTTGGGAAGCGTCCTCTGAGCATAAGTATAGAGAGCGTAGTTTCCACCCAAGAAGATGAGCACCATCCCCACCACGACGATCAAGACTATGAGCCCAGGATTCAGGCCTTTCGACGCCTGTACATTGAACACATCTCCCTGCCGATAACGCCGAGTCAAACGGAAAAAGGGTTAGAAAAATGAGATGAGAAGACTGGTACGCCGAACACAACATTTAACAAAGGAGTTGACCGCATTTCCCGGTCTATCATGGGTCAAACGACAGAAAAATCTAGTAATCATTTATTTTTATGTGCTTCATGTCCGGAGAAACTCGGATTTTTTGGCTGATTTTAGGAATGTGGGTTTAAGGGAATAACGGCGAAGATGGGGAGGGAATTCTAGAGTTCTAGGACAAAATAAAGACATATATATAGATAAATATATATAATTTTTATCCACGAAAATGCCATCTGTAGACATAAAAAATTGTAATATCTTGCTAAAGAAAAAGTTGAATTTTTTTTTTTTGTGGGCGGCTTAATTCAATCGATGCATTTCATAGAATCCTTGACTAGAACTTGTGAGAAATGTTGTGCAGGAAATATGTATGACTATTGAAAGAAATCAAGTGCTGGCCAGGTAGGCTTATTAACATGCCTTCATTCGCTTCCAGACCAGTCTTGGGATCTTACCAAAGGTTAACTGAGCTTCGTGGTAACTGCGAGGTACTAAATTATATATATATATATATATATATCGAGAGAGAGAGAGAGAGAGAGAGAGAGAGAGAGAGAGAGAGAGGGAGAATTCTGGAAACTGATCGAAGACGACAAATTCAGATCCGGGCCAAAAGATTTTCAAGAAGCTTTCGTGATTAGATACAGGCTGAGGTTGAAAAGAAGGAAAAAAAGGTTAGGCGTATCAAGAACATCGCCATACTGTACGAGCAGTGCTTGGGATATTATGCTGGCAAGAATTAAGTGCGGGACAACAAGGAGAAGGACATCATCTCCACCGTTTCAGGGGTCTTGGTTCGGGTGCCCCGGTTCTAATAGGGAAAGAAGAACCCAAAAAGGCAATATTTGAGATTGGAAATTGTATGGGTCCATGTGATCAGAGATCTGGAAATTGGAAATAGTATTGAATTAAAGTGCCCAATCCTATGAGATTAATTTTTTGATCCGATAATGTGTATGTATGGGAGGGAGAGAGAGAGAGAGAGTGGGAGAGAGAGAGAGGGAGAGAGAGGGAGGGGGAGAGACAGAGACAGAGACAGAGAGACAGACAGAGAGGGAGGGAGAGACAGACAGACAGACAGAGAGAGTGGGAGAGAGAGAGAGAGAGAGAGAGAGAGAGAGAGAGAGAGAGGGAGAGAGAGAGAGAGAGGGAGAGAGAGAAATTACCTCGCTGTAGATCTGTTCCTCCATGGAAGGTCGATGATCGCAAAACGATCCTTCGATTTTCCCCGCTGCATGCAGGAAGTCAACGCAATCAAAATTTCACTAGGAAGAAGATTATGAAACGCAATGGCCTTCCAGGATAGAACGGAAAGAGATGATGCAGGACGGAGGAGAAACTTATGACGTCAACGGAGCATCGACAGATCAGAACGTATCTCAACAATTTCAGATTGCAGACGTCTGATCAGCGATCCTTCCCAAATAATTTAAGGGTTAGAGAAAGGGAAGGGTACCCGATTTCCTGCACTGGCTCCGAGATTTGCCCGTCCAACGCTAAAAGCTCTTGAGCGCCGAACTCTGTTCTCCTCTGGTCTATGCCCGTACGCTTAGAAACTCAGAAGGATCACGCGGTAGAGTTATTCCCCTCTCCTAATGAAGCGATCGCCAGCCCCTCGAATCCGCGTCGGGGGCTGGCGGCGTGCTGTGGATAGAGTGGAAGAGTTGGCCCACGAGGTGTTTTCCTTCCCACGGTACGCCAGATGGTGTAAATGTGATGCAGACGCCCGACGAGAGAAACGAGAGAGAGAGAGAGAGAGGGGGAGAGCCAGGGGGGCCGGGCCCGGATTCATCCTGTGCTAGGAAGCGATCGAAGAACGGCCTTACAACAGCAGACGTAGCCACAAGGACAGAGGGGGGGAAGAGAGAGCGAGCGAGGGGGAGAGAGAGAGAGAGGTACAGTGTGGAAACGCAATCACAGAGGGGGTGGGGGGGGGAAGGAGGGTTGGGCAAGAGGGAGAGTCATTAATAGCAGAGGGATGACCACGCATGGAGAGGAGGGGAGAAAGAGCCTTGTCTGGGTCCTGGGGGGGGGAGGGGGCGGGCTATGGCCAGATGCGTTGACTAACTTACGACATGCACACATATATTAAGAGATGACCGTTCATTGCTCCTGAGTTTACAAGTCATTAGTCCTCAGTTTCGTGCGGCCGCCATGGAGACATGCACACATATATTAAGAGTTGACCGTTCATTGCTCCTGAGTTTACAAGTCATTAGTCAGTTTCGTGCGGCCGCCATGGAGGGGAGCGATTGTGATCGCCCTCTTCTGATAGGAACCTTCTCGGCCACCGGCGCCCACGACGATGTTCCTGGTTGGAGCCGGCGGCCATGACAATGGAGCAGCGGCACCGGGAGTTCCGGGCTCCGGAGCCCTGTCGGGAGTCAGGATGTTCCCCGACGTGTCTTCAACTGCGTTCCGGAGAAGGAAACTGGATCTGTTGGCGCAGGGGGTGGAGCCATGGAGTTCTTGGGGATCTTGAATTCCTGCTAGGGTTTCGAAGGGAAGAGGATAGAAGATTAACCTGAAAAGGGAAATCACGTGTCAGACTCCCTGGGAAATCACCTCAGGAGTCGATTTGTCCTCCGATTTGGATGCTGGACTTCTTAGTATAAGATTCACTGCCCGCGGATGGCCACAGTGCGTTACCCAGCCGGAAATGTCTCTGTCTTGACCTACCCTACTGTTGGATCAAATAAACACAAACAAGTGACGTACAGTGATAAATTCCGAATTCATTATTGTAAATTCCGATTTATCTAAAACTCGCTGAAAATTCCGAATTGAACCAATTGCTGCTATTTTTCACGAGAGACAAGGACAGATAGATCTTGAAAATGTGATGACTGGCTAGATTAATTCCAAAACCATACAGGATCACACGTTTGAACTGATATTTATAACCCTCTATCGCATTATGTGAGATTACAAGGTTGTCCCACTCAACATAATAAAAGAAAAGACAGCGCTTACTTCTGACTCTTTTTTCCTCGTTAGGGTAGAGTATGACTTAGTAGGCCCTTTGACTTGTGTCATCATTGGCCCCAAAAGAGATATAAACCATACATTAACAATCTCTACCTTAGTGAATATCTCTAGCACCTTTAAGATTACTCAGTTATCGTCCATCTTGATCATCTTTCAAGAAGATGTTTATCTTTCTTGGCAAGTTGAGAGTTGAATCAAGTACAAGTAATGCTTGAATTTTTCTATTAAAAACTGCTTAGCTAGTATATTTCTAAGGAGATATCTTATGAATTCACTAACTCCATGATCTTATGAAATCTCGCATGAGATTTCTTACCAAGTGAACTTTAACTGTCACCAAGTAAAAGTGCTTCACCTACATCAATTTCAAGTTTCTTAATGAAATATTTCATTCATAATAAATATTTTGTAGCTTCATCCATTAACATATACTCAACTTCTATGGTAGATAACGCTGTAGTTAGCTGCAGTGTTGATTTCTAGCTAATTAGTTCCCTATATACCAGTAAACACAACCTTTGTTGGACTTCAATCATCTAGATCACCTGAAAAGTCCAAATCAACAAATTTATATGTTGATATTGAAACAGACTTTTGAGATATCTTAGAATTTATATAATTTATTTCGAATGTTCAGTTATTAGATTTTTTATAAATTAACTCATCTCACTAACTACATAAGCTATGTCACGTTTAGTACAAACCATGGCATACACCAAACTACTCATTGTGTTAGTATAAGGTATCTTATTCTATGCTTTAATTTTTTACTTTGACTTATAGAGAATTTGAAGTGATTTTTTAAGGTCATACTAACCTATTTGGTATCATTTATACCAAAAAATGTCAGCACCTTTTAAATGTATTTATTTTGATTTTTTATAAATATATTGTTTTTCTACTTCTATGGATTTCTATTCCAAGTATCTTCTATGTTGAGCCCAAATACTTCAATATATCATACATGTGATACATCCTAAAAGAGTATTCATATTCTGGACATAGATCAAATATATCATCTAAATAGAGTATTAAGAAAATATGTGATACATCCTAAAAGAGTTTTGTGTAAGTATGCCATTACACCTAGATTATGTGTAACTAATTTGAAGTATGAAATAATTAAATTTCTTGTATGCAATGCCTTAGAGATTACTTTAATCCATCAAATAACTTTCCCCAGCCTACAAACAAGATGTTCTGAGCATGATTCCATAAATCCTTCGTATTGCTCCACATAAAGGACTTGCACCAAGTCTCCCCTACTATATATCTTCATTGGTTGTAACAATTAGCACACTTATAATTAATGTGTTTCATGACTTTCATTGTAGTCACCCTTCTTCTGTAAATATTCTTTGAATATGAACCCATGCTTAATTTTGTTTTTTTTTTCTAATGTTGTCTCTTTCTTTTTAAAGATCCATTTGCAACTGAGACTTTCTTTCCATTGGGAAGTTCAGCTATATCTCATATCATGTTCTTAGAGAGTGATTATGTTTCTTCTATCATAACCTTGATCATTCATCATTTTCCTTACAAATGATTGTGTCTTGAAGAGATATAGGTTCATCTTCACTTACAATCAAAGCAAATAAAAGATAACCTTCAAAATCATAATTTTATGATTTTATAAAGTACCCAGTTGTTCATGTGACGATTTTATTATTCTCTTTTTCAATTAATTTTATCATTTTTTTCTTTTCGGTGTATTATTTTTTCTCATCCACCTCTACTTGGATGATATTTCCACTATTATTTTCATTCTCTGGCTACAGTACCTGTTCTTTATCAATGATGTTTAGCATGCAAGTTTTACCAACTTGGGTGCTGAATCTCAAAGCCTTCATCCATTGAGTTCATCTTCATGGCCTAAAAGATGCATCTCTTTGACTTTCAGTCGAACTTTGATCTTTCTTCACTTAGAATATGGACATAATCATGACATTGAAAATATCTTTATATTTCAATAGTCAACTTCTTTTTCTTATCCAAACTTCTTCAACCACCATTCCATGAAGAACAGCTCATCAGGCTTAAAAGAGAAATGAGTCGTTGCAACACGTAAAGTCTCCGCCGGTGATGCCCGAATTGTTAGGGAAGACGTCGTTGACGTCCGAGATCACTGATTGGGCCTCATTCAAGACTGACTGAGACGGTGATCTCATCCTGCGCTCTGTGAGGGATCCAGCTGTCAAGGGGAGTCCCGCCTCCCTTCTGCGTGTGCCGCCCGGACCTTCTAGCGCAGACCATGGACGAACCGCCACGGCCAGCTTCGGCAGAGATGTCTGCCTGGTGGTGGGAAAGGCAGAAGTTAGGTTCCGACATCAGACTTCACCCCTGCAATTTGGTTGGTAGCCGCGTTTACCCTGCTAAGATTGACGGTATATTTCGAATGGCTCTTCAAAAAAGTCCTTTTCTGAGCATATTAGGTACTCTCTACATGTCTATGTAGAGAGAGAGAGAGAGAGAGAGAGTATTTGTTCGACACTACGATCCGATCCAAGTTCTATGTTGAAAATAAGATGTCTAGCTGTCCCGAAGAACGGACCACAAAATTTTTCTTCTTCTGGAGATCGAGATAGTGCGTTCGAGTCACGAATTTGGTTCGATTTAATGATTCGGAGTGAAATGTCGGCACCCTGACCTAGTCGTATTTGAGAGTGAATTGATGTCGCCATTAATGGATGGATGGAAGTCAGTCAGCCCTGCCATCCCTGCGACTCGCAAACAGGATACTGCCAAATCTGTCAAGGGATAAAAGGGTTCCCTCTCAGACTTTTCTCGATCATGATCCGTCCAAGAACCCTACTCCCGGTCAGTGGTAATTGGCTGTTAGAAGCGATAACCGATTGCTGGTTCTGTGATTTAAGAGATCGAGGGATTAGTGAACTCCATCGCCAACATGGCTGGGAAAGATGTCGATAGCTTGGCTTTGGATGAAGAGACTACCGGCTCTGGATTCCTATAAACAATTCAGGAGAGCTTGAGGGAGACAATGGCGCCTCGAATCAACACACGACTGGTGTAGCTTCGTTCTTCAGCAGGAACCCTCTTCGTTCTTGGGAGTCATCTCATCGCCAGCCGGCTGGGCCCTCTGCGTGAAAAGGTTAGTCAACCAAGGGAGGATGATGACAACAACTCTGCGGATTTCTCGTCGGTGGTCAAGGTGACGCTACGCGCTGACCGGGGGATCCTCTCGCTCTCTACCTCACATGGCAACTCAGACGGAGCTGCCCGGCTTGTCCAGCTATACCGGCAGAAGATTCCCCGGCGGATGACTGGCTGTCGTATTCAGTTCCCCGCGGGTCCTGGTGACTCCATGCTGCCGCCGCCGCCGCACTCATCGGCATCACCGGAGCCGTCTTCCTCAAACCCCAGCCTTCCCCGCCTTTCTTGCTGCCGACGACTTGTCTTCATCCTTCTCATAGAGCCCCCCTTCAAGAAGATGCAATCAATGGCTACCCTCTCGTCATCCATCGCGTCCCCACCACGGTAACTTCTTTCTCGCCCCTTCCACGCGCCGCGATAAATAGAATGGGTGTGGGGGAACGTATGGTGAGTAATCTGGGGGAGTAATCCTCGGCAGAACCTCAACAGGATGAACATGCCCCGGTAGCCTTCTCTGTTTCGGTCCCCGAGAGTGAGCCGCCGTGGGAATGGGCCGGGCAGCCGGAGGATCGTCGGCCGTGATCCAGGCCTCTGTTATTCTGTGTGGGTTTTTCCTTCTGGCGGCGGCGAGGGGCCGAGCGGCGGCGGCGGCGGAAGTATCTGATCAGGAGAGAGATCGGATCACGGCGCTGCCGGGGCAGCCCACTAACGTGGGCTTCAAGCAGTACTCGGGCTACGTGACCGTGGACGCGAGGGCCGGCAGGGCGCTGTTCTACTGGCTGATCGAATCGCCGGCCAACGCGTCATCCCCGCTCGTTTTGTGGCTGAACGGCGGCCCCGGCTGCTCCTCGGTGGCCTTTGGCGCCTCGGAGGAGCTCGGGCCTTTCCGGATTCGTTCCGACGGGCAGACGCTCTTTCTGAACCCCTTCGCCTGGAACACTGGTAAGAGAAATCGAATTGGAAAACAAAATAATTTGCTTTCTTCTGGTTTTCGACTGGTTAATCGATCGATTCACTCCCGCTCGTCAATGGGTCTCTCTCTCTCTCGATCCGTCCCGGCGTTTCAGCGGCGAGCTTGCTGTTCTTGGAGTCCCCCGCCGGCGTGGGATTCTCTTATTCCAACACCTCCACCGATCTGTACAGCTCCGGCGACAGACGGACAGGTTTTTCCCCGAACCCCGTCAAACCTTTGCGTCCCGTCTGCCATCGCTCGAACTCACCGGCTCTCTTCTTTTCGCCGCCGCAGCTGCCGACGCCTACCAATTCCTCGTCGGCTGGTTCGACAGGTTCCCCCAGTACAAGCACCGGGAGTTCTACATCGCCGGCGAGAGCTATGCAGGTACTCCTCCTCCTCCTCGTTCTTCTACCCACCTCGCACAAACCAGGAAGGAAGAGATCGATCATCTCACTCCACTCCACTCCATCCCATCCCAGGGCATTACGTTCCACAATTGTCCCAAGTTATCTACAGGAAGAACAAGGGGATTCAGAACCCCGCCATCAACTTCAAGGGATTCCTGGTAAAACACCAAGCCCTAGCCATCGTCGACCGCCGCCCGGGTCGCCATTGACGGCCGACCGGCCCTATTTTCAGGTCGGGAACGCCGTGATCGACGACTACCATGACTACGTGGGCACCTTTGAGTACTGGTGGACTCACGGGCTGATCTCAGATACCACCTACCGTAACCTGCGGCTCGCCTGCATCTTCGAGTCCTCGGAACATCCCTCGGTGGCGTGCCTGCGTCTTCTCGACCTTGCCAGAGCGGAGCAGGGGAACATCGATCCTTACAGTATCTTCACCCCGCCCTGCAACAACAGCGCAGCCCTGAGGCGCCGCTCCAGAGGGCACTACGTACGCTTCCTGATCTCCCTACCTCCATGCTTCGATCGTCTCCGCCATTAATCCGTGGATTTCTCTGCGGCTTCTTCTTCCCTTCGAAGTCCAGCCATGGATGCCCAGAGCTTACGACCCCTGCACCGAGAGATACTCCGAGGCTTACTACAACCGCCCCGAAGTGCAGAGGGCCTTCCATGCCAACGTCACAAGACTCCCATATCCTTGGGAAACTTGCAGGTTTGCACGTCCTCTCCCCGGCGCGTTCTTCAGGGTTATCAGCCGCTATGAAAGAGGCCTGAAACCTCCTCCCCCCGTGCACAGTGATACAGTCGGGAACTACTGGACGGATTCCCCGCGGTCGATGCTTCCCATTTATCAGGAGCTCATTGCAGCCGGCCTGAGGATCTGGGTCTTCAGGTACCTCCTTTGTCTTTATTTTTCTAGGAAATTCATCTTTAGCTATCGACCAGATTGTAGCCAAGAATAGAAATTCAGCTCACAATCCAGTTTTTTTACGCGATTCAAGCCGGTGCGGCCTGGGAGAACTCGGTTGAGAGAGGTTTTTAACGAAGTTAACGCTGATTTAATGATGATACAAAATGATCGTCGCACATAAAAGAGTCATAGCTCTCTGTCGATGTATAACCAAGAACGACTACCTGGGCGTGCCCGTTCTGCAGAACGACTCTCGATGAAGAAGACACGACCAATTTAAGGCCCATCGTCTTGATCTTCAATCCACCGCTTTAAAACCTCATTAGGGAGACCCAGATCCTCACTTCGCGTGCCCATCTGATCTTAGAAGAAGAACAGTAGGGAGGGGAGGCCCAGTGATTACGCCGCCTCCAATCGTTGAGGAACAACCTCTCGCGCTTGATCTTTCTATGAGCTTGTCGTACGATGAATTTCTCTTTTTTTAGTGGAAAAACCAAGCACTCGGTAGAAAAATGTCGTTAGAAGCTGCGATTTTGCCCTTTCGTTGCCGGCAAAAAACAGATTAGACCCTGGAGAAGGCACGGGTTTTCGAGTTTCGATCTGATTTCCCCTCCGTGGCCACCAAATTCTTCCATTTTTCAGTGGGGACACAGACTCGGTGGTTCCCGTCACCGCCACCAGGTACTCCATCGGCGCCCTCAAGCTTCCGACCCTCGTGAACTGGTACCCCTGGTATGTCGACGGGAAGGTCAGTGCCCGAAGCTCGAACCCTACTAATCTCTCCGGCGTCTAGACCGGGCAGCCGTAAAAAAGGGTTCCCACATCTTCCATGATTCCTGGATGTTGCAGGTCGGAGGATGGAGCCAGGTCTACAAGGGTTTGACCCTCGTGACGGTCACCGGAGCCGGGCACGAGGTCCCCCTTCACCGGCCTCGGGAGGCGCTGATACTCTTCAGACATTTTTTGCAGAACGAGCCCATGCCTGGCGGAGCTTGAAGCCGCTGGGCGGAGAGAAGACTGCCTCTGCCGCAGGATCCGTAGCGGGGCCAATTCTTCTTCTTGAATTTCTTCACCGATTCGTTGGTTTCAGCCGGATCTCCTTCCTCTCATCAGCCGCGGCCACCGCCGCCGTGAATGGGGGACAATCTCACGAACCTGCGGTACTCTGATAAGAGTGGGAGAATTGAAATCCCCTGGAGAGGGAAAAGGGCATTCTTTGTCTGTTTTCATTGGTCGACTGGTACATCTGCAATAACATTGGAGTTCACGATTATTGGTGCAAACTTTGATTCTTTTTCCAAACTTTCCGAGCCCATCTCCAGAGAGGGAGAGGGAGAGAGAGAGAGTGCGCAGGAAGGCAAATGGTGGGGGGGAAGGGGGGCGGCGGCGTGTGGGCTCGTCACTAGACCAGTGGGAGGAATAAAGCACACTAAAAGCAGAGCCGTGGCGGAAAGCAGGGCGAGGCCTCGTCGGTAAGAGTTTGCGAGTTTTCCTGCTCTTCTTTTCTGCTGTCGGGAAGGGAAGCGGCGGTGGAGGAGGGAGCTATCAGTGGAGCAGGGTTGGAAGAGGAACGGAGAGGCGGCGTTCAGGATGTATTACCGGTTCAGTAACACGGTGATCGGGTACCTGAACCTTCTGACGATGCTGGCGGCCATCCCCATCATCGGCGGGGGCCTCTGGATGGCCCGCAGCAGCGCCACCTGCGAGCGGTTCCTCCAGACGCCGCTGCTGGTGGTCGGCTTCGTCGTCCTCCTCGTCTCCCTGGCCGGCTTCGTCGGCGCCTGCTTCAACATCGCGTGGGCGCTCTGGCTCTACCTCTGCGTCATGCTCCTCCTCATCGGCGTCCTCCTCGGCCTCACTGTCTTCGGGTTCGCCGTGACCAGCCGCGGCGGCGGCACCCAGGTCCCCGGCCGGGTCTACCGCGAGTACCACCTCCAAGACTACCACCCATGGCTCCGTTCCCGCGTTACCGACTCCGGGAGCTGGCTCGCCTTCCGTAGCTGCATCGTCTCCTCCAAGGCCTGCGCCATGGTCGCCTCCTGGACCCCTCTCGACTACATGGAGCGCAATCTCTCCCCCGTCCAGGTCCGCCATCTCTCTTCTTCTTCTCCTCGTCTTCTTTGTGGGTCCTGACGGGTGCCGCCGACCGCTCCGTGGGCGGAGTTCAGTCGGGGTGCTGCAAGCCGCCGACGTCGTGCCAGTACGGGGAGGGAGCCAGCGCGGCGGCGCAAGACGGGGACTGCTACCGGTGGAGCAACGAGGCGGCGGTGCTGTGCTACGAGTGCGATTCCTGCAGAGCCGGCGTGCTGGAGCAGGTGAGGCGGGACTGGCACAAGGTAACGGTGCTGAACGTGGTGGTGTTGGCCTTCCTGGTGGGCGTCTACTCCGTCGGCTGCTGCGCCTTCCGCAACGCCCGCCGCTCCGGCGCCGACTTCCCCCTCGGCGAGAACCGCATGTCGAAGGTCCGCCCCCGCTGGGACTACTACTGGTGGCGCTGGTGGTACGACCGCAAGGACCAGCTCTATTAGCCGCCACGAAACCTCCTGTAGATTACGCCATGAATCCCATGTTTTGAATCGAAGAACTGTGAGCGTTCTCCCTACCACTACAAGTTTCAACAAATTTTCCTGATCGTCGGAGAGACTGCTTCTGATCGCTCTGTTCGCGGGTTCTCGCATTCACTCCTCCCTCGATCCGGCAAACGGAATAAAAGATCTGACGACCCTGCCTCCGTGAAAAGGAACACCACTCGACCAGGCCACGAGGACTCTTACCAGTAGAGAGAGAAAGAGCAGGAATTAGAACAATGGCAAGAAACATGACCAGTTCTCTATCCAGTTTGGAGCTCCGGACGCTCGTCGAGATGCTACCCAGGAATGAAGGCACAGCCCGGTCGGTACATCACGATGCCATGGCCGACCTCTTCGCGGCCTCCAGCTGCTGGAGTTCAACCAGTCTCTGAGCCCACGCCTTCTCCCTGGCAACTGCAGCCATCTTCCTCTCTATCTTTTCCATGTTCTTCTTCTTTCTGGACTCCGTGTATTGAGCCTGGCGCTTCTTCTTCTCCGACTGTTGACATGAATGTCAAAACATGTCTATGATCGGTTTCAACCAAAGCTTCAACAAGGGGAAGAGGAAGCGAGCATGGGAACCAACAACGAGAATAAAACAAACTTCCGACACCAAGCACCAAACCCTAGAGAGACGAATGGGGAGCAGCGGTGGGTTCTCCATGAGAAGAGAGAGGCCTACTGGATGCCCACCAGGAGTCCTCGCTATTTCTCACAGCTTAGTAAAGACGACTTTCTTTCCACCTATCACCATCTTCTTCGCCATGTCTCCACTTCAGCATGGCATCCAAATCATCATGAATGGATTGCGTTCTTCCTCATAATAAAGTATTTACCACGGCGGCAGTAATTGAAAAACAAGTCGAAGACCGAAGCAACCACGGATTGCAAAGGCACGGCTGGGCAAGAAAAATTATCGGGTTCTCAAGTGACCAAAGAAAGCATGGCAAAGCTATGTCAAACGGGATGAACAAGAAATTTGAAGATGAAGCTCATCAATGCAACAGTGGGCGGCCGCACTGATTTTCTTAGGACAAAAAGCAACCACATCACCCAAGGATACTCACCAGTATAAATGCCTTGACCTGTTTGATCCGCTTCTTCGCCTTCCTTCCTCTAGCCTTTATACTACCTCTGTTAGGTTGGCTGCTTGGTGTTGGCTCTCCAGGGGCGTGCTGCACCCAGGCATAGGGGCCTACACCATTCGAACAGGCATGCTTAAACGGGAGAAGTCAAAGTATTCGGACCAGCATAGAGTTTTTGCCAATGAACGAAACTTGGTGAAAGGAACCTCTTCGCCCTTCTAATCTGCAAGACGCACAGAATAATTTTATACAGAGGTATCACCCGTTGCGGCTTCCATGTGAGCAAAGAAGCCCCGGAGCTGTGGGATCACCAGCTGATTTAGGCATCCTTGAAATGGCTCCGATGTGATTTTTTTCAAAACTAAACTTTATATGAACAATAAAAATAATCGACATACCATCCCATTTGTCCAATATTATCGTTATTAATCGTACACCACACCAAGCACCTCAAGGGGTAAGCAACCAAAACATGTTGCCCCTCAAATTTTGAAAGTCATCACACAGGCAAGATTAGGAGGACATCAGGAATACGATCTAGTAATGCAACGGGCAGATATTAGTGGTACAAGAGAACTAGCGTTTGACCATGTTCTATGGTCAAGTGGCTGAATACTTTGGAATCCGATGCTAGCATTTTGTACCTATTTCTAGCAAAAATTTACCAATAGGTTACACTTGTAGCGATCCTGATTTGAGCACGTTGAACAGGCGATACACACATAAATCCAAAAACTTCAGTTAAATCCAACCTACAAACATCAAGTACCAAACATCCAACTCCTGCTAGAGGGTGACTAGTCTGGTCTTATAAGATCCTTTTTCTATTAATGAGAGGTAACTAATTATATGTCTTCTCCAAATGGAAAAGAAAAAAGAAGAAGCTTGATTGCTCTAATCAGTTTTTGGTATATCGAAAATCATCGATGACCAAGAGCCAGGCTGCTTACGTTAAAAGCTGGAAAGTAAAAAATTGCCCACGAAGGAGAAGCACAAACTCAGGGGACTGCACTTTGGCAGCAGAACATTTTATCCAGTAAACCGTTTCAAGAAAATGGCAGGCTGTAATTGACCTCAGGGAAAGGCCCATGATAACTTGATTTATTGAGTCTCAAGATAATGGCGCTGACTTTTTCCTGGAGTTGAAGAAGCATATTCCCATACCTTATCTTTGAAACTGGGACTTCTAGGGTTTGTTAAACATTCCGGGTACTCTTAGTCCTCGGAACTTGAAAGAATTCTCCAACTCTGATTTTGCTGCGTCTCTCCCAGAGAAACTGATGACAATCTTCAAAGAATGATCCGTCAAGCATGTAAAGCCCTCATACAATGGACACAACCTTCTCCTAAAAATTCAGTTGAGCTCTTATGAGATGTAAGGCAAGGTGAAAATCCAACCCATGGTGATCTGCGGCTTATGCAAACAGTTATCCGGCCCCAATCCCAATCCATACCTCCAAAGCATATAGGATGGGGATACACACCAGCGCGCGCGCAGAAAAATTTTGCTACCTAGAGATTTCTAGTACACAGAGATATCGTCGACAATCTCGTCCACATTTGCACTAATTTCATCGACTTGGAGAGTTTGAATGAACCAGTACAGGGCGACAAAGTGAGAAAACCCAGGCATTGGTTATCACGTCTCAGAGAGTGAGGGACGGAGAGGAAGAGATAATGTATGAGTGACGAGAAAGGGCGATCACCTGGAGGTCTGAGGCTGGCCCTTTTCCTGCGGGGCGCAAAACCCGGTCTCCTTTTGGGGAAACGAGTGTCGGTCAGGCTGTGGAAACCGGATCCCGCGACGACACCCGACGCCGCCCACGGAAAATGGAAGGGGGCCGGCCGGCAGACCGCCGTCTCCTTCAAGATCAGGCCGCTCCTGCTTCCCTGCGGCAGAGGAAGGGACGGCATCTGCGAAAGCCGCCTAGTGATCGCCAGGGGCCGGACGAGAGCCCGCAGCACCCTGAGACCCATTCCCCCTCCTCGTATCAAGAAACTCTCCGCCCACCCCCCCTCCTGCAAGCGCGCAAGAAACCTGCTACTGGCAAACCCGGAAGGGCCGCAGGACGGCGGCGGTAGGGCTCGACGGCGCACTTCACACCATAGACGGGGGTAGTGGTGGCGCCGGTCAGCCCATACAGCCTCGTAGATCCGCCGCAGAAGCAAATCGATCGACTTAATCAAACGGTCAGAAAGACACGAGTGTACTAATCTCTAGAACGTTGACCGAAGCACTGGTCGAAACTGGGTTGACTCATGCCATTTCGATCACCAAACAAGAGGGGGAACATGAGGAATTAATATGATACAGCAAGGCATCGAGAGCATGCCTGGTACAACAAGGAGAGGCCATCTCTCCTTCACCCCTCCCTCTACTTCCCCCCTGCCTATCACTGTCACCTGCCTACGTCTGCCCTCCACGACTCCTCTTCCCTGGCGAGGACGCCGGCGGCCCTCGCGGCGTAGTGCAGCTTGATGGCCGCCACCGGGTCTGAGATTCCGCCGGTGCAACCCTTGCTGCCGAGCAGCATGCCGCCACCACCACCTCCGGGGACCCTGTGTCCCAAGCCTACCCGCCCCTGGTGCTGGAACCCGCCCGACCCGCCGTGCTTCTTCTGCACGTCCGCTGCCATGGCGGCGTCGCAGCGGCCGCCGTCTAGGGAGAAAGTCGGCATGTACGCCTGCCGCACGAACCCGTACGACGGCGGATACTTCGCCAAGAACGCGCCGGGCTCCGGCGTCGCCGGTAGGCCTCTTGGTGCGGCGGTGGCGGACTTTCCCGGGGAGCTTGGCCTCTGGGGAGGGGAAGGATGGCTGAGGATCTTGCCGAAGATCTTGACGTCGCCTGTCCGGACGGGCTGCTCCGTCCCTTTGAAGCTGCCGTTCGAGCACGGCCGGAGTTCGTGCTGTCGCCAGGAGCCGCCGCCGCCGTTCTCCCGGTGAGAGTCCGGCAGAAACGCCTCAGGTGGGGAGGTGTCTCCGCCTCTCTTCTTCGGGCAGTCATGCAGCAAGACTGGTGGTGCCTCAGTGGCTGCTGGGAGAGGGTACCCCCCCAGAATAGAAGGCAAATCCTCCCGACAAGGGAAAGTCTTCTGCTTCTTGCCTCCACGATCCTCACTGACAGACGGCTGCTGAGGCCTTGCATTCACTCTCTTCGCCACCCTTGAAACAGAGTGAGGTCTCTGGTGTAAACCTGGGAGTAGATCCAAAGGCTTCCCCTCTGGGAGGCTGCTAACGCCATCGTCTGCCTTCGTCTTTGAGGTGAACCCTGAAGAGCTAGAGCTAGCTGAGTTGTCTGAACGTGAAGAAGTTTCCTTCTGCTGATCATCATCAGTTGGCTCGGTCTTAGGTACCAAGCATTGGTCATCACGAGGCAACCCTTTTGGTTCATTAGTAAGGTGACTTGCATCTTTCTCTCCTTTAATGTCGATAAGAGGCTGTTCAGAAAATTCGCCACGCTGCATGGAGCCATTGGGCATAATATCAGCTTTCAGGGCTTTTCCTTCTGTCAGCCCGAAGCAAGGATCCTCTTTCTTCACTGAAATCGGATCATCGACCTTCAACAATGTTTCCAGGCTTGGCACTCCGACCTCCCGCTGCTGCCCGATGCATTTCTCTGGATCTGCCTGACGAGGGATCTCGACCGCTGGTACAGAAGCTGTGTTGCAAGCATTTGGAGAGGAATGAGTGAAGTCCTGTTTGATTTTCGAACCAGACGGCTTAGTGCACGCTGCTGAATCCATATCAAGCCTAGAAGCATTCCCAGGATGGTTCCTCCCAGGCTCGGCACCACCAGATCCACTGAGAATGGCATCCAGACCAAGACATTTTCGAGCCTTGCTGAAGAAGATCTTGCACTGTTCCATGGATCTTGACCCAACGCAATGCGATATTCTGGCAAAATCCCGACCATGAGAACTCAAAGCAGAGATAAATGAAGACTTCTCCTCATCTGTCCAATCGCTTGAGCCCAAATCATCACAACCCTCATCCGAACTACTACCCTCTCCAAGTTGCGAAGCTTCAGAGGGTAAACGCCGTTCGACTACCATGAAGTTGGTTTTCTCACCGGGATCGAAAAACTTGGCACCAGAATAACTCATTGACTCTCTTGACACAGCACCGCAAATCCCAACCAAAACATCTGCGGCAGAAGTCTCCTGTTCTTGCATCAGAATGTCAGCTTCGCTTGGTGCCCCATGATTTTGATGGCGTTGAAATGTCGACCTACCAGAGAACTTCTGGACTCTCATGTTATCGTCATCTTGGGCTGCTATCATTGATGCTGCCCTTAAAACGTCCAGTGAAACAGCATTTATTTCACGTTTCCACTTATTGCTTGATGTAACGAGGTAAGTGCTGGCAGGTACAACTTCCATTGTTTTCCTCAAGCCCAAGCTTTTCTTAACTTTTTCGAAATCTTCAGACTTGTGATTCTTGTAATAAAATTCAATACAGTCTGCTGTGGTCTTGTGGTTAAGGAAGGAAGAGATCTTTGCAAAATCCTTCCCATATATGGCAAGCATCTCCATGAAAATCTTGCATTCGTCCGGTGTCCATGGATTTATCATTGATCTTTCCTTCTCATAAGAACACGGATCTTCAACCAACCCATTGTTCGTAATGAATCTCGAACGTATTTTCTCTTTCTCGTCCAATATAAGTGCTGGCATTCTCAAAATATTCCTGTGAACCTTAATATGGGAATCGGACAACAGCCTGCCAGTAAACTCCAATATTTCTGGTGTAGGAACCAATGTCATGCCACCTGTTGGAGAAAAACAAGAATATAACACTGGTTATTTTTCGGGGAAGAAGTGATGAACTGCGCATTGAAAATCAGTTAATAGGACCACATTGTTTAGGTATGCCATCAGTCCTCTCTTCGGATGCAAGACTAGTGCAAAATAATTCACATCAAACACGGCGACAAAAATACGAGTTCAAGAGCACAACAAGAATAACTAGACAACGGACCTTTCCAAATTACAGGATATTTTCTGTACTACCTAATATACTAATCCCCGTGGTCCTAAGGGTCGGAGCCTAAACCGAAGATGTCGACAATGGAAACTTAATCAGAAGTGCCATAAAACTGCAGCTCAATGTGGTCTCAACAAATCGAAACATGCGCCATTGCAGGTCTTGTTGCCTATCTTGGCAAGCTCGTAGCTGCATTCCATAGAAAGTCACCTAAAGTAGAAATCTGTCTGAGACATGTAAGCAGAACCGTCCCCTGCTGCACACAGCCTTTCCTAGAGAGCATTGCCCCATAGGCGAAGGACGTGATCACTCGCCTGACAAGGCACGACGAGAACATTCTGTACAAATTTCAAATACAAAAAGCACCAGAACCAATGACTCATAGAACCTAGCTAAAGAATAGACAGATGCCAAGTAAGCTATTCCTACGGGAGCAAACATCCGTACACACTTTTGCCCCAGCTTCATACACAAATTGGACCCGATGACTGATGAACACATGAAGCAAAGATACAGGGGAGAATGAGGATCTGGCTTTTAAGAATACTTCACAAGGCTGATAATAGAGCTCAAAACGGTTCCATCCAGCCACACACTTGCCATACTCATCCTTCACATGATACAGAACATGTAAAATCCTTATGTCAGCTTCTAAGGACACATCGCCATAACCAGCTAGAGGATTTTTCTCCGGCATTCTCTGGTCTGGTCAGGGCGAATGCTAGTTCACACCTAACCAAACTAGTTGGCGACCCTCATAGAACCATTAGTAAAGCCATCTCTTACAGACAATATTCCCAAGCCGTTAAGCTACTGTATCCACTTTCCAGCAGTTCTTAATTTAAAAAACCCATAGCAGCCTACGTCAATAAACAAGTCCAACCTCAATGACTCACTGCTCTTCCGCAATAAAACCTCCTTTCTTTACCATGGAAGTTATTTTGACGAACATATCGTCCATTGTTGTCTAATCCCTTACAAACAAAGAGCAGTGTAACTATGGAATGGTCTCCCCATCAGAGGTGTATTACCTGTGAAAGTTTACCCGACTTAAACAACCTCCTTTCAGCACCCCACTAGTTGATGCTTTATTTTATAGATATATCGCTTGCGTATACTATAGAACCATGATACGTTACAAAAGTTGGAGAAAAAATGAGTCATAAATAGGCCAACAAAAATCTTAAGTTGTGACACCCTATACCTCACAAAAGAGAAAATCAGTCCAACCGAGATATCAGAACCAGAAATTCTACATAAAGTAATTCCAAAAGACCTACGTAATAACATCTTGTGATATATTTAATCACATCTTCCCTATAAATAGAATACTATTTATCGTCAAGATGCTAAAAAACAGATACCAGAGCAGATCGCAGTTAGTGAGCCGTAATTTAACTCTGACCCTATCAAAATGAGATGAAAGTCATATAATACATGAACCAAAATATCTTGACTGGACTCACTCATTGAGGGTATTTTACAAGCAAAATCCAAGCCACACCTGCCCGATAAGCTTGACAGCTTCCTTGTGACTAATTACAGTAGAAAGTTCGAGAAAATTGGAAAAATAAGATCATATTCCGCACAATAAATAAGAACTATTGGATGGTAACATCAACTGTGCACAATATTGTACACCCGCCGTTTTGTGTCTGTGAGAGAATATCCTATACGTGCAAATCATGCCGCAATATCCCTAATTCATGATGTGTTGTTCGGCTGTTTGAATAAAGAAGGTATTACCCAAATCAAGCGTGTGGGTTCAACAACAGGAACTATTGGCCCAAGAGTTCTCTTGGAGAAACACAGTTTTAAAATCCATGGCTCACGTCTCCCCGCACTATTCACAAAACTTTTTCTCGCTTCAACCATTAGTAGCAAGCAATGTAAGAACTTCCTTCATAGACGAGAAAGTTGAGAAACGTTTTTGAGGAAACAAGGAATTCTAAGACCAAACTTTCTGGGTGATAAAGGAAAACTTTTACGAAAACCTATAATTCTGGTTGGAGACGGTGATAGAAAACATAAAACTTACCTAGAAACTTCCTAGGGCCTAACAGGGCTATATGTAGAAACTTTTTCTTTCACCCTCTTTTAGCTAAAACTCGCCCAAAATTCCAAGAAAAATATTTTAGTTACTAGAAACTTTATCTTCTTTCACCCTCTCTTAGCTACAGGGCATAACTTTAAAAAAAAAAGATAATTCCCAGGGCTTTCATATTCTATCACTACTAAAATGCGGCATGCATAATATTTTTACAATTATTGATCTATTCGACCTCCTTTTGAATAAAATTCAAAATCATCTTCTCATACAATGGCTATATGCCACATCAAACCTAAATCCATCCTCTCTTGAGAATTTGCCAAAATCTTCCAGCAATACAAAGATGTCACAAGTTTACTTTCATAGATGTCATGACCACTGTTTGTGATAAAGTGCCTAACAGTCTACAGCCAGTTATCTTCAACTCCACTCTTTTCTCTCTAACCACAGGCTACATGCAATTGATCAGAAATGCCAAAAGAAAAAAAAATCTCATACATTTATCAGAAAAAATGAGACCAACCCAGCGGTTAAAAAGCACACATTGGCAACCTAAAATGTAGCCATTATGAAGAAGTTTCCCCTCATAGTCAGCTCTAACTTATTATCCAGTTTCTTACAGGAACAATCTCACTCTCAATGTCAACTCCCTCTCCCATCGTCTCCACAGTAAAATATGTCAGGAGTTTCCACTAAGAAAAGAACAGATCAAGGAAATGACCTCAACTTAAAATATGTCAAGAGTTTCCCTCTCTCATCCCCGAAAGGTATACAATTAAAAGAGGGATTTTTTGCAGCAGACCAGACAAGACAGCTTAGCGTCATCACGAACTATCTAGAATGACCTCAACTTAATACCACTATGGCACACATTCCTTGGATTTTTACATGAATTTGCAAACCCCCAATAAAAAAAAAGAAAGAAAGATCCTTGAAAGTAATTATGTTTTCAAGTGCCACATGTGACAGAATTTACTTAGACATGTAATCTCGACCGCCATCTTTGCTCTCTCAGAAAAGAAAATAATGACGAAATGCGAGGTAAAGGGAAGACATTGATAGATGCCCACTTAGTAATCGGTTTGAAAAAGAGCAGCAGACTAGGTCATAAAGCATTTCAAGGAACACTTGTTGTTGCCTTGCTTCCCCAAATATATTTTTAATGACAACAAATAGTACACAAAAATGGGGAACGAACTCAAGAGAGAAGATGAAACAACAAAACAGACATCTTCGGTATGATACTCGTTATTTAAGGTCTGTAGCATAGCTTATTACCATCTATTTGTTCTTCGAACTCAATGACTAATAGGGCTAAACGCTGCCAATTTGAAAATGTGCAAGAATTGAAATGGGTTAAATATCAACAAAGTCTTTCGTGGGGCCATTCGAGTGGTGGCCAGAAAAAAGACGACAAAGTGAAGAACAAATAGAGAAAAAGGACATCATTTAATACTTACCAGAGAGTGGAGATTTAGAGCGTAGAAAGGAACGACTTTTCTGCATAACATTTTGGGATGATCGACAGTTTAGCTCAATCCTTCTATGGGATTTGGATCGATATTTCTTGATATGGAGCAACTGCAAGTCCTCTTTCCATAAATGTTGGAAGGCCCTATACTTCAGTGCAAGAAGCTTCTCCTTAAATTTCAAAAAACACTTGCGAACACCAATCTTGCTTCTGATGAGCAACTCTTTCTCTTGGTCTGAAAATTTGTCATGTGATCCCGACGTCTGAAATGCAGACGAATTACTTGAGAATCCAGCATCAAGAACTTGAGAGGCTTTGTTGGCAGATTCTTGGTTGCAGGCTATAATGGAAGCAGTTACGTTCTGAAAATCTTGGCCAAAATTCATAGCGGAAAAAACAGGACAACCACTAGCTCCCAAACCTGGAGTGGTAAAACCACCATGAACGGAGGCTTGCTCACTCCCAACAACAGAAGGAAACCTGAGGTCAGCATCTGGCATGACAGAACTGCTTCCATCGTGAATCGTAACTTGTAGAGTGCTTGGATCGGAAAGTCCTTTCTCCACGGGCACTGACTCCCGAAAATCAGATTTCACCGTACCTGGGCTAAAGCCACCCAACACAGTATCTTCTCCATAAAGTTCATCCAAAGGTTCGGTACCCACTGATGACACGACAGCAGAGACCAACACAGGTGAAGAACCAGATACTTTTGCAGCAATACTTGTGTGCTCTTCTGGTGAACGTAACAGATCATCAACAGGACTCGTTGTAGATATTTGGCAAATATCATTTTTCTTGGAATCTGAATCCAATTTTGACGAGCTTTGTTCAAGATAACCTCTTTTGCATTCATCACGTTTCAACTTCTTTAACTCATATTCAAACAAATCAATGTCCAATTCAGTTTTTTCCAGTTGCTTCAAAACTTGATCTTTCACCAACAACAACTTGTTCATTGCTGTCTGCCTCATAAAACAGGAGTCAGCAGAAGAAGCATCCTCTGGATGTAACAAATAAGCAAGCACTGAAGTTGAGCCACTGAGAGAACTAAGATCCAAAAACTCAGAGTTGATAGAAAATTCCTCCAGGAAATGTTTAATGTCATCACCAGGCAAATTACTTGAATTTATTATGGCATCACTATTTGCCACCTCAGAGAACACTTTGTCATCACCACCTGTCATTATACCAAATTCATCATCTATATATAACATGAGAAATGTCAATCAAACACCAAAACTAAAAATTCAGCATCAATTCGAAGCCGAAAACCAATAGAAGAGTTATCAGGCAAAATGAAACGTTGGAAGAAAACTACCAAACAGAAATAACTAAAAATAACACTGATAAAGAAATTACTAAGATCTATTATGACAGATAAAGAGGCCTATCATAAGCAAATTAACACACTAAAAATAACTAAACAAGAAAAATATAGTGCCACCCGCAAAATATGTGATAATTTTCTGTATTTCATTCATTTGGAGGCAAGAAGATGTCGGTGTAAAGACAAAACAAATATTTATAAACAAAAACCATTCTGAACAGCATCATAAAAAGCACTGATAAAGGAAAAAGGCATGAACAAGATCAAACAAGAAGATACGAAACCAACTGCAAAAACGCAATAAAAGAGTGACGGAAAATTAAAAGATAATCACGTCCGCAAATGAAAAAGCTTTTATAAAGTAAAAGTAAGAAGGCTCATCTGCTTCAGACAATTGTAAAAATAGCAAGCTAAAATATAGCAGAACATTCACGTATAGGATACGGCCAGAATACATCATTAACAACTTTAAGGGAATTTCCATTAAAATAAGAACGATAATATGGACTGTACATAGCCAAATGGGAGCAGAAAACAGAAACCAAAGGTTGAAAGGAACCAAGAGGTAAAAATTTCAATTCCGAGTTGTAACACAGAATATTACACTCGATATAGATATTTGTCGTCCACATCCAAAACAAGAAAATTTATAAGATTGGTCAACGGAAGAAGAATACAGATGATTAAAGAAATGACATAAACAGTAAACTCAAAATTCAGTGGAAAATCATGCCTTATCAAAATCCTCTCGATCATAGTGATAAGTGACCACAAAATATATGCCAAAGCCAACCATGTGAATACCGGATTATGGACGATAACCGGAATCATTCACTTGCTAGTGGCGTTACTCTCGTGTGAAATTAGCATAGTCAGTGACGATAACAATCGGGTTTTCATCTTCCTGTCATACCTACCTTTTAAGCAATAAAACTCACGATAGGGAAAAATAAGGTCAACTTTTTCCAACATGATTATCATGCATATTAAAAAAAGCAGGATACAGAGACAAACCACTGGGCAAATTTCATCGTCCAACATGAACAAAAAAAAGTGGAACTACATGAAGGACAAACGCATAAATCGTGGCTCACCGTGGGATGAACTGCAAGTTATAGACGCTGGGGTGGCAGGAGAGGTGTTTCCGGGAAGGGCCACAACCCTTGGACTCGCATCATCACTCTGAGATGGATGCCTCCCACAAACCTCATCAGAAACCTCAGTCTTCGCTCTCTCATATTTTGCCAGGCCTTGCCCCCACCCAAGCCTTTGCTTCTTCCGAGAAAGATCTTCATCCAGAGACAGAGGAGAAGCCACTGGAGACTCGATTGGCGTCTCCCTTCCAGGGGGCAACAATACTTCAAGCCTTCCCCCATCAGATTCAGATCTGAGCACCTTGGATGAAGATGAAAAACTACTAGAGCGGTTCCATTTTAGGGACTTCCATGCAAGTGAACCCAACGAGTGGTCCAGATCCCGATCTTGTTTGTGAACTGCTCTCATGCCATGATCCCCCCCACCACCAGTCTCATCGTGCTTATCATCATAGGAAAGGAGATGAGATGACGGATGTGACAACGAATCAGCAACTGACCCCTGAGTGGCCGCAGAGTCATGATTCTGCCTCAAGAGATCACCGGAATCCCACGAGGAACGACGGAAACATCCCCCGGCCTCTCTATTATTATTGTTTTGGTAACCACCGCCAGCATACCTGCCCGATTGATAACTCCGGAAGCCCTTATCTTCCGACCTACTGCACGGATCCTCGGGGAAAGGATCATGATATCCGCTGCCGCTGCCGCTGCCACCGTGACTATGATAACCTGCACGACGGGAGACACACATAAGAAGGGGAAACGTTGAATCAAGTCGGTAAGCACGGGTTGTGCTGCTTTAAGATGAAGCTACAGAAGAAAGGCGTTTTACCTGACTGTGGGCGGCGAGGAGAAGGGGCAGGAAAATCCCGGGCGGCGGGGCAGGTTTCTCTCCACCGAGGTGTGGAGGAGCTCCCGCCGCTGCCTAGCGCATCAGGATACGGTGCCCCCCTGTCGTGCTTCTTTTCCCTGAAGATCAAGTCCCTTCGATCCCAAGGCAGCGGTTCAGGCGGCATGAAATACAGCACAGGGCATCAGAAGCCCGAAAACAAACCCAGAAACCAAAGCTTCACCCAACCGTGTACCGGAGATGGTGCCACCGGCTTACTGCTATTTCTTGTCTGCGAGTGGAGATTCCAGATCCGACGGAGAGAGAGGGAAAGACGAGTGCTGCCCAATCCCTACCTCACAGGGTAGAGAGGGCAGGAGAAATTTATCTACCGCAGGCGCGATGAAGATGACGGGGGAGCTCGATAGAAGGAAAAATAAGCCCCTACTGATCAACAAGCCCCCGAGGAACAAGAAGGGGCCCGAAGGCCAATCTCTATGATCCGAGGCAGACAGGAAAGAGGTCAAGGCGGTCTTGCTCCAACCTCGAACGCAGAGGGAGGCGAACCAATTACAAGGTGCGGCGAAGAAGAAAACGAGGAATGGAGAGGAGTGCAGCGGAATCCGAGCTGCCGACCGCCGCCGCGGCCAAGGAGCTCCCAGTTACTGCCGCTGCCGCCGTCGTCGTCGTCGTCGAGACCCTCTACCTCCCTGCGGTGCGCCCTGCGCTGGGAAACGAACGGGATTTGGAGAAAGTGGAAAATTTGAGACGATAAAGAAGACAGCCCAGCCTGGACTTCAATGCCTCCCCAGGCCGCCCCCATAAACCAGATTTCAATCCCCCCTCGCGTCCGCAGAAAATAATATTTTATTCATACTCGAATAATATAAGGGCATAATAGTATTTCCATTATAATAATACACATAAAAAAATCCCATTCGTCCCTCTGTCTTTCCAGCTTCCCGCCTCCCTCCGGCCGCCCATATTTTCCTGCCGTCACCTGCGGTGATCGTAAGAAACCATCGACCTCATAACCCCACCCCCCCCACCAATACACAAAAAACCCCCCGTCTTTCTCGCTGTATCTAGCCGGTTGTTATTGGGTCGGATCTGATTCGGTCCACATAAGACCCGCCACCGCGACGTGGCGGCCGGCTGAGGCAGACAAAGTGGGGCCCATCCGGCCACAGCATCGCTATCACCTTTATTTTTGGTCCGTGAATCTACCGATCCCGCGAATAAAAATATTTCATTTATATATAAAATATCCCTCGGGCGAGAAAAGACAGACGACGTTCGACCATAACCGAGACCGGTTAACTTGTACCCGCAGGAGCAACGAAAACGACCGCCAACAAGGGCCACAGGATCGGACGGTACCTGATCAGAGTCGGCCATCCGGCGTCGCACGGCAGTCAGTCGTCCGAGAGGCGTGGGCGGGCCCACCACCTTAAAGCCCCAGCCACATATCTCCACCGGTGAAACCAGGTGGTAGTTTTCGGATGACTCCGAAAATTACCACCTTTTTCTGAAAAAAGTCAACCCCGATAGTTAGTCAAACTTAACTTCTAACAATAGTAATGTGCAAAGGTGCTTGAACCCTACCCACCGGATCAAACGAGAAGCCCAGTGAGTGACGCCTGCCATACGCACATCAAATCTACGTGACATCTTTTCCAAGTAAAAATTCTGTACTGGGTCGCTCTCTCCATCTTGAAGCTACCAAATTCTGGAGAGAGAGAGAGAGAAGTCAACCTTCCTCCCATACTAGCTCTTCATCCTCGTCTTCTTCAGAGACATCAGCTCGAACCCTCGAACGATCTGCTCGCGGAAGCTCACCCGAAAAACCTGCAGAATCAGTGGGTGCATCCATCAACACACAAGCAGCAGCAGCAGCAACAGCAAGAAGATGGCTTTCTCAAATACACGGCAAAGAAGTCGACACCACAAGGAGATGATGAAAAAAATTCGGATTGCTAGTTCATATGTCCAGTTAATACCCATCATGGGAAGGGCTGGAACACGTCTTTTCTTTTCCTTTTCTTTTTTTTTTTATCGGTAATGAGGTATCTTGCTGTGGTTGTAGTAGAAGTAGCCTCAACTGAAAGTCATAAATTTATGAAGGACGGGTTGAGTCAGTCTGCATCTACCTATCGGCGGAGCTTCTTCCCATTCGAGCTCCTCCCTCTTTGACTTCACACCGACTTGACGGCAGGAGGTTCCAGCAGTGACCTCGCTTGAAAGGATGGGTATTAATGGCTGAGATACTTCGGGCTCTTCTGCCTTCTTCTTGGCGGCCTCTGCCAACTCCATCTGCATCTTAGCATAGGCCTCGTAAAAGGCTGTAACATACTCCTCCTATGACAGAAGAAATGCCAAGAAAAAAGGGTCATTTCTCAGCTTATTGCCGAGAATCAGACGGTAATAATAACTTGGAGGAGTTGATCTCTCCATTCACCTGCAAGCTCTCTGTGCCCTCTTTTCCATCTTCTTGCTTCTGATCAAGGAGTGCTGGGCTGGCGTTCATTGGAGCAGCCTCTCCACGTTGGTCTCTTGAAAGGCTCATTCCTTGCCTGATCATCCATGGAGGTAGAACCTTTGTGGGCGTGGCGGCATCAGGTTCGGCGCCCTCCTCCCTTGCATCTGAACCAGAAATTGTGACCTCAACCTGCACAGATCGTACCATGGGGACAGAAAATTTTCAGCTAAAATGCCGATGGAAGAGATGAGGAGTGGGGGAGAGCCATGGAAAGAACCAAACCCGTATACCCTTATTCAAAACTCGAAATTATACTATTTTAAGCTAAGTTTGATCAATTGCGAATTGTCATGGGCTTCACATGACATAAATTTCAGGAACAACAGATCAAAAGGATGAAAATAATGCTGTCCTAAATAGCATCACCTTTATTGGAAGATTATCAGTCCTAATTCTCTGTGTATGGAAAATATACCGGTGACATTCCCATCGAATCCATTCTAGATCGGGGGCTGGCTGGGCCGAATGACTTGACAAAGATTATTAGGCTAAAAAAAATCCCTGAAAAAATTATTACCAAGTTTGAAGGCTAAAAAATGTTTACTAAAATCTTATTGGACTAGAAAATACTCACCCAAGAGTTCATACATACAAATTCAGAAAAAAAAAATCAGATATTTAGATGTATAACTTGATATCTACCTATTTATTTGGAACTGAACATTGTGCAGTACTTTTTTGGGTAAAGGTTCAAGCGTTTTTTTACAAGATATCATCAAAGAATTCAAGCCTAACCAGCGATAGCATCAAAGAATTATTTGAAAATAGGCCCCTTGTTTCCTCCTTCGAGCAGAGGAATTTCAATTTTGCATTTACTTGCCATATTTTTGGTCAAACGTTAAGAAACATCAACAGCTAAAATATCAAAAGAAGATAAATATGAAGAGACGTTACGTCTGAGAGTATCTAGTCATCTAGGACAGCATACCTTCGTCTCGCCTAGACAGGCCATTGGTGTGCCACCGTACCCTAGACCCTGGAAGGGCTTGGATAAATCAGCCAGACTCGCATCACCCGTTGTTGCAACATGAGTAGCTTTGACTCTGGCTTCCCATGCTTGGAGTGTTCCAAACTCGGGGACAGGCAAATCTTTCATTCTAGCAAGCTGCATAGTCAGTGGCTTAAGTTGCTCCTGCATACGTTAGAGACAAAGAATATGGAATCATTTCACATACAATACTACGGCGACATAACGTTTCCGAAATTACATAAGAGTCGGAAAGAAAGAGAATCAAAGAGAAATCTATGTCTGATGAGTAATTTTGTGCATTAAACTAACAATGCTCCTGCATGCTGCGTTCAAATTGATGGCATGAAGATGAGCCTGGACTTTTTATCCCTTTTGTCGGCAGCTGGATGACAAAAAAAATTAATACTATTTGATAATTTCTTGCAACTTCAAAAGTCAAAACGCTTTTCTTTTCAGATATTCCACTACATTTATTCGTCACCAGTGCCATGAAATATCCACCAAAGGTACCCTAGGATTCGTCCCAGCTTCTGCACCTGTGATGCATAGCTAGTGACACTTTTTGTTCCGGGAATAAAAATCTACGTGATCATCTATTGCAGAAAAATTAAAATCAGTTGGTAGTGTGAGATATAATCGAAGAAAAGTCGCACTGCATCAACAAAAACAGGATAAATGTTTTTTTAAAAAATTAAATCTTACTGACATGTGACTACAAAAGGGAGCTCAAATTAAAAGGCAACTAATTATTTCTAGTTGTACAACTAGTAACTGCGAAAATGCTGTTAAACACGATTGACATCTGACCTCCATTTTCTGGAGCATGTCCTTCAATTTTTCATGGCGTCGTTTCCTAGAGCTGTCCTCCCCATCTCCCATTTCTTCAGCAGCTATTTTTTCGCTTTCAGCAACAAGCTCCCCATCGCAATTTTCGCAGTGGAAGTAATCGTCATTTGGGCTTACAAGTTGGAGTGCATCAAAAGCTGAATATCTAAGCACATGAACAGCATCGAGACATGAATACTCTGACTAGATGAAATAGGATTAGACTACGGATATTTACTAGCGCTAGAAGCACCTTCTGCTGCAATTTGGGCAGATGTATGCTTGAATCGTGTTCCTGCCCTCCAATTCATCTTTCAGTTTTTTCTTCATGCGATGCAACCGATATCGTACTACATCATATATCTGCAAGCATGCTCGATAATATGAAATTTAAAAACATAACGACGAGATTCGTGCAGCAGTGCATGATATTAACGAAAATTGAAAATCAAACCATCAACTCGACAGTATGATCAGTTGCAGTGCACCACATAAGAGTACAGTTCAATAAAGTATAAAATAGACCCAGGTTAGTAGCCTGAGTGAAATCTATAATCAACTGATTCGCATCAACATTGACCAGTCCATGAAATCCAATATCCAGAAAATTGGTGAGGAAAAAGGAAAATAAATATTATCGGGAAAATCTGTGCATAATCCGAGAATCCCGAAGTAAAAGATTTGAGTACTCAATTCCCGCATATTTGGCCAAACCACCAAGAATCAGGGTTTTTTGAATCCATGCTTCGACAAACTCTTCAAAGCGTATGCTCCTCCAAAAGGCATCAGAAACAGGAATAAAGTATATATGCACCCGATGATTTGAGTAATAACTCCAAGGATAATGTACGGAATGACTGCTTAAGAGAACAAATGATCATAGCAACCATGAGATTTCACTACCAACAAACTACCCACGATGTCAAAAAGACGTATCACGATAGTTGACCAGGAAAAAATAAAAAAGGAAAAACATTAGCCAGGAAACCTGTGCATAATCTAAGCAGCAATAAGAGTGGGTATGAATCTTCATCTTTTCATCACCCTCTTTGACAATTTGAGTACCATCACAAATGGCAGCTACCACAGCACTAGATATCTTCGCATCTTTGACTGTCTGTAGTGAAAAAATACACAAAAGGTATCCAAATGCAGTTAGAAATTATAGCACCAGCTTTGTAAACTATGTTCACTTAACAAAATTATAACCGCTCAAGGCCTCATAAACAACACCAAATGCGATTAAATCTTCAGATACTACACGAATTAGTAAATATTGATAAAATTACCATAAAATTTCATCCAAGTAACGCTATCAAATCTACATATTCCCTGAATTCCAAAAGCTGCCTCTATCTTTTGAATTTATCTTTTTCAAAATATCCAAAATAAACGGAATCCCCTTCAATTCAGATATGTCTGGTTGTAATCGGTCGGATAACATTTCCAATCATTTCATATTAAAAAATTTACCCCACGCAATACGGAGATAGAGACTTGATCTCGTTTGTGGAGCCTCACATGAGACTCATCAGATAAATTACAATTCTCATGGTGTAATCTTAACATGCCAAAAATTTATTGTTGATGATGACCAGCAGGATAATATTATGAGGTACATCCTATTTACACCAAGTGAGTTGAATGATTAGAGGTGCACGAGTTCACTTCATATTCATTTAACATGCAGTGGAGATACGCGCAGATTGGTTTTAAATGCGACTGAGCTATTAAATCTTTATCCGAATTGACTCTCTGATGGATGGACTCGACATGAGAACCATACCCTTGCCTACTTGTAGACCATGTCTGATTACAAACTACTGAATGATGTCTGGTACTCTTGTAGGTTGGTTATTAGTTTGGTTGTCTGGTATGACGTTCTACCAATAGATATTGAAGGAGAATTTTAAGATAACCAAGGCAATCAAGCAGTAGATCATAAAGTTTAAAAATAAGTTAATCATGATAATATGCTAATATATGACGCTTATTTATCCATTAAAAGTATATATAATGGCTATGTGATCCCATGCACATGGTGCAAACCATATATCAAAGTACACTGCGCCATTTTGTGAACACCATGTGTCATGACATGCCAATACTAGATCACGATCCATGCCATAATCATGCAATGTTCAACCACAGTCGTTGCCACAATCAAATCAGTAGTATTTTTTGAAACCCTATATAGGAGTTGAATAGGACCATCCAAGCTAACCTAGCCTACCTAGATTTTTAGAGCCTCCAAGACGACATCAAGCCATGGCATCTCCTTGAAAATTTTAAGGTTGCATATGGGATGGTATTCCCCATGAAAAACATTGTTGATGCACTTCCGTGATAAATACTTACTTCTTTTCGGTGATACCTGTTAACAAGCTTCTCCTCTTCAAAAAACCGTAAAATGCGACGAAGCTGCTTGCTATGCACCTTCAAAGACCTTGCCAAATCTTCCTCTCTTACCCACTGACGCCTGAGAACGAAAAAGAACAAGAGATTGACAAAAACACGGCAAAAAAGTTCACATGCAGATGATCCATCTCCAAGTTTCATTATGCCCCAGACTTGAAATCATTCCTTTCAAATTTGTTTCATTGAAACCCACTCGTGATATAGAATTTAAACAAAATGCGTTGAACAATTATAAGAACCAGTTTTCAAGTGAGAATAATTTCATTTCGATAGAAGAATTGATGCCAAGTTTTCCAGTGAAACAGGGATCAAGGATGACAACAGCCCACTTCAAATTCGCAAAGTTCAAATTATTATTTATAGAAATACTGCTTGCTGTTGGTGAACCATGCAAACCGAGTGGGGAAAGAACGAGCCAGCTAAACACCAATCCGACAAAAAAGCAAATATTTATCAAATTTATTAGTATCTCATTAATATGGCTATAGAAAAACATAAAACATAAGTTTGTAAAGGACATAAAATTATAACTTCTAACTACTTGAAATAAAATTTCAAAGTTATTTGATCCAAACATTCACTTGTACAATTAAAATGCGATAAACAGACCCTATTTGACTATAGGATAAAAGAGAATCTCATCAAATCAATATTTCTCTAAGAAACTTGGAGTCCTATATTCCTAGTAAAAATTATCCTCCTCCATTATTAATGCAATATGCTATTTATATATAGTTCAGTGACCATATATATTATATCATGTGATGAAGAATTTTTATTTTTTTTACTAGCTTGGCACATATTAGACCTTCAATGTATCGCTGAAAGAGTCAGATATATGGTTGCTCCAATCATTCCCAGTTTTGTTGCTTATTTACTGAAGATATTCGTCGACATAGACAATACTCAAATTTAATGGATCGTCCTTCCAAATATATCATTCTTGGTGAGTCAATTTCCATTCAATAATTTAGAATTGGGAGGAATAAAATTGCCCTTTCAGTAATTGGCCCGGAAAATTGGTGACTCATCCCGGCAACATGATGAAGGTGAATCTGGAAACAAACAACGTGGAATATTCCAAATCCAGAGCGAAGGCGATTGTCCACTGTAAGATTATAGCCGTTACAGGTCACTGCAAAGTGAAGACATCCCGCTGGCTGGCCCACTCTATTACTACTTGCATGGCCACGTGACACTGCACTCAGCCAAGGCCTATTTTTTTACGTATGCATAGAATTCCTCACATAGCTGGATGCACTCCAAGTTGGTAGAGATGAACTTGATACTCTTGCATCCGCGTTCCCAGTCTTTTTGTCTTTTTTTCTAAAGAACTGAAAAAAATAAAGCGCACCTGGTGAGGGCGTCAAGGACCACGACGCCCAAACCCCGATTGTCGCTTCTCCCAGTCCTCGGCCGGTTATCGCCCTTGGTGGTGAAGTCGTCGTAGAAAGCACGGGCCGCGAGTTTCACCAACCTGTTGACTCCGACAGTGAAACCAACAGAAAATCAAGGACCCAGTTCGACGCAACTCTGCGGAGATGTAAAGATGACTGGTTGTTGCCGACAGATACGAATGAATGCAGACAGAGACGAACGAAAGCGCACAGATAATCAGAGTGAAGCATCCCCCCTTCCCCCCGGGAATACCTCTTGAAAGGTTCTGCCATGGCGGAGAGAATCAGGAATCAACCGAACATGGGGGGCCTCAGTTGGCTCAAAAGAACCCGACTTTCCCACCGTTGTAATCACCTCTCGGTCACTCGCGTCAGAGACGTTGCAGCAACCGCCTCAGCGCTGCTCCGTGGCGCCCGCCCACGGTGGGACCTTGAGGAGAGAGAAACGGAGAGAGAGAGAGAGAGAAGGCTTCCAGAAGAATCCAAGTTCTTCCCCCGGCTCGCGCCTCGGAGACTTTTGCGGGCCCGGATCCGGGGACCACCTTAGCCTGCGACTTTAAGGAGATGGGAAGCTAAGATATCACTAGGGCAGGTGGGTTTTCAAGCTGCTACCTTTTCCAGCGGCGGCTGCCCACGTGGGATTCATTGGTGGGCCACCTAGCTCGCCGCCTTAGAGCTGTGACGTGGGCCTTTGCATAAACAGGGAGATGACTGCCACTTGTATTACTCTAAACGTGATTATATCAATGATCATTTTCATTACTTTTTTTTTAAATTACTGTTGTCAACATGAATTATTTTTAGAAATAATCGCGTGAATAATATATATATATACTATTCATATTATTTATATTTGTTTATTTAATTTGCAGTCACCATTGGTTCAAGTAAATTATTAGTTGAAGAACCTAAAAAAATGTGAAATTGTGAAAGTAATTAGGATACATTTTGGGACGATTTTTTTTTAAAAATCTATCACGATACAGTGAAAAAATATTTTTCCCCCTTTTAATTTTAAAAAGTATTTTTTATTTAATAATAGATGTTTATTTTAGGCAAATAAGTTAAATTTACGAGTCCCAGTTAACGTTTGTGGAGACCGAGTTAACTCGGACTCGGTCCGGTCCGGGTGCAGTAAGCGGGTTGTCCGATTCCTGATTCGGTCCTCTCTCCTCCTGCAAGTATCCGTCTCGGCCTCGCTCCTGTTTCTGCGCATCGAGTGAGCAATGGCGAAAGGAAGCTCTCAGTCGCAGGCGTCGTCATCCTCCCAGCCTTCCCGCCCCGGCACCGTGGGCCCAAGGGGGACTCCTGCTGCCGCTGCAGGGATGAGGCGGAGGAGAACCGCCCCAGGCGGTGGATCTGGAGGGGGTTTCGGCGGCGGGGGGAGCAACATGCTGAGGTTCTATACGGACGAAGCACCCGGCCTCAAGATGTCTCCAACGGTGGTGCTGGTGATGAGTCTCTGTTTCATCGGATTCGTCACGGCACTCCACGTCTTCGGCAAGCTGTACCGCTACCGATCCGCCGCCAACGGCGGTGGTTGATCCGGCGGCGATCCCGCGGCGGATATTTCCCACGACTTGTCAAAGGAAGTGGGGAAATTAATGTTTTTTTTTCTCTGCTTGTTATTTGGAAAACCCGCCCCCTTTCACTCTATCATCTCGTATTTGTCTGTTGCTGTTAATTTTCCTGTGTTGGCCACGGAACAAAGGGGGATGCGGATTCCTGTAGTTTATTTTCTCTTATGTTATCATCATTCCACCTTTTGAAACATCTACCGATCATTCTAACTCCTTGACGATGGTTCGAGCTTTTTTCGTGAATCGCTGATCCCCCCGCAGCTGTTTCGTTTTATGTTTACGTTTAATCTCTAACTGGTGTGCTCCATTAACTCTGCCAAGTGCCCCATAAAACCCCGAGGGTCGTGACTAGCGTTGGCATACATCGACATCATTCTATGATTAGTTTCTTACCGTGTTTTAATTTTTTTTACCCTCTTACCTCGCCATTGTCGATGTCATATAATTTATCACACGAAAGTCGTGCAAGCTGGATGAGTGGCATATCACCATCACCTTCGACCTCATCTAATTGTTTTCTTTCCTTTTATATCTCTCGTTCTTGCATCATAATGAATGGATACAGTACTTATTATCCCGTTATTTCCCGAAGGAAGAAACTTAGATATGGGAGCTCATAAGAACCATCTGTTTCTCTTTGGCGCGCAAAGGTAGCATGATTTCAGTTGTGGAGAAACTTGTGCTTCTGTAGAGTGCAGTTGTTTTTATTTTGGGGAAATTTCAGGTATCTCCAGTAGTCAATCTGTGGGGAAACAAGTGATTTGCATCTCGAGGTGTATGTAAAGCAGAACCTAATTCCCATGGAATTTAGCATGCAAAATTTTGCCGATTCACGAGGTAGTCAGACCAACTCAATGATATCATGTTTAGGAGCACGGGGATGGCCAATCAGTCGATTTCCTAGTCGTCATCATTATAATTTAATAGCTTCTGACATCGGGTCTGACCAGATGAACCAAACAACTTCGGTCAGATTGAAGAGTCTGATTTGTGCTGGGTACAATTCGGCAGACCCAAACCAAGTCAGATCAGAAACTATCCATTTGGCATGTGCTATCTGAACGAGTTGGACGGACAGATACTCTTGAAATATGTATTAGTTGGCTTTTAGCTGAGGATCATCTTTTTCGGGGTTAAATCTGTGTTTTCAGGAGGCTTTTGAAGACGAAATCCCATGTTTCTGGGACAAAAACTCTGTTTCCTTTTTGGTCTTAAGTGTAGGCCCTCAAATCACTTTACTATCAAAACCTTGAAGGTCTTATACAAAGTAGAAGGTGCTATATCAAATTAAAGATAAATGGCAATTAAATAAAATGGAATAGGAGCATGAGAAATAAGTGATAAAAATGACATTACGCTACTCATCTAGACAGATTTTTCATGAAAGAAACAAAGTTCCTTACTTTCATAAGGAAAAAAAAGCCTATTTCTCAGTTCTGTACAAACTTTAATTTTGACGTCTCTCAGTATAGCTATGCAGATGGGCTTGCCCCACGTATTGCATGTTATCATCACCGCAAAGTTTGGAGAATATTTGGTTCTGAAATATATTCTAATAAAAGAAAAGGGTTCAGAATTCCTGTGAAAGCTGTATTAATCTGATCTCCATCGGTGATGACAGTCTGCCATCTGGTGGCAGATGTGATGATTTTCTCTCCGTGAGAATGAGGTTTGAGTTTTATTCCTCAAACTTCTCTCGAGATGATAAAATTCTGACACCAACGTCACCTATTTCAGAAATCGGGTAATGCACATATCTCGGCATCAATATGTCCTAATACCATGAACTTTTGGAACAGTAGATAGTTCATATAATGTCCACAGCATATGATCATCCGAGCTTCAGAAATCGTGTAACCGTCATGTGGGGATGGTAAGTGAGATGACACGACATTCAAACTGCGATGTATGATGAATTTTAGTGTAATAAAATAGAGCAGATTTTTATTTACTTTGAAGTTAAAATATCAAATCGTTTGTTTATGAGAATGAACTAACACCTCACTCTGTTTTTCTTAAACCAAGTCCATAAAGACCGTAACATGTACAACAAAATTTCCTAGTTTTCAATCCATTGATTTTAGTGAAAGGAAATTTGAGTTACTCGATGGGCAAAGTCATCTCTGACATCAGTAATAGCTAAGGATTGCAATATTTATGTCAAAATTAAGTTTTTTCCTTTACGTACTTAATATTTTTTTATAAAAATCGTCAAATACATTTGAGAAATGGTTTCCAATCGTTTGGCATCATGGATGTGGACACGCAATTTCACCATAGAAAATGACAATATCCATGATTTGCCAGAAGACTAGCTACCTCAAACAGCATAAAAAAAAGGTTGAAACATCCTAGGATAGAAGACTAGCCACCGTCTTGACCTGGGTCTGATGGTCTACTCCACTTTCTTTTCGTCTCTGTGAATACTTCTGAAAGGTCAACCAATGTTTTCAGGCCATCATCACCATCATTAAGTGTGTTTTTTTTTTCCTTGGATGTGGTGGCCAGGAAGCAGGACCTTCTGCTGCAGGTCAACGAATGGTGTGCTTGAAGGGCTTGAACCGGGGGGAGGAGACGACTTCATGAAGAAATTGTGTTCTGAAGATGGGAAGGAAAGAAGACTGAGAACTCCACCGTACAATTCAGCAGGCCACTGTGTTCTAAAGATGCAGAATTGGGTGAGAACCCGGAACAGAAATGTGGAACAGTTTAGGCATCTGTGGGTCGCGGTATCCAGAAAAAAAGACATTTTTCTGAATAGCTGGTGGGTCGAAGATGGACACCAAGTCTTCTCGAACCACCGGAGGAGACGACCAGTGGAGAAGAACAAGGTCGAAATCTCCCCGTGAAGCCACACGGACGGAGTTGACTTTCAGACCCGATCAATCGGAGGGTCAAACTTTTCCAAAAGGGGGAGGTGGGGCAGTGGGACTGTTTGTTGAATCCCCAAGGATTGGCTATCGTTGACAAGGGGAGCGGGTTCATTTTTGATGAAATTTTACTATTTTTCTTCGTAAATTCCAATACGACACGCCTGGGGTTTGACCTGGAAGCGCTATCTGACCCGGCGACTTCCAGACGGAAAACGTGGTGCTTTCATTTTCCGGATTCCTAAGCTAGCCGATAACGTCTGGCTTGAGTCGTCGTGCAATCGCTTCCAAACGCAGGGATTCGGAACCCGTCGGCTCTCGTTGCGGCCCCCGGGGGGCGCCCTGGACCGTCCGATGGGGGCGGGACGAATCCGAGCGCTTGGGGCCAGCGCCTCTCGTGCCGCTACGTGTCATGGACTCGCGTGGTTGCTACGAAGCGCGATACACACTCGACGGAGGACCCCCTATGATGGCGCCACGTTGCCGGATGCCACTGCCCCCAGGAAAAGCGCACGGTAGCGGCGCCGGCGTCGCGAGGAGCTGCCTTAAACGGAGTTTGATTTCGGCGTCGATCTCCTCTTCCGATTGCGGTATATAAAGGACGGGGAGATGCGGGAAGAGGAGCGGCGGTTGTCTTTCTGTTTGTCGCGGGGAGTTGTGTAATCTTTCCGCTTCCTCTGGTGCCGTGACCGTCAGACCAATCTCTCTCTCTCCTCTTTCTCCGTTCTCCTCTTTTTCCCTCTCTACTCGTGCCCGGAGGCAGGAATCCCTAAACGTCCAATCGGCCGTCTTCTTTCCGACAGCCCGAAGGATCGTTTGATTGTAATCGGGAATCGGAAGGTGCGCGCGCGCCCAGTCTGGTTTATTTCTGTTGATCGAGGTAGAAATCGTATTGCGTTTTGGCGATTTGGCGTGGTGGGTGTTTTCTTTTCGTAGAACCTTGACTTCTTTTCCTCCATGGTCTCCGGAAGGGATTATGCCAATTGATCATCGAGTTGCCTCAGCTCGCCATTATCGGTTCATCTCGAGTTCTGTTGTTAGTGGATTTCTCGCAGTAGGCGAGGATCTTTCTATTGTGGACACTTTTACAGAAGTTGGATAGTTCTCCGTGTAATTTTTTGTCGTGTCAGAATATTTGTTTCTCGTTTGGCCTCTGTGTCAACATCCAGTGCAGAGATCGACACCTATATATGTGATTTTTGTTATTTATTTCGTTGCATTGTTATTTGACTCATCGCACGGAGGAAACGTCTTCTTCTTTTGCAGTTGCATCTCCAGGCGCTGCAGGATCTTCTTCTTTTCCAGTTTTTGAAGAGTACCGAGGTACTGCTCCTTCACAATTTCTGCAAGATTTGCTGCTCTACTATTTCGTTCTCTGCGACCAGCAATAGGTTATGACCGGATTCCTTGCGTAAATATTTCACCTGCTCTATTGCCCTCAAGCTAGCTTTTTTGTGGCTTACTCGGATAGATGGCACGGAGTATTTCTTCCCTTTTTTTCCAATTATTAGGTTCTATGATTGCCACTCTTCTAGTGGCGTTAATTTCTTTTTGTTGACATGGTATTCTTTTTTGTTTCTTCTGTTGGAAAATTGGGTTCACTTCATAATCAAGTGCTCTCCAATCTCTGCAACATTAACCATTTAAGGTTATTTATAAAAAAAAATCATGGCCAGTATCATGCAAATAAAAAGCCCCTATCTCAAAAAGAATTGAATTGCAGTTCATCTCTCCATTGTTCTTGTGAGGGTGTCCGAGAAAAAATTGAAGAACTGTATATGGAAGAGTGCCTGATGTATGTCTTTTCTGGCTATTTTGAGTTTGATATCTTCATCTTCGTTAAGTGTAGCTTTTATTGTGATTGGGTCCTGTGATGTCCGAACATTGCTGTATCACCTGGTGCCATTCACCAGGAAATCTGCACTGAGATTTCCAAAAATTTCCCAATCAGAGTTTTCATTAATTGTGATTTAACACTCTTCGGTAGAAAAGTTGAATATTTTTACACTGGTAAGTGCATGTTTTTTTTATGATCTACATAACGTATAAAATGTACCTTACCCCTCTAGCTTTATTTTTCATAATTTTTTATTTATCCTTGTTGGCCTTTGCGTTAAGTATTCACACAGTTGTTAATTTTATGTAGCACTCGTTGCTTTCGTTCTGTTTGTTTCATTTAGATTTAGAAGAGCTCAGTTAATGAGGAGGGATATCAGGCGGAAGACACTGCTAAGCATATTCGTCACGTTTAGAACATATACTTGATAATAAGCATTTAGGATATTGACTAGATCTACTTTTCATTTCATTTCACCGTTTTGTAGCACATCTTTTATGCCCTTCGATGATGATTATCTCATCATCAGTGAGATTCTCTCCATAAATTTATTTCTGAGATGCCTAAATTTGTTATTGGATTTCTAGCGGTTATCTTCTGATCTCAATTCGCTGCCTTATATTTATGTATCTTCAAATTTTGTTACTGTTGCCTTATGGTTAATGATGAAGTCAATTCATACTTCTTCTCACTTGATCATCTGTTTTGATGACTTTGCAGGTATTTAACTGATCTTCATTTTGGTTCCTTGTTAGTGATATTTCTAGAACAGACTTTGTCTACCTCAGTATAGATTTCCTTGTAAATTGACTGAGAGACACCACAATTGTTTATACAAACACTAACTTAGGTTTTTTCGTAAACGTAAATTTCCTCATCTTCAGGCATCTCCAATTCGTTTCACCCACAAGCTATCTGATATATGATCCCGTTCCTCATAACAATAGAATTCTCTCTCTTGAAGGGTAGGTTGGCTGGTATCAATTCTTTCACGGTTTTCAACTAAATTAGAAATGGTGTTGCAGGAACTTAAGTCCTTTGGACCAGAGGACGGGGGATGTAATTTTGGAAATTTTGAGAATTTCTATCAGATATTCAACGCGTACTATTGGCTGGACTGCCATGGCTTCATGTGCTGGTCACTTTTCCTGAAGGAAGATGCTAGAGATTGAGTCTGTGTTTTTTTATGTCAAGACAGATATTATTATCACAAGGTGGTGCTCGATAAGTAAAGTCATCTGGGTTTTGGGGCTTTCTTTTTGATGCAAACTGCTAGATGTTGTTTTCAATCAGACGTCTCTTAGGATCCTGTACTCGGCATCCATGGGTCTTTAAGGACATCCAACTTACTAGTGCAAAAGAGAAGAGGATCCTTCAGTTATGTTGCTATGATGATTTGGTATCTTGACATCAGCCTAGCATTTTCCGCAACACACATTTATGGACGTAATGCTGGGTTAGTATCTATGGGTATTTAAGGTTATCTGCTTTTCTAGTGCAGCAGTGAATGGGTTCTCAGGTTCCTTGCCTTGAACGCTTTGGCATCATAAGATACCCTTTCATTCCCCTGCATTTCATACAGGACATTAACATGTGGAGAAAATTTTGGATACTCTACGTGTTGCTAATTGCAAGCTTTTCCTACATCTACTTTGAGTTGGTGATGCTCGACTTTTTGGAAGCTTTCCCATAGCTTTCACCAGGCCTTGGGGAACAGCTTATTATTGGTATAATCTTTTATGCCTTCATCTCCCCTTTGTGGATAATTTCTGTAGTAGCAGGAGCCTGTACATTCACAAAGAAATGCTATGGTGAACAGATTTCTGGATACGTATGCTGAGGGAGGATTTCATTTGAGAGGTTTCTCATTTGTCTTGTGGATGACATCTAGGATCAGGCAAAATACGATTTCTCTGACCAACAGAATGTTGAAAAATCTCTGATCGATTCAGTAGCTCTGCATAGATGCTTACTTGCTGGATTTCATTCCGCATAACGCTGGTCTCAATCATGTGATTTATGGTGTACAGCTTGCTTGGAGATTCCTCAGCATGATCATCAGATGGGAAGGAAAGTAATAAGAAGAAGATGGAGGATAATGAACTCTTCGATGGAAATCAACCCATTTTCACCAAAAAGAAAGGAAAAAGTTATTGATTGTGGTATAACTATTCTTAGGAATAATGAGAGAAGATACCCTTCCAAGTTTTGATGTTTATATTACAATGTCCTCTAAGAGGCTATTTTGCAAGCTCCATCTTATTTGATGCTGCATCCACTTGCCAAAGCCCCTCTTTTGTCCTTCAATTATATCTTTCCGCTGTAGATGGCTTGAATCAAGAGACTCAGATAGTTCTCATCTAGGAGCTGATTGACATTTCAGGTCGTTCGGATAATGTTCGTTTCCAAATATTTGGAAGTGGATCTGGTTGTTGCGACTGAAATATCAGTAGAAGTATTGCTGGGTTCTTTCAGAATCTTCTTGGAGGACGGGCTATAATCTGTATGATACCGTTAATATAAGCTTTTATTCAAATATAATCTACTTTTTTCTGAAAACAGGAACATATTTACTTCTCTTTCATTATTTGATTCTATTTCTCATGCGAAGCAGGTATTAGGATAGACAGATGGATCCATGAAAGGTAAACTGTGGGCAGAGTTATTCGCTTACATCCATTACTTATTGTCCATGGACTTTGTTACGAACTATCAACAATGTGAGTAGAATTTATGGGTAGCCTTGCACAACAGTTAGTATCTATCCGTTAGTCCATTATATGAGGAAAAGGAAAACGCTGATACGTCTTCTAGTTTGCAATCATCTTTCGCTCTGTCATGTTCAAAACTTCATTTTTTACATAAAGCGAGATAGTTAAGGTTTCTTTAGTATCCTGAACAAGGCAATCCTATTCAATTGCAAAAAATTATAAAACTATGATTTTTGAGAGGAGACTAGTTTTTCATTCTACTCTCTCCTTTTTTTCTTCTTCCATCTCACCAAGGATTTGCCATTCTAAATCCAAGCCTTTAGAGTAATTTTTTACGTATACAAATTCTATCAACATTAGAATGTTTTTTGTTCATGGGAAGATTTGTGGCTATGGGGTAGAATGATATTCAGTTTTATGATCCTTTGTCTTTTAGTAGATTTTATTGTGCAGTTTTAGATAATGTTCACAGGCATGATGCATGATCTGGGTTTTGGTCCCGAGGTACTTGCCCTTCCTATCTTCTGTCCCTGAATAATTCCATGGAGGTGTGGCCTCTCTTCTTCTGGGTGTGGGGCAAAGTAACAATAGGCTTGGCGTCTATCACTAGGTTTCTGGAGGTCGCAATAGAGGTTGAAATGCAGTGTATTAAGTGGATCCATCTGCAATGCAAAAATTAACTTGAAGATATCTCTTAGTGCAGATGATATATCTGTTACCTCGTGTTGTCACTCTTATTACAGGTCAGTTTCTTGTCATCTCATGTAAGTATTCTTACATTTCTTACAGTACTTCACATAGTGGCTACTCAACGTGTAATTATGGATCTAAGGACGCTAAAAACAATAGATTGGGAGTTGTGGAGCCGTGCTCTAAAGGCATCTGCGATCCTAACACTTTCTGCGAGTTTAACTCTTGTATTAGTGATATAACATGTGCATGTTCTATAAAAGCTTAACTACCATGATATAAAAGCAATATTCCTGTATATTTACAGTAGACCTTATACTTCAGATTTGATGGATTATACACGTCCAGTTTGAATTCGAAGTATGGCCACACTATACTTTATTTCAGTTCCCCACCATCCTTATTATCCTCTATCAAGTTAGTTTTCTTTCAGCTCTTTGTTAGCCGTCATCCTGTGGCCAGTTAGCAACAGTCCTCAAAGGAGGAAACGGAATGTGTCTAATTAGACCAGCCTGGGACTCTTTTAAGTGAAGAGTGGTTTGCAGTTGTAATGGCTTCACCCCGGAGTTTATCTGGGACAAACTGTAGTCACTCTTGTCTACATAAAAAATCTTTATATCTTTATATTGCGCAAGTTTATTTAACCATGTTCCAGTTTAGTCTTCCAGCCAGTAATCATGTGCAAAAACTGGTAGCAGATAGGACTTGTTCTTTTTTGCTTTTCTATTTTAATTTTGGTAAAAAATAGTTCCATTGAAGACAAGTTGATATTAATGATATTCTTACAGCTGCATCAGAAATCTAAATCTTTACTGGAATCTTTGAAAATTCTATCTGAATGTCGATGATTTGCATCCATTTGATTTTTTGTACTATTGTTTTTCTGTCTATTCCCATTGCCTGCAATCTACTGCCTGGCGTCAAATCTCCTCGTGTTGATGTGATTTTGCTGTATTTCTCAGAAACACCATGCGGGCTTAAACAGGAGCTCTTTATATGGCACACAGGAACTTTTTCTTCCCATCCAACACGTCAGAAATGGATCATGACCAAGTTCGGAATGGTTTCAATTCCGATTCTCGCCTTCCTTTGGGTAAATCCTCTTTTCATATCCTTGTCTTCTACTTGGCAAATGCGCAGTCATACAGCCAGCTCATAATTCTCTTCTTCTGTTTCAGAAAATGGTTCTTTTGCCTTTCCAGTGGATAATCTGGCAATCAATCGAATCAACCCCGTCTCTTATCCCAGTGTACCACTAAGGTCGAATGATTACGCATCGTCAAGCACGGGAATTCCACACTACCGACCGGTGACTTCTGGGACCTCCGACCTGCACCAACAGCAACTTTCCACCGCCAGCAGCTCATCGTTTGTGCCATCCTCTTACGCCCATTTGGGGCCCTGCTACAACCACTGCATCATCCCTAGCGACGAGGGGAGGAATCCGAATCCACCGCCGATGGATGAAGGCAGGGTTTTGGCCAAAAGAAAGAGCCCATCCGTCGCCATGTTCAATGACCCAGGGAACACAAATCGGTACTACAACGGTGGTAACTCTGCCGGCATAGCCAGCGCCGCCGACCAGCTACAGCAGAAGCCTTTTCCGAGTTCTCAGCAATGGCATTGGGACCCAAATATCGCCGTTCATAATTACAGCGGCAGCAGCAGTCTCCTGGTTCCTGGTGAGGGGTCTCATGGCAACGTGAGAAGTCGCCATCCCCACGTACCTCACTTGGACGGCAACCAAGCCGGGGCACCTTGCCACTTCCCTCCTGCCGGGGATCTTCCCGGCCTCGCCGCGAACCCCCGGTGGTGCCACAACCTCGCCTCGCACGGATCATTCGGAAGACCTCCTCCTCCAGGTTCCCACACTCTTCCTCTTTCTGCGTTCATATTCTGTGTTCATGTCGCCGTTCTTTGCCGACGACTGGTTGGGACTCTGCGGCTGCAGGTGGGGCGGCGTCATGGTTCGGTCACGTCAACCAGAGCTATCTTGTGAGCTCCACCGCCGGCGTTTCTGCCGAACCAAGCGGGAGTCGCAGACATGTCGGCGCCCCTGCTCCTCCGGCGATTGCCCACGCACCGCAGAGCGCGGCTGGCGAAGGCCAGCACAGCTCTCGGCAGAGAAGCGGCGGCCCTTCTCACCGGCCCACACCCTGCTACCCGAATTCGTCCTTCACCGCGGCGGCCACGGAGGAGGTCCGGCACGCGGGTTCCGGCGCCGCCGCGGCCTTCACAAGACATCCGAGGTCGCTGTCCATCAGCGGCGGGCGCAGCGCCGAGAGGAGCGGGAGAGCGAGATTTCCCTGCGGCAGGTTTCACCCATACCCAACCGACGACGGGAACCGCAGCCGGTGGGCACCCGAGGTAGGGACCCATTGCGACCCTTCAATTTCTCCTCTTTCCTTTTTCTCCTGATCCGCCACCCCAACTACGTACTCTCCCAGGAGGACTCGACGGCCGATCGTTCGGCATACTACGATTCCGTAAATCTCTTCGACCAGCACCGAGATCTGCGACTTGACGTCGACAACATGAGCTACGAGGTGAGGGCGATGCTTCTTCTGATCTGGATCTGATGAAAAAATGCAAAAAAAAAATCTCATTCTCTTCCCTTTTTCCAGGAACTGCTTGCCCTGGGGGAGAGGATCGGAAGCGTGAACACCGGTCTGTCAGAGGATACCATTACCAAGTGCCTCAAGAGGACCGTGTACTCCCCCGCCGGTGACCAGGCCCAGGACCTCCAGGTGGGAAGCTGCGTGATATGCCTGGTGAGAGGACTCGACCCACCCCCACCTACCCATCATCATCATCATCATCATCATCATTGCCTAATCTGAGAGAGAAACGGGCTCTTGAGGGGGTTGACCTTTGGAACCTGTGCAGGAGAGGTACGAGGACGAGGACGAGCTGGGGACGCTGGGGTGTGGCCACGACTACCACGCGGACTGCGTGAGGAAGTGGCTGCTGATGAAGAACGCCTGCCCCATCTGCAAGGCCCCCGCCCTGGAGGACGAGAAGTCGTCGAGGGGCGGAGAGTAGGCCCAATTCAATTTATCCCTTGTAATTAGAATCATCTCCCTCCTTGTTAGTAGACTGTGGTGTTATTTTGTGCAGCCGGGCTTTGCTTATATTCTTCAGCTCTCTCTGTCTTCCATTCCATTGATCTAACCATTTTTTTATTATCCTCTGTCCGCTCCACGTTTCAAGAATGGAGAAAAGTCTATCAGAGAGGGAGGGAGGGAGGGAGAGAGAGATGTTAATTGCCTTGAAGGAGTCGACGGGTCAACGTCAGGGTTAGTGTGAGAGAGAGATGTTGAATCCTTCAATTCTCTCGTTGTTTTCCATTCCATTGATAAACGATAGAGAGGCAGAGAGGGAGAGATGCTAATTATCTTGAGAACCTGCCGGTCAACGTCAGGGTTAGAGGGAGAGAGAGATAGAGAGAGATCTTATATTCATCAGCTCTCTCGTTGTTTTCTATTCCATGGATGAAAGATAGGGAGACAGAAAGGGGGAGAGCTGTTAATTACCTTGAGAACCCGGCGGGTCAATCTCAGGGTTAGAGAGAGAGAGAGAGATGTTACATTCTTCAGCTCTCTCAATACCTTCCGTTCCTCCGACTTAACCTTTCTAACCTCTATCATTTCCAGGGTTGCCAAAAAGCCCATACTCGTAGAAAAGTCTGGGACAGAGACAGATAGGAGGAGGAAGAGATGTTAATCACCTTGAAGAAGTCAGCCGGTCAACTTCAGGCCCAGAGAGAGAGAGAGAGAGAGAGAGAGAGAGATGCTACATTAGTCTGCTCTCTCGTTGTCTTCCATTCCGTTGATCTAATATTTTTCTAACCTATCAGCTCCAGGGTCGCCAAAAGTCCAAACACGGAGAAAAGTCTAGCAGAGAGAGAGAGAGAGATGTTAATTACCTTGAAGAAGTAGGTGGGCCAACGTCAGGGCTAGAGAGAGAGAAACAGAGGGTATTCTCGATACTCTCGGCCCATTAATCAACTCTGAGATGTCCGAGGGTCGGTACTGCGATGGGCTTCTTTGATCCATTTGACCCGGGCCAGTGCGTCGTCGCGTGTCATGCACAGGAAAAGCAAGGGTCTAGTCGGAAGTGCCGCGGTACCGGACAGATGGGCCCCCCCGAACGGCGCAGTCCACAAGTGCGGCTGGCGCCGCCGAGGGACCCATTCTCCCTCAGTCTCCCGACTTCCCCGCCTTCTTTGATGGCCACCGCGGAAAAAGAAGGCACAGAAGAAGTCACTCGCAGGCGAGCGCACTCCTCTTCTTCTCCGTCTTCTTCTGGCCTCCTCTCTCCTCCCACTGGTTTGAAAACCCAGACCCGGAACCGCGCCTCTGATTTCAAGGTTTGAAGGTTGGCCAGATTCGGCCTGGACGAACCTGTGCTGGCTCGATGTAAGTCAAACGCGGGTACGCCCGCTGTCTCTGTCGAAGTGGGGAGAGAAAACACGGCGCCTCCATGGGGGGAGCTTCGCTGGGTCTGGGCTTTGTGGAGATTTGTTATGGGGATCATATAATTGATTTCTTCAAACATAGGAAATATTTTAGATGGAATACACTGGGGACGAGTCTAGCAGGGAGGCACCTCCCTCTGCTCCCCTACAGGACGACGAGTTAAAGGAAGAAATGGAACGAATGCGGCCCCCCTCCGGGAGGCGTCTCTGCTCTGCAACTTCTTCGGCGGCAGCGTCCAGCGGGATTAATAATTAGTATAAAACAAAAATTAATAAGAAAACATGAATTGTAGTTGTGGGTCGGCCTGGTTTCACCACGGCGGCCGGCGGTGGCGCTTACGCCACCATCTGCTCCTGGTCCATCCATGGAGAGAAGATGTCCGTGGCACTGTTGCTGAACTCGTTGCCCCTGGCGGTTTCATAGCGCTGCTGCTGGCACGGTGGCTCTGCAACGCCGCCGCCGTCCTTCACCAGGGACTGGACCCAGGAGACGTCCGGCTCCTTCGCTGTCGCGGCGGCCACGTTGCCATTGCTCCGGAACCCAAAGGACGTGCATTTCCTCAACTTGCTCAGCTCCTCCCCACGGATGCCCCAGTCGAGCTTCCCGTCCGGCGATGCCCAGTCGGAGAGGGACGGCGCCGGCGGCGCGAAGGTCGCAATACCGAGAGCCGATGGGCGAGCCGCCACCCCGCGGTCGCAGAAGCTCTGGCTGCGCTTGGCGAAGGCGGAAGCCTTGGACTTCATGATGGTGTTGGCCAGCGAGTGTAGCCCGAAGGATGAAGACAGCGAGGACTGCGGGTTCGAGCCAGCGTACCCAGACGGCAGCTGCTGGCTGACGTTGCTCTGGTGCATCTGGATTCCGGAAGGAGGCTGAAACTGACTGGCGCCGCTGGCCATGGAGTGTCTCAGGGAAAGGCCTTGGAGCTGCGACAGCAGGGACGAGGATTCCGGCGATCCGTACACGTCTCCGTAACCAGAAGGAGGAGATGCTCCTCCCAGAGAGAACTTCCAGCAAGATGGAGAAGACATGGACGCCATGTCGTCTACTTGCTGCTGCTGCTGCTGATGGTATGCTTCCAGACCCATCAAATCCAGGTCCACCTCCATTGTTCTGGAACTCAAGCTCGTCTTCAGCCGGCTCGTCGGGAGCTTCGGGGTCGACGTCATCACTCCGCCAGTCTGGCTCAGCCACGCTGCAGCAGAAGCCGCGGCGGATGAGGAGGCGGCTGAGGATGTCATGGACTGGTTCATCAGCACGGCGGCGGCGGTCGTCACATCGAGAGGAGGCAGAGCAGGCGACTTGGGGGATAGCAGGACAGAGCCAGACGGAGACAGGGGCGGCGCACCGGACGAGTGCCCCGGCTGGCGGAGCTCCTCGGGCTTGTGAGCGAAGAAGCAGACTCTGCGGGTGCAACCAGTCTCGTCCTTGCAGAGGCGGGTCCGGTACTGTGCCGGATGGAGCCAACACTCGAACACCCCGTGGGCGTACTCGCAGGCGTCCCCGTTCCGGCAACTCCCCTTGCGAAACTCCGGGCAGGGGACGCAGCTGTAATGGTACTTCCGGGGATCTCGCCGGCGTGCGTTCTCGCCGGGATGGACGAAGGGGCACTCCGTCCAGTCATGGGAGTAAGCTCGCGAGCATGGCTTCACCTTGAACGTGTACATCCTGAATTCGTCCGTGGTGTAGATGCCGTTCTTGATGTCGGGGAGCGTCAGGTCCGGCGGGTACTCCTTCTCTCTCTTCTTCTCCTCCCTCTTCGACGGAGAGAAGTCTTCCTCGCAGGCCGTCGTCGTGCTGGCGGCGCCACCCCGGAGCAGAGCCTTCAGCGACCTGGTTTTTGACGACCCGCCAGAGGCCAGGCACCGGGGGATGACGTCGCCCGGCTTGTTCCCCCCGCCGTCGACGGCGGCGACGTCGGCCGACGCGTCTACCAGCATCCTGACGGCGTCCGCCGAAGCCGGCGAGCCGCCGCCGGCGGCGCAGTGGAGGGCGGTGGCGCCGTCGGAGCCACAGGCCCGGTTGACATCCACCGTGCCGACGGCCAGAATGTACTCCAGCACCGCGACGCTGCCGTACATGGCGGCGATCATGAGCGGGGTCCGCAGCTCGAAGCCCATCGTCCTGCCCCACCGGCCGTACCAGGGGCCCGGCAGGTCTACCTCGAGCCGGCCTTCCTCCAGAGCGCGGCGGAAACCAGGCAGATCGTTGGCAGCGGAAAGTTCTAGGAGGATAGAACCCCGCGTCGCCGGAGAGTCGGCGGTGATGGCCATAGCGCCGTCGCCGATGGGCCTGGTGGGTTTTGCTCCTCTGCTTGTATATTATATACTGCACAAACGAAACCAGAATTCAATCAGAGAGAGAGAGGGAGAGGGATTCAGCAAAAGGATCCATCTGGTCTACGTGTTTCTCGTGGATGATCCCTGAAACAGAAACAGAGGCAATCCCACACGTCTACCCAAGTCAGTTTCTCAGTCCATCTCGAACTCCCTTGCCCGGACTACCAAATCTCTGCGAATCCCAACAGAAAGGAGAGGGAGGAGGGCCGTACCTCGCAGCCGGCGTGGACGGGTTGGCGGGGAGGGCAGCGAGGGAGACGACGGTGGCTCGCCGGCGAGACGACTTCGCCGTCGCCGATAAGGAAGTCTCAGCGCCTGTTATGCTCAGATCATCCAATGAATGCAACTTCTCGGTAGGTTGGGAGGAGGAATTATAGAAAGAGTCCTGCCGGAAAGGGTGAGACAGTTACAGCACTTCACTGGGCAGAGAGAACAGAGAGAGAGAGAGAGGTCAAAGTCCGTCCGCGGCGGCCGTCACCAAGTCAAAAAGGAGGGGCATTGCCCTCCCATCCTCCGGCTCCGGCGCCCCCCGGCGGTCCAGCTTCAACAGTTTTCAAAATGCAAATGACAGGCGCTCAAATTCCCCCGAATGGAATTCAGATTCTCAAGGTCGCTCTCCTCTCTCTCTTTTTTATATCTCTATTCTCTCCCTCTCTCTCTCTCTCTCTCTCTCTCTGTGTGGCCGCTTCCAGTCTACCGCTGGAATCCAAGCTTGCCGGCCTTCCCCGGATGCGGACGACAACGAGGACACGGCGATGCGACATGTCTGTTGCGGTCTGCGTGGCGGTGAGGATATCATTATTTAACCGGTTGCCCTCAACTACCGGCAGGTGTCTAGGCCTATTGATAATGCCTTGACCGCGAGGGAGAATGCTTCCCTCAGCTCCCCACCCCTCCTTCCCCCCGTTCCCAGAAAAGCCTGAAAACTGCGATCGGGCTGGCCCGGCCCCCGGTAACAAACTTATCTGTCGGCGGTCTCCGAAAGTCGGGCCTAGTGGAGGACGCGAAGGAACGGGCTTTACCAATGGGCTTGATATCTCATATGGATCCATTTCTCGCTGCGTTCGGCCCATTAAGCCTTGCGCCGACTTGGGCCTGCACTTGGGGAAGCTGCGTTGACCGAGGACTTCACGTGAGCTTCTAGAACAAGATCTCAGGTCCTACGAGCCTTTACGACCTCTGAAGAGATGGAAATACAAATCTCAGACGAGTATGGTTGCAACTAATAAATTAATATCATTTATTACTGTTAACTGAGGTTGACTTTTCTCGTGGAAATTAATGGGGATTCGATTTGGGAGAGAAAAAAAACCCAGACGTCGTTGCGGAGTCGCTGCTTGAAGGGATGAATAGATTTCCAACGAAAATAATGGGTGCCCTATTATTTCTTGTTTAACTGACAAAAAGCAGCACTGCGCCTGCGCCGCCCGATGGTCGACTGAATCTCTCGATCCGATCCGTATTCTCTCTCTCTCTCTCTCTCTCTCTTCTGCACAGTGTCTACGCGTACTCACCAGTTGTAACGAGACCGTCCTTCGTACTACTCCAGTTGTCTGATCTTCTGCTCACCTTCCGTTGGTGTCGCACAAGAGGGATCCGCCGCCCTCGCCCTCGCCTCGCCCTCATCTCAGCTCTGTTTTCTTCAGATTGTAGGCAAACCCATTTCCTCCTCTGGCACCGCTCTTCCGGCTGCGGGGCCGCCGCGGCGATGCGAAACCATAGAAACCCTGGGGTCGGCCGGCTCTCGTGACAGGGCGCTTCGCCACCTTGAGCCCGAAGAGGAGAACGAGGAAGGGCGGGTCAAAAAAACCCTATTCCGGACAATGGGTAACTGTTGCCGCTCCCCGACCGCTGTGGCCAGGGAAGACGTTAAGTCCAGCTACCACCACGATCAGGCCCGACGAGAACGCGACTTTAGGGGCGGCAGCAGCCATAATGGTGGAGATGCCGGTGGCCAGAAGAAGCTGACGGTGCTCAAGGAGAGAAATTATAACAATTTCAAGGCTGGAATCGACGGGAAGTACATGCTTGACCGGGAGCTGGGACGAGGGGAGTTTGGGGTCACCTATCTCTGCATGGTCAGGGAGACCCGCGAGCTCCTCGCTTGTAAGTCCATCTCCAAGAGGAAGCTTCGAACGTCTGTGGATGTGGAGGATGTACGCAGGGAGGTGGCCATCATGCGCCACCTGCCCAAGAGCCCTAGCATAGTGAGCCTGCGGGAGGCTTGTGAGGATGACCGTGCCGTACACCTGGTTATGGAGCTCTGCGAGGGTGGTGAGCTTTTCGACCGGATAGTGGCCAGGGGCCACTACACAGAAAGGGCAGCGGCTGTTGTCACGCGTACTATCGTGGAGGTGGTACAGCTTTGCCACCGTCATGGTGTGATCCACCGTGACTTGAAACCGGAGAATTTCTTGTTTGCCAACAAGAAGGAGAACTCGCCGTTGAAGGCTATTGATTTCGGTTTATCTATATTCTTCAAGCCTGGTGAGTGCTGGTGATGGCAATTTCAGATCATACTGGTTCCTTTTACACATGCTTGGCATTCATGTATTGGTATACTTGACTAGATCACACATAATTTGCATTTTTTACGCCACCAATATATTAACTCCTACAAATCCAACATGGTGTGCTCTATTATGCTATACGGCTGTCACTGCTTTGTGAATATTTTCTCCATTTTTTTGCCCACTAGATGAATTCTGGTCCATATATTCTTGCTCTGAGGGAGATATTAATTCAGTGTAGTTCTTTGAAAATTACTCCTTTTTTCGGCTCGCATATTACTCTTACACGATTCAGGGGACTGTTGAACATAATATACGAAATGTGTGAGTGCTGAAGAAATTCATTCTGTGGATACCTGCTGGAATAAAAAATTGTAAGGAAGAAAACTGGTCACTGGATAACGATGGGAAAGGAGGTTATAGATCTCTTGATCGGGATAGGGTTTTAGAAGTCAAAGGCAAGTTCGTGTGGGCCTTGAGTAAATATCTTTATACAACCCTCTTTGATATATTGTCGTCTATTGTTAGTCAAGAAGATGAAAATTCATGGGTGAATGGACATAGCTGGCTACTATAGGAATGGTGGTGCTTGAGGCATTCTTCCAAGCTGCTGGACATTCCACGATAAGGCAGTTTATCTTTTGCAGAATTCAGGAAGAAAGTGCAGATTCTGCCGTTACCCCTTCCTTGTATGGCTCTAATTTACTTTCTTGGTCTACTCCGTTCCCCTGATGCCATTCATAACCCTGTTACATAATTGGTTGTATTCTTCCTGCCGAGCTTGTTTGTTAAAGGACTTATAGATGTTTCTCATATGGTTCATATTCTGGGTGATTTCCAAGAAAGGAACTGGAGCATACTATGAAATCAACGGAAGATTGGCTGTTATCAGCAAGCTTGTCCCGTCCCATTATGTTTTGGTCATCTGATATTCAGATCTGGACGTGATTCTTTTCTTGACAATGTCTAATATGAGTAATTTTCTGATCTAGCTGTTTCAGCTGAGAATCTGAGATGGTTTTCCTAAATTTGAAGTTTTGTGAACACCAAATTTTTTTAAAACACGCAGTCTACATCTCAGCACCTTCTCTTTCAGTTCTAGACAGCGTAATGAATTTATTTTTATATATTTTTCTTCTGTTCGCTGTAGAAATCATCTCATATTCGGGTTGACATTACACTGTTCATGGACATAAGTTTTTAACATCAGATAATTTATCAGCATCATCTCATGCTGTTTTCTGATACAAATCAATCCTATTTCTTGTAACCTTTCTTGAAATATGGCATTTGGTAGGTATCTTGTTAAGAGACATCCACTGTTTTTTTTTTTATTGAACTCCAATCACTTTCTCATATGAAGACTTTGTAGAGGCGTTTATTTCTTTTAGATGCTGATAGATAAGTGTCAGGAAAGAACAGGGTCAATTCTGTATGAGGTATACTAAAATGTGGTATGGAAAAATATAGAAATTAGAATAATTAAAAAAATGATCAGACAGATGATTCGGTGGTCTGAACATTAGGAATTTTAGATGCTTTGTCCTGTGCAGAAGGGATATGTAACAGAGTGAAATAAACACCTTTTCTGGAGAAGGGTTTGTTGTGAACTTAGTTTTTCACCATGCCTAACACCCATTACATTGGCAATTACAGGTCTTCAGAGTTTTCGCAATAAAAAAATCCTGATAGCAAGGAGCGGATTCACACTTGATGTGATTTGAGCTGTGTGAAACTTTTCAAAACTTAAAAAGATCTGTGTACATTGGTTATGCGTGATTTGGTCGCTGTTACAATCCCATGCTTCTACTCAATTAATGTAGGTTTCTACAACTGGGGATTATCTAAGATTTTATGAGGTTAGGATGTGAAAACATGGTGCTTTTCTTTCCTTATCAATTTCAATTTTAGATCTTGCTTTGCTTCCTTGGGGAGAATATTCTAAGAAAATTCAGAATATATTTGGCATGTATGTTTTTTTTTATTGCATTGTGGCTTAGTCAGGGAGAAACTCCAAAAATGATTTGGCAAAAAATTGCCGTCGCTAATAATCGTGAAGAATAAAAAGCGAATTCTTGGAAAATGCTTATTAAACACCTCCATGGATGCCCCCAAGTAAAATACCAGAGGGGACCATAATAATGCATCTAACGTTTGGCTGTCACAGACCGATCAGGTAATTGATTAAGAAGCCTGGAAATCAGATTCTCAGAATGAGTATGTGACTCAAGTGACTCACATCGGTCAAAATGAAGTATGTCTTTTATACCGCTCGAACTACAAGGTATAATTGAGGCGATTATGCTCACTTTTATACAAATATTGTATCTTTGGTAACTCTTGAAGAAGGACCATGTAGTTCATGGTTTGTGCCAGTGCACAGAACTTCTTCAATGTCGTCAGCCCTCTGCAAAAATACCCCTTGTGTTGACCCGGCATGGGATTAATATTCTTTCAGAAGCATTCTGCGCTGAAAGAAGTTAGCTCAGTGAATCACAGTAGTTAAGCACAGTAGTCAGGCCAGTGAAAAAAGTTATGTCAGAAGAAGCTTAAAATATTTATTCTTGCTCTGTCCTTTGCTCATCAACTCCTGACCTTTTTCGAGCAGTTCTCAAGTTTGTTTTCTCATTTTTCAAACTCCACCATTAATTGGGGCACGCAGAAGATGTTATTTAGTGATCAAATGTGGCTGCTGATTTCTGAACACTTTAGCACTGGGAAAAATCTTTAACTGGCCTGTTGGACATCCATTAATCCTCGCAAAGGTCATTAATTTTCAATCACTTTCTTGCATTTTTCTGGAAATTTCAGCTCCAAGGGGTTTCCACATGCATCAGAGAAAAATGCCTGTCCCATTAAAATGGCTTCAGTCGCCATCTGGAGTCTCCATGGCTCGGATAAACTGCTTGTTCCATTTAGTTTCTAGACTTGCTTGTCGTTTGTTCATAGAAACTCCTGTTGTTCTGATGTTTAGCTTTAACCATGCTCAAGCAGACTGAGTTCCCCTGCTTTAGGGCAAGGAAGAGCACGGGCTGAATCTCGCTGGTATTTTTGTGGTTTGCCTTCATGTTAGCATCCTGGGATGTCTGTGATCATTAAACATTAATGATCTAGTTTTTCGTTCAGAAGCATTATAGTGGATAATTACATCTTCATTTTTTCTCCATTCTTTGATATTTTTTCCGCTTCTCATGTCACCACTTTTTTATCATGTTCTAGGTGAAAGGTTCACTGAAATTGTTGGAAGTCCTTATTACATGGCTCCTGAAGTTCTCAAGAGGAATTATGGACCTGAAATTGATATATGGAGTGCAGGGGTTATTCTTTACATTTTGTTGTGTGGGGTTCCTCCCTTTTGGGCTGGTAAGCTCATTTCCTTTGCTATAAATGCTTGCTCTGCCCTATCTTTATTGGAGACTGGGCTACTATTTATGTCTCTTGCTTGTGCCACCTTTTTGGTGTTATGACGTAGTTACCTATGAAATAAAGATGTCGCTAGGTCACTTTGGATGCCGGTGATCTTTGCTAAAATCGTTGATGCTGTTTCTTCGTCTAATCAAAGCTTCTGTTTTCTTGCAGAATCTGAGCAGGGTGTTGCACAAGCAATACTTCGAGGTGTTATAGATTTCAAACGTGATCCATGGCCATCTATTTCAGAAAATGCGAAGCATTTGGTTCAGCAGATGTTGGAGCCTGACCCTAAACTTAGATTAACTGCAAGACAAGTTCTTGGTATTTCCCATTCCTTTCTAAAACTCATATCCTGGTCATAATACACGTTGGAATCTGTTTTGCTACCTTATTTGGACAACGAACGGGGCCCCATGGAGCTAAGTCCCAGCCTCGTACTGCTTTTCAAGAACTAAGCCAGGCCAATACCGGATTAAGCCTGGTGAATGGGCTCAGAGCCAGGCCCATCACTTTCATGTATAGATGTGTGAAGGCACTGAGGGATAACTCACTAGACTGTAGGTTGTGGGAGGTTATATTCCATCAGAGTAGCTCATACACCACGTTTACTTAATTGTTCTTGAAATATTCGCCATCTAATTTCTAGTCAACCAAGAGTCTTGAAGCACAGTGCTGACGAAAGCACCAGGTGTTTGCGTGGAACTGGATCTTGTAGAGAGTGTCGATATTCTGTTTTTTTCAAGACTTAATCTCGAATAGGATTGGATTATCTGACTTGATGAGAGAAAGTAATGTATACACCTATATATAATCCATCAGAAGGAGAATAGGATGAGATCAATCTGGGTTGATGTGAGTGAGGTTTTCAGTCCGATTGAGCTTCATGGACTTTTGTTCCTCGTGATAATCTTATTAGCCATGGCTTGTCGTCATCATTTTTCTAGTCCTTTTACACTGTCTTCTTGATGGAACTATCTATGAAAGTAAACATTCTTATTTTGACGTGGTCAATCAAATGGGATAAGGTGCAAGAAGGATTGTAATGAAAAAAAATGATGCTGGAGACATCGAACCAGAGTCAAAGACACAAAGTCAGTTTCTTGCAGTTGGGTATATGATTGGATGGTAGGCAGATAGTGCATATTTTTCCTTATGGAATAGGTGTTTTTAACAAAGGGATTTCAGGCCCTTTTTGACCTTTTCATGAAATGTACAAGACATCTACTGGTCTTGTTTTCTCATAATGATTATTAAGGTCGTATCCCAGGATTCTTTTCCCCAATTAATGATAGCCTTTCTATTGTTTGGACCTGCAGAGCATCCTTGGCTGCAAAATGCTAAAAAAGCTCCAAACGTTCCTCTTGGAGATGTCGTTAAGTCACGGCTTAAGCAGTTTTCAATGATGAATCGATTCAAAAGGAGAGCATTGAGGGTTTGTAGTTCTACTCAGTTGCTTGTATGTCTTTTAATACTATGTTTGGTCCTACTTGAGTAAGTGATTATTCTTTGACAGGTTATTGCTGATCATCTTTCTAGTGAAGAGGTTGAAGACATTAAAGAAATGTTCAAGCTGATTGACACAGATAATGATGGGATTGTTAACTCTGAGGAATTGAAAATTGGACTGGCAAAACATGGATCCCAGCTTGGGGAATCAGAAGTGCAGATGCTGATTGAAGCTGTGAGCCTAATCAATCTCCATCATTTATTCTGTATATTTTTCTTATATAAATTTATTTGTTACGCCATTCCATTATGGCGTGCTCTCTGAGAAATATTCGATAAATGCTGGAGGATAGAAGCTTCATCAGCCTTCCTTTTTGGTTTTATTTTAGTGGATTCTCGTAGTGCTTGGCAAGAAAATCCGAGAAGTGTTTTATTGCCTTTTGGAAAAGATCTCGATTTGCTTGTTTTCCATCAAGCTTCTGCATGTGTTGTCTGTTTTCTGTGACAACTACGATGAGGGTGGACTATCTTTCAGGTCTCTGTGCTTGACCATTCTTGTCAAACGTGTCATCGTTCTCAACTATCATCTTGCAGATTCCGCCTCATATATCAAGTTTTTGTTGTTGTTCTGTTTCATTTTTGTAGCTGAATATGGATGCCATATCTGACGGGGATTTTTGAGCAGGTTGACACCAATGGCAAAGGAAACCTGGACTACGGGGAGTTCATCGCTGTTTATCTTCATTTACAAAGGGTGGCCAATGATGAGCACCTGCGCAGGGCGTTTGCTTTCTTTGACAAAGATGGGAATGGATACATTGAGCCTGAGGAGCTCGGTGAGGCACTGGAGGATGGAGTTGGAGACAGTGGGGCTGTGGTGAACGACATACTACAGGAAGTGGACACCGACAAGGTAGAAAGTTTCTCTTCCATTCCTGCCGATTTATCAGCCACTGACTGGCCCATTTGGCCTTTGCTGATGCAGGATGGAAGGATCAGCTACGACGAGTTTGTGGCAATGATGAAGACAGGCACTGATTGGAGAAAAGCTTCGAGACACTACTCCAGGGGAAGGTTCAACAGCCTCAGCATCAGGCTGATGAAGGATGGCTCCTTGAACGGTTCCAGCGAGTAAAAACCGGCTTCTGCCCACACCACCGCCAGCTGATTGCAGGCGGCTCTGCGACGTCCATGCATCTCAACTGATTCTTTTTTGGGTGATTATTCTTGGGTGGTTCGTTTTGACTTGGTGCTGCCCGGTTTGGACAGGCTCATCATGTAATTATCATGCCCTCGGTTCCGGGAATTATTGGGGATGGTTGGTGCTGTTTTAAAGGGCCAAGCTATCCCCCCTCTGAAATCTCCTGTGTGTCCTTGGCACTCGCTTGAACTCCTCTCGGCTGTGGGGGCATTGACCTTACAATAGTCTCTTCCTCCCTCTCACAAAGAGAGCAGAAAATTAGATCTCTGCGACGAATGCGGTGTCCGATTTAGTCAACGTCGTGTGAGTGGCGACGCCGGTTGCGGCGCACCAGCAGCCGGGATCAACTGGCAATCGGTGGGCGTGACGTGCTGCCCATTTGGTCAATGCCGCAAAGCCCCCACTCCCCCTTGTCTCCAACTAGCGAACACAAGAACCGCTTGCCTAAATTTGATCCTTTACTGAATCAGTAGCTCCTCATCCTTCTTCGCAGACAAGCGTCAATGGAAGACACTCGGACAGGAGTAACGTCGATAACTCTAACATGGATTCCTGGCAAGATTGGGCCGAGCCCATCGTCGAGTCCAGACATCCCAAGTCCTATTTATCTGGCAGCTCTGCGGCGGGGAACGAGGTTGACGGCAAAATCCCTGTCGTTGACCGTGGAGGGATGGCGGAGAGGGCGGTTATCTGCGCAGTTAGTGAACTAACTACAGAAGTATTTATCTCACATCAAATTAAGTATGGTAATACCCCCTTTGGTTCTCAATTTGAGTGAATAGTATTATATAAAGGCCAGTTCTATGTTTCTACTCACGCAAATCTTAAAGAAATTTTTTTATCTCATCATCATGACTATCGTACGAGTGGTTATTCTAGATTCCACAAGATCTACCAATGGATTAAAATAGATTTCTATTGACCATCACGAGGGCCATAAGTATTTACTCATCTTACCTCCTACAGCTACTGGAAATCCATTCTCAAGTGTGGAGATTGATCTCTATAGTTTTTATTTGTGGCATATACTTAACCGTCAAGGTAGGGATAATATTCTAGTAGTAGTGGATCAATTCTCGAAGTATTCACATTTCACACATTTCTCACATTGATGCACAATTTTCATTCTAGTAAAATTATTTTTGAATCACATATTCAATTTACATTGGAGGCCAACATCTATTGTTGTTGATCAAGATGCTATCTTTATATCTAATTTCCAAAAGAATGTCTTCAGCTGCAAGTTATTACTTTAAATTTGACCTCCTCTTATCATCATCAAGCATATTTCTATATTGAGATTGTGAACATGACAATATCTTCGATATTTTATTTCTTGTAGACAAAAGAGTAGAGATAATGGCCTTTTCTTACATAATTCTGATACAATATCAAATATGTATTCATTCACATAGTTAACAACTTATGAGCTATCTATGGAGTTTTTCTTGTTGAATTCAATGTGGCTAAGTGAAGTAAAAAGAAGGTGTTGGGTTTGGTATGACTAAGTGAAGTAACAAGGGGGGGGGGAGGGGGAGGTGAATTTTTTTTCTAAGTGTCAACACACATTTTAATTCAATTTATGGACTCTATATACAACTTGACCTAGGGTTGTTGTCTATGTCATACAATTGTTCTGATTTTTCTCTCCCTTACTCTCAATGACGATGGACACAAATTTTATTCTATTTCACCATTCTCTAAGTTACATTTACTATCAAAGGATCCTACTTTCAAATTTTCATTATTTCTTAATAGAAATATAATTAATTTTATAGGCTTAGCTCTCACAGTACTACTATTTGATCTCTATAGATATCTCACCCCTCACAAGTAATTCTTAACTCACAACACTATGTGCTTAAATATAAATACATTTTACTCAACTAACAACACTCTCTAAAGGTGAAATGTGACTCTCAACACCTAATGCCTTAGCCTAACTAATATAACTTAGTCATTGTGTAATAAATCATACATTTTAAATTTATAAAATTAGAAAATATTAATTTTCAGATCTTTAGACTTATTTTTGAATAAATATATCAATTATAGTTCAACACAAAACTTTAAAAATAGTGAATTTTTTAAGGTAATCATAGTGATGTAAGATAATATCACGAAAAAGTTTAAAATTATCTCAAAAAATATAATTTTTAGACTAGAAGATCATAAGATAATCTATTTTAAAATTAAAAAAAATGATAAATCATGATGCCAACATTAGCTCTTGAAGAATGATGATTTCAGTTAAAGTAGAGTTCTATCAACTATATTATGTAAATGATTATAAATGATTCAATTGATAAAATTGAGGTATGTAAACACCAAATGAATCATAATTGACTAAAGAAGATGTTTAAAACTTAAATCTAATTAAATCATCATTAATTTAAATATTAATTAAGCTTTAAGTATAAAAAATAGAATTTTGACATTGCGGTAGTAATTGTCAAATTTTGGGTATTCAAGAAGATCTTCTAACAATGTCATGACCTCAAAAGTTTTCATTGGATGTGCATGGTATGGGCACTCTTTAGAGTCTCATGTGAAGTCCAAAGGGCGAAGTTAGAAGTCAATGAAACATCTTTGGTGACTATCACTCAAAAGAGAAAAAGATTAGAGTTGAGCTAGATGAAGGTGATGTGTATTTCAATGAGCTTCTTCCTTAGGTCTGCATAGTAAGATGAGGTTCGCACTGTATTCGAAATGCTATGAAGGGGTGTGACTATTTTCTTAGTGAATTGCTATATTCTCAACAACGATATATTTGTCGACAATTGGAGATGATTTTTTAAAGAAATCGATGGTTTTTCTATTCAAAATCTTCAATTAATTGCTAACAATGATTGATGAATATTGTTGGCAAAATTTTTATTAATGATTGAGTATTTTTGGCAGCACGATTGTTGACCAACATTATGTAGTAAAATCACAAAGTTAAAATAACATAAAGTTATGATTTTAGATGTCAGTGGGATTCAAATATTCGTAAATCACTTGGTTGCGTAAGATAAATTTAATCAATTACCATAATATCCTTAAAATAGTGAACACATGATCATGTTACCTTCTCCTAATATATGGATATTTTTTACATTATTTGTCAATGTGTTATGTCCGCATTTAGTTCCACATTAATTTTAACTAGAAGTATGAGATGAATACAAGTATGCACCTCTTATATTTGAGTTCCCTCTCTCATAAACAAAAGGATCAGGACCACCTAGGGAGAGTGTTATACCAAGTGATCCTTTCCTACATACACACATATGACGAGATCAAACTTTATCCCATGTTTAGTTTGTCCTTGGTGATATGAAAGAGGAGTGATGCACTCATGTTCTACATGGGTTCCTAAGCCACTTGAGACTAGCTCAAGATTCTCTTAACTATGCTTCCCAATCACATGCGATGCTCTCTAGGTCAATTGTTGAGTGTTGGCTGGTTAATAGCCCCCCCCCCCCCCCTCCCCTTACAATGTATTTATTTATTTATTTGTATTCATTTTAACTAAAATTTGAAAATTATAATCATATAACTAACAAAAAAATTAAATTACTATTTTTTATATCTATTTAATATAAATAAGTATATATTTATCATTAGTTCATAAAATTAATAATTTAAACTATTATTACGTAATGATAATAAATACTTATTATTAACCCTTTCTCCACTCACCATCTAGATTACCATAAGGCATGATGGAAAAAGTTAACTTTTAGTGTGGTCAAATGATTATTTTTTTGCCACAAATGATCAAGAACAATGATGCTTTAAGTTCTTCTTTAAAGTACATGATGATTTTGTTGTAGAGAACTGAGTAGAATCTTCCTTTGAGCTCATGTAAATGATGTTGATGTAAATTTCTTCATTCAATATTAGTTTGATAGATCCATGTCATATCATCATATAAAAATGGTTGTATGAATTGGAATATCTTCATATTTCATCTGCAGTCTATTGACCTTGAGTTACTTTTTACTTCTAAGTTGTCTACTATAATGATAGTTGATTGTGATATCTTGTATGAAGATTCATACCTCATCAATGAATATTTCTTCCTTCAAAGTCTTACTTAGAAGAAATCATTTGGTTAATTTTTTGTATGCCTTTATTGATGAGTTATCATATAGAATTTGAGCTTTTGACTATTGGTCATACTTCTCCTTAGATCTTCTAAGTCATAAGTGTACTGTCCTTAATATAATGTATAGAGATATTCAATTGATTAATAGATATACTTGTCTTTAGGGTTGACTTAGAATATTATTGTTGAGCTTGTCATTTAATCCACATACTTTGGTTATTTATTTCGATCTAGAGTATGAGAGACTGACCTTAAGTTTGAGCTTTACTTCAGTTATTGATTCTATATTTTATATTGGGTACTTCCGTGTGTCATAAGTGCTCCGAATTCAAATTTTATTCATACTTTGATTTCAATAATTCAACTATCATTTTTTCTACTTTCATGTGTCATATTGCTTGAGTTTAAAACTTATGTTTGTCATAGTGTGCTTTTGGTATTTTAGATATTTTTTGTACTAACGCTCTATTCTTCATATTACTAGTTTGAATCTTACTAGTGACTTTAGTTTTTCAGAATATTCATGAGACTTTGTCATAAGCTTTGAGATATATTATGTTATACTTTACATGCATAAAATATTACATTGCATTGCTTCAATATAGAAAGATATCTTAAGGGAGTGATTCTTTGAATTTATTGTCAGCCATAGGATTACATATAGCATCATGAATATATATGATTTGAATGTTTGTCAATAAATAATAATGATAAATATTATAATTCTATTTATTTAAGAATAATTTGTAAATAAATTGTATACTATATATGTCAAAACACACACGTGTGTCAACACTTAGGGCACCCATAGAGAAGGGAGTGAATCAATTTTCTTAGTTTTCAGTTATATTCTATTATTTTATCTACGTGTGTATATGTTGATGCATGCTCTCACATAGTCTCTCAACTACATGTGCAGATTCCCCTAAGTTAGTTTTTTTTTCATCATGAGCTCTCTCTCTCTCTCTCTCTCTCTCTCTCTCGCTTTGTCACACACTCACTCACTCATAACTAAAAGGACACAATGAATTTTATATTGGTTCACCTTTCCTTGGGCTACATCTAGTTTCAAAGGAACTTTATATCAGATTTCATTATTTTTTTTTAAAAAACTAATTTTACAAGTCATCAACCCAAACACTTATGTTCAATCTTTACAAAGATCACACCCCTCATGAGCTAGTCTTGACTCTTAGCACCACTTGTTTCAATCAATACATTGGTCTCCTTAGAGACCACATCCTCTCCACTCACCTCATGTATTAACCTAACCCTTCTCCACTCATCAATCATTGGTCTTTTATAGACACTTTTCAGCTCTTAACATCGCATGCATTAAATTAACCCTTTCTCCACTCACCACCTAAGTTACTGTAGGGTATGATGGAGAGAGTCAACCTCAACATAGATTGTTGACTTGTATCACTATAGTCGCATGAGTAAAAGGATGAAGCTTTTAAGTCTTCATTTGAAGTGTGTGGTAGATTTATTGTGATAGATAAAGTATAATCTTCTTCTTGAGCTTGAGTGAATCATATGAATGAATATCTTTGTTTAGTGTTAGTCTTGATCCTTCGTCAGCTTGTTCTATTTATCCTTCAATATCTCCTTTTCATTTTAACATCTTACATTATAAAGGTTACATAAATTTGAAATTCTTTCTATTGCTCCTTTGACATATCAGTGACCTTCAACTACCCTATAGTTCTAAACTTTTCTTTTTTTGTCTTTGTTGTTCTTGACATTTCATGCGAAGTTTTGTAAGTGATATTTTTTAGACTGTAGGTGGTTGTTTAACTTATTTTTAGTCCACATATTTTGTTGATGTGTTATCATTTAAAATTTATGATATTAACCTTGGTTTTTATTCAACTCAAATATTTCTACTTTCATATAAGTTGTCCTTCATATTGTGTCTTGAGATATATAATTAATCAATGGCTACCTTTATCTTCAAAGTCAAGTCAGATATGATCATTGAGCTTATCATTTTGTCCATGTACTCTTGAGATGTGTTACTGTCTAGGGTGTGTGCAAGTGACCTCGAGTTCTTTCTTTCTTTAAGACATGTAATTTTCTTATATATGATCTTTAAAGTTTCAATTTGGAGATCTGTCATAAATCAACATATATTTTTACTTTTGAGACTAAGTTGACATATGTTATTTTACTTCATCATTTTCTCTACATAAGACTATGGCATGTTATTGTGTACAATGTGTGGCAAAAACTTCTCCACTTTCATGAGGGCTTTATGCACATAGTACAACTCAGCTATCTTGTAGGACTAAAGATGATTTTTTGTTTCAATTATTGATCATGTGATTTTTTCTGCATTTTATTAATTAATTTTTCAACTTGTTGATGTAGAAATCTCGATTTCAAATCCTACTTATGCCTTGTTCTTTATAATATTTAAATATTTCAACCAATATTTTTCTATCTTTGTGTGGCTTACGTCTTGAGTTCGAATCTCATGTCTGACCATATGTGTCATTGATTTTTCATTTAATTTTCACATTCAAGTTTGTCTTCATAATGCTCAAGTATTGTGTTTGAATCTTGTAACTTTAATTTTTTTAGAATGTATGTGAGACTTTGTCACACATCTTGGCATATGTTCCTCTACACATGTTCTGATCATAATTTATTGTATTATTTTAACATAAAGAATATTTCAAGGATGTAACTCCTTAAATTCATTGTTAACTATAGGATTGTATCAAACATCATTAATATATATTTTATGAATATGTTTCAATGATATTTAACTTCTAATATAAATTATAATGATATCTATTGATGATTCAATAAACATTTAATAAATCATTCATATATAAAATTTTCAATATAATGTTGAAACCAAAGGCATCTATGCATCTTCCTTGTCTTATTTTTTACAAAAAAATAATAATGAGATTAGAAGTCATAGGGCAGACCATACAAAGTCAAGCTTCTATATTGCTCACACCAAATGAATTTGAAAAATGCTCAATGAGGGTTGAAGGTAAGATGAGATAGAAATCGAACTATATTCACTTTTGATTCTGGCAATTGGGTCTTTTTGAAACCACAACCTTCTCAACAACAGGTTGTGAATCTTCATTCTTACTAGTATGTTTCATCTAGGGTTTCTGGACAACCTAGGATCATGGAACAATTGGGCATAGTGGCATAAAACTTGAGTTACTAGTAGCTCTTAGATCAACCCTATTTTTCATGTTGACTTGACGAAAAAATTGGTCCATAAAATGGTGAAGAAGGATGATTGTATAAAAAAAATCATATTTCCATGTCTCAAACATAGTTCCCAATGTCTAATAAAATTGTGTCACTTACCCAAAATCTGACAATATGTTGAGTTTGAAGATGGTGAAGAAGTGTGGTTGGACAGCAACAAAGGTACCAGCACAATGGAAGAAGAGAGAAGATTCCAGCTTCCTTTCTTCTCTCTCTCTCTCTCTCTCTCTCTCTCTCTCTCTCTCTCTCTCTCTCTATTAAACGTTCAAATTAGGCCTACTTAGTTTTGGCTTTGATTGCAGAAGGGGTAAGTTAAGCTCGCTGGTTTCCACTATGCAACCATTTTGATCAAATAACGCAACATGACTTTATGCTTTTATAGAGGCGTTTCACTCCCCGATGGGGGTTCTTTTCACCTTTCACTCACGGTATACTTCGCTATCGGTTATTCATGAGTATTTCAGCCTTGCAAGGTGGTCCTAGCTGATTCACACGGGACTCCACGTGCCCAATGCTACTCGGGTAAGAACGTAAGCTAGCGGGAAATAATAAAAAGGTAAAAAAATACCCTTAACCTTCTCACATCTTTCAAACGTATATTAGTTCTTATTCCCCTACGTCTTCACTAGTTGTTCAAGCAAATAATGCTCTTTTTAGGTTCCCTATCCATGTTCTATTTACGGTTGCCACTTTGTACCCTTTGAAACAATCCCTCCTAATTCGTGAAAAATTTAATTGAATATAAGGTACCACATTAATGCAATGAAAAGATTACAAGACAAGTTGCAAAAAAAATACAAGAATTGCATAAATAAATGTAGACGGGATCTCACGTCAGGAATTCTCAGTTTGAAAACCAAGTCTCCTTCCAAAGGGTACGCGTTAGACCCAAACAGGAGACGCAGTCTTCCCTCCGGGCCGTGGCACGGAAATTCTCACGGAAATTCTCACGTCTAACCTGTAGTCGCATCATTACACGTGTTACTGCATTAGAACCCTCGTGCAATCCCTTCAGCCAGCCGCAAGATTTACTCTCACGTGTGCCTACGCCAGTCACCGTGAAGAAATCCCTGCATGAATTCATTAATAGACTATGTAGTCGCATTCGTGACAACTGATGTGACGACGCTGAGGTTTACGGCATGAGCTTGGGATTGAGACTGCTTCAAACCGAGCGGTCGAGGATAATCCCCATCCCGATACGGAAGGCTGCCTTCGTATCACAGATAGCTGTTGGGAGAAGTACGCCAATGGAAACCTATTTTCCCCTGGGACGAATTGGCACTCTACCCATCAAGAGGGAAAGAGTCGATCCTTAGGAATATCCTTGCTAGGCGAAATCCACGGCTGTGATGTACTCAGCGGCACAGGATGAGGCTGTCGGTCTCTGTTGAACGGCGACTGGACTAACGCTAATCGGGAATGGCCGTCAGGCCGCCATTAGAGAGGGTGAGGAGAGGATGCGAAATGGAACCCGGCGGCTACCTGATAGATTACCCATCTGAGAATGTGATCCTCGAGCTGGGAGGTAAGCATCTGAGAACTTGATTGAAGCACAATGGAATAGATGTTGAGAAAAAAAAATTATATCAGAAATTAAGAAAATAACAGTTACGTTAATTTTGGTAATTTTATCGTACGATTTCCTGGTCCTAGTTCCCCTCAACTCTGTTGATCTTCCGCATTCATTATAAATTCAAAGACAACTGACCAACTACCTCTTCACTCATGCAACGTAAAAATTGAAACTCTTTGTTCTCAATTAATTTCGAATAATTAAGCATTAACCCATGTCAACTTCCATCGCAAGCGTCCTGCAGACCTGATACATTTCTAAACAGCTCCGCTTGCTTACTCTCAGCGCAAGCGTCCTGCAAAGCTGAGCCTCATCTTCCCACGGGTGAGGAGAAACAATTAAACCTATGGCGGAAGACATGCTGCCTGGCAGCGATCTAGGTAGCGGGATTTGTCGTCAAATGAGGACGAGGAGAAGTTGGGCGCGCCGGTGGTTGCTGAGAGCCAGTGTTTCCGGCGGGACTGTAGACTGTGCGCCGGTTCTCTTCTGGAAAAGGAGTGGAGGGAGGGACGGTGACGACAAGATGATCGACTCGGAACGACTGAAGAGTAATTAAATTTGCCGCTACACAAGCCACCGCACGTGGCTCCGGGGATTGGTTTAATTCTTCCGGCTCACCGGAGAGTTTTTGGGTACGCACGTCCGCATAGAAGTCCCATCAAATCGAGTTATCGCTCCCATCAAGACTAGGAATGAATTCATAGATAGTGGAGAAGGCACATCCTTAAATTCGTAGGTTTTGTTCTTGGACAACAATTGTACAAATGTAGCTAAGTCGCTTAGTGGACAATAAGATGTTTCTGTATTATACCAACAACAGGATACAAGTCACTGTGGGGGAGCCCGAGAGAAACCATAGTCCTACAGGGCTTTCATGGACTCAATCTGACTCTTACCACGAAAACCCTTGATCCTTATATATTTTCGATACTCGTCGAAGGTCATGGCTTCGTAAAGTGGAGGCTGCTCCGCTGTCACGAGCTCGGGCAGAGGTCTCAGAATCAGATCGATCCTCGGGTTGTAGAAGAAGGCGAAGGAGATGCGTTCTTCCGCGGGGTTCACCACCACCCTATGCACCGAGCTCTTGTATAGCCCGTTGGTCAGAATCTAATAAACCGACAACCAACAAGAGTAAGCTCAACAACAAAGAAGCGGCCCCGCAAAAAGATATATATATCTATATATATGAAGGACAGAGAGAGAGAGAGAGGGACAGAGAGAGATGGAGAGAGGGCGACACCTGTATCTGATCTGCTATGTTGATAATGAAGGTGTCAGGGACAGGATGGACGGTCACCCATGCGCCATCCTTGTAGATCTGGAGCCCCTTGACGCGTTCATCGGGGAGGAGGATGGTGAGAATCCCGGGGTCAGAATGGGCGGACAGGCCGAGGGTGAGGTCCGGCTGGGGACACCTCGGATAGAAGTTCACCCGTAGGTTAACGCTGACGCCGTCCATTCCGCCGAAAGCCTCCTGCAGCCGCCGGGTCTCTAGTCCGAGGCTCGTCGAAAGTGCCTCCATTAAGCGTTCGTACAGCTTCGTCAGTGTCTGTCCGTACTGTTCGATCGTTTCTCTGCACGTTTATGCGGAAACATTGACAAGTAGTTAGAGAAACTAGATACTTCGGTATATTGTTCAAGTTTACAACCATCCAATCAAACCTTAACTTACTTGCATGTATGAGGTAGAGCTGGCCACTTTTCTCTGTTCTTCAGGGAGTCGGGTTTGAAGATGAGGAAGAAATAATCGCCCCAGTCGAGGATGGCTCCTGCCGTACCCTTCGTAAGTCTCGGGGGTGTTGGCATAAGCCTGCTTCGCCGCCTCGGGGAGGTGGGAGAACTCCGACCAGACGTCCCTCATCCTCTTGACCAGGTAGGGATCCACCCCGTGGTTCGACACCTGGAAGAAACCCCAGTCCTTGCATGCATCTGCTATCTGGCGGATGGTAGCGTCGCGCTCGGTGGGGCTTCGTTCCAGGCCCCCGAGGTCGACGAGGGGGATGCCTGTATCCCTCTCATTGTCGACCGAATCGGATGAGGGCCTTTCTGAAGGCGGTTTCACGTACGTTTCGGGGATCGACGTGATCCCGCTCTCTGCCAAGAACTGAACGGGGATGACGGGCTCCGGCCAGTAGGACGGGATCTCCATCGCTATATCGACACTGCAGACAGAGAGAAGAGAGAGAAGTGGGAATTGGAAGGTGTGTAGGCGCAGAGATCGACGTACACGTATATATAGAGGGATGAAAGAGGAAGGGGGAGAGGGGAGAGGGGGGAGAGGGGGGAGAGGAGGAGAGAGGTGAGCTGAGGGGATGAGAGAGAGGAGGCGAGAAAAGGAGAGAGATGAGAGAGAGAAGGAGAAGAGAGAAGGATAAATTAGAGAAGAGAGGGGCAGAGGGACAGAAATGAGAGAGAAAGAGGGACAGGGAGAGAGAGGAGAGACAGAGAGAGGAGTTGACAAATATTATTTTTTATGAGATGATATTAAATTCTTGACCGAAATACACAGCAGTTATCTCAGACCAGATTACGTTGTCTTAACCAAGATCAGCAGCAATTATCGCACATAGGGTTTTGTTGTCCCTTGAGCGAGATGCACAGCAGTTATCGCACGGATTAGAGGAACGATGAAACTACAAAGAGTTACAGTATCTCAAAATACTGTACGGTGGAAATAATGTGTCATGTGATCAGAATTTGGAGAAAAACACCCATCACGAATGATGGCTTTTTCCCCGTCTTACTCGAGCTCTAATGCGAAACTATACTTCAGATAGCTCAGCCAATGATATATAACTACTTCTTGTCAATGAGAAAACCGTCGACTGTTTTAGATTATGATGGTTTGGCGTCCGAAGAGAGGGGAGATTAGCATAACCTTGAGTCGATCTGACGCCTGGAAAACTTGCTATCCAGGGGAATCAACCATTTCTTTTTCCCGGGCTGGTTGGCCGGTCCCACGCCGGAGAGCGACTGCCGCCCGCTGGGTCGCCATCCGACTGGAAATTGCCGAAGATCTGAGCTGACCCGATGAATGCTTGGTTAGACTGGGTTTGGATTGAGTCCGCCGATTCCTCATCTTCAGAAACTTCTTCTAACTTCAGCACATGCCTAATTTTCTTGAGCCGCAATTCTGTTCGCCTCCCTCAATCGACCTAGGGCATGGGAACGTGGGGATGCCCGGCTAGACTCGTTCCGGTCGTCGGCGCTGCCACTGGGTTTCCGATAGGACTTGTCGATATTTTACTCCGACCGCCGAGTGTTCACACGTGGGCCTCTACGCAAGAAGAGAGGGACATCTCGGCGGAAACCGCCGTTGTCTGATGCTCGATTTTCTCAGCAGATCAAGTCGATGTCGTTCCGTATGGGCGAAGGTGGGGCGTAAGACCACGTGTTTTCTCTCTATGCTGAGATCAGGAAGGGGAAGAAGCGGGAGTGGCGCTCCGCTCCTATATCCTCAGAGTCAACCACATAGATCTTTAGAGAACGGGAAAAAAAAAGCTCACCTCCTCGGGCAGTTGGCGAGGGTGCCAGCCTTCAAGGCTGCATGCCGATGACAGGGAGACTCGGAGGTGGTGTTCCCAAGGTCATCACCAAGATTATCCCAAGAACTCAACACGGGAGGAAATTTCGGAAGACACAGCACGAAAATGCCCCGCGGGTCCAGTTATCCCAAGACTCATCGGGTTGATGAAGGTTTCCCGGGCTGATAGAAGTCAACGCAGTAACTTCCGGGAGTTGTCGACTAAGGGCTTAGAAAATCTGTTTGAAGCAAACAGAACTAGAGTTAATATGGCCGAAGAGGATATGTCCTGGGGAGAGGATTCGCCATATGAGAGTCATCATAACTTATTTTGTTCGCGTCTTCCACAAAGAAAAGGAAGGGAAAATAGGTCTTGGCAGCGGGGGTAACATTTAATTCGCGGCACATCACTCTTGTGGCCTCGTGCTCGTTTGAGGGCGGAATGCCGATTGCGGCGTATCAGCGGGAGGATTATCTGTCTCGTCGTGGACATGACGTTCGTCCGCATCGTCCCTGTCATCGGCGACTGGAACGGAAGGGAGCCCACCGTTGAGATTGTCACAGGAGGAAAGAGCCGTATAGTCCTTGGGGAAGCGTAGAGGTGGAGGTATTGGTTGCTCTCTCCCTCTCTCTCTCTCTCTCTCCCTCTCTCTCTCTCCCTCCAGATCCCCAGCAGAGCAGATTATAGACGCTTCTTTCTCCCGCTGGATCGCATTTTCCTGTCACGCAGATGGGGAGACTTACGCGTGAATACAGACATCTGAGGCAGGGTGTGGCCTCATCTGCGGCCCGTGGCCTCGTCTACCTGCCAGTCACCCTACAGTGCGTGGCTACGTCTGATATTCTTCCGTGACCCAGGAGCAATTTTGTAGGTTAAAGGTGTGTGTTGCTTTCAGAAAACGAACACCGCCGTTAAGCCTGACAGGCAGACGGTCATAGAGAGTTGGAACGCCACGTGGAGAATGATGGGCGGGTGTATGTATGTGGCTAGAGCTGGCGTTGAATATCTTTACTCCAAAGCACCACACTGAGAAGACGGCTGAAGGCACTGTGATAAAATGTTGACGAGTCATTCTTTGTATTGACCACCCCCCTATGTCGAGAGGAGCGCCTTCGGGCTTGTTCTGTCCAAACATAAATCCTCGTGTAAGGAGACGAGGTAAATAGAAGAGGGAGGGAGGGGAGAGAGAGAGAGAGAGAGAGAGAGAGAGAGAGAAATACAGAAATTGAACGAGGGATAGAGAGAGAGAGAGAGATGATGCGGGCGAAAATCAGACGTCCGATCCAAAGGAAGAAATAAAGACTGACAGATGTTTTTCATAAACACGTCGTGTCTCCTTAAACTTGCAGGCATACTCTCTCTCTCTCTCTCTCTCTCTCTCTCTCTCTCTCTCTCCGTATCTTTCTAGTTGTCACTCCTTCCAGAAGACGCGTGCTTGTATTTTTCGGCATCGACCAAGTCGTCTATGAGCGATGGGGTTCATGGACTATCATCTTATCGGTGGACTATCTGGAGGACTATCCTTGCGTGCTGGCCATTTACGCTGACACATCACCGACGAATTTCATTGTTTATTCAAGCAAAGAACGCAATTTTGAGGTTCCCTGACCAGATTCTATTTACAGTTAACACTCGGGTATTCTTTGAAACAGTTAACAAAGGGGATATAAGGCAGCATACTAATGCAATGGGCTCACGAGACAAGCTGCAAAACAAAAAAACTAGGGAAGCTTTCGTAGAGAGATGGAGACGGGGTCACAAGTCAACAGTTCTCGATTTGAAGAACCAGTCTCCTTCCAAGGGCTACGTGTTGGACGTAAATATGAGACTCAGTCTTCCTCCCTGATCGTGAAAGGAGGAATGGAATTCTTATGTTAGAACGTCCAAGCTGTAGCCACATCATTACACGTGTTGAAAATCTCGTGGAACCCCTTCAGACCGCAGAAAGATTTACCTCACGTGCGCCTATCCCTTCTGCCCATGCCCAACAACGTAAACAACTCGTGGAAATTAGGTAACCGCATTCTGTGACAACTGGTCGGAAAGATAGGCATTCGCTGTAGCAAAAAACGGGACCGGGAGAGAGAGATTTAGTTGGGCCTTTGAGGACAAGATTGGAGATAGGACACGCCAGAACACGATGTGTCACCTAAGCATTCATTGTCACACTGGGAGTTCGATTCCTAACAAAGGCCTTTAAGAAACTTCTTCTAACTTCAGCACATGCCTAATTTTCTTGAGCCGCAATTCTGTTCGCCTCCCTCAATCGACCTAGGGCATGGGAACGTGGGGATGCCCGGCTAGACTCGTTCCGGTCGTCGGCGCTGCCACTGGGTTTCCGATAGGACTTGTCGATATTTTACTCCGACCGCCGAGTGTTCACACGTGGGCCTCTACGCAAGAAGAGAGGGACATCTCGGCGGAAACCGCCGTTGTCTGATGCTCGATTTTCTCAGCAGATCAAGTCGATGTCGTTCCGTATGGGCGAAGGTGGGGCGTAAGACCACGTGTTTTCTCTCTATGCTGAGATCAGGAAGGGGAAGAAGCGGGAGTGGCGCTCCGCTCCTATATCCTCAGAGTCAACCACATAGATCTTTAGAGAACGGGAAAAAAAAAGCTCACCTCCTCGGGCAGTTGGCGAGGGTGCCAGCCTTCAAGGCTGCATGCCGATGACAGGGAGACTCGGAGGTGGTGTTCCCAAGGTCATCACCAAGATTATCCCAAGAACTCAACACGGGAGGAAATTTCGGAAGACACAGCACGAAAATGCCCCGCGGGTCCAGTTATCCCAAGACTCATCGGGTTGATGAAGGTTTCCCGGGCTGATAGAAGTCAACGCAGTAACTTCCGGGAGTTGTCGACTAAGGGCTTAGAAAATCTGTTTGAAGCAAACAGAACTAGAGTTAATATGGCCGAAGAGGATATGTCCTGGGGAGAGGATTCGCCATATGAGAGTCATCATAACTTATTTTGTTCGCGTCTTCCACAAAGAAAAGGAAGGGAAAATAGGTCTTGGCAGCGGGGGTAACATTTAATTCGCGGCACATCACTCTTGTGGCCTCGTGCTCGTTTGAGGGCGGAATGCCGATTGCGGCGTATCAGCGGGAGGATTATCTGTCTCGTCGTGGACATGACGTTCGTCCGCATCGTCCCTGTCATCGGCGACTGGAACGGAAGGGAGCCCACCGTTGAGATTGTCACAGGAGGAAAGAGCCGTATAGTCCTTGGGGAAGCGTAGAGGTGGAGGTATTGGTTGCTCTCTCCCTCTCTCTCTCTCTCTCTCCCTCTCTCTCTCTCCCTCCAGATCCCCAGCAGAGCAGATTATAGACGCTTCTTTCTCCCGCTGGATCGCATTTTCCTGTCACGCAGATGGGGAGACTTACGCGTGAATACAGACATCTGAGGCAGGGTGTGGCCTCATCTGCGGCCCGTGGCCTCGTCTACCTGCCAGTCACCCTACAGTGCGTGGCTACGTCTGATATTCTTCCGTGACCCAGGAGCAATTTTGTAGGTTAAAGGTGTGTGTTGCTTTCAGAAAACGAACACCGCCGTTAAGCCTGACAGGCAGACGGTCATAGAGAGTTGGAACGCCACGTGGAGAATGATGGGCGGGTGTATGTATGTGGCTAGAGCTGGCGTTGAATATCTTTACTCCAAAGCACCACACTGAGAAGACGGCTGAAGGCACTGTGATAAAATGTTGACGAGTCATTCTTTGTATTGACCACCCCCCTATGTCGAGAGGAGCGCCTTCGGGCTTGTTCTGTCCAAACATAAATCCTCGTGTAAGGAGACGAGGTAAATAGAAGAGGGAGGGAGGGGAGAGAGAGAGAGAGAGAGAGAGAGAGAGAGAGAAATACAGAAATTGAACGAGGGATAGAGAGAGAGAGAGAGATGATGCGGGCGAAAATCAGACGTCCGATCCAAAGGAAGAAATAAAGACTGACAGATGTTTTTCATAAACACGTCGTGTCTCCTTAAACTTGCAGGCATACTCTCTCTCTCTCTCTCTCTCTCTCTCTCTCTCTCTCTCTCCGTATCTTTCTAGTTGTCACTCCTTCCAGAAGACGCGTGCTTGTATTTTTCGGCATCGACCAAGTCGTCTATGAGCGATGGGGTTCATGGACTATCATCTTATCGGTGGACTATCTGGAGGACTATCCTTGCGTGCTGGCCATTTACGCTGACACATCACCGACGAATTTCATTGTTTATTCAAGCAAAGAACGCAATTTTGAGGTTCCCTGACCAGATTCTATTTACAGTTAACACTCGGGTATTCTTTGAAACAGTTAACAAAGGGGATATAAGGCAGCATACTAATGCAATGGGCTCACGAGACAAGCTGCAAAACAAAAAAACTAGGGAAGCTTTCGTAGAGAGATGGAGACGGGGTCACAAGTCAACAGTTCTCGATTTGAAGAACCAGTCTCCTTCCAAGGGCTACGTGTTGGACGTAAATATGAGACTCAGTCTTCCTCCCTGATCGTGAAAGGAGGAATGGAATTCTTATGTTAGAACGTCCAAGCTGTAGCCACATCATTACACGTGTTGAAAATCTCGTGGAACCCCTTCAGACCGCAGAAAGATTTACCTCACGTGCGCCTATCCCTTCTGCCCATGCCCAACAACGTAAACAACTCGTGGAAATTAGGTAACCGCATTCTGTGACAACTGGTCGGAAAGATAGGCATTCGCTGTAGCAAAAAACGGGACCGGGAGAGAGAGATTTAGTTGGGCCTTTGAGGACAAGATTGGAGATAGGACACGCCAGAACACGATGTGTCACCTAAGCATTCATTGTCACACTGGGAGTTCGATTCCTAACAAAGGCCAACAACTCGGGCAATCTGCCCTTCTGTGTTAAAGAAGCACGGGAAGCAGAGGTAGGAATGGGAAGACGAGTGCGCTGAGGAGCTTGGGAGAGAGAGACTTCTTCGAAGAGGAGAACATAACCCTATAATTGATAGATAGATAGAGAGAGAGAGAGAAAGAGAGAAAGAGAGAGAGAGATCATGTGGAGAAAATCGTAAAAAAATTGTATGAATACTGACCGCGAGATTCAGTTATCGCAGCTTCAGGGGGTTGACGAAGGTTTCCTACGTCGCAGAAGTCAAACAGTAACTTCCGGGAGCCGCCGGAGAAGGGCCTAGGTAATCTGACGTCCAGCAGCCGATCGAGGAATCTCACCGGCAAAAGACAGGCTACCGATGTGCTCTTCCCCGTCAAGGCACGTCTCAGGCTCCTCTTTCTTCCTCGTCTGAAACTACGACTGCAGCGAAGATCTTCTTGTCACATGCATGAATAACGAAATCAAGATATTCAGAGATGAACGAGAGCGGAGGAATCCTGACACAACCGTTAGAGCGATAAGCCGAGATGAACATCCGATGGAAACAGCCGAGGTCGAGTTCCACGAGCGTGGAGAGGCGACAAGCCGCCGACATGCAGACAAGAATGGAAGAAAAGTTTCCTATCTCTGCGGACCTGGTTGCCAACCATAAACTTCCTCCCGTTTGCCCCTGAAGAGTCTTCCTCTTCCATCTGCAGGGATCAAGGGCCCGGTAAAGCACGAGGCTATTGAAATACCTAAAGATAAGGTCAACTCTGGGATGTTTCATACAACAAGCTATTCAATCACAGAGATTTACTACATGTATCATACAATAAAGTACATGAGACTAACTTCGAATAAAAGCATGCAAGGGAGGCTACACTGTACATAACTACAGGAAACTGTGGCAAATCAGCTCACAGGGAAGAATTCGCGAAGGAAGCGGGATCTCTGGTGCATGGCAGTCTTCTTTTCCTACGCCGGTTTCCTCACAGGCAACGAGTCTCACAACAGACGAAGCCGAGAGGCGGTAAGATTGTTGGGCCTCGACCAAGCTCCTCACAAGAACCTGCTGCAACCAGTTCTTCAGAGATCCGCTCTCCGATATCCACGCAGCCGCAAGAATCTGATCCATAATCTTTGGTTCGATCTCCAGAGCAAACGAGAAGCCGATTGCCGCATGGATGCTCTTCTCAATCTCTTGCAACGTTTCGCCGGCGAGGGCATCAAAATCGAAACCTTTGAAAAGCACAGTTTCATCGACGGCATCATGGAATTCCTCCATCCAGGAGTCCTGGTTGTCAGAGACGCAGCCATTGCTACTATCGGTATCAGCCGACACCATCTCTTCGACGGGAAGGTTCAAGTCCAAGAAGGTGCTTGAAATCGTGTTGGCCCGTTTCGCTGACCCAACGAATTCCCGCTTCTCTTCCCCACATTCAGTTGTGTTTAGCTTCCGTTTACTGACGAACACGCTGGATCTCCTCAATCTGTTTTTTGGCATGCCGGATGGGCCAATATCCGCATTTCTGCCTGCAGAGTCAAGAGAGGTATCGATCAGGATCTTCATCTGCCTCGCTTCTGCGGCGAGGATTCTCTCTTCGGAGAACTTGGCGTGTCCCCTGCTTTGGAAAGCCCCCTTGCCCTTGATGTCGGCCACTGTCGTGACAAAGACTACATTATTGATGTCGACTACATTATTGATGTCGATCTTCTTCCATGAGAATCGTGAAACTTGCCCGATTTGATGGCTCGGGATAGGCTGCTCTGAACCAGTACATCGGCCTTGTCCAGGCCTTCTACGAGGACAACCGACCACGGCCTCCTCCTTATTTCCTCAGCAATGTGATCTACAACAGTCTTGCCCCTGCGATTCAAATCAAATTTGTCGACCGCATGCTTTTCACAAACAGCGTTGCGGTGAGTGAGAGCATCTTCCAAGCTCAGATCGACGCAAACCAATCTTTCTCTACAGCCAAACAGCAACTCTGCAAGAGCTGCTGCAACCCTCCTTTTTCCAAATTTATCCGGACCAAGGAAGCTGAACCAGACGTCCCCCCTTGGGGTCGAGCCGCGGAGTCCTCTCGTTTCCATTCCTGCAGCGCGAGATGGTTTCACATATAGAAAATATGGCGTCTTCCTGCCGGCCGACTTTTTCTGAGAGGCTCCTGAAGAAACCTTTGAAATCTCCGCTGACGCTGGACGGGCACGGGCTTCGCCGGTCGCAGGCAGATCCACCGGCGGCAGCAGCTTGCACTTGGAGGCTCGTGACAAGCAGCGGAGAATCAGAGCAAACCCAGCGAGCGGGATGCTGGACGGAAGCTACTGAATCATCTCCTATGGGCTCGGTGAGCTTCAACACAGATTTCTCCTTACTGATAACACCGAGGGGAGAGTGGACAGTTCCCAGCATCAGATCCGTGGACACGGAGCTCACAGACGAAGGCGATGTGAGTTCATCAGGTGCGCCCACATTAGAAAGATGGAGAAAGTCGCCTTTTGCAGCGGTTTCCCGTCCGAATTTCCCTCATCAAGTTCAGCAACAAGCAGAGCCGGTCCTCTTGAGGTTGCCAGACTGGTTCTCTGCAAGTCTGCTTCCACAGGCGATATACCTTCCCGGGTGATCTTCCTTTGAAGGTCCATCACAATTGTCCTTTGCCTGAACGCCGCACTCTACCTTATTCTGAAGACCCATCATACCAGGGAATGCTTCTGAACCCAACCAACGATCATCAGAGGCCACCATCCGGCGCCTTCGATGCTGGCCCAGGCAGATATCACTCCACTTCTTCCTCAGGTCAATGATTTTAGCGTTTAATGTTGCTCCATCATCCTTGGCCTGCACTGAAGAGAGAGAGCACATCTATTAAAGCAACTGGCGAGAAGTACTAGAGAGAGGAAGGTGTTCTGGAACAAATCACAGCAATAAGACGTAGAGAAGATCTCAACAGGAACACACCTTGTCTGAATCTATATTCACGTTCATGGCGGTCGACCCAGTCTGCGTCAGCTGATGAGGTGAGATCCCCGGGTGCTTCTCAGAAAAACCGGTCCAACAAGGAGGCAAGCTCCTGTTCATACTTGTCGGAGCAAAGATGGCAGGGGACTGAATGGCACTGGCCTCTCTGAGGAGAGAGAGAGTTGGGTGGGACGGGGAAGAAGCCCCCAAGTGGAACAAATGAGTCCATCAAGCTGCAAGCATCCACAGAAGTGACAGAGAACCACAGTGAGACATGGAGAGATCGCGAGGAGGATCGATGGGGAAGTGAGATTAATGACTCTAAGACAGATGATTAACAAGATAATTCGGTGGGTACGCTTGGAGATGATCATTTTAAATACTCATAAATTTGAAAAAAAAAAAAAAAAAAAACTGTACACGCCATTGTCCTACAGTGGGAGAAACACTTCGAACTGTACAGGTGGCAAAGCTCACGAAAAGAAAAAAAAAATGAAAAAAGAGAGTATGAGACCTGTCTACTACGCTCATGATTAGGTCCAGAGAAAAGCCCAGGAAAATTCCAACCTGGGCCTCTATGTGCTCCTACCGTAGAGGGAGACACACCAGCTGCTCCATGGTGACAATGGGGATGCCACGTGGCAAGAGATGGACCCCCGCGCTTTTTGCTTGGCATAAAAAACCCGAACCAGCATAGCTGGGGATAAGCCTACTCGGCCCATTAAGACCCCTACCAGTAAACCCACTTTTCTTTGACAGATCAGCACAGTCAAATCATCCCCAGAAGACTCAGGTAATTAGAAAAATTACTATAAATATGTGAAAACATGAAAAGATAGTTTTGAAAAATAGCCAAGTTAGGAAGGAAAAAAAAATAGCATTCGCATTGGAATCCCTGAACTAGGTCGTAGGCAATTGATTAGGAGGGGGAGACGGCCGTAGATCTTCAAAGTCTTAATTATCTAACATCAATCATACGAAAAAAAAAATACTCCTGAAGAGGGAAAGAGATAGAGAGATTAATATGGAACTGTATGTTCGTCCCATACGAAAGAAAATGTAGCAAGAAGAAGACCCACCTGCTTAGATAACATACCAGATAACAGAAATTTAAAATAATTTAATGTTGAATTGTAAAAATGGCCCAGATTTATATCTCACGAATTATCAGAGGCTACAAACATCAAAGTAAGCATTAAATGAGACACATGATAATCGCCCGCTTCCTTATCGTATCCCACTGATGAGCAAAGTTTCAGAAATCAAGAAAAAAAAATCATCAACGAGAAATCCGAACAGTTAGGGTTCATAAACCTTAACGGCGATTATAAATCACAATTGAGGGGGAATATGTGCTAGAAAGAAGAAAGAAATGGCTGACATGCCAGAGAAGGCCAAGAGGCTAAGCGAAGGGGGGTCATGGAGAAGGACAAACCTGTTGGGTCTGGGGAAGATTCCCCCCAGATCCAAGTTTGGGGGAGGAAATAGGCAAGAGCTGCAGATCCCAGTCCTTGTCCACAGATGGATACTGCGACAAGAACTTCATGTAGGTCTCGTAGGTAGCCGCCGACCCGATCAACCAGAGCTTCCCCGGATGGCCGTCCAACAGCCTCGTCAGCTCCGACGCCACATGGCTCACCCTCTCCAGCCATCGCCTTCGCCAACGACGTCCACAAGAAGCTTCAGGTTCCCGAAACTCAGGACGATGCCCGGCGATGATCCACACGCCTCCGCCGCCACCCGGAGCCCCAGCTCTCTGAATCTGGAGTCCAGCCACGGTCTCTCCCGGCCCCCCCGGGCGTACTCCAACAGGTCCTTCTCAACGCTGAAGAACTTCACTCCACGGGCCTCGGGAGGGAAGACGACCCAGTTCTGCTGGTTGACGGCCCTCTCGAAGTCCAAGGTAGCGTCGGCGGCGCCGATGCCGACGAGTAGCGGATTCCGATGCGCCTTCCTCACGAGCACCTCTGCGATCCGTCGGCAGTTCTCGTCAGCGACGTCTGAGTAGAGATGCGGACTCGACGTGAGGTCGACGTCGATGGAGAAGTTGCAGAGGAAGAGGGGCGGGCACCGGGCGGCACGGGGTAACCGGAGGATGGACGGTGGCGGGTGGAGGACGGCGAATTTAATGTCGTAGCTACGGAAGCCAGCGTCGGCGAACACGCGACTTACGATGGGGTCGTCTAGAATGGAGAGGACCAGCTGCTGCAACTCCACCTTGACGCCGACGGAAGAGGAGCTCTGTTCTTGGAGCTGCTGGTAGTGCTGGTAGAGGTGGAAGGTGTCGGGATTGCGCCGCTGGGTGGCTTGGGAGCGCTTGATGGCCGCCATGAGGGAGTTGGAGATGGGGGGCTCCGCCAGGCCCTGGTACGGGCTGTTCTTTCCCCCAGTGGCCGCGGAGGGGAGGCGGTCGAGAGCGAGGGAAAAGCAAAGCTCGAGGGCCTTGAACTGGAAGCGGGGGGAGTGGGCGGCGCTGCGAGTCCGGGAGAGGGCGTCGCGGAGGAGCGACGAGGAGGACGAAGGCAGGGAGAGAAGGGCGGAGACGACGTGGAGCGAGGTCGTCTGCGCGTGGGCCCGGCGCCGCGCGATGGAGACGGCCTCATCGAGGGCGGCGGCCGCCTCCCCCGCCAGGCATTGCCGTGCTGAGCTCACCGGCGTCGGCATGGCTCCGGCGAGTAGGCGGCGCCGGTGATCGACAGGGGAAAAAAAAACAACAATAAAGAGAAATGACCGGACGAAGTAACTGAATAGAAAATGATATCTATCTATCCCCTGGAGGAGGAGGAGGGGGGAAGGAGGGAGGAGGGAGCGAACAGGAGTAGCTCGTACTCCGGCGTCGGGATAACCTGAGAAATTTTAAAATCTTGTGATCGGGGTCTCTATGGAGGCGGAGGGAAAGACGGGAGACAGACGTCCCCCGGGTGGCGGCGGCCGGGAGAGAAGACTTCCACCATCAGCCAGCCATCCTTTTGGTTATTTATTAATACGACTGGAGAGACGGCAGAAGGGGGAGGGAGGGAGGGGAGGGGATGGAGCTGCTTGTGTGGTCGTGGGTCGCTGAGAGGTCCCACCGAGGAGCGTACGCCCATATGCCGAGAGCACAGATTCTTCTTTCTCCATCACCTCCCAACAGGGAACGAGATCCTCCGTTCTCTGAGAGCCGCAGGGACCGGCAGAAGAACGCGGTGATGGTGGTGGCCACGGCGTGGGAAGACGAGAAGGCGCAGAGGGGAGGTGGGTCTACCGGCTACCGGCCGGTGGAGTCGCCGTCACGAGCCACACGGCCACCCGTCATGGGCTTTTTCCGGGAACTGTTCCAAAAGTCCGGCGCCCTCTGAACTGGTAATTGTCGTGGGATGAGACCTCCAACAGCGGCAACCAACCAGAGCCGCCGGAGGAGGAGGTGGCGGAGCACGTTAAGAAAAGGGTTACCTCGGTCGTCGTCCTCCTCCCACGGGGCCGGCGAGGTGGACGCCTGTAGCTTTAGGCTGTCCCCTCGGGGCATAAAGCACGTGAGCACTGTGGAGAAGACATTAACTATTTCTCTTTTTCCGTCGCCTTTACGTCCCAAAGTGTTGGATGTGACGTGAGGGGAGAGCCGGCGGAGTGGGGACCCCGCCGGCCGCTGTCGGCGGCGGCGGTGGGAGCTGGGGAGAGGAGAATCTCAGGCAGCAGAGCACCCACGCATCGGATCTCACTCACAGCTTTACGACATCAAAAATCTCTCCTTGGACCCGTCCCGGACCCCTCCTCCTCCTCCTCCTCCTCCTCCACGTGGCCACCTCCATTATTGGCGACAGAGCAGCGGCCGTCTTTCCGGCGGACGGCGGAGGGCGGCGGAGCAACACCGGCGGCGCTCAGCGCCGCCACTCCACTGTGGGCAAGATGGGTTGCGGGCTGGTGCGGGGAGGGAGGAGGTGGGCCTGGTCAATAGGGACATCTCCCTCCCTGATGGGTGCGCCTTTTTGTCGGCTTCCGGAACTGGGCTGTCCGGGAGACGGGACCGCGATCAAAAAAGGACGGCCACAGAGAGATATTTCCCTCCCGGAGGCCGACCCGTATCTTAGCGAAATCTAAGAGGTCGGAAGGTGGCCCCCTGTCGGCTAGTCGCTTTTCCCAACTGGCGACGTGACGGCCCATTTTGGGCCGGCCATACTTGCTATTTTTACCACCTTCCCGGCCCACCTTTTCATCTCTCAAAAGAGCAACCCACTCGGCCGTTGGGCCGCCGTCGCACTCGCCGGGGGAGAGATTCCCCGCCCCCCCGGAACACGCCACATGCCGTTTCAGAAGGAAACCTCCCCCCCTGGGCCCCCGCCGAATAAATACCATCTTCTGTGGTGCGGAGTGATTTGATGGCGCTCCGACTATAGACCCAAGTGGCCTAGTGTGAGAGAGAAAGAAGAGTGAGAGAGTGGGTAGTGAACATATTGAACGCTCCACTCTCTCGGGCACTTGAGATCGCATCACAACCTTTACGCCGTAAAGCTGGTACGTTCCCCCCCTCTCTCTCTCTCTCTCTCTCTCTCTCTCTCACTCTCTCTCTCTTCATGGAGGGGGGGAGGAGTGATGGGGAAGCCGCCGCACATTCTGCCACAAGTCAAGATGGCTCCTTTCGTCTCCGGCCAACGTAAGCTGTCGCCTTCCGCGGCTCCGTCAGCCTTCTGGTGGGTGGTTATATTCACCCCGCGTTTCTCCCTCTTCGACTCAGACTGGTCTAATCCTGACGGCATCACGGACCGTCGAAGTGCCCTGTGAGCGCTTAAGGGAGAGTGATTCTGTAGCACAAAGATCCTGTCGCAGCCATCTCGAGCCCTTCCTCAGATAGTGAAGTGGTCAGAGAAGAGGGTACCCACCGGAAGATTCACCAGCCCTTCCTCTGGGTGTGATCTGAGAACGTAAATGGGCAATGCATGAACAACTTCCTCCAACAAAGGCACCTCCTTTGGCTAGACCCGAGGTATTCCGTAATCATCTGCCAGCCTTTTGAATCGGAAATATGGCGAAAATACCATAAAAGAGCAGTCCGCCGCTTGCCCTCCGACGCTGTAGAAGCAACTTTGCCGACCGACTAGAAAACGGCGGTGAACATATTTATTTGAGGCTCAAGACTATGATATGGCTCCCCTCCAAAAGAGAGGGCTACTTTGGAGAGGAGCATCATTGATCGTATATGGCTTTCTCCGAAGGCTGAGACCCATTGATATTTTCGTCCGTGCTCTGATGACGGCCATGAATGCTGCTCGTGACATTTACAAGAAGCTGCAGCTATCACAAGGGGGACTGTCTGAGTTGTCTCGAACTCGGAAGCCATCTAGGAACAAACCGTCTGAATTGTATCAGATACGAGAACAAGCTATATAGAGCCATTTTGTTTCGAATTCCGGGGACAAAATAGTGATAGAGACAACCTTGGCGATTCTGAATCTGAGACTGTTGGAGGAGTAGACTCTGAATGCATTCCATCGTACTTTCTTCATAGTTTTCCCATATTTGTATAAAATATACGAGCCAATACTCCAGGAGGGGCATGCTCTTCACTTCTCCTCGTCCTCTTTATTCATAAAAGCCGCAGTCCCATTGAGGAAAAGCAACTTTTACGTGCTATGGCATCCTCACCTTTCTTTCTTCCTCTTCGTATCAGAATATTCGGTTTCCCAAATACTTTGCTGCGAAGACGATAGTCTCTCTAAAGCGGAAAATAGGACAGTTTGTTGGCATCTCAAGGATGAAGCATGATCGCTCACAGTAAATGAGATATATTCTTTGATTCTTCTGTTCTAACAGAACTTAAACCCGTCGTCAAGAGCTGACTGCATGTGCAAACTTTATGCATGAACTGAGTTATCTCGTATTCAATTCTCATGTCTCTATATATTTCCTCGATGCGTGTAGCTCAACCGAGAAGTATCAAGAAACTAGGAGTTAACAATATGACGCACAAAAATTAACTATCTATGAACAAGAAATCAATGCTAAAGTTCAGTCATTTTATTCACTGCGTATAAAAACAGGCAATCAATCTGACCGACCCAGTTTCCATTGGTTCATTTTATCTGTGGACATAGAATTTATTTCCTCATCCAGAGGTATACACATAACTTTTATATTTGAATCCCGATGTCCATTCTGGGGTGTTATTCTTACAAGAAAATAAAAATTAAGTGAAGTGATTGTGGTAATAAATTCGATATTACTTAATATCACCTGAAATTATGGCTCGACTTAATATCACTTAATAAGGGACGTTCGGGTATTTATGTCACATAATATCACTTGAAAATATTATTTCCACTCTATATTATATATTAAGTAAACAAATATAAATTCATGTGATATTATTCGAAGACCATCCTGCTCTATACAGATGAAGTTATAATTAACAGAAACAAGATTTACTCATAAGAGACTAGTATTTCATGCCTCAGTTCGAAAATCTTCAAACGAATTCCCATACTGCTGCACTTAATCCTTGAGTCGGTTGTAAAAAGACAACGGATATATAACATTGGAAGTGAGGAGAACGAGGATTGTTATCTCCATTAGACATGAAACCAAACGAAACAATTACAATTTTGGATGAAAATAATTACCCCTAACGTTCCCTAAGAAAAATAACACCAAATTTTATCCTCCACTTGACATATGATCAATAGTAAATACCAGAAAGATGTGTTGTTTCGAACAAAAAAAAAAAAACTCGTTATTTTCAAGAACAACAGAAATACTCTCTAAGAAAATTCATAAGAAAATTAAAATCAAATAAATAACAATCTAGGAAAAAGGAAAATCCCAGAATCAGGTAAAAATGATTTAATGAATAATAGAAAATAAATATCAAAGATTCAAGATCCTAAACGAATCTATATTGAAAGAAACTTCTCACAATAACAAAACTAGTGAAACCAAAATTAAGGGTAAGAAAATAAAACGAACTTAATAAAGTGAAAGAGATTAAGGCTATTGAATTTTCTCTGTAAAATGTGAAAAGTCAGTGTAACTGATAGGAGATTTAGAATGGAAATTATTTGAGCCATTAGACAAGATATCAAAGCAAATAATGAAAAGTTCTAAGCAAAAAAATTACCTCTAGCATTTTCTACTAGCACCCTTGAAATAATAACTTTAATTTCTATTCCCTATGCACTCTACTTACCACATAATTAACAGTAAATATCATAAATAAATGAAAATTTGAAAAGAAGAAATAGTCTAATGAAAATATATATAAATATTTTCATAACCTAAAACTCATTGACCAATTCAAATCGACTATAGAACAAAGAAAACGAGAATATTTATGAATCAGAAAAAAATGATTGAATGAGATATGAAAAATAGGAATAAACATTTATTTATTTTTAATAATGAAAAATCATAAGAGAAAATAGAAAAATAAAAATAAAGAGGAAGAAGTAAAGAGCAAAACAATGAGGGTAATGGCAATTCCATGGAAAATTGTGAAAAAAATACAATCTTTCTAATTGAAGACTTAAAATGTATACTTCTCTTGAAAAAATAAAAAAATCAAAATGCGAAAAAAATTAAAATGAATAACATTTATTCTCCCAACAGAGATTAATTCTATAATCTAGAAAATATTGCTTCAAACAAATTAAATTATTAGATAATGAAAACTGATTTTACAAAAAACAGTAATGGTAGAATAGATAGAAAGAATTTGACCAAATGAGCTTAAGGGAGTTAAATGGAGTCATCTACAAGACAGAGATACATCATCTTGACACTAGCTTCAACTTTTTTCAACATTAAATTGAAATAAATTATAATTTTTTTATGCATACCCTTTCATAAAACAGGGTGTAATGACGTCTTTTAACAAGTTGTAACTATTTTTATGAAATTAAAAAAAATCACAGGCTAAACTATGTCAGTAATATATATCTTAATAATATTAGTTAAAGTGATTGAATACCACGACTAGGTCACCTTTATGATTTAAACATACCAAATAGCTGGTATCATGGAATGGACTGATGAATCCAATCCTCATGAGAAATTAATTTTAATTAGGTGTCCTATTGTCAAAAATGTCACCACAAATATAAGCAAAAATTAATGGGTATCAATCAATCACACATTTTAGCAGAAATGAATATATGCAATCATAAACATAAAGAATGCTGCGAGTTGAGATGGAAAAGGAAAGGACAGTAAGAATCGTATTTTGGTTATTTAAAAATAGATTTTTATCATCTTACAAAAGGACCATGAGATCTTATTTATTTATTTATTTATTTATTTGGGTATACACTTGACCTGATTATTGGGCCCAACCGGACCAGCCCATTTTCACCGCCAAACGGATATTCGGCTCAGCAACCGGCGTTGACGCAGGAAGGCGGGATACGGCCTTCCTTCAGACAAAGGCACCGCAGCTGTCACGTGAGGCGCCCTCCCCAAGAGATGGCGCGTTATTGGCGTCGGTGGAGGACCCGCCCCAGCCGTTGGTGCGGAGGCCCGGGAGACTCATAATTCCCCCCCCCCCCTATAATTAGACACCTACATTACTCAAATGTACGAAGGAATTATCCTGCTCCGGTGCGCGGGACCCACATGGGAAAGTCACCCCCGCTGGGTGCGCCGCGACGCATGAGATGACGTCACTCCTCCATTGACTTGACAGATACGGCTTAGTCATTAGTCCCTTAGTTTCTAGCCCCACAAAATAAATTTATTTCTAACATACCCTCATTTTCGGTCCTATTCCGCTTGAAAATTTATATCGCGTTTGGGGTAGGTAAATAACTTCACTTATGTTAAGGGAGTAAAGGGAAATAACATCGTGTTCTTCAGCGTACCCTGCTGCAGGGGTTGCGGGGGTGGGGCCCACTTCCATCAAGGAACACGCTTCTTCCTGCTGTCTGCATCGCTCGCTCTTGCTGATTGTACTTTTCGTGGTAGGTATGATCTTTGCGTCTACTGCGCGGTGGTGATGGTCGCAGAGGGGGGGAATCTGATCCGTCCCTCAAAGTATGGAGCTGCCGGGACGTCCCCGTCTCCTCCCGCTCCTCCCGTGTTGCCGCTCTCATGAGTTGCTGCTCTCTTGCGCGCTGCATTTGAATTGCCGCTGCTGCCATGGCGCTCCGGGAGGTGAGGGAGGTCCTCGAGTTCCTGAGAGAGAACGGGTTCGAGCGCGCTGCGACGGCGCTCCGGGAGGACGCCGTCGCGAGTTATGGTGGATCCGGGGAGGGAGTGGATCTGGTCTTCCGTGGAGGAGAGGAGGATGGTCTTCGGTGGCTTCCGCCGGTTAGGATCGGCGTCCGTCACGATGGCGATGATTGGAGATCGGGTTCTGAGTCTTCCATTTCAAGTGACGCATTCGTTAGCATGGCCTCGTCTCCCTCAGGTACGACACTACCTCCATTCGGAGAGAGACAAGGAAAACGAGAAAGAGCAGGGTTACGCTCTTTCTCACTGTCAATGCATATTCCATTCCCCGTCCCCCATGAGGAAATGAATCCGACATTGACACTGTATTGTCTCTTGCTTCTACGCACGGTTGAATGTGAACTCCTGACTGCCTCTCTTACAGCGTGATTTCTTACGTTTCAGTTTGTGAATTGAACTCCTATGGTTCTTTTCCGGAATTGTGGCAGACTTTTTTGGCTCGTTGGATATTTACTGAATGTTTCTTTGCAACTTTTTTTTTTTCGTTTTAAGTGTTACCATCTCGTCATATTGAGATAATTTTCTTTTTATGTAACAGGATTCGCCAATCCATATAGTTTGTGGCCTGGACATAGCACCAAATCAGAGGAGTCCTCAGATCGTCTTTCTCAGTTCAGTACTGCTTGTGATTACCATGACCCCAACATCTTTGGTGATACATTTTGGGAGGTTCCCCACCCAGTGGAGCATCCCAGCGTCGGAGTCCAAGAGGAGGATATGTTCGTCACATCTGTACAGGCCGAGGAGAAATTTATTACGGAAAACGGATTACCTTCAGGGACAAATCTCGAGACCAGCCCTAGTGATTGCTCGAAAGCATACGGTGCATCTGTTACAGAGTGCGAAAAACAGATTCAAAAATCCAATTATACAGTACAAGTGAAGGGGTCAAATTTGTTTCTTCAAAAAATTCAGTCGTCAGTGCCTTCCTCTTCATGCAGTATTGGAGAGAGAGAACTTCCATTGAATCTTCTAGATGACCATAAAAATGGATTGGAAAGCGGTTTATCATGCGGCAATTTTCAAAGTTCAGAGCAGCATGAAGCCGCGGAACACTTAGAACCCCATATACTGGAGAAGGAACGGGATACACTTAGTTCATTTGATCTTCCAAGTAAGTTCTAGCTTTATGATCATCAAGATGTGATGCATATATTTTTTTTAATTTTCTACCTTGGTTGATGGTATTCTTGAAACCTCATTAATGTCAATCACTATGCTACTTCTTTGGGATACTATAATCTTACCTGTTTGACCTGAAAGATAGGATTTCAAGTACCAGTGCTGAAAAAAAATTCTGTGAATGCAGATGACAAGGATTTCCACAAAGAGTGTGGATCAGAACTAATCCATAAAAGTGATTCCCGACTGCATGTAAACAATGCAAATAAATCAAAATATGGGATTATTGATAAAGAATCTCCTAACCGTGACTTTGCTGGAGGAAAAGTAGACTGCGGCATTAGAAAAGAGCTTCAGCTATGTGATCTTGATGAGGAGTATGAAGTATTTGATTTGAGGATCATTCACAAAAAGAATAGGTTTAATCCAAATCTTTCAATGCTTCTTGTTGTCAAGTTTCATTTATTGAGATTGGAGATGACTATGTATTTACCCTATTTAACATTTTTCAGGACTGGTTTTGAGGAAAATAAAGATTTTCCTATAGCTATGAACTCTATTATAGCAGGCAGGTACTGTGTCACTGAACATCTTGGCTCAGCCACCTTTAGCAAGGTTATTCAAGCACACGATCTCCTGACAGGAATGGACGTCTGTTTAAAAATAATAAAAAATGACAAGGATTTCTTTGATCAGAGCCTGGATGAGATCAAGCTCTTAAAGCTTGTGAACAAGCACGATCCTGCTGATGAACACCATATTCTGCGCCTTTATGACTACTTCTATTATCAGGTACATGATTCAAGAACTGGGCTTATCTCAAGTTGCATATTTTGAGAATTTCTAGACACGCTTTTTGTTTCTCTGATAATTTCTCATTGAACACTAAAAATACCTCTTTATTCCTCAGAACGAAAGCCTATTTATATCTTTGAATGTGCTCACGGACTTACATCCACTTGACGTGTGATTATGTCACACCACTTTTTGTTCCATGTCCATACCATGGCTTAATATAATGGCTGCTGCTTTATGGTAAGGATGACAGAGTTGGTTATGGGATATAAATATACATCGGTTGCACGTGACTACGGCTTCATGTAGAGATGGAATTTAAGGAATTCAGAGTGGAGATGTTGACACTTGTATGATTTATCACGTGGTGCTATACTTGATCTTTCGCTTCGGTGAGATCTTTGTGTCGCTGTCCGGTTAATCTCATGGTGGAACATTATTTTTTCCAAATTTATGAAGATTTTCCCCTTGCCTCAATTCTGTAAGAAAGACAGATAAATTACATGGATGAAAACAGACGCAGTCCCTGCAGGATAAATGTTCTATGCCAAAAACACAAAGATTGATTCATGATAAAATAAGGAAGCATAACAAGAGTGAAGGTGCGCTTTTCTTAAACTATCGATTCATCTTTTCATCTTTTGGAAACATTAAGAGATTATTGCAATATTTAGTTGGGTGTACCCGTTCAAACTAAGGCTTTTAGAATTGATGGGTTTTATTCGGCACAAATGAATGACATTACTGTTACCATCAATTAAATGCGCGATTTATCCATTTCTGGCATTTTTTTTTTCTGGAAAAATAATCGAATTGGCATCGTCTTCATTAATGTGGCTATTTATTTTTCAGAGGCATCAGTTTTACGCTCTTTCATAGAAATATGTAAACTATCAATTCTGTTTCGCATTTCCTTTCATATCTACCGAACTCGTATAAAAGTATTTTCTTAAATTGGAGGTAATGAATGGTTTTTTTGGGACGTGGCTCATCTTGAACTGCTAATGTTTTTCTGGCAATGTGCAGGAGCATCTTTTCATAGTTTGTGAGCTTCTTCGAGCAAATCTCTATGAGTTTCAAAAGTTAAATGAGGAATCTGGAGGAGAAATCTACTTCACATTGTCTAGAATACAGGTTCGTTTGGTATATTAACTGAAACAAATTTCTGAGAATTGATAAAAATCTACTAAGATATATGGCTACGTATGCATACGTATGGTATGTAAAATTAATTTCTTAGAATTAAAAAATTCACGTTTCCTGGAATTATCATGCATCCTCATAGTATTAAATAAGTTTCTAAGATATATTACCGACGAGATTTTGAACGGAAAATACTCCTAAATATATGTAATGTTTTTTAGTTCAAGTCAAACAAGAAATAATGACACTGGACCTTCCATCTCTTTCTCCTCAGAAAATAGCTCGGCAGTGCTTGGAGGGTTTGGAGTTCTTGCACAGTCTGAGTATAATTCACTGCGATTTAAAGCCCGAAAATATTCTGATCAAAAGCTACAGAAGGTGTAAGATTAAGATAATTGATCTTGGCAGCAGCTGCTTTCGGACTGACAACCTGTGTCTGTATGTGCAATCTCGATCCTACCGGGCTCCCGAAGTCATCCTCGGCCTCCCCTACGATGAAAAGATCGATATCTGGTCTCTTGGTTGCGTCCTGGCCGAGCTTTTCACCGGTGAGGTACGCGGGCCCTGTTTATATACCTCTTAAGATGAATCTATATCAGTCCATGCGGCTATTTTTCTTTGGACAGTTCGGCCATCTGATGCAATATTTTCCTTTTTCCTGTTATAATTGGATGAACCGGGGCAGCCATGTTCAGAGTCTTATTCATGTAGATCATTAATCTTATTAGAGAATTTCCACTTCTTCTCGTATGTTTTGGTGACTGTTTCATCTGTGCCGAAGATCTGAACCCGCCATCTTCATGAACTTTCATGGCATTTCTCGACTGGGTAACTTCAATCAGATCAGGAATTTAACAGGAAGAACCGAATATGTTCTTATCTCTGATCTATGTAATTTATGCACCAAGTTAACACACTTTCCCGGCTGATTTGTGGCAGGTCCTCTTCCCAAATCATGAAGCGGCCCTGTTGCTCTCCCGGATGATCGAAATCTTCGGTCCAATGGACTCGGAGATGCTCGACCTGGGGAAGGAGACCCACAAGTACTTCACAGATGACCGCGTCCTCTACCGCAAGAACGAGGTTCCTATGCCATTCCCCCCTGTTCACATACCTCACTTTCCCTCCGCTGATTCACGCTTTGCTTTGACCCAAATTGACCCGCGTGCTCAAGAACTAGTCTGAGTTCCTCAGAACAGAAATCTTTTTCTGACTGTGACCCGTGATGCTTCCCCACGGTAGAACTCACAGTCTCCCCTCCCCCTTTTTCGACTCGCAGGAGACGGATCGAGTGGAGCGCATAACCCCCGGGAGGTCAACGCTGTCAAGCCACCTCGGAAGCTCCGACCTACCGTTCATCGGGTTCCTCGGCTACCTGCTTCAGATGAACCCCCAAAAGAGACCCACCGCGGAGCAGGCATTGCAGCATCCCTGGCTCTCACATCTCTAGCCATGAAAGCCGCACTTCCAAGTTCTCCGGAAGTCTCCAAGGCGGGAAATTTCCTTGTTCAGTAAAATTTATTATTTCCTTTTTAATAAAAAAAGTCAATTTTCTTTTTATTTATTCTTCAATGGGTTCTCGTATAAAGCGACCCTGTCTGTGGGGTTTTTGAAGGGCCGGCGGAGAATCTCGCCGGCGGCGCCGGACAGTTGATGATTCCATTCTTCCTCCGGATGGGAGAAGGAAGATTTCCGGGGATCCCTTCCTCTTTCCGGAAGGCCGCCTCTCTTTGTCTCCTTGCTCCTCCTCCCGCTTTCCGGCTGTCGGCAGGAGAACGGCGAGAGAAAGGCGGCGCCGACGAATCCTATCCCTGGCGTGCTTCCGCCCTGCCCTCCCCGCCGCCTCCGGGAAGGGGAGGAATTCGGATTCCGTTACGTCGCCGTTACAATCCCCGCATCTCCTCGTTTTCCGATCTCTCCCCCTCTTAAAGCGGGAATGTCGGAGGAGGATGTGGTGGAGGAGGAAGGAGGAAGGAGGTTTTGCCTGTGCGCGGGAGGTGGAGGAGGGAGGAGGAGCTGCACGGCGGCGGTGGTGGTGGTGAGCGATGGGGAGCTACAGGATGTGCCTGTGCTTCACCCGCAGGTTCCCGTGGAAGGAGGCGCAACCGCCGGGGGATGTGAAAGAAGCCTTCGCGGCCTACGCCGAGGGCGATACTCGCATGAACGCCGAGCAGCTCCTCCGCTTCCTCGTCGACGTCCAGGGCGACTCCCGTGCCACCGTCGCCGATGCCGAGTTGCTCATCGAGCATTTCCGGCGTCTGAACCATCGCTACCTCGCCAAGCTCTCCGGTTCTTTCCTCTCCCTCGAGGACTTCCACCGCCTCCTGTTCTCCGAGGAGCTCAACCCTCCCATTCTTTCCCAGGTGATCATGCTCTACCTTCCCTCCTCTTCTCTCTCCCTCTATCATCGTTCATCACTTGGATGATGCACTGCGGGGGAAGCACGATTGTACCTGATTTAACACTTGCCTTACTGAGGTAGTTGACTATTGTGGTTGTCCAGTGGAATATCAATCTGAATTATTGCTGGGCCTTTTCACCCAGGATTTACCGGTTTCAGCCACGTAGGTGTCCAAGTGAGCAATGTAGAAGGGGAAAGGGAGAGGTTGACTTTTTATAATTTGGGTGGGGGCCGGGTGGGGTTGTCTTTCAGACCATGAAAGGCAAACGTTCTTGGAATTGGCCGTGAATAGGCTTAATGTGCCTGTTTAGCTACTGATGAGTATTCAGTTGATGTGTATAAAACCATTGACTCTTCAGCATCCTATAAGTTTCTGAAGTTCAAAAGATTTCATGTCTTTATTTTTGTAGAATTTAAGTATCTGCATCTTCTTGTAGTAGTTATCACCAACAGTTTGTATGATGCTAGCAATCCTGATTAAAGAGGCCAGGTGACAATGTGGTTGCCTTATCTCTCATACTACTGTTCTTGTCCTTTTATTTCAGTAATAATAACTTATCATTATTATTTTTTATTGGGAATTGAGTATGTTTTTTCATCTTATTGATCACATCCTTTATTCCCTCTGTCCTGATGTATACTTTTGCGATGTGTAATTAATTCGAGGCTAGAGATCATTTTTCTCTAGCTTCTTACAACACAGTGTACTTAATATTCTCCATTCAATATTCTCTTCTCTGTCGTGACTTTTCAGCCCAACCAGTGGGTGTATTCTTCTTGGGCACAAATATCCTTGATGCAGACGGCATCAATCCTGAAGATTAGCTAGCCCGAAGCAATTACAGATCAGAGTAAGAGAATCCAGAATTCCCAAACAGATAATGCAACAGACTGGAATAGAGTCGAAAAAGCGATTGTATCTAGATGTTTAGAGGCCTATAAGTTTCCTTAATGGTGAGACATTCTATTTCTGTCAGAATCTTTAGATATGAGGACACAGAGAAGGTCTGAAGTTGATCAAAACAGGAGAACATGCCCCTTTCGACCTTTATGAAGCTTTGCTTGCCTGTTTCTCATAGAAGATCACTCTGACACCGTTGGCTCTTCCTACCTTGGCTTTGAATCTATTTTTCTCTCATCGTAAATTCGGTATGCTGCCAACTGGGACATCAAATATAACCTCCATTTGCTCTTTTTGTTACTATGTTAAAGGATACTGGAAGCTGTTCTGATTTCCACGATAATAATTCAGACACCAAGCTTCATCTGAACGCAGCGAAGAGTTTCTTAAGATATAAGCCCGACGAAAGATAATGGCGCACGTTCTAGGTTTTCTTTTAACGTGCTGCCAATGGGCAGCCAACTTGTGAAACCCCATGTTAAGATTTTAAGTACACCAGATCAAGAAGAAGAATAATTAAAGATGTCGATTGAATTGAAAGAATCTGTTCAAAATATCCACGCATGCCTGCAAGCTGACATTAGAAGATGCAGTGATTCCTAGTTTACTTCATCCTGGAGAAAAAAAGTGTATCCCGTTTTGTGTGGCCTACTATTGGAAACTTTGAAGGTGAAGGATAGTTCTGAGACGCGAACAATATTTGTCTGTATTTTTTCCTTTTATATTTGATGGTTTCAATTGCCGTTTGTTGACAATGTAAGAGGTAGATTGTTAATGTGATACCCTGACATTGTCATATTTCTGCGTGCAGGTTCATCAGGATATGACCGCTCCATTGTCTCATTACTTCATTTATACTGGTCATAATTCTTACTTGACGGGGAACCAACTCAGTAGTGACTGCAGTGATATTCCTATCAAGAAGGCACTTCAAAAAGGTGTCAAAGTAATTGAGCTAGATATTTGGCCAAATTCTACAAAAGATGGTGTTGATGTTTGTCATGGAGGGTATGTTATAACAAGGCGATTTATCCAATTGATGTCTTCTGGTTAACTCGGATTTTTTCCTAATTTTATTATCATCTGTACGATATACATTCTTTAATAACATATTAAAATGATTTTAACATGTCATTAAATGTTAATAAGGTATTTATTGCTTTTTTTTTTCAAATTCACATTGTTGCGTAAATTTATTCTAACCTAATTAATATATTTGACTTGCGTTATCTTTGATGGAGTTATGAACCGCCACGTCAACTTTGGTGCAGATATTTCGACTTTCAGTATTTTTTATCTGAAAATCAGTTTAGGATGGAATTGCATAACTATCAGAAATACGGATATCAGGTCCTTTTATTTACTTAACAAAAGTTGCTAACTCGCCCCTTTTTTTTGGGTACTTGGGAGCCGAAATTTTAACATTATCAAATATGCACTAATTTCTACATTATTGTATGATGAATTAATTTACCAAGAACGGCTCGTTTCCCAAGTTTTTATTTTTAACAGATTTTCCTCATTTTCCATGATGTTTCAGCCGGCAACGTTTTTGCTTTTGATGAGACAGTATTGATTTATTTACTACTGTAGGTACCTTATGCAGAAGTTGCGCAGGTTTTCTATGTTGATATTTTTTCATTAAACAGCAGCAAAACTCCTCTTTTCTCATTTCATTTAGTGATATGGGTTTTTTTTTGTATGCCATAGGACCCTGACTTCTCCGGTTGAACTCATCAAATGTCTTAGGACAATCAGCGATAATGCTTTTGTTACTTCTCAATACCCTGTTATTATAACCCTAGAGGATCATCTCACTCCCGACCTTCAAGCTAAAGTTGCGAAGGTGATTTTATTATCACCATTGAATTTCTGTATTCCATTCTAAGCCTGGCAGAATTTCATATATGATTTTATTTTTTTATGCTCTAGATGGTCACTCAGACGTTTGAAGATACCCTATATTACCCGAAATCAGAATTTCTGAATGAATTCCCGTCACCAGAAGCTTTGAAGAGGCGAATAATTCTTTCAACAAAGCCCCCAAAAGAGTACCTAGAGTCTGAGCTTTCAAAGGATAAAGATGGAGAGTCTGAGGGAGAATCATGGGGGAAGGAGATTGCAGACTTAAAATCTGAGCTTCAGTATGATGATAAGGTCTTACTTGAGATCTGGTGCTCTCTTCTTTGTTCAGTCTTCTGTGCTAAACTTTCCCAGGTTGATCTTCTCTCCGACAGGACGATGAACATGATCATGAACATGATGAAAAAGATATCAATATCGAAGACGATGATGATACAAAAATGCTCCGGAATTCATCGCCTGAATATAGACAACTAATTACTATCACTGCCGGGAAGCCCAAGGGTGGTCTGAAAGAGGCATTGAAAGTGGATCCTAACAAGGTCAGGCGTCTTAGTCTGAGCGAGCAAGAACTCGAGAGGGCCGCAAGATCCTACGGTAAAGATATAGTAAGGTACTGAACATGGCATTGCTGTGAATTGCCTTATTTCTTCCTCAGATGTTCAGGCTCTCGCCACTTTTTATAAGATTTGAAAGCAAATTCATATAAATCCTGAGAAGATGCAAGATACATGTTCTACAGATTGGCCGTATGATTCAAGAAAACATGACAGATTGGCCGTATGATTCTTCTTTAAAACATGATTAGTTATATCTGTGGTACCGTAAATTGTTCATGCCTTTGAGGCGACTTATTGGAAAGTTGGAGGCTTGGAACCGCTTTGATTCTTTGAGCTTTGAAGTCTATGAATCCTTGGTTTTCAGATTCACTCAGAAGAATTTGCTTAGAATATATCCAAAGGGTACTCGCGTCAACTCATCAAACTACAACCCACTGATCGGGTGGATGCACGGAGCTCAGATGGTTGCATTCAATATGCAGGTTTTCTCCGGTCCTCTGCCCAAAATTATAAATTTTTTTTGACTTTTGCTCACATCTATCCCAACCCCTTGGTTATCCTCGGTTTCTCATCTTGTCATAAAAATGTATGAACAAGCGCAAATCTGCAGGATGATTGCTGTTTATAGGCGCTTGCCATCCAATGGATCTGTTCTTAATCGTACTATTGTCTCTGTAGTTCAAAGCTTTCTTCTTTACTGAACCCACCCTTCTCTCTCTCTCTCTCTCTCTCTAATCAACAAGAGAGAGAAAGAAAGAGAGAGAGAGGAAGAGAGAGAGCAGTGATTTGAATTGATGTATCTCTTATCAGCCCTCCTGATTCACGGACAGGGATATGGGAGGTCTCTCTGGCTGATGCAGGGCTTTTACAGGGCCAACGGAGGTTGCGGGTTCGTTAAAAAACCCGACTTCCTGATGAATGTCGGGCCGAACGGCGAAGTCTTCGATCCCAAAGCGTGGTTGCCGGTCAAGAAAATCTTGAAGGTGAGAAGTAGCCGGCGACTTCGCGGAAATAAAAGGTTTCCATCCCACCTCGCCTCCTCATATTTGAATCTTTATTCTTGGAACAGGTCAAAGTGTACATGGGCGATGGTTGGCGCCAGGACTTTAAGGATACGCACTTTGACTTGTACTCTCCACCGGATTTCTATGCAAGGGTGGGTACAGAAAACAGTCAACCCATTCCTCTTTCAACCTGGTTCTGCGCTTCTCTCTCTCTCTCTCTCTCTCTCTCTCTCTCCTCTCTTTCTCTCTCTCTTAGATAGAAGGGGCTTTAGAGGGCTGACAGCTTGGGTACTGCAGGTGGGGATAGCTGGAGTGCCGGCCGACAACCTGATGAAGAGGACGAGGGCGATAGAGGACCACTGGGCGCCGGCGTGGGAGCAGGAGTTCACCTTCCCGTTGACCGTCCCGGAGCTCGCCCTGCTGCGGGTCGAGGTCCACGAGTACGACATGTCGGAGAAGGACGACTTCGGCGGTCAGACCTGCCTGCCGGTTTCCGAGCTGAGACCCGGGATTAGGGCTGTCCCTCTCTACGACCGCAAGGGCACCAAGTTCAGCTCCGTGAGGCTTCTCATGCGTTTCCAATTCCTCTGACTGTCGTTGACCTCGTTGCACCAGGGTCAACCCCATCCTCTTAATCACATAACGTTCATAATTTATCACGGTCAGCTTTCGTATAGATGATGCCTGCCCCATTCCTTGGTTAAAAATCAAGAAGAGCTGAATTGAACCGGAGGAGGGGGAGGGGGGGATCTCTAGAAGAGAATGCCACTGTAAATGCGCAGAAGTGAGTACCTTTTTTCATGGGCCGTGGATATGAACCTCACCAGATCCACCGAGAGAAATCTGTCCGATGTTTTCTCCCAAGATTTCCTCTTTTTTTGGTCACCAGCGAAGCCCATCTTTATTAGGGCAATTAATTTGATTTTTACGAGTCTAAATTGATTAATTCTTATATAAAATTAGATCCTTTCACGACGGAGGTTCAGCAGATCCGAGCTTGGGCGCATCCTTGAGAAGTAGAAGTTGCAGAGGCTTGATTGTGCTTTGAATGATGAGCCCAAACTCTTCCTGGCTTGTGGGATGTGAAGGACCATCCTGTCATCTTGGAGGGGTGCATAGTTGCGGCCTGTAGCACCGGGCTTTGCGTCCCTCCAGAGAGAGATGCCCACGACAGAATTCCCTCCGTTGGTGAGGGCGGCTCCCGCCGTCGATGCCATCTTCTCCGACTCCGACGCCAGCAGCAGCGGCGGAGAGGAGCCGGCGGAGCGGTTGGCGGTGGCTGAGGACAGCGTGTTCTCCGCCTACCTCCAGGCCTCCGGGGCCTCATCGGGCCAGGACCTCGCCAAGATTCGCTCCTTCCTGGGCTCCTCCCGTAAGAGCTCTTTCGTCGCGTGCCTCATCTGCCTCGAGCGGATCCGGCCTTCTGATCCCGCCTGGTCGTGCTCTTCTGGATGCTACGATCTCTTCCATCTCATCTGCATCCAGTCTTGGGCGCGCCAGTGCTCGTCCCTTCCACCATCCTCTTCCAGGCCGTCGCTCCCCTCGTCCACAGATTGGCACTGCCCCAAGTGTAGGTTGAACTACCCGCAGAACCTGATCCCCCGGATCTATTACTGCTACTGCGGCAAGGTTGAGAACCCGCCGCCCGATCCATGGATCGTCCCGCATTCATGCGGCGAGATTTGCGGGCGTTCCCTCCGAGGGGACTGTGGCCACCATTGCCTCCTCCTCTGCCACCCGGGCCCCTGCCCTCCCTGTCCGAAGCTCGTCACTACCCGGTGCTTCTGCGGATTCACCAAAGACGTCCGGCGATGTGCCCTTAAGGAATTCTCTTGCAACAGACCCTGTGGCAAGCTCTTAGGATGCAAAACTCACCGCTGCACAGAGAAGTGCCACGAGGGCCCCTGCCCACCATGCCGGGTGAAGGGGACGTATCGTTGCCTTTGCGGGAGGGAGGAGGCGGAGAGAGAGTGCTGCGAGCGTCTGTTCCAGTGCGAGAAGCCATGTGGCGGGTTTCTCATCTGCGGGAAACATGCTTGTACCCGGGGTTGCCATGCCGGACCTTGTGGGGACTGCCCATTGCAGGGTAAGAGGACATGTCCATGTGGAAAAAGGTATCACGAGGGAGTAGCCTGTGATGCCATCGTTCCTGCTTGCGGGTCAACCTGCGAGAAGTTCCTTTCCTGTAACATCCACCGGTGCCCAGAAAGATGCCACCAGGGGCCATGCGTGGAGAGTTGCAGGAATGTTCTTGTCAAGTTTTGCCGCTGTGGGGGATTGAGAAAGGAGGTAAGCCTCTGACACCTAAATGCTGGCGTTGACGTACTGAAGTTATTTCCCCGCATGATATACGTTCCCAAAATGGCATATTATCAGTTGAACAGAAGGTGTTTTGCTATGGACTCAATCTAGGTTCCCTGCTTTCAAGATTTGATTTGTGAACGAAAATGCCAGAAGTTGCGAGACTGCGGGCGTCATGCATGTAAGCGCCGCTGCTGTGATGGAAACTGCCTACCCTGCCCAGAGGTGTAGACTACATTCTTTTCCTATTTTTCCTTCTTGTGTACAGGCCGTCTTCTATAATAACTCGTGATTCAGATCTGTGGCAGGAAGCTTCGATGTGACAATCATAAATGCCCTTCTCCATGCCACAGGCACGTAATCCACCAGAATGCCTTCTTCTTCCTTAGGCATGGGCGTGAAGTATCTTAGTTCACTTTTCTGTTAAATTATTTCATGAAGAAGTTCCGTTATGAAACTTGCATCACCTTCCTCTTTGTTTCATCTTCAATCTGTGTCACATAGAGAGGACAGATTTGGTACTCAAGAATCTAGATAATTGCCTTGTTAGTTACATTTAGCCTAATATATGTAACGCAATTGTTTTAATGTATAATAAGAAAAGAAAAAAAGCTCAATTATTTCATATTTCTCTGATTCTATATGAAAAGGCATCAAACCTGAAATGAAACTATACGACATGACTGGGTTAATACTTGTTATTGTTTTGGCCTTGAATTATCCCGAATGTTGTTTTCCATCTTCTTTAACTTCTCAGGGTGACGGAGGGAATCATAGTTTGTATTTTAGGGAAGAAACAAAGATCACATATCCCAGCCTTCAATGTCAGATCTGTTTGGACAGTTCCTACATTCCTCTAATATGTAATCCCACTCCGTTCAGTGCATGTTATCTATTCATTGATCTCACACTCTCCATTAGAATGCTTCCTGTAATGGCAATCTATTTATCTTTGCTTGGTTTGGCATAATTGTCATCCTTCTTTGTCCATTTGATTACAAACTGTGGTCGAGTCCTTGCCCGTTAGACCAGCGTTCTGTATAATATTATACTGATTATAGGAAGGCTCTTCCAGATTTAAATATCATTTTTCTTGGTGCCATCATGTTCCATACGACAAGGAGCTGTTCAGGGAAAGAGCATCCTATCCTCTCCATTTTTTCAAGGATTACCCACATTAGCAACAGCTATTGTGAAAGTTCATCTATCCCACCAAGTCCCCTTTGGCGAGTCTCTTCAAACGTGAGAGCGCTTCTCAGGGTAATATAATGTGGTCAGTTTTTTTTAATAAGCATTAAGACATAGCCAAGTTGCAACACATTCTTTCCTTCCTGAACATCTTTACCTAATGGACAAGAATGAATGCTCACATCTTGATTGATAAGAATGCTTCATCTGCTGTCGATGCTGCCACAGACACAGATGGAAAGCAAGGATAGAAAGGCTGAGTTAAAAATCCTAAAAACATACAAATTAAATGAATAAAAGTGTCTTTTTAGTTGACTCGGTATGCATCTGTACAACAAACAGGAATCTAGCAGATCGCTTTGGACAGAAGATTTCTGTCTTTAGCAGATCAATTATACACCGATGTCAATCACCTCTATATGTTTGATCACTCATGTCAATGCATTTCTCTACAGTCGTGTTGAGCATAACTACATAAGTCTATACAAGCCAACAGTGGATCCAATATTTCTTCGGTCCTAGAGATCCTACCATTTATTTCCTTTACAGCTTCTAGCCTAGAACCTGCAATAGGACCCTCGTGCAGATAGATCTGTAGAAGCGACTGTTAGATCATTGACTGCCATTCCAATGTTGTATCAACATTACCTGCTTAATGTCACCCCTTTGACCAATGTTCATTTTCACATTTTTCCGCTTCCATCTATTAGGTAACACCTCTCCATATAAGACATGGTGAGGTTTGAGAACACTCCATTGTCCTTCTGTAACATCGTCCCGTCCATAACAGTTCATGTATCAGTATTCCTTGTCAGTTTAATTTTATATGGATGAAGAAATCACATGGCATGCGCACATGTCCGTGTACACGCAAATTTTATTGGTATCCTGCATCAATATTTTCTGATGAGCGAAATATTAATATTTACTTACTCCTACTGCAACAAGAAAAGATGCTCTAAATGTGATGGAAATAAGCTCCCGTCCCCAGAATTGCTTACGACAGTACCATTTATTGTAGTCCCGTGTTAACACAACACTTTCTTTATCTGTTCTTAACCTTTATTCTTTAATGTCTTCTACACATATTATAGGTACTTCGCTTGTAAGCGAACTTCAGTTTCATTCTGAATGAGTCTTTATTTGATTTGTAATCAAGAAGTATGTATTTCTCAGGGGTATTTGTTCTCCTTGCCCTCTGATGGTTTCCATTTCGTGTGCATGCGGAGAAACACACTTTGAGGTATGGTTTTTTGATGTACTTCATTTTATTCAAAAAATATTTATGACTTTCCATTGTGTCGCTTTGAATTGGCTGAAGAAATCAATTCACATTTTTTTTATCAATCGCTCAGTTAAGGCATTTCTGAGTGAAGAATTCAGAATTTTTTTTACTGATATTATAAAGGCTTGTTTAAATCAGGATTTTTTTGGGTGAGAGAAGGACCCCACCCATTGACTTGCAAGGATTTAATAGTTTAATAAACACAACTTCTCCCTTCCGTCTTCCTGTGGGGGAGTATTCTTCTAGTTGATGTTATATCAACTTTGGTTGCATTGCGTAACCTTTCATTTCCTCAATTTAACATCTCTTTTCTGAAACTTGCGGTTCACCTCTCTGGCTTGAAGAAGAAAATAATGAGAATAATGTGAAAAAGTTAAGAAGAATAAGAAATATTTGCCTGGAAATCGTAAGAGCGTTAGCATCACTAAGGCTCTCCTATATTGATTTTAAGGCTTCAAGCTCTAATGACCTCAACAAGCATGCGCTGGTACCAACCTAGGTCGTATTTGAACTTTTTTTTTCTTTACTTATCATTGGTTATCTTGGTTTCTCAAAGTCATCTAGTTTGACCAGTTGTTTCAGGCATAATCTTATACCATATATTACAAAATTGTTGTTTATTTAGAGAATGACAAATTATCGTTTGATATCTTGTTTCAATGGTATTTTTAGTCGTATAATGCATTTATTTCTAGGTTATTTTACACTCCCGTGCATGTCATTCTAAAGTTTCTGAATGAATGTCAAGCTAGGTTCCTTGTGGAACAGAAAGAGAACAGAGGCCCCCCAGGTGTCCGAAACCGTGCGATGCCACTCGTCTGTGTAGACATAGTTCTACAGTCAAGGTGCACTTTTCTCCTCTCCATAAATTTATATAAAGAAAATATTCAGTCATAACCATATAGATATTGTACATTCTCTATTCTTTTCTCGGTCGAGCATATTGGTCATCAACAAAACGTTGTCTTGTATCAAGATGCTTAACTCTCTTATTTTGATTCTTTTGTGCTTTCTGTGCTTTTAAAATTTATGTGCTTCCATTCCCTGTAATGGTGTATGTAGTAATGACGCCCCACTCAAGCTCCCTGGCCCAGGAGGCATCATTTGAGCAGATTGGACAAAGAAGGGGCACATGTTGTTCAGGCTCATGTTCATCAATGAGAGCATGCAAATCCGCCTGATTCATGATCTGACAAGAAGTATCCAGAAATATATGACCCATCTCAGATATCTGGGATATTAATGATGATATCTCGTCCTTCCCATAGAAAGAGATCGATGCACCCATCTTTGGTGGGAGTCAGTCCCATTGACCTCACAGAGCCTAGCCTCACAGAGTAAGACACTTGAGGATCTGTGATCTTCCTCTGCGAATCTCCTCCTTTGAGTGACACTCAATTCTCTCTCACAGGAACATCTGGCTTCCCACTGCTGCCTTATGCGTTGGAACCTTTTCTTCCTGGAGACATCCTCGTAGTCTATTTTTTACCCTCCTTCCTTTGACTCTCGGGGGGTAGGATAGATCGTCCGGGCCATTCAATTTCGGCACATAGCCAACAACCTGGTCAGTCATTGAGACAGATCCATTCGAGTCAAAGATGCTTTGTAGATCTCTTGCCTTCTTGTCCCCTATTTGGCGTTGATGTACTAGATCCATTACAGATCAAGGTGCCCTTTGCATTTGCCAGATGTTACTCCATACAATCCTCCATTCTCCCGCCCCGCAGCCCCATAGAAAAGTTTGCTTTATTGACCTTCAGTTTTTACTATTGTTTTATCCACGGATTGAAGCCTAGGAACCACCAATGTTCAATACTTATTTACTCATATGGCTTCTTTTTTTTCTTGTTTGATTGATCAGTTATATGTCCACCCGTCAAATAATATCCTCCCCCCCTGTTTTCTCTACAGCCACACAGATGCCACTATGGAGCATGCCCACCTTGTCGAATGATTTGTGAGGAGAAACTGTCATGCGGGCATACATGTAAACTAAGGTTCGTTTTCAAAGTCAGCTCCACACCTCATGTGAGGCAACCTTTTACTTTAGATGTTCATGCATTCCTGTAGCTTGATCAAGGGATTCTATCTGCTTCAAGGTGTCATGGACCAGTGCCACCCCCCAAGCAGGATTTTTCATTAAGAGCCAGGAAGAAGAAGCAGGGAAAACCAGCCCAGACTACTCCCGGGTCAGCATGCCCTCCTTGCCAGGAAGTCGTCTTGAGATCTTGCCTTGGAAAGCACATTGGGGAAGACAGAGCTGTATGTACATCGGCTGTCCCTCCTGAGCTAAGCTGCTAGGATTATCAAACACTCGAAGATTTTTTTTATTTTTTTAATCCATTCCGTCTACATGTGGCATTCCGTCAAAGCTAAATATTCTGTCTTCTATTCAGATGCTCTGCTCCAGTCAAGTGAGATTTTCTTGTCAAAACCTGTGTGGAAATGCTCTGGACTGCGGAAACCATTACTGCACAAAGTCTTGTCATGCTTTGAAGCCCAGTCTCCCATCAGCAGCCATAGACATAGGTGGAGCACAAGCGGCTGATGATGTCCCCCTTGGGCTCACCGAGCCATGTGAGCAGTGTCGTCTTCCTTGTCAAAAGGTCAGCTTTTCTCATTTGATAGCTCATTCATCGTTCCCCACTCTCCTGTTCTCATTGACCTCTCAGGAAAGAAAGGACTTTTTCTTCAATCTCTGTCTAGGAGAGAAGCCCTGCTTGCCCACATCCATGCCCTCGACCATGCCACCCCAACGACTGTCCTCCTTGCAAAGTACTCGTCAAAAGATCGTGCCATTGCAGTTCCCTGGTTCATGTTTTTGAGTGCATATACTACAACAGTCTGTCTGCTGACGAACAGCAAAGGATCCGCTCATGTGGTGGCCCCTGCCACAGGTAAAAGTAACTTTGACCCTTTTTGCACTGCATCATCACAATTGCTTCATCTGATGAGTTCTCTAGGATCACTGCTTATGCGGGCCAATCAGTATATTCCTTTAACCAGTGGGCGTTTTCCGGTTCAAATCCCGAGTTAAATCCATTGGTGTGAACAAAAGAAAATGCATAAACTTTATTGGTGTATTTTCTCTTGGCTTTTCATGACTACATGATATATATATATGTGTGTGTGTGTGTGTGTGTGTGTGTATATATATTTATATATTGAACTTAGAAATATATTATATTTCTTTCTCCATTGAAGTTTAAATGTTGAGTTAAATCCATTAGTATGAACAAAAGAAAATGCATAAACTTCATTGGTATATTTTCTCTTGGCTTTTCATAACTGCATGATATATATATATATATATATATATATATATATATATATACATACATACATATATGTGTGTATGTGTATGTATATATGTCGAACTTAGAAATAACTTAGTATTTCTTTCTCCATTGAAGTTTGCCTCTTGCTTTTCTCTAGTAGTCGTCGAAGTTTGCTGGAGACTAAAGTCTCTGGCAATGATTTATGCAGGAAGCTGCCAAACTGTCCCCATTTATGCTCAGAGATATGCCATCCTGGGACATGCCCATCCATCGACAACTGTCTCAAGAAGGTACCTTTCTTTCTGTACTTCATTGATCTTGCTGTTACATGATTTTCCTTCTCAATGTTCTTCTATGATTCCCATACGAAAAGAAAACCCAATTCCTGTGGGACCTCACCCTGGTCCCCCTTCTTGAGAAAACCCCAAATTATTCTGCGGCCATGAATGTTGTTGAATGAAGAAGGCTTCTGGAGTTGACTTTTCTGTTTGAAGGCACCGTACTTCGGCTGTACTTGATTATGACGTTTTTAATGATGTTACCCTCTCCACTTTTAGTGTGAAAAGTCGAAAATAAAATATTTCATCATCTTTGACTTTTTTCATTAACAAATTTCACAGGCAACGGTTCGCTGTGCATGCGGAAACCTGAGAGAGGAGTGGGTATGCCGAACTGTTCAAGACGCTCTCCGTGGCTCTGGTCAAGACCCAAAAGATGTTCCAAGAAGTCAATTCGGGCTGAGGATTCTCCAATGCAATTCAGATTGTGCGAGCAAAGTCAAGACCATCGAGCCCGAGCTGCTGCCCCGTAGATCAAAAATGGCTGAGGTAATGCTCATACCCTATCGTGAGAACATTTCCATCTTTGACATCATCAGCTGCGTCCATTCATGGAGTTGACCGCCTGTTGAAATCTCCGATCCTTCTTTTTATTCTGGTTCAGCATCTAGAAATAACCCGATCGGGTTGACCGTGAGATGTTTAGCATGATGGAAGGTGATTAATTTGAGATAAAACCCCCTTATTTGCACAGAGCTCGGCAGCAGGCGAGGACCACGTGCGAAAGCGCAGAAAACGACCCGAACGGGTCAAAGTAGACCCCCGGACCTCGAGATCTCACGTGGGTTTTACTAGTATCCTAATTTTATCTAATTTCTGAACTGGGCGAGAGTATCTATCGTCCACGGCATGATAAAAGTCAACGCCCTGCGCTTGCAGGTCATCAAGGCGGCCCTGTGGAAGTGTCTGCTGCTGGTGCTGGCCCTGGCTCTGACCCTCGCAGCCATATACTACGGTTACAAGGGCCTGTTCCGCCTCTCCGACTGGATGGACGAGATCGATTCAAGGCACCAGCGGAGGAGGGTGGGTCATCCGAAGGTCTGACCTTCGAGAACTTTAACAGAATTCCTTCCCTTGTACCTCGCCCATCACCAGGTTCCTTCATGCTTATTGGAGCTTAGAGAGAGAGAGAGAGAGAGAGAGAGAGAGAGAGAGAGAGAGGGAGAGAGAGGCTGATATATGTCACATTCGACCTCGACGGCCCAGGCCTACCAATCCCAAGCGTTCTTGGCTGGAATTCAGAAACCTAGCCCGGAGATCTCACCCTGGACAACTCGGCTGACCCGGATGACTCGCTCGAGCTCACTGGAATGAGAAGAGGAAGAAGAAGAGCCGGCCGATCCCAGCCGGTAGGCTTTGGCCTCGCGGGCTCGGGTGATGATGACTCGGGGTTGAGTCGGAGTTTTGAACGGTAAGGAAGACCGCCGCCGTGAAACCGACAGCTCCCCCACTAGATAAGGCCCCCTGCGACCGATTCCACGCGCTCAATAGCGTCACTTTTTTGACCGCTGCCTCCGTCAACCCGTTTCCCCCGTGGAAGATGAGCCCCTTTTTTCTCTTCTCGCACTGGGCCCGGTCAACCGCGTCCGCCGAGCGGAACCTGCCACGTCGGTTACTCGGTCATGTTGAGTAGTCTTAATGGTACTAGTCTACGTACATGGAACTCCCCTTTCGTCTTTCACCCATCTGGGCTACGTTAACTTCACCCGCCATCCTCCCGGTCTTTGCGACGACTAGGATGCCTAACAAAACGGAACGTGACACTATTTAGTCCTCCTCTCTCTCTCTCTCTAACTCTCTAACTCTCTCTCTTTCTCTATGACGGTTATCATACGACACGGGTCATATGGTTTGATGGTCGATGAGTTTTTAGTGAGAAACCGACGGAAGGAGATGGGAATCCATGCTCGCAAGGGACGGTGGATATCTGACCGCGGGGACGGAGTCCGGTCGACTAGCGGTCAGACGGGGTGTGGGCCCTACGAATTCCTCTCCGCGGCCACGGTCGACTAGCTTGGAGACCCGACCCCACGCGTTCGATGTTTCCATATTTACTGAACGCCTCGTCTCCGCTGACCGTGGCTTTCCATATATGTACCACCGCCCCCGCCTCTCCTCGCTTTCAATTCCTCCCTCCGCCATCGTCTCCCCCACTGCCGCCGCCGCTGCCGCCGCCGCTGCCGCCGCCCATGTGGGTAACTGTCGCCGTCCTTATGGTTGGTCCTTCGATCTCTTCCTTCCCCTTCTCCACTCCGACCGTCAGATGACGACCCCCGTCGTCGCCGTGGCCACGGCCCTGCTCTTCCTCCTCCTCCACCGCCCGCCGGCGGCGCAGGCGCACGGCTCTGTGGCGCCTATCGCCATCGTCCACGGCAGCGGCACCGTTTGCGGCGTCCTCGCAGGGCCATCGGAGAGGGGCATCGTCTGCGCCAGGGGATCTCGTACTTTCCAGCTGCTCCCCAACGTCTCCTTCGCCTCCGTCTCCGGCGGTCGCGATTTCCTCTGCGGGCTGAGGTCAGAAGGGCGGAGCTTCTTCTGCTGGACAGTCGCCGGCGAGGACCTCAGCCCGAGACGGCTCTACCGTGGACCTCCTCCTCTGGAGGGCCTCACCGTGGGGGAGGACCACATCGCCGCCTCTGTAGTTGGCGGCGGGCTCCGCTGGTGGAGAGGGGGGCGCCGGTTTCCGGACACCGTTGCGGGACAGTTCCGGTCCCTCTCTTCCGGTAATGGGTTCTCCTGCGCGATTCACGCGGACGACAGCAAAGTCAACTGCTGGGCCAGCGAGGGCAGGCTTGCAGAAGAAATACAGAGTGGGTTCGCAAATGTCAACATGTCCACCCTCGTCGCCGGCGACTTCCACGCCTGCGGCATCACCTCGAAAGGTTTCATTCTCTGCACGGGGAGGAACGAGACAGGGCAGCTGAACCCCCCGTCCAGTTTTTTGCCCTTTGAGTTCTCAAGACTCGCCGTGGGAAGAAGCCACAGCTGCGCGATCAAGCAGTCCAATGGCACGGTGGTGTGCTGGGGTGGCGGCGGCGGCAGTGCTTACCAGCCTGTGAGCGAGTCAATGGAATGGATCGTCGCCGGCGGCGACCTAACGTGCGGTGTCACCACCAGGAACTTCTCGGTGATCTGCTGGGTCGCCTCCAACAGCACCAGCCCATCATCGGTTTCGCTCCTGCCGCTGCGGAACGTCCTTCCGGGAATCTGCACGAAAGAGGGGTCTTGCGATTCCTGCGGAGAAGTTCCGAATTCCCTGAATCTTTGCGGTGGTTCTGGGGTCATATGCCGGCCCTGCGGCAGCGGAATCGCCGAGTCACCATCGCCGCCGCCGGCGGCGGCTCCCAGACGAAGAAGCAGATGGTTTCTGGCCTTCGCCATCGTGGGGTCAGTGGGAGCCTTCGCCGGAGCCTGCACCATCGCCTACTGCATATGGGCCGGAGTTTGCCGGCAGAAGAGAGTCCACAATTCGGTCCAACCCACCATCACCGGCGCCGGGAATTCCCCCAGCGACAACTCCGCCACGACGGCGCCGCCGGCGCCCCGGTCTATCGCCCTCGGGTCGATCTCCAAATCGAGGTCGCGGTCACGGTCGATGATCTTCCGGCGCCCGGATCAGCGAGCAATGAACAGGCAGAGGAGCGGGCCCTCATCGGCCAGAGACAGAGCCGAGGTGTTCTCCATCGACGAACTTGCGGCCGCCACGAAAAACTTCTCCATGGAGACGAAGATCGGTGCTGGCAGCTTCGGAACGGTCTACAAGGGCAAGCTCGCCGACGGCCGCGAGGTGGCCATCAAGAGGAGCGAGTCTGCGCCCAAGGCCAGGAAGTTTCAGGAGAAGGAGAGCGCCTTCCAGTCCGAGCTGATCTTCCTCTCCAGGCTCCACCACAAGCACCTGGTGGGCCTCGTCGGCTTCTGCGAGGATGACGATGAGCGCCTCCTGGTCTACGAGTTCATGGAGAACGGCGCCCTCTACGACCACCTCCACTCCCGCAAAGGCGGCAGCCCCCCGTCCTCCTCTTCCTCCTCCGGCGGTGGCGGCGGCGTCCTGAACTCGTGGAAGATGAGGATCAAGGTACTCCTGGACACGGCCAGGGGGATCGAGTACCTCCACAACTACGCCGTCCCCCCCATCATCCACAGAGACATCAAATCCTCCAACATCCTGCTCGACGCGAACTGGACAGCCAAGGTGTCGGATTTCGGATTGTCGCTGAACGGCCCCAACTCCGACGGCGGCCACCTGTCGTTGAAGGCAGCGGGCACAGTGGGCTACATGGACCCGGAATACTACGGGCTCCACCATCTCACCGTGAAGAGCGACGTCTACGGGCTCGGCGTGGTCATGCTGGAGGTCTTGACAGGGAAGCGGGCGATATTCAAGGAAGAAGACGGGAACCCCACCAGTGTGGTGGACTACGCCGTGCCGAGGATAGCCGCCGGCGAGGTGGCCGCCGTGCTAGACCCGAGAGTGGGCCTGCCAGCGCCGCTAAATGAGGCGGAGGCGGTGGAACTGCTGGCATACGTCGCCGTGCACTGCGTCAGCCTGGAAGGGAGGGAGAGACCCACCATGACAGACATTGTCGCCAACCTCGAGAGCGCCCTCGCTCTGTGCGAGGAGAGCCATGGGAGCATCTCCAGCGCCGGCAACTCCGTCGCCTCCTATGATTAAAATTCTTTTTTCTTTTCTCCCCGTTTAGTTGTAGATATTCTGATTCTTTATCTCGTCCCTTTTCTAATCTGGGCTTGCCGCGGATCTTCCCCGCGGGAGACTGGCTCCATCGCCGGCCTTTATTGACCGTACTGACCAGAGAACGACGTCGGTGAAACAGGGGCCGCCATGCGCCCATCCGTAGAGGGAGACGGCGACAGAATGAGACCCCCTCCAGAGAAATTCCTCGCACCATGCGACTGAATACGCGCGGAAAGTTCTCTATTTTTTTAACAGTAGCCACATTATTTACCCTCAAATTTGCAGCTGAGGCTCATTCCCTACCTCCCTCCTTCCCTCTCTCTCTCTCTCTCTCTCTCTCTCTCTCTCTCTCTCTCTCTCTCTCTCTCTGTGGCTCTGTATATGTGTGTACATTCTCTAAGAATTGAGCATCAATAGATGGAAGATCAGCTGTCTGGGATTGATTTTTATATACGTGCGCCACCTGGCGATAGTCGGGCCAAGCCTCGCATTGGGTCTCCCTTCGTCCCAAGGCTCGCATTGGACCTCGGCCAATATCCAAACGGGCCGGTGGCTTGGTGGTTCCAAAAGCCCATCCTAGGTCCAGCCCACTACCGGCCATCAGATATTACCATGACCTCGGTTATGAAGATTGTCCACTCCACTCATGGCAGACTAACTTTAGGTTGCATGAGTTGATAAATCTAAGACCGCAATTCATCAGTTAAAAAAAAAATCGGCATGAGGCTGATTTTGATTCACAAGATCCAAACACGACAGAAAAGCCCTAAAAGATGAACTTTCAGCCTTCCATTTTAGGATGTTCGGACTAGCTGCTTCATCAAGTGAATAAGTAGTACCAGAGCAGTCATGAGGTGAGAAAAAATGGGATCCGAGTTTCTAGGGTTTGACCCATAACTGTGCAGGGCATGCCAGGGAGATCATCCGCTGTTATGCCTACCTCCTTAGAAGCCCATACTGATAATGGGTACGAGCCTGATAACTCTCTAAAATAAAGATGAAGAACATGAAAAATACCAGGCTAATGAAGGGTGAGCTTGGGCAGTGAGAAAATAGGATGATAGAGACAGAGATGGATGGAGAGGAGCACAACAAGAATGGCAGCAGCAACCATCACTGGTTTCTCTTCCCATCTCTCCTTCTGGTATCTCATTACTACTAAGCTTTTCGTCTTGAGGAGCGACGTGGTGACCAAAATCTGAGGCGGTCTACTATCGGCTCAAACCTCGTTTGAATCACCCTTCCAACGAGCTCTCAACTCCAGAGATATTTATTCTCCATTTATTATATCTGGAGTACCTTTTCTAAGGGCTATCGAAGACATAAACTCTTTAGATATGTTGAAAAGATCCATCGTTGTAGGTGCTCACACTAAAGCTGAGTAAAGACCATGAAATTTGTTGATGTTTACAAGTCTCTGGCATATCGAGCGAAGACTCTTTAAGCCTATAATTCGTGAAACAGGCAGACGTGGGAATTAGATTACAGCCTTGTAGTTTTTCAATTTTCATCTCACACGTATTGAGCTCTACTTGGCATTTCACAGCCATTAGCTTGAAAAAAGATTGGGAAAGTTTCTCTTCAGTTGTCTGGAAATAGAAGTGGTATTCTCAACAACAAATAACGTAGAGGGATAGGGCTTATCTTTATCTTGTATCTTTCGCTTATTTCTCTGTAGTTTATTCAGTATGGATGGCTTTTTTAAAATTCTTAAATATTCGTCTATATGTAAGCATATGGATATACATCGAGGGGAGACTGGGAGAGTGGGAGAGGGGGGGAGGGGAGAGAGAGAGAGAGAGAGTTGGCTGACCATACAATGTGATCATCATATCTCCAAAATTTACCTCTTAAGTTATAACTACTATACTTCGATGATAATGGATGATGGTTTATGGATAATATTATATGCATGCGAGTTGAGTGTGAGGTCAGTCATCCGGTGGCATCATCTTGTCCCCTAAACTTGCTTGCGTCTTGTATTCGTATTACTATACTTTATTATGGTTGATGGTTTGTGAATATTAATTTATACGTGTATGCACATATAATATATATATATATATAGCCATACATCAGTATATATGGTGACGGGGATCGGACCATCATCCATACCACGAAGACTCGTGCCGCAGAGTCGACGTAGATGAATCCTCGGAAGTGCTACGAAGTCCGTCTGATTGCAGGTTTGTCGTATCAGCGCGCACGAACTTGTCTTGTTCCTGTGTCTTCGTGTTCTTCAGATGATCATATTCAACGTCAATGCTTAACTTGCAGAATCTATCAAACGACAACTTTAACGGGCGGAGTTGGCTGTGTTTGACCAGGCGATGATAGATGTAGTGCCGTACAGAGTTGGCAACAGTTGAAAATGGACAAGAAACCAAGTCTCCACTACTCCAAGATTTGATGGATGTCCAAGAAGCCAATTCGATCATCTCCCAGGCTGAGCCAATTCTCAGATTGAACTCATCATTCGGAACATCGCTCGCTCAGGCGGCTTCCCCGCTAAATGAACCACGAGAAGAAGACCAGGAAGAGGAAGAAGAAGCGACCTTCTGTTCCAGAGTTTCAGTAATGAATTTTCATTATCTGAAAAGTTTCTCGTGGGGAAAGAAGGTAGTAATGGATAGAGAGTAATGGTATCTAAAAGTAGCTAGTCCAACCCTAATAATCGATATATATATATATACAGAGAGAGAGAGAGAGAGAGAGAGAGAGAGAGAGAGAGAGAGAGAGAGAATGGAAAAAGAAATATCATAATGGAATAAATCCACATCGCAACGTAACCGACGAGAGAATTTGTAACTGCTCATTAACCACATTAATCGGCACATTTGAATTAACATTTAATCGGCGCTTAAATTCAGAAGAAACCATCCTTCTTTTAGATGTTCCTTGGAGAAAAGGGGGAGGGGTTGCTGTTCACATCTAAGATTTGATTCTCCCAGACCAGTTCTTAGTTACAAAAGACATCAATATCCCGTGAATACCACCATGAATAATCGTCCACAAAATCATGAACTCCGAAGTATATATTCACAACACAGTAATTATAGAGACCTTTTTTAAAAAAAAATCTACAGAAACCTTAATATTAAAGAATCCTGGCGTTGTTTCTGTCACAATAGAGTCTGCCAATGGGAGGGAGAACTCTGTAGTTTGTGCCTTCGTCATGATACGTGTATTCTTGTCGTCTGATGTTTCGAGGAAAATAAGGGCAGTTGTTGACTAAACTCGGAGATTTTGTATGAATGCCTGAACTTTCCATTGATTTTGAGTTCTCACCTCCCTTGCGTAAAAATCACTAAGAGGATGCCAATTTTTAGACACACTTCATTGTAAAATAGACGTCCATTGGTTTTAAGACTCTACCCTAAAAAATCTATGGGAGGAGCCCCACTTCTAAAACCTACAGGAATCAAACGCGCCTCTCTAAGATGCAGGCAATTATGGAATTAGCATATCGGAAACCTTCTTCAAGAACACCAACATTCCACTAAATCAAGAGACGTTATTTCCATCTTGACCTCTGTGAGAAGCTTGGTATGAATTATTTATACATTCATCCCAACTACTTCGCAACCTCCATCCCAAATAGGTAAGAACCCATCCAGATTAGATCCTGTTTTATTTCATGTTTCACAGTAAAGATAATTGGCGTTACAGGAAAGAGAGTCAACTTTCTTCTGAAGCTATGGTTTCGCGCCTACGAAGGCAGTGGAGCCTCTTCGTCCGCGAAAACGAGGGGGGGAATCTTAGGAGGGTTTCTGTTTCTTTGCTTTTGGGTGTCAAGAAAAGGTATCGATTCCGGCGGCGTAGTAGATTGGACAAAGACCCGTGATTAGCTTGGTTGTCTAATCCTTCATCATCTGCAAGAGTGTGAGTTTCAATGCTGGTAACAGTTAGCGTGCTGTCTTCACGGGAAACGCCTCAGCTGATCTGCTGCTATCGGATGAACCCTAGCTGCTTGATAAAGATTAGCACGATCAAATCAACGGTGTCTAGACCTACGTAGATGCGCGTAGGGCGGGCTTCAGGGATTCGAAAGACACGTTTGTACATGAAAAAACCCTAAACAGGCTCCACCCTCCTCGGGGCTCCTCGCCTCTCTCATCGCCCACGCCTCGGTATTCGGCGGTCCCAATCACATTTGATGTGTGAGGTTGGGGAAGACGGCGGCGGGAGCAGCAACGAAGGGAACATCCCACGCGCAACCGCCCGTCGTAAGCGGCTCCCCTGACCCTGCCTGCTCCCATAGCGTGTAAAACCCCGCTCTCCACGGCCTCACATGAGCCTGTTTGTTTCTCGAGTTAATGCACTGCCCACGCGTCCCCAACAGACTGTCTCATTGAACAGGAAACGAGGAGCATCCCCGTGCACTCCTACTCAGCCGTTACCACATGAGAAAGGGAAAGGTCAGAGGATGCTGGTACGTCCGCTGCACAGTGACTGCGATTTCAGGGCACCAGTTGGATGGGAAGCCGTGATTGATGATTCAAAGGCCGCCCGCCGGCGTGGTAGCCGTCTGATATCACCGGAGAGAACACTGTTCATGATACATTCACTGTTCATAATAGAATCTGATCAATCAGAATCCTTTCGAACCGGCTCTCGAACTATTGTGCATTCTAAAGCAGATGTCATAGGTGCCTAATTCAGAACCTTCCCTGTTTCCGGTAGCTCCAGGCACTACACATCCTAAACGGGACAATTTTTCTACTGACGAGAATCAGGGTTCTTACTGTAAGGGGGCCTTCGAGAAATTATGGACTGGGATCATTAAAGGACGACAAGAACGAAAGAGACAGTCCTTGTGAGGATGCCGACTGTCAAGACCTTTGTCACGGAGATGATGTTTTTCTACTCCTGAAATGGAAAGGCAAGGAGAAGATGGCCATCTTCTCGCATAGAGAAGAAAAATAGTGGGCTTTAGTGTAAGCTGTTGTAGGAGGCGCTCATCAGGTGCATTCCCGGATCCATCGAAGCGAACTTGGCGAGCTCCTGTTGGAGGAAAGGGCGTCCCGTCTCGTCTCCCCCCACTCCCAGGAAGTCTCTGGTTAGACCGCGTCCAACTTCTTGTGGCCAGCTTCCCATCTTTGAAGATGCTAGTTGTTGTCGCTCATGGCCAGCGGCCGGCATCATCGTCATCATGACGCCACCCGAGTTGGACGATGCGGGGGGCAAAGTGCTCAGCAGAAAATCTTGATGGAAGCTTCCTGGCTGATTCTGATTGAACAGCTGGAACTCGCTCTTGTTCTCCATTGGAGGATGAATGCCCTTGGCCGAGCTCATTAGCCCGCCAAACCCACTTAGGAAGGATGAACTAGAGGACGACGCTGATGACGAAGAGTGGTGGTTCGTGCTTGCACCCATTTGAGCTGCCTTCTGCAACAATGCGGTAGCCGACATGTGGGCGGCGCTATCTTGCCGGGAAGTCATATTGCAGGAGAAGAAGGACGGAGGGTTCTCTCCCACATGCGTCTTCCTCTCCTCCTCCGCCAAGCCGTAGATAGAGGAATTCGATAGGGAGAGGCTGGCGTTGGTCTGCTGCGGCAGGGGGCACACTTCATAATTCACCACTTGTGACGAACCAAATGGGGAGCCGTCAGTGGCCATCTGCAACAGCTCCGGAAACCCCATGGAGCTCGCCGCTAAGTATTCAGCGGCGGGCGTCATCTCCATCGCCGGGTTGAGGTGAGGACTGGATCCTCCCTTGTTATCCAACCAGAGTGAGAGATTGATCCGGTGGCGATCGAGAAGAAGACCATCTTGAGAAGCTGCAGTATGTGTATAGGAGGGTCTGTAGATAGAGTGGAGCTGGGGGTTCCCCTCGTCGAGAATATCATGCCCTTGGTTGAGCCCATTTCTCTTGAAGGATAGACCACTGGCGGCGGCAGCTGCGGTGGAAGAAAGCCTTGCACTCTCCTCGGTCAATGCATCGCAGAAGGCTCTGTGGGTAATGAAGCTGTCCTTCCTGCAGAAGCCAGTTCAGGAGGGTCTTAGGTTGTGGGGGAGAAGAAGATAAAGAGGAAGAAATGTAAAATGCACGAACTGACGAAATATCACAACATATTTCGTGACTCTATGGCAATCTAATTTAGATCACTATATCAGATGACATAAGACTGTTGTAGCATATCCGACGCTTCATTAAGGTAAGAGGAGAGAACCTGGAGAAGAGGGTGCCGCAGTCGCACTTGTATTCGCGGGTACCGCAGATCTTGATGTGGGCCTTCCAGTCTGACTGGACGGCGTACTTCTTGGAGCACTTGTCGCACTTCCACTTCTTCTCGCCGTGTTTGCGGCTGTAGTGCTTCTTAATCCCGGTGAGATCACCGAGGGCCCGCGAGGGGTCATGATGAACGCAAGTTTTCTCTGGGCACACGTAGACCTTCTTCCGCACCACCTCCTTGCCCGTCCGCTGCTTCAGTTTCCATGGCAAATTGTGGCCCCGCCGGTGCAGCTGCAGGTTCTGGTCCCTCTGGAACCCTTTGTTGCATATCTCGCAGATGAAGCGGTTCGTCGCCATCAGCGTCTTCGGCGACAGCGCGATCACCTCCGCATCCGGATCTGTATTCACGCGAGAGACCCAGAGACTGATATCAAAATAAGCAAATAAAACAAATAAACCTATGCCAACGGAAAGAAGAGAGAGGTATGAAGAGTAATTGCCTGGAGTTCCGGGGAGCTTCCTGGTCTTCCTGGCTGATGCTGGCTGCTGCTTCTGATTAGGGTTAGGGTTTTCTGGTTCATTATGGAATCCCAGGGTGGATGAGGTGAGAGGAAATCCATCTGCAGACATCCTTCCCGGCTATAGATACAGTTATTTTTATAGAAAATCGATGGGACTGCTTCTACCAACCTCTCTTCTTGTTCCTCCCCTCCCTTCTCCGGGATCCCTCACTTCTATTCGGGAAAACCTAAAAAAGAGATAAAAACAGGGCGCGCATATGGATCTATGTCGGAGGATTTCGGTCTTTTGGATCTATCCTTTCATCGGTTTCCTCAGATGAACAGAGTTCGTAAAGCAGCAAACGTGAGAAGGGAGACTGAATTCTACCAACCCAGATCCTCGATCCGCCGACAGGCCAAAAAGAAAGAAACTTACCCTCTGAATCATGGATTAGGGATGCACCCAACAAGCAGAAAGACGAATCCAAGTAAAATTCTCTAAAGCTAGACCATTCGTTTTCTCCCCGCGGTTGGATATATGGCAGAGAGCGAAAGAAGGGGGAGAGAGAGAGAGAGAGAGAGAGAGGGAGGGAGGGAGAGAGAGTGAGAATGATAGGCTAACTAGATAGGAGAAGTCTTCTCCCTCTCTTCCAGTTCCAGCTGCTGCTACTCCTTGCGAGGGCGGCTCCTTCTCCCCAGTCGCGGTCTCCCGGTCCACTTTGTCCCACACGGCTCCTCTCTTCTTCCTCCTCTACCCTCCCAGCCTTCCGTTCTTCACACAATGGAGTCGACAGCCCGGGGGATTAGAGATAGAGCCACCCAGCTGTGAGGGGTCCACCATCGCCTCCTTCCTTCTGCCAAACCCAGCCACTTTTCTCTCTCCTCCTCCCCGTGTCACCCTTCTTCTCTCTCTCCTCTGACGGATGTACATGGGTTGGCCGGAGAGACTGTCAGCGGGAGCCCACCCAGGACTGAGACGGGTATCTTTTTTTGTTTGTTTGCCTCATCATCCCTCTTTTTTTCTGGGGCTTCGGTCTGTCGAATATTTTAAGGTGTCGGTGTTGACAGCAGGAAAAGACTGAGGATGGCGCGTCGATCTCCCCGGCCCCCGACGGAGTAAAGGCAGGGTGGAACGAAGGGTTAGAACGGCTAGAGCGAGAGAGGAGACCAACCAACAGTAAGAAGAAAAAATTAGGTTTGCAGAATACGGTCGCTTGAAGAGGACAACACTGCAAAGGGGGAAGGAGGTGAAAAGGGTAGAACCTTTCCCTCCCCCCAGGTCTCTGAGACCCGAATGATTAGGCCATAATTGTCGACTCCTCTCTCCCTCTCTCTCTCGCCTCGCTTACTCTCTCTCCACCCCTATCTCCCTCTCTCTATGTATCTCGTAGTGGGAACTCTCGAGCTTCATAGGGTCGATAGGAAGGGAGGGAAAATGTTGATTTGTTTACGGGGGGATATTTTACGAGGAGGAGGGTGGGGCGGGGGGATGGAGGTCAAGACGTTTGCATGCACATGACAAGGCCCGTTCACGTTTCTCCTCGCTCGTTACTTCTGTCCCCATTGGCAGACTGAGACAGTCCCCACTCTCACTCTCAATTCTCTCTCTCTCTCTCCCTTCGTTGGCTTGCCCGTTCGCTCGTCCGTGAAGCTACCTTTCCGACGTCCTGACAAGTCAGAGGGAAGCCGAGTCCCCTAGTCCACGACTGACCCTCACCGTCGCGGTATCGAGCTTGTGAAACGGAAAGAATTTATTGCCGCAGCCAAAAGCTTTACCGGAAAGATCCCCACCCTCTCTCTCTCTCTCCATCCCCGTAGTGCGTGAAAACTCTCACGTACTCTCTGTACTTCACTTATCTGGTAGTTTGAACCGCGAAAACCTCACGAGCTAGGGTTTCCAATTAGTCTTCCCGCGATACAAAAGGATGAGTCAACCGCTTCGGGGTCCCATTGCTCAGGCGCGGCTCCCTGGCAGGTTCTCCACTCCCAGATCTGCCCCCTCTTCCTGGTGTTTGGGTATACACGTCGGAAGGAACATGCGGCGTAGCCACGGGCATGGGGGAATCCCCTGGATTCCATCGCACGGCTGCTTAGGATGACCTTGACAGGAGTCGAGGGACGACCTCGACCTGGTGATAACACTCACCAGCGTGTTAATTACAGAGAGCTCTGCCCGCAGGGGGAGCTCGAGAGAAGACGGCCGGGACCGGCGCAGCAGGCAGCCCTGCGGATCGGTTGTCCTCGGAAAATTGCGACCCTCTATCGATCCTTGTCCTTTTCGATTCCGGCAACGGGACGGTCTGAGACTGCGCGAGTTTCACCTTGTCCGAAGGGGTAAAACGCCGTCTACAACCCGTCGCACGAGCACCGTCAGGATCCCTCGTGCGTACGAGAAGGTTTTGTAGAATTTAGGGTTGCGAGAGCAAGAACGACAGAGACACAGACAGAGATAGATGGATAGAGAGAGAGAGAGAGAGAGAGAGAGAGAGAGAGAGAGAGAGAGAGAGAGAGAGAGAGAGAGAGAATTTTTCGAAGTCTGGGGAGGGGGGGCGAGGGAGTAGAATAGCCTTTTGTTGGCGAGGGGAGCCTCCCTGGCGCACCAGACTGAGCATACATCACCTCTGCAATTGCCGCTGCCGGTGCCGCCGCTAGCCGAGTGGGGAGCCACTGGGCCACCGCCGACCATAAACAGAAGCGGATGAAACATGGAGGTGCCGGGACCGGTAGTTTCGTGGGCATTATAAAACCCGTTGCTTTTGTTTACAATGTCGGGCGTTTTGGCCGGAAGCCTTCGGAGCTTCCTAGCCCTTCACCATTCTCCGGCGCCACCTCGCTCATCTCGTCCCCCACCGGCAAGCGTCACGGTCACTCACTCCCCTCGACCAGATAACGACACTCTACCGCTGAGATTCTCCCTCCCCCCCCCCTCCCATCATCCTCCCTTAATCGTTATATTAATCCTTCCCATTCCGTGTCGGCCAACCCTGCAGCGGCCCCGCCCCCGGTCACCTCCCTCTCCCCATCCTCGAACACGGCTGCCATGGCGCCCTGCTCCCGTCCGTTCCCTGAACTGAGCCGGCCGCCATGACTGACGAAGATCCAGCGGCTTGCCGGAAAGGCTCGATTTGTGACGTGGTACGGAAGGCCTGCCTTCTTCCTCGTTATCCGGGCGGCACCCCGCCGGAGGATCTACGGCGATGGGGTGGGGATAATATAATTGCGCCAATGATGATGACAAGAACCGCAATTCCTTCCCGAACGCCAGTCGAGGTAGGAGTCCGAGTAAACTAAACAGGCTCCACGGCCACCAGCTTGGGCTGATCGCGTTGTCTTCATTCAACCATGGCATCAATTAGAACTCATTTATAATTATATAATGCGAACTTTCCGGCGGGAGAAACCATCACATCTCCTCTGCGCTGGTGGCGCCACCTGGGGACGGGCAGTGGGCTCCTTTCCTCTCTGCCCCGCCGGCGCCCTCACATGCCGCGCGCCCGCCGGCCTCGGTACGCAGCGGCGCGAGGGCCCCCCACCCACCGGATTCGAAAGCTCCGTCGCGTCAGAAACTCCGAGGCGTACTGCTGACTGCAGTTTTGTCACGCCAATTCTGAACATCGTTCTTCCTCCCTAGCCGAGGTTCTCATCTCCGCGGAGGATTCGAGCCCTCAGGATCAGTACGCTCACGTTCGTGGGCACGCTGTAGATTTCCGAAGTAGTCTGCCCATCCGGCATGGATGGTCTCAGAACGCGACGAGTGAGCTCTTTGTTAGAGGAACAGAGACTAGAGATGAAGCATCCTCACAGAAAGAAGAAGCAGTTTCCCTAGAACGACAGAGGATCTCTTGCAGGTTTCCTACACCCGAGATGACAAGGATCAAAATGAACAGGAAATTACCCAATTGAAAGCCATTCATGTGGTCGAAAGAGAGACTTGAGATAAGTTGGGGCCACAGAAACAACCTAAGGATGGTGTGAACGAATACGATGAGAGAAAACTGAGAATGGCCGACTAAAAGACTCCATATTGGCACCAGAATTGTAGATACACATGGTTCGCCCCTTTGTTTTCTTCTCATTTCCAGCTGCCTTCCTTCCTCCTTGCTTTCTTGTATATATCTGCTTCTGATCAACACAACTCCGTGCCATGGCATGTATCTTCCAACATTCAAATATTTATCTTCAATCTGGGTCTTCCAACAGAGACCAATAGACTTGTATACCAACGATGTATAGGGCTTTACAGCAACAACAATAATGGAAAGTCATATCCAATGAGTCTTTGAAAAGGAAAATGAAGAGCCTCTGTTCAAGAACTAGGTGAGAAAATCACTGGCAAAAGATAATACATATATAGGAAGTTGGGTCCTCTTTAGCTCCAAATGAAAAAGTCAAACATAAGGGGTAGGAGGAAGAAAATAAGAAAAAAGCATGGAAAGACGATCATAGAAGAAAACCTCAAAACTAAAAATAAAATCATTATTCCGTTGACCTTCTATCCTGTCTAGGGATGTTGAGTTCAGAAATAAGGAACCATAACTGAAGCAGTTAAGTCGTATCAAAGTGTGTATCAGAATTATTTATCTCCACCGTCGACAGTTCTTTTGATTGCCCTAAGAAAAAATAAACTCTTCATTCCCACACCAAGCATGGGTCAGAACATCCATTTTTAAACATTGTTCTCGCGAAATCAAAGGATATACCACGTAAAAACTGACAAGGCACCGGGTGAAACTATGAGCTCTTCTGATCAACTGAGGAGAGCAATCACATCTCTTTCATCAGATAATTCCAATGGGGTGTGGGTTTCTTCTGTCTCTCAAATGCGTTTCAGCAAAGCAAGTGTGGAAAAAGCAAAGCTCATCTGATACACCCATGTATTCTCTCACCCCTTTACTGTCGGTATCCCAGTCAGCAGCATCCGTGACCCTTTAGCTCGGCTGAACAGCACAAATATTCTAAATTATGTAATTCTTCTCGTCTAACAGGAATCTATTCACCCTCTTTCTCGTTCAAAGACCAGGAAGAACGTTAAAATTGCTTTCATCATCATTCACAATACAGGTTAATTTCAACCTTTATTTAAGAAAGACACGGGCCTCTGGCTGGCATGGAACCGGCTACTTCCGTCTAATCAATGGTCAATGCCACAAATCGTTTAGATGTGAATCAATCCCTCGTCATTTTCTACATGAAAAGGAATGGATTTGGATAAAAACTAGTTTAATGAATAACCAGAAATGACTAAGCATTTGTTAAATGATAATCATCCCCCCCAGGCCCAACTAGTATGATACACCAAAACTAAATATAAAATTGAAAGACGGGATTGCTTCAAAATGAAAATAAATATTTACAAAATAAAATTAGTTTCTCCTCCACTTATTGTGGGGATTCACACAGTATTATTCGTCAAACTAAATTCACAACTTGGTTGCGAAATTAGCCACGGTCAGCATCTCATTTTCATCTATCTTATCAGTGTCCTCAGAATAAGAATATAAAGAAATGTGAAAAAATATTTGATGATAACATTGATTTTGGCAATTCAACTGGAACATAAATTAGACTTTTTAAGGGAACTGATGGAACATATTTCACAGAAAGGGATCATGGAACCTGAGATGAGGATTGCTACAAGGATCATGAATGAGAAAACTTTGAGAGATACAGAATAACACAAATTCCCACAAAACTAGGACCATCGATGTTTACAAAGTCCAGAACAACGAGGTCTTTCTCTAAAGTTGCCTGAGATGTATATATAAAAAAAAAAACATTTTAAGGGAATTAGCACATTTCACACAATACGGGCACATTAAATAGTCTGCCCGCACATTAGTCAGGCGGACGATATTGTGCTTTCAACCAAGGAAAAGGAACAAAGTTTAATGAACCAGCTGTAAGGTCTCTCAAAATTTAACTGGAACTGTGTTTCAAACTCTCCAATTGAGCAGGAATAAATATTTGGGAACGCACCAGAATTCAAATGTATCTCGATTTCTCCCATTATATAGACCAGAATCAAGATATTACCTAAAACCAAACCGAACAATAATCAAGAGCCATTATGTAATGCATTCGAAAGGATGAGCAAAGCATTTTGCATGAAAAGTCACCAATTGGACAGGAACAGCAGTCTAGTGCAGACCTGTAAAGATATCCGTATGCTCATAAAGACAACAGAATATAGACTGACTCAAATCAGAAAAATTACGACACGAGTGAAACTGGTTGGAACGCCTATTATAGAGTAAGAAAATAAAGAGCTACAGAACAACAAATATGAATTACTAAACATAAAACTATTAACCCAGAGTAAATCCACCTTTAAGCAATTGTACACCTTTGAGACCTAGATTATCAGGAAGTTGCATTATCAATGACATTACGATGGTAAAATTCTCATTTTAATTTTGATATATTTCCCAATACGGACTAAAGGTCAACCAATGGCGCCGTTGGAACATACACTTTGCCCTGTTAGTCTAAACTAATGGGCTCAGTGTCAATAAGAGAACCTCAGCAGGAAGGAGGCCTCTTTTCAAGAGGAACAATCTGTTCAGCCAAACTCACAAGTTGAAAAACAGTGGCATTAATAAATCTTCTAAAGTTAACAATCACAGTGTGTAGATTCCATCACAGAAAAAGAACACCTTGATCCCGAACAAATATCTTCAATACAAACATTCACTAGTCAGGTGAACTTTACAAGATGTATGGGGGTGGGGGGGGGGGGGGGATTAATCATATTTCAGTTTGAAGAAACAAATAATAAAATGACTCCCCAACAGTGAAAGAGCAAAGAATTATCAAGCCCTCACCGTAAATCAAAATATAACGAGCAAGGAGAAGAGAGAGTAGATGAGAAAGCAGGCGTATGCTATAAGTCCGCGGTGCTCATCGCCGCAGGACGCCAGCTCGACTAGAAGCCTCGTGCACACCCTTGTCGACCATACAACAAAGACTGCCCCCATAGAAAAGGATATAACGCCGCCGCCCTGTGGTGCGAACAATGAAAGGGCCGAGAATAAAACCATCGGAAGCATACAGTATCCGACAAGGCTCATAGAACGGTATAGATCCAGGTTCCCGTTGCGACCGGCCAACATATTGAACACGATGTACAAGAAGAAGGCAGCAATGAAGACCCATCCTAGGATGATCCCAAAATGAAACTTGCCCGCGAGCAGCTGGAATAGACCGAAGGTCACGAGAAACAGGAACGGACCAGAGAGATCGGCATCCTCGTGGAGATTGGCGTTCACTCGAAAGGGGTTCAAGATCGATATTGTCTTCCGCCAGATCTGCCGCGTGTTGATGCCGAGCTCCTCCAGAAGAGGCGGCTCATCTTCGAACGAGGTAGCCCCTCCGCCGGCGTAGCCACCACCACCAAACACAGGGTTGGAGAATGAGGACGACGCGGGAGCAGATCCTATGTCGAAGGACATGAACGGAATGCTAGGGCCGGTGCCTGGATTCGCAGGCTTTGACGGCTGAAAGAACGGCCCCACAGAGGGCGGGGGCGCCCGCCGCTGGCTCGGGATGCCGGGATTTCCCCCCGCGGAGGGGAAGACCACCGGCGGCACACTGAACTCCTTCGCCATCGCGCCCAACCAACAATAGGGTTCCGGCCCAAAGCCGCCGCGTTCTCAGATCCACACAGAGAAGAAGAGCGAGAGCCAAAATAGAGACGGCGAAACGACAAACCGAGCTACCGACCTTCCACGTTCATAGCCACGCCATCGACAAAACACGGACCTGGGGCAGGCGAGGGGATTAGGGTTCCGCCAATCTCCGGCGACCGGACGACGGTGAGGCTGAGCAGATCCAACGGAGCGCCTACAGTCGCCGGAGCCGCAGAGGATCCGGCACCGAGCAGTCCACCTTTAAGGGTGAAAAGCAGACCAATGCCGGGGCCTTCCCTCCAAAGGTCCACGTCACTGACCATGGACGACCGTCCGATCGATTTCCACCGCCGCTAGAAACACCGTTGGATCGATGCCGCCTATTATTTTCCCACGAGCGTCGCGCTCGTGTGAAATCCACCCCTACTTTTTAACCATATCCTTTTATTTCAGCATAAAAACCTGGCCCGGCGGGCTTTCTCCCGACCCGAAACCTAGGTCCGACCCACACTGGAGAATCCGAACTCCGATCGCAGTATCACTCGGTCAAAGGAGAGCCCAAAGAATCAGATATTCATGACAAATAGCAAGCCCAGAAGGAGAAAACATCGCCGGCGGTCAACTTGGTCACTCCAAATGAAATGGTCAACTCCGGCAGCCAAACTCTCCCTCTCTCTCTTTCTCTCGCTCTCTCTGGTTCAAGGTTGTCGATCTGCTTCATACTGTTCGTTTGATCGCTGAGCTCACGCCCAAAGAAGAATGGGGGTGGCTGACTGGGGGCCTCACAAAGAATCAGAAGGCTTGCTGGAGAAGCCATCAACGTTGGCCCACGGCCGAGTGGGTCAACGCAGAGAGTTCAATTGTCGGACCCCAGAGTCGGGTTCAGCCTCGGGTCGGTCTGGTAGTAGACGACGTCCCCATGGTCGCTGACAAAGTGGTCACGCCTCAAGCTCCTCATCAGATCTCCGAGCAGGTGGAAGGGGAGAGGCGCTGACTTCTTCGGCTCCTTGTAGTACTTCCCCAGCACCGGCCGAGCCGCCTTCGTCTGCGGGATTGAACGGAGGAACCATTTAAGCAGGAACAATATGAACAGGGAGAGAGCGCGAGGAAGCCAGTGATGGGCGTTGACTACTCACCGCTTCCATCAGGTTGTAGTGGGGGATTTGTGGGAAGAGATGGTGAATCACGTGGGTTCCGATATCGTGATGGATGTTGTTTATCCAGCCGTAATCTCGATCGAGAGTCGTCAGTCCCCCTCGCAGGTAACTCCACTCCTGAAAGGTTTTCCGAATCGCAGGCAATTTTTAATGATGCTCGTGAAGAACTCACCAAACGATCAAAAAAGTATCTACTGATCACAGAGCAAGAGGTTTCATCGAACCCATTTGCCCGAATTGCAAGAATTCAGTGGGTTTTCTCCATGAGTGTTTTTGCTCACCTTCCCACGGTACCAAGGAAGCTTCTCCTCATGGCCATGATGATGCATGTAGGTGACGAAGTCCAGCCACATAACGAAGATCTGCGACCAGGAAGCCCACATCAGGCGAAGAATACCATGGCTGGAAGAACCCAGCCCTTCAGTGGTCGGAGCACTTGGCGCTTACCACGTACGGCACAAAGTAGAGCTTGAGCATCCACATCGGGCCCATGACGCAGGTGAGACCCGCCAGAATTGCCGCCATGGCCGTCCAGCAGGCGGTGGATGTTAGCACGTCTTTCTTCTCATTGGGAAGAAACAGGTCGCTGTCGGGATGGAAGTGGGATCCCTCCTTCCCTGGACTCCTTTTCCACTGTGGAGCAATCAGAGAAGAAAGAGACAGTCAGAATCCATGGAGGGGAAGCAATTGCGCTCGTCCACACGCCTCCTCGTAGCAGGAGCTCACCAGGTAGATGGGGTAAGCCAGAAGAGGAAATGGCACCGAAAACCGCATAATCTTAGTTAAAGAGTCCAGGCTGTTGTATATCTTCTCCGGCAGCTGATGGGCAGGCGAGGAGACCATCAGGTCAGAAAGAACGAAGAAAACGAGGAAGGAAACTGGGAACAGCAGAGGGGCAGTCACTCACAGGGTGCCAGGACTCGTCGTTCTCAACATGGCCATGGTTCTGATGATGGGTCCTGTGACTGATCCTCCTGCGAGCGAAAAACCGATGTTCCTCGAGATGATTAAAGGGTATCAAACAGGGCATGGAGTGAAGCGACGAAACCGTAAAACCAGATGTGCTGAGCAGGGCCTCTGGAAACTGGGGGCAGCTCACCATCCATGGTAAGGCACGAGAATGGAGGAATGGAGGAAGTGCCCGGCGACGCTGTTCAACTTCGCATCGCTGGAGAAGCTCCCGTGCCCGCTTTCGACATGAAAATTTTCCACAACAAGGAAAACGGAAAAGGACGTGATTAACACCAGGCATCGAGGTCAGGCAACGCGCAGGCGTGAAGTCTAATAAATTTGAGGCATACCAGTCGTGGCCGAGAACGAAGAGAGCCCAGAACATGGTGCCCTGCGCAGCCCAGTAGAGCGGCCACACAATCCAGCTGTTGAAGTAAGCCGCAGTCGCCGCAAGTCCAAGGACGATGGCTACGTCTCGGACGACATAGCTCATCGACCGCCAAGGGTCCTTGACCCAGCAGTGCTTGGGAATCGCAGCTCTAATCTCCGCCAGGCCGAACGGCGGCGGCATGCCCGGGTCGAACTCGCCCTCCTCCTCGCTGAAGCTACTGGTCCTCCCTTCCTCCCCTTCCTCCACCGGCGCCGTTCTCACCGGGGCACTCACCTTCAATCTCCAGTCCCGGGCCGAGCGGGGGCCGAAGAAGACCGCGCGGCATGGGTGGACTCTCTGGGCGCCCAATGGAGCCGGAATCGGCAGGACCCTGCATGGATTGGGCGAGAATCGGCACGCCGGCAGCGGGAGGCGGCGGCTAGGGAGCGATCTGAGACCGCATTCCGAGAGAACGCAGCTACCCATTGTGCCACCGGGCATCTTGAGCTCACGTTCCTCCTCTCCCCTCCCTGATTCCCCTTCACCCCCTCCTACAGGCTAGGGTTTGCGAGGGGGTCGAGAGAGGACGGAGGAAGACGTGGAGGAGATGAGACTCCTGAGGCTCCTCGCTTGTGTCCCTCTGAGCCTCAAGTTGTTTCTCCCTCTCCCCACCCTCTTCCCCTCCCTCTCCTCTATTAAATATGCCCACTTCTCCCTTCATCGGTCGCCGCCGTGTGCAGAAAGAAGAAGGGTAGAGAGAGAGAGAGCTACGGCGCGGAGAAGGCCCGATTCTCTAGTCCACATGAACCACGAGGGGCAGACGATGGATGATTCACATACGTGGTTGGGTCGCAAACCGTCGATGTGGGGCCGGAGAGAAGTGGGACATGATAATCAATGTGGGCCCATCCAGACGGCCGTTTTTTCCGGCTGCCCAGCGACGACTCCGTTAAAACGAGAATCACGTGCTAATAATCATTCAACTCGCCTAATGGGTCGGGGCCGAGTCCATTCGGTCCATTGTCTGAACGCGAGGGGGAGCGTTGTCGGCGCATCGGCGCCGATCTCCGGACGCGACTCGTCGCCAGAATCCAACATGAACGGGACCTCACGTTTGGGGAACGCCTTCGTATGACGTCAGCCCCTCCCGGCCTCCCCTCTCTCTCTTTATATCCTCTCTCTATCAACAACTGTCGTTCAATGTTATCTCCGATCTACGTGGCGAGCTCTCGTTGGAGCGAGCGTATTCCGTCATCGCGGCGGCCGCCGCAAAAGCGGTTAGCTCTCGGCAGCCACAAGAGAAAAAGGCCGCGTCGGTTGGTCAGGGACGGTGACACGTCCGTTAATAACCGATGGACCCACCGAAAATGGGCCAAGAAGCAGGTGAGGCCCACGAGTTGTTGGGCAGCTGTCGATAATGGGCTAGATATTATCTAAGATGGACTATTATTGGATAGAGAAAAGTCAAAGTTGCTCGGATGAATCAGACCGCCGGTGGTCTGGAACAATGGCGACCTTCCGTTCTGAGCTCGGAAGAGATGAAGAATGAAAGGGCGGGTGGGTCTCTCCCGCTGAAGGCGCTTATCCTCTCTGTCTAGCGGCCGTTAGCGCATGCCATCGCCGGCGCTGGATGTGGTAACCGGCGAGAAAAATGACCGGAAACGGAGATGGGGCCTGGTTCTGACTTCAGTCCGCCTTGAAGAGCCCTTCGGCTTTCGCCGGAGCGCCCGCAAGCCGGGAATCCGTCTGGTAGTAGACGACGTCGCCGGTGTCGCTGACGAAGTGGTCCTCCTTCAAGCTTCTGGCCAGAGCTTCAACCAAGTGAGTGGGAAGGGGACCGGATTTCTCGGGCCTGCGGTAGTACCTCCCCAGCACCGGCTTGGCTCCCTCCGTCTGCACCACAATAGCGAGAGAGAGAGAGAGAGGAAGATGTGGTCACGGGCCTTCCATGGAGTCACTGGGAGAGAGAGAGAGAGAGAGAGAGAGAGAGAGGGAAGGGTTGGCCTACCGCGGCTCTGAGGTTGTAGTGCGGGATTTGCGGGAAGAGGTGGTGGATCACATGCGTGCCGATATCGTGGTGGATGTTGTTGATGATTCCGTAGTCTCTGTCGATAGTGGTCAACGCTCCCCGGAGGTAACTCCACTCCTGATCGCCAGAGTCGAAATCAATTGACGCGAAGAATGAGAGTCAACTGAAAGAGCATGATTTGAAGCCGACGACTTCTCACCTCGCCGCGGTACCACGGGAGCTTCTCGTCGTAGCCATGGTGGTGCAAGTAGGTCACCAGATCCAGCCACATGACAAAAATCTGCTTGCCCAGGGAGGTTTGATCAATCGACTGAGGAATAGGTTAAATGGGCAGTGCGATGCCCGGAAGATGAAGAGCTCTGAGGAACTTACGAAGTAAGGGATCCAGTAAAATTTGATGACGAAGATCCAGCCCTGCAACCAGGTTACGCCGGCGAGAAGCAGGAGCATTGCCGTCCAGCAGATAGTCGAAGTAGCCACCGCTTCCCTCTCATTGGGGGTGAAGAGGTCGCTGTAAGGGTTTATGTGAGAGCCCGACTTGCCGGGGCTTCTGTACAACTGCAGCAGCAGCAGCGGCATGCGGAGCTCTCAGAGCCATAGGAAGCGAAGAACACCGAGAGCTCAGCAAGGCCGGATGGAGGTCTTACCAGGTACACAGGGAAAGCGAACATGGGGAAGGGGAAGGTGAACCGCATCTTAAGGGTGGAGCGCTCCAAGCTCCTGTAAATCCTCTCCGGCAGCTGTAAGTTTTCAAGAACAAACCGGTTACAGCGCTGTCTACGTCGATCTGGTTTTTATCTCTTCGTCGCCAGATGATCGGAGAGATTCGCTCACCGGGTGCCAAGATTCGTCCTTTTCCACGTGCCCATGGTTCTGATGGTGGGTTCTGTGGCTAATCCTCCTGTGAATGACAGAATAATCTTTGATAAATAAAACGCTAGAAATAAAGAGGCTTCAGGGGGGTTGAAGGGAAGTGTTGGGATTCGTACCATCCGTGGTAGGGCACGAGGATGAAGGAATGGAGAACGTGGCCGACGATATTGTTCAGCGTCTTGCTATCAGAGAAGCTCCCGTGGCCGCTGCAATATCACACAACAACAGATCTGCTCACTTGGGGATTAAAAACAACCAAGTAGATCGCGTTTACGCTTGTCAGATCGGGTGTCTGTGAGAGAGAGAGAGCATAGGCTTAAGAGTCCCACATGGGGGGCCCCCCGAGATCTACAGAGGGGACAAGAGCCCCCTGATTCACTCACATCACGCTTTTAAAAGCGAGAGCCTGAACGAAAAATCAAAGGAAAACTCAGTGCAGCCGCAGGCAGGCAAGAAAGCTCAATGTCAGGATCCTTTCTGATTACAAAAGTAACATTTTTGAAATATCTGTTCTTTCTTTACTGCCCATTATTCTCACCTGTTCTTGAAAAAAATTGAACGGGAGGATGGAGAGGGAGGGAGAGAGAGAAGAGAAGAACGAGATTTGATTCGTTTGAATGTGCTTCAGAATGACGAGATCTGGAAGAGAGAGAGAGAGAGAGAGAGAGAGGGGTCTACTGTGAGAAAACGAGTCTTTTTTGTCATTTTACAAGAGAACGAACAACGGAAAGACAGAAATCATGGAGAAGGTCGTTCGGGGGCGAAGAACCCGTGACGATGCAACAGAAACCACTACATTGTATCTTAGACAAAAATGACGAAATAATTCGAATGGGAAATGAGAAATGAGAAATGGGTCCGGGGAGATGGAGCTAGGTTTACCAGTCATGGCCGAGGACGAAGATGGCCCAGAACATCGTTCCCTGCGCGAACCAGTATAGCGGCCACGCCGCCCAGCTATTGAGATACCCCGCCACCGCCGCCAGCGCGGAGACGACGACGACATCCCTCAGAACGTAGCTCATCGACTTCCAGGGACTCTTCACCCAGCAGTGCTTCGGTATCGCCGCCCTTATCTCCCCGAGGGTGAACGGCGGAAGCGACCCGGGGTCAAAATCGTCCCCCTGGGCCGCGCCGCCATCGCCGCCTCCCCCGCCCTTCTTCTCCGTCTCCCCCTCTCCCCACTCCTTCCTCACCATCTTTCTTCCTTCGCTCTTCTTCCCCTTCGCTGGCGCCCTACATTGGCGACTGCCGCCTATATATATAGTTGGGGAAGCGTCAGATACGGCGACTCCGCCCTCTGGGTGTCACCCCTTCCGTCCGTTCGTTTCCTCAGATGCGCCTCCGCCCACGAAACAGCGATAATCGACGATTTCCCCACTCTACATATTAACATTTCGCGTATTATCTTCCCGATCATTTGTATTCCTTTTCACCGTGAAAATCTCTATTTTAATCTTCTGGGTCCTAGCCTAAAATGTAGTCCCTCCCCCACTGGTGGGACCCCCCCCTCACCATCGTCACTGTTCCGCGATCATTTCCAAGTCGCGTTCCGCCAAACCTGCGTCTAAGACCCTCTCTCTTTCTCTCTCTCTTGGGACCCAACAGGCCGTAGAGAAGGGGCGCCGCCGGGGGGGGGGGGGGCTGCTGAGCCCTCCACCGCACATACTGAGCTGCCGTACGTTCGGTGAATCTACCGGCGGTAGACCCGCCCCTCGTTCGACTTGGCGGGGACGAAAATCTCGACGACTCACATGCGGCCCCTGACGCGCCCGCCTCGGAAGTAATGAGGGTTCGGGAAAAATGGCACGCTGCCGAGTCTCGCCGAAGCCATCAATGCCCGGCATCGGCGTCGTCACTCCATGGAGGGTTTCTTCCCCGGGGACAACGAGAAGGTTGCTGATGTCCGAACGTTCCTTCTCTAGGTTGACGGAGAAGACTAGTCAATCAGACGACGATTTCTCCATCGTCCCACGTTTTTTAGCGGGCGATCATTCTGACGTGACGGCTCGCTTTGACCTTTACCCCTCACCTCCTTCTACCCTTTGCTTTCGTAGACGGGCACCTTGGAGCCGAATCTTCCTCGCGCTCATCGGCGTCTCCGGCGAAGACCGGCTGACCACCCATTTGCTTCTCACAGTTTTAGGTGTACCAAGCAAGAAATCCCGGGCGTTATTGACGGCATAATCCGTGACAGCTGGATACGATGACGATATGACTTTAGTGGAAGTGAGCCAGAGCGGCGGCCCTCCGTCTTCCCCATCAAGTGGACGGAGAGGCTGCAACTTAGGCGGGGGTTGAGCTGTCGCGCAGTAAGAGAGAGAGAGAGAGAGAGAGAGAACTACGAGGGGACTTGTCCCTTAACGCATCGGGCTCTGCCGGCCATGGCGTGCCGTCCGGAAGGGGGCATCCACCGGCGGAGCAACTCCGGTGGGCTGCTCGTCGGTGTCAGCGCAAGCGTAGGCCGCTCGTCGCCCCCGTGGGCGGCGTTCTTCACCTTTCAGCAGCGCCGCCGCGGGCCACAATGGCTCTCTAGCCACCCGCCCGATTTCCTCTGTCTCTGGCCCTCTCTCTCTCTAGTCTCCCGTGCGTCTTTCTGTCGCGGCTCGTCGGCGAAGCTCGTCCCTCGTCACCGAAACTAACGCCGCCGCAGCCGCTGACGGCGGCAGTGGGAGCCACGTCCCGGTCATTGTTCAACTGCAGTCCTCTTTTCCTCCCCGCCGCCGGCGAGCGTCTCTGCGGTCCCCAACACCCTCGGCTCTTCCCCACGTCAAAAGGACAAACGTTTCCGCCCATTCCGTCGCCTAACCCTTTCTCTCTCTCTCTAAAATGTTACTAACTATACAGTGCAGGGCTTGGCCCGGTAGATCACGGAGAATATTTTATTCATAAGATCCATTATTGGACAAGAACCATATGGAATCCCGTACGAGCCCATGGTCGGCGATCCCAAGAACCCTCACATTACTCGGAGCGATGGGCCTGCGTCATGGGGCCCACGAAGAATGAGCACACCATTTTCATTCCCCTCGAACACGCCCCATTTATAACGCGGAAGAAATCTCAGCCATTAGTTTTTATTTATTTATTTATTCTAAAAATCCCCCCCCATAATTTTTCTTATCATCACTCGTGAAAATGGCGCCTCCTCTGGTGGGCAACTTGGAGCTCTACCGTGAACCTGAAAAGGATGGCAACTTGATTATTTATTTCGTGCGAAATTATTATGGTTTGTTTAATATTTTTAATGCGGAAAATAACAGATCATGGGCAAAAGGGACAGGCGAGAATTCGCCACTTGGCAAGACAACCCTCGACAGGTGGCAGAGAGTGACACGTCCCGCAAGTTGTTCTGAAGAAGGTAGGTGGGTCCCACTTTTGACCCATGCTGGGCCGGCCCAGATGCCCAAAGCTCTAGACCAATTGGGCATTACCAGCCCAGTTTAAAAGCCCAATGTGGCCCACACTCCTCGTTTACGAGAGAGAAATTTTGGGCTGCCGGGCAAATGGGGAAGCAAGAAGCCTATCTTAATGGGGGAAGAAGAGAGGCGTTGGGGGGCCCACGTTCCCACTCATCAGGAGAGAGAGGGGGAGAGGACAACAGGCCGAAGGAGGTCGTCGAACTTGCCTTGCGGGGGAGCAGCTGAAGTTGCAGCGGCGGGCTACCGGTGGCTCCTCCCCGTCGACGTCACAAGGGCGATACAGAGATTCTCCGCCATGGACAGGGTCCAGCTACTGCTGCTGGGGCTTCCCCTCTACCTCCTCTTCTCCGATGTGGTCAATCTCTTCACCCCTCCTGCCCAGCCTCCTCCGCCGCCGCACCGGCACCGCCAGCGCAATAATTATCCCGATCCCCGCCCCCATCAACCCCCAGTGATACAGACGCCGGATATCTCCGCCTCGCGGGTAGAATCTGCTCATATCGTCGCTGTTGCCGTGTTAATTCGCTCTTGTTGGAATCTCTGGGAGTCTATTCCGATGCTTATTTTTTAAACCCTCGTTTTTTTCTTCACGTCGGTATGTTTCTCGGAACCTGCAGAGTCGAGGAGTGGGTTATGGCACCACTGTGGAGCTCAACTTCTGCACCTCATGCTCTTACAGGTTATCGCCATTTGTGTCTCTAGTTTCCTTCTATGATCGTCCCGTTGTCCTGTGGTCAGCTCGATGGGATATTCTGCTGTCACCCACACGGACCATTACAGATTTTCTGTTCCTATGTATTCCGAAGAACGCATTTCTTTCTATATAAGTTCCACTTATGTGAGCATGCTAATTGAAGTGACATCCATTCCCAATTCCTGTACTATATGACCTTTCGTTGAAGACGATTTCTTAAGTTTCGGAAATTTTCTTTTTCCAGGGGCAATGCGTTGACCATGAAGAAAATGCTTGAAACTTCATTTCCTGGGATTGACGTTGTTCTGTCGAATTATCCTCCACCCCTTCCAAAACGTGTCCTCAGCAAATTGGTACCGGTTGCTCAATTTGGAGTTTTTGGTATCATGATGGGAGGTGACCAGATCTTGCCGAGACTGGGATACAACCCATTACCCCCTTGGTACCTCTCTTTGCGTGCTAATAAATTTGGGACTATCGCATCTACCTGGCTTCTTGGCAACTTTGTGCAAAACTTTTTGCAAAGCACTGGTGCCTTTGAAGTTTATTGCAACGGTTACATGGTAAGAAAGCAGCCAATCATATACATAATTCCCTTTTGCGTTTTAATTTGATGAGGTTTCATCTTCCTTGGGCCTAGAACTGGAATTTTACAACACACAATCGACAGGAAAATAGAAATCTTTTGACTATGGCATTATTTTTTAATGCATTAATGTGCTGTTATGATTACGATTTTATTGGTTTGTTAAATTACTGCAATTGATTTTTTTTAATTATTATCGTTATGATAATGCTTGAAATCCGATAACCACTGCATCAGATATCTTTTCATCATCTATTGGTGAATTTTTAAACTTCAAAAAGATTTTACTTCCAAACACAAAGCAATTCTTTCCCCAATACTGATACTGACACAAGTGTGGCTAATACTAGCATAGAAAAACTGGCTTTAGTAAACTATCTTTTGAATAACTCAAGAAAACACGGAAAAAATTAATAATCAATCGATTTAAGTTTGAATTGTGACGAACCAATATACCCAGGAATTAAGATAGCTTGCCCAGTGGACCATTGGTTCTTGACGTGTTGTACTTTTGACTTATGCTGGCTGACTTAGGTTTTGGACTTTTGATTCCAAATTTGTCGGAATCATCCAATATGTGGAGTAAAGGCTGCCAATTTGATCCACATGTGAGGCCTTTTTGAATGAATCAGTCCAGCGTTTTCTTATCCGCTTCGTTTGCATGGCTCCCTCCTACAATCACTGGACTGCTATGCCCAAATCCCTACTCAGGATATCCCAGCAGTGTTTGTAAACAGCATAAGAAGTCATTAAGGATTTCTACTTTTGTTCCCTTGTTAGGAACTATACAGATGACCTTATCTTTTATTCTGATGTTAGAGAGTACATAGTTCCCATTTAGTTCAATACGTGCTCAAGTTATTTGGACATCCGAGTGAAAATCGATTAAATATGAGATTAGTCAAATATTCCCATTTAGTGGTCTTTAGGATGTAAACTATATAAATGGGGTGTGGGTAGCCTAAGAGAAATAATCAACCGTGAGTTCCTGTTAATGTTATTTGAACAATCCTGGCAATGAATGAATTGAACCCATCTGTAGAATTGTAGTTTTTCTTTTACTAATAAATACCTGACTATACTGACAGAAAAAATAAAATCATGATAATCATGCAGCATAAGACCACTGAGAAATTCCTCATAATTCCTCATTCTGGTGATTGCTTTGCTACCTTGAATCTTCTCGTCTTCATTTCTTCCGTTCCTTACTAAGGGCCAGTGGTACTGCCCCTTCAACAGCTCTTGGTGGAGAAACTTGACCTTCCTCATGAATCTTCCGATAGCTTTTTCTCAGAGCTTCCAGCAGACTCTCATTCTACAATTACAAAAACATCTTCGAAATTACCCTTTTCTTTGAAACTGGGAGATCTCAATTGGCATCCTCCAACTTTGAGGCATAGTCACAACCACTGGATGAGGCATTGACCAGAAATCCGGTTCCTGTTGACAACCAGAATTGAGTGACACATTGTTGTCCACTTCTTCGTTTTCTGGTTTAATTATTGGGTCGGGCCTTTTATCATTGTGTGTCGCGCCTCCTCCTCAGAAGGAAAATCACCGGAATAATGTCTCTCTTCTATGGTTTCTTATGGAAAGTGTCTCTTGGCTGAGAATCTGTCGCTGGGTTGCTCACTGATGTTCATCACTACGTTTTATTGAAGCTTCTTCCCCAACGAATAAAAAGAATATCCATCCTACTGTGGCGCTTCCTGGATTGAATAAAAATTATCAAAACTGAGATGATGCCTGCCATTTGTGTCTTTTAAACGATTAACTGTTGGTTATGTCTCTGTGCCATTTGTTCCGAAGCATGGGTTTAATCCTTACAAACCCCGTCTCTTTCATGCGCGTAGGTTTTCTCCAAGCTGAAGGAGCAGAGGTTCCCCAGTGAGATCGAGCTGAGAAATCTCATTCAAGAGCACACAAATCCAAGATTCGTGGAAGATGGGAAGATCTGGTCTGAGTAGATGACACTTCAGGGTTTAACCGAAGTGGCGTTTGTGAATCAGGTGGGCGTTTTGCAAGATTCCGAGGAAGAAGTGGATCCCTGTTCCCCAATTTATGCTTGAACTCATCACAGGGGTTGATGAAGTACTTTGGTTGCCTCTTAGATCATGGATTTTAACGCTCTCTGATCACCATTTACTCTCTCTCTCTCTCTCTCTCTCTAGATATATATCTCTCTCTGTCTGTTCTTCCTTGTCTAATTAGGAAGCTAATGATTTGGCTAGCCAACTGGTCTCGTCGCCCTTTGTGGTATTATTATTCGGTTTCATTCTTGTATCACCAAAATCATTTCCATTTGTGTCACTGGCTCTCTATGCTCGAAATGCACATCACAGCATGGAAAGGAAGGAGGAGGGGTTGACTCTAGAGCCTAAAAGGGGCAGATGTTCTTGAAACTTTTGGAAGGAAAAATGGCACCATCAGAAACTTGCTCATCCATTCACCTTCAGAAAATCCAGGACATGTCATGTTTGAGTATGATTTCAAGCGCATAATCAGACGAATTACATATGCAAGGAGAATCACATGGCATCTTCGCCTGTGTCCTTTTGAAGTATGATCAGAGGAGGAGGAAGATTTGCTATATGCGAGCTACCCAGCTTGGCTTTCTCAGGAGATGAATGAAGAATCCGCTGGGGCACCAGAGGCGATGGTCTCTTATTATGGGCATTTGAGAGCAGGGTTGGTTTTGTCAACGCAGGCGGTCGGCCTCCGGTCAGAACTTCCACCATCTCTTTGCTTCCATTCTCCTGGCGAGCTCGTTGGCCATGGAAGCGAAGTTCTCGGCTTCATTCTGCAGCTCCTCGGTGCGCTCTCTGGTTTTCTGGGAGAAGAGAAAACATATCAAGGAGGCCCTTTTAATATGCTTGAGCTTCGAGAAAAGAATGGAGAAGGAAACAAAGGGAGAGATGTTGGACGGTTCTTCAGTTCTGTCCTCAGCCGAGATTTTTAACATAATAAAGACGAAAAGGCAGCAGCAAGGTGGGGGAAAGGCTGAGGAGAAGCCATCCATCCCTAGAAGATTTTCATACCCCCTTCTAGAACCCCCCTCTAGAACCCCAGCAAGGTCCTGATAGGCTATATTTCATAGTTAATTGTCCTAATTTTGGAAACTTCACCCAAGTCTGAAGCCTTGCCGTCTCATCCTTGAAGGAACAGCAGCAGAGCTCGCTTTTTGATAGAGAAATCTTACAACTCAGACCTAGAATGAGACACTCGTAGTTGACTTCTGCTTTAGCAACGGTCTTCTGATTTGAGCTTTGTTTCGGATGCATATATTTTTGCGTTGAAGTTTCAGGATCAGTAACCCCAGCAAAAAGGAAAGATGAGGGATAAATGGAAATGCCCTTAGAAAGGAAAGAGGCCCATCTCTGGACTGCTCAATATCTTGCCGACAATATCTCCTGTGAGAGGCTAATAAACGAAGTGGGTGAGGTTTGGTCTCCAAGATAATGGTGTACTGGACGTTTTTCAACCCCTTTGTCATGCTTTCTATGAACAGTTTTCTAATGAGATTTCGGCGGCTGTCAATATATCTGGAATTACCTATATTCCAATTCCAGTTGTCGGTGGAGTCACCTATACCCATGGTAGAGAAAATATCGAGGAAAGATGTAAAAACATAATAAATTGCACATTTTCATACGCCAGTCAAGAGTTAATTACATCACGTCAATAATTCATAAACTGAAAGGGAATTTTTCGTGATAAATATCAAGGAAGTTATTTCTTATTTCAGAATAGAAGGCACATGGCTTAGCCATGAAGAGGTATTTATTAGGCATGATGTTCTTTTCCACTGCTCTAGATACGAAAACTCCATAAGAAGGATTAAAGAACAAATCATACCTTTTTCACCGTAAGCATTTAAAGCGTTGGCAAACATGAAATCATAATCTTTTTCTATTTTGTTTTTCTGGCTATTCTATAGCTTTAGAGAGAGGTTTGCTTGGGTGTAGTCCACATTTAAGCTAAATCCAAGTAAATAACAGTTTGAGGGCATACCTGAAGCTTTTCTTGCCGTTGCGCAAGCTTGTCTTTTGCATATGCAGCAGCTGCAGAGGCATCCTAGATAGAGAAAACAGCCGTTGAGAAGCATGTCACACCAAGGAAGATCAGAATCACATTTCTTTTTTTTTTTTCGCTTACCCCAGAAAATTTATACTGTGTTAGTATCTCTTCTGGTGTTCTTATTCTTGGTTTGATATCCATCTTTGCCCCTTGGAACAGTTGTTCTCTTTCCATGTCCTCTGTTTTTTTTTCAAAGAACATAAGGAAGGCGACATAAGATCTGCTAGCAAAAAATTACCTGGTGGGTGTGGAGGAGACTACCTTTTCTATTAGGTTTGTCGTCGACATGAGATGAGGTCGAAGCAACAGGCAGATCGTCATCAATGATGATATCGTCTACACATAAAAAAAAACTAATATGTAAAAAATGGAAAAAAAAAAAAAACAGAGACAACCGCCAGTGAACCAGCAGTAGTGTGGAGTACCGAGGGTGAGCTCCTCTTGGTCATGAGCGAGAGTAGCCAAAGGGCTTGAGAATGGCGTCCTTGAAAAGTGATTCTCCAGTTGTTGAATAAAGACATCTCGAGGGCTATTTTCAGATGCATTGACCGAGTTCCCAGCTTTCCCCCGTTTAAGTCCTTTAAGTATACCACCGAGGATCCCAGGGGCAGGACCCTATAGATAAGGTAATAAGCACAAGAAAAACGTGAAAAACGACGACGAAAAGCAAGTAGGATTGAGAAGAACCTCTCTTCTCTTCTGAAACATAGAGAGATTTGTGGCAGCATCTGCTGCAGTAGCAAGGACTTTGTCATGAAGGCTAGGTAAAGATTCTGGAATCCTGTGAGACAACATATTTTAGGATACATTAACTAAAATTAAAAAGGCAGCTCACTGATTTTGGTTTAGAAATAACTAAGATACCTATAGTCATTTGTGCCGGCCAAAATGGAGATCACAGCCAACTCAGATCCATTGACCTGCAGATTGTGAAGACGAAATCAACAAGCAGTGTCATTTCTAAAGTCAACGAATGATCAAGAAATGATAAGTTTTTTAAGAATAGCCGAGTGAAGCTTGTCCTTCAAGATTGAGGAAATGAATCAGGTCGGTAAATTGTTTGCTTTTTCGGAAAAAAATAATACAATTTATTCTAAAAGAAAAACGAGCCATCTTTCAACTAAGCATAAACAGAAAATCAAGAGATGAACATAACAAAAAAATTTGAAATAGACCCACCAGCGCAATATGTCCATAGTCACACGAACTCATTGTTTTTTCTATATTTGCCTTGAAACTCCATCTAAGGATTGACATTAAAGAATCTTCGTCTAATACCTCGAAATTTGGTAAAGACCTATTCATTCATAGAGCCCAAGTTAATCCGAATAAATGGCATGAATGCTCTTAGAATTTAACAGAAATCACTGGAACAAAATTCACATGCGGCTTTTGATTAAACGAAAAATTTAGGCTCACCTTATCTCTAAAACTCCATTCTGATAAAGTAAAAGCAGAGCACAGGAATGCCCATCTTTTCTTTTGATGATTGCTGACCAGCGGCATGGTTTTGGAAGGGTCACTTTGTTGACGTATGTACCGTCACCCTATAGCATTGTTCATCGTGTTAAACATTTTAAAACCTTTTGTAAATAATAGAAACCAAATTAAACAATTACCTGTATCACAGATTTCAATGGATATATCCTTAGTGCATCCTCACAACAAATTAAAAGAACTGAATTTGATGGTACTTCTCCAGAATGAGAAGTGGTAATGGAAGGAGGCTCAATAGTTTGTTCACCACTTCCACTTGGATAACTGCTTTGCTTGATGTCACTTTGCACAGGACCCTCCTGGGAATGCTTTTGACCCGCTACTCCAAAGAAAGTGCTTCCATCTGTGACATAAATTTTCTTAACCTTCTATTTTTTCAGTATAAACTACTGAGCTACGACGAAAATGATAAGCTACTTACCTATGACAAACATGGAAATGGCAGTCGATTCTTTCTGCGGATGTATTGGTTGTGGGTTCAAAATATTACCACTAATACTATCAACAACAATCAGATGAGCATTTCTAGCTAAAATAAATAGTACATCAGCAAAATCACCCAGACTACTGGAACTTGAAGTGTTACTGTTTACTGGGGCATTAACTTGCGGAACTACTTTCATAGCCAGTGAAGTGATTGGGGAGCCTGAGACAGACGAGCAATCCACGTGGAATAACACTGACATGGAGCTTGAATCAAGCATTGTCACCTGGTGTGCAGTGGAAATTCAGTGAGACAGAAAACTTTTAACTTCAAATGGCATGCTGAGAAGGTGCATCAAAATAAGCATCCTCACTTGACCACACCGAAAACCCACAGCGAGCTTGCCACCAGAGTCTGAGAACTGAAGCGTTCTCACTGCTGAGTTCGATACAGAAAAAACTGCCAAGCAGTGAACGTCATTTTCCTGTTGTATGGTGTGAACTGCGACCCACGTTAGAAAATAAAGATCAGCGCATCCAAATTAATAAAAATTACTCATAAAAACACTGCCAATAAGATAACTAAAATCCTAATGACAGTAGCAAATAATCACCCTCGTATTAGTTTGTAAAATAAAAGCAGTGAACTACACGTGCGACAACTAATGCCCTTATTTACAATTGATTTGTATAGATGATGGTTTCCTACTTCACTATCCAACAGGCCACGGAGATAATTATGAATCCTTACCTAAAAGCGATCTGAGCCCTATATGAGCTTTGACCAATTCACTAAGAACAATAAGCTCCCAATAACTAGTCGTTCTTTCATGATTTTTGGAATAACTTACTGACATTATTGTGACTCAGCTATTTCAATTTAATATCCCAGAAACTAGGATATCCTTTCCCTTATTTATAGACGAAGCAATATTGGATGAAGCAATAACCTTAAAAATCAAGTCAGTCAGACCATGCTGGTCTAACTCATCTAAGAACTGGTAATAGTTCAAACGTATTTTTCTTATGATTAAGGTCTAATTCACCCTGGACATTGGCTAGATAATAGTCCCAGAATCTCCCTAAAATCCAATCCTACTCGAATAAGCTAATTCCAGAGTAAGCTGACCTGATGCCGCAACAAACAGTGTCTCCTCTGAAAGTCTTTTTTTTTTATGTTTATGAAACTGTTAGCCTGGAGGACATGGTTCTATACCATTTCATGGATGATTATCAGAAAGATTTGAAAAATAGCAGAAAGCCCAGCCATCTTTCATTGATAAACAAAAAGACATACAAAGGAACAAGGACAGGGCAGAGGTACATGAAAATCATGACAGAAATTGGGCAATGACATCGTTTGAAAATCAGCATAAAAAAAGGTTTGGGACAGAAAGCTGCATTATTTTAAGCATTGTTCCTTCACAAAAAAGATTGCGAGACTTCCCACTACAAAAGTAGGGGGTCCTTATATTTGTAAACGGAATTAAAAATATCAAAGCAAGCCTGAGGGTAGAAGAAAAGCATAAAGGATAACAAAAGGACAAACAACTACACCTGGGTATGGATTATTGGGCCTACGATCCACATAGCCATGCGTAGGCATGCGACATGTCTCAACACATGTAGTTGAAAGATTAACTCACTACCAGACAGAGTAAATTAAAGTTTTTTAAAAAATTGGTTGAAGAAAGCTTGATGGAAGCTGCGTTGTGGTTCAGTGCTAACGTGTATACTTTTGACAAGTATTTCACACTTCATCCGCAGATAAAATTATTCTCCTTGTGATTCCTTGACCAAAGCAACTTGGGTGTACTCGGTTGTTCCTAAGCAATTTATGACTCAAAAAACACCAAAATCCTGCCAAACTTCTGCAAGTTGGCACAATATGTCCAGCACAGTAAGTCACTCTTTGAGCAAAATCTGAGACAAATAATCAGATGAGTGATGTACAATGACGCCAAATAAATGATGCCCCAAAATATATCATACTTGTCCAATTTGGATTTGCGTTACAGTAATGGGTAAATAATTGTCACTATTATTATTAAATATTTAAACCAGGAGAACAGAAAGACAACCAGAATACCAATCAATCTGAAAGAAGAGACAGGAGAAATTTACCTATTATCCCTCCTTATAATAATCACTGTAATATAAAAATAGAAGCTGCTTGTGATGTGGGCCCAATAGGCCAATATTGGGCCCCATCTTCCCTATATATGAATAGGAGGGATGGGAGATCTGGGACTTAGACTCTTAGACAGAGATTGTAATGAACGAAGTAGCTCAGAGATCTCTGACGATTCACAAGTTAGATAGAAAAAAAATATAAATTATGAAGACGCCAATTAGAAACCTCCCAAAAAAATACTTTAGTCTGACTACTTAAACTGGCCTCGGTCAACAACATTAGTACTTCCACTGAGTCCTACTCGAGTCAAACTTCGACAAAATCCGAAGAAAATCTTTAAAAAAATTCCGAAAATGGGAAAATAGCTACTTGAATAACCAATGAGATACACTAATATAATGCATCCACATAAAATAATCACCTTCACGCTTGGTTTCACTAACAAAGTGAAAAGTCTGCTTATCAGTGGTCCTGGTCGCGCATAGGTCATACAGAAACACCTACGCATATGCAGAATAAAAAAACATAAATATTGAATGAAAGACTAATCAGTCTATGAAAAGAGGCAAATGTGATGCTGAAGAACTCTTCTAACCAGACCACTTTCACTTCCAACAGCCAAACAGATACTAGCAGCAGAAAAATCCAACGCTGATGCCAAGGATATTCCATCTGGCAACTCCACACCATTCACCTGATGGTCATACAACAGTCATGATTGCTGATTCTAATTTTTATGTTAAAAAAACAGTGCAGCATATTGTGCCATGTTGTAAAACTCTTTACAAGCCTTGAACAAAACCTAAACATCGTTTGTAATGAATAGCTTACTTTTCCCACAATGACATGAAGCAGAATAAAAACTGGATGTGTAGCATCCCAGATTCGTACAGACCCATCTTGATAGCCCGCCACATATATTCTCTCAACACCAATATCTTCGTCAAATAATAACTCACTGGGGACTCCACCAGTCAAAGGCCATCTCATGTCCATCAACAACGAGGGTGTTCCCTTCGTTCTCTTAGCATACTCTTTCTGCGTGAGAGAAGGGCAAGGTGACCAAAACTGGTTATTACAGAATGCAGTACATCAGGGAAAGCCAAATTGATGTATTATTTGGCGTGGAATTACTGCCACGTAAAATACCTTTGAGAGCACCCTATACGAATCTCCTTCAGTAGGTAATAAGAAGAATTTTGTGACTGTCACACAAGGATCAGAGGTCGGTATCACCAAAGGAAACTTATTTGCAATAATGCCAGTTTTGGCCTCCTGGGATCTTGAATCAGATAGTGAAGAAATGTCGTACACATGAAGTTGTCCAGGATTAGACAAAATAAAGACGGCAGCAGCCGGAGTATTCTCCATGCCCCCTGGTTTGGGTACTAATACCATGTTAGCAAAGGACCCATGTAGTGCAAGATCCACACGAGCAACACATTTTACTCTCTCTATCCCAGATGACCAATCAAGACTTAAGACCTGCAGCATTAAACATGATTTAGCACAAAGCTATCCAATGATTTAATAAAAAATCACATATCTGCGTCACAATGGTTGACAACTATGGCTAGTTTTTGAAGTTTACGAGCATAAGAACGTATGGGGTTTCTATGGAATTATTTTGTGTAGAATATCATTACCTGGGATTAATTTTAGTATAGAAAAGACAAGAAGCAGAACAGTGCGGCTAAGAATTGCATTGACCTAATATGTGCCAACATATATGGTTTTAGGATGGCGATACCTGAAGAAAATGAAAAAGACCATACGATGCTTAGCCGCCCACAAGGAAAGAAATATTTTTAACAATATGCCTCACTCCTTGCTACAAGAACAGAATGAAAAATATTTCTTACACGCGCCTTCTCTCAGAACGAACTTCTAATGGCCAGTAAGATAATAGCCTCTCAGTTATCCAACAAAAGGACAGTTTTTTCTTTTACATAAAGGTCTATTTATCTTGTTCATTGGATCCAATAAATAAACTTTCCCAGAGTTGATCTGCTAAAAATCATTGAACCGGCATAGATGATGTTTCCAAATTGCAAAGGATGGCATACATTTCAAGTAGATATTTTTTCAAAAGAGGAATGAAGGTAGTGTGTTCAGGAAGCAATTATACACAAAACAATCTATGTAATATTAAAATTATTCTAAGTTGAAATTCAAAATGAAAACAGAATATTTATCATCTAATAGGCAATACAACTAATGCCACAGATGTTCAATAAGTATGTTCTAAACATTCTGCTGGTTGTTACTAAGTGATTATATCTGGTGAAGCAAATTCAGAAACTAGTATGAACATAATGCAAACAAAGCTAAAAAGTGAAAGTTCGAACCGTTAAGACTTCTTCAGATCCTATTTCATCACCTCCATAAACAAAAAGCTTTCCTCCATGATCATTGTCTGATGTACTATCTGTAGACCAATTTAAGACAATAACAGGCAACCTTCGCCCTCCAGATGATAGTTCCAGCTTAACGACATTGTTAGATAAGAGCCTAGCATCCTCATTCTTCAAGTCCATTTCCGATGACATGCTCCATAATAATATATCTCCATCAACGTAGCCTACAGCAAGAAGGGACCCAGTAGTCGATGCCCAACATAGGGAACAAATCTCCTTTGCCTCCTGTTCACTGTCAGATGTACTTTGAAGGTCACTGCCTACAGTATTTGAAGAATCATTCAATCCTTCACTTTTCAACTGCAAACGAGTATGGCCTCTGACAGCAACAACATAGTTCTCAGAAATGTCCCAGAGAATCAACACTCCTTCTTCATATGCAATAAGAACTCTGCACAAAAAAATATATTTTGGGCCCTGGGGCATCATGATGCATACTATTAATCAAATTAAATTAATATAACTTTCTACATCTCAGTAGAAATATTTAATGGATATTAATGGATATATGAATTGATTGATACTAAAGACTCAGGGTTGGAGATTTTATTAATATCTCTCATATTTACAAACTAAAAAGTATTGGTCCATAAATCACACATATATTTGTGTGAATGTGTATGTGTATGTGTATGTGTATGCGCACGTGCATAATACACACACGGATCTCTTCTCCCATACCTGCAAAAAGAACACCTAGATAGGAACAATGAACCAACTGGCGATGTCCTTACATCCTATATTATGCATAGGCATTTAAATATGGATGATGAATGGATGGAACAAGTGAAAAAGTTGAAGACCGCAATTACAGAAGATTAGGAATTTCGCCACTAGGTAAAGTGAAACAGGAGATTGACTGTGATTTTATGGAGTTTACGAAATAATAATAAGAATTATGCAAGGACGACTTGGCATCAGTTACAGATATCGACCAGAAGATACAATAGCAAGAATGGATACAGGCATCAGCTGAATATCCTTCCAAAACCTTCTTATAAATCCTAACATGATACAGATTAAAAGGAAAAGGTTTCAACCATCCTGCTGCAGCAGAGCCATGAAATAAAGCAACAGCTTATACTTGGGATTCCTAAAGTAATAGTAATAACAGTTTTGTCCAACAATGAGTCTTCAGATTTGCCACAAACCTAAGACATCGATTCCTAAAGTTAAACCAAAGTTGGATGGAAAGATCGGTTTTATCATCATTATTGATACTGTCAACATTCAGTAGATTTCGTCTTTTTTTTTTTTGAGTCTCTTACTTCCTTTATTTCTGTTATGTCCTTATGAGATCCGATATGGATTCATTGGGTCTTGTTGGAACCATTAATGTCTGTACTAAAGTACAGCACGACTAGGAATGAAACTGTTCTTTTCCTGCACATATTTTCTGTTGCTCTTGGTGGCTGTGTTGGAACCCTAACGCGGAGTCAAAGAATTGACATGGTATCAGAGCAGGTTAATTCCTATTCCTCCTCTCAAGATTGAAAGATCAGTGGAAGGAAATTTAATGACTTCAACAGCAGCCTATAATCTCTTGTGATTGTTATAATTCGTATTGTTGCAGTAGTTGGCATATGTTCCCCTTTTCTTAAAGCACTTCGTATTTCTTGAAGAAGAAATTTCAAGAAACATCACATGACTTCTAGTGGAGAATCCTCAAATACTTTGGCTAGTGTGTCAATTTCAGCCAGCGACAGGGAGAAACTTTATCAAGTTCTTCCTGGTATATCAGAAAAAAATGAGATTCGATGGTAAGAATCTATATCAATGGGGAAAATTCATTGAAATGATTCTCCTAGGCTGAGAGTTACAGGATCATCTTACAGAACCTCATGTAGAAGCACCTGACCCACAACACCGAAGTTGGAAATCAGAGGAAGCTATCATTCATACATGGTTACTGAGCACCATGAAACTAGAAATATATGAACGCTTTTTATTTATGAAAACAGTCAAATATTTATGAGAGTGTATACATCGGAGTTGTTCAAAAAGGTATGATGATTGGAGAATCCACAGTCTTGTGAGGAAGGCAATAGACCTCATCCAAGAGGAGAGGTCTGTCCTAAAGTATGCATATGAATTACAATCCACTTAGAGAGAAATCGACTACTATAGACTAACAAAAAATCCAGAATCTAAAGAACAAATGTACATACAGAAGGACATATTATATAAATTCCTTATGAGATTAAATACAGTGTATGAAAATCTTCAGGGTCAGATCTTACATCTAGAGAGAGTTCCAGATTTAGATGAGACAATGCAAATTTCAGCAGAAGAAGTAAACCACATTAGTCTCATTCGAAATGAGTCTAAAAACATTAATACTGCACTTATATTTAAGTACAAAAATGATTTGAATATTACTACAATGGAGTAGAACTGTGGGGAACAGCGAGATAGTAATCAAGTTTATCAACAACGTTCTCAGAAAATTGATTTACGGGATTCATTATTCTGCAACTACTATAAGAAGAAAGGCCATATAAAGAGAATTATTAGAAGTTATATGAAAAACCACCTAGGCCAAGACAAGTAGATGTAGCAATAAATTCAAACTCGGATGGGAATGTGCAAACACCGAGTGAGACGAATCAACAAATAAATGTAAATACTGGTGAACTTGCAAGAATTCGTGAGGAGCTGGAAAAATTAAAAGTAGCACTCAGCTCCACTCATCTAACCAGGAAAAATTAAAATAATTCATTTTCTTTTGGGTTATATACTCATGATTACTCTCACAGTGGGATGTGGATCCTTGACACAGGAGCAACTGATCATATGACTCTTGATCAATCAAAATTTATTACATATACAGCATGTCCTCTCTTGCGAAAAGTTTTTACTACAGGAGGTGGATCTTTAAATGTCGTTGGAATAGGCGACCTCTAAATACATAGTACATACACACCACAAATAGTATATCGGCTAAAAAAGACATTATATGGACTTAAACAGTATCCTAGAGCGTGGTATGGTAAATTCACGCAAGCTATAAAGGAAATGAAATATCTACAAAGCAATGGAGATCATACAATATTTATTAAGCACACAAAGACAAGGGGAGTTACTGTACTCCTTGTATATGTGGATGATATTATAATTCAGGCAATGATTTAGAAGAAATCAAAGCACTTATCACAAATTTATCTCAAAGATATGAAGTCAAAACTTTAGATAAATTAAAGAATTTTCTAGCCATTGAAGTGGTTCATTCACGTCAAGGGATTTTTATATCACAGCAAAAGTATATTCTGGATTTACTTCAAGAGACAAACAAGGTGAAATGTAAGCCAATTAACACTCCTCTAGAAGCTAATCTGAAGCTCAGATCAAGCAAAGACAATCCTTCAGTAGACAGAGGATGATATCAACATTTAATTGGAAATTTGATATATTTAAATTACACTAGACCATATATTGCCTTTGTTGTGGGACTATTGAGTCAATTTATGCATGATCCTAAAGACATTCATCTTCAAGCCACATATAGAGTACTGGCTTATCTTAAAGGTATGGCTGACTTGGGTCTTTTATACAAATCTAGAGGTGACAAACTAGTCAAATTCTATACTGATGCTGACTATGCATGCTCTAAGATCGAAGATCTACCATAGGCTACTGCTCCATTATTAGAGGAAATTTAGTTACATGGAGAGCTAAAAAACAAAAAGTTGTTGCAAGGTCTAGTGCTGAAGCAGAATTTAGAGTGATGGCTCAAGGTATTTGTGAAGCTCTGTGGATTAGAAGCCTATTGAAAGAGTTGAAAGTCGATCTTTCAAGAGCAATTGGATTGTATTATGATAACAAATCAGCCATGGACATTGCACATAATCTTGTACAACATGATCGGACAAAATACATTGAGGTTGACTGACATTTTTACTAAAGAAAAAATTGAAGAGAAATTTAACTCTATATCTCATGTGAGATCAACAGAACAAGTAGCAGATGTTTTCACAAAAGGATTAGCAGGGACGTCATTGCAGAGAATTACATGCAAGTTGGGCATGAATGAACCTCATGAACCAACATTCAATAGATTTTGTCCTATTTTGTTTTTTGAGTCTCTTACTTTTCTTTATTTCTGTTATGTCCCTATGAGGTTCGATAGATTCATTGGGTCTTGTTGGAATCATCAACGTCTGTACTTAGTACAACACGACTAAGAGTGAAATTGTTATTTTCCTGCGCATATTTTCTGTTGCTCTTGGCGGCTGTGTTGGAACCCTAATGCCAGAGTCAAAGAATTGACAGATACTTTCCAGGTACTTGGGAATATAGATCATAGAGCCATAAATTGATCATAATTGACTTGTAAATAATAAAATAAAACAGAAAAATAAATTCACATTGCAAGCAGATAAGAATGATTATATGCACATAAAACAAAAAGATGCAATGAGCAAAAGAAAGCAAGTCAACCTGCAGCATACCTATCCCCAGAGGTATAAGGTTGTGGCAGAATTCCTACTATTGCTGCATGACTGGAAAATGAAATGGTAGCTGCTTCTGTGGATCATGTGAACGTATTACAATCAATGAAACTTACGGAAAAACTTGCATAAATAACCATAGTCATACATTCTGGATGAGAAAACGAAAAATGGATGCTTACACATCGGGGCAGATACTGGGAAAAAAAGGGGCAAAATGAATCAAAATTATCCATGTCTGATCCGTTTTGAGAGAAGAGATCGAATCCCCCTTGAAAGAAATGAAAAGAAAGGCTAGAAATGGAAATCTTAGGTGCATTGTCTATTCTGGCAATAATTTCCCCTTTACCACTGCTAAAAGAAGAGAAAGCTGCACCCTACATCTGCTAAAAACTGAAGAAGAAAAGAGAATGGAAGAGAGAGGCAACTAAATTTTCTTTTGAATGCTGTGGAATTCCACTAGATGCCAGATCCTATTCTTCCTGCTACTGACGACTGCTGGCAAGTCACCATCTGCTCAGCTCCAGGTTGGGATGCTAGGGAATGGAGGATCAATTAGGTTTTAACATTTATTCTGGTTATAACTTTTTCATAACAACCTATCAATACCAATTTGAACTTAGTGTTTTTGTGTGTATTGGCCACATTAAAATCCCATATACCTCATTTTAGTGATTTGATCCCTTCTTAAATTAGTTCAACACAGATCAATCTGGGGCTCACTCTCATTTGGTCAATCTGGTCCTAGTATGAATAACATCATCACAAATCAATCTGGGGGCCTAATCTCTTCTGTCTTTCACACATAGACCTGTAATTAGCGAACTGCAATCCATGTATTCAGTCAAATTTTATAGTTTCAGCCTTATCCGCGAAATTTTATTCAAAAAATCCCCTGAATGCATTTAAAATGAACGGCTACATTCACAATAATGAAGAAAAAACTAGTGGATTCCTGCATCTCATGCAAAGACGCATGGATGCTGCAAAGCCATCCATGCGACTAAACTTATCAGATAAAAGAAAAAAAACCATTTTTTATTTTTCACCTTTTGAGAATGCTCAGTTACTACAAAAGAAGAAGCCAGCCACAAAAAGATCCACTGATCCAGGGCTAGGGTGGGGAAGGGGCTGGGTTTTAGTCAGTATGGCGCACTGCACTTTCCCCTCCCCAGTTCCTTTCTAATGGAACGTCGATACCCAACTTGCTCTGGCCTTCGGTGCTCCCACATCTCTTATCCCATTCTAGCGAATTATCCTATACAGTTCGTACTTCAATAATATTCCAGTGGTCGCAATTCCACAAGAAAAACAGTTCGATGAATAGAAAATAGCCAAGAATTAAGAGAAAGTTCCGCTGAAATTCTTTCTAAGAAATTGAGGAAGGTGACAGAACATAATATATATTATGAATTCACTAATGAAAAATAAATCAGAAACAGGAAACTATTAATGATCGAGTACTTCGGGAGGATGAAAAGTATGCACGAAAAGTAATTATTTCACCTAATGTTTGTCCATTGCTACCTTTAACAGCATTCACAGGAACATGATAGGGCAACTGCAGAATCTTCCCTTCCTCAGCATCAAATTTCAAAACAGACATAAGCCCGTTTTCATCTCCAGAGTACCTATTTAAAGGGACAATGGTGTAAAGGATCCTCTCTGCATATTCCATTCAAGCCAGAAGGAAACCAGATATAAGATAGGATATCTCAGTATCAAAAACATACATGAAATACGTCCCCTGGATCACAGAGAACGCAGTGATGCTGTATTCCCATTGAAAGGAACAGGTCAGGCACCTGTTTTCAAGATCCCAAACCTAGCAAGGTTAAGAACTATTTTAGACAGTGCATGACATGCTATCGATGAGATGACTATGGAAACCTGAGAATCATCAATAAAAACTAATTTTTCATCTGATCCTATCAACGGGAACTAAAAAAACGTGTGTAGCCTACTTAGTGCAAGCAAATTAATATAGTGTTACTTAAGTAGATTCTATGTGCAGATAAAGAAAAAATTGAGCTGAACAGGAACAGTCAAGTGTTCATCATAAAATTAATTCCTGATGTGAGAAAAGTCTGTCATAAATTATTTGTATATTCATTCATTACCGAAAAATAACTAATGTTTACCGTCAACACATGATAACTTTATGAGAAAACATATCTAGCAAGATACATATTCTTTCAATGTTTGACAGGCGGAGGGTACAAGTAAGCAGAGGTTCTAGGAAAATATTCACAAGGGTAGATCAGGCTTACTTTGCACACTCCATAATTACCATGATTATGATCAGGCTCTCAAATAACGGAATCCAAGATTGCCCGATCCTAGAGTCGGGTAGACTAAAAAACACAAAATAGAATAATAATAAAAACTGAGAGATAACGCGGAAATACATAAGACGGATCCCTCCCTCTTGCATCATATTCTCCACCATGCTTTACCTTTTCCACATGATCTCTATTCGCCAATGGGCATTACTCTCTCTCTCTCTCTCTCATCCACTCAATCTGCCTCCTCACCCCCCACCCCCCCATGGAGAAAACTCCCTGCATATTTTCGGCAATAATAGGCAAAGCTTATGACTACAATGTTGACCAAATGTCAACCAGATTTCACAGAAATATTGCGGCTAAACTTGCAAACATAGGACAATTCTTCACAATGCACTTCACACGTGAGCAGACCAATTTATTAGAGAAACGCCAATGCATGGCATGCACAACGTGAATTTGTAATAGAAAATACTAAGACAATTCTGATGAAAAAAATTAGTTAGATGAGCTATTGGACAAAAATTAATAGAATATTTTTAAAAAATATCGTTCAAACTACCTGAATTTCGTTTCCGTTTGAGACACCAATAAGAAATCCTTGGTTGCACAAGAACTACAAAATAAATAATAGTTAAAAAAATCAACCTCCGGACTAATAAATAATCTCATTGACCATTGAAGAGTGCATGATGAACCTCCAAGAACTTGTATGGCAGCTTGTGGGGGGATATAAGAAGGGCTTCAATATTATCACCCCCAATTATTTTTATTCTCCCATCCCTGCAATGGCACCAAATATATCCTACTTAAAAGGCTTCAATTTTAAAATAAAGTAGCGACATGCAATCTTAAAATATAATGCAAGTACATCCTGAAGATAAAAACACACTAAAATTTGGTAACCAACCTAAAATATCATAGTTATCATACAGTTTACTTCAATCAACAATATACCTTATGAGATGCAACTTTGCAAAGATAGGACAGGTTCTATACAAAAAGACCGAAGGAAATCGTACAAAAGAATCAACTGTGAAAGAAAAACGCCATGACAACAAACGATGCCACTTGCAGACGTATCAATTCAACCTTGGACACTGTTGATTATAAAAATGAGCGATCGATCTTTCAATTTCTAAGATGACATAAGGTAGATGCTATTGTCTCTTTCCAACCCCACTTTAGTCTTAAAATCATGTCACAAACTCCCATATTGTCTCCCCCATTTCACCGTCAAACTTCCCAATTCACAACTAATAGAGAAAATATACCACAGAACGTTGCACTACAATATTATAAATCATACTTTTTTTAATGAGCCAAGTTGGAGATCTAGTCCACAAAATTAGGACCATAAAACTATCCACGTCCCAGAAGAATACAACATGCTTCGTTTTCTCAAAAATGCCATCCACCATTGTCTCTCCCACTTAAATATCAAAAGTTCATAGTTCACCAATTGAAAATATAGAATTTGAAGAGAGGTTGCAGTAATCTAGAGAACGATGATTCCATCGAGTTAAACCGCATATTTAGCTTAAAATCTCAGGGTCACAAAAAAATCGTTTATTAGATACGAAAGAAGCAAAACGAGAAACAACTACATTCCTGCTTTTGGATGAACGTAAAAAATGCAGTGTTCAGAACACTGCTTCCGACTAAAATTTCGACTATAAAAGCCTTTATGATTCACATCTGATTACCATTTTATTCAGAAAAAAATATCAAAGAAAAAGGCTAGTTGGATGAGAAAAATTTTAACATAACGAAAAAGACATCTCACAGTTTTCTTACTGAGGAACAGCTATTAAAAAAAATCATTTAAATTAAAAATAGTTAACAGAGAGTGGGAAAGAAATTCTTTCTACCAACATAACTAAAAGTACCCTCTAATAATCTAATCAAAAGTTAGAACTTATATAAAATCATTCTTTTATTGAAAGCATCAAATCCTAGTTCAGGTTCATTTCCGGTTCAGGCTTCTGCTAGTTCAGGTTCATTTCCAGAGACATTGGCACTCAAACATAGGTAAACCTAAAGGAAATTTTATAATCATGTGTCCAGAGGCATTATCACTAAAATGCTGATAGTCCTACTCAAGGAAACTTTTAGCATTTTAGAACGATGTCTGCTAAACTCTCAGAATGCATCACATTAAACTCCTCATCAAGAATCAACCGGAAAATCAGCCATAAATCACCATATTGATTAAAGTTGGCACAGAAGACGACCAGAAATTAATGAGCATGTTCGCCAAGTGAGATAGCATCAACTAAACGGTTCCCAATCATGAGATAATCCATGTGCGAACGGGAGATGGTGTAGGGAGAGGGAGAGAGAGAGAGAGAGCCTTCGACTTACAGTGTTCCAATTGCCAGGAGACTTTGAATGGGATCAAAAGCCATGATTGATGCTGTGGATGGTATGCCATAATGGATAGGAATTTGTAAACTCAGATCGGCTACGTTCATCTTTCCATGTTGCAAATTATGCTGCATCAAAAGATAGTGAAGATGAATGCACACTTTATAAGAAAATTAAAATATGATACTACAAATTTCATAATGACAAAAATCCGTCATGTGATGATGGCATACTTCCTGAGAATTCAGTTTTGTGCTCTCCAGAGGAATTTTTCCGGAAATTTTCCACCAAAAACTCTCAGCTTTCCTTTTGGTCTTACATCAATAAAGTCTATGACTCTATGCACCGGCCACACTATCTGGTCTCAATCTCTCTTCGACAAGTTCTCAAGTTCTCAAGCCACAGAAGTGGCATAACATCTCAAATATCCATAAACTCAGTTATTAGACGCATTAAGTTGTTAACGTGAGACAAGGGTATCACACAAAAAGGCATCCACGCTAGGAAATTGATGCTAACTACCAGATCGGGTTGAAATTGTCATAAAAGAATTTCAGGATCAAAAACTGTCGATGGATGCAAAACACCAGATGCCTACAAATGTTTCCCTTCGAAGACAAATATAGATCCTAAAATTATAAACAACGATTTTTTACAATCGAAGGATGAGGTAGGGCAATATTTTTCTTTACTTTAATATTATCTATTCTTATTCATGTCAAACGTACTTCGCTGCCATGACACTTACCCCAGTAGCCGGAACTTTAGTAAAGGATCCCAAGAATGCTCACAAAATACACCATTCAACTGAGACTTAACTGTCAAATATGAGTCGGCAATTTTGTAACTTCCTATTCCTGAACCCATTTCCTCTTTCTTGGAAAGGTAGTCGATACTGTTTTTGGCCTATAGAGAGGAAAAGGTTGGCAAGAGCCAAATCCAATAATAAAAGACATTATGGCCGCAAAAGCCACATTATATAGACGATATGCTAAACTCCAACCCTCATGAATGACAGATACTTAACCATAAAAAGAAAATCAGGCTATGCGTCCGCTAATTTCCATTTTCCATGCAAAGTGACAGGAACATTATCCATTTATCCTTCGGGCCCTCTATAGTAATCACCCACTCTTTCTTCTTAGACACGAAATATTCTAAGAAACATTTCTATGCGACAAATAGATATAACAGAAAACTCCTTTTTCTGGATCCAACATGGCATAAACCTATTCCATGACAACAGAGAAACCTCGAAACCCAACTTTAACGAATAATTTCCCCTTATTGTTGTAAATCTAGCTTGGTTTTCCTCTTTTGTAGGGCTCCTTGTCCAGCATAAGGCCAAACCGAAAACGTAAACAAAAGAAACGCATTGATCATGTTTGTGACGGACATGAACAGCCTTACACTGTAACTTTATTAGAAAGTGAAATCAGAGAATCATGAATTCCGGGCATTCAAGCGTCTGAGTATGGTTTTTATCAGTCAACTCCGAACTGATTTAGCATCATTCCTCTGAGTCCTGCAGATCTTCCAGACAAATGACTCTAGTTGTGACGTACATGCACCATTCCTCATAGAGAATCCTCTAATCAATCTCCGATGCATGACATCAAAACGGAACGCATTTTGTAAGGCGATACAACAGACCGTAGGGGAACGGCGGTGCAATGTAAAAATTTGTCGGGTTCGTCGTCCCGTTCTTTTGTTTTAGTCTGCTGATTACCTTCGACCCGGCTGAAAGTCAACCATTACGACATCGTCGACTGTAGATCCGTGGAAGCGTATTCGTTTTCAGTGGCACCGGGGGAGGGGGGTGTGTCGGAGTTAACACCCGTTTAGAGGTAGACAATTAACACCAAGCCATAGACCAAATGTCTCTCGACGGGACTCGACTGTGGGATATCACGATCACAAACCCACGCAATCCGTCACGAATAAGTTACCTGCAGTCTGGCCTTCTGAAAAAGGCGTTTGGCGAACATGGCGACGATCCTCTCCCCACCGCCGCTACGTCCTTCTCCGGAGACTCATGCCGAGGCGAAACAAGAAGCAACTCGGCCGCCAGAAGGGGATCAAAGCACCACGTCTCCCGCTGATCCTCTCCGAGAAGACGATCTCACGGCAGCGACCTGAAGCAGAGGCACCGGCCGGCCGTTCGTCTTGCGTGTGGGAACGGGTGACTGAATGGTTCCTGATTTCTTTTGTCCGTTTTCTTCTTCTCGGATTCGCGGAGTCCGACCGCGAAGGCACTCTCAGTTTCCGGCACCGTCTGGGTGCAACGCGCTATGTACTTCACAACTATAGACAGTAATGCTAACTCTGTGGACCCGCAGAGAATTGGGTTGACGTGGGCTCGTTAACGGACTGGACAATCGAGCTTCCTGGCCTCTCCACGTGTCATAATTCCACGTGTGGGGCCTAGTGAGTCCTCTCTTCGGTCTCCAGTCCACCGTCCGCAGCGGAGAGCCAGCCGGCGTATAAAAAGAGGTCTGCGGTCGTTATTTGCTTCCAGTCTGATTTCGATCCCTTCTTCCCCGGCCAGCATAGAACGGGGCGAGCAGAGGGATGATGTCGTTGCTGAAGGTCTTCTCCCGCTTCACCTCCTCTGCGGCGAAGCCTCTCCCGCACAGTCCGCGGGGCTACCAGTCGATCCTGTCGCATCTACCATTTTCCACCGCGGCAACGACCTCTACTCCACTTGGCCTGGCGCCGACGAAGCCCGGGAAGGAGAAGCCGCGGGTGGTGGTGCTCGGCACGGGATGGGCGGGCTGCCGGCTCATGAAAGGAATCGATACCTCTCTTTATGATGTTGTCTGTATTTCTCCCCGAAATCACATGGTGTTCACTCCCCTCCTCGCCTCCACCTGCGTCGGCACCCTCGAATTCCGCTCTGTAGCCGAGCCCGTGGCCCGGATCCAACCGGCGATTTCCAGCGCACCGGGTTCCTATTTCTACCTCGCACGCTGCAAGTCCATCGACTCCGACTCTCACACGGTAATTGAGCAATTCGAACCCCGAATTGATGGATTCTGGCTTCAGGATAATCGAAATAGAAGGATACTGCTTTCTCGTTCCACTGAGTCTGATTCCACTAAAGGTGTTCTGCGAAACCGTCACGGATGGAAATGGGGAGGACACATTGGAACCCTGGAGCTTCAAAGTTGCATACGACAAACTGGTCATTGCAGCTGGGGCGGAAGCGTTAACATTTGGCATACGCGGTGTCAAGGAGCACGCCATTTTCCTCCGGGAAGTGCACCACGCGCAAGAGATCCGCCGAAAACTTCTTCTCAACCTAATGCTATCGGATGTGCCAGGTATGCTGCCCTTTCCCACATTACATTGCAAATTTCGACACCATTCTGTAACGAGGAATTAAATTTTTGACGTTAATTTGGGAGAATGATGCCCTTTCAATTGATGGACGTGGCATTTATAGATATAAAAAAATTCAGACATCTTTGGCAACAGACCAACTCCACGGACATTTTTCAAGTCAATATGAAAAGAGGAAGCACTGTATAGCACTGGCAGGGGATCAGGTACCGATCCATTGGACATGCCTAGTTCGCCGGTACTACTGGAATTGTCTTCAGAAAATTCACCCTAGGGAAGGCGAACCTTGCGGATTTTTTCTTTGTCTCGTCTGACAAGCTTCTCTGCTACCAAATAGTAGGCATGTGTGCGGTTACCTCATCCTATTAGTGCCGTAAACTGTTCTTTGCGCGCCATTGTTTAACGGTTGTATGATCTTATGTTAATGGGAAGTATTAGAGATAACTTTAACATACTTATGACTTGGTGATTCCTGTCACCAGTTCTATCTTCATCGTCTTCCACTAGTTAGGGTTTTTATTTAGATGTAAACAAAAATGCTCAGCTATCTGTCCCCTTCTATACGGAACTTTGGTTTTTTTATGCTGAAATCAAGTTGACATCAATAAGAAGACGACAGAGCCCTGGGCTGTTCAAGAAGCGTGCCTAAATTCCTGACCAATTTCAATTTATTCATCATGGAGAATATCCCAGTCCTATTTAAGGCAAAAATAAGTAATGGGTCGTGTTTATTGCCTGATATTTGTTTCCACTGAGGTTTTAAAAAGTTGCTTCGTCCAGATGTGAAGGATGAACTCATTTGAACCCCTAATTTTTATAAAATCATTAGTTTTCACCCCGCGTTCAACCATTACCTATTCTCGAGTCTCTCATCTGAGCGTCCTGTCTCTTAGCTACACACTGTACTATGTTGGCCTTGGTGTTTGTTTAATAACGGGTGGGAAGTTGCCACTAATTCAGATACTCTCTAATCGAATGCGTGACACATCTCTTCTGCTATTTTAATATCATGCTCCCTCATCCATCCACCTAAGTCGAATCGCATGGTATTGACTGCCTAAAAATGGAAATTTATCATAGTTTTTAAGGGTTGAACCGACTGTGAAGCCTGATATCTCATCCACCTGGCTGGCGAGATCTTTTCTCAAACTGCCTCAGCCGTGGACAACGATCTTCTTCAAATTGTGCAGACGCTCGTGAATTGCTCTGACATTCGTACTGAACCTTGAATTATTTTGCTCTGTGCCTGCCATGCGCCAATGCAGGGATTTCTGAGGAAGAGAAGAGGAGGCTTTTACACTGCGTTGTTGTTGGAGGCGGCCCCACAGGTGTGGAGTTCAGCGGTGAGCTCAGTGATTTCATCATCAAAGATGTTCGTGAGAGATACACCCACGTCAAAGATTATATCCGTGTGACTCTCATCGAGGTTATCCCATGAAAAATCCCCAGCAGAGACATAATGATTAGCCCACCGAGCTTCAGTCAGAACACAGGCATCTGAACGCTTTCCTATCATGCTAGGCAAATGAAATCCTGTCATCCTTCGACGTTCGCTTGAGACAATACGCCACAAAGCAGCTGACCAAGGTGAGCAGTAGCTGATTCCTGTCTAAATACTCGGCGTATATGACATCTGGGTCGAGAACCCAACCTCTTTGGTTGACTTCTTTCATTTGTGCAGCACCATGTTCTCAGTTTCGCCGTCTTTCCTTCCAAGTATAATTCTGCCAGAATTTCTGCATTAAACTGCAAGCAGTGGATTAAAAATTATAGCTTTCCTTCCTCGAAACGTTTTCTTGAAGAATTTCTATGATTCAGAAACATCCTGAAACGGAAATGTTGGCCCAAAAGCAGTGTTTGGTATGAACAACCTCTGAAAGGACTGATGATAGTGGTCTAACCGAGTGTTTAGTAGGGACAGCTTGGCTGTTTTGTCTTGTTAATTTTATTAATCTCTCTCCTTAAATGGGTAACGCAACTGGGAGTTTCCGTGATATGCATCGCCACGTTTAGAGATATTTCATGCCGCAAATTCGGTGGTTCCGGTGTTCCCTTCTCAGTCCGGTGTTCGCCTCGTTCGTGGGATCGTCAAGGACGTCCAACCTCAGACACTGATTCTTGACGACGGCACGGAGGTTCCTTATGGGCTTCTCGTCTGGTCCACTGGTGTCGGCCCCTCACCTTTCGTAGGCTCCTTGCAGTTCCCAAAGTCTCCTGGTGGAAGGTCAACCCCCTCAACCCCCTCAACCCTCTCTCTCTCTCTCTCTCTCTCTATCTCTCTAACAGCGTCCGCTCCGGCAGGATCGGCGTGGACGAGCACCTTCGCGTCCCGTCGGCCCAGGACGTGTTCTCAGTGGGCGACTGCTGCGGGTTTCTGGAGAGCACGGGCAAGCCCGCGCTGCCCGCTCTGGCCCAGGTAATTAAACCTGCGGCTCATCTCTGCGGAGCTTCTCCTCTCTCTCGTCGCCGGCTAGTGACGACGAGTTTCTTTCCCCATTTCTCTCTCTGGTTCAGGTGGCGGAGAGGCAGGGGAAGTTCATGGCGGGTCTGCTGAACCAGATCGCCCGCGCCGGCGGAGGCCACGCCAACAGCTCCGGCGGGATCGAGCTCGGAGCTCCGTTTCACTACCGCCACCTCGGCAGCATGGCCACCGTCGGCAGGTACAAGGCCCTCGTTGATCTCCGGCAAAGCAAGGTCTGTGCATCTTCCTTCTTCTTCTTCTTCTCTCTCTCTCTCTCTCTCTCTTTCTCCGTTGACTTCCAGAACTGCGGCGGCGGAGCTGACACCGTTCGTCTTGTTCTTCTTCCCAGGAAGCCAAGGGGTTGTCGCTCGCCGGCTTCGTGAGCTGGTTCGTTTGGAGGTCGGCCTACCTCACCCGCGTCATCAGCTGGAGGAATCGATTCTACGTGGCGATCAACTGGCTAACCACCCTCGTGTTTGGCCGCGATATCAGTCGAATCTAGACCGGCAGCTTCTCACGGGTAGCAAGAAGGTTTCTTTATCCGCGCCTACTCTGTATATTTTTCATCGTGGAGTCCCCGTACATCAAAAATATTAATGGGCCCGGGCGGCCCAATGTGAATTTTTTTATCTTTAATTGGGAAACTAATGGACAGCGACGTGTTCCATATTCCAAATGGTCTATAACAAGGTCAAACCGAATAACCCCCAGAAGAAATAAATTTATCGACATATATATTTATTTATATATCGTAATAGAGTAAATTCATAAAGACCCCCCATTTTATACATTTTGGGCCTTGCTGGACCCATTTTTCGGGCTTTCCTCCCATTCCGGGCCGGGCACGGGTCTCCACTGAATCACTGACGTGTAAACTCCAACGGCAAGCACTGAGATCTAAGATGCACGTCAAAACCACGGGCGAGACGAAGACCAGCTCTCCCGCATCAGCACCGAGCTTCGGTCGTCGTCCATCAGATAGAGAGAGTCGACGAGGAAGTTCGAGTGGGCTCCACGATTCCGTTGCGGATGTGAGAATCTCCTCGTGCGTGGTCGCAGAATGGGATAGACACGGAGACGGGGAGAGCTTGCGTGATGACGTTGCCGATTGCAGACCGGTCTGATAACGTTAGACATGACGTCGGCGTCTGTATGGGGAAGCATTGCCTCGGCTATCTATGTAAACCCATCATATTCCTCTCCGCCCGACTCTCGTCCGCTTGCCGCAAGAGCTCTGATACCGGGGACTGGACTGGGTTTCCTCTTCCTAGGCAATGACAATCTCTTCTGGAAACAAAGGTTAAAAGATTCTTCCCCTTCCTCGTTTCCTTTCCGGATGATCTATTGGCAATGATTTCTGTATGTGTTTCGGTGTTTTTGTCCATCGTCTGCGTCCCCGTCTTTTTTTGTGAGCTCTCCCCCTTCGTTTCTCATGTTCGTAGATGCGCTCGGTCAAAATAATCTACGACGGTCCGTTGTTGGGGCATATGGTTCTCCTGAACATCTCTTTTCAGATCACTCGGAAAACGTGTCTAATCATGGATCGAAGCGACCTTCTCTCGTTCCGGTAGAATTGATATTTCGAGAGTCTAGAGAGCCAAATGTCTCGTGCCAGAGATCCGTAGAGGAAGAGGATATGAGAGATCCTAGGAATCCGCAGAAGGATGCAGACTTGAACAAGCGAGTCCAGCTTCTGGATGATGCAATTGTGCTAGAAATGTTGTTCAAGTGGTGGATTTCAATCTTTGACGATGTAATGGTGTCCACGCAAGCCTGCATTTGAACTCTTTAAATGGAAGTAAATAAATCGCCATCCATTTTGAACGAAATGGTTCCAGGAGGGGAAGATGCGTTGCATATTTTCTGTAGTAGCATAAGCTTGGAAACTGGTTGCGAAGGGGTTTTGTTCAAAGAATCTTAAAGGCTTAGTCGGCTTCAATCCATCATTCTTTTTGGTACATTTTCTGCCAGGGACACCTCTCCCCACGAATTCCCGTGGCTGTGCGACGTATAGAGTTACGTCTTCAATCTTGTTGTTGAGACCTGCTAAAACCCCGCCGATTAAAACGTAATCTGGCGTACTGTTTACCTAGAGGATGGATCCTTCAATTTTCTAATTTTGTTCTCAACAGAGGTATGAATGGATTCTTTGCCGGAGGTGTTTGCTGCAACTCATATAGCGTGGCTATGATTTTCAACTTGCTGCTTTGCAAGAGGTGTTTTGTGTGGGGATTTTTAGTTGTAATGCCAATTAATGGCTCTAATTCACAGGATAGGGATGATATCGCATGTATAGTGCTATCTCTTTGATAATTCCCTTACTTTTAGTAGATTCTTCATTTTCTTGGCGATTCTTTTTTTCTAACGTTAAGCTAATCTATGGGAGAACTGTTAGGTCATATCCATTAAAACTGTTGTCATATCGGGAACATACATTGCTCCGTAATTTTTTCTCTCTAGAAAAGATGATATTTCTTTTTGAATCACACTTCATGTGCCAAATAAAATGTTCAGGTTATTTTAAAATTATTTTATTCATTTTCTTTGCAATAGAAGACGATTGACCATGGTGATGATAAGGCTGATCAAAATGGTTATCCCTACACATCATTGCCAGCGAGCTAAAACACTCACATGAGTAAGACGAAATTGACACTTGTCATTGCCTATTTACAGAAGAAATTCTCCAAGACAACATGAGCTCTAAACTTGGATTGCCAGCATTAGATGTCTCTCTTGCGTTTCCTCAGGCAACACCTGCATCTGTGTTCCCTCCTCCTGGTAAGATCTATTATTTATTTTTGTAACCTCAGTGGATGTATTCTGAGAATTGTAAGCACATCATCCATTATGTTTTTTATGTATGTCGCTGCATACTTCCTGCTCGTCGTTGATTTTGTTACCGTATGCAAACAGTTATTTTTTGAATCAGTTGAAGCTGTATATAACACACGTTTCAATACTAGCAGCTGGTGTAGAAAGTGTGGCGTTTCCTAATACTGTCACTTTGGCCTTCTGTAAATGTCAGAGCACCCAGATCTGTTACTTATCCCGTGGCCATTGCTTAATTCTTGAAGTGCAAGACGTTCAAAAAACATTGTCTTTTCTACTGCCGGGGTGTCATTTGAAACTGGGTGATTTGCTTTCGAGTTTCGATTCATTCTATCAGATCATGCTTGAACAACCTCTGTGCTGCTCTTCTGTTGGGTCATAGCATGCATATCGCTTGATTAATTGTTAGGCTATTGAGGAAAGCTCCATTTGATAATCTCACATCATTTGGAAAAAGCGATACAATGCAAACTGTGTAAAATGCAATTACCTTCCTTGAATGTCAAGCTACTCCTGGAGAAAAGAAACAGCTTTATGAATGCAGGAAGGTGAGCTGGCCAGCAGAGAGTGTGATTTCTAAAATCTGTCATGGTGTGTGTGTGTGTGTGTGACAGCGAGAGGGAGAGAGAGAGAGAGGATAACAAGTTTCCAATTATGGAGCATCATAAAATGTTCATCTTCGTACTTCATTTATTATTTTTGTATTTTCTATAGTTTCCCTAAAATTATTTCTTAGCAACCATTACAGTTTCAGTAAATTCACATCTGATGCTGTTTTATATCCAGCTTCCGATTATTATCAATTCGATGATTTGCTAAATCCGGAGGAGAAAGCTGTGAGGAGAAAAGTTAGGGAGGTTATGGAGAAAGAAATTGCTCCGATTATGTCGAAGGTACATTTCGTGCACCTTGTTTTTGTGGCACCTTGTATTGTAATTAGAAACGAAGATTAGAAACTCCGATTTAGTTCTATTTCAAACACTGGGATGTTTCGGACATACATCAGCCATTAATACCTCAATACTCGTTATGGCAAACTTCTATCCTTTTCATGGTTTCCATTTAGGAGTTGGGAACAGAAATAGAAAGTTGGACGCACGACTGCTTCAAGGTTTTGCATCGTTGTCCTTGTAGATTCACGAGGAATCTGCAGTCATAATAATTCACATCCATTGTTGGGATGAAATTTTCAAAGGTTATTTTCATTTTTCTATTTTAACTTACCGGCGTTTGTCATACATTTTTAGTTTGACTATGTTAATTTACTAGGTTGATGAGGGGACGTACTCCCTCGTGCCATCTGGATAACATAGTCAGAAGGCATGTAATCACTTTATCATGCTTTCTGAGGTTTCTCCAATACATGGAAACCTGTATGTAAAAATAGCATAGACTCTGTAAATTTTTGGTTTATTAAATGTCCGTTCCTTTCACATGTCTCATTAAAATATGGCATAATATCTATTTTGGTAAGCATTTGTTGCCTGCTATAGCTCTAACGTATATACATTCTACATAGGAGCTATTATTTTGGAAAAGCATTTTCATCTTTAAGCTATGCTAATTAGAAATATGCATGGAATATATTTTATGATACCTTATATGTAAAGTTATGTTCTCTTCTCTGACATTTAAATGGGGTTCCTTTCTCCGTAATATGTCGTCATGTTTGTGACTTCATGGATGATCACGAATATTTGGACGTTTCTGCACAGTATTGGGAGAAGGCAGAGTTTCCATTTCAGGCTATTCCCAAACTTTCATCCCTGGGAGTTGCTGGTGGGACAATCAAGGTATCGCTCTTTCCCGTGCCTCCTTGGTTAAATATGAGACTTTATGAGGAGACTTTGTCCTAACTTTTGGGGTACAGGGCTATGGGTGTCCAGGGCTTTCCTGTCTTGGCAGTGCCATTGCCGCAGCAGAAGTGGCCAGAGTGGATGCAAGTTGTTCTACCTTCATTTTGGTGCACTCTTCATTGGCAATGCTAACCATTGGTATAGACTAGTTGCTGCCTCGTGTCTAGCATTCGCCATCTCCTGATTTCCACGTATACATTTGATTTCACATTGTCTTGAAATTTTCTTTGACAGGATTGTGTGGATCAGAGGATCAGAAACAGAAATATCTACCTTCATTGGCACAATTGGAGACCGTTGGTTGTTGGGTTAGTAAAAAACCCCCGCGGAATGCTGTGACAACCCATGCAGTAATTTATTCCGTAACCTAAGTCAGCTAATCGATATGTTAACAATGTGGCAGGCATTGACCGAGCCAGACTATGGAAGTGATGCAAGTTCTTTAAGAACCACAGCGACAAGGGTCTGGTTTTGGAAACTTATTCCTTTATGATCTAAGGGCACTAGCACATTTGCAGTCAAATTTCTAAAAATTATCATCAACTATTGCTGTCGTCTTTTGAAGGCATTTATTTGTTATTAATGTCGAGATCTTGCGGTTAACTAAAATAATTTTGATTATTCCGAAGTTGCAAACGGTTTTATCAATAATACTGTTGAATGGAACAGGTTGATGGAGGTTGGGTACTTGATGGCCAGAAACGCTGGATCGGCAACAGTACCTTTGCTGATATTTTGATTGTGTTTGCCAGGAACACATCGACCAACCAGATTAATGGGTAAATAATCTTTATGCTTGTGATCTCCTTTAAATGGTCTTATATCAAATCATCCGTATTAAGGAGCTTGCATACAGACAATCCTCCTGATGTCATGAAGCCAAGAATGTTAAATTTTTCTTGTGAAGCTTCACATAGTTTATGAATGGGATTTACTCATACCACATAGTTTATCATATCAATGAAAGTATTCTGATTAGTTTTGAGCTCGATACTTGAATTTTTACGTGCAAAAGGCTCATTTGCTTTATGCTTATTCCAATTATCTGAGATATTCTGCATTCATGTCCACATGATTGGAGTAATTTTGATGATGACAACTTCACGATTTTTTATTCCAATGGATTTCTTATGACAATGAGGACAGTCCCGGTTACTACTACCTATGTATTGGTAGAGGTCTCATAACGTAAGAATGATGATTGTACAATAAAATAAATACAATTATCCATCTGTTTAATCTTATGTATCGATTCTCTGGAAGATAAACTAATATCCTTCAATACTTAAGTGAGCTTACAATGAAAAAGATGTGCAAAGTTTTACAATACGTAGTTTCTCCCCATGAGCCGACTGGCACAACATAATTGGAGATGGTCGACCCAAGCTTTTTAGTAGTAGTTTACTCTCTAGAACCAGTGAACTCATCACTCTTTGGCACAATTTCAGCTGCATAATTTAGTGCTCTTTCATCTTTTTCGCCACGAAATGACCTCTGATGCTTTATTTTTTGTGGGAATCTGGAAGCATATGTCCAAGATCTTCCTCACCCTTACTGAACATGCTTTCCAAAACGTTTTTTGACCCTTTTAGAGCCTTTACTATATAGCAACCATTACATAGTAGCTGTTTGCCGACTGCTTGGGCCACCACAGGACATTCAATGGCTGATGTATAATTAAGGTTTTAGATGGTTCAAAAGGGATTTTTGGAAGTATATTCAACAAGAAGAGGGGAGATATTGACTCTCTACACTTTGCAAAGTCCTAAAAATCAAGCATTGTCGCCCTACCTAAAGCTCCACCCTCAAGCAAGAAAGCTGCTGCACATTGAGTCCAGTGGAGTGTACACACAGTCAAGAAATGTTAGGTGAAATAACAAAGCAAACGCTTACAGAATTCACTATGCACGAATTCTGAGCTATCACCTTGCCGTCTAGGTAGTACCCAAGAGGAGTCTGGGAACTGGTAACCCAATTCATCCTTCTGATCTGCCGGGGTAATGTATTGATGCTACATGATGCTTAAAAAACTAGAGATTTATGTATGCATATTCAAGCTGTGTGCTCTGTTAGTGCGAGAAGCTCTGTTCTCTAGAGAGTGATTGCGAGAAGCTCTGTTCTGTAGCATGTTAGTGCGAGAAGCTCTGTTCTCTGATTCGCTTTCGTACAGATTTATTGTGAAGAAAGGCGCACCTGGTCTGAGCGTCACAAAGATTGAAAACAAAATTGGCCTCAGAATCGTTCAGAATGGCGACATTCTCCTGAACAAAGTATTCGTCCCTGATGAAGATAAGCTGTCTGGGGTGACTTGCTTTCAGGACACAAGCAAGGTACCCCCTTTCGCTCTTTCTCGACACCAATGCTTCATCTTTCTCGGCGCTGATTCTTCTGCTCTCGCGTTCTCTCCGCTCAGGTCCTCGCTGTCTCGCGTGTGATGGTCGCCTGGCAGCCGATCGGCATATCGATGGGCGTATACGACATGTGCCATCGGTAGATACCTTCTGCCCCGAGCCTCCTGCAAAATCTAGCAACTTCTTGGCGTTCATCCCGCTGTTCTCCGATGCAACTGGGATCGGGGAAAAAAAATGGCAGGTATCTGAGGGAGAGGAAGCAATTCGGAGCCCCACTGGCGGCGTTCCAGATCAACCAAGAGAAGCTCGTCCGCATGCTCGGCAACATCCAAGCCATGCTACTCGTGGGATGGCGCCTGTGCAAGCTCTACGAGTCCGGCAAGATGACCCCCGGCCACGCCAGCTTGGGGAAGGTTAGGGCACCGGTCCAGCGCCAGAATGCCCCACTTCTCTGAGCGTCCCCATCCTTCTCTGATGTCAATCACCTCGTGTGGCCCAGGCTTGGAACTCCCAGAAGGCGAGGGAGACGGTCTCTCTGGGGCGCGAGCTTCTCGGGGGGAACGGAATCCTGGCCGACTTCCTGGTGGCCAAGGTCTCGGCTGGATCTCTTCCTCTGTTTCCTCCGTCTGGCTCCTGCCTTTTTTGGCTGATCCTGGAGCTCTCTGTTGCAGGCCTTCTGCGATCTGGAGCCGATTTTCTCCTACGAAGGCACCTACGATATCAACTGCCTGGTCACCGGCCGGGAGATCACCGGCATCGCGAGCTTCAAGCCTGCTATTCTGGGGAAGAGCCGGCTGTGAGGAAGAACAACAGACCGCTTTCGACGATGTTCTTTGGAAGTTAAACCTGCGGCGATGGTCAATCCGTCTGCAGTCAACTGCTACGGATCGCCCGAGCCTCTTTTCGCTCTTTTAAAAAGGGTGTGTATTTTGGCCATAGACCCTTGGAATTAGCTCAAATTGGAAATAGAAGTGTATATTTAAAAATAATAATAATGATAAGGTTTCATCTACGTAGAAGACATTGGGGGGGGATTATGTGCAAATGACAACGAGTTTTTGTTCATACTTGGGGGGTGATTTGGTGGCCCAAAACTGTTAATGGGCCTATCCTAGAAAAATGTGGGCCTACAGGGCCCAAAGCCATGGATAAATGGCCAACGTACTGTGTACTTTGGTCATAGATCCTCGAATCGGAAAATGAGGGTATTTTTAAAAGCAATAATTAATAACAAGGTTTCATCTACTTAAAAGGCATTTGAGAGGAGTAAGGCACAAATGACCACGAGTGTTCGTCCCTACTCGGAGATGATTCGGGCCCAGAGCCCAGAAGGTGTTACTGGGCCGGTTGCTTGAGAAATGTGGGCCAATGGGGCCCAAAAGCCATGGATAAAGGGCAACTGGCGTGTGAATTTTGGTCATAGACCCTTAGAATTACCTCGAATTAGAAGTAGGATCATATATTTTAAAATGATAGCAATGAAACCGTTTTATCCACGTAGAAGACATTTGGGAGGAGTTATGCAGAAATGATAACGAGTGTTCGTTCGTTCGTACTCGGAGGTGATTCGGGCCCAAAGGTGTTAATGGGCCTATTGCTCGAGAAATATGGGCCAATTGGGCGAAAAGCCATGGATAAAGGTCAACTGGCGTCTTCGGCCTCCCGAGAGAGAGCTGTGTTCGCCGACGCTGTCTTGCTTCTGGAGCTAGGAAGCGATGGCGGCAATCCATCTCTCGGCCACCGGCGCCTGCTCCTGTGCCCCCAGTAATCCCTCCTTCCCCTTCCCTTCTCGTCCTTCTGCTCGCTCCCAAAGGGTCGCCGCGTCCAATCGCTCCTTCCTATTGAGCTCCGCTTGCCTCGGCGGTCGGTCCGGAAGTGTCCTCCGCACCGCGTTCACGGGGCGCCGCCATGGAGATAGGCGTCGTGCTGCCGGACAATCGTCGACGGTCTTCATTTGCGCCGTCGGGAAGCTTTCGGAGGCGGACCTTCTCCCTGTCCCTGCTGAGCCAGAGGGACTGGAGGGGAAGATCCCCTCTGGTGCCGGGGTTTATGGGGTCTACGACGGCAACGGCGACCTCCAGTACGTCGGAATATCCCGTAATCTAGTAGGCAGCATTGGTTTCCACCGGAAGACTGTTCCCGGCCTCTGCCATTCTGTAAAGGTGATGCGATCTGGCTCCTCAGTTGCGTATTTTATTGATCGTCATGTCAGTTGCATCCGTCTCCTGTGATTCCCTCTGCTCATGAAATTGATCTATAATTTGATTTATTTTACCGGTTTTTGGTGGGAACTTTGACGAGTTTAATTAAAGAACGTCACTACCTTCATCTTCGGAATGTCTAACCTGGTCAGAAGTTAAGGTCTTGATCTTCCGTATTTAGTCGGGGAATGTAACACAAAACAGAAAATTAAGGGTTTCTTTATTCTTTCCTGCTTCATGCTTAGTGAGCAAGTGATGATTGTCCATGGGTGAACCTGACTTAATGAGTTGACAAAAAAACATTGTTCGAGTGCGCTTTCTCTTACTCTCATCAGGATTATCTCGATTTTTTGTTTATTTTTTTGGTCACAATATCTTGTCGAAGGGGATAAATCATTTATTTCGGAGGTAAAAACTTGAGCCGGTTTTTCTCCCGAAAAAGTTGCGTTTCTTGTTTGCTAATTTCTTCTGTACACAGGAACTGATTGCATTGTGTTCCATTGTAAGCAAGCATATCATCATAATGTCAGGTGTAAATATTTCAAAAGCATGAACAAGTTGGTAGTGAACTAAGTTCAACGTTGTTATTATTTTTTTCCTTCTGGGGGTATCTTCTATCTTCTGACTTTCGAACCTTTCTAATATTGTCGTAATATATTTTCTATTTTATTCTCACGTGTTGAAGCAGGTTGATCTCATACCACCTTTTCAAACGTTTTATTTTCTATTTTATTGTGGTTATTTTTTTTACTATATATTGTGTTGTATTTTATTTTCAGCCAATTGTCATATGTTTATCTATAAATTGTCTGTTCTTTCGTCGAATGCCCATCTCTACACCAGTAGATATCTTTGTCATTTGTGTAGATGAAGTGGAGGGATCATGGGGAGAGCGCTTCTGACAAAAATATTCCAGAGTAAATGGGCAATAGTTTGGAGAAATTGGTTGCTGTAGATTTATCTCACATAAATCAGAAAACAGACCACAAACCGGGATAACAGGAGAGAGAGAGAGAGAGAGAGAGAGCATTCATTTAGTGTGAAGAGTGGACCACTTGTGTACGCAGAGATTCCATCTGGGTGATCACAAAGATGAGCATTTTCCTCGTAGGAATCAAGGAATGCTGTTTATTTGGGGGAGAAGAGGGAGAGAGAGAGAGGGAGGAAGGGAGGGAGGGAGGGAGAGGGAGGGAGGGAGAGGGAGGGAGAGGTAGAGGGAGAGAGAGAGAGAGTGTGAAGGACAAGGTTCAGTGGGGAGGTGGTGAGTATGGCAAAGGGACCGAGAAGAGGGGGAGGATCGATCCTCTGTTCAATCTCAGCACTCAGCTTGCCTTATTTGTGATTTTTTTGTCCTTGATGCTGATTTCTGTCCGGAACGTTCGTCAGAAAAATCCGCATTTGAGCAGCCACTTCACTTGGTCCATCGGAAAAAATTACTTTCTTCCGCGTTGACTCATGGTTGAACATTAGGAACAGAGTCAAAGATATATGAGAGAACTAGTTTTGACCCACCAATTGGTCCCCGCTGACATCTACCTTTCATCCTTCTCTCTAGGTCGGCCTCGTCGACGGCGCTGCCGCCGCCGCCGATCGGACGGTCCTGACTGAGGCCTGGAAATCTTGGATTCAAGAGCACATCGACGCCACCGGCCAGCCCCCGCCGGGTAACCTGTCGGGGGACGACACGTGGACACGGCGGCAGAAGGCCAAGCCCAGCCTCCGCCTCACCCCCGGCCGCCACGTGCAGTTGACCGTCCCGTTGGAGGACCTAATTGATCGGCTGGTGAAGGAGAACAGGGTGGTGGCCTTCATCAAAGGATCGAGAAGCGCCCCCCAGTGCGGCTTCTCCCAGAGGGTGGTGAGCATCCTCGAATCCAACGGCGTTGACTTTGAGAGCGTCGACGTGCTCGACGAAGAGTACAACTTCGGGTTGAGGGAGACCCTCAAGGCCTACAGCAACTGGCCGACCTTCCCGCAGATCTTCGTCAAGGGAGAGCTCATTGGCGGGTGCGATATCCTCACCGCCATGGAGACCTCCGGGGAGCTCTCGGCGCTGTTCAAGAACTAGCCGTTGGAATGAAACTTCTCTCTCTCTCCCATTGATTCTAATTGGAGACCATCTCGTCTTCGTGCATTCACGATCGCCGCTCGCCGGGCGCGTTGACTTTCTGCTGCCCGTTGGGATCGTCGCCGGTCGGCGCAGCATGTGAGTTTCCCGTCTCCTTCTTAGAAATCATTGCCAAAAATCTCATAATAATAATAATAATAATGAGAAGAAAGCTGTGATAATGGTTATTGCTCGTGAGAAAATAGTTTTCGGTATAATTTTTAATATTCCGCTAAAAAAAAAAATCGTACGATCATGGGCAATATACTGAAGTCAAGTTGCTTTATTTGGGCGTAATTAGGATGAGACTAATTACACTTTAAATGGGAAAATTCTCTCTCAAGTCAAAGCCCGTTAATCGACAATGTTCTTTTTAGAAGCCCGTTGTACCGGGAGGTCGAAGCAACGCGGGGGAGGACGAGGGAGCCGTAGAAGGAGTGAGCCGGCGCCTGCCGGTGACGGGGATGGAGATCGGGGATGAAGAAGAGCAGGAGTGCCGCCAGACCCTTCTGCGGGATGAACATACCGGTGAATTCAAGCGATGCAGCCGAGAGATGCGACTGGAGGAGTTCGGTGACAAGTTCGTCATCAGGTCTATTGATCCCGACGTTCCAGATGCCGCCTTCTCCATCGACCGCAGCGATGGCCTCCTTCAAAGGCTGGAAGGTTCGTTCAGATCCTCTGCGTTGTGCGACTTTATATCTGGTTCTCAGGGTCCCTTCTCCGTTCTTCTTTCAAAAGCTTTCCTATTCTTCTTTAAACAATGGCAACGTTTTGACTACGTGCTGAAATATCGACGTCACCGTGGAGTTACCTCTTGAAAAACCTTTGAAAAATTTGTTACCGACTTGCCGACAGGGTCCGTTACCTGAATTGGCCAAGCAATTTATGCTACCGCTTAGGAGTGGCGATTTTGTCCCAAGGAAAGCGATCCTGACGCCGTATAATCGCTGAGAGAACGAATCGTTGTGTCCGGGGTATCCCTGCGACAATGAGTCTTGAGATTTGACGCTTCTTCGTTAGTGTGCTTTGTTTGCGCACATTTAGTGGCAGGATAATCTGGAGGGCAGGATTGTTTTCTTGACTCAACTCAATGATAATTTCTCACATTTTCGGATAAAAATATAATTTTATTCATATAGTACATTAGTTTCTGAGTCAAATGCGCTTTATTCGCTTGAAAATGGATCGTTTTTCTGATGTTTTTATTCAAAAGTTTGTGCCTGTTGAGTAATAGAATTACCCCATTGGTCATCCCGTAGTTTCTGGCGTGTTTCGAGAAAATTAGTTGTAATAGTGCATATTCGATTTATGCGACATACCAAAACGGATGGATCCTTCCGATGAGCTTGTCATCAGTCTTTTCTTCTTCATCTGTTGCTGCTGTAGAATGATGCAAATTCATATAGCGGCAAGATAAGTTCATGTTCAGTCATTTGGATTCATATAGTTCAGACGGGTTCTTATGGGATACTAATTCCATAGTGAATGGCATGCCTTGATACACCAAATTTCGCTTATTTGACATTGAATAGCACTATGATGAAAAGTTTGATAATATTTCTCATCTGTGCAGGAAATTCTACCGACTTTGGAGCTCCTTTGAATACTTCAATCATCTATGGTGTTGTAGGGACTATTAGGCTACTTGTAGGTAATTGCTTTTCTTTCAGTGAATGATGATCATGCCATTTTCTCTTAATTTTTATGAAATTAATGATCATCATCCATTACTGTTCCAGAAATTTCTTCTGTCCTGAGGGTCTCATTTCTCTTGCACCATACGTGATTATTGTTTAGTTATGTCATAATAATTTATATTAAATTTATAATCAGGCGTCCATTACTCTTCTCTCGAACTACGATAATAATTATTGTGCTATTTGACCCTGATAAAAGAAAAGGCTTCTTGTTGCCCGGATCTTTTATCGCTTTCTAGTCGCGTTTGGTTCTTATGATCCCATTATGCTCTTTCGATTAGAACTAACACTCTTCTGAAAACGTAGTTGGGTATACTAATGTTGAAAACACGAAGGTTCTCTTGAAATTTTCATTCTCTAGGACTTCAGGTGCCAAATTGATACACCTGTAGGTTAATGTTTTTATCATCTATGTTATCCACAGCAATTAAACTATTCAGAGGCATTCTGTGATTAGAAGATTAATATTTTTTTATGTCGTCAAGTCCCAGTTAAGTTGTGAAGAGCATGATGCCACAGATTTTTTAAAAAAAATCATATAATGTAACGAATAATATAAATTAATTAATTTAGTAACGGTAAGATTAAGTAAAATATATGATTATTATAATTAATTTGGTTATTGTAATTTGTTAGGTATCAATTCAAAATGAAGAAAATAATGCCATTTTCTTTGCTTTTAATATCATCACTGTCTATTTGAATGTACATGACGTACTTAAAAAACGTTTACCATAAAATGCTTTTCTAAAACGGTAAAGCTGTCTAACATTTGGATGTCTGATCCTCGTATATGATGATATTTTGCTACTTTCTTCTTGTTCCTTCAGTTATCATTTATTTGGTTACATAACCAAGATTGAAGAAGTGGACCTTTAGCATAAGAGTTTAGATTTTTGTATTTTTACTCTTAGGCATTGTGAAATGTATCCTATGTTACATTTTTTTCGGATTACCTACGGTTTGGTTCTCAACAGAAATTTATTTTATTTAAAATATGTTTTCACTTGAAAAGCTTTTATGTCATTTAGTGCATTGCCTTTTTTAGTTCATTGATATAAATGCGTTATCTCATTCTCTGTTTTAGTTTTGATAAAGGCCAAAGTTCTCCCCTCTTTGTCAAATGTACCCTCGAAACTCATGTTTTCGTAAACTGAAGTAAAAGATGAAAAATACCCACTTGATGTTTCTCCTCAGTCAGCCAAACTTTATGTATAATATCCATTTGAAGTTCCTTTTTCTTTGAGGTCTTTGTTAGTGCTTTTGTTTGGTGATTCATGTACGTATAGATGTCTATGTAGATATATAGCAGGTTGTCATACCTGACATATGTTTTTTCATGAAATTTTCATGTTATAAGAAGTGAAAGACATTATTACCTTGTTCTATGCTTAATATCATCGAGATAGAATTCTTTTTTTTTTTTGGGACGATGCATCTTGTTTGCTATGTCCTTAAACTACCTAGTCATTTTTCCTTTTGTATTTATTCTTGCTGTTTAATTCAGGAGCATATGTTCTTGTAATAACTTCTCGAGAGGCAGCTGGCAGTCATCTTGGAGTTCCCATTTACCTAATCAAGTCAATGAAGTTTTTATTATGCAATGGATCTTTGAAACATTCAGCCTCACAACTGGTATGATCAATTAAATTTTTTCACCCATAAATCGAGCATAATCATTTACTTCTCAATTTTAAATCAAATATTACTTTTGGCAGAAAAGAGACGAGGCTTACTTCATAACCCTTTTGAGAACTGTAGAGTCAACTCCTGGATTGTATTACTCGTATGATGGTGATCTGACGTTGAAGTAAGCCGTTTATTCCCCCAGAATTTAGATAAGTTATCTTTAATGTAATTAAATTAATGTTAATATCTATCTGGAAGAGTCTAACTTCTTTCTACGTGGCCAAAGTTTCTTATTTTTAAACTGAAAGCTCTCTGATTGATATATCTACTGTTCATCAGTGTGCAAAGGACTTGCAGATCAGCTAAAAGGCAAGGCATACCACTTTGGAAGCAAGTTAGTTCTCATTTTCCCAGTTACCTTTTAATGTACCTCGCAGGGATATTAAATTCTTACTACCACTCATGGAAATCACACTTTATAGAACATTCTAGATATCATAGAATATACTTAAGCTCTTACAGTGCAGTGACGTGTATTTTAGATTATTTCATTAAAAAAAATCAACTCTGCCTCATTTTATATGATGTGGTAGCTTGTGCGGCTTTGTAGGTCAATGACTTGCTTAAATGGCATAAAAATAATAAAATACATTTGAAAATATTGGTGAACAGTGGAGCCTATTAAAATAAAGAATATCATTAACGAGATATTTTGTTTTTAGGACTTACTTTTGGATGATCCCTCTCCTGTGTCTGATCCCAATTCCCTATCTTCTTCTGCCTTTTTCTCAGCCAATGCTAGTGACAAGGTATTTTACAGGGAAAAGAAGAGGAAAATAGTTGTTACACTAAGAGCTAATGCCAGTGATAAGGACACTAACAGCAATAAGAGTGAAGATAATGATAACATTCAAATTCAAGAGTGGCAAACATGAGCCTTTCCTTCCTAGTCTCTTCTATTTCACTCGTCTTCCTCTCTTTGTGTTCTTCTTCTTTTGCATGGTCCATTGGTAGCATGAAAAAGCTTTTGAAATGATCGCATATTTTATAAGCTTCTTTATTCTCTTAAATGCCAAAATATGCATCCTCATGCAATGCATAGAAATTCTCGAGCCTTTTAAGGAATATTCATTTCCTGAGGTTTATGAAATTTAAGCATGCACAATACTTCATATGATTATATTTCACATCTAAACATCTACTTTTCATTGAAATGTGAGTATGCAATATTCTTGTATTAATATGGCAATCCTGTCATGATTTCAGGCTGATCCACGTTTTGTCTGGAACCGGATTTTGTTAGAAGAACTGATTGAGTGCAAGGTTAGTAAGAAGCGATTCAACTTGATAACTAACAGGCAGTGATTGTTACATAGCAAAATAGGGGAAATTTCCAATGATAATCTACAAAATTTCTATATGATGTCAAGTTTTTCTCTTTTGTGACCTTGCAGTTGGACGTATTCAGCATTCCGATTATACAAGGAAGTATCCATCCACTGTCATTTCTTGAGTAATGTTGTCTTTTATACTTCTATCTCTGTGTGCGTGTGTCATATCTACTTATGTATACACATACTGTGCTTCATTGTGATCACCATTGACCGTGCATGCAAAGTTCTTTTGTCTTGAGCATACCGACATACCAACTCACATATCACGTTGGGATTGTTGCATTGTTCACCTTAACGAATTGCTAGGCTTTCACAGCATAGAGGTCACTATGAAAGACTTGCCCATCAAAATCACTTTGATTTCAAGGAGGTGTACATGGCGTTTAGGTATAATGATGTAAAAATTGCTTTTATTTGGGGGTTAAATCAATCCGCTGAGTGTATTTCTTACTGGTATCGTGTGTCTACTAGGAACACGAATGTGGCGAAGAGGAGCGAATCTTGAAGGAGACACTGCTAATTTTGTGGAGACAGAACAGGTGTTAGAGTTTGGAGGTTTTACATCCTCATTTATGATGGTAACTATATGCCTCTGTAACAAATTTCATACATAGAATGCCACTTTGAACGCACCCAGCCTTCATATATTAATGCATCTTGACGTCATGTCTGTGGGCCTTTTAGGGTTGTGAGCCATTCAGCTTGTCTAAAACCTTAGAAACAATTGTCTGATCATCTCAACTCCGGCTTCGTTTCTTGTACTTTTCAGGTTCGAGGTTCTGTGCCACTTATATGGGAGCAGATTGTCGATTTGAGTTATAAGCCTAGGCTTAACATAATCAGTCATCCGGAAACTGTAAGTGGATTTGCAAGTTACACTTTCCTTTGCTTTTATTGCTTATGACAGAGTTCATGCATTTATTCTGGTTCCTGTAGACAAGAGTGGTCGAATGCCACTTTAATGATCTTGCACAAAGATATGGAGAGATTATTGCAGTAGACCTGACCGACAAGGTGAGCCTCCATTTCTCTTAGTTTGTTATCCAGCGTGATTGTGGTAATTTACATTGTCGGAAGTGGTCACTGAAGTATCGCTATTGGGTTTGTGGCTGTGGGTGTGTGTCGGTGAGCGAGAGGTTAGGAGAAAGAAACGATCAGGTGTGATTCAGAGAAGAGAATAAAACTAGAACCCTTAGCCTCACGTATGTGACATGATGTGGCTTGCATCACTTTGGCAATAAGTAGGATTGAAACCTTAATTAGGAAAATGAAAGGGTCATCTGCTTACTAATATAAGATTGAAAAAAAATAAAAAACAGTGTACGTTTTTGTTCTCGTTTTCAGGGTGTTGATATAATGAATATCAATAATTGAGACACCCTACTTTACCTGACAACCCAGGTAAAGTAGGAAAATAATTCTTTCAAACAAGCCTACATTCAGGTTTCATTTATTATTTCTTCAATTTAAGCATTTTAAATTTTTTGGGTGAGAATAACAATGAGGCTTCAATTCGATGCTGATTTATGTCATTTTTCCTTCTTTTCAAAATTAGTTTCTCATCTGTCATTATACGCAGGATGGGGATGAAGGTCAGCTGAGCAAGGCATTCGAGGTGGAAATGGAGAAACTTCCTAATGTGAGGTAGTCACACATTTCTTGTATGCAATATCCACTGTTCACCTGCATGTTTTCTGGCTCGAATGCCCAATTTAGTTTTCGAGTTCATGACTCAAGTCTGTTATGTCTTGCTCTAGAAAAGAATATTATCTGTGACCTTCTAGCATCATGCACGCCTCCTCGGATAAAAACAACATTCTTCTGGCTTAGTTGGATAGAGTCATTGACAAGTGATCATCCAATGGCAAGTCAAGGCATCTTGAGTATATGTTTCAAAGGAAGCTTGTAATCAACGATAGAAAGTGGTTCAAGGTCAGAATATAGTTTGCTGCAAACGCTAAATGGACAACTTGTTGACATTGCATTGAAATAGGCATCTGCTTTTCGAATTCCCCATTGTATCTATATTAGCTTTATGAGCTAGTAACAGCTGGAATAGACATCTCAAATCATGGTACACTATTCGATTTCATGTTAGGCCACAAAAATTCTGAACTCCACGCTAAATGTCTGGTTTGACCTAATTAGACCACAAATTATCTCATAGGATTCGGTGGGATAGTAGAAAAATTGGTAAAGGTAGGATTGGAAACAAAAGCTCTATCATGATGAGACAGTACCATCCATATTGGCGAGTTATACATGGTCTATTAAAAATGGCCCATCGTGCAACTTGTTGGTTCAATATTATGGTAAGCATCCGCTGATGAAAGTAACGACCATTTTCATGATCGATTTTTTAAAGCTGGGAATAGGAAAACATCCTTCAAAACAGCTTTTGAGTATTATTACTAGCATTTTGGGCCATAAAAGGCCTAAATTCTCTGCGAATGTTCTTATCCTAAACCCTTAACATTTTAGGGTTGGTGTGGAGTTGTCTACTTAATTCTAGAGGAAAAGCTTTATCAGTGGATATGGGATGGATGTTATCTGATACCGTGCTCTCTAGTGGAGGAGCTTATCTTAAATCACCACAGAAGATTCCTAAATTTTTCTAGAAAAGAATTTAACTCTTTTTTTAATAAAAAGGAGAGGGGTAAGGAGTGAATGGCTCCATCTTATGTAGTGGGATAAAATCTGTAGGCACGAATAAAAAAAGAGTGGAGTGTAGGAGAAAACTCAGTGCTGGTGAAAATCATTGAAGATGTACTACTGTAGCCAGTTTTATATTTACGTTTATCTTCAAGTCTCTACTGCGAGCAGTAAAAGCTCACTGCATAAGAGCCTACGGAAGGTTTTTCGGCTAGAATATCATAAGAGTCTAGATTTGTATCATATTTGGCATGACGGATATATAATCTTTTTGTATAGCAAAATGACAAGGTCAAAATGTAGTTCTTGGACGCCTTGCACATTCTACACGTTTCCTAAGATTACATAGCGTGCCTTCTTTTCTTTTTCCCTTTCATTTTGCTTCCTGAATACTTTGTGTAAAAAAAAATTGACAATTCACATCAATCAATAGTCAACTCTAGGCTGATCTTTTGATCTATTTTGCACAGATATGTATCCTTTGATTTCCATCACTTCTGTGCGAACGGAAACTTTGATAACTTGGAGCTTTTGTATGAACAAATATCTCAAGCTATAGAGAAGCAAGGGTATGCCGCAATCACTTAAATTTTTTTCCTACAATTAGCTACCCGTTAGTGGTTTCAAGTAATGTCCACTTAATCAGTTTTTATGCCAGCTGAGCAGATTTTTCCTACTGAGTTCGGATAGTGAAACACCTGTGGAGCAGAAAGGGGCAGTTAGGGTAAACTGCATTGATTGTCTCGATCGTACAAATGTCACCCAGGTATGACAAGATTTATCTCATTATTTGAACTGATACTTGGATAAGAGAAAACAATTAAGATCTGGAAATAAATAGTGAATAGGTAGGATGATGATCATGTTGATCTCAGGCATTACCATGTACGACTTGAGAAAAAATAAGGGAAAACATAATGTAAAAGAAATTATTCGTCAGACAGAACCAAGTTGGGATGATATGCAGGATAATATTTAATATCGTATGTCGCAGTCCTTCTACAAAGCAAAGGAGGCATTGTATGTCTCAACTTTTACAATGGATGATGCCAGGTTTAAGGAAGACTTTAATTGTGCGTAATGGTTTGTCTAAATAGACCAACTGATATCAACTTATTCTTGATTCTCCTAGATTTCAAGTATTGTTTGCATACAGTCATCCTTATAAAGCATGATATCAACTCCTTTCCGTTATCAACTTTCATTTTTAGCAAAACCTAACCCAAGCCAGAAATAGTTACAATTTAAAAAAAAAGAAAAATTGGTTCTAAGTTGATACGGATATGGTGTGTAGCTTGCATTAAATTCCAGTTATGCAGCAAGTGATTATAGCCCAATTTTAGTAGCATATTACTAAATCTCGAGGACATGACAATGATATTGGACCACCTTATATCCACCATGCCTGAGAGTTTAACTTTACGATTGGACAATTTCAACATAAGTTAGGTTCTCTTGAATATGGACTATCAATCATCTCCAGGTCGATTTGATGTCGAATTCGTTCTACAATTAACTTCCCGATTGACTGTGTTTCTATTGTGAAATCTAGTTGATGTTTATTGGTCTCGGGATCTGATGTTCTCATTTGGTCGTTTGTTTCTTTATCTTGCATGTATTGCCTGCCATGTACCGAGCGATTATACCCCAGTTCCAGTGGGATGTTATGAGATATAGCAATTATACAGATCAAGTGAATACAAAGAGATAATTAGTAATAATAACTCATGCCACACATCCACACTACTATATTTCGTTTCATTCTTTTTCTTGATCAGTAGTGTGACTTTCGATGGTTCACTCCAGCTCCCTTACATCCATATTTTAATTCCTGATTTCTCAGAGCTACATCGGGAGGAAATCATTGAACATGCAGCTGCAGAAAATGGGAGTTCTGTCTTCAGATGAGTGTATATCTACATATGATGATCTTTACGAGAAGTTCAGAATTTGTGAGGAATTTGGCAAATTTCAATGCCTGCTTTTGCTTTCTTTTAATAGCTCTTCTATTTTCATGGATTTCACCTAATTGCTTTCCCCCCTGTCTTTCCTTTTCTAGTATGGGCAACAAATGGTGATGAAATCAGCCTGGAATACTCTGGTACCCATGCCTTAAAAGGGGACCTCGTCAGGTGTCTTTTTTTTCCATGAATATTTGCTGTATTCTGTTCTGTGAGATCACTTCTTGCTAACATGCCTCTCATTGGATGCAGATATGGAAGGCAGACAGTATTCGGTTTGCTCAAAGATGGTATGAGTGCTCTGTCTCGTTATTACCTGAATAATTTTCAGGATGGTCTTCGGCAGGTACCCTTCATCCTCTAATATCCAGATAAACTGAGGATTCTAGTACTTTTGCCCTCCTTCGTGATAGAACTGCCTTTTGGCCTGCCAGGACGCATTGGATCTCATCAGTGGACGTTACTCTGTCAACAGAAATGGCCCTTCCCCTTTCCAGCTCAATGGCTTTGAATCACTATCGGTAAGCCTCCGAAGCTGTGAAGTATGAGTGACCGATTTGCCATTCTGTCTCTGCAAACTTACTTTAGACGCTGCTACACATAAACAACTCTGCAGTATCTTCCAGTGGCTTCTGTCTTCATAGTGGGAGGTCTTTCACTAACAACAAGCACATTCAACCAAGGTATGCTTATTTTCTATAATTGGTGATACCCATATAGTTAAACCATTGAACTTTGTTTATTATTTAACGATTATAGTAGGTCTCCTTACATACAAGTTGACCCCTATCATTTGGTGCACTGATTCTTGAGCTTTACCCCGTAAAAAATAGAAACGGGGTACATACCAAGAGCGATCTTGTGCTCTAGGATGATCTTATAATGGGTACATACCAAGAGCGATGATATCAAGCCATGCATTTTTCTCAATCTCGGGGTTATGCTACTACCTTGTGTAACGTATAATTAAATGCTGTTTTGGTGTTCCCAGAAAGGAAAAAAAAACATTTTCTGAGGGTTTTTGTGCAATTTGTGCTGCAGCAGGACGCCGCATGCATCATTTCGCTTCAACTGTGCTTTGGGCCGGTTTGGCCGCGGGAGTGCTGGCCATAGTTAAAGCTAATGGCAGGCAGTTCTGCTCCAGACCGCGGCTCTGCAGGCTCTTCTAACCATGGCGATGAGGTCGTGGTGGTGATCCTATCCATCATCTTCCTAACATATAATATTGCATACCTATTGATCACAGATGATAAGGCGATCCATCATCGTCTGGGGAAACTCACCTGCGGAAGAGGGTTAGATGGGGACCGAAGGCTCTTTTGAAGAGAGTGTTGCGGCGGCGGATGCCCACAGTGCGTAATTTTGAGCCTCAACCTTCGGTATTGTCTTTAAATGTACACGCTTTAACTATTTCACAAGCTGACCCCTTTTAAGAACTGATCATGACTCACAGAAGAACCCATTATGCAGAGCATTTCTACTGATCCCATCTTTATAATAGTTTCAAAAACCAGCATGCCACCCGATTGCCTTTGAAAAATTATTTATCTCATGATTGTCCACAAACCCAATTTGAGAAGGGGGGCATCTTCAGGTGGATTGTTCCTCACTGCCAAGAGGATGGTGGATCTGAAATCCCGATGTACGGTGAGGTGGCTTCAAAGCTATGGGTTATAGCTATTGGCACCTGTGCAACAGTCAGACCCACACCCACAACCAAAGGTAGAAGACCTTACAGAGCCTCAGTATCCCTGCTTCAATGGAAAACTATGTACATCCACCAGAATCGCCCATTGATGAGTCTGCAGCTACCCCCAAAATATATAGCCTACGTAGACTACTAGCTGGTGGAAATCCCTCCATCTATAGAACCACGTGAACCCTACTACAACTGGCCCTAGACCTAGGGCACTTACCACTGCCTGTCCCAGTCTTTTCTCCCCCTTAGAATTTCCCAGTGAATTTCCATTCTGGATTGGTTACCTGTTTGACATGAGAGGGAGAAAAATTGGAAAAGGGAAGATCGAATCGGTTTCATATCACTGCAAGGTCGGCATCTCATAGAGTATAATGGAGCGCCCTTCAGAAATAAGCTAAAGAAAAGAGACTTACCGGATCACTGCCAGATCTTCAACGGCAGTGGAGATGCCTTCATCCATCATCTCACTGTACTCAACAAACGAGAGCAATGGCTGAAACCAAGAACAGCGCCTAAGTTGCCAAGATCCCTTCAGCCCATCCTCAAAGAAACTGTAATGACACCAAGATGGAAGGTTCAAGGGGAAAATAAGAGATGAAGAAAGGGGAAACTCGAGATTAGAGAAAGAGATGAAACCCTAGGGTTACAGGGAGTTCGAGAGACCCTCACTCTCTTGTGGCTGACCCTGAACTGTCAGGGGCCCCTCTCTTTTCTCACTGACCCCATTTTGTATATGAGATTTCCACCATTTTGTTAATGAGCTGGTGCACTTCTGTCGATTAGGCTTGTTTCTTCTTGTAGGCATAAGTTAGGCCCAGTGGCCTAACACTACTCTCCTGCAACTCAAGCACCTTGTCCCCAAGGTGCAGCTGCGGAAAATGCTGGTGAACAGCGGATTGTGGTTCTCAAGTGTCTTCACTAGGGGGTAGGTGTTTCCTGCAAATCATAACTTGTGTGCCTCTAGGGGATTGGCGGATACCTTAGGCTTACGCCAGTTCGACGATCTAGTTGAGATCGCAGTCTTCTTCACGAGGGAGGTGGCTGTGCTAGGTGGTTGAACCCCAGCACCTTCTTCAGCTGTGATATATGGAAAAGATGGTAGACCTTAGAAGTTAGTGGTAAGTCCAGGCAGTAAGCAGTGGTACTAATCTGTTCCATAATTACATACGGCCCAAAAGAACATCGGCTGAGATTCTCGTTGCATCAGTGCTTCAGTAACTTCATGCTTTATGATTTGATCATCACAAGCTCCATGTCCCTCCGGTGTTGATCGGCTTGTGATTTCATTATAGATTGGGATCATCACAAGCTCCATGTCCCTCCATGTTCCTTGAGGGTGTTGAGGAAAGAGTCCCTCTACTGCATTTGTGCTTCTGTGTGAGGAGTTAGTAGTTGGTGATCCAAAATGGACAATGGGGGGGGGGGGGGTCACGCCCATATAATGTGGTTTGGAGAGATTGACGGAAAGCAGTATTATACCACAAATCGACCCAAGGCATCCAATTACTCCACCTACTAGATATATCACATGCAAAACACCTTATGTTTTCAAGTAGCAATTGACTCATTCTGGTGAAATGATGTGCTCCGCTTTAGTTTAGTACCCTGCATCAGGTGAATTTCTTGCCAAAAATAGGTAGCACTACCACCGATGGGGTACACATCACCATCTTCATGCATTGAAAAGCTTACTCCTCTGCCTCTATCCATGTAAAATTATCCTTCTTCAATAAGTTGGTTAGGGGGTGTGCAATGTTTGAATATCTTGCAATATACTGCATGTAATACCCCGTGAGACCTAGAAATCCACAGAGCTCCTTAGTGTTGCGAGGAGAATGACACTAGTGCATAGCTTCTAATTTTTCTTTGTTAGCTTCGACCCCATTTTTAGAAACCCAATGGCCCAAAAACTCTACCATTCTACTGGTGATCGAGGGTTGTGAATGTAATTTGTAGATGTTCTTGATGCTCATCCCACAACTTACTGTATATTAAATGTCGTCAAAGAAAATCAGAATAAATCGATGCAAGGTTTAGAAACCTGATTCATGAGAGGCTGAAATGTTGATGGAGCATTGTTCAACCCAAATGGCATATCTAAGAATTCATAATAGCCCTTGTGAGTCTTGAAGAACCATCTTCGAGACATCATGTGGGTGCCATATTGTAGGTTTAACTTGAAAAAGGTCAAAAAGTCATACAACTCATTTAGGAGTTTGTCAACCGTCATGATAGGGAAACGATCTACTACAGTGACTTAGTTTAGAGACCTGTAATTTAACACGATCTCTAGCTACGATCAATTTTTATGTACCATGAGATCTGGACTAGAGAAGGCAGTCGTTGAGTACTGAATGATTTCCTAGTTTAACATTTCCCAAAAGTTCCATTGCATCCTTTCGCACGTTAAAGGTCGAACACTGACTGGTTGTGACCCCTCTAAGAGGTGAATGACATGGCTGACCTCACGAGGAGGGGGAAGTGTGGTGATCAGGGTGAAGACCTATGGAAATTCAGACTTGAATTGTTCCAAATAAATGCAAGATGTCTTTGTTGTTATCTCTATGATTGGAATGTTGTTGTCATGTTGTTCCATTCGCTATTCAACTATTGTGATGATAGCTGCCACCGTAGTATTGGGTGGGTTAATACCATCCAGTAATATGAATTTTAGGAACAAACCTAAACTGCTGAGTATGGCGTCTCCTTGAAACGTGAACTTTTTGCTGTTGATTTTGAACTTCATGATCAGTAGCCCTTAGCCAAGGCTAATGTCTTGGTTGTGCAGTTTCAGAGAGAAAACTTTATCTAGTTCTTATATCTTGGACTTCTAAGGTAACACCTATGTAGATGTTGCCCCCCCCAATTGACGTTCCATCATCAAGCACAAGTTCATACTCTTTTGTAGTATTGACTTTCAATTGCAACTATCTGATCAGCTCTGTTGAGATGAAGTTGTGGCTCGCCTTGGACCCGACGAGTATTATGAAAGGCCGTGTTTTCAAGTTCCTTTGAGCTTAAGCATCTTAAGGGTTGCTCGGCTTGTTACTGAGTTGAGGGAGACCTTAGTTGTCCTCATAGGGATCTCCTTGCTGACTCCCAGGGGCACTTGCGACTCTTGCCTTATTTTTTCCTCGTCACTGTCCGAGTAAGTGTTGCTGACGATTAGAGTCCATAGTTCTTTCCTACACTGGTGTCTTGGGCTAAACTTCTCGTCATAGTAGAAGCAAAGCCCCTTTGATCTTCGTTCTTCTAGCTCTGCATTAGTAAGCCTGATTTGACTTTGTTGTGGTTTGGGTTTTGTTTGTTCATCACTTGACACTTGATTGAATCCCCAAGACGATTGGTGACCCCTTTATCACTGTAATTGCGATTGCTGGTTGGTGGGTCACAATGGCGATGGGTGATGGCATGCTCGGAATGGGCTACCCAACATGTCAGCAGTTGGTCCCTCAAGCACTTCACGGTGATGTCTTCAAGTTCCCTCCTATTACACTCCGCAACTTGTTGGGTCATTCCTACGCCCTCTGTGTCATGTTCATTAACTCCATCAATCTTGTTGGGTTGAACATGCTCATCTTGACTAAGATCTCCAACTTCAGCCCGCCCGAAAAGATATTTTTCATGACTACTTCAGGTAGCTTAAAGAGAAATGCTAACAATACCTCATAATCTCTTAAAAACTCAGCTACTGTTGCCTTTCGTGTTAGCCTCAAGAATTTATAACAGAGACTATTATCTTGGACAGCCCCAAATCGTTGAAGTAGTTGGTTTTTCATGTCTTGCCAATTTTGGAAAAGATGGTGAGCTTCAACCCGCCTGTACTAGCCCAACCTCGTCACCGCATATTGGACACGATCACACTCTGTAGTCTTGGTCAACTTGAAGAAGAGCTCTACTTGGAATATCCACCCGACTGGGTTGGAATATCCAGTGTGACGATTAGGATGTCAAGATGGGTAATCACTCAGCGGTCATGGGCGACAGCCCTCAGTTGTAAAGTCTCTCATCGGTTTACCCCCACTAAGGATTCTAGTTACTCCATAGTATCGCACATGCGGAAGGAGGCCATAGGTGGTACCTTCAAACCTTCATTCTCGTCCTTCGTCTACGGTGGTGATCAGAGTTCTAAGCTATCAGGTGATGTGTCAGCTGACTCAAGAGCCATCTATCTCATGAGTCCTTTTATGGCTGTCATTTTGCATCTATTTCCACGGTATCTAATCACTGAGGAAGATTTTTCAAGCTTCCTTCTTCACGAGCCATAATTCTGATACCAATTTGTGGGGACCCTTCAATTGGCATACATAAATGCAGCAAGAATACGAGGTAGAGGAAATAAAAATGATAGAATAAGACAATTTTCCAGCTGCAGCCAGAGCTCATCCCCACTCCTCCCCGAGTAGCCCCTAGGGCGCTGCAGTTGTACCCTATTAAGACGATAAGTCCTACCCCCATTTCTCTCCTCCCAACCCTCACTACATATGGGGAAACTAGGGTTACGGAGGTAAGAGAGAGAGAAAGCCTTCTGGAGGTAACTGGGCAAGCTCTCTTTCTATTTGAAGAGTATACACGGCCCAACGGGGAAAAGAAGAGATGAAGAAATGAAAAACTCGAGATTAAGAAAGACAAAACCCTAGGGTTAGAGGGAGTTCTATAGACCCTCACTCTCTTGTGGCTAACCCTAAGATGTTAATGGGCTGGCTCAGTTCCACCAATTGGGCTTGATTCTTCTTGCCGGCATAAGTTAGTTCCGATGGCCTAACAAAAACCTTGTCATGATGTAAGCATTCGCATATGAAGCCCTAATAATGATTGGGAAGAATCGGCGAAAAATGAATTCACAGGAAGCAGAGGAGCAAACTATCGCCTAATTGTCGTCATCGAGGCCTGAAGCCTCCCATGATTGACCGAGATGCTTGACATGACAAACCATGAAGTTCTTGGAATCCCACCGTGAGCACATAAAGCATGCGAATAGAAGAAATTGAGAAGAAAGGGGGGTGAGAAGGATATCTTACGGGCTCTGATGAGATGGAAAAAGTGTCTACCATCTGGCAGCACAGAAAGATATCAGAATCGCAATGATCCATCTCACGAAAGGAAAACGAAACGAGAGTGGAGAGACTACGTACGAAAAGGAAGAGTGAAACCAGGGAATTCAGATGAAGAGGAAGACACCACGCCGGCGTGGTCGAAGAGAAAATCCTCGCCGATCCCCATCCGCACAGTTGAAATGTAAGGAAGAAGGAACAAGGCCCGCCAATGCTTCGCGAATTTGCGTCCTGGAATGGCTTGTAAGAGGTCCCGGTGGGCCCCCATTCCTCCATCCTCCAACGGCCAGGAGCTGTCGGATCGCACGGTTTCGGGTTCGCGGTTCCACGTGGCCACGGATCTGGAGGTGAACTTACCACGTGTAGGAGCGTCAACGAACTGGCAATAACTCCCCTCTCTCTTCTCTCAGGCCCGTAAAGAATATGTTGGGCTGGTTTTCTCTGGAGTCCAATATCCATCAAAGCTGGTTCTGCCTAGGTCCGTTCAGAACACCCTGGGCCCGTCTCTCTCTCTAGCCCAATAATTTTGTAAACTTGTCTCTGTCAGGTCTACTCGGTACAAGTTCGGCCAGCCCAGATATATATAGAGAGAGAGGGAGAGAGAGGGAGAGAGAGAGAGAGAGAGAGAGAGGAAGGACGACGGTGTAGTAGGAAATAGTTCCTCCATATATAGCAAACAAGGGCTTGGTGCAACTTCAGCGGATGGGGGTAAGAGAGATAGCGAAAGCTTTCACAGGAGCCGGAGACATCTCACGTTGGGGGGGAGGAGGTCGGTTGGTCGCAGGGAGAGGTGAAGTTGGACTCTGATACCGTTATTACAAACTCTCGGTATTACTCTCCAAGCACGGCAAACTGTAGAAAGGTGAGCGGCGGCAGCATCAGGTGGATATGGCGACGGCGGGTGCGGCGGCGACCTCGACCATCCTGGCCTTCTTGTTGTTGATGATGTCCTCCGGGCCGGTGCCGGCGGCGAGGGGAGCGGCGGCCTTCTTCGCCTCGTAGGCCGAGAGGTGGACCCCCAGAGCGGCCCTTCCCGACGGGTCGGGGTTGCTCGACCACTGCGCGTCCCACGACATCGCGGCGGCCGTGCTGCAGGCCACGCTAGGGCCCCCGGGGACCGTCAGCCTGGCGGAGTTCTGCAGGGAGGAGAGAAGAGGATCAGAGGCGAATACGGAAGAACTGCGGCGCGGCCTTTCCGCTCCTTGTTCCGGATCGGGGGAACAATCACCTGCGGGAAGAACCTCTCGAAGATCATCCGGTAGTAGTAGCCCTCCTTGGTGGTGGGGGTGTTGTGAGGGTAAATTTTCTTGGCGTTCAGCATCATTCGATCAGTGACCTGGTGAGTTCAAATAAGCGGAGCATGAGTTGAGAGAATTAGGGTTTGATGGAGGAGGAGATGTTGGGATGGGGGAAAGAGAGTATTCATGGATGGAACAAACGTGTTCCGCAGCGTGCGCCTTCAGACCGTCGATCCAGCTGTAGCCGACGCCGTCACTGAACTGCTCCTTCTGCCGGTACAGAATGTGCTGAAGAATGGAAAGGGGGAGAGAGGGAAATCAGTCGATCATGGCCGAGGACTAAATCGGAGGAATGAGGAAGGACGAATGCCCTGATTGCGGCACGTACCTTTGGCAGATAGGGGTTCTCCTCGTCATCGAAAGCCTTCCTCAGGACCCACTTCTCCATCCGTCGAAGCTCGGGCTTAATCTGTCACCAGGCATTGAAGAAGAAATCCCTGAATGACCCGGGAAGATAGAAAGATGAAGAACAAGGTGGAAGACGAAGACGGGGGGCGGCGGTCTCACCATCTTCCATTCGGGGTCAATGCTCATTGCAGTGTTGATGAACTCCTTGTCCAAAAACGGCACACGGGCTTCCAGGCCCCACGCGGAGGTCGCCTTGTTCGCCCTCAAGCAATCGTACTGGTGGAGCGCCTTAATCTGCAAAGAAGCCATCGACCATCGTCATCTCTCTGTTCTAGGATTTCTGAGCAGGAACAGGGGGGCCTCGAGTTGATGATACCTTGCGGCAGGTCTCACGGTGGAACTCCTCCTTGTTCGGAGCCTTGTGGAAGTAGAGGTACCCTCCGAAGATCTCGTCTGAGCCTTCGCCGGAGATGACCATCTTCACCCCAAGCGACTTGATCTTCCGGGACATCAAGAACATGGGGGTGCTGGCTCTGATCGACGTCACATCGTAGGTCTCTATGTGGTAGATGACGTCCTCAATGGCGTCGATCCCATCCTGCACAGTGAAGTGGAACTCGTGGTGGACTGTGCCGAGGTACTCCGAGACCTCCTTCGCAGCTTTCAGGTCAGGCGAGCCCTGCAGTCATGGCGGCGAGAGGTGAGAAAGAAGATTTTCAGACGGCGGAGGACTAAGGGGGAAGGAGAATGGAGGAATTCCAGACCTCTAGGCCGACGCAGAAGGAATGGAGCTGCGTTCCCCACTGCTCGGCGGCCTTGGATCCGGCGAGATGGCGGGCTGTCACAGAGGCCACCAGCGAGGAATCGAGCCCGCCGGAGAGGAGAACCCCGAAGGGGACGTCTGTCATGAGTCTCTTGATGACGGCCTGGGGAGAACCAGAGACGATGGATCATCAGAGAGAGAGGGGAGGAGGGTTGGACCGGATTAGGGTTTGAGAGGTGTACATACATCTTCGAATGCCTTCCTCAGGACCAGAGGGTCGTACGGGACGGAGGGGATCGTCTCCGAGAACCATGGAGGGTTGTACCACCTCCTGAAGCCGTGCTCCTTGCTGGAGTAGAGGTGCCCAGGGGGGAAGGCCTCAAAATGCTCGCAGTCATCGTTGAGCCCTTTCATCTCCGACGATATCCAGACAGAACCTGCGCGAGAGCGGCGGCGCCGCCGCGTCAGACAGAGCTCGAGAATCCGAGTTCGCCACCGTTTTCTAGGGCAGAAGAGTAGTGGGAGGGAGGATCTTGCTCACCGTCGAGGCCCCATCCAATGTAGAGGGGAGTGACTCCAATGGCGTCTCTGGCCGCGAGGAAGGTGTTGTTGCGTTTGTCCAGCAGCACGAAGGAGAAGATACCGTCCAGCATGTCGATGAAGTTCTCTCCATGCTCCTCGTACTGTTCGTCGTCCAGCCGGTCAGAGCGGAGAAATGGAGGGAGAAGGAACGAGGAAGGAGGAAGGAGGGCGAACCAGGTGGGCGATGACGTCGCAGTCGCTGCCCGTCCTGAACTTGTGAGAAGGCAAGCTCTTCCTCAGCTCCTCATGGTTGTAGATCTCCCCGTTGACCTGTTAAAAAACAAAAGCCTTTCTCCGTAAACATCGCCATCGCTGGTCCTTCCCCACCACTGCACTTTCAGACGACGAGAACAGCCGACCCCAGTAGGGCCGCCGTCGGGTTTAGTTACCGTGACGATGATGGAGCCGTCTCCGTTGAAGAGGGGCTGGTCGCCGGAGGCGGGGTCGATGATGGCGAGCCGCTGGTGCGACAGGAAGCAGTCGCCGTGCTGCGCCAGCCCGCTCCAGTCTGGCCCCCTGTGCTTCAGCCTGTTGCACCACCCCCACCATTAAGCAGAGGTCAGAAGCTCAAGTCCCAGAATTCAGACAGGTATAGGAACTAGCAACTCGGAGCAGAGGATTTCATCGTCAAAACCCGCCTTCTCAATTCTGAGACTCTGTTATCGATTCGATTTTACGAAGCATCACGTAGGGCAAAAAGTTGGAATATTTTAATAATATCAGGACGAGGAGCTAGCTCTCCATGAACCGTGGCGCTGGCCAACCGTGGCGCTAAAGACGAGGCGCTGGCCAACCGTGGTTGGGCTCCGCCGTCCCGGAGTTACCCGGGGAGGGGAACCCTCTCTCCATGAACAGACTGAGGAAACGGGGTTTCGGAAGATGGCGGAGAACTCAGAGAAGTTACGGAGGAGAGGCCATTGCCTGCGGGAAAGTTCGAGGACTCGGACCCTCTTCGCCTGAGAGTCATCCGAGCAGCACAACACCGCCAGTATCCCACACATGGTGCCTGGAGGAGGGAGGAGGAGGAGGCCGGGATGAAGGAGGGGAGCTGGACTGAACTGGGGGCGGGAAGGGAGGGAGATGATGAGCAGTAATAGCTTGCTGCTTGGTGGAGTCCCATGCGGGGCGCGCCCGTATTTATAGGCGGAGGGAAGGAGCGAGGATCTACTCAAGCGGCGCCGTTCCATCGCGTCGGGGGAGGGCGGGGCGGCGACGTCTTCCACCTGGCCGCGCGTCATTTGCCCGTGACTTCGCTGGCTGGCTTGCCGTCCGCCCTTACGGCGGCGTTATCCGTTCGCCCACGCCGGCGAGGAGCCAGCCGAGTCAGCGAGGGCCCCGCCCGCCCTCGCCGTCGCTGTCGCGGCTTGTCGCCACGCGCGCATGCGGACGAAGCGCCACCGCAGGTGGGGGGGGGAGGGGGGCGAGGCGGCAGGCCGGGGAGGTGGCGCGTACGGAAGATGGGCCCCCTCCCTCGCTCTGAGCGCGCCGCCCTAGTAGAAGAGAATATACGAAGCGAACCCCGACGGGGTGCCTCCATCTGATCGCCACAAATTCGGTATCTTGTGGTTCATTCCCCAACCGGCGGTATCTTCTCCTCCGCCTACGTCTGATCCTCGCGAGTTCCGTGTGGATCCGACCCTCCGTCTCCATCATGCGGGGTGGACGGGCCGCCTTAATCCCTCCTTTTTTACGCAAACCCAGAGCCGCTGTAAGAAACAAAAATCGGATGTTTTTTTTCCTTCGTTGAGCGGATTCGTCGGCTGTTCATCGCTCGCTGATCGCGATCGGCGGAGGTGAGGATAATGTTGTTTACTTTGCTGTAATTACCCCCGGTTGAATCCGTTCGGTGGCTGAGACGGCTGAGCTCTGCAACGTTTTTAATGGCGGGCCAACGTATTTTTCTAATCCTTGGCGGCCTATGGAGGTTTGGTTAATACAAGGCTTCGAACTTTTGCTTTATAGTATTGATAACGCTTTGTCAAGCACACGTCCCATTATTTCGAGGCTCATTAAACAAATGCCCCGCTACCCTTCTTCGACTCTCTATCGGAAGGCCGGGGTCCTCTGGAGTTCGAGCGCCGCTGACGGGAGCTTCCATAATGGGCAACCCTGTTGATGTCGGAGAGGGGAAGGACTGCCGAGGGCACGAGGGGTGTTTACCCGCCCTTTAGGGGGTTCTTATCGCTCGGCGGGAGCGGGGCGACCCCGGCGTGGGCAACGTGCCGCGAGAGTGACGCGCGGCGCCGGTCGCCGTGGGGGCGGAGACGAGGTTAAAAATAAGCGCGTGCGCGGGTTGTTCGGCGCGGCGAATCGGCACGGCGCGGGGCGCCTCCACACGGGCGGCAAAGGACGGCCGAAGAGGGCGAGGCGCCTGGCGGGGCGGGGGCAGCGGGGGGTGGGCGTGAGGAGGGGGCGGCAGTTCGAGGCGGGGCGAGTAGGACAAGTGGTGATTTTACTACGCGCGGTTGCTGACCGAGTGTGTTGGGCGCGGCGGCGCTGCGCTTTGCGGCGGACCTCGCCCTGCCTAATCGGGATTCTCGGTCTAATCCGGTTGGATTTGGCTTCCGTCTCCTCTATGGTTATCTTTATTCTAGCCACTTGTGGCTGGGGATTCAGAGTATCTCGTTGCATCCCCCCCTGCTCCACCCGGGATCCCAGCTGGGGGGGAGATCCGTTATTAAATCCCGACACATTATTGGCTCTCCTCCTCGACAATCATCGCTCCTGATCAGAGATAGATGACCCAAAGAAACGATACCCACCTAGCAAGAGAGAGAGAGAGAGGGAGAAACCGGGGCCTGCACGGTACTGCGGCGACCTAATGCCATTGAAAGGGTTTTGCGAGCTTTCTTCACGTTACAAAAGTGATTGCGGCCGTGACTGGCCTCGGATATAGTCAAAACGTTTTCGGAATCACAGGGTTCTCGCAGGCGGTGGCGTCACGGGGTATTAAACCACTGTGCAACTTGCCATTGTTGCGTGTCATCTGTTCGTCAGAACGTCGAGCCGAGTCACTCGCTGAGCTCGCCCCCATGTCTCCACGTACTTGCGGGGGCTGAGCTCTCTCCCGTGTCCTCTCTATCGCCGCACCTGGCCATGGAGATAATGGTTAGGCGAGTGAGCCCTTCACTGCCCTCTTCGGAAGGTTGAAGAGGGTGGATCGAAATGGAACAACCCACGTCGAGATCGTAGACGACGGATGCTCCGGTGGGGGACGTCTCTCCCCACTTGCCCGATTCCATCTATTACATTAATTCCTGGAATCAGGAGTTCGGCCGACTTCCGCCGTCCACAACAGCGTGACGTCGACTCCCGGAATCGAGAATTATCCAAAGGTTCAATCTCCACGGCGCGGCGGAGGGAAGTCAATGGCCATATCTTGCTGGCGTGGAAACGGAAACTCGACAGAGAACACGTTAGGACACACGCGGCACGGCGAAGGATCGAGAAGATGGTTCCTTATCCATTTCCCTCGTGCTCGTTTGGCTGTTCGGTTCCCCATTATTGTCGCTTCTCTCGCTCTCTCTCTCAAGATATTTTCTTGGGGATTCCTATCCAGATGCTGCAAGGAGGGCTGATAGAATATTCTGCAAAGGGTGATGGAGTCTGAGGTCGGAAAGCCGTGAGGTTTTCCGAATCGACATATGCTAGAGGAATATACTAATTGGCGACCCAGAATCGAGAGAATTCCGAGAACCACAGCCGGGATCAGCTGATTCAGCCGGGTCCTTTTCCGGCGACAGCGATGGCCGTCCTACCTTGGCTTCTCCCGGCGGGGACCTAGCTGACGGCCATTTTCTATATCGACGCCACTCGTCGATGACACCGACGGCGAACTTCTCCATCCCCTCCCCTCTCCTTCGCTCTTATCCCTTGCGCGAGTCTACTTCGCGCCCGGCGGACGACGGAGCATCGTCGCATCCCGGGCCCGGTCGCGGGAGACCGAAAGCGAGGTGTTGAGAACCTACGGAGACGACAGAACGCGGAAAACCGCGATCTGCGAGCCTGTGCCAAAGGGCCCTACTGAAGAGATAGAGAAGGATAAATAGTTATGTAGATAGATAGATAGATAGATGAAAGTTAGATAGATAGATGGACAGTTAGATAGATAAATAGATAGAGAGAGAGAGAGAGAGAGAGAGAGAGAGAGAGAGAGAGAGAGAGAGAGAGAGAGAGAGAGAGAGAGAGAGAGAGAGAGAGAGAGAGAGAAATAGATAGAGATAGATAGATAGATAGATAGGATAGAGAGATAGATAGATAGATAGATAGCAAGAGAGAGAGAGAGAGAGAGAGAGAGAGAGAGAGAGAGAGGGAGATGACTGGTTCGATCTACTGTTATCATCCCGAGGGCCAGGAGGTGACCCGCGTGGTCGCCCTCCTACGGGGAGCCAAGGCGAGGACGAGCGTAGGGTCGGATTTTTCTCGGTGAACTGATCGCTGAAGGCATCTTGGAGCTGGCGGACGATGTATAGGGACGTGATACCGGTGAAGGTTCATACGTCTCAGGCAGTATGGTGGCCTGCGGCTGCGACGCTGCCAGGTGGAGAGCTGCAATGGCGGCCCAGAATTTGGGAAGATTCAAGGGGACAGAATTCTCGCGAATGACCACACTCGAATGGGAATATTCTGCTCTCAACAGGGATCTCAGACAGTGAGCTACCAAGCAGTCGCCTCCGATTTCTCGACCAAATACACTCATGGGATGTATGAGGACGGAGTCCCGGTGACGGTTCAAAGCCGGGTTCGAGCTATGAACTCATCAGATGGTGAACTGACGCCCAACTTAAACCAGTGAGGTCGGATGTGATGTACGAGGACAGAATCCGGGCGAAGATTCAGAATGAATAGGTGCTCGTGATCCTGGTTCCACCACACGAGCTGAATGAGGACAGAATCCACGTGAGGATCAATCTTTAAATGGAAACTTGCTCAGAGCTAGAAGGTTGCCAGAGCCTGGATAAGTAGGTTAGAGAGGCATCCATCCCATTCCGCGGGCAGTGAAGGGCTCACATAGGATGTATGAGGACGAGATACCGGTGAAGGTTCAAACTTGAACGGCAACCCTACATTGGAAGTTAAAGGTAAGCCCCTCGGATGGCGAATTGGTAACACGGATGGGCTTGAAGCAGTGACGGTAACACGCCTAGGAACAGACGAAAAACCAGTAAACTCTTGCTCTCTGACGTTCCAAAAGCTCATATTTTTAGTAAAAGTGCGAGCAGATTAGGGCCTTCTTCTCAAGAATCCCCCTCCCTCCGGTGCCCCCCGGGGAGCAAGATCGTTTCTCTCATTCTCGATCTTTAGATGTCAACGCCTCGATTTGGGTCTTAGGAACTTCGTCGGTCAATCCACCGAACCGGACACGACACCCTCTGTGCATCCATCCCTTTGATCGATATCAGGAACGGGAGTCCGCCACCTAATCTGGCGGCCAAGGTACATCCCGGAGAGATATGGACGTCCGTGGACGGTGATGACAGCTTCAGCTCTCTTCGCGCAAAAAGGACGCTGCTAATCTGGCTATGGCGATGGCTCTGTTTAGAAGACTAAACAATCCAGAGTGGATCCATTTGTAGGCTGATGCTGCCATGGGAGAAGCTTGTCGCCTAAAGACCGTCAGCCATCCCCCACGGCCCTGATCGGAACTGCGTACACTAATATCAGAGAACGGTATTGATGAGAAATGTAAACACGGGGTCATCCACGGCATTAGACTGAGCAAAAGCATCAGGGTTATATCTCTCTCTCTCTCTATATATATATATAAATAAAGATAGAGAGTGGACGGGGCCCTGGCAAAGAGAAACCGAGCCAACCCGACAACAGACATTGCCGACATGGTCTTTGTTTTAGGGAGAGAGAGAGAGAGAGAGAGAGAGAGAGAAGGGGGATACCCGGAAGGAGAAAGCGAACCAGCTCGACCACGGACATTGCCTACACGGTCTTTGTTATCGGAGAGAGAGAGAGAGAGAGAGGGTCTTTTCTTGGGCGTGGAAGAGTACAAGTATCGGGAAAGTTGGTGTTGGTCAGAGGGGATGGAAAGGGGAAAAGTCTGGCTCCACCGACACTGGAGACCATGCAACGTGGATCATCCGGTGGGGCCCTACGCTTAAGGCAAACGGGGCTAATTATTTCCCTGACTCATGCACTGCCACCACAGGATGTTGCACTCGAAAGAGCCCATCGACCATCCACTTGGAAAATATAAGCCTAAAAGTGCAACAAGAGAGGATCCACAGCGTAAATATTCCAGCTGAGCTCAATCACGGCGACGTAATAAACAGGAATACGGAGTCCAAAGAAGGCAAACAGCTGAAAACTTGTATAATTGGGGGCCCCTCCCAAGAACATGAGATCCATCGATTCCTGAATATCTTCGGTTTATTCATGTTATGCTGGAGAATTTCACCGGGCAGTTCGGCGTTTAACACGTATAGAAACCACCAAAATCTGGAATCCAACGATATGATTGATCATATAAAATTGCATATTTCCCCCCCTCCCCCCCCCAGAAGAAAGAAATTCTGGGCTGCCGTGCGAGGATACGATTCTTGAAGGTGCTGTAGAACTTACCGAAGAAACGACGAAGGAGATGACACTCACGGGTCCGTCTCTTCAGGCAAGTCAGGCTTGCCCAGAAACACCAGCTGCATCTCCTCTCTCCATATCTACAAGAATCGTGACATTGTCAACAGATGCCTCATGGACTGAGAGGAAAGCCAGGGGACGACCGACGGGGATGAACGGCTTCAGTGGGATACACGTACCATATCACGGAATTCGATTCGGATATGAGGCACATTCGTCTTATGGATGTCGTTTCCATCTGGCCCGCGCTTGTAGTACATTTTTCCAATCCAGTGGGACTGAACAAACGAGTACTACTTGTCAGAACTTTTGTAGATTCCGAAGTCACGGGTCAGCAGCAGTAACAAATGTCTACTAGAGAAAACGTTCCATGATGGCGGCTTTAAGCGCTCGAACAGTTCAATCGCAACAGCAGAAAGAGCAGAGCATAATGCGAAGATGATGAGAGTAAAAATGCACAACTCTTGATGGATGAATGTATTGCTGGAATATTCCTAATAAATCTACAAGGTGTTGTAATTTATTATCATAGGGTTCTTGAAGTGTGGAACAGAATAAACTGATGCTCCCATATGGAATATTAATTTGCTATTGCCTTCTTGTCACTGTCATTTGTGATAGATTCGTATCTTCTGACCTTTTTATCTCAGAAAATCAACCTCATGTGCTACATACAAGAGAAAATAACAAGGATATCCATTATATCTCATAAATAAAATAAAATAAAATAAAATAAAATAAAATAAAAACACTTGTGGCTACATGCATGCATGCAGCCCATGAGCAGCTAATGTCTAAAGGAAGATTCTAACATTCTCTGACAGGATTGGCTCAACAACCCAATGCATCATACATTTGTCACATACCTTCAGAGCATGTGAAAACCCAGATTGGTAGACCGAGTTACGGGCTATCTCACATATATCGGACGAGCTTAGCTTCCATACCTGCAAGTAAAAGAAAAAGTGGAACTTCCTTTCATATTTCCTGAAATGAAAGGTGCGGAGGGTGTGGGAGGTAGCCCATGCATATACCGAAGCCGCAATACTATATTCCTCCACTAACGGTTCCTTTGTCAAGTGTATCTGGAGAGGATCGTCGGTAGAGAGAGAAACATTGAGGCCCCGCATAAAAAAAACGGGAAAAGGGTTTCGGTGATAATCTAGAAATAGGGAGTTGTTGCTCAAAGGAGACATTGCCAAACCAATCTGAAAAAAAAGGAAAAGAAAAAGAAGAAGAAAATTCCATGAGTTAGAATTTGGGCATCGCTCAAGAATGAGTACCAGTTGAAGAGTAAATGAAAGACCTCTGCTTTATCGATAGATTCAAAATGATGGAAAATAAATACTAGCGTGTGAGCAAAATGAGAAAGGTCCAGAAGAATAAAACGAAAGGAGAGCAAGTAGGGAACAAAAGACTTGGAAGAGCACTTCATATACCTGTGCAAGATAATACAAGTACTGCAGGACAGGTGACTTCCTCAAATTGATACCATGAGCAATATTGTGAGCCGTGAGAAAGGTGGCAGCAAGGTGGTCAATATCACCAGCCTGGTCACAACAAAGAGTACGTCATAAAATTCAAAATTGGTGGACCATAAAATACATGGAAATGAGTAAAATGGGTACGATTACTACCTCACCAGAGTGTGGACGGAATTTGATGGTTGTCATGCCCTTCGATTCACGGAGCTGGTGGCATTAATAGAGATTATCAAAATGTATAGCGTTCAAAGCCGGCCATAAACTTTAATGATCTAAACTGTTATCTTAGTAAGATATAATTCCGCGTCTTGTAACAATTTGAATTATTTGAAAGGATTTGATACCATTTGGGGCTTGATTCTTACCTTGTTTAGCGTGTATAAATTTGCATAGCAGTAGTATGCATAGTATGAAAATGCAGGATTAAAAATATTTGTCCACTGAGCTGGTGTTGGCATATGCTTTGTCGGTCGTCTCTCAGGCTTACTTTCATCGTCCACTAGGTCCAATCCCACAACCTGGAAATTTTCCACATAACCCACATGTCACCTCTAATAAACCTAGGTCACAAAATAATCATTAGGAAGAATAACGGAAAAAAATAAAATCAGATGCATGTAATGTAATTTGGGAACGCTTTAGCTTTCACGACTGTTCCCTACAAATTCTCTCATCTATTCAGCCAAAGCTGCAAGCTCGAGAATATTCCTGGTGAGAATCTTAGACTCCTGAAATCTTGGAGATTGTTGAGAGATAAAAGAACTACTTTGCGGGCCATCTGGTAAGAAGCTTTTTTTTTAGATTTCTACAATTAAATCTGTTCCGTAAACTTTTCCAAAGCAACATCCGAATCGAGTCTCAAAGCCAATAACGAAAAAACAAGATATCGGTTGGGTCGCAGTCATAATTGTCTAGCAAGTTTTGTTCATTTGTAAACAAGAATATCAACGTAAATATACAGGAAAGCTCACAAGTCCTGCATTTAAATCACCAAAAAAGCGGCATGGACAAAAGCAACTACTGCTATTATCCTCGATATCCAAAAGGCCACACATGGTGGAGAGTCTGAAATATTTCATATGACCATCAGATTCTTAGTAAACATTCAGAATCAGCAATTGTTGAACAAAAACTCAAACAAATCTTACAATCATCACAACAAAAGAAGGGTCTTGTAAAACTGACTGAGATATGAAAAATGGAGTGAATCAATTATCACGTCTGTTAATACAGACATGATACAGATCTAATCAGAGCTAGTAATAATGTTCGTATCAGCTAAAAGGATAGCCACGTGCATGAAACAGGACCCAGACACTCCAAATGCCACTTCCCTGAAGCCGGAAGAACAAACCAGCAAGAGAGGATACAGACCAAGGACACATACTACACTCTCCTCCTACCTCAGCAAGCTAAACTGTCAAATTTCTCAAATACATTTCGTCTAACAATGATCCCCTGCATCTCTCAGCTCAATTGAAACTCACCCAACGTCTGAAAGTCACACAACCCGATGGAAAGAAACAATTAAAAGACATTGTTTATAAAAACACCGTAATTTACTTTAGAAAATTTTCATGTGAATTAATTTGAACAAGCCAGTGATACTTTTTCATAGTGTGTCAGGCCAGTGGTAACAAAATAAAATCAGAAAAAATTGCATTTAGCTTTACCTGCTTCAAGAAAACGTGCAATTGAGGATGTGAATCTGGATTAACAGTGACCTCAAAAAGTGGGAGGAAAATGTTGTCAAGAATGTTCTGGAATGATGTTACAATCCCCAATTCCTTGTACACGTTGTATAATCTTGGAAGCTGCAAAAGAATTAACAGAGGCATATGTGAATCTGTTTCATACCCATGAATGCATTGCCATGATCAAGTATGAAATGGGACAACGAAATTCAACAAATCAACACACAGACCTGAATCAACCAAACCACATTTCCACTGTATAAATCATTATTGACGATCCAGCTGGCAAGTTGATCCCACTCACTCTGCTTCCTACCATATATCGATATTCTATACTCTGCCATCTGCAAAAAGGGTGAGACCAACAATTAGACAAGCATAAATGCCAAGTAATAACAAGACAAGAGTGAGCTGATATATAATTATTTGAAAAGGTTTGTTGGCCTCATCTGGGATAGGTTTGTGGAATATAATATATAAATATATTTTATCTATATGCATTGAGCTCAGCTGGCCTCCTAGGAATCAGTAATATAGAAAACATAAAAAACGAGTAAAAGTACAGATACAAAACTAAAATCACAGAAAAAAGATATGGACCCTCTACAAACAATTTCCCAAAAAAATAAGACAGTTTCTTAAAATACCTGGTAGGATAGGACAGGTATTGAATTTTCTCCAAAAAAATTATTTTCTCACTTGAGGCATCCTAATGGGTTATTTTTCTCTTTGTTCCTAGTTTATATGTCAGCTGATCAGTCAACCAATGACACTTTAAACTTGATGATGACATGAAAACTTGTGTGCCTTGCTAAACACAAAGGCATGTTCAAACACCAATCAGGGTGAAAGCGAAGCTGGGGCCAAGATTTATTAAGAGCCATGTGAGAACGTATGTATTAATAGACCCCACCCAATGCAAACAAAAATAAATAACAGCCAACAACTCCAACACCCTCACCAAGCACCAGGGGCATACCCAGAAATCCCAAGAAGAAATACGGAATCCTCCATGTCCATGAGCAATGCTTAAAAGGGGCAAAATCCAAGAACCTACATGTATACAAGACATCCACAGCGGCCTTAACAAGGATTTTAAAAATGTAATCTCTTCCTTCTTGTGAAATGGATGTAAACAAATAAAAAGAAACACTGCGTAGACTAACCACAATGTCAAGAGCATAACTCGCGCATATTGAGCAATGTGTATAGATAAGACAATGTGGTGACATGTATTCGCCTTCAGTAGGAAAGTACCTGGTATTTACTTGCAGCTAGATCAGAGAACACTTCTTTCGTCACTTCAGCAAGAAAGCGACCTGATGAACATCGACATATCCGTAAAATATTTACTGGAAAATATACCAAAAATAAAAACAAAGTAACCAAATATTAAGATTATATGAAAAATGCAAAAAATTAACTAAACGGTCAGGGGTAGTGGACGTAATGCCATAAACGTGCTGAGGAACCACAAGAGCGGCTTAATCAATGCAAGTAGGAGGATTGACTAGATTTCAGCAAAAAAGAAGTTGCCTATGTGCTAGAAATTATAAAAAAAATAATACGTAAAAGTTTTGTCCAATAAACTCCGCTACTTCCAAGCTCTGAGGTTTGTTTAAGTTTCAGCCTTAATTCAGTGTTCCACGTGCAGTTTTTGGCCTGCCTTGGAGATACCAGGTCCTCCCAAAATCACTGTCCGAGCACGTTAAAACGTTAGACGAATGTACTTTCTATTCAAATCAAATTAGAGTCGTTGATTAAATCAGGGAATTTGAATACCCTTCGACTTTATCCAAGTTCCACCCAATTACTCATCTTCCTTTTTGCTAAATTCAGGTGCCAACCAATGCTCGTGAAAACCCACCAGCAGAACAGCAAAACTTTGTAGGCAAATGCTTTAGCCATGGTTAATCTAAGCAATATTTGATTGAGACAAAGACAAAGAAAAAGAAACAACAACGACAAATTGTGGAGAGGCGTTCCTGGCTTGGACAAGTTTTTAGATAAAACTCGAAAAGCAATACATTCCCTTTAACAGTCTTGTTAACTTTATTGGTCCAAGTGTGTGTACCTAGACAAAGATATCCAACACACAAAAGTCAGACTAAGCAGCAGCAAGTCTGCCGGCCCAATCTTAACATTTAATTCGGCAGTTATAGTAATTCTTCTCATTCAACCTCCAAGTTAACAATATAATTTGGTGACAACAACCAATCCATTTGTGCTTGTAAACGTCAAAGTTGTGCTCAAGTTTTTATCCCCTCATTTTGGATGTAGTAAATAATGACATCGTACACTAACAATTCAGCCATAATCAGATTCACAGTATGAAAGCAGGGGGTTTCATAGACGCGTCTCATTAGTACGGAAAACAAAACCTGTCCCGGGATCAGCCAGAGTTGATTACATGTGGATCAGAGAAATCTATCAAATTGACATCCAGGAAAAAGAATCTCAGCCTGGGTCCAGTGATTGATACTAAAAAAATTATTCAGAAAGAGAGAATAGAGAAGAAAATTAAATCATTATTAATTTTAAAGAACGCATAAGAGTTTTCCAGAAACGAGGGTACATTGTCGGGAAGGAGCCACAATATGCTTTAAAGGTTGATATCTGCAGTCCACCAACTACAAAATGTTGCAAGGAAACGGCGTTCAAATTTACAGGTGTACAGGAAGGATCTATGCCGACAGTCAAAAATAGTTAGTATACTTGATAAGTCTATCTAGATCCAAAATAACGGTTATTTCTACGGCTCAGCATACTTTTCAGGGGACAATTTTTTTTTTTTCTAGAATGACGCTCGATTCCAAACGTTTTAGAATAGATCCAGAAAAACAAGAAAATGTGCTCAAAATATTGTAAATGAGGACGTGTTACCCTGAATGAGATTCTCTTGCTTAAGAAATATCTCCCGTAGCCTACTCTGACCACAGGGATTGTACTTGAGATTAAATTTGTCAAAGCGATGGAATGTGCTCTTATCCGCATGAACATCCAGCAAGTCTACATTTAGGTCATACCTGCCATCAGAAAATAAGGAGGGCATGTTCCAGGAAGTAAAAAATAGAAAAAATCAGTTCAGAGTTGAAAAGGATTCTTGATTACCCCGTCAAATCCAAACTCTCAAAAACCTCTTTCAGCGTCAGATAGGTTCCATCTCGGAATATGACCACCTAAGGACATTAACAAATGTCAAGATACCTAAGATTAAGCATCAAGCTCACGTTTGGCACTATTACTTTCTCACTGTCCTCTTGCTGGCATGCATAACGTTTACAGATAGAAATAAGGTTAATACCTCTGGCATTTTGGTAACACCAAGGATAACCAAAGAAATAAAACATGACAAAAAAACTGCCTCCTAGAATAAGAGAGCATTCAAAGAATATTGCTTTGTAGATATAAATGTACTAGGTAAAGTTGTTAAATAAACTATAAGGACGATTACTTACAAAAATAATTAACTTCTTCGTTGTGACTTAAAGATATAAAATTTCATTTGAATTTAAGCTAAATGAAGCAGTGCGGGTTTTCACGTCGAGCAAATATGAATTAATTGCACAATTTAAGTATGGCTTAAATGAATATAAGGTGCAAGAAATCTCGAAATAAGCAGCATCATTCAACAATAAATGAAATGATACCGTATTTAAACCTTAGTGAGAACAAAACTGATTATCAGACCAGTTGACAAAGAAAAAAAAACTTGAGTGGTAAGGATCAGCTGATTAAATTTCAAGACTCCAGCATAACCTTACAGCAAGAAATTTCAAGAGACTGGTAAGAATTATCAAAAAAACCTTAATTTTGAGATACACGAAAACCCGGAAACATGAGTCATACTAATAATCACGGAGTATGCTTTACCGTAAAGACACAAGGTTTTATATGCAAAAACTTCAAAGTGGAAATGAGACACCAGGAAACAAGTTCAGTTGCAACTGTTATTAAGTATCAGTATTGAATTCATCTTTCACACACAATAGTAATAATAAAAAATCCAATTATGAGAATTGCAAGAAATAAAAGCAAGAGAAAGGAGCCACTGCACACTTTCCCACTGAAAGGATGCAACACTTGGGCCCTGGATTCCCATGATAGATAATCATGTGGATAGTGAGACATTCTGGGAAGGATGAGGAGCAGAGGTCCACGGGTCCACAAGAATATAAGTAACAGAAGAGGTTGGTTATGGAAGTGAAGAAGCTCATCACTTCTGTATTAATGCAGAGGCAACCATGTAGTTGCAGGTGAGGCTGGCTGTTATAAGTGAAGCAACTTATCACTTTGGCATTGTTCCCAATATCTCACTGATATTACCACTGAGACTGTAGCATACAGGAAAGGATGAGAAGAGCAGATACTTTTGACTGCACAAACATCTAGTTTGCAGGTGGAGAAAATCTATGGACGTACACAGTTAATCACTTCTGCCCTAGTCCTTAGTGATGTTGCCACTGTAACCCCTTGAAGAATGTAAGCAGAGATGTAGAAACCATCTCCTTAGAATCTCTAATTCGGTGCGGAGAGGTGAGAGAGATCAGTACATCAAAGATGAAAAAACTTATTTCCAATACTAATCAAAATGGCAGAGAGGGGGAGGGACTAACAGCATCTACCCTGGACTGTTCAAAATGCCAAATAAGAGAAGGGAATACGTCATCCTAATTCTTATGTTATTTCTGTGACACACATGAGCCAAGAAACCGAAGGATCAGCTTATTAAATATCCAAAACAGCAAAGATAGGTCGTCAGAGCTTAAAGGATGAAATTAAATAGAAAAGGAAAGGGATGAAGAATCTGTCATTAGGCAATCTGGTAATGTCTCATTTTTTTCCTTTCTCTCTTTTCCACAAAACCCTGATCTGATTCGTCTTATTGAAACCCTTTCTACATGAACAATCTCCTTTTCAAAGGTAAAATATCATAAAAAATTGGACCATGTTCACATGATAAGCGTGTGTACCTCATCAGGCTCTTTCCTTAGCTTCGACTTAATGAACCTTAAGAGATGCTTCTGGTTCATGCATGCTGAATGATGAACATGAGTATCAACCTTCCTCACATTATAGAAATCACGATGAGGTGCACTTTTCTGAGCAAGGAATTCAGCATCTGCATTTAGCATCAAGTGCAGATTGAATTTCTGTAAAAAAAATTAACCAGATCAGTCTGTAAGCATTGCAAGAAAATGACAGTCAAATGATCCAAAAAGAGGATATATTATCACCTGCTCTAGAAGAACTAACCGACGATGGCATACTGTTCTGATATTACCCGCAGCAATTACCTTTAGGATGCGATGTAAATCAGTGAAAAAGGTTGTTGCGTCAGCAACAGGGAAAAGCCGTTCTGTAGCTGGAAAAAAAGGCACAGCATAAAACAGAAATTCTAAATCAGTGTCTGCCTAAGCTGGGATGATGATGTTGGTGCAGGGCCCATAGGTGATGACTTACAATCTTTATTTGCATAAACATGAACGACTCCATCTTCCATTTGAAAATGATGCTGAAGAGGAAAACGTGTTTACATATATTAAGGAGATTCAGAACGCCAACAAAACAACGTCAACAAAAAGGTAGAAGAGTTCTAGATGACGGCATCAATAACTCAGCAAGAGTAAAACACACTTACGTCTGTTTTCTCCTCGGCAACATAAGCAAAGGGATTCGGATTCGGCTTTGGGGTACTGGGGTCCGTGATGATTTCTTTCTCCCATGGAGCCACTTCTTCCCGGAATACATAACCTTCTCGTAATTTTAGACATTCTTGAAGAACCTTATAAACCTCAGCTTCATCCACGGATGGTGTCTCTACGAACAAGTACACCAAAAATAGTGTTAGCAAATCCCAAAAAAGGATGACCACCGGCACGACAATTTTAAGTTGTGATTTCCCTTTTTGTCTACTTAGTATTGTAGGAGACGTGTCTGGTTACTATACCGGTGGGAGTTATCCTTAGTTTTATGAATCTCTCATGCTCTGGTTCCTTTCTAAGAATATCGGCTGCAACAGGGTCAGCTTGGGCGCCGTGCAGGTCACCAGGAACACTGTGAGATCTGATTATGTTAGCTGCAGCTAATGTCTTTGAGTTTGCTTCTGTTTCAACTTCACCTGGCAATGTTTGAAAAAAGCTATCACCTTTGGGTACCTGTTCGATCAGATAAGACCTTAGACTTGGCAGGATTTGGAGAACGGGAATAAATATGCATTATGAAAGCTAGAAAAAATTGATAATCGAGAAAATCCCTCGGTAGCACTTAAAATGAATAACAATTATTAAAATACTTTGATTCGGAGTAGAACGCTGGAGAAAGACTTTCTAGGAAGAATTTATAACGATACAGCGAGCTCCAACGATCACAATTCATAGTTTCAAACCTAGATTTAGGGGTTGTTATCATAGAGGTTTCCTTTTGGGCTCCTCTCACATTAGCTTACACTCATCAATTGCTTTCTGTCTTTTAAATCATAATCTAAACACCGAACATGCTTCTGCCACATTGCAAAACAGAACTAGATAATCGTTCGTTTATTATATGATACTTGCAAGACATGAGCTCATCACTTTGCAGGATGCAGATAAGAGAGATGTAAAAACACAATTATAAATACCCAGCATGATTAAATGGAATGAATGCGACATTTTTATCATGATGACGGCCATGATGCATTCATAAGTCCTGAACTAGGCTCACATCATCTCGATCAGGATCCATATATGCATCTTCGAGTTTAGTATCAGAAGGCGAGTCATCATCGGCAGAACCCTCAAGGCTCTCAAAGGCACTGGGAACAGGTGACCTGGGAGAAGCTGTTCTGATAACATGTCCAGTTCTCTTGTTTGAATTCGCACTTACAGAATGCCTGTTACCTGTTACACCGAAGAACATTCCATATAACCTGATCATACCATAAGATAGTAGCATGACTAGGAAGAAACTAGATCGAATGACAATCAAAGTGTGTCCACCGTGTGATATTGTGATATAATGAGGTGTGTTAAAAAGTAAATAACATGATTTTAAGTCGTATTAGAAGAATGGGAAAAATAAAATAAAATAAAACAGGCGGAGTTGCAAACAATAATGGAGAAAAATAAAATCCATTAATGTCACTTTGACTAGTAGAGAACCTCTAAAAATAGGAAAAGAAAACATCTCTAAGGCTCTAATGGACCGTGGGCCGTCCTAAAAGAGAATGTTGACTTCACTAAGCGTAACAAAGTCCAGCTGCATACATTTACTCTGTTAAAAAGGTCCGTTCGGATTTACCAAATTGAAATTTCTACCATACCTTCGGGAAGTATGTGGAGGCGAGGTAAGCCGGGTGGGAAAGGCAGGCTTCGAGGATCATCCGCCCCATGAGTAGCAGCATTAGATGCCGTGAAAGAACCATTTATTACGGGACGATGTCTGTCCACCTGATGATCGTCATCGCCGCCGACGAGAGTCGCGGCCGTAACGTCCGGCAAAGAAGCGGATCCCCGCCGGTAGTAGCTTGCTGCCCTGCGACGGGAAGAAGGGTGCTGGAGCGGTTGACTTTTCTTGTTGTACTTGCCCGATGGGGACTGTGCATCCCGCTCTGAGGCCCCATCCTCATCGAAGTCCCCCCCGTCCTTGTCGCGGTTCCTCCCCCTCTCACTCTCGCGCTCCGCGCGCGCATATTCAAGAACCTGCTCTAGGGTTTTACGATGCATGAAGTATGCCGAGAAAGCGACGACGGAGGCTCCCACCAGCGCCGCCATAGCCAGGTGAAGTGCATACGCATCCATTCTGACCTTCTCACCCCGACACTTTCGCTTCCCGCACCGAGTCAGCGATGACGCTTCAAAAGAAAGCTCGATGTTCCATTGGAGACGAGCTACGTGTTTATAAAGAGGACTTCGGATGGGGTCTGCGCGCTAAGCCGCAGGTATTGAAGACGAAGGATGGCGTAAACCTACAGAGCCCTGCATACGTTTGATATCCCGAAATGACCTTCATTTCCTTGTATTTGTACTATTTTACGCTCCGACCCTGCCAGGGAATCTATCCATGTCGCCACGTCGGCGCGTAGTGGTTCCGCTTATGGAAAGTGGGCGTGCTTTCCAGCGCCGCCGCATCTAGTGATGACGTCAGGTTTCGTCCAGATGTATCAACGTGACCCGAAGTCGGCCCGGTTTTATTTCGGTTTCAAGATCAAGAGCGAGACCAGGCCGGCGGACCGACATTTACCGGGCCGGATCTGGGCTTCCTTCTGGCCGCTCAACCTTGCTTCGGTGTTTGGCTCGGGTGGGTCAGCTCTAGCCAAGGCAGCCTTGGCGCCTGAATGGTCCAGCGCACAGCCGTTTCCCAAGCCTTACCTCGGCTCCGGGCCAGGTCCGGACTGGCTGGGTAAAGTCTGGCCCGGCCCGTTTACAGTAATTTGTTGTAATTATAAACGGCAATGCCATCTAACGGCTACTGTGGAGCTAATCAGAAGCGGTGGGCCCCAGAGATAATCAGACAGCTCACGAATAGCGCGGTGACAGCACATCAGCTGATTGTCATTTGTCGTAATTTAATACTAACTTGGGCCGGAGGAAAACGGACCGGTCCGGACCGGAGTCGCTGGCTGAGTAGGTCCCGTTGCCGCCAATACAGCCGTTTCGAAGGGCGGGAAGTTGCAGGCAAAACCCCCCACTCTTCTACCCTACCGTTCTTTCCTCGTCTCGGTCTCGCGAGGGATCGGCGATGTCGGTGGGCGTCCGGCAGCTCACGGTGCTGGGAGAGTTTAGGCCGCATGGGATCGTCGCTGAAGCACTCGACGGGAAGCCTGCGCCAGGGGAGGATGCCGAGGCGGAGGACAGATTCGACTACTTCCTCTTCGACCCAGACATCACTGGCGACCGGGATGAGTCTCTGTTCGAAGACCACCCTTTTCCGACGTCCTCTTCCCCATTCAATCATAGCGACCACGAGATATTCATTCGGGGAAACCGGTCCTCTCTCTCTCTCTCTCTCTCTCTCTCCCCTCTCTCCCCCCCCTCACTTGTCTACACCCCAATCAGGGGGTTTATTCGCTCGTTGTTGTAACTGCATTCCTGTTCCACCAGTGTGATCTGGAGCGCTGGCTCAAGGATAGAGAAAAGATACAGCTCACCCACTTCCGTCTTAATGGTACGTGCCTAGATAATGCAGCAATCTGCTTCATCGGCAGCGGAATCGTATTATAACGAAAAAAACTGGTTTTTGTTTTTCATTTATCCCTTCGTTTCACCTTCGTCATCTTACTTGAGAAAATACAGTGAAGTCTGTGACTAGGCATTATCAAGTCTAATCGTTAGCTCCCTCACATCATTTTTTAAAGTACGATTTTTTTAGTAAATCGTTCGAGTAGAACTATCGGTCAACTATGCAATGCTCAAGTTCCAGAGTAAATGGGAAAGTACTGAAAAGTGGTTACAAATCAAAATGTCAAGTACTTGACCATTGGTCTACAATTCGTTTTCGCTCCTTGCTATATCACTTTAGAATCTGTTATACTGCAATGACAGGAATGTTTGAACAATGCTAGGCATTCAGAATAACCTGCAAGGAATAAAGAGGAGTTTTAGAGCTTACCTATATTTCTCAGATGATAATCTTATGTAGTAGAGTCGCTGTTAGGTGGTTTGATAGCCCACTTTTTGTAAAGAAAAAAATCCTTCCTAAACATGTCCATGAAACTCAACACAGATCATTTAATTTGAAGTAAAAGATACAAGGTTGCATGTGATGAATTACCCTCATATTTTATTAATTGGGACGGTCTTCTGTTTGTCTTCTGTTTATCTTCTGTGAAAACAATTTATATCTTAAAAAAAAATGAAAACAATTTAAACCTTTAAAAAAAATAAAAAAAAAATACTGGTTTTTAGTGGATTCCCAGATCTGTGTAGTTTCGAACTTGAAGAAGGTCTGTTCATAACACATGATATAAATTATTGTAATTCGTTGAGTGGAGGTTTCGTATGCTTATTAAAGAAAACTCTATGTGTCAATCAAGAAACTAGGTTTTTTGTTTGCGGTGAAAGAAATGAGTGGAAAACCTGCCATTACTTCGCCCTTCTATCCCCTAGTTTCAAGACACATCTCACTGCCTTCTGTTTTGGCGCTGGTTGAATAAACTTTATGATCCTGACAGGAGGGTATAGTGGAGATATTTTCCTAGAAGCACTTAAGCATGTCATTTGACTTGATTAAGAGTAGATGAAGAAAGTGGAGGAAGGATTTTCTTTGGGTCATCAAAAGGATACCTGTCAAGACTATCTGCTTAATTCATGAACGGTTATCTTATGTAAGCTGCATAAAAAATAGATGCTTTTTTTAATTGGCAACAAGCTCAATTGCCAGCATTGATTTTGTAAATTTTACTGTATCTTCTGAGAGGCCGATGATCTTGGTGATTCCACTGCAAAGGAAGCGAATACATTTCTTAAGCAACATAGGAGTTGTTTCCTCATATCTCACTTTTCTTGAAGCAGAAATATTGTTAATTAATTTGTGTGGTGTCTTTTTTTCTTTTGAACCAAAGACAGAACCATGTTAATGCACTGTTAGGAGCGAAAGTTGAAAGTTGGCTTGTATTTACTGTATTCCAACCATTTCCATGGCTTTTATTCCTAGAGAGATTTTTTCTTGTGACAATTTATTTGTTCTCATTCAAGTCATATGGATGACTATTTCTTGTCTGTGTGCTCTTTACTTCATTATATCAATTTTATGAGCAACAGAAGCAGTTAGATCGTCTAATTTTGATTTCAGCTTTTCTGAAGAAGTTTTATCCATTTTCAGGCATGTTGGTGTCATATGGAATCTATTGCTGAAGCTCTTCTTTGTGTGCTGCAGATTGACAGTCTGTCAATCTACAGTTCATCTGGTGAGAAAAACTGTGCTTGTTAAATTACTGATATTTAGTCAATATCAAATAACCTTTTTACCAACTATCACGGTCTTCACTTCGTGCATGCCTCGACAATTGGCTACCTACATATCGTTGTTCTCTGCCATACATGAAATTTATACTTATTGGAAGCCGATGATGCCATTCTCCCTACTCAGAGGATATTCTCATTAATTTCTGGTAATCTATCTTCGCAGGTGAAGTGGGCTCCATTCCTTTGCCTTATTCTATAGGGGCCATCTGGTCTCTTCCTCTTGGTTTATTACTACAAAAGGAAACTGATGGCAATCAGCCAATGCACGTGTCTTATTCTTCTTCAAGCTCATTGCTAAATACTCGTGATTTATCTCGTCCAAATAAGGAGTTTTTGTCCAGTCAAATTGCCTCTAACTTATTCGGTCCATATGATCATGCCATAAAGGGGGATGGAGTAGATGGGGCATCACATTTGATTCTTAAGCATCCACTCGAAGAACCTCAGGTCTCTTTATTTTTTCATTTATTAACTCATCTTTCTTCTATTGATTAGTCTTGTGGTGTACAAATGTTCCTTATACATGCTTGTTTTCTATATTGATTCGCAAATTCTTATTTGAAGTTGTGAAGGTCTATAATTACGAAAGTTATTGGTTTAGTTTCTTCTTACTTGTTTGTGAGGTCTGTCACTGTCCCACTCTTTCTCCTTATTTCAAAAAGTGTTGGGGATACTGACGGAAACTAAACAAGTATAAATAGTTGGGAAAATTTTCTGTCTTGCCAATTCGTCGAGCAATTGCTAGCTATGTACAATTACTCTGGCTCCCAAAAATGAAAAACTACCTATGTTAGATCCCACGATTTATGGGATACTCAACAAAACTAGGAAACTGACCAACTGAAACTATTAATTACACGTTTTCACCTGCAGATACCACAAAGCTCTCCAATTGAAGTTTTATTCCAGAAAGTAGGCGATATCTTTTTAGTTACAACATAATCAGTTTCAACTGCTCAAAGAAAACTGCTTGGAATCTTTCTGTGACCATAGCTTAATATGGTGAATGAAAATGTACAAATGAAGTTTCATTGACCAGGAGGGAAAGAGAGGCTTCGATCCTTTATTTCCCTCATGAAGGATTCTCGGGTCCATCTATGTGCACAATCTTCGTACAAGATTGCTGGCAGCAGCCCAAAGGGAATTTGTTTGGAATGACTCTTAATGGATCATCTGTTTGGAACGATCCATCTTTCTTTCAAAGTTTCTTTCCATCAGCTGACTCTTAAGTCAGCTAATCCTCATGCAGACGACGACTCAAGAAGTAGGACATCCAGATCGCCTAATGATACGTCAGATCATGTCATATTGCCATCATTCAATCCTTCTGTGTTTGTAAAAATCTGAAGTTGCATATCTTCTTGTTGGATTTTTCATTTCACTCTTTTGAAACGAGAAGAAACAAACTTTTTGTGAGGGTTTTGCCTGGGGTTGAAGAGTTGTGAATGTCAACTGTTTAGTCGGTGGGAGTAAATTATCCTGTCCAATGCCATACTGCGATTAAGATTGGTTGCCTTTGTAGTTTGCGAAACTGACATCATTTTGTTGTATACCCTTTGCTCATTTTGTTTGTTTAAGCAACACTGCAGATATTTGTATACATCAGAAATTATTACAATTTTTAAACACCATATTTTCTGATCTATTCCATTTGCAGGTGACGTATGTCGAAGAGAGGGGCAAGTTGGCCATTATGAAAGATTTTGACGAAAGAATTATTTGGACTAGTGATATTATTCCTTTGATGTCATCGTATCACAAAGGTTCATCAATTACGCATGCTTCCATCAATATCTAAAATAAGATTGTAGAATTGAAACATTAACTTCCAGCTTTAGAGCATTAAACCGCGTTTCCTTTTTCCTTCCACTGTTCTTAACGCCTTCTTCATTAACTTCTATTGCAGGCAAGATGAAACATTCTATTTGGCTTCTGGAAGTTGCACATCCTGAAAGTGAAATAGTTACTGCAAGTCGCACTGTTGAAGAGGTTTTGGACGCACCATCTTCAAAACTATTTTCTTTTAGAAGGATATGGCAAGGAACGTGTTCCCAGTGTGCTGCCAGTGAGGTGATTCTCCGTAATTGTTTTGTTTCTCGATAAATTTACCATGGTAGACAGTATATCACATTTCGGTTGCCTGTTGGATGGTCCTTTGGCGAGTAACTCCATGCATGGATTTTCATTGCGATTCATATTTGTATCACTTGATTATGATCATCGAATCCTTACAGTAAAGGATAGTGGGCGCCCATCATGATCTCATTTTATCAATCCAAGGTTGTCTATGCTTAGAGATACAATTCTGTAGGAAACTTTCTGAATGCTTGCTGTGAAGGATTACAAATTCTCAAATCATCATCTCTAAACTCCAGGTTAGGGGGCAAACAAGAAGACAACAATTTTCATGGGGTCACCTGAGATATGCTTTGAGATGTAGGCAGCCCTGATGTCCAGGGTGTCCAGGCTCGCCTTTTTGATAAACAGAGACAGTAGAAAAAAAGGGTTCTGTACCATGAACTTTGAAGGTGAGCTGTCTAACATGGCACTTGCCTTGACCACTCTGCTGACTTTGGCAAGAAACTTCTCCCTTGTTGGGATTGACAGCCTCTGTCAAAGGAAAGAATAATCATGTAGGACTGGTGCCATTCCATACTCGATCCGCTGCCTGGTGTATACCTTTCAATGAGACTCTTGTTTCGCTAGAGCATTTAGAACACGACCTAACTAAACCTCACTTACCGGTATCTGAGCAATTCTTCCAGTGAAATACCCTAGTATATGAAAGAATGAAAAAGTGCTTTCTTTGCGGGCACATAACTTCCTCTAAATGATAATGCATTGGACGTCTGGGGCCATTCTTTTAGTTTTAGTTGCAGTCAAAATACTAAATATCATTTTGTGACTAATTTAGTTATATTGAAAGATCGAACTAGGTCCGGTGTGCCAGGAAGACTACCCTTGCGCCTGTGGAGAAAAACTCCAAGTTCAAACCGACAGAACCTTTTCTATCATTCAAAAAGATATTTACAAATTGGAGGGGTCTGGTATTTATACCAGAAATGGAAGGCTCTTGACACTTATAGCTATCCTTGGGATTATGTGTCCCGTCAATGAGTTAAAAAGTTTTATCATATTGTTTTCATGTCTATCAGAGGTACTGCTTTTTTTTTATTTATTTATTTCCATATATTAGCTACCCTTCGTGATATATTTACACATATATTCTCTTTATCTTATTCAGTACTTATTTGATAGTTCATAATATTTCCTATTATTTTTAAGTTATTTAAAATTAGACCTGCCCTAGGTTATGCTTGATGGCTGACGTTATTGACTATGCAGCACGCCGTCCCCTTGCTAGCCTTACATATCGTGTATGTGAAAATTCTACCCTCAATTTGTAAGATAACAAAACTCAAGGAATTGGTGAAAATTACCACCTGAAAAACACAGAATACTCCTATATCACAAATGAAACATTTGAAAATTGACTTTAAGCCATCTGATTTTACTGTTTGCCAGTAACCTCAACGAGAATGTCAGTGTATAAGAACCTTCAAATGAAGGGAGAAAGGCGGAACACCAGGAAAACCCTAGGTGTTGACATAGAGAAGAGATGAGTATAGATGGAGCCCCAAAAGACCCTATGTCAGATGGTGGAGAGAGAACCTCTCTCCTTACATTTGTCATAAAGGGTAATGCCCTAAACAGTACAGATTTAGTGGACCCAGACTGGATTTGGGATATAATACGTTAGCGGGCTCAATAAGATCCGAGATGTGATGGAACCAACAAACTCTAATACAGAGAAACAAAAAAAGGATAACTGGTTCTCAATACAGGGTTAATTTTAATTATTGTCGTCTGATGAATAGTTTAATTTATTTTTTCACCTTTTTATTATTTTATTGTTTTCTCATGTTACTAGCAGGTTGGCTTTTATGATGGGTAAATCGTGGGGCCAAAAATCCATAAACAATAGAAATGCTTGTTTTCTCATTTTTAGTCATATTTCCCACTTCACTGGTTAGGTGTTTATGGCGACTGATGTTGATGGAGTGCCTATCATCTGTTTCCTTCTACAAGAGCAAAAACTGCTGCTTGCTGTGAGGATACTGGTTGATGAGATGATGGGCGATGTTCCTGTTGATTTTAGGCCTCATACGAGCTGGACGATTCACGCAATCGCTGCTGTGCCAGTGGTTGTGACTCGCCCAAGGTATTTGTGACTAATTTCACCTCACAAGATCCATCTTACCATTTTACCAATAAGCATTCATATTTTTTTCTAACTGCAGAGTTCAAGTTGGTCACCTTCCATTCCATGACATCGTTGTTTTAACATCCGACAATAGTCTTCTACTTTATGTAAGTTGCTCGCTTATGAAAGTTGAAAGTTCTTTTCATGCAACCTGTGCCTGTTCATCTTCTATGCCATTTTTTATCTTTTTTTCAATCATTGATCTATCATGTTACATTTATTCTGTACAAGGAACTTATGGGCTTTTCCTGTGCTAAAACTGCAGTCTGGAAAGCAGTGCCTCTGCAGATATGTTTTACCTTGTGGTTTGGGAAGAAGTGCTGTATTTAATGATATGGTCCCCACTGAATCAGTTGCTATTTATAATGATCTGAAGATCACAGGAGTAGCTGATCCTGTTCGGGGTAGAATTAATGTGATTGTCGATAATGGCCAGGTTTGTCTTGATGTAGAAATGACTCATTATTTGTGTTTGGTTTTTCTGGTGCCCGCTCCCTTTCATTCGATTCTCCTCATCATCTGTGTTATTTTCTATATCCCGGGTTAAGCATGCATTGGCTCAAGTTTCTCTTAAAGTCGTGTCGTGAGAGTTCGTATTATTACCCACTTTTGATGCACATTGGTCCTTACCATTACCGTTTATTGAGAAACAAATTATTCAAACCAGTCTTCTATCTCGAGGACTAAAAATCTGAACAGATCACATACCATATAACGTATTGATAAATGACGGTGGCTAGCACCCCACAACATGGGTTACATGACACAACACTGCTGTGGTAGCAGCTAGATCAGACAAGCCCGCTGGTCACTCATCTTAATCTCACTGCCATGATACAATGTATAGGTCGAGGGAGATGTTTGTCTCCGAACCGTATGATCCGTATCTTAATCACATTTGCAGATAGGTGAAGCATTTTTCAAGTACACTTTGGTCCACCTTTCTTTTGCGACGTGAGAAGCTTTTGTTTTGCATATACATATACATATACTTTGGCAATGCAGTTGTCAAAAGCACCAAATTCTATGCTTACCTATTTTAAATCCCATTGAAGTTCAACGTACGTTTATTGAAATATGTGGTGGAATGATGATCATGGTCGTAAGGTATTTGTAGGAAGTCCATTTATTGCAGTCAATAAATTTTCGTAGGTGGTTGGAATAAGTCCATTTAATGCAATCAATACACTATCCCTGATGGACCAGATGATGTAATAGTCTTCATCATAACATGGGAGTCTACAATGATCCTTGAAATTTTTTAAAAAGCTTTTTCTCCAAAACCCTGTGCAGACAAATAGTATTTGGTATGGTATATCTTATGTTCTTCTTTGCTTTTTCTGATGTTGAAGGCTTTTCTTTTCTTTTGTTAGATGTTCAGATGTGCACTACGAAGAAATCCTTCATCATCACTGGCGAATGATTGTATCACAGCCATGGCAGAGGGCCTTCATTCTTCTTTTTACAATTATTTTATTATTTCACTATGGGGAGATGGAGATTCTTCTTATTTATCTCGTACCGATTCACATTTTGACTTAGAATGGGGGTCTTTAAAGAATGTGCTGATTGGAATTTGTCAAAAATGTGGATCTGGTTTCCAAAATGCTCCCCTTGAATCATATGACACCTCATGGAACTTTTTAATTAACAGCAAATTTCACAAAAATTACCATCAGCGCTCATCTTTCACTGGCCTCTCTTTTTCAACTATCCACAATACTGGGCTTTTTGAACCCTCAGCTGGGTGCATAAAAGCTGGAGAACATCAAGAGACATCCTTTTATTCTCAGCTTCTGATGGGAGCTCTGGATGCTCTGCATGCGCTTTATGAGTGTTTGAAGCTTGATAACCTTCGGAAACAGTAAGATTTCCTCGTTCTTAAGATTTCTTTACCTCTTGTCAGTAGTTTGGTACGTCATTATTTTATGTTTATTCTCAGGTGTTATACTTCAATTAAGTACAAGTCAGGTATCCTTTTTTCCATTTTAGAAAAACATGAGAAGCTTTGCTTTGTCGTATCCACTCAGTGACTTTGTTGAATTAATCCCATCTAATCAGGATCAAAGATTCATGTATTTTCATATTGTGATTATTGCTTGATCTGATCCACAACATGTATCTCTGGCCTGTGTGTTGCCGTCTGTAAATGGCTGTTCAACTAGGCAGACCGGACAACATGTATCTCTGGCCTGTGTGTTGCCGTCTGTAAATGGCTGTTCAACTAGGCAGACCGGACAACATGTATCTCTGGCCTACCTTGTCACCTCAGTGACGCTTCAAAAGCTTGGCTTAAGGAGGAACTTGCTGATTAACCTGCTATTAACGTACCATCTTCGGTTTCTTTTTTCTTTCCATGTAGACCTGAGATGTAGTACATTTGTGACTAGATTGTACGTGCATGGTTTGGGCAAGTGATAAATTGTCTGATGAACCACCAAAACAACATCATGTGGTTTGAAAATTTCATTGCAGGCATTTTGAAGGGATTAGCTGTCACCTTGATATCTGTTTTCCTATGTGCCAGATGTTTGAGAATAATTCCATTTCACCTTTATTCATTGTAGAATTAATTTTTGTCGAAACCTCATTTGAGTATTTACTTCACTTATTGAATATTTTTGGATTTGATGAGTGATAGTTCGAGAAAGTCATGGTAACTTTGCTCTGTTTAAATAAAGTATGAAATTGTAAATGGATAGGTCTGTTAAACAGAACAAAGCAAAGAATAAAAGACAACCGAAATATTACTTAAAATGGGTAAAACATCATATTCCCCGCACCTCATCCAGGAAGATGCCATTTGCCAGGACCATCTTGGTGGAAGATTTTAAACCTGGTTAGTATGGATTGCATCAAGCTAGTATTCCGCTTTGGCATAATGTCTTTCAAATTTTACATGATGGTCGTAATTTACATTGTTCTTTGTTCTTTTTCAGCTACATACGGTTTCGCACGAGTGTTTTCTAAGCATGCTATTACCTAAAGAGTGCATTCTTCCCACTAAATTGTGCACATGATGACCAAAAAAATATTTTTGTTCTTACAGTGACTTGACACTTCTCGTTGATCTTTTGTGTTACATCGCCATTTCATTGGGTGAGACAAGCTATGTGGACCACTACATTCGTGATTTTCCATGTGTTACACCAGACATTGCGACTGCCCATGTTTCCCCTTCTCCCAGAAGCCCACCATGTCTTCTTAGGTGGCTTGAAAAATGCCTGCAGTATGGCTGCAAATCTGAACATGTAAACGACCTTCCTGATATGGTGTGCAAGGATAAATGTTCTGCAGTTAGCTGGGCCCGAAAGATTGTGGCCTTCTTCAGTCTACTATTAGGTGCAGAAAGGAATGAAAGGAAGCTTTCTTCTGGAGTTTATTGTGATATTGCAAATGGATCAGCCATTACCCCTGAGGAGCTCACTGTCTTAGCAATGGTTGCTGAGAGATTTGGTCTCCAGCATTTGGATTTACTACCTGCAGGCGTCTCCCTTCCCCTGAGACATGTAAGTTTATCTTTTCCATTGAGAAGAAGTCAATAAATGTTAAAGAGCTTATATCAACAGTATAACACTAGTTTATGTAGGGTGGTTTCATGGTCATTTATAGCCTTTAATTTTGATATAAGGAGAGCCAGAGATGGTTTAGTGGATTTAATGTATAGACAAGCAGCATTATGCTCCCATATCTTTCATCGGCATGGAAGGAAATTTTTCAATCCAAGTTCTGAGAGTGCCAAGGGCGAGAGTTTAAAAGCTGTATGGTATTTGGTTGTTTTTGTATGTATGCTTGAAATCGCATTTTAAACATGGATGTTTTGATACTTTTAGGCACTAGATAAATGCAGAGAATCTCCACCGACAGACTGGCCTGCTGCTGCTTATGTACTCATTGGCCGGGAAGATTTAGCAATGGGATGCTTGGGCTTCTCTAGAAAGCTTAACGAGCTTGAATCACGAACTTATTTGAATTTGATATCTATATGTACACCGTATGTGCTTCCTCTGAAGCCAGTGACTATTCCTTCCTCAGTGTGTGATCTCATGCAATCTGACTATATGAAAATTGAGGAAATAGGATCCCTCGATGATCCTTTTGAAGATGGCATGGAGCACATGATCAATTCAAGCACAAAACTGCGTTATGGTCGTGATCTAAGACTGAATGAGGTTTGATCCTGATTCTGTAAAGTATTTCTATTGTCTGATGAATATTTGGTGGTTTTTCTTATTTTATTTGCTGCTGGCACATGAATGCCTCTCATGCATTGTGGGTGAAAAGACTTCTGAATGATCGAACTATTGCTATATGCTAGCCTTGCACCTTTGACTATCATTGCCTGCTCCTCTCCATCTGAACTCTGAAGAACGTGAAAATCAGTGCCTCCTTGATTGATAAGGCTGCTAATGCTGTAAGGCGAAACCGAGTGCAGGCATTGTCCGGTAACCATGCATCAAATGGGAGGCATGCCTCCGTCTGTGTGGCTGCCCATTGTCATCATATAAGAATTCGATGCCATTTTCAGTCTCTTTATTTTTGTTCTTTAGCTTCTGTCCGTAATTATTAAAAAACTATGCTTTCTTTGACATATTTACTCACTAGTCCTTGGGATTTACCTTTCTCTTTTTACCAACTCAAAAATAGGGCTGTTCTGATCACCGTTTATTGCTGTGTGAAACAAATTTGCACATTCGATGTGGGTAATCCTTCCAGCAAATGTGATTGTTCTTCATTCATGAGTCTGCTGTCCCGTGATCTACGTTTTGAGTAAACATGTACGATTCTGCCTTTAAATCTGATTTGAAGCCATCTTATTTCTCATGTTGATTGCTTCTCTATAAAAGATGATCCTATTATTGTCTAATTATGAGGAAATGATGAAGATTTTTGTCATGCTGGTGGAACAGTCCGGAATGGAAATGAAGGTAAAGTTGGCTTACTTGGAATCATCACAGACAACGAAAGGCTGGACAATCAATTCAGATTATTTCTTCCCAGTTGTGATCCATTGCAACCGAAATCAACTGAACCCCCCCCCCCCCATCCCATAGACCAGAAACTGTAAAAGATGATGTCTTGGAAAAGGGGCTTTATTTTCACAACTCTATCGATCTTATTTCATATCGGGATCAAAAACTGAATAAGGTTGAATCACAATAGGTCAGCTAAGTGAAATTATGGTTTCCTCAAGCTCACTGAGAAACCATTTGATTCTTTTCTTAGGCAAAAGCCAAGGAAGATGAGTGACATTTCTTTTGTTCTGAGGCTAACAATACTCAAAACTGTCTCTTTTAAGACATAAATGATGGCATCACGTAAATTGTGATGACTTTAAAATAGTGTGTAAGCATCCACCCATTTTTCTTAGGTGAGATGGTGTATCGACATCTTGGGTATTTAGTCACTTCGCTTGTAAGTTATGTCGAATATTGATTCTGCATCTCTTCCCATAGTAATACAGCATTATTTTGTTTTGAACTTGAAGCTCCATTATCATTTGGTCTCAATGCTATTCCATTTCTGGTAGAATAATTTTTTTCCAAGTATTTAAATTATTGTAGAGGTTTAGTAATATTGTCAATTACCACTGTCTACGGCGCTGTTAAATTTAGTTCCTTTACATATATATAATACAGTCAAGATGGCATTTAGGTCAGACGCCTCTTATGCTCGTCAAGGCCAGTGGCTATACAAACGCCTGTGAATCCTAGCGCCTCTGATCAAGAGCTTCAACAGGTGTATATTTCTACTCCTTTTGTTCTCCCTGAGCTCTCTCTCTCTCTCTCTCTCTCTCTCTCTCTCTCTCTCTCTCTCTCTCCCCCTTACTCCCTACCTCCCTCCCTCACCCATCCGCCTCCCCATATATATATAGTTATACATATGTATATATCTAACAGTACATTTTATAATTAAGTAAATAGTTCTAGGCAACCTTTCTACTTGTGGATCTTACAAATAAGGAGAGATGCGGTTGACTGTTGTTTATTTGTTTCTTTAACAGCCAGGTTGTCATAGCATGTAGTTTATCATGCACTTGAGCTAAGTTGATATCTCTTGTGACGACTTATTTCTTTGTGACAACAGTCTTAGTCTAACCGAGCACAATTCTTTTTGATCTGGTTCTTCTCTTCGTAGCTTGCACATCAGCCATATTTTGATTTCTGGGTGTTGCCCACATGCTTCTACGTACTTCTTAAAGAGCTTTTTCTTGTTGCTATTTAGGCTTTAGCACCTCACAGAAAATGAAATTTCTTTAGGGACTCTCTTCCCTCTAGCTGCTTTGTTTCTATCTTCCTGAGTAACAAATTCACAGCTGTCCCTAGGATGATGCCAGTCTTTGTCTTGTCGGGGTTTCCAAGTGGCCTACCTGCTTGTACTAAATCAAGTCCTGGTTTCACCTCTCCAAATACCCATGTAATAACTCGTGCTAAATCAGATCAGACGCTAGATCAGTCAGTGGACAATTATTGGGATTGGTCTATCAGTGAAACATCGAATTCGTTGAATTTACATTGAGTATGGCGTTTCAGGTGCATAGCTTTTCCTTATCCATTGGTATATACAATTTTATATTTTGTATAGCATCAGCTGTGGAATCTCGCCCAGAGGACCTCTGCTCTTCCTTTTGGACGAGGCGCATTTACTTTAGCTACTACCCATACTCTTCTAACGGAGGTAAATTCTGTCTTCATTGCTATTGAACTTTTTGTGCTAGTGATAGGTTAAGGTTTTTATTTACTTTTTACTGAAACTTACAGGCTCTGGTGGTTCCTAGGCTTGTTTTTTCTGGCAGATTGCCTGCACAACAGAATGCAACTGTTAGTACTCTCTTCTTTTTCTCAGAGTTTGTCCAAATTTGGGTTTAATTTTGTCGCCTTGTCTAAGGAAGGAATGCTTTAGATAACGTACAAAAAATTCCAACATGTCATGCACAAACCTCTGGCCTTAGCATCGGACAAGTGTTGTTCGGTTCACTAGTTCTCTGATTATAGTGATGAGTGGATGTGATATATTTATGAAGACTTAGATGGCCTCTCAAGTATGACAACTCAAATTTTGATAGTGGTGGCTCTGTTCAATGTTAAAGTTGTATTCTATGTTCTTTTTGGCTTCATGTTCTTTGATATAATGAATGATCCTTTCTTTAGGTTGCACCTATGTGATATTCTCCTGTTAAACTTCCTTTTTATCTAGGTAAAGAAGCATCTAGCTTTTTTGTTTCAACGTAGCCAATGCATTGGGACAGCTTGAGTGCACTAGTTGCTTCTAAGTATTGTGTCCTCATTTGCTACATCCTTTTGACATTAAAGTAATAGCTCTTTATTTCTTTCTACTAAAAGCGCCATTCTGTTATTAGCTTTTGTCAAAAAATTACTATGCACAAATAAATAAACAGGAGAATGGACGAAAATATTGAGCAATTTTGATGACTCGATGAACCTTATGACTGCATGATTCATGCCACCGTTGCATGACAGGATAGGCTCCTAGGTAATCAGTTCTCACCAATGTGGCTTGATTATGTATTAGTGTGCTCGACATGTTGTTTTACCATTTGCATGACTCCATGTCATGTAATTGCTTTTACTTGGTATATTAAAAAGTACGGAAGAGATTACAGATTTCTTTCCCTTCTATCTTTGGTACCATTTTCTGATTTATGATAATGTCATATGGAGTTTGTTCCCATAGATTATACCATCTTATGAGTCGACTATCATTTTACTGTCGACAGGTTTTGTTATTCAAAAACCTTCTGTATTGAAATTCCATCTTGACAACAGGTAAATTTGGATCCGAATGTTAGAAATATATCAGAACTTGGGTCTTGGCCCGAATTTCACAATGGTGTTGCTGCTGGTTTGAGGTTGGCACCTTTTCAGGTTTGTCTTCATCTCTCCAACCTCTGCTTTGATGGTTGATTAGGTGACAATAAACTTTTTTTGCATTTATTTCTACAAAGGTTTGGTTTCTGCTCTACACGAATGAGATGACTCTGGGTACTGTCTAAATTATTTCCGTATTCTTGTAGGGAAAAATGTCAAGAACATGGATACAATATAACAAACCGGAAGAGCCTAGTGCTATACACGCTGGGGTTCTTCTGGCGTTGGGATTGCATGGACATTTACGTGTTCTGACAATTACAGATGTTTATCGATACCTTTCCCAGGTGAAGACCTTCATTGACAAATGTTTTCATGTGTCTCTTTGAGAATCTGTGGTACTTTCTCTACCTGCGTCTTTGGATTTCTCGCTTAAAATTCCAGAGTTTGTAGATAATTATTTTTCATTAGTAATTCGTTGTAGAGAATTCAAGTAACCGTTGTTAAGCCATACTTGTGTATCGGTTGAAGTCCCGTGCGTTTTCTGCAAGATATATATGTTGCTTATTTTTCTTTTCTGATATGCCTGTTTTTCTGTAGGAGCACGATAATACTACCGTGGGGGTCTTACTTGGCATGGCTGCATCACATCGGGGAACAATGCATCCTGCAATATCTAAGGTAAGATAGTGGCTTTAATTGATAATTTTACTTGTTTCCCATGATCCGTGAGCATTTCATATTTTCTCTGGGTATTTTCTTTTTGATTGCTTTCTTCTGCTCTTCATGAGACACCCTTTCTCAGAGCACATTTTATAATATGCTTTTGAACAACTGGTTTTCTCCTTTCAGCTTACGATGTTTGTCTTCAATCTATTTCTTTCGTTTCTCCCTTTTTGACCGAACTTGCATGTCATTCTATTCATATTTTTATTCCGCTAGGTAGTAGAGTATTTGATACATCCGAGACATGATAAGTACAAAAAACATAAAGGCTGTTTTAGTTTTAATTCACAAAGCACTTGAATTATTGAACGGCCCGTATTTGATACATTTATAAATTAGTCCCTACGAAATTGACCTACTAGAAATCCTCTGACATCTACCATTTGCTGCCATCTTAGCGTTGTTTAAGGTGAGTCATAGATTACCTGAGTAGATTAATGAGAGTAAATGTTTTTTTCTTCTTAATCACAGATCTTAACTTAATCGGGTCAAGTTTGTTTTGGCCTATTTTGATGTTTGACATAGGGAAGTGGTGTGTCTCTAAGTCAAGGTGTTTCAAGGGATAAGATTTCTCTTTTATCTTTGTTGATGCCTACATGATTTCCCCTGTGTTCTTCAGTCTAAGAGAATGCTTTGAAAAGACAATAGGTTTGTTTGTTGGAGGATCCATCAGGGGCAATGACTTTTTAGAAGTTCAGATCTAACGAGATTATTGTCCATCAAAGATTATATTGCGTGGATCTTGGTCTCCTAATGTGATTAAGCTGTATAACGAGACCATTTCTCTCCCCTTCTTGTTACCTTTTGTATTACATAATTTCTATGCTGTATAATGTGTGGACAGGTGCCTTCTATATTTATGGGGTTTTCCGATCTTTTGAGACAATTGTAAACAGCTCAGGGCTTCTCAGATTCTTATTGTCCTTCTGATTTCTGAAATCGTACGAACTTTGACTAAGTACCATTATGATTACGTGGTCTTTCTTCCATTTCGACCTTCAGCTAGATGGCTAATGGATATTTTATCTTTCCGTTAGATGCTATATCTCCATATTCCTTCTCGACATCCATCATCTTTTCCAGAACTGGAGTTACCAACACTCTTGCAGGTATGCAATCGTCCTTTACCTCAGAAGTGCCCTCCTTATCCTAAATATTCATTTTTTCTGTTTTATTTCAATTTTTTATTTCAGTAAAGAGATTATCCATTGCACATGAATAAATAGGACAATAATAGGACTTGTTTCCTACAACTTGTATCTTGTTACAAGTTTGTGATATATACTTATATTAAACAGAAAAATAAGGGATGTGCTGCTTTAAATATGAAGCGGTTCCAATCATCGAAATATTATGATTCTGATACCACATATTGATAATGATTGGATTTATGCAATCAGGAAGAGTAAATTTTCTAGAATCTCGGAAATAAGTCAATGTAAAGATTGAGAAGGTTCTAAATTTTACCCTTCATCATTCAGACATCAAAATTTTCTTCTAAGGCAAAGCTCAAGTTACCGCCTTTGATATGTTGTTATATAAACTTTATTTGGGTATTCAGATTTATAGCCCTTGATGAGCATGCGGACATGTATGAAACTGTGGACGATGCAAACTAGATATTTTAACTGTCTTCTCATCTTGGAGTGTACCGCCCGTTTTGCCTAACATCTAGCAATCAGGGCATAAGCGAAGCTGGGAAATGGCCCTGTAGCCATAGAAGCCTTTTAAACATTTTTTTCGTAAAGTGAATAGTGCTGCATAATTAACATTGTATAAAAAAGAAAAAAAATGTACCGGTAGATTTCTGATCAGCTCTCCAAAGACACCATATTTGAAAGGTCAGTAAGCTGCATCTAGACGGTACAGATACACTTGTCGTCTGAATTTCAGACAGAATGCCATCACTTTCTTGTCAGTACCATTTTGACTGACTTGATCTATCTGTTGCTTTCATTGTCCCTGCTACGGAAAAATTTTAAATGCTGGACATTACCTTCGTTTCACGCAGATAACCAACCTTTGGCTATGCTGATTTCTCGACTCTAATCTGTTACTGCAATGAAACCTCCAGAGCTAGAGTCCTAGAAGGCTGGGCCACCTGTTCTTACGGGGAAAGGAAAGAAACCAGGAGGATACCTTGGAAAACTTTGACAGATAATTGTCGCTATTTGTTGAACCTGTCATCTCGATTACTGCATGTTTCTATGAAGAACCATGAGTACCAAAATTAATAAAACTAGGGTGTGAAGCCTTCTTTCCCGTAATCATAACTCCATAAGAAGGAAGAACTTTCTGATGGACTACCCCCCATTCCGATACCTTTAATCTATATCCCAGAGTTCAAATCGTTAGTTGTATCCTATGGAAATTAAATTTTTGTTCCACAACAAGTTTGTATCTTTTATTTGTATATATTTATTAGTCAGATTTAAGCATAATGAGATATTAGTTTTTCATCTGTTTGATCTATGGATACTTATGGAAAACATGGAAAAATAAGGAAGTTGGTTTATACACTGTCAACGCATGTCAAATTGATATTGACCGCAGAGGACGTGACTTCTATCTCAGTAGCCTGTTAATAAGATCATTTGCTTTCGGCCTAAATGTTTATGCTTCTCATTTTTGTTCAACTCTCCTTGCAGTCAGCAGCTCTACTTGCCGTTGGTCTTCTTTATGAGGGATCAGCACATCCATTAACCATGAAGATTCTCCTTGTAATTTACTCCTTTTCTTATAATCTGTTGACATTTTCTTATTTATCATTATTGATATCTTACTAAATTTATAGTTTGACACTTTTTTTAATTATCACGTACTTAGATATAGTCAGTTGATGGAATAACAAACCCAGATGTAACCTCTTTCTATTGCATTTATTGTTTGTGGCTTGTCTCACCTTTTTCTAGGATTTATTCAAATTTGAAAAAATGAAGTAATGTTTCATCACATTATTGAGAAGCGGATGGTATCGTAGAAGAAATATTGAAGAAAGAAAGATGTCAAAGGCAAAAAGTAGTGGACTTCCTCGTCATAATCACCAAAGTGCCAAAAAAAACTTTCAAGGCATTTTTCTCATAAACTTATGGATAACAAGGAGATTGTCTAACAGAAAAAACATGTGTTAGAATCGTTTTGGTTTATTAATTTCTGACTGATTATAGGTGACAGTTTTCCAAAGAATAAGAAATTAGCTTTCCATAGAAGCAGTAAACTAGCCCTTGAAGTACTCTAATTTTTTGAACTATACACTAGGAAACAGATTACAAACAAAAACAAAACAAATATACAGCTATACAATCTTGAAATTGAGGTCAATAAGTTTTTGCCTTTAGGAAATTGGATCTGCAGAGATTTGTCGCAAGATACTGTCATCCTTGGAAAATGAGTTGGGTCCCAGTCGGACATTCTCTTGACTGTACAGAAACGTTGACAGTGATGAAGCAGAGGAAGAGAACGAAAGTTGGGGATTGCACAAAGCTCGTCTGCAGCTATTTCTGAAATATTTACTGCGTGCAACTACTGTAACACAAATCAGATACAGTTCCCAGAACAAAAGAAAGGAAGAAAACTAAGGATACAAGCCACAGAGATGCAATCGTCGGGTTCTGCAGAACCTTAGCACCTGCTGCGAGAATCCTTCCTGCTCAAAAACTCTTCTGATTCTTCCTCTCCTTTGTCTGTCATTCGCGGTGCCTTAATCGTCGGGCATCCTGGTCTTTTCCGTCTACACTGATATGTGCGTGGTTGAATTATATCAGATACATTTCCAAAAACACTGAAGCTCTTGGGAGCACTTCCTAAACATGAGAACGGTCTAAACTGCGTAGGGAAACTTATGGTTTGACCAAAAGACTAGACTTATGGCCTTCGTAGCTTTGTCTCCAATCTACTATTTTCCTTTTTTTTATCCATTCTTATAGTTTTTGGGAAACAGAACTAGAACCCATTCTTAAAGTCTGACCATAGTTTCCTAGGCAATGCCTTAATGAGAAGGTGGCCTAAACGAGCAATGTGTCCAGGCCATGTGGGTTGTTAAAGTGAACTGGTATTCATGGGTTCTCATTCTTGCCACACATCATTGCATTTTGCCAACGAGCCATTTGTATGTTGGGCGAATGGTGAATGATAGTAGAATATTAGGTATATGATAGTTGTTAAAGAAATCAAATTATAATGTGTTTTAAATGTTTAAATTATGAAGCAATTTTTTTTCTTTTTACGTATATGAATATATTTATGTTTGATGTTATTTTTAGTATACTTAGAATCAAACCTTATCTTGTTGTCTTAGTAAAGTGGTAGTTTTTTCACCACCTTAATTACTTCAGGCTACATTTCTAAAGAAAGAACTGTAGATGTTGTTTGTTTAACACTTTCGAAATGATCAGAAGGTGTAGTTTTATCTTAACGATCAGATAACTCAAAACATTATGAACGATAATTGTTGTGTTAAGGGCTTCAAGATAATGATCTTGATCATGTGCCTAAGGTGCAGATCTGTGAAGTAAAATAAAAGCAAATGAAATATAAAAATTAACATTATGTACTGGCTGTTTTAAAATTTTAAAAATGAATTTTACTCTAGATTTTACCCATTTCACATGAGGTTATATCAGCTGTTCTATGCTCACCAGAGATTTCTGTTGTTAACTTCCTTTCAACAAGGCATATAAATCATTACGATGTTCAACAAGTATTTTTCCTACTTCGATGTTATTCCATTTTTTAAAATTAGATGAGTTGGATCAGATTGCTGTTGATGATCATGATGCTTTGTACGGGCAGAGTACGACCTCTTTTTACAAATATGAGTATTACACAAATTGGTGATCCTCAATTGTGCGTGTTACACAATTATGCATGTGCTGCATGCATATTTAGCCATTCTATCTAGAGTTGTCTTTGGCAGAAATCCGTCATGACTTGCCGCTTGGCCAAGGTTTTATATACTTGTTTCCCCCTAAGCCTTGATTGTTAATTATCTTGGCTTAATTTATGTCATAATAATTCGAATTTTACACTTAGTTTCATTCCTTAAATTCTTGATGCATTCCTTTGAGCAATAGACTCATTACTGTGCTTTATAAATTTTATGCTATGAAATCTTAATGTTTCGCCACAATGTCGGTATTTTACTTAAACATTGCTCGTATGAGTCCTGTTTTACAGGGTGAAATCGGCCGTAGAAGTGGTGGTGACAATGTACCAGAAAGAGAAGGTTATGCAGTTGCTGCTGGATCTGCATTGGGACTTGTAGCTCTAGGTTTGCATATGCATGAACTTAAATCGGGATTCCTTACAATACTACCGATAGTCATTCAGTTTTTCTTTTTTACTTAAGGGAGAGGGAAGGATGCGCCTGGATTTATGGAAAGCTTCATTGATCGTCTTTTTCAGTACATTGGTTGCAAAGAAGGCCACAATGTATGAGTTTGCACTTTATTTCTGCTATTGCTGTTCCCCGTGGTAGAAAGCTGTTTTTTAGCTTACAATAGAAAGCTACCATTGTATTTGGAAAGAGTTACTTTCTTTGTCCACATGGATCACCAGTTATTAATGTCAGCACCAGATAACATATTTATCTACTTTCCCTAAGAAACAATGTTTAATAAAAGACACGATAGATGAACATAATCGCAATGTTGGGCAGGTTGAAAATTTAATTTAGTGTTGGTAAAAAAATTTCACTTTGTATGGTTTGTGTTCCAAGATATTACTTCTAAACATCCTTTGGTAGCAAACAGTGTTTGCCACACGGCTACGCTTTCTCATGTTATTTAATCTTTCTACCTTCAGGTGATGGACGGATCTCAGATCAATATAGATGTGACTGCCCCTGGAGCTACTCTTGCACTAGCTCTGATATTTCTAAAGGTGAAGTTTTCTCTAGCATAGTTACTACAGATGCCAAAATATCATATCCAGGCATAGACTTGATGAAACTCTGAAGGAAAAAGTCACTGATTCTTTACCTTTGTCTTCTTGTTACAGACAGAATGTGAAACAATTGCCTCGCGTCTCTCTATCCCTGCCACTCACTTTGATTTACAATATGTGAGACCTGACTTTATCATGCTTCGTATCATTGCACGTAATTTGATAATGTGGAATAGGTACTATCAATAATCTGTATTCATCCATTAATTTATTACTACAACCAAGAAATGTCAAATGGTATTCAGAAAATTTATTTTAAATTTTGTAGTGTTCAGCCTTCAAGGGATTGGATTGAATCTCAAATTCCGGAAATTGTTAAAATGCGAATATCAAGAATGAGAGACGAGACCGCTGACAATGGATTTGATGCAGAAGCACTAGTTCAGGCCTATGTGAACATCGTTGCCGGGGCCTGCGTTTCACTTGGTTTGCATTTAGGACACTGCTTTTGTTTATACACGGGCATTTTTTTACAATACTCGTTTGTTCATGAATCTTATACACAATCAAATATGGCTGCATTATCCAATAATGGATGTGTTCAATTGCTTAATCTCATATTTGTTCATATCCAGACTATTATTTTGGATGAGATCTTTAAACAATCTTTTCTGGAGTAATGGTATTGTATTATGTTTGCAGGGTTAAAATTTGCTGGTTCTAGAAATGGTGACGCGCAAGAGTTATTGTATGACTATGCAGTATATGTTCTTAATGAAGTGCGTCCGTTTCTCCTTGTGAATGAAAGTTTTCTGCTGATATGAGTTTTGTCACCCTTTACAAGTTGTTTCATGGACCTCTGTTCAATATGTTTTGCAGATAAAGTCAGTTTCTGGAAAGATGAGCAACTCCTTACCGAAAGGATTATCAGAATTTGTGAGTCGTGGGACGCTGGAGACTTGCCTTCATCTTATTGTTCTTTCACTTTCCGTGGTATGTTGACCATCCCTTCTCAAAAATGAATTAGATTGTTATGTCTTTTTCCTACTTAGGACGCCTTAGAGAAAGAAGGCTCCATCACACTGTATTATTCATTTTGGGAATATTTTGACTTTTAATGCATATGATGCAGAACTATACAGTATGCATCTGTTCTCCTCTCTTGACATATTATGTATTCAATGCCAAAATCGTGCTAAACTGTCAAATATTATTATGAGCTTCTCTCTCGTATTCTTGACTTCTGTTATTTAGTTTTTTGATAGTTCTTCAATAGGACTCTATTTCGGCTGTTATTCAATGATCATTTTACCCCCGAGAACAGGTCATGGCAGGTTCTGGACATCTTCAAACATTTAGGTTGTTGAGATTTCTTCGGAGCAGAGGGTCTGTGGATGGACATGTTAACTATGGAATCCAGATGGCTGTAAGTTCTTATTTTTATTGTGGGCATTTGATAATGAGACTTGGTTGTTTTTGCTTTCCTTTTTTTCATTCGTCCGAGGAATAGACGTTTCGGCTTGTTCCCATGAAGAAACTTTAACTATAATGTAGTCAAAGAATTTGTGTGCAAACGTTGCTTCTAGAAACCTTCGTTGGGTATATGCAGTGTCTGTCGGCAAAGTCGCAAATGGCATGGGCTTGTGCATGCATAAAAATCGTGGAGGTTGGGCTTCTAAAAAAGGAAATTTGAGAGAGGAGGTGGACGTGGAATTCACAGAGCCTGTGGATATTTTTCTAGCAATTTATGGACGTATAGAAAAAAGATAACGCAGATATGATCAGAATGTGTGTAAGCCTATGATGCAGTCAAAGAGGCATACACTGCCCACAAGAAGTACAGATGACGCTGCAGCCTTATCTGATAGAATATAGGTCAGAAGGAAGAGAAAGCTATGATAGTTTGCCACAAGTAGAGACAATGCGGAGAATTAGAGGCTTGTCCTCTCTGTGTGTAAGTACTTGAGCAAAGAAGTCAAATAGGAGAAATAAAAATATCAAGAAACTGTAAAAGGGGATATGCCATCTTCTCTAAACAATTTGATGGGGAGGCCTCGCAGCAGATTACGAATATAGATAATCTGAGCATGTTCACCTGCTTGAAACTGATTTTTTTTCTTATATAATGATTTCGTATTTTAATGGAGTGTATAGTGCGTTTTACTTGTATCAAAGTGCCCTTTTTGCTTCAAATTTTTTAGCTCTTGCAAATATTTTTAAGTTTTTCCTTGATAGAATAACTCATGTCCATGATCACTTTCCTTAAAAAGATGCAGTATTTCAGAAGGTTTGTTATCATTATGGCATGAAGAATAGCTATGCTTATCGTATTAGGAAAGAATATGGCTTTGCTTCAATGGATATATGATGTTTTTTTACTCGCTCTGGTCTTTCACGACATTTAAATTTATTTTTTCTGGTCATAATGTTTGCCTTCAATGTTCTCTTTATAGGTAAGTTTATCCATTGGATTTCTGTTTCTTGGAGGAGGCATGCAAACTTTCTCCACTGCAAACAGTGCCATCGCTGCTCTGTTGATTACCTTGTATCCACGTTTGCCTACCGGGCCAAATGACAACCGTTGCCATCTTCAGGTTTCCAGCCTTCTCATCCTACTAACTGTGCGAAATTTTATTCTTTGAAGCAAATCGCTTATAGTGGCATATTTTTGTTGTAGGCATTCAGACATTTATATGCCATTGCCGCAGAATCTCGTTGGGTACAAACAGTTGATGTCGATACTGGTCTCCCAGTTTATGCACCTCTTGAAGTCACTGTCGCCGAGACCCAGAACTTTGCTGAAACTAGCTTATGCGAAGTCACGCCTTGCATTCTACCAGAACGTGCTGTTGTAAGTATATGTGATATTGATTATTATCACAGCCTCAATTCATGAAGGTATTTTCAATGCACCCAAGCCATTAGGATATTTAGTCACATGTGGGTGCAAGTATAAAAGTTGAAAGTTAAAACACGAAACGTGAGTTATATAATTCCCTTTGTTCGTCTTATATCAGTGATGTCACATGTGGGTGCAAGCACCTTCTGGATCATAACATACCATACTGAGGTTACAAACTTTCACTCCTTTCACGAGGACCAAATCTAGTGCCATAGAATACGATGCCAGCCTATAGTATCAACTAGTGGCTTTCCCTAGCTATGATATACCCACTGATGCCATCATGATGGCGCCAAATGATATTTTCAGTTATTTCACGTCTCAATAATTCCTTCGGAGTCTAACTGTGCTGTTTTCCACCAAGCTAGATATCTACTTGTCTACCCTTATCCCGAGACATTTATTTTATTGAAATTTCCATTATTGTTATTTTATTTTATGTTGCAGCTGAAGACTGTTCGGGTGTGTGGTCCTAGATATTGGCCTCAAGTGATACACCTTACTCCTGAAGGTTCTTAGTGGATCACAAATATTTTCACGGCTATTCATTTTTCTTATTTTTATTGATTACTTAATTTTAGCGTTTATTGAATAGAGAAGCCATGGTGGAGATCATTTGAAAGAAACAATCCATTTAGTGGAGGCATTCTTTATATAAAACGGAAGGTTGGAGTTTGTTCATACGTCGATGATCCTACTGGGTGTCAATCTTTGTTATCACGGGCAATACACAAGGTTATCTCTATCTGGATATTTTATTTTCTTCTCCTTTCAACTTTCACGGAAATTTTATTCTGAAGACATCAATTTTAAATTTTCTGTGCAGGTTTCTGCTGTACCATGCCAGAGCAGTCCAGATGGAACTGTATGTGATGGCAGTAAACCCACTGAATTTAAGGTCGATCAGTTGGTTGGTACATTTTCTGCTGATCCAAGCTTAATTGCTTTTGCACAATTTTGCTGTGACTCTACCTGGAATACTAGGCAAGACCCATTCACTCATTCCCTTCTAGAGTTTGAAGATCTTTAATGTTCCCTTTGAGACATCTATTGATAATTGATATGTTGTTCATGTATATTCAATTCTTCTCTACCGGTACTTTGTTTATTATTATTATTATTATTATTATTATTATTATATTAATGCGATGCAATTGTAAAAGATGAGTAAGCACATCCTAGCAATCCACATCATTGTCTTCACTATTATACGTTTTGTTCAACGGTTTAACATTAGTTTTAATAGAAATTGATCTGCAGTCACATAAAATGAGCGTCAAAAGAAACATAAATCTGAAACCAAGATTGACGGGGCCTATCGATCTAGATTTTGGACTTGACCGGCCGTATCCAATGTCTTGGAATACTTTCACACACTTTAACAGCCATGAGCTTCAATCTGGACCAGGTGGAGCCCTGGGTCCTAGAGATATCTAGATTACGAATTAGGATAACTAATTTAGTTTGGTTTGCTCCAATACATCGGGAAAATTTTGACGCATACGCAGAGGACCAATGCAGAGCTGGAACGCAACATTGAATAATGGGGATTTGAATAAGGCGAAGTGGGTCACCCAGTTTCCATGTGGATAAATTTAACGTCTGGCTACACTTTGAACTGTGCTTCATCACACGTATCTTAGGATCACTTAACTTACAATCCTTTTGCACTAATTTTTCTGTGGCTGAACCTTGTATGGCAGTTTAATTGACCCTCCTTTTTTTTCATCTGTTCGAACTGGAAATTGTTATTTGGATGATCACATCATATTTATTTTGAATGTCACACCTGAGTATCAGATTCTTTCTGGGAAGTGGTGTTAGCCCAACTTTGTTGGGCAATTGAGAACTCCCAAGTTAAGGAGGTGAACCTTGATGCGAATAATTGCACGGTTACCATAAAACCATATTGATATTACGAGTTTACCTTTGTTTCTTTCTCCAAAGTTTATACTGGCTTCTCCGTGTGTGCATGATTTCATTGACCAAGATTTAGGCTCATTTTGTTTCGGGTTGACGACTGATTTTTATGATCAACTATTCTGTTGAAGATGAATCAAAATTCACCTTAGTTTGCGAATTGCAGATCAACTGTACCATTTAAATAACATCCACATAAATCTGTACTTTTCAGATCTGATGCTGATTTCCAGGACTTTTGCTCACAAGTCCTATTAGAATGTGTTAGCAAGGATAGACCAGCTTTGTTACAGGTTAGTACTGGTTTATATTATTATTTACTGTATTTCTTACAGCATAGAGGCTAGATAAGCGTGACAATTAAGGTAACGATGAAAGTGTTTTTTAATAGAATTTCCATGATCTTCGTTGCTAAGAGAATGCTAAGTCACATTCCAATTTTTTTCCATTGCAATATAAAGCATGTTCGAGAGATATGTCAATCTAAATGACAGATTGTCTTTGGCTAGGGACCCACTTCTGTCATCTTGTTATCATATGCTGTTCCAACCACTTCTTTTAAAAGTTTTATTGGTCATTACATGATAGTAATATGGCTCCTACAGGTTTATCTCTCATTTTACATCTTCATCGGGTCTATGTGGGAACAAGTGAAGTTTGGCTACCTGCACTTCAACGATTCAATTTTTCTTTCCAGCCTAAAGGTATGCATTTGAATATCTTTTTTCTTCTGATTGTCGTTGTACCGACTACCCAGAAGCAAAACAAAAACGGAAAGAGTGTGTGCTCGAGAAAGCTTTTCTGAAATGGGTAGCGGGTGGTTGAGAGTGCTATAAAAGAAAGGCCTTGATCCTGAAGCCACTTTCTCAGACGCCTAGACTGACCATTTAAAGCCATTTTTGTACGTCCCCAGTTGTCAATCTAGGGCATTATAACAATCATTTGGCATGCTGTGTGCGAACTCCCCAGTGTGTCTGTAGTCAAACTTAATAGATAAACTACATAGAGGGTCTGATTTGGAAATTGACAAGGGAATGCTAATACAGTATGTGTCCCTCGATTGCAGATCCCTAGACAGAAAGAATTGTTGGTTATGAGAGCAATATCGTGTGGTTGTTAGAGCCAGCTACCCTTTTTTTTTTTTCTAAACTGTCGCAGCACTAGCATCTGATTTTCAGACCTTCTCCGTCCCTTTTCTTATCTTTCTCTAGTATAGGTTTTTTTTCTCTAATGTGGGTAGTGAGGGAGTGAGAAAAAAATGCTTTTTTTAGGTACATTCATTGTAAATAATGTCCCAGAAAATACGCTGGATATTCAACGGTCAAGCAGTTAAAATCTTTTGAGCATCAGAGACTGATAATTCGCACTCTATGCATGGCCCAAGGAAGGGTCATTAGAGGAAAACCTCCTCAGAGAGAGTAGAGAGTGAGCAGCATTCTTGTAGCTCCAGATCATGGTTTGGTGGACGACGAGAATCGACTGATCTTGTGGCTTGTATCCTTTGACAGATTAGGTGATATTGCTCAGTTTTTTGAAGCTATTGATTTCATAAAAACATAGGAAAATTGTGTTGGGCTTTTTTGTATCAATTGTACCGGGCATCCAAGAAGACGATACCAGCTCGATTTTCACTTTGAACGACTCAGTTTCAGTTTGCAGGGATTATTGAGAAAACCCATTCAAAATCGTTAGTGTCTCTTTGAATGTCTTTCAGTCTCTGGTTCGGTCGATTCCGTGTTGATCAGGAGTGCGTAGATCGGAGAGTCTGAGTCAAATCACATGAGTTCTTAGTCGAATCTAGTTGAGAAATTGTGTTGTCAGGATTGAATGACTGCAAGTTCTACCCTTGTAGTCCATCATGATTAGCGATTGGACTATGTTTTCTGAGTTATTTCATCAGCATTTCCAATTGTTTGGCTCCTCCTAGCTCACATGATCCACAGCCAGCTCTGAACTACATCATGATTCCATGGCTGCTTTTCTTGAATTATAGAGTCACTATATGAGATATTAAATTATTTCACGTAGTTGAATGAGCAACCTTCTCTCTTTTACAAGTATCACCCAGGGAAGCCCTTTGAGCTCCTGTTTTGTTCTTCCTTTACTTCCTGCAGATCGCTATTGCATATAACGATGCTTTCGTTCGAGGCAGACTGACCAGCCCGAGAGGGGCGATCATGCAACCGACGTTCATCGAATCGCTTGGGAGGCGTGTTGAGGAGATGCTAAATTTTTCTCGTGAGCTCAGAGTCAACCTTGTTGGCTATTTGGGAGGCAAGTGGCCGCATGAACAGGGAGATAAGACGGCCGCCATCCTCCTTTCATGGTACCTTCAGTGGTTCGGAATCCCCCATCCACACCTTGTGAAGTCAGCTCTGGTCAAAGTCAAGCCCGAGACTATGAGGTCGTCGGCTGTCCCTCTCCTGTCCATGCTACTGCCAAGAACCCGAACTAGCGCTCTTTCTGAGATTCACAAGATGTTGTCCTCTTAGAGCGAGAAAATGGAAAATAACCAGTCACGGGACCTGCAACTAACGATCAGAAGACCAACTCAAGAGGATGAACTGTCAGTGATCAAGTTAGGGTTTAGATGTTGACTTGATACGGATAATTACATGGGTTTTTCTTCCTTTTTTTGTGCTCCAAGCCCCGGGTTGACTTCCCCTCTTGCCCAGAAGGGAATTTTTTCTCTCTCTGGAATGACTGGGTGGTTAATTACTTCCTATTTGTGCCATTTTCGTGACTTGCGTTTACTTTCTGAGGGATGTCGACTGGATGGACGGTTCCTCCGCGTAATTGTTAAATGCCAAGATCGGCTGTGATCAGTTGTCAATTTTAAGTCAACTTAGGCCTTCTTCACAAGAAGAGTCAACACAGGCGTCTGTTGTCTGATGGGTTCGGAAGAAGAGTGGAGGCAGTTGAACGGTCCCCGACGGCTCCTATCTGGACGCGTGGAGTAGTTCGATTCACTGCATCTCACCGGTGCAGCCACGTTGCCATCTGCAGTATCCGCCGTCCGATGCGCACGTGTGGAGGGCACGGGAGCATGTCGAGCGCTCGATGGCAGTCAGCGGGTTGACTCTTCTTTCGTTCGCCAAACGAAGTTTAAAGGGTAGAACATGACGGAGACTTCCCACAATTTTGAGTCAATCTCCCTCCCCCTTTCGCTCCCGCGGAGGAAGAAAAAAAATCTGGAGACGCAATCAAAAGGGCGGCTGGAAGAGGTCAATCGTCGGTGGCCACGTGCGGAGGCAACTGCGGAGCCTTCACATCTGCGGGGGGAGGTCGGTGGATGATGAGGGCGTAGAGGAGCTCGTTCCAGGTGTCTGGGAGCCCCGGCAGGCACCAGTGGATGCAGTCTGCGTAGACCTGCGGATCGGCCTTCTGCTCCGGCGTGAGGAGCTTCCCCTGCCGGAGGGTGTCCACCGAAGTGTGCGCATCCTTGCGGTACTCGGACAGCGTCGTGATATTCAGGAACGAGATGGGCACCCTCGCGCCGCCAGTGGCCGCCGCCGCCAGGGCGAACAGTCGCCGGTCCGTCCCCACGTTCAGCTGCGCCGTCGTGTTCAGCACCGGCGTCGTCTCCTTGGCACACTTGATCCCCTCCGGGTTGTTCCAGTCCAAGCTCCTGAGGTTTACAGAAACCCGAGTTCAGGGAGAGAGGAGGAGGGTGGGAAGGAATAATGGAAGTCTGAGGTGAGAGTCAGAATAATTACTTGAGGTGTAGAGGAGACATGCTCATGAAGAACACCGAGGTACGGTGGGGGTCCACGTTCTCGTCCACCCAATTGGCCCACGTCCTCAGCACCCTCTCGTAGGCGGCGACCCGCTCTATCTCTTCCACCTCCGTAGAGCCTCCGTCAAAAGATCCCCGCCTGGTCCACGGGGAAGCGCGACATGACAATCCGATCCCACAGATCGAGGGATCCACAGAGAGAAAGAGAGAGAGAGAGAGAGGAGAGAGAGGTGACCCACAGGACTTTCATGGTGGCCTTGTTCATCCACCAAATGTAGGTGTTGAAGATGAGGTAGTCGGCGCCGGTCCAGTGCTGGGCGTGCTTGGCGATCGACTCCGGCATGATGATGCGGTCGGGAACACTGTGCATCCTCGGGTCGTCGGAGTTTGACTCCACGAGGAAAGGCGCCCAGTAGAACTCCACCGTCGCATTGTAATCCTGCGGACAGAAGCGGGTTTTCATCTTTGCGTCAGGCCTCGGAGAGGCCGAGGTCGAGAGGGTCTGCGACGGCGGCGAGTACCTCGATCCGGAAGATGGAGAGGGAGCCCTCCTTGCTGAGGGACTTGCGCCCGGGGGGCGCGGCGGACTGGACGAGGCAGATCATGGATTCCCACTGGTTCCTGTTCAGCGAGTCGCCCACGAACATGAGGCGCTTCCCTCTCAGCCTCTCCAGCAGCACCCTCGCCTTGAACCTTCCCCCCATCCCCATATTCCCAGTTAGAGAGCGAGAGAGAGAGAGAGAGAGAGAGAGAGAGAGAGAGAGAGAGAAATAAGGGAGGGAGTTATTACCTGGGCAGGGAGCAGTCCTGGGGCTGCCATCGCCACTTCTGGTAGCCGTCGTCGAGCCGGCCGTTCCGCATGCAGGTAACCTGCTCCGTCAGGAATCCGCACTTCTCCTCCCTGTACAGCGGGCGCGTCTCCTCATCGAAAACCCAGCTGCCCGTGAATATGTCGCAAGAGTCGGGCACGCCGGCCACATCGTCGAGTTCGCTGTCGTCGTCAACTGCGGCGTCAAGCTGCTCCTCACCGGCCTCCTCCAAGGCCGGCGGAGTCTTCTCTAGGGCCTCCGGAGAGGAATCACGGTGGTTGTCGATCTCAGGGAAGGATCTGGATCTGGCGAAGGAGAATTTCGCAGTGGAAGTGATGTCCCCGCCGTAGATGAATGCCACAAAGATGACCACTGAGACCACGACGGCCGCAACGGATAGGTTGCCGCCCTTCCGGCCGCTATGGTGCTTCATGGAGGAGTCCGACGGCGATAGGGGAGCCTTCCGGCGGAGAGGATACATAACGGAGCCGACAGCCAGACGGGGGTGGGCGACAGTGCAGGGCGATGATAATATATGGAGGTAGGTGAGACCTGGTTTTCTCCCACGGTGGCGTAGTGGGGTGGCGCTTCCTCGTCAATCTACTCCCCCGGCCCACGCGGTCTTCCTCCTCCCCGCTTTTCAATTCCTTTCTTGACGCCGCCCGCGGAGAAGGAAGGTGCTTGTAAGAAGGAGACGGGATCAGGTGAAGGCGATTGACGTGTGCGAACGAGAAGAGAAGTCGATCTCTGGAACAGCCGCCACTCGGCGACCGCTGGTTTTGTTCGGACAAGGTATACCCCCCCGATGAGCCAAGTAGAACTTCTATGTCGGTGGCGGCGCAGGAGCTGAGCGAAGGCGCCGGCGGCCACCCTGGCGCCTCCTCCCAAGGGCCATGAGCTCGGGGCTACGTCTTTCTTAGCCGACGGTGGCGGCGTTCGAGATTCTCTCCTCCTTCCCAATAGTATGCCGGCAACAGCCTTGAGCTTTAAAGCTCACAGCTTTTGTAATGATCCTCGTAGTCTAATTCCGCATATCATGAGATCCATTACGAGCTCAGAATTTCACCATTAGAATACAGCGGAAGGTCGGCCAGCGGGTTCCGTCCTCTCGATTACTGCTCGCAGATTTGCGTTGACTTCGCAATTTATAATCTCCATATAAGTATTAGAGGTGATTAGAGGGATCGATCCGAGACCTCGAGCAATCTCCGACGCCCTGTTGCTCCCCGGCCGGAGAAGCAAATGATTTCGGGGGCCCTTCGCCACGGCGGTCGAGAGCGACGGCGGACCAAACCGGCAGTCCGTCCACGGTCGCTATCAGCCCGGAGGGCTACCGTGGAGGGAATTATGCGCCACTGATGGCGGAGAAGAGACGACAGTTAAGGCAGTACTGAGAATTGGGAAGTGGCCCCGCCGATTGAGCCGAGCTTCCACCCGCCCGCCGGGTCTTAGTATCTTCTCTTCAAGCGACGGCAACGCCCGCCTGCCGCGGTGGCAGGCCGTCGCGGGAATGAGGAGCCTACAGGGTGGACAGGGAATCAGAGATGAGAAAAAGCTCAACCCATGAAATCAAGAAAAATAGTTTTTGTTTTCCATCTCGAGATTCACGTATCTTCTTCGGAATTCAGAAAATTACACGGCATATGACTCCGGGGAGTCAACAGGGCGAGTTGAATCCCGAGTAGCTGACCCACCTCACCTGGGGCACGTTGTTCGGACCTGATCTTCTCCAAAAATGGACTTAAGCTCCCTTTTTTTATATACATTTGAGAAAGGAGAGAGAGAGAGAGAGAGAGAGAGAGAGAGAGAGAGAGAGAGAATGGAGGGAGCATGGGGGAGAGCTGTTAGCGAGCCAACCCAGAAACAGTTTACGATATTCATTCAAGATTTGATCTTCTTTTGAGGCTGACGTTCTTTAATGGGAGAACCACTGCACGTCCCTAACTCTACACTTTTTTATTTTATTTTTTAATTATGCAATAAACACACAAATTAAAGCACCAAGCTATAGCGGGAGAGTCAACTGATTTATCTCAGCGTCACCAAACTCCTATAGCCAGAGTTGCATGACGAACTTGGTTTGAAAAATCCATGCCATGTTTAGGTGCAAACGTTGACTTTGTGATGTCCAAAGTGGGTTGAAATATTAAAAGCTTCATCTTCAAATGACTTCAAGAACAACCCACCTAAACTATAACTTGGAAAAACGACCCGTTCTCCAATAGTTATGCTACAAAGTAGCTGGGGTTGACTTTATGATCTATATGATTCACTATAAATACCCTTTTTTTAAGATTTATTGGGATGGTCACTAACACTCGCTAGATGGCCACGCTCCCTTTAATGATAATTACATGTATGGGGCTTTAATTTCTCACTCACGTGACTTTGATCAGGGCCATTAATGATTATTCGCTATAAAAATAATAATAAATGATTATAGCGAAGATAATTGCCTTAAAAGGCTGGTGACTAGGATCAACTCCCCGGGTGGTCAGGTCTTCATTAGTGACATGGCTCAGCTGTTCCACTCTGTTATATCTCCTTTGTGGACTAAATAACGGTAGCCCATCAGGGACTGGAAGACATGGGCCAGCCCACTTTGTGAAGGTCATGCCTGGTTTGGTGACGATTTTATGGGATTTGGGCTTAAATATTGGGCCCGAACACTTCTAAGATGCCCCAAATGGGCCTCATATGCAGGGTCTTCCGGGGCCTGGGTCTGTATTGTGGGTCTCTTTCCAGGGCTAGCCCAGTCCGATTTTTAAACTAGAATCCGAATTGGGGCAGGTTGGGCCCGACTCTAGACCCGCTCAAACATTATCGGTTTTTTTGTCTCTTCGGATCCGAGCCCCATAATTTAGACCGCAGTTCTGTTTCTCGGTGAATCCGCCATCAAAATTGCGGGACATATGAAGACACGGTGCCCCGAGGGGGTATCCGAACAGAATCCAAACATACACTAGATGAACAGGTTATCCGTCTCGTTGCCGCTGAACTACGAAGGCAGCTCGCTCTCACTCTCGAGCTCCCGTGGCCCGAAGATCCCCGATCCTGTTGGACGGGCAGGAGCAGTCTGAATCCCTCGTTCGCGGTGGAATGGCTTCTGTGCTCTACGCCGCTTCTTCCGTCGCAGCGTCATGCCGGAACCCCTCCTGCTGCCGCTTCCCCAGGCTTTCCTCCACCTCTTCTGTTACTTTCGCCAGTGAGTGACCCCGACTCGGGGATCCCCGCATTCCTTGCTTCACTTGCAAATTTTAGTTTAGTTATTATCTGGATGTTAATTTGGCTTCAGGAAGGAGATTCGCTGTCCGGGCTGCTGAAACTGACACCAACGAAGGTCTCATTTCATTCCGTTTCTTTTCAGCGACGGCGGAACGTCTGGTTTTTGCGATCCTTTATTGTCTTAGCCTTGTAATTAGGATACTTTATTGCGCAAGATGTCTTTTCGTCGTCTGTCAGCTGTATTTTATTCACTAGAGTTGAGTTTGTGTGCAGTAAAACCAACAGCTCCAGATAAGGCGCCGGCGGAGGGCTCCAGCATCAACCAACTCCTGGGCATAAAGGGCGCATCCAAAGAGACGGTATCATTTTTACCTTAGAACACATTCTTTCTGATTCCAAAGCCTGTGCTCCGAAGGGGAAACTACTTCACGACTTATTGCTATCCATCGGTTCTTGGGTGATGCGTCCATTGACATTAGGCAGGTGGGGATGTGTAGGTCAAATGCCTGACGTCCATCTTCCCTGTTTGACTTGGTTGATCACCTCCACTCCATTCTTTTCGTCTCTTAGCTAATTTTGAAATTATAGGATCCATAACTGTGAAGGCACTAAAGCGTTCATTTAGACACCATTCTATTGTTTTTTCGTCTCTTGAGGTATCCTCTGATTCCTGGTACACAATAACAAGCGCTTGGTTGAAATATCTATTTTCCGTTTTTTATTTGAAACAGGGTTTCATAGCTTCATGATCTGATTTTATTTCTTTTCCTTTGCTAATGTGTGCTCTGTCTTCCCTTTAAAAAATTCATAGTTTGAACTTTTTTTGCAGCAACAATAAATAAATGGGAGATTATGTTTTTACTATGCAGAATAAATGGAAGATCCGTCTTCAACTCACAAAGCCAGTGACTTGGGCGCCATTAGTTTGGGGAGTGGTCTGTGGAGCGGCAGCTTCTGGTACTCTCTTTTTTAATATATCTCGAATTTCTGGATGGTCTAGAAAACAAATAAATTTTCTATGATTTTTAAATGAGTGATCAGCACATTATGCTCTGGCTCGTTGAGGGTCAGTATGAGATGAAGTTCTGAGCATATCTCCCTCAATAAAAAACCTTGTCTTATATCACAAATGCCTTAATTCACTACTGAATATCCATGTCTAGTAGGTCCGTCTACATGATAAGTATCTCTGGAATATTATGACAAATCACTTGTGCAATTAATCCTTGCTCAAAGTTGGCCTCACCTAAAGGATGCTCGCCAAGTTGATATCTGGTCATGTAATATTGGTCAAATTTTGGTATATGTGAGTAGATCCTCTTTATTCTTCATTTTTACCATATGCCTTTGACTCGGTGATGATATCATCCTGAGGTTTGTGAAGCCCCCTTTGTCAAGGGGGATTTGCTCCATTGATTGCGAAAATATTTTACTGTTTCCGAAAGCTGAAAGCTCGTGACCCTTTGATTCTTTCTTTTTTCTTTTGCAACATCACGAAAACTTATAGTGTTCTGGGGGTTTTAAGGAAATTTTATTTATATTCTTCATCTATTCTGTTGTGCAGAAGACAATCCGCAATCTAGCTTTCTAGCTAAATAAGTTTTACATGGGTAAAGTTTTCATTAAAGATGATTGCAACTTGGTTGATGGAGCTAATGCGGCTGGAAAATCGGGATAGATAAAAATATAAGAAAGTCTGTCAGATAATAATTTGTTTTTCGAGATTTTCCAATGAAAGAATAACTTGTGAATGAATATAGCTACCTTTCAGAGGTAGGGTCGTTGTATGAAAACATTCATCAACAGTAATGTTCAAGTGAAATGGACTTTGTATATTTCGTAAACATTGTAGGATCTTTAATATGCAGCTCTCTTGTAAAGTTGGACATTGAGAATCATATTCTGCTGTTACATTGGTCATTAGTTGACTAGGACGGACATTTTCCACTAGGGATACACACGACATGAGCAGATCTTTTTACTGTTTATCTGTTTAATACCTATTCGGGAAGAAGTACCTTAAGAACTTTTTACTAGGATTTAAATTTCCGATTCTTCATTTATCTCGGACATCTTTTATCATCTAAAAATTCTCTTTCTACATGAATATTATTCTCTTGGTCCACGAAGTTATTATTTTACTTTTACATTTTTTTCTGTAACTGTATATTAATGGCAGTTCGTGATTTCTTTCCTTATTTTTATCTTTAATATGGTTTAAGAAAGTGTGAACTCAAGGATAGCACGATTGAGACTGCTAAGGGTGTTTGAATCCTTTTCTTCTTTAGGAAACTTTCATTGGAACGTAGAAGATGTAGCCAAATCAATTGTCTGCATGATTATGTCAGGACCGTGCCTTACTGGCTACACGCAGGTACTTTTTGTTATGGATGTCATGTGTACCAAATTCTGAATCTGGAATCTAAAAAATTATTTGACTTTCTTGTTCGTTTCCTTATAGACAATAAATGATTGGTATGATCGGGAAATCGATGCAATCAATGAACCATATCGTCCAATTCCTTCAGGTGCAATATCAGAAAGTGAGGTATTTGTGCAATTTTAGTGATTCACTTGCATTTGATCAACTATTTATTTTACTTCTTTCGAATTATCATAAGCTGTTTTATTTAATGATGAACATAAAATGGAGAACCGAATAAAACCGAATAGATTCGGCTGGATAGCTACCCGTATGAATAAAATGGGGAGTTCACGCTCCTCATATTCTTTCATCTAAAATTATTATGGGAAACTACGCTATTATGAAGATATCTGAGAGTTGTTATGACCCGGTATCTATGTAGAGATTCACCCAGTAGGACTTTAACAAATTAATGAGTTACTAATTCTCAGTATCATAATTAAATGTACTCCATATCTCTTTGTTACTTCTTTTTCAGGTTATAACCCAGATTTGGGTGCTACTTTTGGGAGGCCTTGGAATAGGTGGCTTGCTGGATGTGTGGGTAGGTTTGCTTTGCTTGCCTGCTTATTTTGCAGATTAAAGCAGACAACCAAGCGGATAGAGTTTAATAAACTCTTTGTCCTCATCTTTCTTCATTTCAGGCAGGGCATGATTTCCCCATCATCTTTTACCTAGCTGTTGGAGGATCTTTGCTATCTTACATATACTCAGCCCCACCCTTAAAGGTTTTCTCTTTGTTTTCATCCACTGAGGCTGTATCTTAATGCAAGAATGGAAATTAACTGCTCTCTTTAAATGGTTCGCTACGCTGCAGCTCAAACAAAATGGATGGATTGGAAATTTCGCTCTGGGGTCTTCTTACATCAGTTTGCCATGGTATGCCATTCCCGTTTCACTTGATGGAGTGTCTTCTGTCTCTTTTCAGTTCCAACTTATGCGGTACTCTCTTATTTTTCTCTGCTGATGAGGTGCTAAATTTCCAATGGTTCATTTATTCCTACTGGCCTGAACTTCCCCACATATCTCAAACCATCAATCAGTACCTTCTGATTCCCCTCAATGCTCTACGTCAGGTGGGCTGGTCAGGCTCTGTTTGGTACTCTCACTCTGGACGTCGTTGTACTCACTCTTTTGTACAGCATTGCTGGGGTATGCTCGCATTCAAGTCCACACTCATGTTTTCATATTTTTTTCGACTGGCCTAGTAAATGCCTGCTTCGTTATTCTTTGTAATGCTTCAGCTGGGGATTGCCATTGTTAATGATTTTAAAAGCATCGAAGGAGACAGAGCTCTAGGACTGCAGGTTCCTCCCTGTTCCTTCTGCATGATTGAAAGTCGCCTACTTTATTGATTTGGCTGGTCTTATGATTGTGTCATTCCTCAGTCTCTACCAGTCGCTTTCGGTGTTGATGCTGCCAAATGGATATGTGTTGGTTCCATCGACATCACACAACTATCCGTTGCTGGTACGATATATACTTGGCTGATTTTTCTGATAAGTTGGTTATTGTTTGGGTGATACGCCATTCCATTTTGGTACATAGTGAGGGTGTTTGAATTCGCCTACTGGAAAAATGTGAATAATTCACCCATTCTGCCAATTTCCTCTTAGGGGTCGGATTATCATTGTATAAAACTCTGAATAAATAATTGGATTTACGTTTCCTGTAAACTTAGGAGGAAAAAAGAAGAAGCAAGAATTACCCTTCTCCGGGTTTGCTCTTAGCAATCAGATTATCGTTGTTAATATCATTGCAGGAGAACCCCCTCCCCCATCAAAGTTGTACAACTTTGAATAAATAATAAAATGTGTATATCCTGTAAACTTTTTCAAAAAGAAATACAATTACAGGGTGTAAATACTTGAATGAGAATGTGGTGGAGTGCCCAGTATATAAACAACTTTGATGAAATTCATGATTTCCACCATGTTCTTGGAGGACTTAATCTGTGGAAAAAAGCCTGTTTATGGGGAGGATATCCCGTCAAAAAGAGAAGGTAAGTAAAAAGAGAGGTTCTATTTTATTGAACATAGAACAATGAAGAAAACCATGACATTGAAAATATCTTCGTCATCTGCATTCTTTAAACACAAGGATCTGACATTGTGGGAAGATGTGTGATCAACAGAAGCTAGCAAAAATGCTCCACAGATTACCATAAGATGTTGCAGATTGGTGCTGGAAATGGAAGGCGAGTTTTTAAAGGACTTTGCTGTGTAGAAAGTGAGAGAAAAGATTGAAAAAGGGGGAGAAAATAGGGGAGCAAAGATTTGTGACACGAATATTTTATGTTCATAGTTTGACACTGAGGACCCATATTGACTATCATAAGATCGTTTCTTGTAGCCGGTCCAGTCATATCCTTCCTTAATCCTTAACAAGAAAAAATGGATTCTTTTACCTATTGAATTGAATATTTTTTAATATTTTGATTTTTGGAAAAGTTTTCTATTTTCATTAGAATGGATTCGTTGAACCATGTCCATAAACAGCGAATGCTCAGAAAATTTCATAATTTGAACAAAGTAAAAGTGTTTTTAGAGAGGGTCAAGTATCTCCATTTATGGGCGCATCTTCAACGCTGGTACTTGCTGTAAAAATACGCTAATTTGTTGGGTTGATTTTATGATACAATGGAGGATTCTTAGAGTTGGATTATTTGATGAATACATGTTGCGAGACATTGTTCTTCAGTTATTTGCGGATTGAATGCTCCAAAAGGTTAGAATCGTCCTAGAACTCAGGCTAACATCTTCTTCTGGGAAATCTTTCAAGGCTATCTCGCGGCTAGTGGGAAACTCTACTACGCCTTGGCCTTGCTGGGGCTGACTATTCCCCAGGTGGTCCTTCAGGTAAGCACATTACCACCAGTTCTCTCTCTCTCTCTCTCTCTCTCTCTCTCTCTCTCTCTCTCTGGTTTTGCATCTCCAGCTCTGATATGATCGCATGGATTTCACTGCAGTTCCAATACTTATTGAAGGACCCAATAAAATACGACGTCAAATACCAGGTACCTGATCTTATCGCGGATCTGCATTTTCTCTTCTGCAAGTGTTTTCAGAACGGCTCGCATTAAGCTGCCATGATCTCCATGAACAGGCGAGCGCCCAACCATTCTTGGTTCTCGGCCTTCTGGTTACGGCGTTGGCGACCAGCCACTGACTGATGCGTGCCCAGATCCGCCTGATGGCTGCTCCTCTCTACCACTAGATCATGTATATTGTGATTGCCGCTGGTAGGATGAATGCCCAGCTTTTTTAGAATGATTATCAATGTTTATCATATTATTATGGCTTCAGCCGCTGCAGCGCATGATTTTCTCCGGGATTTTGTTTTGATTATCTGATGATAATAAACCCTCTACTATCTATGATCAAATGCATCAAATTGGATGAGAAAAATTCCTCGGATTGATTGAACAAAAGTCATGTCAGGAGTCAGTGATCCGTCACAGGAGGCGATCTCTTGAGAGGTAGTCGAACAATCGCAGTCGATTTAGCGAAATTAGGGTTTCTGAACAGGCTCTTCGTCGATGACAGAAGCCTCCTCCTGCCGGACGATCATTAGAGGAAATCTCTCAGCAGGACGATCATCACGCTGACGTCGTCGACTGAACCACGGCCCACGGACAGATCGACGAGCTTCTTGCAGGCGGAGAGCAGCGACTGTTTACCGGATTGCACGCACAGCGGCCTGATCGTATCCACAGCTTCCTGATTGGAGACCTGGAAGGGAGAGAACGGAGGATTAGGAGGAGGATTTCTCAGGGAAAAAAAGAGAGAAGAGGGGGGAAGGGGGAAGGAGTTTCATACCTTGTCCCATAACCCATCGGAGGCCAGAATCAGGAACTCGAATTCGGGTTGGATTCTAAGAACTCTCGTCTCTGGTTCGGCTGTCACCCATTGCTTGAGGTGTCCATCTCCGATTCCCCGAGACACGGCCAGGGAACCGTGCAGCCTCAGCAACCCGCGGCGATAATCCAGGTAGCCGCCCTGAAGAAGGAGAGGATTTCCAAGGTTAGGGATGAGATCGATCATCGGAGGTGTACTATTTTCATGGCGGAAGGAATGAATACTCACGAGGCTCTCGATCCGGTCGCGTTCGTCTTTCCTCGAGGGCCGGTGGTCGGAGGTGAGGGCTTCCGCAGCCCCTGCGCTGCTCATCACGGCGCGGCAGTCGCCGGCGTTGGAGACGATGAGATCGCCGTCGGTGATCAGCGCCGTGACGCAGGAGACCCCGCCGGGCGCCTTCTTCTCCAAGAACTCCATGTCCGTCTTCAGGTACCCGGCTCTGACGGCGTCCTCGTATCTGTGGCAGCCATTTGTCTCCCTCCCTGCCGCCATTTCCCCCATTATGTGCTTGTCCATGTTGTTCGCGGCGAATTCAGCGGCGGTCGTGCCGCCATGGCCGTCAAAAATGCCGAAGAACGCCTGCAAAAAATGGAGAGATTATTTACGGGACCGCTCTTTTGGAAGATCTTCCTCTGCCGAAACATGATCAGCAACGAAAGAAGCAAGAAACGTACCATCTGGGAACCTCCCTGGCCGTCTGACGAAGCCTTGTGCCGATCTTCCATCTCCTTCCTCTTCCTCCCCCTCTTGCAGAAAACCGAGAACCGACTCGACTCCTGCTCCACCTCCTCGTCGCCGCGGCTAGGTCTGGAGGCGAAGTCGAGGGGCTGCATCGCAGGGATGTGTATGCGGGCGGGCCGCTTCCTCTTCAGGACCGCGCTCGTCCCAGCGCCGGCTGGAGACGAGGCCTCGAGAGCCACGGCGGCGCAACCTTCGCCGGAGGAATCCACGGGAACAAGCGCCTCCCTGCTGAAGAAGCCCCTGAGGCCGCTCCCCCCCGGTGGCAGGCGGAGCCGGTACGGCGACGACGAAGAGCACGACGACGAAACGGCGGCGGCGGAAGGCAATCCCCCGGGAGCATGGATATCGGGGGACAAGGTCAGCCCCTCTGGAGATGCCTTGCAGGTGAGAGATATCTTGCGGTGAGAGGGGGAGAACACCGGCGACGCCCCCGCAACGGCTACTGAGCAGGCCATTTTTTCTTCAAACTTTTCCAATCCGTGACGAAGAAACCATAAATCTCTCCTACCAGTCGGGCCACCGGGGGTTTATATAGACGTGGACTGGGGCTCCGTTGATCCGCCGGAACCATTTAATTGGAGATCAACGGTCAACAAAGATCCACTCAGACGGTCTTGCATCAGTCCCCTCCCTACCGACCTTCGGTTAACGTGAAACGCTTCGAGAGAACACCAGATCGTGAGGTCAAAACTGGGTCGCAAGACCGAACGTTTGGGGCGGAAGTCGCCCGGCTCCGGGTTGTTCTACGCTGCGGAAACAGTCTTGTAGACCGTCCTAAAATAGCATTTTTTAAAATAAAAAAAATATACAAAATCAGACTTTTTTTTTCAAAATCTGTGGAAAATTATAGCGGTCGAGGAAATAACATCAGAATTAAGCTATTAATAGACAGATCGAGCGATCGAGCGATCGATCCACGACGAGATCGACGGCGCACAGTAGACGTCTTTGCGGGCTATCGCTTGGTGACGTCCTCCGTGTTACGCAGCGTGGCGTTTTGACTCAATGGAACTCTTGGGTGCCGTTGACCCCTCCAGGTGGTCGACAGCACGTGCTGCCCGAGCAGGCGTGGAAACGTGGCCTGGCGTCCTTCTTTCTCCGGTCTAGTTCGATTCGATCTGTAGGCAGAGCGTGCGTCTAAAGTAACGGACATGCAGCAGATGTGGCGCGTGCGGCTGAGGATCAATCGAAAGGTGATCCAACGGCACAGATCACTGGCGGCTGGAGAACTAGTACGCACATCCATGGATTGCGACCGCGCTGACTCCGAGCCGTTGACAAAGACAATGTGATCCACGATCTGGAAGCGCTAAACTGGTCAAAGTTCTGGACGAGTCAAAGTCCGCAGTGTTCGCACCGCTTTTCCTCCGACAAAACACGCATGAAAAGGTCCCCCTTCCCTTTGGACTTCTATCTAATCTCGAATGCGAAGACCCGTTCATGCGTTGAATTATTTCCTCTCTCTCTCTCTCTCTCTCTCTCTAAGATTGTTCAAATGAACGACTGGGCGAGGCCTCTTCTCATTATGTGGCAAATATTTATCGGCGTGCATTTTTAAAAACTTCGAGTATTTTTTATTGGGCCATCTCGGACTGGACAGGCCCGGAAGAGGAAAAAACCGGCCCATGTCGGTCCGTTACACGCCTCTCGCCGACGGACGTCGGATTTTAACGGGACGGGGGGCTCTGTAGCAGGGGGCCTGACGGCGATTTGGGAGAAGGCGTTAAGTGCCGTTAAACTTCGAGCAGAATTAAGTGAGGATTCTCGGTCGGAACATCTTCTTCCTCCCTCTTTTCCATCTCGGCGGCTTCTCCCTTCCGGGGCTCTCCTCCTCACCAAGAAAATGGTGGGCGGAGGAAGCTCGCCGGGGGACGGCGGCGGCAGCCGAAGCCGGGATGCGACGGGGGCGAAAGCGGGTGGGATACCACCGTACATGAAGGCTGTGTCGGGATCGATGGGGGGAATCGTGGAGGCGAGTTGCCTGCAGCCCATCGACGTGATCAAGACGCGGCTGCAGCTCGATAGGATGGGGACCTACAAGGGAATTGCTCACTGCGGCTCCACGGTGTGCAAGACGGAGGGGGTGCGGGCGCTGTGGAAGGGGCTGACTCCGTTCGCCACCCACCTCACTCTCAAATACGCTCTCCGCATGGGCTCCAACGCCCTCTTTCAGTCCGCGTTCAAGGACTCCGACACGGGGGCAATCAGCCACCGGGGAAGGATCATGTCTGGCTTTGGTGCCGGCGTACTCGAGGCCCTCGTCATTGTTACTCCTTTTGAGGCAAGATTCTCTCTCTTCCCCGAAGTGTCTGCCCATTTGGCACTCGAATCTAAAAATGTTTACATCTACTGGAAGCAGCACTGCCTCTGTCTTCAAAAAATTCTAGGGTAGATTAGCGCAGAAAATTCGAGTGGTCTCGGATAGTGTTATTTTTTTTTTTCGAAAAAGGTACCGAACCAGCCACACCGTGGCCCCAAGGAAGTTCTGCTTATTTGTCTGTGATGCGGAGTGCGAGCTCGTCCACTAGATCTTAGTTCAGAAGAAGTTCAGAACTTAGTAGTATAACGTGTCTGGGGGACGTCTAGTGTCACTGTTCTGAGAGTCTGGATCAAGTGAATGAGGATTCTTCGAGGAGGCCCAATTAAGATGTGGCGGTAGAATTTTCTTGCGTTATCTGCATTACTCATTGGGGCACAATAGTCCAGACATTCCCATGATGCTTTTGGTGGAATTTTTTTCTAGTGGAACGTACTCATTAAACAAGTAAATTTTCAATTTTAAGCAAGCAAAGATATAATTTCCGTAGCAGGCGGGATATAGTGTGTTTGATTATGCTGGAATTCAGGGTTCAGACTTCAACCTCCCTCCAGTCGTTAGTGTTTCTTTCTGAGGGCCTATGCATCATAGAATAAAGTGAAAATCTATGTAACTTGATGTGTCTTTCTTATTTAGAGTTAACTTCTATGTCAGCCTGTTATCACCGTAATCCATTTTCTCTCACTATGAGATGCTAGAGCGGTTCCGTTGCTTATGATATCATTGTAAGTTACAGCTCCGATCCTATTGGCGAAACTGTATTGGCAACCAGTTAGAATATGCCTCAATGGGCCTTCAAACTATAATCAACGACATCAAGAGCAAATGCATTTAACATGTCGTCATCACCCGTTTTTTTCAATAATTTTTTGCTTTACATGAAGAAAGAAGATGACATTACTCAACTGTGGAAGTAGTTATAATTAAACTAATTGATAAAATGGAGAATTGCATGATGTTTGGCTTCTCTTGCGGAGTGAAATCACGTGGACACTTAAAATGTATGACATAGGATTCTGCCGTTAGTATTTCCTGTCACTTTGCACCAAGGATTTATTTAAGATCCAGAAATATTGATTGATTATTTATATCCATCATCTGAATTTAGTTTTTTTAGTGCTTTCTGCAATGTAAGAAATGAAATGATGCCTTTTCTATCCAAATATTGACCGTTTATCAAGGTTTTTGGCTGAAAATCAGCAGTAGGTGATGATATTTGGCTGCCCATTTTCTTTAAACACATTGTGTTTTATCCCCTCCCAACCCCCCAAATCCAAAAAGGGTGTAAAGGATACCAGATTTTTATGAATCGATTCAGATCATTGATCTACAGAAGTTTTGGACAGTAAGTTGAACTGAAGGCATGCCCTCATTTGATCAGACTTCAACAAGAAGTTTTGTCGCCATGAAGGCATATAATGATACTAGTAATTATGTGAATTGAAGCTGAATAGTATAGCTTCTGGGAGATGAGATGTTGCGGATGCAATCTTTCAAGTTGTTGGGGATATATTATCCTACTTACACAAGGAATCAAGAATCGGCATTAAAATCAAATTATTGGTACTGGAAAGTGCATAGGAAATGGTTAAGAGTGATGAGAGATAGAAAGTAAAACGCCAGACAAGACCCTCAGAATGAAGGGATTCCTAAATAGGGCTTGTTAAAATCCATGGAGATTACTTCATTAGATTCTCATTTACCCAAGTTACTGCAATGAAAGCTCTATTTTTTTGTGATCCAACTTCTCATCGCTATTTACCTTCTCCAGTAGATTTCCTCGTAAGGTTCTATCCAAGGAGTTTTTGATTTCTTTTCAGCCAGAAGTTTCATCGAAATACAGAAATCCACGGTAGCACTGAAGCCTTGGACGAAAATTTAGTGCCAGCCCGCCCATACTGCAATCTAATATTTTTTTTATCCATAGTATTTACTGAATTTTAGAGCCTGAGAAGAACACAATAAGTCGATGCATGGAGGAGGGTACACTTGCCAATTTTCTGAGCGATGTATGCAGAATCATACACACCGAATAACAATTCAGATACAAAGGATCAAAAGGAAACAAATAGCAAAGTACAGTGACGAAATCTCCACATGTTTAAGCTCCACTCTGTTGTCCTCACTTGAACCCCCAACTCACAGCATGAATAAAATTAAAAAATATAGGAAGGAGGGTGCCTTTTCAATTTGGCTTAAACCTTGTCGATATCTGATGTAAAACACGCCAAATAGGATTGTCCTGCTTCGTGCTTTACATAAATCCTTGAGCAAAGTGTAGACCTTTTCAAGTGGCCTGATAATATCACAGCAGCATTTAGATTAATGGATATAAAAACAACCCACAATGGCATCAGTAAAGAATTTATGAGTGAATCATCTTCATACTAAAAATAGAAAAAAAGGAGACAAGTAATGACATGTAAATTATCTTGGTAAACAGAAACACAAAAAATATATAAATAGATAAGAGAATAGAAACCGTCCAGAAATAAAACGGAATAGCTAACTGTAAGCCTTCTCAGTGCTTCACTTATGGTGATGAAAAATCAAGCATTCATTGTAATAAACCCGTCAGTAATTAGTAACATTCAGAGCTGTTGCTCTTGTTGAACTGAAATGCAACTCCATGAATGCTGCCATGTTGGCTATAGGAGCAACAAATTCCAGACGAGGAATGTGCTTTTTCAGTGTGTCCAATCTCAGTAACCTAAGTACAGGACTTTCTGGCGATCTCTGCTTCCAGATATAAGCTCTGACTCTAAGAATCAAGTCAGATCCCGGAGTGTGATTTCATATTACTTCGGAAATCGTAAGCCTCGAGATCTGTAAAGCCTTGAATGGGTTCTGATTAAGATAGCAGGATATGACTGAGATAAAATAAATGTGGTTTGGTTAATACTTATGCTGATTCGATTTATTTTTTTCAAGTTCTACAGAAGCATTCACTGGAATGTGCGTGTCATAATGCTATCATGATTCTGCTTGATTGTCATGTCCATTTCCCTGATCGAAATGGACATATTTGGTGTGGAACTATCAACTATTAAATTTGTAGGACATCACATCAGTTCAGTAAAACTTGTAGCGATCCACCAGTTGTTTTTGGAAAGCATACTCTGTGTACGACTTCCACTTTCCCAAGATATGTTCCATTTAATTTACCGCAGCTGTTTATATTGGTAAATAAGGTCTGGAATGAAAGTTATTGTCGTTTATTTCTCTTTTTTTGCCATTTAGTGACCAGTGAAGAAAATATGAGGCAAAAAGATGAAGGAAACTTTAAAATTAAGTCAGTAGGAGCTAAACTGGTTATAAATAGGTTAACACAGAGTTGATCATATGAACTTGTCATTCTTTCTACGAAAGTTACATTTTCCTTAAAATTCGAAATTAATTCTTTTACCAGGATCTCGAGATCTAGTCTATTAGATTATGCACTAGAACCTGTGTCATTCACATGAATAAAGACGGTGCAATGGTCATGTAATTAAGAATAACACTAGTAGATAATCATTTTTGGTTAAGTTGCTGATCATTTGTTGTATCAAAATGAACGACAGCATGCAACTTGCTCTGACTAATTTAACACAGCTGACTTCTTCGTGGGCCTGCTAACACGATGAAACAATGGATTACCAGTGAATCCTGAATCGTGTGTGTAACTCGTGATTTTTTCTGGAAATTCTGTGGAAATCGCAATGAGCATGTTTCTTTCTTGTTGTAGTGGCTGTTTAAGCCATCCAAGAGTAATTTTCCGATTGACATAAACGATTTGTATGTACTTACAGGTGGTAAAGATTAGATTGCAGCAACAAAGAGGATTGAGCCCTGAGCTTTTGAAATACAAGGGCCCCGTACATTGTGCAAGAATGATCATTCGCGAAGAAGGTATCCTTGGGCTGTGGGCAGGGGCAGCGCCGACTGTAATGCGTAATGGAACTAATCAGGCGGCCATGTTCACCGCGAAGAACGCATTTGATGTTATTCTTTGGAAGAAACACGAAGGGGATGGCAAGGTTCTCCAGCCATGGCAGTCCATGGTGTCAGGTTTTCTGGCTGGCACCGCCGGGCCCATCTGCACAGGCCCTTTTGATGTGGTGAAGACGAGGTTGATGGCCCAGAGCCGATCCGGAGGCGATATCAAGTACAATGGAATGATCCATGCCATAAGAACTATATATGCAGAAGAGGGACTGCGCGCTCTGTGGAAAGGCCTGCTGCCCAGGCTCATGAGGATCCCCCCCGGGCAGGCAATAATGTGGGCGGTTGCTGACCAAGTGACCGGCCTTTATGAGAGAAGACACTTGCATGGTGCCCCTATTTAGCTCATCTCCTTTCCTTCGCGTTGACTCGTCGTCTGGATCTCTGAACAATGAGAGGATGGATGGGGTTCTTTCAGGCTCCCATCATTTTTTGTTGCTGTTTTCCCCTCGATTGAGAGACGATTTCAACGGGTTGTGAAGGGACTCTCAAAAGATGGTGTTCTCAGGTTTCTTGACCGTTTAGGGTTTTGATTACTTCTTCCCTGGCTTCTGGGTCGTCAGTCTTACCATCTTGAGTACGAGCTTCTGCAGGTAAATAGACAGCTAGCTTGCTAGCAGAAAGTTGGCTACCAGAAGATATCTCCATCACGGCAAGTCCACCTCCCTCGCCTCCCAAAAGTTGGATTCAACGGTTCGTAGCCGCCGCTGGCGGGCGGCGGACGTCTGACGGAGATTTTTTTTTTTGGATGATGACGAGGCGGCCCCGAAAGCGTACCGGCACGTTTGGCTGCGCGCCGCGATCGGCCCCGCGAAGCGCGGAGGTTCAACGGTCAAAACCCTCTGCCGGGCTCCTTCCTCGACCATGTCCGGAGGAGCGACGTGGCCGAGCGTTCGCTTCACCTGGGCAAAGAGGATCTGCCTCGCTTTCCGGCACTTGAACGGCGGCGCCGCCTCCCAGCCCCTTCTCTCTAGTGAGGTTTTTATCCTTGGTCCCGAGGCCTTTCTTTTCATAATTAATGGAGGACGGCGTCGGGATCAACATAGCAACGGCACCCGGCGGCAGCCAACGGCTTTTGCGGCGGCTGTTCGGCTTGGCTGTTCCCGGGGTGGCCGGTCGCGGCCGCCGCTTCCCCACATCACATTCATGCATCTCTCTGGGCACGGCTCCCATCGCAGCCGCAGTTTTCCCTTCTTTTAATGCGGATGCGGGCGACCTCTCGTGGACGAGGTGCGCGCACGTCGCCCGCCCAGCACGAGATGCCAGCGCGCCGCCCGCCTCGGAGGAGCCGCCACTGTGGATTGGCCACGTCGACGGGGTGGGGGTGTAGCGGTTGCAGCCTCCCGGCGCACGTGAACGGCTAGCCGGCGGAGTGGTGGAATCTGTCCCAGAGCTTCCCAGCCGCTAGGATAGTATAAAGGGGAAATAATATACGGGCCGCAGCCGCATTTTGGGATAGTCCCTGACGTCAAAAAAACCGTTATTACGGACAATCACACGACCAGAAAGGAGTCCCCACGCAAACTCTCTTCCCTCCCGCGCCGCATATATGATAGCTCGCTCCCTCTCCTCACCCGACCGTGTGGCGGGAACACGCATCTCTTCTCCTGAAGCAAGCTTCACTCTTTCTTCCCAGAGACCAAGATGGGTCTGCCTCCTTCTCTGGCGCCGGCGCCGGCGACGGCGACTCTTCCTCCTCCTCCTCCTCCTCCTACCTGCGGCAGATGGGTGCGAGGGCGCTGCATAGGGAGTGGTTCGTTCGGAACGGTCAGCCTCGCCATCGACGAGTCCAGCGGAGGGATTTTCGCCGTGAAGTCCGTAAGGCTGGAGGGCGGCGTCGCCGCTTCTTGTTCTTCCTCCTCTCTAGGGTCCGCGGTTCAGTCCCTGGAGAACGAGATCCAAATTCTCCGCTCCCTCAGCTCGCCGTACGTCGTCTCCTACCTTGGGGACGGCACCACGACGGAGCTCGCCTCGGGGACGTACAGGAACCTGCTCATGGAGTATGTGCCCGGCGGAACGGCGGCGGAGTTGTCTGCTCGCTGGCGTGCAGGCGGCGGCGCCGTGGACGAGCCGGCGGTCCGCTCCTACGCCCGCTGTCTGTCGCTTGCCCTCCAGTACCTCCACGGCGTTGGGGTCGTCCACGGCGACGTTAAGGGCCGGAACGTCCTCGTGGGCTCCCACTGGGGCGAGGCCAAGCTCGCCGACTTCGGCTCGTCAAGGAGGATCTCCAGCACGGCGGCGGCGAACTCCTCGGGCACGCCACTGTGGATGGCCCCGGAGGTCGTCGCTGGCGAGGCGACATCGCCGGCGTCCGATGTCTGGTCGCTGGGCTGCACGGTCATCGAGATGGTCACCGGGAAGCCGCCGTGGAAGGTGACCGACCACGAGGACGCCGGCGGCGTGCTGCTCAGGATCGCTCTCGGCGACCAGGTGCCGGAATTCCCGGCGGAGCTGTCGAAGAGCGGCCGAGATTTCCTCGACAAATGCCTGAAGAGGAACCCCGTCGAACGGCTGTCGTGCGAGCAGCTCCTCCGGCACCCTTTCCTCTCCGAAGCCCCGGCGCTCCAGGAGCCGTCACCGAGGAGCGCCCTCGATTGGACAGCTTTCGGGTTCGACTCGGAGGAAGACGACGACGAGAAGAAGCCCGGCTGGAGCGTCCTCACCGTCAACCCCTCGGAGAATTCTATCGAGGAGTTGAAGGCGAGGATGAGGGATTTGGCTTCAAACCGGGAGGACATTTGGGAAGACGGTGAGGACTGGGAGCTGGTCAGGCCCGTTTGTCAGGACGAGGAAGGACACACCGCGTTGGCCGGCGGCGGAGAACGGTCTCCCGGCGCCTCGCCGGAGGAGAACCTCGATTTCCAGGAGAAACAAGGGGAATTTTGCGGCGGCGGCGGCGGCAGTAGCTGTGGTTCTTCCGATGGGATAGGATACCCATCTCCGGCAAGGGATCGCAGCTCAGATCGTCCCTCTCGTCGCGCGTGCCGGCGGTGGAGCAGGAGAGCAGTGGATCCTTTGGGGAGCGCCCCCATTCATTCGTTGTCCCCTCTTCTCCACTGGGGAGATGCCCCGACCAACCACTGCTTCTACGATCTTCTGTCCCCCTTTTTCTCGCCCGGCCCCCAATTAGGGTTCGAATTTCTAAATCTCTGTCGGAAATCTAAGTCCTGGATGCCATTATCGTCTTCGGAATCCGGTGCCGTTCGTATAGAATCGGACGGTCGTCCGGGCATCAGCCACCATCCCCACACTGATCGAGGCCCTCTAACGGCGGGAGGAGCGGCCCGGCCTATTTCTCCGCGGCTTGAACGGCCCTAACTGGGCTTCCGTCTAATTCGGGTGGGGAGGGTAGGCCCAAATATCGGCCCAGTTTTATCTGATATTGGGCCACCAATTTTGGGTCAATTCAGACAAAGTGGTAGATTAGAAATGGAAATTTGTGAGATATTGGATGAATTCGAAATTGTGTGAACCCGAGTAGATATTTTCCAAAGACGGCTCTCGGATGTGGGCCCGAGGGAAGCCAGCGGGTTGGACCCGGAAGGCACTTGGACAGTCCCGGTGGTGGTGACCCGCCGAAAGATTCCACCCTTTTAAAGGGGCCCACCACTTGCCCCGTCACAAGATTCGATTATACGGTGGAGACCTGGATGGTTAGTCCACCGATCAGAGGGTGGAGGGCTCTCTGAGCCCCCCTGAGCCGCCAGCACCGGTTTTCCAACAGGCATATGGCTGGCATTTGTGTAAATATTTTAAAAAAATAGCGAAGAGGCAGTCTGAAAGCCACCTGGCGGCTTCCCCATTCGTTAACCAGAGAGTTCTATTCTCCCGGTCGGTAATTAATGAATGAATGAATTAATTAATTATCGGGTCAGAATTATTTCCTTGCAGAAAGCGGAAAGGATCTCCCACGAAAAAGGCGGTGAAAAATTAGCGACTTAGCTCGGCAGGTATATATGTACGAGATCCGCTTCGGCTTCGGTCCTGGTACTCTGCCTTCTCCGACCCTCTCTGCCGTAGGGCTGAAAGGGGCCTCGGTGCTCCGCCAAGGCAGTGCCCCTAAGCCGCCGAGGCCCTCTTCCAGTTGCAGTCTACGTTTTGAGGCTCCGAAAGGAGCGCCGATCCGGTCGCGATGGCTGCCGCGAACGCCCCGATCGCCATGAAGGAGGCGCTCACGGTGAGTGCTCGCCATTCCCGCTCGTCGAGTTGTCCTCCGAGAGGGGTCTAAATTGCGACGGAAACGCTGATTTCAAACTGTTTTGCCGGTTCGCCTGAGACTGTTGGAAGTTGACGGGGACGGATCGTGAATTTATGCTTTTCGTATCCTTTATTTTTGTTTCTTCAATCGGTGAATTCCTTCAGGAGTCTCGGATTTTTCAGATTCGTGGAAGAGAACAGGGGTGTCGTTTGGTTCGGGCGGATGCCCTGTGTTTATTTTACAGTTCTTTCACCACCTTCTCATCCTGTTACGAAAAATCAGGTTTTAGAGCGTGAACAGTTTTTGCGGTGGTTTCATGACAGTCCACTGATGCGATCATCCTGTGGATGGTTGCATATTTTTTGGTCTCGTTTCCCTTTTTAACGTGTATTTTATTTTTCCTGCATTCATTTCAGCTTACAAGCCTCGGGATCAATCCTCAATTTGTCACGTTCACGCATGTAACGATGGAATCAGACAAGTACATATGTGTCAGGGAAACCTCGCCACAAAATAGTGTTGTTATCATCGACATGCAGATGCCAATGCAACCGCTGAGGAGGCCAATCACTGCCGACTCCGCACTGATGAACCCTGGCTCTAGGATTCTAGCCCTCAAAGGTTACCATCCACGAACTTCTGCGTAGTAGCGTACTCAATTTTCGATGCCTATGTTGGAATTATTATAATTTATTTATTTTCAATACGATGTTCTCATGTATGACATATTACTGTTAGTGACCTTTCTACTGGAAATGAGGGCACATTATAAAATTGTTGGTAACATGGTTTCTGCCTTTTTTTAAAAACTTTTGGAGGAACTGTACTATTCACCTCATAAAATCCCCTTGGAGAAGCAAAGAAACATTCCTCATTATGCGAGTGAGCCTTTGTTTGGATCCAGCACAATTTTTTTTAATTTTCAGTGGATGTGCATGTGCATTTTCCTTTTCTACACTTTGTTGCTCTACCCTTTTTAATCACATCTTATTGTTACCGTCCTTGGATTCGTACAAATTAGTTGTGTTGGGAAATAGAAAAGAGGTCTTGATGTTAGTGGGGTTCAAAAGAAAAGATCCTTCCTCACAATCTCTTTGACTTTTCCTGTGTTACTTGCCCTTGTATGCTTGTTTTTCATATTTAATTGAGGATTTTGTTGCTTTTTCCCTCTGATTGAACTGAATATTCTCTTTTTAACATTCAATTATTTATTGCACGATTTTTGAGATTTCATTTACTACTGCCACATAAGACATCAGTAATTTTGAATAAGGTCGCCACTTCCACTCCCTGCTTAGTGGACGTAGCTTCTGTTGACATAATTTGGTCCAATTTATTTTAGAGCTATAGGGGGCACCTGCTAATCATTTGGGGCTTTAAGCTGATGACTTATGCAACTTTGATTCTAAAGCCGTGATTCCTTTAATGGCTGCTGTACACGATAAAAAATGTTGAATAATCGTGTAAAAAGTTAAACTACAAGTACAGAAGATTTCACTCTTGCAAGAAAAAAAAAATGCTGAGGCTGTAACCGGAAAATGACTGATCTAGGAAATCGATTTGATCCTCTAAAGTTGCAATTGAAGATAGGGAACTATCAGCTAACTGGAATTGGACATTTTAAAATGCTCTTTCACACCTGTATAACAAGTTTATAGTTCTAGCAATTTGTTTTCTCTCCCTTGAGGTGTAAGTGAGAGTATGTGCTGCTTTCTGATAAGGTATTTTTCCCGGATTCACCTCACCTGTGTTGTTGCATACTGGAGATTAGGCAAAAAATCCCCAATTAAGGAAAAAAAAAACTTGTTCTTCACTTGCCATCAAAATAATATGCTTCATCTTTGGTTGCCAGTCTTTTGCACAATGGGAACGGTCAGCTTTCCTTTGGAAAGAGCTATTGACCCGGATCTCCCAATATCATGAATAATTTGACGAGGTGTAAAATTTCAAGGTTGCGAAAAAGCAGAAAATTTCAAAAATACGTTGGGAAATTTTGTAAGATGAAAGCATATTGCATGTTAATATATCAGAAAAAAAATCCTTAATTATGGTGCACATCGAATGCCCTAATATCTCCAATGTACTCGAGTGGAGAACTGCGAGGTTCACTTCTTTTGAAAATAATTTGATAAGATTATTGGTAGACTTACATAGAGCTTCATTTAAGTATACATACACACATCAAAACTTAACTGTAGAGGGTTTTTTTTATTTATATCATAGAATTGCTTCTGTGCCAACAAGTAACGTTTCTTTCGGTATATATACAATAATTTGAAGATATTTATTCTCATGTGAAACGCTCATTTGTTCTTGTACTCAATTCACCGACTAATTTCAGGTCTGCTTTCTTTGAGATGATGATGATAAAATATATACTTTCTCTGTGGACATTATTTTTATCTGTTATTTTGGTTGTATTCTTTTCTGTCAGTAACATCTTTGTTAGAAGAATGTTCTTAATGTTTGGTTCCTGGGGATTTTCCCTATATAGCTCAACTTCCGGGAACAACTCAGGACCACCTCCAAATATTCAATATCGAGCTGAAGGCTAAGATGAAGTCGTATCAAATGCCTGAGCAGGTGAACACTGGATGTAACTATTTCCTGGTTCTGATTTTCTTTTCATGCTTTAAATATTTTCTCATGAAAATGAAAAACAATTATTTTACTACATAATGTCTTCAGGTTGTTTTTTGGAAGTGGATCACCCCTAAGATGTTGGGACTTGTTACACAAACGTCAGTGTATCATTGGTCACTAGATGGTAATTAGTTATCCTCAATGACATTGCTTTTCAGATCTTTTATGTGGATAAGCTTCATTTTGCCTTTTACCAACTTCTGTTCCACGGATTATTAGATGGTTCTCCATCTTGTAGGTGATTCTGAACCAGTAAAGATGTTTGAAAGAACTGCAAATTTGACAAATAATCAAATCATCAACTATCGTTGTGATCCATCGGAAAAATGGTTGGTGTTGATTGGAATCGCACCTGGTTCTCCAGAGGTATAAATCTAATTGGTGCTTCCTTATTTTTATGAACAGCTTTTTTTGGTGTTATTGTCTGTTTCTTTCTCCTACTTGTTCTCACGAAGCATTTGGTAATTGAATATTGGGTGGAGAATTTGACGTAAGTTGATCCCACTGATATCCAACGTCCGTCCTTTGATTGACTGACTATTTAACTGCTGTTCTGACAAGGAGCTGCAAACTCATTCCCGTGGAGGCGACCCTGTGTTTATTATCCAAAAAAATTATAGAATTTGAGTACCTCTGCAATTTGAGACAGCTGATTGCCAGATTTCGTTTAGACATCAGGTTGACTTCTTCTCGTATCTTAAAAATTCACCTTTTGCAGAGACCACAATTAGTTAAGGGGAACATGCAACTTTTCTCTGTGGATCAGCAACGTAGCCAAGCACTTGAAGCTCATGCTGCATCGTTTGCCTCATTTAATGTAAGCCTCTTTCACAACCTTTTTCATGCGATATGATTCTCTTAATGTTGTCGGTCGTTGATTTTGATGCTGGTATCTTATATTTTGGTTGTATTTCCTAGGTTCCGGGAAGCGAGAAGCCCTCAATTCTTATTTCTTTTGCCTCAAAGACTGTAAATGCTGGGCAAATCATTTCAAAGCTTCATGTGATTGAGCTTGGTGCTCAACCAGGTTTGTCTTATGCTCCAAAATTCTATCTATTTTTATATTATGAATTTCCAAAACGCTTATGGGATCATACCTACGTTTTGTCTAAGTTGACATGAAACATATATTTTACATTGTAAATGCTATATTCACATCGGTTGTCCCTTCTTCCAACCTCCTCTGTTGACCAGGCAAACCAGGTTTTACAAAGAAACAGGCAGACCTCTTCTTTCCTCCTGATTTTGCTGATGACTTCCCAGTGGCGATGCAGGTTCTCACAATGCTACAAAACTTAGTTTATTTTTTTACCCTATCAAATTATTGAGTTGTTGAATTGATCTGTGGCAGATCTCAAATAAGTACAGTTTGATATATGTGATCACAAAGCTTGGACTGCTATTTGTTTATGATCTGGAAACAGCTACTGCTGTTTACAGAAATCGCATTAGTGCAGATCCTATATTTTTGACATCGGAAGCTTCATCAATAGGAGGGTTTTATGCTGTGAATAGGAAAGGTCAGGTGCTGCTCGCAACTGTCAATGATGCAACAATCGTGCCCTTTGTCAGTGGCCAAGTATGTCTCAATGTCTATAGTTTCTTGATTTGGAGCGCAGTAATTTGAATACGGCCCTTACAATCGTTTGGAACATTGCAGTTAAACAATCTGGAGCTGGCTGTTAATCTTGCCAAAAGAGGAAATCTTCCAGGAGCAGAAAATTTGGTAATTATGTTTGTCTGATTTTTTCACTGTTTATGAATTGACATAGCAATAGATGGAGATAGAGAGTATCTTTCACTTAGCTATTCATCATTGTCTTGAAACATCTATTTGTTTGTTGTAGTGGTTGGTAAGTTTTTCCAATATTTTTTGTCATCTAGGTTCTCTCTATTGCAGATTCATGTATGCATCAGCTAATTGCTAGTTGAATTTGATTTAGTAGATGAATTATTTTTCTTTAAGTTGATTGATTTCTTATTCAAAATATAGACTTTCTGGAAATGCAACATACAAAAAATATGGAAAATAGAAACAAGCCCTTAGTTGGATGAAGAATTGTTGAGGCAGCATGGGTCATTCTTTTTATAGTTGTGGACAATAGCGTTAATGGATGCAGTGAGAAAACAGTGGTATCTATTGTTGATGCATGTTTTGACAGAAATTCCGAGGTATTGTCATGTTGGCTACGCATAGATATGGGGCTTTTAATAAGGTCTGGGTATCGTGGCTTCTATATGTTTTCCCTTGAACATTGGCATCTTGTCACACCACCAGTGTTGGCTAAAATTGCGTTTTTTTAGGTAACATAATCCAGTATGATTTCTTACCCTATTTCTCTGTCACAGGTTGTGCAACGCTTCCAGGAGTTGTTCTCACAGACAAAATATAAGGAGGCTGCAGAACTTGCTGCCGAGTCTCCTCAGGGCATTCTTCGCACACCAGAGACTGTTGTGAAATTTCAGGTCCTGATTTGCTGTTATTATTTAATGGTGCCTGCGTGTATTATCTCTTTAATAGTTATCTGGCTTGTCTTTGTGGCATTCTGCAATGTATTTTGGTTCCTGTGTATTTTAACAATAGTTGTTTCTTTGTTTTCTTGTTCTTTTTTAAAGAGCATGCATGCAAAAGAAAAACTGGTCCCTCTCTAACGATGCATCTCATGACTTGCCGTTTATGAAGTTTTACAAATTTAAATACCCTTGTGCAGAGTGTTCCAGTGCAAGCTGGACAAACTCCACCACTGTTACAGTATTTTGGCACACTGTTAACCAGAGGGAAACTCAACACATTTGAGTCTCTGGAGTTGTCCCGGCTTGTTGTTAATCAGAACAAGAAGAACCTATTAGAAAATTGGTTAGCTGAGGACAAGCTCGAGTGCAGTGAAGAACTCGGAGATCTTGTGAAGGTGAGCTCTGGTGCCAGTTCTTTTTCGTAAGGGATATCTCTGTCATAATGAACTTTAGATATACGTAGTTCAATATTTTAAACATTATGAAAAATATTTTTTTAATATTTTCTTTTTTCTTTTGATTGCAGACTGTGGATAATGACCTTGCACTGAAAATATATATTAAAGCAAGGGCCACTCCAAAAGTAGTTGCAGCTTTTGCGGAAAGGAGGGAATTTGATAAGATTCTTATCTATTCAAAGCAGGTATTTTCAGTGCTTGCAATATCGGAATGCTTCAGTGTAACAATCACTCCTATATTTATCAGTCCATTTTGATTCAGAGCTAAGATTCTCTCACAGCAATCCTTGGAGCACTCATTCATTTTTCTCTTCTCCTGAATCCAGGTTGGATACACACCTGACTATCTTTTCCTCTTGCAAACAATCCTGCGATCAGATCCTCAGGTATCATGTCTCAAATTCCTTACGAATGCTTTCAAATTTTAGGTCTAAGTGTTGAGCAATTACATGCAACAATTTTCTCCGCATTAAAGTAGAGGACTTAGTTAATATTAAGATGATTATACTTGAACTTTGTCTATCCTTTGTGGCCAGATATTATCCATGTTGCTTTTGGACGTTTTTTTTCCTTCGTTTTTTGTGCTCTGTGAATTTCATGCCATTTTATTTCTTAGATCGTTTGTCAACAACAAATTCTTAATGCAGGGTGCAGTTAATTTTGCTCTCATGATGTCACAAATGGAAGGCGGTTGCCCTGTTGACTACAATACAATTACAGACCTTTTCCTGCAGGTCTGCCCAATCATTTCCCCATTTTGTGCCCATATTTTGACTGGGTGTCAAAAAAAATATTTGAGAAGCTAATATCTTTTTCCTTCGTAAAATTTATTAATTACTTTTATGTTCCTCTGTTATGTTTTAGAGGAACATGATTCGAGAGGCAACAGCCTTCTTGTTGGATGTTTTAAAACCGAACTCACCAGAGCACGCTTTTCTTCAAACTAAGGTCATCATTGCTGCCTTCTACTGTCTCTATAATGTTTTTTTACAAAAAAGCAGAAAATTTATATTCTCTATTCTCTTCTTTCATGTTTACGCCGCTAACTTTCTTTGGTATCATTCATGATAGGTCTTAGAGATCAATCTTGTGACATATCCAAATGTTGCAGATGCTATATTAGCAAATGGAATGTTTAGTCATTATGATCGCCCCCGGATAGCTCAATTGTGTGAAAAAGCTGGCCTTTATATGCGAGCCCTTCAGGTTTGATCTTTCTCATTTGTCTGAATCTCACAGGTGAATTTCACGTCCTTTTAATTAACAGATAACTTCATATTGTCAGCATTACTCTGAGCTGCCAGATATCAAGCGAGTTATAGTGAACACTCATGCGATTGAGCCCCAGGTTTGCTTTCGATTATTGTCTTCTTTTGTTTAGAGAAATTTATTTTTGGTTCTAAATTATATAACATTTTAGGCACTTGTTGAGTTTTTTGGAACTCTTTCAAAAGAGTGGGCGCTGGAGTGTATGAAAGATCTTCTCTTGGTGAATTTGAGGGGAAATCTGCAGATAATTGTGCAGGTATTTTTCTCTTAACTGTCCCAATAAGGTTTATTGGGAATAGTTTGTGAGGTTCCAATTAACTTCTCCTCTGCAGGCAGCTAAAGAGTACTCAGAGCAGCTTGGTGTTGATTCGTGCATAAAGCTTTTTGAGCAATTTAAGTCATACGAGGGTCTGTACTTCTTCTTGGGATCATATCTAAGCTCCAGGTGCCTACATGAAGAAACCCCCTTTTTCCCCAAACACGACTTTTTCATTTCTTTGTGCGATGATTTTCATTGGTTCTGACTCTTTTTTCATTGTACAGCGAAGACCCTGGTATTCACTTCAAATATATTGAGGCTGCAGCCAAAACTGGTCAAATTAAGGAAGTTGAACGTGTCACCAGAGAATCTAACTTCTATGATCCTGAGAAGACAAAAAATTTTCTGATGGAGGCAAAATTACCAGATGCACGGCCACTCATTAACGTTTGTGACCGCTTTGGTTTTGTTCCTGATCTTACCCACTATTTGTACGCAAATAATATGCTTCGGTACATTGAGGGCTATGTTCAGAAGGTACGATTTAGTTTGAAGGACTCTATCTGCTATTTAATGTATCACTTGGATTTGATATCCTTTAATATATGTGATAGTTGTTTATTTAACTTTGGAATTGGGAAGATGAAGTTACACATCTCTATCTCAGGTCAATCCTGGAAATGCTCCTCTAGTTGTTGGTCAACTGTTAGATGATGAGTGTCCAGAAGATTTCATCAAGGGTCTTATCCTTTCCGTGCGTTCTCTTCTTCCAGTGGAGCCACTCGTGGATGAATGCGAGAAGAGGTACTCCATAGCTTACTTACGAAGAAATATCTTCTATGATCTTTGTTTTGACTGATTGCGTGACTAAATGCTAGGAATCGCCTTCGGCTGCTTACCCAATTCTTGGAGCATCTAGTGAGTGAAGGGAGCCAAGATGTGCATGTACACAATGCGTTGGGTAAAATAATCATAGATAGCAACAATAACCCTGAGCACTTCCTCACAACCAACCCATACTATGATTCGCGTGTTGTGGGCAAGTACTGCGAGAAAAGGGACCCTACACTTGCGGTTGTTGCATACAGGAGGGGACAATGTGATGAAGAACTCATCAATGTCACTAACAAAAACTCGTTATTTAAGCTGCAAGCCAGGTTGGTATATTATTCTTATCTCTTTCCTCCAGAAAAAAGAGAGTGTAGCCGTTTAGCTGAGTCTTAGTTTGTTGCTTACAGATATGTGGTGGAAAGGATGGATGCCGATCTGTGGGAGAAGGTTCTCCTCCCTGATAACGAATATCGACGACAGCTTATCGATCAAGTTGTGTCTACTGCTTTGCCTGAAAGCAAGAGCCCAGAGCAGGTTTCTGCTGCTGTTAAAGCTTTCATGACTGCAGATCTTCCACATGAGCTTATCGAGCTGCTTGAAAAGATTGTCCTCCAAAATTCTGCCTTCAGTGGGAACTTTAATTTGCAAAATCTTCTGATTCTAACAGCCATTAAAGCTGATACTTCAAGGGTCATGGATTATGTAAATAGATTAGACAATTTTGATGGACCTGCGGTTGGTGAGGTGGCCGTTGAAGCACAGCTTTATGAAGAGGCCTTTGCAATATTTAAGAAGTTCGACTTAAATGTACAGGCAGTCAATGTCCTCCTTGATAACATCAGAAGCATTGAACGTGCTGTGGAATTTGCTTTCCGTGTTGAAGAAGATGCTGTCTGGAGTCAGGTGGCCAAGGCTCAACTTAGGGAAGGTCTTGTGAGTGATGCAATCGAGTCATTTATTCGCGCAGATGATGCAACGCATTTCCTGGATGTTATTCGAGCTGCTGAGGACGCAAATGTGTATCATGACCTTGTGAAGTACTTGTTGATGGTTAGGCAGAAGGTCAAGGAGCCGAAGGTAGACAGTGAGCTCATCTATGCATTTGCCAAGATTGACAGACTGGGTGATATTGAAGAATTCATTCTTATGCCTAATGTTGCTAACCTTCAAAATGTTGGTGACCGTCTCTATGATGAAGCCTTATATGAGGCGGCAAAGATCATATTTGCTTTCATTTCCAACTGGGCCAAGTTGGCTAGTACTCTGCTGAAGCTAAGGCAATTTCAAGGCGCGGTTGATGCAGCTCGTAAAGCTAACAGTGCAAAGACGTGGAAGGAAGTCTGTTTTGCTTGTGTGGATGCTGAGGAGTTCCGTCTGGCTCAAATAGCTGGTCTCAATATCATAGTACAGGTACTTGTTTTGTTACTCCCTCTACACCTGTTCCTTTGGTTCGCTTCAGGACATGTAATTATCACATTGCATGTCAAACTATACGTTAGTCAGTACGTATCTAATCCAGTCAATCTGTTATGTTGTGTTGCTAAATTACCAATTCAAAATTGTCCATTCTTATCCTCATTCTGGGCACATTCTGGCCGATTCATCCCTTTCTGAATTCAATAGATTATTGTCACCTTATCCTGACCCACTTTCTGATTTTTAGCTTCTTGTTGGTGCCTAGTGTTGCTTCTGTGTTGCATGGATAATTGTGTAGGTCATGATAATGATAATGGTAACCCTTAATCTTTTGATGTCCATCTTGTAGGTGGATGACATGGAAGAAGTCAGCGAGTATTATCAGAATAGAGGATGTTTCAACGAGATTATCTCTCTCATGGAGAGCGGCCTCGGATTGGATCGCGCCCACATGGGCATTTTCACAGAGTTGGGTGTTTTATATGCAAGATATCGACATGAGAAACTCATGGAGCACATCAAACTTTTCTCAACTCGCCTGAACATTCCCAAGCTCATAAGAGCATGTGACGAGCAGCAACACTGGAAGGAGCTAACCTATCTTTATATTCAGTATGATGAGTTCGACAATGCTGCCACAACAATCATGAATCACTCTCCCGAAGCATGGGATCACATGCAGTTCAAAGATGTTGCGGTTAAAGTGGGGAACGTTGAACTGTACTACAAAGCAGTTCACTTCTACTTGCAGGAGCATCCTGACCTTATCAATGATGTCCTCAATGTGCTTGCCCTTCGCATTGATCATACACGTGTGGTAGATATAATGAGAAAGGTGTGCTCACGTCTTTGCCATTTGCTGTTACACTCATCAGGCCTAGCATTTTATGCGACTTCAGCTAGGAAGATACGATGTGGGAGGAAATCTTCTTCTTCATATTCTTAATATTATTGCATTTTAATATTCCCGTGTATTTTCAGGCTGGTCATTTACGCCTGGTGAAGCCATACATGGTCGCAGTTCAGAGTAACAACGTGGCTGCTGTGAACGAGGCTCTGAATGAAATTTATGTGGAGGAGGAGGATTATGACAGGTTGAGAGAATCAATTGACATGCACGACAACTTTGATCAGATAGGCCTCGCCCAGAAGGTAAAATTTTGTTTTCTCTACCTAGTTGGTAGGTTCTTTCGGAATTTTATGCTGTTCGGCTAAATTCCTACTTGCAAAATGTCATCAGACTGAAAAACACGAGCTTCTTGAGATGCGGCGCATTGCTGCATACATTTACAAGAAAGCTGGCAGATGGAAGCAGTCTATTGCACTGTCCAAGAAGGACAAGCTGTACAGGGATGCCATGGAGACGTGCTCCCAGTCTGGTGACCGTGAGCTTTCAGAGGAGTTGCTGGTGTACTTCATTGAGCAGGTATCTATTGATTACTCTACTATCATATTACTTTTACTCATGTGAGGTCACACACCAAAAGAAAAATCCTGGCTACTTCACTGTGCGCTTTCACGGCATCATCCATTAGTGCGTTCTTTGGTTGAAGCTGCGGGAAGCAGAATTTGGGTTTCTAGGCCTCATTTCCTTTACGCCTTAGAACAGCAAACCAGGAGATGGCTGCTATTTATTTCCCTTTTCGATTTCTCTCCCCTCCCATTCCTGTTTGAGCAACAGCTAAGCATGGTTTATCTGCAGGGAAAGAAGGAATGCTTCGCATCGTGCCTCTTCATTTGCTACGATCTGATTCGACCAGATGTGGCTCTCGAACTGGCCTGGGTGAACAATATGATCGATTTCGCTTTCCCATATCTGCTGCAGGTAAATGCCATGAAAACGCTCGGTAGCCTTTACTCACGGCTCAGCTTCTGTGACCAGATATTCTTTCTCCACCCATTCCTCACCCGAGTCCTCCCTCCCCCCATGCTTGCAGTTCATTCGCGAGTATGCCGGTAAAGTAGACGAGCTCGTGAAGGACAAACTTGAGGCCCTCAGTGAGGTGAAGGCCAAAGAGCAGGAAGAGAAGGAGATGGTCGCCCAGCAGGTAGCCAGCTGCTTTAACCCCACACTCTCCTCGTCTATTACTTCATCCATTAGTGAAATTCTTCTACCCGTGTTCTACCAGAATATGTACGCACAGCTTCTGCCTCTCGCCCTGCCGGCTCCCCCGGGCATGGGCGGCCCTTACGGAGTTCCGCCGCCCATGCCCGGCATGGGGGTTCCCCCTATGCCGGCATACGGCATGCCGCCGATGGGCGGCTACTGATCGCAGCCTCGAGGCCCGTCATCTTCTCCGTGCATTCACTGAGCAGCGTGGCAAGCTTCGGCCTCAGCAACCAACCGACAATAATATCCTATTTGCAGAATCTGTCTAGGGTCCATATTCCTTTCTTCATCTGTCGTGAAGGCGCTTAGAACCCCCTGGCTCCCGTTTGAGGCTCGGCTCGGCCGTCTTTCTTTTTTTCCCTCGATCGGTTTCTCTCGAGAACATAGGCTTCTCCGGCTGTGATATCCTCCTCTCGTCTGTGGATTTGCTGTGCATACGATTACGAAGCTTTTAATAGCAGATATGGTGTCCTTCTCCGTGCTCTTCTTCTGTTGCCCGGTAAGCTACAAACACCGCGGCAGAAGTCTCCCACCGGCTTGGTCGGCCCGGGAAGAGGGGTGATCATGATCGTAAGCCCGAAAGAAATCGCCGGTCATCTGAATGACCCTCATTTGAATCTAATGTCAACTGCGCTGAGAAGGCACTGGGTTGCGTGCACCCGTGTGTTGGCTCCAGAAACTTGGGTGGATGAGAGTCAACCGCGCTGAGAACGTCTCCCATTGCATGGGATCTCTCGGTCTCCTCTGTTTTATCCTGTTTTACCAGATGTCAGTGGCGGTGAAGATAAAAACAATGAAAATTTTCACATTTAAAGCTCTTTTTTACATATATATCAGGGCTTTGACTGACAGAATTGTGGTCAACTGAGCACCAGGAGATTCAGATAGTATCTACAGGAGGGCCCTTAGTTTATTTATAAGGTGGGAGGGGAGGCAGACAGGGCGACCCAGAGGAGGCAGAACCCTTGGAAATGGCGACTGACGGTGACAACCCCTAGAATGAGAGGCCAAGGGTTTTTTATAAGCCTTCAAAAGCCGTTGCCTAATGTGCCGATTATTACCTTGCCGGGTCCTACAATTCTGTTCATGTCGGCCCCGGACGGCTGCTTCCGGCGACCTCTCGTGATAGTTCTAGGGTTCCCGACGCTTCTGCCAAGAACCCAACCCGCATCGAGCTTGAAATCTACGTTCTGGTCTCGTTGTTCGGCCGTGATGGGAGGGCGGCGCCGCCTTCTCCACGCGTGTGTGCGCTGCGTGGTGCCGTGGTAGGGGGGAATTTTTCTAACCTTTGTAAATTTATTGGAGACAAGGCTCCACCAACGGTCGATGACGTGAGGGGGGCCTCAGCGAGACACGTTCGTTGTCGCGATCTGATCCGAAATCTATCGCCGGGCTCACCTGATGCCAGTGACGTGATGTCCTTTCCCACCTCTCTCTCTCTCTCTTTCTCTGCTGTGACCCTGAAACTCGGGCGCGGGAGGCAGCCGCCACTAACGCGTGCGATCAGAGGACGCAGTCGTGTGGTGAAGACATTTCAACGCTCCGCCGACACAGTGTTCGAGATAGCACAGTGGCTAGTTTCTTACGTCAGCTTCGCCGCTTTTTCTCTCGTCGACGACGGAAGGCAACACGACCCTCCGTGCACATTCAACTCTCTACGTCTCAAGCGAAGGTATTTCGATAGCGAAGGTATTTCGATAGCGAAGGTCAACGGATCCACTGAAAGATTTTTGTTTCATCCGGGCGCATTTGGTTCCAATCTGATCGGATCTTCTTCCTTCTCCAAGTTGCGGCGCCTCTGGAGAGCTCGAGGGATCCGATGCCCTGGGAACTCCCCGGCAAGGTTTCAGACCTGGAGCGCAGCCGGGTAGACTTCTAGGGAGGTCTTCAGGGGGTTCATAACTCTGTCTACTTCAAGCCGACGTGACCTGTCTCTTGAGCAGGTCTCTGCGATCCGCCGTCGACGGTGGGCCGCCGCCGGTCGATCACCGGCGGGCGGCGCCAGAATGGGTGGTTCCGTGGTTGAACCTCCGTCGTGATATTTCGCACCGGCGGCGCCAGAAAGCGGGTTGGGAGAGCGCTGGTGGGGCGCCAGAAACGGGCGGGCACGGCGGCTGCCTGCCGGAAGCTCCCCTCTTCCGGTTTTCGGCAGACCCCACGCGCGCCGGCCCTAATAGGCCGGACAGTGCACGAGAACCCCCCCGGAGGCGGTCGCCCGCCTTCTGTCAGATCTCGGTCAGACCGTCTCCCTTCTTCCGGAGGTGGAAGTGTCAACGCAGGATAATCACGCGGCAGTGATTCGAAGAGCTTGTCAAATGGGCACTGGATAGGGTGAAAGTCAGGCCCCGTGGATGGAAAATCCCAGCGTAAAAGCTCCAGCATGGCTACGATCATCCTTCGATTTTTCCTCCTGGTCGGTAAAAATCGTGGTGCCCAGATCATTTAAAACAGTAATGGAGAGTTAATCAACGCCCTCGATTGGGGAAGAAGTGGGGATGCGCGTGAGAGCAACGGGGGTCGCCCAATCGTTGACGGGACCGCAGGGCGCAATCCGAGAGTGACAGATCGGCGGCGAACTCACTGTCGCAGTCGGGCGCCGCGTTGGGATCGGGTGGAAAAGGAGGGTGAAAGGTTCCCAAATTTACCTCGGCGGGGGAAGGCCCTCGCCGGGGATGGTCCCGCCTTCAAATAATCCGCCTCATTGAATGCGTTTCACAACTCCCTGGACGGGGCTTCCAACTGCTAAGCTCTTCCCTCCCCCCACTGGCCACACACTGCCCACATTTCCGTTCCTCCATCCTTCAAATCCAGTCTTCTTCTCCTTCTTCCTCGCAGCACCCCTCCCTCCCTCCCCCTCTCTCTCTCTCTCTCTCTCTCTCTCTCTCTCTCTCTCTCTCTCTCTCTCTCTCTCGCTCCGCCCCCTTCTCTCGGTGTATCAGTCAGTCGAGCGCAATGTACCCTGGAGTCCTGCCCCGCGCATCGGCAGAGGGATCGAGCTCTCGGGTACATTCTCTTCACTGTTGCTTTCGATTTCGGTGGTTAACCCAGTCGATTGGAGCTCCTCGTCTTCTCCCCCTCCGGCCTTTTCGGAGGGGCACTGTGCGTAACTGTGCTGGCTGCTGAAGCTCTCCGAGTCCTGCCGGTTCCTGTCTGCCCACTGCGTCTGCAACTGCTCATAGCTGGTTGTTACCAATTGGAAGAACGGGAGGAATGCCCGCCACGGTTTCTTCCTTCTTCCTGTCTGGATGATATACTAGGGCTAACCAGATCCTCTTTTTCCTTGATGAGCTTCTTCCATGCTCGCCTGCAGCGCAAAATTGTTGTCCCCATTATTTTTCCTCGCAGGAATCTGTAGAACCGTCAATCGCGTGATTCATCCGAAGTTTTATAGTTTTATATCCATCCCTGTTCGCATTATGAACGCAAAAAAAAATTGATTGAAGAAACTGCATCTCTCGTTCGGAGAACCCCTTTTCTTCATCTCCGTTCCCCATGAACGCGAGCTCGGCGTGACTCGGTTATCCTCTCTATTCGACCAGCATCCCAAGAAATCCCCCTGGAAGGACGTGCTGCTGCTCTCCTATCAGAGTCTCGGAGTTGTCTATGGCGATCTGAGCACCTCCCCCCTCTACGTCTACAAGACAACCTTCTCCGGGAAGCTAAGCCTCCATGAAGACGACGAGGAAGTTCTCGGAGTGCTGTCCTTCATCTTCTGGACCCTCACTCTCATCCCCCTCTTCAAGTACATCTTCATCGTCTTGTCAGCCGACGACAACGGCGAAGGTACAGATCCCGCCTGGTTTTTCTTCATCAGGAAAGGATTCACCTCTCTGCAAGCTTCATCAACACAAGCAACCAGCAGGGATTTCTCTCCTGAACTATCTCGAAAAAGATGAGCTTCACTCTGGTTTTCTAATAAATTTGCAGGTGGTACATTTGCACTGTACTCATTGCTGTGCCGCCATGCGAGGCTAGGCCTCCAACCCAATCAGCAGCACATTGATGAGAAGCTGTCTTCTTACAAAGCGGAGGGTGGGGCGGAGACCCGGCAGAGCTCCAGGATCAAGGGGTTCTTCAGTAAGCACCCGAGATACAGGCATGGGCTGCTAATCGTGGTCCTCTTCGGAACCTGCATGGCCATTGGCGACGGGGTGCTCACACCAACAATATCAGGTTCCCTGCCGGCGATATGATACCTTCTTGGGCAATTTTCCCTTTTATTCCGCTTTTTGGTCGCTCTAGAACACGATTTCCGGACGAATCCAGTCATCTGTGAAGGATTCCATCCTCTAGAACATGTTTTTCGGAAAAAAAAAATCGGTCATCTGCGAAGAATTTCATCCATCATCATGCTAAAACCCTTCCCTCGGATTGAGAATTTGAGCTTGTCTGAAAGATTCAGAGTACAGTGCCTCTGAACCTCCTGGTTTTTACACCCATGAGCTCAAAAAGGTAAATCATTAAAGCTTCTGACGGCGCGATTAAATCATTAAAGGTAGATCAGTTCAGATGGGACTTATTAACTGTGGGTTTATTTCTCTCGGGTGGCCTCCATACATATTAACTGGTTTTTTCACAATCCGCATGAGATTTTCTCTTGAATTCATCACAGTTTTAATATTTCTTTGGGTTTTTTAAAATTTTTCCCCAGTTCTTTCAGCAGTATCAGGCGTGAGGGTGAAACTGACTCATCTGCATGAGAGTAAGTGAACCTCCTGCTGCAGCCAAGAGAGCTCGAATTCGGATATCTCCCGCGTATAACGATCCAACTCGCTTTTCAGACTATGTTGTGGCGATCTCATGCATAATCTTGGTGGGCCTCTTCTCTCTCCAGCACCACGGCACCCACCGGGTCGCCTTCATCTTTGCTCCAATTGTTGCAGCCTGGCTTCTTTGCATCAGCTCCATTGGAGTGTACAACATAGCTCGGTGGAATCCGGGCATATTTCGCGCCATTTCACCCTCCTACCTCGTGAGGTTCCTCAGGGCAACCGGGGTCGAAGGATGGGTTTCCCTTGGCGGGGTCGTTCTCTGCATTACAGGTACGATGCAATAAATAGATAGATAGATAGAGAGAGAGAGAGAGAGAGAGAGAGAGAGAGAGAGAGAGGATGAATGAAGATGCCGGGGAATGACAGTCTGCGACGTAATTTGTTCAGGAGCGGAGACCATGTTTGCTGATCTGGGGCATTTCTCGCCGACTTCAATAAAGGTAGCGCCTTTCCCCATCTGAAACAGCAGAGTGTGGAACCCGTTTCCCGAAGCTTCGTTCTAAGGCGACAACCTTGAGTTTCAGATCGCCTTCTCCTTTCTCGTGTATCCCTGTCTGGTTCTGGCGTACATGGGAGAGGCGGCCTTCTTGTCCAGGCATCACGAAGATATACAGAGGAGTTTCTACAGGGCCATACCAGGCAAGGCGTATCACCTGATGGATGCTGCCCGAGTTAACCTAACTCCCCGGCGTGTTTCCTGATTCATAGAAGCATTTGTGATGCAGAAGCTGTGTTCTGGCCGGTTTTCCTGGTGGCGACTTCTGCGGCTGTCGTGGGGAGCCAGGCGGCGATTTCGGCGACCTTCTCGATCGTGAGCCAGTGCTGTGCGCTGAATTGCTTCCCCCGCGTGAAGATCATTCATACGTCGAAGAAGATATATGGGCAGGTCTACATCCCCGAGGTCAACTGGGTTCTGATGTGCCTCTGCTTAGCGGTCACCATTGGGTTAAGGGACACCAACAAAATCGGCCATGCTTATGGTACGCCCATCATCCTCCAATGGAAAGTTCTTCACCATCATCTCTCACTCTCTCTCTCTCTTGGGTTTTTGCAAGCTTACGAATCATCTCTCTCTCTCTCTCTCTCTCTCTCTCTCTCTCTCTCTCTCTCTCTCTCTCTCTCTCTCTCTCTCTTGGTGGTTTTCAGGGCTGGCTGTTTCCACGGTGATGTTTGTGACCACCTGCTTGATGTCTCTGGTCATGATAATCGTGTGGAAGCAGAGAATGGTGTGGGCCACTCTCTTTCTGGTGTTCTTCGGATCCATCGAGATGCTCTACGTTTCGGCCTCGACCGTGAAGGTCCCAGAAGGGGGTTGGATCCCTCTCTCGCTGTCTGCGGTGTTCATGGTGATCATGTACGTGTGGAACTACGGCACTCTGAAGAAGCACGAGTTCGACCTGGAGAACAAGGTCTCCATGAAGAGGATCCTCGCTCTGGGCCCCAGCCTAGGGATGGTCCGCGTTCCCGGGATCGGCCTCATCTACGCCGATATAGTCACGGGTTTGCCGTCCATCTTTGGCCACTTCGCCACCAACCTCCCCGCCTTCCACCAGGTCCTGGTTTTCGTCTGCGTGAAGTCCGTTCAGGTGCCGCACGTCTCCGACGAGGAGCGGTTCCTGGTCGGCCGGCTCGGCCCCGAGGAGTTCAGGATGTTCAGGTGCGTAGTGAGGTACGGCTACAGGGATCTGCAGCAGGAGAACCATGACTTCGAGGCCCAGCTAGTCTCGAGGATCTTGGCCTTCGTGGAGATGGAAGGAGAGGACTGCATGGTGGTGTCCAGGGGGAGGTATCTCTCCGAGCTGGGGGCGATCTCAGATGGCGACAGCCTCTCAAATCCGGCGCTACCCAGTCCGGCGGACGGCGGCGGAAGCCCCGCCCATGACCGGTCCGGCGACATCGAGGTGGAGAAACCAGAGGACCGCGGCCTGGCAGAGTGCTCCTTCATCACCAAGGACGAGTCTGTGGAGATCCTCAGAGCCAGGGAGTCCGGAGTCGCCTATATCCTAGGGCGCTCCCACGCCAAGGCGAAGAAATCGTCCCCCTTAATCAAGAAGATCGCCATCAATATCATCTTTGGCTTCCTCAGCAAGAATTGCAGGGGATCTGAGGTCGTTCTGAACGTCCCTTACTCCTCAGTTCTCGAAGTCGGCATGGTTTACTACATCTGATTCCAGGAAGGAGAGGATGAGAGAGAGCTTCAGACGACGCAGAGGATCGTGCCCCGTCTCCCGGAAGAAGCAAGAGGAGGCTTTCTTTCTGCACCCCAGATGCTGTAGACGAAGAGCAGCAAGCCCCCATGAGCTTCCATAGGGTTACGAATCCCTGAGAACCGAAGAAGGCAGGGATTGCCTGCCTCTTCTTGTCTGGTTTTGCAGAGCCCTAACCGTGTGATTAGAGTTGCCGCAGATGTGTCTTGTAAAGAAGGTTTTATGAAAGGAAAAAGCGCCATCCATCCAGATCGCGTAGCCATCAGTGCAAGCTTAGTTTCTTCGTTCTTCACGGGTCGCACCATCGAAGTTTTTTCGGAGAAAGAACCGTAGACAGACTATGATGAATAAAGAATCGAATTATGATGAATAAACAGGGCTGGAAGAGATGAATAAAGAATCGAATATGATAAAGGATCGAACTATGAGTGAATGAACCAACGTCAATCGATCAGCAGGCCAACATTGCCTTGAACTCATCGAAGCTGATGACTCCGTCACCATCGAGGTCGAACCGGCGAATCATGGCCTTGCAATCCTCGATGCCCGAGGAGTTGCCCAGCCGCCCAAGCGCCGTCCGCAGACTCGCGGCGGTGATGTAGCCGCGGCCGCTCATCTCGTACACGCCGAAGGCCTCCCTCATCTCCCTCTCCTTGTCCTCCTCCTCCTGCGCCTCGCTCATCAGCCGGACGAATTCGTCCATCCCCAGCAGCCCGTCGCCGTCGAAGTCGGCGGAATCCACGACCTCCGTGGCGTCCTCCAAGGACAGCTCCAGGCCGACGCTATTCATCCGCGAGCACAGCTCCGCCGGTGAGACCTTGCCGTCGCCGTCCTCGTCGAAGCGGTGGAACACCCTCTCTAGTCCTCCTGCGGACGACGAGGTCGAGCATAGTTCTCCCGTCGCCGAGTCGTCTCTTCTCCCAGATGATGCTCTTGCCGCGCGGGCCATCCTCTGAATTCTCCGAAAGGAATCGGAGAGTTCTCCATATATAGAGATCGGGAGTCTGGACATCGAACCTTCCTGGAGAGGTGAAAGAAACAACGAGGAAGATTGTTTACCACGCGCTGATTCCCCGCCTTGGTCAATATTGCTGACGCTTCAACACGTCAATCGTCGACTGCCGCCGTCTCAACAGGAGCGAGGAAAGCTTCTGGAAAGGTAAACCCTTCACGAGGCATGACCAATCCAGGTCATCATCTACCTCGCGGGTGATTCTGCAGCTCATATGACCCAACACGTCAATCGTCGACTGCCGCCAGCGGAGGTGCTCATCACGCAGATGGGACGGGCTTTTATCTCACGTTTTTTTTGTTAATCTAAGCGAGCGGGTTGGACATAATTTCGTGTTTCTTGCGCCAAATCGATTAATGAACCATAATTTTGAGAAAATAATGTAAAATTAAATTACTTTAAAATCGTACAAGAAAATTCTGTCTCTAGAGTTGAATAAAATGCAATCTTCCCTCTCTCTAGGTCAACCTCTCGATGACATCTTTGGTCGATCGATCGAATTACTACTCGTAGCTCGATCATACTCTCTCTCTCTCTCTCTCTCCCTCTCTCGCCAGCCATGGTGTCTATCTTCTCTCTCTATGTCCATTTTCTCTGTCATCGCTCCTTCTCTCTCTCTTCTCTCCCTTGTTCCCCTCCCCGAAACGCAATGCTGTCCTGCAGCATGTCCTCCAGTCTCCTTCGTGATTGCCGGCGCAAGTGTTCCTTCTCCGCTCTTACTCACCTCTCCCGTCTCTTTCGCCGCCCGAACTGAATCCCTTTCCCTGGCCCCGTCCTGAAGACTTCCCGACCGGCAGACAAGACCTTCCGTCTTCTTACGTTCATCCTTTAGGACTCCTCAGTCTGACCGGGAGTCCTAGATGGAGATGTCTGCAGAAGTGTGAAATCCAGAAGAACGATCTACAGAACTGCACGCCGGCTGCAACTCGCCGTATCCCGCGGCAGCTGATAGGATGTCTCTGTCCACGAGTCGGCGAGTAGTGATGAAACCTGCTCTTCTTCCCCCACAGATGGAAGACGAGGTTGCAAACCAACGGGGGAACGCAGCTGGAATGACAAGCAGCTCGCCGTGCCGCAAGGGCAGAAAAGGAGTTTCGGCGTAGTATAGACGTGGGCGGTCGCCGCCGCTCCCACGGTACCGGCGTCCATATGATTCGACCGCCGCCCGGTTTGGGCTGCCGGCCGAGACTTGAATCCGCGTAAGGCTCCCGCTGTCGTTTTGCCGAGCCCACAGAGTGAGGTCTTCCCTTCTTGATCCCCCCCAGGGGAGGCCGAATGAGGGCCATCTCAGCTCAACATCAGACAATATCAGGCGGCTCAATTCAATTTTATTGTCCTGATGTCATCTCAATATCACTGTTTGCTTTTTATTGGATCCTCGTGAAAAGGAGTACAAATGAATTTAAGTAAAAATAGCTTCTTTAGTTGCCGCGGCTGCTGAGTTTGACGAGGAAGAACCTTCCATCTTCTTCTCCCCCACCTGTTCACATCTCCCCCCGTGGAAAGAAATGGAATTCAAAGGCGAGAGGAAGGAGGTTTTCACGTTCGGTTTCTCTTGCTTATGATCCAGAACGCTGCAAAACGATGTTGAAGAAACAAGAGAGAAGAGGAAGGATCTAAACATGCCGGGCGGCTGGGAGCCGATCCTGTTTGCCCATGTCCGACTTGTGTGGCCTACGCACGAGCTCTGCTCATGTAGCTCCTCACCTCCTCCGCGATCATCTCTCGCACTATTGATAGCAGGGACATCTCCTCCACCTCCCACCCGCTCCCCTGTTTCTTTACACCGCCGCCGCCGCCGCCGCCGTAGCCACCGACGGACTCGTTCCTGCCCGGCGGACTCAGGGACAAGGATGTCATGGGCTCCCGTTGTAGCTCCGTCGGCGCTGGCCCCGCCGACTTCGCCGGTTCCCTCCGGCAACGTCGTTTCCTCTCGGATTCCGAGTCTGATTCGGAGACTTCCTGCTCGGAGGAGTTTTGGGACAAAGAGAGGGAGGGCTGCGAGGTCGATTCGGACGGCCTACGGCGGCGCAGCGTGGAGTTCCAGTGATTCTTGACAGAGTTGTCCGTGCGGCCCGGTAGCAGACGCGCGATGGTAGCCCACTTGTTCCCGTACATGGCGTGTGCCGCCACGATGGTCGCGTCCTCGGCGGCGGTGAAAGGTCGGTGCTGCACGGTGGGGCTTAGCTGGTTGAACCAACGAAGGCGGCACGACTTGCCGGAACGGCCGGGGATGGCGGAGCTTATACCGCTCCAGTTACGCGGACCGTGGCGGTGGACGAGCTCGACGAGCCGTGCATCCTCCTCGGGGCTCCAGGATCCCTTACTCCGGCGGCCGTTTCCAGCGCCCTTTTCTACTTCCATATCCGGCTTCCTCTTCTTCTCCTCCCGCTGTGCGACCAAGTGGGTCTTCAGTCCCCCGTCTCAGCGGCAGCCGTTTTTCGATGAAGTATCTATTCGTTTCCGACCTTCCTTCCTTCCTCCGTTTCTTCTCTTTTATCTGCACAAATTATATATAACAGACGACGGGAAGGGGGAGAGGTTGCAGACGTGCAGTTTGGTCTAAAGTGGTGGACTTGGTAGCGCAGTCTAGATTCAATGCGAACGTTTCATTCTTGTGGGTGGTGTGTTGGTTGGTTGGCGTAAAACCAAACTCGCAAACCGCGTGGATCTCTCTCCCTCTCTCTCTCTCTCTCTCTCTCTGCCCTCAGCTGACGTTGAGTGACAGCTGACAGACGAAACGTCCGAAGAAGGCAACGGTGGTTGTCAAAGGAAGAGTTGTTGACGGGTAGAGACAGTTCGTCGTCAAAGGCAGTCTGATAACGAGGAGACGGTTCCTCGTCATCGTCACCGAGTAGGAAGATGAGCCGGCAGTGCGAAGTCTCGCAGGGCGAAAAAGCTCGGGCTTCTGTGGCGCCGGTGAGAAGGTGAAGACGTGACATCAGTTTCCTTTCATGGGATATTCTTGGTATGGCCTCCGGTGGCCAGGGCGTACGGAGGACGGCGGGACCGCCGTGACGTCTGGTTGACTTGTAGGTTTGGATGAGATCGTCTGTTCCTATGGCCGTCCATCAATGTTAGGTTTGACGCGGAAACCAAATCCAAGACTTCAGCCAGGCGGCCGCCGCCCGGGGGAGCGGCGTGGGGCCGGTGGCCGCCGGCGCGCCGGACCCTTGCGGCGGAACTGGCGGACGGCGCTACCAACGCCTTCTGATGCTCTGCGGGATATGAGCGGAGGGGATGACCCATTGGCCTCTCGTCCATATCGTTTCAATGCCGGCGCCGGAAGGCGCAGGGGAACCCTGTTGGGGTTAACCGCCATATCGCCATAGATGACCGAACGGTAACGGCTGGATCCTCATTGGCCGGTGGCCCTGACGTCCGTGGGGGCAATTCCCTATCGTCCAACGAGAACAGATCTTCCCCGCCGGCAGGTTTTAACGTCATTAACTAGTTAAGGGGGCTTATCAGGGGGTTTGCCCGCCGCAGTCATGAGCCGAACGAGGCAGAGAGGGCGCCCTTCTATGTCGACGGGGATAGGCGAACCATGGACGTCGGATGTCGAAGCCACAGATTAATACAGAGGATTTAACTACATAGTTCTTCATGAAAACAGGAACAAACCCCGATTAGATGAGAGGGACGCCATCAGCGAGATTAAACCTGTTGATTTGATCGGTCGCACGGGGTCTACTGAGGATTGGGTGGGCGGCTGTTGGCGGCGGAGACCCTGGCGCCCCACTCGAGCAGCTCCTTGCTAGTGTCGTTCCTGTGTAGCATCACCTCTATGAAGCACAGGCAATCTTTCATCTCGCTGGTTCCCGCCTTGATCGCCCGCAGAAGCTCCTCCTCGCAGCGCACCTGGCAGCACGTCGGGATTCAGAGCCCACCAAATTAATGGCGCTCTCGTCACTGAAAAGGGTGGCCCGCTATGTCAGGGAAGGGGCTCACTCACTTTGCAGGTCCAGCACCTGCCGTCGCCGTTGTGGATGGCGTCCACGAAAGCCGTGTAGTCCCAGTTCTTGATGACGTTGTAAGGCCCCTCGTGGATCTCCTCCTCGATGGTGTAGCCCCCGTTGTTTATGAGGAAGATGATGCTTCTCTGCTGGCTGCGGATCATCGTAGAGATGTCCTGGCAGGTGACCTGCGACCGACCCAACCGGGGAAAGCGAGATGGATAATCTCGAGAAAAAGGAGAGAAAGAAGAACAGAAGTCAGCTGTTCATCGTACCTGAAAGCTTCCATCACCGATGCAAGCAATCACCCGCTTCTCCTTCGTAGCCTGGGCGTAGCCGAGTGTCGCTCCCACAGACCAGCCAATGGATCCGTACTGCATTTGGAACTCATATCTGCCCAGAGACAACCTACGTGAGCACGATGAACAGCTAGAAAGAGGGTGTTTCAATCTGATTACCCGCAGCCTTTTGGCAGTCTGAGCTTCTGGCAGTTGAACCAGGAATCTCCCGTCTCTGCAATCACCGCAGTTTCCCCCGATAGCATTGTCTGGATGTGCCTGAACAGCACGTTGACCCGCAGGGGCTCGTTGGGCTCGCATGCCGGCGGGGCGCCCTCGGGCACGTAAATCCGCTGGTAGTTCTCGAAAGCGGTTGTATTCCTCTTCAGCTTCTTGGCCAGAGCCCTGAGGAAGTCCTTCATCAGGACGCATCCGAACGCGGGGCCGTCGGTGATGGTCACGCGCTCGGGCTGGACGATGATCGCCTTCTCCTTCTTGAGGAGGAGAGAGTACCCCACAGAGCTGTAGTCGTTGAAGATGGGGCCGGCGAACAGGTAGGCGTCCGCGGACTCCACGATCTCGGCGCAGAAGGCGGTGCTCACGGCTCCCCAGTAGGTGCCGATGAACATCGGGTGCTGCTCGGGGAACTGCCCCTTGGCCGACGGCATCACGGCTACGGCGTAGCCGCTTGCGTCGGCGAGCTCCACGAAGGCCTTCCCAGCCCTGGCCACCCTTATCTTGGGCCCCTCCACCAGCACCGGCTTCACCGCCTTGTTCAAGAACTTCGCTGCGGCCTCCACCGCCGCCTCCAGGCCCAGTCGGTTGCTCAAGCTGCGGCCCAATTACATCAAATCACCGAGTAACATCGTCAACAACAAATCGACCACTGTTCTAGGGTATCGACAACATCAATCGCTGACTGCCTGAAGAAATGGAGAGAGAGAGGGGAGCCATCTTCACAAACTTGGGAGAGAGGATGTAGGGGACCGGCTCCCGGCTGAAGGTGGGATGAGGGATAGTCGGTAAGTTGCAGCTGATGCTGAGGTACACCGGCTTGCTCTCTTTCAGGGCCGTCGAGATTGCCCTGTCGACCTCCTCGTGCGCGTCTTCCAGATTATTCACCACCGCCTGCATCATTTCAATTACGGCCCCGTGATGCCTCCACCTCAGTGTTCCTTTTCCTTTCTAATCTACGGAACAGAAGTCGGGGGGAGGACCGGGGAACCTGATGGCAGGTGACAGTCTGAAAGCACCGGAGCTCCTGGCTGAAGTCGGAGAGGCCGACCGTGTGGTGAAGGATCCTGTTGGTCCCGTAGTCGTTAGAGTTGGGTCCCCCGACGAGGCAGATCACCGGCAGGTTCTCACTGTAAGCGCCGGCGATGGCGTTGAGCACGCTCAGGCCGCCCACCGTGAAGGTGACCACGCAAGCGCCGATACCCCGGGCCCTAGCGTACCCCTCGGCGGCGTACCCGGCATTGAGCTCGCTGCAGCAGCCGACGTTGTTCAGCGCGGGCTCGGCAATGAGCTGGTCGAGCAGGGTGAGGTTGAAGTCTCCGGGGACGGAGAAGATGTCGCCGACGCCGATCTGGACGAGGCGGCTGGCGATGTGGCGGCCGAGGGTGGCCTCCGACCGGGAGGCGGCGAGGGCGGGAAAGACGGTGGGGCTGTGGCTCGCGGGGAGCGCCCCTACCGCGTTGGAGGCGGAGCTCACCGCGTCGATGGCTCCAATGTGGGCGTCCATCTATCCCTTCGCCGTCGTCGGAGAAGAAGATCACCTCCCAGGAGGGAGAGCTTCTAATGTAATGCATCCTCTCCATGTGTGTTCTTCGCTTCTCTCCAAGTGTCATTCCAACAGCGTCGGCACCAGAGAATCCGCCACGTGTTCAGATCCGATCCCCATCCGATTCCGATCCGAGCCGGGATCGGACGATCCCGCGTACCATGACAGTGCGCCAGGCTAAGAAAGGCCCCCCTTCCTCTCCCCGATTGCGGCATCTTGCAGCGTCTCCCACTTCCGACCCGATCGATCGCTAGCACCGCTCCCTCTCCCGGAGCTCTGCTGGCGCCGTTCGGTTTCCGCTGACAGCTTTAGCTATACGCGACATCAGTCGTAAAGGACAGCGGGTGTCCACAGCCGAGAGCACCAGCATTATCCGGTAAATCACCGTCCAGCCTCCCACCAGGACAGGTGTTCTTCCTCTTGCGTTTTTCGCTTTATTTTTCCGTGATAAACAGTCGCTAAAGTGGAGGGGACTCCTCCGTCGAGGGGGCGTTTCCGTTCTATTATCCATTGCTGATCTGGGAACCCCAACGAACCACTTATTCTTCCATGGAGATTCGTTCCTGATGGACGGAATCGATATTTTGCGTTTGAAAATTTATTCTCTGGGGTCTAATTTCCTGTCACGTATTGGGATCGGCCCTGAAATAGCTCAATTTCTCAGCAAATTTCCAAGCGTAGAATGATGTTCTGGGAAGAATCGTGCTAAATGGGCACACGTGAATCATTCGGATTTTCGCCTTTTTGATGGTTGAAGGAGAGAGAGCCCCGGGGAAGTGGGGAAAGGAGGAACGGGGGAAGGGGGAATTCATACCTTGTCACTCAGTTTCGCCTTCTTTGTCTTAATATATAAACATACTCAATGCCGAAATTTTGGTTGCCTGGATATATTTCTCGTAACCTTCGATTCCACGTCTCTTAACAGTTGGTTGCCATTAGGACCATTAGTTCCAATTTTCTGTAGGTCTCACAAACAATGGCATCTGGTGTGGATCCTTGAATCCCTATTCGAAACGTTATTATATTATTGTTCGGCAATGGCACCATTGATTGGTTTCCTGGTTGTTATTCCAGAATCATATCCTCCATGTCCACCCTTTCGGCCCCACAGACACGAGTTGCATACTGCTGCTTTGGAACACAATTCATGATTGATTCCCACACAATCAACTTGAAATTTGGTTGATATCATGATGCCCTGAATGGTAAAAGAGAAGAAACTCGAAGGGAACTGTGAAATTCTGATTCGTTTTCTATTTTTCTTTTTTTGCCTTCTTGTGGAAGTGTTTGATGTGTATAAAATATTGATGGCGACATGAATCAGGGACCAGATCAGGAGTAAGACCATAAAAAAATTAGAAATAACTCGTATTTATCGTCTACCGTTCCATTTTTTTAAAGCTCTCGAAGGGAACAATTTTTGACAAGAGAAGCTTCGTAATGGAGAGAAAAAATAGACCATGTAACATGCAGCAATTATTTCCTGTGGACTTGTAAACGTGCAGCATGTAGGAAACAAAACCTCAAGGGAACTAACTTATATCTTTAGTTGTCTTATCCCTCAACATGCACATTCTCTTTAGTTGTCTGATCTCTCAACATGCTCATTCATTTGTTTTTCCAGAAAATTTTGATTGACAATGGCAAACCGAGTGCAGATTCCTACTAACAACTCAGCACTTATAGCCATGATTGCTGATGAGGTAGGCCCGTTATCTATGTATATGGGTTGATTTTGTCTCTCAAAGTTCCGAGTACAAAAGGAAATGATGACATTCAGTGGTTATTGTCTTGCACGCTATCAATTTATTATTATTCCATCCTGTGTCGTGTTCCCACTTCCACTTAGTCATTTATCCTCACATCCCGGGTACGGTTCGGAGCTTAAAATTGACATCGAAAAAGCAGGTCCTGGGTATTTATATGCATGTCCGTTGATTCTTATCTTTATGATCTTTGTAACCTCCTTTTATGTAGCCTATCGACTTATGCGGTGTGTTTTTTTTCTTATGCAAATTATACTATTGGTCCAACTGATCACCTAGTGACGGGCCAACTACTGGGGGGCATAGAATATCACATAAATTACTCGGGGGACAATTTCTGTAAATTGACAATCACATAAATATCACAGATTGCAAAATATTTAAAGTGAAGATGAGGGAAGAAATTGTTGACACCAATGCAAGAGACAGCAGATACACCATCTCTGAGGCAATCTAATGAGGAGGAAGTGACTGAATGAATACTGGCAAAACGAACTCACTTCCACCCTTTAGTATGGAGATCCACAATTGGTTTGCACCAATCAAGCTGCCACTAGAGTCCCTCAAGCTGACATTTGACCCAAAATGGGCTGCACCCTCACATACACTGAATGCACCACATGCACGTGAAAATTCTGCAAACTAAATGATTTCGATAGAGTGAATGATTGATGATAAGCTAGTAGAGCATGATGGGTAAATGAGCTCCAGGTTCGACAGATATTGGCTTCTATACTCGATCCAACATTAAGGAAAGAAACTGTCACCACCCCTTGTCGAAGTCCTAAAATTTCAGAAGTTCAATGATAAAGATATAAAGAGAGTTCAAAACTATATTGCAACAATGGCCTTATGTAGACCTATGCCACGCTTTAGGCAAGCTCATATGAAACTGAGATTTCTGAAGTATATATGTTAAGTGAATTTATGCTGATTCTTTTTCTGTCGGGCAAGGTTGACCAACTTGGTTTCATGTCGGTGCACCTCAGCTCCAGTTTGCACTTGTTCACACATTAAACTCTTCTGAAAAAAACTGATTCCCCTTGACATTCTGAGGATCATAATCTTGAAAATCGATTCAACTTGCAATGTACTTCTCCATCTGTGCCATAGTTCGCTTAAACTGTGACAAAATTGCTGAATTTTCCACCGTCCCACTGGTCTCACCAAACTTTTGATCTCACAAAATTTGGCATCATTTTCTTGAAAGCTAATATAAACCTCAACAGGCGGCTATACTTGTGTTTCATTAGATTTTTGTCCCTGTCTCGATGGGTGATACTCATGGAGATGCTGCTTCTTTAGCTGCTTTATGATAGTTTTATTTAGAATTCTGTACTCGTATTCAATATAATGACTGATAAATGGGAGATGCTGCTCTTTTCTGGTCAGACGATTTTAGAAGCATGAATTTTGTGTTGGCTCTTCTTGCTCTCTTATACATGTTCATAGGACTGTGTATGCATGTAGGCTTGTTATTTCCATTTATCATGGTTTTTGATGGTTTATTTGTCTTTTAACATAGGATCTAGTATTTCTGATTTTCTTGTTAGCAGTCCATTTTTGTGACTTATCGACATACATTCTTCTCCTCTGGAGAGCTGCTAATATTTTTTTATCTCATTCATGTAGGACACTGTGACTGGTTTTTTGCTTGCTGGAGTTGGCAATGTTGATTTAAGGAGAAATACAAATTATCTCATTGTAGACTCAAGTAAGCCTATGGAACAAATGTAACGCTTTCTTATTGTTTCTTTTAACACAATTGTGCTGGTGTAAAAGATGTACTGTCACTTTGTCCAGTATCGAGCCCTGACTTGCTGCAACTTGATTTTTCAAGACTGTCCTATTTGCAATATTTGAAATTCATTTATTAAATGTTGATTTGCAACATATTTTTTGTGTCCATAGCGAAACAGTTCCATTTGTAATATTTGCTTTTAAAACCTTTGCTTATTGTTGAGGGTTATATAGTTTTCTATTTTTCATTTTTCATTTTTAAGTAATATTGTATCTCCTTGTCATTCGTCCACAAAATGATATAACAGTTTGTAATGGTTATATCTTGTTGATTTGTAACATATTGTGAAACCATCACAAATATTCAATTTCGCTCTGGAAGTGAATGTCCCGTTTCTCAAATTTTGAAAGTAACAGTTGAAATTATCATAAGAACAAATGTCGAGGTATTGGACCATTAACTAAACGGTTGTCTAGTAAGCCGGATTGGTGGGCTGAAATTAAGTGTTTTGCCCTTTGATTTGACTTCTGGAATTTGGTGCATCTAGTTACTGGAACCCCTTCTGATAAATTTCGAGGATTTCTCAGATAGCAGAAAAAATTAGAATAATTTAAGACACATTATGCATTGTTATTTTGTTTTGAGGACTTGATTCTCATGACATTGAGATCACTTTTAAGTTAGTCGGTTACTTTCACATCCCTTGCTCCTGATGTTGATGCCATATTGTCTTCTTTGTGATATTTTCTGGGCCCGGTATTCTTCTAGTTGACCTGAAGAACTGTTAATTGTGTTCTTTTGACGCTCTTTTTACTGATCTAAAGAAGACCTTGACCCCTCGTGGCTGAATATGCGGGTCATCTATTCAGTCGGTCTCTTGTGGCTGGACTTAGTAACATGATAATCCTACAGAGAGTGATCATTCATCGAACTTTTCCTTGTACCTTTTCTTCGATCGTGTTAATGCATTTTAGCATAGACCTTACAAAAGGGAAAGACAAGTCGAGATTCTGGAAAAAGAAAGACAATTTACACTTGCATCCTTGTAACCCCCCATACCGCTTATGTAACCTCAGCATATTCTCTTATAAGTTCTAGTTAATGGCATGTATCTGTTGTACCCATATCGCTACCATATTTCATGAAACAACAGTTGAGAACTGTAAGGCTTCCTGCCTGGCTGTTGTCTATTGAAAATCCCACAGTGATAGTTTTCTGAAGATTCTCCATGCTCTGGACACTAGCGCCACCTCGGGAGGAAACGGGTCTCAGGATAGAAAAGATGTCCTTGTATGCTGTCAATTATGTCTGCGTAATGTGTTTAGCATTACGCAGAGAGTCAGGATAGCACATATGCGGATCTTGCCCATCAGCGTCCCATTTTAGTTAGGGATTTAGAGGACCGATCCATTTATGTTTTTGAGCTCCTTATCTATTATAAGAGTGATACCATCCCTGGTGACTCTCTTGACTTGATAGACGATGCACATTACAGGAGGAAGTTCTCTTAGTATACTCTTCTCTTGGTGACACCACCCCCTAGAATCTAAGAACGAATTCAATGTAAAATGACATAGAATACGAAAAACATAAAGCAGTGGATATAACGAAAATAGAGTAAAGAAAAATGTTTTAGTTTTTGTAACTTTCTTCTATGCTACTTCTGGCAGATGCAAATTCGAATTGCAACAGCTTAGATAGATCCATGGTTGTGAAAACAGTAATCATAAACAGCCCAAGAAACTGTCGATGCCGCCATTATCTAGAAAAATGTTGCTCTTTTGTATTATCCACTTATTTATTCATTTTTTGGTGTGCTTGGATATATGCCATAAGTTAGCCTGGTTTATCGGTGATTTTATGCTATCCAGAAACTACGGTGAAAGCAATTGAGGATGCGTTCAAAGAGTTCACCACAAGGGAAGACATTGCTATTGTGCTGATCAGTCAGTATGTAAGTTCAATAGGATGGCATAATGTGCTTTCCGTGTGCTTATTTCCTGCAAAGAGGTTGTCTTTATTTCGTTTTTATATTTATCTTGGCTTGTGCATTCTATTGGGTAAGACTTGTCTAACTGACCAAACTCACGAAGCTAGTTTATGAGATTCAGGCAGAACTTAGGTTGAAACAAGAACTGAGAAATCCAAATGTTTTGAGTTTCCATTCAAGCACTATTTTATGACCTTTTGCATCTTACCTGCGTTATCTGATAGAAACAGATTATTGCTTTCAAAATCTCGATTTACTTTCTGGTTTTTTAACGTTTTTGCAGTAATGTACTATTTTTATCAATTTGAATTATAGTCATTTTTTCTGTTCATTGCATTCATGACCAGGAGGGAAACGGCTATTTCTGATCTCTGACATCCGAAGAACTTCAACTAAGACACTATCTATTAAAATTCTTTAAAACATACTCTTTTAGTAATTATGGTCATGGATTTGTACTGAACTATTCAGCATCAAAGCTGTGCGAAATAAAATCGTGCTGTAATCTGGGCTATAAATTTGAACTCTTTTGACTACATATCAAGCAGGATTTCGAACACCTCAGATTGTTGGAATGTGAAAGGATTATGATACGACCACCACGGATACCGGTGACGAAGACAAGCAGAAAAATAATGATTGAACAGTAGCCGAGGAACGAAAACACAAAGAAGGATAAATCTTGGTTCCGTAGGACTCTAAAAGACTGCATCCCCTTTCCCTCCGTCGAGAACCCTATTTGTGTGCTCAGTCCCCTTGGACATTTGTTAAAAGCCCCCTATACTTAAGACTTTTGACTCTTTTTCCCTCATACCCTAGTAAATTGTGTTGGGCTAGTATCAGATTTCTAATCTATTAGTCAGGTGGCTTCTCTGAACTCAACTCCTTGTTGGAATGATTCTCAAGGACTGCTGCCTTCGTACCTTTCCTTTTAAGGACTCAACTCATATCCTGGTTATATCAATTTCGGTCGTAATCTCACACAGATTAATAGCACACGACCATTTAGGTTGGGCATCCAGCGACAGCTGAGATTTCTTTCATTGCTAACTGTAGCTCTTCAGTCTTTGATCTTCTCTCTCTAGATATGGAAACCCAATATTCTTCATCTGTTTCTAAAGGGAGAAACTCTCAGTAATCCTTGACGGAAATTATGGAACTCTTTGTTCAGGTGGCAAATATGATCAGGTTTCTCGTCGACAGCTACAACAAGGCGGTTCCTGCGATCCTGGAGATCCCTTCCAAGGATCACCCGTATGATCCCGCCCATGATTCCGTTCTCTCCAGGGTGAGGTACCTGTTCTCGTCGGAGTCGGTCTCCTCAGGGCGGCGCTAGGTGGCGCCACCTCTCCGGGAGACTCGGACGCTTGCATAGTGATGGAGGAATAAAAACAGACCATCAGATTCGCCGTTTATGTAAAACCCCCTTCGGCAGATATCTATGCGATTGATTTCCCCGTTGACTTAATGCACCTAAGGTCGTCGTTTCGTGGAAAGCTTCAAATTTTCCGTCTTTCTTTTCGCCATTAATCTGGGGCCTACTCGCAGCTACAAAGCGCCGCCGGCAGACCGGTTCTTCCTTGGAACCTCTCCCCGAACAACTTCGCTTTCAGAGTGCCATCGGAGTGCCTTGAGATGTTACAACAACGAACCCTCGGAGGGCAGAAGGTGACGTTCGGATTCCCGGATGTCCGCTGACGGTAGTGCAGGCTCACACCAGCTTCCCCTCCGTTGACCTCTCCAATAAAACAGCTGACGTTGACGGTAGTATCCCCTCCCGAGTAGAAGAGCTAAAAATATCTCCATTTATTATAATTGGATAATAAGAGTTTATGATTCAAAAATTCTAAATAAAACTCTGACCTCTCAAACTTTTTATTCCATCTTTATATGTAGTTCAAGATCATCTTAGTGTATAATTAATATCGCCTAATTAATTTTTAATGCAGTCACATGCATAAACTATTAAAGTCACCTTGATAAACTATTAATAATTATTTAAATTTTCGGTAAAAAAATATAAACTCTGTCAGCTTTTTCATCGCCAAAATTATAGCACACGAAAAACGCTTTAGGTATGGAGTCAACAAATGACGCACTAATGTGAAATTTGTTTTATTATTACATGAATTGATAAAAAAAAGAAGATAAGGAAATCAAATTTATATAATTGTGGGATAAAATAAATAACAGAAGTAATTGTGGAAGACGTCTTTCTGTAGCTTAAAATGGGGGAGAGATTCGTGCATTAGTTTCAATCTCTTGCCCTTTTTTTTCCCCGGAATTTAACCAGACTAAGCTTTTGATTAGTCGTTCAAAAAACTAGGTGATCGCAAAGGCCCAGTCTCTTTTTCTTTTTCTCTTTTAGAGAGAGAGAACCTGTATGTGGCGGCGGAGCTGGAGAATCAACATCCGCTCACCTTCTTCCTTTTTCCCTTACTCCCCCTCCTTCCCCTTCTCTTCTACCAGTCTCCCTCCTCTCCTTCCGCTCGATTCCGCCTGGCGGAGCACAGCTACCGTACCGCCCGTAGGCCACCGCCGTCATGGATGACCGTCCTCTCCGGGACCGTCCTACACCATCATCGACTTCCCCTTTCCGCCCCCTGACGGCTCCATCTCTCTCCCGGGAGAACCTCGTCCAATGATCCCCCGGTTCCTCCGGCTCGTCCTCGTCCTACTCTGCTTGGCCACCTCCTCTTTCAGGTTGCTTGCCTCCGGACAATGCCTCCCCGGCCAGAGCGCCGCGCTTCTCGCTCTGAAGCAGAGATTCACCCTCTCCGCCCCCCGCAACGGCATTTCTCCCCCTCTTCATTCCTGGAAAGAGGGCACGGACTGTTGCCGCGCCTGGGCCGGCGTCACCTGCGAAGGGGAGCCGGGTAAGGTCGTCGCACTGGACCTCAGCGGATCATCCATCTCGGGTGGCGTTCACCCGGCCCTCTTCTCTCTTACCTCCCTCCGCTCTCTCAACCTTTCCTGTAACAGATTGAATTTCGATTCCGTACTTTCCCGCAGCTTCGAGCAGCTGACCAACCTGACCCATCTCAACCTCTCCGATTCGGGCTTCTCCGGCCAGATCCCCGTCGGTATATCCCGCCTGAGGACCCTAGTCTCGCTCGATCTCTCCGCCCCTGGTCTGTGTTCGTCATCTTCTCTGACGCTCCAGGATCCCGATCTCCCCACACTAATCCGAAACCTCTCCAACCTGCGTCAACTCTACCTCGATGGAGTCAACATCTCCGCCGGAGGACGCGATTGGGGCCGGGCGTTGTCTACCTCCGTGCCCAACCTCCACGAGCTCAGCCTGTCCAGGTGTTCGCTCTCCGGCCCCATCGACGACTCATTCTCCCACCTCAAATCCCTTGCCATCCTCCGCCTGCATGAGAACAACTTGAGCACCGAGGTGCCCGAGTTCTTGGGAGATTTCTCTTCGTTAAGACTTCTCCGTTTAAGCACCTGCGGCCTCCGCGGATCGCTCCCGAGAAGAATTTTCCAGCTCCCCCACCTTGAGACGCTCGACCTGTCTATGAATCCCACGCTATCTGGGAGTTTACCCGACTTTCCGCCCGGCATCGTTCTGGAAGAACTGAAGCTGTCCGCCACAAACTTCTCCGGCACTCTGCCGGAGTCCATCGGCAACCTCCGGCTTCTCAAGACCTTGCATCTGACGACTTGTAGGTTCTCCGGGTCACTGCCCGCTTCATTTCACAATCTGACGCGGTTGGTCTCCGTCGATCTCTCAATCAATAACTTCCGTGGCCCCGTCCCTTCATTCGCGTCGTCCCCCAACATCTCGAAGATCGATCTCCAGAACAATTCTCTCTCCGGACTATTTCCTGGATGGATCTTCAGTCTCCCATCTCTCCAGTCCCTGCAACTCAACTCGAATCGACTCTCTGGAACCCTCGGTGAGATCCTCCCCCCCGCAGACTCTCTGCTGGAGACTGTGGATCTGACGAGCAACGAGCTTCAGGGGTCCCTTCCGATGTCCATCTCGAGGCTGCAGCACCTCAAGATCCTCAGGCTCGCTTCCAACAACCTGAGCGGAACGGTGGAGCTCAGCCTCTTCGGGAACCTAAGGAATCTCTCCATTCTCGATCTTTCCTACAATAGCCTGACCCTCCAGAGCAATCCCGCCGCCACCCTCCCGAGCATTCGGCGGGCGGTGAGCGAGCTGAAGGCGCACCGTGTCCTCAACATGTCGCACAACCGATTGACCGGTCCTATCCCCCAAAGCATCTGTGGCTTGAAGATGCTCGAGTCATTAGATCTCTCGAAGAACAATCTTTCCGGGGAGATCCCTCCGGGATTGGTGCGCCTATCCTTCCTCTCCACCTTATATCTCAGTTTCAGCCAGCTCGTCGGACAGATTCCGCAGGGAGGACAGTTCTCGACGTTTCCACGAGCTTCCTTCGAAGGCAACGAAGGACTGTGCGGGACACCGCTGTTGAGGCCTTGCGCGAACGCCACTGCGTGAGGAGTCGAACCCGCGTATCCGGCACCAGCGCCTTCTTCCTTTGATATTTGTAATATTTTATTCATCGGAGCTGGTTATGTAGTAGGACTGACAGCAGTGATCGTGATCGTCTGTGTTTAGGGGAAAAGCATGGAAAACTGGGTGATGACGAGGTTTCCATCTCTCTTTCGTTGGCTGGTCCACTGAAACTATATCTCTCGAAAACTCTCCTGTAGAATCAGAGGTTATCTTGTAAACTGGTGAAAACTTGTGTATCTGGACGTTGTTAAAATATTGTTCGCCCTTAACAAATATAGGTTTATATAGAAGTTTCAATCAATTACCATTTTCAAGGATGAAATGGAGTTACCCCTGTTACTATAAAAGAATATTTTGGTCAACGCTTTGACAATATCATGGAGCTTTGGAATGCCCTTACTGTAGCAGCCTCCAGAGCCAAGAATATCAAACTAGTCCATATTTATCGGTAATGGTAATTGATTAAAACTTTGTTCTTTCCACATTCCCTCAAGTGTAAAAGCATAGACGAGTGATGAGCTTTTGACATAACTCAAACACTAGCTAAAGATAATGGCTTAGTAAGTATATCAGCTATTTGATCTAAAATTGAAATATGATGAATTATAAACTTTTGTTGAGAAAAACGTTCAAATGAAGATATCAATCTCCTCATATTTTGCAGGGGCATGAAAAATTGGACTATTAATAAGAAATGTAGCTCTAATATTATCTTGACCTATCAATCATGACAAAAAGTTGAAGAAAGGAGCATTCGTGAATAGATGATTGAATCCATATGAGGTAAGTGATAACTCATGTAAGGGTACAATATTTTGATTCTGTGCTGAACCTAGAAACTGTATTTTATTTTCTTGAACTTTCAAAGATGATTTATGGATTAAGAAAGATGCAAAGGGTTGAATTCATTGACAATAAAAAAAAAACACCCAATGCGTAGATGTGTGCAGTTCCACAAAAGTTCTTACATTGGTCACAATAAAAAGTAATATTACATCAAGGATATCAAGCTGATAAGAACGCCCACAAAGGTATCATAACTACTTATATTTGGATGAAGATCATCAAAAGATGAGAGAATTAACAAGGCCATATACATTGATCTAATGATCGTGTATTTTTTTAAAAAATAGAAAATGAGCTTGTTTTTGTATCAGAAAATAACTGTGCAAATCATCAAACATCAAGAAGAAACCAAAAGGAAAAACCGACCAATTTATTCATGTGCCATGTGTTGGTTTTGAAGAGTATGTGCTGGTTTCGATGGTGAATGGGTATTTTTCGAAGAAGTCATGATTTTTATTTTCTACTAAAATTAGAAAATCCATAATTCATATTGCTTTGACTAACCTAGCATACTACAATATTTAGTACATAGGTTTCACTAAGTTTAAGTAGTAAAATAATGAAAACCAAGACTTCAATTAGCTTCCACTAGACTTTACATTTTCAGCCAACCCGAGTGTTTCCCATAAACACTACTTCTAGTTTTTTAACTAGATTGTAGGAGGCAACTAGAATAGCACCGAAGTCATCATTTTTAAATTCTCAACTCTAAGACAGTCCAATCACAAGAAGTACTCAGTTACAAATCAAGTAATGACCTCATGCCATTACTTTTTTTAGAAAAAAGTAATGACATTATAGGATGAACATTTACATGTTCATATACATTTTAGGTATGATAAAAATGATGCAGGTGTCATTTTAAATTATGATCTTATGTCATTATCACATAAAGTGATAAGGTTATAATGCAAATTATTAAGCAGCAACATATTTTCAATGAAGTAATATCTAACATAATATTTTTACATACATGAGGTTCTTTTGAAATGTTTAAACTAAAATTTGGGTTTGGGAATGGATTAGGACACATTATAATGGATCTTCAAAGTTTTTTTAGGCACTCAAATTAGTTTTATTTTATTTAGAAGAACTCTTGATTCACCATAAAGAATAACATTGTTTATTGTCAAAAGAAAAATCAAAAGATTGAATAAGATTATTTTTTTAATCTTGTCTTCTTAGTAACGTGCATTAATTTTCTTGTTATAAATTAATTTTAAGCTTAATCCTAAAAAAGTGATCTTGAGAATCATGTAGATCAAAACCTTGTGATCAAGAAGCTGAAATCTCATATTTTTTAACTAAAAATGTTAGCAAGCTTGGTTTTTGGAAAGTTAAATTCATCACTCAAGTATTTATGATGTTTAAACTAAATCTTGAGTGCAGTTCTACACTTTTTATATGTAATATCAAGAAATGTATTATATTTTGTATGCAACGTAATTAGAAAATAATTTCTCATGTTTTAATTCACTATTTGAGTTGTTTGGCAAATATTAACTTTCTCATCACTATCTAATCAATATGAGCTTTCCTAGATCAACTTTAAGTTATTATTTAATATTATCTTAATTGTGAATAATTTGGTTTATTTTTTATTATTTTATGTGAAATGTTCCCTCATGTTGTATTTTGCATTTCTATTCTATTTATTTTGATATTTCAGAATTTTTTAACATAGTTCAATTCATTCATATAGATAGCATGAAGAAAAATATTGACTATCTGTGCTTTCAAAAATAGTGATATTTCCATTTCTTCATTTAAAATTCGTTGTATGCTATCAGGATCAAATGGGCTGCTAGATATGAGTTTGAAAACACTAAAATCACTAACTTAGAAAAATTCTCATATTCATTTTGGTATCCATGTAATCAATTTCATTTAATACATAAGTTCTATGAATAGAATGTACTTATATAGAATTAGTTTTAATAATTTTAGTTATTAAGGTCTACTAAAAAATAATGAATTCTAAGATGCTGAGTTTTTTTCTCAGCTTAGTTTTGAAGAGAGTGCAAGAGAATTTAGACAAGTGAATTAGTCTTACTCAAACCACTCCATAATTTTCAGATTTTATATTCAAATTTGGTTCAAAGAATTTATAGTGGTTAAACCACTTGTCCTACTCTAATCCAATATCAAAGAATCTAATCATTAGGTTCTACTAAGTATAAGTGGCACAAATGTTGTAAATCAAGGTTTCAATCACCCTCTATTAATTTCATGACTAAAGTAAACCCAAAATTTTCTTAGAAATATTACTTTTAGATTCATGACTTTAGAGGCCAACCAAACTAGCACATAGCTCATCCATTATAGATTCATGCCTCCAGAGCCAAGTATGAGTTATTTAATGATAAAAAAAATAAGAAAATTTTATTTTTAAACTAAATCAGAATTTGTGACAATTTTTAGAAGTATTTAAAAGGAAGATGTTTCAATATTTTTATAAGCAAAACTAACGTTTTAACCAATTTTATGATTTTTATTTTAAAATTTATACAAATGAATCTAGTACATTTCCAACATAATCATGTATGTTTTAAGGTCATGAAGGCATAACTGTTTTTTTAAAATACCATTTTACCTATATGTACATTTTCTATAATTTTATACATGTTCAAGGACCAGCCTACTAAAATTTTCAAAATTTTAAGTATAATTTTAAAATATAAATTACCATTTTATCTTGATATCAATTTCTTAATCATCAAAATTATCAGAGCTTCTCAATCCCACATATAAGTGAAGTTAAAGTGTTGCTAACATGTAAGAGCAATCCAACTAAACAATGACTCAAAGTTGAGAACAATTAATTCTAAGATTTGAAAAACCATCACAAAATCTATTCTAATATCTAATATGACTTGACAACAATTTATGTGACAATGACAACCAACAGTTGTTATAATATTTCCATAACAAAAAAGTCAAACATGTTAAAGGCAAAAAGTTGATAATAGTAGAAAGACACTTTGACAAGAAAAGGAAAAATATCCATGAACATGGCGAAGAAGGTATTGTCGAAGAAGTTTGGTCCATTAAGTTAACATATACCATACTAAAACTAATTTTAATTGGACTAGCACTAATAAGAGAACTGGTGATGAGAAGGGAGGAAGGGGAATCAAGGTAGGTAAGAAGAAATAACTAAGATGACAACTCTAATGACTTTAATATCATTAAAGTAACAACAACTCTTTGATATGAATATCTACTTTTACGTGGTTCACATATGTGAGACATTTAGATATGCAAATGGAGAAAAATAGTTTCAAGATGTAGGTATCAGATTACCCTAAATTATCTTCATTGATTTAAATAATTTTAGATGGAAACTGTTTTACCAAATTTTGCATCATAAGAATGGTCGTTGGGAACAACCTCTTGAGCTAAAAATATCTTCATTTATTATAATTGGATAATAAGACTTTATGATTCAAAAACTCTATAGAAATCTCTCACATCTCAAACTTTTTATTCCATCTTTATATGTAGTTCAAGATCATCTTAGTGTATAATTAATATCACCTAATTAAGTTTTAATGCAGTCACGAGCACAAACTATTAAAGTCACCTTGATAAACTATTAATCATTATTTAAATTTTCGGTAAAAAAATATAAACTCTGTCAGCTTTTTCATCGCCAAAACTATGGCACACGAAAAACGCTTTAGGTATGGAGTCCACAAATGACGCACTAAGGTTAAATTTGTTTCATTATTACATGAATTGATAGAAAAATTGATAAGGAAATCAAATTTATAGAATTGTGGGATAAAATAAACAACAGAAGTAATGAGGATTTTATGTAATAATCTTAGCTACTCACAATTCTTCCGGATCCAAAGCCCAGACGACGACGAACGGCGGAGACTCGAACGCGATGGTGATGAAAGAGACTGGCGGCGGAGTTTGGCAACGGTGGGGAAGCAGCGATTGGGGATCGCCCGAGACCCCACACGGTTGTTGCAGCCCGGTTGGAGTCGTACCCAACTGGAGCCGAGCCATCTTCCAGCCAACCTAACGAGCAGTAATCCGATTCAGCAACGGCGGGATGGTCGTGGGTGACGTGCGTCCCAACATCAGTCTTGTTGTCTGACAGCTGATATTTTGACTTTGAAACGCGTAGCGCCGTTGTATCCGGCAACATCGGGACTGAACTCCGGGCATGGTCGGGGTTTCGTCTTAGACGCCCCACGTGGGCCATCGCACTCAGCGGGCCGTTTGGCCTGCCGGCGGAACTGTCTGGTCCATCTCCCTTACGCGGTGGCAGTGGCGGTGGGGCTGGAGAGTCAACATCCGCTCACCTTCTTCCTTTTTCCCCTACCTCCCCCTCCTTCCCCTTCTCTTCTACCAGTCTCCCTCCTCTCCTTCCGCTCGATTCCGCCTGGCGGAGCACAGCTACCGTACCGCCCGTAGGCCACCGCCGTCATGGATGACCGTCCTCTCCGGGACCGTCCTACACCATCATCGACTTCCCCTTTCCGCCCCCTGACGGCTCCATCTCTCTCCCGGGAGAACCTCGTCCAATGATCCCCCGGTTCCTCCGGCTCGTCCTCGTCCTACTCTGCTTGGCCACCTCCTCTTTCAGGTTGCTTGCCTCCGGACAATGCCTCCCCGGCCAGAGCGCCGCGCTTCTCGCTCTGAAGCAGAGATTCACCCTCTCCGCCCCCCGCAACGGCATTTCTCCCCCTCTTCATTCCTGGAAAGAGGGAACGGACTGTTGCCGCGCCTGGGCCGGCGTCACCTGCGAAGGGGAGCCGGCTAAGGTCGTCGCACTGGACCTCAGCGGATCATCCATCTCGGGTGGCGTTCACCCGGCCCTCTTCTCTCTTACCTCCCTCCGCTCTCTCAACCTTTCCTGTAACAGACTGAATTTCGATTCCGTACTTTCCCGCAGCTTCGAGCAGCTGACCAACCTGACCCATCTCAACCTCTCCGATTCGGGCTTCTCCGGCCAGATCCCCGTCGGTATATCCCGCCTGAGGACCCTAGTCTCGCTCGATCTCTCCGCCCCTGGTCTGTGTTCGTCATCTTCTCTGACGCTCCAGGATCCCGATCTCCCCACACTAATCCGAAACCTCTCCAACCTGCGTCAACTCTACCTCGATGGAGTCAACATCTCCGCCGGAGGACGCGATTGGGGCCGGGCGTTGTCTACCTCCGTGCCCAACCTCCACGAGCTCAGCCTGTCCAGGTGTTCGCTCTCCGGCCCCATCGACGACTCATTCTCCCACCTCAAATCCCTTGCCATCCTCCGCCTGCATGAGAACAACTTGAGCACCGAGGTGCCCGAGTTCTTGGGAGATTTCTCTTCGTTAAGACTTCTCCGTTTAAGCACCTGCGGCCTCCGCGGATCGCTCCCGAGAAGAATTTTCCAGCTCCCCCACCTTGAGACGCTCGACCTGTCTATGAATCCCACGCTATCTGGGAGTTTACCCGACTTTCCGCCCGGCATCGTTCTGGAAGAACTGAAGCTGTCCGCCACAAACTTCTCCGGCACTCTGCCGGAGTCCACCGGCAACATCCGGCTTCTGAAAACCTTGCAACTTACCGCTTGTAGGTTCTCCGGGTCACTGCCCGCTTCATTTCACAATCTGACGCGGTTGGTCTCCGTCGATCTCTCAATCAATAACTTCAGTGGCCCCGTCCCTTCATTCGCGTCGTCCCCCAACATCTCGAAGATCGATCTCCAGAACAATTCTCTCTCCGGACCATTTCCTGGATGGATCTTCAGTCTCCCATCTCTCCAGTCCCTGCAACTCAACTTGAATCGACTCTCTGGAACCCTCGGTGAGATCCTCCCCCCCGCAGACTCTCTGCTGGAGACTGTGGATCTGACGAGCAACGAGCTTCAGGGGTCCCTTCCGATGTCCATCTCGAGGCTGCAGCACCTCAAGATCCTCAGGCTCGCTTCCAACAACCTGAGCGGAACGGTGGAGCTCAGCCTCTTCGGGAACCTAAGGAATCTCTCCATTCTCGATCTTTCCTACAATCGCCTTATCGTCCAGAGCAACCCAGCCGCCGCCTTCCCGAGCATCAGCACCCTGAACGTAGCTTTTTGCGGTCTCGAGGTGTTCCCGTCGCTCCTAAGAAACCTACCGAGATTGACCAGGCTCGACCTGTCCGGCAACAACATCAGTGGTTCTATCCCCGACTGGCTGTGGAGCGTGGGCTCCCTCGTCTACCTGAATCTTTCTCACAACTCCCTGACGAACTTCCAGAGTTTGCCGGATTTTTCCAACAGCTCCTTGATAGTGCTCGATCTCCACTCCAATAACCTGGCAGGCCCGATCCCTCGCCCACCGCCGTCGAACGTGATGGTCGATTTCTCCAACAACCAATTTGCCTCCTCCATTCCTTCCGACATTGGCTCGACCCTCAACTTCTCTATCTTCTTCTCCGTCTCCAACAACAGGCTCACGGGGGGGATCCCTGAATCCGTCTGCAGCGGCGTCTATCTTCAGGTCCTCGACCTCTCTCACAACAGCCTTGAGGGGCCAATCCCCGGCTGCCTCGTCGCCGGAGAAATTAACCTCCGTGTACTGAATCTTCGAAGCAACAAGCTCAACGGAACCCTTCCTCGGACATTTGAAGCTGGATGCAAGCTGCGGAGCCTCAATCTCCACGGGAACATCCTGCAAGGAGCTGTTCCGCAATCCCTGTCCAGCTGCGAGAGTCTGGAAGTTCTGGACCTGGGAAACAATCGGATCGAGGACGCTTTCCCCTTCTGGCTGGGGAATCTCTCTAATCTGCGCGTCCTTGGTCTGAGATCTAATAAGTTCTACGGACCAGTGTGGACGCCTCGGGATGGCAAATACACCTTCTCCATGCTGCAGATCATAGACATCTCCTCCAACCGCTTCAATGGCAGCCTGCCGTCGGAATGCTTCCAGGGTTGGAAGGCAATGACCACCGCCAGCGAGCTTGCCGGGAAGAAGACGGTGGTGGCGTTCAAATTCCTCGATCTCACCCGCTTGTACTATGTGGACACGGTGACCGTCACGAGCAAGGGGCTGGAGCTGACGTTGGTGAAGATCCTCACCATCTTCACCTCCATCGATCTGTCCAACAACGACTTCCACGGCAGCATTCCGCCGGCGGTGGGGGAGCTGAAGGCGCTCCGCGTCCTCAACATGTCGCACAACCGATTGACCGGTCCTATCCCCCCAAGCATCAGTGACTTGACGATGCTCGAGTCATTAGATCTCTCGAAGAACAGGCTTTCCGGGGAGATCCCTCCGGGACTGGTGCACCTATCCTTCCTCTCCACTTTATATCTCCGATACAACCGGCTCGTCGGACGGATTCCGCAGGGAGGACAGTTCCTGACGTTTCCACGAGCTTCCTTCGAAGGCAACGAAGGACTGTGCGGGCCACAGCTGTTGAGGCCTTGCACGGACGCCACTGTTGCAGGATATGATATCGGAGGTCGAGCTTCCAACTCCACGGTGGACTACAGCTGGGTATTCATATTCGTCGGGCTAGGCTACGGAGGAGGGCTGGCTCTGGTATTCGGCCCCTTCGTACTCTGGGGTGAAGGTCGGCGATGGTATAACCAGCACGTCGACAGAAAGCTCTTGGCCATCCTTCCTTCTGCGCTTCTTCTGCTCTTCGACTTCTGCAAGGATGCGAAGGTCGATTCGGCGGAGAGCTTAGAAGAGGACCCCTTCGTAGAGTGGGATGAAGGCCGTCAGAGGCGCTTCTGCGTCTTCTGCACCCGGCTGGAGTTCAGGGGGGAGAAGGTCGCCATCCACCATGACCGGTGCTGGTGTACGTTGAAAGAGATTTAGGGTTGCTCCGTTGTGTTGTTGTACGTTGGGAAAATGTTGTCGGAAGTTTGAGCAATGCCTGCGTCATATTTCGGCGTTCCGATTGGGGGGGAGATGTAATGCCCAGATCACATGTATTCAGATTTTTAGTGATTTATATGGTTAAAGTTGAAAGAAAAAATCATTTTTTCTTGGTTTCTGATTCAATCGAAATTTCCCTTTCGGGTTGGGTAATATATACATGAATCATCTCGGAGAAATCTTATTCGCCGTGGGTTGAGACCAGAAACTACCAAGAACACCCTGGCCCACGTACTGCAGACACTAAAGATCAGATCGATCTTCGGTAGAGAGATAGAGAGGGGGAGAGAGAGATGACAAACGGGCCCATGGCGGAGAAACCTACGGACAAGAAGCAAAAAGGCAGCTCGCCGCCAGTTCACTAGTGGGGCGAGGACCAGCGGCGGTGGGGCGCCGAAAGAGACTAGTCCTTCCTCTGCTTCTTCCTCACGTTCTCTGCCGACTACGGGAGTTTGGCATCTTCGATGGCGGCAGCTGGAAGTCAGCTGAAACCAGTCTATTCTCCTCGTCTTCTTCCCCGGGAAGCCGCCGCATCTCCGATTTTACCTCAGACTGGAGCCTCTAGCGGAGCAGATCCGGTGATCAGAGAGGCCCTGCAAAGTGGGCAGCTCGACTGGCCCTTCAGCCACTCGTCGACGCACTCCGGGTGGAACCCATGGTTGCAGCCCCGTAGATGCTTCACCTTCTGCCCCGCCACCAGGTTGGAGAGGCATATCGAACACTGGGCCTCGTCCGCTGGCGAGCTCACGATGCAAACCGGAAGGGCGTCGATGGCTGCCTGGTCGAGGCCGCTGCTCACGAGCGTCGACTGGCGCGAGGTGGATGCGGATCGGTGGTTGGACACCGAGACCACCGCTTCCTGGCGGCGGTAGCGGCACGTCCACCTGACGTAGAGGCATAGAAGAGTGAAGAGGAGGAGGACGGAGAAGACGATGACCGCCACCAGGATGCTGCTGCGCCCGTGTAGCTGGAAGTTCTTGTCGTCGAGCTCACCATAGTGCCAGTGGAACCGTTGCCCGGGCTCCTGAGAAGCCATGAAGAGGAACCATTCATACACTGGCCGCCTGACCGCCTGGCTCGCCTAGTCCGGCGCCGGCCGCCGCCGATGTAGCACCGCTCAACTGCCGAACCCCCCCCCCCCCCCCCCCCCCCAATTCTCCGGTGGTTTCTCTCCTTTCGGGAAGCCGTGCTCGACTAGAAAGCAGACCAACTGGGTGGGACGAAAGGTCACGGCTTTAATTTGGAAGGCCTCTCTCTGTGGGTCAAGGAGGAAGACATCTTACCCGTTGCCAAATGTCTGGGCCTCGACGAACCAACCCTTAAAATATCTCCCTGGGGGTCTCGAGAGCGCCGGAGGAAACGCACGCCCGACGAGCTGGCGCCCCACGACGGGACACAAGATGACGCTTTCCGTTCCGGCGGGTTGCTTCCGGAGGCGGTATCGAAGGACCGTTGGGCGCCGCCGTCAGCAAGAACTTCTTTCTTGCTTGCGTCTACGACGGCGCTGTCGGTGGACGGACGTTTGCCACCCTTGGGGCCGTCGCAGCGCCGCCAGGCTGGGGTCAGTGCAGCGGTGGGCGAGTCCCTAGCCGTCAACAATGCCCCTCCACGGAGTTTGGGGGGATCTCTGCCGCCTTCCGAGGGGAAATCTTGTGTTTCTCTTTCCCTTGATTTGTTTCGTTTCCTCTTTTTCTTGCCCTACCGGATTCCGATCTCCGGGCGATCTCCTCCCTGTTTTTATCCGAGTTTCCGACTCCGACGGCGCCGCCTTTCAGCTTCTGTCCTCCGTCTGGTCATCTCCAGACGGAGGTAGCGTAGAGATCTCTTTCACACCCTTTATTGGCAACTTTATTTTGCGTAGATATTCTTATTCATGTTAGTATATTATTATTCTTGACATAATATTACTCCCGGATTTCCATTCGTTTCCAATTTGAAGGAATAACCTAAAATACTTCACATTTGAAGTAAGTTGCGCCAAGCAGAGTTGACTTCTCCGCCCCTCCCGCCGCAACATGTATTTAAATAAGGAAATTACTATATTTTTTATTTTGGAAATATTTAAAGGGTTTGGCTAGAGTCATAACTCAATCAGCCATCGGAGTTGACACGTGCATGCCCAAATATTCCTTGCGATCAACCCTTATTCAACGTAAGTTAATGAGCCGGGCCTCGCTAGTATTTGGGGAGAATCTGAGGCAGAGAACCAAAGAAAAGGGGCCCGGGTGTGGCCCTGCCTTTAGACTTATCTGGGTTGTTGGTACCCCGGAAGCCCGGCCCATTTCCCGGTCTGGAACCACCAGAATCACGGACTCCAGCCCACCGCTGCTCTAGCGAAAAATGAGCCGGCCCACTATATCAGTCGGCCCAAAATTGAAGTCCCGATAAACCTTGCTCGAATCAATGTAAGCATTTTAGAGGACAACCTTGCTGGGCGCCTCATAATTTTACTCAAATTATATAAAAATAATATTATATATATATATATATATATATATATATATATATATATATAGAGATAGAGAGAGAGAGAGAGAGATCTGGTTGTTGTCTTCTGGAAGACGGAGATGATTGAAAGGTGGTCTGCGATCCGAGGAAGGGAAAGCCCAAAATGGGTCTCTCTCTCTAACTGAATCTAATGTGGGGGAGGAAGGGGAGTTTCTCAGGCCCACAAGGCGAGGACGGACATGGAGGCCGATCCGAGGACTAGGACGACGTACGACGCCTTGCGCAGCGACGAGTTCGTCGCCATTAATTTGTTGTGGAAGAAATCTAGGGCGATGAGGTCTACCAGGGCCATGTAAACCAGGATGCCGGAGGAGAGGGAACCGAGCAGGCCCTCCAGAATGAGCGCGTTGGGGCTGCTGTCGTCGTAGCCCGTCAGGTGGAAGATCACCATTCCCAGGACTATCCCCGCCGGGGTCGTCACTGAGAACATCAGGCACATGTAGCCCGTCGTCGCAAGGCCGAATCCAGCCTGCAAGTAGCGTTCAAGCTTCGTCAGCGACCACAACCGTTAGTGGAGGAAGACGCCGCATGAGGGAGACCCACTGAGACGGATGGGTTGGGGATGACGGTTCTTGTCCGTGTTCTATGTTCTTGATTGGCGGCGGCGCCGTCGAGATGGGCTCTGCTTGGCGGGGCCGATTCCATTGTTTAAAGCTTGGAAAGGAGGTTGGACTGGGAGGGGAGGTTCTTCCCCAGCGGGAGAAGGGGTCAAAGGTTTCGGCGGAGGACGGAGTGGGGGGGAAGTTGCAGAGAGAGGAGGGATTTTTTGTGGTGTTGGTGGTGGTGCGGGGATGTTGGGGGAGGGGTGGTTTCTTTTACCTGAGCGATGCAGCCACCGAGACCCATTCCCTCGAAGATCTGATGGAAGGCCAGCGCCGCCACGAGGGGGCGGATGGTGCACTGGTTTTGTGACATGCCCATCGTCACGCCGATGATGACCGAGTGGAAGATGATTCCAATCTCGAGAACCTGGGAAACCATCCTCTGCTTCAGCCGCGTCATCCTCTCCTCCGCGTCGCCCTCAATCGGGTCCGCCTCCGATTCCCCGAAGCCGCCACCGTGCTGGTGCCCCCCGTGGCATCCCAGCTCCACCACTACCGCCGCCGGGGCCCCGCTGGGCTTCCCACTCTCCTGCCCCCCCGCCCCGATGGGCTCGTAAGGGTTGCCGTCCCCCGCCGTCGCTGCATGGGAGGTAGCTACGACGTCCACGAACAACGCGAGCAGCGCGCCCACGAGGCAGACGAACCCGGAGAAGGGGAAATCGCGCCAGGGGTGCCGTGAGGCGACCTGGCAGTCGGCGAGGGCTTCGAAGGCGTCGGGGAGGACATGGACGAGGGAGGTGGAGAGGATCACCCCCGCCGCGAAACACTTGATCAGAAGCAGGGCGCTCGCGTTGGCGGACTTCCCGTGGAAGCGCAGGGCGAGGACGACCGGCAAGCAGACGCCGGCGGCGCTCGTCACGAAGATGATGCCGATGGAGACCAGCTTCAGGTGGGTCGCCGCCAAGGTGTTCCTGCACAGCGCCTCCCTCTCAAGGTCCCCTGGGCTGCAACCCAACGACGCCATGGAAGACGACTAGGGATGGTCAGCAAGACAGCCAACCTCTCTATGCCTGTAGCTTCACAGCCGACGGCGGGCGAGGTTGGGACATTTAGACTCGGCGCCTCGAAGAAGTGGGGACGAAAAATGGGTAATGGTTGGGGATGATAAAACATGTGATAATTATTTTGAGGGGTTTCATAAACTTTTCCCCATTAACGATATTTCGTATTTGCGAATAAAGGAGAGAGCGAGTGGTGCGTGTGTGGATGGCCGCGTCGGGATGTGATTGGTGGACACAAGGTGATGACTAGACTCTTGCTCCACTGCCTGCCACGGTATCTTACTCCTGCAGCATCTGCCCTTTAGATTCCGTCATTAAGACTCGGTGAGAGGTAACCCGCCTCAGCTTCTCTCTCTCTCTCTCTCTCCTCCTCTTATTTTGACTTTACGCCTGATACTGGTGCGGATAAGGATAGTGGGAGGTGACGACATCGGAAGCACATCCGTGGACATTCGGAAAAGAAAACAAGAAAGTGAAAAAAAAATTGGGTACCATACATTTTCCGGTTTTCCTCTCACCATAAATGGGTAAAATAAATTCTAAAAGAATTTTTTTTTATTGGAGATGTTGTTGAATTAATCTTGGGAAGAAAATAGAGGCATAGGTAGATGTGGGGTGGTATGACGAGTTTTCATGAAAATTTGGGGTCGAATAAAAGGCATTGGATAATAGGACATAATGACTCACGATTTTAAATAAATATATATATATATATAAATTATGGAAGGACATAAATCCTTCTCTAAAATTCAGTAGGATTCAATGGACCCATATTTCGTTCAGATCTTTTTGTCAATCTAGTCAAATATGTTGGAAATAGATGCACTTAATGAGGTGGTTATGGAGTGGACATTAAAAAAAAAAACTCTCACAATCAAGAATTTTGCTAGGGTCAACTCAGACATGGTCAAATCCTAAAATCTGAAAGCTCTTGCCCCATCGCTGCATTATGTTACTGGAATATGTAGGTCCCATTATTATTTTTTGCTAATGTTGTGTATACTTTTGACTAGCGGTGCTCATACGGGGATCATCAAATTTCAAAAAAGCCCTTGGTGGATTGATATAAAAATAGTAGCTTCATTAACCATTTATCAATATATTCTTGAAAAATAGTAGCCTTGATATCACCACAATCGAATGGTGTAGTATAGGTCTAAATTTTTATGTGAGAAATAAAATAATAAAATGAATGAAGATGTCAAATTTAGCCCTTGTTATACGGCATGATAAAAGATTTTGCGGCCTCAATGAGACTCACTTGGCATGTATATAGCATACTCGTGATCTATGGACTACATTGTTCGTCTGGGTCCAATTCATGCATTTGGCGGGGCACATCCTACATGGTTAACCACTGTGTATGATGACATATGATCCATGGGACGAAGATTATTAGTTTTTTTTTATTATTCTTCGACCGGCGTTTATTCCAAATAATAGATGCAGATTTTGGGTAAATTTTAGATAATATCATAATTTTTTTCTTTAGGAAAATCCTTGATATGAGTTTCGGAGTAAAAAAGGAAAAAAAAAAGCGAAATAAGTACAAGTTTTCATTCCTCTCTAGATACGTGTTCGCATGCCTTGTAAGTTAAGAGATTTAATTTATTGGTACGTACCCATTTAATAATTCTTAATGGTAGTTCACTTCTCTCCTCTCTCTCTCTCCAGTTTGGTCAAACCAAAGCAATCACGCGCAACAACCGATGGTTGATCAAAGTTCATCAAAACAGCCCGTCAAGCCCGCAGCTCCATCCTCGGACCCAGAACCAAGCACCGGCTTGGGCTCATGTCCCGTGGCCTCTTCCATCGACGGACCGTTGACTAGAAAGTCCCAGTCGTGCGTTCTCAACCCGTTGACTTCCAACAAGAGGGCAGATGGGCCGCAGTATTATTGAGAGGCGGTGAGCGGCCCGGGCAGGTGCTCGCTTTTATTGAAACCTTTCTTTCCTCCGAAGAGACTCGCTCTGCCGCTGCGGCGGACAGCTTACCATCCCGGTGGATCCCTTTCCTCCCTCCCCTCCCCTTCGTCTCTGTCCCTTCTCGCCGCCCTTTGCTTGGCATTCAGGCAGCACCCCTCTCTCTCTTACTGTCCCTCTCTTTCCCTCTCTCTCTCTTTCTCTCTCCTTCCTCTCTGCTGCCTCCTTACCGCGGGTGTTTTTGCCGAAGGATGCGCAGATCACACTCGAAGCCCGGCGTACCAGAGACTGCGAGTGGTGAAGAGATCGACTGGGAGCTGAGGCCCGGTGGGATGCTGGTTCAGAAGAGAGAAGATGAAATCGAGTCTGCTGGCCCCATGATCAAAATCATGCTCTCGCACGGGTCTTACCAGCGGGAGGTCAATGTTCCTGCGCATTCTACTTTCGGTAATTCCATCACTCATCTTCTAGCCTTTCCTTTCTCTCCTTGTCAAATTGGGGCTTTGCTTGTCGACTGAGATCATCCTGCGGTGGATGTAAGAGAAACTGACATAGAAATCGGCGTCTTGCTCTTTCCAAGGGGAATTAAAGAGAGCTCTTGCCAAGGAAACTGGATTGGAGCCGCACGAACAAAGGTTGCTCTTCAGGGGAAAGGAAAAGGATGATGATGCTCATTTACACATGGCTGGTGTCAAGAACCAGTCGAAAGTCGTCCTCATGGAGGATCCCGCGAGCAAGGAACGTAAACTCGCGGAAGTGAAACAGCACCAGGGGATTTCCAAGGCCTGTGAAGATGTTTGTAGTGTGAGGGCCGAGGTGGACAAACTTGCTGAGAAGGTCCGCATATTTTATTTTTTCAATTCATTATTCAAAATAATATTAAGTGCGTCGGGTGCAGAATCTTACTGCTTCAGGGCAATGTTGTTCAATAAAATGTGTAGGTTTCAGGATTAGCTTCAACAGTACACGGGGGCACGAAAGTTGCGGAGAAGGAGTTTGTGATTTTGCCTGAGCTGCTTATGAGGCAGCTCCTAAAGTTGGACAGCATTGAGGCAGAGGGAGAAGCCAAAGTTCAGAGGCGCAGTGAGGTCGTATTTAATTTCTCTTTCATATTGACGTTAGTTTTTCTCAAAAAATCCGCGTTTTTTGCTCTATCATTAGGCACGAAAGTCGCTCGTATGAGGTTTTTTATCTACGAGAGAAATAATCGTTTCAACCATATTCAGATTTCGTTCTCTCAAAGTTTGGATATGATCAGATGTATAATGGGTATATTTTTGGGGAAATCCAATGCTCACTTATTTCTACTGAAGTTATTCTTAACAATAAAATGTCAGAATATTTGTTTCTTAGGCGAATGTTTCTTGTTCTAAATCCGTGCTTAATCTTGTTTCTTATTTCCTAGCAATAAGAACTAGATTTATGACTTCAGTGGCGAATCCTGTTGGCCAAATTCTCTATCGCCTCCTGAGTTGACGGGGCTGACTTAAAAAACTGGGTCATCTGTTGATTTCGGTAGTACTCAGAGGACATGGATTAAATGAAGAACCGAAGTTGATGGGATCGGATTACATCGTGTCCAAAGCCTCTTGTTCATCATAATTTTTGTATTACGCGGGAAAATAATCTTGAATGATGATTAATTTTCCTCCTTTAATCAATGCCCCTCTCTTCGATTTTTCTATTCTCACTTAAGAAACAGTGATCTTCCTAACGTGTATCTATGTATATCGTTTATGTTGTTCTTATGATTGTATATGAGTTTTGCGATTTAATTATTAGAATTAAACGAGTATCTGACACGCATAGAATGCATCCGTGTACACTGCTTAGTCCTTTACTTAATGTTTTAGGCCTTTGATCTTTCTGATTCCAATTCCTTGCATAATAGCCTACTTGCGATCTGAGTGTTTAGAATCTAAGCGTATAGAACTCAGAGAAGAGAAATAAGCCAAGACAGGAAGCGATTATCTCACTTTGGAGAGGGGGCTCTTGCTGATTTGTTGCCAGGTGCGGCGGGTGCAGAGCTTGGTGGACACACTCGATGCCCTGAAGGTGAGGAACGCCAGCCCGTTCAGAAGCAGTAGCAGCAAGGCTGTCTCGGTGGCGACCCAGTGGGAGACCTTCGACTCTGGCTTTGGGAGCCTGACTGCGCCACCTCCCAGAGCAGCCCCTGCCGAGACAACCCAAGACTGGGAGCTCTTTGACTAGCACCCCCTCCCCCACACCACTTCTGTGCGATTGAACGTCAGTTATCTGTCTTTTTCAATGATCTGTTCAGAGACGACATTTGATGTTTGTACATGAAGACCAAAACTCTAATTCTTGGATGGATGGCGGCTACAGATTTCCATTAAATAAAATCACTTCTGCTCATTCTGGCTGGTTTTCTGATCTTTTAATGGCGGATGCCTGTGGAGGGTCTGTTGACTCTGATCACAGAGGGCTTCCTGAAGAACAGTGTGTCACATCACGCCCAGACTAGTATGTCACAGCCGCTGCGTGTGAGTGTGTGTGTGTGTGAGAGAGAGAGAGAGATAGAGAGAGGAAGATCGTATCTCTACCACTTCTACCCCACTCTCTCTCTCCTCTCTCTTCTCCGTTCACCTTCTCCTTTGCCTCTCAACCAACAAGTAAAGATAGAAAAGGAGAAGAAGATGGTCGTGGTAGAGAGAGAAAGAGGGAGGGGGTTGTGGTAAATGGAACTTACTCTTGAGTGTCTTATGTGACTTCGCCCTGCTCATGGAGGTTGCGGGTCTTGTAGATGCGCCCATTTGGAGTACAAAAGACTAATTAGATAACATCATTAAAAGAGGAAGCGCGTGAGATTTGCATACTCAACTTGAACAAAATATTTTTTCAGTTTGCGTATGATTCTTTTCTAATTTTATATTTATACTCAATATACGTTGGAAGATTTTTCAAAATTACATAATTATAGTTTCATCATCATTTTTTAACTCTCTTAGGGGTTTAACGCTCTACCTTGTATAGTATTGAAACTCTAGATACCAAAATAAATTCGGTATTGTAAGACAATGCATATTTTGGATTGTGTAGCTTATACTTTGATGCCAGATGTTGAGAAGACTAAACTTCTTGCTAAGTTTGAAGCTTGTATTTGCTCATGATATAAAGCTTGTATTGTGAACTTATAAATAGGGCTTAGTACAAACGTGACATTAATGAAGCATCAATTTTAAAAAAGATTTAATACAAGGCTCCAGCTCATAACAACGTTAGAAGCTAGATTTAGGTGAAATTAAATAAAAAAATAAAGTAGATTAACATCTAATTTATAAGATTCTTAGTATCAAAATGATGGCATTATACACGTAGTAAAATTAAAAGATATCAAGATTTCATTGATATAGTGCCCCTACTATTTTATTTTCCTTTATCATGTTTAAGTTTGGGATTTGAACTTCCCAAAGATAGGAAGACAAATTGACTATAACTGAGCCACTATACAATGATTGATTAGTAGCAAAAAGTTTTAGCAAGAAAAAATGATATAATTTAAATGATATTTTATCACTAGTGAGAATATTATGGTAAACATGTAGAACTTATGATTATAATAACATGATTTGATAACTTAATTTTTGCATATAAATTTAGATGAGGTAATCTATTTGTTGCAAGTGGATGGTTATTTTGAATAAGACAAAAATAAGTTGGTGTACAAACTTTCACGTGTCTTTTAAAATTTTGAAGTTCCCTTTTGATTAATGGTGTAACAGTGAGATAGATTTCACTTTTGTTTTAAGCATAGTTCAAAATTAGATGAAGAATGGCAAGATATATTCAGTACACTTTAAATGTTTCTAGTTGCCATGTGAAAAATATAGGGAAAATAAATTGACTTTGTTTCACCTAAAAGATAAGTTGACTTTGAGTACTTATTAATTGAAGGATTGTACTAGATACAATGCGACACTATAAACAATGAATGATGAATATATTGTTTCCTTTCAGGTTAGCAAATAGACATCAAGTATATTGACACACAATTCTAAAAGCTCTTCGAAATTTTGTTTTAAGTGAAAATTTCTTTCATGTCAATGCCTTTAATGAAGATAATAATATTGATATGATGTCCAACTCTTTACCAAAAGCTAAGTTATTACATTATATAGGCTATGCAAATTTTTATGTGGGCTTAGGAAGGAATGTCTTTGAAAAGTTTGTCAAATTCACTCTTTTGCATACTTTCGGTTGAGTCAAAGGTAGAAAATGTCGATCAAGTACAGCATGTGGAGCCCGCATGTGGTTTATGAGAGGTACGAGAGGAGGAGGAGGAGGAGGAGAGAGAGAGAGAGAGAGAGAGAGTTTCTCCTCTCTCCTTACCCCCTTTCTACTTTTTTTCGCTAAACCAACAAGGATAGAGAAAGAGAGAGACCCTGTAAGGAGAGAGATGAGACTCTCTCTTTCTCTCTCCCTTATTCCTTTTTTCGCTAAACCAACCTTGATAGAAAAGGAGAGGTACCGGTAAGGAGAGAGGTGAGACTCCCTCGCTCTCTCTCTCTCTCTCTCTCTCTCCCCCCCCCATCTATCCACCTATCTATCTATCTATCTATCTATCTATCTATCTCCTTTTTTCACTAAACCAGCCATGATAGAAAAAAGAGAGGGACCCGCTAAGGAGAGAGGTGAGACCTTCTCAAGAGGTGTTTTGGGGTGACTCCTTCATTTCACCTTCTTTGCTCCTGGAGGCAGTAAGCTTTGTGGGTGTGTCTATTTTCGGAGGATGAGGGTATTCTTGGAGCACCACGAAAAGAGGAAGTGGGTGAGATTGACGTACGCAGCTTGGAAAATAAGTTTATTCGATCCATTTGGTATTTTTTTCTCTTTTAGACTATTTTCTACACACTGAGCTCTCTCTCTAGCGCCGTTATCTCCGCGCAGTCTACCGTGGCGGCAGCAATGGCGTAGACTGCCACTTCTTCCCCATGTCGGTGTAGACGAGGAGGACGACGAGGCCCGGCCTGCCCTCCGTGCCGATGACGGCTGAGGTGTTGCTCCACAGGTAAACCCCCACTGAGACGACGGAACCCATGGCGGCGAGGTTGGCTAGTCGCGGCCCAAAGTCAACTATTGATTCTGTTTGTGTGGAGCTCGTAACCCCTCCCAAACTCTTTGACCCCAGTGTCCAAAGCGGATCGTCCTCGCACAGTCAAAAGGTTTATATGACTAGTCAACATTCATTACTTCTAGAGGTCGATTGTGCCCAAGTGGTGCCCACATGTGGGGATGACTGACCGAGAAGAGGCCGTGGCTAGCTAGTTCGTGGTCTCAATAAGACCTGTGCGAGTCCAGATCTTAGACGTTATGCAAGTGCTGTGGTCAACGGGTCAGGCTACACAGACCATTACGCCTAATGGGCCAAAGAGACGGTTGATGGAGGACAGATGGACGGGCGGCGAAACCATTAAGGTCTCCTAAAGCTCGTAGGCTGGTGGGCCGACAGTGGACCCATCAGCGCAAGGTTTTGAGTAGTCAAGGCTCCTGCTTTGACTTGAAAAGAAGGCGACAGCAGATTATCCTGCAGAGATGTTCGACCGCCAGAGAGAGAGAGAGACTAGAGCTGAATGGTGAGGCCTCTGGCGCCGGTGACCGCCAGGTCGGCGGGATACGTGGAGGAATGGCGGACCGTTTCGTACCTCTCGCCGTCGCCCCAGAGGGCATAGGCCTCCTCGCCGTGGGCTGCATCGTCCCCGATCATCAGTTGCTCGTCCGGCATCCTCAGAGGGATGAAGACTCTTATTGCGAGCAGTATGAGCGTGGTGACGACGATGTTCCACCCGATGACGAAGCCGGCCGCCACCAGCTGCTTTAGGAGCTGGAATGCACCTCCCCCGTAGAGCACGCCTCTCGTGCCGCTTACGGGCAGGACGACGTTGCAGAGCTCCGGCTGCGCCAAGAACCCTGTGAGGATTCCCCCCAGGAGGCCCGCGACGGCGTGCGTGTGGAACACCGCGAGCGTGTCGTCCACCTTCTGCAGTAGCGGCAAGTTCTTGTGCAGGATCATCATCGTGAACCAGGGGATGCTTCCCGAGAGCATCCCCATCACTATGGCGGCCCACCCGTGCACCAAACCTGCAGCAGAGCAACGCAAGCCCGACTCAACAACAACTACGATACGCGCCGCCGTCGACGGAGGATGAAAGCGGGCAAGCCCGCCCGCCCGCCGCCGCCGCCGCTCGTCTTCTGTCGCATCTCTATGCCGGAATATTCTTCAAAAGAGAAGTTCGGTGGTGAGGAGATTCAACGGACCTGCGCCGGGAGTGATGCAGACGAGTCCCGTCATCATTCCTTGAACGGCTCCGATCACCGACGGCTTCTTGAAGAAGGCCACGTCCAGGCACGTCCACACGAGGAGGCTCGTGGCGGCGCAGATGTTGGTGTTCAGGACGGCCATGGAGGCTGCGATGTTGGCCGCGTACGGAGCCCCACCGTTAAACCCCGACCAGCCCATCCACAGCAGCCCCGCTCCGGTGAGCATCAGCAAGATGTTGTTCGGGGAGAACCTCTCTCTGTCGGCCTTCAGTCTCGGTCCGACCTGTAAATCGAGGGCAGCCCATGGATTAGCAATTGTGGTTGGGGAGGCAAAATTCGTTCTTGAAGGAGGGCGGTGCTTGCCCAGTAGGCGGCCGTGATCCCAGCGATGCCGGAGGAGAGGTGGATAACATAGCCGCCGGAGTAGTCGATGACCCCCCAGTGGTAGAGGAAGCCCCCTCCCCAGAGGCTGAAAGCTCCGACCGTGTAGGAGAAGATGAGCCAGAGAGGAGCGAAGGCCATCCAGGCCTTGATGTTCATGCGGCCGAGAAGGGAGCCGGCGAGGAGGATGACGGTGATGGCGGCGAACATAAACTCGAAGTAGACGAGCGTGGCCATCGGGTAGAAGGGCTCCGTCATTGGAGTCTCCACGGTATTGTTCTTGTACTTGTGGAGGCTCGCCGGCATCTTTGCCCGGCGGACCAGGTAGTCCTCGCTGAGGGCCACGCCGGCCTTGCCCCAGAAGGGGAGCAACCTTTCGCCGAAGGCCATGCGGTACCCGCAGAGGACCCAGACGATGAGGACGGCGGCGAAGGCGTAGAGGGCCATGAACGCCGAATTCACCGCCCACTTCTTCTTCACGATGCTCCCGTAGAGGATGACGAGACCCGGCACGCTCTGCAGGCCCACCAGTGTGGCCGCTGTCATCTGCCAGGCATTGTCGCCCTTGTTCAGCCAATTTGGTACGCCCGGAGGATGAGGATCGTAGGGTCCTAGAGTCGCCATTCTCTTCACCGCAACACCCTTGCTGGTAATTGTGCTCCCCCCTTTCCTGATCTTCGCCGGAACCGATTCTCGCCCAGATAAACGGTCTCAGAGAGGAAGAAGGGGAAGAAGGGGAAGAAGAAGGAGAAGAAGAAGAAGACGAAGACGGAGACCGAATCCTCGATCAGATTCCCCAAAAGTGGAGGAATTATACTAACTCTATATCTCCCTACGGGGAACTCTGGTTAGGTTGAAGACGACCCAACGTCGAACGAGGCCACCGGCAGGCCCAGAAGCTGAAGCGCTGGCCTTTCAGATTTGTACAGACGTGTTGCTCCAAGCATCCAGAAGCTATACTCGTTTGCCTAGTCTAATGGCGTGCCCTGAATCCGACGAAAACTACGAAAGCGACAGAATTCTCAGTCAACGCTCCCGCGTACTTTGAAGGTTCCCGACGAGGCGGCGCCAGAACAGGGCGGCCGATGGGATTCCCCCACCCCAAACCCAGGATTCCGATTAGAAAACTTCGCCGGTCGCTGCACCCTCTTACGGGCGACCCCATCGTGCAGAATATTCTACGGTCGTCCTGAAATAGCGCTATTCCGCGAAAGAGACCTCTTTTATTAGATCTAATCTTCCTTTCTTCCCATTTGTGCATCTGCGACCACTTTTCATGGGAATCTCAGAGCAGGTGGAACCCCGCGACGGCCGAAATCGGATTAGTAGGAATTGGGCCGGCAAGGTAGGGTCGATTATCGCGGAATTCACGCCAGCATGCGATACGATCGATCGAATGTGAGATCTTTCCGCCGATTGTGCCGACATAGTTCTCGGAGACCTCTCCCTTCAAAAAGTCAACCAATAGCCGCTGGTTTTTCTTCTACCCTTCGGTCAAACGTTGAGTATGAATGCATGGCTCAATGATCGTAAGTATTCGAGTGTAACATGTCGGAATCTTCGGGTCAGCTCGGCCGATCCCTTGGAAATGACAGCTAATGAATGAATACATCGAATTTAATTATGCAAATGAAACAGGAATACGAAATAAAAAAATATATTGAATTATAGCTCTGGATGCACCACTTATCTCGCCTTCTTTTAATGTGTGATGGTTATGTCTTCTAGTTCTGAAACGTTCAGGCTAGTTAAATGATTCACCTTGCTGTTTTGGTAATATCACTGCGACCGGCTCGCTTGCTCCCTCTTCCCGGCCTCCACCCCGCGTGGCGCTTCTCTCTCGTTCAGTCCGATGGAGGAGACGATGAGAGCTCGAAAGGGTTGGAGCTCACACTGGTTCTCTCACGCTTCTCGCGTTCATCTCCTCCACGCTTCCTCTGTTTCCCGAAGAGGTAGTTGCACCACGAAAAATGGGCAGCTCCGACTGATCCAGGCTGAGCTCTGCGCGCACATAAATACGAAGCATGTCCATGGAGGCGGAGAGCAGAGTGCAGCGAGACGCCTGCTGTAGCCGTGAAGAACGAATCCCATAAAAGAGGGACTTCTTCGCTACGTGAGGCATGAAGATCGCCGGTCTCCTGATCGTCGCCCTCCTCCCCGCTGCCGTCCTGCTCTCTGCGGCTGCGGCTGCGGCGGCGGCGACGGCTGTGAAGGAGCCGGGGAGGGCCCCCATCCCTGCGAACCACGGGAGGAAGCTGGCCGTTGGGGACGTCCCCAAGAAGAGAGAGCTCTGGATGGCAGAAGAGCACCGCCATGGAATGATGAGAGCTGGGCCGGCGACTGTGGTCTCCGCCGCCGAGGACGGTGCCGGGTCGACGTCGCCGCCGGAGGAAGGGAAGTTCGCCGGAAAGAACTACAAGATATGCCTGACCCCCGGGCCATGCTACAAGAAGAAGCTGGTCTGCCCCAAGCAATGCAGCGGCGGGGGCGGCAGGCTTCAGACGAACCACATCCCCGGGTGGACCTGCATCCTCGACTGCAAAAAGTGCACCGCCCGCTGCTAGGGCCTCTCTCTCTATCTTTCTCTCTCTAACTGGGAGCTAGTGGCTGGTTTCTTCTGTCCCTCAATCCATCCCCGTTTCGGTCTTCAGTGCTGCAAGTGATGCCGAGAGCACTCCAATAAAACCAGAATCCAGCAATAAGACTGTCTGCTTTTAGCCTACCATCTTCTCTGGCTTCTTCTAGTCTTCATCCTCGCGTGCATGGCGAGACAACACCGACCGTCCTGGCGGCGCCGTCTGCTCTCTTCATCTTCGTCCTCGTCCTCTGTATGCTCGATCTGGAGATGATCATCTCCACACAATCTATGAGAATTTTTCAGACTAATTCGGAAAAATGTGTGCCCCATGCTTGAAGAAAGCCCTTCCATAACCCACTTACTCCTTTCACCCTCTCCTCTCCCATAAACCGAGCTATCTATTAGCTTCTGGCACCCAGGGTTGACTACTTCGAGACTTATCTCTCAGGGATTGACAAAGGGTAGTTCATTCGGGTAAGTTTTTGTAGCCGTTGATTTAGAGTGGTGGAAAAAGATGTGTGCGAGTAGAGAGATACAACGGAAACAAAAACCCATTATGATATGTGTGCGAGTAATCGGGCCATCCGACTCAAAACCAATTATGCAAGTAGAGGGTAGACCACCTTCAAAGGGAACAAATGGCAGCACGCTCACTCACATGCAAGTTGACTTTTGGGCTTTCCAGGGTATTCAACAAAATGGGTTCGACAGAATCAAGTCCTCAGGTCATGCGACCCAAAATCAATTGGATACTTATGATGCCAAGTTGATTTCTGTAATACCCAATGCATAGTCAACAACACGGACAAAACAGCTTCTACCAGTGCTCACCAGAAAAAAAAAAATCTGAAATTGCCTGCGCTAGATTAACATCGGTCATCAGTTCATTGACTAAAAATAGATGAGCAGGATGCTGATAAAGTAAGATATGTCAACCCACATCCATACTAGAACGGGAAGGGGGGGAGGGGGATGGGGGGATGTTACACTCACAGCGTGTAGATGTCTGCTTTTGGTGGTGGAAAAAGATCCGTCACTCGGTTCTGGGGAAGTTGGAAGATGCTGAACATCTGAGCAGCAGATGTCTGCAGCACTCAAAAGAACATGTCAACTTAATCACGAATGATAAGGCAATCAGCGAAATCAGTGGTATCGTGAGAGGTTGTAAGGGTACTGTGCGTAGATGATTGTCCGTGCATATCTCACAATGAATGAGAGCTCAGAAAGTTGGAAATAAATTCTGCACAGGCTAAATCATTTATTAATATTTCAAGGAAATCGCTCGGTGTGAAGAACGGACTGTTTTTCACACTTTGGATTTTTACAGGAAAATCACATTCAAGAGAATGAATGCGAAAAAAGGCAGATACAGACACCTTATATATTATTAGAAACGCTACACTCGAGATGCTGAACTTCAGTTCAGACGATCAAGAATGTAAGATCAAGTGGCAATGGTGAAATCATCAAATCTGGTGTTTGTCACTTCAACAGGGGTTGAAGACGTCGTACTATACGTTTCTACCATTTCCAAGCGTATATGTGTTCCTTCTAAGCTGTACTTCCAGAACCAGCTTCCACTGTCCATCAACTCTTCTCCTATGGGGTGCATATTTACTTGAAAACCTGCAGTTAGACAGACGGGCGAAAGTGCATCAGAGAACACTCATGAAGGATTCATATTTCCCGCAACCATTTCATACTGTGACAGAATCTAAATTCAGTTTGATATGGGTTGACTAAAAACTTGTTTCGATAGATTGTTATCTATAGATTATAATTTAGGCCCTTCGTGAATCTAACAAAGATGAAAGGAGCCGGCATGCATATTTTTTTCAACTACTTTTTCTGAAGATTTATTTGCCCATTTATTATTAACAGATAAAATAATTGATTTAGAATGAACAACAATCACAAAGTAAGAAAAAGCGCTGCAACATAACTGTTGATTTTGCAACAGAAAAAGTATTTGATATACTGCAACATAACTGTTTTCACGTCTAGTCTTTTAAAAATCACAGGGAGAAGATAAAGTAATGTCTCTCACAAGGAAGATTGTCCAAGTAAACTGCCAATTATTACTGCTAGCCTGTAAAGGATGTCGAGAAAAATTGATTCTGTAAGTATAGTTTCTAGAGCACTTGGACCTGAATCACGTGCGACCAGGCACATTTTGAAACCATCAGGAACTTCGAAAACATGATTTCCCTGAATAGTAATAGGAAAGACGATCAGTGATTGCATAAGAAGATGATTAGTTAAAAAAAAAATCTTGCTACGATTCACACCTGCAGGATTACATTCGCTGCCTCAAACTCTGCATTTCCATGTAGCACGATTTTCAGCATCTCGAGTCTCTGAACGTCATGCTTCCAATAAATATTATTGGCAGACCAGTTAATTCCTTTATTAAGGACTCTGACATTCTGCAACTTACATCTTCCACACCTTTCACCAAGCAATAACAATTATCTCAGTGATGTAATTCTTTTCAGATAAAAGCTTCTTGCAACAGCACCTAGTTTCATACCTATGTCCATATTGGAGTATTGGTTCACCATCTTCACCCATCCGCATGGAACCCATTATGTTTTCAGCAAGAACAATAAGACTCCCATCAAGCTGAACATGAAAATAAGCATGATCCTGAGTGGATGTAAAACCCAGTAACTCTTGATATTAAACCGCAGAAAATTACCTGAACATCTCTCCACAAGAACTCCGCTACCTCAATTTGCAACTCAGAGCCCTCTGAAATGGAACCTCCGTAGAACTGTTGGATTTTGGAGTATAATCATGATACATTATTAATGACGAAGGTCGACAGCATGAAATGAGTTGAATAGTTTATGGATAGCCACACAACCAACCAACTAATGCAATGAAAAATCATACAAGAGATAGAAGACATGGCTAATTTTTGTCAATAAAAAGCACCGAATACGTGACCTCCTTATCGTATAAACCAAACTATTTTCGAAGAAAAAAATTATGGTACAAGTTATAGAGATATGAGTTCATTTAATTTATCGTGGTTCCACACCTAAATGCAAGCATCATACAATGTTGAGATTCAAAAACATATTAGCTGGGAGGGAAAATGGGATGGAGCCCATTCCATTAATTTCTAGCCTAACTCTCCCAACCATATACGGGTTGACAGAGTCCAACTCGATATTGTCCACTACAGCCTTCTGGTTCAAGTCAAAGTATTAGTACGTGAGTTTTTTTGAACACTTTTCTGCCCAGGATCTTCAGCTGCCACATAAAACGGGGAAAAGAACGAAAAAGTGAGACGTGTGAAATACAGAGGTTGTTGCATTGAATATCAAAATCCACAGCATTTGATGGTAAGGCTAGTAACAAAAGAGAAACTTTCCCGTTCCATATTCACATCCCATTCTCCACTATTCATTTTATTTGTGAAACTCCAAAAGCGGGGTTAAGAGAAATAGATGGCAGAGAGGGGGGGGAGGGGGGTTAAGAAAGTAAGAATGACCCAGATCTATCAGAGTGATGATAAAGAGTATGCATGTATGAGAGGTGGCCAAGTGAGTGAGTGAGTGGGTGTTGGGGTGTGTGTGTGAGAGAGAGATGTATGAAGAGAGATGGGAGGAGCGTATCTTAACCTAGAAGTATGAATGGATGATGACTATAGGATCCTTTTCTACCCAGCTCATCTACAGTGAATGGAAGACAGCTGCCCAGTTTATGGAACCAATAGATGCAAATCCAACACATCAGGTGGGCAAAAATAGATGCCCAAGGGGAGAAGGCCTGCGAACAGTTGCCAGGTGACAAACTGATATATTTCTAGAAGCGAGATCAGAAGAAGATGAGAACGTGTTTCTAGAAGCATGGTCAGAAGATGCGTGGAAACAGAGGCAAAGGCGGATGAAAACACATGCAAGGAGTGACCTATTCAACTCTGCTGCACTGCGGCACCTAGTTTTAAGGTTAATGGCAGGCAGTTATTCCAGCTCGAGCAAGCTGTTACAGTCAGCAGCCAGTTCTCATTGCAAGCGATGGACCCATCAACAGGGTCTAGAAGCATAAATCCACCTCAAAGAGATGGTGTAGGCAATGTTAAGTTCAAAATGATCTTCTATCTGAATAATCCCCTCAGTTTCTTCCAGAATTTTTTTTCTGTTTCAAGAAATTTTGAATCTCTTTTCATTCGGAATCTATGGACCTGCATTGAAAATTTTCATTCTTAAGTGCACATCTACCGATCATATCTCTGTGAAAAGGTGAATTTTCTCCTACGCAGGAATCTGTAGAGTCACCCGAAGAATCTTCGGATTCTCTCACTACCTGATTCTGTCACTACCTCTCCTCGCAGGTATGTGCACTTCTCCTGAGGCTCCTCCTTTCTTCTCGCTTCTCTTATCCTGAATTTCCACTTCTCCAAATGAGGTTTTCATTTGTGATGATGGAGACGAAAAAGAGAAATCCTTTCTCTTCTCAAACGCTGGACTTCCTCCCTATCAAAAGATTTCAGATTACCCTAACGGTTGACTTTTAGATCCCCAATGTCAGTCACTGGTAGTAAAAGAAAAAGTCATTTTTCTTATTATTTCCTTTTTTTTCGATATACTTTCAAATGAGCTATTTTGGATCCATTAAAACCCAGTTTTGATTGCCAAGTCCAGTGGACATGATATAAGCTTCGCAGATCAATTAAGGTACCAAACAGTGCGTATGCTCCCTATGATGTAAACAACCATGTGCATAGCTTAACAGAAACCCGTAAACTCATGGAGCCAGAAAGTAACAACACCACACAACCAACCATGTTTCTTAAAATTCTTAGTTTTTGCCTACTGAATGCTCTAATAATATTATGAGTCATAATCAGGAGAGCAGTCAGATTGTGTTCCTTTTATGATGTGCATATGCCACCAAAATCTATATTTTATCTTAAAAAATATAACTTATCAATCAACCCAAGTTACTACAACCAAATAACAGACCACTTAAGTTATGCGTATTGATTTATTTTTAATGAAAAAATAACGCGTCCAATCATATCTTTCAATCTCAATGAAAATTTCATGAAAATAAACTAATTTATCATTTTGAATCATAAAACGCACCAAAAACACCAAGCTTCCAGAAGTACCTTTTGCCGGGTTACATCCCAAAGAGGACCCAAAGCTGGATGGAGAAGAATAAAAAATGGTGGCCCAGAATGTAAATAGTTATTATTGTCACCGATCTGAACAATAGAGAGAGGAGCTGAAGTTAGGATCCCATTCAAATATTAGCCAAAGCATCAAACTAGCAGTCTATAGAAACAAAAGCGCCTACATATCAAAATTTCCACAAGTATCTTCATGTCCTTTTTTGGCGCGTTTGGACTTTTTTGGCATTGAAATTTTTTACTGATGTATCCTTGGTGATGAAAAATCTCACATGTTAATAATAAACAGCGCAGGTTATAAAACTCCGCCAGTTGTCTTGAATATTATTTGTTGAAAGAACTAAAGATACTTATGAAGTATGAATCAAATTTTAACTTCGGCGTTTAACTTATTATCTCTAGCATCATTCCCCTGAAGATATCAAAATTTAAGCGTGTGGGAAAGGCATCAGGAAAATTAAGCTGTATTTTTTTTGGTAGCATCCATTAAATATTTAAAGAAAGTGATCATTTATTATCACTAGCAAATGATAAATGATTTAAAAAAAAAAAAATTACCTTTGGTATTTCTATTTTACAAAATGAAAGAAGATCAGAAGCATTCCGCATAATGTCCAACAGTGCACCATCTGGAGTCTGCAAGAAAATAAACAGTCACAGTTAAATAAAATGGTGTGATTCCACTATGTCCAGAGACAGGCTGATGAGTACACGAATACAACGACTAGGTCAATATTGTCGAAATACTCAAAACAATTTGGTGGTTAAAATATCGAGAACATATCCTCTTAAAAAATTAGCGCAAAGGAATCGCACATCCACACTAACCAACATAGCATGCGCCTGCCTACCATGGTGAGAAGACCGTAAAGTCGGCTTCATTTCTTAATTGCATTCAGACAGACATTTAGAAGTAAGGGTCTTCTAATCGGCAAATAAGAAATCCACTCTGATACCAATTCATTATTAGATTTTCTCCAAACTGATTTACTCCCTAATTTCAACTATTCGATTATCATCGATGGTGATCCTAAGCTCCATATAGTCAAGCAATAAGGTGAAAATAAATGTGGCCAGAGAAAAGAGCAAATAAAGGAAGAGGTACAACATACATGACGAGACTGAACCATGCACTTAGAGTTCGAGTTCATAAATATTTATGAGCACTAACAGGTGATGTCAAAGACAACAATCCCAGTTCCAGCTTTTTGCAACACAGATTCTATATATATGTCATGGTGCAAAAGCATCTTAAAAAAATATGCTCCACTCGAAACTCATCGACTGAATAATTGGGCCACCTGCCGATTCCAATGCATACAGAAATAGGAACCATTGAAATTTTGACTCGATCAGTACCACTCAGACATGTCTACACGAAAAGGCCAACACTCCAATCTACAAACATTTTGCTGCGTCTGCAGAAAATGAAACATATAGATTGAAGAGCCAATATGCTCATGAACGAGTATCGAAACTGTCAAAATACTTTATTTCGGGTATGGGAATCAACAAGTTAAATGAAGATCATAACATTGAGATACCTGGTGCAAAGAATTGTCATTTTGTCTTCTTTTCTTTTTTGCAGATGAAGTCACCCGCCGTCTTTCATTGTACACAATGAAGGTGTCCAGATCCTCTATTAAAAAAATTTGGGGGGGGGATCATATTCAGATGGAAATTTCAACACAATAACATAAAAAAGGAAATGCAGACATGAATGCTGATGACATTCAGACTCTTGAGCAGATTCAGTCCGAAGTCGTAAAGGGGAAATCAAGAAAGATATAGTCAGACAATAGTTGCACTTCTATCTGTTCCTAGATAGATTATCCTTCGGTGTAAACTAGGAATAATCCTAGGGTAGAGAAAAATAGAAGCATCGAATACCTTCTACACCTTTACGCCTTCTTGAATGGTACACATTCATAAAATTATCAGCAACGTTCTGCATCGTACATTCCAACCTACCTCCAGAAACACTGCACATGGAAAATGTTGGCTCACAAACTTTCACATACGTCCAAATTTCCTTACCAACAAGGACGCATTAACAGATAGAAAGGTGTATCAAAGAAAGGAATGCTTTTAAATAAAAGTTATATAAGATGGGACTTGACATAAAACAGAAGGAGAATAAGTGACGAATAAATACAGTCCGTATCGGAATTCTAGACTCAGCTTATTCAATAATGCAAGCCAAATGCTAAACGACAAATGCTAAAAGTAGTGTCAATAATTAGTGAATTTCAACCTACACTTGGGAAAGGACAATGATAATCTACTGTCATTTGCTAAGCTGCAAATGACAGACTGAACAAGAAGTGCCTTGGAAAGATGACACTACTTTTGACTTTCTTTACATTTTAGAGAGCAAATAAATCCAGATTCCTTGGTAAATTAGAACTCCACTCATCCTTGTAAACGCCAAATAATAACATTTCAGAATTCGGAAATTCATAGTAATATATATTTGATCAATTCCATGAAGTACCTGAAAGAAAATTGAAAGAATCTATTTGTGTTGTCATCAGCAGTTAACATTGGATTACTAACTACGATTTGAGAATAAACATAATGAGATGCCCTTATGAAATGATCCAAAAATTCTTAACTCGGCATGTTTGGTGATTTGATATAAAAAATCAACTGGACGTGAGGCATGCAATATGAATAATGAACAGTATGTAAACTAACAGATGGACAGCAGACTTTTGAACTACTAGATGCATGTCTAACTAGCAATTGTGTTGCGATGTAAAGGTCTTTCATGGCCCACTCCCCTAGGACGAATAAATGATTGTGAATCACAAAAAAAAAAAAGTGGTGGCCTTCTTAGTGGACAAGGATATTTAACCCAATTACTGTAATTTCTGTCAAAAAGAGAATAGCCATAAAACAAAAGACGATGCATAAAACGAGGTTCAAAGTTCAAGAATACTCACGCTTCACCAAGTACTATGCATACCTATGCTTTATTCCAAGGTAGTCCACATATTGTACAGGTTTCTTTAGATTCAACACCATGCCCGGCAAGCAAGTAGCACTTTTACTTGATCCGACTTTCTCCGCAGATCGCAAGTCAACATAAAGAATATTTGTGTTGGCAGGAAGCTCTGCTTCTAAGCTTCATCGCAACAAACACGACTATAAATCAATTTAAAAGCCACGCCAGTAAATTAATGGGCAATAACTAACAACAGAAAATATTAACTTGGATGAATATTCAGATAAATAGAACACAAGTTACATGGATCTTCGTTTACTAGGAATAAAACTATCATCTTTTTAGTTAATCTAGACTAAATAGGGCGTCAGGTTGACTAAATATTATGGTAAAAACCTAAATCTAGAGCTATAAACATAATCCAAGCTAAATATATAGGCAGCTAGAGCCGTGTGCAGTTGAAGAATTATAATATAATCGCATGACAGCAATTATTTCCCAAAAGAGACCGAATCATGGTCATTGTAAGGTTATATTTTTTCAACTACTAGTTGTTCGGATGGAACTACAGAAGAGATCTCCAACAGTCTAGATGATGTTTTTGCAGCTTCACTAAGCCTATATCTACTCCTCCAATCGTCATGTCTTTACCATTGTATTTTCTAATGTGTCCACAGCAAGCCATGTGATCCCCCCTCAGATGCATAAAATCGTGGGACAGATCTAATCTAGTAACTTCACATCAACTCAGTCATAGGTTCAGAAGCAGGTCCAAGGAGTCAATCATGCACCGGTCAAGGTCTACACTCGAAGGAAGCACATGGCTGGATTTGCTGAATAATGTAATAGGGATTGTTTTCACTGATTTCCGTAAGTCACTAAAATCAATATTATGTTTGCCTATTCGGGGTATTTTAGGAGTATTTAAGGTCAATTTAAGACACTAGGGTGTCCCAACCGTTTTTCCTACTTTTTAGGAGCGTTTAAGGCCGAAATTTCAGCCCATTCGTTATGAGAGTTGTTGAGATTTCTAGGCCAGCTCTAAGAGCGCCTCATGTTTCTCTTATAAAAATGAGGTTGAACTCGAGGTCAAGGAACTGTCTTTTGAATGAAATTTTTTGTTCATGGCTCTCACCCAAGAGTGTCGTCAAGGTTCTAATCCGGTGTAAAGCAGTGCCCCAAAGCGTGAAGCTGAGGGTTATTCTTTCCTTGCTTGATCTTAAGCATTCCTTGGGCACTGTGGCATCTACTCAAAGGGGACGCTTATTTGGTTGGTCAACCATCGTTTAAAGTTATTTCTCTTATGATCAGTCATTTGCATGCCGTGTCCTGCATAATTTTCAAGAAAGATGCACCATTTCTAAGAAGAATCATTATGCTTTAAATGATAATATTATGTAATTCAAACATCCATACCCATTTGGAGAGAAAGGTCCATCCATGATGCCAAACTTTTTGAATTCTGTGTATTCAATGCATGTCAGACCATATGCCCACTGCCCATCAAAGGTTTTCTTTTCCACAAGAGCATTAATGCCTTCTGTAGCTCCAGGATTCCTCTGGCATGAAGCGAAGCCCAATTTCTACGAGAATTGAACGAAAACTAAGTAAAGAACTCATTGAATCCAATGACCAGGTAATGAATGTTGCAACACAGAATAAGAATGCACATGTCAAGTAAAGATCAGGGACATTTTTAGAGTTGCTAAATATCATATGAGTTCAATATGAATGTAATCATGAGGATCTGAGTTTTATAAGGACAATAAGACATTTTATGTTGGACAATTAAGGTCATTGATACACAAAACTTCTGAATTCTATGTCCATTAACACAGACTCCAGAACAGTATGTTTCCACTTCAACCACCTTTTTTTGTCCCCTTCTCTGCAAATAAAGCATTTTTTAAATTCAGGCTATAAACAAATAAAGGTCCTGATAGTGAACCAAAAAAACACTGCCACAAGCATAAATTCAAATATTTTCATCCAGACAAATAATTCAAGACATTTTTCAAATAGTCTTTTGACATGCTGAAACTACTGTCACATTTTCAACCAAAAGATGTTACTTGGAACCTTCCAAAAGCAAGTATTACTAATAAGTCCTGCAGTGTTATGGTTTATATGATTGGATAAGTTGATCTTTCGATTGTGTGTTAAATATAAAGATATTGTTGGAATACTCACGTCTTAGTTGAGACGTACATAACCATTTGTTTATAAAAATGAACCACAAGAATCATTACAGAATGGTTTAGAGTACAGCGGTATTAGAGCTGAATGTAACAACTTTGCTTCATGTACTTCATCTATAGTGTTCATCTAACAAAAATCAGAAGTCAGATTGCATATGAGAAGACCTGTAAGACTACTCCGATATTAATTATAGTAAAGATACATATATGTGATTATAAATTTGGGCCCACTCCACTTGTTGTCAATTAGTTTATAGTTAGACAGTTCAATAGCTCTAAAATATACAGTTGGCTCAAGCTGGTAACATAACAGCATAAACATCCAAATATAAAACTAGGGTTAGTCATTTTTCACAACCGATAGTCTAAACCATTCCCTAGAGGCATGAAAGGAGAGAAACTTTTCAGAGAAATATACTTAGTGTGTGCTCAAATAATGTTTCATCAGCCAATGCAAATTAAAATATATATTTCATTAGAAGATGGACAGCGCTAAATGATCACACTTATAGAAATAGTAAAATTAGGTGAACTCCAAAGGCATGCCATATTTCATTATATTTCCTCAGGAGCATGATTTTGCAACTCTTTCCTAACTGGTTTTCATCCGTCCGTATAAACGAGGACAGAAGTTCCATGGTAAAGATTGTCAAACAGTACATTATTCTAGGAGAGTTCTGAACGTATTGTAAAGACCAAAACATGGTTCTATACAATGACTTGGTTTTCCAACTTTATAAGTCTTACTAAGACAGATCGTCAGTCACCGTGCTAAAAGCAATGCTTTCGTGGAAATCCACAAAAATAGAATATGAAAATATATTTATTTGTCTGCTCCTTTCCATATTTTCCAGTTGTTATCACACAAGAACGTAAGCTAGTCATAAGAATAAGAAAAGTGCCTGTTGCAGATATAATTTCCTCCAGGTAAAACAGACATGAGGAACTTAAATTTAAGCGCACATTTTTACATACAGAAATGGGAAACAACACAAGAAATGAAGCTGATTAAACAAATTCAAATCCCACCTTTCCATGATGAAGTCCTATACCTGCCAATGCCAGAAGAGTCACATCTGTTGCAGCTACGACATTACTGCAACACCATAATTCGTAATCTATACTGAGGATTCTTCCCATTTATAAAAAGATATGTCACATCAAAGTATCAAATCCTTTTGAAACACATTCTACAAATTAACCTGACTTGGCGTACTGTTGCACCCTTCCTTCCATGATTGTAAAACCATGTGAAAACGCCCTTGTCATGTGCAAGCTTCCAAATTGCACCATGACCACCTGGCCTGCACACCGGGGAGAATCGCTTGCTAATCAACCAACGACCATCTAATGCAGCAACAACAGGTACCAGAGGCTGGGCACACACGAAATGGAAGGATTATGAGGGCGCAGTCTCTGATACAACGCATGCACACTTTTCAATAAAATCATAAGATAAAATATGAGTATTTTTCGCCAGGAACCTGCTCAAAAAGTTGAAAATTTTGTCGACCTCTTCCAAACCATTTAAGACTTTCGCAGAGAGCAGTGACAAGCGTGTGATTGTTTTTTGCTGAACTCGTCATGATTGCAACAGGGGTGATGCACTGTTTTCCATATAGCTTGAAGTACAGGAATTCCCTTGCCTGTGTAAGAAGAGTTAAAGTAGTATTCATGTCTTTTCACGTGCAGATAGTATACCATTTGAAATTTCCCAATGTCTGAGACAAAATACATAGTTGAGCGGAAACCATAGGAGAAACAAGATAAAACAGCAAACTAGGAACAGTGGATCTTAAAAATCAATGGAATTAATTGGTTCTTAAGTATGAGCCAGTCGATTGGACATTGAGCCACCAGTCAAATCCAACATGAAATTTGAATGCTCTTCTCGTACATAACAGATATTCACATTGCATAAATGCAATCAAGAAATCAAATTAGCAATTAATGGATCCCCTTTATAAGGTATAATGAAATTAAAAATACCTGAAGATCTCTTATCAGTCCTTCTAACAGAGTTCGTCCACAATATGGAAGCATTGCAGCTGGCAGGCATTCTCCTGTGTCAGGGTCAATCAAACCAAGGCGATCTCCAGAGCCTCCAAGAGGATAAATTTCTCCGAGCTCTGGCAAACCCTGCCCATGATAGCGAGGCCTTATTATGAACATAAACAGGAGTCTATGTTCAGCATAATGAGGAATTATTATCGCATTTCGTCCATTCTATTGCAAAACTCTCAGCTATGATTGCTTATTAAATAGCCCATCTAGCCAACCTCAATTCCCCATAAAGCTGCTTGAGATGCATCTTCTGTTCCTGAAGCAAGATTAAGTCCTTCGGGAACGCGGAATCCCGTATGGTGATATTTCATTGATTCATCCGAATGATGGAACCAAGTCCTAGATTTCCCTTCCATTGTTGATTGGTAAAGAAGCTCTAGAATCGTTATCTGATACCTGAAAAATAAACCCCTTACAAGTTGGTAAATATGGCCCGTATATGTAACAAAGAGCAAGAAAAATGGATGGCCATTACTTTCGCAATCGAGTCAACCCAGATTCGCCAAAAGGTCATTTCTTAGGGCAAAGATGATTTCTATGAAGGAGCACTGCAAGAAGGTACACTATGTACGGCTCACACAGTTAACATATCCAAGATACCGACTTTTCAAGTTGAGTGAAAGAAACTTTCTACAATGAGAGAGTAAAAAGTATTGCATTATTCGTTGGATAGCGTTAGCAAAAATGTGAGAACGATTCACTCGTGCAACTCATGGATTAGTTTTGAGATGCGAATGACTGGACAGCATTATACCATACAAATGACTATTTTATTTTAAGTTACATAAAAAATGATGCTTTAAGCTAATAAATAGAAACGGTCGCATCGATAGGTACAAGGAATGCAGTCATATCTGCTAATCAGTCTGCCTTTCTTTATTTTATTAGCATCATTCCGGATTAATTCTCTCACCTAGCATCACTGACTTGCAAAACACAGAATTACACTCCTGTAATTTATTCAAGTGGCTAAATAGACAATCTAAGCTGTATACACTGAAATAAGACTCCTATTCTCCTGTAGTTGGTAGATAGATATATTTTGAGCCACGTACGAAATATACTTATTAGCATTAACAAATATGTAGCAAGAAAATTTCGCAAAATTCTACTGAACTCACCCAATGATGCCACCAATGCAGTTATAGAATTTCTCTATTTCCTCCAATGTCAGTAGAAGCCCATTCAATGCTTCAGTGCCTATTCCACACTTACCCTCATCGGACCCATTCCAATCGGAGTTCCAATTCTCAATCATGTCTGCCAACACATAAAAGGCACCCTTTAATGCGCTCCCCTGTGCTGTCACTGGTTCACCTTCCACGTCCATGTCCGACACAAGAACATGACACTGTCCTGCCGCAACAAGGCACTTCAGCAAGAAAATCTGTGAAGAATCCAGGCGAGACAGGAGCTCAAAAATCCCCTTTTTACTGCCACCAAAAAATTCGTTCACCCTAGGGTCCGCGTCGAGCACGCGGAGCTTCTCCCGAAGGTTCCTTGAGGCTCGTAGACGTGAACGAACACCCTCAAGCCGAGAGATTTCCTCCCAGACATCAAATTCCGGGGCAGGAGCCTGCTCCACGGGAGCGATAGACACCCCTCTCACGGTCTTTACAGAACGAGAAGGACGCAACGAAGAAGACAAGGACGACGATAGGTAGACCACCGAAGACGAAGACAGAGATCTCCACAAGAGGCGCATTCGTGGGCGGCCGGCGATGGAGGGAAAAAGAGTCGACGAGGAGGGAGAGGAGCTGGAAGGGCGCGACGAGGTGACAGGGGAGAAGGGGGGAGGCCGCACGCGGCATCCTGCGTGCGCCATCGCCGGTCTTCCCGGCAGCAACGGGAGGGAACCAGGATGAAAGAAAGCCGACTAGGAAGAGGGGGAAATAGCCACTTTAAATATCGTACGCTCGAGGAGAGAGAGACGGAGCTAGAGAGAGAAAGATGGAGGGAAAGGATAAGAGTAGATCCCCAGTAGGAGAAGAATATCCCACGAGGCGAAACCATAGCGTCGGCGCCGAGGGCCCTCGGTCCGAGTGGGCCCACAATGGCCTGGTCCACCTACTAGCTTCAATCTGGGCCGTTGACCCTATTCTCGCAAGGGTTCGATGGTGACGTAGGCCCAACCAGATAAATCCGGGGGTCGTGATAAGGTGTCGTCCCACCTGGCATGAAGTAGACTCGGGGAAGTTTGATGGGCCGGTGTTGGCGGTTCCTGGACCTTCTCTAAGCCCATTATGAGCCCGCGAATAAACCTGTAAGGGCCCAAAAAAAGGAGGGGGGGGAGAGAGAGAGAGAGAGAGAGAGAGGGAGAGAAGGCGGGGGAGTTGATACTACTGCATGGGTGATCGTGAGACGATCATCACGTGACCGAAATAAATGAGCTCCCAACCTTTGTAAGATATCCAGGCTAACTTATAAAAAAAACTCTTGATTTTAGAGCCTACCATTGAAAAGTCCTACACTATCTAAATTAGATACCCCCCCCCCCCCCATTAACACGTGTCATATCATAATTTATTCCCATGCTAATTTAGACTATGTTGATATTGTCTCCAAAAACTAGCGAAATATAGTTAATGTCAGTAGGCATATTCTAATAGAACCATGATTACTAAGTAATATTTAGCTTTTCTCTTTAGAAGACCTAGAATCATGGTGTATTATTATAAAAAAATTATTTTTCCCTAGTGTGATAAACGTAAATAGATAGAGAAATAGAGGCTAATCATAGTTCTAACATGCTAGTTTCTCTATTCCTTATGTTTTGAAATTAGTTATTCTCCATAAAGCTCTAACTCTCATATTTTATTCTAATCAATTTTAGCTCTAGTTATTTTTTATATTATAATTTGTACAAAAAAACATAATACTTTATAATGAAATGATAAAGTGAACCAGAAGATGTAAAAATAGTTATTATCATTCGTTGACTTTCAAATGGGGGAACGTTAGCCACTTGGAGTAGAATATACTTGTGCCAATTTCTCCCGCTATTGGCCCATCGTTGTCAAAGACAAATCCTTCACTATCATCTTTCATTGTAGAGTCATCTTTAAGTCTTATCATATGATAACATAAAGTCAAATTATTCATAAACCTTATAAAAATAGTTTCAGACAAGAATGACAATACTTATAAGAGGATAACGTAGTGTGGTAATAAAAACTATCAAAACCAATGACAAACTGGTATTTACTTGTCTAAAATGAATCATTAATTTTCATCAAGTTATTTTACTCATAAATTTGAATGAAACACTACATATTTACTTGACAAACTCTAAGAAAATCATGTTTACTTATTTCTAACACGTATCAACTAAAAATGATGTTTAGTTTTTCAAAATTGTCAAAAATAAGGGAAGACGTCTCCATCTATCTTAGGTTTATCATAATTTAATTTATTATTTTATGTATAAGATCCTTATATTTTTTTTCTACTCTTGGTTTAAGAAATAAGGCAACTCAAATCTATTGGATTAGGAGCCTCATTAATAGTTTCAACTGCTCCTAGAAACAGCTTGATAATAGACATCTATACAATAAAGATAGTCTCATTCATTGTCTTTTGTTTAACCCTAGAAAAGATTTATAGATTTCCACTGAAGATGTTGAACTAAGAAAGGTAGTACTTCCATGTTCTTGTCTCTCGTGATGAGGCTTCCTTGACCGTAAATCTCGAATCGTGTCATGAAAATTCGCTACCGACCCGTACAATGTAATACTTGACATTATTGAGAAAATTTTGGTCTCTAAAGGCACAGACAGGATATTCACTCATTGGCCCATAAATCATCAGAGATCATTCATACTGCAGATTAGCTAAGGTCATAATCAAGTATGTTAAATGATATCTCGAACCTGGTGTAAAACTACATTAATGACAAATATAATACCCCAAGTGAGATTTAAGATGAACGCCACTAATTAACCCAGAGACTAGAAGCCTACTCGTAGATTAGATGCTGCAACTTAATGAACGTTACTCTCTGCGATCATCTCTGCCCTTGGGTCCTCCATTGCCAGCCATCCTGTGGGATCTCACTAACATCAGGCAAGGTTGGGACCAACTCCCTCATCTCCATTCGAAGTGGACACCGAGGAAACAGTATAGAGGACTTTCTGAGCTGCATTCAGAAGAATCATCTACTCCATGTGGAAGCCCTCCAATCACAAGATCCGTTCAGCACGTGGGCAATCAGCCACGCGGTGGGAAAGAGACACAGCGGGAATAATATTGAACTCTTAGGTCAAAGAGCAAGAGAGGATGAACATCACCCGCCCTCCTTCCCGCATGAGCTGTCTCTTCAGTGAGACGTTCCGTCGTGGTTTAATGGCCGCGGTGGCTTTATGTAGAGCTGCGAAACGGTAGCTCGCAGTAGCCTTGCTATCTTCCAAGGGCTCTTGAATGCGTATATAAGGACCGTCGAAAAAATCGTTGCATCGTTGTTATATGCTCAAATAGTAGGAGGATGATGGGTGTATAATACTTTCAAGGTGAAAGAGTATCGTTTTTTACCTTCTGAGTTGATAAGTACCACGAGATCTCACTACATTCCAGTCATATAGTCAGATTTAGAGTACTAGTCACTCTGGTCGGCTGGTCACTGATGCCTTCCTCTCTCAACATGGGGAGTTTTGTTCCCACTGCCATGTTCCTGGTCTTCGATGGGAGAGAGAACGAGGAAAGGGATAATAAGCTGCCTTCGTCTTCTTCATCCTCCGGCGCCCGGCGCTTCTTTTCGTTCCCAGTTGAGACCTTGAGAGAGAGCGTCAGGTCCAGTCCGCAGTCGTCTCCGTTCCAGCATCTCGTCGAATTCGGTGGGTCAGGATGGCCTGCCGGTCTCTCCTGCCGGTGCCGTTTTACGTCTCCGTCTGTGGAGTTGCTTGCTTCATCCAGGCTCCCCTCGGATCGATGTTGATTGGGCAGCTGCAAGCTCTGATGAGCTGCGAATAGCCTCTCACCGAGCCGGTCTGCTAGGGTAGACTTGCTCTTCTGTAATTCCTGAAGGGCCCTCGGTCTCGCGGGGTATCCGAAGATCATCTCCGGCGCTGACCCCGGGAACCGAGGTCGGGCAAGGCCGTTGCCGTCACGGCGGGGGTATTGCTTTCGGATCCAGCGCCCGTGGCTAAACCATGGCGAATCTTCTTGTCTACGAAATAAATAATGATAAGCGAACAGCTGTTGTTTCCTTGATCAGGTAAACATGCCTGAGAAAGAAGAACAGGGACTGCATGAAATTTGTTTACCTCGAGCAGGTTAGAGGGGATTGATATAGACCTTGCAGCATGGGGAGCTGGCGAAGGTAACCCAGATGCCTCCCTATTGAACGCTCCATTACATTCCCCCTCAGCCCAATAACTGGAGAAGGAGAAGGCAGACCCCCGTAGGTTAGCAACAAAATCATTGATATTAATTAGAAAATCGCTCAGTACCTTGACCGGAATCGTCAATCTTCTTGCTCCTGTACATCTGAAACGGTGAAGAAACGCCACAGTTTAAGAAACAGACCGAGAGGATATGACGGCAGGGAAGAAACTACTAGGATCAAGCCAAGGACAAGCACCTGCAAGTGACTCTTCACATGAGCGATGCTGAGTCCCCTGACGTTCATCATCTGTAGAATCAGCTTGGGCGTTGCTCCTGCATCACGTATTGGTGCGAGGAATCAGTGGGGACCTCGGATGAGGGGAATCAAGAAAATAATCAGATCACTGACGATCTTGGCCACCGAGCCTCTCCACAGCGTGGACAAAGCAACGGTGTAGATCCGGCGTCCACCGGAGCCTCGGGTTCTTGGATCTGTTGTACTGCCGGACGGAACCGGGGCTCCCCTTCCTCTCGCTCTCCTCAACGGTGCTGTTGCTCGAGCTTCCCCCGTTGTTGTGATTTCCATCGGCGTCGTCCTCCTCGTCCGATGGGTTCTTCTCGAGTGACGCGGAGCGGCCAGTTTCCTCCATGCCTTCCTTCTCCTCGGGACAAACCTGTGCGGCTCAGAAGGACAGCAAGAATAATTCTCCCCTCCTTCTATCACAGCCTTCCGCTTCCACCCTCTATGACCGGACTAGGTAGCTACCATGAAAACTATTGTCAGACAGCCGCTGCCGAGCTTCAACACCCGAGCTTTTGAGACTGAGATGGAGAAGCACCCACCGGCCCAACTCGTTCTCACGTCATCTGGCGCAAGAATTGGGGAAAGGAACAAGTACCGACCACAAATACCTTAGTCCTGACAGTGTAGACACATTCTCTCTCTCTCTCTCTATCTATCTATCTATCTATCTATCTCTCTCTCTCTCTCTCTCTCTCTCTCTCTATCTATCTATCTATCTATCTCTCTCTCTCTCTCTCTCTCTCTCCCCCCCCCATCTTCCTCTCTCCCTCTGCCCGTCCCTCTCTCTCTCTCTCTCGCTATCTATCTATCTATCCATCTACCTATCTATCTCCTTCTGGAACACGTCCTTGCACGGACATGCATATATGCCAGGCAGAAAACATGCCCATGTATGTATGAGCAAAATATGCGTAGCCCACTGTAAACCTAGGTAAAAGATATAGGTGCAAGGCAGGGAGAGCCGTGTGGACAGGTTAAGTTGCTGACTAATCGATGTGATCTGTCGGTGACGCCGACCCGGATTTAGACGTCCCTGCCACCCTCCGACGGAGATCACGGCATGGGGACTGAAGATTCCCCGGAGGTAACGTGAGCTTCGTAAACAGTAACGTATTTCTTAATCAGAAAATTGTTGGCCGCGGACTATATTAGTAGAGATATATTATAATCACAATAAATCAGATACGTACCACCGAGGCTGTAAGATGAGATCGTATTTATCTGTAGAGACCCTCGAAGTCGATGATCATTGACTGTAGATTAATTTTGAGGAAAAAACATCTGAATTATTCATTGATAATGACGTCAGTTCGTCCCCCCCCCCACCAAACCTCCCGCAGTGGGCTCCGGGTCCGGGCCCGTCGGCGTCCCCGACCCACGGGGTCCTCGAGGCATGAAGTTGAAGGTCACGGGTTCATCTGGTGGGCTCGATCCTCTCAAATCTGCAACTTTAGCACGCGTCGATCGCCGGCGGCAAGCCAGAGAAAGAGGCGGCCCGTGGGCCGGGCCTCCGCCGGACCTCTCCTTTTTATTGTACCGGGGAGGGAGGTCCGTGACCTTCGACGTTATCGACGATGACTCCGGCCACCCAATGTCAACCGACGTTGACGACTGAAGGTTCGTCCTGTTACATCCGTGGCGGTGGCCCCGCCGCGGAGGGGGAGGTAGCGGTGAGAGAAATCTATCGAGACTGCAGAGAATTACAAGGCCATTTTGGGCCCTATCTTGACTGGGTATTACCCACGACCTCGATGGTCTTTTTTTTTTCCTCGGGCAGCAGGTGACGATGAAGAAACCATTAATAGCGAAAGCGATGGGGTGAGGAAACCGAGTCGGATGGCTTCACTTCGTCAAATTTGCTCGTTGACGATTCACTAGTGAACAGTATGAAGGGGGACAGGATTTCTTGGACGTACGGAAGCGCACTCCTCTTGAAGCGTTCATTAATCGCGGATACGAAGAGTTTCTTTCGCTGGTTGTCTCAGGGGAAGAACGCCACGGACGACTCCATCAACCATGGGCAAAATATCTTCTCTGTCGCCCTCTTCGCTCCTCGCCCAGAGTCCGGCAGGGGAGATCAGTCATGAACGATTCAACGAAACCCACCAAAGATTTCCTCTCTCTCCCCCTCGTTATCTGCCTAAACACTCATCGAATAAACGTTAGCCGATCAATGGACGTTGGGAAAATCAAGCCTCGTTGGCTCGGTTGTAAACATCAGCCGGGTTGCATTCCAAAGGCTAACTAACTTATCAATGGAATCAATATTTGTTGCTCTCTCTCTCTCTCTCTCTCTCTCTCTAGCAAGGGCACATAGAGGGCTAAACTTAAGCTCCAGGAGTCCACACCGGAGTCCCCTCCCTTTCTTTGTCGCTCAACTAACCAATTGACGAATTCAGCTGCGGTAGGGCTGTCCACAAACTAATATTCTCCGATTTTTTAGTAGCAGCCCCTGACCGCACCGTCTCAATAAGAGATCGAATTATAGGGCGGCCAGGCGTACCCACCAACCCCTCCGCGTGCATCCCCCCGTTTTCCTCCGCGGGGCAGTTAGCGGCGCTGAGGACCCACGCAGCCGTTTATCTTCTCACTGGCGCACCAGTCAGAGGACCTCCCCTAACTCGAAAAAAATTCTTTCTGGGTCGGGCTGACGACAAATCCGCGGGACAGAAGAGGTCCTGCCGCCGGTGGGGGACGAGAAGGAGAGCCTCGGTCATTCGTTTACGTAGAGAGAGCATCACCGTGACGACGATTAGGGGGATTAAGGGACGGCATCGGGTGATCTTTTAATGAAGAATATGCAAAGAAGATCAGACGTCGCGTCCATGAAAAGATCTAATGCATCTCCTACCCGTAGAGAGGGAGAGAGAGAGAGAGAGGGAGAGGGGGAGAGAGAGAGAGAGGGAGGGAGGGAGAGACGTAAAGGTCAACTCGCCGACGAATATCAAATTGCATGAGCAGAATGTCTGCACGTCCTCGTCAAAACCAAAAAAATGCCGTGCGTGAGATCACCATCGCATGACATGAGAGGTGCTGCAGCTTTCAAAGAGCCGTGGATGCCCCAACGAGGAAGGAGGTCGTGATCTATTTTGTTCTGGGGGTGGAGGTTTGGGCTTCACAGACGACTGATTAATTGGGCCGATCCGGTGGGGGCGACGAGCCCACTGTCCCCTCACTGTTTCGTGCCGATCCATATCGGACGGCCCTGATACGCCCGCCGTCCATCTCTTCCCTACGTGGATGCGGATGGGGGAAGGAGAGAGCTCCGTCATTCGAATCCCCCCCCCCCGTTTCCCCTTTCAGACACGTTTCCCATCCAGAGGATGTAAGAAGCTCTCGGAGTGCGTAGCGCAAAAGGGCCGCCGCGAGGGAGAGGCGGTGGTCCCATGGGAGGTCCTCCGTTCGTTCCCTCGCCTTCCCGGAGTCCGGCCGCCGGCGGGATTCTTATTCTACCCAGCGCCGCCCTTATCCTCGCCGGGTCAAGTGTGCTTGGACTGTAGAACGTTGCTCCAAGTTGTGGGAAGAGATGGCGCTTCCCTCCCCTGCCGGCTCCTCGTTCATCAGGTTTTCTTCTTCTTCTTCTTCGCGCTCCCGCGGGGGCTTCTCCTGCGCCGCACCGTTCGTTCACCGGGTCCGTAGCCTTCGTTTCCCTGTCCGATTGACCGATGTTCCGCGGCTAAAGGCGCCGCGAGCCGTCAGGTTGGATCGGGTTTTGACCAGCGACACGACGGATGATTTGGGTGATGGGTTCTTCGAAGCCGTTGAGGAGCTAGAGCGGATGGTCCGGGACCCTTCCGACGTTCTCGGTGACTTGGTAGAGAGGCTGTCGGCGCGCGAGCTCCAGCTGGTTCTCTTGTACTTCTCTCAGGAGGGGAAGGACACCTACTGTGCCCTCGAGGTCTTCGACTGGCTGAGGAAGGAAAACCGGGTGGACGCCGAGACTATGGAACTGATGGTGTCGATCGCTTGCGGGTGGATTGATCGTCTGGTCGGTGAAGACCATGCGGTTGAGGATTTGGTCGGTCTGCTTAACGAGATTGACTGTGTCGGGCTAGAGCCAGGGTTCAGTATGGTAGAGAAGGTCATATCTTCGTACTGGGACAGGGGTAAGGAAGAGGAGGCGGTTTTATTTGTGAAAAATGTGTTGAGACGAGGGGGAATTGGGAATCACGTAACCGGAGATGAACTTGAGGATCAAAGGGGTCTGGTCGGGTACCTTGCCTGGAAGATGATGGTAAGAATTTTCAATTTTTATGAACAGTTCACTTTCGGCCTTCAGCATTCCAACTCAGTGGTGATTTAAACCGGACCGCAAGTTTTAACTTCAATTGCTCCATATATGCATATATATATATATATATATATATGTTCTTTTTGAAATTTTATGCTCAACATCCATTAATTGAGAGCATTTTGATGCTTTTAATTGGTTATTAAATTTTCAAGGGTTGAAATATTGATCAAAATTTGTGCTGGGGTTTTTCTTTCATGGAAATACTTCCATCGTCGTCCTCCGATGTAAACCGTTTTCTAAATGATTAATGGGGAATATGTATTGTTCTCGTCTATGTAATAACTGCGCATTAGCGAGCATTTATTTTGGTTTCATGTGCATTCATATTTTCATTTCGTTCTGTTATGTATTGACCTCGGTAGAATCCAAATGAATTGCATCTGTCATGCACATTTTGGTTATCCGTCTCCACATACATGTGGATAACCTTTCTTTTCTTGAGAATAAAGTGTTGTGGTTATAACACTAATCTTGAAAATGATCACGAAAAGATTCTCAATATTTATCGTTTAAAATTTAACTAATATGCAATTTAACTAACATGCTTTTTGCCACTTTTATCGAACCATGATGAGCTGTTCATTTAAGGGTATATCCCGTTTCTGCAAGGTTGTATCCTCTCCAATAGGACATAGATCTGGATTTTTTTTGGGATTTCACTTTCTTTCGCTCCATGATACCACCATTAATCTCTTGGAGGGTAAGGGAAACAGTGGCTGTGGATCATTGTACAATGGTAAAGAAGTGTTCAAGAGAAACAAGGGTTTTTGTTGCCCCTCTCTGGAAGCTTTCCCGAATACATTTGTGATGGGTTTTCCATCGATGTTATTGGATGATACACGTTAGAGATAATGTAATTGCAATCACATTTTATTTTTTAGTGGCTTCAATCTGTTCTGTCAAATCACATCAAATAGTAGTTTACCTGAAAGTTGTTGGTAATACTGTACAGGCCAGACCATTTTTTTTTTTAATAGAGAGGAATACACTTTTTGTATGGCCTTGTGGTGGCCATGTAAAAACTGGCAAAGGATTATTTGTGGTATTACATGATGGAATCTACCTTGAGGAATACAGCTTATGTAAGCAGAACAACTTGTTGCCAACCAATAGTAGAATAATAATGTTGCGGAACTATGGAAATCTATGGCGGCTGACAATGTGGTGGCATAAAGAAATCCTGGATGGAGAGCAGAAAAATATGGACCATTTTAATATGTCAATTATCTTCAAAGTTTTGAAAGGACCAGAATGTTATAAGGAGACTCACATCCCCTTATTGTTTATGCAGTAATGTTACTAGGAGGTCTTTGTTCTAGAGACTGCACCAGCTGAAAGCTACCTTCGCAGACATTTGATATCCTGGTGGAGATTTCAGCTATGTTAGATATCCAATGGTGCATCTGTTCTATCACAAAACAGGAACGTGAAATGAAATGTTTTTATCGTTGTCAGGAGCAGTACCCTGACTGATGGAAAATTTCCAAAATAAGATTAACTTGTACTAGTTTCAACTAAATATTTTTCAGTCCAAGTTTGACCGAGTTCTAGTATCACCTGACTAGCCTTCGGAGTTTCTATTGACCATAGTCAAGAGCATAAAGGTAATTCTCAGAGACTGTTGATATTTGCTATTGTGTACTGCATTACAGTAGATCCAGATAAACTATTTGATTCAATTTTGATGGTTTTAGTGAAATGTTGAAGAAGTTGGTGGAAGGAGGGCCTAAATCATGTTGGTGGATGGCTTTTTTTTACAAGCTACCTTGTGAACCGTATAGGGGGGAAGGAATAACAGAAAATTCCAAAAAAAATCCCTATATTGACAGGAAAGAGTTGACATGACTGCATTTTTTGCATCCCAATGATTGAGAGAAATGGATTTGGGAAAAAAAACTTACTGTTCTAGTTTATCCGTCTTAGTCATCTACTGTCTTGTTAGATGAGAAGAGGAGATGTGTGCTGAATATCAACTTTGAAAAGTTTTATCATAGGGTGAGTTGAAATACTGTGTATAGGATGTTGCGTCATATTTGCTTCACTCAGAAATTCATCAATTGGATAGTGAGGTCCATAGCAACAATTGGATAAATAGGGGCATATGTTCTTTCCAAAGTTCTTGCGCATTAAGTCAGGCAGATTCATATTTCCATCTCTATATGTTTTGGTGGGGTAAGTTCTCAACTCTATGTGATCAGATGTAGAAGAAAACTGTCTGATCAGTGGGTACCTCCAGTGTTCTGAAGATGCAACTTTATTATTGGGTTAAATGGTAAACCTTAACCCGTAGACATTCCGTAGATCCCTTACTCCATCAGCACTGCCTTTGAGCTTCGAGATTCTCTATTAAGGACAATATTGCGGATGTGCTCCTAAGTGAGACTATATGGTTGGGCCACGCATTCCTGCCTATGAAATAGTAGATTTCCAATGTATGGAAGAATTCATGGACATCAGTTTTGGTCGCATTTGGTGCATTTCTCTATTGCTTCGTCTGTGACACCTGCACAACTGTCTGCTTTATGGAAGAAAGTCCTAAACCGAGTTTCCCTGGAAAGCGGGTAAATATCAAAGACCTTACAAAGCGATAGTCTAAAATTAATCTCCCCTGTTCTCCCTTCCTGTTGCCTGAGAAAAAGGGAGGAGAAGAAAAGTCCCTTGTTATCAACCCCAAAGTCTCAGCTGCTCATCTGAGACGGCATCCTCTGAATGCCCGCCCTGCTTGATCTCCACTGTCAAACCCCTCGAGGGAGCGCCGAGAATGCTTGTGAATCCCCGTCTCCCATGGCCGTTCTTCCTTTCCCGGCAGCAATCGAAGGTCCCATATTAATCTGGTCTTCTTTATTTCACCCACAGAAGTGGGGATGTATGTATATAAGTTTCACCTCCGAAAAAACCTCTTTTTTGGAGGCCTCGTCATCTTTCTAATAGGTTCCTCTTTTTCGGTCTGATACCCATGACAGTTCTCTTGCTAGTTGTGGAGCATCAGATCGACCCTTAAAATATTGGAACCGTTTTCCTATTCTCACTGGTTGCAATTCCAATCAATACCCAGGCTGACGGCAGGTGCATGAGTGCTGTCAAGCTAGTGACCGAATGCAGGGAGTGCGGACTGAAGCCCGAGGCTTACAGCTACGTAGTCGCACTGACAGCCCTGGTCAAAGAACAGAAAGAATTCTCCAGATCTCTGCGCAGGCTGAGAGGCTCCATAAAGACCGGAGCTGTGGCGGAGCTCGACGAGGAGGCTCAGAGTCTCATCGAGCAATACCAGGAGGATCTTATGAGTGATGCCATCCGTCTATCCTCATGGGCGATCCAGGAGGGCGGCTCGACGGTCGCGGGGGCCGTCCACGAGAGGCTCCTGGCCATGTACACCTGCGCCGGCTGTGGATTGCAGGCTGAGCAGCAGCTGTGGGAGATGAAGCTCTCTGGCAGGCAACCCGACAGCGAGCTCTACAACATCGTCCTCGCCATATGCGCCTCCCAGAACGAGGAGGGTGCCGTTGGCCGCCTGCTCGCCAGCATGGAGGTGGCGGCCGCCGGCCCCCGGAAGAAGACCCTGCTGTGGCTCCTGCGGGGCTATCTCAAGGGCGGATACTACGCCAAGGCGGCGGAGACCCTGGTGGAGATGCTGGACTCTGGCATGCGCCCCGGCTACCTGGACAGCGCCGCCGTCTTGCAGGGGCTGAGGACGACCTTGCAGGAGGACTCCGGCGTTGACCGATATCTGAACCTCTGCAAGCGCCTCTCCGACATGGACCTCATCGGGCCCTGCCTTGTATATCTCCGTATAGGCAAGTACAAGCTGTGGGTTATGAAGATGGTGTAAAGATGCTGGAACAGGGGATTCTTGTACGCTGTAACTATTCTCATATAGAAGATACTGTGATTGATGTCCCCATGGTGTTGAACTGCTGACACGTGTCACCGGAGTGGGGCTTGGTCGGATTGTCGTCCTGTGGGGTGGTCCCGCCGGGGATTGGCCCATTAAGGGCTAGTCACGTGGCGCCTGTCGGCATGCAGCAGGAGTAACTGTGGCGTGGGCCTGGCCCGTTTAGATCAGAGACGGATTAGAGGATCAACGCTTGAGTATAGCAGTCACTCACCTGCTCTGCTTTGAGATGGAACGGAGATTTTCGGTAAGCACTTGATTATTTCGTAATTCACAGGATGGAAGGAAGAGTTGGGGGCTATGGAACAGGGCCTCTGGTTTGTCGGGCATTCCTTCTTCGAATGCATGTGAATTCGTTGAAGTTCTGGATCATGAAATCAACGAGAGGTCGGAGGATGAGCCGCCGTCGGGGCTCTCGCTGTGCTGAAAGAGGAATTTTGGGGGAAGAACAGAGGAGGGTAGAGGGAGTTTTTGGGGCCGCAGTTGTGCATCATCATCACCGTTTGGGTTTCCATGGCTTCGTCGCCGTCTCTCCTCCTCTCGTTGGCCTGGCCTAGCGTCTGTTGATCGGGCCCCCTCCCCCTGGCTTGTCCGTTTTTCTGTCTGGAAGCATTTCAGCCGCCGCCGCCGCCGCCGGCGGTTCCTCCTGGTTACATGAGTGTTCGGCGGCGAGGAGGGCCTAGAAGGAGGTGAATTCGGCTGGCGGTGCTAGACGAGGCGGCGGAGGGAGATATGAAGAACCAAATCTTGAACAGCATCCGTAGCCTGCAGCTGGGCGGCGACGGCTGCAAGGGCGGCAGCAACCAGGTCTACGCCGTGAGCACCTCCCCCTCCGGGCACGACAAGCCCCACCACCACCATCACCATCACCTTCATCAGAAGCAGCACCACCACCGCCACCGCCGCACCACGTCCCACGACTCCGGCAGCCATCGCCGAACCAAGTCCTTACCGCCCGCTTCCGTCTACCCCGAGGCCCTCCTCCCCTACGGCCTTCCTTCTGCGGATCTCATCGACCCCCCTATCGAACCGTTCCTCCGCCCAGCCGACCAGGTCTCCGCGCTTGCCTCCTCCTTCCGTCGCCTCTCCACCGCCGCTCCCGACGACCGATGCGACCTCCACCTCGAGCAGCATTCCCTCCTCCGCTCCCTGAATGACCCCAAGCTCCTCCGTCGCTCCCTCTGCTGTGCCCGTCTCCACGCTGGCGATGTCCACCACAAAATCGTCCTCTCCGCCTGGCTCCACTTCGACGCTCTGCCGCGTTCTCCTTCAGCCTCCCCCTGCGGCGGCCCAACTCTGGAGTGCCCCCGTGCCGCCCTCCTCCACGGGTACGATCCCGACTTCGCCGCCGGCCCGTGCCCGTGCCGCCGCACAGCCGACTCCTCCGGCTTTGCTTCCCCAAACCAGCAGCAGGAGGAAAACGAAGGAGATGTAGCTTTCTTCATAGGCGACGAAGAGATCGTCTGCAATAGGTACAAGATCGCCGCCCTGTCCAAACCATTCAGAACGATGATGTACGGAGGATTCATGGAATCCCGGGGAGAGAACATCAACTTCGCCCACAACGACATATCCGCGGAGGGGATGAGGACCGTGGACATCTTCAGCCGGACGGGCTCTCTGGACGGGTCGCCACTGGAGATCCTCATCGAGCTCCTCTCCTTCTCGAACAAATTCTGCTGCGAGGAACTGAAGTCAGCCTGCGACTCCCGGCTGGCCTCGCTGGTCGCCGGCATGGAAGATGCCCTCCTCCTCGTGGAAAACGGGCTGGAGGAGACGGCCACCCTGCTGGTGGGTTCTTGCTTGCAGGTCTTCCTCAGGTTGCTCCCGCAGTCCCTGCGTGACTCCCGCGTCACCCGCCTCCTCTGCACCGGCGAGGGAAGGCGGAAGCTTGCCTCCGCTGGGCATGCCTCCTTCGCCCTGTACTACTTCCTCAGCCAGGTGGTCATGGAGGAGGAGAGCATGAGGTCGAACACCGCCGTCATGCTCCTGGAGAGGCTCGCCGAGTCTGCGGAGACCGAATGGCAGAGGCAGCTAGGGCTGCACCAGCTGGGATGCGCCATGCTAGAGAGAGACGACTGCGAGGCCGCTCAGGGATGGTTCGAGGTGGCGGCGAAGGCCGGGCACGTATACTCTCTCGCCGGCGCCGCCCGGGCCATGTACAGGCGAGGGAACAGGTACTCGGCCTTCAAGCAGCTCAATTCTCTGGTCATGGCTAACGATCGCGTCGGATGGGCGCACCAGGAGCGGTCTCTTTACTGCAGCAGCATGGAGGAGAAGATGAGGGACCTGAACGACGCCACCAGGCTCGATCCGACCCTCGTCTACCCGTACAAGTACAGAGCCATCCTCCTCATGGAGGACAACATCATCGCCGCCGCCATTGCAGAGATCAACAAGGTCCTCGGGTTCAAGGTCTCCGCCGACTGTCTGGAGCTCCGGGCCTGGTTCTCCATGGCCCTCGAAGACTACGGCGGCGCTCTGCGGGACATACAGGCCCTCATGTCCTTGGACCCCGATTACATGATGTTCCACGGTAGGGTTCATGGCGACCGCCTGGTTGAAGCCCTCCAGCGGCTCGTCCAACGATGGAGCTTGGCCGACTGCTGGATCCAGCTCTACGACAGATGGTCTCGCGTGGACGAGGTCGGATCGCTCGCTGTGCTGCATCAGATGTTGGCGAACGATCCCAGCAAGAGCTTCCTCTGGTTCCGACAGTCTCTTCTCCTATTAAGGTCAGCCTGGTGATCATCCATCTGTTCATCCCACTCATCGGAGACGAAGCCGACAGCACGAGCCATTCTGCATGCCCTTCAAACGGCGGGATCAGATTTTCTTTTTGTTTTCTTTTACTCCTGCCCTTGCTGTTCTTAATTTCTCTGACCCAAGTCATCAATGGTGCAATCAGGCTGAACTCCCAGAAGGCGGCCATGCGCAGCCTGCGGCTGGCTCGATCCCTTTCGCCGCACGAGCACGAAGGGCTGGTCTACGAGGGGTGGATGCTGTATGAAACCGGCCACCGCGGAGAAGCTCTGGCCATAGCGGAAGAATCATTATCCATCAGAAGATCATTCGAAGCCTTCTTCCTCAAGGCCTACGTTCTAGCCGACGAGAGCCTAAACGCCGAGTCCTCGTCGTACGTCATCCACCTCCTCGAAGAGGCTCTCAGGTGCCCCTCCGACGGGCTCCGCAAGGGACAGGTGATCGTCCTTCCCCAGCTCTGCTGTGTCTAGGGTTCCGGCGACTGAGATTTTCCGGCAGGCGCTGAACAACCTGGGGAGCGTCTATGTCGACTGCGATAAGCTGGACCTCGCCGCCGACTGCTACGTCAACGCCATTAAAATCCGTCATACGAGGGCGCACCAGGGCCTCGCCCGCGTGTACTTCCTCAAGGATCGCCGGAAGGCCGCCTACGAGGAGATGACCAGGTTGATCGAGAAAGCACCGAGCAATGCGTCGGCGTACGAGAAGCGCTCCGAGTACTGCGATCGGGACATGGCGAGATGCGATCTCGGGAAGACGACGGAGTTGGATCCGCTGAGGACCTATCCGTACAGATACCGCGCCGCAGGTGAGCTCGAGCTTGTCGGAGGGGGAGCTTCTAGGGTCTCTGGCTCCTCTGGATCTTCTCACTGGTTTTTCGGTGCCGTGGGTTTTCTAGTTCTTATGGACGACCGCAAGGAAGAGGAAGCAATCGCCGAGCTCTCGAGGGCGATCGCCTTCAGGCCGGAGCTGCAGCTGCTTCACCTCCGGGCGGCGTTCCTCGAGTCCATAGGGAAGCCGGCCGACGCTGCACGGGACTGTGAGGCGGCGCTTTGCCTCGCCCCCGGTAGCAGAGACACGCTGGAGCTCTACGGCAGGACCCGTGGACGAGCTAATCAGGAGAAATGATTGTTCAGTGCTCGAGGTCCAGCTTCCATTCCTCCGCTTCTCAGAGCCCCTGAGGACGACGAAGACGACAGGAGGCGGTGGTCTGTATATACCAACGCAGAGGGGGGAGGAGCGAGGAAGACGATGACGCCCATTGAAGTGCCCAGAAGATGAAATCCTGCTGGATGATTCATCTGCGCCATTCCATGGCGGTAAATCACAGCGGGGGAGAGAGGGGGGCTAGCAGAATGGAAATGTCTGACGAATCGTGAATCATTTATTGTGGGAGAAATTCGGTGGAGAAACATGCAGATCGAGATGGAAAAAAGGCGAGGTTTTCTAAACGTCTACCCACCAAAACACAGTGATCGGGTCAGTTTACGAGCCCAACTCGGCCGAATGAAGCAAAACAAAGCGTACTTCATCTAACCTCGAGGCCTACAACGGCGAAGAAAAACTGAACTGCACGCCCGTCTTCCCATGGTCGTGCTCTGACTGCTTCAACACGCGACAGTAATTTATCTGAAGACCGAGGTCCAATGCCTGCTCATTAGAGGACGCACCACGCCGCACCAGACCGGAAGATCGGTTTTGGAAGAACAGATGAAGAAAATGTGAAGAAATTACGAACCTCAACGCGGAAGAGCTTGGTAGGAATGATGATGCCGACCCCGGCGGTGCTCCGGAAAGACTGCAAGAATCTACGAGGGGAGAAGGAATCGATCTCATTTTCCGATAGTTTGGCGAGGTTCCCAGCGCAGAGAAAGGCATGGCCATGAATCCCGGCTTCCCTGAACAACTTGAGGGGTAGATCAAATGAGAGGTCGGCAAAGGCAGTCGCCGCAAGGTCGCCGCCAAGAACATCTCGCCCTGGGGAGCTGCTCGGATCGTCCCCCGATTTGGGGGGGATGAGCCTTTTGGAGTCGGTGGGGCCTACTCCTCTCATCCGGAAGCCCAACAAGGAGGTGGGACCTCCCAGGCTGCAAACAGGAGACGACTGGCCGCCCATGTAGAATCTCTCAGAAACAGGGGTGCCCGTGCTCATGAAGCCCTTTCCCCACGGCAGAATGATGCCCGCCGAGACTCCCAGGTTGAGAGCCGTGTTGTAAAAGCCAAGCGGAACAGCGCCCCGAAGATCAAATTCCTGCCAGGAAACAAAGAGGACAATCTCGCAGCTTCAGTGAGAATGAATGCCCGGAACTTTCCATGGCATAGAAAAGACGAGGATATCCATAAAATCATCGGCAAAGCTCCTCGGCCGCAGTTTGACAAGGGATGCGTATTCATTGTATACAGAGAGAGATATGGTTTTGGAAATCAGATGAATGACGGATCTCCCTCCCCACTGTGCATCACCCATTCGCTTGGCAGGATAAGAATGCAGACAATATATACAGATTTATAAGCATGAAAACGCGCCCATGATGCTGACAAAAACTTGTTCCTACAGTAAGGAGACATGTGAGACTACGTCTAATTGGGTGGTGAAAAAGCCTCTCTGAAAAGATACGTTCCAATGTCCTACACCAGCATTCTCCAGTCTTCTTCTGAGAGATAATACACACCATCGAAGCAAATGATCACTCATATTCGTCTATTGTTTTGCAATAATTCTGCATGCATGCTTATATAGATCTTTCAAAAAAGGGTGACATAATCTTTTGTTAACGTAGTCTCTGGAGAAAAGGGTCATTTCAAAGATGACAGTACGTAAATTATAAAAAAGCTAATTGCGAAATAAAGTGGAGATGTAACTAGCGCAAGTAGAAAAATGTTAACCAAGAAGCAGAACCGCAAAACAAGCACAATCCATCGCTTCTCATTCCCTTAGAACCATCACACACACAGATATTGAGAATTCGTCCTAGAGTAACGGAGAAAAGTGATAAGTCTAGTCTTAGATGGCATTTTCTAAACAGGAACCAGAGGAAGCCTTATGATCCAGGTAAAGCATAGATATTCATATTTGAGTGCGAGTCTGTACTTATTTGCACTCATGAATCCTCCCCGCCCTATCATACCCTCAAATCTGCCCAGACCACATGCTTGCCTGCCCTCATTCCCGAGCCATATGAGCCTCTCCCCCCCCATGAAAAGAATATATGTACTAATGCAGATATGCATACACAAATAATACAATGCCCCAGAAAAGGAGCGTGACTCATCAAGAAACCGTAGAATACCCCTTCCAGATATATCACTAAACGGATAGCCCTCGACAAAAACAATGAAAGATACAAGCAACCGCGGACAATAATCTCCAAATTAAAAAAAAATCTTCTGGCGTCCAAATGTCTCCTTAGTTTACTAAAATCAAATCAATGGGCTCATGCATGCACCACACTACCACATGGAAAATACAAAGTGTCATCTATCCCCCTGAGAAAGGCCACCGGAGAATGGTTCCAGCTTCCATGCGTAACTCCGAAAAGAAAAATAGATGGGTGTGAGATAAAAAAAGTTTATACGCATTTTGAATTAAAAAAAGAGCAACTCCAGATTAGCTTTCAAAATGATATACCAGAACCAGTCAAAATATAAATTTCTAGTTTCTTGTAAACTAAAATGGTACACAGAACCTTTATTTATCAGGTGTGGGTGGAGTAATGTTTCATCCATTATGGTACTTCAGGACTGCTACGGCTCTTTACCATTAAGAGATGAGTCACTATGAAAAGATGGTTCGTTCAGGATTAAGAAACCAAATCTCAAGAGATCATGCAAGCTCGACACCAGAATGTCGACCAAATAAAATCAGGCTCCTGCATTTCCTGGGATCAAATTGAGATCAGTTGCCACGTAAGTGAATCAACACGCGGGTATATTAAAGTCATCCTTTCACAAGACATGGCTACTAAATACCACAAGCAATTCATTCCCATGATGAACCCCAACAGATACATGACAACTGTAATGACAAGAAGGTGGCAACAATTCTCTTAAGTAGAACAAGGGCAGTCCACCAAAGCTGTGCATTTTAAGAATTAGTATAGGAATAATTAAAAGCCATACAGGTATAGATAAAGTCACTAAGCAGAAAGGAATTTAAGCCAGGATAAGTGAATAACAGTGTGCACCTGGCGCACAAATCTCAGAAATCTGGAGTCACCAAAACCACCTAATTGTGAAGTAGAAACAAAGGCATATCCACGCATGGGCCTCAGATGGGAATCCCGCCGATCAATCTTAAATGTGTACTTCAAAGATGAGAGTAAGCTATGCCCCAATTGCCTCCTTATTGAAGGAGATGACATGCGAGAAGGATCTGTCAAGGTACGCCATGTGAGATGATATGCCAAGTCATGGTACTTGGTTGAGATGAGACCGACATAAAGGCCCAACATGCGTTCTGTATAAGAAGAAAACTTCAACCAATCTTGAGATAGCAATGATATTCGAGCTGTAAGAGGAATAGAAAATGTCTTCAATCTTGGCATGCGAACTCCAATGCCCAGCTCTGTGGTTTGGTCCCAACCATAGGCCCCAGTAGCATCCCAAATATCACCATAACCAAGTGCATTTTTCCACTTGAGGGACCCTTCAAGCGACCAAGATCTAGCCTAAAAAGAAAATTAAAATTAGAAAACATGATATGCGAATTTAAAACAAATTGGCGGAATTCTTGTACAGGGAAACTTAAGCAAATGACATATCACAGTATCAGTGCAATAACTCAAGGTGTCAAACAATAAGATTCTTTCTGTATGTTATCTTTCAGATTATTTCTATGGATATCTTCTAGAAATAATATATGAAATAATAAATCTGAATGGTGAGTAGTTTACGCTCTTGCTCAATTGTAATGTACAACCAGATTTTAGCCACGAGTAAGCATATTAAGAGGACTATATTTACACTGAAATGGAAGCGAGGAGGGTACATTTGATGCCGATAGACAGCAGTACAGGAAAGGAATATGATATGCAACATAGCACTTGAGGAACATGAAGCAAAGGTTTAATTAACAGAGGTAACATGGAGACATTCGGATGGAAAGAAGTTGAACCATTGTTAAATCAAAGACCATAAATATCGTGAACAAACTCAGGACAACAGGAAAAAGAACCGACAAATCAGCCCAATGACGAGCCACAATATTCTCTTATTTCTTCCGGATGTAGATGTCTCGGCGTAATGTTTCTAGTTTGCTCGAAGAATCTGAACGATTATTTGCCACTTAATCCTACAAGCTGTGTTGCCGACATTGACGTTATGTGAATAAAGAAGTATGTCTTCCTCAAGTTTACACCATGAGGTATTCTATAGACTTAATTCAGGCACATTTTCGTCTGGAGAAGACCTCACTCTCGGCTATCTGAACAAGATCGTCAGTGATGAGCACAGACATCACAGTCGGCGGTAGGTTTGTCCCCTACCTTTTTCTTCGAAAAAGCAATGTGACAACCATAGCTGCTATTATCTGTTGTCATGATATAGAAGACTAAGGAATAGTTCACCTCAGGCTTAGTGAAAATCCCGACGTCACCGGTGAGGGGGTTTCTGGCTTCGACAACTTCGATGACGACGTTGGTGGTGTTGGGCAGTTCTGGCGGGCCGGCGTCGAGGGTAATGGAGACCGAATCAAAAATGTCCAGCCTCCGCAGCTTAGCATTGGCGATCGACGCTGCCTGGATGACTTCCTGCATCGTGGATGCCGACCGAAAGGCGTTGATGACTTCGGCCTCGATCAACGACTCGCGGGTCCTCGAGTTCCCTTTGATAACGATATCGTGGACACGAAGACTGACTGGCTGGAAAGACAGGCGGCGAAGGAATCCGGTCATCTTCTCGCGATCGGATGAAGAACCCCCGTCCATTCCAACCTCTCCGTCCTCTTCCTCGTCTTCTTCTTCCTCGGCGTCATCCTCCTCCTCACCTTCTCCTTCCCCCTCCTCCGCATCATTATCCTCCACTACGACCTCTTCTCTCTCCTCCTTTTCCTCTTCCACACCTGCCGCCATTAGAGCTCCCGAGCTCTGCCGCACCCTCGCCGGAGCGGGGCACTTCGGAGGACTCGCTACTTCAGCTGCTCTTCACGGTGCAATTTGGGGGGGGCAGCCAACGGGAGCCCTCCCCTTCTTAGGAAACTACCTCGAATCTGGGCGAAGCATGAACCGGCCCAATAATAAAGTGGGTCTGCCAAGCATTGCGGTTTCGGATTTCACATCCCCTGAAGGTGCCTTTTTCCCCCTGATCAGTCGGACCTGGATGTAATTAGGGTTAAATTCTGGATTAGCATCGGCGTCTCTGGACCGTCCGATACCATGATTCTGTATTTAATTGGGCCGTCTGATCTTGCCTACTCTTCTCCCTACATTTGGTCCCATTTATTTTTTTATTAGAATAAGTAAGTGTTAATTAGTGGCATTTTAAAAAGCTAACATATACACATTTTTGCAATTATTCACGTAATATATATACACATTTTTAAAAGCCCGCCATTAATCCATTTTTCATCATAAAAAAAATAACGGCAGTAAAATCACGTAGTTAGTAATATTATCACGATTGTTTAGAAAATGAGTAATATTTATTCTTCCGCATATGGTAAATAACTAAAATAGAAAGCCCTTAACATACCTGAAATCATAAATATTCCAATAAATTATTTTTGCGTATCAAGAAAACTAACAGATGCGCATTAAGTTTACCATTTTTCTAAAAATGGATGATATATCTTCGCCATTTCCAATAAGAAATTATCAAGAAATTATTGCGATCATAAGAAGTAATTTTTTAAAGCCTTTTTTATGTGACGGCATAAGGTGGATTTTATGTAGATCAACATCACAGAAGTTTATTTCATCCGTAATTGTTATGAATATTAATGATTTTTAAGAACACATGTCTTGCAAAAATGGGCGAATATTCATTCCACATTATCGAGCATGCAAGTACTTACGAGTCGAGAAGATGGCAATAATGTAACTAGTCAGGTATGGCATGCATAGAAGTAAATATGTTAATGGAAAATTTTTTCCCTATTCGGGGAGGAATTCTCCTCTGATGATCATGCCCAGAACCCATTTGGCTGTCAGCGACATTAATTTTTTAAATGGTAATTAATTACTGGGTAAATGAATTTGATAAATTACTTGTACTGTAAAAATGAGCTGCTCTTCGGTCTGGTTTGGCCTATAGAGAGAGAGGGAGGAGACCAGGGCGGCGGTGGTGGCGGCGGGCCACTCGACGAAAGAGAAGGTGAAGTGACGGAGAAGAAAAGCAGGTTGCAGTGGGTGGGTCACCGGCCAGGCAAGAACCATCCAACCGCCCCCATGTGGCCTCGTTCGTCGCCCTCCGATCGCCGGTGTACGAGTTTTGGGAGGCGGCCGTCGGTCCACCGCGGTGGCCGCTGTTCGAAGCAAAAGCTGCCGTGCCCACATTCCCTTCCGTTCATACTTGGAAGCGAAGCAAAAGTAATTCACCAGGGTTGGGAGGACAATCTCGACGATAAATTAAGGGGGAAATGCAATATCTGGTACAAATCTACCTGTTAATGGGAGGACCCTTTCCTTTGGATTGTACAGAAATCTATCAGGAACTGTTATCCTGGCGCCTCCGGCGGCGAGGGGGCGGCGCCACCAGGCTTCCGCTGCCGCGAGGGTCAAAAACATTGGGGAAATCGTCGAAGCACCCAAACTTTATACCGTCGTCGGGGGAAGGAAGTTAATTTCTAATGACACGAGAGGACCGAACCTGGCAGAAATCCAGAGGAGAGGTGCACCGATTCCCTTCCGCTGGAGATCGCCGGAACCAATCGCCGGAGGGGCGAGCTCAGACGACGTCGGAGCGGCAGCAAGCGGGGCATCTAACCAGGCCGTTCTCATTGCAGAGCGTACAGCAGCGAAATCCGCCCTTCTCGCTGTAGTACTTGTGGCTGCCGCTGCAATTCTCGCAGAGCACGAACCGGAATCCCCCGCAGCAGTCGCAGACGCCGGGCTCCGCCGGCGGCACCCCCTCGACGTATTTCTTGAGCTCGCCGGACTCGTGGAGCTGCCGGATCTCCTCGGCGCCGCCCATGTACCGCCCGCCAATGAAGACCCTGGGAAGGGCGAGCTGCTTCTGGCCGAGGATCCCCTTGAGCTCGTTCAGGAAGCCCGAGTCCATGGATAGATCCCGCTCGTCCACAGCCACGCGGAATCCCCGAAGGATCGAGCGGACGGCGCGGCAGTCCTCGAAGGTCTTGCGGATCACGCGCAGGCTGGTGAAGTAGACGACGATTCGCTTCTCGCCGGCGGCGACGGGGTCCTGGTGGAGGGCAGCGTGGGGGGAGGGGACCGATCGCCAGATGCGGAGGGCGGAGGACGCCGACCGGACGCGGTGGAAGACGGAGGGGGACTTCTTCAGGGAAGCGGGCGGCGCCACCGGATCCGGCGGCGCCTCGTCCTCGAGGAGGGCCGGGATGTCCTTGAAGGAGTAGGAGAAGGAGAAGGATGGGTGCAACGGCGAGGTCGACACGGCGGCGCTTCCGCGAGGGATTCCTCCCCACGGCGGCCACATGGGGGGAGAAGACGACGGCGACGGCGGCAGAGAAGGGAAGGGCAAGGCAAGGGCAAGGGAGGAAATAGCCTCGGGCCTCTAATTTGTGGTGAGAACTCGCAACTCCGAGGTCGGTTGGCGGTGAAATGGGGAGGAGGAACAGAAAAGGCGGGTTCCTTTTTCCCCCAAGAACCCTCTTTTGCCTTCCCAGCCTGCCTCCGAGATCATTCGTCGGAACGAACAGCAAGATATAATTTTTTTTTGAATCAACGCGTCACAATTCAGCCGAGGCCCTCTCCGATCTGCAAGTTCTGGCCGACACGTGGGAGTCCAAGACTGCGTTCAATGGTCAAACTCTTCATCGGGCCGCCGGCCTAGCGATCCACGGCGGAAGACCGAGCGACGAAGGAACCGGGGACTCGGCGGCGACTCAGGGCGACGAAGCTGACCAGCGATCTTCTTCGTCGTCGTCGTTGCCGTCCCGGCCTCCAGCGAGGTTCTCCGGCGAGCTTCTGGGGTTCGCCCGCCGTCGCTTTCCGCGCAGCTGGCGACGATTGGCGGCTCGTCCGAACCATGTGGACGTCATGTTTAATCAAATACGCAGTGGACCACGTGAACTAGCTTACGAGCCTAATTAAGAATCGACCGGCCCCGCGGGGTCGGACCACTTTCGCGGAGGCCTGGACCCGGCCGGGGCCATTTTCGAGCCACCGACCTGGTAGGGGCTTGGGGCCTCCGCCACCTCGCCATTAAATAGTGCACGTATTGCAGTATTAAAAAACTAATGCTCACTGGAGTCAATGAGCGCTGTTCTAACAGTTGGAAGTCACACGTGTGTTCGCCCACGGAGGTCAAGGTTAGAGTCAATGGGACACGTGCCGGAGCGCACGTGTCTGGTCACGGAGTTCTCCAAGCCAGGGCCGGAGCACAGAGAGGATGTGGGGGCGGGCGGTCACGAGGGGGCCTCTGGTGCAAGTGGTGGTCGATCGGTGGTCCTCGTGGGAGCCGCCCAAGGATGAGTGCGGAATCTTTGCCCTCGGGCTTTAATTTCCATGATAAGCATAGTCCAAACCTTGTCTAATTTCCAGAAAATACATCTCACGTGCGCCGCCCTTGTTTAGCTCGAGCGACAGTTAATGGGTATGTTTACTGCTTTCGGATTTCAGATTTGCTGCTGTTTTGTGCTTTTTTGGCTGTAGATCCTGCCTCTGTTTCATGCGGAGTGCAGACCTTGGTAAGTCTCGACTGTGCCGTCGAAATCACCATGGGGGGGTGCGAGGGTTTCCGCTCCTCTATCTCTCTCTTCTTATCTTCTGCGCGTTCGGCCGCCTGAACCCTCAGGCCTCAAATGTTTTCTCTCTCTTCTCTCTCTCTCTTGAAAGACCAGTGGGGTTGTCGGCGTCTCCTTGCCGCCGCCTGAGATGGAGAAGATCGTGGAAGTGGCGGAGCAGGAGGTTCTCATAGACTTCCAGCTGGGGGTCAAGTGCCGAGCCACCGTGCACATAAAGTCCCTCCATCCCAACGCGCAGGTCGCCTTCAAGGTCCAGACCTCCTCCCCGCACAAGTTCCTCGTCAACCCCCCCAACGGGCTACTGGCGCCCCTCGCCGCTGCGTCCTTCCAGGTCATCCTCAAGCCCCAGTCGCAGCTCCCTTCTCCCTTCCCCCGGCCCGGCTCCGACCGCTTCCTCGTCAAGGCGGCTGCCGTCGAAGAAGAAGAAGAGCTCGCCGGCAGCTCCGACTCCATTAATGCCTGGTTCGTCGCGAGGCCCCACCTCGTCACCCACGACACGAGACTGAAGGTTACATACGGGGGGGTCTTCCTCCTCCGGCAAGCCGTCTCGGATGGGGATGCTGACGCTGTCAGGCATATCGTCCGCCGCCAGAAGTCTCTCGTCGCCGAGCTCGGATCCGCGGACTCGGCGAGTCTCTTCCGGTCCGCCTCGACGTGCGTCGATCAGGCCGTGCTCGAGTTACTCGTGGAGGGGGGGTTGAAGCCCCCCAAACTAAAATCATCGGGGTTGATCTCCTCCACACAGCCGCCGCCGCCCGTGACGAACACCGCCCAGAAAGTAAGCGGTAAAGCAGCGACGGCAGTGGCGGCGTCCTCGTCCAAAGGGTGGACGCCCGCTCACTCCGCCGCGGCTTCCGGCAGCCACGACGCGCTCGTCCGGCTGATCGAAGAGGCGGGCATCGCTGAACTGGATCGGAGGGATGGAGACGGGCGGACGCCGTTGCACTTGGCTACCAGCAAGGGATACATCAAGTGCGTCAGGACACTACTCGAGCGGGGCGTCGACAAGAACGCGCAGAGCAACGACGGCAGGACGGCGCTGCATCGGGCCGCCGCCGGTGGCGACCACGAAATGGTGGCGCTGCTGCTCCACATGGGGGCGGACCCTTCCCTTGTCACCAACAGGGGTCGCTCTGCTCTCGACGTGGCTCGTGATAAGGGGCATGTAAGTCATCCAACGAAACCCCATGCTTCCCCCCTCCTCTCTCTCTCACTCTCTCTCTGGAAGTAAACAATTGGCGAAGATCGAGTCTTGCCAGAAGCCTAGGTTAACTCTATACAGGCGAAGCGAAAGCGACGGTACGGCGCTCGGGGACACGAGCCCGTGAGCGCCGGTGCCCGCCTTCCGATGCTTCCAACCTACAGCCACCGTCGGCCGTCACCGGTTGACCTCAGTCAGCAGTAACCTCGGGGAAGCTCGTCTCCAACGGCAACAATGAGTACCACTGCTAATGGGAATGAACAACAGTTGATAGTACTAACAAAACGGTGAGAGGCGTCTTAAACACGGGGAGGTACACCTCTATAACGTTATCGACGCTAGAGAGAGAGGCATACGCCCCCCCCCTCTCTCTCTCTCTCTCTCTCTCTCTCTCTCCCTCCAGTCCTCCCTCGCTCTCAGCACGTAGCTGGGGCTATTACCTAAGCCCCAAGAAGGATGTTACTTTCAGTCCATCTTTGATAAAATATCGTGCAGAAGACGGCTACGACGCTATAGTTTATGCCCATAATATGGTGATCTTTTAGACCCTACCGAATTTCTTTCCATGTTTCTATTGAAGAAAGGAGGCAATGTGTTCGGGGTTGTTGCTTCTCTTCCTTGCCCGCTGGAAGTGGACCGACTCTGGCCGTCGCCCTTAAGGGCTCACCATCCCTGCCGCATGAACTCCGAGCGGATCTCCGAGAATGACTGAGGAATATGACATCTTCTTCTTCTTCTGCAGCGAGAGGTAGTGGAAGTGCTCGAGCGGGGAGAGATGGTGCTGACGGCAGCGAGGAGAGGAGATCTCCGCCGCCTGGAGTCGCTGCTGAGGAAGGGCGTGGGCGCCAATGGGTGCGATCAGTACGGCATGACGGGCCTCCACTCGGCCGCTGTGAAGGGCCACCGCGACGTCGTGCGCCTGCTGGTGGAGTTCGGGGCGGAGCTCGAGGGCCAGGACGTGGAGGGCCACACTCCACTGCACCTGGCGGTGGAGGGCGGGTGTCTGGACACTGTGGCGGCGCTGCTCGACCTGGGGGCGAACGTGAACGCCAAGAGCCGCAGGGGGGCGACGCCCCTCTATATGGCCAAGTCCATGGGGTACGATGCTGTCTCCCAGCTCCTCCTCAGCAGAGGCGCCGCCTCTTCCAGCGCCGCCTCCTCGTCTTCATCCCTCTCTCCAATATCTCACCATTGAAGGCGGGGGGTGTCCTCATATAAAGGTTGGGCTTGACATTCGCCATGGCTGGAGATCCTGAAAGAACGCTTCTTTAACGGGCTTCCCTCTTAAACGAAAGCCGGTCTGGCGGCAGAACAAACCCTTCCCGTTTATATATAGTTTCTATTAGTTGAAATTCACGAGAAATAAACATTTAGACCACATAAAAAATTCCAAGGAAACTTCGCATAATTTGGATAATATTCAGTTATTTCCCACCTCAGCGAGGAAGAAGATTCCTCGACCCCAATTATCAGTACCGCAGCAAACCTTTAGCCGGGAGCTTTTAGCCCACATGGAAGTTGCCAAGAATCTTCCTCGACTCGTAAGATTTGATCGCCTCCGTTCTGTCTCCACTACAGGACCCGCTCCGTTGGCTTGGAAGCTCTGGCGGACCTCTTTCTGCCCTGAATAATGGGTACAGCAGCGCGAGGCTTCCCCCCGGCGGCAACCCGGAGGGAGATGGTGCCGCCGCCACATGGTATATAAGGCCGGGGGTTCCAGACCTGTTGGCCCAACTGGGCGTAGAGAGCTGGAGAGATGAAAGTCCGCCGCCCCCGCTTCGTCCCATCACTATATCGACCATGGCCGGCGTCGACCTTCTCCACGCCGCCACCGGTGGTGGCGGTGGCTGTGCTGCTGCTCTGCGTTGCCTCGCAGGCGAGGGCGAATCTCCCTGACCGCTATACCCTTCGCGGGGGGGCTCTCTCGAGCTCCTACCGGGGAGGCCAGCCCCAGGAGCCACAGGAGTACATCGACCCGACCAATCCACCAGTGCTGCCCAACGAGGTCCCTGCGTGCTCCGTCCAACTGCTCGAACAGGACTTCGCGCACACGTACGGGTCCCCGCCGGCTTACAGCAACTTCTCCGCGCCGGAGAACTGCCAGTGGAACCGCGCCGTGCTGGAGATGTCCGCCTCCTGCACGGGGGAGCAGTACGACCGGATCTCCGGGGTATGGATCGACAGCGTGGAGGTCCTGCGGACCAGCACCGCCGAGCCCACCCCGGCGGGGGTCTTCTGGACGGTCCGGAAAGACGTGACCCGCTACTCCTCTCTGCTGGTCACCCGAGAGCGCCACCAGGCCTGTCGTGGCGGCGGCGCCCGGCGGCGCCGCGACACCTTGCCCAAGCTCCGGCACGTATGGGTCATGCTGGAGAATATCGTGGACGACGTCTACACGGGCATCTACCACCTCAATCTGACCCTCCACTTCTACCAGGAAGGGGGAGACCAGGCCCCTCCCAGGTCCAGATCCCTCCTGGAGGCGCCGCCGCGTCTCCCTCCTCTTCTGATCGAGCAATTCGGCACGGGGAGCCTGAACCAGGAGAGGCTCGACCTTCTGGTGAGCAAGCCGGCGGATCTGATCCTCCCTGTCTCTCACGACAAGGGGAGCAACGAGGGCTTCTGGTTCCGGATCCAGAGGGAGGCGGACGCCCGCACGGGGAACGTCCAGATCCCCAAGCACGCCTACCGGGCGGTTCTGGAGATCTACGCCTCCGCCCATGGGGACGACGAGTTCTGGTACTCTAACCCCCCCAGCTACTACATCGACCAGAACCGCATCACTCCGCGCAGGGGCAACGGCGCCTTCCGGGAGGTGTACGCCACGATCGACGGGCTCTACGCCGGCTCCGTCGTGCCGTTCCCAGTGGTGTTCACCGGCGGGTTCAATCCCCTGCTGTGGGCGCCGGTGGTGGCCATCGGGGCGTTCGACCTCCCTTCGTACAGCCTCGACGTGACGCCCTTCCTGGGGATCCTCCTCAACGGGAACACCCATCGGGTGGGGCTCGGCGTCAGCTACGGCATACCTTTCTGGCTCGTCGGCGCTAACCTCCACCTCTGGCTGGACCCGCAGTCAAACTCTGTCTCTGCGCACTTCCTCAAGCACCAGGCGCCGCCGGTCTCTATCAACTACAGCAACAAGTCCCAGAACCTGGACGGACAGTTCAAGCTCGAGGCCGAGAGGGTGGCGCACTTCGAGGGCTGGGTGAGGTCCTCCCTGGGGAACCTCACCTACTTCCTGGACCAGCAGTACAAGTTCAGGAGCTCCATCTCCATCGAGAACAACGGGAACACCAAGGAGGTCTACTCCAAAGCCAAGTTCAAGACGGACATGAGGATCGAAGACGCCCCGAACGTGATCCTCGCCAGGCTCTACCACAAGGCCAAGTACCCCATCACCGTCTACACCGCCGCCGGGCCCGGTCAGCAGGGAACCTACTTAAGAACAAACGTCTCCCACACGATGTACGAGAAGGGCGCACTCACAGTAGGGAGCACCATCTTCCTCAATTCCTTCGCGCACAGCCAGAACTCCCAAGGGTGGATGGAATACAAGAATCACTCTGTCCTGTCCGGCTCTGCGAGCAGCCAGCAGACCTACAAGCACAATGACAATGGCATCTGCTACATCCGGATCGTGAACGCCGAAGGTGGCAACCTCTTGAGGGATCAGAGCTCCACGGATTGCCATTTTGCGTAGTAGTCTGCACCTCCTGGATGCGCAGCGGTACGTGGAGCTCTGGGTTGCTGGGAATCTGTGAAAATAACAAGCCCATGGTTGGTTCAACTCCATGGCTGGTGACTATCGTACTCTTCCGCAGCGGCTGTTTATGTAAGCTAGGCGACCGAAGACAGTATTTTTGGTTGGTGTATAAATTTCTTCCTTGTTGGTATTCATGTGCTCTGTTCTTGCGCTTCCCAATCGGTCTAGCTGAATAATATTGATATTCATAAGCTTCCAATAACATCTTCAACTTTGAAAACTCGAGATATATTTGATTAAATGGGTGATAACTCTGTACTCGGATATCCATCAACCTGCAGGCCGGAAGCTGATCTCAAATGAATGGGGTCGGGCAATGATGAAGAGGACTGTGGCCGCAATGGTAAGTCAACATGAATAGCTGTTGCCTTCGTCTTCTGAAAATATAACAAATTACTGGAAATGATGAAATTGGGTTCAGCCAAAACGTAGCATGCTTATATAGTTCAAAGCATATGATTTTTCTATGATCTGTTGTTTCATACCCTTATGATTACGGTGCATCTAAGTATTTGTCCTCTAGAAACGATTTGGAGTGGATATTGGCTCTCAAGTGCTAATACTCGTGGCTCCCCATTTCCCGTAAAATCATAACGTTATGATTTTATTGGATATCTCTGAATGATCTGCAATCCAGTCAAGCCGAAGAACAGTTGCTTCCGTTTACACGTTGCCTGGCATAGAAAATTCCCCAATCAGCAAGCATGGCAGTAGTTAAAATAATGGCCATTAAGGAAAGATAAAAAGGCCGCACTCTTTATAAAGGGAAAATAAAACCCAATGCTTCTAGGATCACTGGCGTATCATGGAAGACAATCGTTTAATTCGCAATGATCATCAGAGACTGTTGAGGCATGGAGTTAATGCACTGGAATAATATATCTAAGAAATAAACTGACGAAAGGCAGATGGTCAGACTAGTTAAATTTCGCAAAAAACTGCTGTTTAAGTTTGCAAAGCTTAGAGGTTCGGAAAAATTCAGATCTGCAGCTGAAATAGATCTGAGAAAAGTTGAACTCAGTGAATAAAATTGAAGAAGAAAAACAAGTCTACAAGGCCACGGCATCCTTTACCCAACACCAAGCTCAACCTGCTTCATTCCCTCTTCCCGACAGCCTAATCATTGAATCCAACCAATGTGACGCTTCTGTAAGGCACAATATCCATTTTTAAAAACCCTTTTAGCATTACGATCATTCTGAAAGGAAAAACCTTATAAAATCTGAGAATTGGTATTTTACAGAAGAGGTAGGCTATTTTGAGAAGCGAAAATTTGGTCATCTAGGAATAGGATTATCTATACCTGTTTCAATCCCTCTTCCCGAAAGCCTAATTATCTAGTTCATCAATAAGACGACCCTATAATACACAAATGTTAGTATTTTAAATTGGTTTCAGAATTCACGATCATTCTAAACAAAAAATGTTATAAAATCTAAGAGAATTGAGATGTTTCAAAAGAGCAGATTATTTGAGAAAGAAAAAAAGGACATTGAGAACTAGCAACAGGCACAGTGTCCAGCGTAGATCTAGGCTAAAATGAAGTGTTATAATGAGAACGTGAGCCATCTGCAAGATGTTCCAGCTCTCCAGCATCATGAACCTGACCCTGAATTGTCAGAATAACCTCACAGATGTTCAGGATACCATCGTAAAATTTTAAAACTACAGAGAACCAACTCGCCGTTGGCAAAGAAACTCGGCAGGGAAGCAGACAAGCCTGTGTGAAGAATAGGAAGGTTATTAATGGAAGTCAGAGATGATCTACGGACGAGGGAAATATCTAAGAAGCTCAAGAAATGAACACTAAGTGAGAAAACGATCGTATGTGCAAACAAAAATCAACATTTTTCACGCTGTTATTCCCGAATCGGACTAAATGCAAAAAAGTGACCGCATTCATAGCGACGATCTTCTTCAACATCACTTGAACTGTAGCCCCTTCACTGTATTCATTTCCTCCAAATACGCTCGTTAACGAGCCCCGAGAGCCATCCGCTCGCAGCTACCGCCTCACCCTTCCTTCCGTTCACAAGACTCTCGATGTAGCTCGAATTTGAGGTCTTTTTAGGCTTCCCCTTAAACCTAGAATTGATGAAAAACTCATCGATGTAACAACTCCCATTCAAAAGATTCGCTTGCTCATTTTCAGGCCAATACCTCTGCTTTTGGATGGGGAAAAAGGATTAAAAATTGAAAGAACAAGCCTATTTACTATTCCTGAATGGACTAACCTGGCCACCTGTAGAATTTACGACTTCTAATACTGCTATTCGAATTAATAAATCGAATTAAAACTCTATATAAGAAAAAAAGATCCCTTGTTCTAGATGTGCTCGAAGAAAGAATCCGATTATGGAATGATGAAAGTGAAAACGAATGCTTGCCTAAAATGTAAGTCATCGCCAGTAACCTCCCACTATCTATGAGCTTCCTTACTACGTTCCTGATCTGGCCGTTCGACGTATAAAGCCGACAGAAGCACTGCGAGTCCCACGGTAGTCCCCGCCAAGTCCTCCACCGACTGTTAACGTGGTCCTCCCATCGTCCCCCGGACACCATCGCTCCCGAACCAGAAATCTGGACTACGGATTTCCGAAGTCCTTAGCATCGATCTTCCGCTTCCATGATCCGCACAACGGAGAGCAGTGGCGAGTCGCCGGAACGCGAAAGAAGTAAGGTGCCTCTCAATGTCCGCCGCTCGCCGGTTCCGTCGACGATTCCCGTCATAGCTGGTGGTCTCCTCGTGCGAGCCATGTCTCCTCTAAGAACTGTGTAGGGGGCCTCTCCTGTGGCATCGCCGTGGCGGACAGCCTCCATGCGAGTGGCCACTCTACGCTAAGCGGAGAGCAAGAGAGTAAGTGAGAAGGGGGGGAGGGGGTCACACGTGGTAGTCACACGAGAAAATCCAGCCAAACAGCCTAAAAATGTTTTGGAAAGTTTACTTATTTAAATAAAGAAAATTGATAATTGCGTTGGGGACCTATAACGGTCAGAATGGAATGGGGGCAAACCCGGGATATATAATCTGGGGAGACCTCCCGCTTTCGTGCGGGCGAAGCTTGAGAGCTGCGGTCGTCTGTAGATCCGATACAAGAAGGAAGGGGAGTAGGCGGAGGGGGTTGTGCTATGGCGCGTCCTCCTTCCCCAGATGCTCATCCCCATCAGCGGCTCCGCCTTACGAGATCAGACGCATAGGCGTTCCGGATTTTCTTGAGGCGACAGTGGATTGTTGGGCATTGGAGGAGGGTGTGGTTCGCATAAGGAGTTTAGCTGGGGAAGTGTCTGGGGAGGATGTTCATTGGAGTTGCATCGTCATCCGTTGCGGAGTCGAACAGAGTTTGGCTGCTGCATCTCATCTGTGGAGCTGCGGAACACAAAAGGACGGAGCCGACATCCGTCGTGCATTTGTTTTCCTAAAGAATTTCGTTTCTTTGTCCTGATTTCATTTGAGGGGGCGTGTTTCAAGATTGCCTTAGATCGGTCCACGCTGGCTGTTCCCTCCCGTCTAGGGCCAGGCGGACCGCAGGTCACGCACCTGGTCAGAGGATTCTCTTCCCCGCAACACTTTCCCGGGAGGGCCACCAGTGTAGATTTACTTTTCCTTTCATATATATTGCGTGCCATAGATGTTTATTACGTCTTCTAGGCGCGATGTAAGTCATTGATTGGGTGAATAAGCGGCTGGGATCGCTTTCGGTTTAATCAAGTCAGCCACTGGCAGCGCGATGGATCGTTTTACACCAGTTTCTGAAGAAGAGGAAGAAGAAAATCTCTGTGAGGTCGGTCTATCTCTTCAACCGTTGTTGTTTGCTTCATTTGCGGCTCTCGAAGTCGCATCTAATTCTTCGCGCATACAAACTTATTTACTTCAGTCGTATACTTTTACCTTTAAAATTCAGTGTGAAATTAAATAATGCATATTGGTTGTAAGTTAGAAGATTGGAATGCATATTGGTTGTATGTTACGTAGAGGAGTTTGACACTCGCTTGGGTAAGAAAATCCAGCGCCTTGCATCATGCATAATGTCTAAAGTTTTGAACACCATATGACGGTTCTTCTCTATGTTTGCTAATGAAGCAAACGATGGTGTACGCCTTTTTGCAAGTTCCTTAAATTTAGCCCGATCACAAGGTGCAATATAATCTCAAAGATCTGACGGTGATGCTAATAAGTTATATTTTGATGCCTGCATGCTCCCTCCTACGGAGATTGGCAGGATCCAGTAATAGACCATAAACTGATAAACTACCCACAAGTGTGATGAAGGGGGAGTTGCTGTGGCACGGCATATTATGGTTCCCTCCGGCTATTGTAATAAAGTCTATCTAATAATTTTCATAGGGAACGCAGCTGAAAGAAACGCAACAAAATACAGAGACGACAAATGTTTTTGGCATTGTCTGCATACTGTTTTCAATTGAATGTTAGAAGAAAATAGGGTTAAACTGTCATTGGATATTTTATTTTCTAGAAGATCGACAAATTTTGTAGGCTTTTCATTGACATCTGTAGTTTGTATCTCTCTGATAGTCAGATTGGCTTGGGCTGTTCTTCAGTTACCTTTGACATTGGAAAGTTGAAAGGAGAATGGATATCGTACAGTGAACAGGAAGTGTATATTAGGGTTGCAATTTGTCTGAGGGTTATGTATGGGCATGGTTGCACCATTCAGTTTTTTGTTATTATTTACATTTGAGGACTCTTCTGGGGCTGTTGTCGAAAGTGGGAGGATAAATTTTCAGATCTGTAGGCTGTTGTTTGAAAATAATGGTATTATCATTTTTGAGGAAATATTTGACCATGAGAGATCTCCTAAAGTCTGTTTTGAATTTTTTGTGATTGAAGGGGATGAATTATTCTTAGAACCATCTCAATAAGAATTTACCTTTGAGGACATGTCATTTTTGGCTACCATCTGTTACTGGATTCAAGTGGAGGTTTTTCAGCATAAAAGTTGTCCCTAGATGGAGAAGAGACATGAACTGACTTCTGTAGGATGAGAGGGAAACTGCGTTCACTGTAGTAGTGGATTCACATGAGTGGAAACAAGCATGCTTGGCTGATGCTAATTTCCTCTCATGTGTTGTCAATGTTTCTATGTATGAGGTCAGTGCTTATGTTTATTATCTTTAGATAGGTGAACCTTTCTTGAAAACAAAAGGTCAGTTACTTATCTGCCAAGGAAAATTCTTACGTGTCATTGAACCCAAAGACAAGTGAACACTTGGTCATTCACTGAAACACCCAATTTGGGTTTCTGATTAAATTATTTTTTGCTTCTTTTGCATCTAGCTACATAGTGCCTCATTTGAGTCTGTTCTTTTGCATCCGTTCTGCAGGTTGAGGGTTTTGATGACTTCACAGTGGCATCTTCATGGGAGAGGTACTACTTTTCTATCTAATAATGCTGTTGGCGACCACGTCAAACTTTTATTGAATACTGTTGTGGTTATGAGTCAACCATGAATGGATGGTAATAATTTTTCTCCAAGGAAGTTCGTTTTCTATTTAATACTAATTTGAATATAAGTATCACGATAATACTATGTTTGGCAGACAGGAATGAGATAAAGTTATTCCTGAACATTGAATCTAGGTAAAACTGCTTGATTGAGTTCTCGATTAATTCAGGTTGGGTTGGCGTGCTTGATCTTTGGTTGTTACGTGCCATACATATGCATATTGAAATTGACAAATTTAGCAGACATGTTTATCCAATAGCTAAGTGTAAGATGCTGGCTAACCTTTCACTGATCTTCCATTTGTTCCACTGAAAACTTACTAAGGCAAAAGCTGTAGGCTGGAGAATCTGGTTTTTCGATTTGATTATAGATTCTAGTAACTACTTCTTTGTTGGAGTTAATATCCATGTGCCGTTGCCTTCATTCTGTTTCTAGGATATAATGTTCCTAAGAATGCCATCTTTCTTAGTGGCTAGGAAATGAGCATCTCTATCCGATATACAACTCCCTGTTCTCCATGCAGTCACCAGGAAATATTTATCCTGTACATGTGGAATATATTTTATTTTATAGATTATTGCTGTTGAGTAATGTAATTAAAAAGAGATAAAAGAGTCGTTTGTGTTTCATATAATGGGTATGATATCTTCTAAATCTATATTTAAAACTAGATATTGGCCACTAGCAGGCTTGCTGTGTAGAGTATTATTGGCTGTAGAACGAAGAGCACCTTGTAAAGCCCAACTCAACATTTCCAACGCCAGGAAAGTTGAAAACTTGGGGCTAGTTCTTAGGTATTTCCATCTCAAGTTGCATCATACTGATCTTTGTTCCAAGTTTTTATTAGCTATGTGCGATATTTTGCTGTCAGTTTTTTTGCTCACATATATCTTAACTGTTGCTTTGTGTCTTTCTTTTCTAGATTCATATCTGATATAGAAACTGTCTGCCGGTCATGGATGGTTGATGGTCCAAAAAAATTATTGGTGAGAATTTGATTGTGAAAGTATGGGTGCATTTAATCCAGTACTTTTTTTCTTCAAGGGAATTCATCATGCATACTTGGAATGACAACTAAAATTTTTCTGTTTTGAGACTTGAATGACTTTTTTTAACGTGATCCTTCGATCTTGTTTTGTATCATTTGGAATATACCATGAATTTTAGTGGGTGTCTAGTCCCTGGAGGACCTGAAGATGCATGCGTCTAGATGATTTGTCCCATTTAATTTCAGATTGATGCTACTGTTTTAATTTTTCTTTATTTCATGCTTAATTCTGTTTTGTCTGTGTCCTCATCCTATATTCTTTGTTGAATTTTTTTGAGCATTTATTTTTTTATGATATTTTGAGTTGTTATTTTCTTTGTTTTGATTGCATTGTCTCCATTTTATCTTGTTTCCACTACATAGTAAGTGCAATGGAATGCAACGAACATTAAGAGAAGGCCATCCACTGGTGAATAATAAGTCGGAAGTTTAATACCGCAGGACTACCGAAGGTTTTATGGGAATCATTTTTTGCTCATTTGTGTTGAACAAGGGATAAACTTGACAAAGTATGAACTGAATCAGGTTAGAAAGAGAATTTTTTTGTGTTGCCTGGATGGTTTAATTTGTATGACACATGTTTGCTTGGGCCAAATGCGATGAATGTGGTTGCTTAAGTTCTGGAAGAAGCTGTAGAGAAAAAGGATGCATTCATTACTTTGTCTGTCATACTACTAGCCATGGTTTCCCCAGTGTCAGGACCCGCTTTTCTGGCTGTTGGTATGGTGTGCGGGGTATCTCCATCTGATAATGTTGTGTTCAGGACTGGGTACTACTCCATCCGAAGCATCTATTCTTGCTTTTGCATCACCAGATTGAACTGAGGAGAGGGCTTCAGACAAAGGGCCGATAATCTGCTGGTAAATAGAGGTAGCAGAATTCGTTGCTGGTACACAGAACAGCTATAGCTTCAGTACGTTGGTTATGCAGATCTGGCTGCCTAATTCGTCTTGAAAAGGGGTGTCACTAGGTTTGAAGCTGTGTTTGGGGGATTCTGTTGGCATCCTGACATGCCAGCTATCAATTAATTAAAAATATTTTTATAACATATATGTTTTTTATATTTTTAATCAACGTCTGTTAATGTTCCATTCTTTTGAGTTGTCTTGGGGAGAAGAGAGTCATCATACATGCATGTAAAATATATTATAGTTGCCATACAACATGCTAAATTTCTGAGGCAAATTTATCCAAATTTGGCATTGTCTGCAGGTTTGGGTTTGGAAATGTTCAGAAATTAGTATATTCGACTTTGATTAAGTGAAGCTTTCAGTAGCTCTTTTTTCAGCACATATTGATATTGTACTTGTCCCCTTTTAGAGATTTTCGTCACCAGTTACTGATAGCTGTGCCATAATGTGTTCGCATCTTTACATTACAATGGCGCTTTAAAGTTTAACTGGATGCTTATGTTATTGTCTGTTTCACCTTAATTTTTACTATTTTTTTGATTATTTTATCGAAGGAAAAAGGAGCAGAATATATTCGTTATCCAAAAAGTATTTGTAAGGTCAAATGTGAATTGAATTATGGGCCAAAACTTTATTGTATGGAGTACTACTTCCAAACCAACTGTGCGGGTACTTGTCGGATCCTCCAATATCTGAATCTTCCTTACCATAAATAAGACAATTGTTGTTTAATTGATGATCATTTTCCAATTCTGCAGCAAAATCTTCGGAATGGACCGATGAGTTACATGAATTACAGTTAATGTTTGGAGTGAAAGAATTCATGGTATGCTCTCATTTTGTTATTACAACCTTTTGGGTTTATGTTTATCAAGTTTGTTTATAAAAGTGATGCATTTGCTTATACATGTTTATTTATAGAAATTTTTTCTTATTGCAACAACTCGAAAGTTCTTTCTTCTTTTCCATACTCCCACATCTAATGGTGTAGATTTTGTGAGAAGGGTTATAACCAACCAAAATCAGGTAGGATGCGTCTTTTTATAAGAAAATATGAACATGTTGGTCTCCTTGAACTACCCTATTTGGTATTTGAATTAAAATATATGGAAAACATACACATCTATATCCATGGATTAAAAGCCTTATTGTTGGGTGACGGCGGCTTGGTTTTCAATCTTCTCTAGTTGGTGTTACTGCAGACCATTGTCGAGTGGAACTTTCTGATTTAGGGCAGACATTCTATCTTCAGTGATAATGAAACGCTTTTTCTTTGGAGAGGTAAAAATTCACATCTTTACGTGGCACAAAGGAAACCATCTGTTCTTCAGATGACAAAGAAAGCATGAACGTGGTCGATTTTAGGAAGAGCCTTGGTTCTGCAATGTAACTGGTACTTAATGTGCGTAGACAGCTCAGGCTAGCTCCAAAACCATGTGCACGGAAGGGATATACATCTGAAAATCACAGAGGAGGGATCCACCACTTGTCAACAATGCTTCAACAGATTAAAATCCAGATTGATTTACTGCAAGAATGTTTTCACGTCTACCTGTGTGAGCTGGGTAGTTCATTTGTAGCATGCTCTTTAGATATGAACCATTTCTGGCATGTTGAGGACTTGGTCTTGTCGCTTCAGGTTGACTTGAGTCGGTAAATACGGTCTTATTTGGCTCTTCTGCTCAACTCTTGTGTCTCAGAAGCGTAAAGACCTAGTTGACTTGTGTGTGTTGACATGAATTCGTTGAAAAATAATGTTAACATGTTCCTGCACAATACCAATTGAGAAGGATACGGATTTTGAAATTTCTGATATCTGATGTCATGTTTTTTCATTATACCTCTTTCCATCAACAGTGTGTTTCCGTTTCCATTATTTAAGTCTCCTTTTGCATGGTCTCTGGTGACTGTAGTTTCATTGGTTCACATAACGGATTGTCAGACTGGACATTTTTTTTGTGGAATTCCAGGTGATTGCACCTGCTACTGCCAGTGGAGTTGTCCTTGACGTACCTGAGGCTAGCAAGCTTCTTAGTTCTGTTGCAATTGCTTTGTCAAATTGTGGAAGGTGAATTTTTTGATTGTGCTTCTGTTGATGCTAAGTTCTTTCTTATTGTGTCGTGATCAATTCTCTGAATTCACTTCTTGGATATAAGTGTTCACAATAATGTGATTTGTTCAAGGGAAAGGACATTAATGGATGCTCCATGATCTTATCGAGAAACCATCTGTTATGATGGCTGATGAAATTGCTGCACGATAGGATTAGTCTGAGTTCTTTGCGCAGATATTGTATTTGTCGTGAATATCTAGAGGGGAAAATAGTGTCAGAATGAGAAGAAGAATGATTCCACTGTGGAAAAGAACGTATAATTAGGAGTTCGTTTCTTAATTGTTGCTTCGGTTCCTATTTTGCCGGTTTCCTAGTTGTCTAGTTGTTTGCTTGTTTGTGGCCCTGGTACTTATATATAACATTCATCTGCGATGTGAAAACGAGAAGAGTTTTTTCCCTGCATATTCTCCTGGGTTTGGGTCACTGTTCATACGACACAGTGAAATATTGCAATGAATACCGTATTAGATTGATGATAGATGCTTCCTAAAGCTGTCAATGGAAGATGTGTAGACGAAGAACAGAAAAAAAAATAAATGCCCATCCCCTTTCTCAAGTTCGGAACTTGTGTCGAGTGCCTGATAACAAAGCCAGAGAAATTTGGTATGAAATGATCGTCCTTGCATTATGATTTCAGTTTGTGTTGGGACAACTTTTCAAGAGGATGTTCAAAGACAAAGAAATCAGAATATGAATTTGAGAACAAAACGAGTGTTCATGGACATTTGAATAATTAGAGTAAGGTGAAATATTGGGACTCGGGCAGAAGTTGATTGCGATCAGATCAACGTCGCAGTTTTCAGGCAGCAAGGGTTCTGGCAAATGGTCCTCCGACTGATTTTTGTTTTGGCGTCAAGTTATTCGCGGTTTCTGAGCAGGGTTTTGGTGTCGAGTTACATTTGTTGGAGAGTTGTCAGGCAACAGTCTGTGGTATTCTGTAGGAAGTAGGATATAAAATGTTGGGAGTCTGGTGATTTTGGAGTTGTCATAACGAATACCATCAGATGGAAGCCAGGAGAATGATGTTGACAGCGAGAAAACAAGGGAAGGGAATTTATTGTTTTTTCAGAAAGCTGGAGGTAAAAATTTGGAGGGCATTGTCCTGGTTTGAAAGATGCTAGTGTATGCCCATGCGGATATTGTTTTGGGGAAGCGAAATGGACATTTACATTATTATTTTAGCTTGAAATGATAACTATGGTGAAACAGGAACATAGTGTAAGAGAATCACGCACGAAACTACTGGTGGAAACATCACAGGGCCTTTCATGCACATGTTTGCCATAATAAATGAAAGAAGATATTTTATGAATCATAATGATCAAGGGTTGATCTTAAATCATTGTTTTGGATTATTGGTCAGCAACATGATTCATTTGATGTTTTTATTTACTTTTTAACAGTGGACTGATTTCCTTTCTGCTGGTAAAAATGGTTTAGGGATTAACTCTCATACACATCCAAAAGTCACTGACGACCATGCTAGTGTCCTGTCTCATTTAGACTTCCGTTTTTAATTTTCATCTCCGAACTATGAAATGAATGACTGCTGGTGCCGAATTCGGACTTACGGTTTGTCATCATCTGACTGCTGATGCCGAATTCGAACTATGCAGCAACTGTGTGTAAGATAATTAGGTGAAGAAAAAGGCTTGTCAATCATTTTTTCAAATCTTCTGAGTTGGTTTGTACATTAAGATTTTGCACGATTTTTTGTTTCATATTTGCGTTATGCTTTGATATTTTTTTCTTTTATGTTGAAAGATGTTTTAATCTTGGATACACTTAATTTCAAATGGTCTTCTATGCTTCAATTACAGTATATGGCCTGCATTTGTTCCTGTGCATGATCCTACTCGAGAAGCGTTCTTTGGCATCCAAAACATGGGGACAATTTTTACTAGGAGGTTTGATGCAGATCGCATTCGAAGTCAGGTGCCCATAAAACTCATGCATTTGGAAGGACTGCACCAGCTATTTTTATCTAAATTTGTAAGTTTTCGGTCCCTTTTTGTGCAAAAAAATTAGAGTTTTTTATTGTTAAGATGATTTTCTACTGTCTCGTTTTTCAGTCATATTTCTATTGTCTTTTGGTCCTCAATGCGTTGTGTGCATTTTATTTGTGGCTTTTCTATTGGAGTTGATCTCTTTTTTGGTGAGGGAACGCAAGTTAACACATACTAACTGGAGGAGGTAGAGAAAAATGCATGTAAGCATAATCCTCACAAGGTAGATGCTTACCATGAAGAAATGTAATTTAGTAATCAACAATTTCAGGAATCCTAAATGAATAAACTTATTTATCCTAAATGTAATTTATGGAGTAACTCTTGAGTTTTATGTTGTCTTTATGATGTGCGACCTATTATTTGTGTTCCATTGCTTAAAAGATCTGTTTAGTCGTGTTGAAACTTCAAAGTGGCTGATCCAGATCTGTTTAGCAGGCTACCTGACATTGGACAGTTGTTTCATTTTCCTCCCTGTAATGTCATGGCAGTGTTCTTATGCTAGTTGATCCGCCAACATCCACCATGTGCTTGGACTATGTAGGAGAGGCCATTCCAACTCTAAAAAAAAAAAAGGGTACCTTCAGAATGCTAATTTGACCATTCAAGTTCACAAAACAAGAAAAAAGACAAATAAGAAAAGAAGGAAATAAAAGAGTAGGTGTGTTGAAACATATTGTTTGGTGATGTAGTTCGGTGGTTATGTTTGTGGTTGACAATTCTTGGTGATAAATAGAGAAAGTATAAAGGAAATGTGTAGCAACACCCAGGGATACTGTAGAAAGGGATTCGCTCAGATAGACAGAGAAAAGGGAAGGAGACAAAAGAGAGTGGGTCAAAACCCTAGTGTTTGAGGAGTTACAGAGCTCTTCACTCTCCTGTTGGCTAACCCTAATCTGTCAGGGCCCCCCTTTCTCTTTCCGACAGACCCCGTCCTATATATAAGATACTTCCTAAGCCTCTCTAATGGTTCACCATTGGGCCGGCCCACTATGGGTCCAGGCCCTGGACCCTCTTTCTCTTGCGGGAATAAGTTAGGCCCAAGGGCCAGACAAAATGGAGAAGAGAAAAATGATAGGACGTTGCTGAACTGTACCATGCAGGAGTGAGTCCATGATAATTTATAAGACTAAATTTTCCTTGAATAAGATCTAATTAGTCTACTTGGTTTTTGACTTGAGTGCCATTGACTCTTGTAAAGGTTGCACCATTCCATTTACACAATGCTACATTTTTCAAATTCGGACATGTCTGGGTCATCTGATTCTAATCCGGGCAAGCTAATCCGGATGGAGATCAACATTATCCCATCCTCTCTGGGGGGAGGATTCTGATCACGCCTTGAGTAGTTTAAAGGAGGCCCACTTTGAGTTGACTCAGCCAATTAAAGGACTGTGCTGACCTAGGATTTGCGAGAATTCTGGATAGATCTTCTGGTTTTCCACAAACCTAATTGGATCTTACTTGGTTCAAGCCTTTTTCAATAGAAATGCTGCTGTCAGCTGCCAGTCATAAGCAAAGTGGTTTGGGAAGGGAATGAGAAGAAAAGAAATTCACTTGGAGCCACCAACAGTTGCCATCATCCATCAATTTTGCCCACACATATATGTTTAACATTCTGTCAAACTACATGGAGGAACCGTGTCTGTGTATACATGCCTTGTTCCATCGCTCACTCTCTCTCTCTTTCTCTTGGTATCATTTCGTCTGTGTTTGTGTAAAGAAATATGTACTCCGGAAGATGTGTGCTTCACACTGTTCTGGCTTTATGGTCTTGCTGGTCTGTCTTTTCCTGTAGTTTGTATTGTATGGTCCAGTGTTTTGTTTGGTTGATCCAAGGTACTGGTATTTTTGACTTGATAGGTGAAAACAAGATTTGATGTTAATGGTATTCTTATCTCTTTTGGAGTGAGATAAGCATGCGTATGGTATCACAAGCAACTTTTTCATCTAACAGGGTCTTTCAGTGTGTGTGATAGACTCCAATGGATCTCATGTGGTGCGATCTGATTTACAGGGTTGTTTAAGAGTTTCTGCAGACACGTTTACATTCTTCCATTTTTTTGGTTCTTTAGATTATACGTTATTATTGCTGATTAAAGAAACGCCTACTTTGAAAATGTATATTTTTAGTGAATAACCTGTACATAATTCCTTCATTTTTGCTTCTTTGAAACTTTTTTATTCTAACTTCCTTGTTTTTGAATATTATTAATGTTTCATATTCTGTGCATCTTGATATATTGTATTGTAGGGCTTATACGCGACGGATTTCTCAACAAATTTTTTAAAGGTCAAGTTTTTGATGAGGCTAACTTACATAACTCCTCCATTTGATGGTGAAGATGATGCCCAAGTCAGGGAACATGAAGTTTCACAATCCCCTGGAAAGAAGGATATTCAGACCTACATCAAAACAATATGGGATGATGATTATCCCTGGTCAAATTGGTATTCTGCTGAAGATCCTCTAAAGGGTAATATTCTATTCCATTATGAAGTCTACTTAGCTCTTTCAAACATTTTTTTTAATCTCTTGTTAATGTGTAATATGCTCCTTATATGTTCATCTACTGTGCAGAATCAGATGTATGCATCTCGTTTCATTGTAGGACACTTGTATGGGCTTAGGTTAGAAAGGCGTTTGGAAAATGCAACATTACAAAAAATCTTCTTATATTTGTTTCCTTTTAATTATTGTTGAACTCTCTAGGATTGTTTTTCCTTTCTATCTGTTTCTTTTCACTATATGTTCGTCCTTCTTTGTCATTACCTATGTTAAGTGGATCCATTAGACTGTTAACGGATCCACTTAAAGACTAATGTAATGGGCCTGGCCCATTAACTCATGTAACCTGTACTTAAGCGGGAAACCAAGACAATTGATGTAAGATTTTGGGATTGCGGAAATTCTACTCCAAGAAGTGGTGACTGATTCATCTTCTTGGAAGAGGAGGATCTTGAAGATCAAATCTTTTTATTCTCCAAGTTGCAAGAGTTTCAATCAAGATCAATTCTCAACATGGTATCAGAGCGGTGCTGATTCTGGGAGGATCAGATACTTCTTGTTTCTTGAATCTTGTTTTTCTTATTTCTGTGTTGGAGCAACACCAAGGAAGAAAAAGACCTTCCACAAGTAGTGAACTGAGGCATTCTGAAAAGTACAAAGGAAAAAGACTTTCAGAATATATTTAGGGGAAGGCTCTTCGTCATCCATGGAACTCATATCATCTCCAGTGAGGACTGGAGAAAGGGAGAGACTATGTCATACTCTCCCAAATATCCCAGAGAAACTGAGATTCAATGGGATAAATCTTCATCAATGAGAGCAGTTTGTTGATCTGACACTTCTTGGAAGAGGCTTAACAGATCACTTTATAGAAGAACTATTAAAGCAATCAGATCCAAGATATAGAGGACGGAAAATGGCTGCTAAGTACAATGACACCAGAGATGTATGGGAATTTCCTATTCATGCACTCAGTAAAAGAATTGTGAGATTAACTTCACAAAAGCTGTTCAAAAAAACATAACGATTGGAGGATTTATGGCCTGGTGTCTAAGGAAGCACATTTAGTGCAAGGAAGTAAATTAATTATGGAATATTTGTGTGAATTAAAGGCTACATTGAGGGAGATTGATCATTATTGGCCAGTAAAGAATCCTAGTTCTGAGAAACACATGTATACATCGAAACATAGATTGTATACATTTCTAATGGGACTGAACTTTGAATGAAAGCCTCCAGGGTCAAATTCTCCATTGTGAGAAGGTACCTGATCTGGATGAAGCTATCCAGATTATTATGGAAGAGGAGAGTAGATTGAGTCTAATCAGGGAAGAATGAGTCAACAGCCTTCGCCTCCAGAAGCAAGATTAAGGGAATCAATTAGAGAAAAAGGAGGGAAATCAAAACCCAATCACTGCATCACAAGGAAGATATCAGAAGTGGATAACAAAGAAAGCCTTCGGTGTTCATATTGCAAGAAGAAGCGTCATACAAGAGAAAATTGTTGGTAGTTACATGGACGACCACCTCAACAGGGGAGGGCGTATGTGGCTACTTCTCAACCAGCAGAGACTATAGAAGGTCAATCTGCGATAAAGGAATTTCTCAATCCTAGTAATAAGAAGAAGGGTGATGAATTTGAAAGACTGAGGAAAGAAGTAGAGAAACTCGAGAATATTCTGAGCTCTACGTCCTTGGTTCAGTCAGGTGAGAATATTTTTTTCTCAAAATCATACACATTCAACAGTTTTTCTAAATTGTCCTGGATACTTGACTCTGGCGCCACAGACCATATGACCCCAAATATGTGCAAATTTGTTGATTACACGAAATGTGATGGACGGAGGAAAGTTATTACTGCTGGTGGTGAGATTCTACATGTTGAAGGGATTAGGAACTTGAAAATAAATCATTTAGGCACTTTAAGAAATGTTTTACATGTGCCTAAACTAAAGGGTCATTTGATTTCACCGCAGAAACTTGTTAAATATATTAATTGTCGTTTCATTCTTAAGGGCAATGGATGTTCATTGTGTGACAAGGTCTTGGGGCTGAGGATTGGACATGTTAAGGAGGAGGCTTGCTCTACTGGGAAGAGGATCGAGATAAATTCTCAACAATTATGTCTTCAGTTAGGACTGTATTTGGATCTATCAACAGTTAAAAAAAAGATCTTTTTTCTTTTTTTTATTTATTAAACATGAATTTGGAATATTATACAAAAAAAAAACATATTTGTAATAATGTGAGGTACTTATCCAAACCTCAAAAACTTTGATATTTGACCCAATGCACCTAAACGCTGAATTCATGCTATTTCTTCGGCTATCCATTACCTGACCTAGATAGTATGAACGCGAAAGATGGGCAGATTGTGATCCTCAAAATTGCAAATGGGATTACTTCTTAAGGATCTGGTGAGAGGATGACTATTTAGCCTGATCCACTAGTACACCTTCCTGAAATACACCTGGATATGAATACCAGGGAAATTACCTGGAAAAAAATACTTTCATCTGGTTTCCAAAACATTGCTGTATTTATCTCTACTATCAGGTTTGAAACTACAGTTCCTCCTTGCAGATGAAAATTTGGAAGGCAGATGAAATGAAATAAAAATAAAAATTGCACATGTTATTTCTATAGATATGAATCTGATCATTAGTATCGTGAAGCACATCGACCTATTTTTTCATGTTTCTTCCTTAACTGATTGCTCAGTTTTCTCTAAAGCTTAGCACCTTGGAAACCAGCTTGTAACTGCTGTTGTGGTCAGATATTGAAACTGATCTCTGGTGAATCTATTGGGATTAACCCTTTTCTCTCATTTCACTTAGCTTCTAGAGTCCACACAGTGGCCTTGAAGCTTTGAATCTTGATATCTATTTTCTCTTAGATTTTTTTAAAATTTTTTTTTATATGTCTGAAATATTTTTGGACTTATGTTGTTTGTTTTATATTTTACCTGACAGGTTTCGAGTTGACAGCCATTTGGTCAGAACACACAGTTGATGATTCTCTTGAAATGGAGGAATTAGAAAATGCCTCAGTATTTGAAGCGGAGAAATGGCTTCTTTCTCCCGTCTTGGAGTTAAACATGTAAGAAATAGTTTAGTTTTATTGAACTTTTTAATGCTCAACAACCATATATTAGATGCTGTGAATGTGGGCAGATTGCCTTGTGCACCATGAATTTGTTTCATCAAAATTATTAGCGTTTATATTACCTTAGGTTGTCTATTACCTATATCGGTTGTCGTGAACAGTGGCCAAAACCCTAGGAGGATACACAGAGGAGAAATTCAACTCGTATTCACGTCATAGATGACTGTTAAATACAAGTACGGGGGTCACAAAACAGGGAAACCACCTAACAACTAGGAAAACCGACAAACTGGGAAACGAACCAACAAATGGAAAGTCCAACTAATAACGCTCATATTACCTGAGGTTGTACATCACTAAGCGCTTATACTGCTTAGTGCACCTCGGATTTTTTTACATTAGATGTTGTGAATGTGCCGGAGGAGGTTAAGCCATATTGCACTTTATTGATGGAACATAATCCTTAAGATGTGCACGTGGAGATAATGGGTTGCTTGTCCTTTTAATGAGTAATATGAGATAAACCTATGAACATTTAGGGTTCATGAGATGCCATTGCCATAATACCTTATTTTTTCAGACCACCTTATATCTCAGTGGATTATGAATTACATATTATATCTCAGTGATGTAAAAGAGATAGATACCGGAAGGATCTTTGTCCCTGTTCTGGAGTATTTGGATTTTATGGTAGATGATGATCTTGATGACGCACGCTCTTTGTTCTGGTATTTAGCTTGGCTGTTAATGATCTGGTCTTCTGGGCACTTCGATTTACATTTTTTTTATGGGATGCGTATCTCCATTAATCACCACATTGGGTTGTGGTTTGCAGTTATTGAAACGCTTAGAATCTTTGATTTCAGTGATGATATCATTCTTTGTAGCTGTATATTTTTCGGCTGTATTGATTTCCATGGATGTAGACTTGAGCTTGTTGGAGGAACTGCAGACTTCATGTGCATGAAATATGATTGTGCGTGAATCTTGAATTATGAGGAACCATGGATGTTTATTATTGGCAGAACGTAAAATGAGTATGCATTCCACTATTTTATCAAAGAAAAAATGAAAAAAAGCTAGTTGCCCGTTCCAATTTTTACTTATCTTGAATGGCTGGATATCGTTTGAGATTTCTACTTCCAATTTTTTTTCTCTTCCTACCACTTTTTCGCTTTCACCATAGAATTTTAATCAGAAGAGTAGGAGCTAATTTTATTGTTTTGATTGTTCGGCTTTATGGAACTTTTCACCTATGATTGTTCGGCTTATTTTTTGAGGATTGTTGCCCGTTCGTTTGCGCATGATGGTTTCATTTACATTATTCAACTTGGACAACAATTTTTCCGGGGAGCTTCTGGGAGTTAATAAAAGTCCTGTGAATCAGGGGAGATCATTTGAAGCTTCTACCTTATCTTCTCTTTCTCTGTAGCCTTATAACTTCAGCATTTTATTCTCGGTTTACTGGAGTCATTAATCTGATTATTTGTTCACTCTGTTCTATCTTAAGGACCGATGATCCAATGGGTCATTTTATTGGATTTTCCTCCCAATTGCGACTCCTTGTCAAAGCATTGGATGCCTCATTTGAAGTCAAATTTATCGAAGATCTCATAACAGGTTTGCAATGAAGTTATCTTCATTCATTTTCCAGTACTATTTCAGGATATCGTTATGCATAGAGTCCCTCGATATAACTAGTGTTTCATTGATTTTTGTTAGATGGAAATCCAGCTTCTGTGCCATCTCCATCAGTTTTAGATCGTGTACTGAAAGGACTATTTCATGATGGTAGGAGTGCAAACAACCAGTTTAGTTACTAATTCAAGTTATCATTTTTTGGGTAACTTTTTATTTTATTTTAATCGTCTTATTTATCTCTTCAGTCATACTTTCCAGTAGTCTTCATGAAGTCTGAATGTGGTAGTTCTGTATTTGGTGTAAGATCCTAGAATGATATGCCTGCAGATTTAGGTTTTTTATCGCTATATATCAAGTCGACACTAATATTTCAAAAGCCCGCGCCAGAAACATGTTTTGTCAATGAGACAATTGGAGGGCAAAGGAGCTGTGGGCTTCACAACACGTAGTGTTAGTGGTGGTTGTGCTGTCAAAATTTGTCCCTGGAAAACTTTTGTGAGGTAAATACCTGAGAGCTCCATCACGGTTAATCTGATAAGAATTGAGTGAAACAGACTGTAATCTGATGGGTCTAATCATGACCCAACCGAATGCTTCCAGAAGTTAAAATTTCAGTATCTGTCTAAAATCAGTAACTTTGGGATTCTAGCTTACCCTGAAAGGGACCAGTTTTGGACTAGCTTACACATTAATAAAGTTGGCCTTATTCCTGGGCTTCTCAATAAAGGGGAAAATATTATGGCATTGAGAAGGCTGGTAGGCTATGTAAAACTGTGGGCAGATAGAAGATGAATGACATGACTTCATTGCCATGGGTATTAATAAGGCGAAAACCAAGACAAATCAATAGGATGAATACAGCCACGGTCCTGCAATAACGACTGTGACAACAATGTAACGATGATTAGTAATTGGGCCGAGTAGACTTCTAGCTTTTCAATAGATTGGTTTCAATCTTAAGAAGCTCTAAGGATAGATTCCCAGGAAGCCAATTAATATTTTTGGGTTAGTACATCTCTCCTATTGCGTTAATGTCTTGCAATCCCTATCCAATGGTCCTGGGTTTTTACTTTGGGAAGTTGATAAGTTGTTAGCAAGATAGCATGTATCCAAATCATTGTATCCTTAATGAGGGTTGATTCATATTCATTGGACAACGCTTGATTGCTTTTAGATTTTAATCATTTCTTGAAATAATACTGGTCCGAGGTTGTCTCATATTTTAATCATTTCTTCAACGCTTGATTGACCTAATTTTTTTTAAGTAAACAGCAGATAACAATGTAACATTTTTCCCAGGAGGTCAAATTCCAGACAGACAACATGATCATGGGATTGGTGGTACCATTAAAGGAGCACCCCTTGGATCACTTTTTGCTCAATTTTGTCTGAATGCTCTTTGGTTTGGCAATTGTAACATCCATGGTAATCTTCATTTTTTGATACCTGTTATACTGTGCCCCTGTGTTCTTGTTTGCCCTAAATGGTGTACTATTTGTACTTTTAAATCAACTTACGTTTTTGGATTTTTTTTTTGATAACTAGCTATTGCGGTGCTCTGGATAGAATTCGTCCGGGAAGTACGATGGTGCTGGGAAGAGTCTCAACCTTTGCCAAGAACCATGACTAATGGACGCATTGATCTGTCATCTTGTCTAATACACCAAAAGCTACAAATGGTACCGTATTTCTTTTTTCGTGAGTTTTATATACGCAAATTATTAACCCAATCTTACAAGGCGAACATGTGTTTGTCGTGAAGACCGTGCTTTTTTCAGGTTTGAGAACAAAATTTTCCCACCCTGGATTGTTGGTGGGCTGTTTCTGGGTTTTATTAGAGTTCCCCAAAATATCTACCTAAAGAAATCACAATATCTACCTAAAGAAAACCATTCCTTGTAGAAAATATCTTACAATCGAAAAAATTGTAGTTGAATCTGCTGATTCTCGACTGATCCTTCTCGGTTTGGCCGCACCAGGTTGTTCCAAACCATGTACAGAATGAAAAAAAGAGGATTGCAGTTAACCTACTCCTCACTTCCATTTCTTGCGTTGATTCTCTTTACCTGTTTCATGTTCTGGGTTCTAACGTTTACGGCAGTGCCCATTTTTATTCTGATAGTTCAAAAATGTATCTTCCAGCTAGCAATTTGCATAGGAAAGAAGGGCGTGAAGCGTGATGTCAATGGCAATAGTAGTGTTTCAGATGTTGACAAGGTGCTGTTTGTTACCTGTTTCCTAATACTGTTCCAGTATGTTACAAGTTTAGTGAATGCAAGATTCATTTTGGCCTTATGTCTTGAGATATTTTTAATGACCGTTTGTTAGAATGGGAAAATTTCAGATTCAGAGGAATCGATTGCGAACTGGGAAAGATAATACCAGGTGACTCTTGTAGAGTTTTGTTATTCAATCGTTCAAATATTTTAAATGAATTAATCTCTCTTTTTTTAATGACCGGAATTATAAATGTTTCACATTTTTGTTTATAATCTTATGCTTTTTTCTGAAATATTGATACGACACAGTATATGGTCTATTTGATATGGCCCATATCGAACCTTTTCATGCATTAGGCCATTGCATTCATTTATGTATTTTTTATTCTCTTGGATCTAACCATGAATGCTATTTTTTCTTCCTTCAGTGACTATCAGTTTGGATTTCGTCATATTCTTTTGTGAAATATGGATGATAATTTTCATCATTAGTTCTCCATACTATTTCATCTAGGGGGGGTGTTCACAGGTAAGTGAGGATTGATATTTGGTAGAGAGGAAGTAGAGACATATGCAAGGGTTCATCATGGAATTTCCTGAAATCAGCAGGGAATTTTGTTGTCGAGAAGTGAATAAATATAAATTAAGAGAATAAGGGGAAATAAAAGTGGATCTTCACATCGAGTTGGTTTAATTATGATAATTTGGATGATTTTTCCCTGTGATAATGGATTGGGGAGATATTTCAGACGTTAATGTGAGGTGCATTTTTTTTTTCCTTCGAGAATTATTGGAGGAATCCTGGGGTCATCATGGTCAAGGTTTGTTCGCGAGGATAGGGTCCATCCTCTTAATTTTGAAGATATCCTATCTATCTTGTACTGAATTGTGATCTATTGACTTCGTCCGCATTGGACATCTTTCTGTGGGATGCTATTAACCTGCCCCAAAGTCGCATTTTTTTTATTACAAGGGTTTTTTGTGACGGAAGACTGTGACCTGTTATAAAAGTCTTATTTGATAATTGCTCATTGGTCAATCTACCTTGGTAATAGAATCTATAACAATTATTAATTTATTAATTCGATTGCTAGAGGAACTAAATCACAGCAGGATATTGGATACCCCAGTTATCAGTGTAAATGCTTGGAAAGAAAAAGATATAGTAATTAAAAGAATGAAAAGGGTAATATATATATGCTCATGTACGGTGAAAAGAATAACATATGTGTAGCTTATAGGCCATTGTAAATGACTAAATAACTTCTGACCGTATAGCTATTTATCTGCATCTTAGTTCGGTGACTTGTGAATTCTTTGTGATCTCCGTATTGTCTAAAATCTTTCACTCAGGCTCTTAACTTTTATGTTAATCCTCTCTCAGAGAATCCTGTTTAATTATACAGAAAGAATACAGGGGGCCATCAATATCACTAAAAGTTTTAACTTTTCCGTTCATTGTCATGTATTTTTCATGTGAAGCTTGAATAACTTTTGATGTGGTGAAGCTTCTTCTAGAATTCCTTCTATTCCTTGATGACCTATGTTACTCGTAAAAAGATAATAATCACGGGTCAAAGCTACATAATAAAAAGTCGGCTACTAATCTAGAGATCATGTTAACTTTTTCCAGGTTACAATCTTCGGCTCAATTAAGAAGGGGATCATCTGGCGTTGTGGGGAGCATGATGCTTTTGCGTTCACGTCAGAAAATGCATGCCCCTTTTACACAGGTTTTTAATTGAAGTTTTAGCTCTTTTCTTCAACTGCTGTTTAATTATGGTTTATTCTCAACCTATTGTTATTTTGTATGAAAATTTAGGATCCTCCAATTATGACAGAAGACATGCATGAAGAACGGCTCCAAGCAGTTGAAGCTTTTGGTGATGAATTTGTAAGTTTTCGCAGCTTATTTCTTCTTGCATTTGTTATAGGTCTATTCCATGACCGAGGAGGTCAACTGCTAAGGAATACTTGGATAACTAAAGAACAGAGGTGATTGCCTTCTAGGAAACATATCAAAATATACAAATACATCTGGGCCAACCCCTATGTGCAAAGGGCTGACCCCTTACAAGTTTTTTATACAATGGAGGGTTGGTGTAGACAAGGAATAAGTACAAATTAATTGATTAAGTATAAATTAATGTAAGCCAGATTTTTTTGACATCGAAAACATCAGAAAAAAATCATAGAACTTGTAAACGGTCTACAAAGATTAATTCAAAAAATTGAGGCTTCGTCATCATTTATGATGTATATTTGTTTAATATTAGGTTACATTCGAGGTCAGATAACGTTTACCAGACTAGATTGTTTGATTCGCATGAAACTGTGTAATTGTTTGAAGCCGTTTCAACTAGTTAGCATTCATGTCATATAATATATTTATTCATATTAAAACTTTAAACATAAATAGGTTTCTTGAAATAGTGGAAACATAAGGATTCTTCTCATGAAGTGTAGTTTCTCAACAAAACATAAATCTTTGAAACTCCCCACCCTACATTCGAGGTCCTTACCGTTTTACCCGTCACATTCGAGGTCCTTCACGGTTGACCTGGGAGTTGCACCACGGATAGAAACGTCATCATTGATGGACAGAAATGGTAGTTGTAGGGAGAGGTGGGAGTGATAGTTCTTCTTCTTCGTCCTCTTAATTTTTCCCATTTTTTTCTCAAAATGAAGTTTCCCCAAAAAGGGTCCATATTCAGTTGAAACCACAAAATAAAGGAATATCGGATCTAGTTGTGCGCGATTCGCATGAACCAGACCAATGCTGTGCAGTACACTCGGTTTTTGAGGTCTCTGAGTAGAAAGCTTCCCGAGATGACTAAATCCGGTCGTTTGTGATTAACTAATCGCTGTGAATCATATTCATGTCCTTAGTTTTGAGATTGGTGTACTGTGTTTGATTTGTGTATGTCAAGGAAGTCAGGTAATGATGTCTTGTGTATCACTGAACTGATTTCTTTTTGTGATAAACGTAGCAAATCAAAAGATATGAGGTCGTTTAGTTGACTGAACCTCATACGTGTTGATTCTTTTTAGCATATGCACTAGTCACAAACATCATGATGGTATAAGCGGAAGTATGAATCAGCCAAAAGTGTAAAGTCTGGAAGAGTTTTTTATGTTGTAACTTTGATAAATATGTGGTATTTGCAATTTAGTCATTACCTCCTTTTTAGCCTCCGTACATTTATGTTCAGACCTATTCAGTAAGGGCAAAATGACTTCCTAGGTTTCAGTGAAAGAATTATAAATGTGAGGAAAAGAAACCACTATGGCTTTTTATCTCCCCTTGTGACTACATTCAGGAGGTTGCTGTAAAATGGATCAGGTCGTAAAGGACACAATTTCTTGAACAATTTTTGGTCATGGGAATTGTGTCTACTAGCTTTCCTACGAAAATTGCCATTGCTGAAAACATTACTGAATTAACTGTTAGATTTTTAGGTATGTTTCAGCATCATATTCCCATTCATTTAATTATTTTGGATTTCTATCCACTTTAAAAGATACCCACCAATGAGTACAAGAAATAAGTGATGGATGGGGCGGAACTAGGATTATGTGGTACTTTGTTATAGTGCCGTCGGGCTTTCTTTCGTATCATGTAAACTAATATTAATACTTTTCGAATGGAAGACTTTTCTTTCCATTTTATGTATCACATTGTGTCTCAAACATAGTGGTCGTGTTATATAAGGTTCATGGCGTATAAAAATAATTGAATGATAAACATGGAGTATAGATATCGGACCTTTTAACGTTTCTTAATTCCACGTAGATTTCCACCTGCAGCCTTTGGTGCATAAACGAACTTGTCTGACTCTTCCATTTGATCTATTTATGGTTTATTGAAGCATACTAACTTGGTTCTTATCACAGAGCTTTTCTGCTCTGCTGGAGAGGGAGATTTTATCTTCAGGTAAAAAGAGATCTATGTTTCATTTTTCAATTGACTTTCTTTCTGTTGAGAATGTCGTTTGTTATGAACTTGGTGTATTAGTATTTTCCACGCACTCTTGAATTTAGATAACATTTACCGCGGAATACACAAAAGTTGACATGTTATTCCATGTCATTCAGTACAATAAACTTCTGAAGCTAAATAAAGTAGGCCCGTGATGTCTTTGTATCCTTATATAGTACATGTAAGTTTCCAAAACGGTATCGATTAGTGAATTAGTAATACTGGTATGCTTTTTTCTTTCCAGGAACAATTCTTTTACTATGCATAGAGAGAACAAATCATCTATTTATGTTCTTAATATATTTTTGTGATGGAGTAACCCAAAAGCAAAATTGAAATTTTATAAATGTCAAGTTGACAGCAGTGCGAAATACTGGTATGAGGGGAACCTCAATAGAATCCTACTAATCGTAAAAACTTTGTGAATTGAATGGTGCACGTTTTCTTTTTCGTTTTAGGAGACGGGAGGACCAAGGGGGCCTGTGTTTCTGGGTACACCGTTTTTATTCGTAAAATAGCATCACAGGGAATGCAGTACAACAACGACTATGATGTTAAAAATGAATTCAGTTTGCCTTCGATTACTTCTGTAGTCAACTTCATTTGCGAAATATAATTTTATCAACGGTTGTAATTTTAGCGACGGCTATTTTATCAAATTATAATGTATACTTCTAGTTAATGTCATGTCATGTTAACTGCAGGATGATATGGTAAATTTGTAGCTTTATTTGCGGCTTTAACTGGTTCAGAATTCCGCGCATTATGCTTATAGAATAATCTGCCTCATTATGAACGAGCTTGGTTATTAATGAAGCAAAAAATAAGACGAACATGTATGGCTATCTTTCCCCACGTTTTGTTTTAGTCAGAACACCTATTTTATTAAATAGTTTTTTCGAACCTCATTGTCTGATGTCATTCTGTTTTTACAACATCGTTGAAGGGATGATCTTTTGGAAGTATTAAGTGATTCTCTTATTTTCTGTGTATACTCTACCAGACATGTCTGCTTTTAAAGCTGCAAATCCAGATGCTGTTTTCGAAGACTTTATTCGATGGCATTCCCCTGGGGATTGGGAAAGTGTTGAAAATGAAGAAAGGAGCAGCGCCTCAGAGTCAGTGAGAATGAAGGGTGATTGGCCTCCTCGGGGCAGACTTTCAGCACGGATGTCTGATCATGGGAATTCTTGGAGGAAGATTTGGGATGAATCTCCATCTCTGCCTGCTTCAGAACAAAAGCCTCTTCTGGATCCAATTCGTGAAGGGGAAAAGGTTGCACCTAGTTCTGTGACTCGCAATATTCTCTGTGGCTTTGAAACTTTCCTCGTTCCAATTACATAGATAGCCTATTTCTTGCTTAGTTGACTATTTTTTCTTCGAATAGTACTATTTAATGATGTAAACCTTCTTATCATGTACCTGTGGTACCGCCCACTGATGTGTTTACAATGTTTAGTCATGTTTTACTCATTGGGTTAGAAATGACTGACGGGAGGGATGCGTATAGGTCTGGCCGAAACATCATGATTCTTTAATTTATGCAGTGTCGAGTAAATTATCAAGGTAGCAAGTAGCTTTATAATTTTATATTGTTTGCGTAAGAATCATTATGATTCTTTAGCTTTATGAATCAATTGAGAATGACAAGGCAGCATATAGATTAGTTTTACTGGTTCAAAGTTGGTTTTCCTTTTAAAACAATGTTCTCAATCTTCAGCCGCTAGAATGTGATATTCTTATTTTTTCCTTGAAAACCCATGATAGTATTTATGAAGTAACATAATTCTGGAACGTGCGGTGTATGCTTTTGAAAATGCTACCCTTTGTTGATCTTAATGTTATTCTTTTATTGTTTTTATTTTAAAACACTTGGGTCCGTCTATTCATAGATATCTAATTGCAGATACTTCACTACTTGGAAACTTTGAGGCCCTGCATGCTGGTCGAGCAAATGATATCCTCTGCCTTCAAAGCATCACTGGACACCCTAAGCCAAACTTCCTATGGAGATCTGAAACAAATGAAATTGAAAATCGAACAGCTCTACAAGACGATATCAACGAGTTTGAAGCCTTTGAGAGGTATTTTAACCTGCATCACAGGAAATAAGCTTAAGCTTGTGTATTTTTATTTTATTTTGTTCATATTCCTTTACTGTAATTAATATTTTTTAGTGCAGAACAGCTGCCTTCTCTCTGTCCAACAACATCAGTTAGTGTAGCTAAATTTGTAATTTAGGTTACATATCCTCACAGGTGCTTGGTGCAAATCTCTGAACGTACTAATATCTGATTTTATGGCCGAATTATCTGCAGAAATTTCCTCTTACTAAGGGACATAGAACTGGAACCAGTGTAAATAATCTTAATAATGTTGACTGAACGTTGATTCGTTGTTGTTCTGTCTCCACAGGAAACATTGTCGCTGACAGGGCTGAGCTGATTGGTGATTTGGTCCGTCTATGTGCTGTTTTTGAGCATGTGGAGAAACTCTTGATCTTCGCCGCATCCATCCGCCATAAGCTGGCGGATGCTACACGCCTCTGTGAGGCAATTTTCAGTGACTTCTATAATTATTACCTCCCCAAGATGGGAACAGGCTCGTCAAATATATGCTACGACAAGGTGCATCAATTATCTTCCCTCTCTGGGCTTTTTGCTCTAAGTAGAGAGACAGTTTATACATAGTCTATACTCGGCCATATTCTTGCCTGCAAGTAACCTGAATGCCCGCATCAACTCAAAATCTGCAACCCCAAGATGGACCCCTTGTTTTGTCAGAGGCCATTGCTGTCTTTTCATTAAACTTAACTTGATATGCTTATGCTCATCAAAATTTTCAGGTATTCAAGAGCAAGCAACTCATAAAGGCGCATGAGAGGGAAGTGATCATCAGCCTATTTCCACATCCTACGGCCAACCAATCCTGGAGGAAGGTCTTGAGCATGGGTAACCTTCTCAACGGCCATGAACCACTCACCAGGGAGATCATATTCTTAGCCCATGATGGTGCAACCGATGATCAGTATGGCAGGAACGTTCCCAGGGGATCCCCTGGAGAGGTCTGTACGCATCGTATGTATGTCTGTGGCACATCTAATGATTTGCAGGTGGCTTTGTCTGTGACATCATGGGATTAAAGCTCGATTTAGCATGATTCTTCGTCTTCTATATTATGAAAAATGGATGTAAATGCATTTTTCTCCCCCTTCTGCGTCCCATAATCAAAATGGGCGTCTGTAGTCTTGGGGCGACCCATTGGACCTGTCTATACCTCTTTTGGGTAGGCGTGGCTTTCTACTCAGATGATTGAATGCAATGGATTCCTCATCTTGCGAAAACTATCAGGAATGTGAGTAGACCACTTATGAATCAAATGATTTCACATTTATTGAATTTTTGGTTGTCTTTAAAGCTATAAACTCATTTATAAATTTAGAGGATTCCTAAACGTGCGAGGGTGGTAAGTCCGTATGGGCTTCTCAACTGGTTCATTTGAGAGATTTTACTACCCATCATTCCATAAAAAGCAGCCTGAATGGATGCCATAAAGGGCTCATAACATGCCCTTGTAGATCATATGACGGCGAAATTCTGGAGCTTTTTCTTTTTTTTTTTTCTTTTTTCCCTGACGCTCCCTATCCTTTCTTGCCTAAAATGGTAATCTCAGTTGGTGATTTCTTTTTTATTATTTTTTTGATCGAATGGTAGGGAGCCAATGAGGAAGCACTTATCTGGCCACCACCCTTGTTCGTGAATAGGCACAGAATGCCGGTACCCTTTGAAGACCACGGATCTACGTGTTAGACTCGGAAGCTTAAAGACGCCTGCGGATTCCTCCCAGAGTTCTGGCTCAGCGCACGTGCACCTGTCACCGTGGTCTCAGTTCAAGAGAAAGCGATGCCAGGCGAGCTCTCTGACTTTTGAATGCCGGTCGTAGGGGCAGCGACCGCCGACGACCCCGGGACGAGGGTATCACTCAGATTCAGCCTACGCTAGATAGCCAACCTGAGGGCTAGATCCTCGAGTGGAGAAGATATCTTAAGGATAATTGAATGCGCACAGAGAGGACTACTACTCTTTGAGATTCAGAGCTTTTCTGGAGCCGGTGTTAACTCATGTGGGATCGCCTGTCTCAAGGAGCCCATGTGCACCATACTGCGACAGCCGTTTGACAAAATCTCTCTCTCTCTCTCTATCTCTCTCTTGATGTTAATTCTTGAAAAAGGGAGTGTGACGATACCTCCCGGCGTAGGAAGAGGTGCCCAATGGCTGAAGTCAGTGGGAGAAAAAGCCATTCGAGCCCCGCCGCAGGACGATGGGCTACCAGGGAATCCCCGTCAGTGAACTCAGACATCGGACGAGCGCCACCGACGCCCCAGACAAGTCTGGTCTCCTCATCGATAAGATAGGGGAATCCCCTTGACCTCCGGTCCTTCCATCTGAGCAAGCGACAGGTGGGGGAGGGGTGCAAGTACAGAGGGTGGGGCAAGGAATCGATCGCTGTGGAAGACGAACCATCGCCAGTGGGGGTATGGGCGGGTTGCCGGTGGGAACCAGTAGGGAGAAGTGCCCCCGCCGCATGTTCCTCCTATCAGAGACGGAGACCCCGTACCTTCACATGCCGACTCACCGTCCCTTCGAATTTGGTGGCCCCGCCCTTACCCACTGCTGGGCTGACAATCTCTATCGGAATAGCCACCTTCTATCAATCGGGAGGAGTGATCTCGGTATGTCCATAATTAGAAATGATGGTGTGTCGTGAGGAAACAAATCGATATTCTCCTGAATATGCCTACTGTTCCTTGCGTCCAGCTCACCCCACCCGGGCGTCCGTCCCGTCGTCTATTTCTCAAAATCGATGAAAAGAATAGAAGGAAATAGGGTTCTCGTCTACTCTGGTTTCTTACGTCTTCCTCGCCGGTTTCGTGTTTCCCCGTCCCTTGCTTGCCTGGTTAATCACAGCGGTAAAGACTCATGCCCTAGACTAGTCTTCTCCCCGTTGACGTGCCAGTATCGCTTTGGTTGACGAATCGTGCTTGCCCAACTTGGGATGAAGTCAACGTAAACTAGCCGCTGCCATAGCGAGGCAAAGGTTCAACTGGGCGTTACGGGAGTCCTTTTGCGAAGTGCAAGGCGCATTCTGAGACTAGTCTCCCAGAGATTGGCGCGTGAACTGGCCTCAACGGGAAAGGCAACCCCGAGATGTTTACCCCTAAGCGCGGTAATAACGGATACCATCAGAGAGAGAAGGATTCGAGGGCATCTCAGAGTCGTTCGTGAGGTAAAACGGAAGATTTGGCGAGGGCGATGTGGCCGCGAATGGGTGTTGCGACTGAAGCAGGAATCTAGTTGGCCATAGTAATAGTTTAGGAGAAAGTTAAGGACCAGCTGGTCTCTCGAGGGAATTAATTAGACGAGAGTTCTATAGGCTCCGGGGTGGTCCATCGGCTAATTATTCCCCCTACGAAAAAGGAGACCCAGAGAGCTCAAATGGGTGCTCGGTCAATTAAATATAAAGCCTATCATTTCCTGGGTATCCGCAGATCTCCAAAGACGAACTCGTGGATTGATACTTGGCAGCAACTGACTAGGCCTGGCCTCGTCGGTGGCTCAGCCTGACAGAGGCTAGGCTACCTATTAGCGTGCGGTTTATTTATCTTTAAAAGCCTAATAAAGTCCCAGCTGAGGATGTCACGAGAGAAATAGATTTCCCGGGGTGCAGTACTCCGTCATCGTAGTTTAAACGGAACACATGAGAACTTCAGACGTCTCTCTCTCTCTCTCTCTCTCTCTCTCCATCTCTATCTCTCCCGATCTCTCTCTCTCTCTCTCCCAGTCTCTCTCTCTCGCTATATCCATATATATATATATATATATGGAGTTATGCACATTCGCATCCGCTATTTGCTTTGGCAGCGTTGATCATTCGTCTTAAATCTTAATCATTGGGATCCGCTGATTGTTATATCACACCAACCATAATTTCACCGATTTCTATATATGGAGTTATGCACGGTGCGTTTTATTCACCGATTTCTTCGGGAAATGAACTAATCAACCTTCCTTTCCATTTCAAATTTTGAAGAAGGAAATCGATTTCAGGGTTTTATTATTATTATTTCCTCTCTTGTCTAAATAGCTTTGCGGTGCAATAGACAGAGCTTTCTATTATCTGAGAAGTCGGCCTCGTAATTAAACAGGCTGCTTCCTTGCTTTTGACTGGATGTGATGATCGATGGACATTAAAGTAAAGGTCTGAAAAGAGCGTGGACTGCGACAGATAGTATCAGAATACTCGAGCGATAAGGACGTAAGATCAGGATCCTACCGTAGATTATCAGAAAATTAGCTAGAAAGCGGAAGCAAATGGAAAACACTCGCCCCCACCACCTCCCAACATACTGTTTACTGAACAGTACTCGTTGGTGAGTCTGATTGTTACTTTCACCTCTGCACCTCTCTCTCTCTCTCTCTCTCTCTCTCTCTCTCTGTGGCTCGCTCGCTGGGGTTGGTGTGTGTTCTATTTATGGGCCAGAGTGCTCAGGCGTCTAGCTAAACTATTTCGTGACGCCTGAATAATTGAAGGAATCGTTTTCGTTGGTGGTTGGCCAGCCTGCTCCACAAATTACACAGAAAGAAGAAAAGAAAAGACACCATCAACAGAGCTAAGCTAGGTCGAGCTAACCCTGGAGAGGGGGAAAGGAGTGGAAGCTGATGTCGTCAGCGTGTTTCCTTCTAGAATCTCCTTGCTCCGGGGTGCGCATTCGAGGGAGGGGTTGTCTCCTGGTGGGCATTGGATTCCTCCCTTGCCTCTCTTCTCAGTTTCTCAAAGGTCTGTTCTTTATATTTTACGCGGAAACTCTCCCCACGGGAATTCAAATGACGCGATATCAGCAGTATAAACCTATTTTTCAGCCTTAGTAATGCAGAGGAAGCACTGCAAAAACAAAACCCCGCCATGGACTCCACACGGAAGACTCTATCGGCAATCGGCTTTGTCATCTGAACGGCCCCCCGATAAAAACTAAGGTAAATGCGATGTGTGCATGCGTGGGGGCCAACGGGGTGCACCATCCAGCTCTCTGTTTTGGCTTCTCTCTGCCGACCGTTCCCTCCTCTCGCCAGGGTATGTTGTGGGGAGCATAGTGATAGCTCTCTGCATGCGCAGCTTCAGAAAATGTCTCTCGTTCGTCAGCTTTTGCGTCTGGTGGACCTCCCACTGCGTCATAATAATGGCCGTAATTATTGTTTTGTCATATTGTTAATCGATAGTGCTATTGTTGGCACCGAATAAGTTGATCTGTCAATGCAAAGATCAATGGAAATTATATCTTGATTTAATTCGTACTACCCGACCGAATTTAATGCAATCATTTGCTCATTCCATAACTGAATATTCATATTTTCATTAAATCAGAGGGATTAGAGTGGGATTTAAATCGTGATCAAAGTATTCATCTGGCGGGTTAACGAGACCCTGGGGATGGAGGGCGGAATCTTACCAGCTGTGTTCTCGTTCCGTTCTTGAGAAGGTTAACGTCAGATCTTATCGGATCTCATGGGGACTGGGTATTGCTTGTTTTTATATGATGTGACGATTTGTTGCCGTGGGGGCGGGTGGGGTTCAACGCCGGGTGGAGCAGACAGGGTTCCCCCTCGTCCACGAGCTGCCTGCCTCTTTTCAGCTCCATGTACCGGTTATTCTTCGAGTCGGGCGAGGAGGGGATTTCTTGATGAAGAGAACTCCGTGGGTTTACTGTGTGACACCCCTTGCAACTTAAATGCCTGCCATGGTGGAAATCAAGAAAAAAGGGTACTATGATACAGAAAGTAACCAAATGGCCTGGGGCTCCTGAAATTTGTTTCATCTGCTCCATCCAGTGTATATAATATAATGAACGCAACAAAAATCACTCTGACCACCGCGTGGCATATTCCTTCCAGGAATGGATGAAGCTGGATGTCACCCTGTGGAAAGAGGAGATTGTAGAAGTTTTAAGTAAAGATGGTCAGTTTTATGGATTGGACTCATTAATTGATGTTATTTTTTACTCATTTTTATGGCAATAAAGCTGATTGAGTAATATTTCAAAAATGGCATGTTTTATTTAGGAAAAAGGGACAAATGGGCCCGCAGAATACGCGTTGGCATGCATGTGTATGAGATAAATATACGGAGAGAGAGGGAGAGAGAGAGAGAGTTCGTCAACTTGTAGAGGACTCCCCTACTCGTTCATAAACTAGAGTGAAGAGAGATAAAGCGTTTTCTATCTCCAAAGGCACCAATTTGGACACAAGTTTCTGGATGATTTCCTTGCAGATGGATGGATAAAGCTATCTTGTTACACTTATTCGCCTTCAGGAAGGCTTTCTCTCTTGCTTTCCTCTTAAAGGCGGGCCGATTTTCAAGTCAACACGATCGTTCTCGTCAACACCCACCGGCATCTCGCGTCTGCTGCGAAGCAAGGAACATTTCGAAGGGAGCCCACTTCTAAGATTCATCTCTCGGGTCTTGAATCGGTCCAGAAGAACTTCTTGACTACTTCGTATATGGCCGATCGGGGGTCATATGAGCCCCGAGCGGCCGTATATGGGATAGAATGTAGGGTTTACGAGCCTTCTGACGCTCAGCGTCTGCTATGACCAAGAAACGCCAAGCCCATAGGGCCATCTCGTGGGTCATATGAATGCATTTCCCAGGACGGACCTTCCTCATTGGAGCGCTGCTCTCATTGGAGCGCTGCTTGCAAATTAAGCGTCGTTTTGAAGGAGTCCAGTGGCGTGTTTTAGTGACTCAAGGTGGCGGCAATGAGACAAGGGTATCCCACTTGGATCCTTGTATCAGTAACCATGGACAGATCAACGTGCCGGTCACCATCCCACCTCATTTCTCTCAGTCCCTTCTCTTTCCCTCTACGTTTCCTCTAAAGTTCACTTCACAAATGTCAACTTATCAAGCCAGAGATTAGTCTAATGTCCACCATTGCCCACGGATAATTACTTTTATATTGCTTATAAAGATAGATAGCCGTCAAATCTCCAACAGTTAGTTGCAATCTTCACTGTAAGGAAGGGATCGTCAGAGCCTCAGTCCTGATCGGAGTTCCTGACGACTGAGGCACTTTGTTTAAGAGCGTACCTTAACAGTATCAGATACGGCCGTTGTTTTCTCAGCCCGGGATGAATGGGTCCTCTGCAAGAGGAAGTTTTGAGTGCTTACGCTTCCCTTGTTTCCAGCAGTTGCTAGCTCCACCCTTCAGAAGTAGGCCAGAAGTCTCGGCGACCGACCTCGGTGTCCATTGAATTCCTCTTTTAAACCTCCGGTAGGGTTTTCGGGCCTTCTGGGTGAAGATGAACGAGCTTGATTGCCCTGAAGATGAATTTGGGCTTCAATCCTGCCTCTGGATGTTTCGAAGGGGTTGCTCCTATGTATTCGGTTCCCATGACGGTATCTACTCCTCACGATTATGAGAAGTATCCGCAGTTCAATTTTCCTGGGGAGAGACGTCCTTCCAAACTGGAATTATTAGAAGCCATGTGGGTTGGAATCCGTTGGAACCCGTTGGAACCCGTTGGAACCCGTCGTCGAATATGAGACCTAGCATGTGGTATCTCGAGAACCAGGAGAAGCTTCCTGCTGCGATAATGAGATGGAGAAATGTGTGAAGGGCGAGGGGGGGAACCGTAGAGCATGAGCTTCCTTCGAACTGGAGGAACAAGTGGAACTCGTGCGTCTCTCTCCTCATCGAATGAAGGGTGTCGGCATTAGTGCAAGCTCCCGCTAGTCGGGGATCATCTAGGGTGGATAATTAAGCAGGCGTACGGATCTAATCAGATGAGGGGATTCGTGTGAACAAGGAGGGGGGTTACGACGGGGGAACTTGAAGATGCCTCGACGATGGGAGGTAGCGTAGAGATTCCGTTCTCTGGAGAATAAGTTTACAGACATGTTGACCGTAGCCGACATTGTTTACGTCGTCGTCTTCTCTGAGGGGGCGTCATATCTGATCACCGGGATCGACCGCCTGATTAACCTTGATTTATCTGGCAGCAATTCTTGTCCGAGAAAGGGAGGAGGAAGAGGGAATCCGCGTGTCCCGTATACATTTCCCCGGTGCAGAAACAACGGCTAGAGTCGCTGTGTAGAGCCGTCACTCGGCAAGGAGTTATACGAGGCAGCCCAAGTAGTAAAAAATTACTCCCCAACCCGGGTGCGATCACCTTGGCGGCAGGGGGAGTCGTCTCAACGCAGGACCCACCACGTGAATCCTTCCCCACCCTCATTCCACCCATCTCTCTCTATCTCTCTTTCTCTCTCTTACTCACTCACTCTGAATCACAGACGAAACGATAGCTCCTTCGAGAGTTCTTTCGGACTGAAGCCCTCTCTCTTCCTTCCGTAGGATCCATCCGGCCACTCGCTAGATAGTACCTCGGTAGGCGTCGTCTTCAAGGGACACACGCGCACAAGAAACACACCCGGAAAATCATAGAGGAGCCCAGAAAGAGAACAATCCATCCTTCTCCACCCCCCGCCCCCCTTCCCCCTCCCCAGGTTATCACGCAGTACCCCTAGCGATAAGGAGACGTAGAACTCCCAAGGTAGAACACGCAGAAGAGGAAGAGAGTGCACACAGGAAGGAGGGAGAAAGAGGGAGCCTATATGGAAGCGACCCCCGACGCCTCTGGGTCGGGGGAAGGCCAATCTTCGTCAGCCGTCGCAGACCAGCCGCATCCCCCTCCGCCACCGCCCCCGCCGTCTCTGCAGCAGCAGCAACAACAGCAACAGCAACAGCAACAGCCTCAGCCCCAGCCTCAGCCGCTGAGCCGATACGAGTCGCAGAAGAGGAGGGACTGGAACACATTCTTGCAGTACCTGCGGAACCACAAGCCGCCGCTGTCCCTGTCCCGGTGCAGCGGGGCCCACGTGATCGAGTTCCTCAAGTACCTGGACCAGTTCGGCAAGACCAAGGTCCACGTGGTCGGCTGCCCCTTCTTCGGCCACCCCAACCCGCCGGCTTCCTGCGCTTGCCCTCTCAAGCAGGCCTGGGGAAGCCTTGACGCCCTCATCGGCCGCCTCCGCGCAGCGTACGAGGAGAACGGAGGCAGTCCAGAGTCTAACCCCTTTGGCGCCCGCCCCGTAGGCATCTACCTCCGGGAAGTCCGGTCTAGCCAGGCCAAGGCAAGGGGCATTCCCTACGAGAAGAAGAAAAGAAAGCGCCCGCCGCCACCTCCGCCGCCGGCCACAGCATCTGCTTCCTCTTCACAAGCACCTCGAGGAGTCTCCGGGAGCCCCGACGCTCCTGGAGGTTCTGCTGTCGGCGGTGGGGTCGCTGGTGAGGAAGCGTTGGACGTCCAGCCAGGGGGCTCCGGTTCATGACTTCTCTCACCCTCCCTCCTCCCTCCTCCATCTCTATTTTTTTTTCTTTTTACCTAATTTTTACCCTTGTGGTTTCACCTGGTAGTGAGTACTACACAGATTGAGCAACGTAACATAATCGGCTGATCGCTCGTACTTTTCTATTGAAGAGTACCCACTCACATATTCCCTCTTTGTTCGTCCGTTTTCTTTCTCTCTATCTCCCCTCATTGTCACCAGAAAACCTCGAGATGGATTGAGAGGCTAAAGATCAAGGTTCGTGACTACCGAATTTCAATGTAAGTCGTTCTTCCTTCGACATCATTTCTTAATTTTTCCCTTGCCTACGGCGTGCTATGCTTATGAGGAGGGATCATCAACCACATCCCCTTCAGCCCCAAAGCCCAGCCCCGACTAGTCTTATCTTCATGCTCTCTTACTTCGTAGAGCGTCGCAGCCCCTTAGACTGACGCCCGTATTTTACACCTTCTCTTTTGAAACCCGGGGAATATTTGCTTGTAGGGTAGCAGCCCTTCTCACTACATGAATGTATGCATGTATGCATGTATGTGAGATTACTATCCTTCTCCCGCCATGTATGCGAGATTACATCAACTACTTCGCTCTTTTAAGCAGTCCCGATAATTCACAATCTACCTTCGAAAACGCTGAGGGAATTCTTGCGTTCCTGTATGATTCGGGCAATTTTCCTTTTAATCCTGCCTGTCCGAACAACTCTCTTGAGATGCAGCATATTTTATCTACTTTCCTTCCAATTATTTTCCCTTTTCCAGGTGGTTTCCTGTGCCAAGAGTCTTCTATAGAAAACCAACGTAGAAATATTACGAATTTCAACTCGTAACTACATGTTTTTGGGTCATCAACCCGCGTCTGGTCTACCCGCCAGAAGGGCGTGTAGGATGAGGTCTGCAACACAGAAGACACATATCCACAGCTTGTTTTTACCGTCGGTCTCGACCAAGTTTCGTTTAGAATTCCCAGAGGTTTTCACCACTGCGAAGCCCTGCAATGTCATTAAATGGTGTTGCTTTCGGCTGTGACGTTTACAGAAGACTTGGTGCTCGTTTCTGCGGCTGGGCATGCGTACAGTGAAATCACACTGAATGAGGTACTCGCCTGGTTCTGAAGGAATACTGCAGACTACGGAATGTATGTACAGATATAGATAGGGATAGAGAGAGAGAGAGAGAGAGAGAGAGAGAGAGAGAGAGAGAGAGGAGCAAGAAGAATTCTCCTATGATACCGCAGAGACATTGGACATTGGTTTCGTAGTTTGCATATGCGTTTACGCGTCTAGAGAGAGAGAGAGAGAGAGCCTCTCAAGAAGGAATTAGTCTGGCCATAGCTGATCACCGAGAAAGAAGCACTTAGACCCACACCTGCCCATGGGGCTGTACGATAATGGAAATATCTTGAAAGGCTTACATACATATGTATCGTATGCTACTGCTCTCTGTCTGCTTCGTCCGCCTACTGACGAGGAATTTCTTCGTTGGAGTGCTCCCTGTAACCAGAGGTGAAGATTTACTCGATATTTTAGAGGGAGAAAGAACCATGAACTCATCAAACTGATATGTACATAAAAGGTTTGCGATTAGACGGCACAAGTTTTCACATTCGACACCAACATCAACCGCGTGCAGGATTTATCAAGTGTTTATTTTACTTTTTACATTTCGTCCACCGCCTCCCCCCCGTCCCCGCAGTGATGTGAACGCACCACTTATGGGGCTTCGACCATCTTCTACCTCAATACCTTGGGGCCTTGGAGAACTTCTGTGGAAGAGGCCCACTGACGAACCCTGTCTACTCCTACAGTAATCACTCAGAGAGAGAGAGAGAGAGAGAGAGAGAGAGGGCATGGGAAAGAGTCAAAGAGAGAGAGAGAGAGAGGAGAGGGAGAGGGCTTGGTAAAGAGTCAAAGAGAGACAGAGAGAGGGCGAGGGAAAGAGTCAAAGCGAGAGAGAGAGAGAGAGAGAGAGAGAGAGAGAGAGAGAGAGAGAGAGAGAGAGAGAGAGAGAGAGAGAGAGAGACAGACAGACAGACAGACAGAGACAGAGACAGAGAGAGAGAGAGATAGAGCGAGGGAAAGAGCCAAAGAGAGAGAGAGAGGGACGCTGCTCTAAAAACATACTCCAGGAAACGTACATTTTTGTCCCTGGCAGAAAACGCGTCTGAAGCGGTCGACAACAGCTTTAGTTTTCAAAGATGAGGGGACCCAGAGAAAGGACAGACTGGGCATGAGCACTATCACTGAAGAGAATACAGACTCACGATGGGGTTCTAAAGCTCGGCCGATGCCCCGTCCGCTGGAAGCCGTCAAGAACAAACCCGAAGAATAAATGATGGGACCGAGAGCTCGCGGTTAATCTCCTTCCGTGTGTGACAGGGATGCTGATGCCCCCGAAAGTTCTTCTAGAGACACTAGAGATGAACACCTCGTTCGCAGTGAGGAATCCATGACTAGTTAGACTCTCTGTCTCGCTCCTGCTGACGATTCTAGCCGTCAAGATATGACACTTCCATGGGTGTGGCCCGCGAGGGATGAGAAGGCTGGTTTTCATGGTTTCCTCATCGAGGAAACCAGCTACAGAGATGTCCAACCTGCCACCAAAAAATAAGTGTGTTTGTGGGGGTATTTTTTCCAGAAGCTAAGAGCTTTGCGTCGAGTACGGTGACTTCTCGCGGGTTATTCTCTTGTCTTCTACATATGACGATAAAGAAGGAAGGAATGTTCCTTCCTCTACGATCTTGACCATTTTTTACGGAAAACGAGCACGGTAGCTGATGCGATCGAAAACATGAATATTTTATGGAGATTATCGATTGATCTCGGGTTCGATGAATCGTGACTCTCACTTGATTCCATATCAAACTGTACAGGCTATAGAAATGAGGAGTTGAATCTAACATTCAATACGTCACCTAATTGCACACCTAGTGGACTAACTTAGTCTACCCGGTATAAATCATCAATCGTTTGCTAAATTTTCTAGAAGAAGGCGTATTAGATGATATACGATGGCTTTTAAGTTGATATTATCAACCAAAATACCCTGGAATCCCATGCAAGGACCAAACTCATCTACGACAATGGCAGGGTCTTATGTAGATTCGACGCCCTTTTTGTAACTTTCGATGTTCATCCCTCAGCGATCCAGACACAGATTGGGGCACTTTCTGGGTTTTCAATCTCGCCAGGAAGGCTCTTGTTACTGGTTTTGGATGAATTATGAATTAATTAAATAAGGCACCCACCTTGAGGCTTAAAGAGCCAGGAGGCATCACGTTAATCCTGTTCACCAGACCCCGTTGAGGATTAAAGACTTTTCGTCAGTACGCGTAGATCTTCCTGCTTTTTCAACGGTTGCGTCGAGAGATGTGAAAGACCGGGTCGGATTCCCTTCCCTTGATCATCCACGCCTCACATCTTCGGGTTCTTCCCTCTTCTTGGGTATCTCATGGAGACGTGGATCATGAACAAAGAGGTCTTCACAGAATAGTTCCCTTCCCTTCTGTCCGAGACGACCGAAGCCTCTTAAAGTCAATGTCGGGCGGCTAATCAGCCGGTTTTTATCAGACAATTTCACGTTGTTTCGAGATCATAAAGTTCTGACCGACAATCCCTCGTGGGCAAGATGCGTGTGGGAGGAGGATCGCTGGCTCTGGCGTGCTTCTTTCTGCAAACAGCCACAGAACCCAACGCTGGTTTCGTCCGATGACCGGCGAGCGGTGGCGCTGCCCCGGCAGAGCCGACGACCGGATCGCCGCAGAGGCCCCTGCGAGACAGAAACTTACCTCCGGCCGTCCCGAGAGCGACGGCAGAGGGCGGTGGCGGGGCACGCCAGCTCGGCCCTGTGAGTACGGCAGCCGGAGCGGGTCAATTATTCACGTCGAATCTTTCGGATACGACATCGTCTGGGCCAGAGGAGCTTATCAAAGGGTGTAATGATTCAGCTTACACCACCGCAGAAGGGTACGGCCCTGAGCAGTTGAGGGAAAGCGGGCTTTTTTCCCAAGTAGATTTTCCCTGAGAGAGAGAGAGAGAGTGGGCAACAATGGTAAGGAGCAAAGGACCCACTTGCTTCACTTGTTGACGACTCAGTCGCCGACATGGAAATCCGCAGTCCAGGATTCGACCCCCCCGCCCTTCTCACCACTGTAAATCTAGGAGACCCTTCTAACCATCGTGCCCATCTCTCTCTCTCTCTCCTCTCTTTCTGAGGTAAACCTCACTTTAACTAGAATTAGAAGAGAGGGTTGCCGGTCGGCGTCGGAATCTCTTCTCTTCCGGGCTGCCGACAGCCTCGCGGCTGAGGCGGTGACCGGACTTATCCTCGGGAACGCTGGCATCGTCTTCCCGAGGGAATGGGGATGGGGATGCGTGAGCGAGGTCTCCACTCACCCCTCTCACCAACTGTCGAAAACATGGAACGAAAAGCTGTCACAGCCCACCTGATTTCAGCGCAGCGGGCACGACACTTTGTCGGAGACGAGAACCCGGCAGTCTCAGCGAAGGGGATCCCCCCTAATACAAGCAAAGCCCTCAAAGTTGCTCGTCTGCGCATATGGCAACATCCGAGCTGTCTAAGAGCGCCTCCTAACGCGTCAAAACATATAAAGTGGGATTATTCCACGCATATCAGAAAGACAACAATTTTGTTCAAAGCAGTCAAGTGAAGGGAAGAGAACCTCCTGAGAAAATATACAGACATAAAAAGTTGACTTATTAAGTTAAAAACTTTCAGTGGTCAGTCGACGATAAACAGGTTAGTCTCGGCCAGGGATGCTCGTCGAGTGACCCATGGTCCATGGGCTTGACTTGGGCCGTGGATCGCATGAGAGCCGGCACTGAGAGCCACCGCCGCGCTCGTTCCTCAGCCCGGAAGAGAGAGAGACCATCAAGAATGATGATAGAAAGTCGGATCTCCTACTTTCTTATTCTCATATCTCATTATCACTTTATCATTGCAAAGGCTTTCATTCGGCAATCTTTCGAAAAATGACTAATTCATGGCATTTTAAACAAGCGCAGCTTGCCAATCGACAGGCGGAATAAGAGGAATAATCCAAGTCACCGCGCGTCAGCCGGACGCCAGAAGGTTTTCTTGCCGACGAGAAGCTGCCCTTCACGAACCGTCGTCTCCCAGTGCAGGGACTTGAACAGAGAATCCAACTTCTCGATCGTCGTTGGGCTGTCTTGGATCAACACCCACCCACCTGGCCTCAATATCCGATCCATTTCGGCGACGACCCCGACGATCGAGCACCTGCGAGGAGGAGGCGAACCCTCAGCACCGCGAACACAGTGAATGGCAGAGGAACTGACGACGAGCTTATCATGTAGAACGTACCGCTGAGTGAGTTTCCCAAAGAGGTTGTTGGAATGAAGAAGATCGTAGGTCCGAGGGTAAGTGTTGAAGGCCTCACACCAGTCGTGATAAATCCCGATGAAGCCTCTGTCGAAGATGATGGGCAGGGTATCTGGCGCGGTGGGTGGCACGGCGTTCATCACCCAAAGAGGCTGGTCGACGAGCGCCGCAGCAAATCTGAGGGTCCAAAGGAGAGATGTTACACTCGAATGCAGAGACATGTCCACTGTATCTGATCTACTGACCAGCATTCGACACATTAATGAGAAAAAATAACTCATTGCCACAGGTAATGTCATCTTTACTCCCTAATCTGCAGGAAAATGTGTCATGAGTGAAAAACTTGCGGATTATATCACATACCCTCCAAAACCTGCATTCATATCCATAACATTCCGTACACTGCCCCAGTTGATGCCGAGCTCGTTCTTGTAAGTGCCCGTCACAAGGTTCTTCCAATGTTGTGTGTCTTCATGAAAAGATTCCTCTGTATGTCCAATGCTTGGGTCTATTGATAGACTTGTAGGTCTGAGATTCAGTCTCGCAGGCCATTCTTCGGGCCACGTGTTCTCAGAGCCTTCTTCAGATTCCTGAAGAAGGGGGATACAACCATCTAGTGGAACATACCTGGCATTGCAAAATGAGAAGTATTAACACGTAAAGCATATAAGTAACTGTTGATATTATCTGACAGAAAATACCATGAGATATCACTTCTGTTCCTCTGATCACACAGTGGAGGGCTATTTACATCCCGATTACTGTAACAAGAATTTGAGGTAGGCTTTTGGAAAATAGCAAGCCCAATCCCATTCGGATCAATCGATTTCGCCACCATCTTCCAGCAAATGGATTCGGTCAGAGACACCATCGCTGCAGGAGAAAGAAAACGGATCCTCATAAATTCGTCTATTCTTCCTCGCAAGGCCCTCTTTTGAAAAAATGAAGATTCTTTAACAAGAAAAATCAGGTGGCATCCACTTGGACATGAATATTACTAAGCACATGAAGTTTTGGGCACCGTGATAAGGTTGATCACCAAAGCCTACGGGAATCATAAAATAAATATGAAGAATCGGATTATTCCTACACAGATAATGAAATAGAGCACAAGCTATATGTGTAACCACATGTTCGACACAAAACTTTCCAAGAACATCAGAGTTATCATATATATATATAGCAATCATAAGACACAAAATTGAAGAATATGCGATGCTATGTACAAAGCGATCATAATGACCATATAACAAAGTGAGTTTATGAAGCACTGAATTCCAAAAAGTTCAGCCATGGTAGCTCTCTGACATGATGTCTTGAGTTCTACAAATTACTGCATACAACTAGCAAAAAACTGTTTAAGAGTTTCACTTTCTGATGCCCCCTTCCCCAAGAAAAAAAAAGAGAGAGAGTTAATCTCCTTTAATGGGGCTCAATTATGTCCCTCATGGTCAAATGTTCCAGCGATATAATTCACCGTAATTAGAAAGATCCCTGCAGTTGATGGATGCACATTGAAAGGATGATTTTTCTGCCTTTACAGTATGTTAACTCTCAAGGAACTTGAAAAAGCATCAATATGGCCAACCTTTGGATACCAAACGGAAAAAAAAAAAAAAAAACCGAATACTCACCATTCCAAATGCTCTTGTCTTCTTCATCATCACGATAAATTGGTGTTGCAGACCATGTGAAGAAACCCCCAGGTCTTAGAATCCTATTAAGCTCCAGTAACGCCCTTCCCTCTGCATTGTGATCAAGATTGAGTTAAAAAATCATGAAAATAGACTATTTCAGTGATGATGTCCATGGTAATAACCATGACCCTGATGAGAAGTACAAGAACCAAATGACAGAAACTTACCGTCCGCATGCCATTGGATCCGACATCTTGCGCAGTGAATCATATCATAAGATTTATCGGGGAATGTTAGCCTCTGGGTCGCAATAATAGATAAGATAGCAGGGATTCCTCTTTCAAGAGCAAACTGTATTTGAGCCTCATGTACGTCCCTCGGAGCAAGAGACATAGTAATGACATCTTTGTCTAACAAATATCCACCAAAGCTTGCAACACCACATCCAACATCAAGAACAACTCTTGTATGCTTCCCCCATGCGACGGCTGGGTAAGTCTAACAGAGGCCCAAAAGTAAGAGAAATGAGAGAAAAAAAATACCTTTTTATCCATTCAATATATCACTTAAGGAAATGTCAAATATCCATGGATTATAAATGGAAAAAGAGAAGCTATGTCATCCAACCACGAAGCAAAGCACATGTATACAGAGAAATAATATTATCCGAATTAAAATAGTAGCACTAAGTACATCACACTTTCTTCTCATAAGAGATAAACATCAACATCATGTTATAGGAGGTTGTAATTGTTTATTTCTACTAAAGGTATACTATCCAGAAAAGAATGCTTCGCCAAGAACTCCCAGACAAAAGAAAATGATTGAAAAATATTGCGTTGTAGAATCCTTGATTTTCAAACAAAGGCAGTAGAGGTTAATTAATGCAGAAATTGAGTACCTCCTCAATAAATCGAATGTAGTGCATCACTCCGTCTTTAAATTGGGTTCCGCCTCCCGGGAAAACAAGGTACTCATCAGACTTCCGCACCCAGTTTTGCTCCTTCTTGATTTCGACAAGCCTAGCATGAGGAACATTGACAAACCAAATCTGAAAGACAAGACCAGAATGATTGTCAATCCTATTGCCATAACGTTAGGAAACATAAGAATTTTCTTAAGAGATAAAAAATATATATTAACAGAAAAATGTTTTTTTAGAAAACATACATACTCAATAAAAAACCGGAAGAGTCAACTTCCTCTGGCTTGTTAATGAAGAAATCATTGATGGATTCCGAACGCTGGAAAAACTACATCCGAACATTAGAAAGCCAACTTCAAAACGACGGATTCCGTTTGCCTATAATATCATTATCTAACCTTCAGTTTACAAGACATGATTTAAATAACTTATGCTGATATTTTCGTGGAAAATATCGCGCGCACTAGCAATATCTTCTAGAAATTCACCCCTAATCCTATGTTAGTTTTGATAGAAGGACGACGATTTAAGTTTCTGAGTAATGGACATGTCTACATGAACTATTTGTATCATACAGAGATAGAACATTCAACTTCTACATTTCATGTATGTGAACACTTCTTGTAGTCGGGTTCCGATTTTACGAAGTAATTCTTAATTTAGAAACGGGGATTTCTTTTTTACCCCTACCTTTTACTAAAGTGCACTAGATTAAAAAGAAAATCCGATGTACCGGTAATTGTTAATTCCTAGCTCAAATCACACAAAATCAAGGAGTAGTCCCAATTTTTGGGAGAACAAGAATGAAGAAAGTGCTGAAATCTTATAATGGCTGAAAACTGATGCCTTTTTCTCAGGTGCCTCTCGGTAAAACAATTGTCCGGGTGAAGGCTGATGAGAATCATACGTGGTTCAGTAAATAAAAACACGATGACAATGGATTCCGCATGTAAGCCAAATTATGAGGGGTTGCTCCAAAGGGTAGCTAGTGACCAAGACCCAGGAGCACAGCTTACTCTGACATCATCAATTCCAGCTAGATCTTCTCTTAGGGATAGCCATTAATATTGAGGACCTGATTTGTGCGCTGGTATGCCCTGTTGGTGTGAAGGAACCATTCCTACTCTGATGACCTCTTACGAGCCTACGTGAAGTCAACAGCAGCCTTATTATATGAGGACATTGACCTTACTAAAGGATATCAGCTCATCATAGGATACCCCGGAAGTCTCAGAGGAGCAAGATCCAAGGTGTATCCACCAAATGTATGTGAGACAAAGATTTGAGTGCTAGCTACGTGCAAGCTGTTGACTAGGAGAGTTCCATCTGAAGGGTGGCCTCATGATTACCACCTTGCAAAGAACAACATATGGGTAAAGAATATTTGGTCAAAGAGAAGACCAACATTCTCGAAATGCCTATACAGCACATTGCAGCATACCACTATACCATCGCCATACACGCCCCAGGCGTCCAGGAAGCAGCAAGATTTCCATTCTATCTGCCTTTCGCGCTCTTATCCTATTCTGCATTCCTCGGATTTCGTCCGACGTGCAGATGTAATGATGCAAGCATGAAAGTTTGATGAGAAAAAAGGTCTAGAGAGGGTAAGGGACGATGCTGCTGCAGTCTCCAGGGCCAGAATAAAAAAAAGGGCAGAAGCAGAAAGAAGGGAAAACCTAGATCCTTCCCAGAACATCCTTGAAATCTGCAGATCTCGAGTTTACTCATCTCCCGTCGACAGTATCATTCTATTATCGACTATTTGATTAACGTTGAAGAAACTGGTTAGTGACACAGCGATCTCACCATGTCTCTGCTCTTTGGCCAGGGCACTGGTTGCTTGTACCCTTGGGGGAGGGGAACGAGGCACGTTGGGCTTGGATCCGGGCAGTGTCGCTCCCGGTTCTCCATGTGCTTCCTGGACGGAAGGGCCTTGATCGCCTTGATATTGTCCAGGCAGGGGATGTAATCCGCGTCCGGTAGGCCCTCATTTTTACCGCACAACTCCCACTGCTGCTCTTCTCCAACTCCCCCGCCATCTTCTTCCTCCCGCCGAGCATCCTCAACGACCGCCTCCTCTCCACCTTCCTGTTCCCCGACAACCAGAGACGACGGCGAAACCTGTTCGGAATGCTGCAGCGTCTCGGAATCTGCAGGCGGCGAAGGATGGAAATCCGACGAGAAGGATTGGGTGGCGGAATGGTTGTCGAAGTTGGTGATGGCGAGGAAGAACACTACCAGGAGAACGGCCGGCCCGACGATGAATTTGTACTTCATCTCGCCCAGAGCCGATCCCGAACGTTTCCTCATCTCTGGCCTCCTTGTTCAGTGAGGTGCGAGAGAGTGGGGAATGCGCTAAACTTCCCTCTTCCATTCTGCATCTTGCCGGCTACTGGTAATAGTCTGCTGTCAGAGGCGTGGGGTACCCCGGGGCCGCCAACGTCGGTCACCCACCGTAACAAGGACACCTCCATCGCCGGTCGTTTAGATCCAGGCCCATCCAAACATCTCCTGGCAAGACGTTGACGGCCCCCCTTCTCTGTGCTGCGTGTACGCAGTGAACCCACGTGGGGGGGCACCTCTCCCTTCATTAATGGCCACCGGCGATCCGGGCATAAAAACGCCCCATTTTTGTCTCCTCCGTCCAGTGAAAAGATCAATCAGAAACGACCCACATCTGGAAGCATTAAATTCTCTGTAGTAGATTAGATCACTAAGCTGGGGGAGTCTACAGCTTGCAGTTGTCCGATCACATCGACACAGATCATCTGCTATTATATTATTCTCGATTACACGTAACCTCGACGCTTCAGAGATTCCACCGAATCCTTGATGATCTCGTTCACGGAGGTGAAACGGAGACCGAGATCGATCAGCTTCCTCGAGGGTTCCTTCGTCCTGAGCAGCCCAGGCTGAGTGTCGGCCGGGAAACTGCAAACGAGGGGGAAAAAAAAAACAACCTTAGCTAGCCGCCTCCGACAGAGACGCCATACCGACCAGGGCCAAAACACGTTTTTTACTTTCTTTCCAAGGGGTCAAGAATAGAATACTAGGGAGCAATTCAGCTGCATGCCGTCAGCAATCCGCCGAATGATCCACAGATTACGCTTTAACGCGACGAATTATTGATATGGGTATGGGGGTAATTTCGTCGGGCTGCGCAACTCTAATAAATTAATAAAGTATATATCTGTTATATATATTCTTAAATTAATATTTAGACGTAGAAGTGAATAAAAATAACAAGAAAAAAAATCTTCAAAAAAGTTACCGATATTAGCACAAATATCGGTATTATGGGATCTTGATGATGGGTAATTACAGCTAAACAGAGTTGTTTAACATGAGTTCATATGTCAGAAAATAAAAATAACCATCTCGCACACCAAAACCTTACTGGAAATAAGATAAAAATAGCAGGAAGATTTTTCTCGTACCTGGGCACCTTGTACTCTGGACAGAGATGGGCGACTTTAGCAGCAAAGTCACTCCAGTGTGATATCGATTCAACACAGAGATGTCTGCCTGTGGCGGAAGCACTTTCATACAGGAGAATATGAGCTGCTGCAACGTCCTTGACATGAACAGAACCCATGTAAAAATTCTTGTATTCCTCCGAGCAACCTGTACGCCAGTACTTCTCCAACATCAGAGAGATCGAAGAACAACCGCAATGAAAGAATTCAGAGAAAAATGCTGCAAGCAGCAAGCGTAGGATGACAAGGAGGAGCTACTTTCATGCTTTCCATCTCACAGACAGACTTCCTCCCGCGCCAGACTACATGGTTCCAGAGTCGGTACTGCACAGAAATTCCCAGCTACTGGGTAAGAACGGGCTTGCAGGAGCTGGGCTCACCTTGGAGGAGGCGGACGAGCATCTCCATGCTGGCGTTGGGCTGGGGCGGCAGGATGGGACCCATGACGGTGCCTGGGTTGATCACAACCACATCCAGTCCATTCTCCTTGGCGAAATCCCAGGCCGCTTTCTCTGCCAGAGTTTTTGAAGCCGGATACCATATCTGTCACGAGCAACGAACGAATCATGCAGGGATTTGTCTGAAAGAAATTTAGGGCAACTGATCTATTCTTACGGACGAAGTCTCGGTTCATCCCGTCGTCAACATCTAGCAGAGAGGAGAGAACCATTAGAAAAGAGTCTGCTAAACATATGGAGTTTCCTGACCTTGTTCTCCTTGCAGTAGTCGACATCGGTCCAGCATTCCTCAGTCTTGGTGATATCGGCAGGCCATCTAGGGCTCGGGATGATAGCTGAAATGGAGGACGTCACCACAACCCTCCTCACCCCGCTCTCCTTCGCGGCGCGGAGAACGTTGATGGTGCCCTTGACGGCCGGCTCCAGGAGCTCCCGCTGCGAGCCATCGTGGAGCGGCCATGTCAAGGGGGAAGAACAGAAGAAACAAGGGGGAGGAGGGGGGAGGAGATAACATGGAGCGGACGATGAAGCTCCGAACCTCGGGATCGAGGACGCGATCCACGATGCAGGGTGACGCCAGGTGGAAGACGCCTGCGGTGCCGCGGACGGCGGCGAGGATGGAGTCATAGTCGAGGAGGTCTATCTGAAAGAGGCGAAGACCAGACGCCGCACCGGGAAGATCGAGCAGGTGCTTCGTCTCCCCTTCCTCGTCTGCTCACAGAAGAACGACAGAGAACACAAACACTGCCACGTTGTTCCCTCTTCCTCGACGGCGAGCAGACCGGAAAATAATGGAAAGAAGGAGAGGCCGATGGACAGAAGAGCACGTACGGTCTTTGACCGTGGCGTGCACGGCATAGCCCTTCTCCAACAGGAAGCGGACCAGCCAGGATCCGATGAAGCCGCTGCCGCCGGTCACACAAACCCGCCGCCGCTCGTCCGCCATCGTCACTCTCTCAGGATAAGCAGCTGCCCGGTCTGCGGATATTATCTACCTCACCCCTCCTTATAGCAGCTGCCCGCCCCATCATCGGACACCATTGTTAACGATATAAATCGGTCGATCTTCGCCGAACAGAGGGTGAGAGATACGCCATCAGATGGAATGTTGCTCGAGGTTAAGGTCTGGTTAGCGGGAAAAGGAGGGTGAGGAGACGGGCAAGGTTGCTGCTGAAAGGGGATGAGGACGACGGCTCCAGCGGCAGCCTGCCAACCAACCAGTCTCTACACGTATGACCAGCCGTTTTTTGTCACAAATGGAAGCACATCCATGGCTGTATTCTCCAACTCTGACGAGGAATGACGACACGAGCAGACGATCACAGACAGTCCATCCAGACAACTACCAGTTCTCAGGCCCGGATGGGAGATGGAACCCAGAGGAAGAAGAAAGCGGGAAAACCAACAGAATGAGTAAGAACCCAACAGAAAACCCCGCGGCCCCTCCTCCTCCTCCTTCAGGCAGCGTCTCCCTCGCCCAAAAGCAACTGATCGAAGTGCCAGACACCTGAAAGAGAAGATCGAAATAGAAAGAAATGAGAACCACTTTCCGAAGGATGAAATGTCGAAGAACGAGGACGGCGCCTCACCGTGTCCCTTGCCCACCCTCCTCAGCTGAGCTACGTACTCGGATATCTTCTTTATCGCCTCCACCTGCGTATTTTCGAAGGGAAACAGAGGGCAGCCATGAGTGACGACAAGTAGCTCCACCTACTTTCGGGAAGAAAGAAACCCCCACAAACGAACAAGCACAGAGCTTGGAGTTCATGCCTACTTTTATCGATTTATATTTGGTTCACGAGCTAGTTTATATCAAATGAATGCCCATAATTTATTAAGCAGCAGAATTAGATAATTTTTGATTATGTGAATAAAATCAAGCTATTTCATATAATTCGCCCACTGAAGCATGATCCTTTTCGAATGAAGAAAAAAAATAAAATAATAGGATGCAGCAGAATGAGCACCGCTCACCTGCTCGCCCAAGAATTCACTCTCAATGAAGTCTGCCATCTGAACATCGTTGGATCGTGTTGCCACCTGATCATTGGAACAGTAAAATCAGCTTAAATGAGGTAAATGGGTGAATCATGAAGTAGAAGACCAGTGCACTCACTGCGTGTAGACTTAAAAGTTTCTCGTTGACCAGCTTCTCAAGAGACAGAGTAAGTTCCATCGCTGAAACAGTGAAGAAATCCTCAAACCATCGGAAAACGAAGAAATCATGGAAAAGGAGATATGACAGCACATCCGATTTATTCAGCACCATCTAAAGAACAGTCCACGCAGAGAGAAGGTCCACGCTCATACAGACATCTGGCTAGACTTCATATGGATACCAGTAGAAGCATATAACATGCTATAGATACATGTCGTATGAATGCAGACAGCAAGGACCAACGAGAAGAAATGAGAAGAAGAGCATATAGTGCTTTACCATATAACGCATCTCCTTTCTCGGCGTCGTCGAATTCACTAGGGGGCGTCAATATGGTCTGGAGCTTCACTCTTCCGCCACGCTTGTTCTAAACAACACCAGGAGGAAGAGGACACGAGAATGAGACTACGGCATGACCTTCTTCACAACCGATTATGACAGAGTAAACAAGAACTGCGCAAAAAACCTGATATTCCATCAGTTTCTCCGCATGCTGGCGTTCCTCCTCGCTGGATTCCTTGAAAAACCTGAGCAGAGCAGCGAGATCAAACCAGGGGGCGTGACACTGGGAGCCTGAAAATGGGACTGATAGGCGTTTCCCGGAGCTTACTTGGCGAGGCCCTTGAGGGCGACGTTGTCCCTGTCGAAGTAGGCAAATAACGCGTGGTAGGCGTAGGAGACATTGTACTCGATGCTGTAGGTTAAACAACAGAGTCAAGGAAAGCTCCCAGATCAGACGATTAAATTAGGATTTTTCTTCTTGAAAAGAATTGAACCAAGAATCAGATGATATATGAGCAGAATCGACAGAAAAAGAGAGGCCGTAGCAGGAATAGGAAAAAGTTCACAGCAAAAAGCAAAGGCGCTGAATCGTAAAGCCAAAAGGTAAGTACCGGGACCTACTTTATCTGCTCGTTGATGGCCGCCTCGCACTCGTCGACGTACTTCTGGCGCGCGAGCGACTGGTGCGGAACAGAGGGCACAAGGGACAGCTCCTTCTTCACCTCTTCGAAGGGTTCGAATAACACGCCGGTGAGAGCCCGACCGCCGGCCTCTCCGGACGCCATGGCGACCAGCGACAGACCATTCTTTGGCCTCCTACTCCATAGCCGGAGAGCAGAACTCAAGGAGGAGGTCCCGCAGGCTCCGATGGACGCGCCGACCTCGGAGGCGGCGGAGGAGAGGGACATAGCAGAGGAAGCCTTCAGAAGCATGGCGCCTCTATAGGTTCTCCCGTAATTCAACAGCGAAGTAAGACGAAGGGAATCAGAAGGAAGAGGACGACGACCGCGATGAAGAAGAAGAAGAAGAAGAGAAAAGATCGGAGAAGATTGGGAGCGAGAGGAATGGGATTGGGGATGAACGAGAGCAGGTGTCGGAGGCGACGAGCGGTGGACGGGTTGAAGAATGGCGGTCGTCCGTATCTCGTTTCAATGGGAATGAGCGGTGGATCTGAGCCACTCGCCAGGAGAAACTTGGACGGGTCAGATTGATCCGACGGACGTGGCGCGTGGAAGGCTCGTGGTCATCTGCTCCGGATTTGGAGGCACTAGGATTAGCTCCATTTCCCCCGCAGCCATTCTTCTAGACGACCGAGCTCTTCTGGAAAGCCCGGAGAATCTTGGGCTCCCTCCTGTCGTGGCTCCATTAGTGGTCACAGAAGAGGAAAGAGGAGAAGGATCCCTTGCTTAGGTCTCTGTCATCCCCATTAACTGCAGGCGGAGACGAGGAAGTTGGAGGGAATGTGCGACGAAGATCTGCGGATAGAGACGGGGGAAACCCCCCGAGAGGCTCTGCGACCATTGATGAACGTCGAAGCAGATCTCTACTGATCGGGCTCCCCGCCCAACTTCCCTCGATTGGAATTCTTGAACGAAGAGTCCAAGAACGAGAACCGAAATTAGGAAGAAAAATAGTATTTTCTAAGAATATTTCCGGCGATCTTGGACCGGCATCATGGTGATTTAGCTCGATTGCGCCATTGTTCTAATCGAATAAACATTTCTTCAAGAAAAAACTTGGACCCATCTCATAAAATAGCTGAATTTAGGTAGAAGATCGGCGATCAAATAGACACACAAATCTGAGAAGCCGAGATCATTCCAACTCAAAGCACATCATCAAGAACATGTTCTCTGGAGAGATCTCAGTCCGCACTACGCCAAAAACCTTATAGTTATCATATTGTGGCATTAATACACCACTTCTCTGCAAGGAATAAATAAGTATAATCACTGTCGAGTCAAGGGAATTTCATTTCAAACACAAGTAGTGAGAAATTCGGATAAATTTTGCCTGAACTGGGTAGCTACCAGAAACTCAAGGGGCTCTGGGGCAGTAATATTTGACAGCAAGAAGGATTGCTAGCTTTGATCTAGCGGTTTCACTTATACCGGGCTTTGAAGTATGCATAGAAAACTATGGAAAGAGATGTAGCACCAGAAAAAGTTGCAGATGATGTAGCCATGGAAGCAGATTCGAGGGAAGAGAGCATACTTGGATGGCAAATATGAAGATTTGAACCATACGAATTTGAATTATTACATCTGCACTGTGAATATATATATATAAATAATAATCTTGGGATGGCTGACAAGGATTAGGTGAGATAGGCGACTGAGGGGCAGGGGAGAAAGAGTAAACTAGAAACTCAAACTATCATCCATGGAAAAAGCTGGCGTAGGACTCTGAAAAAGAGAAGAGATTTGGTCGATAAGAAAATCCAAAGAAATAGAAAGTTGGCATTCCAGAGAAAGGGCAAAAGCAAACAGATGAGGGGTCGTCAATTAAAAAAAAAAAAATTCATCATGCAGACTAATAGAAGACTGCTGTAGACATCACAGTGGGGCACAACTGGTGCATCCTGTAGCTGCCAGGATAGGAGTTTACCCCATGTAGCATTCTGGATTTCCATGGTTGCCAGCATGCCCAGGGCCTAAGTGCAAGAAAGAATGGACAAAGACTCGGCATGTACTGGCACACAAGTCAACGAGATTCTGGGAGCTGAGTCGTGATTCTAGAGTATATGGCATCCGAGATATTTTAAAATCTTAGCTGAGTAGAGTTATTTATACAATTGGAAGCTGAAGGAAATTGTAATGAGATAAACACTGAAAAGAGAATCAGCTATCCACAAAGCAAGCCTGGGTTTGTCGCCGCAGCTGCTTCCCATGCCCTCTTTTCAGCATCGCCAAGCTCCGCCCGTAATTTTTCAACTTCCTGCATTATAGAAACCGTGTTCTTTTCCATGGCCACAAGCTCGACGACCTCTCTCTCTCTCTCTCTCTCTCTCTCTCTCTCTCTCTCTCTCTCTCCCTCGATCTCTCGACGGCGACTCTCCCGGCAAGAAGCTTGGCGACGGCGCGACCGAGCAGTGAGAGGGGGGGTAGTTTGAGAACAGCGCCCGGCCATGTGATGAGAATTGAATGCCACAGGCCTTGGGCTGTGGGTGCTCGCGGGCTCTAATCCTGTCTCTTTAGATGGTTCAGATTATTGTATTCTCTCTCCATCGCCGGGTCATGATTCCGTGGCAGACCCCATCAAGAACCCTCTACTTATATCCTTCTCCTTCTCCTCCTCCCTCCTCCCTCGCTCTCTTCTTATTCATGGACAGAGGATCTTTCCAATCAGATCAGTGAGTGCCTCCTCATGCTAGTCGAAACCATGTTCTCTCTCTAGAAACTGGTGGCTCCTGGGGGGGATTAGAAGAACCCATGGCCCATGTGAGGGCTGACGTCGTGATTCCGGGGGGTACGACCGTTTCAAGAGTTCGACAGCTGAGATCACAGGAACTCATTAGGCGCCCATGAATGGGCAGTAGCTGTAGTTTATCGCCCATGAATCAGCTAGACATTAGCGGGTAAGGATGCTGTGTATTTTTATAATTCGTAGACGATCGCCATCTCATTAATGGTTAATGTGCATCGGTAAAGATCCCTGATTTCTAACAGAGATCTCGATTAAACTATTTCCTGCGCATGTGTATTGTTGTTAGGGAAGCATCCGCAGTTGGCTTTGCCGCGGAAGTCGAGCGCTCTTACTGACGTCCACACGGGGCGATCCATAAATGTGTAAGGTACCTTTCTCCTCCCTCCCTCTTGTGTTCCTCTGAAGATCAGCACACGCACACCTCTCTCTCTCTCTCTCTATCCATCTATATAATTCCGCCCTATACGCTTACTCCTCCCTTCTATCGGATCGATCGCCATGGGTGGAAGCTCCCCGTGCGCCTCCTGTAAGCTCCTGCGGCGTCGCTGCACCAAGGGTTGCATCTTCGCTCCTTTCTTCCCTGCTGATGAACCCCACAAGTTCGCGATAGTTCATAAGGTCTTCGGCGCCAGCAATGTCAGCAAGATGCTGCAGGTATCTCTCCCTCCAACTCCCTACTTCCCACTTCATCGCCAAGGCTCTCTCTCTCTCTCTCTCGCTCGCTCTCGCTCTTCTCCATCTCGGAAACCGATTTTACAGTTTCCAGTGACAATCTACGTCATATGGAGATTTCTGGGCTCATTCACGCAGTCAGAATCGTTGCGAAACCCTTTCCAAACTGCATCTGAAGCTATCTATCATCGGTTTCCCTCTCTTCTCGAGCTCCTGTTCTCGCTCATATTATGTAGCCGTGCATGCACCGGCTGATCACACTCGGTTATGCAGGAGATTCCGTTCCATCAGAGAGCAGACGCGGCGAGCAGTCTCGTGTACGAAGCGAGCGCGAGGATGAGGGATCCCGTCTACGGCTGCGTGGGGGCGATATCCTACCTCCAGAACCAGGTCTCGCAGCTGCAGATGCAGCTTGCCATAGCCCAGGCGGAGATCCTCTGCATGCAGATGCAGCAAGGGGGGGCCTTGCCCTCCTCCCAACGCCCCAACACGGACGAGAAGCCGTCACCCTTCGCCAATAATAGCCACCTCGCGAGCCTCACCCGCCTCATGAACTTCGCCTCTTCCGGCGCTGTAACTCAGGAGCCCCTCCAGAGGGAGTATATCCGAGCATAGGCCGTTCAATGATGATACAGTTGCTATCTTTTCTTGGATGAATCGGCAAGAGCGAGAGAGAGAGAGAGAGAGAGAGAGAGAGAGGTGGATTGTGTGTTCTTTAGGGTTGAGTCAACCCCTCCATGTGGCGGAGTAGAGTAAACGACTGTCGGTCTCCAGTTTCTAAACGTACGATCACGTTCTCCGGGGAAGGGCATGTGATCTATCAACCCGGCAAAGCCCGAGCGCACAGAGGGGAGAGAGAGAGAGAGAGAGAGAGAGAGAGAGAGAGGGGAAGAGAGAGAAGGAGAGAGAAAGAGAGCGATAGAGGGAGAGAGAGAGAGGGGAAGAGAGAGAAAGAGAGACCGATAGAGGGGGAGAGAGAGAGAGAGAGAGAGAGGCTGTTAATCGCCGTCTTTAAATGATGGGCTCGGTTGGAACAGTGGATGGAGATGGAGGTAAACTTTCTTTATTTGAAGGGAAAAAAAATTGTTGGATGAACCGATCGAGATAAGAAAAACTGGGTTAGCACGTTTCTTGTTCGACTCGCCAAACTTTACATTTTTTTTATGGGTTCGAATCTCGGAAGAAGACTGCCGGAGATATCGTCTCACGATTAACACGCCCCCTCTCTCCCTCTAATTATCTTCATCTCTTTCTGTCTGTCTCTGTCGGAGAAAGCGGAGGTGGGGGGTTCTCCTTGGGATCCCGATAGGTCTTGGACCTTCAAATTGCTGTCGGTGACGTCTGTGGAGCACTCCGGACCTCCCTCCGCCGCAATAGCGTCGCGGAGCTACGGCTCACATGTCGATCCCCGTGCACGATTCCTTCACTGGTACTCTCTCTCTCTCTCTCTCGCGCGCGCGCGCGCTCGCTCGCTCGCCCGCTGAACGCGCAGATTTATATCGGCAGATGATCCGGCGAGCGATGGCGAATCCGACGCGAGTTCGGAAGCTCCCGCCAACGATTCAGACTACCGGCTGATCTCCTCCGGAATCGATCCCGACGACGACGATGGCAGTGGAGATCTCGTGGCCGTACACTCGAATGGGGGCGGCCCGGTCCACCTCTCCCCTCCTCCGAGCCCTAGTTTCCTGCATCACCGCGGAGAAATCGCCGCCATCTCCCGCTTGCATCTGAACGGAGGCGGATTGGAGGTGGGAGGAGCCCGCGAGGAGGACGAGGACGAGGAGGAGAGGGAGAGGGAGAGGGAGGCGTCCATAACCAGAGCATTCAGCGAGGACGAGAGGCGGAGGACGGCTCCACTTTCGCAGGAGAACGCCGCAATGATCAGGGACGCCATGAGAGGGGTGGCCTTCCCCGGGTTCCCCCCCAACTGGGCGGACCAGGTTCCCGAGGACCACTGGGTCGATCAGCTTCGGAGGCTCAGAACGGGCGACCCCGCTCCAGCTTCCCACAGCTGAAGGAACGAACGAACGAACCTCGTGCTTGTTCGATCCAGCCAGCTGCTGTCGGATCTTCTTCATCATTGCTTCTAGAAACAGTAGCTCGAGTCCATCTACCAGCTGAAGAGAACAGTGAAGTTCTTTTCAACAAAAAATAAAAAATAAAAAAATCAGAAACTTTGGTCGTTCTGTGATTACTTGGGGGATGTTTGGTCCTAATCAGAAAGTAGATCTTTGCAGTCCCCATGATATGTCTGAAACAGACATCCAACGGGTCAACGGGTAGGGTTTTTTGTCGAATGAACACCATAGGGGAAAACATGACTGTGGATGCATTCATAGTACTGCTAAAAGTAGAATAGGAACGTCGTTGGAAGAAGAGGCGACAACTTCAAGAGCTGAACATGGATAGTGCGAGCGCCTCCCTGGAAAGTCAACCCCTAAACGAGGGAAAAGGGCATAAATCGAGTGCAATTCTTCTTCAATCTTCCCCACATTGTGGGATTGACCCCACAAAGTCAACCCCCAAAAGAGGACAAAGGGAATAAATCGAATGCATTATCTTCAAAAAAAAACCCCGCAAATGATTTCTCACATCCAAAACTGAAGAGATTTCCCCAACATCTGCCTGACATTGTATTTCAACTTACTCCATCTCTGACTTTCAGGGAAGTGCTTCGAGCCTCTGATGAAAAGATAGAATGTCCACAATCACTATGAGCTTGTGCCATGTTCCGAAGTGTTTCTACCCGGTACATTCAAGGAATCTTCACATCCACAAAGCCTCAGAATGCTCAGCCAGGAAGAACAAGGATCATCTCATGGCTTCACCCCCCATCATCTGCACAGCAGAAAAGTTTGGATTCGATAAGCCGCCCACAAAATCACAATAGCAAGATGCAAATTTTTAGATTGCTATCGGATGATCACAGGCTGAAGCTTCCAGACGATAAAGAAAGTATCTGTTCATGGCCCCATTGTTCCAGACAGACATGTAATCCGATAACTCCCACTAGTAGAATATAGCTTGGATGGACCTAAACCGCAGCGCAACTGGCCAGGATAACATTGCTCAAAGGGGTAATATTACTATGACTTACTCTAGTAATGTGCCCTTCAATCATATGACTAACAAATGAATAATAAATACTGAGATCCCATGTCTTAGGCACGTGTTGCGATTTGATTGGTTACCACCGTTTTTTACACATGTTTAGATTAAAATAATGGATAATGCTTGTTAGAACAGAGCGAATATACGGCAAAACTATGTGGAAACCATGCATTGCTTATGCCCAATAAAGCAAAACTGTCAAAGAAATAAACAATCGAAGCCAGAAATAAATAATTAGGAAGGGCTTTATTCACCTTAAAAATATCGCCAAACATCCCTTGAAGACCTCCCATGCGCCTAACACCATAAAAGCGTTCCCCAATTTCATCCAGTAACTGCAAAAGAAACAGTGACTAAAGCCATTACTTCTAATAATAACATTTTCTTTGCATACGACTGAATTTTTTCCTTGAGTCCAGTGTCAACGATAGATATTTAAACAAGATAATTTAAAACTTTTGTCGAAATATGGAATGGATTCTTGGTGAACTAAAACGATTTTAGGTAAGCCAGGAGCTCTGATATGTTTGGAAACATAATTTTTTATTTTTGAGGGTTACCTAAATATAATTCCACACTTTTGATAGTCTGCAGTCACAAACTTGATAACTGCATTTGTCTTCATCACATCCGTCTTCTTGTTGTACAGGGAAACTGATTTTGACTCACCGGGTCATGACATAACTCACTCATGTTGAATCCCAGAAAAGTGAGCTAACCCTAGATTCCAGATCAGAAGCACATCATATGAACATCTGATCGTCAGCCAAATAATAGAGCCAACTCACAGCTAAACACAGAAGGCTTGGTGCGTATAGCGTCAGGCAGCTGTGCCATTCTGCATATCGTATGTTTCTACACCATTGTAGCATCCATCTGTGAGCGATATCCAAACAGTTCCACCGTCCTAGTAAATTAAAGCATATTCTATCTCAATAAACCCATGCACTTCGTAGCTACATCTGACAGCGATATAATACATGCAAGTTACAATTCTCCAAGGTCCATTGGCACAGGATTCTTGGAGAAGATAAGGGGATTTTCCACATAGACATTGCTAGGGTAGAACAGATTTAAATGAGTCATCGAGCAATCACAAATTTGAAAATATTTGTGGTAAAACCCAAAAGGACTCCTCTAAACTTTGAATAGCATGACAGCCTTATGGATGCTTTTTCACGGGTTCATATAGATAGTAATGATTACCGGTGCCCTGTACAGGCACTTATTTAATAAATTCTGTTTTTTTTTATAAAAACAGAACATGAGAAAGCAATAATATTACCCTTGAACCTGTTTTCAAGTCAGGGCAATTATTAGAAAAGAAGAATGCACTCATCAACTAGAGTTTCAAAATCTATCCCTGGCGTGCTTGACAGGGGAGTAGAAAGGAAACAGTACCTCATCAAACGAGGACTCTCGATCGATACTTGACTTGTATTTTTCTCTTAAAATCCTAAAGAGCGGCAGTGCATCCCTTTCTAACCTGCATAAAATAGTTATTTCAATAAAGCCTCCTGTGTATAGTTGTTTGCTAGAAACCATCATGAGTTGTCATTTTCATGTTGACATTCACAACAAATTTCATACTAATGCATACATCTTTGAACAATCAAACACTTATTACAAACTCAAGGAGTTCAAACGTAACATGCTGAGAAAATAGGAAGTGCATCTGGAATTTCCTATCAAAGATGATGAAGCATCAGTCCAAAATGAAATTATTTCTAATCTTCACATTCGAAATTTTCTTATGTCCTTTTACCAAGGTCGCTAAAACGATTCACTATTTGTTTTGAGTACGTTTGATAACACTGATGCCTTAATTCTTAAATCAGATGCTTTAACTCTCAATTCTGAACATTTTTCCAAATAATTACCTAAAAAATGAAGGGAAAACCCCAAGAAAGTTTTCACAATGCAAAAGATTTGACTTATGACTGAAGGACAGTTTCCCAATTGCATGCTAACTATATAAACAATCTGTTACGAATATGCTTTGTACAAGAATTGTATAAATATGTTTATAAAACTATTTTAAATAATAAAAAACTACGTTACATAAGTATCTAGATAAGACTTGAAAGAACCGAGAAAATAAAGAGTCGGTGATGCTACAAAATTTTCAAACAATGTATTAGGCTACCATAGCTCTGCAATGCTATTACAGTAAAAAGTTCCATAATTCAAAGTGATAAAATACATGTAATTAGTTCAATCTTAAATCTTCAAATATTTTTCCTTAAATCTGAAGTCACAGAATATTGTAAATGTTCTTTTTTAATTATCATCTAATGATTTTATTAACATTCAGCATCATTTTCAGAAATGAATGCACTGAAATTGCTAAATCAGAACATATCTGTTAGAACATCTGTCATCGATGGGAAGAGGAGTCCACCCTGACTAGGAATTCTAAGGTATCAAGACTAGGAAAGCCACAATTGGGCAGTAGAATGGGAGACACCACCACCATCAACAGCAGCTGAAAATGATTTCCTAAAAAAACGTCGACCATGGCAGCAGGAACAGTCAAAGGCCTCTCTTTTCTACAAACTAAACAAGTTTTGGTAGTCGCCAACTTGTCTGTTCTACCAGTTAGGTATCACGGTGATATCATACCAAGCTAAGAGTAACAACCCTCATTTTCTCAACTCTATCCAACAATCTCAATCTCCACCTGTACCTGGATTCAACTACAATGACAAATGGCAGCCTGCCTTCATCCCCTACAACGCAGGAACACTCCAATTTCTTCCCCCATGCAAGACAACTGTTCCATAAGACGAGTTTTCCAAGGCTCTAGTGACTGGGCTAACCTTCCTCTTTTCCACCTCAAGGGCATTCCCACTTCTTACCTCAAAATAGGGCATCTACATGTGCAATGAGAATCCATGTTTTCAGCAACTATACTCTCCTCGGCCTTCTCCACCCCTATCTCCGCTATGATCTCATCATACCTTAGGAAGCTTCCCTGGCCAATTTAGAAATTATGATCCTGATCACTATTTGCACTCCTATCTCAACTGATCCTTCAGTTACAGTTGGCTTGTAAGCGCAGCCTCATGTAGGTACAAACTCACCATGTCCACATCAAATTGCTACGGTAACTTGTGTTCTCTGAACTCAAGAAGGGACATAAAGAAATTCCAGTGTATAAGCCAGCAAGAGATTGAGCAAGGGAAAAAAATGGTTGCACTAAATGAAGCCTCTTATGGAAGCTCAATTAGTGTGGATGGAGATAAACTCAATTCCCACAAGAGTCAGAATCATAGGCAGATTACCAGTCAAACTATTTTAAGAGATACTCTAGATAAGGTACCTTATAACCTAAGCAGATAACTTTTTTTCGACTAGAAGTTAATTTGCGTTGAATTCATAAGACACATAATGGCTACAGTTGTATAATCCCGATGTAAGAACGCCAATAAGCATATCCAACACAATTTTACCATAAAACAGAACAAAAAATAGAGAGGTTAACAAAATTCAGACCGAAAAAAATCTTTAGTACAGATTGGGTTCACTCGTTTGGGCCATTGGATTCCACACATTATATCGGGCAGCATTTAGCTCTATTATTGTCTTAGCCTGCGAATGGCATGCACACTGAAGATTATCGGTATAGATGTATACTTAATGTATACACACACACACACACACAGATATATATATATATATAGAGAGAGAGAGAGAGAGAGAAAGAGAAAAAGATATCTCATTACTGACCCTTATTCGAGACAAAACCAATAAATAAAAAATAGTTCTCGTCCTCAATCTAATGATATGGCATCACTTCAAGAATTAACTGATAAACAGTATGCTTCACATCCATTCATAAAGATATGACCCATGAAACTTACGTCTGCAGAAGATACACAATGAACTGCATCAAATCCGAATGTAGGAAGTCAAGTTGACGGTATTGCAATTGCTTTCTCAGTTCATCCATAAGCTTGTTAGCATCCCTTAGACTGCCTTGGGAAAGGTACCTGCCACCAGATGAACTATGAAGTTCAAAAAAGCTTGGCCTTCAAAGGAATTTCACCAATTTCATGTGGGTGTCTAATTCGAGTACCATGAGGGCAAGCGCCACAGAAATGCATTAACATGCCTTTATATCACCCATCAAAATAAGGAATCGAGAATATAAAAGAAAAACTGTTTAACGCCAAGGAAATCTTACATCAGGACCGCCCTTGCAATAGCTAAATCATCTTCCCCAGGATAGCACTGATTGGACATAAGATCTCTGTCAGAATCTTTAAACATCGTGTATGCATTAATTTTGATAAACAACAATCTCAGAAGCAGAGCAACTTAAGAATGAACATCAGAGAATCGGAGAAACTATATGGAACGCTTAGATAAAGCATGCCCAGGAAAGGTCTGCATATTTTACAGAGATGTAATAATACAGTCTAACATCATGGGAAACAGAAATCAATAAATCCAACGCAAGATAAAAGGAATGGTATACCTTTACATTGGTCATGGAAAGTTAGATGGCATACAAATAAAAGGAATGATTCATAAAATGAAACTACGAAAATGGTTTAAGTTTCAGTTTTTCCACAAGGTTAACAGCATTAGACAAAAGAACCAGCATCACTACATTACGCCCTGACCTGAATAAGAAGTTGCAAAAAAGAAACTTGTATTTGGATTAGGAGACATCCTTGACTAATAAATTCAAAGTTTTGAAACGCATATTCCTCAAAAACCTCATAGAATAAATAACTGACAAATGAAATACACCGTGTCAAACCTTGCCCATAAAATTAACTAATGCAGAAGCAAACTTCTCTGGATTGTTCCCTCGAATAAAATGAAGTGAAACCTTCGCCATATCCTGCATATAGGCGTCCACATTGCAGTTCATTATGTCAAAACAGGGTAAAATAGGTAAAAAGGGAAGCAAAAGAATAAAGGTTTGCAGATAGGCAGAGCATTCATTTTTAGATAACAGTCCTGGAAGAGAAAGAACACAAGGTTTTTATGTCATCCTCGAAAGTATAAAGAATGAAAAAGTATTACAACAGCCGAAGCCAGAGTATTCAACAAAGAAACCACCGAATTTCCACCCCAAAGACATAATCGCCGTCACAAATCTAAAATCAAATATAATAATCAACCCATTCTAATAATGCATGCAAAGGATGTGATAAAATCCCTAAATAGCTCAAAGAAAAAAATCCCATTTTGACAGGCAAGGGGAATCGCTCCATTAAAAGAAAAGAACTGAACAAAAATTGAGTGTCAATTTACCACAAGAAAATTCATTACTAATAAAAAGTGGTCAAATTCAACATACCAACTCAGGAGACTGTGAAAAAATATATTCAGCCAACATAGAATGCAATTCAGGAGAGCCACGCTTGTGCATCCCGTTCTCTGCTGACCACCTAGGTTAAAAGTTTGAAATTAGCATCACAGTACATTCTGAAAACATCGTGGACAGAGTGAATATGCAGGTCTCCGACAGATATGCGGAGAGCATTCATTAAGCTGTCCAATCAAGTTCAGCACATGAGAAGATTACAGGAAAATATATTTGAACCTATATCATAACTGATATCCCAGGTTGTCCCGCACTTTTTTTTGTTACGAGAGTTGAACAAAATTATGCTGAGGTCATCAATCTTATGCATTTCAAGAGTGACAGATATTATGTAAAAAAGGCTCATCCGGGTATCACGAGCAAAGAAAATTGAAAAGTTTGTATTACTGTGAGGACGCAGAGTCATGAGATCTCAATTGCACGTTGTTTTCTTTTCAGATAGTTCAACACTCTTCTTGGAGATGGATGATGCTTCTTCTCATGAACTTTTCCCCATTAGTTTCCCTTGATTTTTTCATCCACTTTCTCTTCACCAATTCTAAAGTTTCCTCGTCAGAGATGTGTGCGTGTGTGTAATGACAATTAGTATTGAAAAGCTTTCAATGTTAAAATTTCAAATTCCAAAGTAAATTCTTTCTTACAAAAAATATGCAAAAGTAACCAATCATTCTAAAATGATGAACCACAGTTTTGGGTAAGGCAGTACAACATTCTTTTTAATGACGTCCGGTGGCATTTAGTCCACACAGAAAGATGTTGTTAATGATTTGTCGAATTTCAAATTAAGTTCTCTTGCGTTAAAAGTTTCTCTATTAGTTTTATTTAATTAGAAGGCACTAAAAAATGCAGGTGAGACTCCTTCCATTTAAATAAAGAGCTAACATCTTTTTTGGGAAACAATTACATCGTGGCTAAATTTGTTTTCTGAAAATAGCATTTCATCACGGCTCAATCCTCTCTTGCTGATTTATTTCATGAAAAATAATATTCCAGTTCACGCAACAGCTGAAAAAGCCAGTTACTCCCCGAGAAACGTTTTTGTACAAATTTTAACGCAACAGCTAAAAATAACATTTCATCACGGCTCAATTCTCGCCCACTGATTTAGATTACGAAAAATAATATTCTGCTTCATGCAACAGCTGAAAAAGGCAATTATGGCCTGATAAAAAAAATTAACAAATTCGGAAAATGTGTTCATTTCAATTGTTTAATAATTCATTTCTCTTGAAATCTATCCACTACTTCATTGCTGATGTCCCTAACATACAAAAATGAATGATAAAAACCACAAGCAACATTTTCCATTTTCCTGGAGGCGGCCTGAGTTTCCGAGATGACAGGATATCCAACACCTACGGACAGCATTGGACGAATCCCCATCATAAAAAATATCTAGAGATTTAATCTTTCATTCATGAAATAGAGCATACAATGAGAAATCATATGGATAAACTTATGATTTGTATTTGTAACTAGAGGATAAGATGAAATAGGGAGGTATGATTATGATACAACAGTGCACAGCAGGAACTTATAGAGGTAAAGATACGATTTTTCAGTACATCATATGGTTAAGACTGCTTACCGAAGATAAAGCATTCTCCGTCTTAGTGGCACTTCTAACTTATCAACATAGTTCAAATTTTATTCCAGTCCGAATATGATATCAGTGATAGGGGTTTGAAAATAAAATGGAACCTAACTGGGGCTCCCCATACAGAATTGTCTCCCATTAAGTATAATGGGCCCCGAATAGTGTGTTGCGGAAATGGTTCCTAAGTAGGATACTTTTCTGTAATATCAACCGACGAAATCTCTGTCTAAATGTTGCCACAGCTCCAAACAACATATTTCAGATGGAGACTCACTCTCCCACAAATCATTGAATGAAATTTAGCCCCAGCCACAGAGACATATCTTAATCCAAGCAAAAAAAAGTCCCCAAGGAAAATTGATCCTGAATGCCTCTATAAGAAAATAACTACTGTCGATAAGATGCCAAATTAGACATGAAACTAACTTCAAGGTTTACGCGCAGTTTGGTTTGAAAATCAGTGGATACTTGTGGAAATGAAGCAACCCCGTTTAAACGCAGGATTCCTATAGTCCCGGACAAAAACCAACACCTGATGTTTCTACGCATTGTCATTTTTCTCCTTCCAAAGGTCTGAATTCATCACTAACATCCAGAAAACTTTCTCTTGTAATTGATCGCAACTCCAACTATCTTCCACTTCAATTAAAAGCATTTCCACAGGAAGAAGCTTGATTACTTGGTCTTAGTGATCATGCTTAGGAAGACCAGGGTAAAATTTTGAAACAATGGATGCATGAACTAATCAGGAATTTGGCAAATCAGGATGTCAAAGAAGCAAAGCACCACAGAATTTTACTCTTAAAGACAAAGAGTAGCATAAACTTGAAACTTGAATGGTACTTTCAAAATAAAGCGGAGAAGGGCAATACAGACTGACTTGAGTGCAGCCTTCAAGAAGGAAGAACAGCTCTCAACTCGTGCTTTCGCAGACACCAATGCTTCTGAGAGCCTTTCCATATCATCATCATCTCCCAGATCTTGTGGCACAGATATTTGAGGAAAATCCTTGTAGATCTTCCTGATACGATCTACATATTTAGTCATTATAATAAACTAATTGTCAATAGCAGCTAGGAATAGCTGTAGAAATTTTCAAAAGTGAATGAACTCAGAAAATAATGTATCTAACTAAAATCAATGCGAATCAAAATATTTCCTTTCTGACCACTGTAAGTAGAGCAATAGCAACGCATACATTTTGATATCCTGACTTAATAAGATACAATATTTGAATTGAATTGTCGTGTCAATTTCCTGAAAGCAATTAGAAATTACTGTCTCCATTAAAACGAAATTTATATAATTAAAGAGTAGTAGAATGTAAACCAAACACCAATATACCTATTAATGCATGAATCAATGTATTTTTTTCTTACACTACAACACTATACTTAGGTCTACAGCAATAGACACGAATGGATTCCAATTATCCCTGATCACCATGGGGGGTTTTGCATATTAAACCTGAAGTAATCATCCGAATATCGTATGTGACATTGAGCTTAGCCCTTTGAGAATTAGAGACCCAGATTCCTACAAGTTGAGAGCAATGGGAATGAACCAGCAGTGGAAAAACAGTGCACACAGATCTTATAGTGGTTCATCTTAACATGAGAGCTATGTACGCACATTACGAAAGGATTCTATTACCAACCCAAGAAAATTCCAAGGTACACCACACCAATAACTGCCCCAAAAAAAAAACCTTAAATAGCACAAAAATTAGGGGACACCTGAATGTGGCAGAATATCGAAATAAACTTGAGTGAAAAATGCGCATAACAAAAGAAATTCTAGCATGTCCCATAACGTAGCACATAATCCCTGGGTGGGGCTTTATTGCCTCCCCTGAAATTCCCAAGTTGACCTTATCACAAAGGTCAATCTATGCGCTAAATCTGAGTCAGGGTAATAGGTAGGCAGGCTCCATAAAATTCAATAAAGCTTACATGGGATAGAAAATTTCAAAGTGGAGAAAGAAAAGACACCAGTAAAGCTATACGGGTACGAAAATCATAAATTTTATCCCATTGATTTGAGACGGCTAGATCCAATGATGAATCCTAATTCTAGCGAACTTATCCAAATTCTGCATGATATCATCGTCGAAAGGGTGATGCCACTAGGCCAGGAAGACCCCTTATTATGAGAGGGTAGTCCTTCAAAAGTCTAATGAGCCCAGTTACCAGAAAGAAGACTCTTTGTTGTAATAATTTACGCTGATACCACCATCATAAGTGTTGGACAGATGGCAAAACATTTATCTTCATGTTCTCACATTCATATCACTATATTTTTGTTACGTGACTTTAAAAGGGAAATTGAAGTGAGGTGGCCCAAGATCAGATAAAAGGAAGTGATTCAGTCCCTACTCTTCGTTAGTTTCAGACACAAAATTAATATCAGGCATTCAATTAACTCTTCCCTCCTCACAAGGCATGCATAGTTCAAGGGCCCGTTGAAATTCTGCTTAATTGAGATATATTGTAATTGAAAAGAAAATGCCACAGGATGTTTGAAAATTTACATTCGGTCATTTAACATACAAGCTTCCTATTCTCCTGATAGTCGGTTTCTTTAGTAATAAAGCTTACTTCTACCAAGTAAAATGTAAAATTTTCTAGAAGATCCGATTCATGGGACAGCCTTTATATAAATGCATAATGAGAACCAAGTCTTTGATTGGCCAGGGACTCACCAAGAGTTTCTTCATTGACTGGAAATTTTCCCTTCACTAGTGTCTCCACAAGCAGCACCGCAAGTTCAGCACCACATATGATCTGTTGCAATCAACAGAGGAGAGTAATGATTTCAATATGTCAATTTAAATGACTGCAAATGTGGGGCAAACGAAAGAACATGGAAACTGAAAGAAGAGAGTAAATAACGGCCAATTAAAGTATTGCCCGACATAAATTTAATTGGAAGATTCTCCCAACCGTTCTAAGCTCAAAATATCTATCATTATGTTTGAACAAGCTACAGAATTTTCCGGAATTCCCAAGATGCACCATTTTCCTGTATACCAATTCATCTGCAAAACACTGACAAAAGATTGTCCCTAGTCATTTCGATGATAATCATACGAAATGAACATCTGCGCACACTAGTGGAGAGCCACTTGCCCTCTGGAACTTTAATCGGGGCTGCCATTCAGGACCAGGATGAACTCAGAAGAAGGAAGGAATGGACTCCCAGTTGAATTAGGCAAATATCCCAAGGCTTGACTAGTGTTCATCTTGCGACTTGCACATATTTGCTATCCAGGACTGATCTCCAGTGACAAAGAGGATGGACTTCTAGTGAAAGGGCAGGCTTACATTTCTTTTTCTCAATTGCAAGTGTACATTCTAACCTTACTGATATTATCCTCTTCCAGCATGTCCTCATTGAGATAATTTAGGAAGGTTTCATTATTATTGTTTGCCTTTTAGCGATTTATCAGATTTTCATTGGGGAAATTTTCATTGAAATCTACCTTTTTTGTAGAATCAAGTCCGAGAAAGTCAAAGAAATTCCACGATAATTTACTCCAATGTTATAGCTTCTTCATCGTGTTACTAGGCTGGCGCTCTGATAAAAAAAAAACGAAGGACACACAAACCATATCCCGAGCAGAAGACCTCTGGCCCTGGTTAGAACAGGTGTCAGGCTGTATCGTTCATTCGGCAACGGTGTCAATCACCCAATCTTCAATGGAAACCTTGCAGTTTTTCCATGCCCGTATTAAATAATACTAAAAAAATAGATAATATCGTATGACCCGAAAAGAAACCGTATTAAAGATAACCTGTCCATTCTTCAACTGAATAGAAGCACCCGACTGAAGGATATCCAAGGATTCACTATATCTTTGAGCAGCTCCATACCTAAAGTCAATAAAAATCGGCAATTATTCTGCATGAACCATCGTGTGAGTAACTAGACAAAGGTGGGCCGCAATCAGTCTCACATTCGTTGACATTGTGAAGAAAAAAAAAAGAAAAAAGTATGCACTTGACAAACTAATCCATGTGAATGTAAGCACTAAACCCAGATCCAAGAATATAAAAAAAAGATAAGAAAAAAAAAACATTTACACAAAATTAAGCTTCATCTGAAAGTCCAAGCAATCAGACAGCCAGGCTCGGGCTAGGCTCTAAAATGTACGGTAGGCCAGGGTTATGTATCCCCTCATCTTAGTGGAATTGGTCAACAGTTTCACCAAGATAGGCAAAGTTTAGTTCATTGGCACACAAGACCAGCGTTCTTTCCTTTATTACATGCCTGTAACTGGCTTTTCGATATGCACTAAAACTCTCATTTTACAAATAATAAATAATATTCCATGGAAGAAAATTTATGAATCACCTGGATAGTCTCTCTTAGATATTTTTCACTGCTAATAGAAAATAGTTCCTAGTGAAAAAATTGAAAATTTCAAGGAACGAAAAAAAAATTGCAAGTTGAATGGTTTTAGATGTCATAAAACTAAGATGAGCGACAAAAGCAGCGTAGGAATTCGTTAACAGAACATGTTGCAGATAGAATGTATCATTTGGACCACATACACTGATGAACGGCACAAGTGAAAACAACACTTAGAGTGTTTTGAGCTGGCTGAACACTGCACACCTTGATCCTTGGAACACCAACAAGTCCCATTTTCAGATCCAGCAAAAATTGAAGCCAAGATAAAAATGATGCGCTAGTTCCTAAATCCTCTAACACTAACGATGAAATCATGGTCATTCGAGAAGAGCAGATACACTCGCACAAGTATAAATGGGGCGGTGCGCCGCAGTTCGTCTTTGCATAACGCAGTTAGAATATTCTCTCCACTACCGAAACAATAGTAGCAAAAGGCCCACATCCGAGCGACGTGCTCGTGAATTATGCGAAGATTGATCCATAAATTCCGTTGAACTGCCTTTCCTCTAAGGTGGAGAGTTGCAATATTGTTCAGGACGCGGAAAATTGGAAGAAAGAAAGTAAAGCTGTCATGCTCGACGATTGATACCTTGCGGCGACGGACTTGTACATCTGCTGGGCTTCATAGAAATTCCCGGAACTGGCTGTCTTCTCCAATTTTGATATTGTCTTTTGCATGATCCGGCACCAAGTAGAACACAAGCGTGAGAAGGAAACACCGAAAGGTACAAACCAAAAAAAAGACCCGACCACATTCTCCGATTTCGTATTTTTTGGCGCATCCCTTCTGTGCAGAAGAGTAATATCAAGGGATGAGACACTAGCAGTACCTCCTGTGGGGGCATCAAATTCCCCCCGGCGCTCTTCCCTCTGCGCATCCTCTCCTTTTCGCGTCAGCTCTCTCTCTCTCTCCTTCCCCCCCCCCCTCCCGGCTCTCCCTCCTTCGGCCCCCTCAAGTTTATACGGACTGACGGCAACCAGAGAGATCCGATACCAACCCGAACCGAGTTGCTTGTCGATCGGAATTGTATCCGACCCGATGGAATTATTACCATATCCGGATGTGAAGTGACCGGGAGGCATCAACAGGTCCGGTAGATGTCATTACGGCCCAATAATATAATAAGCCCATTAGCCCAGCAAGGGCCGGACCCGGTCCAAAGGGAGGCTGGCGTGGCCTCTGTTTGACCAGATTTTTTTTCCTTGGGAGCACTATCAGCGTGAAATGCGCCGGCGGCGGCGCCGGAGCATTTCACGCTGATAGTGAATCCGCCGGCGCTGGTGGACCAGATTTTTTTTCCTTGGGAACCCATTAGTCACCAGCGCCGGCGGATTCACTAGCAGCGTGAAATGCTCCGGCGCCGCCGCCGCAACGGCGGTGGTAAACGGCGGCGGGGGGCACCTTTGAGAGCTTGACCCCCCAACCCACCGCACCTTTACTTCTTTCCTTCCTTCCTTCCTTTGAGGGAGCTTCTCTGGTTTTTCCAAGCGGGGGATCCGTCAGCTGCCCATGCCCCGTCGCCGCCTTCGCCGGCGACGTAATTGGCCGGAGAGGAAGAACAGAGAGACACAGGAAGAGGCGCGCAGACAACTCGATGAAGATGGAGATGGAGATGGTAACTACAAGGAAAAGAAGAAGAAATGGAAGTGGGAGATGGGAGTGGGGAGTGGGAGGGAGCTTCACAACCCACGGTATCTACGAAGGGGACCTCCCTTTCCGGGCGAGGTTCTCGGCGGTATGGGCCAGCGACTGCAGGTTGCACTTGACGATGGTGTCGACGAAGACGCAGGTGTCCTCCGGCGTGTTTCCCTGCGGCACGTCCACCACGTACGACTCCACGACGAGGGTCGTCTCGCTGCCCTCCGGCGAGGGATGGAGAGTCGTCACCGACTGGTAGTTGACCAGACGGTGGTCGCCGCCGACGACTCGGAAGCTCAGAACGTGCTGCTCTTCGTCCAGGATCTCTAACCTCTCAGTGCTCCTTGCCGCCGGCAGCCCTGAGACCAGGAGGACCTCCCGGAGAGTGCCCACCGTCCCGTCCCCGACGACGACATGGCAGCTCTTGACGAAGTGCTTGTAGGCCTGCGGGTTGTCGAAGCGCCGGACCACGGACCAGACGACGGGCACGGGGGCGGCGATCGCCTGGATTACGGCGGAGCAGCACTGGTTAGCTCCCACGGCGTGCTCGTGGTGCCGCGCCACCGCCTCGGGCACCTGGTGGGCGGTGCACCGCGCGAAACCCGGATCCGCGGTCTTCTTCGCGCCGCCGCTGGCCGCTGCTGCGGCGCAGGCCATGCTGCCCTCTACGGCGATCCCTCCGCCGCTCGCGCCGGTGCTCCTGTGCTGTTGAGAAGGCCTCAGGGGAGAGTAGAGCATCGTTGTCGCCCCCGCCGCTTCCATCGCCTCCCCCCTTCTTTCTTTACTTTCTCCTGTGGCTGATGGGGCTGTGGGGGGTCTCGCTGCGATGTGGAGAGGATTGGGTTGTTTTTAGCAGCTTGTCTGTATATATACACCCATCTTTGTACTGCCGAGCTTTGATGGAAATGCCGGGTTTTAGACTGAGCTTGGATATCTGATGGCTGGGGTTGAAGCTTTCCAGTGGGCTTCTCCAGCGGGGCAGCGATGGCCCGGGGTTGAAGTGGATTAGACGGTGGGCGAGTTAATTATTTCCCACTGTCGGGAGGGGTGCACAGAAATATAACAAACACCTACTGGACGCCAGCCGTCACTCACCCGTACGGAATTCCAGGCCGCTGCTCACCGGCTGGATTGGGCACGGCGGAGCGAGCCCACTTTGGATTTCCGGCGCCGCCGTTCGGCGATCGCCCGTCGTCATTGGCCAAGTGGCCGCCCCAAACCGCGGTCCCTTGACTTTGTTAGTCCCCCGCACGCAAGAGGGAAAGAGGGCCGAGTTGTCCGCGGCACTAGAGACAGCCCACTGGGCGCAAGCAACTGGGCGTTTAATAGGACCGGAGGCGACGCCACTTGCGAAGGATCTGGCCAGCAGCCCGCCTCTCTCCCTTTCTACGAGGAGATAGAGAGAGATAGACTGATATTTGTAATAAAAAAAAAGAATCTTGCGATGGCGGAGGAAGGTAAAGTTGTTCTTGAATATATAATACGAGAGTTTTAGATGGTTGGACCGAGGATTTCCCCCAGTACCTTCTTTTCGTGCATCATTGTCTAAGTCGACTTTAGGACGGAAGCTGGATGGAGAAGGCGGGGCAGTCTCATCTGATCGATCGATAGAATGGGCTGACTGGGTGAGTGCGAGTGAAGAAGTCAACGGGCGTCGGAGGAGTATGGACCAGCGGCCCGTTGAGACCCCGTACAGCTACATCCAGCTAAATCCAGCGGCATAGCGGGGACCTTTTGAGCCTGCGTTATCTCCGAAGTGGTTTAGGTGAACACGAGGAGGCCCAGCTGGTGCAGGCGGAGGCCATGGATACCTACCGGATTCTCTAAACATTCTCGCGCTCGGCTGCCTCCCCATGCCATGCTGAGTTGGTCTCTTTATCTGATTATTGGGGGAGATAGTGGAGGCGAAGTGATCGTCCTTCCGTAGCGCCCATTCTCCGAGTTCATCGAGGAATAAAATACGGAGGGAGGGCGTGGAGTAATGTAGAGAACGTGGCGGAGAGATGGACCTCCTACCATCGTCAAGTCCGCCATTGTTTTTTCTCGGCCCGATCGCGAATGGCGACGGACAATGCTCACCTTTGCGTAGACATAAAGAAGCGGAGGAGGGAGTCATTCAGTGGGTGTTCGCCGGGGGAAGGATGAGGGACTGTGAGATGGAGAAGCAGCAGCAGCAGTCCATCTTCCCCCCGCGGGGACTGAGTGGTTCCTTTAAGTTTCTCGTCTCTTTTCTCGCTGGCTGCGTTTTTATCCTCGTGGGCTCTCTGTCGGGGAACGGCGGAGGGCCGGCGGAGGAGGCGGCGGCGATTCTCGACGAGACGGTGAAACCCGGCGGAGGTCGGTGCGACCTCACCTCGGGGAAATGGGTCTACGACAACGCTTCGTATCCGCTGTACAACGAGCGGGATTGCACCTTCATGTCCGACCAACTGGCCTGTGAGAAGTTCGGGCGTAAGGACTTGAAGTACCAGAATTGGAGATGGCAGCCCCATGGATGCGACCTCCCAAGGTCCTCTCTCTCTCTCTCTCTCTCTCTCTCTCTCTCTCTCTCTCTCTCGTACATTGCTGTGACGCGACATGGCATGCTGAGGAAGGTTCGACGCGAGAGCCCTGCTGGAGAGGCTCAGACGGAAGAGGATAGTGTTCGTCGGCGATTCTCTCAACAGAGGCCAGTGGGTATCGATGGTCTGTCTCCTGGGATCTGCCGTTCCGAACTCGCATAAATCCTTGCAATCAAACGGCTCCCTCACAGCCTTCAAAGTCAAGGTGCAGCCCCTCATAAAACATGGCGCCCTGCGGAAGTCATCAACTTACCGGCTCGTTGACTGCTGTGACTCACAAGTGCGCAGGGATACGACGCATCCATCGAGTTCTACTGGGCACCGCTGCTCGTCGAGTCCAACTCCGACGATCCGGTCAACCACCGGCTGCCGGAGAGGATCGTCCGCGCGGAGGCGATCGAGAAGCATGCGAGGCACTGGACTGGCGCTGACATCCTCGTCTTCAACTCCTACCTCTGGTGGCGCCAGCCCGAGCTGAAAGTCCTGTGAGTACCCACTCCCTCTAACTCCGTAAAGCCCGCTCCTTTACCTCCCTTCTAAGCGACGCCACCGCCAGATGGGGCTCCTTCGACTCCGGCGACGGGATATACAAAGAGGTGGGGATGCTGCGGAGTTACGAGCTCGCCCTCCGGACTTGGTCAGAGTGGCTGGAGTTCCACGTGGACCGCTCCAGGACCCAGCTCTTCTTCGTCAGCGTCTCCCCCACCCACTTATGGTGAGGGCGATGAGTTCTCCAGGGTGGTTCCCCTGTCGGAGATGGGTCCCCTTGACGGCGTCGTCTCTTGCAGGGGAGATGAGTGGGGCGCCGCCGGCGGGGATAACTGCTACGGCGAGACGGAGCCGATCGCGGTTGAGGGGCACCGGGGGAGGGGAACCGACGCGGGGATGATGACGGCGGCGGAGGCTGCGGTGGCGGCGCTCAGGGCCCGCGGAGTGGTGGTGCAGCTGCTGAACATCACGCAGCTCTCCGAGCTCCGCAAGGACGGGCACCCCTCCATCTACCGGAAGCAGTGGGAGCCGCTGACGGAGGACCAGATCGCAGAGCCCCGCAGTTTTGCCGACTGCATTCACTGGTGCCTCCCCGGCGTGCCCGACGTGTGGAACGAGATCCTGTATGCCCACATTTTTTCTGACACGCCATGAGATGACCATCGTGCCGAGCTCGCTGCCACCTGCCTCCATCTCCCTCTCATTCTGACTCACGCCGACAAGGGTAGGACCACGTGAATTGACGGGAACGAGTCGTTAGCGGCGTTAATGAACTGAGTTAGGTGACGACAACAGGTAAGCATTGGCTGCAAGCAGCCAATTCCAATAGGGTAACCACGGGTTTACCCTCTGAGATGAGCAGAAGACATATCGGAAGGGGATCGGTGATGTGGAGGGATATCGGGGTGCGTTTTTATCGTCCTCCTACCGACTATGGCGTTTCTTTTTGACCTCATAATGGCGTTCGACAGAAGAAAGGGTAGATTTTTCATGATCCTCGAGAACAGGGTGAAATACCGCCTCCATTTCTCTTGAAATGGTAGTTAATATTCTGAAGCAAAGACGACCCCATCGAAAATTCCAGGAACTCTCCGCCGCTGAGCCCAGATAGGGAACCTTGTCCGGGCAATCGTCCGGCGGCATTTCCTCACCACGACGATGCAAAAATGGGGCACGAAGAGGACTCCCGTAGCGCTCTTTGTGGCACTCGCCTCCCTCCTCGTGCTCAGCTCCCTACTCTACAGCGGTAACACCGGGCGAATCCCTGGCAGCATAGAGGAACTGGTGGCGGAGAGCTCCGCCTCGCACCACACTTCCCTGACCAAGAAATGGCTCCTCCAGGGTACGTCAACTGGACTCGGTCCTCCCTTCCTTCTCTGATTTTGGGGAAATGGTGAACGATGGTTTTCGTTTGAATCCAGCGAGGGATATGAACTTGTCAACGACCTGTTCTTCCTCCCGAAGCTACAGCGGCAGGCCAGCACTGGGCCTGAGGCCGGCGGCCGGAGGACCTGAGAAGCGTCGGCCGGCGGCGGCGGGGTGCGACCTCTTCTCCGGGAAGTGGGTCTATGACGAGGCCTCTTACCCTCTCTATGGCGAGCAGGGATGCCCCTACATGTCGGATCAGCTCGCCTGCACCAAGCACGGAAGACCGGACAGGGATTACCAGAGCTGGCGGTGGCAGCCTCACCAGTGCGACCTCAAGAGGTAAGGCGCCCTGTCCTCTGCTACAACGATTTGCCCTCCACGACGATGGTTTACGGTGGAAGCCCGAGTTCAAGATCATTTTGGCAAAGTCTAGATATATATATTGACTTGCAAGCGGCCTCCTTTTTCTGTGCCGTGTATGCAAAAAAAAAGGTGGAATGCGACAGAAATGCTGGAGAAACTTAGGGGCAAGAGGCTGATGTTCGTGGGCGATTCCCTGAACAGAGGTCAGTGGATATCCATGGTGTGCCTGCTGCAGTCTGTGATCCCTGATGGGAAGAAGTCCATGTCACCCAACGCCCCCCTGACCATTTTCAGGGCAGAGGTGAGCTGAAGAAGCTTACCCATCAAAATTATCATCTTCTGTGGCTATAATCCTCTGGTTTCCTGGCAGGAATACAACGCCTCCGTCGAGTTCTACTGGGCGCCGCTTCTTGTGGAGTCAAACTCCGACGACCCGGTGAATCACAGACTGGAGCACAGGATCATCAACCCCAGGTCGCTCATGAAGCATGCTGCGCAGTGGGAGAAGGCGGACATCCTGGTCTTCAACTCCTATTTATGGTGGAGAAGCGGTTCCAAGATAAAGCTAATGTGGGCGTCACTGAATCCTCATGGAGGAGTAGGAAGAACAGGTTCTGATGTCTCTTCTCCCCTTGGATGGTGGCGATGCAGGTGGAACCTTGAAGAGGGAGCTTGCGAGGATGCAGAGGGACTTGAAGGCATGGCGGTGGCATTGAACACATGGGCAAAGTGGGTTGACTCTAGAGTTGACTCATTGAGGAAGCGGGTGTTCTTCGTCACCATGTCACCTACACATTTCTCGTGAGTCTCAGATACGTTTGATTAGCTATCCGTTTATGACACTCCTTCAGGATTTTATGGTCTTTCTTCGGAAATTGGTTTATCCGGTAGATGATAAGTTTTAGAAAAAAAGATGGATAAATCTTAGAACCCTAACCATGCTGCCCATTTCCTCATTTGCAGGAGCTGGGAGTGGAAGGCTGGCAGTGAAGGCAACTGCTTTGGGGAGAAGGCTCCCATTGATGTCCAGGGCTACTGGGGAAGTGGGTCAGACATTGATACTATGGATATCGTCAGGACAGTGATGAACAAGTTGGCCCGGCAGGTGACGGTTCTGAACATCACCCAGTTATCAGAGTACCGGAAAGATGGGCATCCTTCTATCTATAGGAAATTCTGGGAGACCTTCTCACCAGAGCAGCTGGCTAGTCCATCAAGCTATGCTGATTGTATACACTGGTGCTTGCCTGGTGTGCCGGACACTTGGAACGAGCTACTTTTCAGCCTCCTCTGATCTATTTTTTCATTTGAAGAGACCAGAAGAAAAAAAAATTAGAGCCAAGTTAAGTGATTTTTTGATATAATTTCTGGGATTTCACTTGTACAAATACATATACATACGTATAGATATATATAGTAATCCTCTATATGGGTCTAGATAGTTGCAAGATTAGACACAGCACGATGAGAAAAAACAGGAAAAAATGAAATATCCGGAGGGAATACTTACATTATGAGGAATAATACAATACAATGATGAATCGAGATATTGTTGTATATTTGATGTAATAATGGTAACTATGCGGTCTCAAATGCTTCAAGGCCTTTCCAGTGGCACAGCAGGGCAGACCAAGCCGTGAAATCACCATAACTGAGATTGAGATAGGGAAGAACCATGTGGGACTCTTCTGGATTGCTATTGAATGAAATGGTCCTCGTTTCTGCCCGGATGAGATCTGACCATCTATGAGCTCTATCAACTCCAGTTGCAGGAAGTTCTTCAGAGCAGAATAGGCTCTGAAGCTGTCTTTCCTCATAATGAAATCAGATGTAATCTACAGCCTCCAATCCGGCAAACGAATCCGCCGAGCTTCTTAATATTCTCGCTCTGTTGTCTACAATCTCCAGAACCTGTTGAATCCCCGATGCTGCATGGTTAGAAAGTGCTGGATCAAGAAGGAAGGTTCGAAAAGAGCTTAAACAGCACCTCTGGCCTTGAATTGAAGACTCCACTTGACATCCCCACATCAATGCACCATATTTTTTCGTTACATTTGCTTCATAAAATAAGATAAAAAAAATATATTACTCAAAAAATGAAGAGCCTATGCTTAAATAAATGGAGAAGATGGCATACCCTCGTTGCTAGAATCGTTAGTACCTGTTTGCTCCACTAGGTTGCGGGGTATGGCCTACTACAATTGCCTTGGCGTCTAATGATCCCAATGTCTCCTCTGCAACTGAGCAAATCTGGGAAAAAAACCATTCAAGTGAGAAAAAAATAGAAAAACTGGACCACAAAAACTTTTCTTCCTAAACACTCTAAATGATCTGGAAGAAACTCTTTCCCTAGTAGTATATTTATCTTCTGTATCTCAAGAATAAAATATCACAAAATATTGAATTTACAGGTTCTGGCAAACTCAGCAGCCAGTAGAAAGCGCCTAACTTGAAGATACCTGTTGTTTGCGAAAGCTCATGTCTGCTGGTTCTCTAGAATACAGTCGATTCCAGACAACACTGTCATAGCCCCGGGTAGCCAAAAATGGAATTTCGAGGTCGTCGATATCTTCTCCTGACCCACCTCTCATCCAGCATGAAACTTCTTTGTTTAGTCTCTCGACACCATATGCAACTGCGAGATGATTAACTCAGTAAGCGATGTACATTCGATTCTGCAAAACTAACTTGTGACAAAAAGTTTAAACAATATGACTGTGGAGAAACAAGGGAGCGCTCCAAATATGGAAAATAGCATAAATAATGTCAAAACTTTTTCGAAGAACATAAGAGGCACAAAACCCTCCACAACTGTCAAAATATGTAGTAATGCAGGGGATTATGAGGCCACAAAACAGCAGTTGTAAATAGATAAGGTCTAGGTTGTGAAACAGTGCTCAAGATAAATGACAAAGACTATAAAACTGAAAGTTCAGAGTTCAAACATGAAATATATCATCACATGGCCTATAGTATGAAATGATTTCAGTACATAGTAAACAAGGCAAGTCGTGATCTTTATGTTTGGAACATTGGCTTCCCGTCATAACAGCTTCTATTTTTCTCCATAAGTTGTTAGTTGAAAAATTGAAAATGCTTAAACTTACGTAAAATAAAATGATGCGAAAGTTTTCATTCGGTATTTCATGCCTGGCAGAAATCTTCTAGAATCCTTATTCTCTACGGTCGTTATTAACCTGATATATGAATAATTATGTCTTTTATATGTTATATTGGCGGATGTGAATGCGAATTTTGAGATATTAAAGCAAAGAAAAAGTCAAAGTTGATTTTTTTTCTGAAGCAATCAAATTTCGTCATTAATTTACCGTGATGGGGAAGAAGTCCACCATGACAGAATAGCCAATCTTCAACTTTAATGGCAACACCATGACGTGATAATTCACGAGCTAATGGACCACCCGGTCGCAAAAGAGTTGATCTCGCCAGAACTCCTTTCTGTCTCTGTCCTAATTGAACACATCTGTCAGCATAGAAGTCAACAGCTCAGATAGATAGAATGCATTCAGACAGCTGAAGTGTAGTTCAAAAGATCAACATACATGATGCACTCGTCACATACTTTAGGCAGAAATCACCATAACATCAATGGAAAAAAGCAGATCATTTTTTTAATCGAAATCATATTATCTTCAAAAAAAATACAATGCTAGAAAGCTTAGCTGTGTTCTTTCCTTTTTCATTTCTTCTTTTGCCTCCTTTTTCTAAAATTCTATTGTTGGCCTCCTAGCCAAGCATAAAATTCTAGAACGGATTTAACCCATCTGCTTCTAAATATATTACACGGTATTCATGTTCTACCCTTTCATGGCCTGTATTCAACTGGATGACCTCAATATATCACCAAAGACAAACAATCAGGCAGAATTGGTCGGAATGCCAACATTTCCAAGCTATCAAGGATGAAACGCTTCCATCCAAGTAAATGACAATGTTTCCATAACGATAAAAATGTGGAGTGTCGTCGTGGATATTCAAATGAAAGCACGTAATATGATTCAAACGATCACTACCCATATGAACAGCCAAGCATAGCAAAAACACGATCATCTGATGGTAAAAACAAAAAATAATCTATAAAAACGCAAGGGCTATCTAAAACCACAAATGTAGTATGACATAAAATGCCAGGAAAACCATGAAGTAATGCACAATACAGAGAAGTGTTTACTTTCAACTTCCAAGAAAACCGTGAAGCAAAATGACACAACAGCAAGGCCCTTTATACGTAAAAAATGGTCAAGTTTCCAATTGGATTCATAATATGTGAGGATCCTCCTTTAGACGTAATTCATGAGGCTTCTTCCTCACCACTAGGATTAAAGCCATGGTCAGTAGTTGAATGATGTTCGGTTGTATATTTCCCAGGTACAGAAAATGTCGCCGTGTTTTTCTTTGACAAAAGAAATTTGGGGGGAATCATATATTCTCTGGTGAATTTTCAATTAAATGTTGTCCGATTCCCATAAATTGAAAACAACTAAAAATTCCAGGAGGACTGAATCACTGCTGGGAGCTCATTAGATCCAGGGACTCACTATTCCAACTTCTGAATATTCAGGATTTGAATAATTACCAATTTTTTTAGTTACGAAATGAATAGATTGAAGAAATTCGACGATTGTTTTCTACACATTTACAGAACTCAAGGTAACCTGAAGTTTCAACTAAAAGATTGTTAAAAAATTCTTGGACTTGTTTCTCTTCTTTACTAATTCAGATCTAATACTGAAATAAACAAATTTCAACCAGAATCCTGGGAGAAACGGAAAATATTTCTACCTTCAACAGCTGCCAAGGCCCCCAGCCACTTTGGGATTTTCTGCGATCCTCTTTCCAACTTTCTGATACGCTGATCCAACTAACAAAAGCTTCCTCCCAATTGTATCCATGACCATCCAAGTGCTCTAAGAAGTCTATGCATTCATCAAAAGCCCCAGGATCAACATAGCGAAAATCACCTTCTACGTTCATGGTTTCATGATTTCCATTAACCTGCTTAAGAAAAAGCAAAAGGATATCATAAGAACCACAAAATAATTAGGAAAGCTATATATGGGCAAAAATGGCTCCTCCAGAAACGTTATGGGAAAAAAGAAGCAACCATTCACTTTGTCCCGACCTGGAAGACAGCACCCCCGACTACATTTGCTTGTACATCCAAAGATCGTAATAATGACAGGATAGCAATTTCATCCTCTCCACGGTCCAGAATGTCCCCTAGCTGAATCAACACCTATGAATAAAGAGCATAGGACTAGTTTAGTTACTCACCGGAAAAATGATGATTCAAATCAAAATATTGGAAAAGCAGCGTGAGGCAAATCATATAAATGTGCATTACGCCTATTTTATGCATATTTTTCCAACTGAATTTACCAGTAGTCATTTTGATTGTAATATATCAGCCTGACAATTCTGCGATTCTGCAGTCACATCCCCTCTTTGAACATGTGGGATAGTGTGAAAGTGGTAAAAAGCATTATGTCCAAATGAACAATACTCTAAGGGCGCATTGAGGAAAAGTTCCGATGATTAGCAAAGCAGTTTTACCCTTTTGCCACATATTCATAAAAATCTATCCGTGGAAAAAGTTCCATGGTCCATCTCCAGTTTACAATAATTGGCATGAGAAAATACAATAAGAATTCACAAAGTTTTGTCCCACGTTCATGAAAAGAAGAAATGATGAGTGTATAGAATTAAATTTCCATTGATGGTTATCTATGCAAACTATCTCATAGTTCTAGTCTCATAATAAGTGCAGATTACTTTTTCATTTATATTGATATAGCGATGTCATTGATGCCTTTAGCTTTTCATGAAAAATAAAATAAAATTATATACTAAAATTTCACATTCCATGGCAATATATGGACTTCTAAGTGCGCTAAGAACACTTCATACCGTTTCTCCACCAGTCCATAAATCCTGACCGTCAGAGCTTAGGACACCAGCTGTTTCTAGTGCGCATCGAGCTTTAGCAAGATCCCCATGCAAGTCCCCAACTATATTGCATGATGAGGTACAGTTAGAAACACTTAGAAAAATAATATGCAAACAAGCAGATGAAACAAAATATTTGCTATCCAAACGTAAGACAAAAGATAGTACACAAAATAATAAATATCTGATGTTATCTGCATGTTATGAATTTTTTACCTACGACACAAAAAAATTAAAAAAACAGTAACTACTCGAAAATAATGTTGAAGATTTTGAGACTCCTCTGATTCGCCCATGCACTGCTGACCAATAACTTGTTCACTACAACTAATGAAAGAGAGGTAAAAGGACAATCTGCTCGAATAGCAACAGTAGCCATGATGGTAAAGGGCTTATGATTGAATGACAATTTAATGCATTCAGTTAAAACTTGAGCTTCTTCTTGAATTCAATCGCTCCCTTATTGAATGCTCTTAGAACTACATAGAATATCATCTGAGAATAGCGGTTTGAGAGGAGGATCGCGACGTCTTAAAAAGAAAAAGTTGGTCCGTGAACAATGAACCGGAGGACACAGATTGCTAAATAAACTGCCTTCTCTCGCAGAGAGGTCTGCAAAGAAAGTATTACATTTTATGCTTTGTTTGCTGATGTTTTCTGCGTCGACTAGACGAAGAGACGGCTGCTGGAGGATATCCGATTAATAGATCATAAAGTTAACTGAAGTGTTGTAAAATATCAATAAACACCCGAAGAAAGGCGCACTATGATTTCCCAACATCAATCTTCAGGAGAATAACATATAGCAGAAAGAAAACAAACCGATGCAAACGTTCGGCGATCAGAAATACGAATTGTCCCGTCTCCCATCGTTTCCATGCCGTAAAAACGGAATTCCCGATTCCTCAATGGATGCACCGCGAGAGTCCCAGAACACCAAAAACCACAGCGAACGACAGCCGGAGACACGAAAGGGTACGAATAAGACCGCAGGCGATGAAGCCTCACCCGCCACAATCCGGCGACCTGGAGCCGAAACGAAGGTAGGAGGATCACCCCTGACGACGATGGGCTTCAACGCCCCATTATACGGCGCGGAGGCCAACACCTTCCTAGACTGCGAAGGCGGCAGCGCCAGGGAACTGAAGGACAGCGACGCCATTTCACCCCCTCCACCTCCGGCAACTCCCCCCCGTGAACCCGCCCGTTTTAAGCACTCTTCGAGTCCACAGCGAGATAGTTTTTTTAGACCAGGGGAGGGAAGGAACAGGGAGGCGCTTCCCAGCCAAGTGTTCGAGATGAGTCGGGATGCCATCACTGCGGTGCGGATACCGCTCTGACCCTTTAACCGTTCATGAACCACACGACAGCCGGGGAAGAGGTTGCCCGTGCACTTTCTACACCCTCTGACGGTTAGCTCGGGCCGTCCTGAGAGCGCCGAATGCTTATTTACAACTTCCCATATAGCGAGAGAGAGAGAGAGAGAGAGAGCGGTGACTTGACTCACATACATGCAACAGTATCCTCCACCCAGAGAGCGAACGAAGAATATACGGCACAATTGGGCCCTTGGCTGCAATAAATACAGTATTTTGGCCAACCCACAGGCCGTGTTTCCGCCGCACGAGAGAATAGAAATGTTGGGTGTATACAGAAGAAAAGATCGCACCTTTGTGATGTGGCAGGCCGCCTCTAGTCTGTACGGCCGCCGCCGCCGCCGCCGCCGCCGACGATAAGTAGGACCTTCTCCCTCAGCTTCTGAAGAGCCTACGCGTGGCCGGAGAGTCAGATCAGAAGATAGATAGAAGACCCACCCGGGAAATGTGGAAGACGGCCTCACCGAGGTAGAATTATCAGCCCATTTCTTAACACGGGCCGCAGCTTCCTTGAGGTGAGCATGGCCGGGAATGGCGCTGCTCTGGGAGCAGATGGAGTTCTCTGTCGCTTCCGCTACCCAGAGATGGTTCGGTTCATCACGGGCTCTCTTGACGAGATTATAAAACCAGATCTTGTGGACATGAATCACAAAACGTTAGAAATCATTTACCAAAGCTGGTTATTTTCCGAGGGGGGGATCGGTGAGATCTCACTTACAGTGGAACCATGGAGCGTGGGGCTGAGAAACGCGGATAGGTCCGTGTCAGTGGCAGGCAAGCAGAGGCTGACGGCGAGGAGGCAGCCACAGGGTCCTTCCAGGGATCCGTCGGTCAAGAATATCCACTGCTTCTTTAGATGGCCGGCAGCGAAGACGTCCCCAACGTACAAGATGGCCGCCGCGATGTCAAACTCACTGGGGAGGGGATATCGACGCATAGAAGGAGAAAAGGGGGCTTGATCTCAGCTTTGAGGAGAGTTGAGTTCTTCTGGGTGAACGCAGGACGGAGACGACTACTCACCTTGAGAGAGGAACCTCCCCCAAAGCCGACAATAACGCTGGACGGCGCGGATTGAAGAAGGGCCTGCAGAGAGTGAAGTACACATTTCATAATACAACGAGAAATCTCAATAAGTTAGAGAGAGAGAGAGAGAGAGAGGCTGAATGGATTAGTATGTTGTTGTCTTACTCAAACTTGTCGCTGGCTGTTGGAGACAGGGGTTTCCACCTGCTAGTGGGTCCTCTCGCTTGTAAGTGAAGGATATCAGAGACACCATTCAGAGGCGTTAGTCCTGAGACAGAATACATCTGCCCTTCCACCAGATCAGCTTTCTGCACCATCAAGTCATCAGCTTCAGGCTCGCAGAATACTAGATCGATCCCATTAGGAAGAGGCTTTGGAAACGCTGCGAAGAACATAAACGGATCGGACAAGGCGATGGGCAGAAATAACGTAGAAGACTGACCTGCTGCTCGGTTGGGTTCCATATGGCTATCAAGCCTTGCACAAGGGAGCCCTTTGTAGAAGAGCCCTTCTGGTTCAGCTCCACCACTCTCACTCTCATGAAGGGGGTGACCTCTCGGGAACTCAAGCCTGCATCTTCCAATGCCTTCTCTATTGTCTTCACTATGTTGTTCTGCTTGATTGCCTGGGGATTCTAACAGCTCAAGTTTCAAATAATATTTCCAGGACATTATAAACTCCAATCAAATTCGATAGAAACTCGCCTCTTGCTTTGCCTGGTAATTGGAAACGGAAATCAGCTGTTCTGAGCTCATGCTAGCCATCAGCACTTCGGGCTCAGCGGACGTCTCAAGTATCTTCAAAATCTTGGCGCCTTCTTCGCTGTCGTTATCATTTTCGCTGAAGAACTTGTCTTGCTTCGACATAATGTCCTCAGCAACTAGTAGACGCCTGCCGTAAACCAAGAGAGATGTTAGCAGCTGATATATCACGCCCTATGATGACTTGTACCTCCGGCAACAAGAATCAGTCAGACATGTAGCTGAATGTATTTCTTCAGTACAGTTTAAAACAAAATCGGTGGTATTTCATGAGAAATCACGAGTAAAGCTCTAGTTTTATTGTTCCCGAACTAGTTGGATAGCTAGGAATCTTGGGTAAACCGGTTGATCAAAATCATGAAAGATATTGGGATGCTTGTGCACATTTCCATTCGGCTGGGGAAAGGGTTGCTTGCGTCTAGGTGGATGAAAAACAAGCTTCCAGATAGCTAAGAAATGCAAAGAAAATCAGGAGAAGATATATAATACATGTCTATATCCGGACCATAGCTGGTCTGATATGCGGCCAAAGCCGAAGACCTGGAATAAGTTAGGTTAGACACTGATGTACGACCATGGTAAACGTCTGGCCAGGTGTTGATAGTCTATACCTTCCGCCACGGAAAATCAAAAGAAAAAAGTAGGGAGTTCTAAACTAACAATAATATGAATGGCTTTGGTAAACTAAGAGCCAATCCGTTGATAAGATAACCCCCAGTAATTAGAGTACATTTCTGGGGATTATTGTCGGTGGGTTAGGTACTCGCAGGACTATTATTGATAAGTGGAGAGTTATCACCATCCTCATCTGACGGGCTGCATATATTGCCCCTGAAAGCAAATCAATTTACCTCTGGTTGTGAAGATGTACCATCTTGCTTTCCATCCTTTCGGATCTCACAATGGAACCACCATCAGGAAACCTGCATTAAGAATTTATGGTTTTTATAGTCTATTGGAAGCGTTGACATACTATGTATAAAAAAAAATAGCTTGAGGAAGTGCACCTCTCCTTGTAAAGAATTGGATATATGCGTGTAACACCGACCAAAGTTTTAGGAATTTGACCGCCAGCGCCCTTAATGCACCTAAAAGCCAGTGGAAATCTGAAGCCCTTACCTGGACAAAATCAAGTAATGAAAGATGAAGCTAAAAGCTAGAAGAGACATTCATGTCGTGTGAAAATTAATGTAAAGAAGAAAGAAGAAATGTTCTTCCAACAGGAAAATTTCATACAGAATCCCAAACGCTCTGCCCAATGTGCTCGATAAGTCCCGTTAATGTGTAATTGTAGACTAACCGATTTGCAAGCCTGTTAACAAAGCGAATTTTTATTGTATTGATATCGTCAATGTAATTTCTCACTTCAATGAAAGAGCTGAAAGAGAACACAAACCTCAAGAGATGAAACAGGTCCGACCCAGCCGCATAAAGCGGCTCCCCATATCTAAAAAAAAGTGTGATAAGTCATTGAACAACTGCGACCACAAAAAGTAAAAGACACCGAGTAGAGCATAGAAAGAGGAGTTCACCGCACCCGGAGCTTCTGGCCCACAAACAGCTTGCCAGACACTAAATGGTTTGAGAGAGCTCCATCCAGGAAAGCATCTAACGAATACCTGTACACTTGAAAGTAAATTATGCCTTCAAGAGAAACTCAAATTCATATATATCAGTACAAAAGCGTATCCCTACCATCCATCAGTTAATTCTATTTTCACAGCATCACAATTTATGGGTCTATTACAGCTCTTGGACTTATCGGCATCTTCATGTTTACTAGTCTGCTGGCCGTCACATGTACTATTGCTGGAGAGATGATGGATATCTGAAACGCATAGGACCATCATAGAGGCAGGTGATGCATCGCCGTCCAGAATTCGTTTTACTGCAGATCTGTGGCCATGATTCACTTCCCTTTCATACCTAGTACATGAAATGGAATAAAATCATGAAAGAATTATCAAAAAAAATGATGTTCGAGAACAAGGCTGATCATACTACCTGTACTTTAATTCTTCAAGCACATTGGCAGCAGTTAAATATTTTCCTTTGGCTTGTTCTGGATAGCCTCTTTCTAGACAGGCGAGCTTCCAAACTATCCATTTGTAGTGATTCTGTACCCACCTAAGAGATAAAAACCATACAAAAGACAACAGCGAATAGTAAATAGATGCAGCTCTATGGATACAAGAAAAAGGACAACTATTCCATTTTTTCATAAAAAGACAGCTAAATATCAACAAAAAAGACGAGAGTTTCAACGGAGAGCGCTTAACAAGGTTTGATAATTTGGCGAGAATTTCAAGAGTCCAATTAGGACTACATAAAGGCCAAGTCACTAGGCTTAAAAATAAAATATTATTTTGTTTTTGCCCGTAGACCAGAGGAAGTTGAAGCCAAGCAAATCTGAATTCAGCTAAGTACAATCCGACTCAATTTGTTTCTTTTTCTATTCCTGATATGTTCTCAACACATACACCCTTGCTTCTATGAAAGAAAAAGTTTATTACGGAAATGAAAATCTAAGTGATGAAGCTAGAAATCTTTAGATACTGTATTTGTGTAAGTACCTGTTTAAGCATCCATCTTAGGGGCAAATCTTGAAAGTTGAAGTCCCCGAAGTGAATAGAGCTGTTATACATTTCAGTCCTGATGTTTTTAATTCTTTTTCAGTTATTTTGGTCTTCCTCTTCCCCTTCTAGGACACTCTAAAAACGGGTCCGTATCTCTTTAAAGATAGTTCTATTGCTACGTTTCCTACATTCAGACCTTCCAAAATGGTACACAAACTTCATTCCCTCATGGCTTTTAGTCATTTTAAATATAATGTTTTCAGTACATCTGCAGATAAAAAAGTCAGCGTTAAAATTTTATCTTAAATGTTCCAAATCACTCTCATGACATCTTCCTTTCGTGTAACATAGCAGCACAGATTGCACATAATACTTGGTATTTGAAAACAATACAAAACTGTTCATTGTACGCACAACTCCATTTTACATACCAATGAATCTATAGGACTATAAAATGTCTATTAAGACTGATAAATATATTGAGTAAAGAATTTTTTGGTTTACTCTAACTTCTATATTCTTCATCGTGCCCCAGTCTGAAGTCTATAGAACCATGAATCTTTTTCTTCTTCAAAAGAATGGAAAGGTTATCAGCAATGAAATCCTTAATGAGAGAGATGAGCTATAATCTGATGAAGTCACAGAGGCATTCATCTTTTTTATGTGCAGGAATGGTTATAAAGATGTGATTGGGGCTAAGATCAGCATCTAAATGACTTCATTCACTTATGGCTTTGATGCTCATGCTTGCACGTCCTTGCTTACGCAAAGTGTTTTTTGTGCATAATGAAATAGATCAAATGCAGTAACCAGGTGATGAATTTAAAAAACACCATAATAGTGAACACTCGAGTCGGGTGATGCATTCTCCTATAATGCCCGAAGTTTGAAGAGATTCAAGCACATACACCACAGGAATCAATTTGGCACAGCATTGACAACCAAAAAAATTCAAGAAGACTAATAGAAAGTAAACAAGAAAAAACTTAAGATCAGTTCTGAATATGATACAGAATAATTCCCATCATTAAAAGAATCAATTAAATTGAATTTTAAATCATGACCAGGAAAATACGGGAAAATCTTTAAGCTAAAAGTTCTCAACAATTTATAGAATTATATGACCGCGTCAAATTTCTGCAGATTGAAAACGACCAAAAACCATGAAACATATTTAACGTTTTCCTAGTTTCATATAAATGATTAACGTCAATGACTGAGAGTGAAAATGCAAGATGCAATAAAAGTAATATAATTTACTCTTTGGTCGCTTTTAGTGAGGAAGCACCAGACTGAATCAGCAGATGTTTAAGCTCATCTGTTCCAATCGCCTCAGAGTCAGATGATATCTTGAATTTATATGTCGCTGCTTTCTCTAGATTTATATGCTTGACCTGATCTGACAAATTCTCCAACTAAGTTGATAAGCATTGCAATACAACAGTCAGTACCACAAGGAAGCCAGATGATCTAACTAAAACAAAATCACAGGGAACGGACCCACCTACCGAGTTATCAAGATTGGGAGGTCCTCCAAAAAATTCCAAGAGAGTCTTTCTGTTCTGCTTAGAAGGATAATGAGTGGATACCTTTAACTTTTGGCAACAGTCTTTGGCGGATGATGAAAGAGATTGACCTACAGAAAGAAATTTTGAATAAGTTTTCTGAATCTATCTGCCTAGCAACAAGCACTTTAATCCAGTTTTTTCCACTTATTTACCAGTATCAATCAGGAAAGTATTTTCACGCAAAGGCGTAGAGAACCTGAAAATAGATAGGATATTAGAACAAACTAGAGAAAGGAATATTAACAACTGGACAACTTGTAACAATTACAATGCGGGTAACACCATAAATGCATCCAGCCTGTTGCTGCAAAAAAACGGCTACCAGTTTTTCATGCATATAATGGTGAGGTTAGCTAAATGCCGCCAGCCAGCAGAAAACTCCTCCATATGTTTAGCTTCTTCCAGATATAAAAGCAGGCCTACTTTGATGGGAAAAGGAGTGAAGATTGTAGAATTGATAAACCAGACAATAGACAAACCTAGAGCTTCTCGGTCTTTTGAATGGAGAAATGGAACTTGTCCTCCTTTGCCTTCTATTGTCACCAGAGAAATCCACCTGAATTGGAATACCGGCACTTGCTTTATTTGAGATGTTAGCCAGAGGTGGCCTTGGTGGCCTTCCTTCTGGTCCCATTCTCAAGTTTTCCACTTTAAAAGTTTCATGAAGGTCTTTCCTTGGCATATTTTGCACGTGCAACATTTTACCATCAAACTCATGGATCCTCTCAGAGCTGAAAGCATCATTGTTGACTTTATTACCATGGGCAAAGTCAGCCGTCAGAGAAGCAAAGGTCAGCGACGACTCCTGCATGGGTATTTTGAACATGTTTCTGCTTCTTTCTGAATTACTGCCAATGAAATCAAAATTTTCCTTGTTCTGTGACATCTCATGTAAATTATCATTTGATACTGACGGTATTAAATAACTAGTACTAATCCCATTCTGTAAAATTTCAGTATCCTGGTCACCAAGAAGGCTCCTTGCTCGTCTTAATGCATCATCAGAAATGGGCAGAGACCTTCCACCCGCAGTATGAAACATGATTGGCGGGGATATGGGAGCAGATGCATGCATGCTGGAGACGTGAAGCTTTCCAGGCCCACTGCTCTCGATCTGATTTCTTGAAACATTTTCATTACCATGAGAGATAAACGACCGTCTTTCAACTGGTTCATCACCTAAAGGATTAAAAAAAGACATCCCAGAAGCTCCAGGGTTTATTGACAATTGACATGACTTTTTCCTTCGATTGCCTGTGTCAAAACTGGTCTGATCTGTCACACTTTCAGTGAGAGGGATGTGATTTTCATCCAAACCCAACAATGCATTAGCTCTCCGGAAACCACCTGCAGATATATTGATGACCTTGCCAGAGTCTCTCCACAATGAACAACCGGAAACACTGACTCCAACCCTTGGATTGCATTTTTGCATCGTGCCTGTAAATTTGCAAGCAGTTATTGTTCCACAACCAGCTAGACAAGCATAGTAATATGCAACAAAAATGAATCATGCTGAGACGTAAGAGAATGGGCAGAATGAGCAGTTATCTTCAAGATACCAAGAGATGCGGCTTGATTCATTTCACTACAGCAAAACGACCCCTACAAAAAACTCATCATTCACCTTGTATAAGAAACGAATAAATACTAAAAGATAATGGGTTCCTTTTTTAGAACACCCGCACCTTAATATGTCCCTGGATCCTGAACACTTCAATTCTAAAGAATCACTACAAGATACAGATCACAGATCTGGAGGCAATCTTTGTGATGTGTCAAACACGTCCAGTCAGCGAGATGACTTTCCTATAGAAGATCTGAAGTTTGGCACGATTTAGTCATATGTAGTCCAGCGTGTAACAATGTTCAAAGATGATAAATTCAAGATATGGTTACTTTGTGAAAGTTTATTTACATGTCGCGTTGGAGAAAGGCGCACATCGAAGCACATATCTTCTGGAGAAACGAATTTTACACTATGGCAGAACCCTGGAACTTTAACCCCATGAGGAAGAGAATGTCACTCAAACAGAGACAGGGCTGGATCAATAAATTGTCATCGGATAAAATCCATTACACAGATCACGGACAACAGGAGCATGGTGAAAATATGCAACTCATAAAGTACGGAATAACTCGTGAGACAGATTTCTGAAAACTTTTCCAATTATTCAAGATCTAATCGGAAATTTTCTACTAAAAGAATTTCCGTTTTTTTGTTGGACCAAGTCCTCTTCTGTTGGGAAGAGATCATATCGGTAAATACCTTTTATTTCTCATGCATGAAAAGATAAACATTGCCAACTGAGACTTACGGATCCAGAATAGAATTTCGTTCAAGAGCATGTACAGCTTGGCAAATCTGTAAGTAAAGAAAGGTGAGATAAAATAGAGTCTATTGACTCACCCATTTCCACATTCTCTTCCTCCTGGAGAACAGACAGTGCCTTCCTAATTGAAGATTGTTTTAAACCAACGGGTCTCCCCAACCCAGTTTGGAACAACGGAGCACTAATTTCACCACCAAGCATGTTTTCTACACATATATAAAAGATAATCAAGAAGACGAAGTTTAATAAAAAAAATATATGATATTAAGAATCTGCGAAAGTGAGTCAACTTTATACATGCGTCGAATTATCGTCTTTCTCATCACTCCACCGCACTGATACATCATCTTTCATTGTAAAACATAAATGCTATACAATCAAAATTTTCAAATCTAAGCTCTCACATGTTATTTAAGTACGTATCCTGACATAAATGAAACCACGGAACTGCATCCTATATGCAAACACACCCCTAACCGTCTGAAGGAAATCAGCCTCGCCAGGACTGAATGAAATAAGAGAAATTCTTGGAGTTCTTTGAACCCTTTCCTTCATCCTCCGAGGGAAATTCCATTAATTGCAGAATTAGCATCCTTGATTTCTATACAAGACAGAAAAATGAAATCCTGAAACAAGCAAATAACTGGAGTTCAAGCGGACTTGATAAAAAAAATACCCAAGCACTGGACTGGGCCTCAAAATGTAGATAGGTGTGGATCCGTGAAGAAAAGTCAGTATAATTTTACAGAGAGAAAGTGGGACCGACGGTGTTAAAAACAGGCAGAAAATTGAGAAAGATAGGAAAAACATTGGGTGATTTCCATATTTCCCGTTTCCTTGCTACCTCAACGATGGGGGATTATTAGGAGGTTAGTGATGATCATTGACCAATAAAACCCCCCCTCATCACCTCTGTTTCTTCTTTTTCATACAGCACACCAATGAGTAGGAATTCTAGGGGAGGGAACTTATCGCGTATTTTCCCAGACTAGGAAGCAGACATGGCAGACGGTGGGTGAGGATAACTGTCTTTTGTCATTGACATGGCAGAAGGGCATCGCTGGTTTTTCTCAGGTAGGCTTTTGCGACATCCATTAACCTTAGAAATAAATTTCATTTTGTAGGAATAAAATGAAGTATCTGGGCTACTGCAAACCAGATTCTGCAATCCTAAACAGTTAGTTCCAAAAAAAATTCTTCAAAGGTTATCTTTATACAGCGTGATAAATCTCAGTCAGAATATGCTACCCTAGACCTTAAGGTTTTACTTAAAAGATATTTTCTTCGTAAAATAGATTCCTCACGTGCATTTCGACATGGCACCAAGTGTCACTCTTTAGCGCTGCAACCACTTTTGTGATTGTTTTCGGAAATAGATCTCCATTTTGCGCTTGGGACATAGGACATTATGTTGCTAAACAGTTTTAACGATCGTCCGTCTTGAGAATTTTTCATGCGAAAATGCAATATTGATATGGGGAGCCTTATAGATGTTTTGAATTTGCGAGCCAATGATACCCCTACGTTTTCAAGATAAACTTTCTATGTGCTATTAGTTTTTCAAGGCTGTTAGTCAATATAGATGCACTTTAGCTGTAATCTAGACAGAACATTCACCAGCGTGTAAATGCACAGTGAAGAACACTTCTAGTTAATGAAATACGGGAACAAATTATCAAAGGATACAATAAAAAGAGCAGTGACATCACCCCTCTTTGTCATATCTCCTTTGAGTACAGACGTTTCCATCTTGAGAGAGGCCTTCTTTGCTTGCACCGATGATCCAGAACCAGTAGAAAACAAGAGCAAGCCATCGTCTGCAGCATCACCCTCAGACAGTACTCCATACCCTGGAATTGATAATGATATTAAGATGACAATAACTCCGAATATCTTGATGTGAGCATAGTTGTTTAGGTTTCTAAGTCTGCATGCTAAAAATTTAGGCAGTTACAAGAAACATACTATTTTTTAAAGGCTAGCCTTTACACGAATAATTATTGAGACCTAGAAATAACTTCACCATAACGCAATAAGAGAAAAAAAAATTATATGGTTGATGAAATAAGAAGACAGATGATCCAGTGGCCGAGGTTATATCGGAACGATGTACCCTGCTCCGGCATGTCTAGTTTGAGCACAGAGGCTGCCTTCTCGAGAGAGGATTTGCTCACTTTCACCAACTTTCCTGAACCAGTACAGAACATCGGCAAGCCACCCTCCCCTGAAACACCCTGGGATGAGCCTCCGCAACCTGAAAATTAGAATGATATTATATAACAATAAATCCGAAATTCTTTGAATATCTTTCGAATTCTCCGTTCAATTGATATGTAATCTATTATTGCGTAATCCGATGGCTTTGGTCAACATTCTAACCGCATACACGTTGAATTCCTGGGACTCGACATGCAGAAACAAAAAATAGCCTGGGCATCCATTACCGTGACTAGTTTTAGAGAAAAAACACTCCCACCGACAAGCGTCACCTCCTGATTTATCTGATTCACGGAGAACCATCTCCGCCTTCCGGAGTGAACTTTGCCTCACGGTGACGGACCTTCCTGATCCTGTCTTAAACATGGGAACGCCATCCTCGCCTCCACCGCCTCCTTCCCTGAGCTTCGTGGAAGCTGGCAGCAATCCCGCTGGAATAAGCGACACAGATGGAACAGACGGAACGAAAAAGCACGACGATATGCATGTATTTTACTGATGCTCCCTCCCTCATTTACCTTCGACCAACAAATCGGACATGGAAGGGTAGTGGGGAGATTCCGGGGTTCCCCGTCTCGAGATGAGAACCTTCCGAGGCTGTGCCAACTGTGAACGGCTATCTCCATCGGTAGGGCTCCAGATGAAGTGGTCGCCGGGGGCGGGGAGGATCCGCCACGCCGGTAGTTCCGTCGTCGAGTTCATTTCTGCCTCTCCGGCGACCTCCGCAGGCGGCGAGCCCGCGCGGGGGGCTGAGCGCGGGAAAAGAAGAAAACGCATAGCCGGTGTTGCTCTCTTCGGAGGCGTAAACGGAGCAGTACTCTTAGTATAAAGGATACAACATCGGTAACGGATCGTTAACGGTTATTACGAATGATGATAACGAAGATCAGGTGCCGGTACAGCGTGCGAAATGGGCAGGACCAGGCGGCCTCGTCAGCCGGCCCAATCCCGGTCAGACAGACCCACGTCAAGTCCAAATTCAAGGCCCAAATAATTCAAGGCCCATATCTCCTCGGGCCTTTAAACAACCCCAAATTCTCTATACCTCGATGAGTCATCCCTCGTACATTATTAGATCACCTTCTTGTAGGTCAAGAACTTGCCAAATATTCTGAAAAAATACTAATTACCCACCCGTTTAGTGGGTGAACAACTGAAAACCCCCGCATTTTTTGTATTTGATTTTGAGACCCACGTCAAGTCGATCTTAGTTCATGGTAAGTCACTTTAACGACCTCGACGAGTGATCTTATATTGAAAAAAGCTCCTTTATTTCAATGGGTAGGACAAGTTTTACTCGTCCACAATCAATAACTAGTAAAAGTGGTGACAAAAATCCCAAATTTTATCTACGTTTAGAGTCTATCATGGAAAAAAACTATAGGCCACTTTATATAAATATCATTCAATATAAGTACATGCCACTTTATACGAACCCCAATTCATTGTCGTTTTTTAAATGTAATATTTACACTTTTATGTTGTTTCATTTTATTATATATGATGACATTGATTTTTAAGGTAAATTCTATTAGGAGCGAGTTCTTATTATCCATGGTTGTTGTATTGAATTTGATAAAATATACCCAAAATGTAAAGCAGCCATTTAACAAAAGCACCATAATTAATTATTTTTTAAATATTTGTTTTGATTAACATATTTTTAGTATTAATCTTCATAATTAATACCGCGAAAACTATCAGCCCAATGCAGATTGGTTTTTGGCTTCATATATGTCAGTCATAGAAGCCTACGCAACTAATGAAAATTAGTTAATTAATGACAAATGAAAGTAAGGAGAGAGATTGCTACCGAGGCATTAAATAATTAATAGGAGTTTACATCCAAAGTTTTGCCAAAATGAAACATTAACAAAGTAAGAACTAGTCATATTTATACATTAAGGTATTAATTAATGGAGAAGAAATAATGAAGAGAAGATTTTAATACGTATCGAAGAATTTGTTGAGAAAAACTTTTATGTGGTAGCCAAAACTTGTAAACACCTAAGGATTCGTAGTTCCACGAAGAACATGCATGACGCGTGATATTGTTGTTAAAGGAGGTTGCTTTTCCAAGGTGGGAAGGAAGGAAAAAGGGGTCGGGGGGTCTGCAGCGGCCGGCGTTCCGCCCGTGGGGGCTCGCCGTGATGTGACGGGAGGCGCGTAGAATTCCGGGAACATCTAGACGGCGGCATTTACTGTGGGGCATACGCGGCCACCACCACTCCCTCCCCCGCATGGGCGGCCGCGAGAATAGGCCCCCACGGCACGGCGCCGCCCCTCTCCAGGAGGTTAAAATACAGTCCCCGGCGAGCAGGTGGCGCACGGCCAGCGTGGGGGATGCTGCCGATTAATGGGCGTAGACGCACTGACGGCGGCGCCGAGAGAGAGCGGCGAGGAGTGGGGGGGGGGGGATCTCCAGCTCTCCGGAGGCGGTGGGGAGTGGTCGGAGGGGGGTCGGCACGGTGGCGGGCAGGAGCCCGCCTTTCTCGCGGCGGAGGGCATTTGCTGCGGGAGTCTCTCGCCTGTCAGAGCGTCGGGTGGCAGGGATAGGGGGGGCTGGCTGCCTCGTCCTCGCACTGGCGAGAGCAGCCTCTCGATCTGCGTGACCATGGAGGAGTGGAGTACGGCCGGGGAGATGTCAGAGAACACGAGTCCTGAGTGACGGAGCCGGCGCGTACAGCTGAAGCTAGGGGGACGAGGAAGAGGGTGAGTGAGTCCGGCATGGCACCGCCGGAGTCGGAGCAATATTATCGCCGCCGCGCTTCTTCTCACTTCCCCGCCACCGCCGCCGCAATAGTCGCAAACCCAGAGCTCATCTCCTCGACGGGGGGAGGGGAGGGTGGGGGGAATGAAGAGGTAGGGCCTGGTGAGGGCGCCCTGGGAGGGTTGCCATATGAGGGGGGAGGGGGTGGGTGACCACATGGTTTCACGCCGATGTCAGAAGGACTCTGCATAGCCCTGCGGCAGTCACTGCCGGAGCTTAAATGACGGAGGACCTACGCGAGAGAGGACTAACATAGAATTTATAGTCCACCTGCGTCCTCTCTGAAGCTGCCCGAGGCCCACCCCTGACAGCGAAGTTAAAAAGGTTCTACTCCGCCGTCCGATCATGAGATGGGCGCAGAGCTCTGCTCTTCTCACAATGGGAGAGGAAGGTAGGGTAGTTTTCTTAGGTACACGAGAGAGGAGATGGGTCACCCCCTCCACCCTTTCTCTCTGGCCTATTCCAGGGGCAGGGTATTGTATGGGGAACCGGGTTGCGAGTAATGGAGGAGACCCCGAAAGCGGCCATCATCAGCAAGAGAACCTCCTCTTTCTCTCTGTGCAGGTCGAGCGACGTGACTCCTGTCTGCACTCACCGCAGTTACCCCCCCCCCCCCCCCCCGGCCCCCTTCTATAAATACACCCCGCCCGGCCTTCTTATCTCTATTCCACACGGCCAGAACTCTCTCTCTCTACCTGCTACTTGGTGCTGCTGCTCATCGTTCTATGGGGAGAAGATTTAGAAGAAGAAGGCAGGGAGAATCCGTAAAGCTCAGGAGGGATAGCGCCAGGGGCTTACGGGAGGGAGTACCGAGTTCCCTCCGCTGCAATGGCGCTATCTATCCTGAGTTTGATGGCTTCTCCTTGCTGCCGACGGAAAGGAAGACGGATCACCTCCCTTCCCTTCCCAGCTTCCTCCTCTTCTTCGCCGATAACTTGCTCTTACTAACCCCATCGTTCACACGCTTTCTTCTCCTTCCTCGTTCTTCTATCTATAGTGCACTCACCGAGGGGCCCGGTTCTCCACGCCGCCTCACCGGCGGCCCAATCATTAACGCTCCCTCCGTAACGGCGGCGACCGACCGCGACGGCCAGCGGCGCTCGGCGGTTCTAACCATGCGGCGTGTTTTTCTGCGTTCGGACTGTTCCCCTTTTCCTGCAAGTAATTCATCTCGCCTTCTTCCCTGCAGCGCGCCATTACGCCGCCTCGTAGTACTACTCTCCGCTCCAGAGGGGACGCAGACGGGCCAGGCCTGGGTCACAGACTCCGAGAGAAGCCAGATTTAATATATAATATTATTTCTGAAAATTTTCACGTCAGACAGGACACCGGTCGCTTCAGTCACCCACGTCAAACCTCGTCCATCTTTTAATGTCAATATATTATGTATGAAAATAAGAATTCCAAAATAGGCAAAAAAAAGGACGCACCTTCAGTACTTGATTTGCCAGAACAGGGAGGAGTGAGAGTCGTCGACGGCATACTCCAAGTGAGACGGGTCGCAACCCTCCAGCCGGCCGAGGCCCTCCAGCGCGCCGCCTAACAGCAACAGCAGCTCGCCGTGCCGCGACTGTTTCTTCCTCAGCACGCGTATATAGGCGGAGAGCCCCAGCCACACGGTCTCGACCTTCTTCAACCTCAGAGCTGGCACAAAGTCCAGCTTCCTGCGTCCCACGCCGTACATCCGCTTCTTGATGAGCCTATGCATATAGCTGAGAGGGCCAAAATAGAGAGAGAGAGAGAGAGAGAGAGAGAGAGGGAGAGAGGAATATTAAGTGGAGAATACTACCAGCATCTGCTTAACAGTGGAGGGAGAGGGGAGATGAGGACTCGCCTGAAGGACCTCTGGATTATCTCGAGGCAACGTGACGGCCCAAGGCGGCAGTTTGGAAGTGCGCGGAGATAAGAATGAAACTTCATGGCGCAGAGTAGGAAGGCTTGGTAGGCGTTCAGCCGGACGACGGCCGGGGAGTTGATGTAGGAGTCGTAGAACAGAGGGTGGCACTTGGGCCTCATGTAGTTGCACAGCTTTTCTCCGAGGTGCTCCCCTACCTTCGCGTGGGCATGAACAGTGAGCGTGGATCTCAGATGGGAGCCCAGGTACCTGGTTTCCCACACAGAGGGGGGAAAAGCCGATCAATTCAGTGCAATGCCACTGCCCAGTCAGAATAAATAAATAATAAATCGCGTAATTTTACTAGCAAAAACACAGAAAAAATATTCCAGCTGAAAATCCAGATTTCTAGGTTCTCATGATTTCATCAGGGTCCTCGGTCAACCGGGGTCTAACCATGGTTAAATAACATTTTGCATAAAACAGGATTGTTAAATTAGCGAATTTTTTTCACCTCCGGATTAGTCTCTCGGCTTAACCATAGTTAAATCCTTCCCAAACTAACCAGATTCAGAAACGGGAGCAATGCCCTATCTTCAACAAGAAACCAAGTCTTAAGGTTTGCTGCCTCCCCTGGGCGCCAGAACAGTCACCATCGGTTCCTCTCTTAGAAGTAGAACAAGATTTCTGTAGCATTTCAATGTATTTTACGGGAGAAAGAAATGGACGCGAAATATTCAACGGATATTTTTCCCTTTGTAAAGGTGTTAGCCTAGGGAAAACAGATCGAGCGACCTAAACATAAGAAAAAAAAAACTATTAAATTAAATAGTATCCTCCCTCGGGAAGAAGGAAGAAAGGACCTCGTGTAGTCAGCTTGGATCTCCAATGTGAGACAATTGACGAGAAGGCCGCTCCAGGGAAGAAATGGAATGCCATCCGCGCCCACGTATCTTCTGTTGGACCTGGGAGCCGATTTGCCACCCACGTCGAAGTTCAGGCCAAACTTTTCGCTATTCATGTAGCAGTTATACTCCCTGAATCCTCTGCACAGCCTGTTGAAGAAGCCGCTCGCTTGCTTCTCTGAGGAGGATATGAAGAGGAAGTCGTCGACCAATCTCAGCAAGATGTGCTGCGGAGAGGAGGGGTCTTCTGTGTTGCCATCATCTCGTGCAACCCCCTCGATTGCTGGTTCTTTAGCGTTGCTAGAACTAGAACTAGCATGGGGAAGCTGGGGGATCTTCCGAAGGAATGGAAATATGATGCTCCTCTCCAGATGGCCATAGTAGAATGAACACAGCAGAGACGATAGCAAGCTGCCCTGAGAAATACCGGACCTCTGCAAGCAGAAATCCCGGCCAAGCTGCAGTATGTTGCTCTTCACATGTTCGCGAAGAAGATGATGAATTTCTGCGTGCTTTATCTTTTTAAGGATGCCCTGAGGTTACGAAGAAAGGAAACCTTTCTGAGCTGTACCGCCCCATGGGGTCACTGTGACTTCACGTCGTAGTTCAGAACAATTGGAATTTATGTGATGAAAGGGTTCGGAGTCTGATATGATATCATGCAGTAATCGATAGGCGGATTAAAACGTCAAATTAAAAGTAAATTAACACGATTTCATTGCTCGTATCTGACTACAGAGAAATAGATCAACCACCAAAACATCATTAATTACAATATCTCCATTTCTTCGTGAACCAGGGGATGAAAAAACTCTATAAACAGGAACCTAAACGGTAGATGATCGGCTTCTTCTCTGAATTTTCGAGTGAGATATGTTTCGGAACCATAAATCGATATCTGGCATCATTTGACCGACCTACAATTTTTTGCCAGCATAGTTACAGAACAAACACATGCTCATAAAATCTGTCACGATGAGAAAGAGTTGAAATATCACCCTTAAATAAATGAAATTTGAACTGATTTTAATACAGAACATAAAATCATACTCAGTATCTAGACTGTGACCTATGAACTATTGGCATATTACCGATATGACGTTTCGTTAAAACTCACTTCATTTTCTTGCCTTGAGCAGACTTTCTCAAATAGAGCTTTTTTTTTATCTACCTATATAATCGAAGTAGAAAAGGAAATATAATTTTAAATATTTGACAACAACGATGACACCATGGAAGAATAAATTTGAAACACCATACCTGATCAGTAATGATACCATGGGATGAACAAGATCGTATAGAAGTCAAAGAATTCGCAATATCATGATCTTCGTTTCTGTCAACGCATACATAGCCATAACGGGTACTCATGGTCTTTTTTGTACAAATGACTTGAGCATATTTTCTGAGAAGATATTCCTTCTTCCATATTACATCCTTCATGACATCAAGAAGCCTGTCCTGGTTAATGGAATCAAATGCCTTTGACACATCTGCAACAACAATGAACACCTTGGGCACGGTTGTTGATCCATTCTTAAGCCTGGCAAGAAACCCGTACAATACTTGATAGACATCATTGTAATCAAACACAGATGCACCTACCATCAGAGGATGCTCACTCTTTATCCTTTTCAGAATAGCATGTACATCATGGAGGGCAGAGTTGACGGATCTGAAGTGAACAAGCTTTAGTTTTCTGTTAGAATTTCTTCCTTTCAAACGTGTTATTGACTTATCACTCGTTTTAGCGATGTGATCACAAAAAGAGGACTTTGCAAGTAACCAGGCTTTAGATGGAGCTTTGAGATTTGCTAAAAGCCTCATTCCTTTCTCCTTTGGAAGAAATCTAACTTTAGAAAAACCAAATGGCCTACTACTGGTAATTTTCGCAAAATATTTTAAGTCAATGGGGCAGTAGTTCTGCTTCTTCAGACAACTCATGGTTCTGGCAAGTAATGTAGTCCACACAGGTTTTGGGTAATAAAGTGCTTCATGTTTCCCAAACTCACTTTCAGTGACATAAAAGTTGGCACCCAGCATGGGTACTACCATGCATGAGAAGAACCAAAATATCCATCCATGGAAAAGCTTGTGCTTCAGAACTATCCAATCATCTTTGGATTCCCAGCAGTCTTTGACCATGGTCGAGCCTTCTCTTGAAAAACAGTAGCAGAGAGGGCGATTTGGAATTCTTGATAGAAAAGAAAATTTTGATGTTTGGAGCCTATTAACACATTGCCTGAGACAAAACGTTTCAAACCTACGCAGTCTCACAAATTTTGATATATTTCGTCTTAATGATCTCCAGTTAGAATAGTCACCAAGTAAATCCACAGGGACTATGCTCCTAGTAGCTGCCCAAATGAACGAGACCACCTCTTTGTGTTCACAATAAGATTTAGTCTCAGCAGCCAGGAAACCACGATCCACTGAATTGCTCTCATGAAGTGACTGTTTCAGATGATTAACTTTTTTTGTCCCAGCATAAAGGAATTCTGAATGAATATTTTCTGATGTTTTATGCAACCCAAGAAATTTCTTTTTAAGCTTCTTCTCTATCACAGTATTCTTTTCTGCTGCCTGATCATATCAGAAAAGACGAAAATAAAGAGGAGTAACTAACACATTACGTGGGCTACGAGCTTCGTAAACGTCACGGTGAGGAAATAAATGAATTCAATCTGGTACATAGGTAATACATTGTGGGGACATTTCAAAGATGAACTGAGCGTCAAGGCCTTCTGTCGTGAGACCACAGATCAACAAAATGTTTCACATTGTGATATGAATAACATGACTTTATATTTGTTATGTCTTAGGGGACCGATTATCTAAGCATGTAGACATGTAGTTTCAGGCATTGCCTGAGCTTAATTTCTTAGTAATCAAATACCGGCTCAAAATTTTCAAATGAAACTGAAAATTGTTCTTCACGGGTTGTCACAAAAAGGTCCTACTAAATCAAATTCATATGTTAGCTCCATCGAGGCAGTTTATCAATAGCAGGGAAACTCAGAATAGAAAACTATAGTCATCAATCTAGCAGGCATCCGACTATGAAACAGTCTTTGGTATCTGAGTAATAGTCAAAGGTGAACGAGTGCACTTCTTATTTGAAGATGGAGATGCAAATGGTCATGAAATTACAATGGGAGATAGATCTACCATTAAAAATTAGTTTTGAACGGGCATGTCCATATCAATTCACAGATGTGCTGACTAGGTTCGACTCGGACTGCATTAACTCAATGTTTGAACGTATCAAGTCAACTGCATGCATTGATCAGAGCATCTATGTATCTGACATGGAGATTCCTGAATGGTAAGCTATGAAACAGACTTGGGACGAAAGAGTAGAAACCGTGACCTTAGCCAGTTCAAGTCAGGTTGATCTAGCTCGTGTCATCTTTAAAAGAGGAAGCTTTAAATTCACCAAATGAAAAGGCCTATGAACTTGACTACAATCACCTCAGATCATTTTATTCAGAATGAACATTACTGGATCTCTTAGGATCATTTTTGCGAGAAGCTTGCAAGCTAGAAAGGGGTTTTAAACGAAATCAATGTATGCTGTGCGATTTTAACAAAATCCAAAAGTTTTTGAAAAGAATCCAAGGTTATACCATTTTCGCCGATTTCGGATCTAATTATGATGATGTAGGTTTAGGTTAAAAAAAATAGTTGGAGGGCAGTCGTTTGGGGATTTTGGACATTGACAAGAATAAGTTTTTCAAAAAGAGAAAGAAAAAACTCGAAACAATATTCATAGTCAAAGGTTGATTTGTGTACGTTCAGCCTACAACCCTCATCTAAGGATAAATTTGATGTAATTAAACATTAATTGAATATTCTCAATTAATCTAAACTTTGTAATAACTTACACGTATTTTTACTTACAAAAACTGTCAACTAATTGTTGATAGGTTAAATGTACTGGTGTCTTCCTTGAACGTAATTGTCGACACATTTGTTAAAACACAAAGAAAAAACACAATTGACTGATATATCTTGGAATCATGGTGTTAACCACTCTAATATGCTTCGAAGCATTCCACACTGAAGCTCAAAAAATAGCAATGAAACTCAAAAGAAACCTCAGCTATACTTGCTTTAAACAAAGATGATTTCTTAATCACATTCCAACCCCTTTATAAGATCATAACTAATTCAGAAGCTAACGATCTCACTGAAGATTCAAGTCTCTCCAGAAAGATAAGATGAAGCTCAAGTCAACAAATATAGACAACCTCTCCTTAAGATTCGTTGAAGCTTCTTATGCATTTAATCATGTTTTAACCTAATTAGATTGGTTTACAAATTGTTGCATTTTACCACTAAATGCCATTCTCGATATATGAACGAACATATTATTAAGACATCTCTAAACGATAGTCTTATTAGCTTCATTGAGAAGCTAACTCGTACATCTCAGTAACATATTATGAAATGTGAGCTCGAAAAGTGGAGTAAGTTTGAAGTTAATCGAATCATTATAAATTTCTCGTGTTATCCTTTAAAAACTTTGTTTCTTTAAACGTTTTTATTTTCACATGCGACCTGTTGAATGAACTATTCACCCCTGATTGTAAACTACATTATAACATTAGTAATAATACTGTGGATTCAGTTTTTTAAAAATTAAATTTAAAATAAAAGTCATCTAAAATGCAAACTGATATTTCTTTTAAGATTATAATACAACATGATAAAACATTTCTTTTTTCCTTTTAAAACTGCACCATCTGATTGATCGAGGATACTTTCCTTTCCCTCCAAGATAGCTATGTAATGACACATTAGACTTCCCTCGTAATACTACCTGGTCAGACCATGATTACTGTTAAGTCTTTGTAAGATAAGAGAACGTAAATATATATACTCTGTTCCTGTGTGCCACGTCTACTTTCATGGTCGGGCAGACATTGTGTATGGGCGAAATGAAAACAAAGACCTTAAAGGTCATTACCACAAGCTAAAAGTCACGTTTTTTGGAATTGGGAAATAACTCACGACAATGTTCCCTTTTAAAGAGAATAGACGACAAGAAGCTTACAATGGGATTACACTACGGAACAACGTCCTCATCAATGGATAGAAAAAAATTATAAAGAAAAGGAATTTGAAGATATCAAAATTACCAAATAATGGAAGTATCACTTGTCCTTGAATAAATACCGAAGCAATTTCCAAAAGCTTAAATAGTTACCTCAGATATCTGGCCCGCACTGTCACTAATGCCCAATAAATTTAGAACAGGACAGTGCTTACGTAGAAGCCCCACAAATTGACACTTGTGAGCATTCCGAATCAGAGTTTTAAGGATTCTCAAAAGTGAATGATACCTGATGAAAATTGAACACAAAGAAATGAGAGTAATTATTGATATACTAGGTATTCAAGATGCTCGAGAAAACTGAAAATAATTGTGTACTGGCTGATGCATTGAGAAAATGATAGATACGGCTGATAGCAAATGCACAGCAACATTTCACACAACGGATGATCCAAAACCTCTCTTCCAAGGACAATCTGCTGAAGGAAAATAAGATCTCCAGCTTAATTGACTTCTATAGAATGAGACCCATCAAGTTTAGGCTCCATAATTGTGGGTCAGCATCAAAACAAAAATAAGCTGCTCAACATGCATTTTCAGTAGGTAGGAAGTGTGCAATGAAGAGGAAAGAAAATTACAAAGTAAATAATTCCTGCCTGCATCAATGAAAAGAGTTTCCAAAAGAATATCGGACATGGCTTTGCAGATTAATATCACAGATCAATAAATTGAATATGTTAAAATTTCATGTGACATAGCCACCAAGGGATCCTTTGACAAAAGCAAACTACACAGGGATCTAAAGTAAATATGAAATAAATAAAACTGTAGCCAACAGAAAAAAAATGCGATTCGCTCTCAGTTTTCACTTTGGCACGTTGGTTATCCACTTACAAGCACCCAGACACAGGGGAAGAACGATTTTTCCCATGCAAGAAAAAGGCATGATAAGTGTCTAAGCCTCCACCGGACACATAAAAAATATCCTTCAGAAGAGCAAATGCACCAGAATTATTCGGCTTCAATCTGTTTATAATGTCTACAAGATGTCAAGGTAAAATTGTTTTACACCATAAACAGTATAGGAAGATCTCTCCTGTACGGATAGTCTCAATACAGAAGATCAGTTATCTTAACAAAAAAAATCGATCAATATTTATGTTACAATCTTAAAAGTAGTAACAGGAATAAAATTGAAACATAATTTCATCAAATTAAAGGATCCGAAATCGTATGATGCAATGTAAATTTCATTGTGTTCTGCCTGAAAAATAAAAAAACAGAATAGATCTATTGACCAGATTTGTTCTCAGCGCATCTTTGTGAGCTTCAAACATAATCCAAATGAGATAATATGGGAAAAAAAACTGAGGAAGCTTAAAAGAAGCGAAATGATACATCCGACCTCATAATCAAGCCATTGTGTTGAAAATTTAGTTATCGCAACCCTAACAGCTGAATGGTTGGAGGACACCACGAAGCACATTCAGGACGCTGTACGAGATAACATTAAAATCCATGCAAAAAGCATGTTGGAAATACAAACTTTGAATTTGAACAACTATCATCCATAGTGAACTTTACCAATTAATGCAATAACCAGAAACAGGATTCTATGCCTGTGGAACATGGTAAAGTGAATGAACTAATAGATGCAACCTAACAAGATGTACCCTCGATCCTTTCTTTAGGACGTTCATCTTTGTTATTTTGGTAGTATGAGGTACGTCTGGGTTTATGAGTAAATCGAATAAAAGTTGATGACGAAGGAAAATGAATCTTCAATTTTTTGTAATGTCGCATTATTGAATGATGCAGATTTTCTATATAATAAATATTCCTCGGTGTTTCTTCAGATATATGAATTAATAATACCTGGAAATATTGATATGCCACTATTCCTCGGTTAATGCAAACATTAATTATTTTTTGAATGATCAAAATATCTCGGGAAAATATATACTCTTCTGCAAAACATTGATAGTCAGTAAGACAACATAACATGCCATCAACAAATCTACCAGAGACATGTAATGGGCACCCATAGAATGGAAAGGATACGATTCCCTGGAAGAACGGAAGATGATGAGCCTGAATTATAAAACATGCTCTTTTTCCTAATCTCAGCTCTTCCAGATATTTTTGGTGTAGATCGCAACATTAAACAATTAAAGCATGTAGACGCCATCTGCAGTTACATATAAATATAAAAGAACATCTGCGGAAATAAACCCAGAGGTGACAATGGGACTCAACAATAAATACAAGCCATCTTCGAAAATTAAGGATCTTAAAGCAGTGCATGTACTCTGGTTTGTGCTGGACCATAAATTTCCTAGGAAACTGAATGCATAATCGACTACTGGATCAAAAATTATGGTTTTTATATCCCTAGAATAAATCATATTTAATATTACGATCATGGCTTTAGCATATATATATCGATCAGTCGTGTATTTATCCTCTTATCCATACAATCAACATCTGATTCTTTAACTTAACCCAAAGTTATCTTTTGCCCGAGATTTGAAATGACCGTTTTACTCTTATACCTCATCCTACTTTTGCACGTAACTCTGTACTGCAGTGAAAACAGCCGTACAAGTAGAGAGAAACATGGACATCTTAAAAAGGAAATGGCATAAGTTTTATGAAATAAAACTTCTTGCCAAATATAGATAACGTAAGACTGAATGAGACAACCCAGTTGCCACATTTTTTTCAATAGATTGCATTCACAATGACTAGACAAGAGCGCTCTGACTAGCTAGCTAAATGGCGCAGGCACAACCTTTTAGAAGGGCAGTCAAGCTTGTTGCAAGAAGAAGAATCGAAGAAGAAGGAAGAAGAGAAAAAGAGTGATAACATGACAGGAAAAAAATGCATAGTCATGACAAAGATGTTAAATTTGGGCTGTTTTACCTAGATTAACCATGCTAGTTGTTGATCTTAACACCGCTGGGTCGGCCAAAATGATTTTAGATGTAATAATAGATTCTTAAAATAAAAAAAAAAGCATATTAAAGGAACTTTTAAACGTGATTATAATACATCATATATGTTCATTAATTAGAACCCTATCTGATGCTATTCTTAGTTCTCAACAGCTGTGCCAAAGTACAAGGAAGAGGAAATAGTAATAAGAAAGCAGTGGAGTCAGCAAGCAACAGGAAACGAATAAGAGTACGGTACGAAGTTGATGTCATGGAGAAAAATGCTAGCAAGCCAAACTAAACCATAGTATGTTTCTTACGGACTGAATTGTGACATCTATTTTGGTTTAATAACTATTTATTTATTTATTTTCGCAGATATAATCTGAGTCAGTCCCTCGAAGTTGATGGCTTTTTCAAGTCACCTGATTGAACAGTGATACACGGGTATCATCCAAACCATCACTCCTAATGAAAGCAAAAGAGAGGGGCAAAACAAGAAATCAGGGTAATTGAGAATTGGTATCTGCCTGAAGCTGAGGAGACTCATCCTATAAATACGAATCTCTATGATACAACCTGAACTGATTCGTATGTTTTCAAGTCAGCTCGATTTTTCTCTCTGCCAACCTGGAATGGAAAGGAAGAAAAGGAAAAGGACGAGGAGAAGCTTACCTAGAGTGCATCTTCCTTCAGACACCACTTCCCTCCTATTGCAGCATCGCAGCACTGCTATATGATACCTCTACCAATCAGCCAACGATAATTTGGCTACAAAAGGGAAGAAGGGAAGTCTTCAGCTAACGGGAAGTGATGAAAGTTAAACGGTGATTTATGCATACCCTGTCCAGAATTTTTCTTCAATGTGTATCATCATTAAGTTTTTATTTCATGAATGCACCATTCTGAAGATGCGACTTTATTTTAAAAAAACTCACAAGGTTCATATTAATACTCCATCTAAGCAGGTTTTTTGGGCTCAATACACCCGGAACCCAAGTCTGAGGTATACTTAAACAATATTTTTGTGAGCGTCGTGCAGTGACTTCTGTAGATTACTAGGATGTGTTGGTTCTAAACAAGTTAATCGTGAGATATGTATAACTCGATTGATTGAAAAAACATACAAAGGAAAGCCCTGAACAGCAATCATATCAGAGAGAAAAGTGATCCACTGTTCCCACTTTTTGACTTGGTCACAAGAATATGCAACAATCAAAAAGCTTATTGTTTAACATAACGTCCAGTCGAATGCATTCATGATAAGACAACTGTCACTATTTCAATCTAACATAACATAAACTTTTCCACCAAAGAAAAATATGAAGTCCAAGATATCACATAAAACATAAACTGCTCCCATTGAGTCAGAAGTAACATTACATTTGTGTTTAGATGCTTCACATTTTGCTCACGGTTGAAAGTTTCACAATGAATTACTCCGTCCTCAAGAAGATTGGGTATTGCAATATCGGTGGAATATTGATTTGTCTCTTTGTATTTTTTTTTAATTATAGGATAATTGATTTTCGTCATTTGTTCTGGCAATTCGCGATGGAGGTCCGGCTCCCATTGGAGGAAACTGCTTGAGCTTTCCTTGTCATTGATAATACTGGAACGGCTATTTGACCTATCTAAGGTGTTTCTTTTCTTGCATCTTGTATGACGCTGCCAACTATATAATCTTTTACGCTTTCTGGATTTAGCAAAGACTTCAGAGGTAGAACAGATGCCGACACCTGGTGAAGCGAAATATTCACTGTTGGTCTGAAAACATTGAGAAATAACTGGTCCAAGATGTGCCGCTGTTGAAGAGTCAGACTCCATCTTCATATCCCCTTTAGCAATTTGCACTCGAGGCATGAGAACAGATTTATGTGAGTCCAAGGCAGGTTTTTGGGTTATTATATCAGACATATCTCGGCAATCAAGAGAATGGGAGTGAAACGAGAGGCACATGCTGCATTTACGTTGGAGCGGCGTATTTGATTCGCCTTCATTGGTGTTCATGTCCAAAGGATCTTTCACTATGCTCCCTTCCATCACCTTCATACACCTAATCTTTTTATATTGCTTCCAGTAAAATGGTCCAACATACTTCTGGGGCTTACCATATACGTCATAATATTTGTTCTGGACTTCTACTGATTCACCATGATGATTGAAAGGGGGAAATATCTTCTGTTTTGCTTCAAATTTCCGTTTCTTCCTCTTCGATTCGCATCCTAGTGAAGAAAATAGAATAATAAACCTCTTTTATAAGAAATGATCGTTACATGAGTCTTGGAACACACTTTTCTAAAAGAGTACTTTTGGAAGTAAGAAACACGTAGAGGAAAAATATATTTTCTATCTGTTATAGTGAAAGGATGAACCATGACTGCACAATGCTTTTAATGATCAACAGCAAAGATCCCCATAAAAGATACGAATACGATGTCCTGGAACGAAGCAGAGCATAGCTCATTATAATTTCTTTTAGCAACAGGGCAAATGATAATTAAGATGGACTCGAAATTTAATCGCCAAACATGAGTTTGCAATTTAGGATGGGGTTAACTGAATTGAAAAAAAGGGATATGGCTCGCTAAGAATCCACTGATGCTGTTGAGGACTTCAAATGGTGTCGGATACAGGGAATCTGATGGAAAAATAGCTTTAGGGCAACCAGAAGACTAATGTGCTACATCTACAGGGGGTAAACAAGAGTATTGCATAAGGAAGCATATGGCTGAAGAATACAAAGCAAATAAAACAATGTTAGCAGAAGATACATGAACCAGCAAGAACGAGATCAGGAAAGAAATCCATATAACGAACTGTATTTTTTAAAGCAAGATACCTGGATCTAGTTATCACCGAGGACCTACCAAAGCTCACCAAGGAGGCATAGCCTTGAACCTGAACTTCTCTCATAGAAGAGGTGAACGTAACAATTACAGAGATGGATCAGGATAAAGCTCCAGATCCGAACGACTGTCCCCTTTTCAACCAGCACGGCTGTGAGGCGACTAAGACAAATCTGCGAATCCCTTAGACTCTAAGATGGTGATCATCATTTCGAAAAAAAGAAATGCGAATTTTCCTGTGATTCTTTATTGGAAAGAAGGGACACACAATGAAATAGTAAGTATCTGCTGATGGGCATATTGAATAGGCCGTACAAGATTATCACCAAAGGGCACAAAATAATCATGGCTACACTGACTGATAGATTGATGTATAAGATCACCGTTTTTTATGTAGACAAGGTTTGTTTGAGAAATACCTTTGCGCTCTATAATTTTCTTCATGCAAGTATGAAAACTGTGTTTAATGATCGTACGGACTTATGAGGTTCAATTCAAATAAGTTTCACAATAACGTCTTAGTAAAAAAAAATATAGGTTAATAATACATTATTCTAAGGAAAGGCAGTATAAAGTATGTATAACATAGTTTTTTCTTTAAAAAATGTAAGATAAAAAAGTGCAATAGAGAAAGTTGATAACTAAACAATGCAGAAAAGTTACCATTGTCAATATGGTCTCCTGTTGTTAAGGTTTGCAGATCTTTGGATGGCAATATGGGAATCACAGGCTTATGTGAAAGATTAAGGCTTTGAAGAACTTTATTTAATAAGGGACCTGTGACCTGATGGTGATTATTGGTTGGAAGAGGAATAAAGATAGATGAATATTTCAGAAGAAATGTCATTGCTGATTCTCCGATCTGAAAAGCAACCAAAAAGAGAATTCATTAATACGTTACCCTTCAGTGAAATTTATGACATTCGGTATAAATAATTCTTTATCTGAGAAATGAGCAATGCAAACATTTAACATATAATCATAAAAAACAATTTAAAACGCATAAGAAACTCGAGCACGTACCCTTGTCAAAAGAAGATTCCAAGCTGGATCACAAAGAAATTCACCATTGAGGCTGATACGGCTTTGCTGAAGGAAATAAATGAATATTAAGTTCTGTTTGGCCACTGGTCAGCAGCTCTCTCAAAGCATACAATCTCTCTTTGAAAGTTCCAGACATACAAAATATTCAAATTAAGACGACATTATAACATAAACAAGCCTAGTAATCACATAAATAACTTCAAGTCAAATTTGTGGCATATAGATTCTAAAGTGGGTTTCCATTCTTTCTCATGTCAATTTGAGTAACATAAATATAAATCGAAGCTACTGCTTCAATGACTACACTTAACACGTGGTATATCAAATAAAAAAGGTAGGGTACTTTGGACAGAATAAAAGAAGAAACAAATAACTAGGGACAGGAATGGAAGATGATAACAATAAAATTAACAACCACACATAAAGAGAATTCAAAAACTCGCATACAATTTGTATCTTCATTATTTTCCTCCAGCCACTTACATGAATACATAGTGATAATATCATCCTGAGCTTTTCTGACCACAATTAAAGTTTTCCAGTTGTGGAGGTATTTAACTTTGATTGATTCCTGACGGCATTAATTATCCCTGTTATAATTTCCAAGAGAAGTGCAACTAGTACACCCCCACTTTATATAAAAGTTTACCATCATGTTCCCACATATCTTACTCCTACAACCGTCCTTCAATTTGAAAAGAAATGTCAATAATATTTGTATTTTGACCTACTAATGAAATATTGTTAAATCACGTCCACTCTTCTAACTATCCATTACGGCAATAGCGGTGGAGAAATGGAAATTTTAAGAAACAACCATTGAACAAACAGACGTGAACTTACCACCTACTAACTTTTCATGAACTACAGTATTTTCCGTTTCTACTTGAAAAAGAGACATTTGTGGTAACAATTTTCCTAATTTTTCACCGGCATAAAGGAAAACTAGATTTCATAATATCCTTGAAATATAGGCGCACAAGTTTTCACAAAATCATTTGTTGAACGTTTCATTACAGCACATTTTCCATTATGAGAAATCTGGGCCTGGTTTGAAGAAAATCTTTTGACATTGTGGGTCACATTAACCTAAAACATTCTAGAAAAATACTAACCAGAAATACAATATGATAAAAAAAAAACATCTTGTTAAGTCCAAATTGGTTTGACCAGCACCACCATGTATGTTGGGGTATAATATTCTAGGTGGTGCTTTTTAATGTTCCAAACATGATACAATTCAAATAATCCATAGCAAAATGATACATAACCTTGGTCATACAGTCCCTAAGAAAAACATGATTGTTTCCAAGCTTTAGACGTTGACATCATTAACGTCCTTAATATTTAACCATAAGTATCTAGAATCCGTAGTACTACCATGTGAATCATCATCCTACTCGTTGGACCAATGAGAATTTGATGAGGACCTGAAGTTGTTTCTTAAGTTGATAATGAATACTTTGCGCTAATGAGAATGCTATAACACATTTCAATTTTACAAAGAAATGCATATTCAATTACTTTTCTCATGAGGGGTTGGGGAGGGGGGAAGATGTCCTAATCACAAATCGTTTTGAAAGAAGTTCTTGTCAAGTACATGAATATGCATTGAAAAAATGATGCATAGTAAGTTTAAATAATTCACCTCATCATAGCCCTCGCGTAATACATTATCATATGAATGTGATCTACCTATAAGTGATTCCACTGTGTACCTCACAATCTGCAATACAATTACAAAAACAGAATAAAACCAAATAAGTAGCAAACGATAGTGGTGAAATAAGCATGAAATAATGATTCCAGAACCTGGAACAGTAGACAAAAACTGGATCACGAAGGCATTCAATAAATTTGTATTAAATTTTATAATTAATTTCACAAAGATTCACACGTAACCACCAGAGTTGCCACTAATTAGCACATCAAATAAAAGTTAGAATTGAGAGAAGGAGAGAAAGGATAGTTCAATATTTTCAGTAACAAACAGTAGCATGAAAGTCAGAAACAAAATTAATATAATCGGAGTAAAACGATTTAATACAACAACTTGTTAAGTTACTATTCCTGGATCATCAAGTGACTTAACATCAAAAGCACTTTTGGGCCGAAAAGTAAGTCACATTTTTATTTGGAAAAATTACACCTACAGGAAACCAAAAAGGTTCCACTACAAATGGAAATTGCTTCGAATATATGCCTTTTAGGTAAAAGCAACTTTGCTATCGTATTGATAAATTGATGAAACGATGAGGAATGAATTCGGCGAATATGTTGCTACGGGTAATGCATAGATTACTTAAGCAGTTTAAGGGGACTAATGGAACTGGTAACAGTAGTAATCAGCAAGCACTCGTTTCTCAACATAGAGTTCCTGACTTTCGAAATTATCTGTAAGAAGGGAGAAGGTATAATTTCATGCAAGCAGATTTCAAGCAAATCACTTGTTTCTCACTTCTTTTCGTATTGGGAGAGTAACAAATAGCTTAACAATTTTACTCTCGAGAAGTCTGCGTTTGAAGATTATTTAAATGTTATACGTCTCGTTTCCTTATAATTTCGCATAGCGAAAAATAAAAGAAACCCCTACATATTTGGTTTTTTTTTTAAAAAGCACAAATTTAAGACAGCTGGAATGCATTAAGGATATCCCCAGGTTTCATCTTTACGCCCATTTTTAAGAGCATAACGAGTAGATATTTATAAAACTCAAATCGCCAATCTCTTCATGCTTTGCAGGTAATCTTAAAATAAGTCAATCTCACCTTAAATAAGAGATAGATGAGAGACGTGATGTTAGGAATACTTGTGACGAAGAAGGCACTCTCTCTAACGTATTATGGGTGTGGAAGAGAGGAAGTTCCAGAAGTTTCAAGAAATATGTAGAGCGTAACGATACGATCATCTCCTAAACACAGACGCGACGAAAGTCCGCTCGACCTATCAAATAAATTGTTGGTGGACAAATAGGCCAGAGTTTGTCATCGGTATAGTCAGTATCCTGCGATGCACGATACACTGCGAAATTTACGCCGTAGCATAAAAAGGCTAAGGAAAGGATGAAAACATTTTTTTTCCGGGATACGACGGCATTAGTGAAACGGCCAAGCTCTGGAACTACTGAATAGAAACATTAACCAGAGCGAAGTTCGCGACGACCATGTGAGAACCGTCCTGGAAGACCGATTTCCTTAGGCACCAACCATTCAGTTCTAACTGCATTTAGAAATAAATGGCAGGTTTCATATACGACGTCACTGACCAGTCTCTGCGTCCACTCTCCCCTGTAGCAGAGGTCGGTGAGTTCCGGAGCGCCTGGTGAGACGACGCAGAAGCAGCGGTTGAGGAGCTGACGATAATCTGGACCATCTTCTTGCCGGAGCAGGAATGACGAGCCTCCACATCGCACGCATCCCCGCCCCCTACAGAGGCACTCTACTTGCTTCGGCGGCGGCTTCGGGGACAGGGACAGGATCGTCTCCCCCAATGTGCGCGCTCTGTCGCCGAACGTCCTGCGGAGGACCTCCGGTATTCGGTGCCTCTTCCTCGCCATCTCGACGTGTCCCTGTGACCCGGTGGAGCTTCGGCGGAATTTCATAAAAGCCGCAGGCGTCCTGAGGAAGACGCTTCTATGCGAATTCGCATGCTGACGTAATCAAACGGGAAGGGTATAACAGTCCTTTTAAACTAATATTTTGCAACTTTCCCCAGGAAAGTTTCCCAAGGGCGGGAAGCTACGAACACGACGAACAGAGGTTATTTGTGATAGTAAATTTGTATATACATCCCTGTAATTTTAATCACTTACCATACTACCGCTGGATGGACGAAATTATAACTCATTTCTACTGTAAAGTTTTAGTCGTATTATTGCGCAAGTACTCGGCTGAATTAAATAAATTCAAGGTTAGAACACAAATTTTATAGCATACAGAGGTATGCTGGCGAAAGTCCCGGAGATATTTTCACCTGTTTTTAATATTTTTTAATCAAATTTCGTCCCCTCCGCTCCACATAGTACGCAGGTTTATCGCGGCCATTCTGTCTCCGGGAGCTGGGGAATGGCGGGGGCCTCTGTCATCTGCCCTCTCCTCGCCCTGTGTGTCTCCCCCGGCAGGGACCGCCGCCATCGCCACACGACCACCACATTCCTTGTCCCCAGAAGAAGAGCTAAGCCCGACGTCATATCCCGAATCCACCCCGCGGCCTCACCTCAGAAGAATCCCGTCCCCGAGTTTAAACCTGTAGAAAAACCTGATAGAGACAATGAGAAACCCGAGGATTCAGTTCGTCCTAACCGTACGTCTCTACCGAGATCGGTCAAGCATCTATTGGATCGGATTCGGTACTCACACTGCGTTAGGAAATGTATCTTATATTTTTACAAACTTCTGAGAATAATTTGAGTAAATTGTGTCATTTAGTCCGTTTCAGATGGAGGATTGGAATTTTTTATTTTTTATTTCGTAAATTCGCAGGAATAACTTGAAGGTGGATGAGATCGGTCTTGATGTTATTTCAATCGCCTTGCCCGCTGTATTATCCCTGGCTGCGGATCCTATTGCATCGTTAGTGGATACTGCGTTCGTTGGCCATCTGGGTGGGTTCATGCTTAGTAGTATCACTGTGAACAAATACTAACCCCCCTCTCGCATGCTACCGTGCTTAGTAACGCTGAATTTCCACCACGTTGTCTTAATTCCGATTATTTTTAAGCAATTTTTTCCCCATTTCGGTCGTACAGGTTAAATTCGTTTCCAGTTTCTTTATTAGCCGTTCTCACCTAATTGGTTTCCATTTTGCATAGGTTCTGCGGAGCTCGCTGCTGTCGGAATATCTGCTTCGGTGTTCAATTTGGTCTCCAAATTGTTCAACGTTCCATTACTTAATGTGACTACATCATTCGTTGCTGAAGAACAGGCCTTGGAAAAAGGTGAAAAAAGGTTTTTGCTGCGCGCCAACCCGAGTATGAATCGTTGTTTTGCTTTGAATATTTACGTCTAGTTTGTGACAAATTTTTGGGATGGAATATTTTCTTCAAGAATCAGTGTATGAAGATGATCAAAGCAAGAAGTACCTTCCTGCTGTGTCAACATCTTTGGCTTTGGCTGCTGGGGTTGGGATCTTGGAAGCTATAGCGCTCTCCAACGGGTCAGGTTTCCTAATGAACAGTATCGGTGTATCTGCTGTACGTCAATGCCTACTCAGTTGATTGCATATTAACCTGTATTTCATTTTTTTAAAAATCGTATTCATTTGTTAGTACTGAACTTTATGAAAATCATTATCGGTGGTCTTCCATGTTCATAGTAGGTAGTGACTTTGTCCCATGTACAGTCCTTTTTTTTTCAGTTCAACACTATATTTCTGGTGAACACAAATTTCGTATTTTATTATGATTATTAATGGGCCACATGCTCGTCATAAAAATTATACACACTACATGAGCTTAATTTCCATTTGAACTGGAAATTTGACAGTTTTACAGGCGGAGTGAGTGTTGATTTCAATGTGAAAGGTGATCAGAAAAAGAATAGTTAATTCATTGGTGAGTACAACCTTTACTGCAGAATCAAATCTGATTGAAACAAGAACTGTTGGTTCAGTTATAAGTAAACCTTCACATAGTCTGTTATACTGCGCCTTAACCTTTCAACCAGAACCTCCTAGGAACCTAATGTCACTATGGAATTCTCGAAGTGCTAAGAAAATAGTCCAAAGCACGCCAATCAATACCTATCTAGTTGAGGCTACATTACTTTTGGGAAACAAACGTTGAGCTCAAGTTCCAAAGTACAGATGATTGTGGAAGGGTGACTATCATAATATTACTGAAACTTTGAAAACTTCATGAGCATCTCCATACGCTGTGATTTTTTAAACAACATCATAAGCTAAACCTGTCTAGAAGGCAGGCTTGTTTTGATGGAATAGATGCAACTGTAATATTCTGGGGGGCACATATTAGGTTAGGTGTTACTTGCTTGGAGAATAATTTGTGGGATTAGAAAAGTCTTATTTTCGTTCAGAGCAAGTGTTCTGGAGTGCATATGGTCTTGGTTTACAGGGGGCATTCGTAATAGAGACATTCATTATGCCAAGAGAAATTTCTTCAGGAAAAGAGAACTATTTACCGTAAGAACAAATTAAAATATGGATTTTCGGATGTTGAAACTTTTCCCCGTGCTGTCTACACGAATGTTGTATCACTTTCGTGTGATCGTCCTTCTCTGCAGATAATCTAGTTGTCCAATGGCTTGCGCTGGGGTAATGCTGGATTTTGCGAGGGGAAATGGTTTATATAGATAAAGTTGGCTTCATCGTTGCTGTAGCCATTTTCTTCAATGATATGCCATCATCTGATCTTAACCTTGGGTAGATGTCAGTATGTGTTTCTGAAGAGTCTAAGGACACTTAAGCCAGAAAAGTACAGTGAAAGGCCATTTAAGCGCCACATTTCTTCTAATGTTGCTGTATGGCCTTGGAACCTTGATTGTGTTCTGTTCCATACATGAACATTTTCTTCAGGATTTGCATCGATTTTTTTTGCCAATGAAATAATTTCGTGGATACATTCATCTATGCTAGTTTTAATTATGTCTGTCACTTTGTATTTATGTAATTTCATGTGTATTTCTTTGAATAGTCAATACCTGCGATGTTGTTTCACTTGGCCCAGTTAGTTTAAAGCTAATTTAATTTGATTATCAAACTTAGGAAATAAGTAGTAGATATTAAATATGCATTTAAGATATTCAGTTTAGCTGATGAAAGATGTACTTACATTTGTGGTTTAACTAGGACTCTCCGATGCGAGCTCCAGCTGAGCAATTTCTTACCTTTAGAGCATGGGGTGCTCCGCCTATAGTGATTGCACTTGCTGCACAAGGAGCTTTTCGCGGATTTATGGATACCAAGACGCCTCTGTTTGCTGTAGGTCAGTAAATGAGTGATAGATGTGGTTTCATTTTCTGTCATAAGAAATTTATGCTAACAGTTAGCTTCAGAAAAATGTAGGTTAAAAAGGAGAATATTATTATGGATGCCACTTTCCCAGTTTTTAAAACATGTGCCAATGCTATTATGTTTACCGATATCACATAACTTTAGGACTTCAAGAAAACCTAGGCTGGCCCTAAAGGATTCAATTTTTTTTTTTTTTTTTTTGGTATAGTTCAGATGAGATGGATATTGATAGTGTAAAGAGGGCATCTTGGACAACCTTGTCAAACTTTTACTTTAATTTTCTATTATTATCCAGGTGAGCATTGGGCCAGTCTGGCTTTAGCTGTCTTATCAAGCCCATTGATACCTCTGAATACACTGGTTAACCGAGCTTTCAAAATGTCAAAATTTTATAGAAATGTTTACTTTCCTTATTATGTGTAACTCCTTTATGACAACTTTGCAAAAGATTTCATTGAAAATATTGCCACATTGGTCCTGATTCTGTGGCTGTTACTGCCTACCATATGCTCATCTTTGATTATCAGGTATTGGGACCTTGCTAAATGGACTATTGGATCCCATTTTGATATTTCTCCTTGGTTTTGGCATTGAAGGTGCTGCAATTGCTACTGTACTATCGGAGTATGTTGACTTTACTATACTCTTGTCATGATTATTGTGTTCGCGTCTGGCATTATTTGGTTCTATGTTCTATAAAAAGAATACATCTCTTATTCTCTGTTCCACGAATTCTTTATTTTCATGCCATATCATTATGTCCATGTTGTTAACTATTTTGATGATGGCATCAGGTACCTGATTGCTTTTATCCTCATCTGGAACCTGAACAAAAATGTTTTACTTATTCCATGGAACATTGATATAAAGGGGACTCTTCGTTATCTGCAATCAGGTAACGTGTGGACCTTGACTTTTTCGAAGATGGAAGGCCTTTTTCAGAAAACTTTCTATTTAAATTTAATGCAGTTTCTATGGAAATAATAAACTGACGAAGTCTCTCTCAGTTGTAATACATTTTCATAAAAGTATAGGATGACTAGAAATTTGTTTTGAAGTTGTTATCAACCGGCTCATTCAAACAACAAGCAATGGTCACAATAGATCCGCACCGTACTCCATACTTGATAGGATACGATTGTGCATGCTAGTTGACATTTTCCACTAGATGTTATAATTTTTATGTGATCCTGTACTGGATAATATCCTAAACCCGTGCTTGGGAGATATAAGCTGACAATTAAAAGATTGGCAACGGATAATAAGCCGATACCAATATTTATATCCTCATATAAAGGGACATTTATTTCGTCCAACAGTGTTTACTGTTTTGGTTCTTTGAGAAGACAGTTCGGCCATCTATATCTGCAGGTGGTCTGTTAATTGGTCGAACTATTGCGGTGCTTATTACCATGACCTTGTCTACATCCATGGCTGCACAAGGAGGTACTCTTGCTATGGCTGGTCACGAGATATGCTTACAAGTCTGGTTAGCTGTCTCCCTCCTTAATGATGCTCTAGCACTCGCAGGGCAGGTACAAGATTCTCAAGTTCTTTTGTGGAAATTCTTTCTATGTAATTTTCAATGGATATTGAAACTTATGACGACTTTGGTATATCACATATATTTTCATGTAATTCTGGGTTCTCATCAAACTAATGCCTCTGTTCTGTCTTTCATGATGCATTCTCAGGCTATTCTTGCAAATGTCTACACGCAAGGGAATTATAAACAGGCTGCAGTTGTAATTAGCCGTGTTTTACAGGTGCAAACTACTTTCATTGTCACATCAAATCGTTTCTGGATTTCTCTGAATTCTGGAAGAGAGCTCGAATAAATTACCTATTTTTCCGCATTCCTTTTTCAACAGATGGGTTTAATCACCGGAATTTCTTTGGCCATAGTTTTGTTCCTTGGTTTTGATTCCTTTTCTACATTATTTACAACGGACTCTGATGTGCTGGAGATTGCACAATCCGGCCTCCTGGTAAGAGGCTTTGTGGTTTATTTATTTATTTATCAAAAAATTAGATTAAAGGAAAAACTGTTGGAAAATTTCTTAAATTAACCAATGCGATGCAATTTTTCAGTTCGTTACAATCTCCCAGCCGGTGAATGCTATCGCATTTGTCTTCGATGGGCTCTATTATGGTCTTTCAGACTTCGCCTATGCCGCATATTCAATGGTAGGCACTTCGACCCTTTGTTGCTTCCCTTACATTTCTTTCTGCGAGGAAGAAATACCAGCAACTAAGCACTGTTGCTGGTCACGCAGGTGCTGGTCGCACTGTTCTCCTCACTTTTCCTCCTAGTCGCCACTCCTGTGTTTGGTCTTGCTGGCGTGTGGACCGGGCTGTTTCTCTTCATGTTCTTGCGGGTTCTCGCAGGCTTCTGGAGGTAAATCAGAACCATCCTGCACAAATCGGGATCCTCCTCCTCCAATGATTCACATACTCTGTAACCTCCTCTGTTTCAGATTGCGTAGCAAAAAGGGCCCGTGGAAGTACGTTCAGTTGGAGGACCAAGGAGAATGATCGCGATCATTAATGAAGGCAAGTGATGCCCCCAGATCTTAGAAACCTTCGTGGGCTTGCGATTCAGGCAGCGAAGGATCACTGCAGCTTCATATAATCCCATATCTGCACGAGATTGGCTTCCAACTGGTTGCAGCTCCCAGTTCTTGCGGTTCTAACCCTGACAGAAGCACACAGATTCTGACGCACTCCGCTCCACTAACTGGCATTGCATTGGAGGATGAACAGAGCGGCGCCTCGTCTGTCTCCTCCATTGCTTCATCGAATGAAGTACCCAGAGATCATGAACGCCATCCAGAAAATGATCCAGTGGTCTCAGGAGCTTAAAGAAATATGGGCGAGCAGGATTCATGGATAAGGAACAACCACTACAGGGCCTGCTTGCAGTTCATTGAAAGAGAAGGTCAATGGGCGAAGTCAACTTCGGGATGGATTATCTTTCTGAAGACAACTGCCAGAATGCGAGGACGAATCTGTGAATGTTAACCCACAATTGATGACTTGGCATGTTTTGTTTCTCTTTCGAGCTCTTCCCAAGTAGCCGAAATTGTCGCAGGTCAGCGTTTTGACCGTAAGTCAACGTTGTTGTGGTCGTAGTGATGTGGGCTGGTTGGTGAAGAGACGTCAAGAATGACGTAATGCTGGGTCAAACTTGCCGGCAATTGAATTGAATGCCGCCCTTTTTCAAGATACGATTCAATACCTGATTTCATGAGGGTAAATGAGCAATTTAAATTAAATTCGGATGTAGGGGCAAGATATGGATGACGACGGCCCACGGACTAGAAAACGATAAGATCGGCCCAAAAGGGTACAGTAAATATTCTGGCTGCCCCGTCCAACACGTGTCAGGATTGTCGGCTCAAAGCACGCCACGTTTCAAATGGTCCCCACAGGCCTTGGAAATCCATTCCTTAATATCTGCCAGCGGGGAGTCGAGAACTTTCTTCAGCGTCACGGCTTCTCGCAGCAAGCCCGCGTCTTCACTTGCACCAGGAGCCGAAAACCGGTGGAGACCAGAGGCTGGTGAGAGGAGTGAACGCCGAAGCAAAGTGGCTTTCATCTCGGGAGCTGTTCATCGGATGGCGCAGATGGAGAGGTTGGTTCTTCTTGTTCTTTCATTTTTGTTCATGCATTGTCAGTCTCTTCAAGTTTGTTCTTCGTAATTTTTGATCTCTGGATGCTATTCTTTCCTTCTCTTGGGTAGCTTTAGGACGAGGAGTTTGAACACATTTATCGTGTTATTGCGTAGAGATGGACGCCAGTGCGATAGCTGAATCGATTCTGAGATACAGCCCTCCGGTCTCCGTTGCGTCCGATCTTGAGGTTTAGCTAGTTGACTTTGTTGGAAACCTAGGCCGTGATAATCTATTTCGTGGGTTCCTCCGGGGTTGGTCTCGGTTGTTTTTGTCTGAAGAATACGTTTGGAGTTCAGTTGAGCTGAAGGAAGGAGAGTATAGGTTCCTCTGCAGTTTGGCAACGTTGAATGTTCAGAGATGGAGGTAGACTTTGAGATTTCTCATGAAGAACTCAACATATGCTAATGTTTAGAGTTCCCCTTCCTTTTCGCGTTGGACTGTGGCTGTGAGCCCGTGACAAGAGCTTAGGGTTGCCGCTCATATGACCCTTCCAACGAACAGTAGCATACAGAAAACCCACTTATTGAATTATGAGGTATATGCTGCTCCTAGGAAGATGTATCCTTGGGGGAAGAAGTGTTCCTGGATTATTAAAATTGTGAAAGTCTTTCGGGATATGAATTTTTACTAAACGGCGAATTTCCCTTTTTTTTAATTTGAATCATAATGGTGGTGACAGATTACATGCGCTCTGATTGTGTCTTCTCTTTGTTTTTCAATATCTAGATTTTGGAAAGCAGGGAGGACACAAAGAGCTTATTGTTTTCTAGGTATGGACTTAAGTATCTCGGTCCAACTATTGCTTGATAATTTTTTATTCATTTATAATTCTACGGAAAAGAGGTGGTGTATCGTATGTGTCATTGCGTGCATTATTTCTGCATCTGTGAAGAAAAATAATGTTCTTATTAAGAAGCTCTAAATCTCTTTGATATGCTTCAGAGTTTTTTCAAAGCTGTCCTCCAGATTTTCTCTTGTCACGAAATCTGTTTTCCCTTTCCCTTGCACTGGAATCCATGGGGAGGATTCTCGTAGAACACTTATGAAATAGTGTTAAGGCTGTACATGAAGATTCTCTTCTGTCACTTTTTCACTTTCCCTCTCACTGCCCCTTCCATCTGTGAATCGAGTGGAAACACCTTTGTGGGTCATTTTCAGGGGATGCGCGTTCTGGATTTTGATTGTTTTAAAATGGCATTCAACTGAGACATAAATATTATGTTTATACAAGAGAACAGTGATTGGCAATCTCTTAGCACGAAATCTTTACCTAAGTGGCTGTTAGTTGACTATGGCTTACAGGATCTGTATTTTAGGACCGACCGTGCCCATTTTATGGCCGGGTGGGAGACCAGAAATCATGTGTACTGCTCTCAGGAGCTGATTCTCTAAGAAATTCATCGTCCTCTTACATAGATTAATTAGTCTCACTGGCTTCTATGCTACATCCAAAATGTCGTCAGCAGTTGGCGTCAACCGCCATGCTAGGAAACTCTCTACAGTTCTGTTGGGGCTGTCTTTCAATTGCCATGCTAGCCCCAGATAGGTCATGAGAAGGTTTTGTGATCATGGCAGATATTTGATGAAGTCTTCACAGTTTTACCGTAATATGGTTGTTAGAGCACAATCACAGTTCGTTCAGCGGTCACTTTGAGGAGATTCAGGCCAGCGTTGTAAAGTGTACTGTGCCTCGAGTAAATCGCAGCTATCTATTTCTCTGTCATTGATGCCCATTTTGCTGCGTAAATATCGTGGCAGAATCTTTCCTCCACTGATTCAACCTCTGACTTAAAGTAATGCCGAATGTGTCCGCATGAGGAGCTTTGCCTTCTAGTGAAAATCTATTTAGGGAATCGCGCCCATTTTTATGTACCGTGGAGGCTAGAATAAAGGAGTAATTTTTTGGGTAAAAGCATTATTTGTCTACTGGCCTTGTTGTTGTTGTTGTTGTTGTTGTTGTTGTTCTCTATTGATTTCCCATTATCTTCTCATCTGGATACATTTTTTTCTTGCGAATTTTGGATATCAGTTTCATGGGTATTGACCCGTTTTCCGATCTGTGATTGTTCAGAAAGAGAACGCGAACCAGGCGCAATAGATCGAGCAGCATAACAGAGACCTTAGCCTGGTGGAAGGAGCATAACGGCCCAGTAGAAGGCTCCGGGGATGGTGAGAAGCGCATCAGGAAGATCCCAGCAAAGGGCTCAAAGAAGGGCTGTATGCAAGGCAAAGGAGGCCCTGATAACTCCGGCTGCATCTTCCGGGGTGTGAGGCAGCGGACGTGGGGCAAATGGGTCGCCGAGATTCGAGAACCCAACCGCGGGAATCGCCTTTGGCTGGGCACATTCGCCACCTCCACAGAAGCCGCCCTCGCATATGATCAAGCCGCCAGGGTCATGTACGGCCCCTCCGCCCGCCTCAATATCCCCCAGTGCAACAGTCTCTCGGAGGACTCCTCCTTAACCACGGAGACATTGGCGTCCACAGCAAACCCACCTGATGCAGCTCTCTCCACTGTTGGGAACCCCGAAGCGAGAAGCCCGAAAGCAGAGCCTGTGGATAGTGTGGAATTCGACAGCCGAGGACCAAACTCTGATCCCAAAGGAAGGCTCCTGAAGGCAGCCCAAGTTCCTGCAACCACAGTGAAGAGAGAAGATGCGGCTAGTGGGCAGCGCCATGGATGGCCCCTGGGAAACATCGGTGATATGTTCGAAGTAGAAGAAGTAGTGAGTCTGATGGACGCGAACCCATCAAATGGAGGCCATGCGGGCTTTGGAGACGACCAGATTGCGTGCGCCGGCCCTTCTGAACTCCTATTCCAGCTGCAGAATCCTGACGCCAAGCTGCTTGGAAGCTTGGCGCAGTGCCCACCTGAAGAAGATTACTACTTCACGATACCCGAGTGGCAGCCTTCCTTGAACGACGGGTTTGACGGATTTGCTGATTTCAGTCTCCAGTGAATGTCTCCTTCCTTCTGGGCGTTCCTTCTGAGTGGTTTCCTCTGCTCCTCTTCGTCTCAGAAGCGGATTGGAGTCTGGTCGAGCGGTTTTGGCTTCATGGTCGGGAGCTCCCGGAGTATTTGACCGTGGAGCCGACCGGAGATCCTGTAGTTTTCTTCTTCTTCTTCTTCATCGTCCACGAGCATGTGATTTTAGGATGAATGCCTTCATTCGGGTGATGACTAGCTCCTCTCCCTCTTTCTATTCACCAGATCACTGTTTCGTCGGAGCTTGATTTTGACTTTTTGTTGGCCAAAAGTCGGGAAGTAAATGTGTTGAGGAGTTGACCCCACACTCCGATGGGTTGACTCTGTAAATATGAGTTCATCTCTCTCTCTCTCTCTCTCTCTCTTGCAAGCACATGTAAAGGCATTTCTGTCTGTGTTTCATAGAAGTTTGATTTAGTTATTTTCTAAGGTTGATATATAAATATGTTCATGCGTTGACTCGTGTATGTTGAGGACTGCCCCATAAGTTCATCGCTCTCTCGCTCTCTCTCTAGTATTAAGTAATGGAGTCTGATTTTAAGGTCAACTATCTCAGCTTTAATCAGGTTATATCACTTGCCCCACCTGAAGCCTGTAAACAATTACGAGGGTCCATCGTAGCCGTTATTTCAGGTGCAATAAAATTAGATTTAAATTCCGTATGCCAACCATGTAACACGTGTAAAGGGTATTATCGTTATTTCTATATTCTCACACCTCTGGGTAATGTAAATTGTGTCCGGGTTGTTGTCCGCATTCTGCGGTGGCGCAGATTGGGTCTGGGGTTTAACCTAAGCTGTGCGGAGAGGAGAAAGGGAACCGGAGCCATGCCGTGCCTCAACCTATCCACGAACGTGAGCTTGGATGGAGTGGACACATCGCCCATACTTTCCGAGGCCAGCAAGACCGTGGCCAAACTGATCGGGAAACCTGAGGCTGTCCGTTCTCTGAACTCCTCTCTCTTCCTCTGCGTTATTTTTTCCGGATGCGATCTCTTTTTGATGTTTCCTGCGGCATCCGTGTTTTTATATGTTTTCCTTTGTGTTTCGTTTTCATCGAGTGTGATTATTCGACGGTTCTGGCGCTATCTTAGATTTTTGTTCCTTCGTTTTTTGTTTATTTAAACATTTGTTTGTCGTTTAAAAAAGGATAGATCTCTCGAGGTTCCTGATATATCTTGGTTCCTTCGGAATTTGCATTGCAAATCAGAGCAGCTGCATATTGATGGAAAGAGGCTGATGATTATAACAAAGTTGATGACGATCAATTGTGCCATATCCTTGACCCTTAATTTTCGGCTCCGTTTATTTGAGAATTTTTTTGTACGCTTTCATCTGATGTACATCTGAGGTGCATGAAAAAGTAGGCTTCCTTCTCTCACGATAACACATTTAACATCGACATCTACATGTGTGGTAGCCAACTTCCAGCTCATCGGAGTAGTAAAATAGTCTCATTCTTTGAGAGCAAGGCATATCCTGCGGGCACTTTGAGCTTGTACATGGTGCCTCCTTGGTTCTGGCTCGAGAAAGAAACATGTTAGACTTCTGTTTTTCGGATTTTTTTTTCTCCTGTGAGAGGTCGGGACATTATTTAAGGGATTTAACGGCTTATATATGTAGGCTGAAAGATAGTTGCCTAGAATTCTGTTAGCATATCTCTACCATATATTATTATTGTTCCTTGAAAAGCTTGGGTTTTAAAGACATCGTAGTTTTTGCACTTAGTAAATCTGTGTACTTCGTCTTATTATTTCTGGGTGATTACTCCAAAATTTTGGCATAGCTATAAAGAGTACCCAAACTTGTGAAAATCTCAATCGAATTAACCAGGGCCTTATGAAAAATGGAATAAAAAAATTGTCGAATCATGGAAGTGAACTCAAAATTATGAAGTTGAATGTGATTTTTACAGCAGTAATTTTTCAGAGTCACGATTTAGGGATTTGATATACCGCTGAGATGTTAAGTTCCTTTTAGAATGTGAAAAAAGAACCAAACATGATGGTGATGCCAGAAAGCTATAGTGAAGATATTGAGAGCATTTCCTCCATTTTTATTTTCGATTTATTTTTTTTAATTTTTTTTAGCCAATCGAAGATTAGCACCAGATTCTTCCAGACCGACCTGTTTGGCTTGTCTCGTCCAATTTTCACCTTTTAGTCAGATTTGAAAGTAACAATGACATTGCGCTTTCCAAAAATGGTTAGAAACGTAGATTACGATACGAATATTGGTTGCATTAACCGAAATTGAGGCAGTATTAAGTTTAAAAAATGAGAGTGGTCTAGATGTGTGGCCCCTCAACTTTTAGTGTTAGTAGGCTTTGTCTTTGCCCATGTCACCTTGTTTGGCAATCAGGCTCTTTTGAGGATTGACTCTCCAGTTAGACCATTGATGTGGGATGCTCTAATACTCTATGTCCTTGAGCCAGCATATCTTGAGGCCTAGTTTGGATCAATTATTCTTCATACAATGATGCCACTTACGACTTTGGCCCTAGTGAATGCAGTATTCACCCCTTCATAACCCCATTTAGAGGCCTAGGCGTAGAATTATTAAGGTTTCGTGAATCATTTGGTGAGGAAATATTGTTGCAATAGTTTGAGGCATCTTATCTTGAGAAAAATTCAAGAATGCTTAAAGACGTTAAGGATTATTTTTTCCTCTTCTTTTTGATGAACAATCTACCCTGCATGGGACTTCCACTGAGCTTATGCCATTTGAATCTAAACTTTAACGATAATAATTTGATAGTGAGTTTTTTTTCCGGAGAAATATTTCCTCTTCTTCTCTGTTCGGTCGAGCATTGCTTTTTTATATCTGTTATCTCTGTCACTTGGTTTTCGTTTCACGAAGTGATCATACTTTTCTTTCCAAGAAGCAACGATAAAAAAAGGGGGGGAGGGGAAACTCAGCATCTTGTCATCTCCATCCACAGTATGTGATGATAGTGCTCAAGGGATCAGTCCCCATCTCGTTTGGCGGGACCGAGCAGCCGGCAGCGTATGGCGAGCTGGTCTCCATCGGAGGCCTGAACCCCGACGCCAACAAGAAGCTGAGCGCGGCCATCTCCTCCATCCTCGAGAGCAAGCTCTCCGTCCCCAAGTCGCGCTTCTTCCTCAAGTTCTACGACACCAAGGCAAGCACCCCCCCTCCCCCCTCCCCTCCTCAATCCTCCTCTGCCCCCGTTCCTTCCTACCGTCTTCTCATTCCATTTTTCCCTCTGTGTTAGGCTCGTCCAACCCAAGAACACGCACAGTGTTTACATGCTTTACACCAGCAATAGACATGTAATTATAACATTCACCTCTACCATCTGCAACCTCCCCCCCCCGCTTCCTCTTCTTAGCTCTCCCAGTCCCTCTCTAACCTCTTTCGGCGTCAACCCATTTCTCTCTCTACTTCTTGCTTCTTGTTGTTCATCACCGGTTCCTCATGGTCCTGAATCCTGTTGTTCTCTGCAGGGCTCCAACTTCGGCTGGAATGGGTCCACCTTTTAGGGCTCTGCCGATTTCCTAAGACTACCTACCGGGCGGGCCACCAGGGGTTTCTCTCTCCTGCTATCACATGCGTGTGAGACTCTCTCTGTTCGACCTTGTGCTTGTTCCTTCGTGCTCCGTCTCTGAAATCGAAGCCGATGGATGCTGTGTATGGTGACTGTTCTATTATCTAGCCCTTTGTTAGCAGAATGGCTCCCCCGCCTTTCTGTTCCGCTGCGCTTGAACGAACCTTCCGACATGACCCCGGTGAGGTTACCGCGTGAGCGCGTCAGGCGTGGGCCGTTTCCCCTTCTAGAGGGGAGCGCGTGACGAGACCGCGGTTCCTTTATAAGCAAGGCTTCTCCACGCGCAGCGCACCGCCAGTTTCAGATCTGCGGCAGATCCCTCCCTTTCAATCAGATCCTGTTCTTGTTCTTCTGCGTTGGGTCGGCGACCGGCGAGGGACTTGCTCTCGGCTCGTCGCTGCTGCTGCTGCTGCTGGATCTCGTTTCCATGGCTTCGTCGCCGCCTGTTCTCCCCATTTCCAGCCACCAGACGGGGCAGACTGCCGGATCGGGTCTGCCGACGGCGCCGACGGGTACGCCGGCGACATGGATCTTCGTCTCTCGTCTCTCCGAGTCGGTTCGCCGATCGCTCGCCAACCGGCGGTCCTGGGGCGAGCTGATCGACACGTCCGCCTTCTCCCGCCCCGAATCCACTTCCGAAGCCATCTCCCGCGTCCGCAAGAACCTGTCCTACTTCCGCGTCAACTACATGGCCGTGATCGCCGTTGTGCTCGCCGTCTCCCTCCTCACCAATCCAGTGTCCCTCGTTGTCCTTCTCGGGCTTCTTGCCGGCTGGTGTTTGCTCTACCTCTTCCGCCCCGCCGACACGCCCCTCGTCATCCTCGGCCGCCAGTTCTCCGACAGGGAGACCCTCGGTGGCCTCGTTATCCTCACCTTCGTCGTGGTTTCCCTCACCTCCGTTGCTTCTGTTATCATCTCCGCCCTCATGGCTGGAGCGGCGATCGTCTGCGCACATGGCGCGTTCCGGGTGCCGGAGGACCTCTTTCTTGATGACCAAGACGCGGCGGGGCCTGCGACTGGTTTCTTGTCGTTCCTAGGCGGAGCAACGGCCTCCGCTGCTGCCACTGCTGGGACGCCTGCGGCCGCGCGCGTCTAACGCGGATTGTGGCCTCTATTGGCGTCGCAATTGGCCGGATCGGAACCCCTTTTCCGACTATTCCTCCTTTGTTCCACAGGGCACAGACCTGCGGGGGCATTCTCTTTATACTTTACTATTTTGAGAAGAATGGAAATAGTGCAGGGCAGGAAATCTAGACCGTTGTAAAATTCTTTTGATTACTACCGTTTGTTATCTCTTCATGCGATCCTTATAGCTTTGAATGTTGGTGTGAATCCATGATTCAATGTCGGTTCTTCTAGGGGGATCACCTCCTGGCTATTCATTTTATGTGCTGTGATTTCTTTTTCCAAGAGATGCAAGCGGGTCTCGAACATTAGATAGACACCGCCCAGTTCGGCATTTTATCGAGCGGATTGTGGATGCCGATCATTATTTATTTAGTCATTTATTTTTTTACATCATTCCTTCGACTCGACTCAAAAATGCATTTTTCGTCGATCGAATGCATTCTCCAATGAGCCACACGTTGATCTACGGGCGATTTTCCGGAACAATGTTGTCGTCCGAATTTTATTTGTTCATTGCGGTTAATTCTGCGCCTGACAAATCCTTTTGTGTCGCTGGATAGCAACATTTTTGTTGTTGTCACGTTTTGGAATCCGTAATGTCGGCGTGACAGCGAGCCTCCAGGTCTACTCGGCGCACACAGACCACGCGATGAGGACGATCTCGATGGGCTTGACTGGCTGGCTGGCTGGGAATGAGGAACACGAGAGGGCTTTAGCAGAATGTGGGGATCGTCGAATATACGAGCAGGCATGGTGAAGGTTGGTGGGTATATAGAATGAATGGCCGCATCGCATTATACGAATCGTTCTTCTCTCCATGCGCGCGTAGACTTTTGCTCAATAATATGGAGAGAAGATTTACCACTCAACTGAAGGGGCGGATCTAAGATTTATGGTCTCTTTGACGCCGTTTCAACCTCCTGATTAATTGGCTCCTTGTAAAATATCAGCCGAATGCCTTGACGTGGCTAATGGGGTCAAATGAGAACAGCAATGCAAAGTCCCGGGTCGCGAGAGAGAGAGAGAGAACCCGCACGCATACCTTTATTGAGTCGATGTTCCTAACGGCTAATGTACACGCCTGTATGATGAAGGGGGACAAAAAAAAAAGAAAAAAAAAGAAAAAAAAAAGGGGGCCTGAACGACCTACTGGCTCTGTTTCGCATACGAGCTCGTCTCCTGTGCGACCGCCTCCCACACATCCGCTATCTTCTCGGCGTATCCGACCTATTGAGCAGACGAGGTGAGATAATCAGAGTTTAAGCCCTGTGTCAGCCAAAAGCAGCTTCTGGGCTGCAAGATCTCCTCTCGAGACAATGAAAGGGCCGTAAGATTCTAAAGCGGCTCCAAAGCGAAGTCTCGGACGAAGCTCAAATGAAATGCAGAAAGAACATGGTGGGCAATAACGTGAGATGCTCCATGATCACGTCTAGCCGCGCCGGGTGCCCTCCTCACCTGAGAGCGAAGCTTGAGATGCTGTATCTGGCATGGCATGGTCTGCTATGGGGAGACAAGAATCATTGTAGATTTATTTGCCACATAGAGAAGCCGGGTACTTCGCTGGAGGTGAGCAATGGTTCTTCTGTGTTCTTTTCGAGAGGAATTCATCAAGAGATGTAGTCCCAGTTGCACGTCTCCCCTGACGGCACTTACCCAGATTAGTAATCTAAAACCCTCTAGCAATTAGAACCCCTCCCCTTCTGGTATTGATGCCCAGAGCTCGACGTCCTCCCCTGAATCTTAATCTCATTGATTCGTCCCCGGAAGCCAAGGTGGACCTGCTCATCATGGTAGACCACATAATCTAGGCTATCCGACCATTTCTGCATGGATATGCATCATTTTCTAAATGTCCAGTATCCGTCAGAAAATGTGTTGAACATGCCACAGCAGGAGAACCTGCCTTGAACATATAAAACATTATCGGAAGGAGAACTCGCAGGTACTTGATGATTTGTTGCACAGGACCCCCTGGTCAGAGGCACCACGCGCCAGAATTCTGATCAACAGAGTTGATGACATCTGAGATGAAGAACTACTGCATCAAGCCTAAAACCGTGGCTCACAGCAGATGAACATATCACATAACCTTTATCCGGCAGAGTCTATTAAAATCAGGCAATGGGCTCTCTATCATATGATGGAATGTTTTTTGTGTTGGGACTGGTCGCTCTCTATGAGGTCATTTACCTGGTGGGAACTAATGTTTTAGATAACCTCACCAGTGATAATTAGACATTCATAAGATTCAGCAGGGAAACAGAAAAAAAACCCAGTTCCATCTCGTTCATCCCTCTATTTATTTCTGCATCGTTAGTAAGTAAACTCCAGCTAATTTGAAGAAATTCAGAACCTCCTTTCATCCTTTTATGGTAAAATTTCAACTATTGTTTCCCATCCGGTCAGTGAGAAGTCAATAACTGATTTATCTATCATAAAAACCATTCATTGCAGACGAAAATCGTCTAGAATTAGCCCTCAAAGACATCCGGATGCAAAATAGATGGCAGATAACAAGAAAAGATGGAAAAAATATGAAACGATATCAGTAAAAACTAGGATATCATCATGGGTATAGATCAATACCTGATTAATTACAAACCCTTTCAACATGCCCAGGAAATCATCGTGCCTATCTCTGTCAAGCCTCTCGAGTTCACTTCGATTGTTTTCCTGCATTGTTGTGGCAGTTTTCTTTGATTCGCACAAAAAATTCACGGAAAATTGCTTGATAAAATTAAATTTCAAGGGGTGCACATCTACTGTACATTTTAAGAAAAGGGATGCATGCTCACACTTGAAGGTGCCCACAAAACAATTAAAAAGATAAACACATAATGGCCATACAACTACAATACACATTCTTTTGAAAACTCTCACATTATAATCTGATCCCTCGCATTATTACAATGCTCCCAATGGACTCATCGGCATAGATGAACAATAAAGAAGCACTCCAGCCCCAAGGAAAAGAAAAGGTCTGTGAGCAGCATGACGGATCATTCACAATTGTTTCCAATCACCCTAGAATTCCAACTCCCATTTCAAGAGAATCTCAATGAAGGAGATAGGGCCCAAAAAAGCCTGGGATTGATCTTCACATGCAAGCTTGAAGAATAGAAAAGGCTAGAGGCGAGTATCCAAGGTTTCAAGTTTCCAAATTCCTAAGCCAGAGGGTATATCGTTCCAGCATAGGGGCTAACAGGAAACACTGACGTGAGATCCCCTCAAATTGTTACCAGCATAGAGGGTAGTCCTGATCATATCAAATTTTTATCTTCACAGGCAATGACAATGCCGAATGAGGATAACGTGTGATCTAAGGGGGGTTTCCTCCTAAGGAAACAAATTATCTGTTCCCAAGAATAAGTCATGTCATCTACCAAAAACAGCTTGAAGGTAGGCCGAAATAACAAGGACTTAAAGGAACAACGTTGAAACTAACACAATCTATTTAGAATCGGCAATACCCAATTTTAAGAGTAAATATATTAGTCAATATGAAGTCTTTCAGCAAGAGAGTCTTTGCGTTCAGCAATATCTACTTTGCGTTCAGCAAAGAGTCTTTCAAAGTCTAAGTAGACCTTCTAAGTATATATACGTACAAAACCAGTGAGGCAGGATAGGGCCCTGGGTATGAAGCCAGCATCATCAATAATGTAGGTTGAGAGCGTCTGTGATGAAATCTGACACAACTTTTTATTAACTACTTGATCATGCCCCAAACAGACGGTACTGCGTAATGTTTGTCGTGCAGTTAAAGATGACGGCTATTGCTTGCGGATCCAAAGTTCCACTTTATTGTTAATTACTCGTAACCAACTTTATTAGGAGATTGCAGATGCCGGGAAAAGACAATTTCAAATTGTCAGGAAGGTTCGCATATGTTCTGACTCGAGTAATTGCTTCAGTTTCTAGCATTTTGAGAATTCGACAAGGACGGGAAAGGGATGGCATCGAAATTTCTTTCTCAAGCAAATATCTTTAAATTCTGTTGTGTGATAATAGATTGTAAGTACACATGGATAACAGCATTCCAGTGGTAAGGTTGTAATTTTCTGCTAAATATCGAATAGGACATCGGATCAAGGTAAAAGATGACCTCAAAGAAAGCAGAAAACACTGACTTTTCTTCCTCTCTTTTGGATTGGGTGAGGAGGGGGGGAGAAGTTGGTCTCTGTTTATATGCAACTAGATAATCATAAAGAAACCGTAGTATGGCAGGCACCACACACTAGGGACGTATCCCTTACAACAATAGTCCACCCATGACGTTGATTCTTCCGGCAAAGAATTTCTCATACTCGAACATATACATTTAGTGATTATTCTGTTTATTTCTATCTGACGCAACAGTTCGCAATCTCTTTCCTTCATTTCCATTATTTTTTTTCGATCCATAATACAGCATCATTCCTTCACTGATGCTGCTCTGTTGCCTCTTCCTTTTGTTCAATTATTCAATTCCTACTGTCTACTAAATCTGAGCAAGATCTGAAGACTGTAGTGATCTGGGCTAATATAGCACGCATTCACTAGCAGATTATTCATGACCTAATAAAGCTTAAACGAATTTCTCTCATGTAAACCTGTTATTTTTCCCTGTTCTAACATCCTTCAATTTTCTTTGGAATAAAAGCCTTATTCGTGCAATTTTTGAACCATAAAGTATCTATGAAACTTACTTTCTCAATATCACTAGAAACTTTCAACAAATAGCATGGGCATCATCAAGTTCGAATACAAATGGCTATTAACTAGATCACTATTTCAAAGGAAAAAACACTTCCACCTCCAAAAGCCTATTAGCTTGGAGAATCTTACCCTTTGAATTTTTTATTCATTAACCTTATTTGCATTCACGGGATGAGATTATGAGTACAAGGAAGAACAGAAGCGAATCTACACGTGCAACTCTCCAGAAAGTCCATTGAACACAACGTCAGACACCTTCATTTCTCAGAACTTTTGTATTTTCAGCATAAATTACAACAGCTAATTCACTTAATCCTGCCAATAGGGTTAGAGGATCAGATTTTTAATTGTCACGTACATGAGCAAGATCTGTGAGAGTCCAAGAACATTTATATGAAGTGAATGGGATGATGAACCAAGAAGTTTTCACAGCGAAAAATGGAGAAAAATGATTCTACGACAGCCATTTATTTATTTATATTAGTAAGGATGCAATGTGCACTAGAATCGATCTAGCATCAGGTTCAGGATTGACCCTTGTGCTTATGTACACGAGATCTAGCATTAAAATTAGAGCAGAGGAAAATGAAAATAGCTTCTCCATATCCTATGAGATATTATTATATTAAAAGCTACAAGTAACAAGTTACTATACTTTGTAGATATTCAAAGGAGATGACATACTACCTTGATGCGCTCATACTCTCTGAGTGCAACAAGTTTAGCATCTTCAGTCGTTCTAATGGTTTCTTTCAATTCTTCCATCTTGCGGACTCTAGACTTATCAGCACCAAATATTTTTGAGGTTGCAGCTTCAAGTTTTTCAGCCCTTGCTTGCAAGGAAGATAGCTCGGATAGAAGTGTTTGAACGGTCAATAATGCACTAGAGCGATCTGAGAAAGCACTGTGAACGGCTAACATTAGCCCAAGGTACTCATGGAGGGTATCCTGTCAAAATAGAATAACAAAAGACAGATCAACATCTCGCATACTTTAAGCACTAAAGACCAAGAAACATTGGCCCATGTGGCACTGTCAAATCTTTAGCGAGACTTATGATTACCAGATGTTTAACAGTATGTGCATTTGATTCCCGATAGAATCTGCTAGCTTTCACAGCAGCAGTGGCAACACGCCTGATATCAGCAGCACGTATTCTCTGAGAATTATATACAGCCTCCTCGGTTTCAAACTTTGTCAACTTGATGAATGTCAATCCCAGCTCGCCCATTGTTTCTCCAATATCCTGTTGAGCCTTCACAAGTGCTTCGGCCTGAATTGAAGATGAAATAAAAATATTATCGCGTTCATGAAGAAACAAAAAAGAAGCAGACTTCTGAACACAGGAAATAACATCATGTGAAGGACTAGACAGGATACACTGACGAAAATATTAAAATATGAACTCGGGAATAGGACTTTCCTCAAATGAACTTCCAGATAAGTGCATGACATCCTAAATTTCAGCATTTTCTATCCATAGATAACCAAATTTTGTAGCACTGTCGGTTACAAATTCAGTGAGTACATCACATAAATTCGCGACTTATGAATTAGATTGAACCATCCATCCGAACAAGGCCTTCCTTCCAAACGTTGCATGGGAGCAGAGGTGGAATGGAAAGAAAAGTAGGACACATGAAATCAGTACAAGAAGATGTTCATTCTACAGACGTCAAATTTCAAATAATGCCTGCTTGGAAAGTTATTTAAGTTGAAATTCAGAAGAACCCGATAAAAGCATTACATAAAAATAACATTTCTGATGGTCTCCATTGCTCTTAATTGTTAAAAGACTCCTTCATTCAATAAAACGTAAGCAGCGCAAAATATTATTTGCCGTATTTCAGATTCTTGTCTGGATGAGAAATCATAAGAAAACTAACTGGAACAAAGGTCTTTATAAAATGATACTTTGCCTAAAAAGTTCATAAGGAAAATTATTTGTGTAGAAAATTCATCAATCCTGCTTTTATACCCTTTCTTATTGCAGCGTCTGCTTTACCATTTCATCAGTTCATTTTTCAGCAACTGATAAATTTCTCCTTCTCGACCATACTTTGGATAAATTCCGACATATTAAAGCATGATCACATGCAATGAAACCTGGGAATATATTCGGGGTTTTGTTTGACATTCAAGCAAGAGATATGTCGATTCCCGAATTCTGAGATTACAAGGTGAATGTAAACTTACAAGGGAAAAATTTTAGGCCAAGAGAGTGAACTCTAGTGATGTAAATTTACCTGCTGGGAAGCAATGCTAAGCTGCTGCTCCAGATCCTGCATCTTCTCCTTCCTCTCCAGAAACTCTTTATCTTCCTCCACAGCCAGGGGCTTCATACCTCCCCAATCATTCGCCACCGACTGCCTAAGTTCCTTAAAAATTCTCAGCAGATCCCTACCGCCCTTGGCCGGCTGCACCACTTCCTGTGGTGCGACATAGCCCATTCCAGGCTCCCCAAATAATTGTTTGGGCAGCCTCACCGCTCCATCCAGCATCCTCGACGCGACATCTGTCGTCGTTGGCAGAGGCAGCTTTCCTTGCGCTTGAAGGAACACTCTAAGTTCATCACTTTTCCCGATCACTGGGTGCGCTGCCAGCCTGCGGAGGTACTTCTCTAAGGCAGATCGACGTTGCTCCACAAACTCCTGCTTCTGCATCAACTGGCTCTCCATCACGTTCTTATCCGGCCGGGGCGGAATGAAAAAACCGCGGTAAGACTCCGCAAGTCGATCAGAAAGTGTCACTACGTCTCTGAAGCGCCGCCGGATACTGACCTCACACGGACCGCCAAGGTCGGGATCCATGGTCTTCGTCGTAATCAGGTAGGTCACGTAGGTATTTGATCCGGGTACCAGGGAATTGGTCGTCTCCTGCTCCTTCAGGGGTTCCGAAACAGTGATTCTAGCATACCCTGTGCTCGACGAATGGTCGGATCTGGAAGAAGAATCCCCATCGAGGGACAGGTGCTCAGAGGACTGGCCATTTTCCCCCCCGAAGGGACTGAAGATCACATCGGCGTAGGACGGTGGGTCAAGGAAGGATGAGGACGGAGAGCTAGGGCCCTGGAGCACCGGCGGGGGAGGAGACAGGAGTGGATCGCCAGCGTCGAGGGAGACGGGGACAGCCGACAGCGGGTGGCGGTCGTCTGGAAGAGAAGACGAAGACATAGCGCTGCGGTACGTCGACTGGTCATCCGTGAGGACGAGACTCTCCATCTCCTCCCTGGGCGGCGGCGATCCGAAGCTGGGAGTCGTCTCCGCGCCCATCATTTTATTACCAAAAAAATGGAGAAATCAGATAAGATCGACGCCGGCTGAGGATCTCGGGCCTTCCTCCCTCCTCTGTTCCTCGCGGAACCGATGAGCGGCGAATAGAGAGAGCGCCCTCAGGCGGGGAATCTGCGGCGTACGAAGAAGACCCGAAGAATCAGGCAAGGAGGAGAAGGGGAGGAGAAGCATGCACGGTGTGGTTCGACGACGGTAAGATTAACCCCCACCCCCTCCCAAAGGGAAGGATGAGGGGCCAGGAAGGGAGGCGACGACTTCTGGTTCGTGATCGAGGGTCCCATCCCATCCCATCCCCCCCGGTCACGGGACCCTATCTCCGTCAAAGTGACTGAGCGAAAGAGAGAGAGAGATGGAGATTAACTCCACCTCGAGTGACGACAACCTTTTCTCGGTCCAGGAATTTTTGATGATAAGTCGTGATATCATGCGCCAACTGTCACCGGGGCAATGCTGTCACCCACGCTTAAAAAATCCCATGATCTCGGCCCAATAAGAAGTTCCGTGGGGCCATTGACGGCCCATCTGGGCCCAGGCAAATAGTCAAATGCCAAGGTGGGACCCACTCTCTACTTTAGACACATCATCTCGTGAAGAACGTCACTAAGTCGTCGTTAACGTGAGTACAAATATAATAACTGAAAATAATGAGGGTCTGTGAAAGTATTACGATGACGGAGGAGTCTTTATAACAATTCACCCCCGTAGATTAGAGTAGGGAGGAACCGCTAGTCTTCCGCTCTCCCCGTTCCTCTGATCTCGCCATGGAGGGGATTTCGATCCAGAAGGTTTCGATTTGGGGAACCACGCTTGCGTCTGTCATCCAGCGCTTCTCTTCCTCTGGTGGCGATGTGGATGGCGTCCTCCTCGGCCATTTCGGTCGGCTCCTCCCGCCGGAACTCACCGACGACGATCCCTCTTCCTCTTCCTCTTCCTCGCCACTCTTGTCTGCTTTCATTACCAACTACTTCTGCTTCGGCATGCCTATGGGCTTCTACGACTCTCTAGGCCGAGTGGATTCCCGTCTACTCGACCGCGTCCTCTCTCTGGTGAAGTGGCCAGAGAACTGCACGGTGTTGGGCTGGTTTTCAGCCCGTCGAAACTCCGGTCTCCGACCATCCATGCGGGAGCATGCCGTTTCCGTGTCACTCTCCAAAGTCATGGAGGCTCTAGCCCGTGGTGGTAGGTTCTCGGAGAATTCTCAAGAACTCATGGCCGATCGGTGTATTTTCATGCTCTTCTCGTCCTCTGCGGGTAGTCATGCTATCCACAACCACGAGTACCGCGCATATACCTTGGAGCCGAAGAGTAGAGGCCATGTACACACTCGGACGCCAGTGGAGGTGGTTAATCTGGGTCCTGCGTTCCGAAGCCAGTACAACCTCTTCTCCCCAGAATCATCATTCCCGTGGATGCCCTGCGGATCGGAAAATTCCAAGGTCTTGGAAGATAAGAGTCTCATTAATTCTCGGCGGACTTCACGGGACTCGGCGGCGCTGGGCGGATTAGCTGAAGGTTACAAACTTGAGAGGTTGCGGCAGATGGTAGGGCCTAATGCTGAAAGGCACAAATCTGAATTGGAGCAGTTGTACGAGAGTATGCTTTTGAAGCTCGAGGGGTTAGCAGAGCTTGTGGAGAAAAGTTCAGTCGGAATTCTTGAGCAGGTGAAGTGTCCTATGAAAATTTATATTATTTTCTCTATACATATCCTTTATTCTGTAGAAATGAGAATTCTAAGATTTCCTTCCAGTTTTTAGTATATAATCCCACTGAGAGAGCACGATTCCAGTAATCAACTGCCCTAAGATAACTGAAATGTAGACTTGTAGACTGGGATTGGATTGACGACCATCATTATGTATAAAGAATCAAAAGCCCCTTCCTCCTGCATATGATGCTAACATCTTGTGGATAGAAAATTGGAATAGTATGTGCACATTTAAATTCATGGGAAATAATCTTAGTCTTGTTTCCTTTTTCCACAAAAACTTAAGCATGCCAGGTTTTTAATGCAAATTGTATGGTGTTGTAATAACGTTACTTAATTACGAAAAATCTGGTCATATGAACTATCTGACCAGAAAAAAAACAAGCATCGCTGTTCTTCTAGGCATAGAAAGACATTGAATATGCGCACATGTTTCATAATAACAAATGGTCAGTATATGATTTCCTCGTTGACATGTATGTGATTCAAAGAATAGCAACACATTCCTTTTCAGATTCGTGCAAGCAACAGTAGTGAAGAAGATTCAATTAAGCTTCATTCCATAGATTTTATCCACTACAGTAGCAGGAGTCTTTTAAGAAAAGCAAACATATTCTTCTGTCCTACAATGCTGAAGGGTGCCTTTTTTTTCTGTGGCAACTCTAGAAAGAATTACTTGGAAATAAACGGATAAAGTATGTGGCTACTGCAGTGTTTTGCCTATTATATCTATAGCACCTGAGATGTGGATAACGGTACTCTTTGACATCATCATATGGTGGGCTGGGATATTTGCATTGGAAAAATGATTCAGCTACAAGTATTCTATATATAAGACGATGAGATCATGAGAGGGGTGGTGCTTACAAACGAAGGCGATGGTTCTTAGGGAAGGAAGGAAACACATAGGTGGCTATTGTGTTTTATTTAATAAAAAGATAAAAATTAACATTGAAATAAAATAAGCGATATTTAAATAAAATATGGGTGTTGAGGATTTAGAGAGAAATTTTGTGGAAGGTGTAATTTGGCTTATAATCGTTTTGAGGAAGGAATCTTTTGTGCAGTGATTGTGGCCCCCCTCCCAAACAAATGAGCACAATAAAGTGGAAGCAGAGCGAAACAAAAACAAAACAAACGTGGAAGGTGGTTTTCGTGGATACAATGATCTATAAAAAAACAGATATTTGTAAAGAAATGTGAACAACGTGCAACCTGAACACAGCGTTCAAGAAGAATAAGTATAATGATTCAATAGATCACTCAAAAGAGTTTTTTTAACTATGCAATTGAAGAAACATATCAATCAATTGGGAAAAATATTTCACTTTTAAATAGAATTGAAGAAATGCCAAACTAACCAAAAGAATGAAGCTTATCCTATTGTCGATCGTAAAAATCTTGTATTGACTATGTCATCTGGAACATTTACAAGATTCGCCTCATCTGGATAGCAATCTAGAAACGTGATATTGTGGATGTTGCAAGTTGTGCCAATCTCTTACAGCTGCTTTTCTTGGTAACCTATATAGAAGAAATGTGCTGAGGAGAAATGAAGAGAGATTGGCAGAATTTCCACCGGCCGTGGACTGCAGAAGACACTTATATCCACTGACTTCTAGAAATTCCCTGTGCGGCATATGGTTGACAAAAAAAAGGGCAAATTAACCTTGGTGCACCATATAGTTAAACAGGAATTTGGTATTTGGGCATAAAGTTATGGTATGATATGCTGGAGTGTTGGAATAGGATTGGAGATCAGTTTCAATAAGAATCGATGAATGATACCTCAGAGGCTATATAGCTTCCAATTAATAACCTAAAAGAACTCCTTCCTTTAATATATATAATTTTCTTTTAGACTGGTTTTTCCTGCTCATATTGTTAACTTTTTGTTGGACTTTTTAAAAGGATTTTTTGTCCTATCTTCTCAGATTGCTCCGAGTGGAGTGCATTCTTAATAGGAAGTGATCCACATTGGATTGAAGAATACCAGATCTCTTAGCACATCATCCTTGTAGACGTTAAATGTATATCTTTACACTACATCATTGATCTCCGTTTCTGTCAGGAGTGATCACCAATTCGATGGCATCCCCAACTTTTCAACTTTGACTGACCGTTTGCCATTGGAGAACTATCCCATGGACATCACGACATCACCTTCTGTTTCTTTTCCATTCATCATTTTGTCTGCCATTTCTTATCCATTGAGTTCAAATTTTGAAGGCTTTTTAAAGAACTTAAAAGTTTTCCTCGTTGCTTCTGCTTCCTCTAAGTTCAGTTATCTCTCTCGATGATCTTTAGAACACGCCCTTATGCAAATCAATATTAACAGAGAATCAACATGATTTATTTTTCATCGGGAATTTTAGTGTGATTAAAGAATTTTTTTGGGAGTGAGTCTAGATTGGTGGATAGAGTGCGTGTGGTATTGCTAGACCCAGGATATGCAGGTTAAGAACACGCTCTAGATCTGAACTAAGGCCTTGAACTCGCTTTTCTTGAACTGTTATCTCTTACCTTCATTTGTTGCGCGCCATTTTTTCCTATTTTTGTTTTATTTTTTATTTTCATTATTGCGTAGACAATACTCTCATCGACTAGCTTTGGAACTTGAATTTTATCACTACATCACCTAGATAGTTTCCTTCTGCCTATCAGCTGCTACATGTCAAAGTCAGGTACTTCTGGGAGGTTCGACATGATAGTTCTTATCATTAGTTGTCATTCCAGTTCTACCCTTCCCATCTTGATTTCTTCTTTGGCTACTCTCCTAAATCTTTCAAGGCGGCTTTTGGGAGTTTACACTTAAGTTGCCTAAAAATGTCGGCCGCCATGTCTGTTTTCACTTTGATGGTGTTGCGTTATCAGACAAGGAAAAGTGAGGCAGTGTATTGACCTGTCCTTTCATTTATGCAGGAAAATAGAAATCTAGAGTTAAAAGCCAAAGTTGCCGGATTGGAGTCAACTACTCCATGACTGATGTTTCTTGTACTTCAAGGTACCTCGATGTTCCCTCAGATTGTGTCCAGTAACCCCGTGGATAATGCATGTTAATTTTTTATATTGTTAATTCTTAGCCTCAGAAGAACTCTCTCTTGTTCCTCAGCTTCTGTTTGACGTTTTTATATTTTTTTAGTAAATAGCCATGGCTATTGGGCATCAGACGCCCTAGGTCGTTTTCAGCTTCTCTTGATATGAACGCTGGAATGCTGTTTCACGGTTTCCCCCTGGTCTGGAGGGCTAAGACCAGAGTTGGTCCATGACAAATAGTTAAAGACGTTCTTGTACCCCATGAACCCTGTGAATCTGCAGCTACTCATACTCTTGATTAAGCTCATGCCATTGTTCATGGCACACCGCTAACACACTGAACAGCTCTCTGAACTCTGCCCAGAAGGAGACGTGGTCTAGTTGATGGAAATGGCTTCTGGGTCTCATCTCTTTTATAATTTTTTCTCCCGGAATCTGTGTTTGCTTTAGCCATTGATGGGCTTATTCAATCGAGCTTTGTAGGCTTATAAGCGGAGATGCTCTGCATGAGAGGGACCCTCGTGTGGCGGCGTCTTCAGCTCATTTAACGTTCCCGTTTGATACAGGTTCCACCTTTTCTTCTTCGGAAGTGGGTGAGGAGGTAGCTACTCTTCGCTGGACCAACTAGAGCATCTTCATGTGGCTTTAAACGGTATCACTGTCGGGAAACCAGCTCAATCCTCTGTTGACCCTTTTCAGGTGGGTTTGCCTGCGCGTGCAGCGTTGGAGCCGTCTTTCTGGTACTCTTCTCTGAACTTTTTTTGTGTTTAGTTTGGGCAATTGCTCCCAGTCTTGCCGCTTTGGCCTCTCGTCAATGGCCGTACTCTTTTGACTCGATTCATCACGTCCCGGGGGTTAGCTTCTCCACATTAATTACCGAGTCAACCCATCAGGTTGCTCGTTCAAGAAGTGAGGTGAGGACATTAACAGGCTCGCATTTGACTTTTATCCGAAAGGTTCCCGATGGACTTTTATAAGCTGCGCCGGCCTTTTAACGACGAGGATTCTAACGCCGCCGCCTGCAGCACGCAGTGCCCGTGCCTGCCCCGCCGCCCACTCTTCTAAACCCTCCCCACCGCCATGCCTTCAATCTCTTTCTCTCTCTCTCGGCGGCCGCATGCGGCGCGGGGTAACTATTGCTGCTAGTGGAATGACGGGCTGGTGTGGCCACGGGTTGCACGTGGTGGCTCGGTCCGCTCCGAAGTAAAAGGTCGCTGGCTGTACCTTGCCGCTCAAACCCCACGCTTCCATAATAAATGCGGTCGCTACTGCCCACTCCGCTAAATCATGCCTACTTCCCTTGCCGACGCTGCTCCACTCTCCCTCCTGGTGCTGGTTCTTCTTTCTCCCTGCGCTTTCCGACGAGCAGCGGGAGACCGCCAGTGAGGGGATGGAGCAGGCGCTGCCGCTGGCGAAGCCCGGCAAGAAGAAACTGGTGAGCTCGCTGGTGGAGGTGGCGGCGGCGGCGGCGACGCTCCTCGGCTCGGCGTCGTTCAGGGAGGACAGCTACTTCGTGCATCAGCTGAGGCCCTCGGAGCAGAAGGCGCTGCAGGAGCTGAAGGCCCTCCTCTCGGCGTCGCCGGCTTCCTCGTCGCTGTCCTTGTGGGGGGTCCCCCTGCTGGGAGGCGACGAGAAGGCGGACGTCATCCTGCTCAAGTTCCTCCGCGCGAGGGACTTCGGCGCGACGCAGGCCCACGCGATGCTGCTGCGCTGCGCCGCGTGGCGGCGGGATTTCTCAGCCGACGGGTTGCTGGAGGAGGAGCTGGGCTTCAAGGAGCTGGAGGGGGTGGTGGCGTATATGCACGGCTGCGACAGGGCGGGGCACCCCGTGTGCTACAACGCCTACGGGGTTTTCAAGGACCGGGAGCTCTACGACCGCGTCTTCGGTGACGACGACCGCTTGAAGCGGTTCCTTCGGTGGCGCGTCCAGGTGATGGAGCGCGGCCTCAGCCTGCTGCAGTTCAAGCCCGGGGGGGTCAACTCCATCATCCAGGTGACGGATCTGAAGGACATGCCCAAGAGGGAGCTCCGTGTGGCCTCCAACCAGATCCTCTCCCTGTTCCAGGACAACTACCCGGAGATGGTCGCTCGCAAGGTCTGTTTGATGGACCTCTCATCTCCCTCTTTTTCTCTATCTCCTTTCTTCTTCTTCTTCCTCCCCTCGGTATATGACTTGCCCTTGCATTTGCAGGTGTTCATTAATGTGCCCTGGTACTTCAGCGTGCTGTATTCGATGTTCAGTCCCTTTCTGACCCAGAGGACGAAGAGCAAGTTCGTCATCGCCAAAGAAGGGAATGTGGCCGAAACCCTTTACAGGCACTTGCTCATCCATCTCTGCTGAGTCCTTAGCCTCCTTGCTCGTCTTTATGAGCCTTTAAGTGAGCTCCTCACCCTCTTCCCATCTCGGTAGGTTCATAAGGCCAGAGCTCGTCCCCGTCCAGTACGGCGGCCTGAGTCGCCCCAGCGACCTGCAGGACGCCCCGCCCAAGCCGGCGTCAGAGTTCTCTATCAAGGGAGGGGAGAAGGTGAACCTGGAGATCGACGGCATTGAGGTTAATAACTCCCCTCTCTTCCTTCTTATTCTTTAATGAACCAGGAAAGAACCTGGAGATCGACTGGTTCGTTACGAGAGAGCCGGCGAAGGCTCCAACTGCTCCAGGAGCAGTTATTGGTGGACAGAGCATCTCCTACCTCCGCCGGCCGACGCCATTCTCGCAGCATCTTCTTATGTTAGATTTTCCCATAGTTTGGAAGCAATCAAAGTCCTTAGATGGATGGTGGATCTTGGGTTTGTTCAGGGAGGCGCCACCATAACGTGGGACCTGGTGGTCGGCGGGTGGGAGGTGGACTACACCGCTGAGTTCGCCCCTGCTGACGCCGGCAGCTACAGCATCGCCATCGCGAAGACGAAGCGCTTCGCCGCAGGGGAGGAGCCCATTCACCACTCCTACACCGCCAAGGAGGCGGGCAAGATGGTTCTGTCCATCGACAACACCTGCTCTCGCCGGCGGAAGGTCGCCGCCTATAGATACTTCGTCCGGAAGCCCGTTACCGCCTGAAGACAACTTGCCGGCCGCGCCGCTCCTTTCTCCCCGTCTCTCTTTCCAATGACCAGACTTTTCATCCTTCTGTATGACTCCCACTCATGTGTACCCACCCGCTGCTTTTTCCTACAAAGACCTAATTCTCCGCTTTCCGGCGGGCCTGCCGACTACCCGCCGCCTGCCCCGTTGACGCCGTACTCAGCGGCCTGGTCGCGTGAGGTGACGAGCTTACCGTCTTGTCGTGGGTCGCGTGTCTTTCTCTCACCTTTCACGGGGGCCAGCAACGGAAAACCCGGCGAGCTTTAGCCTTTGCGCTGCCTCGGGCGCCGCCCCCGGTGCCAGCATGGAATCTTCCGCCGCCGTGCTGCCCCTGGATCAGCCGCGCCGGCGCCTCCCTCCGGGGAGGAGTCTGTACTTTTCCTTCTCACACGGCCGGACCCTTCTGCTCGACGACGTGACCCGTTAGGGTACAGTCTGTAACACGTGGTTAAAAGTTTCTACAAATGGGCCAGGGTTGTCATAGGTCCATTCAAACCAATATGGGCTGAAACCCAAAATCCATGTGCTGTCCCATTAAAATGTGGGCCCGCGTTCCACGCGTCGAAGTGTGACTGGCGGAGCCAGCGTGCGGATGTGGTGCTTCGCAGCTCGCACACGCATAAGTGGGTCCCGCCTCAATACTCGGATAAGCGACTCTGACTCGGGCATGTGGCTACGACGGGCACGAACCGGAACACGTCAGCAGTGGACGGCAAATTGCCGTAGAAATGAGAGGACGGAGTTCTGCCAGGGGGAGATTTTGCTCTGCTGGTCTCGTCCAGGCGCCGTCGTTTTCCTCGACCTGCGCCACCAGCCTGCTCTTGTAGCCGATTCGCCGCCAACGGGGAGAATCAGGCGGTGAGAAGGCCGTGGAGATGCCCCGGAGCGGATTCGTGAGAGCGGTATAAAAACCTGTGGCAGACGGCAAGTCGCCGCATCCTCTCTCTCTCTCTCTCTCTCTCTCTCTTTCTGCTTTTGGTTCCGTCCCCTTCAGTTCCCCAGCGGAACCGCCAGCTCCGGAGATGATTTCTTGCATTCACAGCGCAGGGGAGCTCAAGTCGATATCAGACCCTAACATTCCCGTTGGTGAGAGGCGCTCCCCTCAAGTCGGATGGGGAAGTTCTTCCAATCGTCAGCTTTCTCTCAGAATCCGTCGCTCGCGGTCAGTCGCCGCTGGTATCCGGTGTAATTTGGAGAGGAGTGATGAAGAAATCGATGCCTCCCGCCGGGGGATGTCGGGAAGTCGGCGGGAGGTGCTCCTCGTCCCGGCACTCGCAGTCGGGGTTAACTGTTTTTTCTCAATGGTCGCTGCGAAGGCTGAAGAGAAACCTCCAGTCTCCGAGGCCAGCAGCAGTGCCTTACAAGAAGAGAAAACGGAAAAAAAGGAAGAGAAGGAGAAAGCGGAGGCTGAAATGGCTTATCGGGTTTATGATGCCACGACGATTGGGGAGCCGCAGGCCCTTGGTAAGGACAAAAGTAAGGTCTGGGAGAAGCTGATGGGAGCGCGGATCGTCTATCTGGGTGAGGCAGAGCAGGTTCCCGAAAAAGACGACAGGATTCTGGAACTCGAGATAGTGAAAAATCTCCGGAATCGCTGTTTTGAGCATCAGAGGCCCATTTCCGTGGCTCTGGAGGCCTTTCCTTCTAATCTACAAGAACGTCTCGATCTCTTCATGGAGAAAAGGTCTGCACACTTCCATAATGTTCGGGAATTCCGTTCTGCCTTTGTTGACTAATGTTGTTCCTTCATTATGCTCTCAATTGTTAATAGCACATGCTAAAATTTTGAGATGTTAATGACAGAATTGACGGTGAGGCCTTAAGGTCGTATACTTCTCACTGGCCTCCCCAGCAATGGCAGGAGTATGCACCTCTTCTTAATTACTGTCGTGACAATGGAATCAGGCTCGTGGCTTGTGGTACTCCTCTGGAGGTAAATTCCGGAGAAGTTTTTGCGGGCTTCTGTTGATTTCATACATAAGTGTCGAATTGCAAGGAGAGTTTTACTTTGGCCGGATTTATTAGATACTTGATATAAGGATTTTCTGGATTTTATCTTTCTTGAATTTGCACAAGCTTCCGCTTATATTTTTGTCCTTGAATATCAGGCAAGCTTTTCTTGGCGTTCTTGAACCAAAAATCTGTTGTCAAATTTGAACATCATTGTCTGGTTTTGCAAAAAAAAAAAAAAAAAAAAAAAAAAAAAGGGTTCACCAGAGATATTATGGCTGGAGGTACCATATTTTAGTGGATATCCTTACATCAAAGGTCTTTTTACAATATTTGAATCCAGCTAAGATACTAAAGTGCACATATAATAATAGTTTCTCTTTGCGGGAGTTTCACCATTCATAATTACTCTGAGTCTTACTTTTTCATTTTGGGATTGGCTGGATTCACTTATTATTTCATGTCAGACCTCTATAACGTGGGCCCAAGCTACAGCTGCTTAATTACCATTGTGGGATCCTATAGAATGGGATCGTGTCTCGTTCTCATAGGTAAAAGTAGAGTAGAAGTCCATGAGCCCCCTGGATGATTGACAATCGTCTCCTTGGTTGTACACTATGGACTGATGAACCAAGGAGCAACCTTCAAAAGTACGTTTAGATGTAAGGAGTCTGAAGAATGAAGGAAGAGACATGTTTACCTCATAGATTTACGATCTGTAGGATAACAATCTGCCGAAGAAGGAACTTTTGTATGGTCTCCACCTTTTGATACACATTTTAGCATTAAATGATTTTTTTTTCTGTTGACAATCATTGCGGTCCAACTACCTGAAAACATGTTATTTTGTGCTCTTAATTTTTTTCCACAGTTTTCTTTCATGTTATTGTCGCAGATCTTTCATGGCTTATCGTATCAGCTACTCCTTTTTTAATGTTATCTAGTACGTGTAAACTTTGTTTTAATTTCAGTCTTTTCCTTGTCAAATAGGTTTTGAGAACTGTTCAAGCTGAAGGAATTCGAGGACTGTCCAAGTCACAGCGTAAATTATATGCTCCTCCAGCTGGTTCGGGCTTCATTTCTGGATTTTCTTCTACCTCTGGAAGATCATCAATGGATGTGATTTCATCAAATCAGTTTGTTCCCTTTGATCCGTGTTCCTACCTTTCTGCTCAGTCGAAAGTTGTTGATGATTACTCGATGTCCCAGATCATCTTGCAATCTGTGACAGATGGAGACTCTCAGGGTATGCTTGTAGTTATAACTGGTGCTAGCCATGTGATTTATGGATCAAGGGGAATCGGTATCCCTGCTAGAATTTCAAAGAAAATACAGAAGAAAAACCAGGCTGTCATTCTACTCCATCCTGAAAGGCAGTACATTCGTAGGGAAGGAGAAGTTCCTGTTGCTGATTTCTTGTGGTACTCTCCAGCTAAGACTTGCACTAGAAATTGCTTTGATCGTGCTGAAATTGCTAGGATAATGAATGCAGCTGGCCGGCGGAGAGATGCTTTGCCACAGGTGGTTTCCTTTCTAAATCATCCCCTTCTCCCTTCTGTGATCTTAATCAAATGTCTACGTAGCACTGAGGTAGAGGGTATCCCATTTGAAATCACAAGTTTAATGTGATATATATGATTTTATTTTTTTAATGTTTAGCGGAGACCACAGAAGAGTCACTTATCCTGCTGAATTTAGTAGCGTTATCCTGCATATCTACTACCATATATTCAAAAGTTTTTTACTACTTGCCCTCTCGTTAATTGATTTACTTTTGAGATTCTACCATGTGATTTATAAAGATACACTCATATTGGTATTGCTAGTGTTACATTACAAGTTGATAACTAGCAAAAAGTTTTGGATGCATTTAGGTCAAATATGGCATTTATCTGCTTTCATATGTAGTTCTCTTTTTCTTGCAACATTATAGAAATCACGTCATTAGTTCTCAATGGATAATCCCATTTCTTATGTCTTTCAGGACCTTCAAAAGGGACTTGATCTTGGATTAGTATCCCCAGAAATACTGCAAAACTTTTTTGATCTTGAACAATATCCTGTAATTGCAGAACTTATTCACCGTTTCCAGGTACATACATATTTACAAAAAATTCCTGTTTCCTTAAGGAAACCGACAGCTGCTCTCTTTATAATCATTTATTATTTCTATGAGCTTGGAATTAATGATATATCATCTTGATAGGGTTTTCGGGAAAGATTGCTGGTGGATCCTAAATTTCTTAACAGGTTAGCAATAGAAGAAGCAATATCGATAACTACAACTCTGCTGGCACAGTATGAAAGGCGCAAGGGTCGTTTCTTTGAAGAGATTGACTATGTACTGACTGATACCATCAGAGGCTCGGTTGTTGACTTTTTTACTGTTTGGCTTCCTGCGCCAACTATATCTTTCCTTTCTTATGCGGATGGCAACTCTTTACCAGAGAATTTGGGAGTACTAAAGAATCTCCTTGGGTCTATACCAGACAATGCCTTCCAAAAGGCCCCAACTGGGGTGAACTGGAATCTGAATGAGAGATTTGCATCAGTGATCTTTGGTGGACTGAAGCTCTCTGGAGTGGGTTTCATTTCCAGCATTGGAGCAGGGGCTATTTCAAGTGCTCTCTATATCGTCCGTAAATCTTTGAATCCCTCATTGGCTGAGAACAGAATGAAGAAAAAGGCTTCCGTACTAAAATCAGCACTTGTTTACGGATCCTTTCTTGGAACATCAGCGAATCTGCGATATCAGGTACAAAAACTGCCGTATTGCGTAAATTCACGTAGTCGTATACTTCATAATAAAAAAAATTCTGTCAACCCAATACACGACGCTCGAGTTTTATTTTGTTATTATTGTCACTTACGTGCACGCTTGAGCTCCCTGATAGGGCTGGAGTAAATAAATAGTAAGCTCGTAGTTTAGACTAATTGATCAGGGGGCATCTTTTTTTAATGAATTGGCTTGATTTTAAATGCTAGGTTGGCCCATACCTGTACTTTGCTCATAGGTAATGATTTTCGGTACTAACTTTTGATTCATACTTTCTGCAGATAATTGCTGGATTAGTGGAACACCGGCTATCTGACTACCTGCTGTCAAATTATAATGAACCACTCCTCGTGAATTTGTTGTCTTTTGTTGTTCGTACCATCAATTCGTACTGGGGAACTCAGGTTTGGCTTCTTTTCACCTGTATCTTTTTTTTCATTCTTAATTTTCCGTGCATTGTTTTTCCCTCGTCATGTCTGCAGTCACAATGGTGAACATATTCAAGATGTTTATGAAAAATTGCGTTTTAATTTGAGATAAAAACATTTTCTGTGAACCCCACGGCCCGAAACATGACGTGCTGTTGATCTGTGATCGAATGAGGGAGATCGTATCTACTTTCATTCATTGCTTAAGATATTCCTTCTTAAAGTGTAGACTTTTCCGGGTTATGCTTCTTCCTGTTGTTTTCGTTGGATTTTAGCTAAAGCCGATATTTTTAATTAAAGGGAAAAGGAAATGTGGTCATGTTTTGAGCCCATGTTTTTGTTTTATGGGACATTATTGTTGAGAGAAAGTAGCATACTTTTCTAAGGTTTTCAAATCTGTTTCCTTCAAAAAATGAGGTGGACCCTCTTGGGTTTTAGCAGTGGATACTATTTAACCGCAGTCGTGCATGCCAATAGACAATTCATGAGATGTGTTAGGGATTTAACCAAGGGCTTTCATATTCATACCCTAATCGTGTAATATCTGAAATAATGGGTAATTACTGTGATCCTGCCTCTTCATGATATTTTACCCTGGTGGTGGTTTAGTATTTCATCATTTCGGCTAGTATTGGTCTCTTCGAAAATATAAGTCCCACCTCCCAGCCCACATGTAATAAAAGTTTATTAGGAACCATTGCCGACTTCTTAAAACCGGGCTTTCATATTCATTTCTTATTTCTTAACGCTTTCTTAGGTAGCATTGCCAGGCCGTTGGATATTCAACTTAACATGGCAGGACAGTTTTATCTTTTCCCAAACAAGAGTACATTTATTACTTGATAGCATATTATTTACATCTTATAATAATATTGTCAGACCCGATTTTAATATCGGATGATGAGCATCCAGAGGAGACGATAAATGTTATTAACATGGATGATAAACCTGAACATGTGGAGGCCGATTATTTTGATATTTTGCATTTTCAGTTGAGTAGTGCTTTTCTATATTTCCTCACGTTGCTGACTTTTTCTCGCTAAAAATGTTTGCAGCAATGGATAGATCTTGCCCGACTTACAGGACTTCAACCACGTAAGGAGGCCATTGAATCTGCTGCGGTGCCGTCACTTCAGGATGGAATGACGTCTCGAGGTTCAGACGCTCTTGAGCCCCCCTCTCTCATGGAATGTAGTTCTACCAGCGCAACCAGCATAGAGGAAAGAAGCAATCAATCCAGCGACAGCCCTTAGCTGCTCGAGTATTGATGCCAACATCGGCGGTGAACTTCTCAGAGAACGAGATTAACAGAAATCTTCGCATTCTGCAGCAGAGTCGCCTTGGATCTCGCTACACAGCACTGGGTGTTTTGACCCACTTCGGAATCACAACTAATGTACCAGAGCAATGCTTCATAAAGTTCTTATAAATGGAGAGTTTGTAGAAATGTGTACATTTCTTTTTTTGTAAAATATCTAATATTTTTAGGTAATAAGAAAAGTTACCCAACATTGTTCGACCTTTGCATCATCCAATGGTCGCCACTGATTGGAACAGGATTCACAGATTTATTGCCCTCGTCGCTGCTGCATTCTATAATGAGACATGGAAGGAAATCGGCAAGCAGCTGAGCATTCTCTGCTCAAACACAGGTTAATAATATATTTGGCCTCTGTTTTTCTTGATTTGGCATTGGCTAATTTTTTTACCCTTTTAATCTTATGGCAGACCAGGTGCTGGCGCTGGATCCTCCATTTTCCCAGCTTAGGAGTGGCTTAGAGCTGCTGGTCGTCTAGCTTTACCCTATTACTATTCCAAGTGGTTACATGCTTCTGGCTCAGTAAGATCTTCACAGAAACTGCATGGTTCTGACTGAAAACCTTACCAGATCGTCATCTGATACACTTGAAAGGAAGAGTCTCTTCCACTGGCACAGTTCTAGACATTATTGTAGAAAGGGAAACTTTCTAGGCACCCCCGATCAAGCCCGGCCCCTTGCAGCGCTGGCTGATGATGGAACAGCAGACTGAGCGGCCAACGCTTCTTCGCTGATTTTCTCCATTAGCCTGTTCTTCACGGACTGGAATGCGGCCTCCAGCTTCTCCAGCTGCCACAAAACCATGGAAAAGACCTTTGAAACCGGCAGCGAGATCGGAGAAGGCGACGGCGGTGGGCAACTGGGTAAGTCCGGTACCTCTTCCTTGGCGAACTTATTGTGCCGGAACAGCCCCAGGTACAAGTCCAGGCTATCCTTCAACGTGTTATCCCTCTGCAAATCTCAAGATCCGACTAATCATTCAAGAATCTCACACTATAACCTGATATAATGCGCTAGTGTCATATTTTTTATCAAGTAACAGCAAATGCTGCTTCAATTTACCAGCTGAAGTAGCGTCTGAAACCCCTTGGTGTCGATGGGTGTCGGCTCTAGCTCCATCTCTGACAGAACTCTGCAGGATAAGAGAAGATCTGGGCAGATCACACCAGGAGCAGATGGTACGCGCTGGTGGTTGAAGAAGGAAGAGCAGCTCACCTCCCGACGGTGTGAGTGAGGAACTGGCTGCGAGCCGCCATCCGGTCGTGCTCCTCGCATGGCATCTCCACCATCCTGCAACCCTGAAACGGAGTTTCTACCGGCATGGATAAGCAGGGTTCCATAGGGAAAGGATCTAAAAGAGGCTAGCTAGGGCTTACCTCCCGCTGGAAGATCTCCAGGAACTCCACGCAGAGGGGGTGGTCTCTGATCCGAACCCGCTCGAACACCAGCGGCAGCCCCGCCCAGCCGTGCTTCCCGCTCTCCGGCCCGAACATCGGGTGAGTGCAGAGGACGTCCGCTTCCTCCGGCAGCAACTGCGGCGGGCACAGTCGGTTTCAGCCATGGCGGAAACCCTAGAAGACGGAGGGGCTTAGAGAGACGTAAAGTTGTAATGTGCCTGCAGGAGGAGCTCCCTCGGGTGCTCCTTCACCGATAGGACGTCCACGAAGAGGCGAGGGCTCCGGCAGCGGCCGATGGGGAGCGAGCGGAGGACTTCTTCCAGGGAGACGATGGAGGTGCATAGGAGGACGATTTCGTTCTCATTCTCGAGGAACTCGGTCGCGTCCCTGAAATAGTGGCCGTCATCAGCGGCGCCGCCGGAGCGCTGGAATGTGGGGAAGGAGGGATGGAGGGAGGGAGGGAGGGAGGGTCGGAGAAGGCAATGTACTTGAGGAAGTTGATGCCCATTTGCGAGCAGCGTTGGGAATGGTCGGAGCGGGAGGTGGCGGTGAGGGAATGGCCCTGCCGGAGCATGGCCTCCGCCAGGAACTGGGCGAACGGGCCGAAGCCCACGATGCCGATCCTCAGGGACCGGCGGTGAATCAGCGCCGGTGAGGTGGCGACCATGGCGGCGGCGGTGGCGGCCAATGCGGCTCAGCTCTATCCAGCGGAGGGAGGGGGGGGGAGCTTGCTGCCGGAGGAGGGTGCGAGTTTTATCCGACGAGCCCGGCGAAAAAAGTTGCCGGCCCACGCGTTTAGACGAACCAGTCGCCGACCGGCGGCGGGAGCAGGTGAAAGGGCCGCCGTAGATCTAAATCGCCTTTCGTTTAATGTGTCTTGTCACCCTCCCACCTGTCAACGCAAAATTTAGAGAGAGAGAGTGGAAGATGCAGAGCCTCGAGGCCGTGGCAATGAATTACCGCCATTGGGCTCTGCTTTCGAATCACCGCGACTTTCTTTCGTTCGTTCGTCATAGACGGTTATAACGCCTCCAGTGGCACAGCCGCTGACCGCCGCCGGGGGGCCGCTGTCGACCTCGCTGACGAGCTGGGTTGGCCACCCCCGCAGAATCGTCGCCTTCGTATCGGGACTGACGTATCATCTAGTTCTGTCTTATCTTCAAAGTCAGACTTCGTTGAAGCCTCAAGAGCGCAAGTTGGCACAGGCTCCCGTTGACAAAGCCGCTATCACCCCGTCCTTCCACATCGATCAAATAAGGAACCACTACGAACTCTGAGGATATGGCCGCTGGCGACCACAGCTCAGGCGGAGTGGCGGCGAGTCACTGGCGAGTGCAGTGATGCCTTCGGGCTCCGCCGGCAAACAGTAGACCCGGAATCTGGGGAGGCGGCCATTCCCTTGGAGCGTCGGAAGGGGGGAAGATGAGCTAGCATGGCCCAGCGAGGGGCATGAGCCCTGATTCTGGGGTAGGAAAGGCCATGCTAGGCCATTAAAATAAGAACACAGCCGGTGCCGCCGAGTGGTAAGCTTAGGGCTTTACAGACGCTGAGCTCTCCCTCACATGGCGCCGATATGAAACCTGACGATATGCTTAGATGGGAATATATAGACACGCCGAACCCACTGGAGAGGAGCCGCGTTTAATTCGCGTGATTGAAAAATATGGAAGTGGGGAGCAGCCCCCGGCCCACATGAAGGCCTTCCGTCATCTTCCCGGCGTGGCCCGTCTCTCACACTATTGTGGCTCGTTGTTCACGCTGGACGCCTCCTATAAGGCTTGCCCTCTCCCCTCCGGAGGTCTGGTTAAGAGGAAGGGGAGGACAGTAGAGAGAGAGAGAGAGAGAGAGAAAGAAGAGATGGGCAACAGCCTCAGGTGCTGCTTGGCCTGCGTTCTTCCATTCGGGGTTCTGGATGTCGCACGGATCGTCCATCTCAACGGGCAGGTGGAGGAGTTTTGCCGACCGGTCACCGCCGGCGAGATCCTGCGGGCGAACCCCGACCACGTCCTGAGCAGGCCGTCCTCTGAGGGCGAAGGGCGGCGGATTCTCGTCGTCTCGCCGGAGTCGATCCTCGAGCGAGGTACCATCTACTTCCTGATCCCGAGGGCATCCCTTCCGGAGAGGAAGAATACGAAGAAGAAGAGGAAAACCCAGAATATCTCCACGAAGGTCAACGAGCCCTCGGCCGCCGCCGAGGAGAACCTGTCGGAGCGGAAGCCGGCCCACCGGCGTCGGAGCAGCCGAATAGCGGAATGGCGTCCACACTTAGAGAGCATCCCAGAGAGGACCCGTCAGCCGCAGGTCTGCAGTCGAGCCCAGAGAGAAGGGAGAGGGAGCCCTGGGGGCAAGGGTAATTTCATGTAGCGATCACCATGGATGAAAGCATGCTAACGCATCTGTAGAGCTCAGTTTTTCTTTGAACGATTTCTCCGTGGAAGTCGCATGGGCTATGTAGCATTAAAGAACCCAGGAAGACGAAGGGCAGAACGAGGAGCCTCGTGCCTGATCTAAATCTGCGGGTACGAACTACCCATTACAAGGTGAACTGTATGGTGTTGATATTTTGCCGGATCAATTCTCGACCAACGTTCCGCATTTCTTCATGGATAGCCTTGGTAATACATGCGATAATACCATATGAAAGTGAGTTCTTGTGACACAAAATCTCACATTTTTCTTTAGAAAGGGTGTAATCATGCATAACTTGATGCACCGGGAGTTAAATGTGCTGATTAAGTCTAGGAAAATGCCTGTAAATAGTTTCATCTAACGAAGGTATGAATGCAGGATATATATTATAATATATGATAATTTAATTCTAGATTATTCCGTCGATATTGTGACTATTCTATTTGTCAGAAATCTTGATAACTTCCATTTTTCATGTCATATTTTAGGGTTATACTGGAATTGGATAGTCGATGGCGGATCAAAATCATTAGCTTCATGCATTATTTTCTCATTCTATTGTTACTTCTGGCGCTCCCAAGTTCCAGGGATATAGGAAACTGGGATTTGATCTGCTGAAAAAGAATCCTCTCACCATAATTCACACGACTATCATACCTTATTCACATACGTAAGTGAGTTCTTTCCTCGTTCTTATTATAAATGGCGGCCATTTATTGTAATGTGGAAAGCCGCGTGTGTGTGTGGGTCCGCTAGAGAGAGAGAGAGAGCGAGAGAGAGAGAGAGAGAGAGGTTGGAGTTGCACCCGTGGAGTAGGGGTCTACTCCTAATACAAACGACGGCTTACGGCACTAGATTAATATTTCCATGGATTCCGGCTAAGGCAGCTACTCTCGTAGACCTGACCGGCCTGGTGGCCCGCATGAATAATTTAGAATGAACCCGGACTTGGCCTTGTTCAGGAGGAAAAGCCCAAAAAATAAGCTTCTCGTTGGATACCATATGAAACTCAGATTCGGTCGTGTCACTGCAAGACAATCACATGAGAATAGAAATGGGTTTCAGCGGCTATTGGCCTTCAGATCTGACCCAAACGTTGGGGAACAGAGACTTGAATGATCTTTTGATTCGGTCGGAGCTCAAGACAAGCTTTCAGAACGAGCACATGTGTAAACAAGGACAAGGCTGCTGGCCGATCCGAAATGGATGCGGGCGGCATCGGCTTTCGGTGGTCTTGTGGTTGGCGGAAGCGTTGCAGGGCTGTCGACCCAGATCCAAGGTTTCGACGAGCTCGTCCTAACGACCTCGCTCTGTTTACTTCGGTGGGATCCATGCTTCACAGAGATAAGAAGGGCCGTTTCTGAGTCGTCGTCTCTGTTCCATTGGGAGGAGGATCGATGGAAGAAGGGGGAGCGGGGGAAGGACGTATTGGTTTATTCCTGCCAAGGCCTTTCTCGATAAGAACCTTCTTGGAGCTCACAGAGTCACACACACACACACACAAACACAGAGACACGCAGAACCCATTTTCTGTTTTCCTTTCGAGCTCCTCACCTTGTTCTTTCTTGATATTGTCGATATACACGGGGACCTACGACAGCGTGTACGTGAAAAAGGAAAATCCATACGGAAAGCCCCTCTAGAACCCCACGAGTGTCATAGAACTTCGGAAAGACGGAATTGGTTCGGGGATTCTATCTGGAATCAGGCGGATTTACAGGTGGATCTTCTCTCCCCACATGCGTCCATAAAGGTTTCGTTTTGGGGTTATCAGCTGCCTGATCACTACCCAACCTGCCTGCCGCTGCAACTCTTCAGTAGCCCAGCGAAGCGTGAATTCGCCCTCACACTGTCCAGGGGCCTCCACTCCTCCCCTACTCCAACTTCCTTGGTGCGGTCGAAGGACTTGGAGGCTCCCCCGTTCATCGCCGTCGTAAAGCTCCCGGATGTGGACAGATCTCGATATCTCTTCCCGCCGTCCACTTGAGCACCCGGCTCCGGTTTCAGGAAGAGGCATACGACGGCGCAGTCGTCGATCCTTGACATCGGGTGCTTGATCTCCCACGCACGGACGGCCTTCTTCACCAACTTCTTGGCCGCTTCGGAGCGCCTTCTCGCGGAGGACACTATCTTGACGACCTCCTCGTTTGACAGCACATCCCAAACCTGCCACCCATGTCAAACCCCATGATCAACGAAAGCAATAACTCAGTATATCCAAACATCAATGCTGGGTATTCTCAACGGCAGCCGGATTTTTCTGTGGCTATAAATCAGAGAAAGGTTGATGAGAATTCACCTGTTGCTTCGGAAATAGAACAATCTTAATCAGAATCATCTCATTTAATTCAAAATTTGTCAAGGATAAGCAAACTTTTCCCATATTATTAATCCTATGGTAATCTAGAGAAGTGTAATATCAGATGAAATCAGTCATGAGATTTAACATGCAGCATGAAAGAATATGATAGCCTAATTCAGATACGATCGATCTGGGTCATGTAAGATTATCAACAGACGGTTTCTACCCTACCCCATCGGTGGCCAGCACCACGAACTCGTCCCTCTCGGTGAGCTTCCGATAGGTGACCTGCGGTGTAGAGATGATGCCGAATTCCTTGAGGCAGAAGTCTCCGAAGGCCCTTGCCATGGCGAGCCCTGGGCAGTTCTCGTCCGGCAGCCACACCCGGTGGACCTCCGGCTCCTCCTCTAGGGCAAAAACCCTTCCCTTGCACTTCATAATCCTCGAGGCTTCATCTGGGTTATCATCAGAAGAACGATCTCAGCGTAAGAACCGATCGATAAGAACGAGGGGAGGAAGACAGAGAGGAGATGACGGAACATCGGAGGAACTTACTCGGCAGGTTCGGCTTCAGGTCGACAGTGAGTTGGATGGGAGAGAGCTGGTTTGAGTCGTCTCGGGTGCACAGAACGGCCCGGGAATCTCCCAAGTTGGCGATCATCAGGTGATCATTCTGATTCACAAAAGAAGGGCGAAGAACAACTGTCAGGAGCTGCATTTTTGGCGATCCAGAGGAAATAATTTTTTCAACCAGAATTAATATTTGAATTCTACGAATTACTAGACGCAGAGATATGGAGCCAGAAATGGCAAATCACATCGAGCACAGTATAAATTACGATGCCATTTCTCTAAGAAAGTATAAATTGGGCTATTTTCTAAAAAGAGAAGCTCTGTGGAGGACGTCGAACCTGTTTTACCACGGAGACGGCCGTGGTTCCACTGCAGATGCAATCAATATTGGCGCCCCGACAGAGCTGATCGTCCACCTCCTTGAACGCCTTCAAGAAACCCGCCTTCCACGACGAGAAATACCGATAAACGCTGCCGCTTCCGTTGAGGTCGCCGCCTCCATCATCGTCCTCTTCCTCGGCGCAGGCAGCGAAGAGGCTGTCTGCTCCGGGTAGCTGGAGCGAGTGATACTTCTCGGAGAGCTTCACGGGTAGGACATCACGGACGTGGCGGGCGACTCGATGGCCCAGAGGACCGTGGCCGTCGAAGACTCCGCAGAAGATTGTGTCCTTCTCGCCGGTGAAGTCCTGTAAACCGCGTGATCGCTGTTAAATCGTCTGCAGATCGTGATATTCAGAGAACAAAAGCATACGTGACCCCCGTTGGACCTGAGCGCAAGGGTACCTTCCATAGAGTCATGGCGTCCTGGTTGACCCCCTTACGGCCTTGCTGCGTGTGCATGGAGACTAACCTACACGACCCTTCGACCCTCAAGCGGGCCACTCCATTATCGTAGAATTCTTCTTCCTCTTCTTCCTCTGTTACTCTTCTTCCTAAACCGCAGCCCCCTCTCATCTTCTCCTCGGTTTTCGCTCCCCGCGCACCGGCGCGCAATGATTCCTATGTATCTGAACCGAGTCAGGAGGCGCAGGCTTGAAGGTTTATAAAGGCAACAGCTACCCGCCACCCGCCACCACCGTAAGCAGCATTCATTTCATCTCTCTTCCCAAACTTCGAGGGAATAACGAAGGAGAGCCGCTAAGACGGAACGGAAGGGAACCAGAGGGTGCTAGTGTTTGCGGGGCATCCCGGTTTCCTCGAAATAGCAGACCAGGAGAGATGGATTAGGAGGAACAGGGAATGATGATGAAGACGGACGGCTTCGGACCAGCTCTATCTTCCCGTCCCGCATCGCCATCGATTAAGAGGGAGGGATAATTCGGGCATCAACAACATCCAGCGTGGCTTTCTCAGCTCTCTGGGTGGGTTTGAGCTGTTCGTGATCGTCTCCAACACCACGTGGTCCAATCTTGCACACCAGATTGCCCACCAAGAAATCTGCCTTTTTGTATTCAATAATTAGCTCGCCCAACTCAACTGGTAAAGATCGCTGCGGATTCGTTCATTCAATCACAGAATGAACCTATACCTTTCAATCTTGAACCATATGACATGTCGGCCTATCGCGGCCCCGCCATTTTGAAATGACCTTTGGACATTGACGGAAGAAACAAGGTTCACCAGACGAAGTCTCACCGATCGGCCTATATTGATTGTCAGCAAGTAGAAGATACTCGTGTTCTCAGGCAGATGATTCCACTTGTGGCCCCATTGATTTTCTACAGTTTTTATGACATTAGGCGAGATTCTTGCATTGATGGGTAAAAGATTGTATGGGTGATCATAAAGCCTTCCGCCGAAAGTGTAGGAGTCGAGAATTATTCTGGAGAGGGATCCCATTGCACGCAAAATATAAAATACTCGGTCATCCAAAATCCCAGCAAGTGAAAATGGAGAGTGGAGGCAGGAAGAAGAAGAAGCAGCGGAACATCAAGGTCTTCATTTACGGTCTCTACTGTGTCTCGGTTCTCTCTCTCTCTCTCTCTCTCTCTCTCTATCTGTGTAATATGTACGAGTGGTTCAGACCATGACGATGGTGTCGAATGAACCCCACGATTGTGATCGTTGACACAAATTAGAACGCAAAAGAAGGGGCGGGCTTTGGATTTTTGAACAACGCACGGACAGAGTGCGACCTACAATCATCAGGTATTATCTTTTCAAGATAAAGAGCTCTGGATGATCAACTACAGAGCGATTGAGTAGTATCTTATGAAAATCAGCAGCGCACATGCCATACATTCAATGATTCGAAAGTCTCCAATAAATTTTCGATACATCAGAATTCCACGTGTGCTGCAGTGGATAGACGACTCATCACCACCACTCGACGTTTAGGTCAAACATCTAGTTCTTGGACCCAAGTCATGTGGGTTCTTACCTCCAGAACGATTATCTTAATGTCTCAGCACATTTCTAGATATGTACTGTGGCTCTCCAAAGACCACTCTGCCTCGACCTTAAATTACGTAACGCTTGGGCCCACGGAAGGTCGCGTACTCACGCGGCCGTTGACCCAACAAGATAAATTTCAGAGTACTTTCATGTTGGCGGTAATGAATCAAAAATGTTATTGCACAGGCGCCTACGGCATTCATTGTCACTTCGATAACGTAATAATATAAGAACGAATCACGTTGTGCTCGTTCTTGTAGGATCTGTTCTTCATTTATATTATCCGCACGATTAATCCCATAAGTCAATTCACAATTAATAGAGCAGGTATTTCCAAAATTATCAGAGCTTTTCGAATGGTCCAATCCAATAATCTGTCGATAATAATTGATTATATATATATTCCGAACTTGCTAAAATCGGGGTGGGGTTCCCAACCTAGCGTTGAAACCATCTAATCCATTTCTTAAGGGAAGGATTTGGTACTGGCCACGTGTGGATCTTGCTGTGGTGACACGATTTGTCTTCCATAAAGAACTCCGGGCCAGATTAATTATTAGGAATTTTTAGGACATTCTCAATGGAGAGCCCACTTTAGGGTTAACAACGCAATAATTTATCGAAGGCTAACTCTGCCAAGCTGCAATATGTTGGAGGTATATGAGCAAAATCCATTGGACGTCGCGGCTCCACCCACTCGCCGTTTCTGACGGGTCTGCGTTCACCGACCTCAACGTACCCATCCCGCAGCTGTCGAATCTTCTCCCGACATGGCGGCCCTAGCGTGAAGCCAGATCAGAAGCAACTCGATGGCCCTTGCTTGAGTTTCCGTGGTGGAGTAAGTGGCTCAATTGAGGGCGTGAATCTGTTCTTACTTTCACAAGACGAAAGATCGAAGCAAGTAGACGTTCCGTATTGTCTGCCATCTTCGGATCTCCGTCACCCTCTGTCATCTTCTGCTTCTCTTGGCCTGGGGACAGGAAAGGAGGGAAGATGGCGCTCTGTGCAAAGGGCAACGACAAATCTGTGCCGCCGTCGGCAGCAGTTAACCCTCTAAACGCCGACGTCGAAGATCCGGCGGTCATGTCGGTGCTGCGCCGGTGGAAGAGAGAGGGATACCTGGAGATGGCTTGCCTGGTCCTGCGCGTTCTGGCGTGGGTCTTCTCGGCACTCGCGTTCGTCGTCATGGCCTCCAATAAACATGGAGATTGGAGGGACTTCGACAAGTATCAAGAGTACAGGTGATTGCTTAGGGTTCCAGTCACTCCCTCCCTCCCTCCCTTCCCCCTCCCTCAGATTACGATCGAGTCGACGCATCGGGATCAGATGGGCAAATCAAAACAACAGTAAGACTGAGCAACTCGAGCCCTGCCGTGATTTCTGCGACTGATCAGGTACCTACTGGCCATCTCCGTCCTCGCCTTCGTTTACGCGACGGTGCAGCTCGTCCTACAAATTCTCCGACCGAGCGGCAGGAAAGATTCGCCGCCGACCCGGGCGACAGCTACCGCGGATTTCGCCGGTGATCAGGTACCTCTGCATGTTTCATTTCCGTTTTGGATGAATCTTCGGTTGCCATCTTAGTCCATCCCCTCCTCCACCTCAAGGATGAAGGAGAAGGATGAGAAGAAGAAGAAGAAGACGATAACAGTTTGATTCCCTCATCAGGTCGCTGCCTACCTGTTGATGTCGGCGCTGTCGGCAGCAGCTCCGATCACCAACCGCATGAGAGAGGGAGCGGAGAACACCTTCACAACCGCGTCCTCCGCTTCCATCACCATGACCTTCTTCGCATTTGCGGTGCTCGCCATGTCCGCGCTGGTCTCCGGGTTCAAGCTCTCCAGGCACAACTATACGTAACCCTCTCCGCTCCTGAATCCCCGATGCCTCCCCCCCGCCATGACCGGCGTTCGATCTTCGCCCTCTTGCATCTCTGTATTATTCTCGTATTCATCTCTCGTTGGGCGAGCGAGTGTTTCTTCTGTTTCGAGGGACTTTTGTGACGATTTGGGACCTCCAGCCGGCGACTTTTCACGACGATTCCCGTTAGATTCATCGACGGCCGTGGCCTCCATTCCGACAGGATCTTAACGAATCATCTACGTATACTTAGTATTCACGGACTCAGCGATGTTCAATGTACGTATACGACTCAACAGCCAGATCGTCTCTCATGACCTCTATCTCTACCGGATTGGGCTGGCAGAATCATTCGATCTGACTCCCCTCCCTTCAAATGCTGCCTCCTAATCTCACAATTGAGCCTAGATTATGCAAATATATATAAATATGTGCATACCCTTCAGATAAAAGTTGGAAATAAGTGGATGTGAAATTTGTGGTATTGACTATGATGAAGATCGAAATGGAACCTGACAATGCGCAAAAGACATGAGTTGAGTCCAATTATTAACCTCCACAAGAATAGGAAAAGATCATCTCAATTAATGTTAGAATCTCAGACCTGCTGGCTCCTTCCTCTTCTCTCCTTGAGAGAGGACCGTAGAAGGCATAGATAGTAAGGGAGAGAGGAAGAGAGGAGAACGGAAAAGTAAAGTTGGAAAGAAAACCTTCATTAACCCTAAAGTGTCTCGAATACAGCATATTTATAGGCCCTTTGTAATCGGGTCCGGATCTACCTAGAAAAAATAGAAAGTCGTCTTCTAACATTCTCTCTCAAGTTGGTGAATGGATGTCATCCAGTCCTAACTTGAATATGAGATGTTGCTGTCAACTGCTCATAAGATGTTATATAAGCTGTACAAATAATCCTCTTATCAAGTTTCTCTTTGATAAAATGTCAGTCTATCTCCATGTGTTTTGTACAATCATGTTGGACTGGATTATGCACGATGCTGATGGCTGACTTATTATCACAATATAGTTTGATGGATTGAATCCATTTAACTCTCAAGTCTTCTAGGACTATTTTCACTCATAAAACTTCACAAATTTCATGCGCCATTGCTCTAAACTCATACTCAACACTTGATCTTGTTACCACTTGCTATTTTTTGCTGTGCCAAGTAATCAAAATTTCATTGAGAAATGTACAATATCCAGATGTAGAGCATCGGTCCATAATGCACCTTGCATAATCTGTATTTATATAAACTTCAACATCAAGTTTATTATTGTTCTTCTTAAATAAAATACCTTTACTTGTTATTTCTTTAAAATATTACAATACTATTTCAATTGGAAATAAATAGATCTCTTTCGAACAGTGTATAAATTGACTAAGAGTACTGACAGCATAAGAAATATCAGGACATGTATGAGAGAGATAAATTAATTTACCTACAAGTCTTTGATATGTATGCACATCTATTGGTTTACTTTCCTCTACATTATTAAGTTTATTTTTTGGATCTATGGCAGTGTTCATTGGTTTACATCTTAATTTTCTCATTTCTTTAAGAAGATCTAAATATATTTGTGTTGTGAAATAAATATACCTTGTTTTGAATAAATTATTTCCATTCCTAAAAATTACCTCAATCTTCTAAGTATTTTAATATCAAATTCTTTGAGCAAATACTTTTTCAAGTGTTCTTTTCAAATTTATCATCTCCTGTTACAATTATGTCATCCACATAAACTAAAATGTTGTCATCCCCCTTGAAGATGAATGTTTAATAAATAATGTGTGATCACTATTGCTTTATTTGTACCCTAAATCACACATCACTTTGGTAAACTTCTCATACCATGCTCTAGGTGATTATTTTAAATCATAAAGTACCTTTTTTAATTTACAAACAATTTCTTTATCTTTTCCTTTATCATATCCTAATGAAATTTCCATGTAAATTTCTTCTTCTAACTCTCCATTAAGAAAAATATTTCTTACATCAAGTTATTAGATTTCTCAATTATAGTGGACTGATAATGAAAATAAAATCCTAACAATATTCATTTTTACAACAAGGGCAAAAGTTTCTAATAATCAATCCCATATGTTTGAGTAAATCTTTTTGCAACTAGTCTAATTTTCTATCTCTCAATCATACTATTTGGTTTATATTTAATGGTCAATATCTATTTGTAGCTAATTAGTTTTTTTTCTTTGAGGTAGTTGTACCAATTCCCATGTCTAACTTTTTTCTAATGCATACATTTTTTCATCAATAGCATGTTTCTATTTAACATTTTGTAATGCTTCAAAGACATTTGATGAAATTTCAATAACATCAATTGAAGTAAGAAATGCTTTATAAGACAATGATAATGTTAATTTGAAATTAGATATTGAGGATTCCTAAAACACTTTCTTTTTTCTTTCCTAAGAGCAATCAGTGAGTCATCATTGTTTTGTTCTTGAGTAGGTGAGTGAGATAAAGGTGTTAATTCTTTTTCTCCCTCATCTAAATTTTGAGTGACTTCTAAGAGATAAATGTAAGACATAATTACCACATTCTCCTTGATCTCTATTTTCACATTTCTCCTCTAAGATTTTTTTTTCAAAATAGAATTACAAGAGGCTTGTAACACAATATAGCAAGTCTTACTTGAGCCATTAAAAGAGTTGAGTGCCATGATTGATTTCAGCTTCTCAATCTCAATTTTAAGACTTTCTATATCTCCTGAGGTGCTGCCCACAAATGATATAGAGGCGTATGGTGGTTGTGTACTGATCATGTGAACTTGACCATCTATATGTGGTTGTGTAGTGAGCAAATGGGCATGTCCACTAGTATGTAGTCTCTCATATAGGTTATAACACCTGTCATGAGTATGTCTAACTTGTCTACAATAAATACATCATAAATTATACTTATAATCACCCTTTTTTGCCTCATATCTTGGTGGTTGTATCAATCCTTTTTCATCCTTATGTTTAATCACAAAGGGTGAATTTTCTACATTCATATTTTTTGGTTGGAGCATTAAGCTTCTTCTGCTTTCTTCATTTCAAATGATTGATATCACTTCCTCAAGGTTTAGTTTTCTTTCTCTTGCTAAGATTTGAGCTTTTGTCAAATCAAATTCTACATTTAGCCCCGTGAGAAATTTATATACCCTATCTTTCTCAATATAGTTTCGAAAGAAAATAGTATCATTTGAAGTTTTGGTAATAATAAGTTTGTTTTTATCAATCTCTCTTCATAATTCTACTAGCTCATTGACATATTCTTTAATAGATTTACTACCTTAACTCAAGGTCAATGACTTAGTGATGATTCTGAAAATTTCTAACTCATCATCTTGTTTTGAGTACGCTTTATTGATTTTCTCCTATATATCTATGGCAGTTGATAAAAATAAATAATTTACATTGACCTCAGTAGTCATGGTGCTCCATAATCAAGTTTTAATAATTATGTCTTCCTCTTTCCATAGTTTGAAACCAGGATCTACTTGTTTTAGTGCTGACTTATGAATATGATTTAATTTTCCTCTCCTTGTTAGGACTACTTCAATAAACTCAGCCTATTGAAAAGGATTTCTTCCATCTAGTTTGAATTATATAAGAATATTTGGCAGCTCCAAGTATAACCTAGAGTGTTCAAATGAAGAAAATGAAGATGAAGGCATAGATGTAGTCATGTCAACAACTTCCGAAATATAAATTGATACCTCTCCTCTGAACACCAAGTGGTTGCGCTCTCGTCTTCTTTCAAAGAAACTGGAGCCTAATAGAGGATTAAATGAGCTCTACGTATACTTGAATTCACTCAAAAAAATAATATTCTCTCCTTCACTAATGAAAGGAGATATAACTAGGGTTATAAATAACTAATTGTATCACATAAGCCTTCAATCTGACTCAAACTTAAATATAGTGCATAATAAAAGGTATTCAATAGTAAGTCGAGAACTTAGCCCAAAGGAATATTATGGGGATCAATAGAGTATGGAATGAACACACCTAGCCTACTTTGATACCATGTTAGAATCTCAAACTAGTTGACTCCTTCCTCTTCTCTCATTGAGAAAGGACCGTAGAAGGCATAGATAGTAAGGGAGAGAGGGAGAGAGGAGAACAGAAAAATAAAGTTGGAAAGAAAAGTTTCATTAATTGGGTTCAGATCTACCTAAAAAAAACATCAAGTCATCTTCTAACAATTAATGTCCCATTAATTATAATGATTCTATGTCATAGAAAAATAAAATGAATGAGAACTACATCATCATACTGACTAAGTTGGAGTAAATAACTGATGTATTTGACACTGTGGGAGGATTTGATATTTCATTGAGGCATTGTTTAAAAAGCTATTATTCTGAGCTAAATGACTTGATAAAATCCAAAATTTTACCTCATGTCTTAAATTTTCTCACAACTATTGTTGCATAATCTTATGTACAATTATAGTCGATATGTGTTTATATCTAAAAAATAAAAATTGTTAAAATAATTCAGATAATAAAATTTATTTAATTAACGCATTCAAAGTTGCAGACTGACTCTTCCATATCTAGCTCAAGATGTTAGTCAAAAAGGTATTTAGTTGGATATATTTTTCTACATTTATTTTCAAATAAAAAATAATTGAAATTCCACGTTTTTACTTAGTTATAACTGATATATAAGGAAATCCTATTATATTATTCTATCGACAGGGTTTATCATCTAAGGTTATAACTGATATATATATATAATTAGAAAAGTCAGAGGGAGAAATTTTTGTCATAATGAGATAGATTCTCTTTTTCTACTATAAGGAAATATATTATATACGGAGCTATGGTGTGATCACGTGGCCTGAAGATAAGAACGTCTACGTGGCAAGAGATGTCCCGTCGAATGAACAGCGACGGTGGGTGGCTTTTGCCTTTTTAGTCTCGATATTTTCATCCGCGTCCCCGTATCCTCACCGTTGATTTTCCATCGGTGTCATCCGACGGGCGATAGTTGAGATCTAGAAACTACTCCTTATCCGGGCCCAACCTTTCCAGGAACCAGGGGCGGAGCCCAGCCAGGATTGAACCTCAGCCGTCCGATCAATTCGAGACTCCCGTCCTGGCTTCTGTGCTTATCCTTATATTGGTGATCCCAGAGAGGAGGAAGGGAACAGGAAAGCGTTGGAGAAGAAGAGAGGGTAGGGGAAAAGGAAGGAAGGTGGTGTAGAGGTTGGCGGCGACGATGGAAGTGATCTCTGATAGACCCGCTTCGGCATTGAATCCGGATGCTCCGCTGTTCGTGCCAATGGCCTACCGGGCGGTGGAGGACTTCTCCGACGAGTGGTGGGATCTCGTGAAGTCGACCGCCTGGTTCAGGGATTACTGGCTCCGGGAATGCTTCCTGGAGGAGGCCGAGGCACGCGACGGGGCCGGGTTCATCGACGAGGACGACGAGGGGTCGTCGCTGCCGGAGATCTACGACATCTTCGAAGGCTACCAGCGGCGTGAGCACTTGACCCACTCGCCCTTTCCGCCATTGTCTCGGTTTCTTTCCTTCTTTCTTTCTTTCTTGATTGATTGATTGACTGTGGACGATGGTCTCTGTGCAGAGGGAGAGGACGGTGAGAAGGGGCAGGGTCGGGAGATGGTCTCGTGGGGCGCGGAGAAGTGGCGCGGGATGCGATGCCTGCCGAGGACCCCTTCGTACACCGAGAAGGTGCCCAGGATCGTGAAGATGAAGCCCAGTCCCCGAACGATTCAGCAGCCGCGCTAGATCCTGCTGGAGGATTGGCTGCTGATGAGGATTTGCTCTTCGGTTGTATGTATATAGGGAAATAAATTAGAGAGAAAAAAAAGAAGAAAAAAGGACAATGCTCGATCTGCTTTTGTACACTCATCAGCTAGCTGCTTTGGTCTTGATGTTACTGCAGTTTCTTCAAAGGTTTCTGGGTCTTATCGAGACGGCCGGGAGATCGGCGGCCCCGACGCTACTCTTAACCAATAGTTCTACTTTTTGATAGAAGAAATGTCTAAATACCGGATGTTTACTGTTCCCGTCGTATGATTTCAGTACTTGGGCGATCGATCGACATGCGGCCACGGTCTTATCTATTGGTTGGGGATCCACGATGAGGCGTGAGAGAGGTTTCTGTCTCGTTCAGACTCCGCCCTCGCGTGAAGGTATGAAATGGCCTGGTGAACGCGGGCAGGGACGAGGGAGCCGGTTCCTGCTGGCGGGCAGCTCTCCGGTGTTCTTTAAGAGCAGACAGCGACCGAACTGGTTCCCGTGATCGTTGACTTTTTGGGTCGTCAAATCTTTCCACACCTCCTTTGAAGATGGAAAACGACCTTCCTTGCGGAAGAATCCACCGCAGCATCTCACGAGGAGGCCCGGCAGCATTTCTTGACGGAGAAGAAGGGGAAGACCGTGATCTTGGGCCGGACGCGGGGTTCTTGCCGGATAGAAGGGCCCTCACAGATTTTTTTTTTCTTTCTTTTTTTTCTTTCTTTTTTTTCCGGCTCAGCTTCTTCCTCTTCGATCGCACCGAGAAACCAGGAGACGGAAACTAAGAGAGGAAAAAAAAGAAGCGATATTTATCGTTTACGTTAGGTGGCCCGATTTCTTCCTTTTCTGAAGGGCCTTGAAAAAATCGAACAAATTAAGAGAATGACCTCCTGCAGATGAAACTACTCCCAAATCATATACAGCAAAGCAATCAAACAAATATAGAAGAAACGTATCCTACTCTCCTGCTCAGGGCATGTTCAGCAGAGTAGCGACTCTAAGAACTTCGTCCTTCGTCTCCTCCGTCGTCGGCGGGAGCATGAAACCCCCTGTTCTGCTGCGGGTAGTTTGCGTAGGTGGAGGCCGCCGGCAGGTAGGCGTGGCTCTTCTCCGGCGCCGCCTGGCGCAACTCCAGGGCGGCGGCCGCGGGGCCAACTTGGTCTCCTGTCCCGCGAAAGTGGGAGCCGCCGGCGGTGGCGGAGGGCCGAATGGCCATGGTGATGTTACCGTTCTCCGTTGATGAGCGGATGAGCTGCTGCGCCCCGCTGCCGCGAGCTGGGGGGACGTCGTGGTTGTGCTTCCCCTCATAGGTCGTGACGACTGCCCTCGTATCATGCGACGCCCTTTCGACGTGCTTCCTCACCGGACATCCCATGCTGGTGCACTTGTAGTAGCTCCTGCGAATGTAGAAGAAGCGACTAGTTAGGTTCTAACCCTAGAAGGAGGTTTTAGTAGCTCGCGGAGGAGTGGCGAACCTCGGGTTGGGATTCCCCTTGACCACCTTCTGGCCGTACTTCCTCCATCTATACCCATCGTCTAGGATATCGATGTCGCTGGTGGTCTGGACGACGACCTTTGGCTCTCTCACTGTTCTGTTCCCGGAGCCGGAGATCCCCTCACCGTCTCCTTCTTGCTTCCTGAAGGCAACGGAGGATAGAGGTGCAAGTTAAGACCGGTGCTGCATGAAGTCAAGAACAGTATGATCTTCGTCGGTCCTTTGGGCAGAAGCTTACCAGCGCTTGGCGTCTGGTTCGTCGTCATCGAAGTCCTCCCCACCAGACCTGCTCCTTTGAGAGCTCAGCTCCAAGTCGTCGTCGCCGAAGGAAACGGAGGAGTTTTCCGGCGTGGCGGCGGAGTCCATGGGAGGGGCTACACGGCCGCCGAAAGAATGGTCCGATTCCTCTGTGGAGGCCGTCTGCTGAACGATTTGAGATAACGAGTTTCTCCGCGTGGACTGAGGCTTCGGGTGATTGTGAGCGCCCTTGTAGACGATCTCGGTGATCTGGCCTTCCAGATTCCTCTCCACCTTCTTCTTGGTCGGGCAGCTGGGGTAGGTGCACTTGTAGTAGCTCCGGGGGTTCTCGCTTCCCTTCACCTGCTTCTGCCCGTACTTCCTCCAGTTGTAGCCATCGTCCGATCTCTGTTCTTTCTGGGTCTGCAGGCTATGTATGTTGGAGGTCATGGAGGACGCAATCTCGGGGGAGCTGTGTCTCTTCGAGGGGGGAAGCTCGGGTTTGACCGCGGCCGTCACACCGGAGAAATCGGATGCCCGGATGGCGGGTTCTGTGTAATTCCACGAATGATGGTGCTGCTGTTGCTGCTGCTGCTGCTGTGAAGAGAAAGATAGGACTTCAGAACGATCGCAATAACAGTAGATACCAGATATCAAGGGAGAAAGGAGGAGAACGACGATAGGGAGAGAGAGAGAGAGAGAGGAGAAGAAAGGTGGAATTTTCCTTCTCTGCAAGGCATCGTACCGCGGGAGCCGATCCTGAGGAGCTCTGGAAGAGGGAAGCGGAGCTATTTCCCTGCGCCAACTGGGTTGAGAAAGAGAAATTGACGAAGCCATTATCTTCCTCTTTGACGGCATGCTGCTGGTAGCTATTCTGGCTCGGCTTCCAGTTGAACGACGGTGCAGCATAAGTTCCAGTGGTCGGAGAGGGCAGGATCTGTCATAAGAGCCGAAGAACGCCGTATGAATTCATCGTATCTCAGGCAAGAAATTAATGAAAACGGTGATAAACGCGGAGACCAAAAACAAAAACGAGACAATGATTCCTGCCGGATTATGAATCGGATTCGGCGTATCATGTAAGAGAGAGAGAGAGAGAGAGAGAGAGAGAGAGAGAGAGATGAATTAACGAGCTTTTAAGAAAACGTTGGGCGTTTGCGTCCGTTAACTGAATAGGAAAAATCATGCAAGACCCATGTAGGATTTAAGTGGCTGGGAGGTTACATTAGAAGAGGAGAGGAGGACGGGGGAGTCCAAGAACTCCGAGGGGCTGAGGCCGGGCGGCATGGCAAAGTAGGAAGAGGGAGAAATCGGCAGCGGGGATAGCGGCAGCGATGGGGGCGGCTGGGACTTGAACTTGGACAACCCTCCCCCTGAGGCACCGCCGCCGCCAGAGTTCCTGTCGGAAAAGCCTCCGCTCGCCTGGGGCAGCTTCAAACGGTCTTCCTTCTCCTCGTCGTCGTTTCCTCGGAGGAGGTCGGAGAAGGAGGTCGGGAACTGAGCGGAGAAGGAGAAGGGAACTCCACGGGAATTCCCTGTGGTCTCCAAGCTCCCGCTGGAGGAAGCCATGTGGAGCTCAGGCGGAGGGGAATAATCGAGGAGGAGACGTCCGTAGATCTGACGGATTTTCTCAGATATGCCGAGGAGGAGAAGCTTGGAGGAGAGGGAAGACTACGCGACTTTATTATTAATGGAAAACCAGGGAGACGAGGGGAGTGGGGCATCTTCTAAGAAGGTGATACCAAGCTTTGACCGTTGAACGGCTTGGTCAAACCTTGTGGCTTTGACTGTACAGGCGGCGAGAGCTCCTTCCAAGTACTGGCACGCTTCCTCCTCCCATTCGAAGGTTCTCTTCAAATCACTTCTTGCCGCGTACCCCAGTGGAAGCCCTTTCTTAAACAGGTAGGTATATGGATACAGATTCAATTAAACATGGTACAAAATACTGAGGGAGAGCCATTTTAGGCGTTAACTTTAAGCTTCATGATCTCTATGAGCCCCTCATATGCATGCATGCAGATCGCTAGGTTTCACCATGTCCGCCAGATCGGCCTCCGAGAGGGAGGTGACGAGTCCGTCGGTGGATTGGCAGGGACTCGGTCGCCGGAAGCGCGTTTCCAACGGTCACTCGGCGGCGCGGGGTATGACGGCGCAGGCGGAGCAGGGTCGTCTCCGGGGAGCGCACCGGCGAGTCGCCCTCAGTCTCGAGCCGTCCCTCTTTTCTTATATTATTTTCACCAGAGAGCTAAGGTGCCGCCTATGGTCGCCCGTTGAACAGTTCAACTTGCGGTGGAGAGAGAGAGAGTTGACGGCTTTAGGACCTCACTCTTCGATGGATTACATCTTGACCTGACCAATTCCAAGAGGAACCCAGTTGAGGAGGAGCGAGGACCTGAGCCCTAAACTCTCTCTCTCTCTCTCTCTCTCTGTGCGCTCAGGAGTAAATTTGTAACGGTGCAGGAGACCAGGGTATGCTAGGAGAGAGAATTCAGAGCGTATGGGTCAACGGACAAACAGTATGATTCTGGGGAACAACCGACACCGGCACTAACCATGGACGAGATCTCGTAAGCCTCCGCACGTTTCGTTGTCATGTGCGGAGAGCTGATGCTTCCCACGCGGGCGGGCGGCTGCCGGAAAAAAGAAAGAGCTCCTCCGCCGGTGGCCGTAGTCGAAGGCGGAGATTCACTGGCACCTTCAGCTTGCTGCCCAGAGATGCCAATCGTCTCAAAAATCCCCATTCCCTTATCCGGAAGAGGATTTAGTACGAAGAACTCCGCAGAGCAAGATCTCTGCAGTTAGTATCCTCCTCATCCCTCTGGAAGTGGCTTGAAAGGCGACAGGGACTCGGCTCGTCCAGTGTGGGAGATGAGGTGCTCTTTCTTGTATCTTCAGGTTTCCACGCCCGCTGGCAGCTTCCAGATCTTGATGGGGTCTGGGTCAACCATCTAATCAGTCAAATGTTCTTGGTGAGTTTCTTGCCAAATTTCCAGCGCCGGAAAATAATTTAAAAAATTAACACGTCACAGAACATGAAGCACAATGGTTGCTAAGCATACAGTCAACTAGGTGGGTAACCCACCAAAATTAAAATAAATTTATCTTTTAATATAATTCGTCAAGCATCTTCCCAAGTGGAAAAAAATATCTGCAATTATACAAAGAAAACAAAAAAAAATCTTCCATTTCTTGATCTTTTCATTTGGATCGCATTTTCTTCTAACTTTGAGAGGGTTTAAGAAGTTTTGCGCTCAACACATTTTCTATGTTCAAAATGAATAGCCTCGATTGGGAGGAAAATAAGGGTCAATGCGACTGACAACTTTGAAATGAGATGTCAACGATTACCGGAAAAAAAATATTTTTTTTGATGGGATAAAAATATTTTCACCTGGAATGGCTTGTCTCTCCACTGAACTATACATCCTCGAGCTTCCATATGCTCGAGGAGATTTTTTGGCAGAAGTGACTTGAATGAGAGATTGAGTTTCACTTTAGTCAACCCGCCACAAGCTATTAGTGCTGCTGCCAAACCAGACGCCGTCAGGCCTCCTACATGTACAATAGTCATGTTCTGGAGGTAGCTTAAGCTCGCTAAAGTCAACAACCCCATGTCTGTGACCGAGCAGTATGATAAATTGATCTGAAAAAAAGCAGGAAAGCATTTTTAGAGCAGTGTAAGGCACAGAAAAAATCTAAAAATGATAAAAACGATCGATTTTTTATAATGGGAAAATTTATATGAATGTTGAGGATTGAAATGACGGGAAAAATGTTGTACATCTGACCTAGTTTTAAGAACATTGAAGAAACACTAACGCTCGGCAAAAGATGAAATTTATGAAGAATTGTTTTTGAAGGACAAAGAAAATGGCCAATAATGTTGACAAAACCGATTCAAACTATTCTAAATATATATATATATATATATATATATAATTAAAAAAATTAAGACCGATGTTGAGCACTCAGACCACTGAAATAGAAATGATATCTATGGCATCACGTCTAAGTTATGAGAGTGTGGTAGTTTGAGTTCTGAAGAACAGATGATCATCGACCTCTCTCAGGTTTCGAGATAAGCAGGCAAGCGGGATCATTCCAGCATCGTTGATCTGAAAGCATTTCTTCACATCAAGCTTAAAGAGCTGTCTGCACCCGGCGGCGATGACTGAGAGACCGTTTGACGAGATCTGAGGACAGCCTCGAATTTCCACCGTGTTCATCTTCGAGCATTTCGACAAGGATATCAATGAGCTGTCTGTGATTTCCTCGCAGTAGGACAAATTGATCATCTGCAAGCCGGGGCAACCTTGGGCGACTGCTACAACGCCCTTATCACTGATTCTAACGGACCTGAAACCAAGGATGGACATCAGATTTTCTGATCAAAATCATCTTTTAGTTGAGAATTTTATCTACCAAACCAACGTCATCAGTGAAATATTTCGCCTCAAATCCACCCACAAATATGGACAAATATTCTAGATGATCACTTTGCATGGATCGAGCTCATAACCAAGGCAACGGCATTAAAACAATAAGAACGGTGTGTAAATTACCTATGTCATGGAATAGTACATCAAAAGGCATGCGCTTAGAATTGTTGAACGCAACAACATCGGTTGGGAAAAAAAAGAAACAAAAAAGACAATCAAACCTATACAAGTCGATCTCTTGGAGGTTCTGACAATGCATTCCTATGTGGGTAAGGCCTTCATCATCTATGTTCAAGCAGAGACCGATTCTTAGAGCGAGAAGCCCGCGACACCTAGAGATCGCCTTCAGCCCTGCAATCAATAGCAAGTTTTGAGCTGCTATGGAATTTTAACATAAAATACCAAAGCCTCAGCTTAACTTAAATAACATTATATCTCAAGGCGGGAACCTTCATCATCTAATTCATTGTCGGTGAGGTCCAGTTCTTCCAGGAAACGGCAACGCTCTCCAATCAAAGGGAAGGCTTCCCGTGAGACCTGGCTGCAGGATTCCATCTTAAGAGATCTTAGGGAGGGGCATGATCTTGAGATGTTGTCAATAGAGAGAGCAGTTATCTCGCGACAGCAGGTGATGTCCAGTTTCTGCAGGTCCTTGTTCTTCTCTGAGATTAAGGATAAATCTTCGTCGGTGACACCCAAGCATTTGCTAAAGCTCAGCTCCCTCAGCGATGAACAAGAATTCGCGACAACTTTCAATCCATAAGTAGAAAATCGGCAGCCATCTAACTGGAGAGATTGCAACCTTGAGAACTTCTGCAAACTGTTCGCCAAAGAGTGAGAAACCTGCATGACAGTAATAAGAAATGGATCTTTCAGCGACAGTATTTATCCAATTTTTTCTTCTGGTGCGAAACCAGGACGAGAGTTTAGACTCACAGTGCCACAGTGTGACAGAATGAGCTCACGTAGATGCACAGCTCCCCTTGATAGAGAAGAGAATCCAAGATATCCAACATGCCGAGAGTTTGACAGGTTGAGGGTCTGCAGAAAACCGTTGATGAGTGACGACGACAAAAGGAATGAAACTTTGGAACATAAACCCATATACTAACAGTATAACATTTAACATCAGCTGTTGGGTACGCATGCAGAGATGGAGCAATCACCAGCAGTTGCAGTCAACAGATGTTGCGGTACTAGTGAGTTTAATGAAGAGCAATATGATATGATATCTATCACTGTGATGAAGATCATTTCTTCGGTAATGCACATGTTACCCGCATAGAGTTTTCTTGTGAGGATGAGTCTTCTGGATGAATGAGGAAACAGAAAAAGGCGAGGACTGAAGATTACCACGAGGGATTTGCATTTCTGTTGAATAGTTGCAAGGCTCTCATCATCAATCCCACGGCATCCTTCGAGGGATAAATCCTGCAGATTCTTCAGTTGCAGTATTGGCTGCAGGCATTGCCCTGTGACCTGCGAATTGTGAAGAAGAAATTGTCGGTACATTCTAAATCACTGATTCAGTCACCCCTGAATCAATCGCTGAATCGCTGAAGAACATGAAATTGTGTATTCTGAAGAAAGGTTCATGGAATATATTAATCCCAAAACCATGTAAAATCTCGAAAAGGTGATAAAAACTCTGGCCCATTGCAGGCTGAGAAGATGATGCCCATCTACCTGAACATAAGAGATGTCAAGAGAACGAATCTCCTTGCATTTTACCGCCACGAGCCCCACCGCAAGATCCGTCACGCCCAGGCACCATCTCAAACTGAGCGCCCTCAGTCTTGGGCATCCAACGGCGATGCATCCGAGACCCATGTCCGTGACCATCTTGCACCTGGTCAGCGACAGCCTTTCCAGATTCTTCGCCCGCCCGATCGTCGCTGCCGCGGCGTCACTCAGTTCCGTCGCATTCGACAAGTCGATCTCCACCAATGAGGAGCAGTTGGTCACGAGGCTCTCTAGTCCGACTTGGGTGAAGGACCTCGATTTCGACAGGTCGATGGAACGGAGCGACGAGCCTAGGGATAGGGCCACCGTTGCGAGGCAAGCGTCGGTTACCCGGGGGCAGAGGGAGAGATCGAGACGCGAGACAGAGGGATACCGAGAGAGGACGGTGGGGAGAAGATCGACACGGCGGGGCTTCAGCACCCTGCGGTGGCGGGATTCGGCGGCGTACCAGGACTTGCAGACGAGGGAGAAACTCTTCTTGTCCAGGGGATTGGAATCTAAACAATCGAGGATCATGAAAAAGGTCTCCTCCGCCAAGGCATCAAAATAGTTCGCTTCTTCAGCGACGCGAAGCTTCTTCATCGCCGCCGGTTACCGATCACCGTGAAGCGAAGCCGACGACTTCACTCGCCTGCGGCCGCCGCTTCCAGGCGACACCAAAGTCAATGAACAGGTCGGGAAGGAGGAGGGAAGCGGGCGAACAGCTCAAAGCAGAGGGAGGAGGGATCAACTGACTGGTCGTTCTCTCCTGGCGGAGCAGGGAATCCTTCTCAAACGAACGAAGAACCGTAGAAACCAGAGTTTGGGGCGGCCGGTGGTCCCCACTGCCGTACGGCGCCAGGACGAGGCATATACGACCTGTCAACAGGAGGCCGGTGAGATCACGAGTATAAACGCACCGATTTCGTCTCCCTTGGGAGCCGTTGAACGGGTGCTCATGCCCACGCTGATGTTAAGCTCACCTTAGGTGATTATATCCAATGGCCAGGTGGCAAACGGGATATTATGTTCCACCGTACCGCGTACTGCGAGGGGCTGCCTAGATGTCGCTGTCCGAATGGGGCACAGAGAGAAAGAGAGTGGAGAAAAGACGCTTCGCTGTCGCCGTCTCTTCCCGACAGGGGGAGGTGGGGAGCTGGGACGGTGAAGTCGGGAATTATTGGGTTGGGCCCACATGGGGAACCTGAGAACTTTGACCATTTTACTCAGTCGACAAACCCCAGCCCATTTCCCCGTTGACTTCCGGCCCAGAAAGCACAGCCCGTCGTATGCTCTCCAAACTAAATTGTTCAATTATTACTTCTCAGAAGCACATTTCTCTTAGTTTTTTAAGAAATTGACGTCATAAGAAGAGGAAGGAAGAGAGAGCGAGAGAGAGAGAGAGAGAGAGAGAGAGAGGAAAAAGTTGATCAATAATTATCAGTCTTTGATCGATCATTTCAGAGGCAAGAGCTAGAATCTCTCATGGGGTTGACCATTGACCCAGAAAAATATTCTCCACGGAAACAAAAGGAACCCCCCCCCCCCCACCCCCTGATTTATCCATGCAAAATCCTTCTGTGCGTAATCCCTTCTCTTAAGCAGTTGTCTTCCTGGTGTACAGAAGTCAACCTATGATCAACTCACCAAGCCGACGAATTAAGCTACATGATTAATCTGGGTTACCCATATGATCAGAGAGGGCAAGAATATGGCATTCAAAACATAAAAAGAAGAAGATTAAGCATTCAAAAGCTTAAATCCACCTTAATACGATAGATCTTCTTTCCACCTAGTCTCCTCCGTAATCAGACAGGCAGACAGCAGGTCAACCCTCTTCCACAATATCTGGGGAAGAACCCCCCAGTAATTGTGCAAATGGAGCACGTGGCGACTAACAGAGGCCAAGAACAGCAGCAGAAGGGGGGGCGATCGGTGGGAGCAAGATCCAAGAACAGAGTACAGCATCCGATGCGGTCCTCACTTTGGATCGTCCTTCCCTTCATCCGAGTCCGAGTCACTGGCATTATACCCTGCAGCGAGGAAGATGAGTCATGAAAGGTCAACGGCAAGAACAGCTGGGATTGGATAATTCAGAAGAGAAGAAGAAGAAGAATCTCTCACCTGGATGTTTATCGCAGACCTTCAAAGCTGATGACCGGCACTGTGAAGCTTTTGAGATCCAAGCCTTGCCCTGCGCCCCCATGAGAGTCAGGGTCAGGACACCAAGAGCATGATAGAAACCAAATGAATCTGATGATAAATTGGAGGAGGAAGAAGAAGAATAGCAGGGGAAGAATGGAACGCATCCTGTAACAGTGGATATGAATCGTCGGCACCAAAAGAGGGGGCTTCTTGTATGCTGATAAAAGCTACCATCGCAAGGAAGAACAGAGCGAAAAGCCACTGAAAGCAATGAAACCCAGGACGATCTGCGATGAACGCGTTGAAAGAGTTGAGCCAAGACCCAAAAAGTTCGCAGGATCACGAAGCAGTCGAGTGAGAATCAACGACGAAGATTAGGGGGAATCAGGAAGAGGAAGAAGAATTATACGAGATGCACAAATTTCTTCGGTTGGAATATATTTTAAGATCGGTCGTGTTTCCAGATTTCTGCAAAGATCATAAAATGAGGCAATGAACCAGAACGAAATGGAAAGAGGATGAGAAATTAATGAGAAATCTCCGCATGGCTTTAGTGCTCGGAAACCCTAATCGGAGAAACCCGATAGAAGCGACGAGCGACCTTTACCTTCTGGACGTTGCGGGAAACGCCATAGCCACTGTAGTACATCTGCCCCACAAGAACCTGCATCGAGACGTCACCGCCCTTCGCCTCCTTGAGGGCGTCCTGGAACCACCGATTCACGCAATCCGCCACCACCGCGGAGAGCGGGACCCTCTCGTTTCGCCGCTCGGCGCACCCTTCCATCGTTGCCGACCAGGCCCTTTAATCACCACAGGGCGGCGCAGGGAGAGAACGAGAGGCCCCGAGGCTGCGTTGGAGAGCTTCGCAGTCTCGCAGATTCCAACCCGACCACCGTCGCCGGAGAAGGAAGTTAGCTTTCCCACGAAAGACGACCGGTAGATGGAGACGATCGGATCGGGGGAAGATGGGGAACGCAGTGGGCAATCATCGGCGTACACGGAGGAGGGAACACCCTCCCTAGAGAGTTCCGTTCCTCCACAGATGGGCCGCCGGCGTAAGCCGCCTCGCCGCCGTGAATCTTTCCTTGTCCGACGCCGGAAGCGAGCGGAGGAAGGAACCTAGGAGCGGCCAGCCAATGGGTGCTAAATCCTATAAAAACCCCTTTTTTTGTGGGCCCATGAGACAGCAAATGGCGGTACATTTCTACACGTGCGAATCAACGTGCATCAGAGCGTACGCTCCACAGAGAGAGAGAGGGGGGGAGAGAGAGAGGTAGAGAGAGGTAGAGAGAGAGAGAGAGAGAGAACAGTTTGACCCTGGTGCTCGAGATTTCAATGACATTATAACTAGTCTACCAAAAATGAGAAGAACAGTTTATTATCCGTTTCAGGAAATCCTCCTCAGCTTATAATCAATGCAGCTTTCGCTTTCAGTATCGTTCCATCAACACGGATCGCAGCGACCGATCTGCTCTACCAAAAATCTCTACAAGAACAGGACCCATCTCTGAAGCAGTGGAACCGGTTGTTGTCCCTGACAACGATCTCCCGGGCAGAGATCTTCGAGATGAGCTTGATGGCGGCGTGGCAGTCGGCGCACACGCGGAGGTTCTTCACGACCCGGATAGCGTCTCCTGGGGCCGCGCTGATCAGCCCAAATGCAATGGCGAGCTTCTCGCTGTGGTGCCCGAGAGCGGCCTCCTTCTCCTCCTCCTCCACGTCGAACATGACGACCTCTGTCGTCGGCATGTAGCCCATCGCCTTCATCTCCTTCCCCAGCTCCTCGAGCTTGGCGTAGATCTCCTCCTGGAGAGGATGAGACCTATCCCCAGCTCGGAACTCGTGGACGGTGCCGGCGAACTCGACCCAGCTGCAACCGGGCACTTTCTCGATCCCCTTCTGCTGCATGGTCCGCCGCAGCGTTGCCGCCTCGCGCCATCTGCCGCTGCTCGCGTAAAGGTTGCTGAGGAGGACGTAGTTCCCGGAGTTCCTCGGCTCGAGCTCGATGAGCCGCTTCAGCGCGTCCTCCGCCATGCGAGCGTCTCGGTGGATCCTGCAGCTGCTCAGCAGAGCTCCCCACACGACGGCGTTGGCTTCCACGGGCATCTGCTGGATCAGGCGACGGGCATCGCCGAGGAGGCCGCTCCTGCCCAGGAGATCCACCATGCAGCCGTAGTGCTCCACCTTGGGAACCAGGGAGTAGATGCTGGCCATGCTGTGGAAGTAGCGACGACCTTCCTCGACCATGCCGGCGTGGGTGCAGCTGCAGAGGAGGCCGATGAATGTGTTCCCGTCGGGGCGAAGACCCGACTTCTCGAGCTGGGCGAACAGGCTGAAAGAGACCTTCGTGAGGCCATTCATGGCGAGGCCGGAGATCATGGCGTTCCAGGAGATGAGGTCTCTGCTCTCCATGGCGCGGAAGACGGCCCAGGCCGTGCCCACGTCGCCGCATTTGGCGTACATATCGATCAGCGCCGTGCCGAGGACGGGGTTGCAGAGGAACAGCCGCCGGTCGAGGAGACCGCTGGCGGAGTGGCCCAGTTGCAGTGCCCCCAGCTTGGCACAGGCGGAGAGGAGCCCCACCATGGTGAAGCAATCGGGCTCTACCTTCTCCTCCTGCATCCGGAAGAACATCTCCACAGCGACCCTCGGGAACCCGTTCGAGGAGTAGCCCGCCACCATCGTGCTCCAGGTGACCACGTCTCTTTCAGGCATTTGCTCGAACACTTGGCGGGCTCTCTCCATGTCTCCGCATTTAGCGTACATGTCGACCAAGGAGGTTGCCACGAAGACGTTGCAGTGCATGGCCTTCTCTTGTATGTATCTGTGAATCCGTTCTCCGGCCTGTGAATCCCCCAGTTGGGAGCAAATGCAGAGAACTCTGACGAGCGTGAAGCTGTCCGGCTCCAAGCCCACCTGCAGCATTCTTTTGAACAATCCGAGGGCTTCCTCCAGCTTCCCTTCCTCCATGTAACCCGTGATGATCGCCGTCCAGGAGATGACGCTCGGTTCGGGCATTTCATCGAACAGTGCCTGAGCATGGTTTAAATGGCCGCACTTGGCGTACAAGCAGAGCAAGCTCGTCTTCACGAAGACGTCCCGCTCGAGCCCGCACTTGCAGAGGTGAGCGTGGACTTTCTGCCCTAATTGAAGCTCGAGAATCCTGGCGCAGGCTTTCAAGACGAAGGGGAAGGTGAAATTATTGGGGCACATACCTTCCCGGCGCATGAGGGAGTAGAGCCGGAGGGCCTCCTCCCACTGGTCCGCCGAGACGAGTCCTCGCACCGCCGTGTTCCACAGGTAGATGTTTGGAGACGGAATGCGGTCGAACAGGAGGCGGGCATGGCGGAAGTTCCCGGATTCGAACAGAGACTTCAAGAGCAGGTTCAGGAGGTAGCAGTCCTGCTCGAGGCGGAGGCGGACGATGCGGGCGTGGGCGTGTTTGAGCCGCTTGAAGGAGGCGCGGCCATGGGAGAAGAACCAAGCTTTCAGCTCTTGCACTGCGTCGGAGAGAAGAGCTTGCGGCGCCGGCACAGCGACTTCCAGGGCAGTGGTCGTTTCCCGCCGGCAGCTCTGGGCAAGAAGCATGGCGGGTAAGGACCTCGCCGGAGCGCCGACAGGCAAGGGTCATCTCACCGGCCTCTCCCACGTCTCTCGAGCTATGGAGACCGCCTCCCTCCTCCCCACGGGGATCTTGTTGCCTAAGACTACTTGAATATGGAGAAAATCCACAAAATCAAACAACTTGGGAAAAAAAAGGGCTGTTTCCAGAACATAGTCTGATATTCTTCGGATCTAAACATTGCTAAAAAGGAGATTGATTTGGCAAAATGGAGCCCATCAAATGCACCTCCAAGAACTGTACTGGGTACCCCGGAAAGCACTGTTAACATGGAGATATCATCCACAAACGACGACCGAAATGGCATTAAAAGAGCCAACTTTGGAGCTAATATAGACATGCAACATCTTCCAAGACAGGGCAAGAGTTAGAGAGAGAGAATCAGGACAGGCTGAAGCCCGAGAACCAACTTCAAGCTATACAACAGTAGAACACATCACCATCCAAGGGACCCGTAACCATGAAAGCTGTGCCAGAGGAGAATGTGTTTGATCCTTCTTCTCCAGCTTTATCAGAGCCGAATACACAGCCTTCTGTGAGATACAGTCATGGCGCATGATTCACCAGAAAGAGAGTAAGAGATCTCCAAGTTGTACACGCAGCAGCATTCCAAGATGGAGCAGCATCTGCTGAAGTTCCGTGGAGGCGAGAGAGCTCAAGAATCACTCCAACTGTCGCCATCGTCATCTTCATCACTTCCAGCGACCGCCTGTTCCACAGAGATTAACCCTGAAGAGTGAGGAAAACAGAGGAAACGGACGATTCAAGAGAGAATAAAATCTGGCGGCCACCAACCTGCCGAATAGCATTTGCCTTCTCCAGAATGGCGGCGACCTTCAAGTTTGTCGGAGGACCCTTCATGCTTGGCTTTGCAACAGCGGCTGGCTTCAGGTTGAAGGACTGCCCAGAGCGAGAGGACAGATCAGGAGAAGAAGGAATCGGTAGGCTCCAACACAGGTGAAATGAATGACCCGCTACTGACCTTGCTTCGTATCTGTTCCAGTAGTACATTTCTCTCTCCCTCTGGCTTGGCCGAGGTGTGAACGAGCTCAGAAACCTTTCTCAGCTGCAAAACCACCATGCATAAAGACATTAGATTGGGCTGTTGAAGAAAACAAACATTACTCGATCTTCATTACTAAGTCACGAGGTGCATACCGTGCTTTTATCATGAGACGCAACTGCCTCAATGAGAGGATCTCTAGGGCGGTTCAGAAGGGAATGAGGTCTCCTAAAGGGCTTCTGATATTCATCTGCTGGGAAGGCTTCATCTTCTGAAGTATACATGCGAATCCACTGAGAGCCCATAACGCTCTGTGGAACAGCTGCTGTTGATGGAGTGTCTGAAAAATACCCTTCTACCATCCTGTCCTTGGACGTTCTCTCAACTTCTGTGGATGCTGGTGGCAAGAATGTGTTGGAAGGGTACACTATTGCTTCATGCCGGGGCTCTGGGGCTATTGAAACTGGTACAATAGAAGGTTTTGATGGTCGCATTGATTCTCCCACAGAGATTATGGGAAGTTGTTGAGATTTCGCATCGGATAACTCGAACGGTAGTGCAACTGAAGATTCAGATATTTCCCTACTCAAGGCTTCTTGGTGCACTTCGATTTTCTGCTTCACATCTTCTACGCGAGATGCTGCAACTGATGAATGAAAGGGGCTTGTACTCTCTTCCAAAGTGTCATTGACAACTTGATTTCTGCCGCTTGGTGTGATTCGTACGTCTAGAAATGGGTTCAATGGCTGCAACGTAGTCCCACCCATTAACGGTGAACTCCATGAATGATCCAAAGAAGGTGAAAGAGACAATTGGTTTGGCGAGCATGGAGGCCCAGCCATTCCTCTCATTGATGGACTAGCGTTTGGACGAAGCTTCCCCATTCTCCACTGAATGGGAGGCAGTGGGGGAGGTGGTGGATCTTCTTCTAAAGGCAGTTCAGATGACTCATGCTGGATCACTGTGTTGTACGGTAGAAGAAAATTATCAGAAACTTTAGAACTTGCTAGGAACCCAAAACCTGGTTGACGAGGAGACTGAGCTTCTGCATGTCGTTGGTTGAAACCAGATGCATCTGATACTGTCCTCTCCGAATCAAATATCTTGCTACTTCCAATACCCTCAAATGAATCTTGTGACAATTCTGGAAAAGATCTCCCACTCTCAACTCTTGCAGAGTCGTTATCTTGTTCAAGTGATTGTCCTCTTTCAGAATGGATATTGTTTAGATGGATACTTTCAGATTTCTGTGGCGAAGAAATCTCACCGACTTCATCAGAAGATTTCAATGTGGAGACTTCTTTCAAAGGAATAGTCCCCGCTGCATTGGCATCACTGCATCGAAGTACGTCCCCATTTGCAGGAGGGGAAGGCTCACTTGAAGGGAGAACTTTTGCATGAGTCGGTGGATATTGACTATCTGATGGGTGCGTATTGTCTTCATCAATCTCCCAATGACTCGTATTAAATTTAGCATGCTTGGTTGACTCAAACTTAGATGATTCCGTCTCAGATGATTCAGGAAGCCTTCCTGCGATTTTTGAATGCTGTGGAGGTAGGACTCTGTGGTCTCTGGGGCGATGAACATAGATTAAAGGCTTCCTAACCAAATGATTATAGGGCTCATGAATTGGCTTTGCAGATTTAGAATCCCTCAGAGCTCCAACTGCACCATCTGCCTCCTGTTGAGGAACGGGAGTTTCTGAGGATTGCTTATCATCGGCTCCCATTAAAGTCTTCGAATCGGATGTCTCAATGTTCCCCAGATGCTGTGCATCTGAGCGCATTGAACCAGATTCAGTGTGCAGAAGTGGATTTAAAAGCTTCCCTCCTTCTATTGAAGATACTGCGGGTTTGCCACCATTGCTGGAGTAAGTGTCCTCTTCTACTAGTTCAAATGGTCCAGTATGGGAAACGTGGTCATGATCCCCAAAATCCGAATTAGAGGATGAGTCGAGGGTGTATCCAGAAGATTCCAAATTTGTAGAACCATTAACAACAGCATATTTTTCCTCAGAGGCTGCAGTGCCAGGAGCGTTCTGGGTATCAGAGGGCTCTATTGTGTGCTTCTCTGAAACTGAATCTGAGAAAAAAAAGGATAAATCTTGTATAACTCGTTTCTCAATACATTTACACACTATGAGAGTTGAATATTGGTTAGCAGAATGCAATTCCACAAGTAAACCAGATGGCATGGAACAAATAAGGATAAATGATCACATTGCATTAATGGACGATAACCTTATTTCATAACAAATAAATTAGTAAACACTTTCTGAGTGTCGGGTAACTCACCATTTGGTGCTGATTCCACTTGGTCCAAAACGAAAGAATCTTGAGGCAGCTTCTGGTCATGGGAAGAGCTAGGAGACAATATGTCAGAGGCTGTTACTCCATTCTCAGTAAAATTGTACTGATTTTCAGGGCTGGTATCATCATTATCAGAAAAATCATCGGCAACCTCAGAACAGGTCGACGATCTGGCATGCTCAAACTTTTCGCTGGACGAAACAGAGCTCTCTTTAGTCTCAAATAATCCCTCTGTTGAACCGGTGCTAGATCTGTCATCGAGAGGAAAAATGGATAAATATGTCCTTGGTGATGGTGTACTCTCTCCCGAATCAACTTTATGTTCTTGGGGTACTGATCGTAGCTGCTCCTCTTGATTTGCTACAACAGAAAGATCAAGTAATGAATCTTCGACATGTATGGAAGGTGCACTCTCAACATCAGTGACCTTATGTGTATCTTCAGAATTAGTACCTGTTATAATACGTTCAGCTTTTGACTCATCAATACTTGGATCTGAGTTCAGTGTTTGAAGAGGGCCATCATGTATCTCAAGGTTCAAATCAGATTTATCACACGGAGAATCAACCAGAATTTCGGTGTTTTTATCATGGGCAAGATATTTGTCCCCTCCAACTGGAATTTTTGGATCCCCTGATCTCGGAAGAGAATCACCCTTCGCTAGCCTGCCATTTTGTTCATGTTCTTCGACCAGATCAGAGGGCATCACATTTATATTAAACTCCCGAATGTCTGAGTTGAGTTGAGGGTTATATTCATAATCAAAGCATATATCAATCATTTCATTGCTTTTGGTACTGCTCGAGAATGTATTCAGATTTACAGTAGCTGACTTGATATCCTCTGGAGTTGGATCGAGACCAGTAGCTGAATCTGTAGTGCAAGAACAAGAAGATCCGGTCATGTTACCAGGAGCATTTGGTGTCATCTGATCCTGAACTAAATCTCGGGGAGACTCATTCCCCACAACCTCCTCCAAAACCTCACTCTTTGACAGGTTATTTATTGAAGTTGTTTCATGGCATTCATCAGCAGGTGAAACTTGATCCACAAACATGACCGGAAGAGATGGTAATGATTCAGAAAAGTTAAATGATGACTTTTCATTTGCATGACCAGAAACTCCTTTATTAAATAAACTATCATTCACAGAGGAGATTATAGGTTTATCAGACGTGTTCATTTCCAAATTCTCAGTTATTTGTTTCCGCTCTTGAATAGAACTAAACTTAGGATATTCCTTGATGAAAGTGTTCTGTTCTAGCCTAATCCTGGTCTCATTGTCTGTTTCAATTTCCGATTCCATTGTCGTAAGCGCATCCAAATAATTTTCCAGCTCACTTGCAACATCATCTGTTCTATAGTCATTAAGACTGCTGCTTGACTTGCTCTCAGCATAACTACTGACCTCCCTTTTGAAGTCGTTATTAACCAGCAGCGCATTTCGATCTTGCTCGTGTAATGTTGACAGCAAGTTTTCTACTCTACCATTTGCTTCCTCCAACATCTCTTTCTTCTCATTGTTTACAGTCTGCCCATCCCTTCTGTCAATGGGCGACAGAGTCTTTTCCTTCGGAGTAGGGCTCAGCACCTCCTTATTTGGAGGCTTCAGTGTGTTTCTCTCTCTGAAATTTGGCCTCTCATTCGACACATCTATGATAATCTCACGTACTTCGGGGGAGAATTCAATGGAATCAACTGCTTTTGTCTTTTCTTTGGGGTCGCTTGCAGAATTCTTACATAATACTGCGCGTTCAGGTGATCGTGGATCAAGAATGCTCTCCTTATATCTTCTCCCGATGTTCAGATTGTCATTCAACTTCCTTGCTTTCAATCTAACACGCTTAACTTGTTGGTTCTCAGACACTTTTTCCACTGTCAAATGTTCCAACCTAGGAAACAAACGGCAATCAAAACACAGATATGAGACAATTGAGCACTGAACTACTTATAAAGAAATAACATTATTTTCAGAAAGGGGCTTCTTACTTCTGGTCCACAAGCGGCGGGGTGTGAGCTTCAGAGGTTATGCCATTCCTCCAACGTGGTATCTTTTTCTAAGAGAGATAAATCCCCCCGTTACAGAAATTATAGGGTTCACAAGTAACCAAAAAAATGTGACATGCTAAAATTATGAGCATGCCATAAGTAACTAAAAACTTCGAAGAAGCATATCTTGAAAGCAGGATGTTCAGATGTGACTGAAGGTTGCCTAGGAACATAAAATAGAAACTCAACATATAATGAGGTAACTTTTTATGGAAACTTTTTATGGAAATATGCACAACCATAACTAGACTACAGAACCGACACTTTTTATGGATACACTGTTCGTCTGCTTCCTGTTTAGAGTTTATACATGATACGTTTTCAGAAATCCATTACGTTTCTTTACAGGCATAGGTCAACAAGTGTCAATTAAATTAAAATTTTCCACAATTACCTGATGTTAATTCATCTTCAGCATGAACGCATAGATTTCCTAGTAGCTAATAGAAATTTAGATACCCTTTACTTACAAAGCTTACATGGAGTCATTATCAGAAGAATAAACATTAAAATCACATAAAAATTTGTCACCATAGCCGTGATATTAACATTTTAAACTGTTCCTCTGAAAAAATTCTCAGGTACCTTTACAATTTAGTACGCTTAATCCTAATTCACTGATCTCCAGGATACCACTATATAAAGTTCATCCACAATAGATAATTCTCATCACACACAAAAGTTTCATATGTTGAACACGAGCTAATAACCTTAAAATATAATGGGAAAGGGTACGAGGCTTATTTCTCTATTGGGGGTAAGGAATCTTATCAGGGGATGATAGAAAACATGAACATGAATGTGTACAACCCCATAAAGTACTACCAATGTCTATTCTACAATTAACACTACTCTATTCTTGGGTCTGCTTGCAATTCACTCAATATCAAAAATGTTGGAATCGGGGTAGCTTCAGCAACAAAGAACATAGCATTATGCAGACTGCCATCACAAATTAAAATGCTACCTTATTCTTTCGAGATTTCCTTTCTCTCTGACAATCAGCTTCCATGTTTCCGGTGGATGCAAAATTTGTCTTAAAAAAGGATGGATCAGAATACCTTTTCAAACATGCACCATCTTCAGCACTGTCAAACCTGACAGGAATAAAAAGGAGCATAGAATAAGCGACTGGTTTATACAATAGGACACACAAATCAATCTGAACAGATGCCATACTTGTCCAGCATGAATAGCCGTGGAGGACCTCTGCTTTCTTCATAAGAATCCAAAATGAATCTAGGTATATCTTCTCTTGTAACCATATTCTGGTCAATCTGGAGATTAGGATGCCAGTCAATAGCTGCAAAAATGATGGAGAAATTATTAATATTCGGCCATAATTCATACTTCGACTGAAAAATTAGTCAACTTCTCCACAGTATCCAACTTCTACATTGTAAGTTAACCTCATATCAATGTGATAATTAAGTTCCTGAAGATAATCAACAAAAAGGAAAAACTGAAATAATGAGAAAATCACCCAGACACTGAGTATGCCAAAATTTTACTAGTTCGCTACTTGACACAAATCTTAAGTCAATGCAGCTTCGAGACAAGGTTCGGCACCGATATTATCTCAAGTTCTCTTCATTGAATCTTATTTTTTATAGTGATTGAATCCTTATTTTTCCCTCTACCAGGAAATGGTGATCATATGTGGTTGTCACGAAATTTCTTAGATTACAGATATTGATTGAGAGTTTCATCTGTTTGATTGGTTAAGGTTTTAAGTAGGACTCCGTGTACAACAGCAGTATAAGCATCTAACGCTTTACAATTTTTCCTTTGCCCAATAAGTTATCACAGCTCCTCCACAGGATTCCTATCTTTCCATTTCTTCCTTTCACACTATCAATTTTCTTCCCCGCTTTTCAGAAATATATTCATCCTCCTTATTTGCTATTTTACGCTCTTTATTTTTCCACTTTTGGTTCTTCTCCTTCATTATTTTCTTTCTTATGTTACCCCCTTCAGATCTAATATTCTTCTCTGTATTTTCTATTGCTCCCATAGCTGCCACTACATAGTCAAACAGAAGTTCTACAATAGTCATCTGTTCTTCTTTCTTTATTGCTCCACAATACTGCTCAACTCTTCCTTTTTCTTCTTGTTGAACTTTCCTTCCCAAAATCGAGATAAAATCTGTTGGTTATATTTCTAGAATCACTTCACAAGCTTAAGCATAGGAAATCAGGAAGCAACAAACATTGTTTTCCTAAGACAAAGAATGGATCTAGATATTAAAAATATTCTGTACTTGAAAAAGAGAATAAACATAAACCTGGACAGACATAAATGCCAGAAACTCGGCAATGTTCCAGATATCAAGAGATACATTATAATGCTCTACTCACATAAAGTCTGAAATCAAATTTGATACTGAAATGTGAATAAGAAACTTTACAAGAGATATTAAACCACGCCCTATAATATTTGCATGCTGAATATCTTTTCTTTTGTTAGAGAAAATTTGTCACCAGAGACAATCATGGAACTACGCCATGTGACAGTCATTCACATACATCTGGGGCGACCAACCCTGGGTTCCACAAAAATGTTGCAGACATGATTATCTATCTAATAAGCTGAAAACAATTGAAATCATGAACTTTTCGCTTTTTACCAGAACAATAAGAAAAGATGATTTTTTAGAAGACTCTTATCATATCTTTTAAAGAGATAGAAGAGCTCTAACCAGCACTGTGATAGAAGTCCGACTGGTCTGTTTGATTGAAAAAACCCTTTTCAATCGCTGGGAATTCGGTCTCCAGCTGTTGGACACGAAGCAAAAGTCCATGTCCTCTGGAAGAAGTTGCCATCACTTCTTCATGCAAATCATGAAATATTTCAGCAGCAAACCTGTTGAAGAACGAGATAAAACGACCACGATAGTGTGAAATAAAATATCCCCCGTCATGAAGCTTGCAGTGAAAACGGGGTGTAAAGATCATTAAAAAATTCCTCTTGTTGTATGGCAGTAACTAAGATAAAAAACGCAAGAATATTAGTGCAGCTGTCTATAAAGAAGGGACAGGAAGACATTCATCCTCGTTGCCTGACAACTGCATTCTTTCATCTAAATCGAGGCAAACTTTTCAACCATACAAAAAGTAATGTTTCCCTTCTTTAAGAACTACTAGATCGGGAAAATTATGCAAGATGCTTCCTAGAGAAACTAGTGTGACTCCAGAGATGAAAGAAAAATACATTCTAGGAGGATTATAACTTGCGACACTGCCAAACATAGAATTTGTTTATAAACATGCCTCCTTACTAATTTGTTGCGTTTAGATAAATAATAGTCATTCATGAAAGATGCAATTTGTCAGATGCATATTAGAGTTCAGCATAAAATTCCCGAGAGTCATTAAATCGCGATCAGAAAATATGACGATTATAACTAGTCCTTGAAGAAAGAGCAGTGTTTCAAATCCTGACTTTTGGAGTAAGTACCCAATTTCTGCGCCATACTTGGTCATTCTTTTAGCAGAAAAAAAGTAAACAGTGGTCAGTTCTAAAACACTTGTTATTTATCTTTTTACTATTCGACCATGTATCATATATTGTCCTCTGTCGTGGTCAATGTCATCAGGTTGAACTATAACGGACTCACAAAGGGAATAGCATTGCAGAGTATATAAGATACCTGTAGATTGTCCACGAGTATTAAAGCATTCTATGATCAAGAATGTGGATCACTCATCTTTCATTTCGCTTGCACAATACACCTCAGATTATGAAAAAAAGGGCAATGGCAAGTGGCAACAGTGAATATGATTACATAGAAAACTTCGAAGTCAGACCAACCACCTTTCAAAAAGTCTAATACTTTTAAGCTACAGAGAGGGCCACGCCCTCAAGCAACCACCTATCCAGAAAGGCGTTTACTCGAAGAAATTTCAAATTTCAACGATTGAGAATCAGGTCTTAATTTGCCCACTCCTAGTACTTGCCCAAATTGAACTTCAAGCTGATCCAAAGAAACGAAGAAGAAAATGCGAAGTAGGCACATCATATGTAAATAGGATTAGGTAGTCAATCAGATGAGTATATCTTACGTCCCTCTCTCTGGCATCCAGAACATCTAGAGATCAAAATATCTGGTCCATGAATACCGTAAGCTTCTTCCTCTCAATAATTTCTCTGATTACTTTGCTTCAAAGGCTAAATTTGGAATCTTATCTCTTTTAAACTACACGTGCTATCATTTATGACGGCATGGTTCTTGGCCGTGGGCGTCGGATTCAGAAAGGTTGCATGCAATGGGGAATCCAAAACTATGAATAAAATTTTTAAATCAAACGGAGTACGATGTCCACGTCATTTCGATAGACTATGGCCATAACCATGGTGCTTATCATGTCACAGCATTACATACAATATCTAACTGAGTACATGGTGAGCCCTCTTTTGTGGCACATCCTCCTTCAATATGAATTCTATGGTGTATAATGCCCACGCTTTAATCATGGACAAGTCATGTTTAAGACCAGTCCACTGGAAGTGAGATTCTAACAGTCACATCTACGTCTAATTAACCTCTTTTTTGTAGGTTATCGGATATAAATCATATGAAGGCCAAGGCATGATAGTTGCGGCGTAGATGTCTGTGCCGAAAGAAGATTGATGCACCAGCACGTTCGTATTTCCCACCACTGTGGAACTTTAGAGGCGATGATTATATCTCGTAATCTTTACTTTTGGCTCACAAATGAGCACCAGCTTTCGCCATCCCCAAAAATGGAAGGATTCTGAGATTAATAAAGGTTAAAAATGGAACAGCGTTCTCCCAACTTCTCTTGAAAGTCCACAAATGCGAGAAAATCTGGCACAGGAATCAATATATCATGCATATTATTTTCAACTTTCTAGAGACAATCACCAACCCGGACAAGGGAAAATAGCAGCATGGAGGATGATAGGGAATGATGAAAGAAACATAAGCGTGGAGATATTTTTCGAAAATGGAACACAGAAACCCCCTATTTTAAAATCCACAATTACTTTAAAAGCTTCCTGGGAGACTGATGAAGAGACTTTAGAATCTGTGCTTAAAGCCAGCCAGCACCATAGTACACCACGTATCACAAACGCTAGAGAAGAATACAAAATCCCCACTATTTTTGATAGAAAGGCACTGGAGGCTGCGTAAAATCCCAAATTGCAGCAGACCCAAATTGAAAGCCATACAATCCAGGCCACACTACAAACGAATCCCAAAGAAATACAATCCGTGCAACCGCTCCCCAGGAATTTGAGACGGACACCCAAATAGACACTTCAATTCGCCGCCCCAGACCCCAATCAAGCCCAAAAGACGAAAATTTCGAATAAGTCGCGAACAAAAACTCCACTCCCGACAAATATCAAAACACACGGCCACAAACCGAACGAAACTTACTCGGCGAGATCCCCCAGCTGCCGCAGGACGCCAACCAGACCGGCCATGGCCACCCCTTCGAGCAAGGCCTCGGGATCCTCCTTGTCCGCAGCGCCATAGAGCGCCGGATCCGCCAGCCCATACTCGTTCCTTATCTGGTACCTGACGACGGGCATCTCCAACCAGAATGCAGCTCCCTAATTCCCCTTATCTCACTCTTCCCCCCATTAGAACTCCGCAACACAGCCTCAGACAGAGAGACGACCACAGCACGAGAGAGAGCGAGAGAGAGAGAGAGAGAGAGAGTGGGGTGTGTAATACGAAGCCTTGTTTAGATTTATTGGGAATATTCTGGCCAGCAAGACAGCAGGACGGGCGGAGCCAGCGTTTAATGGCGGTTTGAACGTCCTTAATGGCGGGCCCCACCCGACAAATCCATCCCATCTGCCGTCGTAACCTTCCATCAACACCTGGCATTCTTGCAACCAGGCCAAAAAGACGCACTGATCAGACGGCGGTCCCGGACCCTCCCCCCACCCGGCGGGCCCAAGTCAGCGCTCTGTCCCCCACTGCAGCTGACGTCATTCGGAACCCGACACTGTAATAGGCCCCCTACCGCCGCACGTTAGCTGCAGACGGTCGGCCCATCGGGCTCATTCTTCTAATTAATAACAATTCAAGTCGAGTCCTCAGCACGGCCCACCTGTTCACTGACTCGCCGCAACTACCGCTCTTTTACCTTCTTTCAACGGCCCTCCGTCTTCTGCCTACAATCACGGGCCACTTGGCCTCTCCCACGCCGCCATACCGCACATTCATACCCACGTAGATATAAATACGTACGAGCATCTGATTTAATCAAAATACGAAAAAATATCTTTTTTTAATTTTTTCTAGTGAAAATAAGATAAATACGCACGTGCATACCTCCGCAGCTGGGCCGGGCCGCGCTGCCCACCAAGTGCAGACCATGAACAAAGCTGAAGAAAATTCTCACGATTCCACTTAGAGAGAGAGAGAGAGAGCCGGTCCTTCAATTCTCTGTGGTGGGGGGGTTTACTTCTTGGCGTAGGAGATGGCCATGGGATTGTGGGGGGTGATCTTGAAGCCCTGGAGAGACTGCATGGCGATGGAGGACTGGACGTCGTCCTCGAATTCGACAAAGGCGATGCCGGGCTTGGCGTCGATCATCCGGACCTCCCTGAAGCCGGGGTACTGCTGGAAGAGGATCTGGAGCATCATGCTTGTGGTCTCATGAGGCAGGTTCTGGATGAAGAGGATGTTGTTCGGGGTGGTGACGGCGTCTTGGGCGCCGCCAGGCTTCCCTTGGAACGCCTGAGAAGCCTGTTGAGTGTAGTCCCCACATATGTTATTCATAATTTCATGAGGGTCAACATTGTATCAAATGCCATCTGATCAAAAACTAAGAGCTCCTCACCCCATTAGTCTGAGCATGAGGACCGCCGGCGGCAGCTCCAGATCGCTGCACTTCTTCGGCTTTCCGCTTCTTTTCAGCTGCCATCGAGATTTAAAGAAAAGCATGCATATGGAATTGAGCCTGTATTCGCATAGGACCATATGAAATTGGTAGATTTTTCATAGTTCCAAGGTCACTTGGGGTTTCAAGGGTGGGTGGCAGGGAGAGGGAGGAGTTTAGAGCAAAAGGGAGAAGGATCTGAAGGATGGGGATTACAGAAGACAAGGAGAGAACAAGATTCCTAGGTGATGTCTAATGGCTGGTGAAGATTTTTCTTACTTTCATCAAGCAACGATGATATGCGCACCAGTCATTCAACGCTTACTCAAGGGTATTGCTGCCCTCTAAACATATTTTCAAAGGTGGTCTTCATTTTTGTGACTCGGGTTGCTGCAGCAAATGACTGCTGTACCTCTGACGCTCAAGCGCCCATTTTCCCAGCAACAACGATTAATATCGACTTTAATTTGCTGAAACCTACCGATTATAACAAGGTTTGAAACTACATATCGCCAAGATTAGTCTAATTTTGAGATACTTTTCTAGCACATTGTATATGAGGGATCTCATAGAAGACATTCACCACATGAGTTCCCTGTTTGTCCCTCTTAAGTTTTATGGAAACCGATGGCCAAGGTTTGTAAGATTGGTATGCTAATGGATGCCTAGAGGGATACGGAGCATTAGTCGTCCTTTCAGGGTATAGAAACCAAAATCTTGTCGTCTATAGAAGTCGCATACATCTTCAAAGTCTAATTCTTCCATAATAATTTGCCATTTTCAGCCTCCGAACTTGTGGTCATCTATACCCATGCCAACCATACATGAACTTACATTTTTTATTTTTTTATTTTTTTGCTGAGGGAAGCTACGGAGCGCTTCTATCTTTGGGTCCTCTAGTAAACTGTGCTTCTGCATTAATAATTGAAATAGGTGATCCTGAACAGGTTAAACCTACTGGCAATCTAGCATTGTACCGAGTGGGGGAGGAATTTGCAAAAGATAGGGGACATACGTCCAAAGTAGATTCCTTCGTTTTTCACAGATCTGCAGGTGGAATTCACTAGTTATTGAGAAAGGATTGTAAACCTATGGTGGTTAAATGACTTGCTTGTTTCTAGAAAAAGACTCCGCCATTCATCACAAATTTTGAGAAAAAACGGTGCAGCAATGTACTACGTCACTGAAGGTTCCACCGGCAACCTTCAGTGACGTAGTTCTCAGACTGTTAGGATACGAATACGGGAGATATATGCGTAAAAGTACTTGTATTTTCCTCTTTAATGGCATGTAGCCTACCAACAAGTTTCTCAAGAGAAATATAAGCAGATGACTTTTGATTATCTGCTCAATGACTGACCTTTTTCTTCTTGCTTCTTCCTTTTCTCCTTTGGATTATCTGTGCCTTCCTCCCTAGCAATGCAATCTGACTTCGTCTTGGCATACTGTATCCTCTGTACCAAGTAAGCCAGGAAGATCAATAGCACAAAGACAAGCAATATACATAAATGCATGTGTAGAAACACTTCCTGTTTAACCAGGCGGGGTGCTAGAAGGCAGAAGGCCAATTAAGGATTGACATCATGAGAGAAAGCATAAAATACAGAAATATAAAAAACATCCACCTTACTTAGCAGGACGACACAAGACTATTTGTATGCTTTTATCCATAAATTCATAGATTAAACCATCAAACCAAGTTTATGAATCATGTAACTACAACATACTGAAACTACCAGAAGAGAGTGGGAGATCCACGTCAGCGGATCAGGGCTTCAGAGAATAACTCAACTGGGTTAGTCTTGAGATTGCGTCACAAAATCAAAACAAATAATTTAACAAAAGGGGGCAGGGAAGGAATATACACAGAAAAATAATAATCTGAATGGATTGTTAGCGTAACACATAAGATGATGATATTTCAAGAGCATTTTATTCACATCTCCATACCCACCATTGGTTTGTCATAAAAAGGAAAGTTCTGCATCTGGCGAACTGCAGCACTCGCAGCAGTAACTTCACTGAATACAACCCATGCTTGACCTCGGAGTTTCTCCGTTTTCAGGGCAACAACATCCAAAATCCTTCCATACTGCGAGAATAGCCCGTAAAGGGATCTTTTCAATTCTGTCATCACAGATGAGAAAAGAAAATAAATTGAAGGAAGAATGTCGAAATACTGGGATCAGAGAACACTGGAGAACGACATACGCGAGGCTCCGTTTATAAAATTTTAACTAACAAAGACGAGAATACGCAACTTCGTACTTCAATATGAAAGGAAAAACCAGTCATCTTGGGACACGCTTCATTAGGACCACACTAAAAATTTTATGCTTTTTTACCTCCAAAATTAAAAACTACATTGACTAATAATCCGCTGACAAGTAAAGGAAGTTTTTGACTGCGTACCCACGTCCTGCGAACAGCGATATCAAAGACGAAGGGTAAATCCAAAGCCTCATCCAGCAACAAAAAACAAAGCAGCCTCGCGCAGAAAACCGATTCAAAAGTAAAAATTAGACATCGAGGAACGAGAAGGAAGGAACAGCACCACCACAAAAACCCTAATAATATACCCACCGAACCGAAAATCGACTCTGAGATTCTGAGAACTTAGGTCGAATAAGGGAATTCACCTTCTTTCTTGACCTTCTCGTTGAGATTCCTAATGTAGATGGTTTTGTTGGGCGGAATGTCCCCGGAGAGCATGGCTGCCGGCTGCCGCGCGCAGTCCAGAGATCGGAAGGACGGAGAGGTTTAAATCTAGCAAGCTAAACCTCTCCAAGGTAATGAGTGAAAGGATTATTACCTTTTGATCCTTGTAGATGATAATATTTTTATTAAAACCCTGAAAGGAATATAATACGTATCATACCGCAAAAACCTCGACTCGGCATCTCTGGGCAGTGGAAGGCCCACTTACAAGCATATGGCCCAATATTAGCCGATAATACAAAGTCAAGGCCCATTAGTGAATATTCCGAATAGAGAGGAAGCTTCGAATTCCTGCAACACCCTCCGCCGCCCAATATCGCCGGCGATTCCAGGGCCAAGCGGCGGCCGAGCTCCGCCATGGCTTCTCGACTACTGGCCTTCGGCGTAGCCAGGTACTCCCTCTGTTTACCCTCTTATCTCCTTCCCTGGCTCCGGTGCATAGGGGCGGCTCCACGCCGGAATCTTATGGCCGCGGCTCTACCACCACGAACACACTCCGATCTCGGGAACGCCGCATCTGAAAACTTCGTCCTCGAACAAATCTCCGATCTCCTTTCCATTGAGATCGATACACCATCGGACGCAGCAGGCGCTGCAGATGTTACTTCAGAGGGGGAAGTCGCCGGAACTGGCGTTTTCGGCAGCCTTCTTTCGCCGGAGGAGAGGTTGCGTGGGGTTTTCCTTCAGAAACTCCGGGGGAAATCGGCGGTTGCAGTCGCCCTCTCCGCCACTGGCGTTGGCCTGACGTTGGAGATCTTTGCTGACGTGCTGAATAAAGGTAATTTGGGTGGCGCGGCGATGGTTTCTTTCTTTGATTGGGCAATCAAGGAACCAAACATACCCAATGGCCTCGACACCTATCACATTATTCTGAAGGCCTTGGGTAGGAGGAAGTTCTTCTGTTCTATGGAGGAAATCCTGCTTCGGATGAAGAAGGAAGGGATACAGCCCGACTCCAGGACCGTATCAGTGATTGTAGATAGCTACGTCAGAGCCCGCCGCGTATCCAAAGCCGTCGAATTCTTTGAAAGACTGGAGGAATTTGGTGGCGAACGGAATTCTGAGTCGTTGACGGCCGTCATTCGTTCTCTCTGCCGACGATCTCATGTTAGAGTTGCAGATTCGTTATTCCACAGAACGAAAGGGAAGATATCTTTCGACAAGATGGCGTATGATGAACTCATTGGCGGCTGGGCCAAGCTTGGCAGAGGTAAAACCATGGAGAGGACATGGACAGAAATGGTTGCTGAGGGGCTTAGCCCTGATAGCCGTACGTATGCTCATCTCATTGAGGGTTTAGGAAGAGCTGGTCGGATCAAGGATGCAGTCGACGTCTTCAACCAGATGGAGGAGAAGGGATGTTCTCCGGACACTGTCACCTACAATGCGATGATGTGTAATTTTATTTCAACCGGAAATCTGGAGCAGTGCACCTATTATTATAAAGAGATGATCACCAAGAAACAGTTTCCCGACATTGATACTTATCAAAGTTTGATCAGTGCATTTCTGAAGGTCCGGAGAGTTGCCGACGCCCTTGAAATCTTTGGTGAGATGCTGGGTAGGGGGATTTGCCCTAGCACTGGTATGATCACTTCCTTCATTGAGCCCCTGTGTAGCTATGGGCCTCCCCATGCTGCAATGTTGATCTACAAGAAGAGCAAGAAAGCAGGATGTAAGATATCCTTGAAGGCCTATAAGCTCCTGCTCATGAGACTTTCCAGATTTGGCAAGTGTGGGATGGTGTTGCAGGTCTGGGATGAGATGCAGGAGAGTGGGCATTCCTCGGATGCTGAGGTTTATGAGTTCATCGTTAATGGACTCTGCAACACAGGGCAGCTGGACACCGCTGTTCTTGTTGTGGAGGAGTCACTCAGAAGGGGATGCTGCATCGGGAAGATGATCTACAGTAAGTTAAATAACAAGTTGCTGGAGATGAACAAGGTGGAGACGGCGTACAGGCTGTTCTTGAAGGTCAGAAAAGCTCGCGCTTCTCTGAATGCGCAGAGATTCTGGCGCGCGAGAGGATGGCATTTCTGAAATCTTGGTGAAATGCTAATTGTTAGACACTTCTCGCATGGAGTGCTTCTTCGTATCAGTATACAGATTGAAACCTGTATATATGTTTGCAGTATTAAGGATTCTTCATACCAGCGAAAAAAAACCAGCAATCTGGACTCAACTGCTTGATGACTCTTAAACTGGATTACTCCCTTGGCTGCCCAGTCGGAGATTCATGAGGCAGCACTATGTTGCTTGCGAAGAAGCTCGCTGGGTCAAGAGGTGACTATGAGGCTGGATGGGTCAAACCCAGGGACCTAGTTCCTTCCTCCCTGGTCAGCGCAGCTCCAGCTGGGGACGATCTACAGAAAATCCCATGAAACATGTCGATGGCCCCAACGCTGCCGTGTGGGAACATCTTAGTCTGATGGATATGAAATGCTTTCCAGCGTAACTTTTTCAGGGCCAAGAATTATATGAAGACGAAGGGGAGAGCTTTTACGAGTGAGTTGGGTCAGAAGCAGTGACACCCGGCACCCTTGATTCTCTCCTTCTCCTTGGCTGGCGAGATGCTGGCAGCGATCAGACTGCGGCTGGGGTCAGTGGGCTTATCGCCAAATCTTGGTCAATGCCCACAGTTAACCTGTGGTCGACTGGCTGACGTAGAGTGCCCCCCCCCATCTCTCACGGCCTTTTTTTCTCGTCTTTCCACAGGATGGTGTGGAGGATGCCTCCTGCCGCATTCGACTTCCAGGGGAAGCTGTTCCTTGATCCAGTGAATGCATATGATCCGACTGTGCTCGAGGATTTGCTCGAACCACCATGGATGAAAGACGGCCAGAGGTCAGGACAACGCTTCTCTCTCTCTCTCTCTCCCTGTCAAGAGTGAGTTAATGTGATATATCTACCAATATCTGGCCTGAGTCGCTCTCCTCAAGAGCAGGCAAATTCAATTCTAACGCCTATCTTGCACGCGGATTCACGAAACATCCAACCATATGCTTTGAACGAGGACAAAGAGCCAGCCCCTGGAGGGACCCATGATTTGCTGTCCCTTTTCTTCTTCTGCTTGCTTTTGCGTTGGGTGCGAGCTTTAATGGGGGAAACAGGGGGAATAGATCCCGCAGTGGGGTCGGAGGAGATCGCCGGAGGGGAGGGGAATCGAGCAGGCCGAGACTGACCGACAGGTCTCCTCCGTGCCGGCCGGCGCTGAGAAAGGGTTTCAGGGAATCGGGTATCGTCCCCTTCTTCTTGATGCTCGGTTCAGACTTTCTCGTACCCACTTGCTATCTATCCATCCTCGTCGTGAGAACATATGTTCGTCCGTCAACAGCTCTTATCAGGACGGAGAATTCTCCCGGCCCGGAAGATGCTCCGGAAGCCAATTCTCTCAACTGGGCTTAACGGTCGGTGAAAGTGAGGGGTAATACGACGCAGAAAATCGAATCAGCGAGATCGGTTTCAAGAGAGATTTCTGGAAGGTGACGGCAGAGGGCGTCACTTCTTCCTCTTCCAAGCCTCTGTAAAAGAAGGGGGAACTGTTTTATTGATGAAATCACAGGAGCGATAGATGAGATGAGATGGAAACAGAGATGAGAGGGGGAGCCCTCCATCCCCGTGACCCAGCTCCACGGCGACCACCGTACAAGACACAGACAGACGAGACCCATACGACTACTACTGGAAGAACCCTCGGCGAGCGAGAGCTGTCTTCTTCCACACGCGACAGGGGAGGAGGACGATCTTTAGTTTATTACTTTGATAAGAGACGGCGATGTATTCAGCTTCAGCCCATTTGATCTTCACCGGAGCGGAGGCTCAGATAGCCAGGACCAGCCCGGGGACGGACTTCTTCCCGGCGCCGCCGCTGAGCCTGCTCTGCCAGAGGGGCACGCAGGGGAACTTTCTGCTGCCGGCGGAGGGCGGCAGCGCCGCCGGCTCCGGGCCGCCGAGACGGGTCACCGTGAGGGAGGTGTTGAAGTATTCCCTCACCTGGGTGATTATCCCATCAGTGACAGTCCAAGCGTGGATCCACTGGACGGGAACTGTACTGCCCCTGGACCAGCCCTGGCCCTCGACGAGCACCGTCGAGCCGAAGGAGGCGATGGAAACGGGGTCAAAGAAGAAGGACTCGTCGGGGGACGCTCCCGTGAGCAGTCGCATCATATGCTGGCACGACGGGGGGCCATGGAACCACCACCCGATGTCCGGTTGCAGCAGGCGGTGCACCGCTTCTACGTTCCGATCGTTTAGGGCCTCATACAGGGCGTGCACCACCCTCTCGCTCTGCTCTTCCTCCAGAACTGAGAAATCTCCTGTGTTCGCCAGTTCCGGTCGAGCCTCCCTGGTTCTGCGCGAAGACGAAGGAAGAAGAAGAAGAAGAAGAGGAAGAGGAAGAAGGGTAACGTGAAGGAAGAGATGACTAAAAGAGACGGGAGCGGCGCTGTGTTTATATAGGCCGAGGTTGCATCGCTCGAATAGGACAAGGTTCGGAGGACGAGGGCGGTGACGTGGCGGTATTGCGATCATCGATAGTCAAGCTGCCGACGTTGACCGCAGCCGTGTGATAAGCTGGCTTGTGCTACTTTCACGCCCCAGATTCGGTCCCAACCTCCCACCGCCTATCTGTCGTCCACGACGACTTCTTCTCGCTACCATCCGATTGATGGATGATCGCGAAGTGCGGGGTGGGAATATCATTTCCTGACTGGCGCAACCGCTGATCGGATAACAAAGAGGTCGAGTCATATGAGAGCGCCATATGTGAGGAAGGCGCCGGCGGGTTGCTAAGCCCGTTCACGTGTCCCGCGGAGAAGCCAAAGATGACTCTGGTGGATCATCAATCATTGATAGTCCTGGGTGGCTCAGGCAGCGACACGTCATCCCCCGATGAGCAAGGGACTCGTGTACGTCAACGCGACGGTCTGGCCAATAATGGCTAAGCTGCATGATCTACGTGTCATTTCCTCCCGGCGCCGAATGACCTGGTGTTCATTATGAGAAGAGGTAGATGGCTATTTTTGGGATGGACGGTTTTGGGACGACGACGTGGAGAAGGCCATTCAAGCTTAGAACATCAAATTCCGACATCCTTTTGAGATTTAAGTCAACGCTGTTGAGATCCCCTTGCCCGAGTGATGCGCTCCGCCGGAGCTTCCACTCTGCACCGTCAATCTCAGTGGATTAACAACGTGGCTCTGGCTTCACGGCTCGTCACCCCGCACTCTACCAGCATCGGATAATCTCTCTCTCTCTCTATATATCTCTATCTCTTTCTCGCTCTAGATTTGTCTTAACTTTAGTACTTACTCCATCAGAAGAAGAGATTGGATTTTCTAGACGCAGGCTGTTGCTTATCATATGCTTCTTTACTTCATCGTACGCGGCTGGGTGGTGGGCAAGAAAGAGCGCCAGCCACGTCGCGCCGCAATTTCAGACGCGTGAGGGGGATCCTCGGACTGGTGGGGCACTCCTCGGACGAGGGATATCTCCTCCGAGTTTGGGGCCGTGCACATCTGCACTGCTTCACACTGGAATCCCCACGAAACAGTTCCCCCTGGAAATATTTTCACTCATGTTAGAAGACATGGCACGCCCCCATCAGTGCAATTAAAGACAGGTAGACCGATGGGTAGATAGATATATGGATATATATGTGAATAGATAGATACATAGATACATAGATACATAGAGAGAGAGAGGGAGGGGGAGAGAGAGCGGGAGAGAGGGAGGGGGAGAAGAGAGCGGGAGAGAGGGAGGGGGAGAGAGAGCGGGAGAGAGGGAGGGGGAGAAGAGAGCGGGAGAGAGGGAGGGGGAGAAGAGAGCGGGAGAGAGGGAGGGGGGGAGAGAGAGAGAGAGAGGGAGGGAGAGAGAGAGAGGGAGGGAGAGGGAGAGGGAGAGGGAGAGAGAGAGAGAGAGAGAGAGAGGGAGAGAGAGAGAGGGAGGGGGAGAGAGAGAGAGAGGTCATCATGAGCACTGTTCGCCACCACTAAAAACCAGTTGTCCATGAATGGAGTCGGTTCACATACTATGATGATAAGATTTGAGACATCCGTGCAAAAGGAATTGGAAAATCTGGGACAAGAACTAAGAACATTCTCCAAGTTTGAACTCACACATAGCTTGATGCCCTCCATGAGTCGGACACGAAATGGTTCGAGAGAGGATTTGATGCCGAAGAAAGCACCAAGTGAAAGAATAGTAGCACCTCAAATTATCTTTAGAAAACGAAAACCAGAAAAAAAAAACTTGGGATTATATACACATCATACCGGGAAATCCGCAAGAATTTTCATGGCAGCATGCGATCAGCGTAAATCCGGGGTTTTCATGGCCTCTTTCCGTCGTCTTTCTCCATCGCCGAAGAAACAGGCGGTGCCATCGGGTGCCCATCCCCACTCCCAGACTCAACTTCCTCCTCTAGAGTAGACTTCAGCCGACCATGGGAAGCATACATGTCTGCAAATCTGCTTGGACTTGGGGAAGAAACCATCCTGAAAACTGATGATGGGCTGCCATTACCCCGGTAGGGGGAGCTGGGAGCAGACTGGAACAGCGGCAGGCCATCCTCTCGCGGCAGAGGAGACAGTGAGCCATCGCCTTCTGCTCGTCTCAGATAGAACCGATCCTCAACCATCTCATAGAAGTCCGCCGTCCTCACCTCCTGGGCGAGAGAGCAAGAGCAGCAGCAGAGCCACTGGAAGCAGTCGGTCACCGATGCATTGCCGCAGCAGAAGGTGTTCCCAGGGAGATTGAACCTCTTCCTCATCCGAATTCTCCAAAAGCCCCCGTAGAGCAGCCCGAGCACGCAGAGGATGATGCCCGTGATGCCCAGCGTTTCCCTGATAACTTCGTTGTCGATGTTGATGGCCGCCAGGTTGAAGATCCAGAAGGGAGCCATGCAAAGCAGGAGGAAGGTGGCAATGTGGACGTACATGTTCCCGAAGCCCAGCCTGTCCATGTTCCATCCGAAGACGCAGAACCCACAGAACATGGAGAGGTATGCCACAGAGATGTCATCCCACAGATCAAAGAGTCCACCCACCCACTTCGGGTTGCTCTCGGGTATCCTCTGCTGATCATCCCTCAAGACAAAGGAGTACCTCTTCGCCAACGACTTCACTCGCAGTAATGGCGGCCGACTCTGCTCGGTGGTGGTGGCGGCGGCGGCGGCCGTCTGATCCCCCGCCTCCTGGTCAACGTCGGTTTCATATTCCTTGCCAAGAGGGCTCAGCATGTTGTACAAGCTAGCAAATACGGGCGCCGCAATTGCGACAGAGACGCACAGCCCAACGCCAATGGCGGGTCTTCTGGATCGGGGGTAACCCAGATTGAGACCACAGAGGGCGTACTGAGCAAAACAGTTGATGTGGAGAAAACCCACGACGATCATCATATGTACCCATTCGTGGGGCTTATAAGTTCCATTCTTGCAGTATATTTTTCTAAGCCTGACAACATCATCCGGTCCGAATCTGCAGAGAAGTACCAGGTGGTGGAACCGTTTGGGGTGTTGGTAGAGGCACATGAGGGTAAACAGGGCATTCAAGATCTGGTTGTTGACTTCAAACCAGGTGTCCCGCTGAGATTTCTTGGGCAAGACGGCGTTCAACATCCCAGTCATGACCATGAACAGTATGGCACCGGACACTGCGACACAAAGGATCCAAACAAACAGAGCGATGTTCATGGGATTTCTGATCCACTCCTTGCAGATTGCCTTCAGCGAACCCCAGTTGATTTTGCTGTCGGCCGATGTCTGACTGTGCAGCGGAGAAGCCAGAATGGCAGGGGAAGCAACTGATCTAGATATCTCTTCCCTTCCCTCAGTGAATTGGCGAAACTTAGCAGAAGGCGAGGATAATCCGGCCCTGTGTCCAAACTTACTAAATCCGGACTTAACATTAAACCCATCAAAAATGCCAATGAATCTATTCCTGTGATCTTTTTCGTCCAATAGCCCCCTTTGTGATGAGCTAATGTAGAGAGGGATTTGATCTTTCAAATCATAGGTGCTTGAAGCAGCTCCTGACCCTCCTTCTTCCCTAATCTCGGTCTTAGACTTTGCATCACCATTGGAAGCCATTCCCTGGTTGAAGCTCTCACAGATTTGTGCTTCTCGAAAGTTAACCGGATTTGGTCAACAGCTTCTATGATGATCCTGGAAAACGGATAGTTCTGAGATGCTGCACCAGTATTTCTGATTGCCGAGCTCCATAATCCAGTGATGGGTTTGTCCTGCACACGCTTAAATATCAGAATCTTGATAAATCTTTGATCATCCATGTGAAGAATTTTATGTGTCTCCCATTGAATGGGTTGATAACAGAACCAGGTAAAACCAGTTGACATGAATGAACGAAGGAGAGGTTTCGGTATGAAGACAGAACCTCCAGCACACGGCCATGGAGGATAAAAGCGACAGAGAAGGATTAGAACACTCTTAAAATCGTCGTTATCAGGGCTCAGATCCACACGAGTACTCGAGAGGAGAGGGGGAAAGGTTTTTATGACGCAAAATCCCCGGAGATCTGAAACGCCATTGACTTAGAATGAAGAAATTGTGAGGATTGTACAGGTGAGTCAAACAAACTACGATAATATTATGGCAACGCGCTGCGACAGAGAGCCAAGAATCTCATTACCACATTGACGGAAGGCAGATAGGGGAAGGCGACGACACATGGAGTCGTTCTTGTTCAACTCTAAGGTCGATAGTACCTTACCTAATGAAACCGCGGACCGAAAAGGAGTAGCCTACACAAAAACCAACGGAGAGCAGACTCGTAATGCTTGATCGATCGGAACTCGCGGAAACCCTTTCTAAAGCATCATGAATGGATGGGAAGAAACACTGATCGGACTTCCCACACGACACATCGGCCACAATCACCACCTCTTCGAGTTCTAGCAGAAATCAAATCCACCCATGGCGATGAAGCCTTACCCGATAATCAGCACAAGAACGAAGCTCTCTAACCAACCAAGTGAACAGCGTCGGAGGTCCTTAGCATCGAATTAGAACCCCGCGTCTCGCGTCGAGAGGGCTGGGAGAAGGAATCCGCGGTCCAATCGATCGAAAAGAGGAAACCAGACAGACGGGAAGAAACAAGTTCCTAACCAAGATTCCCTCAACTCAGGCCCCGACGCCACGCCCCTGGCTTTAAGTTCGCCGTTCTCTTCGGAATCTTCGCGCTTCGTTTCACCAGGAAGCAAGAAATTCCGACGAGGGGGGCGGGGGGTGCGGAAAACACCACAGCCGAACGCGGGTAGAACCTCGTGAAGGTTAACGGCCCTGCAGAATTTCCACAGATTGTCAACAGCCTACCTTTTAGACCAGACGGTCGCCCGCGTAGTGATTCGGCGAAAACTGGTCTTGAACAGGAGGCAGCGCATAAGGGTGGCGAAGACGGTGGGGGAGAAGCTTCCCGTTTATACCAATCGGCGTAAGCCACGTGACCCAACTGCAAGATTTTTCTAGCCGCCGGTCCAGACCAGCCGTTGTCCACTAGCCTGCCGTCGCAGCCTTCATCCGTTGACCGTGCCAGAAATGACGCCATTTTCCGGAATAACGCGGTGTTGGATTTAACCCCCCCACCACAATACCAGCGCATCATCGATGTTTTTCTGGGTATCCTTTTGCCAAGCCCCTCTCCGCCGCCATTCTTTACTCTCTTCTGATCGTAGCTGTCGGATTTCACGTTGGCAAAAATGACTTTTTTATTGTTAAAGATCGCATCATCAGCTTTCAAGGAAGTCAACGACCAAAACATCTTCCTTGAGCAGATGTCTCCCTTCTCCCCGGACGGAAGTCACCCCAAAAGCATAGTCAGAAGCCTCCACGGCCAGAGCAAGCCCCATGACCAATAATCCATCGACGAATCGTAGCAAACCCACCTTGATGCCTCTACAGATCAAGCAGAATTCACAGGATAACAGCGAGATTTGTTGGAACACAAGCAACTTCTATTTATGGGAATCTATGCGTGGCCGATCATGGATTTTCAGAAGAGAAGGTTTTCCTCTCGTGCCATTCCTCGGCCAAAGAACCCTAAGTACATCAGACATCAGGCGTCCTCCCAAACGGGAGCTTTAACAGTACCTTGGCTGCTCAGCTGCTTGGATCTCTGTAGACCCAAGTCAAGGATCATTCTGAAGAACTCGCGGGGATATATCGGAGGATCCTCTGCAAGTGCCTGAACAATTTTGAAACTATTAGGCGGTCGGAAGATGAAAGATTTGAAGGCCCAGCATGTGGTCAAGATGGGATCTCTTCATCACCTGGTGAATTAACACTGTAGAAGGGGTCATCCCAGGTACAGTGTTTGCTTCTATCACCATGACCTGGAAGAAAAAAGGAAAAACCTTTAGGACCATCTTCAACCATTTTCTGGACTGCCCATACGATCCAAAGATAGATAGATAGATAGATAGATAGATAGATAGATAGAGAGAGAGGTGGTTGGTTCGGTGTCCCCCTTGAGAGGGGATCTAAAAGGTCAGATTACCTCCCCAGTGCGCACATTCACGAATGCATCGATGCGTGAGATGCCCTCAAGCCTCAGAGTGTTCGCAATCATTTCGATTCTCTGCTTACATCTTTGGAGTGCAGCTTCACTGGGTAGAAGGCAAAACCCATTGACAGTTTGCCCGAGCAGAAAGTCAGCCAAAAAAGAACAACACATTTTTTTAAAAATGGTCAACTATATTCAAGGTCTTTGCTTTCATGAACAAAAACCAAGACAACTCAGGCCTTCTGACTGATGATATGTACCGATAAATATCATGAACCTTTGTCTTGTTCAAATAACTAGCACATTCGAGCAACTCTTTTAGCCGTTATTTCTTAAAAAAAGTTTGAATTATCTCAGAAATTAGAAATTACGCGGTATTTGATTTTCTGAAGAAAATAAATGATATAATATAATAGAAAGCCGAAAATTTCCCATGTTTAATTTAAGCAACCCAGCAGCGGTAATTCCAGAGATAGTATTCAGAAGAATACTTTCCATGATAAGAGGCATCCGAATCCATTTATTTTACAATCAAAAGATAGGAAAACTTTGGACAAAGACAAAAATTCAGGGCCATAAATGGGAAATTAATACCACAAGATATGTGACTTCGAACAACGTGCCAACACTCTGGGAAAGATTCAACAGTTGTTCTACGTGAAAGTGGAAAAAGGAGAATTTAAAAGTTGAGGAAATTATCTCTTTGAACGATTCACAAGAAATAATACTCAGCTATACTAGTAATAAAATGAGAGGAGGCTGAGATCAACGTACTTAATGATGGCCCTTGGAGGTGGTGTCAAATTGATGCCAGTTCCACCTGTTATATATGTTTTAAAGTTAAAAAAAAATCTCTTAAATGTTAAAATCAACTAAATTAATGGAAAATCTTCATTTTCACATAGATGCAAAAAAAAAGAAGGCAGATTTTATGAAATAAGCAGCTAAAAAGCACCTGGCATGTTTTCGAGATCGAGACCTCTCGTCATTATTATTTATCATTATTGCCACCCTGCTAAGCATCTATAGGAATGAAAGTCAATACACATTGATGGAGCAGAAAAGTAGATTCCGCTCTTCTTTTGGGTAGATTTTTACATCATACTCATACGAACTAACAGTTTTTCCTCAGATTATGGCAACCAGCCGTAAACACAATACAATGATCTGACATAATTTATAAATAAGCCAGTAAGAAAATCAAAACCTAAAAGACAGCGTGAATGAAAATTTTAGAGGTTAAGGAAAAAACTCCAAACAAGGTTTTACTACCAAATCTCTTAAATATCTTTTCTATTTCTTCTTACCCTAGCACAGGAGTGGGGTTAAAATGGGGAAAACAAGAAAATAGATGGATAGTGAAACGAAAAGGAAAATAAAATGAAGACCCATTATCTTCCATGATGATAGAAATGTCAAGCACGTGGCTAAGTTATCATTCTAGTGGCTCGCAATGTGTGAAACCCTAAAACCATGGAGTTTCCAATCAGAAGCACAAAGCTCGGTTGAAAATCGGATGTAAATGTGAGAGGTTCTGTGTTTGGGAATCCTGCAATTTCGAATCATTTAGTATTGTTTTCCAGATAAAGTTATTTTGATTGAGCTTTTTGTCCCGCCACTCTTCTAGACTGTAAATTCTCTTTGCTCCCAACATATCTCTACTCTTGTTTTCTCCAAATTAGCACGTTACGCATAATAATATTTTTCGGTTAAATAACATGTCTGGTATTAAATTATTTCTTCATTTCATCATCATCGAATAAAAATCAATTACATTTGATCCATTATGATATTTAGGGTGGTAATATAGCTAATAAAGGAATCATTCTATTCCTTTTCTCTATTTATTCTATTTTCTGTTATTGCAACAGTTTCTTTTTAGAGTGTAATGCCGCTAGTGTATTTCCAGAAGTATCATACATTTTAGCATAGCATTCAGTTCTTGGGTTTGAAACCATTTTAATCAGCAAAACCAGAAACTTTGGTAATAGCAATGGCATCCATTAAATACTTTGATTATTGTCTTTTCTACAAAGCCAAGGAAGCAACAAGCGACAAATGATGCTCATTATGGTTTATAATATTTGAAAGTTTACACAATATAAACTCAATGATACTAATATTTGAAAATTTAGCCACTGTGACTACCGTGGTTAAACAACCGATATAACATACCTTGAAATTTCTCCTCGAGTGACAAGATGTCACTGGTTTCCTTAACTGTAATGCTAGGATTGAAGGAGTGTACCTCTCCTAGCTTGCCCATGATACCAACTGTAACCTCAACCCATTCACTCTCTCCTTTCCAAATAAGTTGTTGTGAATCACCACCCTCACACGAAAAATGTATTTCATCCGTTTCAACAAAGGGTTCGAGAATAAATGTCTTTGGAGGAGGGCTGGGCATTTCAATTACTCCATGTGCCTACTCGAATAACATCAGAATCCGATTAAGCAATAAGACAGCAAAACAGTCTAAGGAGTGATAAAATAAAACATCAAATCGTGCATATAGTAAAGCCAATAATGAATCAAAAAGAAAGCAATGCTTCGCCGCTTAAGAAGACTTCAGCTTCTCAGGATACTATCCCATACACAGACAAATGCAAAAAGGCAACAGTTCTACACATGTTTTCTTAAAAGAATTGGGTAGTCGATTATTCACACAAACTCGTTCCTATTGAAGAACTGAAACCGAAGATGCAGGTTAGCAGGTAGTCTATGGAAGAAGATGATATCCAATAAGTAATAAAATAGGCTCTCTAGGGGGTCGTCTAAGGCATCTGACCTTCGACAGACTATTAGCCGGAAGCCGCAAAAGATGACCAGTAACTGCCTTTGCATACACAGAGAGATCCTCAGCAGAGCTACAAAAACGACATCATTAAAACTAGAAAATGGTAGCATAATCAGCATAGGATACAGAACATAAACTGGATGGAGTGTTCATCACACCATAGCCTGGCCACTCCAGTGGAGCATCCATCTCGAGCTGGCTTGACACAGAGAGTGCTACACTGAAGTTCTCTCGTCAGCTTATGCCAAGTATCAACTATTAGTTCATCTGATAGCTTTTCTGTACTCAGGACAACCTTTGGGATAGTAAGCACCCCAGATGATTTTAACTGCAACCCTCGGATTAGTTAGAATAAATACAAAAGTATCACTGAAAATGATAAAGACAGAGAACGGTGATCAAGGATGATCCTACTTCAGCGTCAGTTTATCAAGTCGAGTATAGAAAAATCAAAATTTTGCAGGCAGAAATTCTATTTGACACATTAGAAAAGTAAAATTTGATGTCACATTTGGGTACTTACTGGATTGATTGATTGCATACATCACAAGAACATTTTAAGAAATGTCTCTAAGCGCTATATAGTATACTATTCTAGACAAGTATTGATTGAATAGTTATTCACTTTAAAGCAGGTTCATAAATATTTGAGATTATTTTTACCAAAAAGAACATATACTCCCTTCTTCTCTCTTTACCCCCTCTTCCAGTCAACAACAATAAGAGTTCAACTAGAATTGCATTTCCTCCATGGAGTCAGATTACTCTAATCACAGGAGACGCGATTAGTGCTGAATGAACCAATTCAACAAGCGATTGTATTTCTTCCTAATGTTTTAGATTTACACCAACTGAAGCAGCAAAGTTTTTCTTGGAGGTGCACGCAACAGAAAATACATTAAATTTTTTAAAAAGGAAGAATATGGTGCACAATGTTCTTTCCGTATTCTCTCAAAAAAGTCTACAAAGGAAGCTACAATCTGGACTAAGATGAAGCAGTCTTCTTGATCAAAGGTCTTCAGGTAAAATAACTAATTTAAAGTTTTCAACATTATCCATATAAAAAACTTAGATCCAATATAGAAAATAAAATACTAGTCCAAAACAGAAATATTTTGTCATTGAAAAAAGTTAGTCCGAAACAACGTCCATCCAAAATTGATGAACTAGGCTTTACAGTTCAAAACCAAGAAGATTCTGAAAATATGACGGTACAAACATTTGATCAGAGGCTAGTACATTGCAAAAAATCACAGGTTCGATTCAAAGTAAAAATCTAAATAATTGACGATTATGGCGCTCAACATACATGCTCGAGAGACAGTGATGTTGCCACTTTATCAATACATGTTTTCGAAGCCATGGGCCCAGGACCTGCATAAAAAAGAAAAGCGTGTCATGCAACCGATGAAATATATTTCCTCATGAAAACTGAACAAAAGCCATTTTACCAGTATATGGAACTCCTGAAGATTCTAACACAGACTGAAGCCTCCCATTCTCACCAATGCCACCATGAACTGTAGTAACCAAATTCAAATAGAAAAGAATACAGAAAGAAGCACAGAATTATAAGCAACTATTTAAAAAGAAACATAATTATACCCGAATGTTAATATGAGAAAGTTGGAGAGAGACACTGAATGAAAACATAATCAAAACCTCTCAAAATAGATAGTTCTCCATTTATTTCAAATGGATTCAAAAGATAGCTAAAATCTGATGTTTTATTAATGCAAGTTTGATGCATGTCTTCTCCTAAAAAAATTCATCCAGATTTGATGGCCTCATTGGCCTTTGATGATCAAAATTAGGATCGTGATCCCTATCTGGATCACATTGGATTTCCCAATTCAGTGGCTGGCCAGGTACGGCTCAAAGCTCCCTCAAGAATCAGATCGGATACAACAAATCCAAGACCAAATAGGTTGGATACCAGCATAAATATCGCACCGTGCTGAAGCAAAGGTTGATAAGAGAATCCCATCCGATGACAACTATAAAGCAAAATATTGTTAACCACAGATGTCAAAGACTATCTTTGAGCAGCAACTAGCTTTGGTGCTGCCAAAAACACTAAAACAGGACACGTAATACCAATTTACAAAATTTCTGAAGTATATTTTATTTATGTGCCCTTTGAAGATCTAGATGCACAATAATAATGACAAACTTGTTTTACCACGAACGACATATCAAGATGATATTATTCGGATCCATAAACTTGATCACATTTATGACCATTCACTATTAGCAGGTATGTCCATTAGGTAAACAATTTTGTCACTGTGTCCATTAGATAAATGCAACTGATTGAGGATCTTAACCTGCAATAAACACAACTGCATCAGCATCCTTCACTTGTCTAATCCATTCATCCAGTGGAACTTTCTTGGGAAGATCATCATATATGTCAAAGCCTGAAAACCAGCCATGTTTCTTTAGACCTTCCTCAAGTTCAGACATCACTTGGCCACGTAAACGGGATCCAAATGCAGCCCTAGCTGGTTCAATTGCTTCAAGACAAGCAGCAAACACTTCTTCTGTCGTATGACGTAGAACAATAGAATAACTGCTACAACAAAAAATGGGTCTGGTTACAAGTGGCAACCCAAATGATTATAAGATATACACAATCAAATATTTGAAGAGAAAAGAAGCCATATCTATAGTTTCTTACACAATTCTCAATAATGTAAAGCCTGAAAAAAGGAAAATCTATAGAACATGTCAGAACATTGATTGCCTACCTATAATCATAAGGTACTGATCTTTCATGATGCAGACCGCTTGCTAAAATAGGAAAACAAGTTACCCAGTTTCTTCATTGAGGAAACTTTGAGACAATATGGATTGAAATGTTGTAGCCCTACCTTTTTCATTATATATGATTTATAGTTTTATGTGGTGCAATCCAGTACCCAAAGCTTCAATTTAATTTTTTTTAATTCAGCTAGTGAAATACAAATAAACTTCACGCGATATGCAAAAAAGGAATTATAAATGTATTATAATAGGAGAAGAAAAAGAAAAACATAACTATGAGTGAATGAACTGAAGAAAGTAATCGGTGATTGAAGATGTGAAATGACACTTACGGTAAAGACCAAACGACCATGGGAATTGAGTTATTTACTTCATTTTTGTCACCTTTACAAAAATATCCATTCGCTGGAGCAAGCAAACATGGGGTGACATCAAGCTGAAATTTAGAGAACTTAATAAAGTGAATTAACAATAAAAAGGGAACAACGAACAAGCAGAAAAATAATGGTCACCAGGGCAGTAAATCATGATGTGTTTGACACTCTCACCACCATAGTTGGACGTGATTTTATTCTAGATATTGGGACATGCTAACACAACATTCGGAAGAAAGATATGCTAATAAATACCACTAGCAAAAAGAACGGAATAAATGGAGTACATCACTAAGAGAGACATTCATTCCATTGCATTAACCACATAAAGTCCATCGAAAGAATTCTTCGGATATATTTGGTTATCAAGCTCATGAAGCTGCACGATCAAAAGGAAGGTATAAACCTAACATTCATTATAACAGACAACATCTGAATCATCATTATTTAGTCTATCTACTTGAACTTACCAGAAAAAAGGGAATCCCAACAAAGTGACCTCAAGGGGATGCTAAATAACAAGAATGCCCATAAAAATCAACTATGACGCGTATTTCTCTGAAGCATGGAAGATCCCATTTTGTGAGGGGCATTTATCTTTCAGGAATCTAACAGGATCTCAAGGGGATTAATTTACATATGGTGCCGCCACCAGGTGTCTTCATTAGTTTTAGGTCGGTATGGTGTTAATGTAAAACATTTCCTGCCAACCTGAAAGACACAAGTCTCAGCTCCGCTTTGTGAAAAGCTTCATGGAAGTCTATCTAGATTAAGGTCTAACCTATACATATGCTTAACTGAATTCCATACTAACCAATCAATTTTAAAAGGTGACATCTGAGATAATCATCCACAGTGTGGTAAAAATTTCAGGAGAAAAAATAACTCTAAGCATATCATTGGAATCCTCAGAAGCAAAGATACAGGAATACAAAGCATAGAATATTGAATAAAAATATGCTGTAGGACCAACATGAGTTAAAATTGATTACATCATCAAAGGATTGTAAGTTAAGCCACACATTTGTTCCACTCATCAGAGATACTTGACGCTCTGAAGTTTCTCCTCCAAATAAGACAAAAACCTTTTGCACGCCTGTGGACTTTGAGATGATCTTATTCTTCAACAAAGAACTTCGTCTTCCAGATGATACATTCAAAATATTTCTGCGAAATGAAAGAGAAGGAAACCGCAGGCATGCACGCTGGATTATAGTCCGGAGAATGTTTGCATGAGAGAACCCAACCTGAGAAGATGATATACTTGGTGCAATCAGATGAAGAATAACTCACAAATGACTATTGATAATGGTAACTTTCTTGTGATGCTCTACAATTCCACACAACAGTTGTAAAGATGGAAAAAAATACGTGGTTGATGAACAAAGTCAAAAGCTTCATGGAAGAAAGTTGCAGAAGCTTATAATTTAACTGCAGTTCATTACGCATCATAACCATAAAAATATTTGCAGCAGCATCCAAATTGAAAATTATCTTCGTGGACATTATTACGAAATAAATTTACGGAAACAACTCCCAATTCGATGGGAAGGTACATAAGAACCTCTAATTTAAGGAAATATCTCCAAAGTTAACGGAAAAGAGTAGAAATGGCATAATTTTCAAGAAAACGGTAACAATTCACGGAAAATTGCGGAAGTAGCTTAATATCATAAAATTACAGAAATATTAGTGACTTTATAGAAGTTACAATACATGCTAATCTCAAATTAAAATGTATAATATTCTTAGTCGACACATTTATATCATAGGAATCAAGTAACGTCAAGAACATTACAATCAATGCAGGTAATCAATATTGCTTCATCAGGAGGATAAAAATTTAACAGTAATTAAAATCATGAAGGAAATTCGAACAATAAAGTCAGAATACTTGTAGATGGACACAATCAAATAGCATAATTCTTTGTTCCGGGATCAAAGCAGTGAATGTCAAGAAAGATGGCAACCCAAAAGGCATTGAAACCAATGATATTAAAAACATATCCAAATAGGAGCACATGGAGGGGAAAACTGTTTATAGGATTAAAAGACATCAAATCCACTATTAAAGCAGAGATAAATGTTCTCACACGTGTAGAAAGCTGGTGAAAGGAGTAGTATCATAAGGAGAATCTCCCGGGGCATGAAATTACTTGGAAGTATTGCGAAAGATTGGTATTATGTAGAACTTCTTGAAGAACGTCTAAGATCATGAGGTAAAGCTCCCTTGATAAATATGCTCACTTTTGTCTTCTTCTTTCAACATGTGGAAAATCTGGCAAATGATTTGTGAACCTCATTCCTATCACCAATGATCTAATTACCGAATTAACCACCAATGTTACTCCAATACTGGCTCCAAATGCTTCCAAATATCTAATAAGAAAGTTGCTACAGTCGCTTCTGGCAGTAGCCTCTCCGATCCCAGTCATTTTTTTTAAAGTGACAACCCTAGTCACTTAATTTATAGAATACCAGTTTATGCATTAGTTTAAAGAACGTAAAAAAAGTTGAGAAACATTGTTATAAAAATGATCATTCATCGATGGCACTCACAATGAGACAATGCCTAGGCAGCAAGACAACCAGTACGAATTTATATAACTTTCAAAGGAAGAGGCTCGAAGAAGTGCTCAAAACATAATTTTTTACGCCAAAAAATTGATCATTTGGTTGTGATTTCTTGCAACGTTGGCAAGATTACAAAATGTGTTCAAAAGAAATATTGCCCAGGTGATAAAGATAAAATATAGATTTTATTTCTTATGATTAGCTTCAAAATATCAATTTGAATACTACAGAGTCCATATCATGCATTGATACAAAAATCACGAAAATCAACCAAATCGGGAACGACTAGTACACTGACAGGGAAGCTCAGATAGTCAAGGATGTTTAGGGCCACTGTGGTCAATGGAAAACGTACCATTGATTTGAAACTGAACAAGGTCATGAGGTAAGGGGAAAGGACAAGATAGCATGGAAACCAAGAGTTCAATTAGGTATGACCTTTAGAAAAGATAAGGTATAATTAATGAATCTGTTTAGGTTTAATTAGGTGAAAGTAATATTTGGAAGGTACAGATGACTGTTTTAGTTATTTTTTACCAGTCATGGCATGATGACACATTTCATGACTCTAATTGATCATAAATCTACAACTCGCTGTTAATAGTGCCCATATTTTTCATCGATTTCCATGTTTCGTCAAGATAAAGTAAACAATATTGTAGAATTTCAATTTATGGGGAAACGACTTAAATCAGTTTCTTCTGAGAAACGGTGAAAGATATTAGATTCAAGTATAAATAATTTACCTTAGAAGCTTGCTGAAAAAGAAAACTGGTTTGCTCCATGCCACTAATCTGGCTCAAATATAGAGGGAGAAACGATGATGTAAAGATGATATCATAAGCATTGGGGAACAAAAAGAGAAGTGGACATGAAGATGAACAAGAACCAGGGGTTACGAAAGTCTTTGTATACCAGGTTTATGTCAGTGTAAACGACTGTACCAGATCCAGTGTGTCCGAACTTAGTATTTTCGTTGGTGTGCAACATAGGAGGTGGAGAAGGCAAAAACCAACCATCAATTCTCGCAAAATCACGTAAGCCAAGGGACTTAAATAATAATTCAGCGCCTTTCCGTATGCAGTGAATGATCTCTTCAGAGAAGCGTGGTGGAGTGTGGTAAGCAACCTGACAAAAATTGAAATAAATAAAGAACAAAAGATTCAGGTGTAAGAGTGTTTGGGTTGGTTGAAAAAAAGATAATATTACATCGTTGACTGAAACGTGGAAATAGTCTATGTAGAACATACAACACAACACCAAGAAATGTTTTTAAAAAATGACACAACACGAAAGCTTTTCCAATATACCTGCTGCGTTGGAAGATATTTCCTTCGGTAGTCAAATATTTCATCTTCCTCGGTGCTGCTTTTGTCATGGCATTGAAGCTCCACCTATCAGCGAAAAAGGGAAGAAAAACCAGTAAACCGCCACTAATAGACATCTGGAAATGAAATAGAAGTGTACATGGCTTCATCTTTTGGGATCTTCTCTATCCTTGTGGAAAGCTATATTACTATCATAAAATGATTGGTTAATTCCCTTGAAAGTTATTACTATTATTTTAAGTGAACTTCTGAAGAATCCATCTAACAAGCTGAAAGCTCTGGTACTTTCTTTATGAAAGAATCTTGAACTTCAGTAAGTCATAATAGTTGTGAACAGTGATGCAACGCCAAGGAGACTAATCAAATAGCACAGGAAAAACTCGACTCGTATTCACATCATAGGTGACTGTTATATACAAGAACCAAGACCACAAAACAAGGAAACTCTCCAACAACTAGGAAACGAACCAACAAATTAGTTAATGGTCCAACTAAGAAGCGAACTAATTATATGTTCTTTCCCACAATAATAAGCTATGTAATCAGAGGTAACCTTAGTAAGCCATCTAGTTCAGTATAACAGGACCTCGAGTAGGAAGCAATTATTTTGATTTTTGGTTTTTAAAAAGTAGAAGATTCATTAATTATTAATTTCCAGGATTTTCATTACTCTACAAACGAAATAGATTTAGTAATAGATTCAGCTGACGATTGAGCATATCCTTGAAAGGAGATGTTGAGGATAATGAGACGAGTTATTAAATTTCTAACCCTGAAGAAGGGAAGTGAAAGATAGTACATTTTGAGATGTGGGGTCCCATTTACACCCCGGTACAACAGGATGATTTTTGGCAAAATAATTTGTACGGGAGAATATACCAGGATCCGAAATTGAGATCCACCAGATTTATTTTGTAGAAAGATAATGTCCTAAAAATATATAAAAATGATGGAAAACATTATTAGAAGACAGAAAAGGAAGATAATTGGTGCAGTTATCAACACAAATGGAGTTTCCAGATTCAGCCACCAGTGAAGATCAATCAAGATCGACCATTTGATGGCCAGTTTTCCATTTACATTTTTTTCAAGGAATCCTCATTGTATTCCCCCCAAGTCTAACCATTCTCATGAAAGTCAAATCATAAGAAGGCTAGATAGAATAGGCATCCCAGAAACCATGGTTCAACTCGACTATAAACCAACATGTATGAATTTTAGCACCACGAAGAAAAACAGTATATGTGTCATATAGCTGTCATACAATATGAACAATAGAGACGGATGACTAAAAACTCAAAGGAAGACCATATTACACAAGAATAAGGTTAGTCTCTCAAGATATTTAACTAGAGTACCGGAAAATGTCGTACCCCCAAGAGAATGATATATATAATAGCGAAAAGGTACAGACCCCATGATACAAGTTATGAATTGTATTCCCAGTTTTCTTAGTGACCTCAATAATTCCGCGTCATGTTGAAAAATAGTTCTCATCCCATTTATCATTCTTCCTTTTTCAACGTTACATAAGCAGGAAGTGGGTATTCCTTCCGACTTGAATTATGCTCGCAACTCAGACTGTGACTCATGTAGTAAAAAAGTCAATGCCATATGCAAAGATGATGATAAGTAGACTTTTTGATGCTTGGAAAGATGATGAATGGAAGAAAAATCCAACACTACGTGATTTCTATTCTGGTGAGGCACTGATAAAAGATGACATCGCCTCAATTCCAGGAAGAAAACAAATTAAACTAATAAGAAAATTTACCTCTGTTGGGAGGAGAACAACAGGATGGCAATCAGACCCTGATCCAATGTCAATGACTATAGCTGTAAATTCACTTCCTCCTTCAAGAAAAACCTCAATAAGGACTTTATCGTCAATCCCCTGCTTTCATTTCAGACTACTTCAGTAGGAAGCTACAATTCTTGAATTAAAATATTTCAAAACTCAATGAAATTAATAGACCTCTGAAATTATTCTAGAAGCTTTTCTCATGGCATCATCAGCCCCATAAGCAACAGTCACTCCTATGCTCGATCCTGCTACAATTGGCTTAACCTTCAAAACCCATTACATGATTATACATGTATCGATCCATAAGCAACAGGACACTTGGATCTGTATCATGTGACATGATACAATACATGATTGAATGAAAAAAAAAGCATCCCTTACCACCACTTTTCCAGTGTTTTTATCTAACTTGTTGCCAGTGAACCACTGCAGCAGTTCCAATGTGTCTTGTGTGCTTCCCTGAAAGTGCAAATGACATAAACTTCAGGGAGTAAAATGTTCACAGAGAAATAAAGTGGAATAAAAATAATCTCCGACTTCATCACCAGATCTACATGAAGCCATTTACTGGTGGAGGACATAAGTGGCATTCATGAATCTGATCTTATATCATGGTCCATACTACCAATGTTCATTTAGTAGATGACTGGTTCTTTGAAAGAATTATCTCACACCTTCTGCTATTCAGGGAACTCTCTAGTCCCTTCCCCTTCAATCACATCCACTTCATAATCTGCATGATACTAATTGGCCAGCCCAATATGAAATTCAAAACCTTGAGCTTTCTCATAAGACAAAATGTTCCAATTTATTAAACCACAATGCAGCCTCCTGGGGTTCTGACACTTCACGCGTGTATGAAAGAGAGTAAGCGTCTTAATGAATGAGAGAAATATACAGAGGAGAAAGGGAAAGCTGTGAAAAATAACTGACAACATAAATGAGAAAAATGAGATAAGAATTACATTAGGAATGGGACGAAATCCCTAAGTGTACAAGGTAATCCAGCAATGCAGGAAGTAGAATGATGACAGAGAACAGATCAAGAGTGTGACACCAGATCTCCCATTCCCACTGGTGTTCAATTACTAGGTTCTCATTCCCTTGGCTATGATAGTTCTCTGCAGTCGTTAATCTTAATTAAAATTCCAAGAAAAATGTATGTGGCATACTCTATCGCATGCAGGATATTACACATAGGAAAAAAACTATAAGTTAATCAATTGTAGTCATTTCTCCATCCGACATGAGGTGAAGGAAGTATGCTTGCCTGTAAAATTCGAAATAGGTCTGCATGAAATGCCATAAAAAGCAGTCTTAAACTGGATGATTTGAGTCAAAGCTTGCGATCTTGGGCCAATCGAGTCGAAGATAGGGAAAAAGGAGCATGCAAGAAATTAGCCTCAAAATGGGTTCATTGACCTAAAATTGGTTAACAACACTTCTAGTGCTTGATCAAGGGATGATAGCCTCAATTGTTTTAGTTTAGGGAGTCTCTGCCTCCCCTCCCCTCCCCTCCCCTCCCCTCCCCTCCCCACACACTCATCAATGTCACCACTGGCACAAAAGAGCTAATAGGAAGTTGGAAAAAAGATCATTCAATCTCCCACCTCCCCCTACTACACTTTTAAGTGCAGAGCTGGTATGAAAAGGTGGCCGAGCAAAAACAATGCCTCAGAACACTCATGGTATCCCAAAAAGCAGAAAGCAATAAATTTCGATAATACCTTCAATACCTGCCTTAACAAATAATCGTAAAGAGTGGTATCATATTCATAATTCAATTACGAGCCCATTTCACGGAACTGAGAAATATGCTTTTTCATAACTTTCCAGCCATGTGATTTATCAAACACCTCTGGACATGAAAAGAAAAACAATGCAGAAAAACATAGCTTCCATTGGGAATCAAACCACAGTTCACAGAAAATAGAGGCTACACGCCTTTAAAAAAAATGACAGCACCAAAAAAATGAAAAAAAACAAGGGGAATATAACAAAGAATAAGTAAAGCAGAAGAAATGAAAATAGTTGTACAACCTTTGATATCTTACCTCAACCAAGAAATTCGGTACTGTCACAAAACCCTGTCTTTTAAGCTCTTGAGATGCGTTGTACTACATTTGTTTCAGGCAAAACAAAGCAATCACAATCAGCTTCGTCCATGGGGAGAAGAAAATAAATTCTAGATGTTAATATGAATAAAAGTTAAATCGAAAAAGGAAAATTAAAACAACTGAGAAATATCTAGAATATATTCATAAATCGCAAACGTCACAAATAATATTTTAAAAAATGGGTTTGACTAAAATATCACAGAGACGAATCATACTAAGATAAGCAGTCAGGAAAAATATTTTCTACAATTGCTAGTTATAGACTGTTGGAAGTTCTAGTTATAAGGAAATAATGTAAAAAGTTGAGGGTATTCTGGGACAATTGTCTGGGATTCCTCCCTATATAAAGGGTGTTAAAGGTGAATGAAAATTGAGGAAGTTGTTCGTCGTTCACCCCTCTATCCTCCATGACAGAGGTTATTCTCCCTATTCCTTCAATTTTCTACATGGTATCAGAGTCTAGGTAAACCCTTGTGCCACCACAACTACTGCTGTCGCTGACACTGCCAATGCCTTTGTCCAGCACCTCTTGTTTGAAGGAATGCTGTCGCTGCCACCACCAGCATCTTGCAGTATTTGGTGTCTCCTATCAGCTTCCTCCGACATATCCTGTTTAAGGGAGTGTCATCACTGCCATCACCAGTGTCCGGCGGTATCTAGCATCTCTTGTTAGCAGCCGCCTCCATCATCGCTGCCTCTCTTTGGTGTTAGCTATGTCCAACATCCCTTGTCTGGGGAAGTGCCGTCCCCACCATTGCCATCATCGTCAACATCCTTTGCCGCCATTTGTCGAAGGTAATGGCATCATGTTGTTTTTTGGTGAGGTCTTCCCCTCTGCCAAGTATCTTTCCAGTGAGCGTTTCTACCTATGTTGAGTATTTTTCCAGCAAAAAATTCTACTTCTGCTGAGTATCTTTCTGACAAAGGTTTCTACCTTTGCCATGCTTCTTCTGGCAAGGTTTTCTGCCTCCATCAAGTATCTTTCTAACGTCATTTCTATGTAGTCATCTATCAAATGTTGTCTTAATCCAGTGTTGTCCTCCGTCCTCCTCAATTCAACTTCCTCTGTTCTACATTAGTCTAACGTCCTCCCTAGTTGGCTACAAGAGTCTCCCACAGTCCACACTATTACTGTCCATGCCATGTGCCAAGGTCATCTCACGCCATTCGATGTGATCTTGTAAAATCTCATGTAATCCAACATCAGAAGGCACCATTGTCCTATGAAGCAGCCCTACAACGTCACAACCCAACAGAAGAGGAGCTTTTCGACATTGTCACAGGGGGAGTTGCTGCAATAATAAATTGTCGTCGTTACAAGTTTGCTTTTCAACAAGTGAATGCTCATCAACGACTTAGTTAAGATGAACTTTTCCAAAGTTCATCTTGAAGGGGGGATGTTGAAAGTTCTAGGTTGTAACGAAATAATGTAAAAGGTTGAGGGTATTTTGGGACAGTTGTCTAAGGTTCCTTCTTATATCAAGGAAGGGTGTTAGAGGTGAATGGAAATTGAGATGATTATCCGCCCTTCTCCCCTTTGTCCTCTGTGACAGAGGTTATTCTCCATGTTACTTTGATTTTCTACATATACAACTACCCTAGCCATGAAAACAAGAAACTTCCTAGGTTAAGGAAACTAACCAACTAGGAAACCAAGAAACTAGAAACTGAACAAACTAGGAAACTGACAAACTAGAAAACGAACAAACTACACAACTCCTCTCAACTAGGAAACTGGCCAACATAAACTAGCTCCTAATTACAGGGTTTTTAATACAATCCATCTCTTCATTAGTATAAGCATTTTGAACTTCATATAAGACTGCAGCAACTCCATGTTTTCAAGACTCTTGTCAAGATTGATCTAAATTCTCTATCAAGCATGATTGGAAAAATCGTGTACGATAGAATCAGCATATTTTTTTCTTGGTCAATTCTTTTATATGTAACATTAAATCAACATCTTGATTCACCACTAAATTAGATTTTAAAAATCCAATCGCAATCCAAATTGGTCCATGGATTGGAATTGCCTAGCAATGTGTTACCATGTGATATAGAGAAAGTTGTGAAAAATAGAATTTTAGGCCTTGAATCCACAAGGCATGAAATTTGGAGTAGGAAAGAATGGAAATTGGGCCTTGAATCCACAAGCACCAATTTTACCAATCCCTGAATCAACAAGGATCGATTTGGATGATCCTTGAATCCATTAAGATCAGAAAAATGGCCCTTGAGTCCACAAGGGTTGCTTGAATCCACAAGCACTCAGAGATCTCACAAAGAGGACGAAAATTCGTAATAATTCACCACAGCTACATGATCATATCAAGCCATCTTCCTCAGGTTACAGTGTTCAGGCTTTTAAATAGGCCAAGATCTGTTCTAACTGTCCTTTAAAATCGAAACAATTGACAATAAAAAGGATTAAGCATATAAAAGAGGGAAACCTGAAACCTACAAATCTAATGCGTTTTCCTCACAGTTTTATTTGGGCTTAATCTTATTTTAGGCCTTTAAACATTTGTAGTCCATGTTATTGCGTTTTCAAGGTCACTTGGTCAAAAACATTTCGCCTTTCTCCTTTTTTCAAGTGATGTGATATGTCACCATGCTATAAGACAGCATAAGGTTTGCTCATTCTACAGATGTTAAGCAGAGCATTTGCCAAAAGTCCCACGAGGAAATTTGATGGGTACATGCCATTTCAATCTTTTATCAAAAGATGGTCAATGAAATCGAATTGTTGGCAAAGAGAGAAGGAAAAAAAATTCCACAAGCATATGTAACTTTTTCTAGAGCAAGTACGATCTAAAAAACTCAATTAAACTTATCTCCCAAGAAGAAGGGATCGGAAATTCCCTGTGAACGAGGAAAAGTCATCTTTCCTTCTAAAGGAAGACATTCCACTGGCGTTCATGTCCCATCCCCAACACCCTCGATATCATCCCCCAAGTTAAGCCTCTCCAAATGTCACGTTGGATTTAAAATACACAAGAAAATACTAGAAGACACTAGTGGTCGTGTTCATGTATTATCGTCACCAATCAAGAAAGCAGTAACTTAGTACCAAGAAAACCAGATGGTGTGCAGGATTGATTACTGACGAATGACTCAAAGAAGATTAATTTCTAGTGTTACGCAAAATATTAATGCAAGTATTTTCTACTCAGGAAATTAACTTTGAAAAAACTTGGACAAACTCCTTGTGAATACTAGTAGCAGAAGCAATGACCACTGCACCAATCGTACCTTGTCAAAAGCTTTACGACATTCCTTTGAGCACGTGCCAATAAATGGAATGTTCAGACTTTCTAGCAGCTCCTGAGTTTATACATGTTAAAAAAAATAAACATAAAATCTTGAGATAATAATCTGAACTTCTGGAGCAATGCATGTTGGAACCTGCAGAAGATAAGGAATCCCAAACTTTCATGATACTTCTCAGGACAAACCTGGATGCCACCATCTTCCCCAAACCGGCCATGTATGACAGGGAATGCTATGTCTATGGAATGAGAAAGGTGTTCGGCAAACTCTGGCAAAGATCCAAAACCTTGTGCAAGGCTGCAGTAAAATAAAGCATAAGCCACGTGAAATACTTTTAAATGGGGAAATATAAATTATTAATGAAATAATTAGCTAACCTGTCTAATTTGAAGTCAAAATCAGCTGGAGTATTACAGTACAACTGTGAAGACAGAAAAAGTTTTTAAAGATGAATGCTTTTCAGTATCTATAAGAAACAGTTTTACACTGTTTAAGGTTTTAAATATAGATGTATCCAATCCAGTCAAACCCAGAACAGGAAAATGAGGGAAAAAACATGCCCATGTGACATTTTTCCGCATGTTGTAAATCTAAAAAGTTGGGTGGCAATGCTCACAGCACACGAAACAAAAATTAAGCAAATTACGTACCTTAAGATGCAGTTCCGTATGCAAGAAAAAAAAAATAGTAAGAAAAGTATTTCCGTGTACAACAAATGACAAAAAGAATGTCAATTTTTAGATGGAGAGGAAGTTTAAGGTGGGAAAGTACTTTCTTAAAAGATAAGGATGAAGTGAAGGCATTAAAAAACCAGCTTGTTTTGCGGAAAAGCAATCAACATTAAAATAATCAGCTACCAGATAGCACAATAATTAAGCATTTGTGCTGACGCCAACTGGAAGATAGTTTACTTCTTATTTCATCATCTCTTTTTCTGCCTGGACCATCCATATTAGCAGAGTAAGATCACTTGCATTTTTGAGAAACAGATTAGCGAGGGAATTTTCAAGAGCCATTTCCATAAGTCGCCATTGAATGTCTGTCTTACCAGTACACTTCTCCCATATGATTTTTAGAAATACAACGGAAAAGAAAATGCATACATCTTTTCACTACAAGGATGAATTTAATCCTACCGTCATTTATGCCAAACGAATCCTGTTTTTGCTGTGTATCTACTTGTTGATTATTATCCACATGCATTCAATGATTTCACCATAATTAAACCTCGTCAATCGTTACCTAAGACATTAGACGATAAATGAATTAGATATATTCGACTCATGCAAAATACACTAAGCCCAAGGTTGCAACCTTTACATTTAATGCTAGACATTTCACTCCAACATATATCTAATCGCTTGATAATTCAATATAGTGTCCTTTAGATTTCAGAAATCATTTGCCAACACGTTAGATAAGAACCAATTGGACATTTTCGGCCCATGTCAAATAAATGTTTTCTGCAGTTAGGGGTCTAGATAATTTAATTAATGTCTGTCACGGATGACATGAGAAATGACAATCTAAACCGTTGCCAAATATAATGCACAAAAGGTCAAAAAGAACACGTTTCTTGATATTGAAGAAATATTTCTTTCCCCTTTTCCCATTGTACAATGCCTCTTTCTTCAGCAACGGTCTTGATTCCCGATAAGACTCGTCATGTAGCCTCATTAAAAAGAACAAAATGATGCGGTGATAAAGTTAAAGCTATATTTGCAGAATCGAGAGGGCCTGCTCGATGATGATGATTCAATTCCCATATTTTAACTACAGTTAGTTTTCTCCTTTCAAAATTAAGCGTATTTATATTTCCTAGTCTTTAGAGTACGGATTCATCTTCCCGTCATAGAAAATATCAAGCATTGCATCATTATACCAACCTGAGCAGGGGATAAAGCATAAGCGTTGAGGTTGCCGTCAATGTAGTAGCAGCTGACATGCAAATCATCTCCCTGCAGACACATGAGAACGATGTTGAGAACAACCACGGCAGGTTCAACGCCCTCCATAGATGCTTGATGAGAAATTTCATACCAAAGGAAAATAATGATTATCAGGAAACACTATCACACATAGAGAGTACTAAAAGAAGCCTTTGGGAATCTGAATTATATGTTTTAAACATCAAAAGGCTTTAGCCCATCAACCTGGGACAAAGAAGTTGGAACCAACAAATGATACTCGGTTTTAGAAAAAATATAAAAATTGAGTTTTGTACAGGCGAATGCAACCCATCTGACAGATTCTAGCAGACTCACAGTAGCACTGAAACGGAAGGAGAAGAAGATTATTAGCAGTGTGGCTTAAGATCACGTCCAAATACGTTATCTTCTACAACCATCTGCACGCTTCATCGACTGTGATTTCCGATCACTTTCGCTAACAAGCAACTAGCTATCCATTGTTTAGGGAAGAAACTTATTCAGGTAATTTTATCGCATCGAGCTGCTCCCATGCCTTTTAAGTCAAGGTTTTCAATAAGCAGGGAAAAGAACCAAGAGGAAACCGTTCATGTACGTGCTGAATAGTTCGCGTCCTAATTTTCGGGCGTCGCATGTAAAAAGTACGCTGACAAAAACCCAAACAAAAAAATTTACTTGAATGTGATCGAGAACAGAGCGAGCGGAGTTCAGTGAGATGCCACGTTCTGCCGATGGGCCCCCGCATATGATACCGACTTTAAGAAGCCTATGCTCCTTATCCTCCGGCACCTTCTCACTCCCCCTCTCCAACCTCTTGCAGCCAATAACTCCCACGTTAACCTCTGATCCTTGAGCCCGAACATCCCGCCTCGAAGAGCAACGGCCCTGGGAGACAATGTGCCACAGCGCAGAACCAGAAGGGGCCACGAATCGGACTTTGCCCAGGTGAGTTCTCTTGGAGGTGCTCCGATGGGCGCCCAAGCGGCCGATCGAGTGGCACAACAGTGGGGAAGCTCCAAAAAGAGACGCCATGCGGAGAAGAAGCGCGCAGCGCTGCGGATAATCTTCGATGTTTGCCCGATCAGAAAACCCTTGACGTATTCTTCGAAGCCCCTGGTGGTGGCCCTTCACTTACAGGAAAACCAGCTGAACATGGTCTAGCCCCCAAGACGTTGAACGATGTTCTCTCGTCCCCCCAACGGCTACACTCGACAGCAGTCCCATAATCGCGCCGCCTAAGGTTTACGTGCCACTGCGTCATAATTATCCAAGTTGCTTCCTACTAAATAAATATAATTATCTTTACTACTGTTTTCCAATTATCGGATAATCTTTCCAAATATAAAAGTTTCATTAAGATGACTTTGTTGTGCTACTACCGCTCCATATGGAGGGAGGAGTGGATAGGAGCGTTCTTTTAATTAATACAAATGGTAAAAAATAAGGATTTATCCAGATTTTTTAGAATATCACAAAAAATGGTATTTGCACGACGGTAATTATTCCGTACTAAATAAAGGAATAACTTCCTATCAAATTCATTATCATGTAGCATTCATACTATTTTTATAAATACTACTAAAAACTAACTGATCATAATTAGCATTAAAGTCAATGCCCCTAGTCACAGTCAATTTTTTTATATGACCCGACTCCCGATTTACCATAAGTTTGGGTGCATGATTTTTTTTAATAATAATTTTAAAATAGTTAAAGTTGTTGAGCCCTCCACTAATACCACTAACTATAAATACTACGTGCTGTCGTCAGTTGACTTTAGGTGTGAGTTGTCATTTAAAAAGTTAATGCACATACGTTGTCATTAAATAAAATTTCATGGTTGTGTACATTTTTTCAAATTCATATTTGTGGTCGTTTTATATAAACCATACTTCTCTTGCAATGACTAATCAAACCAGCATGAATTATTGGTTTGAATATATACACGTCCTAGGTTTTAAAAATGTGATGAGATTACAAACATAAACTTATGCTTTAAAATACACCTTTTTTATTCGAAACAAAATTTCAAGGCCCGTTAAATTTTATTTATGCCTTTTTTTTCTAATCCAAAAAAGTTGTAGCATTTAACAACGTGAACCTGATAATTAAACATCTAACTATGTTGAAACTATTGCCGAGTAAATTTTAATTTTGAAGATAAAAAATAAAATTTGAACCCATATTATAATAAATTCGAGTATGCTAAATTGAGACTAGGTTGACTTTTGGGTCTCGCCTGGCCTATTAAATACTATCAATGAATGATATCTTACGGAATCATATACGGTAATCGATGAAGCGAGGGAGGGGGAGGCGGCGAGGAAGACTGATCTGCCTGGGGCGACACGGCATGCATATCGACGGATTTCGCTTTCTTAGCCTGGAACGTATCTTTCGATGTCTGGACCCGAGAACTCCCACATGCCCATGCATCGCCGCCTTCGTTGCGCTTTTAACAACTCTCAGTACCATAAGAGAGAGAGAGAAAGAGACAGAGAGAGAGAATGAGAGAGGCGGTGGCGCTCCCTCATAGTGGTCGTCTCTCCTTCTTCTTCCTCTGATAGTATCGGATATCTCTTCCTTGGGATCTGGTTCTCGCACAGACTTGGGGCGGGGCTCGGGGTCGTTCTCGAAGGGGCCCGGTCGGGGAGGGCAGAGCGCCATTGATGGAGCTGGCTCGGCGGGCCACTGGTGCAGCGGTCAGAAGGGCTCGTGGGCGCCATGTGGTGGGTGCCACCGGCAGAGCCCCACACGACCGGCGTTAGCCTGCCGGCGAGGACGGGCACCCATCCGGCGTATGATATCAATATGCTGCTATTTAAAGGAATAATTTAATTAACGTACGGTACTTTTACTTGAAAATCCGTCCTAAATTCGCAAAAGCCGGTTTTCTTCCTGGAGCTCGCGGAGCTCTCAGAGGCAATTCGTTGAGCACCTGCGGGAGGACGCCGATGCCCCCTTTTTACGTCACTCTTTCCATGAATGCGTCCCGGTGGCCGTACGCGAGAAGATTTTCACTGAAATGTGAGAAAGGTGAAAACTTTGAAAGCGACCTATAAAGACCCGAAGGCGGGGCCCACCCTCCCAGTGCTATTTCAACGGGCGATGGCCCCTCTAGTGTAGGTTGGTGATGCCCTCCAGGCCAGCAATCACACATCTGTGGAGAGATTGGAGGATAGAGCGAGAGAGAGAGAGAGAGAGAGAGAGAGAGAGAGAGAGAGAGAGAGAGAGAGAGAGAGAGAGAGAGAGAGACGCTGGACTTTCTTTCCGGAGAGCTGGTTTATAAATAGGAGGAGGAGAGGGGGAGGGGTCTGGTTAACAGGAGGTTCTTGTCGGTTGAGAGGAGGGCGAGGAAGAGAAGCTGGGTTGTGCGAGATGGAGAAGCAGGGCACGTGCATTACTATCTAACGAGGCCATGCTAGGCCGTTTAAAGGTTAGCTAGTTCTTCATGTGCCCATCTTCTCCATCGTGCCCAACCCACACCTCGTTTCTTCCTCGCGTGGGAGTGGCTGAAGGCGCTTCGGCGACGGAGAGTATCCACACCTTCTTGGCTGCACGCCGTGGCTCCGCCTCCACGACGGATCCGGCGCTCCTCTCCGCCTGCCACCGAACACCCACCCTCTCAGGTATGTCTTCGAGGATTGCTTGTTTCTTGGGCTCGACTGGATTGGGTCCCTGATGAGGCATCAAGATTTCATTTTCTATGTACGTTGTACGATTATCTGGCTTATTTCTTCACATAGCGACCACCATCGACACTTCCTAATCTCCCTCCCTCTCTCTCTCTCTCTCTCTCTCTCTCTGCCCTCGAGTAACGGCGATTTCGTGTCCTGGTGTCTCTTCCTCACTCATAGACTATCTTCTCATCCCTTACGACGATGTTCGAACAATCATCGAAGAAAGAACATGATTTCTCGATGCCAGAGAGGATCTGAGGCCTTTCTAGCGGATAAGAATCCATTAACGCACGACAGCCTCCCGAAAATCTCTGTTTCTACCACCAGAATCGGCTATGAAGACCTAGATTGATCGAGAAAGATGGAGATGTCATCGACATTAGTTTCTATAGACCTCCAACTCTAGGATTCCATTCTGACTAGAGTTCTTTAGGTCCGGTGGACACGAGTAAATGAGTATGGTAGGGAGGGAGGGGAGAGAGAGAGGGAGAGAAAGAAGGGGGGGGAGAGAGAGGGAGAGAGGGAGAGAGAGAGAAGGGGGGGAGAGAGAGAGAGGGAGAGAGAGAGAGAAAGAGAGAGAGAGAGAGCGAGAGAGAGAGAGAGAGAGAGAGAGAGAGAGAGAGAGAGAGAGAGAGAGAGAGAGAGAGAGAGAGAGAGGAACCGATTTGCCACCGCCCAAAAGAACTCGGAAGCGTTATATTTTCTCTTATTTACAGGATATTCCGTGTCCACGGTCCGAGCAACTGGCCCTTTTTCTGAGGAAAAGAGAGCCGGCGTGGTCCCGATGACAATCTGGCATATGAAAGATCAGAGGTGTCGGCGGTGCACCATCGGCAGAGAGAGTTCATACCACAGTTCTCCTTCTCTCTTAGCCCCGGCCATGATCCTGAACCTCTCTCCTACCCACCGATCCTGGATGTTCGAGTAAATGTGGTCTTCTTAATTGTCTCCTCTCTCTCTCTTCCCGTTTCGGCGTCTCTAGTTTCAGATCTTTATGGTGTTTCTGCGCTGTTGGTTCCTATTCTAAAACGAAACAAGGCTAACTGGCTTCCGTATGATTCTAGAGAGAGAAACGGGCATGCGTATAGAGGAGACGTCTGTTGACGAGGGGCCGTCGAACCCACGACATTCTGGCTCGAATCCTCTCCAGATCTCCGTCCTTAGTCCCGCGACAGGCACAAACAACGCCAGACTCTCTATCTGATGAACAGTCCTCACCATCAAGCGACTGGTGCGATGATTCTCTCTCTCTCTCTCTCTCTCTCTATCTCGGCCTCCAGGCCCCGTGGAACGGAGATCACATGCAGAACTGCTCCTCCAGCGGTCCTTTCGGGAAGAAGACAGGAAAGGCCGTGATGAACGACGGGGACAGGACGGGACAATCGACTATTCTATGCTTCGCCGAGGTCCCTCCCGCCATTGTTAGCTGTGCCTTGTTGTCCACTTGAGAACCTTGATGGACGAGTAGGCAGCCCCGGGCCCAGAGAAAAGCCCGGAATGTGTGCTCTGGGCCCGACCCAACAAAACCCAGGGCCTGACCCTGATACGATTCCCACACGCGTCCTAGAGAGAGAGAGAGAGAGAGAGAGAGAGAGAGAGAGAGATCGTGGGTTCCTGAACTCATCTTGAGACCCATATTTAGAAAAATGTGAGTCTGACCGGGCTCGGAGGTTGCTCGGTCCATTGAAATCTCTGGAGGGCCAAGATGAAGCGTTCATGGACCCCACTAGCTGACCCTGTAGATTAATAACTGGGTTCTTTTGGTCCTCGCAATAATGTTTATTTATGATAAACCATTTATTTATTTACTCTTGTTCATATATCTTTTGTCATGGGCATCTCTCTCTTTGCTCACTCTCTTCTGAGCGCCAGTTTATCGTTGTCGGCTTATTCCTCTCCTGGAGATTCTCCAATCTCCCAACTTCCGAACCTTGACATTCTTACAGGGCGCCGTCTTCCTCTTCCTCCCTACGTCCCTTTCCTTCTCCCTTTCCTCTCTCCCTCTCTCTCTCTCTCTCTCTCGCTCGCTCGCTCTCTCTTTCTCCTCGACCAAGAAACCCTAGGATCGCCATCGCCCTCTTGCTCTCTAAGCCTTCTTTTTTCATGCATTTCGTACAGGTTAGCATGAACAATAGAAATAAAATCGGAACATTTTTGCGTTGTTCATCAACAGTTATTGTATCCAGCCCGGGAGACGACGTCTTAGCGACATTAAACGTGGTTACCGACCCGCAGAGCGGCGGAGCCTCTCAGCCCCTTGTCCTTACGGCCATCGAGAGCTTTCACTGACCTTTTTTACGGGATGGCGCCAGATCGGACAAGTCATCGCTTGACGTCTTAGTTGTACCGACGCCTATGAAGTGGCTCTGTCATCCTCACGAGTAGCATGGCTCAACCTCCGATTGAAGTCACACTTATCTTCTTCCAGGATTCTCTCTCTCTCTCTCTCTCTCTCTGCGAGTTACCGCCGACTCTCCGGCTGTGCTGCCTCCGCGGGACGGATCTGGGCGGACAGCCGCCGCGGCGCGCCGGAGGATCCCCGCAGTAACAGTGGCCGCGGCGGCGCCCGCGAATTTCGTCGCAGTGGCTCACTGTACTTCTTAATTTTGGTCCCAAATCGATATTAAACCAAATCCGAGATTCTTCAAATCAGATAGGCTCCCGCTGCATTCTTCTACGAAGCCGACATATTTCCCGACACCGGACACCCTTCAAACGCTGGTGCGGCTTTCTGTATTACCGGTTATCTGCGCTCTGCAGCGGGAGGGCCCATTCTTCACAGTTTTAGTGTAAGGCTTTTAAGGGCTCATTAACTACGAGATGACAGATGACTGGATGTTCCGTATATATTTTTGATTTCCCAAAACTCTTCTTCTGCGCACGCCCCATTCCCCCCGCCATGGCACCTTTATTCAGATTTAGATTAGTCTAGAACATCTGTAAATTATATTCTTCGTTTCGAGGAAGACTGCCTAGAAACATCAAATTATTGGATTCGGGGCAGGTAATCAAGTTCTTAAGACCAGCATCCGACTACCCACCTCTTCCCTTTCCAGTGCCTCCCCCTCCTCCGGGGAGGCTGATACTTTGGAGAAGTAATAAGATCATTTTTTTTCTGATTATATGCAATTGCAGGGATGGAAAAAGCAAAAAACTCCATGCGGCGGCGCACCTTGACACAGTCATCAAAGGCGGCGGGGACCGGCGGAGGCCGTTCCATTTCTTGTCCACCCACTTTTCAATGACGCGGCTGTATCTTCCCTTCGCCATCTGCCGCGAACAAGGAAATCTCCTGGATCGTGCTGGCGCGCCAGAAAGACGGCGACCGCCGCCATGATACGCTTTGTTTCGTCTTTGAAAAGGAAGCCAATCTCTTCTTCCCCACGAGGGCCTCTCGTTAAACTCTCCTCAATGCAAACTCGGCGTGGCGCCGGGGTGACGGATGTTCGGTCGACGATGGCGTCGGCCTCAATTTTTCCTTCGGCCTGGGAGATTCCGGTGGATTTCACGGTGAGGAAGGGCCTCCCAGGTCTGACCAAGGGGGAGATGACTATCCACGATGCCTACGACAACCTCAGGTTCCAAGTTCACAGCCGGCTCTTCAATTCCTCTCCCTGGCGGGTCAAGACCCTCCTCGACGCCTCCGGGAACACCTTGATCACCTGCGTGAACCGCCAAGTAAGTCTTCCTCGTTTTTATCCCCAGGACGTCGAGTTTCTGCAGAGAAAAACAAGAGACGATCGAACATTCTTCGTGGAAATCACATTAACATGGCTCACTACCGCATTTCTTGAATACTCTATCGACGGAAGAATTTTGTTCGTTCCCCTAGTTTCTCTCATATCTTCGATTTATGGATTCGGAGTCAAAATTGATGCGCCCCATGCTTTATCAGCGAAGGAAATTAAAATTCTCCAATGCGGTCCATTAATGGGTGATCAAAAAAATTATATCTAGTTTTCTTACGTTTTCTCTAATCTGCATCTGGAACTTTCAATCGACATGAAGCACATGAAACATTGGGGAGATCTCCAGGAAGAACATCTCTTCGAGATGCTAGATCCTATTCCAAGCAAGATTTATTGTTTCGCAATTATTTCTACTTCCCCTTGACGTCTGATCAACCAGAGGCGTTGTCATCTTTCAGGGAGGTTGGGAGGGTTTCAGAGGGAACAGTTTGGACTTCAAGGACGCTATTTTCACAGCACATAAGACGGTAACCTCTCCATTCGACGCGGAATTGAAGGTTTTCTTGATGGATGGAAGCTTGGCGCAGCGAAGATTGGCTTTTAGGGTTAAAGGTAGCCCCTTTCAGAGGTCCTGCACCATTTACAAGGAGAATTCCGTCGTTGCACAGGTTAGTTTCATGACCCATTTCAATATTATCATGTGCTCCACGGTTACTGAAATAAAAACCGGTAATGCTCATCATCTACACGATGTTCATAAATCACTTTAATTGATCATTGCTATGCGAAACAGTTCTTTGGTACGACGCTTTATTTTATCTTCTGTTGATTGGTTGAGAAGTCCCACATTGCAATAAATGGGTGACATGATTAGCATGATATCAGAATTGTTCGTTTTGGTCATGGTTTGCTTAAATTGGACCTTTGGCTTCAGTTTGTAAATCTAACCTGGTGCTCGTGTTCTTGCAGGCAAATCCTAACTTTAAGCTCGGAAAGGTAATCTATTCGAGGCACAAATTTCGACTAACTGTGTACCCCCGAATCGACCATGCATTGGTTGCCGCCATCCTTGTGATATTCTTCGGTGGGCACTGATTTTTCGTAAGGAGGTACTCATGGAATGTAGCTTAGCGCAAGCATGAAAATGCATTAAGATGTTCTTGAGAATCAGCAACCCCACTTGTAAAGAAAAAGATCTTGTTTTGTTGACTAAAGTTATTGAGTTATGAAAGGTTTTGATGACCTAGGGAATGAAAAGGATCATATAAGTCTCTTTGAGCCTGTTGTGATGGTTCTTGCATGGAGGAACGAGGTCCTAGGCACGGGACAAGACCTCTGGCATGAGGTCGTGAGATTGTTTGCGCGAGAATCTCCAAGATGCAGCAGGTGCGAACTGGAGGAGGCTCGTGTGCGGGTGCACTGAGTCGAGCTGACAGCACTACTTTGTCAGGATGAGGTCCACAAAATAGTGATTCTTGAACCTCTGAGACCCAACATGCGTAAGCGACTGATGTCGGGATAACGCGGCGTAGCATCGGTGTAGCACCGCCAAGTCAGTGTAAGGTGTACAGGAGGGATTTGCGAACCTCTGGGACAATTCTACTGTATATTCTCATATTTGTACAGGAACGACCCAAGTTGTGTTATTAAATTATTATACAATGGCAATTTCTTGTAGAGGGTTTAAGGGCTAGACTTGAGTAATGTCATGCAAAGTTTGACTAAGAAGAGAGATAAGGGGTTTCTAGTTACATTCAATCAATCATTTGATTGTCCGTTGCTATTTGATTCAGCATGAACTGGGATTAAGCATACTAAATCAGGGTAAATGACTCAATAATAAATACAATAAAATTTTCAGGCAGCCAAAAGCTTGGCAACTTTCCTACGAAATATGTAAGACAAAGCAAAAGAGTTTCATATTTCCTCGAATCACATTTTTGTGAAACTTTATTCCTCGTCATTGAGGAGGATTGCAGACCCTAAGGTTTTATCATGCAATCACCTAAGGCCTCACTTCATATCTTGTTCCTTCTTCTTTACTGTCTCTTTAAATGTTCTCGTGATTTAGAATGGGGTGAAAAGGATCATAGTAGCTAGTAATCATATAAGAATCAACTCATCTCATTTATAATGAATCAAGAACATTTCTCAAGAGAATGTAAGAAATTAGGCCAATCTCTCATCTGTGCTTGCAACACATAAAATAGCATGGCCTGTGAGGAGTTATCATTTGATTAGGAGTTAAAAAATTATAAACAACAAAAAGCTCAGCTAATTGGATTAGGAACAAAATTCAGTCAGTGATTAAGGGCAACTTATAATTTTTTCAGGGAAAAGGTTTCACAGCTCAATCTGGAAACGACTCACGTTTAAATCAATAATTCTGGTCTCTAGATAGAGTTCCTCATCTGCACATCGGCCCCATTTCATTGATTGAGAATCCACTTTAACCTTGTGACGGGGCATGGGTGGACGCATGAATAAGGATGGGCGTGGACACTGTATAAGTGGTGACGACAAGAGTACAACGGTGGATGGATGAGTATGTAGGCAAGATATCATGGAGGGGCTCACGAAAGGAATGGGCAGCACACTCAAACAGGTAGACATGGAGCATGAATGGTACATAAACAAGTGAGAAAGGGGAGAGAGGGAGAGAGAGAGAGAGGGAGAGAGAGAAAGAGAGAGAGAGAGAGAGAGAGAGAGAGAGAGAGAGAGAGAGAGAGAGAGAGAGAGAGAGAGAGAGATGATGGCGACTGACAATAAATGAACAGGACAAGGTGGAGGAAGCTAAAGGATGTGAGAAGGATGGGGAGAAGAGGAAAACGGGAGATCAGGACTTTTCACAGCGGCTCTCCTAGAGTTTTTCGCTAATCTTAGTCTCAATTTTTTCTATTCTTGGTCATTACTTCATTAAATTAATCCCAAGGATAATATGCCTTGTTATAACATAATCCAAAGTTATAATAAAACGGAAACGGTAATTAAGGCTAATACAAAAGTTAGATTAAGGGTTCCTGATGAAAGGAAAAAAAAGTCATACAGTTATTACTTCAATTTAAGAAGTAAAAGCAAATTAAAATAAGTAAACCTTCTTTTCTAAGTCGTATAGTCGTCGGAACAATTCTACAACAAAATTATACTCTTTGCCGATGCCGCATTGAGACTGTCTCCTATCCACAACTTGCTCGATTTCATAGTAGACTTTAAAAATCGAGGGACGGCTTGTGCAGACTTCCATGGGCAGGACCACGGAGGGATCGAGTGCCTCCATGCGACCGAGTCAGAGACCAGCGACTGCATCATGTGGCTTAGCTCGTTCAATAGACGGCGAAGGGTAAGAGATTCAGACACCTGTTTAACACCGTTTGAGTCGATGAGTGGCTCCGCCGCAGCGCCACCAGTCCCTCTTGCCGCCGCTCGCAGACAGGCCGGGAGTCCATGGCCTTCATTTTGCCATCGCCTCGGCCGCCAATCGCGTTACGCCGGAGTCATTTCCCCATCGTCTCCATCCTCCATCGAGGAGGTCGTCATGGACATCCATTTGGAATGGAGTTTCTCTCTCTCTCTCTCTCTCCAGCCATCTCGCGTTATTTTGATCCAAAGCAGATGCACAAGCATTATCGACTTTCAGATATTCCCGCTATCTACCAAGTGGAGATGCATCAATTCCACCGGCGAGCTCCTCCGGCGAGCACTAAGCCAACAGGAAGGCTTGGGTTTCCCATTCATCAGATGTGGCCCCATCAAAGCTATTCAGGCCTACCCTTTCAACCATCTGGGTTGGGTTTCCCAAATGCTCGTATTTAAACGCTAAATCATTAATTTATAACACGATTTGATTTGTATTATAGTACTTTCCCAATGTTTTCGGTGACACCCATTTCTGCTTGTTCTTAGTATTTGTTGAAATTTATTTCCCTTCTTCAAGATTCCTTTGGATTTGCAAGTTTGTAAGATGTTATTGGAAGTAATATACTGATGAAGCCCTCCCACCATCATAGACCAATTCTCCACACAACCGCTCACGACTTCACCCGCACGACCCTAGTACTCACTGGAAGCTCGGCAACATCAGGACGCACCAACTGTACGAACGCCACTTCTCCCACGACATAGCTGGCTCCAACAAATCACGTCCCAGCATTATTTTAACACGAAAGCTCCTATCGCGAGAGGAAGAAAAAGACTATTTGGAGAGTCTCACCCACTCTAAGGGTGCTTGATAGTCTGACCCGCTCTAACGGTCATTATCCTCTTACATCCTTCTCCCTCACGTTATCTCTCTTTCCCTGTAATCTCCTTTTGTCCTCTAGTGTGAACCGTCAGTTAATGTTCCTCTCACCAACATCTCTTTCTCTCTTGTTCACACGGGTTTCACACCATATGCATATAAAAGATTTTTATATTAATTTCCAAAAAATGATGCGGCAAAATTGCACGGCTTGTCTTCTTATGTGTGATGTTTCACTTTTTATGAAATAAGACGCTGGCAGAATTAATCGGCGGTAGTATCGGAACCACAATTCTAATTACGAAAGGTTGAGGGAAGGTAAGAAGATACAATGATGTTGCATTTAACCATGCTCCATTATTTCATGGCAAACCACGGCGGACTTCAACAGGCGTCGCCGTCACAGGGGTTGATGTCGGTGGGTCTCTACGAGGACGCCATCGATGACCTTCTTATCTTCGCAACCGTGTCGCCCACGCGGAGGCCACTATTTATCCAGCCGGCCCCCGGTGGGGGTGTGCATACTCGCAGATGTCTGCTCCCAGCGACCCGCCAGCGGCGGCTCCCATCGCCATTGTCGGGCCGCAGTTTTGCGCCCCCTAACCCGTAGATCTCATCGTAACGAAGAAGCTCCTCAGCCTCACCGATGGCGACTTCACCGTGAAGGATGTGGAGGGGAACGATGTGTTCCGGGTGAAGGGCGTGATTTTCAGCATGCGGGGCAAGCGAGTGCTGGAGGACGCCGTCGGCAACCCCCTAATCACCATGCAGCAAAAGGTGAGGTTTTTGCACAGTCTCGTTTATTTTCCATCGATTCGTTCCCCAATCAAGTCAGATTGAGATTAGGTTTTCGAGCCCCAGCCGCTGGGGAGGACGGAAGTATTTATCGACCCGTTGTCTCCAGTTGTGGTCGGCCCACAGCTGGTGGAATGTCTTCAGGGGAGACAGCATCGATGACAGTGATCTCTTGTTCACCGCGAAGAGGTCCTCCCTGTTCCAGCTGAAGACCAAGTTGGACGTCTTCCTGGCGGCCAACACGAAGGACGACGTCTGCGATTTCAGGGTGAAGGGGAGCTACCTTGAGAGTTCCTGCATCATTTACCAGGGGGATTCCTCTGTCATCGTCGCCCAGGTAAACTACCTTTCCCCCCGCAACTCTCTCTCTATCGCTCTCCGCCGTAGGACACCAATTTGGGTAAAATCTAATGGGAGGGGGTCCGGCGAAACTCCCTGCAGATGAAGAAGTACACGGTGAAGAGCATGATTCTGGGAAAGGACAGCTTCGGGGTGACCATCTATCCGAACGTTGACCACGCCTTCATCGTCGCCCTCATCGTTATCCTCGACGAAATCAACAAGGAGTCAGGCGGAGGAAGCTCGATTGATACTTTCGTAGCATGTGTACACAATGTTAAATCCCTTGACAACGTGTGTAAAAGTTGAGTTTTTAGAGGCTGTGTTTTAAGAGATCGTCATTGAACGACCTTCGGGGTTCTTCCTGGTTTATTTGTCTTTAGAATTACGTCTAATTTAGTCTCGAACAAATCAAATTCGATCGTCAACTAGTTCATCGAATAGCGGCTCGAGTGCATTGTGACTGGTTTGACTCAGACAACTTGGTGTGTTGTCGCAAATATACATGCGTCTACGTAGATATACAGGTTGATTGACTTAAAGATCGAATTGACTTGGCCGAATTAGAGAGAGAGAGGATAGTGTATGAATAAAGTATCATCCTCGGGAGACTGCGATTAGGTTTCCAGTTGCAGGCGGAAGGGAAATGCTTGTTAATCCGCTGCGGCCAACACGAGGGAGGTCTGGTATCGATTCAAGTGGTCCTGCGGCATCTAACTGGGAGATTCCACCCGCCGTTTAAGAGGACACGGAAAACCTAAACTGGTTTTGAGAAGTGCTGCACCATCTACTGGATAAGGTTGCGGGCCGACTCTAATCGGTGTCTCGGAACAGGAAAAATCCCTGGAATATGTGGATAAATTCTCGATTTTCAGAGTTATGTGAATATAATTGTGATCATCAAATAATCTTTGACATTCCTTATGGTTCAAAACGACGTTTATTTGTATCAATAATATCGTTTATAAATAGAAATTACATGCTAATGTTATGAAAGAGGACCACTCCGACTAATAGAGTGAGGATGTCCTATTGATTTGCAAGACAAGAAGAAAAGAGAGGGAGGAAAAGTCAACTCGCTCTAAAACTAGACAGAAAAGTGATGCCCTATTGATTTATGTCGTTCATAGGTTACTCTCCTATCTCCATGTACAACAATGACGATGATATCTTTGTAAAATGTGGAGAAGTTATTTCTCCATGTACAACAATGACCATGTACAACCCTTCTACCAACATGACAGGCAGCGGCTCTCGCTTCTAGCACAAAAGAAATGCAGCGGCTGTTATTTCCACTGACAGTAGGATAGGCGGCAGCCCTCACCTCCTCAGCCAACATGACATGCTGCAGCTTTCACCTCCTCAATGAGCAAGATACACAATGGCTCTCACTTCCTCAAACAAAAGGACATGAAGCTGCATCTTCTTCCATGCTACCAAACGGCAACCCCACCATGAGCCCTCTTTCCTCTCTCCCCTTATTTGCTCTCAGGGTTTTACGAATGAGAGAGGCCTCTATTTATAATGGTCCAAGAGAATAGACACACCCATCTAACATGAGAGGGTGAGTCACCCATTTATCTCCATGAGCTGTATGCAACACCCAACTCCATGACAATTGTCATAACTTTTAGATAACATTGCTAAGGTAATTCTCACATACTTAATACATAGATCAAATTCAAGTAATTATATAACTTCTATTGTAGAATATGTTTTATTACTGTATCTGATGGTTTTCTACATCAATTATACTTTACAGAATGATATCATGAACAAAATGATGGTCGACTATGTTGTGTTTGATCCTTTCATTATACGTCTGATTTTTGGTTAAATATATGACAATTTGACTATCATGTTACAGTCTAGACATTTCCTATACTTGATATAAATTGTTAACCCAATCTCTCAACCATAAGACTTCTTTCACTCCTCTGTTCCTATCCTTTATTTTGTCATTAGTGTTGACAAAATCTAGACTACAAAATAATCTTCTAACTAATATCACAATATGAGAAAGTAAAAACAATTTATTATTAATTTCTTCTTATTTATATTACTAGTATTATCTAAATCAATACAGCCAACTAGTTGATTCTCGTTATTAATCTCTACATCATCTTTATTTCTTTCTAAAATACTATGCTCACATCTAATGTACTGTGATGTAATGAAGAATGAATTTCACTACTCCTTAGTGAACTTTCTATAGATTTTTCATGTATTTACTAACCACAATATTGAAGAGAGGAAGAGAATACTCTAGAATTCATATATTGAAGAAGATGAGTACATGAAGTTATATAGAAGAGAGGAAGAAAGACAGAGAGAGAGGAAGAAGTGGAGATCATAAAGGAAGAATAGGGACGTGGAGAGAATAAGTTTAAAATGAGCCTAATGGGCCTAGTGGGCTATTCTAACACTCCCCCTCAAGCTAGAGCATACAAGTCAAACATGCCTAGCTTGGTGTACATTGTGTCGTAAGAGATCCCTATAAGACTTTTGGTGAAGATGCCTGTGAGCTGATGCGATGAAACAACATGCTGAATAGAGATAACACTTATCATTACCTTATCACGGATGTAATGGTAGTCAATCTCAATGTGTTTTATCTGCTCATGAAACGTAGGATTTCCAGCAATGAAGATGACGGCCTGATTATTACAATGCATAAGTATTGGCATAGGATATGAGATGTCAATGCCTTTGAGGAGTGAATTGAGCCACACTATCTCTCGCGCCGTCTCAACTATGGTGTGATACTCGAACTTCACACTAGAGCAAGATACCACCTTCTACTTCTTGGAGTATCACGTGATAAGGTTGCCACCCACATGTGTAATAACCAATAGTGGACTTACGATCTCTCGTCACCAACATATTCTGCATTCGAGTAGGCTTCAATCCAAAGATGCTTATGCCTTCGATAGATAACCCCTCTCCCTAAAACTCTTTTGATGTATGTTAGAACATGTAAAGCTCCCTCCCAATGACTTGACAAGATTCCTGCATGAACTATCTGAGGACACTAACTGTGTACACGATGTTGGGACAAGTGACAATGAGGTAGATCAACTTTCCCAACAACCATCTGCACCGATTAGCATCCTCTAGGAGGGGAGATGACGTATCTCGGAAGCATGGACGTACCTCCATAAGTGACAACTCTGGTTTACACCCAAGTAGCTCAGTCTCCTGAAGCATATCAAGAGCATACTTTCGCTGAGAGAGAGTGAGTTTATCATCTTGATAGGCTAGCTCAATCCCAAAGAAGTATCATGAAATTCCTACATCTTGTATGCTGAAGTGTTGCTGTAGGTATGATTTTGTAGTTTGAATGCTTACTTCATCACTTCTAATCATAAGAATGTCGTCCACATAAACAACTAAGATGACAATGCTAGATTCAGTAGTCTTTGTAAGCACTATGGGATTGCAAGATATGGTGAGAATCCAAATTGCACTAAAAGACTATTAAAGTTGACAAACTAGGCAAGTGGACTTTGCTTAAGTCTGTAAATGACATACTATAAAAGACACACATTTGATGACACCCCTTGAGTAACATATCTAGGAGGTTGCTCCATAAACACATGATCCTCAAGGTCACCATAGAAAAAGATATTAGAAATATTTAACTGATGTAAAGATCATGCTTGATTCATTGCCAAAGAAAGTGTCACTCGAATAGAGTTGAGTCAAACCGTTGGAGAGGACGTCTCAGTATAGTCGATGCCATAGGCCTACTAAATCAACAAGCAACCAAGTGAGTCTTGTGATGTGCAATAGATCTATTTGGATTATACTTGAGTGTAAAAACTGACTTACATATGACGATATTGACATTTTGTAGACGAGATACAAGTGTCCAAGTTCTTCGAGACACCAAGGCATCTATCTCTAAGTTCATGGCCGCCTTCTAGTTAAGTACATGTGCAACCTCAACATATGACTATAGAATTGACTCGGAGGCTGCAGAAAGAGCAAAGGTACAAAATAAAGGAGAAAGGCAGTCGTAGGAAATAAAGTGGGAGATGGGGTGTTTGGTGCATGCATGCATACCTTTGTAGAGAGCAATAAGAAGATGAAGGTCATCTACTTGAGTGTTAGAAGAGACGACCATAAAGGTTCGTTGGTAGAGGGTGAAGACAAATTTGATCTCAAAGTAGAGTAGTTGACGTGACTTAGTCGTTGTATAGTAAATCACGCAAATTTAAAATTTATAAAATTAGAAAATATAAATTTTCAAATATTTAGAAGTATTTATGAACAAATATATCAATTATAATTCAATAAAACTTTCAAAAATAGCAGTAATTTTCCAAGTCGATCACAAAGATGTAATATAATATCTGGTAATTATTTAGAATTTTCCTCAAAGAATACTATTTTCTATGAATTTTATACTAGTAAATGAAAAGGAAATATATTTAAAATTCACGAAAAAGGGAAATAAGGGTGCGGACGTCAGGATGACGTCTGCGTCCGATGAATGCGAATCAGGCGGAAATAGAGTTCCGCCCGACGATTCTTACGTAAACGATTACAGATGATTTAATTGAGCAAATTAAGATCTGTAAAAGCCAGAAGAATCGTAATTGAACGAAGTATATTTTGGTAAATTAAAATCACACAAATTTGCACTAAATGAAGCGTAAAGTAAGTTGAAAGTAGTAAAATAGAGTTCCGGAGTCGCGGCGGCGATGCGTCGACGATGCACCGGAATCCTAAGTGTTCGGGAGGATAGTCGTGCAGTGTTCACGACCTCGAAGGCTTTCTTTGGACAAGGACGATGTAGGCAATCTCTAGATCTCCTTCTGAAGTCTAGAGATCAATGAAATGAGTCGTCGAATCGTCTCCGGTGTCTGTCACCCGGCAAAACAGAAAAATGACGACTTTGCGGCTCTCCGTCGGCTGTCACCTGATAGAGAGGAGTTGGATGGAGGTGGGGCGCGTGTTAGGGAGCTTCATCCTCAGGTCCGCGCAACAAGAGGAGGCTCTTCATCGCATCTGGTATGCTCTCAAGAGGTGGCGACTCGTCTCCTGGCAGATAGTCCTCTTCTCGATGACGGCTTGTTCGTCGATCAATTGGAGATGAGTTACTCGATAGATTCACGATCCTTTTATCACGAATCGTTCAACAATTTTAGTAACAATGCTCCGCGAATCGCGTTGATGAGATTTTCGCCGATGATCTAGTGATTTTGGTTGCTTAATCTTTCACCGGCGATCTGTAGGAAAGTTGTGATAATCAGATAAAAAATATGAATTTTGGCTCTAGGAGGATTCAAACCAGCGCCGGTTGCCCGCCCCTTCTGGGGAAGGTGTGATGCGGGTTTAGTCTCACATCGTTTGTGCGCCAAATTTTCGGGTGAATATATAGTAATGTTACATTTCAAAGCAAGTCCCTTTCTCGCGCGTGTATGACCACTCCTTGCCCCACAGCCAGTTGGCCACTAGTGACGTGGAAGGGGAGTGGCACACACGTGCCCCCATCGGTTCAAGCCTCTCGAGCCCCTGGTCGTGGCTCATGCCTGACTGTGCTTCCGACCCGCTTGCGGGTCCGGCTGGTTGGCAGGTCCCCCCCATTTTGCTATTTTTATTTTAATTTCTTTTTCTTCATTTATCTCAAAAGTAAGACAATAAAAATCATATAAAACCGTATAAAATCACATAATTATCCAAAAATTCACGTTAATCAATTGACAACCACTTTTCACACTTTAACACAAATATAAGTCTATTTATCATGAGTTAAGGCTAAAATTATATTATTTACTAATTATTAACTCATGATAATGAAGACTTATTAGTAGTCAAATGACGACGAAGCCGAAGATGTGAGAGGAGGAGCTGACGAGGGAGAAATTGAACAAGTAGGAAGAATAGGAGAATGATCTACAATGATCACCACAAGATGAAAACCAGGTGGTGAAGATGCAACGAATTGAGAAGGAGTTGATGCTGGAGAAAAGAAGGGAGACTCCTCATGAAAAATAATATCAGTTGATGTCACATAGTGATGAGTATCAAGAAAATAGACTTGATAACCTTTTTGCATTCGTGAGTAGTCAACAAAGACCCTTTTGAGAGTACAAAGGGCTAATTTAGAAAGATAAAAAGAGTGGTCTTAAATGAAAGTAGTGCAACTAAAGATGTGAGGGGGTAAGAAAAAAAGAGAAGAATCAGGTGAAAGACAATGAAGTAGAATTACTCTACCAAGTGGAGTGGAAGGAGGCTGATTCTAGAGATGTGTGGCTCTCAGGAGAGCATCATACCACAGATAATGACAATTATTTATCTCAATGAGTAATGTGTGAGTAATGTCACGTAGTTGACAATATTTTCATTTGGCAACATCATTTTGTTGGGATGTGTATGGACATGTGGTCTGATGAATAATACCATGATTAAGATAAAATGTGTAAAATGAGTCTTAGACCAGCTTCAAAGCATTATTGGTGCGAAGAATCTTGGACGTATTAGAGTACTAAGTGATGACCTCGGTAATAAAGTGAACAACTTTGATGTAAACTTGAGTACGATCTTAAAGAAGATAGACCCAACTCACCTGAGTGTAGTCATCAATAAACACAATGTAGTAGCGATGGCTCGAGATAGATGGAGTATGAGAGGGCCCCCAAATATTACAATGAATGAGGTCAAAGGGTGTTGTGGATGGAATCTTGTCACAACTCAAGTATGAACCATGATGTTGTTTGCCTAATTGACATGACTTGTACATAAATTTATTAAGAGAAATCTAATGCAAGATTTTTTAATTTTTTTTAAAACAAAGATGTCCTAAATGACAATGTCACAAGAGATGAAGTGACCATAAAGAAAACAAAAAGAGTCTAATGGTCATAAGAAGGTTCATTGTAAATTAGCTCAAAGACATCTTGTCCATTCTCATGCCCCAAACCAATCCTTTGCCTGATATACAGATCCTAAAAGGTACAATGAAAAGAAAAAAATGTAACGGAGCAAAGAATGACTTGGATAATGATTGATAAGTCTTCGTTATCATGAGTTAATAATTAGTAAATAATATAGTTTTAGCCTTAACTCATGATAAATAGACTTATACTTGTGTTAAAGTGTGAAAAGTGGTTTTCAGAGTGAGTCCTTTGTCACTCGAGCCCAACTTGTGACTCCCTCAGTCTGGTTCTACCCACTCGACCACAGCCCCCCTCTAGGTCAGCTGCTGAGTGCCGGCTTGCTAGCAAATGGAATGTTTTTATACTTTATTCTTTATATTTTTAAATAATCTAAAATTACACAGTATTTTAACTTCGGACTTCTAAAATTAACAAAATATCTTATATTTATTTTGCAAGTTAACAAAATTAAATAAAATAATAAAACTAATTTAAACTCAAAAAGCTAACTTTAATAATAATCAATAATATTTATTTCACTAGATAATAGTTGATAATTATATTTATATCTATGACAGTGATACATGTGAGAACTTAAGTTCTCGATATCGTGGCACTTTGCTTGTCATGTCATCTTTCTTTTTCTGGTCACATGGTGCATTGGGCATCGCATGATCAAGCCATCATGAACTACTTACTGTGAAACAAGGAAAAAACTTTAGCCCCACATTAGATTTTTCATAATATAATATAATAATATTATATATTGATTTTAAAGAAATAAATACATTAGCTCCTCTAGTTTCTACCTTTCTAAATTAACTATATAAAGCTACATTTCCTTCTATGAACTAAAATGATAAACTAAAATAAAATAAATTAAGGACTAAAAATCAAGTATTAGCACTAATGGAATGCATTATTATCTAAATATAAGTGCAACATAACAAGTGTCAACATGTGTGATAAAGTCTCACATGTATTTTGAAAAATCAAAGTCATCAGCGATATTTGAACACGGCACCTAAACGATGTAAAGAAAAAAACATCAATGCGAAAAATGTCTGAAATATTTAAGACTCATAATGACACACATGCGATTCAAACTCAAGAAGCAATCTTTAAGGAAGATGAAAAAATTACAGCTGAATCGTTCAAATTAAAGTATAGACGGAATTTGAAATCAAGAGTAGTATAGTGACAATGTGAAAAGTTGATCAAAATATTCAAAGTAAAAATATGTGATTAGTGACTAAAAGAAGACTCAAACTCAAGTCCCACATGGCATTTGAGTTAGACCATTCGCACAAAGTAGAGAAAGAGGTAGATAAGTTGTCACCACATAATCTAGATGGTGACATGTTAGAGCCATACATGGAGAAAATAACAAAGTAGAAATGACCAAACATCAACCTATGATAACACAAAAACTTCAAAGCAAGATCATTTGTTGAAATAACACAAATCTGTAAACAAAAGCTTCAAACACCACTAAATGCTTGCATGTTCATACATTCTTATACTATTATCTAAGTTCTATTTTTTGATATCTGATTAAATTCTATAGATTAATCCCACTTGACTGCTTTGAAGTATTCAAATATTCAAAAAATATTCAAGAACCAGGTCAATGGAGAGCCCAAAGACTTGATAACAGCCCAAAAGAGTAATGGGCCTAGCATAGCTAGGTTCAAGGTGTGTCTCACAGTCCAGGGTTCACTCATTGGAGCGACCAGGCAGGAACCACATCCCAAGGTCCACTCACCAGAGTGATCAGGCGGGAACTATAGTCTAGGGTCCGCTCACTAGAGTGACCAAGTAGGAACCACACCGCAAGGTCCGCTCACCAAAATGACCAGGCGGGAACCACATCCTATGGTCCACTCACTAGAGCAACTAAGCGGGAACCACACCCAAGGCTCACATGCCGGAGCGATCAAGCGGAACCTCCCAGAACCTCGAGTACTGTAATCAAAGCTAAAAGTGTCTAAAAAGATCTTGAGAAGAGCTGATGACACTAGTCTTGAGAAGGGCTGGCCGTAGGACAAACCCTCACGGATCCCTCTCCCCTTCTTCGAGATTGAATGAAGTTTTCTTCAGCATATCTTGAGTGATCGAGAGAAGAGTGCATGGAGCATGCTAGGCTCACCATGAAAGGAGGCACACTCATCTAGAGATGATTAGAGCCCGGGGTTGATGAAAAAGAGCCTACAGTGAGTGTTCAATCCTAGTGCATCACAATTGCCTCTTGGCTTCAGCACTAGATAGGAGTAGGAATTAAATTTTAGGGTAGGGATTAGTTCTTTTTCCTCACAAACCCATCACCTCACGTTTCCCCCAAATTTCTACTCCTAGATCTCAAGATTTTCTCTAGATTTAGAAACTCTTCTATCTCCCTACCTCAGACCTTCATCTCTTATTATCTCACCCTCATTCGTCACCATAAATCAACTCTCAACCCTACTCTAAGGCCGGATCCTGGTGGATACGACCCTAACTGACCATATATACTCAAAATTGATTAGAAGTTAGGTTTATAAATGTTTTAATTAATACCAACTTAAGGGCCCATGAGACCTTAAGTATTGGATTATTAGAGAGACATGATGCTTTGAAGCAAATAGAGACTCAAGGTTAACCTCTCACACTCTAGACGGTAGCACATCATCATTGTTTGTGGGCTAAACAACATACTCAATGATAATATCCTATATTGACCCTGAAGACAAGTATGCATGTTGATCAATTGATTATCTTCAGACACTATATCAAAGATAGCATAGCTACAAGCTAGAAGATTTGAGCCGAAGTATCACTGAAGATTAGAAGCCTAGATTATAGATAGTAACTCATTAGTAGAAGATGTGGATTAAAGAAAAGTCAAACGACTTCCTCTGAGCATGACCCTGAAAGAAGAAATGTTCATAGATCAGGTGTGAATCTTCATACAAGATATCATAGACAAGTATTACCAAAGTAGACGGCTTAGAAATAAAAAGTAACTAAAGGTCACTAAAATGCTAATCGAGCAATGGTAATATGTGGAGTGAACTGAGAATAGAAGAAGCTAACGTTAAATGAAAAAATCTTTATTCACATCACTCACACAAGTAAGATAAGAAATTTTAGTCAATCCTCTACAATAAAACAATTGCATTTTTTAAGGAATTAAAGCTTCATCATATTCAATCATTTGTGACAACATATGAATCAAATAACTACATTGAAGGTTGTCTTTCTCTATTAGGCCCTAAGGTATTGATAAGTCTTCATTATCATGAGTTAATAATTAGTAAATAATATAGTTTTAGCCTTAACTCATGATAAATAGACTTATATTTGTGTTAAAGTATGATTTGTGATTTTCAGTTGATTAACGTGAATTTTTGGGTAATTATGTGATTTTATATGATTTTTACAGTCTTACTTTTGAGATAAATGAAGAATAAGAAATAAAAATAAAAATATTGCAAAATGGGGGGACCCGCAAGCGGGTCGGAAGCGTAGTCGGGGAGTAGCCGCGAGCAGGGGCTCGAGCGGCTTAAGCTTGGACCGATAGGGTCACGTGCGCACCACTCCCCTTCCACGTCACCGGTGGCCAGCCGGCTGTAGGGCAAGAAGTGGTCGTACACGCGAGAGAAGGGACTTTGTTTAGAAAGCTAACATTACTATATATTCGCCTGAAAAATCGGCGCACAACCGATGTGGGACTAAACCCGCGTCACACCTTCCTCAGAAGGGGCGGACAACTGGCACGGGTTCGAATCTTCCCAGAGTCAAAATTCATATATTTTTATCTGATTATCGCGACTTTCCTACAGATCGTCGATGAAGGATTAAGCAACGAGAATCGCTGGATCATCGGCGAAAATCTCGTCAACGCGATTCGCGGAGCATTGCTACTAAAATTGCTGAATGATTCATGATAAAAGGATCACGAATCCATCGAGTAAATCATCTCTGATTGATCGACTAACAAGCCGTCGTCGGGAAGAGGACGATCCACCGGGAGACGAGTCGCCATCTCCTGAGAGCGTACCAGATGCGATGAAGAGCCTCCTCTTGCTACGCGGACCTGAGGATGAAGCTCTCTGACACGCGCCCCACCTCCATCCAGCTCCTCTCCGTCGGGTGACAGCCGCCGGAGAGCCACAAAGTCGCCGTTTTTCCGCTCCGCCAGGTGACAGCCGCTAGAGACGACTCGACGACCCATTTCATTAATCTCTAGACTTCGCGAGAAGATCTAGAGATTGCCCACGTCGTCTTTGCCCAAGGAGAGCCTTCGAGGCCGTGGACACTACACGACGATCCTGCCAAACGTTCAGGATTCCGGTGCATCGCCGACGCATCACCGTCGCGACACCGGAACTCTGTTTTCCTGCTTTCAAACTTACTTTACGCTTCATTTAGTGATAGTTTTTGTGTTTTTAATTTACCAAAATATACTTTGTTCTATTATGATTCTTTCGGCTTTTACAGATCTTAATTTGATTAATTAAATCATCTGTAATCGCTTACGTAAGAATAGTCAGGCGGAACTCTGTTTCTGCCCGATTCGCGTTCGCTAGGCGCTGACGTCATCCTGACGCCTGCACCCTTATTTCCCTTTTTTGTGAATTTTAAATATATTTTCTTTTTATTTCCTAGTATAAAAGTCATAGAAAATCGTATTTATTGAGAAAAATTCTGAATAATTACCAGATATTATATTACATCCCTGTGATCGACTTGGAAAATTACTGCTATTTTTGGAAGTTTTATTGAATTATAATTGATATATTTATTCAGAAATACTTTTAAATATCCGAAAATTCGTATTTTCTAGTTTTATAAATTTTATATTTGCGTGAATTAATATACAACGACTGAGTCACGTCAGATCACTTTTAGGATCTTTAATCATTACAGCCCCATGATCATATGTCTCTTCCACCACATAAGGCCCTTTCCATTTTGATTTTAATTTTCCTGGGAATAATTTCAGCCTAGAATCATATAACCACACTTTTTGTCCAACATCAAATTTTTTTCTACTAATGTATTTATCATAAAAAGTTTTAGTTTTTTCTTTATATATTCTATGATTTTCATAAGCTTCATTCCTCAACTCCTCTAGTTCATGTAGCTGAAAAATTCTATGCCCACCAACTGATTTTTCATCCATACATAAAATTTTTATAGCCCCTAATGCTTTATGCTCTATTTCCACAGGAAGATGACATGGCTTTCCAAAAATGAGACGAAATGGGGACATACCTATGGGATTTTTATAAGCTGTTCTATAAGCCCATAATACATCTTGTAATTTCGTGGGTCAATCGTTCTTATCTGGTCTAACTATTTTTCTCAAAATTCTCTAAATTTCCCTATTTGCTACTTTAGCTTGCCCATTTGTTTGGGGATGATATAGAGTGGCTACTCTATGGTGTACTCTATTCTTTTTCAACAGTTCCCTGAAATGTTTATTTGTAAAATGTGTTCCTCCATCACTAATAATCACTCTAGGACATCCAAATCTCGAAAAAATATTTTCCTGCACAAATTTCATCACGATTTTATGATCATTAGTTCTAGTAGAAATAGCTTCCACCCACTTCGACACATAATCAACAACAAGCAAAATATATTCATATTTTTCAGCTGATGGGAAGGGACCCATGAAATCTATTCCCCATACATCAAAAATTTCGACTACTAACATGTTACTCATGGGCATTTCATCTTTTTTACTCATGTTACCTATAGATTGGCATGAAATACATGTTCTACTAAATTCTATAGAATCTCTAATGATTGTAGGCCAATAAAAACCACACTGAAAAATTTTTGCAGCTGTTTTTCGTCTAGAGAAATGTCCTCCACAGTTAGATGAATGGCACATGTTAATAATGCTATGGTATTCTTCTTTAGGAACACATCTCCTTAAAATTTGATCATTGTCCAAGTAATATAAATCAAGATCATGCCAAAAATAATTTCTAATCTTAGAAAAGAAATGATATTTTCTGTTCTTATTCCACTGTTCTGGAATTTTTCTAGAAACCAGAAAATTAACAATATGTGCATACCATGGTGATGGTTGATGTTGAGCTGCCATCAATTGTTCATCTGGAAATGAGTCTTGTAAAGGTGCTGCATTTATTCCTGTATCACTTAATCTAGAAAGATGGTCAGCAACAGCATTCTCGAAACCTTTTTTATCTTTTATTTCTAAGTCAAATTCCTACAATAAAATCCATCTTAATAAACGTGGCTTTGCATCTTTCTTATTTAACAGATATTTTAATGGTGCATGATCAGTATAAATAATAATTTTAGCTCCCAAAATATATGATCTAAACCTTTCTAACAAAAATACTACAGCTAACAACTCTTTTTCAGTCGTGGTATAATTTAATTGAGCATCGGATATAGTTTTACTAGCATATGAAATTACTATGGGTTTTGACTTTTTTATTTGTCCTAGAATGGCCCCCACTGCATAATTCGATGCATCACACATTATTTCAAAGGGAAGGGACCAATCAGGAGCTTGTAAAATGGGTGCCTCAGTAAGTAATCTTTTTATTTCGGAAAAAGACTCAAAAAATTTCTCATCAAAATTAAAAGGCACATCTTTAGATAATAGCATGGTGAGAGGTTTAGAAATTTTCGAAAAATCTTGAATAAATTTTCTGTAATAACCTGCATGACCCAAGAAAGATCTAATCTGTTTTACTGAATTTGGAGGTTTCATTTTAGATATAATATCAATTTTTGCTCTATCCACCTGTAAACCCCTTTCACTCACAATATGACCCAACACAACTCCCTCTCTAACCATAAAATGTGATTTCTCTCAACTCAAAACTAATTTTTTGTCTATGCATTTCTCAAGTACATGCTATAAATGATTTAAGCATTCATCAAATGATTCACCAAAAATAGAAAAATCGTCCATAAAAATTTCCATACATTTTCCAATCATATCAGAAAAAATAGACAGCATACATCTTTGAAATGTGGCTGGAGCATTACACAGACCAAAAGACATGTGTTTAAAAGAAAAAGTACCAAATGGGCAAGTGAAAGTTATTTTTTCTTGATCTAAAGGGTTTATATAAATTTGATTATAACCAGAGTATCCATCTAGAAAACAAAAAAAGTTTTTTCTAGCTAATTTTTCTAGAATTTGATTAGTAAATGGTAGGGGAAAATGATCTTTTCTAGTAACTGAATTTAATTTTCTATAATCAATGAAAACCCTCCAACCGGTAGTTAATCTTGTTTGTATTTCATCCCCATTTTCGTTTTTTATAATCATGATCCCTGATTTTTTTGGCATCACTTGTGTAGGACTAACCCATTTGCTATCTGAAATAGGATAAATAATATCAGCAGCCAGCCACTTTAAAATTTCTTTTTTTACAATTTCCATCATGTTAGGATTTAATCTTCGTTGTGGTTCCCTGCTAGTTCTAGCCCCTTCCTCTAGATATATACTATGCATGCATACACTCATATCAATGCCCCTTAGATCGTCCATTTTCCAACCCATAGCCTTCTTATTTTTTCGAAGTACATCTAATAATTCTTCTTCCTGTTCATCACTCAAATCAGCTGCAATAATAATAGGAAATGAATTATTTTCCTCCAAAAACATATGTTTTAAACTAGAGGGAAGAGGTTTCAACTCTAAATTCAGATGATCTTCCTCTTTCTTTTCTGCCAAATTTATATTCTCTATTTCTTCTAATTCTTCCAGCACACAGTCATCAATAACATCTGGATCATCAAAATCATCTAGAAGATCTATGGTATGACAATCATATACTTGGGATTTCTTAAGATCATTTGATACCTCAAAAATTTTAATTTCTACTGATTGATCTCCACATGAAATTTTCGCAATACCTATGGGAAAATCAATATTTATCTTTGCTGTATGCAAAAATGGTCTCCCTAGGATGATTGGCGTATCATAAAACTGTCCATTAAAATCTATTTCCAACACTACAAAATCAGTTGAAAATTTACACCATTTAACTGTCACTATCACATTTTCTCAAATACCTTTAGGATGTTTTATGGATCTATCAGCAAATTGTAAGGTAACAGTAGAAGGTTTAAGATCAAAAATATTAAATTTATCACAAATACTTGCAGGTAATAAATTAATACTAGCACCGGTGTCAAGTAATGTATTCTGAAAAATGAATCCACCAATATCACACGAAATTAAAGGGGCACCTGTATCTCTCAATTTATATGGTAATTGATTTAATAATAATGCAATAGCATGCATAGATAATTTTTCTACTCTAGGTGCCCTTTTTGGTGTACACATTTCTTTCAAAACTCTAGCATATTCAGGAATATGTTCAATGGCAGTGAGTAAAGGAAGACTAATTTGCACATCTTGTAAATTTTTCTTTATTTCTTCATTGTGTTCCTTTTTCTTTCTTTGTCTAGGCTCTAGAGCTTTAGAAAATAGAATGGTCGTCCTCTCTTTCGAAATTTCCTTGGTAGAATCTATAAAATCCTCTTCTACTCCTATTTGATTTTGTTTTGTTTTGTCCACGTTTTTTTTTTCTTCTAATGTTTGGGGATAAGGATCAAGTAAGATCTTACCACTCCTTAATGCATTCACTGTCCTAAAATTTTCATTTTGTGGGTTTTTTCCTAGATTCATGCTACTAGACTCCCCTTGCTGAAATCTTATTGTTGGGCGGTTCCCTGGATTTTCTATGGGCTGACTAGGTAGCTGTCCCTCTTCTCTCTTATTCCCAAGAGCCTCTATAATTTGTTTCTGGTGCAACATCATTTGATTCATAGTTTGTTGCATCATTTGGCTCATTTTCTGCATCATTTCTATAGCATCAGGTTGGATTTGAGAGGGCTGATTTTTCTGAAATCTGTTTTCTTATTTTAGACGAAATTCAGAGTTTGAATTGGGTCTAAGTGCTTCTAGATTTTGAATATTATTTGGGTCTCTCCATGAAAAATTATTCCTCCAATTAGGATTATAAGAATTTGAAAAAGGTTCCCTATTTCTATTAAAACCGTGAGCTACTTGCACTTGTTCTTGCATAGGGTGAAATGATTGATCTAAATTATAATATTAAAATTCAGAATAATCATTTTCATCATACATAGGACATGTACTATTCAAATTAAGTTGAGGGTTAAAAAGCTTTCTAATATTGTCAATAAGTAAATCATTTTTTTCTAATATTTGATTAATCTGATTAACCTCATTTCTAAGTTTAGAATCATCATCATGATGCAATTCATAAATTCCTCTCTTCTTATCAAGAGTTTTCTCCATAAAAGCTCCTCCACATATAGAATCAACCATATTTCTATGTTGTTCTAATAATCCATCATAAAAAACTCTATTGAGCTGTCACTTGGGTATAGCATGATGATGACACTTTCTAAGTAAATCTTTGAATTTTTCCCATGTCTCATGCAAAGTTTCTCCTGGTCTTTGAGAAAAACTCCATATATGTTTTCTCATATTTTGAGTTTTTCCTAAGGGATAAAATTTTCGAAGAAAGGCCTGTTCTATATCTTTCCAGCTAGTTAATTCTCTATCTAACGTGGATAGCCAATGGCTAGCTTTGTCCCTACGTGTATGAGGGAATAATTTCATCATAATAATTTCCAGTGTAACTTGAGGGAGATTAACTAAATCACAGACCTTATGAAATTTTTCTAATTGCTGATGAGGCTCCTCTAAAGGCAATCCATGAAAATTAAGGAGCATTTGAAAAATTCCTAGATTTATTTCGAATTTAACAGTGGGTGCTAATGGGATTCTAATATTTGATGCTCTTTGAAATGAATCAGGGATATAATGATTTTTCATGGCCATAGGATTGTTCTCAGTTTGACCTGTACTTCCTTCAGGATACATCAAAATTAATTTTTCTTTCGGATTTTTAGTCTTGAATGAAATAATGAAAGGATTTTTCTAGCCTTGGATGCAAGAATCTTCTATCATGCATAAAAAAATTAATAAATTCGAGGGAAAAGTTTAGGAATTGTTACCCTCCTTCAGTATGCTCCAGTCCTTGCCTTGTTTCTTTTCGTTCCCTTTTTTTTAAAAAAAATTCGGCAAGAAGAAAATGAAATAAGAGTTTTTTTTTGGTGTACTCTAAGAGAAAAATAGAAAAATACTAAATATTATGCAATACATCCCCGACAACGGTGCCAAAATTATATGTGACTCAGCCGTTGTATATTAAATCATGCAAATATAAAATTTATAAAACTAGAAAATACGAACTTTCGGATATTTAGAAGTATTTTTGAACAAATATATTAATTATAATTCAATAAAACTTCCAAAAATAGCGGTAATTTTCCAAGTCGATCACAGTGATGTAATATAATATCTAGTAATTATTCAGAATTTTTCTCAATGAATATGATTTTCTATAAATTTTATATTAGGAAATCAAAAGGAAATATATTTAAAGTTCACGAAAAAGGGAAATAAGGATGCGGACGTCAAGATGACGTCAGTGCCCGGCGAATGCGAATCAGGCAAAAATAGAGTTCCGCCCGACGATTCTTACGTAAGCGATTACAGACGATTTAATTAATCAAATTAAGATATGTAAAAGTTAGAAGAATCATAAGAGAAAAGTATATTTTGGTAAATTAAAATCACAAAAAATATCACTAAATGAAGCGTAAAGTAAGTTGAAAGTAGGAAAATAGAGTTTCGGCGTCGCGACGGCGATGCGTCGGCGATGTATCGGAATCCTGAGCATTCGGCAGGATCATCGTGCAGTGTCCACGCCCTCGAAGGCTCTCTTTGGGCAAAGACGATGTGGGCAATCTCTAGATCTTCTCGCGAAGTCTAGAGATTAATGAAATGGGTCGTCGAGTTGTCTCCAGCGGCTGTCACTCGGCAGAGCAGAAAAACGGCGACTTTGTGGCTCTCCGGCGGTTGTCACCCGACGGAGAGGAGCTGGATGGAGGTGGGGCGCGTGTCAAGGAGCTTCATCCTCAGGTCCGCGCAGCAAGAGGAGGCTCTTCATCGCATCTGATACGCTCTCAGGAGGTGGCGACTCGTCTCCCAGCGGATCGTCCTCTTCCCGACGATGGCTTGTTCGTCGATCAATCGGAGATGATTTACTCGATGGATTTGCGATCCTTTTATCGCGAATCCTTCAGCAATTTTAGTAGCAATGCTCCGCGAATCGTGTAGACGAGATTTTCGCCGATGATCCAGCGATTCTCATTGCTTAATCCTTCACTGGCGATCTACAAGAAAGCCACGATAATTAGATAAAAATATATGACTTTTGACTTTGGAAGGACTCGAACCCGCGCCGGTCACCCACCTCTTCTGAGGAAGGTGTGACGCGGGTTTAGTCCCACATCGGTTGTGTGCCGATTTTTCGGGTAAATATATAGTAATATTAGCTTTCTAAGCAAAGTCCCTTCTCTTGCGTGTACGACCACTCCTTGCCCCACAGCCGGCTGGCCACCGGTGTCGCGGAAGGGAAGTGGCGCACACGAGCCCCTATCGGTCCAAACCGCTTGAGCCCCTGCTCGCGGCTACTCACCGACAGAGCTTCCGATCCACTTGCGGGCCCAGCGGGTCCCCCCATTTTGCAATATTTTAGTTTTATTTCTTTTTCTTCATTTATCTCAAAAGCAAGACTATAAAAATCATATAAATTCGTATAAAATCACATAATTATCCAAAAAATCACATTAATCAACTGAAAACCACTTTTCACACTTTAACACAAATATAAGTCTATTTATCACGAGTTAAGGCTAAAACTATATTATTTACTAATTATTAACTCATGATAATGAAGACTTATCAGGCGCGTGTCAGGGAGCTTCATCCTCAAGTCTGCGCAGCAAGAGGAGGCTCTTCATCGCATCTGGTATGCTCTCAGGAGGTGGCGACTCGTATCCCGGCGGATTGTCCTCTTCCTGACGACGGCTTGTTCGTCGATCAATCGGAGATGCTTTACTCGATGGATTCGCGATTCTTTTATCGTGAATCCTTTAGCAATTTTAGTAACAATGCTCTGCGAATCGTGTTGACAAGATTTTCGTTGATGATCTAGCGATTCTGGCTGCTTAATCTTTCACCGGCAATCTGCAGGAAAGTCGTGATAATCAGATAAAAAAATATGAGTTTTGGCTTTGGGAGGATTCGAACCCGTGCCGGTTGCCCGCCCCTTTCTGAGGAAGGTGTGACACGGGTTTAGTCCCACATCGGTTGTGCGCTGATTTTTCGGGCAAATATATAGTAATGTTACATTTCCAAGCAAAGTCCCTTTCTCGCGCGTGTACGACCACTCCTTGCTCCACAGCTGGCTGGCCACCGGTGACGTAGAACGGGAGTGGCGCACACGTGCCCCTATCGGTTCAAGCCGCTCGAGCCCCTGCTCGCGGCTACTCCTCGATTGAGCTTCCGACCCGCTTGCAGGCCCAACTAGCCGGTGGGTCCCCCTTCGTTTATGTCTGATTTTTATTTTTTATTTCTTTTATTTATCTCAAAAGCAAGACTATAAAAATCATATAAATTCGTGTAAAATCACATAATTACCCAAAAATTCACATTAATCAACTGAAAATCACTTTTCACACTTTAACACAAATATAAGTCTATTTATCATGAGTTAAGGCTAAAACTATATTATTTACTAATTATTAACTCATAATAATGAAGACTTATCAATGCTTTAATACAACCTTGCGTAAATAAAATGATGGTTCCGTTAGTTTTGTAAATTATTTTATAGTACTATGTTAGAAACTTGCAAATCCAAATAAATCTTGAACAAGGAAAATAAATTTGAACAAAGACTAAGAACATGCCGACATGGGTGTCACCGAAAACATTTGGAGAATATTATAATACAAATCAAACCGTATTATAAATGAATGATTTAGCATTTAAATACAAGGATTTGGGAAACCCAACCGAGATGGTTGAAAGAGTACGACTGTTGATAGTGCCACATCTGATGAATGGGAACTCAAGCCTTCCTGCTGGCTCAGTGCTCACTGGAGGAACTCACCAGTGGAATTTATACATCTCAAATCAGTACATAGCGGGAATATCTCAAAGTCGATAACGTTTGTGCATCTGATTTGGATCAAAATAACAGGAGATGGGTGGAGAGAGAGAGGGAGGGAGAGAGAGAGACTCCATTCCAAATGGATGTCCATGACGACCTCCTCGATGAAGGATGGCGACGGTGGGCAAAATGACTCCGGAGTAACGTGATTGGCAGCTAAGGCGATGGCAAAACGAAGGCCATGGACTCCTGGCTTGTCTGTGAGCGGTGGCAAGAGGGGGTTGGTGGCGCTGCGGCAGAGCTACTCATCGACTCAAATGGCATTAAACAAGTATCTGGGTCTCCTACCCGTCGCGCTCTCTTGAACGAGCTAAGCCACATGACGTAGTTGCTGGTCTCTGGTTCGGTCGCATTGAGGCACTCGATCTCTCTGTGGTCCTAACCACCGAAGTCGGCATAGGCTGTCCCCCGATTTTTAAACTCTACTATGAAATCGAGCAAGTTGTGGATAGGAGACTCAGTCTCAATGCGGCATCGGCAAAGAGTACGACTTTTGTTGTACAATTGTTCCGACGACTATACGACTTAGAAAAGAAGGTTTACTTATTTTAGTTTGCTTTCACCTCTTAAATTGAAGTAATAATTTTACGACTTCTTTTTCCTTTCATTAGGAACCCACGCCTCATTCATGCGTCCACCCATGCACCGTCACAAGGCTTAAGAAAGTGGATTCTCAATCAATGAAATGGGACCGATGTGCATATGAGGAACTCTACCTTGAGACCAGATTGATTGATTTAACTGTGAGTAGTTTCAAGATTGAGCTATGAAACCTTTTCCTTAGAAAAATTATAAGTTGCCCTTAATCACTGACTGAATTTTGTCTCTAATTCAATTAGTTGAGTTCTTTTTGCTTATAATTTGTTTAACTCCTAATCAAATGATAACTCCTCATAGGCTGTGCTATATTATGAGTTGAAAGCACAAATGAGATATTTACCTATTGTTTTTACATTTTATTGAGAAATATTCTTGATTCATTATAAATGAGATGAGTTGATTCTTATATGATCACTGGCTACTATCATCTCTCGCTCCCCATTCCACATCACGAGAACATTTAAGAGACAACAAAGAAGAAGCAAGACCTGAAGTGAGGTCTTTGTTGCTTGCATGATAAACCCTAAAGTCAGCAATCCTCCTCGGGGATGAGGAATAAGGTTTTCCAAAAATGACATTCGAGTAAATATGAAGCTCTCTTTTGCTTTGTTTTACCTATTTCATAGGATGGTTGACAAGCTTTTGGCTCCCTACAAAGTTTACTATATTTATTATTGAGTCATTTATCCTGATTTAGTACGCTTAATCCCAATTCATGATGAATCAAATAGCAACATACAATCAAATGCTTGATAGAATTTAAGTGGTTGAATAGTCAAGAACAATCATCCTTATCTCATTATGACTTCAAGCTTTGAGTCAATTTCTTTCATAGAAAATCTAGGAATAAATCGAGAGTTGTTTGCATGTTGATCTAAATACACCAAGACATTGAGTTGAGGAAAATTTATCAAGTATTCAACAATCATCATTGATCTATTTTAAGTTGCAGTGCCCTCCATTATCTGCTAACATACTTATGTGAAAAAGGTAACTAAAAGCAAGCCCTTAGTTTCATTTTATTCTTTGAAATTTCGGACTTACTACTAGTCAACATCATCCTCTGAAAATCGACTGATAGTGAAATCTGTCATATTTGTTGTTAGATAAACTCATGATTTAAACTTTGCTTAATCACATGTATGAGTTGAAATCATTAATTTGACAACTTAGAGCAATGAATCTAAGAGAGTTAGATCTAATAATTCATAGTTTATGATCAAATGATTAACTATAAGATTTACACTTAGAGAGTAGGCACATACACTACACCAAACAACTTTAAAATGTTTTGATCTTACAATCAACATTCTAGGAAGACCATAAGATTTGAGAATTAGGAGAGTAGTATTACATAAATCCTCAGCGCCATTGTCGGGGATGTATTACATAATATTTGGTATTTTTCTATTTTTCTCCTAGAGTACACAAAAAAAATTTAACTCTTGTTTTTATTTTATTCTTGCAGATAAAAAACAAGAAGAAAGAGATTGAAGATCAACAAGGCAAGGACTAGAGCAGACTGAAGGATGGTAACTATAATTAAACTTTTTTCTTGAATTTATTGATTTTTATACATGGTAGAAGATCCTTACACCCAAGGCTAGAAAATTCTTCTACTATTTCATCCGAAACCAAAAATTTGAAACAAAATAATTTTTGATGGATCCTGAAGGTAGTACAAGTCAAACTGAAAATAATCTCATGGCCATGAAAATTATTATATCTCTGATTCATATCAAAGAGCATCTAATATTAGAGTCCCATTAACACCCACTATTTAATTTGAAATAAATCTAGAAATTTTCCAAATGCTCCTTAATTTTCATGGATTACTATTAGAGGAACCTTATCTATAGTTAGAAAAATTTCATATGATCCATGATTTAGTTAATCTCCCTCAAGTTACACCAAAAATTATTAAGATGAAATTATTTTCTTATACACTTATGGACAAGGCTAGTTATTGGCTATCCACACTAGATAGAGAATTAATTAGTTGGAAAGACATAGAACAAGCCTTTCTTTGAAAATATAATCTCTTAAGAAAAACTCAAAATATGAGAAAACATATATGAAGTTTTGCTTAAAGGCCAAGATAAACTTTGCATGAGACATTAGAAAAATTCAAAAAATTACTTAGAAAGTGTCCTCATCATGCTATACCAAAGTGACAGCTCAATAGAAGTTTTTATGATAGATTATTAGAATAACATAGAAATATGATTGATTCTATATGTGATGGAGCTTTTATGGAGAAAACCTTTGATCGATTCTGAATTTCAATATTATAATTTAGATCAATCATGTCAGCCTAGGCAAGAGCAAGTGCAAGTACCTCATGATTTTATAAAAAATAGGAAGCATTTTTCTAATTCTTATAATCCTAATTGGGGGAATATATTTTTGTGGAGAGACCTAAATAATATTCAAAATCTAGAAGTACTTTATTATTTTATTTTATTATCATAACGGGCTGCTAGAAAACTATCCCTACAGCCCATGAATTGTGCCTCAATTGGGCACTTGTCAAAGGAAAAAGAAAGTGTTATAATATATACATGATATGTCTGTGAAAAGTTCCGATATGGGACTAAATAGTTTTTCCTTGTTTCATGGCAACAGTTCATGATGGTTTGATTCTACAACTCTCAGGGCACCACATGACCAAAAAGAGAGAGATCTAGCGATGAGGAAAATGCTACGATATTGGGAACTTAAGTTCTTACACATATCACAATTAGGGATATAAATATAATTATCAATTATTATCTAGTAAAATAGACATTATTGATTATCATTAAAATTCTAACTTCATTTGTAATTAGGACAATCCCTTCTTCTTCTCCTTCGCATGATCAAAGCCTCAAGCAATCAGCAAGCTCGTTCCTTCCTCTCTTGACTATACTCAAGGCCTTCAGTGACAGGTTAGCTCATCTCTTCTCTCTTCAGACAATAGTGACAACATGGTCAACCCCTCTTCTTGGTGGATTTCTAGAGCGAGCGGTGTAGCACTTCTAGACAATACTTTTAAAATTTCTAACGTGATGTGACATGACTAGACAAAACCAAGCCACCACACTAATATCTCTAGTTGTCTAGGATGCAAACCAACATTTGGCGACATTTATTTTCCTATTTTCATCATTTATTTATATTTTACATTAAGTTATTTCCATCTTTATATATTTCTGGTAAAAATATATAGAAATTTTAAACTTTATGAATGATCTTCATTTTTCTTCTAAATCTTTTGAAACTCACCTAAGATCAATTTAAAATCATATCCTACTTATTTTCTCTTGATTTTTACAATCGAATCTCAAAGAACTTATGTTCTTGACATTTTGTGAATAATAGTATTCCTTTGATTTCAAACATGAAATCAGTGAGATTAAAGGATTTTGATTCATCAGTCATCATTGAGAAAATAATAGGTACAATCTAGGTTTTTTTTGTAAACTTTGAATGTTAACTCTTGATTGAAAGTGTTGACTTTGACTATTGAGTACTGACCCATGTATAGATAGTGTTATTTGGTAGAACCATTGGCTACGAGAAACTCTCTAGTCCTAGTTAGATGAAGAATTAATGCCCTCTAATCTAGGCTAGATGGAGGACGGTGGTGATGGTGACCAGATGACAACACCAAACATGTGGTGACACTAAGGAGGAACAACCCTAGATAGAAGCAATAGTGTACAAGTCAGCGACATACTTGTGGCAACATCAAACAGGGGGTGATGTCAGACTGAGGCGAAGACGGATAGAGGCAAAGTCAGACTAAGGGCAATGCCGAACTCTTGGCATAGTTGGAGAGGAGCAGAGCTGGACAAGTGGCAGTGCTAGATGGTTTTTTTTTGGTCCTCTTAAGGGGCACATCCGAGGCCTAGCCCCTTCCCAAGAGGAGGCCACTCATCTTAATACTACTCTGACCCATGTATTGTAACTTGACACCTAGCCCATGCTCAAGAGGTCAACCATCTTGATATTGTTCCAGTGTCAAGAGGCATTTTTTGCCTTAAGGGGTGTGGGAGATGGACATCAAGGCCTAGCCCCTTCCTAGGAAGGGTCCTAGTACTACTTTGGCCTGGGTGCACCTCAGTTAAGGTGCGTGGGTGGATTGGTGGCAGGAGAAGGATATTCTCAAGAGTGGCCATAGTGGGTAGCCAAGGAGGGACTGATTGATAATGATGAGACATCCCATCCTGCCTCCGTTCCAGCCTAAGCACAATTAACTCTGAAGTTCTTATGGGATCCGGTGGCAACACTCCCACTTAGGGGATTTACATAGGATAGAACCCTACTATGATACAATGAAAGAAATAGAGAGTCCCCAAAGGTGAGAGAGAAAGAGAGAGTGAAAGGACTTTTTTTTCCATCTAACCTTAATCAAGAAACTTTGGTATATATACCAAAGTCTCATGGGACCTAGACGGGTTGATAGGGCCCATACCCATATGGGCCAATACAACCATGACTTGGATGGGCCTATACAATATTCAACACAATGAACAATTTAAACGTAATTTATGATGCACATAATATTCAATAGCCCTGACTTATTATAAAAATATCAAATCTATTGTGTCATTACCTTAAGTGTTACATGGAGTCATACACGTGCTTTTTTAATAGACATAGATGATCTTCCTAACTAAAAACTTCAAAATATTCTAATTGATGTATATATTTTCTCCTCTAACTCACCATGAAATAACATTGTCTTTACATCTAATTGCTCTAGTTTTAAATAAAGTAAAATAATAATGACAAACAACACACACAATTCTATATTTTATGACATTATAGAATACAACAATGAAATCGATATATTTTCACTAAGAAAACACTCTTCTAACAATGATGTCTTAAATATAATGTCTTTCACACCAAAAGTTGCAAAACACTCTTTATTTATTTTTCTCATGAGGGTAAATCTCTTTTTAGATGTACAATGAGCATTTAGAAGATTTATCTGATGTATAATTTGTATATAAGTATATACTTTTGTCTTCTCAACTTCATATGCAACATATAAATTAAAAGTTACCATGCCACCATAATTATAGTTATTAATGTTGAATTTTAGGGAACACTTAGATCAAGGAGGGTTGAATAAATTGGTTCTTAATCAACATAGTGATAAGATCTCTTTAAATGAATCAATCTTCTCCTCAACGTCTCAAAGCTTATGGTCTTTCTAGATTGTTGACTATAAGATTAAAACATTTTAAATTGGTTTGGTGTACTATCTATGTCTACCATCGCATAACAAATCTTATAGTTGATCGTTTGATCACAAACTACTAAATATCAAATTCAACCCTCTTAGATTTTTTTTGAAATTATCTTCTAGATTCATGGCTCTAAGTTGTAAAGATCTAATTAACAACTTCAACTCATACATGTGATTAGATAAAGTTTTAATCATACATTTATCTTACAACAAATATGAAAAATTACACTACCAATAGATTTTTAGAAGATGATGTTGACTAGTAGTATGTCCAAAATTTCAAAGAAACTAAGGGCTTGCTTTTAGTTACCTTTTTCCCATATGTTAGCCAATGATGGAGGACACGACAGCTTAAAATAGATCTAGGATGATTTGTTTAATACTTGATAAATATTATTCAACTCAACGTCTTCGTGTATTTATGTCAATATGCAAACAACTCTCGATTTCTTTCTAGATTTTATGTGAAATAACTTAATCCAGAGCTTGAAGTCATAATGATATAAGGATGATTGTTCTCAACTATTCAACCACTCAAATTCTATCAAGCATTTGATTGTCTGTTGCTATTTGACTCAACATGAACTGGAATTAAGTCTTCAGGGAGCCAAAAGCATGTCAACCTATCTACAAAATAGGTAAAACAAAGAAAAAGAGCTTCATATTTCCATGATGGAAAACCTTATTGCTCATCCTTGAGGAGGACTGCAGACTTTAGGGTTTTATCATGCAATCACCAAAGGGCCCACTTCAGATCTTGTTCCTTCTTCTATGTTGTCTCATTAAATGTTCTCATGAGGTAGAAAGGGGTGCGAAAGATGATAGTAGCTAGTGATCATATAAGAATCAACTCATCTCATTTATAATGGATCAAGAATATTTCTTAGTAGAATGTAAAAAAATTAGGTAAATCTCTCATTTGTGCTTTCAACTCGTAAAATAGCACGGCCTGTGAGGAGTTATCATTTGATTAGGAGTTAAAAAAATTATAATCAACAAGAACTCAGCTAATTGGATTAGGACCAGAATTCAGTCAAAGGGCAACTTATAATTGTTCTAGGGAAAAAGCTTCATAGCTCAATCTGGAAGCTACTTACATTTAAATCAATCATTCAAGTCTCAAGGTAGGGTTCTTCATCTGCACATCAGCCCCATTTCATTGTAATCCACTTTCTAAAGCCTTGTGACAGGTAATGGGTGGACGCATAAATGAGGCGTGGGTGGGCGTGGACATTACATAGATGAGTGGTGACGACACGAGGGCAGCAGTGGATGATTGTGTAGGCAAGTTATCATGGAGGGACTCACGAAATGAATGGGCAACACACTCAAACAGCCTGACATGGAGCATGAATGGCACAAAAACAAGTGAGACAGGAGAGGGAGAGAGAGAGAGAGATGATGGGACTGACAATAAATTAACAAGATAACGTGGATGAAGATAAGGGATGCGAGAAGGATGGGAAGAAGTGGAAAACGGGAGATCAAGGCCTTTCACTATGGATCTTCTAGAGCGGTTGGCTGCTCTCAGTCTTGTCTCAAATTTTTCTATTCTTGATCATTCATTCACTAAATTAATCCCAAGGATAATATGCCTTGTTATGACATAGTCAAAAGTTATCATCAAATGGAAAGGGTAACTAGAGCTGATGCAGAAGATAAATTAAGGGTTCCTAATGAGATAAAAGAGAAGTCATAAAATTATTACTTCAATTTAAGAAGTGAAAGCAAACTAAAATAAGTAAACCTTATTTTCTAAGTCGTATAGTCGTCGGAACAATTCTTCAACAAAAGTAGTACTCTTTGTCGATGCCGCATTGAGACCGAGCCTCCTATCCACAGCTTGCTCGATTTCATAGTTGAGTTTAAAAATCGGGGGACGCCTTGTGCCGACTTCGGTGATCAGGACCATGGAGAGATCGAGTGCCTCCATCCGACCGAGCCAGAGACCAGCGACTGCATCATGTGGCTTAGCTCGTTCAAGAGAGGGCGGAAGGGTAGGAGACCCAGATACCTGTTTAACGCCGTTTGAGTTGATGAGTGGCTCCGGCGCAGCGCCACCAGCCCCCTCTTGCCAACGCTCGCAGACAAGCCGGGAGTCCATGGCCTTCGTTTTGCCATCGCCTTGGCCGCCAATCACGTTACGCCGGAGTCATTTTCCCCACCGTCGCCATCCTTCATCGAGGAGGTCGTCATGGACATCCATTTGGAATGGAGTCTCTCTCTCTCTCTCTCTCTCTCTCTCTCCAGCCATCTCGCGTTATTTTGATCCAAAGCAGATGCACGCGTTATCGACTTTCAGATATTCCCGCTATCTACCGATTCGAGATGCATGAATTCCACTGGCGAGCGCCTCCGGCGAGCACTAAGCCAACAGGAAGGCTTGGGTTTCCCATTCATCAGATGTGGCCCCATCAAAGCTATTCAGGCCTATCCTTTCAACCATCTGGGTTGGGTTTCCCAAATCCTCGTATTTAAATGCTAAATCATTAATTTATAATACGGGTCGATTTGTATTGTAGTACTTTCCCAATGTTTTCGTTGATACCGATGTCTGCATGTTCTTAGTATTTATCGAAATTTATTTCCCTTCAAGATTCTTTTGGATTTGCAAGTTTGTAAGATGTTATTGGTAATGCTATACATATAAAATATTTTTATATTAATTTTCAAAAAATGATGCGGCATAATTGCACGGGTAATCTTCTTGAGAATATGTGATATTTCACTTTTTATAAAATAAGACGTAGGCAATAATAACTGACGGTGGTATCGGCCATCATTTTAATGACGCTAGGTTGAGGGAAAGTAATAAGACAACAATATTGTATTAAATCATACTCCATTATTTTATGTCAAACCACATGTTGATGTCTGTGGGTCTCTGCGAGGACGCGGTCGATTACCTACTTCTCTTGGCAACCGCATCGCGCACACGCCAGAGCCCGCTATATTTGTTGCCAGCCCCCGGTGGGGGTGTGCATATTCGCAGATGTATGCTCCCAACCACCCGTCGCCGGCGGCCCCCATCGTCGTCGTCGGGCCGCAGTTTTGCGCCCCCTACCCCGTGGATGTCATCGTAACGAAGAAGTTCCTCAGCATCACCGACGGCGATTTCACCGTGAAGGATGTGGAGGGGAACGACCTGTTCCGTGTGAAGGGTGTGTTTTTGAGCATGCGGGACAGGCGGGTGCTGCAGGATGCCATAGGCAACCCCCTAATCACCATGCAGGAAAAGGTGAGGTTTTTGCGCAGTCTCGTTTATTTTTCATCGATTCGTTCCCCAATCAAGTAAGATTGAGATCAGGTTTTCGGGCCCCAGCCACTGGGGAGGACGGAAGTGTTTATCGAACCGTTGTCTCCAGGTGTTGACGGTTCACAAGAGATGGAAGGTCTTTAGGGGAGACAGCACCGATGACAGTGATCTCCTGTTCAGCGTTAAGAAGTCCTCCCTGCTCCAGCTGAAGACTAAGCTGGACGTCTTCCTGGCGGCTAAGAAGGAGGACGTCTGCGACTTCAGTGTGAAAGGGAGCTACTTCGAGAGGTCCTGCACCATTTACAAGGGGGATTCCTCTGTCATTGTCGCCCAGGTAGACCTCCTCTCCCCCCCCCCCCGGCCACCGCAACTTTCTCTCTCTATCCCTCACTGTCGTAGGACAGCAATTTCGGGTAAACCTAACGGGAGGGGGACCGGCGAAACTCTCTGCAGATGAAGAAGAAATACACGGTGAAGAACGTGATTCTGGGAAAGGACAGCTTCGGGGTGACCATCTACCCGAACGTTGACCACGCCTTCATCGTCGCCCTCATCGTTATCCTCGACGAAATCAACAAGAGGTCAGGCGGAGGAAGCTCGAATTGATACTTTCGTACCATAATTTTACACAATGTTATGTCCCTTGACACCGTGTGTAAAAGTTTGAGGTTTTAGAGGATGTGTATTAAGATATCGTCATTGAACGACCTTCGGGGTTCTTGCGTGGTTTAATATGAATATGTCTTTAGAATTAGTCTACTAACAGACGTCACCCATTTTTTAGAACAATGTAGTCTCGAAGAAATCAAATTCGCGCGTCTACTAGTTCATTGAATAGTGGCTCGGGTCCATTGTAACTAGTTTGATTAAGACAACTTGGTGTGTGGGCCCAAATATAGTAATACATACATTTACAAATATATAGGTTGATTGATTTAAAGATCTAATAGACTTACACCGAATGAGCGAGAGAGAGAGAGAGAGAGAGAGAGAGGTTTCCACTTACAGGCGGTTTTCGGGAGGGGGGGGGTCGGGAAGGATGCTGGACGCCGCCGCCGCCGCCGCCGCCGTCGTCGCCTAGGTAATCTCCCTTTCCCCCAACCAAACTCTCTTTCCCTCTCCCCATTGGAGGACATGGAAAACCTAAACTGGTTTGAGAGGTCCTGCACCATCTACCTGATAAGGTTTCGCGGCCGACTCTCATCGGTGTCTTAGAATAGGAAAATCCCTTGAATATGAGGATAAATGTTCGATTTTTAGGGGTTGTGTATACGACCCAAAATCCAGAATCCAAGATTGAACAAGGAAGGAGAGAGGATACTATGAAAACTTGAACTGAAAGTCTGATTAGCCTGTTACAAGGAGGAAGGAAACATCAGTCCAAGTAGCACAAGGAATTTCGGATCCTCAGAAATAACCCAAAGGCAAACAACCTGCCGTCTCCAGTTGTGGATGGGTCATATCAAGCGAAGGTCTTCACGGAATACAGCACCGATGACGGACATCTGTTTAGCGAAAAAGGTCCTTCCTGCTCCAGCCGAAGACCAAGCGGGACGTCTTCCTGGCCGGCCAACACGAAGGAGGACGTCTCGGATTTCAAGGTGAAGGGGAGCTATGTTGAGAGTTCTGCAACCATCTACCTGGGAGATTCCTCCGCCGTCTTCCCATTGGTAAACTAAACTCCCTTTTCCCCCGCAATTCTCTCTCTCTCTCTCTCTCGCTATTTATCTATCTCTATGCGTCGGCGGACACCAGTTTGAGGAACAACTAACGGGAGAGTTCAGGCGACACTCTCGGCAGATGAAGAAGAAGAACACGGTGAAGAACGTGCTGCTGGGAATGGACAGCTTCGGGTGAACATCTGCACGAACGTTGACCATGACTTCATCGTCATCCGCGACAAGATAAACACTGAGGCGTGATGATAATGTTCTGCTGGTAGACTCGCATCGGTCTCTTGGAATACGAAAAATCCCTTCGATATGTGCGTCAATTCTTGATTTTTAGTGACCTGTTTAGAGGACTATGATCATCGAATAATCTTGGACAAGCTTTTGTCTCAAGAATCTCGTTCAGACAAAGAAAAAACCTACTCGAAGGAACAGCTTATTCACGAAAAATGAAGTCAACCCGTTCGCCCATAGTTGGTAGCTCCGGTCAATTGCAGCGGGTTGACTTTGGACAACTTGGTGGGTCGACCGAGTATAGTAATATATAGAATCTTTTAGTCCCACCGATTCCGGAATCCCACGTACTGATCAATTGGAGAAGGTGAACAGCCTCCGTGTGATCGAATTTCATTCTACCAGGTCAACAATTCCACGTGGATTTCATCCTACCAGTTCATCTATCTCTCTATCTCTCTCTCTCTCTCTACCGGTCAAGGTTCGGACTCTCTCCTCCACCACTCGTGAGGCCCATTCTCTTTCCTTCTCGTTTCCTTGGGGAGTCCTCCCTTCCCTTCTTCCCCTTTTCTCTTCCGGCAGTTCCTTCGTCCCTCCGGCTGCAGCCGGCGGCGGCCTCCATGGGATGCCCGTTGGCACCGTTCATTAATGAGTTTCCAATCACCAATTTCAGCTCACTGGGCGGACCAGAAGCTCGTAAATGCCGCGTTGCCAGGAATAGAGAGAGAGAGAGCCGTCTGCGTCGCGGGAATAGGGTTCCGAAATTTGAACACCTTTCTTTCTTTCTAGACGGCCCCAGAGCTTCTCGGTTTTGTCGCTGCCCTTTTTCTGTGGTGGCGGGGCCCCTGGAATTGCCGCCTCCAGCTCGGGCTCCTGCTGACGTGCGACAGACTACGACACCGCAAATGGATGATCCACCAGGGAAGGGGGAAAAAACTAATCATTTCCTATTTCTCCCCTCTTTCCATCCTTTCTTCCTCTCCGCCTCCTGCGTTTTCTGGGTTCCTTACGCGGGGGGAAAATATGGGAATTTCCGTTGAAACTCCACGGGGGAGACCTCAGGGATTCCACACTAATCTTCTCCTTCCTCGTCAGGGTTAGGGTTACCTGCCAAGGTTGTTTTGTCCGCTGCTTGGCCCTCTTTTATTTTGGTGTTGTACTTCTTACGCGCAAGGAAGAGGGACAGGGCGTGAGGAACGGACGGAGATGTCCTCGCCGTCGGCCAGCGTTCGGGTGGAGAAGGCCACGAGCGATCTCCTGATCGGGCCCGATTGGACTCTGAACATCGAAATCTGCGACGCTATCAACTCTGATCACTGGTTAGTCGCACGGTGAACCTTTTGTGCGAGGAATCCTCTCAGTTCCGACTATCAATGTTATTATCTCTCGTGTGTGGGGTTTTTCTATTTGCTCGACGACGGCTATTTCGTTTAAACTCTTTCTCGCGCGACGATCTTCATCGATTACCTAATTTAACCATCGGTATTTTCATGCCGAGTTAGAAACGTATTTTGTGCGGTGTTGGTAGTCGCCGTAGGCCTTCACTGCCTTGGAAATCCTACTTCTCTTTCCTTACTGGGCGTGCTGGATTTCGCTGCTTCGGAAGCCTCTTTTACGCGGTCTTTCATGGCCAGGCAATTGACGTTGGCCCGCTCTCTCGTTTCCTTGGGATGAGATTCCCCTGCGCTGGAAGGTGGACGATGTCGTTCTATATTGTGATCTCCTCTCGTCAACGAGGCTTTTTATCACTGTAGATTGTGTATTAGGGTAGATTCGCTTGCAGGATTCTTTTATAAAGACTATTTTTTTTTATAGACTCTCATCTAGTCCCAGTTACAAGTTTTGAAGTTGTTGTTATCTCTTTTCCAAATATTACTTGGCCATTGTCACTTTACGCTCTCTGGATGTTGTTTGAAGCTGTTTATGGGTTTCATACTGTGACTTGAACAGGCAGGCAAAAGAAGTGGTTAAAGCAGTGAAGAAACGCTTGCAACATAAGAATGGGAAAGTCCAGTTTCTTGCTCTGACGGTATGTGCCAACTTTTTGTAAACCTGTATTTTCTTATGTTGTTTAGATTTTCTCTACCACATGTGGAAATATATCTGAATAGATTGAGGCCTCCAGGGTTTCAAATAGATTTATTTTTTTTGGTGTACAGTACCAATTTCTGAATCATTTCGGACTTCTTGGCTTTATACTGTTCTAATTAACTTAAATGTTGAGAGGTATGCTGGTTTGATTGCAAAGGACAATACTAAGAGTTCGTTTGTGTACATTTGGACATTCTCTTGGTAGCTATTGGAGACGATGATGAAGAACTGTGGTGATTTTGTGCATTTCCAAGTCGTTGAACGTGATATACTACAGGAAATGGTTAAAATCGTCAAAAAAAAGGTCAGACTTTTGATGTGATGTTTGGTCTTTCTATTTGCTTGTGTTGCCACCTACATGATTCTACGTACGGTTTCTTTGACTTTGAGTGTTTTCTTGATCTGCTTGAATGCTGCATATTTCTGTATTGAATCATTACCTCAAAATCATTAGTCATTGAGTCGACTAATCCTCACATTTTGAACCGCACATCTTTTTCCTCCCAATTAAATGTGGGACTGTTCCAAGAGGGGGATGTGGGAAAGAGAGACACATGAAGAGGACTGGATCTTGTTGAATAGATGGAAAGAAGGTGCTCAGTGGAGTGCTAATGATAACACGCTTTTGAAGAATGGGGCAGTGAATCCAGAGAGTTGTAGCAAGAACTTAACTTATCAGTTCGTGGCAACAACGCTGTGGGTAGCTGACAGCAGCTAGAGCAAATTTTGGATAGAATCGTGAGTGCATGGAACTTGAGAGGCATGATGTTTTCAAACATAATTTAATTTCTCTGGTCCATGACTATGAAGCCCAAACGCTGATGACTTTTCTTTATTTTTGGACAATCCCAGGTTTCAGGTTTTAGTTCAATACTCTTTAGCCGACTTATTGGTCTGCCTTTTGGTACACCCATCAGGGATTGCATCAAGGGAGACAGGTGCCTTGACCTTCAGATTAAAATCTTACCGGCAACATGGAGTGTAGTCGATAAAAGACTAGTTTGGCATTACGTTCCTGATTGTCAGGAAAATATTTTCCAAACATCATTGACTGGTGCGTAAATTTATGCCGTTGGTTGATCTTGAGTTTGCTGGCAAACTGTGAGATACAAAAGTGATACACGGGGATACAAATGGCCAATTAGATATACCTGACATGCATATGTGTTTGTATTGATATAAGGAATTGTTCTGAAATTTTTGTTTAGAATCATTTTGTGCACCTTATAGATGGCTTGAAGTTCATTATGTTTTTAATATAAGACTGTACCTTCAGAAAGTCTGCAATTTTATCTATCATTCAGGTTGTTTTATTGTTTATTTGAGCAGTATTTCTGGTTTAACTTCTCTTTTCCTTAGTGTAATATACGCTTGTACTTTTTTGTATTTTCAGACAGATATGCAAGTGAGGGATAAGATTCTTGTGCTTCTTGATTCTTGGCAAGAGGCGTTTGGTGGTCCTGGTGGAAAATATCCACAGTACTATGCAGCATACGTTGAACTAAGGGTACATTGTTTTTCATTCGTTTTTGGTAGATTTGATGTATGGGATTATTTACCGGTGATGTCATTAAAGGTTTTTTTTTTATACTGTTTTGGAGGTATGATATTCACCGTCGTCCATTTAACTGAAAGCCCTTTAGGTGATCAGTCCTTTGGTAGAATCATTCTGGTTGTAATCCACTGAAGTGAATGTTTTGACCTAGTTTTTAAATCTGAGAAATAGGAATGGGCACTGATTATGTGTCCATCTAACTACCCAGAGTAAGACGAATATGGTACATCATCCCCATCAATCCCTAGTTGGAACATTGTTCTTCCTCCAAAATTATGGCTTGTCCTACATCATGTCCTTTACATCTGCTTGGGCGTTTTGAATATGTTCTTTTGATGCTTGGACAACAACTAACTAGCGCATAAACGCGTAGCCTCAAGGACCTAGTGCACATACTGTATTAGTGTATGCCTCCCTTGAAAGACAGAGAAGACTCGTGATTAGAGGCTTGAGCCTGTTCTTGTCTCAATCCTCCGACCATGCCCAGCTTAGACATTCGAACTGTTCCTAAAAGTCAACCAGCTTATTACGATGTGGCTTCTGCTGAAACAAGTTTACCTATTTCATAAATAGTAGGTTCATTGCCTCCCTGTTATTTATATCTATACCGGATTCTTGGGTATGGAAAAGACCCGAACACTGATCTTAACGTGTCCCCTACCATATTTTTCCAGTTACTTTTTTCGATATTTTAGGTATTGACATGATGTTGTTTCTGAAAGAAATGTATAAAGTAGAACATTTGCTTCCCATTTCCCTCATAACAGTGTCTCGCTGTGGAGGGATTAGGGGAGAATTGCAAAACACTGTTCCACTAGAATTCTTTGCAGTCTTGCTATCTGCAGGGTTAAGGACGCGCGAGAGTCAGTGAAATGATTTCTATCTGCTGACTAAAAAGCTCAAGTGGGTTACAAATATCAGTATGTGGAGTGTTTCGAAGACATGTAATCGCAAGTAGCTGAATGCTATTGGCAATTGAAATGCGTTTTTCATTGAAAATGGAGCTTTTCCTGTATCTTTCTTATTTCAAGATTTAGCTGCGGTTAGGATGGATTGTATAACCTGTGAACGGATCTTACTTGTCTGGGCAGCAATATGGAGTACAATTTCCGCAGCGCTCCCCAGATGCAGCACCAATGTTTACGCCTCCTGTTATTCATCCACTGCCGAGACACCCCCCAGTAGGCTATGGAATGCCCAATAATCCTTCTATGCGGCTTGAGGAGGCAATGGCGTCTGAAATGGCTAATCTGAGGTAATAGCTGGATCTGGTTTTGTCCTTTCTTTTTTTCGTTTCGGCTGGTTCAAGCTTCTTCTCTGTTCTGTTATGGTCCTTATCTGGTCATTATGACCTTTGGATCAAATTTTGACTTTTGTTTTTTGTCGTCTCTTTGTAGTCTATCAGACCTGGATTCTATCCGGAGAGTTACGGAGCTTCTGAGCGACATGCTGCAAGCGGTGAATGTGAATGATTCGGCGGTAGGGTCCTTAACAGTTTTATCTGTTTCTGGCTCCCCAGATGCATGCTACCTTGTTTATCTAGTTTTCTTTAGGAGATTGTACTGTCAGAATCTTCTTGGTTTTCGAATAAAGATCGTATTAAACTGGCAATGGCCATGTAGTTCCGTGTACACTATTAATGTAATATATCCAGTTAAACCTTATATAAAATCCTTTATTTTGACGAAAGTAGAAATGACCATAATGACAATGCTTTTTCTGTAGCCATGTGTTCATTTGGTGACAGAATGTAGGACATAGGATAATCCAAATGCCTAGACGACGTCATCATATTAAAACATATTACCCATGATACTCAGCTGACATAAATTTAGTCCATGAAGCTATAATAATTTCCTTTTTGTACCTAAAGACTAGAAAATGAGGTCTGGTTTCATCGTCTCGATACCCTTTTGTTCAGGAGTCCTGATTCCGGTTGAAAATCTTCTAACTGATGATAGGATGCAAAGGTTACAGTCATTGGGCTTACTTTTGTTGTCTTTGGGGAACATTGTTTTGTGTGTTTTCATCATCCGCTATTCTATTTGAATCGAGAGGACCTAACTCAGCTTTTTATGCTGTTCTGGGATAGGCTGTCTCTATGGTGCCCTAAGAATTTGAATCAATAATTTTTATTTCTCTCTCTCTCTCTCTAGGCTGTAAAGGATGATGTGATTGTGGATCTTGTGGGCCAGTGTCGTGACAATCAGAAGAAGCTCGTGCATTTGGTAAATACAACCGGGTAAGCATTGGCAGTCGCACTTTGTGAAATTTGCCTGTGGTTTGTACCCTTTTTAGTCATAGGAAATTATTCATTGCCCAGCAGGGTGCTTTGCGCTTGGTATTTTTACAGTCCAAAGTTATCTTAGTAGGTGGATGCCCATAAATTCTTTCACTCCAAATATTTACCTCTTTCTTGTATCCTCGAAGATATTGCCATAGTCTCATGTGAAAAAAATTTGGTTTATGTTTCAGGGATGAGGAGCTCCTGGCTCAAGGGCTAGTGATAAATGACAGTCTGCAGACTCTGCTCGCTAAACACGATGCAATAGCCTCCAATCGTCCTCTGCCGATTGAAGCATCTCCATCAGCCCCGGGGCCGAGCACCCCCACTGTGCCTAAAACCACTGCAAGTAGACACACTCAGGATGTGGAGGAAGAGGAAGAAGAAGATGATGATGAATTTTCGCAGCTCGCTCGCAGGTCTTGAGGGCTCCCCGTTCCCTTTGGTTCTTATTTTCTGCATCTGTTCTTGGGCGTGGGTAACCTTACTACTTTTGTGCAGGAAAACCAAAGCCCAGATTGTTCCTTCTCAGGGCGCACTCCCCATGGCCGGCGATCAAGAGTCCTCGCCAGCCAAGAGCACCGCAGAACCATCAGCCTCTTCGCCACCTACCAATGCTTTAGCTCTACCTGACCCTCCGGCCCCTGTGAAGACAACAACAAAGGAACAAGACATGATTGACCTTCTGAGCATCACCCTGGTGCCAAATCCTTCTCCGCCGCAGACCCCTTTGACGCCGCGCTCGGTTTCCCCTGGCGGCTCTCACATCCCCTCGTCTCCTCCAACTGCGCCGCAGGGATACTCCTACAGCCCACATCAACAACCCCCTGTGAACCAAGGATTCTCACCCTACAACAGCTACATCGTCCCTTGGGCCCAACAAATCCAGACCCAGCAGCCCCCAGCGGAGCCGCCGATGCCCCAGTTCCGAGCCGAGCAGCCCCAGTTCTCCCAACCATCATCCTCATATCCGCCGCCGCCATGGGCCACCAGCACAGAGAACAGGATTGCCTCAACCAGCCACCCATCAAACCCACAGCAGTTTGTGGCCCCAAATGCGACCACCCAGCCTTACTACAGGCCCTATCAGCAGCAGCAGCAGCCGCCCTCTTCAGCAGGGCAGAAACCCTTCGTGCCTTCTTACAGACTATTTGAGGAACTGGTCGACTTGAGAAGCCCAGGGGGGGAGCTGAAGACCGCCGCCGATAGCCAGCCCATGATCGGGAGGAAGTGACGACTTGATTGATGCCTTCGGATTATCTCCGTTGACAATTCTGACTAAACTGGTCCTCGTGGGTGAGGGAACCTCTTGTATAGAAGGTACTCCTCCCCCCCCCCTTCCCAGCCCTCTTATTTTTTCTTTCTTTTACCTTTTTTTTCCCTAATTTCTATCGTGGCGAGTATCTGAATTCATGATATACATGTATAATTCATTGCCTGGCCTGCAGTCACAAGGTCAACGTCCGGGTCAGCCCTGGGTGATCTCGGACAGGAAACCAATGGCATCCGATTGCTCAAAAGCAAGGGCATTTTTAACTTATAATGTTGTGTGATAATTTTACAATTGAACAAATAAAGAAAAGGATGAGAGGAAAAAGAGGGAAATATATACAGAATTTACCTATTTACCAATATTATTTCCGAGACCTCCTTAAGCTGCAGCACTCTTCTTCCCATACTTTCTTCATCCCCACTTCTCTGCTCGGAGGCTAATGAATATTGGTAGAATACAATTTTCACACTGGCTGCGTGGTGAAGCTGCCCCTTCGATCCTCTGTCGGCCGCCCAGCTTCTCCTCCTTCCAAGTCTTCGGGTGATTTGGAGAGAGAGAGAGAGGGGGAAGGAGAGAGAAGTGGTCGACCTGGGGATGATGATGGTGAAGGATCATCTCAATTGAGAGTCCTCGTCGGCATAGATGGAGACGCAGGCGTCGGCTGCACCGGCGGCGAGCAGAACTTTGTAGGGATGGAATGTGAGGCAGCTGACGGAGCCTATCCTCTGCGCCATGAAGGTCGGATAGTACCTGATGATACTGAGCTGTTTACCTTCCAGGCTGAAGACCTTCACCATCTGCTTGGAGGAGCCACTGGCGATGACGGGGGCGTGGCGGTGAACAGCCAGGGCCGTGAGGGAGCCCCGGTGGGCATCGATAGTGAGATACGCCGTGCGGTTCCTTATGTCCAGGAATTGAATGTCCCCTGCTTGAGAGGCGCTCACGATCTGCGAGGGAAGCAACAGGATAGATCATATCATTTTTGGGAAAATATCAGCTCATCACATGCCGCGTAAAAGATCTACAAAAATGTATTTATTTATTTATTTATTTATGTTTCAATGGAGAGAGATACAGTGAATTCCAGAACAAACTAAACCCATTGCAAGCAATCGCATTGAAAAAAATGATCAGCCAAAAGGCTCCCCTCTGTTGCAGATACAGATTTGGTTCTTGAGCTGAACTAGATTTATGTTGGGATTTTTCCCCAAGTAAACGTGAGAACAGCAAAAGATAGAATCGAGTAGGGTAGAATGAACAGGAGCCATTCATTACCTTCCCTGAATCCAGCCCAGGTTGGAAACCAATCCCGACGACTCTTTCAACGCTCTGGGTATGCGGTCTTGTTGCAGAAACAAGCCTACAAAACCCACGGCAACCAATCACGAGACAGAAAATCAACATGGAATCTTAGATAAAACAGGCAACACCATCTTAGAATGTAGCTTACATCTCTGGAGTACGAATGTCAAATAACCTAACAGAGCCATCAACAAAGCCGGCAGCAAGTTGCCCACCATGGACTTGAGAAGCAGACTACAAGAAGAGGAAAAGAAATTCGTCAACCAAACAGGGAAACGCGAAAAAACTGACAGGTCAACTGCAACGAGTTGAAGAATCTTATCCAAATACACAGGATGTGATCTTTCATACAAAGACCCGTAGAACTGAGCGATCATGATCTAAATATATCATTTCGTTTACACGAGCAAGGAGTTCTAAATTTTCACAGCTGTTAGGACTAAATTACATGATTACCAAGGAAGAGTCTCTCTAGTTATCTCTATAAAGGATATTTTTCTCTTTTTTTTAAAAAAAAACAAATAAAGTACAGTCGAACCGAAAAATTGCCATGTTATTTGCATAGCTGTACATGTTGGGTACACATGCAAACGTCTTTCCTGCAGGAATGTGTACTTATTGAGAAAGAACTAGTCAACCTGAATTAGTACAAGACGACTAAAGGGAAATCAAATACAGATTTATTTTTTATCTATTTCAACAACGCCCAAATTTCAAAAAAGATAACTCACCAATGCTGAAATGCTGATCTCAGATGACGGAAAAGAACTAACAAGCTGCTCCTTGTCCAAATCCCATATCTGGATTGGAGAGGCCTCAGCAGAAGCATACTGCGGAATAGGGTAATGGAATACACAGTATAAGAAACATATCTATAAAAAAAACAGAGTAAGATATAACAGTATAAAACTGGCATGAAGAATATAAGGACGTACCAAATAACCGGACTGTTGTTGCCAATCAACAACAGCATTTGTAACGCGAACACCTGGTCGATGACCTTGAATTGAAGAGAATGCAGTGACAAGCATTTGCTTGCTTTTTAGGGCGTAATCTTTCCATATCCGAACATTTCCATCAGCTATATTCAAGAAGTATGGAGTCAGACAAATCATTAAATAACAGGTATTTGAAGCAAGTAGGAGCTCAGAAAAGTAAGCTGGATAGAGGTCCTACATGAAGCAACAAGAAGCAAGCTGTCATCGAGCTCATTCAGGAGGCAAAGCTTCGAAATTCCTTTGTCAGGGAACTCGTGGTTCTCAAAACTGTTTAATGATGTAGCCTCCTCATAATTCCACACCCTAAATAATTAATATAGCCAAAAAAAAACACAGTATCAGATCTGCAGTTAGATAATCCCATTCCATTAGGCAATCACATCAGGCTTTAAGCCTTTGTTCGGATAATACGAGAATATATCACTGTCACCATACTTGATAGAAGAAAACAGGCATATTATTTCAACCAAAAATAAAATCTATTTCACCAGCTCGAACTTTAGTGGATGGCAAAGTAGCATATATACTGCCCATGATCAGGGAAAGTAAGACTATAACGCCAGTCGCATCCCAGAGAGGAATATGCTTATAGGCACAATAGGTGATATCACTTTTATCTCATATATTCTGATGTAGGTATGCATATATGCATGTGTGCGTGTGTGGTATGCCTAGTCCTTGGTAATTCTCCATGTAGCCACTACAAAAGTTCCTACTCGTCCCCATGTCATAATAGAAAACCAGTGGATACATATAGATTAGAGTTGACATTGATCACCAAAAAAAGTGACCTGTACACATTTTGCGATATATGCCATAATAAAAGCTAGATCAGAAAAATGAAAGATTGAATACCTGATTCGTTCATTCTCGTCGGCAGCAACAACAATTGGAGAAAAAGGTAGCAATAACGCAGCCTTGGTGCCAGTTTCAAATCTGGTATCCCAACTCGCAATTTGATTGCTAAGCTTGCTTCCAGCTGAATCTTACCAAAAATGAAACCAGAATATGGCCAAAAATGGAATAAGTAAGATTAGTGCAAGGGAAGAGACAGTCAAAGAAAAGCATGAAATGCATTGTCAGGATCCACTCACATGAATGCTGGCATTTGGCAATGCGATCCAATGCATATCTCTCCCTATCTTCTCTTTTCGGGGAAATTTCTTCATTATCATCCGTTGCGGTAAGAAGTGGTCTTGAAAAATGACCACAACTCCAACTGTAGATGGTTGACTGTGGAAGCAAACTGCGCTCTGAAGCTCCGAAGAATCCTGAAGAACCTAAAAGCGGATCCGCTAATCCCGACTCTGGAGAGTTTAACTGGTGCTGTCTGAAGTCCAACGAGCAAACACGCCGCATTCCTGACAAGAAATTTTGTCGAGGGGGACTAACAGGAGGAGTTCTAAATGGTAACTGTACGTGACCTGCAGAAACGAAAAAAGAGATTGAGTAAAGTCTTCATGCCTGACAACATAAATTACGGGAAGAACAAACTGAACAATACCAGCACTCATATCAAACCACGAGGATGATCGTGCGAGTCCAGCAAGGTTAGAACCAGGTGATTGAGTAGGAGCAGATAAGTCTCCCTGTCGAATGCTTCCACCATTAGGTCGCACTGTCTTCGTAACCACTTGTTCAATACCAATGATAGAAAGTGTTCGTCGGCCAAGAGATGAGACTCGAGGAGATGGATCCTTGGCAAGGGTGTACATGGCTAGTACGCATTGTGAATAAACTGGATTGTCCGACACTGTAGTTCTAGAAAAATTCATTACACCATTGATAGCATTCTCCTTCAACAACAAGCCAGAATCAGAATGTTGAGAGGAATCATCAGACAGAGGAGAACCGTTAAGAATTCCAGCAGAAGCAAGTGGGCTACTGGTGGAGACCCTCCCATCTCGATTTGTAGACATGTTGTCACTACCAACTCTCAAAACAGGGCCAATTTGGGAAGAAATGGAAATCCCTGACTGCATGTACTGACTTGGGCTTCTAATGTTAGCCAATGAAGGTAAGGAGCTCAGCAGAGAGTTAGATTGAGGCTTCCAGTAAATTGCAGCGATTGACTTCAAATGCTTATTGTGGGCAAAGGCGAAACGCCCAAGAGCTGTAAACCATAAAATTACTTTAATTCATATTGCAGAATGAAGGCATATCCACAGATGACATGAAACAAAACATTTTTGCATAAATGGATGCAATAGATAGGCGCAATTCTAAAACGCCAAAACTACTAGCTTATGTAACAGCACACAAGCGAACATTCTGGGATTAGAAAACCAGACAAGGAAACAAGATTTCATGCCTTCCGAGGCGCTGATAGACATAACACATAAGGCATGACCACTGTGAGCATTGTATACGAATAATAATGTTTTTTCATGATTGATCGGTCAGCACTTTGTTGAAGCACATTGAGAACTAAAAAAAAACATGATAAAACGGGTAAACAGATAAGCTGTTGATGGCAGATATGCAGTCTACTGTAGAAAGATCACAAATTCTCAAACAGAGGATAATCCCTGTGGCCACTAACAAGTTCAAAAAGTTTGCTCGCGAAGAAGCTCAGAATTTTAAATTTAAGCAGAATTTTTAAAGCAAAAAATCTTCTTCTATGTTTCCAACCTACCCTCTCTAACTTAACATCTACGGAACAGAAACAACACTGTATAACATCTAATTTGTACCTTTCAGTCCACCAATTCTTTATAAAGACGAATATCCATGTCCTACCTCAATCATTGTAACCAGTCACCTTTGGCGAAGTCACTTCAAAGCACAATCATATTATTACCAACTAAAACACAGTTCTGTACACGCTAATTAAATCTCTACGATCATCCACCACACTTTCATTCTTGAAAACTTTAACGAAAAAACATTTAAATTCAAGTAATAAATAAAAATTGGCTTTTGGTGAAAATCAAATCATATTCAGCTGGTTATCACTTTAATAGTTCAACGTTCAGCATAACAGAGATAAGTCGGTACGTTTTTTTGGTAAAAAGGAAATCCTATTCGTTTTGATTAACCCTTGGACTGTTCCAAGGTCAGGCTAACTTTTTCTTATATCATCGTTGAAATTATCTCAACATCTTGAACCAGATCCCCCTTAAGTACATTTATGGGAGATTTAGAAATTCACAACACAAAAGCACGTCAACATACCAACAGCAACCTCAACCCTAACAAGAGGGCTTCCATCTGCCACAGCTTGTAGTATGTTTTGAACGATATTGAGCTCGGCCTTATTTTTTTCATCATCATCACGGTCATCATCCCCACCAAGTCCATTGGACGAGCCAGATCCAACATCAAAAAGATTACCCAGTGCAAAAATCGCAGCTGCTCTGACCTGAAACGAGTAGACTCATAGTCAAAATTTGAATCGTAACTCTAAACCAGAGATGTGATGAAGGATTCTAGAAACGGACCAACCTCAGGTTGTGGCTCAGATAACAAAGGTGCGCAAATTGCATGTGCATCTGATTGCAAACCTACTATCTGCGCTTCTGGAAAGTCTTCCCACAGCTTTCCCAGACAAAGACAGAGCCACTGAAGAAGTAAAGGTTCAATCTGTGCATCATGAGGGTTCAAAAGCTGCAGATGTCTGAGACAAACGTGTATCAAATTTGACTGAATACAGGCCTCCTGGCCCTGCCGGTGTCCGTCCGAAATAACAGCCAACACAAAAGCAGCCATTGCACGCTGTTCGGGATAAGCATCCATGCTATCCAGAAACTTGATAAAGTATGTGTGCCCCCCATCTTTAACCAGATCAACCTGACAGGACTAATTTCCAGAAAAATATCTATAAGTCACTTATCTGTATGTCAGGTAAAACTGAAGAGCAAAAAATAAAGTAATTATAGTCTTCAAAATATGTACCAATTTGATAAAACTTATCGTACTCCTCACATGAAAAACTAGCTCAGACGAGAAACAATGAAATACAGGATACAATAATAGGCCAAGACTTAGCAGTCGCCTTTGAGAAGATGCCATAAGAAAATTAATTCCAGTCTCTGTAAATTGCATTTGGCAATCTAGTTAGAACTTTACATACCTTGTCAAGGGCAAGAATCTTGGTCCAAATAAAGACAAGAATTTGCCGCAGCTCCATAGCAGTTGTTTGTAACAATTTAAGGACATACGGGAATATTCCGACAGATAACGCCTAAAAGGTGACAATGAAAAACAGTAAGGTAAATAAAGTAGATGACGTGAAGAAGTTAAAGAAATACCTGATCCACAGCCCAGGGACCCATGTCCAGAAATCTACCAAGAAGTACAAGGGCCCGGAAGCGATGGGACTGACTAAGCAGAACCTACATAGGAAAAAAAATGTCAAGTGGAACATCAACAACAACATAACGAATTATAAATATATACAAATCAATAATAAGTTAAGACAAAAGACAAATAAACTGTAAATAGAAGATAAAATTATTGATCAACATAAATATGAGATGATATTCACAGAGAGCACTGTTTTCTCGCGCTGTAACATGCAAAATACAGTATTGACGCAATAAAAGGTTCATGAGATAATCGCTATTAGAATGCATCTTATCACACATTAATTTGGTACAATCACTTGAGTATGTATTGTGAGAAAATAGATTATGGAATATCTCCATCATTATTCTTTTAATATATTTTTCTACATATTATCCCAAATCAACGAACTTTGGCTTCAACTACGTTTAAAAAAAACAAAATAACTAGCTCAATGATCGAATCGAATAAGGTGAAAACGACATTAATCAATAAAACATAGAAACTATTACTTCTGCTGGAAACATGACCAATAATGAGGAAAAAGATGGACAGATAAGAGGTAATAACCAAATGGATACCTTCTTCTGTTAAAGGAAAACAAGAGAATTGGTCCTAACAATGTCAACATTGGACAACACCATCACACATTGTTTTAATAAAATATTTTATAGCTGTAGATAGTATACACAATAATTACGTAATTATGTATAATCAGGTGTTTTTTCTATTGGTATGAGGCAAATCTGTTCCTAAATTTATAAAATCTTATCAGCATCCCACTTTCAAAACGAACAACCCATCAGCACAGTCTGTCTCGTCAAGTCTAATACCTGTACCGGGAGTTAGAAGTAGGTTTTTCTTATCTTTGTAATATTGTTCAATATAATTTCTTAGCAAAAAAAAGTTTCCATCAGGAATCACATGCACTGGGTAGACATAGCTAAATCGTAAAACAAAACAACATGAAGCAGGATGGAATGAGACAGACATGAAGATAGTGAATCGCCTAGCCTCAAGCCCATAGAGCTCTTTCAATAATATGATTCTACCATTAAGATGGAACGACTCGTTAGGGATGCACAGCTGATACCTCAAGATATGAATGTTGTAGGCACGTGCTTAATCTCTGCAATTTTGTTCCGACCTATAAACTATGGTATTGGAGATTCTAGGCAACATGTTTGGAAGATGAACAAAAAACAAAAATATAATTGCAGCAAAGTTAAACGTAAATATTGATGATCTGTTTTCTTCCAGAGGTTGGTCCGTCCCAATTGAATCTAATTGGCTAAACCATGGCCAGACCGATCTGTCCTTTTAAACAAGTTGACCTTACTTGCCGTATGATCACAAGAAAAAAAAGAGCTTTTAGCACTCATACTGATGGCTATTTGAACGTTTAACCCCCAGTCCCCCAACAGCTAATATAAGCTCCTAAATTATTTAAAGAGATATCTATGTCCTAGGAGAGTGACAAAGAGTTATTTACTCTCAACATTGAATTTGTAGGTTTCAGTGCTTTCTACCACAGTTTCCAAGCTTTCAACAGCAAGGCAGAGTTTTCAGGAGCCATTATTTCAGCGCTCCGAATTGCAGACGATGGAAGATTTATAGTTATATTTTGTGTTTCTAAATAATTAATTTTAAGGAAATCAAAGATTAACCTCAAGCCAAAAAATAACTGATCTTCCAACACTCTGGTCAATTAAGGACATATTAATATTATCCTTCCACATCATCCATCAATTATGAGACCTTAGTCGAAATATCTCACAACTACTTTCAACATCCAATTGAAACCAATAAAGCAGCTGACAAACTGATAAGATAATAATGAGTAAAAGAAAATAAAAAAAAGTTAAGGGCATGTACCACACCTGAAGAACAATTGGAAGCTGCTCTGGCGGCTTTTTATGTTCAGAACCATGGTCAAGCCATACTTCAAACGCTGTTAGCTGTTCTGTGAAAAATGGGCTAGGCTGAAAGAAGACTGAGGACATCAGAGAGGGGCACAAGCCTTCACTTATCCAGATGAGAAAATGTTAAGTAAAACAACATTTAAAAACAATCTGGATTAGGTTAGGATTAAATTGATTGCCAAATGTTCTTTTAAGATGGACTTCAAAAACCATGCTAAAAGGATCATTAAATAGAACCTGAAACTCTTCATTGGGATCCCTAAAAAGTGACGAAAGCTTAGAGAGACAGATTTCAGCAGCCATATCCCATGCATCCCTGTAGCAAAATATTTAGATGAGCATAAGGGATATACAATATGCACACGTGTTGTACACACACACACACACACACATATGAAAGTAATCTATACAGAGAGAGAGAGAGAGGTAATCTATATAGATATAAGAAAGTAATTTCATGCCATACCACATATGATGTTGATGAGTAGAAGGAAGCATGGGGGAAGATACTGGAGAACAGTTGGCAGATCGCATAATTCTCTCAGCAAGCAAAAAGTTTCTGAACAGACTAGCAACCAACAAATCTTGCCTGAAGAGCTTTTGGAAAATATCTGCGCCATGACAATTAACGGTGACGATGGATAAATTAGTAGCAATTCATATAACAATAACTATGGCCACAAGAACAAGCCTCTTCAATTGCGAGCTAGATGAAACCTTGGAGATGGCAACATTGCCGAGAATAGAAAATTTTAAAAATTTTGTTCCATTCATTTGCAATAACTGAGATAATTTGTAGAATCACTGAGATAGGAGGAAAGTGCAAAAGTGGAAAGAGTTGAAAGGAAAAAGGAAAGACAAGATTAAGAACAGTTCATATCTTATTTTTTTATTCATTCTTTCTGAATGTTCTAATTCTCTTCCATTCCCCCTTTTTATTCTGAGCTTCTGATGAAGGAATCCCTGCAGAACAACCGAGTGCTTAATTTGTTCTCTCCTCCAGGGAAAAAAACCGTCGAGTTTTGAGGTGCAAAAGGAGATTTAAGTCCATGACTATGCATGTATGGGCTAGGTAGTGATGCACATAATGCAATATCAGAGAGTTCAGATCAGTTTTTTGAAGTTGATTAACCCTTGTAACCAGAAGGGTGAGGCTACGTTTATTTATCTACTGTTTGGTAGAAGTTTATGCCATTTTAATTATATGCTTTAAATAGAAAAAAAGGATCATAGTCTTCCATTCTATATCCTGATGTAAACATAAAAAATCTAAAAATTCACAAAGTTAGTTATGTAAAGAATCAAAGTGCACACCAGGTGAAAGGACATTCCAAGCAATTGTGTCCGTAATGGCAGTGAAAATCCAGTTCAGCTCCCCTAAAAGAGTTTTCCGATCATTCTGACGGCCAGGAATTTGATCTATCAGAGAGTAGTCAAGCGAATCATGAAGCAATGAACGGCTACAGAACCTGAATAAGAAAAGGTAGAGGTCTCAGAAAAAAAATCCAACGCATAACAGCCGTAAGCTAGGTTGGGTTTCACAAACTTTATACAAGAATACAGAAGGAATATAAACAGAGGCAAATGCAGAATTTGAAACTTTACTGATAAACGATTATTTCCCAAAAAATTGCAACTATAAGGTCCTACGATTCAACCAGCCAATACATAACTAATAATGCATACCACAACTTTTGCCTTGACTTTCAAAAGAAATTCCAGTTCAGTGAACATTAAATGACAAGAATTAGTTTTGTTCGGTCTTCAAACTTGCCTTTGAATAAAACTTCACAAAATGCTAACCCGATTCCAAGGTAAAACAAAAAATGCAGCTTAGTTCTCCAAAAGGTTTATGTCCAGAAGCAACTTTCCGATAGATATCATTAAATTATTTTTCAGCAGAAAAAATGCATGAGCATGGAATTTATCCCTCAAACATGATGCAAATGTAATAAAGAGTATGCGTTGAAGAATAGCAGAACTACGATTACAGATCCAGAGACATTATGCATACACTCATAAAACTAATTACATAACAGACAGATAATTCATGCCATTTTCTTGAATACTATAATGAAAAGCAGTATCCAAGATCTATTTAACCTAAAGCAAGACCATTCTTGCCATCTTTCTTCCGATTTCTACACCATTTTCCAATTATTAAATTGTACGAAATCCGGAGAAATGATCAGCGATTATCAGCAAAAAATAACACAAACATCTATAAGAGATGACCAAAAAAATCACCATTGTATTCAAGACGAAATAACTAAGTGTCAACTTTATAATGGCTAGCGAGAAAAGACATTCCAATTACATTTGGATAGTTTTTCTATAAGTTTAAAAGAAAAGACAGTGAACATACGACTAATCAGGCAAACAACAACAAACTCACCAACGCAAGGCCATCTTTATTGGTGTTGTCAGGCAGGAAGTAAAAACATCAGCCGGAAACTCAGCACTTTGGGGAAGAGTCTCATGTGCTTCACAAGCAGCAAGTAAGATGCAGTCCCTTGCAGTAGATGGAGTGGCACCAGACAAACTCCACTGCTGCAAACATAAGGAGAAAAATCTATATAAGGCAGTGAAAGAGATCTCAAAACAAAGATACCACGAGAGATATGTTAATCACTCAGCCATATAAAAAACAAAAGAACACGCCAACATCATGAAATATGAACCTCATTAAAAGCTTTAACAATCCTTCCTGCAGCTGAACAATCGAATACATATATTGATGGTGTCTTAAGCCAAGAATCAAGATCACCAACTGGTAACGGAATATATTGTGTGTAGCTCTGCACAGTAATGAAATAATCAGTACCCTGAGCAATGCGAAAGGAAATGAATCCATTACAAATAGCAAGAATAATATTTGAAAGCCATGACCTTATTGAAAACCCAGATTTCACCATTAGCTGTAGGTTTTGGTACACCATGTCCATTATAATGAAACAGAATTCTTTCTGACCTAGCATACTTTCGGCTATTGTGACAAAGCTTTTTCACCTCCTCCACGGTAGGATCAAGCAGAGGCCTGTAACGAGCCTGCAAGGAGAATATATTATTATAACTGGATCTAAGGACAAAATGTAGCATTCTAGAGATTAAATTGTCTAACCCGAGGTTGCCATCGCTCATATTGAGAATGCAATTTTTTTCCAATTGTTTCAAGTGCCTTTGGAGCAGCCATAGAAAATGGATCTGCAACCAAAAAGATAATACATAAATATCCCTTCAAGAGTCAATAAAAAAAACAATGGTTGCATGTCAACAGACTGAAACAATTCAAAATATTAGGAAAAATATGCAAACAAAAACCAAAAGAGACAAAAAATTTCAAAGGATCTAAAGTTGTCCCTCTTCTATCATTCATGACTGCAAGGACTGTTATTAGTCAAGCAAAGTTGCGATCCCTGGGACATAAATTTCGTGTAGATTGTTGGCTTGGGCATGTCAAACGCATCAATATGCAGAAATAAGACATACGACCGAGGACATGCCTGCCTCTACGATTATGAGTCAAAATAAAATCAATCAAAAATCCATAGGATATCATTATGGATTTTTGATATATTTTCAAGCATTTCACGTGCAGCCCTCACAACATTCTCACTGATGTTAATATGACTTAATTTTTTAAAACAAGTATTGACATCTATAATTGACTTGGGCATGCCCATGTGGCAGGGTTGATGTTTCACTTAATTATGGGGTCAAAAGTCTGGCAAAGATCGACCGAATCACATGACAAAGATTTACTGATGCACACACGTTGTACATATTATGCAATTTGCAACAAAACCATTTTATATAAAATCACCTTACACACAAGGGAGGTACCAATGTCCCAGATATTGGTCCAAGGTCAGTATTGCAGCCAATAAGATACTGCATTAGAATTTCGATTTTCTTTCTTTTTATTCGGGAGCACTGGGGAGGGCTGAAAGAAAGGCGGAGATGGCTATTTCTCCAGACTTTTAGAAACCGGTGTTCATTTAAATATAGCATGAATATAACAGGACTACCGGATAAAGACTAGTTTAGAATGACAATTATGACCATCTTGGAGACATTGTATTATTACAGCTCCCATTCTGGCTTGCAAGAGTATTCTTAGCCAGAAGTCAAGAGAAAAAGAAAAGATGTGCAATTAGTCAAATTACTCGATCATCCATAAGCCATAACTAGGTCCTTTGGATATGGATAGCTTTCATGTGTGCTTTTCCATGTTATGAATCAAATGATAATAATATACGGGAAAAATATTTCTGCCACTAACCAATCATCCACCAAATCATGAAGGATAAAGGCATTTCCTCACTTACGAATAAATCAAAATGAAAGCAAAACAGAAGCAGTTCCAAGTCATGAATTAATGATGAAATTATACGTGTTTTCTTTTGCTGCATTGATTACCTATCCAGCACTCCATTCTCGCACAAGGGGAAATTTTAATAACGTCTGGTGGATCAACACCAATATTTAAGCATAACACAAGCGCTACACAGCCAGTCTTCATCTGCATTATAAAATTACCAGTTAACTCCTGAGCAAGTTAGAATGTTACAGTAAGTAGAGCAATACATCTTGTATTCATACAAAAAGGTAATCACAAATAATGGACAGAAACAAACGCATTATTGCACCATATCATTGCAAAAGTATAACCGGATTATAAAGAGAAAAAAAAAATTAACTATATAGCTAGAAGAAGATGACAAGTAAACAAACAAAAACAACATGCTGACATAGCTGATCATGACAGACAGCAATCCTTCGTTAAGCACAGTATGCATCAAACATCTCACAGTAATGGCAAACTAAATCGAAACAAGAGTGGAGTTCATATACCGATCTTAAAGACAAGGTTTCAGTACCAATGATATTATTCCCATAAAAAGCAAAACAAAGGATATAAGAAAAAGCATCATACAAGTAGAACCGTGTCATTTTACAGTCTTTCATTTCTTCATTCTTTGAGTATAAAATTCTAGCTCAGTGACTCTTACAGAAAGAATCAGAACTTCTATTAGTGTCCATTTAGTGCACTGGGTTTCTAGAAGGAAGAAATAGTTACTTTTCTTACAGCACTTCTCATGCCGCCATCATCTCAACTTCGATGACCATTTTGCAAATAAAAATCGAAAATAATATTTTTTCTCCACAAAATAAGCAAAATAACTCAAGACCGTTTTATTTTACCACATTTTTTGCATAGCCCTGTATTATTTTTGCTCAACACGCACACAAGAAAACCTACTATTTTTCCCATGAAGATCTTCACTGGTGCGATAAGATCCAGTTGACGCACTACAAATCGTGGCTGCTCCACTGCAGTCACCTCTGGTCAGCAATACTGAGCCATAGTTGCAGGCCACAAGAGGTGGCATATGAGAACACATGCGTGCAGCCTAAAAAATGACATAACGTGGACAAGAATGGAGCAAGACTCAATGTAATGATTAGCAACTGGCTCAGCCGCTCATGAGAAGTTGGGAAAGCACCACTCTCAGAATGGGATGACGCAACAAGTATGGAGTCACTGAAAGATTTCACCTTTGGAGCACCAATAAAGGGCAAAAAGGAACTACAAAGAGACACGACAACTCAAACCCAACTCACACCCTCGAGCAGCAGTACCAGGAATAAAAGCAACACATACAGACAACAACATCTTGGATTTTCAGACCCTAGCCTGTTGAACCAGACAGCATGAAGCCGCTGTCTCCAAAGAACACCATTCAAAACAATCTAACATTAATTGTACATAGGCTAGGATAAGATGATATTTTTGTGAGGATAAGAAAAAGAAATTATATTCAATCATAGGCTAGGATCTTTGACAAGTGTACCGAACAAGTGAATACTCATGACCATTAGATAAAAATACGCCCCAATTGATGGATTTTTGCAAGACACTTAAACATCTGCAATATGCAAACTTTTTTCTCCCTACAGTTCCCCTAAAAGGTATGCTGAGTGGAATATTTTAAAAAGAAATGTCAATAAGCCTAACTCAATTGACTTAACTATAGAATGTTTGCTCAACAACAGCTCTTCAGAAACCCCACAGAAAAACTTTGAGGCCACTTACGCAGCAGAATCGTGAAAACTTTGAATAGTCATTTACTTCTAAGATAAATAAGGATTGAGAAAAATTGCTACGATCTCCAATTGAACGTAACAAGCAGATTACAAACAAAAAACCAATTCAAACTTGTCCAAATTCGATTGATTTTTCCTTCAACGAATAATTCAGTTTGACTTGTATTTCTTCCCTGGATGTAAACAACAACACCGTAAGAAAATCCCTAAACATAACCTTTTTCATGGTTAAAAGGAGTGTTGAACTTAGATGAGATCACAAAATAGAAGGGAAAAACAACATTGAGCCGGCATGAAATTATATGCAGTGCTGGGGTATAGATATTCTAGGAAGCTGATCATCATAAATTAATGATGACCTTATGTAATTCAATCACAAAAAGAAAAAATCTTTGAATATTATAAGTGCCACAAAGCTTCCAAATGGTGGAAAAAATACTCAGAATTGGAAAACATTAAAAAAATCCAAGGATGTCCCCTTCTACACTGGCAGCATGATTATGTTTTTCCGAGAGCCTGTGATAACTTTAGAGTGGCAAGAGACTGTCATCATCTTTACATGGTTTTTATTGAATGTGTTCTCTTTTGACGTGGTAAGACATTGAATCTTACTGTCAAGTGTATTTACCTAAGGCTAGGTTATTGTGATTTTCTAAAAGTTCACTGGCATTAATGTAGAAAACCTACTTTTCCTAAAATCATAGATCATATGTATATAATTGTCAAGGTATTGAATCAAGTTTGTGGGCATGCTAGAGCTCATATTGGCAACCATAGGTACCCACAATCTCTAGCAGCATCAGAATAACGAGTTTCCTTTCACCTTACAACCTAGCTGCAGATGCGGAAGTTGCGTTTAGAGGACATACTGAGGATAAGATATTAGCTATCTTAGGGATTTATCGACAATCATTGGCAAAGCTGTTAGTTTTCTTCCGTTAAATGGTCCAGAGGAGTGGATGTGGACGATAGTGAGGACCCATACACTTTGAACAGGACACTGATAGGAAAGAGCAAATTATTAAAATAGGCACAATCTTACCTTTCCCTAGCATTTTGCCATAAAATTAGAAGATTTCATGTCATAAATCGTATTTACAAGCTCCCATATATCGTTCCATACAAGGATATCTTTCGAAATATTTTTTAATACATGTCTCCTTTAATAATGAACCGGACATCACTTCATGGAAAAAATAAACCTGAAATACATCTAAGGCCGCCAGAATATTAAAATCTGCCTGAGTAGCGAATCATGTTAAAGCATCATACGGAAACAATGAGTGCGAAGGCATATGAATAGATAAAATTTCTCGGCTAGCAGGAGCCAATCCACAAAGATGCAGGAGACAAGCCACTACTAAATGACGCAGAAGACATGCCACCAAAAGATAAAATCACGGACTTGCCTGGTTATCAAAACCATAAAGACGTATGCGCATGCCAATTGACGTCGCATATACACGAAATAGAATCGTTCATATCCATCAATCAATGAAAGGACAAAAAATGTATGTTTTTTTTAATGGATATATGATAAGTGATTCGCATAAAAACGAGAGATACTTGCCATGCGAGTGAGGCTAAGTCTTATTCAAACTTCAGGGTCTGCCATTTTCATTCAAGAACGAAAGAAAGCAAGGCATCCAATAGATGCATAGGAAGACATATCTGACGGAGTGAATGACACAGACGTGAATGAAACTTTCAGAAACTGATCCCCAGAAAAGTCGCAGCGAGGATAATTTGTTCTTTCGTCATCATTATCGCAGAGCTGCCTTTCTATTCTTCCTCTTCAAGTTGATGAGCTTAGTTGATTTTCAAAGACTAGACGAGGTATTGTTTATAAAGTACGGATAACTAGGTGATCAGACTAAAGAAATATGGACATCCATATTAATTATGAACGGCATATCTAAGAAACGGAGTCTAGGATACAGATTTACCCGGTCCTTTGGGCGCCATTTGGAGACAGGTCCACACTCTGGAGGTCCTGAGGGCACGAAGGCCTCAAACCCTTCGTGCCGGAGCTCGCACAGCACTAGCGTGTGCGGTAGATAAGACATGCTCGTTGCAGTCGCTGAATTGCTTAGAGTGGAGGCCTCCGGGTCCTTCCTCTGGGACTCTCCATCTTCCCGACCGGAATACTCATCTAGGTGGCTGGAAACCGAAGCCGAAGAATGGGACAATCGCAAAGCCATCATGTCCCCCAATGCCATTAAATAAAAACACCGACAGCCGTCAGCTCCACCCAAACCTCGCCATCGCCACCATCGGCCCTCAATGCCCGGCCGACCTCCCTGCCTGATCGAAGCAGCTCCACCCTAGTCCACGAACCCACTGCCCCCGCGCCGCATCGAGATTCTCCGCAGGAACGAATCCCAATCCAGTCCGCTGACCAGTCCGACCCTTCCCAAACCCTAGAAAACCCTAGCTCCCCCCGGCGGTGGCGGAAGGAGTCGGCGGATGGAGCGAGAGAGAGAGAGAGGGAGAGAGAGTGCGAACAAAACGTGTTATTGCTAACGGACTAGTTTTGGGTAAAATAAGAGGTTATACGAGAGGCAGACCGACGACAGCGACGACCCCGCCCCCCCTCCTTATCGTTTCCAACCTTCGGGACTTTCCATTATCGTGGCTTCCACGGCCGCCTCCCAACCCCCTCCCAGCCGTCCGATCACCAGCCTGAGCCCCATCTGGGACGTACATTCCATACCTGAGGGACCCGGTGATTCCGTCGTAACCGCTTCTCCGCCCCTACCGCGCCTACCGAACCGCCGTCCGCCACGGTGCGCGCCTCCCGTGCCGGATCGAGCGGTGAGCGTGCCGCGGTGCCGAGGCCAGCTCAGCCGGCTCAGGGGGAGGACGCGGCGCGCAGAGGGGATGTGACTTGTAAGGCATGATTGCGGGATTCGCCGGCCCTCCTTCCCTACTATTATTGCTGCTCTAGAGCGTCTCGATGGGCGTGATTATGCACCGACAGGAGCAATAAACAAGGGGGGCCGGTGAGAGAGAGAGTCGACGGTCTCCCAGGGGACGGGATGCTTGCCGCCGTGGGCCAACCGGGCGGGCGGCAGCATATCAGGGCTCCTTTTGGCCGCTGGCCGGCATGGGGCGGCGGCCACGTGAGGTCACGACGGCACCGGCGGACGCGGCGACAGCGGGCAGATGCCGGGGGGGCCGGCACATGCGCGGCACCTTTGACGGCGCGCAGGCTCCCCAAATGACACATTCTCGGGCGGCGAAATCTTTGCTGGAGGGAAAGGGGACGGCGGGGAACAGCTGTGGGCGCGATTCCGGATCCACTGTCCGCCATCCTGCCCCCTCCTCTTCTTTATTCGGTACTGACCTGGTGTTTTTATCAGTAAATGCTCGCCTAATCACTCCCATGTGGAAAACCAGGTCAGCCCCCTCTCTCTCTAACGATGCCACAATTCTACGTGCGGAGCTGGGAAACATGCAGACGCACTAGCAGCTCCTCCACAAGATATCACTATCTCCCTGAACTAGACAGGGAGAAGATATTCAGGTATACTGACCGTCTCTCTCTCACACACATTAATTCCTGCAGGAATTTGATGTCTATATGCAGGCGGAAAAGAAGATGGTCCATCCATTATATGCTAGATATAGAAGGGTCATTGTCCGCAGAGCAAACGTACGCTAGAACATATGAACAGAGGAGAGCAAGGAGAAGAGACCGTAGCCAGGATGTGAACCCCAGGAAGCAGAGACAACGAGCTGCTGTCTCATCTCATCCTTCCCCACTTCGACCGCCCTCTGTCGCAAGCTTATTCCATTCATCAAGCAAATATTTACATCTCCAGAGCCGGCTATATAATAAGCAGACGCTACTTCTCGGGCGAGAAATATTTCAATCGATTCTCAGACGCGGAGCAGAGCTTCACAGCTTCGAGATTGCGAGATCCATGGAGTCGACCAGAAAGTCTGCCGCAAGCAAAAATGTGTGAGAAACTTTCTGCATGAATCGCAAAAGGGGAGAATCTCACATGGGTTAGCGAGGAACTCACCGGCATCATCCTTGGTGAAGCAGAGGGGGGGAGTAATCCTGAACACGTTCCCGTAGAAGCCGCCCTTCCCGACCAGGACACCCATTTCTGCGAAGCAAACGCAGGTTAGTCTAATCGGGAGAAAATCGAATAGGTCCCTCTCGATCAGGATTCATTACCGGCCAAGTCCGCACGAATCATGAGAGATAGAGACCGCCATTTATGTTACTATCAGACCTTTGATCTGAAGAACAAACCTTTCATCTGATCCATGACGCGTAGAATCTCCGCCTTGGCTGGAGCCTTTGATCGCCGATCGGTGACCAGTTCCACGCCGAGCATCAGGCCTCTTCCTCGGACGTCTCCTATGACTGCAGCCGCCGTCCCCGGGGGAGTAGATCAAAACATGAGATGAGCATGCTGCCTAGATATGAATGCCCGAGAGATGGGAGAAACAGCAGGAGACAAGAAGCTTACTGTCGTGCTTTTCCTGAAGGTTCTCCAGGCGCCCTTTCAGGTAAGAGCCGACGACAAGGGCGTTTTCTTGAAGTCTTTCTTTCTCAAGGACTTTGAGGACCGCGAGCCCACCGGCGGTGCAGACGGGGTTCCCACCAAATGTGTTGAAGTAGCTCCGACGGGTCAAGACCTTTGCGATCTCCGGTGTTGTAACTACCGCACCGATGGGAAGCCCATTCCCAATGCCCTGAGGAAAAAGGTGAGGAGGATAGGAGAGGCTCATTAGGAAACCGGGTATTTATATAATGAGATGAACATAGCAGACTTTAATCGGATTGAGTGATGGAATCTAAGAAGCAGATTAAATCACCCTAGTTCAAAGGATTATCATGGCACATGGCACAGTAGGTCAAGGTAGGCCTTGGAGAAATCAGAAGATGGAAATCACACGAAGAGCTGATCTTACCTTAGCCATCGTGACGATGTCAGGGACAACACCATGAGCCTCGAATCCCCAGAAATGGCTCCCCGTGCGAGCAAATCCAGATTGGACCTCGTCGGCTATACAGAGACCGCCTGCTTTCCTGATGCTTTTGTATGCCGCAGGTAGGTATCCAGGGGCTAATTCCAAAATGCCCCCCACGCCCTGTACAAAACGGTGCACCCAGCAGTTAGGAGATGGATGTGCCGTGTAGAATGCTGATGAAAACGAAACGAGTGGATCTCAAGCTTCACCTGGATGGCTTCAGAAATGAAGGCAGCAACATGACCAGAAGTTCCAAATTCGATGATCTCCTGGACATCTTTAGCATACTTTTCCCCATCACTACCAAAAGCACCTCTGTACTGATCTGGATTCAGCGCATGATGCATTCCGGTCTGATTTCCGCCGTCCCCCACCCCCCAAAAGAAAAGAAAAAACCATTGGAAAACGTGGCAACCAGATTAGTGACTGATACAATTAAATCTAAATGCCCTAGTATTCTACCGTATCCGTTTTCTTTAACATCAAATTCGTTTGCTATGAATTGAATTTTTTTTTTAAAAAAGTTCATTTTCAAGAAGAGCTCACCTGTACGATATTGAACTTCCAGTTGCTCTGAGCAGTGGCCCCCATTGTCCCGGCAGCGTTCCCATGGTATGCATTCCTCACTGAGACGACGTCATGACAACCGGTGTAAAGTCGAGCCATCATGAGGGCAAGCTCGTTTGCTTCTGTGCCAGAATTGGTGAAGAACACAACCTAAAGGACCATGAAATGAAAAAAAAGAAAATCATAACTAGTAACAGAGAAAGAAAGAACCTGAGAATTCTACTATTGCCGAAACGCACGGACCTTCAAATCTCCAGGAAGCTTGGAAGCCAATGCTTCAGCAAAATCCGCAATGGCATGGTTTAAATACACTACAGTTGAGTGCTGTAGGCGTTTCGTCTGGTTAATAATGGCTTCAATGACATCGGGATGACAGTGTCCACAACAAACAGTGGCAATCCCACCAAAGGCATCAAGATACCGGCGGCCATCCTCATCATACAGGTACTGCATCTTTCCATCGACGATATTCAGCTGCAGCAGTCGAAATTGGACGTTAGCGCACCTGGTAAACACGAGCAATCGGAGGTATACGCAAGCAAGAGGATGCACAGAGTCTACTCGCACTGTTGGTTGTGGAAATAGATCAAGAAGTTCTTTTCTCAGCAAGAAAAAAAGAACAGAAAAAAAATGATGGATGTTAGGTGAAAATCCCACAGCGATTAACTTTGGATTTCATCAGAGAAAAGGTGGATATTCGACCAGACATCAGACGACAAAAATGGCGATTAAGAAGCATATTATTGACTGGCAGATCTGAATTCGTCGGACGGCTAAATGATTCTTGTCCGTCAGGAGCTATTATTCCCTGATGTCAATTTCACAGAAACCATCAGCCCTCGACCGCCTGATTTCGGAAGCTCGAGTTCTACAAACAGTCGAAAACAGTATTTAAAAGGACCGAAAAGCATCACGGCAGACTTCCGGAAAACTACAAACAGGCTTGCGTGGAAGGACGGATAAATCAGCAAATATGGATTGTGGGGGAGAAGAGAGAGGAAAGGAGAACAGAACACGCAAACGAGATGTGTGAGAAATTAACAAGTATATTAAATGTCACAAGTCAAAAGCAGGGATGTGCATGACTACAGGAGTCAAATAATGCACGGACGTCTTTTTCCTTTCTTAATCTTGTCCAACGACATGATGTCGCACTCGTCTAGGAGATAGAATATATTATCCCCTTCATACCATGTAAATCCAAGTAAAAAGGCGTCACTCTTCGGATCCTCTAAGATAGAAATAGATACGAGGTTACTCCGACACGAGGGAACTCTCTGATAGAGTGAAATGATTGATGACCGCAAGATTAAGAAAAAAAATTAAAGGAAAGCGGTGAGTATCACAAGATGCTGATTTTCAGATATACAAGAAACTGTTCATGAAATTCCGATAGTCCGTCGCACGATCCTAGTCTTGCATTCAAAATCGCCGAGAGGAGCAGAAAGACAATAAAATATTTTAGGAACAGCGAAGACGAGGGAAAATACTCCAAAGATGAAAAGGGACACTCCTCCGACCGAGCGCATCAGTTATTGTCCGGATCCGAAAGAAAATGTGGATTCAGGACACAGCGTGAGGCAAATCTGTCTCAACGAAGGAACCCAAAATTCCAGAAAACTCTTCAGCGGAGGAAACATATCGACATGAATTGCACACGCAGGCAGGACATATAACTGAGAAAGGATTGCAGAGGGAGGACCGTACGGGTTTTTTGTAGAAATAAAACATGGAGGGGCTGAGAAACTCGGAGCGCTTGCGCAGAATCTCCTCTATCCGCGGACCGGTGTACGGCGGTGGCGCGTAATCGAAGGGCGGCATCTTCGGCAGCACAGCATTGCTTTGCTCCGGTGAGATAGCTTCCGCGAGCTGAGCGAGTTTCCGGCTGCTGCACAGCCGCGCCAATAGAGAAGACGACGACGAGGACAGCTCCCTCGTGAGAACCCTCTGCATGTTTCCTCGCAAGGTCTGCGTAATCCCTTCTGCCCTCAACCTCCTCCCTTCTCGCAGCCTTCCCCTCTCTCTCTCGTTCCTCTTCTTCTCCACTGAGTACGATGAGGCTGCCGACGCGAATCGTGATGCTTATAGACCTCGCCAGCGCAGCCAAGCGAGATCCCTGCGGAGGTGTCACTCCCACCAAACTTCCCACGTTGTGGGGTCCACCTTGATCCCAGAGTCCCAGACTCAACGATGAGAAATCGTCCCTCTGACAGGGCACAGGGCCCAGCCGTGACACGTGTCGTCTAAATCCCCCCTAATTGGGTGATTTTGGACGGGCTCTGTTCGAAGGAGCAGGTAGGGTCGGACAAAGCTCCTCCACCGCTGGGGCCCAGCCTGGATTTTATAAATTATTTTTTATTACACCTACGGAAAATACTGCTGATGTCATCCCTTTCATATTCTGTGTTGGGATGTCAACATCGTGGAGTTAGCGGGCCGTCGGCCCATTTTTCACCGGGCCCACCTCGGATGACACTACCATGTCCATCAACCTCGTGGGCTGTGCTCAGCCCGTCTGGGAGGCTGCCGTACCCGTCGTGTAGTGTCCTGCCACCTTTCCTCCGTGGCTGAGCGGAGTCGGTGGAACGACCGAGAACTGCAATGGCTTGTAGTTGATTCGCCGGTATATTCTATTCGAATCGATTTGTGCGGGTAGAGATAATTACGAGCGGGCCCCGTGTTGGCACATAGAGGCGCAGATCCGACAGGGCTGACGTGGATCCATCTGGAAGTGGACAAAGAAGAGACCGCCGCCACGTGGGCGAGACGCAGACGGGCCGTCATGGAAAGAAGAACAGTCGATCGATCAGGAAGAAGAAGCACCGGGGGGTGGGCGAACTGAATCGAAGTTGCCAGATTTTGCCGCTTCGAAACGAAGATGGATGAACACGGCGGGGGATCGATTGCGCAGATGAAGACCTAGTTTCCAAATCTTACCGTAGAAGTTGAGGATCGATTAGGAAGGAGCCCCGGGGGGATTGGCGAACTGAATCGCGCAGGTCTTCGCATTGGAGGTTAGATTTCGCCAGATTTTGCATTGCAGAATGAAGATGGATGAACACGGCGAGGGCTCTAGTTTCCCATTCTTGCTGTAGAACTTGAGGATGCAGATCTCGGGAAGCTCCGCCTCGACTGCGAGGGATCCTCGGGCTTGTTTCTCGATCACCGCGTGAGGACATCTGGATTGCTTCTTCAACCGGATTCCGGCGATGATCTGGACTCGGAGGCGCTTCACCGCCGTCGGTGGATCTGATCTCCACCGTCTAGAGATTCCAATTCCCCCCCAATGAGAGGCAGCAACTACTCGCCGTCTTATGATTTCAACTTCCGAGGTGCGATTCCAATTCATCTTCCTTCTCCCTGGGGAGATCACTAAGAAAACATCAATCACTTTTTCACAACTTCCTTCATCAGGACACCTGAAAACAAATTAGACAGAAAAAAAAAAGATAAAGAACGCTCGGATTTTGGTGAACCACCTTGAGTTGATCCACTGAGAGACGTCGGTGGGAAACATGGATCTGATCGTAGGGCTTCAAGAAACTCATTTTTTTTAGCGTGCAGATTGAAAATGGACCACTTTCACGGAGCCTCTGAGGTTTGGTGAATCACCAGTACCCCGGGAATCGATCCTGCTCAGAAGGTTTTGCATAGGGAATCTGTCACACAGTTCACGAATATATGAGAGCGATTCATTGCTCCTGTAGATTTTAGTTGTTCTTTGAGAAGTAACAATAAAAAAAAACGTTTAAACCTTGAGAAAAAAATTAAAAAAAAAACTACACCCTTCCTCTCCTCTCGACACTTGGCACATAATTTTATGCTTCTAGAATCATGAAACCTTGCATTAATATTAAATAAGGCCATTTAATGATTGATGGCGATGACTTAGATGGTTCAAAAATCACATTAAATTAAAAAAATAAACTGTAATATATATCCCTTTCAATACCTGGATAAGTTAGAATCAGGTCACTTTGATTGGATGTGATTTCACTACATTTTTCTTCTATTAAAAAAGAAAAAGAAAAGAGTAAGCTGGGCTTCATCAACTAACCTAGAATAGTGATTCACATTATCATCAATGATGATATTATAGAGGGAGATTTCGATGATACGAAGAATAATAATCTAATTAATTTTCCTGATTCTTTAGGGGGAGGTACGACTTAAACATATACAGCATGATTACTTCTGTTAATGTTTATTGATATTATGAATGGATAATTCAATATGACTATCATGATCTTATCTCCTAATGAGAGTAAAACCCTTGAAAGGATTGGCGATCTCTCGTCGTTCTGGAACCCGCCAACACCGCCCCTAGCGGCCGTCTTTCTGCGGCGAGGGGGCGAGGTAGATGACAAGAGCGCTAAATCATTTCCGTTCTAAATAATTATGAAGATAATTCTAGGCTTGATTACAAGGGCTCAATGGAGAGTTACTGAGGATGATCTCAGCGATACCCCCATCTCAAGCCTTGGCCGTCTTCCTGGTCTTCTTCTTCGCTGGCGCTGACGATCTCCGCTTCATATTCCTCCTCCTGGTCGGAGAGAAATCCATTCCCGTCCCCGTCTTCGGACGTCTCCTCGTCTGGGTAGTCGTTCAGTGGGTTGTTCTCGGCTGCATCAGGCAGAGGGGAGAAGGCGCTGAATCAGTGGCATTCTACACACACACACACACACACACTGCTTTTTATTTTATTTTATTTTCTTTCAGGATCGCCCTTCATTTCCATGTGAGAAACTGAGCGTACCATTTGAATCGTCGGTTTCATAATCAGATCCCCACTCATCGTCGTAGAGACCTTCATCATTGACCTGGACCCTGCGTCAAACACGACGAGGAAGAAGATATCAGGCCCCCTTCTCCATTAAGACAGACATTAAGCGGCCATGGTGACACTTACAGAGGATAATGAGCCGCAGCTTGGGCACCCGCGCTTGGGACGCTCTCCATGGTATAGATATCATACACGTAACCATCTGTTACATCAGCGAAGGGGTTTACAGCAGTGAAATATGTATAAGAAAGGAAAGGATCGTCTTCTTCATACATCAAGATCAAATTCTGAACAAGATATTGATTTTTTTAGTAAGCAAACGGTGGTGATGAATGTGGGAATCCAACTTTCACCATTCGGGGACAAGCTTCTGAGAAAGCAAGAAGAAATGGCCCCCGAGTTCTATGAAGGAAGCGAACCTCGGGTCGATCCCCGGGCGTTCATGTCAGACTCAATCTCTTCTGCGGCTGTTGGAAGGTACTCTCTGATCAACGGCAAATAATTGCATAAGATCGCATCATCCTTGATGGGGGCGTCTCTGAAAGGAGATAAAGGGAAGATCTTTCATGCATTCTCCTGGGTGGGTTCAAAACATTTGAGAGACCCAAACAAAACAGAAGCTCACTCTGTGTCTTCCTCGTTCTCGTGTTCTTCCTCCTCATCAATCCGCACAACATCATAAAGATGATATATTTCAGACAGGATATCATCACGTGTCTCCCCCTCTGTCCTTCGGCTTCTCCATATTTGTTCAAACCGAGCGCTTCTCGCCAGCTCCTAAAAGGAAATGCGCAATGCCAATCCTGTAATAATTCCAGAGCAGTACGATTTCCTTCTTGTTTTCATTGGTTATCAAGAGACAAAGCGAAGACATGCCACCGTAATTCACCCCCTTGATGGAAGATCTCAGTGAACATAAGATCACTTTATGATTTTCTTTGTCAACTTCCAACAATGATCATGATCCGGTAAAAGTACTGTGTTTGACACCCACTGACATGTTCTTTTTATCCATAACATCATTAAAATTCATACCCACTGAAAGCCTTTTTGACAGAAACGCATAAAAAATCATGGCCCTGCTTGAACCCCCCCAAAATGCTGGCCACTCGTCAGGAATTTAGAATCAAACTACAATGAAAAATGTTATTAATGGCTTTGATAAATAGAAAACCAACAAGGTGTTTTCACAAATCCGTGTTTCCTTTGGTGGTACATGAAAAAAACCTTATTTATGAGGAAAAAATTGCCAAATTCTAGTGAAATACCTCGTGTTTTTGTCTAGCTGTAGTGTGGAGCTGCTCCTGTCTCTGGTTACATCAAGAGATGAATTGAATCAATCACATGAGAGAGCTGAAGAAGATTAAGATGTAAACTACTAAAAATGCTTAAGCTGAAAAAATAAATAAGAGAAATAAAGAATCTGTAAAGTTTATATTGATGAATGGTAATTACGGAAATAATTTACCAAATCCAAGAAAAAGAACCGGTCAAGGTAGTTGAAATGTTAAGCCAGATCAAGTTTTTACTAAAGCTTCAAGAGGTTGCACGAGAAAGCTCAATGTCAATGCGTATGCTTAAGTAAAAAGTCGCCTATCATCATATCCAAGTTTCATGGGTCAGTTATATTTAGGTTGGCTCTGTTTCTTCTTAATGTTCTTTGGGTAGCATGGGAACTGGTTCATATCCAATTTAGAAAGAAGAGAAATCACGACTAAAGTCCCGAGAAAAACAAGAATGAATAAAACCCAAGATCCGCCTCCCCCCAAGAAAAAAAGGAAAAAAAGAAAGGCGAAGTTCATGACATTACAGCAGAGTGTGTTGAATTTGGTACATGTCCACTATGACGATTATGATGATGATAAAGGAACCAGACAGCAAGTACTATCTTCTTCATGTGAAATACCTAACTTTGACGACTTCAACTGCATGTTAATCTTTTTAATGGAAAATTGAATACGCAATTCCGTGGAAAAGCTTCTATACTAGTGGTACATAGAAAGGAAAGGCTATATAAATAACAAAGTTTATCATGCCATCGAAGGAAAGTAATCAGCAACTTTTTTACTTCAGTGACATTTTTCGAAAAGAAGAAAACGCATATACTTAGATATATATATATAAAGTTGATACATTTTCGATTCAATAAATATCATATCGAAATAGATAAAAAAATTACTCTATCTTTCTTGAACGAGGCTTTCCGTTCTTCAACCTTCTTTTCGAATTCCTTTGAATCGCTGGAGTTTGCCTACAAAGAAGCACACACAATTTCAGTATGCATGGGTATAATATGTGGGACGATAACAATGACGCTTTCTTAGAATATAGGGTTAATCCCTAAAAGTAAAAGAGAAAGGGGCGGAAATCAACATGGTATCTTAAACAGCGCGCATAGCTGTATAGATCTAACTTGGAAGGAAAGAAACATTGACTGTGTTCTTCCTATGATTCTTAATGACTCAAATTTTCCTTTTCAAGATTTATCATCCAGAAATAGTGGAACACTTTTTCTCTTTTAGAAAGGAAGAATGGAAACGGGAGAGTACCAAACATCCCAAGTGCTAAACAGTGAAACGATATCATTTTTGCCACAAAGTAGTAAACATATGCCTCAACAACATAAAAAAATAAAACCAAAGAAGACTATTAGTCTTTGACATCTGATGCTAACTTTTTGACGCAAGGCCATCATCCGAATATGGAAACATGAAACATAAATTCCTGTTACATCCACAGTCTCAGCAGAGATGCTAAGAGAAAAAAACAAAGAAAAAAAATAAAATCGTCATGATTTAGCTTACATTTGAATAACAACATATGCTTGCTTGGCTAAAAAAACCAACTAAGGTCCTCAGAGTTTTTTTGAAGGTCATAAAAATCACTTTGCATTAATAAACACCATATAAAAAACTGTAATATAATGACTACTACAGCAGCGAGGGAAGACATAAGCTCAATGGAAGACAACCTCATACATAAGACCACAATAAACAGAGTATCCACCGAAAAATATTTGTTCCCCAAAGGCAAAATCAAACCGTGTGAATATTGTGTATTGCATTCAGACTAATGTAGTATAAGGAGTCAAGCCTTTCTCCCATGTTGAACTTCATTTTTTCCAGGCGCTAAACCCCAAGAGAGTGATCCTTTGTTGGGTGCCTAAAAAATCCAATAAAAAGCCATGTCGCAAAATAAGAGTGAGACACCTGTGGACGTGTCACACCGAGTGATAAGGTCGTGATCAAAGTGGAAAGGTGTTTTTTTCATAAAATAGTGTTTAGTCGATGTGTTTACCAAAAGAAATTTAAAAGGGTGTTTTGTTACCAAAAAATGGCTAAGAAAAAAGTAGTTTGGAGAAGTAGCTCCAATGTGGAAGAGAAAAAAATCATTAAAAAAATCTGGAAATGAAATGAAGGAAAGAAGAAGAGAAGAGGACTAAAAAAGAAATTGCAGCACATAAAGGAAAAATGGCTTAGGGGGAAAAAATAATGACAAATGTAAGGAAGTACTGAAAAACGAGCGGCCAGGTTTCTCTTAAAAGATGAATCAGGCAAGAGTTTCTGTCACGGGGAAGGGGGAAGATGGCTATGAGACATACAGAAGAACACGACAAATATGAGAATAGAAAAGTAAATTACTAAAACGGAAAGTAGAAAAGGATTTCTCTCTGTCAAGGTCACTACCATATTAAATAGGTAAATCTTCTAAAAACTTAAAATGAATACCCAATGAAATAGATTCTATCAACCAGAGACCTGTCACCTACTTTCAGGGGAGCCTTCCCATAAATTGAAAAGTTTTAAAGGGATGAAGGAAGAAAAGCACCCACTGACGAGTTAAATAATATCCACAATTTCATTCCACTCTAGTATTCAAACAGAATCATAAAAAGAAGCAGTTACAAGAATATCCCGTGTAATTGGTTCTCTAGCACTGCCACTGACGTGCAAAGCACAATTAACAGATGTAAAGTTCTACCACAAAAAATGTGTTTGGAATTATATATCCATAAATGCACCCACACAAATGCACTACGAGTTCAGTTTTTTTCCAGACAAGGAATGTAATATCATCAGTTCACAGTAGATTCTTTTAAAAAAAGTCAAGTGGCACCGAAGGTCATGATAAGAAGGCATGCAATTGTTAATATGTTCCGACCCAGTAAAATGGAGTGCAGGGCAGTAGCTCATCGAGAGAGTGGACAGCTCGATACTGACTCGTGCGTACAATCCCTCTTAAAAAACATTTGTTGGTCTCAGAGTATACTTTATCATATTCAAAGCAGAATACTAGGAAAGAACATTCGTAAGCCCCCAAAATAACCCCATTATGTCATAAAGCTATCAACAACGACAGAGTTGAAGTAGGATGCTGACCAGACAAAGCTCCAATAAATCTTTTGTCGCTTCAGAACTTCCTACAGTCTCAACATGTTGCACCAACACTCTCCTGGTCGTTAAATCCTCTGAAATATCATGCCATAGAAAAATCTGAGAATATATTTTAACAATATTAATGAAATATTGAAGCATAAAGGATAAAGGTAATTGTATTTGCTAAACAGGTAATGGAAGAAACCATATGGTACAGATTTAAATTTTGTAGAAATAGAAATAATAAAAACAGAAAGAAAACCATTATGAACTTTCTCCTTGCTGACGACACCCGTGAACGAGAGCTTGCTCAGGTCCAAAATTGCCCTCTTCGGGTGCCTCTCGTTGATTTCCAGCACTGGTCACAAACAACAACGCCAAAATCACCACCACGCACCGTTAGGAAATTCCCGTTTTCTCATGTGAAAAATTCAAAGAGAGAGAGAGAGAGAGAGAGAGAGAGAGAGAGAGAGAGAATGAGGATGAGGAATCAATGACAGAAAATAATCGCGACTCACATAGTGCATCAAGGGGCATCTGGCAAGCCTTCCTCTTCACCCTCACGACTACGGGCTTTTCTTTCGGCGTCAGAGAAGCCGAAGAAGAGGCCGCCGAATCGCATGCTTCGGCCATGGCCTCCACACCAACAGCGAGAGAGAGAGAGAGAGAGAGAGAGAGAGAGAGAGAGAGAGAGGAGTTAGGGAATTCGGGATCAAAGACTGGCGAGCATTAAAACGGGGCAGCGGGAAACCGGGAGGACGGACGTACGAATTGGGCCGAGCTTCCAAGCAGGCCCAGCCCATCTACAGATGGGAATTTCTGGACAGAATGATTGGGTCAAGGTTCTATGACCCAATACATTTGGGCCGTTAAATGTTACATCCTAGAGAGCCCATTAAAGTCGACCTGACCAAGCAGACCCGGCCCATTATTGGATGGAAATTTTTGGATGAGGATGATGACTGTTGCTTCTGTTTCGATACAATATTCGATGTATAAAGCATGAACAAGAGGCGGATAGTTGGCGGGGCTCCACCGCTGGCAGGCTGATCTACCTCCGGGGAAGATCTTCCTCCTCCACCGCGCATTTTTTTTCTTGGCTCTGCGATTTTCATGTCTTTCCAAGTCCCCCGGGCTCCTGAAAATTTCAGGCAGAAAGGTTTCGATCATTTCAGTGGGGGCTACTTTCGTGAAGTGAAAGAGGGAGGGAGATGGAGATGGGGCGGGGAAAGAGGACTTCGGAGAAGATAGCGGCCGATTTCGTGATGGGCGGCGCCGCCGCGGCGGTGGCGAAGACCGGGGCGGCGCCGATTGAGCGGGTGAAGCTGCTGCTGCAGAACCAGGGGGAGATGCTGAAGAGAGGGCATCTGAACAGGCCGTACCAAGGGATCAGGGATTGCTTCGGGAGGGTCCTGAAAGAAGAAGGGGTGTTGTCTCTGTGGAGGGGGAACCAGGCCAATGTCATCCGGTACTTCCCAACCCAGGTGATCTAATAGTATGATTTTATTTCTCTCTTTGCTTCCTGTAGGATTTATTACCAGGGATCATGAATTCGTTCCAACCATTTTTGAAAAAAATTGAAAGGATGATATCCTGCTATCTGAAAAGGCGAATAAAACAATTGATGCGGTACATGACAAAAAGATTACCTTGGTTGGAGTTTCTTCTGCTTTTTGTATTACCTTATGAAGGTCAATTTGAAAATAATGAGATTCCCTGGAAGAATCAATCTCAATTTGACCTGAAAATTCTCTATGTTCTTAGGGGATAAGGAAGGAAAACTAAAATAAGGTTTATGTTTGTCTTGGTAGATGATTGAATGCGGCACCAATAGGAGTGAACTTGTCTATGTCAGTCTGCATAATTTTTTACGCATAGATAGCTTACTGAATGCTATTCTTTTGGGGCTTATGACTGTAAAACCCAACCTCCGGAGACTAATTCATCATCTGTTGAGTCTCATTTTATTACCGATTAGCTAATCGAAACAGTCTTCGAGGGTCGGCAGTATCTCATCAGCTCGCCCTCGATGATTCATTCAGTGATAGTTTTTCATATATCAAATTTATATAAGTATGCCAGCGCGAGTTCATGGTGAGTTTCGCAGGCCAAGAAAGGAAAAGAGTCAACTTGAAGCTGAATCCGAAATCTTATTTGCAGCAGTCAACAGATTTCCAAGTAGTTGTCTGGAGTTTCAGGCTCTGGGTCGAACTGAAAGGGCATAATTTTGCGTCTTTCCTGGCTAGCAGATTAGTGACTAAACTACAGTTTCTACATGATGCATTCTTCTCATATAATTTATCCGATAGCAAAGTCTATGCCACGCATTTACCCATTCATTGCGCACTTGTTATACTATTTGAGGATATTACTTGCATTGCAATGCTGAAGTTCCTGACAGATTTGTTCTGACCCTCGTTGACTTGTGAGCAGGCATTCAACTTTGCGTTCAAGAACTACTTTCGTGGCCTATTTGGCCAATCAAAGGAAAAGGATGGATATGCCCGATGGTTAGCAGGCAACATAGCTTCTGGTAGCGCTGCAGGGGCAACAACCTCGCTGCTTTTGTATCACTTGGAGTATGCTCGAACACGGCTGGGCACGGACGCGGTGGATTGTCGGATCAAGAGTCAACGGCAATTCAAAGGCCTTCTAGATGTTTACAAGAAGACCCTGGCCAGTGATGGAATTGCTGGCTTATACCGGGGTTTTGGGGTTTCAATGACGGGCATCACCTTATATCGGGGTCTATATTTTGGCATCTATGACACACTGAAGCCTATCATTCTTACTGGTCCATTAGAGGTGAGTATGGAGTTTTAAAAATAATAATTACATTCTTATGTTCATCTGAAGTAATTATTGTCTTCTTTTGTTTTTCGTTGCTCTACTTCTCATGCAAATGATCTCATAAGGTTGTTCTTTCTCCCTCATTTATCCACCTATCTTGTAATGTGGCGTTGGACAGGTATTAATTTATGAACATTATATAGAAAATGGAATCCTGCAGGTCCATTCCGCAATGTGCTGCCGAATTCAATTGAGAAATGCATTTTTTTTTAAAAAAAAGAAGGATCCAGAGTCACCATTTGCCAGTACAGACCACCTTTTTGTTCCAAATCGCTACCTGCCTCCCTGTTAACTTGTTCTTGCTTCTGGAAAGCTGAAGAACATGCCTTTGCAAGTTAGATTCAGGTGTTAAGCAGTGTGTCTAACAGTGGCCTCATTTTTTCTTCCAGGGAAACTTTTTATTCAGCTTCATGCTCGGATGGAGTGTGACGACCTTCTCAGGGATGTGTGCCTACCCATTCGACACAGTGCGCCGGAGGATGATGCTGACTTCAGGCCAGTGTGTGAAGTACCAGAATGGTCTCCAGGCCTTCAAGCACATTGTACGCCACGAGGGTCTCCTCGCACTGTTCAGGGGACTGACAGCCAACATGCTTTCGGGAATGGCAGGGGCAGGGGTCCTTGCAGGCTATGATCAGCTGCAACGAATTGCCTCTACTCATGGCTATGGCTTTGGACACCAATTGAGAGGAAGTTTGAAGTGAAGAAGATGTGATTTCCAGCAAGCCCTTGCTTTGCAGGTGTACATATTTTCTTCTCATGTAAAGGAGAGAGAGAGAGAGAGAGAGAGAGAGAGAGAGAGAGCTGTGTGCTCCCCATCTATTGTTGCCTCAACACACCAATTCATTATATAAGTGAAATCTTATTCTTTCTGGTGATTCCTCCCAGAGGGCCATCCTGGCCCAACTAAGCCTGTCCTAATTTAGAAATGCCTCCCCGAAGAGAAAACGGGCAGGTGGTCAGCTTATCCGTTCCGGCTCAAGGCTCAGCGGACATGCCGGCCTACATCACCAGCCCCCGACTGTTCCCATCCATAAGGGTTCCAATATATCGAGGTAGATCTCGTCTCAGACAGCCTCTCTCTCTCTCTCTCTCTCTCTCTCTCTCTCTCTCTCTCTCTCTCTCTCTCTATGCTCCCCCAATCAATCTATCTATCTAATAGGGGGATAAGGTCTCATAGGATTCCGTCGTAACTTGTGTTAGGCTTGAGAATCGCCGGCGGGCAACTCCAGCCATGGCTTTTCTCTCATCTACACGAAACGGGGAGACAGTAAGAACTGACGGGACAATTGAGCTGCTTTTCCCGTGAGGTGGCTGGTTCATTGGGGACCGCGGATCCGCGTTTGTGGGAGAGCGGCTGGTGGCCCTTGGAACTCACGGGCGGCTCAGCGCGAGCTCTGTGCTCGCCACAGACCACCGCAGCGCGACCAGGCGAGGGATAAACTCCGCTCAGACAAGCTCTTATCAGAAGGGAAAACGAGGCCAGTGGATTGCCGTATTTGGACGGAAGATGACAAAGGTCACAGTCGTAGACTTCATCCAAACAAGCCCTTTCTTCACGGACGTCGCTGCTCCTGCGAGAAATCAGAGACCAGGGGGATTACAGTCCCCACAAGGTCATATATACGGGATGCATCTCTCTCTCTCTCCCTCTCTAAATTGAAGGCAGGAAAGTGTATTTACGGTTCTTGCATGGGAACCACGGAATGATCCATGCAAACAAGCAGACTTCTTGTCCTTGGTGTTTATCCCATCCCCTCGAGTACCTTTACTTCTTTGTCATCTGCCGGCGAGGCCCAGCCCCACTGCAAGGAGCATCCCGTCGACTTCTCCCCGCCCGCTGAGCTTTAGGTTTTTATTGCAGGTTTTGTTCTCATCGACGCCTCCTTTGCATGTGAGTGTACTTTCCCGAAATGAAGCTCACGTGACCCCTCGTCGCTTGCCAAAGGTACGATAGCTTACAAGTACTACGCATATATATATATATATATATGTATGTATATGAAAACCTAGAGAGTAAACCCACTGAAGTGTATGATATTAAGGAAGCTGATCAGAGTTGTGTTATAAATGTTTCGGTTAGCTCAGAGTTTAAGTTTAGCCCTGGTTTTTCAATTCTGAGCTTCATACTCAGTACTCCAATGTAATCACTCGCTCGCTCTCTCCCTCTCTCGCTAGCATGGGTTGGGCCCAAGTTGTGAAGACCTCCTGGCCGTAACACCACCTTGGGAAGAGGATAAGACCAGTTGGAATGACCCAATACGATCCCTTAACAGACGATGTGGTGCTATCTATGGTGGCCGTCACAACCCTTCATTGAAGGATCATCGTTTAGAAGCCAAACTTCTTCTGATGGACAATCGACTTAGGGTTGTGTAAATTAATCAGCTCTTATGTCTTCTGAAGGAAAAATACTTATACATACGGCTGTTTTGTCAAGGATGAATGGGGAACAGCCGAGTCTCACGTGTCCCCCCTGTAACCCCTCCCCTGTTGGGTACTGCAATAGAACCCGATTACATGCCTGGGGGAACCGGCTACAGGAAGCAGACGAGGAGTCACGAGTGACCTTGGAGGCCTAAGCTGGCATGACGATGCCGCCTTCACGTCTCCTCTACATTACATCGATAAAACCAGACGCTTGGCAAGATGCCGTTGTGCTTCTCCTGCATCATATTCCTCCTCCGTGAGAATATCAAGAGACAACAGTCAAATCAGAAGCAGAATCAGATGACCGATGGAATACTATGCGAAAGAGTTAACCCTTTCGAAAGGGTGCTACTGTCGAGAGGGTGCTTAGCACCGATGGAATGCTATGCGAGGGGTTAACCCTTTCGTCGTCCTCTCCCTTCTTAGAGCCGTGGAGAATCAGATGACCGACCAGAGTTCTCAGCTTTCTCGGTTTCGACTTATGCCCATGCCCTATCAATCGCGGTTGTCAGAAGAGATGAAGCTGGTCTCTATTGAAGGCTACTCTCCCAAGAATGACGTTCTGGATATATCTCTACGAAATACGCCCCCACAGTCGGCGGACTATGATGGCTCCTCATGGCTCACGCTGGATGGTCTGTCGGAGGAGAAGCCATCGGAAGACTAGAGGTTGACGGCGAGAGAAGGGATGAGGCGGTCATGTGAGTTGGGTGGATACTTGGTTTGTCCGTGTGCATGGGGACAAGGCCGGAGGCGTCGTCGGCATAGGCCCTCTACGCGGGCAGAATATCAAATCTGACGCGGGGGCTGCCTGGCCTCCACAGTCCAGAACATCTCACGAGACGGCTCCGCCTCGGCGTCTGTAGTGGGGTTAGAAAAATCTTCCCGACAGGGGCCTTCGGGGAGATGGGATATGCTACCCTGCATATCAAGGCGTGCCAGAGAGAGCACATGAACAAGACCACCGAGAAGCTGGAGTCCGTGGTTGCAGGAAGAGGGAGTCTAGTCCGTGGAGGCGTCTGAGCTTCTCTCATGCAGACGAACGACTTGGGTTCGATCGAGTGGTTCAAGATGTGAATTATCCATTAAATTTACGTTAACTATAGGTTGAGTTCTCCGTCAAACTTATTCGTGAGATTTGTTAATATATTCCTCTTATTCTTCTCTCTCTCTCTCTCTCTCTCTCTCTCTCTCTCTCTCTCTCTCTCTCTCTCTCTCTCTCTCTCTCTATCTATCTATCTATCTATCTATCTATCTATCTATCTATCTATCTGTATATCTATCTCTTTAAATATTTTTAGAGAGAAACGATAAGATAATAATGATAATATGGATAATAAGTTAAGATTTTAATAGTGTTAGCCTAGAGAAGTATAACTTTTGTTGGCAGTCTTCCATCTTCTCCCCTTAAGATTGGGTGTCTACCTGGCTACGAGTAATAAGCTGTTATTCCGAGCTAAAAAATGGATATTAAATAAAATATAATACATCCATACGGACCATTGGTAAAATACCGATTATTGTGAGCGTCCTCCGTTTGCCACATATACTGGTGCATAGTTTATCGTGGTATCACCAATATAGTCAACAATATAAGATGATAGAGCCTTTCAAATTGTAAGCTCTCATGAGGTTTTTGAGACTCAAGTAGTGCACACATGTCTGATTATTTGTATTCATTTTCTCAACTAGGAATGGTCAATAAATTGAATATTATTTCTCCATGCATTTACACATCAACTAGAAAAAACCTTCGACTGATGTTTCCACATCACATGGATATGACACGCATATCTTGATTTTACGCATTACTGCGACAATAGTCTTGCAACTATGCACACGCTCTCTAATCATGTTGGTATTTTCTCAAACTCCAAATTTATACCTTTGATAAGTGGATAGGCGCCCAAGGAAGGTTGATAAATTCATGTAGGTTGACAGAGAAACATAGGAATATGATATGAATTCGGAAGTATTTTCGTCTAGAATTCACCCCACTGGGCGGTTTTGAATTATGAAGCCACTCATAATATAGAAGCTCTGAATTGAATCGACTTCTCTATCCTCGGCGTCAAGTTGAGGATTTACTTTTAAAATTATTTTTTTCCTCAGGTGCTGTGTGATCTCTCCTGCCTCTGTGACAAAATGACGAACAGGACCTGTTCATCTGTCGAATGTAACCGATGACCGCGCTGCTGATGAACCGTCGCAAAACTATGATGGGTAGCGAGAGAGAGAGAGAGAGAGAAACACCCCGTGCAGAGATGCTCGTTGAGGGCGCCCGCGGAGGAAGAGAGGTCAGTGAGAAGGAGCTGTTAAGGATGCGGACACGTGTGCTAGCGGCTGCAATTGGACAAGAGGGTGACGGAAGGTCCACCCCGTGAGGGCTGTTTGGAGGCATTCACAACTCACACCCAGTAGGAGAGTTTTGAAAGACACCCCACTGCACCTTCCCAACAGCGTTTCTCGCACAAACGAGCTGACCCCACATCAACGCCCCCTCCCCCCCCCTTTTTTTTGACCCCTTCACCGGTTTCCATGGAAGCTCCGCGTCACGAGCGGACTCCTCTATCTCTCCCTCCTTCCCTCTCTCTCCTAGATGGTGGCGTTAATGTAAACTTTATTCGAGACAATACAAGTGCCGGTGACTTGGAGAAGACTTAATGTTAGCTTAAAAAGAAATTTAGTAACGTGTCCGGCAACGGCGCTGCGAGGCGCCATTATCTCCTGTGATGTGTTTTTTTTTTTCCTGAGCAGAACTACTTTAGTGCCTCCGACTGCGAAAAGCCATCTAAAGATTATAAACCCCCAGACTTTAATCAAATCGAGATTAAGGATGTCTTTCATCTCCGGATTTTGGTGTTAAGAGGTTGACTGATGAATGGAAGAGAGTATAGAAGAAAAAACACCAAGGGAATGGTGATCTAATGATCCAGAGATGGGGTTATCTGTTGACAAGCCGTTTGGGTAATGCTCGGCCACATATATTATACAGTACATTGTGGAATTTTAGGCATCTCATGTGGGTGGGAATAAAGGGGAACATAAAGATTTGAGGGCTTCGTTCTCCTTTTAAGAACCCACCCGGGGACTACCCGAGTGTGGGGGAAGAAAGGTGAGACAGACAGGAGGAGGCAAAAAAGGAGCCACGAGGGAGTCGAAACAGAAGGAGAGACATGGTTTCTAGGGAGCACAAGAGAGTTTTGCATGAGAAGCTGCAGATCCTTCGTTCCGTCACCAACTCTCAAGCAGTAATTCCCTACAAAGTTTGAAACTCCTGATTTTCTTCGGCTTCGTCTCCATCTCATTGCTCCTATCTATCAAAATCGCGTTCATGCTTCGTTGTTTATCATCTGCCTCTTCTTTAGCTCTCTTTCTCTCACTCTGGTATTCCTCGTATCTGTTCTTCGTGTACTTGTATTATTTACAAAAAGCACAGTTTGGAATCTTCACATCCTGTATTGTTATTCTGTAATAACTTTCCTTCATATTAATCCTCAACGTTAATCTTCTCTCTCTCCCTCTCTCGCTCTCTCCCACTCACACCCTCCCTCTCCCCATGTTCAAATACGAAAACCTTCTTCAACCGATTATGCATGCCCAAGGCTTCCATCCCGATCCATCAGAATTCGATATACTGTCATGAAGGCATCACACAGCATACTTACATCCATTTATTTTGATTAGTTTTTTGTCCTGTGACAGCTGAGTAAGACATCGATTATAGTGGATGCGTCAAAATATATTGAAGATTTGAAGAAAAAAGTGGAAAAGCTGAACCGAGATATCGCATGCCAAAGGAGCATCGTACATGACATCTCATCACCTCTGGTACGCCTCTAGCACTGGCTTCATCTTCTAGACTTTCTCCAGTTATTCTTATCGTATAGTGCAGTTTTCCTCATGTTTTCATCTTGTTTCAACGCATGATCAGGTGACTGTTGAAGCCTTAGAGAAGAGCTTCCTAGTAAGCGTATTTTCGAAGGAGAGTTGTCCCGGCATGACGGTAGCTGTACTGGAGGCGTTCGAGGAACTTGGCCTCAACGTACTTGAAGCTAGGGTTTCCTGTGCGGACACCTTCAGACTAGAAGCGGTTGGAGGAGAGGTAATAGCTCGCTAAGATCAATCCATCTCATTTGATACGCGCTCATGAGCATACAATTGAATCCCTCATCGTTTACCGAGAGAGAGAGAGAGAGAGAGAGAGAGAGAAAGAGGGCCAAGTGATCGTGCGGTCTACTTGCGAGTGGGGATTTTTTTCCTGTGAACGAAAGGATGAGGGATCGAAGGAAGTACGCTCTTGGGGATCCGTGATTGTCTGAAGAGTCCAACATCATGTGATATCTCAGAGTGAAGACAAATAGGGTCTCTATTGCTTGCATTTTAGCAGCTTTCTTCCACGCGCATCGCCTGCTATTAGTACGTCTTCTCATTCCAATCTCCAACCATACAGAATATGCGACACGTTGATTATTTTCCTCTTCGACGCCACAGATTGAAGGAGAAGTTGAGATCGTCGATGCAAATGTGGTGAAGCAGGCTGTGGTGCGGGCTATTAAGAATTGCAGAGAGAGTGACGAGGACTTCTAAGAGGCCTTCTTACTCTGCTCAAGCTTCCTCACTTCTTCCTTCTCCAGTTTGCCGTCTTCTGTAATGGGTTTAACGGGCTATCCAATGAAGGCTTGAGGTTCGTTTTTAATCTACACTTATGAGTGCGCATACAAGTCTGTTGCTCCGATCAGACGACCAGTATGAAGCCAAAATAGGAGACGTTCCAAACCCTTGAAATGGACGAATGCATGACGGATAATTTAAACGAAGAGAATTGTGGGACTTCTCTCGCGTGAGTTTCTTATCAGAACCTTCACGTAACCAATTTTTCTTCTCAGCATGGTTCTTCGAAAACAAAGAAAAAATAGCTGAGATATTAGGAATCCATATTCATGAGATCTGAACCGAGGGATGCGTGGACGTGAATGCAAGTTTACTACCCAAAAAACCAAGGGGCACGAGATATTTAGCATGTTTGACGTACTCGGAGAGGTTGAAATCGTTCTGGCTGCTTCAATGGAGTACGCTAAACCACGGACTTTTCATTACCCTGACGAGCCATCGATCGATTTTGTCCACTCAACGCTGGCGACAAGCTCTGCTTAGGTTGTATTCTGTTTGCTTGCTGTCAAGGAAGGAATTATCAGAACCCGTTTGTGACGGCTGGCGTTGTCTCTCCTCAGTGAAAACCATGATCTCCCCGGCGAGTTCGGCAGATCGAGTCGTTCAACTTGATGCCTGTCCCGCATTTACTCGCCTTTGTACGGAGAGCCACATGTGAGTCTCATCGGCGATCGCTTCTTCTACGGAGCTCCTGACTTCTTGTACCCTGTTCACCGTTTGATTTGAAATGGACGGGGAAGACGCGGAATCCCTTACTAAGGTTCGACGTTATCTGGTTATGTATTATAGCCCTATGGTTCCATTGAAGTACCGTATCGTTGGGAATTCTAGGAGATGTAACATGTAGAGAAACTGAAAGTAGAGCGCATTGGACCAATTGGTCTACCCGCTCGAATAGAATTTGAATTGTCTAAAACGGCGAGATTCAAATATTTTACTTTGGATTTTCCACTATAAATTAGCCGAATAATTGAGAAGTCAGACGTTCCCTTTCTTTTTCTCTGACTTAATTTTTATGGTTGGATTCATGATGAATAATAATAATAATAACATCAACTTCATCTTTTTTCACATTTGTGATTCTTTGATCTCAGTTTCAAAATGGGTAGAGCAAGATCTAAACGTAAAATAAATTATTGTGTTCGTTTGGATTCGGGATATGAGAGTGAGAGAGAGAGAGACGGGGAGCGAAGACGCCTGAAAGTCTACTTCGGGTAGCCTCTAGCCAAGGCAGAAGCTCAGCGATTACCCATACTCCGAGTCCTCCGCTGAGCGAGCGGCCGACCACACGCCCATCCAGCTATCGACTGCTGGCGCCAGCGGTGAAATCGCCTCCCTCGAGCAGGACGACTCAGGCATCAGCCACGCCCCGGCGTGACTACCCGCTGACAACTCACAGGCGGTGGCTCGGCGTTGGATGGAGTGCTCTCGTTTTGGAAGGCTCCCCTCGTCGCATCAGTCTATTGTAATAATATCCTTAGGAAGATGAGATGGAAGAGTTGGCGGGCGGCAGGGACCAGAGGGGAGAATCAGCTCTGCCAAGTCAAACTTGAGTACAGTGTAAATGTTTTATCACACATTAAGTCGTGCATTTTCATATAGATATATTACTCGTGTATCTAATATACTGTTAGATATGCTAACAGTCCGGTGAACTTGCGTCTAATTGAATGGTCCGTGTACTTCTTCAAAACGTAGCTAGCGCCACCTTTTCGGGAGAATCGGTGTGCTCCTAGCATCGTCAAGTTCGTCGCCGGCGCCGCCGGTTTTCCCTTGACCTTATCCGGTGCCGACGTTGATCGTCATTCCCAACCCCACCGCCAGCAGGCACACATCTCGAGCTAGCGGCGTTATAGCTCGTCGGAGATCCCATGGAAAGAAACGAGTTAACGAGTCCGTGAGGTCCTCACAACACCAGTATTTCTGTGTGTGTGTATACATTCAATCACTGCGGCTGAAGAACTTGTAGCGACACAGAAGGAAATCTTTGTCGATCTCTACCAGTCGGCCACGGGGTCGAAGAATCCCTCCGGCACGGTCGCCGGCGCGTCCCCCACGTGCTCCAGCACGTCGTCCATGACGTCGTAGTACTGCCTGAGCGCTGCACCGGTGAGTGCCGCGAAGGCCAAAACCAGCGCGCCGGCCCTGTACAGAAGAAATAAACCGCAGTGTCATTTGTGTGCCACGGTGAACTGAGCGGCGTAGTAGAGATCGCCTACCTGGCGTGCGGCGGCGCAGCGACGGGCCTGAAAGCGCCCCCCGGCCGCGCGCGTACACCAGCGACGCCCCTACGGCGGAAGCGAAGACAGCGCCTGAGACACTCGAGGACAGAGGATACAGGTGAATGGACTTACGGCGACTTGTGCTGAGGCCTATTCTGACGACAGATGGCTGCTTACCAGCGCCGGCGAGCTTGTGGTTGGAAACCCACGACTGTAGCGAACCCATCTTTCAGAGGAAGAGACGAATGGGGAAGAAGGCTGCGAGGCGGAAGCTTGAGAAAGACTGGAAGACAGAGTCACCGGGTGAACTCCGCAGCAAACTCGAGCCATATTTTATCTACGACGACGGCGATGGCACAAGCACCCAGTTTCACCTTCAAAACCGAGGGCAGCGATTGAAAACGAAGCTGACGACCGAAGGGATGAGGGGGGCGCCGGTATCGGCGGCCGATCCATCATCTTGAAACATCGAGAAACACAGGACTTGTGTGCCAAAATAGATGGTCTACGCTGACAATTCTTTATGAAGATCGAACTCTGAATGAAGAATGATTGTACGTCTTTACAGAAAAGGATTTCACCACAGTGGCGTCTTATGTAGGGGCTTCATAAAAACCCGAGAATCTCCCCATAGTTGATTCGAGATATTTGATTCCACGAGAAAGATCAACTATTTCGATGTATGAATCGAAAGTTTGGCAACTGAACATCATATAACGCATCCAAGTTGGAATAGATCATCTGGGTAGTGAGGAGGGAGAATCTAAGCTCGAATGGGATCATGTCCAAACTTCTTAAGAGTTGTCTTAAAACTAATATACATAATTCCGACTCGGCCCGGCCCGAATTCGTGGGGTCCGGCTAGAGTCTGGCCGTTAATGAGGCGATCGAGGGCCTCGATCAACTGTAGCTGTACTTTCTTATAAGCGATCGTTGCCCCGACTATAGAAGTTTCGCCTCTGAAACAGGATTCTCGCTCTTTCAGATCCGGTACCTGGAAGCCCGCGGTTCCAAGAGCTGTAGAGGGCCCCGAAGGAGGCAGTCACAGGATAGTCGTCACAGTAGCCCCTCGGCGCCATCACAAATGCTGCCGCCTCCTCGAGGCCTAAAGTATAAGGTCAGTGGCAGAGACGAAGCGCAGCTGTGGTTCAAATTCGCGGGAGATTTCCATCAGGTATGACAGAGGACGCGTTGGATCCTGCAGTTCTGGGAAGCCCGTGAGGTGGAGGCTATTCCGCTATCTCCACTGCTCAAGCGAGGTAAATGTCAGCAAATTCAGGTATTTTTTTGGGTTTCTTGGTGATCACTTTTGACCTAGGTTTGATTTCTGTGTACGTTTCTTCCTATTTACATTTTTGCGCCCATGTCTGCGCGTATATCGGAAAGCTGGGTTGGATTACGAGAAGATTGAAGGGAATTTATTTTTCTTCAGTGTCGATAGGCCTTGAATTTCTGTTTTCTGCGGTCCTCCATCTTGAAACTTTTGACCGGTGGTCTCTGGTGGTATTTGAGGAGCAGAAATATGCGCTCGTAGTAGTCTTGTTAAAGTTGACATTTTTCTACTCGGAATAATTACACGGTAGCGTAGTGTCACGAGTGACGGCACGTATGCAGCCATTGAAGAAAAATGCAAACTTTGTCTCTGGGGAAGATCCTGTATCTGATCCATCCTCAATGCTTGCCATTGATTTCTCTCGTATTTGTTTCCAATTGCTTAGGTGCACTTTGGATTTGCTTCCTTGACTGGGAAGAGGTGCTTGTAATCCGGACTTGCTGCACGATCCAGGATCCCTTAGCTTGCTGGATATTTAGTTTTCCTCTACTTTTGGGTTTTTTCCTAAATAATTTTTCAAGTTGTCTTCAAAAGGATCTTGAAATCCTCCCTTCCAGTTTTAGTTTCACTCTGCAGCTTCATTCAGTACGAGTATTTTGTAGGCTTGTTCATCAAGTGTCGAATTATTCAACAGTTCAAAATTTTCGTACGAATCATTTATTCATTTCAGCAATTATTGTTGATGTCGATCGGCCTAATATTGAATCTTCTATGGTATACACGCTCACTGAATGAAATAAATGAAATTGAAAGAAGATAAAAAGATGATTGAGAATCAATTTGCCAGCTGGTCAAAAGGGTCAGAAGGTGAGTATGCGGGAAATTCTCTATTTTTGGTCGTATCTTCTTCAGTCCCCAGGTAGTTTGACTAAATTTTATTTCTAGTTACTTCTTTATGTCCTCAGGAAGGTTGACATTTGTATTAACATTCTGTTTCTTTTACTTTGTCTAACTAGGGGGTATTATGAAATGGAAAAGAAGAAGGTGAAAGAGAAGGTGGTTCATTAAGCGATTCAATATGACAGATTTGAATGGATATAATTAAAGAGAGCTCGAATAAGGTCAAAAATGTCTTCTAGCGTCTGAAAGAGCTATTCTCTGCCCATACCTCTTCGAAAATGTACACGCCAGCAGGAGCTTTAGAAGGAAATGCACCTCATTTCTGAGATATTTTCTTGGATTTGAACGATACAGTCAAACTTTGAGAAAGTTAAGAACAACACAACACTCATCTTGATCTATGGATGGCAGCTGATTGTGGAGCTACACTTCCCGAAGAAAAGAAGTAAAGAGAAAGAAAGCCCGTGTTTCAAAAGACGGCAACCGGGCATTCTGAACACTTGCGCAGAGGTGGCAAATACTTTCAGTAACCAATTGCTTTTCAACGACAGCCTGCATTTTTGTGTTGGGGGGCAGATAAAAGAAAGCTTTTGCTTTTCTTCGGCGTGGTGTGTGTGCGTATTGGGGGTGGGGTTGTCAAACGAATAGACAAAACCAAATTTGTTTCTTTTATGATTTATGGAATATTCAAAATCCGTACACTGGTATGCTTCATTCAATGTCTCTTGTCACGACCAAGGTTTTTGATGTTAATTTTAGGATCTTTTACACTAATTTTGCGTTAAACCCAGAAAAGTCACTGGTTGCTTGAATCTAGAGAAATGCGAAATGAATGAGATATATGATGGTATCCTTGAATCTGGCAGAATCAGAACATCCGTCCAAGTTAAAACGCTTAACGGTTCTTGCATTTATCTAAGGACAGTGTGATTATTTTTATATCGTAAAAACGTTCGGATTGTCTTCGGCGAGATCCCAGATTGGGGAGGCCATGAAAAGAACCTATTGGTAGAACAACATAGACAATTTGCTTGAAACATTCCCCGTTTCCACTATTGTTAGCATTCACAGTAAAGCAGAAAAACTGTTAACTAGTTTTTCGTGATTTTCAAAACATAGTGGAACTCGGTGATATTATCTCATCTAGAGGATGTTGGTTGCTGCTCAATGATATTTATTGATTCCATCCGCATCTGTAACCCGAATTAGATGTCGACCTTCTCAGTCTATGCTCCGTTCCTCATCTGAAACATAAGAGAACTTGAGTGCTGTTTCTCTCTAGCCTCTGGTATTCAGAAATTTAGACTGTGTTTGATCTCAGTCATTTTTTAATTTATAAATTCTTTAACCATGCGTTTATTCAAGCTCAAATACTCTACTTTTTTGCATTATTTCATGTGAATTTCCTGCGACCTGTTGTCCATCACCGGACCACCAACCGACAGAGAAGACCCGTCGACGAGTAATTCAGCCATCTCAATGATAATTGTCCTGGGGGAAGCCAAGAAAGAAAGGAAAATTTAATTAGTTTCCCCAGTAAGTCCCATAGGAGGCTAACAACGGTCCGTGATTCCTAGGGATGAGTAATTTCATCGTGACTAATTGTGCTTATAGTTTTGATGCCCATGCATTCGAATGGTCACTGAATCTCATTTATTTGCTATTTAAGCCGCCAGATCTCCCGTTATCTCCTCCACATAGGAAATCTGACTCATACAACCAATTACTCCACGGAATAATTTTTCTTGTTCATGCCAGCTCGCTCTAACTATTCATCCATTCCTGTTCCATCCAACCCACAATGCATATTCGAGGATTTTTCATTCCCAACTGCAGTCTTCCTTGAAACTAACCATATTTATGCTAGGAAGGAGCTCATAATGTGCGCTGTTGTAGCTGGCGCTATGACAAAAAAACTTCCAAAAACTACTAAGATTTGTATTAGACTATGAAGATGAAACTTTGATAATGAAGCGTTATCAAATTAGAAAATATTTATTAAATATTTATTAAATATGAAAGGGGTGGTGGCGCAGTTGGCTAGCGCGTAGGTCTCATAGCTTCGAGTTATCCTGAGGTCGAGAGTTCGAGCCTCTCTCACCCCAATAAACTTTTGATGTAATAACCTTTTTTTTCTGCCTCAACTCGTCCTCCTCGCAAGCCTCACGTCAGATTCGACATTCCAGCAGATCATCAGTATGCCATATGCGATGTCGCATCAGCCATCGCGTCGCCTTAACGGATGATGAAGAACAGACGGAGCTGTTGGAATCACTGCGGGAATCCTTTAAGAGGGACCAGTTAATTCCTGGTCGGAGCTGACTGACAGGGACGACGAATCACCGAACCAGACGAAAGAATTTTAATGGGGCACAGATTACGTAGCAGCCATCTGGGACGGTGCGGAGATCTTATTACTTCAAAATAATATTTTGATTTCATTGAATAAAATAATGGTGGGGTGATTCAACGTTGAATATTTTGGCCGGGGGGAGACGATGAACAGATTGCCGGCGGATGGGGGCAGTCTCTTCAGTTGACAGCCCCGCATCTGCGGCGGATCTCCCCCGAATCGCCTGTGCGGGGACGAATGTTCCCCATTCTTATCATGGAAACCCCGAAGTCGTCCCAGAAGCTGCCGAGGTTCGTGCTGTAGTGCTTCACGAGGTTATCACTCTCGCTGTCGTCTCCCTGGAAGAGCTGCTGGTCGGAGTGGAGGAGGCCCTTCCTGTGCGACAGCTCACTGTAGTAGGCCACGTCGAAACGATTGGCGGTGGGGTCCAGCGGCGCGAGGTTGTCGTCGTTCCCGGAGGAGGGGCACCGTTCGCGGAGTGAGCTGGCGAATCCCGCGTCTATGTCGGAATCGTTGTAGATCCTGTCCCTGAAGCTGCGGCACGCTGCTTGTCCGATGGTGTGCGCCCCGGAAAGCACAACCAGGTCCTTGGTCGACAACCCCTGAGCTCGGAATTTTTCCTCGAGATCGGCTATGTTGGAGGACGGCGGGGGCAAGCTGTTCCTCACGTCGTTTAAGCTAGCCGTTCTCGAGTCCCTTCTTCCCAACAGCACCTCGTACGACCTTCCACCCAACTGCAGGTTAATAGCAGAAGTTAGAACAGGAACTGAAGGACGTCCGTCCAGGTATGGGTATGGAGATGGAGGTGCATGAGAGACTCACGGCCACAACGGAGTCGCGGGCGGCGACCGCCAAGATATCAGCGCAAGACACCACGTAGTCTTTGCAGGCGGAGTCAACAGCTTCCTTGATGCGATCGACCACCTCGAAGCCCCGAAGACTCCTGTTCGGAGGCGCCGTCTTCTCTCCGACGAGGTTGGAGGTGTCGTCCAACAGAATGGATCCGTCACAGCCCTGCGGGTGAATTAAAACATGTCAGGGTTCCATCGTTAACGGCGTGCTCACGAGGGGCCCTACCGAACCATCAGCTGTCGTCTCTGATAGATGATCGATGCATATGCTTAAAAGACGGGGTCCTCACCTTATCTTCGTAAACAAAAGACGTGCTTGAGTTTCTCCTGTGGTTCGGGCTTGAAGAAGGGGTCATAATAAGATGCGTCAAATAACTCAAGTCTCTTAGTTTACGAAGAAGGGGTCATAATAAGTCGGGGGCGATTCCGCGTGGAGGCGCGACTTGGTAGGCATCACCCAGTCTTAACACGACCGCTGGTGGCCTCCTCGCGTGTCTATAAATACCACCAGGCGTCTCCTTCCTTCGTCACCAGACAAAGACGCGTCAGCAGGCAGATCGATAACCTCATCACATCACCATGGCCTCCCTCCCCAAGAGCTCCATGATCTTCCTGGCGGTTCTCGCCGTGATACTCCCCGCGCGGGCGCAGCTCGACCCCAACTACTACGATTACATCTGCCCACAAGCGTTGCCCACCATCAGGAGGATCGTCGAGCAGAGCGTCGCTAACGAGCCCCGACTCGGCGCGTCGTTGCTGCGTCTCCACTTCCACGACTGCTTCGTCAACGTGAGTTTCTCTCGTTCAGCCTTTCTGGGTAGATTCTCCCACTTGTAAGCACGCCGTTAACGATGGAACCCTGACATGTTTTAATTCACCCGCAGGGCTGTGACGGATCCATTCTGTTGGACGACACCTCCAACCTCGTCGGAGAGAAGACGGCGCCTCCGAACAGGAGTCTTCGGGGCTTCGAGGTGGTCGATCGCATCAAGGAAGCTGTTGACTCCGCCTGCAAAGACTACGTGGTGTCTTGCGCTGATATCTTGGCGGTCGCCGCCCGCGACTCCGTTGTGGCCGTGAGTCTCTCATGCACCTCCATCTCCATACCCATACCTGGACGGACGTCCTTCAGTTCCTGTTCTAACTTCTGCTATTAACCTGCAGTTGGGTGGAAGGTCGTACGAGGTGCTGTTGGGAAGAAGGGACTCGAGAACGGCTAGCTTAAACGACGTGAGGAACAGCTTGCCCCCGCCGTCCTCCAACAGAGCCGATCTCGAGGAAAAATTCCGAGCTCAGGGGTTGTCGACCAAGGACCTGGTTGTGCTTTCCGGGGCGCACACCATCGGACAAGCAGCGTGCCGCAGCTTCAGGGACAGGATCTACAACGATTCCGACATAGACGCGGGATTCGCCAGCTCACTCCGCGAACGGTGCCCCTCCTCCGGGAACGACGACAACCTCGCGCCGCTGGACCCCACCGCCAATCGTTTCGACGTGGCCTACTACAGTGAGCTGTCGCACAGGAAGGGCCTCCTCCACTCCGACCAGCAGCTCTTCCAGGGAGACGACAGCGAGAGTGATAACCTCGTGAAGCACTACAGCACGAACCTCGGCAGCTTCTGGGACGACTTCGGGGTTTCCATGATAAGAATGGGGAACATTCGTCCCCGCACAGGCGATTCGGGGGAGATCCGCCGCAGATGCGGGGCTGTCAACTGAAGAGACTGCCCCCATCCGCCGGCAATCTGTTCATCGTCTCCCCCCGGCCAAAATATTCAACGTTGAATCACCCCACCATTATTTTATTCAATGAAATCAAAATATTATTTTGAAGTAATAAGATCTCCGCACCGTCCCAGATGGCTGCTACATAAATTTCCCCCACTAATATTTGTTAGGGAAGATGAGCGTCCTGGTTCCCTTTCTTCCACAACGGGAAACTGATGCGGAACATACGAGAGATAGAAGAGGGAGAGAGGCGAGAACAGAAGTACACACCACATTTAACTTGGTTCGGAGAATCCTCCTCCGTCCACAGTCACAAGGATTTTCTTCGTTCAAGAGCGGAGAATACTTTTACAGCTCGTTGCGGCAGCATCATTTTCACATAGCACACATTCGCACGCACCGTAGTAGCGGCAGCGGCTTCCTATCATGCGGTTAGAGAAAATATACGAAGACAAGGGACACATACGCCCCTCTGTTATCACTGAGTTGGATCCGTGTACTCGCTGAAGAGCCCATCATAACCCATTACGTCATACTAGATCGGTCTCTACAACTTCAACATTATTCTTCCTCCCATATCGGTGATCTCGCTGTCCCTGTCAATCATTTCCACACCGCGCCGTCCCTGGGCCTTTATCCTGAAGTTACTGTGTACTCGATCCTTGTGGTCTTAGCAACGAGCACTGTGGGATTCCTTTATCGGGGACCAATTAGTTCAGATCTGAGTCCAGATAAGATCACCATTCCGTGAGAGCCCAGATCGATCTGTCTCAGATCGGGATTAGCCTGAATCCCATCTCGCCTATATTTCTTTCGATACTTCATCTTGAAGCCTAATCCTAGGAAAAAAAGGCATGTAATCCTGGACAAGGCAGGGCTCTGAGTTTACTCCTACAGAAGAGGGTCATTTTCAGCTTATAATTCAAACAGAATGAAGAAACTGACTAATACCTCATAGCTTTCATGTGTCCACGGAGGCCACTATATAACGGCAATTCGAGAACGAGTCGGAATGTTTGGCCGCGTAAAACGCGGTTGTTGCTGTCCCCAGAAAAAAAAAGGGGTTATGCGTGGAAAAAGATAGGATATGAGCCGATGAAGCTTCAATAACTCGAGGTAGCAAACAGGGAATGTTTCAAAGACGATATCAATTGTAGGGATGAGAAAGACCAACGAAAAAGCAACGAAGTAACCGAAGCCTCGTGTTCAACGGCAAAGCTGGTCCAGAAATTGTGAGTTCTGCTGAATAGCCTCGCATTTTTTCGAAGTCCGTTCAATCGGAGAAACCTCTCCTCCTAATCTCTCCCAGTCTTTAGTATGAGATAGTCTCCCAGGGACGGAGATCTGACCACTCTGTCCAGTCTGCCGGATATATTGGGTAGTCCCCATAGTTCCGTCATAAACCGCTTCTTCTCTCATCTCTCTAGGCAACGCTAGCTCAATAATAATCTAGTGATTGAGGATGAGCCCAATCAAATAGGCTTCTTTTTACTCACTCAAAAAGGTGAATTCTTTCAATGATGATTCCTTATTCTCCTGTTATTTGAGTCATTCCTTCTCTTTTTCTTCACATCTGAACTGAAATATCTATGTGGCCACACTCACATAAACGAGGATAGGAAACAAAAAGAATTGAGAAACTCAGATCTTCTCACCGATATTCAGTCTCAGAATTTGCTCATATTTGGAGCAGCCGCCCTTACAACTAACAGCCACAAGCTGGCCAGAAATATCGTTCAAACAGTACTAGAAGTTTCTGTATCTCAGCATCAAAATTCGAATACTTTATAAAAATTGGTCAATATTTGTTAGATCCCTATCAGCCTTGATTTCGAGGGATGCCGTTACCAATGCTAGGGGGAGCTGGATCGGGCCTCACAATTGATTAGAGGCTTTGCCCTCCACCACGTTTGTTTACTCATAGAACGTTATAAATAACTCAAGCGAAACTTGAAAGACTTTTCAACGAGCGCTCCAAGAGCTACAATAATAACTAAGTGTCAAGACGATATGACCTAGGCCTTCAGCACCTGCACAATGGCTTAAAGACCATAAAGGTATAAAGATTGATTAATGAAACCTGGAGTTGGCCTCCAAAGTAATATGATCTGCGTTGATTAACTATTTAATGTTGAATAGTCACAAGAAACGAGGAATGCCTAATAAGTTCAGCCTAGAAGGCGTAAACAAATGAATTGTCAACGCCCCAACGGTGACGTATTCTATCTCAACTGGAGCTTTCAATGTTAGGCTATTTTTTACAAAATATAGTGGGATATGGGGTTTTTTTAAAGAAAATCATTTATTTTCATCTCTTTCTCTCAGATTGAACTGATATATGACATTTCTACCATTAATATTATATAAAACATCCGTTAGATGTCATATGATAATTTTTATGTTTTCAAACAAAATCGGTTGTGGACTGGCACCCTTTTTGTGTATCGCTCATATAATATTTTTCGTTGTCCATTGGGTATCCATTTGTCATACACCGATCACTTTTATTTACCTCAAGTATGGACTCAAATAGTGTCAGAATAATGGAACGTCGGGGAAGGCGGACGTTTATTTTTCCCCGGGGAGGAAAAAAAATAATTCTCACAAAAAAAGAGTTTTTTTTCAACGAATGATACGCACAATAACTGTAGAAATGCATGACATTATACATGGGGCGCTGAATGACACCAACAGACAAACCAAAAACCAGCAAGGGAAAGACTGACTCTCCATGTGTACATTATTTTACCAAGTTTTATTCTCAAGGCGCAACCCATATACATCCAGATCTACTGCTCCGAAGGGAAGGACCAGTGGGCAGAGTATTAGTTGATCCTCCTGCAGTTCTTCCTGATCTCCCCTCTCGAGCCCGTGAGGGGACTGATATCACCCATCTTAATCATGGCGGCTGCAAAGTCGGATTCAAATGCGTGGGGATTCTTGACGTAGTTCTGGACCAGCGAGTCGGTGGAGCCGCCGTTGAACAGCTCCTGGTCGGAGTGGAGGAGGCCCTTCTGCTTGATCAGGTTCTTGAAGTAGTTGTTATCGAAGCCGTTGGGGGTCTGCAGGTCTAACGGAGCCAGGTTGTTGTCGCCAGAGGTTCTCCCGCAGTTCCCCCTCTTCTGCCTCGCGAAGGCCCTGTCGATGTTGGTCTCGTTGTATATGCGATTCCGGAAGGTAGTACACCGCGCTTGCCCGATGGTGTGAGACCCTGTGATCCAGGGGGGATCATTCCCAGAGAACGGGCGTGAGGCAAACCACTAGCATCATACAGCGCAAGAAAAGCCTTTAAACTACGTATGCTTATGATGGCAAAGTTTGTCAGACAAGTTATTCGAACGGACTTGAAGAAGAAAGAAATTAGGATACCTGACAGTGCTACCAGCTCTCTAACCGAGAGTCCCTTGGATCGGAAACTAGAGATAAGGGTTGTGAGGTTGGAAGTGGGAGGGGGAATATTCCTATTAGCATCGGACTGGCTCGCCCTCCTCGAGTCCCGTCTTCCCAGTTTCACGTGCCAACTGGGACCTCCCAACTGCACAGCGTATGGTCAGCAGTCAGCCGGAGAGGAGCATAAAGACCGCAATGGTTGAGGGAGCCGTAGCGGACTTACGATCTCCACTGAGTCTCTGGCGGCAATGGCCAAGATGTCGGCGCAGGAGACTACCCCGGGGCACACCTTCTCTACTCGTGTCTTAATGCTGTCAATTACTTCGAATCCTCTGACTGAGTTTACGTTAGGCCTCGCGTTCTTCTCCCCGGTGAAGCTCGAAGTATCGTCTAGAAGGAGCGATCCGTCGCAGCCCTGCAGATTAAACGGTAAGAATAGGGTCTTTCGGGACACGTACGAGTGAAAGCAGAGAAATGGAAGACGAAGAACAACTGATTACGTTGACAAAACAGTCGTGGAAGAACAGGCGGACCACCGACGCCCCTAAGCGCCTCTCACCAGCGATCGCCGACCGCACAACAGGTTTCACGGTGCTAAAAAGGTTCGGGCAAGACGAAGAGTAGAAGTCTGTGGACAGTTGAGCCGACGAACTCCCAAGGAAAACAAGCACAAGAGCAAGAGAAAGGGTAGCGGCCTTGGAAGACGAATCCATTGTTTCTCTGTGAACAGCGACCGGAGGACCTTTGGAAGAGGGTGTTGCTCGTTCACTCCTTAATTAGGATACTATTGGACAGAACGGTTCTCGAATTTATAGAGGAGAAAAGCAGGAAAAGTCTGCCTTTACCTACTCCTTGCGACTAGTTCCATAGACGGGGATCAAAACAAGGATGTACGTTGCACACTCGTGATCAGAAGATGACAACTGCACTACTCGACCGTTTCAAGACGTGTGGTCGGTGGCGATAAGTCAAACAAGCTTACCGAACCCGGCTCCTAATCTATATTTAATATAAGCAATAGTCAACAAACTGAACGGCTCCCCGGAAGTAATCTATGTTAGATATCTCCTGGACGTGGTCGCCTGAAGAGCATGTCCCCAGGGTTGGATGAGAGTCGGATTCATGCTGACTATTTCCAGATCATCTGGAAGGACTATATATATATATTATATATATAGCTTTCAGCGCGAAGTCAAACAATCGGACCCTTGGGTAAGGGGACGATTGAAAGGCAAGCGCGCTGCCAGCGCTTCAGGTTTCTTGGAGCCGACGGTCGAGAAGCAGACCTTTTATCGTCGTGTTTCACCCGCTACCCTGCTACCTTTTCGGGCTATCAAAGAAGCTACTGCTAATGGAGCTTCAATTAACAAGATTTAGTTTCAAGTCAATGCATATACGTGTGTGCGTGTGTGTCACCCCCTCACCCATACACACGTATAAACATATAAACATGTACGCATGAATATTGCTTCGGATATCATCCATTTTCGTTTAGCGGTGATCGTGGAGAGCCTGTTCATTTGTGCCCGTTTTAGTCATAGGAAAAGAGAGATTCGTGTCGAAGAAGAAAACGGCGATTGATATTATTATTTTTTGTCATCTAAGCGGGTCACGAAGCGATCTAATTATCAGATAGCAGGAAGCCGTTGTTGACGACGACGGTCACGAAACGTTAAATCTGATATTATTAAAAAGTTACTTTATCCTCGTTTTATCTGTACCAGAGCCATTTAAAGTGGGCAGTGCTGGAGGAACTTTAAATGTTACCGGGAGGGCCAAGCCTAGACGTACGCTGACCAGGAGAAATGGATGAGAAACTCGCCCAGGAGTCCGGTCCGGCAAATTATATCTTAGGACAGGCCGCGTAATGAATTACAGAAAGGAACTGCAACGAAATCCTAGGGTTCAACGAAAAGTTCGGATGCATCGTCATGGACTATCCCCGCTAATCTCTCTTTCCCCCTCTCCATCTCATCTATCGTGCTTTGGTAGCTCTAGAAAGTAATCGTGCTGTTTCTAGTAGATATGTGGATGACCATAATATCACAAATTACGGTTACTAACACAATATTAAATCGGTTATTAAGATGATTCTAGATTTTAAATATCATTATGATTGATAGAATTACATTAAGTTAAACTATTTTATGAATGAAATATTCCTTATTTAGCATGTATAATTATAGTGGGATTTTAATGTGGGTTAAATTTACCTTTGACATGACTGCTCTAGGGACTATAAACGTTAGAATTTATCACAACGTAAGCAAGCTGAAACAAGAATTAAAAATGGAATGATTTATTATATTGCTGACTCCTTAAATTTCTTGCTTAAGAGGTACCAATATAGTCCACTAACTGCCGTACCAATGTGTTACCAAATCTGACCCAGACCTAAAAGATGTTTGACCTTGGGGAATTAGGTGGAGAGAGAGAGAGAGAGAGAGAGAGAGAGAGAGAGAGAGTCGGGAAACCAGTCACGCGGGTGATGGAACTTTTTAGTTACGCAAACCCCATTAACCCAACCATCATTACTCCTACGTTTCATCTACTGTTGTTCAAATGTAAATATAATTCTTCATCAACAATAGGAAGAATAAACAAAATCTTATGCCCTTACAAATAAGCCTATTCTGCTCATTTTTATCCATGACCCTAATAGAATATCAAAAATAATAGTTGATCTTAAACTTGAAGCACTTGATTTTTGTTTCACATGTGAAAAATATTTATTTACGCTATGTTACGTGTCTGAATAGAACAAAAAATAACCTTGTGGTAATATAAATTTTCTGCTCTGCTCATCAACAGATCCCAGTACTTTGTCACTACACGATATAAAACATGATTCTTGCTTTTTTTTCACGTAAATGGTATCATTGGCCAATACTCTTCGCAAATTTCCTCAGATTTTCTCATATTATTGCATTATTTATTTGATTCCTTAGAGTCTTCAACAGCAGAGAAATGACACGTTAGATGACGTAGGAGATGGTCATATCAAGTGGGCTTTACTTTTCAACTACGTAGGAGATGATCACTTCACGTATATTATCGTCTTATTATAGGAAGGTCGTTGTCTGTTGACCTGTGCTCGAGGCTGCTTCCTATGGAGCCCAAACATGGTCGGCAAGGTGTTCTCCCTCGCCGTGGGAGATCTCTGAAGGCGTTCAGACTTGCCGTCGGTTCCTCTCAAGCTTCTTGGTGAACTAGTAATCTGATCTTGAAGCGCTATTCACCGACAATATTTTTTTATCAGGCCTCGAGTGGGGCGCAGGCTAAACACGTAGCCATGTAGGTCGTCTACCCTGAAGACTTCCATATATCGCCGGATGAGGACGAAGTTCTTTGGCAGGGAGGAGATAAGATGTAGACGCCGCGGGTGCCTGTTGGTCCGACGTTCTTCTGACCTCATGCCGTTGAGCTGTCGTTTTGTGTAGTAGCTTTTACGTCAACGAGGTGGTTCATTTCGAAAGTTGGTGTTAAGCGACTGGTCACCGGATTAGGTGGGGAACTGAACCCTTCCCGGATCTCGTCCGATATAATTCAACCGTGGCCGCGCTTAGTAGAACCCAAGCGTGCGCAGTAAGAGAACCGAGATCTCCCAATCCTCTGGTTACCCACCACTAGAAAACAATGGCGTCATCATCCAAGGCCTCCATCCTTGTCACTCTAGCTTTTATCATCCCTCTGCTTGGGAGTTCGTCGGCTCAGTGTCGACAGGAGTCTACACGTCGTCTTGCCCGAGCCTGTTGAGCACGGTGAAAGCTATTGCCCAGCAGGCGATCCATGGGGAAAGGCTCTTGGGGAAGTTGGTGATTCACCTGTTCTTCCACGACTGTTTCGTCAATGTGAGCACTTCGCCCACATGAGAGCTTCTTGTTTCTGCAGAGCCCGATTGTCTCCCGTTGCACTCGTTCGCGTCCTACAATAACCCATATTTTCCGCTAAAACTTGGAGGGCTCGATGGTTCTCGACGACAATACGTCCTTCACAAGGAGAAGAATGCGTTTCCCAATAGGAACTCCATTAAGGGACTCCAAGCCATAGACAGGATAAAAACGTAGCCAGCGATATCGTGCCCTGGCGAAGTCTCCTGTGCCGACACTCTGGTCATTGCTACCAGAGACGGTGGACATTGCAAGTTCTACTCGGCTTCTGCTGCCACAAGCATCGCCGTCTTTCCGCTCTCTGGAAACTGTTTACGTGCATGTGTTGCAGGTAGGAGGTACCATCTGGGATGTGAAACCGAGGAGGCGCAACTCAAGGACAGCGAACCAGCCAGACGCCAACAGAGACCTTCCACCTCCCACCACCAACCTTAACCCTCATCTTTAGTTTCCAACTCAAAGGTCCCTCGACTAAAGACCTCAGTGCACTCTCGGGTATGCATTCACTGCCTTCAACCCTCCACAAAAATATATACTTTCGGACGAGTAATATGAAACCACATGCAAGCATAAACCTTATCCGCCTTTGTTCTCAGGTTCTCACACCACCGGGCAGGCACGATGCCCTCCTTCAGGGAACGCATATACAACGAAACCCATATCGACAGCCCCTTCTCTAGCCACAGGAGAGAGAACTGCGGGAGAACCTCAGGCGGCAACAACCTGGCTCCGTAGGACCTGCAGACTCCCAACGGCTTCGATAACAATCACTTCAAGAGCTGATCGAGAAGAAGGGCCTCCTTCACTCCGGCCAGGACCTTTTCAATGGTGGCTCCATTGACTCGCTGGTCCAGGACTACATAAAAAACCCAGGCACCAACTTGTTAGGATGATGAGTGTCCTCTTTCTCTTTCTCGCACAGGACTGATGCGAACACACCACGAGAGAGAGAGAGAGAGAGAGAGAGAGAGAGAGAGACGATAACAAATAAAACACCAGGTTTACGCCGTTCAGATAAATCTCCTACGTCCAGGGTTGTGCAAGGATTTGTTACTTCAGAAGATTCGTCTTACAGGCCTCGGTAGCAACTCACATAGCACACCTTCGCACGCCCTACTTGCTGAAGAGCCTATTAGAGCCCATAATTGCCCAATAGGAGATCATTCTCCGCAAATCCAGAACGACTTTGCGGCCGCTAAGATCAAGATAGGCGACATAAACCCCGTCATGGGCTCCAGAAGGGAGATCAGAAAGAACTGTGGGAGGATCAACTAATAGTTTGCCCACTGATCCTGCCCTTTGGAGGAGCACTAATTCAGCAGATGATAGTTCAACACTTCTCGTTTTCTTTGCTCATTGTTTGCGTGATTGGCGGCCTTTCTGAAGTACGTTGTCAGGCAACACGATCTTGATTTCACGGTTGACATGAATTGTTATGTTGTTCTTCATCAAGCGTTGTGTTCTCAATTTGATAATAAGACTGCAGGATTAACTTTTGTTCCTAAAGATGTCTCCCCGTTTCCCCCTTGCGGGATGTCTTCGACACGGAAGGTGGAAGGATCGCGGTTAGCGGCAAGTCGGTTAAAAAGGAAAGTGGTCGGCTATGGGTCAATGCTAAAGGACCACTCATATTGGCAGACTTGCAGGGTCTGCAGAGTCGATAAGGATTCGAGATTCCACCCGAACAAACAGTCTTGGACCAGTAATGGAACCCTTACCAGTCAATCAATGAAGATGCGGCCGTATCCCTCGCAGAATGGACCTCGGGGGACACCTAGTCTATGAGCCCTATGTTATTGGTTCAACTATGGGCCCAGCCCAATTCAACGACGGAACTAAAGAAAGGTAACTCCCACGGATTCCGGCTAGAAGTCCTGAAATAAAAGCATCACATGCGAATGACTATTTATATACGCGAAACACCATTCTTGACCATTTCTATGGAATTGACTTAGGGTAATGTGGCATGCGTCAAGGCTACAGTGGCGTCAATGACTCGAGTGAGTCTAGATTCCATATCACCGTGGCCTGATTTGTATCTCGAGTGGGCGTCAAAATGAAGCCCTCGTGGATGAGTGGGTCGATGCCTGGTTAGTCCAAATCCGAGGTTTAATACAGCAAATTTGGGAGACATATTTCTTACGAAATGTCTACCGCGTGATCTCTCTCTCTCTCTCTCTCTCTCTGTTTGTTCAGTGGAAACTCCTTGATTAGGCCATTTCAAATGCGTATATAATATACGGTAGCTAAATAACATATGCCGTTGTTTAAACCCGTCTTCCCCTGAGGTTATGGTAGCACATGGACAGAAGAACTTCGGCCACAAATGAAAACGCGCGGCAAGGAGAACAGTCAGCTTTGATAATTTACGTAGATGGTTTAATATTCTCATTCTACGTTAGATTATTGTAGCAAGATTTTAAAAAAGGATTAGACCATATGAACAAGAAATATTAATGCATAATCAAGTCATAGAACCGTAAGTTATAATATCATGTTTAGAAGCGGAATCTTTTACCTAAAAACCAATTCATAATGAATGAAGTAGACCTGTGAAGGATTATTCTGACAATATGATTTACTACGGCTGATGAACCGTGAATATTCAAGCTTAATCGGTTCTAGAGATTCATGTTTACCTCGTAGACGAACGTTTCTAGGCGTTACAATCACTGAAGTCCTCTCACGGTCTTTAAATCCAGGACGGCAAATCCAACCGCTGAACCACGGAATCACGAGGGATTATTCAGTGAAAAGGAGGTGCCCTGACCCCCTCAAGCTCCATCCTCCGTGGCCATCTTAGCCGCCGGAGACTCGAGATAATTAACACCCGTTTCTCATTTGCGGTCGGTGTCCTTCGGTTCTCTTTAGACCATTAACCTGGCAGTCAGAGTCGTGATTTAGAAGTTTTGAGTTCTCAAAGACACGTACGGGTACTTTTTTTTGATAGACGCTGGCACTCCCACACGCTTCATGCGTTGTACTTCATCCGCAAGTTAGGACGATGTAATTATTGACAAAATATGATGTTAATGTACGATCTTCTACCTTAGAAGATATTTTTTAAAAAATATACAAGTATTTCCGTATGTTTATCGTATGATAATGAGGAAATAGAGCCATCAAGGGTTCTGCGCGGCGGGGATGCTCCCCTCTAGTATTATACTGTTCCTTTGGGAGAGGGGTAGTTATAAATTTTTTTGAATGCCGCAGTGGAGTAAAGATGAGATGAGGTGGGGCCATTTCAAGCGAGGCAATGGTGGGCCAAACTCAAGTCGCATTGATTGAAGCCTGCCAAAAATGAATACAAAAAACAGCACAAGAGGGAGGGCACTTCTTTATCTGCACACTCGTTGGAAGAGTTCGCCAACACCCTCCACCACCAGTCCATTAGAGCTCCACACGCTAAGGAAACGCCGACTCCGATTTGATATCGCAAGTGGCACGCAAGTTCATTGACCATCTTCTAGAAATAGACGACTCTCTCTCTCTCGTTCATCTTTCTCCTCTTTCTCCTCTTCCCCCCTACATCTCTCTCCTCCCTTTCCTCCTCCCTCTATCTCTCTCTCATCTGGCGCTCCCAACTTCTCTCCTTTATATGGTCGTCTCTATCTTTCTATCCATCCTTCGATCTTTCTCTCAACACAGAAAAAAAATGTCTTGTCCTGCCATATGTTCGTGTCATACAGCATAGTCTAGAGAAGATCTCCTACACTTGACCATATAGCAATTTTGGGAATCTACTAGACGTTCATTCACGGCATTGTTGTTTACAGAAATAACCAGCCCAGGACGCAAATGAAACCCCATAATCTTACGACTGTTGTTATTCGTCTAGGTCAATCAACAGTGGGTCTAACGGGAAAGAAGTTGAAGTCCCAGTTTAGTGAGATTTACACGAAACATAGCGGCTGTAAACAAGTTCAAAATACTGAGCCGTTGAGGGGCTAGGCACGAAAACCTGAAGTGCAGGCAGAGCGAGACACGCGGACACACACGGAGAGGGAACGAAGGAGGGGGGAGGAGAAGCCAAATAAGGGAAAAGATGAAAAAGAGGCATCAGTGTTTAGCTTGTCCAAAGCGCGACTGTCTGGAAAATGAGTGGCCTTCGTATTCGAGACTACGTCAAGAACCGTAAATTCCGACGATTTGACAACGTTATATTAAGTGGTCAATATATGGGAAATCGCGCATGCGGACTTGATGTCTCCCCTTCTCGCGCCTTCATTAATGCCTCGGCTCAGATCCTCGGAGCGCAGGCTGAAGTGTGAACGAGACGAAACCCTAGGCGCCTCAGTCAGTAAAAACGGACTCCAGTGAGCACATGCGATGCACGTCTAGCGCACATCTCATCTGTCTCCTCTGAAGACGAGGGAATCACATTAAATGGTGGAGACTTCTGTTTGCCAGAAAATATGAACAGAGAGATCAGCTGTTGGGAACTCCGACGGTGGAACAAATGCATCCTTCCTCTGTTGGAGAGATTTCCCAGTCTTTCATGAGGGTGATTCGTGAGAGAGATTGAAGGAGATAAGGGCTAAGAGGCAGAATATAAAGTCTCAGTGAACGATATTTCCAAGATATATATTCATATATCGCTGTTATCTCCCAAGACCAAGCCTCTTTTTTATTTGGAAAGAAATGACTGGAGAAATTGGGGATGGTTGGTAGGCAAACAAGCAAGCAAACAGCTACAGAGAGAGGGAGGGAGGGAGAGAGAGAGAGAGAGAGAGAGAGAGAGAGGGAGTCAGAGAATGGATGATTTGCTTAACCATAGTATGGAGCATTCTCGTTAGTAATGGAGCTGTAGTCAGTAGAGCATGAGGGAGGGGTGTACATCGAGGAGGAAGAGGTGGAAGGTGCATGAGGTGGGGGGGATGGCGTCGGAATAGGCGGTGGCACTGCCACAGACACTACACCGGTGGACGAGATCCCAGAATGGGGCGTGGGAGGCATGATGCTTTCGCTGTTTTGCCTATATTTCTGCTTCAATATCTCGGCTCTCAAAGCCTGGAGCTCCTCTTCCAACGCCTGAACTTGCTGCTGCAGGGCCGATATCGCTCCCATGCACCCGTAAATGGGATCCCTCAGCCTAATGTTCGCTTCATAGACGAGACTATTTGCCGCGTCTGCTCTCTGCGGTTCTGGGACCTCCTACTTCCAGCGTTGGTGAGCGAGTCACACACGACGACGTCGGCAACCCACAACAGATTGATGGATGATCACAAAGAGACTGGAACTATGAGCAATAGAAGTAGGACTAGGCTTACCATGAGCATCTTGGAGACGTTGCTTGCACCGAAGACCTTGTGGACTGCCGAGAATTTCTGGGGTTCGAGAGGGGAGAAGTACGGCGAGAATGGACACTCATGCGCGCATCGCCTTCTTAAGAGCTTGCAGGCGGCGCAGGGCGTGATGGTGTTCATTGGACCGAGCAGATGCCTCCTTCCCATCCTGTCACCCACTTCCGCCTCCCGCTTTATCTTCTTCCCAGCCTCGTTGAGATTCCCCCTATCAAGGACGAAAATCAGAAGCAGGCACCAGAAAGGTCTTTCTCCTTGTGATTTCTAGGATTAACACGAAGAATTCTGATTTGAACATGGATGAATTAGATTTTGGGTTTTGTTCGATCTTCCTGGTGAAAACGTATCACTGGGTTGATCTTGGGCTTCTAACATCTCAGTTCATGGGTCACGACATTAGCTACATATGAAGGAAAGAGCAGATACTGAAGAGTTGTTTTCCTTACCTCCCAGTTGACATTAAAGCATAATCCTGAGACACCGGATCTCAGCCAGGGGAGACCGAGAAGGAGAAGATGGAAGTCGAAGAAAGGAGAGGAAGAGAGGATGGGAGGATGGGAAGATGAGAAGGAATTCTTAAAAGGCAAGGTTTTAAGAGAGAAGTGGGCCTAGGTTTCTGAAGCTGGATAAAGACCGATGGGAAATTTTAAAATTATAAAACCACTAATGGAAATTCCTCGGCCTTTTGCCGCTGACACTTTACCGTCTGCATCGAAGGGGGAACTACAGCGGGTGGGGAGGGAGCCAGCTTGTGATGAGAGATGGAGAAGGTGAATTTGCTGCATTCCACGAGAGAGAACAGGGAAGAAAGTGGGGTCTTGAAGGTGCCGGGAATGACAGCTCCGATCGGCACGTGCTACCTCACGTGCAGCGGATGCCGATATTGACTTTAGTAAGAAATCAATAAAGATGATGGAACGATGACTTCCAAACAGAGACGATTTTCAAGATGAACCTTTACAGACTATACACTCTACGTCGATTAATTAAATATATTAAAAAATAGGTCGGATTATTGATCATGTTTCTCACTGTCCCCATTATAGAGGTTTGACATACCTCTAATTAGAAAGAACTTCATGTTATACATAACTCAATATGTATAACATGAAGCAATATTAAAAAGAAGCTCGGAACAAGGCAATGGTTTTTGGCAAGAAAGAGAAGGGGGAGGAGAGAGAGAGAGGGCGAGTTGCTGAATAAACGCGCTAATCTGTTAATGGCTTGCTTAGAAGTAACATTCAAGAACAGCTTAAAATTCAGATATTCTGGAGCAATACATTAATGTACATGGGAACCGGACAATGACGTCGTCAATTATCTGTCCGAGAGGCAAGCTTCAGCGAAAGCGATAGAGCATCAGAGACGTGAACCAACACAGTGACGCGATCATTAGTCAAGCTTGAAAAGACTTGCCATCTTTCGGGTAGGAATCTGTATGATTCAGGAGGGGGGGGGAATCTAGTCAGTACCTCAGGTTTCATCTAACACGGGTTTGGTTCATACTGAAACTTGTGGATTCTCACCGATTAGAACTCGAGGAAGATTTCTTTTCCCATCTCAGAATCCGTGGCTCTGAATCGTAGTCACTGCCATGGATCTCGTCAGTATTAGTGAGAGGGGCGGATCTCGTTTGCTCCAGAAAGACAGGAAGGCGATGGCAAGTCGTTTCGGAGCAGACGAGACGGAGACTGTCTGTACAGAGTTGACGAAGTCGACGAATGACACAGAACCAAGCACTTGCATGACCTTTATATAGACATAGACCAAGGTTTCAATTTGTACGACTTATGAGTTTGAAAATTGGCAAGGTTTAGCTAGAAGTTGCCTGTAAAATTTTAAAGGCAAAAAAATGACATAAATTGACGTATGATGTTAAACGGATGATTGACAAGTTATGGTAATAGATAAAAACAGCGAAGAAATGGGTGGGATGGAAGAGAAAACTGAAAATGGAAGTAAAGCCTGCTGTTGACCTTGAAATTACTGACTGAGCAAGGAAACGGAGGGAATCCCAATACCCAGATGGAAGAACACAAGAGGACAGCAACAAACACGTTTTGCATCGACGTCGTCCTATCGATTACGTTTTGTATCGATTACGACGTCGCCCACGCGTGGCTCAACGTTGTTCAAATAGGTCGTCGTCTGTGTCTCCCGGAGCTTCATGAGGTTCGAGATCCAAGAAATAGCTGAGAATTCCAGGGAGCAACGTGGATCCCCTACTGCTCGTAGCTACTGAAACTCTAATCGCCCCTGGTTTTTTAGGTAGGCTGCTGATAGCGTGGGTTTGAACAGAGAGATTAGGATATAATATGACTGATGAAACCGCATCTCTTCTCCTCGTTTGACCCGTATTCCGTGCCCCGAAAGTCGGGCCGATGTCGTCTCGATCCCGACGTCATCTACAAATCCCAACTGGATCTCCCACCCCTGCGCCTCCTCCACCCCACCTCGAGCGTCGCCGGTCGCCGGTCGCCGGATGGCAAAGACGAGAGTGTAGGTTCCAGGCAGCGAACACGACGCGATGATCTCCGTAAGAGAGCGATCCTTCTGGCGTCCACTCCGACCGCAGACGCCATTGCACACCGAAGGAACTTCGGTAGAGAAAGATGGAACGAGGGCCGGACCACAGACAAGGGTTGGTTCCAAACCCATGAGGAGTCCTACCGGAGAAACAACCGCCGGGGGGCATCGCCAGCAAAGCTTAGCAGATATGTAAAATGAGTCATTCTCATTTAGATAACACTTTTGGCTATCAATTAAATTATTTTGTTCGAATATCCGAGACTAATGTATCTATCCACTGTAAATTGTTACTGAGCGAGACAGATTATCTTTTTTCTTGTATACTAGACTGTAAATTCTTTATTTAGAGTTCATTTAATTCTTTTTTAAAGCATTATAAGTTTTAAAAGTAATGATTATCTTGGTGCCTCGATGTCTCGTTGTAGTATTATATTCCTTCGCAGAAGTTCAATCGTCTGATTAAAAGAAGTCACCATAAAGTATACAAGATTATCTTGCTTTATCTTTCTATGATAGATTTTCTCATACAATTTTGTTTTTTAAAAAATGTCTATTATTATGAATCATTTAATTATTAAACTAGTTTTATCATGGTTATTCAATCTGTATCCATTACATATTTTGTTTTATTTACGATGTTACCATGGAGAAACCCAAGCATTATCCTGGATTCCATTCAATCAGTCATCACAGTCATAAATACCCCCTCGAAGCTATTACAGCAAAGATGGATCATGACCTCATTGTAAAACTCATAATCCTCCTCCCCGACTCATCTTCTTGTTCAACTGAACCACGTCAAGATATATGGTTCATAGCAGCTATGGCTTTGGACATTAAGGAGGCATTCAAGGGAGAATGTCAATAAGGGACATAAAAGTGATGATATGGTACGCTACTCTTATGTGAGTAAACGATAAAATGCACTCACTGCATCTTGTTTATGACGCACAATATCTTGAATGGAGAAATTGTTGAATTATTACTTGGACACGTAATCTGCATTGAACGCATGGCAACCATCAGGAAATAAGATCTAGATTTATCGTCCTATATTCAAGTAAAAAAACAATTTCAAGATGTTAGATTCCTGTTTTTACAATTTTATAATAGCTAGGGGAGTTTTTTTAACTTAAAAAATTTGACTCACTTTGGCGAAAAGTAATCAATTATGGGTCTTAATCACCTGCATTCATATTTTATCAAGCATGTAAACCACTATCAGCTGATATTGAGCAAGGCAATACAAGGTATAATATTAATAGAATACTCGTGTTAATAGTTTATTTGGGGATAGTAGAAGAAAAACACCTCCCACTTGCGCCACTACACCAGTCATCAGATCGAGCTAGAATAATTTTTGCGATGGCTTGCCTGAGTTTGGGGAAAACCTACAGACATATTCCAAGGGTGAGGTGTAGGAAGATATAAAGAGAGACAAACCGACAGAAAGACAGAAACGGAGAGAATGTGGCGGGGGCGGGGGCGGGGGCGGAGGACGTGCCGGCCATTGATGCCCGTATTAATTTGTACTCGAATAAAGCTGAGGTCCTTTTATCTACACGCTGGTCGACCTCTCCGTATAGCAATTCTTCTGTCGTCTTTGAAGAAGTCAAAGCCGTATGGCAACGAAGTGTAAGCATCATCGATGACGAACATAACAGAGGCAAGGCACCCACGCGCGTGGATAGTAAGTTTGACTGTTTGATCCTCAGACTGCTCGGCCATCGTGCCCCGGGACCAGCTTAGCTAGCGCGTGTCAATAAGCCCCTAGAGTCCAGGCCGGCCCATTTTATCCCGAACTTGGGATTCAACATCGGGCTGGGCCTAAATATGTCAACGCCACCGCGTTGAGCCCCAAGTCTACCGTGTAAAACATAAAGCAAGGTTCTTGAAACTTCCATGTTCAAAAAAGGGTACAAAAACAGTACATTCTCATTAAATGTATTTTATATTGAGTAATTTAAGTCACATAAAAGGGCATATTCTTTTCTTAAAAGCTTAAATTATCACGGGGCTGGTTTCCAAGCAGCCCTGCTTTTCCACCTTGCGCCAGCCTTGACTCTCTCTCTCTCTCTCTCTCTCTCTCTCTCTCTCTCTCTCTCTCATGGAAGCACACAAAGGACCACAAGGGGGACGTGTATTTACCTAAAGGCTGGAGAAGAAAATAAATCGAAGTTTTTCAAACTTAAACTTCAATTAAATTATTTTCATAATTAATATTTTAAAATGGTATATTCTCATTTTGAAAGTTTAACATGTCGATTATATTGATTAATACTTATTGCGTAATTGAATTCGCACAAAAATTGGATAATTTTTTTCTAAAATATCTACCATTAGTGGGCCAATACTTGGCATATTTCAGAATCAACTTACTCTAAAACCGCAGTCTACGACTCATTTTATCTTCTCATTTCAGATGTCCCCTCACTCTCTCTCTCTTCTCGGATGCGTTTATACAGATGCCCAGGCCTTCCACGTCTCAATTGCAAATCATAGTGAACCCCCTTTGAAGCCTTTTGACGGCTTTTCTTCCCTTCCGGCCCGAGAGGCCATCTTAGATCTAGACTTCCGTAGGGTTCGGTCTGGGAGCTCACTGCCGATTTCCTAGCCCTGCATGGCATTCCAAATCTTTTCTATCTCTATCATGGAGGGGAAATCGAGCCCTAAGACCCGTGAGAGGCACCGAGCTCGGGTTGGGCTAGCTAGGGTCCTTTCCAAAGCCTTTTAATATAATATGATCTCGGACGGAGTAAACCCTTCGGCATGCCATTTCCTCTACCATCTCCGGCAACTTGAAGGCTATCTCCATCAGCTGGCCGCGCCCGTCGATGTCGCGTTAGTCCCCGTTTCGTGTCCACAAAATCCGATCCGACCCAATCAAGGAGATAGCCTGGCCGGTCCCAGTGTGGATTAAATCCCATCAGATTCCGGCGAAGCCGACTGGCGTTCAGCGCAGCGGCGGACTCGTTTGCGGCGGTGAGACGCGACGAGACGATGCTCCAGATCTTCCGAGTCATAAGAACGGCGCCCGGCGGCCTTGGAACAAATACAACAAACTCTTTCATTCAGCGGGGGTTAACAAACCGGTATCCGAATCGATGGTTGGGGGTAGGGCGACAGCGAACTTCAACTGTGGCAATCGTGTTGGAGGTTAGAGAGATGAGGGCTCATCTCTTTGGCCTCGGAGGTCTGCCGGCCTATCTGCACGGCTTATTTTGATGGCTGCACTTCTCTCTTCATCGTCCTTGTTAGAGACAGAAGTAGCCTGAGAAGCCCCCGAGTTGGTCCAGTCCCAACCACATCGCCTCCCCATGAATGCAGGCAGTAATGGTGGCGTCTTCTTCCATCTTCTATCTGACTGGCTGCTGATGTCAGTTGCCACCCGGCCGGCAGACACGTTTAATTACCTCCTGCATGAGATGGCCTTTGGAAGGCCAGAGAATTACAGACGAGCGCACTCAGAAACGATAAGAAGAACGCAATTCGTGACCCGGTGAATTACACTGTCCTTCACCACCGCCACCGCCACCTCCGACTGCAGGATCCCACCGGCCCCAATTAGCCTCCACGGTGCTGCCGACAGGCAAAGTTGGTGACGCATTTGTTGTCTGGAAGGTCCCCCTGGCCCGCCTGTATTCACTCCGGCTGACTTAGTCTTAGCCAGTCCCTCGTTAAGGAGACCCCGAAGTCCGGAATTGGACAAGAGTAGATATATATGTATATATATCTTTATAGATATATAGATAGAGTGAATGAGAGAGAGCGAGAGAGAGAGAGAGAGAGACACACACACACACACACACACACAAGGCTACCGACGCGCTGACTTCTACAATAACACTTCTCTTTTATAACATATAATGCCCATCTACCTTATGCCAACGCGTTGATGGTCAGTTAGACCTTAATCGATGAATCTCCCAGTTATTTGCATCACCTGATCCTTTAAGCCCCCAAGGGCTGAACTCGAAGCCAAGACCAGAGGAGTTTGGTTTTCAACCACAGGGAAAAGGTCGTTTCCTTCATCGTTCCGTTAAGAGGATCCTGCCCATTGCAGGGGAAAATTTTCCTGATCAAGACCAAATGAGCTGGTCATTAATGGCTGCAAATTCATTGGAGGCGTAGTCTCTTGCTTCTATTTTCTATTATGCTCGCCCCACATGCGCCACTGGAAGCAAGCACCGGCTGGTTGGCGAGATCCACCCTCGTCTGAGGAGTTTGGTGGGGGGAAGGGGGGACGTTCCGATGCGCATTGATTCCTGACTTAATAATATGAAGAAACTTGCATCTCAATACATGTTTATAATAAATTACTCCTGCCAAATAGAGGCGACCGATATTGTACAACCTGGCGTACAGCGTTAGCCGTTCGAGAAATTGACTCGGGGGAACTTAAACAAGGATGGTTACGCTCGAAATTTGTCAATATTTCTATCGGTTTTAAGTTCGGTGTTGAGAAACCGGATCATCAACCACGAGAAGATCATTCTGAGCTCCTTCTGGCTGGTAGGAATCTCCATCGAAGACTGATCCGAGTAAGAATAGGAGGAACAGCGGGGCCATCACAGTCAACCATAATTTGCATTCATAGGGACGCCAGCCATGTTATTGTACAGATTAGAGTGCACTTCGTCGTTTGCTAGTACATATTCTCTTCTTTTCGGTACGTGAGGCACCCTACATCGAAATCTCTAAACCAAATGACCAAAAACAAATAAACAGGGAGACGTGGTGGGAGGACGCTTATGCAGTACCTTGGCCGGATCCGTGGCCGACAATGGACAAGAGAGCGTTCTTCACGATCACCATCTTGTAGCACCCCCGGAAGCCGCCCTGGCGGACGCCGAAGCACAGAGTTGACCTCGGCGATCCGGCATCGGACTCGTTGTCGTCGCCGCCGCCCATGGACGAGAAGGAGGACCTCGAGCTTGATAACCGGCCGCGCCTGTGGTGCTTCGAGGAGCCCATCGAGGTCGACGATGACACCGACGAGGACGACCACAGGGACGACGCGGAAGAGGGTTTGCGGCCCTTCCCCTCGATGAGCCTCGGCAGTATTGCGCTGAGGAGGGTCGACTTGGAGGAGGGCTTCCTGGAACTCCCGATCACTCGGTCAATCAACTGGTAGGAGGGGGGGGGCGTGAGGGGAGGGAGGGCGGTGTCCTGAGACTGGTGCTTGGGCGTGCCAGGACGGGACTCCCACACGAACGGCACCGATCCGGAGGCGCCTCCATAGTAGACCCTGAATGAAGGGTTCGCAGCGGAGCTTTCCTTGGACAGCAGCTTGCAGTAGAATTTGTCGTCCTGCTTTATCTGCAACGCCTTCTGCGCCGGATCCGAGCCTCCGGCGTGCATCCTGCAGACGTCGGTGGCGGGACAGAGGATGAGGAATAAAAACAGTGGAGGAAAGAGGGGAGATGGGACATCACCCGGAGGAGCTCCACAGCCCTTACGGTCGTTTAGACCGCGCAAAGGGGGGAGATAATTCGTTCGCGGCCCTGCCGGGCTCCGACCTAAATAACCTAACTTAGTGCATGTTCCCTTCATCTTGTCACGGAGGGCTGCACCACGATGGCCCACTTAATTAAGGTCCTCGTCACGACAAGCAACATGACATAATCTTGGAATGATCGGTACATTAGGAGAAGGCGGCCAATTTATTATCCCCTGCGGACTTGGATTTCGAGGGCAGTTGGTCTGTTAGCTAATCGGCGAGAGTCCACTGGAATCGACGATGGATCGGCACGCCGTGATTCGCAACCGTATAGAAAAGCGGCTCCTCGTGCGTTTAGCCAATGGGCGTTGCCTGCATTTAATACGCAAGAGATGAGAGAGCGAGAGAGAGAGAGAGGAGGGGGGGGGGAGGGGAGAGATCAAGTCGTTGGTAGTTCCTCTCCATCGATCACCACCTGCTGGGCTTCCAATTAATAAAGGGGGATGAACCAGCCGCCACCCGCTTCCACATCCTCATGCTGTCTTGCGGAGGACAGAGCAGGGAGCGGGCAACATCCACGTTTACCCAGCGTGCTCCAGACGCTGGGACTCCACGCTCTGTCAGCCATAATTGACCACGAGCTGTTGGTGTCTAAAAGATCCATACCCTGAGTTTCGATGTTATAGGTCGATCAAGAGATATCAAACCTGTATCGCGTAGTTTATGTCGGAGAGAAGACCTCGCTTGTACCGTCTCACTGGCAAAGTGGGTGACGCACCGACATCCGCTGGCCGAGCTGTTCGTCGGAACCTGGGTGCTCCGGTCAGCGAAGGTGACAATGGCCTTCAAAGCCCCACATGACCGTCGGCCGTGCCGTTTTCCGCCGTCACAAACTCCGTCGGATGGCGGCTGACCAGCCTTCGCAAACTGACGAGATGGAAGAGGGAAGTTGGGACGGCGGACGGTGGCCTGTTGACGACCGTCATCGCCGATTAGACGAGCATTCATATCCCCGGACTGTGATGCCGACACTGCCTGCCCTCACAGTCTCATGAAAGAAGTAGACCCATTCGAAGGATGAGGAAAAGGATGTGATTGGCAAGGCTTTCCGTCTGATGGCCCTCGAGCACGTTGCCAGCACAGGCAGGCACAGGATAGACGATCTCCAAGACGAGGACGGACGGGGCGACGTGATCGATAATTGGACTGGACTCTCAGTTATTTTTAACATCATGCGCCGTGGAGATAATGATCGAAGGCCTCAATCCCACTTGGCTTGATGGAGAAGTCGTGCTGATGCGGCTACCAATGTCAAGGACCAGTCCGACGTTTTTTCAGAACTTTTTGGGGAAGCATATGGTCCACCGGCTGCAGAAATCGCCGCCAATTCTGACGGAACCCTATCCAAGAATGCCCTCTCTTGATTATCGTCGGGATTTGGATGGGTCCGGCCATACTCTGTGATCTATTCTTAGCGCCGATTATTGGTTAATTTCATTGCCCCTTTCTCGACAATGACCCGAAGAAAGTCTATTCATTACTCATCTTTGAAATTTTATCCGAGTCGAGATGAATCAGAGCCCTGTAAAAAGACGACGGGCCAAGTCGATACTCCCTGGAGATGGGTTCTGCAAGTCCCAGGCATCATTTACCAGACGCGGCCCACGGCTGCTCTCCCATTTAACAGCCCCGAGAGGCGGGTTATTTAAGAATTGCCGAGCCGTCTTCCCTTTCACGCTCCGACGTCGGCGCTCTCAGAGACACGGACTGGAGGACGGCGCTGGGCTGGGCGCCGGGCGGGCGTTCGAGTTTCGAGAAGACCTTCCGCCGGCTCCATTGTGGGCCGCGTCGGGACGCGCCGTTAGGTGGGAGCAACAGTTTAGACGTCTGTGTTTCATTAATTCGCCAGTACAAGATCGGAATCGCTGTAAGTGCTTTTCGTCAGGATTTGGGCATTAAATTCTCACCATGAGACCCCATATAATCGATCGGCACTACGCTCTCCCTTCCTCATGATTCTGATGGATTGCTCTCTCGCATTTTACCATGGTTCAGTGAAGTCCATGTGTTTCTCACTCTAGACTTGGTTTTTTACGGCGAGGCCCGATGGTTTGCTTGGGTTGAGACCGGAACTTCGGAGGATTCCCAAGTCCAGAGAAGAGCTCCGGGTAAGTAAACCCTAAACACACCTTCAGCTCTGCCGTTTCAGTACAGGTTTTTGGAAAAATCTAGGTTCTTATTGTATGGATTTGGCATTTATATCAATGCAAAAAGGAGTTCAATCAAAGTACGATTACGGATTGTTAGTTTTGTGACTTAAATGCAATGATATTAATGCAACGATCGTCCCCACCTGGATTGAAACCCAGATAATACGAAAGAGAACTCTATCCCAGTAGAGAGAGAGAGAGAGAGAGAGAGAGAGTTAGAGCTGCCGTTGAATGTTCTTAAGCCACTCACGTAGCAGGAATAACGGACTGCTGGGTACGCCGAATAATGATCGGGCTGAATCAGACCATATCTGGGCCTCCCAAAATGGCAAAAAGGGCCCATCCACGCTGGGATTTGGCTTATTGGGCTCACGAAACCTTACGCTCGGGTTTAACCATCAGAAATAGTCGCCAAGTGCACACATTCCTAGTTGAAATGCAAATAATGTCCACAAGATAACAATAAATTTTACGTAGTTTTTCCGCAGTGGATTCCATTTTGACGTGTAACACGCCAGAAATGGCATGCCTGCTCTCTACCACCTCGAAGCTTCCTCGCCTCTTCGCCCATCAGACGGCCCGCCATGGCCGATACTTCTCCTGCGATGGATCTGACGGGCCTGGATGTCTGTCTGGCCCGCCGCCGGGCTCTGGGTTGTGCATGGCGTTGTCCATGCGGCCCGGGTCGGCGGACCCGTTTAATCCGGGTTTTGCATGGGAGGAGCGGGGAGTCCTCTGTTGCGCCGGACCTTCTCGTATATATACAGCGAAGGAGAAGGCAGAATCGAGAGGGAGACAGCCAGCAGTTCCCTCCCTTCTTTCTTCTTCCTCCGCCACCCGTTATCAGGTATCTGTTTAGAATCCTCCACGCAAGGGTTCTGCGTTCTCGCATCGCCTTCCCAATCCGTCAATGCCCTGAGTATACATGAAGGAAACTCTTGAATGATCTTTACTTGCAGGAATAATGAAGCTACGAGCGGAGGTTTTACCTCTCCTTCTGCTGCTGATCGTATGCTGCGATGGCAGAAGCCTGGGGACGTCTGACTTCCCAGGTAATATGGCATTCCTCGTCTCTACTCAGACAGAGAGGAGCTCGAGGCTGATTCCTCTCTCTCTCTCTCTCTCTACCCTCAGAAACGGCGGCCGAGAATCGCGGTGCGTACGAGATGAACAGGAGAATGTGCATGGTGTGTGAGCAATTTATGGGACAGGTGGTGGAGTACCTAAAGGAGAATAAAACCCAGGCGGAGGTGCTCGAGATCTTCCACAAGACATGCCTTCGGCTCCCTTCCTTCCGGCAGCAGGTGTGAGGAGCCAGAGGAAGGTTAGAACCCAGTAGGAGCTTCAGAAGTCCCGTTCCTCTTACCTTGACTTTGTTTTTTCGGCAGTGCACCATATTAGTGGACTACTACGCGCCTCTCTTCTTCTTAGAAGTCGCACTTGTCAGTCCGCACGACTTCTGCAGAAAGGTCAGCCTCTGCGAGGACATTGCACCGCCGCCGCCGGCGAGATCAATGTCCCTTCCGGCAGCCTCCGCGCCGCTAGACACGCTATCGGGTGAGCGTTTATGTTATTTGTGCCACAGGGCCATCTCGAAAGTCCTCAACAAGTTGAAGGACCCGGGAACCGAGGTAATAACCGTGCGAATAGGCCCTTGTCGATGATGGTTTGGACTAAGTTGTTTGATTCATTTTTCATGTGGATGAAGCAGCTGACGATTGTTGAAGGCCTCGTGAAGTGTTGCATCGTGACGGATCACTTCTCCCAGAAGGTGAGATCTTCGTGAAGAACTCAAGAATAGCAGGAATCTGTTCGTCAGTCCTTCCATTTTTCTCCGATTTGCCCCCCCCCCCCCCCCCCCCCCCCCCCCCCCGCCTTCTCCTCGTTTCACTCCTCCGTCTCGTTTCCAGTGCCAGAATCTGATCTTCCAGTACGGGCCTGTTATCCTAGTGAGCGCCGTGAGGATCCTGGAGAGGGCGAATGTCTGCGTCACCTTGCACGCTTGCGGCGGCAACAAGACCGCAACAGCGGCCCCGCTCTTCTCTCCGGCCGAACTTCCCTCACGTGACGCGTAGACGACGACGGCGAGGAAGCCTCTGTCTTCGCTACTACGAAAACCAGGAACGGGGGTTGGGCTACGCGCTCAGCTTCCGCCTCTTCTGGGAATTTTGCATCTGCAATCTCCCGGATATGTTCATTCAGCTAGATCTTCCCCTTCCTATCGAAATCCGTTAAAAAAAAAAGGCGTTTTACACGAAACCCATATCGATCCTGGGAAAATAGAGAGGGAGAGAGATCATCCGAGTTTTGCGCCCAAATTCAGAGAAAAAAGAGTCAAATTTGGTCGACTATGAGGTACTCAGGCCCATCCACAGTCCTGATAAAAATAGACCTACCCAGTAGTAATTCGGACGAGAGCCGCGATATTCATAATTTTAAAGGCCACCACTTTTCCGGGGGTCTAAATTTCATAATTTCGATAATTTCGTAATAAATGTTATATAAAATTATTATGTACTGTAATGTATAAAATTTATAACAAGTTTTTTATAACATTTTCGATATATAAAATTTTATTTTTCTACAAATTAATTGTAATAATTCATCGTAAAATTTCCCACGGGTGTAGCCCAGAGGATCGTTTTTATCCAACCGGCTGCCCCTTTCAGCGGGAAGGACGCACGGGAAGCGCGGACGGCAGAGATAGATCGCTCGGAGGAGCGGCGCCGGGTTCGGTTATATCGAGCCGTCGATATAGGAACTGGTTTCCTTCTCGGTCAAGATTCTCCGAGTGTTTCTTGATTTTGAAAGGTATGTCGGCGCTTCACGCAACTGCCCAGCTCAGAATATCTGATCCAGACCCTTGACGCCTCTCTCCTGTGAAGGGGCCGTTTCGAAGGGGGCGTCTTGGGGACCGTCTTCCCGCAATCTTCCATCCTTTTCGTTCCGGTATTCTCAGCTCAACCCTCGTAGGTTCGTCGGTGATCACGTCCGGGTTTCCTTTTTCCTTCATTCCGACGGGGGTTTCATTCCGTCGATCTTCTCGCCGGTTATTGTGGATCGCTCGCCACGATCAAGGATTCCGTAGCGTTGCTATTGCAATTGCGGTATCTCATCAGTCTGCACTTCGATTCCACGCCTTTTAGCTGCCGACTCCCCGTTCCCCGGGATCGCTGCAATTCCCCTTCTTTCGGCTTCGTGAAAGCCACCTAATTATCCGAAACAGGAAACTTCACACACTGAACCAATCAAAGTTAGAGAATAGTTTATCGCGATCCCTGGTGCCCCGGTCAACTTTCATCCGGTTTATGAGCGCGTATAGGTTATCATGCTGTTCTTATCAGCCGTGCTTCTAGGAATTCTTAGCCGGGGCATGATGAAAGAGGAGAGAAGATAAGCTAGCAGGAATCTTATTTCATCCTCGTATACAGATTGCTTTAGGATGATATTATTTTTGTGGCAAGTCTTTATTCACTTCTAGTTCTGTGAAGCTTCCGATTGCATTTACTTGACTAGTTTAACAATATTACCCGAACTAGAGATTGATTTTCTATGACTAATTCGCATGAATATGAGGTGATTCTTGAGAAGCATCTCACCGTAAATGGTAGGGATAGCTTGCCCTTTTGTAATGGTATGAGGATTTCTAATTATCGTAAAAGATTGAAATATGCGGAAAAAGACCCAGGAAATGGGCAAAGGATGAGGTGGGCAGGCTCTGTCCAAGAACTTATAGGCACAGTGTCATAATATACATGCAGCTCCACCAACATCTGCAGCCTAAATGGATCTTATAGTGTTTTATAGCAATGATGATAGGGAATAATGGCTCTGATGTCAAACCGTACTTGCTCAGTTCTTGGTAGCTATATCAGGAGCCCACTCCTTTGTTCAGTGAGGGCTTAGGTAGCCCCCATGAAATCTCTGGGGCAGTGACGTTGACCTGGTGGTTGTGTATTTGTCTTGGATATATCTTCGGTTTGGTGTATCTTTCTTGAATATATCTTCTCTTGTTACCACAACGTAGAGATTTTCTCATTCAGAATATGATTTATGGATCGAAGAAAGTCAACGGGAGTGTTTTAAAACCGCTTTTATTTATTTATTTATTTTCATGATTTTTTTTCAGGAGAATGGCTGTCAGACTTGGGCTCTTGTTTCTTCTTCTCGTCAGCGTTAACTGGGTCCATGCGGATGTGAGGAGCATAGAAGCATCAGATCTCGCTGGTAATGCTTTGGGGCTTTTATTTCATATTTTTATTATTTATAATATAGTTTCAGGTGTATTTTTATGTTAATTGAGAATTGAACCTCAGTCAGCGTTTCTTCTGCATCAGATCTCAGCCGTTCATTCTTCAAATTCGAGTCATCATGTAGATCGTGATAGACTTGGGCTGATTCCACTGTACTTTGACTTTCCATCATCATGCCTACATCTATCTTTTCCCTGATTCTTTGACGAAAACCCTCCAAATTTTGACCACATTCTTCTCATCTAATCTGGCTAACTTTACTATATCTGTTAATTCTCAGTTCATTACCGAATCTGCTTTCCATCTGCCAAACCTTCGCCCTGTATCTGTATCAATCCGTTACTTTCACTTCGTAGTTATTGCAGGAGGTAAAAAACGAAGAACAGAGCTTCTTGTCCGTTTATATATTTTCATCAATAAACCCTGTCCGAAACAGACGTCCGATCGATAATCCATGTTATCATGGTTCAGTCCCGTGGTCCTGCTTCTCTCCCCCCCCATCTAATCTCCAAGTTCTTCTGACCCGAGTGAAGGAAACAAGTGGGATGACCTGGTGATGCTTTACCAGTTTCAGAAGGCAAGGTGAAGAACGAAAATTTGTGCATATTGTGTGAGCAGTTTGCTGGTCAAGCATTGGACTATCTCAACGATAACAAGACCCAAGAAGAGGCGATCGAGAGCCTGCACCATGCCTGTTCTGAGTTGCACCACTTAAGGGAGCAGGTGCTCTTTCGCTGAATCGATGTTTGTCTGTGATTGTCCTGGTTTCAACGGGGACAGGAATTTGATTTTATTTAAGAAAATCCACTTATTATTTCAATTCCATCATCGGGTTGACTTTTTTTTTTTAAGCAGTGCATTTTGTTGGTGGACTACTATGCGCCTCTCTTCTTCCTGGAAATTGGCTTGGTTCAGCCAGAACAGTTCTGTACGAAGGTGAATCTATGTGGGGCCAAGCTGCCTGTTCATCTACCCAAGGCTGAGGATGCCTGCTCTGTCTGTGAGCATGCCATCGTTGACGTTCTGACAAAGTTGAAGGATCCTGAGACGCAGGTGAGCGTAGGGATCTTGAGAGGTCCACGCCTGCAAAACATATGATATCTGGGCCTTTAGATTAGGAGAATACTTGGGTTTTCAACCTGTCTTCCAGGCCTTATATTTTTTTACTATTTTTGGTACACAATCTTCCTTTTTAGGGTTATATTTTTGTTGTTATTCCATTTAGATTTCTACGTCTTTAGTTTTCAAGTTCTTCTTCCTGTTGAGGGAAGAATACATGAAGGGTATCATATTCTTAAAAGCTGCTCCTGTTCATGGTTCAGCTGGAGATCATCGAGGTGCTTATCAAGGCATGCAACAAGGTGGAACAGTACAAGCAACAGGTGAGCCCCCGCTGGACTGGACCTTCGTCACCATGCTTCTGAATCTTCCTCTAGAGCTCGTAAATGATTGCTTCATCCCATGCTTCTCCACTTTCGATCATCCTCTGGGCTTTCTTCCCCCCCCCCTCCCCCCTGCTCGCCTTCAGTGCAAGAAGCTGGTCTTCGAGTACGGGCCTCTCATCCTGGTCAACGCTGAGAAGTTCCTGGAGACAACGGACGTCTGCGTGACCATTCGGGCTTGCAAGCCGTCACCCACAGAGACCGCCGTCGAGTGATGCCCGAAGCAGCGGCGTTGTGCAGTGGATGTGTAGCAGCTGATGAAGACGATGCTCTCCCCCGATCCGATCCCCTTCGCCTGCTTTTTGTGATGATAAATAAAGCAGATTATTGGTCGTCGTATTTATACAACTCGACAGTTTCTGTGAGGCTCGAAAGAACTTTAAGAAATTTCAATTGTTTGCCGACTAGATGGATGTGGCCAATTTCTCTCTCTCTCTCTTCCCCCTGTACATTGATCCTTGTCAGTGATCGTCTTCTCTCCCACCCTTAACCTCTCATGCTCTCCCCCCTTTCTCTCTCACAGAGTCTCTCTGCAGTATGCTCTCTCTCTCTCTCTCTCTCTCTCTCTCTCTCTCTCTCTCTCTCTCTCTCTCTCTCTCTCTCTTCCCTGCACAGTGATCGTTGAGAGAGAGAGTCAACGCCCGGGAGAGCACCGTTATCACAAGTTTCCCATCATTTTTATCCCCGCCCTTGTCGAGGACGTCAGGCATATCTATCCGGTTCCAACGTCGCCGTTTACTTTTCCATTTATGGGAAATACTGATGAAATAAAGAAACTGGGTTTTTTATTACTAATATTTCGAGGACTAAGCGAAGAAAATGAGTTCTTTTTATTTATTGTTTATTTTTTTAATTAATTAAAATACCCTGATCGTCGGGCCGTTAGATCTAAAGCACAGCAGTCGCAAGGTCTTCACAGTTTCTTCCATTCGTCAGCACTAGGACCTCGCTTCCCGTCGTCCCGGAGATGGGGTAGCGAGGCAGGGGAAGTGATCACCGGCCTTGGAGCTTCATAGCTTCTTTCTCTGCCTCCTCGACGTTAATCCTGTGGTCGGAGCTCTCAAACGGCGAGAATGACTCTGCAATCGCGGGTGGAAGCGATCGTCTCCTCCATTGTGACCGTCCACCCTCGCGAGATCCCCGCTCTGCTCCATTCCTCGTTATGCTTCTTCTTCGTAAGTGTATTCTTTCCGATTTTTCCTCTTCTTCATGGTGTTTATTTCATGATTTGAATATTCGGAGGTCACTGAAGGGTGAGCGGATGACTTGTAGCTTCTGAGTGCGTACTTTGTCATCCTCCCCCTACGCGACGAGGGGGCGATATCCCTGGGCTTGGGAAACTTGCCGGGATTGTTCGCGGGATCGCTGCTTCTCACGCTGGTTGCTGCTCCTGTTTCCACCATTATCTTTTCGCTGCCAAACGTTTCCAAAGGAAGGGTACGTCGAAACTCTTTCCGTCGCGAGCACGCAATTTTCTCCTTTCAAAGAATTCTACGGATCTGATCCTCTAGCGTCGTTAATCTGGAGCATGGGAATTTTAATGCCACAACTTAGACAATTATATTGTCAGACAAGTCACTTGCGCATGATTACCCGGTTATACGATGGATCGCCCATCGTATACGATTCTCGCGCTCCTCATTGCCCCCAGTGACATGTGCGCTCCTTGAATTTCAGGCCCTGGTTTTAATACACAGGTTTTTCAGTGTTTCCCTTCTTCTGTTCTTCGTTTCATGGCACGCTTCCTCTGCTGAGCATTCGGGTTCCTCTTCAATGGTAAGAGTCAATAAATTACCGCTTCATGAATTCTTTTATTTTACTAGTTATCAGACTCCGCTATATGTTCATATTCGTCCTCTCCTACAACCAGGTGTCAATGTCCCATACTTCCCCTTTCGAAGAGGACAGAAATTTCGATACTGGTGACAGCGAACATGCCCATTCTTCAGGATGGGGTAACCATGGGTGGTTTTTTATTTCTGTCAGAGTATCGCTCTTCCTATGGGTATAAATGAGACCTAAAATGTGTGGTTCTAAATTATTACATCATTGTTCTTCTGAATCTAAAAAGTAAAGTTTATCCGCTAATAGAAATTCTCGCACTTTTGAAGGTTGCCTTACTTAATCTTATCACTATTTCTTCAACATGGGCGCGGGTGATCGATATAATGGACAATGAGGTAGTTTTCTTTGAAGAAATAAGCAATGACATTCTCAGCATATTTTTTTTGCAAAATTTATCAACCTTTCATGTCCAGTCAGGTTCAAGACTATTTGGTTTTGTTGGTGCTGGTGCTACGCTTGGGCAACTATTTGGTTCATTGTTTGCAGCAGGGATGGCTTGGCTAGGCCCATGTAGGTTTAACATGTCTGGATAAACTGGATTCCATTCACACCATTCTTATCCCATTTCTGCATTATTCGATTATCTTATGGTGCTAACTGAGTAAATTAATGTTTGCTTCTCAGTTTTACTTTTATTTTCTGCATTCCTTATGGAGCTTGCTGCTCAATCTGCAAAAGGCATTTGTCATGAACTTGACCACGACTCTGAGGAATTATCTCTTATCAGGTTTGCTGAAAAAGTAGCCAGGCTTTATTTAATATTGTTTGATGAAATATTGAGGCTTCATTTCGGAAAGAATTTGATAATTCTAATCCTTGAAAATATATTTCTTTCCTTTGTGAATTATACAAATATCATTTATATAGATGAAAAGGTTCAAATTGGAACGGTGAGAGTAGTTTTTCAAATTCAAAATAGCCTAATAAAAAAAATTCTTCCTAAATAGAGGATGAGGTGGCTCCCATTTTCAACAGGAATGATGCCGTGTAAAAAGTAGTTGAACAATGAAAAGTATTTCTCAAGTTAGAAGTGGTTTGTCTTTGATGGGGTCTTAATATTTATTCTCTACAAACTCCTGCTATTCATAGGAAAGGGTCTGGTTTATTTCGATATTCGATAGAACTGCCTCACAACAGTTTAATGTTGGTTGAGAATTGTTCATATTCTTGATTCGATCAATGGAACTATTGGAGGGTTTCTGGAGGATCTCATTTCTTCTGTACGTAAAAGTTATGGTCGTGGACATTTTCAAAGAAGGATAGATCCATCATTGATCCCCAAGAATATCTTGAATTGAAGCATTTGGTCACCAGCTTTTGGATTAAGCCGAACAAGAAAAATCATAAACTGTCTTGCTCAATGAAATCCTTCAGAATATTATGTTTTGCAGCAATTCTCTTTATCTTGAGCTCACATATTTGAGCCGCGTCTTTAGCTTTGGAATAAGTCTCATCCTAGATATCCTTGGCTGTAGCCAAGAACATATGTGTTGCTGATCTCTGTTATCATAGAACCCCATAACCGCGGAATCTTCCTCATTCCATGGCTCAGACTGAGGATCCCCTGGTTCCAGCCCAGTACATGTGAGGTGGCTGATCTTGCTTTTCCCTTCAGGACAGTGCGAACAACTTAGGACCACATGAGATAATTTTTTCCATCCAGCCTATACGCAGCCTGACGGATTGTTCAAACCGTACAAATTGCTCTGATTGTGATGTAGTGATCGTCTCTACGACCTCTGACATCTGTAGGGTGTGGGACAATATGAACGACTGTCTGAAATCACAGCTACAGGAGCGAAACGGTTGTTGGTGTTTAAGGCTGAGAGAATAAACAATGAAGGTCGAGAATCAAGAGGGATTGTCGGCAATTAAGGCTGACCTGGAAAACCACGATGAAGAGCACGGAAAAGAGTTCCACGATGCAAACCTAAGGCTCTGATACCATGAACTAAACCATACTAGGATAAACAGTTGGGAAAAATCTCTTCTTCTCCTCAGATCATAGAACAATTGCTTAGGTTTGCGTCGAAAAGGGAAACTACTTAGGTTAAGGGAACTGACCAACTAAGAAACTAACTCCTAACTACACGTTTTTCCCTCACTAGTTAATGAGAAAGAGTTGTGTAACTTTTCCTCTATTCAGCCTCTGTCAGAAAGAGGTGAAATGAAAGAAAGATTGGGAGCGAATATCTCTTCCAACTAATAGATGGGATGGAGGATGAAAGAAATAGTACTGAGAACGTTCGTTCAAAATGAGTTCTTTTTCTTTTTCTTTTTTTTTGCATTTTGAATTTTTTGGCCCAAAGATGAAAAAAGCAACGTTTTGCAAAAAAATTTCCAAAGATGAAAAAAGTTCCTTTTTTGAATCTCTTATCACTAGTTTGCCTTTCAGTGATTTGAATTTTTATGTTTGGGCAGATTTGTTCTTGCTTGGACCACTATACTAATTTCCAATAAGTTGTAGCACATGTTCGTTTACTTCTCGTTAATTAACTGGAGCATGTTTATGTCCTGCATGCATGTAAGCTTGGTACATCTTTTTTACTTTACTCTCTCCTTTCTTTTAGATATGCTGCTTCTGGTGAACATGTTGGTGTGGATGAACATAGGACTACTGTTCCGGAAGTGTCCTCCCCTAAGTCGCCAACATCTGTGGTGAAACCTCAAATGTGTGTTATACTAGACGGACTGTATCTCATAATGTCGTCAGCTTACCTGCGATATGTGTCTGTATTCCTGTGGCTGAGTGCTGTGGTATCTTCCTTCTTTTACTTCCAGGTAATATAGGGAAATATTTCTTCATAGTCTCTTTTAGAAAACTGTGCTGCTTCTGCATCATTTGTTTTAAAAAACTTGCTCCACAAAAATGAATCATGGGTTTAATATTATCTCAAATTAAACGTCTGAGAATCTGACTGTATGCTAAAGAAAGACATTTTTTTTTTCTGAGTAGTAAAACGCCGTGCAAATATGTGGATAGGGATGAAACAAAGTGGTGGGCTTTCGAGTCTGAAATGCCACCCTATCCAAGACATCTCAATGGTGATTTTTTGTATTCATGGCATCATCGGTCTACTGGTGAAATGCCATGCTAAAGTCCCCAGTCTTCCAGTTTTTCCTCTGTTTATCTGCTGATAGAAAGAATTGTGGCGCAGATTGAATCTTGAACTAAAAAACGCTTACATTATTTTTTTTCTCAACTGGTTTTCATTTACGAATGTTAGTAGAGAACATAAGACGTTTCTTTCTTATGTGATCTCTTAACGTTTCATTGGTTTTGATTGTTAGTGAGTCGAGAAACCTTAGTAGGGTGTTCAAGGTGATATTTTCTTGTTAAGAAAGAAAACTTGGGTATATTTCTTGCCTTAGTTTGTCCCCGACTGGAGCCATACACATCTTATTATCCCTGAAATATCTGCTTCGTATTTGACATTTTTCTTTCGTCGTTAGATCTGAACTTGGTGTTACCCTAGAATTGTTCTCCTCTGTCGGTCCTTTTCTTCAGCATTTTCTCCAAGTCAATACGACGACGGCACATCGAATTGACTTTTCACGCACAAAACTTAACTTTCCAATGACAGAAAGTGACCATAATTGCATCAACAATATCAAGTTCACTTGGAAGGAGAAGACTCTTCGCAGAAATCAACAGCCTTATCGCTGTTTTCATTCTTGTCGGACAGCTGGCTTTGACGGTACAGTTTATCTGAGATCTTCGCTGTCTGTCTTTTTTTTTTTTTTTTTTTTGGTCTTAACACAGTGCGTATTATTTCTCTATTCATTGATGTAACCTTGCTAATACAGGGTCGTATCCTCACATTTGCTGGGATAACTACGGCTATATGTGCAGCCCCAATCGTTGCTTTTTCAAACCTGATTGCTCTTGCGATTTGGCCGACATGGATTGCTATTGCCGTCTCTGAGATTCTCAGAAAGGTTAGACGTTGATAATATGCTTTTGATATTAGCCAATATTGCATGTTAGTCAATAATCGGTCACAATTTTCCTTTAAAATACTATTTTCGATTTAAAGTATTTGTTAAATTCCGGATTTCGCTTTAAAAAAAAATAAATGTTGAAGCCTTTTTTTTGGGGGTTTTCAATGATCAGATACTAATAAAATTGAGATTCATAAATGGAGAACCACGTGAGCGTTCATTAACTAATATCAGAAAATTTTCATAAATCTATCGTGCTGGTTATCACCTGTAAAAATCGTAGGATAATATATGAATATCTGTTTTTTGTCTAAAAAAAGAAGTATTTTTTTTCTTAATAACTCCATCAGTGAAGGCGTATCTAATCTGCCATCAACATTTTGGCATTGCCAACTAATTCCTGTCAGAATTCTCTATAATCCTATCCATAAAGACGCTAGGTTAAGCAAGAATCTGGTTTCTAAAATAAAGTTATGGAGTAGTGTTTTTTTCTTTCTGTCTCTTGATCCCCACAAAACATTGATGATATCACCAGCTACCTATTAGCGCGAAGAACCCATGCCAGTCAACGCGCTGTAATCGAAAAAAAATTATCCAGAAAAAAGGTCAAAGGGAACTTATATTCAGCGCACTTTTTTTCTGTTGACTCAAAGAGCTGGAGCCTGGATCAGGATGCTGATTTGCTGGGTTGAAAGTTCTATTATTCTTCTCTGGGACGTTTGTCTATACTATACCTCTCTCTCTCTCTCTATCGCTCTCTCTATTGCTCTCTCTCTCTCTCTCTATCGCTCTCTCTATCTATCTCTCTATCGCTCTCTCTATTGCTCTCTCTAATGCTCTCTCTATCTCTCTCTATCGCTCTCTCTATTGCTCTCTCTATCTCTCTCTATCGCTCTCTCTATCGCTCTCTCTATTGCTCTCTCTATCTCTCTCTATCGCTCTCTCTATTGCTCTCTCTATCTCTATCTCTCTACAATTTCCCTACTGCTCTTCTTCTTAGAATTTTCGTGACTAAACATCATTGAACTCGGGTTTCAACTGCTTCACCTCTTCGTTGCCTTCCAGGTGGTCACATATGTGGTCACAAGACCCGGCAGGGAGCTTTTATTCACCGTTGTATCACAAGAAGAGAAGTACAAGGCCAAGGTCAGCCCGTCCTCCTCCAAAACTTCTTCATTCACTAAACTTGTGCTCAACCCCATTCAAAGGCTCTGACCACCCCAAAATAAATAAATAAATAAATAAATAAAATCTGGACCAGATTTGCATTGACGTCATCGTCCAGAGGCTGGGGGACGCAACAGCAGCGGGGATGTACAAGCTGCTCTTCGGCACTCTCAACGAGAACACCTCGGTGATCTCCCTCGCCACGTTACCTGTACGCGCTGCCGCCTCCCCCCCGCTCTCAAACCTCCGTGGAACCAGCTGAAATGCTTTCCCTTTCCCTTTGCCCTGATTCCCAGCTCTGCGTCATATGGCTCGCCGTGGCCTTCCACCTGGGGCGCCGCCAGGCGCACCTCGCCAAGCTCCAGTCTGCTTCCATCACATAAAGCTTCGTCCGGCGCCATATCCGGCACCGTCAGATGGGAATAATCAGGTTCTTTTTTTTTCTTAAAAAAAAAAGAAAGATTAGATCACTCAGGATTTCCATTTTTAGGGCCCAAGCTAGCCCGTTTACTCTATGTATCAGATTCCTTGAACTGGTGGGAACCAATCCGACAGGTAAACTGTTCTTTTTTTTTTTCCCCGGATCGAAGAAACCTCAGTCGGATGCTCCATTGGAGCTGTGAAATGTTTCCCCGATCTTGATGGGGAAACAAGAGGGATGATTCGTCCTTCTTGTGCTATAAATATGTGTTCGTCACAAATTAATGCAGCCGAAAGTCAACTCTATCAGACGAGTTGGATTGCTGGAAATAGGGTTCTCTCTCTCTCTCTCTCTCTCTCTCCTTTGACTTGGAATTGCGTCACAAATTAATGCAGCCGAAAGTCAACTCTATCAGACGAGTTGGATTGCTGGAAATAGGGTTTTTTTTTTTTTTCTCTCTCTCTCTCTCTCTCTCTCTCTCTCCTTTGACTTGGAATTGCGTGACTCTCTCAGAGTATTCGAATCAAAACGAACTATATATAAATGGATGTGTTCCTTCAATAGTGATCATCTAGCGTGGCACATATGACATCACAGACGGGTAGAGCTGGGTTCCAGATTAGCGCTGTCGAAAGTCAACTCTATCAGACGACTTGGATTGCTGGAAATAGGGTTCTCTCTCTCTCTCCCCTTTGACTGGAATGATCAATGGAGTTTCTTTGATTAGGGTTTTGGCTATGGCCTCAATCGAAAGTTACGGAAATAGGATCATTTCTATGTATGGGATTTGGGTGTAGACTGGGTCGAAATGAATGAACACCTGAAACAGCAGCATCCGTATTCATATGGGATCTATGCCCAACCCGAGCTGAAATCAGGTGAAAGAAAATCTCAAAACAATAAAGTTTCTATAAATGGCCCGAGTCGAATTATTAAACTCATGGAATAATAAAATTACTAAAAATGTAGGATGACCGATTTTCTATAAATGGGTTCTGGGAGTGGCCTCAGTAATAATAAATTGCTATAAACGGGGTTTGGGCGGCGTAGTAGGCTCGGCCTTCCACCCCTCAGAAAGTACTTACACGCGGCGTAAACAGGAGAACGGATCGGCCGTTCATCAGTGCAGCGAAGTCAACTCCCACGAAGTCCTCGTACGCGCTCTTGGATCAACCGTCTCTCCCAGTCGGCGATGTCATGGAAGGCAAGATCTGGGAGGCTCTCGAAAGGCTCCTTCCATGGATCGTCCTTGGCCAGATCGTAGGTGGCTCCTCTGATTGCCGCCTTGTTAGGCCCGCACGGCCTCTTCGATGTGAGCAGGCCATACGCCTTGTCTAGCTGCAATGTAGCCGAAATCTTAAAATAGTAAGTATCGTCTATTTCTAGAGAGAAGGAAGGAAGGAAAGAAAGGAGATGGGAGAGGAGGAGAGAAGGGGGGGGGGGGGGGGAGAATCGTGGGCGGCTCACATCCATGTTGCAGAACCAGAACAAGTAGGCAATGGCAACCGCAGGGGCCCTCCCCAGTCCAGCAGTACAATGAACATAGACTCTCCCTCTCTCCTGGGATGCTGCCCATTCTAGCAACGAAACGGCTTTGGGCAGAGAATTTCGCACTGAATCCGGGTCAAAGTCCCTAGCCTTCAATGTAGGAAAGTCAAAGGTCACAGTCCTTCAATGAGAGAGAGAAATTTAATCAGAAAAAGAAAAAAACTATCGTCTGCACTGAGATGGTGAAAATCATAGTAATGATAAGATGCTACGCCCTTAGATCGCCGGGTATGGCCTTTCCTTATTAAAGAAATGTCAACCCACTCTAGCTCTTCTTCCACTCTATCTCAAAAAAGAGTTGTGACCCACTTTCTCACTCTAACTCAAGCAAGACCCACACCACCATGTTTGTCCAGCAGCTCTGTCTTGTGTCGTTTCATTTCTAGATAAGCTAGTTTATTTGTCGGTCACATCTTGGAAGTATTCTTTTATCGTGGGAGAATCAATCAAAAGGCTCGTCTTGTGGAACAGCTGGTGCAGGATATCCTGTAAAGATGAGCATCTGAAGAAGCGTTCAAGCTATTACTAGTTGTTGAGTGAGTGAGTGAGTGAGTGAGTGAGTGAGTGAGTGAGATGCAAAAACTCCTGTCATTGCCAATAAAAACATACGACGACTTAATGAAAAATTTCAAATTGAAGTCTCCTATTGATGTGATGCACCACATATTTCCCAATTAATGCTATAAAAAAGGCATATTGCACAGACTGTCCTTCTTGACTAAAGGAAGTATCTCAAAGAATCAATTTTTCTTTTAGTTGCCAAATCTCTGTTTGATCGATCAATATACGATACTATGAATTCCATTACATTAGCAATTGTCTTGGATATTCTTTCCAGGACGGCCAGCTGATCTCTAGGCTGGACGATACAAAGGTTCATGGAACTAGTAGCAACTTGCCTTCAGGCTTGTACAAAATCATTTCCCAAGGAATTGAACGTGTGGCATGCTCCTTGAATTCAATTCATAAAGATAGGAAATTTATCTACCACACATCCTAGAAAACACAATTGCCTCCCAACTTCCCCCACATTTAAACATTCACTCTCACAATTAAGCTCTTACAGTCTTCTTCAGGGTATTTCCTTTTGTGGGAGTTCATGGCTGGAGATAATGGTGTACATGCTTCCTAAATTATTTCTGTAGCTAGATTGAAGATGCGAATAATTAAAAAGACAGCTTTGTGGGATGTGCTCAACAGAAAGTAAGGGCATAACGAGGAGGAAAATAAAAATAAGTCGGTTGGAGTAAACCTCAATAGCATATAATCAAATGAATTGGAAACAAATACCAGAAGAATAATTTCCTAGACAGGGCAGCTTTTAACTAACGTAATGAAGAAAATATCTTGATCAAGGTTCATTTTTGGCAAGAGCATAAATTCATTCAGTGAGCATGCACTACTTTAGTAAGGAAAAGACAACCAATGGTGCTATAGCATACGGGCTTTCTCATGTGGTGCACCCCAGCTCTTTTGCATCTTTCTATGATAGATTCGAAGTCGATTCCCCAATACTCAATATCCTTATCCTGTTGTAAACACAGTATGTGGCCCACATTCTCCTCCTTCAAGTGATCAATATCCTCTGGTCTCTGAGGTTGAGACCCCACAATCAGGTGGTCGGTTATCAAGGTGTAATTCATGCCTGAGGAAGTTCGAAAAAATCAGCTTAACGGATCAATGGCATATCAAAATAAATTAAATTACCAAATGTAAGAGGTATTTAGAGGAATCAAAAAACCTCAGCTAAATTAATGGTAAGTGTAGATTTGGATCAGCGACAGTATGAGTTCGAGTTCAAGGGTAACAAGTTTAATTTATCCAGGTCAATTTTAAGATATTTCCAGTAATGCAATAATGATTTCTATACTCCAAAAATGCAGATTTCAAAAGAATTGCGGAAACGTAATGATAAGTTAAACAGATTACGAGTAAGACAGCGGGAGTGCTGACTCTAACTTTCTGTTCACCATCTTGTAAGAAAGACCAAACATTGGCAAACTCCACAGTCAATTGCAGGACAAATAACGGTATGATGTGTTAAGAAAATAAAGCATACTCAAAATCAAATGAGAATATAAAAAGGCTACATGTATTCTATAATCTATGGACAACTTTTAAAAAAAAGAAAAATGTCTGATGCTGATTACTGAGTCTAGGATAAGTGAAAGCCACGATCCCATGATGAGAGAAACGAATACATGAGTGCTTGAACTAAAAGATGTGAAACAGTTTTTAAGTTCCTTTCTATATGGGTGATCTTAGAGAATATTCGTCCTTGGATAGCTTCATTGAATTTATGATTTATTTCACAACGACAAAAGCAGTCGTACGCAAACATGAAATTTCCCTACTAAAGCAGTCGTACAGTGAATTTCCTTTGAGTAAACTAGCTTCTAATTTCCTGATATTTCCGTAAGACAAGTTCGATACGACGTACGCAAACATGAAAAACTGGCAGCAGTCGAAACGTTGATCAGATTGTATTTGGAACTAATAGAAGGAAATAAGAACGGTGTGAAGAGCCTAAAAGCTTCATCGAAACCCCTCGATTCCACAAAGAAAAGGCCAACAGAAAAAGGTCCAAGGATTTCGATCCACTTTCATGGCCGATTGCGTTTCTAATTCTCACCCAGATCATGATGGTACTCGTAGGGATTCCTCATCATCCGCTTCATGACCGTGTTGTAATCCTCGATCTTCCTCCCAGGGCGAGAGTTGATCCCGAGGTTCCCCCCCGCTCTGCTCCCCTGAGATTCACAGCGGATTGCACTCTTCCCGTTCAACGCAGCAAATCTGGTGCAGAAACCATCCGATCCCGTCCCCGAGAGCGACGAACCATTCCTGTGCCTATCCAGACGCTTCTTCTGAGGGACGACGAGCACCGAACAGAAGGGACCGTTGCCGACGGTGCCCATCGTCCCACTTCCAGCATCGTAGCCGTTTTCCCTTCCCTCTCCACATTCTTATAGTAGTCGCGCGGGTCCATATTGAGCCTATTTTATGGGCCGTAAAGAACATCTCATCCCGCCCATTATGACGGTCATCTCATGGGCCATGGAGGCTCATCAAGCCCACGCTGGACTCATAAAAATTGAAGAAATAAATAAAAGTATTTAAATTACTCTCGAGCGGGCAACGTAGGTGGGCCCCGATGCATGTGTGGCCCCTACGCATTTTGGGCTTTGGGCTCCATTAACAATACGTGAGTTGACACGCAAGGGTTCCGGTCAAGCCGCCAGGGGCCCCACATCCCCCATTTCTCGTAAATTGTTGGTCCACGGCATGCGGGCTGGTCCACAAGGTTGACGTCTTGGCTCTGATTTTTATAACAGGCACAGCAGTGGGAGATTCTTCTCGGTCTTCACCGTTAGATTCCCCCGGCGTGTTGGCGTGTAGCTTTTTCAAAGAAGTAACTCGCGAGAAGCAATGCATCCTCTCCTCCGAAGGCCGGAGCCGTCTGTCGGTGGCGATAACGCCGCCGACCTCCCCCCTCCGCCGTTCTTTAGACCCACGAGGACAACGCATCTCAACAGCGCTGTCCTCCTCACCGGCGACGAGGACCCGTCAGCAGACAAACAGTGGAGCTGCTCGTCGTTTACGCCTCCCCGCCGGCAGCGTTTGTCTCTCTCTTGCGGCGGCGGCTCCAGGGCAGCTAGCGCACGGAGGTGGAGTGCCATATGGCCGGCACATGGCGATGCCGAAGGGTTTCCGCCGTCAGACCTCAGGGTCAGATCACACCTTTCCGGGCGCCACTAGTAAATAATGTTCTTGACGCGACGGCCATGCCAGAGGAGGTGAATGGAGTATCTTTTAAACTATTGCGTCACATCGAGGAATCCGATCCACTTTCTGATGGATAATTTGGGGGCAGTTCACACCCACCAGCTGAGGTTAAGAGTGTAGAAGAAGAAGGGGAGCGGGATGAGACCCAACATCAGGGTTTCCAATCCAAATCCTTGTAATCTAGTTGCAGCAGCGGCAGCTGGCCGCACAATCTGTACGTGATTTAAGTAAAATGGAGGATAAACAGGGAGGAACCACGGGTGGGAGCTAGACTTCGATCTCCTTCGTGTTGCCAACTCCGGCGGCGGCGCCGCCGGTGGTGGTGTCGACCTTGCCATTGCTTGGCGGAGCTTCCGGTTTTTTCTTTCCGTTCCGCAGAAGACCCGTTCCCCAGTCCAACAGGTTTAGGACGATGAAGGTGCCGATCCCACCGATCAGTCCGTAGGCGATAGAGTAAGTCAGCGGCATGAGGATCATCGTGATGAACGCTGGTATGCCCTGTCGCATGTCGTCCCAGTCCACGTCGAGCACGGATTTCATCATCATCACTCCGACGAGAACCAGGGGGGGGCCCACGGCCCACGGGGGGATCGACGCCAGGAGCGGGGTGAAGAAGAAGGCCAGGAAGAAGTAGCCGGCGACGGTGATGGCCGTCATCCCCGTCCTCCCCCCTTCCCGCACCCCGGTGGAGGATTCGATGAAGGCGGTCACCGGGGAGGTGCCGAGGAGCGAGCCCACCACGATGGCGGTGGCGTCGGACATGAAGGCGAAGTACTGGCCCTCGAAGTTCCCCTCGGCGTCGACGTAGCCGGCGAAGCGCGCCATGGTGTAGAGGGTCCCTGTGGTGTCCAGGAGGTCCACGTAGAGGAAGGTCACGACGGCCTCCCAGAAGAAGGGCTTCCCGAGCCCGGAGAAGCTCAGAGCCCCCGCCGTTGACTCGATCTTGTGCACGTCCACCACCCTCTTGAAGTAGTGGTAGGCCTCGTTGCCGCTGGAGTCGTCGGGGAAGGCGGTGACCGACGTGTTGCGGAACCAGGAGACGGCGGTGACGAAGAGGATCCCGTAGATCATGGCTCCCTTGATGTTCCTGATCAGGCAGTAGGCGATAATGACGAACCCCACCACGCCGAGCCAGAAAGTGGGCGACTCCATGCGCCCGCGGAGGCACATGATCCCGCCGGAGACGGTGGCGCCGGGGATTAGGGAGATGGTGCCGTTGGCGGCGGCCACCACGGGCGCGAGCGACACGCGCTCGCTGCGCGGGCAGGCGCCGAGCGTGACGAGCGTGGACGAGCTGTACGCGATGAGCCCCACGCCCTGGTTCCCCTGCAAGCCGATGAAGGCCAGGAAGAGCCCTATCCCGGCGGAGGAGGATATGCGGACCGGCTTGGGCACGAGCTTCGCGAGCTTGGCGCGGAATCCCACGGCGGAGATGAGCATGAAGAGCAGCCCCTCTATGAAGACCGCGGTGAGGGCATTGCGGTAGGACAGATTCCCCGAGCCGTGGAAGCCCACCACGTTGTAGGCAAAGTAGGCGTTGATCCCCATCCCCGGGGCCAGGGCGATGGGAAGGTTGGCGAAGATCCCCATGATCAGGCACCCGATGATCGATGACCCGACCGTCGCCACTATCAGGTCTCTCCGCGCTCGGTCGAGGCAGGCGGCATATCCGGGGTCGACGACGGGGGGGAACTTGCAGGACTGGGACGGGTTGTTGCAGTCGGAGATGGTGCAGGTGGCGCCGGAGTCGGCGAGGATGGAGGCGTTGACGGCGAGGATGTACGCCATGGTGAGGAAAGTGGCCGTCCCCGCCCGCAGTTCCGTCGTGAACGTGCTCCCCCTCTCCGCCACCTTGAAGCGCCGCCCAATACGCGACTCCGCCACTGCGAAGTTGAGCCGCCCCACCAAGGACCCATAGCCCGAGGCCGAAGCAGGACGGCGAGAGACCCCAGCGGCGGCGGGATCCATCTGTAGAAGTCCAAATCGAAGCCCTCGCCAGGGAATCGACCTCATTATATATAACTCGGAAGGATTGAGAGAGAAACACGGTCAAGATGGAAACAAACACTCAGATTCCTCCCCGGCCTTCACAGATGCCGTTCATCCTGCCGACCCACACGCCGGCGCGATAATAACATCATCAATTTAATTAAATTCCCACCAACTGGATCAAGACGTTGATACTGTCGATAGCTCCGGCGAAGACTTTTTGACCCCCCCAATGGGGGGTATGCCCTTTCCCATTGGAGAAGTCAACTCCCCCTCTCTCCCCAACTGCCGCCGTCCGATCATCATCGAGCCTTCGATCGGTCGTCCATTTTGTCTCTCTCCGTCCGGGCTGTCCATTTATGTTTATTTATAAATAAAAACCCAATGGGTCATGTCGATCTCATGTATGACGTCATCATACAGGTGGGCCCTGGGCGACTTTTGGGCGCGAGCCATACTCCCTCCACCTGGCTGGGAATGACCGCGGGAGGGCACCCGATTGCTTGCCGTACTCTCTTAGCTCATACGTGGCGGCTTACACGTGTGTGCGCTCGTCAGACTGAATATTCCAAAGTCATAAAAGGCTTTTGGAATCTCGATATACGAAAGCAGGCCATTATATACATGTACCGTTGACCTACCGTATAGTTGACTCGATTTGTGGGACCGAATCGTCATCTGCCACGTTGTGTTATTTCTTTAAAATTGGTCAACTTTCTGAGGCGTGCCCCGGTTGTCGATCGGCTTTGCCTACATGCTCGGGGTTGGGCTTTGCTACCTCAATTGCCTGGGACGGTTCTGGAGCCATTTGGGCCGCACGTGATAGGCCCATTCAATCAGCCTGTGCCCTCGTGCCAATCCAGAAACAGTTAATTTCCCGTTCTACGTGTATATAAATGTTATAGAAATATGGTAACGAGAGTTCAGGTAGGGTTTATTTTCCCGCCCACCGCTTGCCGTCCTTCCTGGTCAGCGTGCTCAGTCTCACTGTCGGGGGTTCGCGCGAGCAGCTGTCAGGGGATGCGGGTTTGGAAGCGGCCGGCCATCGTCCACGGTGAGGAGCAAATGTGCTATCTCGCTCACCAATCCTAGCCTTGTTCGCATTCTTTCAGCTTGTTCTTCTGCTGCCACCCCTTCCTCCGGGAGGCTTTGCTCCTCCGCGCCTCGTCCCGAACTCATCATCGTTTTCTTGTGGTACTTATAATTATTGATGACCTCAGTTTGAGTGAGTTGATGCGTGAGGCACCGTGATCACGTGTGCCGCGGTTGCCGTTACCACGAGGCCCGGACCACCGGGAACCGCGTTTTCTGTCTGTCCTGCCTCCTTAATACCATGATCGTGCTTGGGCCACTTTGATCATTCACCGCTTTGTTCCGGTGGTTAATGCTTTTACCATTGGCATTCTGTTGGTAATATGGGTGGTAATATGATTCTTTCACCCGATGATTCAGCTCTGGATAGACAACTGTGGACCTCTGATATTTCAATAGTTTTGCGCACATCATTTTCTGCCTACTTTTAACAGTCTCATATTAAGTATTAATGGAATTTCTGTGCTTATCACTTCAGATCACAGAGTGGATTATTTTTGCTAAGAAACAATGTCAAGAAATGGTATGACTTCGACTCATGGGAATATGACGACAAGGTTTGTTTCTTCATCTAAAAATTGCATGTTATCTTTAGTGCCAGAAAATACTGATTGGTCGCTACCAATCGTTTTTATTAATGAGAAATCTACGGAGACTATGTAACAATTTTTAATTTTTAATTTAATTATTGTAAATGCGTTTTAGATTTTTTTTCATTCCTTAGTGGTTTTGTTACAAACAAGCATTCAATACGGAAATGGGCTGTACTAAAAAGAATCAGATTTTTTCAACGGCAATATAATAGTTGCAGTCCTTATATCGACCCAATTTTGAGATTTTCATGTTGTTCTCTGGAGCTGAACATGCATCCCAGTAAGAAAAAAATGGCTGTCTTGATGCCAAAGCGTGTGACAAATATGCAGGATAAAATAACAGTTTTGAAATTAGAGATCACGATCAGTTTTGATTTTAACATGCATTATTCGATAAAATGAGTGGTACACCCTGTGGGGACGATCAACAATCCTAAGTGAGTTTTGCTTCATAGCTACCATCTTGGAAAATACCTGCGTGCCTTTTATTGTTTCTTTGTTGTATGCATTTTGTTTCCTTGACATCTGTGCGCAGTGGCATGAAACGCAATAAAATGGCAGGCTAGGCTTTGTTTACTTGGACTATAATTTGGACGGGCATTCCTTTTTTTCTTTGAACGCGTAATTTGTGCGGATCTTAGTTGTTAAAATAAGGTTCAAAACTAAAAAAACTGAATGTTGAAGTCTTGCACGTCCTTAAGATCCGTTGAACGGTCTACTTGACATAATAAAACGATGTTGAAATGAAAATAAAATTGTAATGACATGCCTTTTAGCCAATTCTAAACTAAAGCGGTAGTTTGGAGGCGAAGCTAAGTTTAAACATATTTGATGGTTTGATGGTATGTCAAGGTCAAAAGTAAAGCAGAAAGACGGATTATCTACTGAGAGACAGAAATATAATGGTAAGCACAAAACGTTGGAGAAACAGACAAAATTTAAACAAAGATCAGATCGAATTACTCAGCATAGCACTATTCACGATCGGGAGAAAGCGCTTGAAAAACCAGGAAAGCGAGAAGCCATCAGCAGGAAATACATAAAAAGTGAGCCGGCGACTGGTGATGTCCCTGCAAAGAGGAAAAAAAACATTATTCGGATAGATCCACATGATACCTCAAACAAACGGATGGATGACAGTCTACTTTCTAAAGGTGAGTCTCCCTCATAGATTATGTATTCTCCTATGCTTATTCATGTCTTAATTTTATCTTCATTACGTCATGCTATTTGTTGTCGTAAATACACAGCATTTTGAATGCATTTAGGCGCTGTCTTAGCTAACTTTAGTTAAAATTGCCTGCATTTTGCGTGTTGAAGAAAATGTGTTAATCACTTGGGCCTCGTCTAAGTCTTCTTTTATTTCCTTGTATATTTTTATGTTAAACTGTGTCCACGTACTTACGGCTCTATTGTAAAATAGATCTTTTGTTTTTTTTATTATTTAAATTTTTTTGATGCTGCAGAGAATGACGTAATCCAATGTATTGCATCATATCATTATTTGAATACATTTTAATTCGAAACACCATAGTTGTTTCTATGGGCGCCTATGAGTTCTTGGAGAAACGATTAGTGCCTCATTTGATCATCTTTCCCATTATTGCTGCCCTACCCACAAAAAACCCAGGGGCGATTGTGCTCTCTACCACTCTTGTGATGCTTGGGTACGTATATATTTTTGAATTACTTATTTTCTCTAGAACCTACATTGAATTACATATTTTTCACGTAAATCCACTGGAATCTCTATCACAAGTGTTACACCGCCACCTGCTACAATGGATGTACGTGAACTAGATTTTCCCAGCTTCCCTCCCATGGATGAGACTATCTGATCCGTGGGTTAGGACGTCCGTTCTAAAACCTATGTATTGAAAAAAACTTATGTACCTGAACAATTGGAGTTAGTAGATCTTTAGTTTCTGGACTAATATCTATCATAATGCATTTCAGTCCTAAGCAAAAGTGTCCATTTGTCGTTGAAATGGCTACTGATCCTGCCCTACAATTCATGCTAACAATTCTCCCGCTATATCTGCCTCATGCTATGAGGCAGGTTATCTGCTCATGAGTTTGGAAATAATCGTGTTAATTGTAGTAGGATATCTTCGTACTATCATCATTCTTGATGATGTTTAATCTTTATTTTCTTGAACCACGTCGTTTATACTCATGGTATGGCTCTGATTCTCCATTTCAGTTGCCTATATTCAAGGATTAGTTTTTAACACCTAGTTAAGTGTTATTCTTTATGTCATGTTCACTTGGTTACTAGATGATTCTCATTCATATTTTACAGACGTTTCTGTGGATAAAGAAGTGAAGCTTTCGCGGAACGCACTGTTTCGTGCTATAAAACCAACACCTGCCATCCTTTCCTTTGTGGAAGATAATGTACAAGTCGTCACAGTCTTTTGATTATGATGCGTTGCTGTTTTATGGTAATGCTTACACTTCTTTTGTTAATGATAGCTATTGGGCCGCCGACGTGTGATTGAATTGAAGAATGCCGGATACAATACCAAGCTTTCTGCTCCGCTGGACAATATTCCATTTTCTAACAGTTCCGAAAGAGAACGGATTGAGGAAAATGTATGTTTTTTTTTTAGGTTTTGCTGATTGAGTAGCTTTTGAGATTCTTTCGTTTTTGAAATTATTTCTTCGTATGTATTTATCTGAGATTATTGTGTAGCAGAGATTGATCATATTATACTACTGCTATTTATCCTTTTTCCGAATCTTATGACTTCAAAGAAACATTTCTTTTTCCTGTTTCTCAAACAATTGTCAAAACTGATTTTTTTTCGTCTCCATACCCATCTCTGCTCTCTTGGTTTACTAACCGAGAAAGAATAGTCCAAGGGATACTCTCAATCCTTAATTCATTACTGTCGAACTTGGGAACATGATTATCTCAGTTTGGCGTCCAATGATACTTTCAATTAGATTTTTCGTTCAACGTCCAAGGAGAATGGAATTGTTATTTCGGTACCATTTTTTCTCTTCTTGCTTTCCTACAGATCTAAATTAGTTGGGGACAAATTTGGGTTTACCTAGGTATGCTTTTATTGCTAGGTCCAACTATTTATTTATGTAACACCAGTCCCAGTCCAGTACTCCACAGAAGGTTAAGCAAAAAAACGATAATTCTCATAAGCTGGCTTAGAAAAGATTACTAAACTGTCTCAGATATATTCGCAGTTGAGAAATTTCGATCTCCTACTGTTTTCCGTTGGAAAAAGTTGAGTCTACGATCAGTCCCACCAATCTTAAATTCAAGATCTATCGAAAGTTTTTCCTCGCACACAATCGTGGGCTCTCCTCACCACATTATACATAAAAAGAGAAGAAAACAACACGTTATGAAATCTAACAGGATCTGGATGGGCCAATGGACCTCTACGCCCATCATAGCCCTGAATGAGGTCAGACCCATACCCATTAATTCAATCAGCAATACAAAAGGAAAAAAATTCTCAGTGAAACTGTTGGAAGTTCTAGGTCGTATGGAAATAGTGTAATTTGAGGTTGTTTTTGCAAAAGTTGTGTATTATTACTTCCTATATAATGGGGTTCAGAGGTGAATGAATCTTGAGGCGGTTTCCGCCGTTCTCCCCTCTGTCCTTCGTTCAGCTCTCACGGAGGGTTGAAAATTATTTTCCTCATCATGATGGGGGAGTGTTGGAAATTCTAGGATGTTAAAAAATTATGTAAAAGACTGAGGGTGTTTTGCAAAATTGTGTAAGGTTCCTCTCTATAGAAATGAGGGTTAGAGGTGAATGAATCTTGAGGCAGTTTCCGCCATTCTCCCCTCTGTCCTTCATGATGAGGTTTTATTTCTCCATTTCAATAGAAACGGATCATGGTTTTTTCTCTGAAACTTACTTTGAAAGAGTGGATCTGGGCTAATTTCAAATATTTTAAATCGGTTCATGTTGTAATATACTAGGAAACCACTGCTATCATTATTTCCATTCTTTAATGAGTGCTACATGATTTGCTTATTATGTTTTATTTAGAAACCCACTGTATTGTTAGGACTTGTATTAGGGAGTGCCTAACTAGGCCTGACACCTGTAATCAATGGTATTTAGAAGAATTTTGATTTTCTTGTGTCTGCATCTGAATTTCGACAGCTTCCTTCAGCATTGCACCAGAGAATTGATGTAGGTTGTTTCCTCGGAAAGCACCAGTCATTGTTTTTTACTATTTCAATATTAAATAAATTAATGTTTCATCAGAAGAAATGTCAGTCTAATTACGCTCCGTCTTATCATATAGGATGCCACTAACCATTAAACTTTCCGGTTAATCAGAATTTTGTTCAGTTTTCTATCTTCATTGCTTCTTTAAGTCGCCTTGGCCAAACATAAATTGTCGTCCAACTTAGGCTCCTATTTTTTTTCATTTCTATGCTACAAGTCCCTGTTATTTTCACATCGATTTCACCGTCCGTTGCAGATTTGGCTTCATCCGTAGGAAGCTATGAAAAAAGAGGAAGAACTATTTATAAAAACCTTTGCCTATCTTTGGGTTGGGGTTGTGTTTGATATGCTACAATTGTTGGTTTTATTTGGTATTTATAGCGATGGCAAACGATATTTTTTTAATTATCTCGTGTAATTTCGTTTACGTTGACTTTCACCATACACAATTGATTGTAAAACCTTTTTCAGGTATTTAGAAACAAGTTGGAATTTTTCGCTGCGGCTAAGGTTTCCTCTTCTTTCCCAACTCCTACCCTGCCAGAGATTGCTTTTGCAGGTACAAGATGAAACTTGTCCTTTAATAGGTGTAATCTAGATGGGTCCATGTTACGTCATATTAGGAATCTTAAAATGCTGTAGCTTTTTTGTTGTTTAATGTGCTTATAAGATATTCTCCCCAAATCGGATACAAGTTTTATTAACGTTGGTGTTATTACTCTCTGTCTCCAAATGAACCGTGCTCATTGATTTACTAAAATTTTGTGGTTCTTTTTCTTTCATCCATTTGTTTAATTTGTAGCAAAACAGTAACTATGAGGTGTTGATCATATGATTGTAGCAATCGCAAATTTTTCCATCTCTTTTTTCACTTTCTACAAATACATCATACGCCAAATGTAGTCATGTAACTTCTTATTACCTTTCTTCGTTAACGGTAGTTATCTTCGTTTATCTCAGAATTTTTCTTAGATATCAAGGGATTTATGATTGTTAGATAGGAAACTGAGGCCATAAAATAGTAGGACGAATCGTATAAAAGTAGGAAATTGGGAAGAAACAAGGATATTTTTTATTGTCTTTTCTTTTCTTTCACTAATATCTTGGAACTCCATTTGAAAGAGTTCATCATGTTCTAAAGCTTTTGACAGTTAGTACATGCCATACTACATTATGATCGTATGCTTTCTTTTGTGATTCAATACATTAGGAAAGTTATAGGACTTAAACTTCAACTGTTGAGGTGTCAAGGCAGCTGGCTATTTGTTGAAAAGTTCTGGACAAAAAGATCGTGAGATACGATAGCCCTTAATGAGTTACAGTTGAGAGCAGAACCCTGAATAGGAGTTCCGTTGTCTTTGACTTCCATCTTTTCTTTTTAGAATCAATTATTTTTCGTCGTGATCATCTGATTCTATCTAGCTTTGACGAACTCCCTTAAATACATCGAGCCAAGAAATTTCCATCTTTTTGTTACATCACCATCCCATAACCCCTATATGTACTAACACTGAGGTCGCCTATGGAGGATGTTACGTTTTCAGTGCCATAGAATGTTAGGCTTAGCTATAGGGACTCCATGCAGGATCTTTCTTCCTTTCTACCGATGTGACTGACAGAATTTAAGATGGGGTTCTGGCCAAAACTCTTTAGCACGTGCAATATTCTATCTGGTTTCAGATGAGGGTGCCACTTGTGGTCTACATGTTACTAAGTGGTCAACAAATGGCCATAGCAGTGGCATCAAAGGGATAGAAATTACCTTCTACCGTCTGCCTTTTTGCATCCTTTTCTGCCTTTACCTCCCATCTCTCTCCGATTTCGATTAACACTTTGCCTCCCATGCTCAAATCAAAGGGGTAGAAATCGAGGTTCTAGAAACTTGTCGATTTCGATTCAAATTAGCCGATTTGAGCATTTCATTGGCATTCTGAATTTGATATTAAGGGTAATATTGATTCACCCTAAAATTTAAAGGTTGATGGAATCTGCCTTTCGACGGTAGAATAAAGGAATGTAGAGGAAAAAAGGGAAAGGAAGATAAGAAGATGAACAGAGAATCTAATCCCAAGAAAAAATTCACTCTAAAAAGGTAACATAAAGTAAAACCATAAAGAAAAAAAGTTTAGATATTTTTCTTCTTTCACCCTCTTTCCTGGACTGAACCGGGTGGAATTAGTTGTAAAGGGCTCAATCTACTCCGATCCTATAGATGCCTTCTTATCCCCTTAAATGGATTCAATTTCCCCGAGAGTTTGGATCTGCACTTCTTTAATTATCCGGTCCATAATGATTTCATTGACAATGGCTACTACATAAAGCTTTGACATGTGAACCTCATTTGACCTAGTCTGTCTTACAGTTTTTTCTAATAGAAGCCTTGAAATTGGCAGATATATTGAAGAATCTTGTTTTTTTCTAGTTGCATCCTTTCATTCTAATCTTCCTATCCATGGAGTGCGAAGTAACAGCTTCCACTAAACTTGCCTGTCATCAGGAAGGTCAAACGTCGGGAAATCTTCTCTGTTGAATGCCCTTACCAGGCAGTGGGGAGTAGTACGAACATCTGATAAGCCTGGACTTACTCAGGTAGTTTGGGCTTCCAGATTGAAGTCTATACATGAGTTAACCGTCTGGTCTCCTGAATGTTCTTGCTAATTACTTTTGTTATGCAGACCATTAACTTCTTCAGGCTGGCATCAAAACTTTGTCTGGTGGATTTACCAGGATATGGTTTTGCATTTGCAAAAGATGAGGTTAAAGATGCTTGGGAGGAGCTCGTGAGTATGCTTATTAGACATACTATCTGATTTTTAGTTGGATATATATATTTTAATTGAACAATATTCTTTACTGATTCATTATATTTCTTCATCTATATTCCAATATGTCATAATCGGTGATAATATTTTCTTTGAATCAATGAATAACCGTGGAAAATTAGTACGGCCTTGAGATCATTGAAACTCGCGACTAAACAGAGATTTGGGAATCTACTCCCTACTACATTGGCTATCATTGTTGATTCCGGTGGTTATAATCTTCAGAAACGAATATTGTACCTTGAAAAGTGAAGAATGAAACGTACGAATCTGGGCAGATAGAAGCAGCCAATTCTGTGAAACGTGAAACTCGATTGAACCGGGAATCATTATGTAGAAAAGTCTTGGCATAGGATTTTAAATGCATCATGGAAGGTTGCCCCTTTCATGTTATTTAATCCGAGAACAATGACTAACTATTGTGAAGCATGAGATTTTGAGAAGAAAATAAAGAAAAACATACGTAGATTTGGAACTTATGGAGATAATGATGAATCTATAATCATTAGCTCTGATGCTATTTTCGCAGTGCCTTTTCTTCAACAGTTTTTCGCAGATCTTACGATATACTCACTTATCTCACTTTAGTATAATTATCTTCACAGGATAATTATCTTTGAACCCTACACATTTCTTTTTCTTTGTTCTATATTTTTCATTCCTTCGCCATTCAAACTCTCATAATGCAGTACAAAAAGTGATTCTCTCTCTCTCTCTCTCTCTCTCTCTCTCTCTCTCTCTCTCTCTCTCTCTCTCTCTCTCTCTCTCTTAATCCATCTACTATTGAAATTTCGATAAGATTGTACTTCTGACCTAGAATGCTCATCGTTCCTTGCTAGGAAGATTTTCAATTTAGCACCAATTCATCCACACCTGCCTTGCACTTGGCATTCCATAGGTGAAGGAATATGTATCCACACGAGAGGGTCTGACAAGGGTTTGTCTCCTCGTTGACACCAAATGGGGAATGAAGCCCAGGGATCACGAGCTGATTGACTTGATGGAAAGGTACAGAAGTCATAGTCATCTATACTTTTTTTTCCATTACAGGCTATTGATTACTCGATTCTCAGTCCCCCGAGACTTTAACTTTCTTCTACCGGATCTCTCGTGGTTTCCCTTTATTTTACGGTTGAAACTGGAAGCACCTGGTTATGAATGAGATGTCGAGTCCTTTTTTTTTTCTTTTTTTTTTCAAGGGACCGCAGAATTGTGAACCTTTTTCCATTGGGACCATCTGCATGGAGATGAACACCGTTGACCTCCTCATGCAATGTTCAAGTGAAAACTATAATTCCATATAACCACAGCTAATTCTTGGAAAGCCCATTTACTATATTTAGAATGTCTGCAGTTTTTGTCCTGGAATTCTGACGTGGGCATGCCACCATGGAGTCAAACGCCCTGTTCCCTGGGGGATCTGCTGTCAGAGTCAACCACCTAGCCATAGTCTTCAAGGCAGACATGTCCCCCACATTCATCACTATTCCGTGTCCCCACTGCTGATGGAGATGCTGTTATTCTCCTAATATAAGGCGCAGCTAGATTCTGCCCAGCGGTTATTAGCCCTGCTGCATCTTTTACGAAGACTTCTAGGAATCTCACGTGTTGTCGCGCAGGTCAAAGATGCCATATCAGATCGTACTGACCAAGACTGACGTCGTCTTCCCGGTCGACGTCGCCCGCCGCGCCATGCAGATCGAAGAGGTAGAAAGACGGCTGGACCCACCGAACCTGGACTTGGGTTTTGACCTCCAGAATTTCTGACCGCGGTTTTTTTTTAATGCAGAACCTGAAGCCGAAGTCATCCGTGGTCAACCCCGTCGTGAGTACTTTTGCCTGGCTCTCTTCATCCTCCCTCCACATTAAGCTCATGTGTTCTTCAAGCTGGAGGGCCATTAAGAGGGAGAAAGAACGCGGTATCCTTCGTTGATCGTTGACTTTCTCTGCAGATGATGGTCAGCTCCAAATCTGGCGCTGGAATCCGCAGCTTGAGAACGGCTCTCGCCAAGCTATCCCGGTTTGTGAAGCCATAGAGAGGGAGAAGCGGTGACGAGAACAGCTTCAGAGGGCGACCGCTAATTGTGCTATGAAGTCAACGCTTGTAACGTCAAACTTCTATACATCCCTCTCACTTCTCGCCATCAAATTTTCCTTTTTCCTTTTTATTTCCAGACTGATTTCTTCTCACCAATATGTGCTATAAAAGTCAACGCACGGAATGTCAAACTTACATATATCCCTCACTTTTCGTCTTCGATTTTCTTTTTCTTTCCAGGCGACTTTCGTCCATAAAATAACAGGGGGGAGTGTGGGCACGGAGGAGAAGAGAGAGACTGCGACCACCTGTACAACCATCATTCTATGTGGGCTTTACATCAGATGAGAGAGTGCTAGAGAGAGAGAGAGAGAGAAAGAAGAAAAAATGCTAGAAGGGGAAATCCCGTCAAAAGATCGTGTCGATGGTGAGCTTCCTCTTGCGAGGGGATTTCTCCACGACCTGCTTCTGCAGTTCCATGAAACCAAACCCTTTGTGCGCAAACAGCCTCCGAAGGTTGATCACCGAGAGATCGCTGAAGCACCCCACCGTGAGGTCAGCCTGCACCAGCTCGTAGCTGCGCCGCCAAAAAGCGCAAGTCAACTCTACTCTTCAGGAAAATGAACCCGGAATAGCACGTAAAAAGGGAGGGAAATAGTCAACGGGGAAAAACGCATCAGTCAAGGAGCTGGGTTTTCAGTCAAAGATACTCACGCACGGTGGGCGCCGATTAATCCGATGGCCATCATCGTACAGTTGTGCGCCGCGGTGATGCCTCTGGGATCATCCTCGAATACTACGCACTTTGACGGCTTCCGATCCAGCTGGTTAAACAGACAGAGACCACACGGTGGGATGTCAAATGTATGCATATACAGGCGCACCAGGATCGAGCTGATGAGCCGCTCTTTCCATAATAGGAAACTGCAGCTCTGACTTCCGCCGCCAGCCAGCAGTGATCCCCAGATGCCCATTTTGCTGGGTACCCAGATTAGATCACTGCGGGCTGATCACGTGACAGCAATCTGAGTTCATACCCATCTTGTTTCTATGTATAAATACTACGAGCTTGAATCGTGGCGAAAAAAATGAGAGACGAAATTCTCGGGTCAACTGGAACACCAGAGCTATGGAGGTCAAACCCAGAAACAGAATATTCGCGTCTACGAACAGGCAACACCCTCACCGGTATTCATTAAGGGATAAGGGCCGGAAGTTGACTATATATGGAAGGAGACCAGGGAGTTGACTACATATCTGGGGACAGCTTCTATCAAGGAATCAAAGCAGTGGTTTTCTCTACTACGCATTATTGAGACTTTGATCTCGACAATGTCCAGCGCCACCACCCAATCAGAACAGAAATTAACTTGAGATGCTAATGCAGATCTAAAAAATTAAATTATTTTTATTTTTATTTTTATTTTTTGGGGTGGGCCGAGATCTACCTTGACTGCGGCCGAGAGAAACCTATGAGCTATTGATTCCATTCCATCTTCTTCACTCACAACAGCCTGCAGATCAAAAACAGACAGGCTGCAGCTTAGCCACCAGACGAACCCGTTGACACAGATGACCAGACGTTGACTGAGGCCGCCTCACCTGAAAGTATCTCCTGAGGTCCATGCGCTCAAGAGCTTCAAGCATGTTCCTCCGGTCGAGACATGAGACAACAGCGCAGGGGGTGCCAGCCGTGTAAAGCGCATCCAGCCACTCTTTCAGTCCCTCCACAGGTTCTGTCAGCTACACTCATGGGAGAAGATGTATCATGCAATCAAACTCGTTAATGGCAAAGAAAAGGATTGAATAGGCGGATGGAGATCTGACTTTCAGAAGATTATCGTAGTACAGCTGCAGAAGTCTGGACTTCAATCTCTCCAAGTCAACTGCTCCGTCCCCCCAGAATAGTACCTAAAGAGAAAATGAACAGCCATATATACTCAGACGACTGAAGAAAGAATAACATCTACAGAAGAAAAAGGAGAACATTAGTTTCGATCCAAGAATCTTCCATCAAACAGGCGTGAGCATGCAAGAAGAACACACAACTTACGCGGGTGTCGAATTAACTGCAGTTTCTAAACGGTCTGAAAAGGAGAACCGAGAAAACTTCCGGATGAAATAATCTCAAAATAGAAAAAAAATAGTAGAACTCAGATTCGATCCAAAGTGAGAAGTCTGGACTGGACAGAACGAGAAAAATCAAGTATTCTTTGCATGCGTACGCCATCAAAAGCTTCGTCAGTCGCACATGAGATGAAAGAAATCTAAAAGCACTCAAAAGCTAAACAAAACTGGATCGTCCATCCATGTAAGGGAGGAGTCGATCGCTAGTCAGGAGAAGGTATGAACAAGGGTTCAAAGTACTGTAAAATATTGAAAATTTTACCGGATATGCTATTAACGTTCCAAAGTGAGATGTGAAATGAAGACTAACCCGGCACAATGGTTATGATTTTCTCAAAGGATTTTTCTGCACCGATTTCACTCAAAAAGATAAAAATAGAGAGGGGATCTACTACTGGTAAGGTCACGCTTCACAGAAACAATAACCCAAAAAATTTCAAAATCTTACTACTCTCCCTCGAAATCAAAACACCGATACAATAAACATGCACTTGAACATCAACGAAATAACTGATTTTCGCGACTCATCAAAAATGTTGGTCAGCAGGTTTTCGGCCTTATTTTGTTGCAAACTATTAAAGCAAAAAAGGTGAGCACTCAAATATCATGAAGAACAAGGATTTTCCTAAATCATAGAGGCTGAAATTATAACCAACTATGACTCACTCAAGCCTTGAAATCAATGTCTTATTAGAAAGCATTAGTTGGGAATTTCATTAACTAAAGCATTTATACTCAAACCTTATGTAGCACGTCATCAGCCGCCATATGAAGCATAGACCGTTGTATTTGACCATTCCGAGGCATATTTTTGCCTGAAAGAGCAAAGTGACGGAGAAATGTGATCGTGTAGATTTCCTATTTTGAGATGTTAAATTTTTTTCATACTAAATAGTTTTTTCAGAGCTCAACATGCCACGTAAAAAATATTAAATTATTTCCAGAAATTGCAATCAGTTGCAAAATATAAATATATATGTATAACCCAATTAGGATAGTTAGAAAACCAACAGATTAAAGGAGCCAGATTACACGCACCTTCTTCAAAGGCAAGCTGTTCCCACGCAGACAGCTTCAAAGAGCTAGTATCAGCCTGACAAAAAAACGGATATTCCATCAGAGAAAATCAGAAGAAGCAGATGAGCCTTCACCATCAAAGCCAAAGGCAAAAAAAATTCAAAAAAACTTGGAGAAATGTAGCAAAGAAAACAGCCCATCAACACAAAATTCAAAATGAAACCGTAATATATAAAAAATTTGTGAGCCAAGTAGTCCACTGTTATTACCAAGCTAACAAGAAAATTCGCTTGGGCATCAGCAAAAAAACTCCCTTTTGGACCATTTACCAACTCAGCTCAATTATCCATTAAACTTACAAAGCATTAGGAAATTATTTTTGATGCTACAAGAAAGTACATCAAAGCAGCCAACAACATATCAAACACTTGCGTGGATCACTCATTAATATATACAACATAAGATGTGTAATATGCTCGGCAGCAGTTAATATTGAAAAAAATATGTACAACGCTGGCTTTTTCAATGTGGCCATAGAGTGCATACAGAGTTTCAGATACACTGGTTCTTCATTGATCAGTAACTATAACATCAACACATGCAGGACAAGATCAGATCAGCTGATTACATTAAAATATTCGAGCAATAGTGTGATTGTAAGCTTGCAGCCTGGCCATGCTGAAGCACAAGCTTTCAACAAAAACTAAAAAGCCTCACAATGAAAGTTTCTAAAGAAAAAAATAGCATTTTCTTTAAATGATAACGGATATATCTGAGTAATAGGAAAATAGAAAACATTATTACATAAATTTCGTGAGAAAGTTTTAAAAAAAGAAGAAATTACCACAACATTGTCCCACGAAAAGATAAGACCGTAAGTTTCATCAGGCTTCATAGCATGCCTTATTCTCTGAAGGAAGCTTTCCTGCAGCTTATCATTCAAATAATCCTAAAAGGAGCATAATATTCCTTTGATCAGAAAATTAGGCAATAAGGAATCATGTAGCATCAAAAAAACAAAACACCAGAAGGCCACAAATACATTACCACATCGACCTTCAAAGGACCATCCATCCTGAAAGTCTCAAACCCTTCACCATATTCGGCTCCAATTGCCTGAAAAACAAAATTTACTGGGAATTGTTAGATGTCGATGAAGTCGCCACTTCTGAGTTTACTTCATTAAATTAAAAGAGAGAAAGAACAACAAAACAAAAGCTCGAAGATCCCAACAAAACTATTGATTTAAAACATCATTCAACAACATCCGAATAAAGAATAAATAAAGATGAAAATGCATCACCTCTTCCACGAACACCTTGCTAGGGGTGCAAGGGAACCCAGCCCCAGCGTTCTTTTCGTCGGACCCAGGTTCCGGGCCAGAAGCTCTCGCGACACACACACACTTCTTGGCGTTCGCAAGCTTCCAACTCTGCTGAGAATCCACAAAGAGAGTAAACAGTAGGAAAAAGGAAAAATCGAAGGAGGAGAGGAGCGAGAGGAGCTTCGAGTGGGGAAGAGAAACGGGAGGGAGAACGGACAGATAACTTGAGCTTCGTACGGAGCTGAGACACTCGACAACGGGCGGACGCCGGCGTCGGGGGTGCCAAGGAGGAGCTTCTAAAGGGGCACGCCATCATCCCAGTTCGGCGGAGAAGAGCGCGATTTTAGGCTAGAAGCGTGACCGAGGTTCTTCTCTCGTTAGCGGGGACCATTTTGTGGGCAGGAAAAATTTACGAAAGCGATAAATCTCCAAACGAAATAAATATATCCTCTCCATTTTCCCATATTTATAGACTTACCCCTACATATTTGTATAATGAACCCTGTTCAATGAATTATTGGCCCAAACAAGCCCAGCCCACCTTTCTCCATTCTCCCCCAGAGAGAGAGAGAGAGAGAGAGAGAGAAGTATCAAGATTCTTATGGAATAATTCGATATATTATATTACAATATAATTCTACCAGCATACATACACATCCGTCAAATCGACTTCTCCTCGAGAAACATTGACCAAAAAGTAGGGCCCACCGTCAGTCCTGGATTTCCTCAGTCAGCGGCGACTTCAGCTGGGAGGCTCGACGTCTTCCTCTCCAGGGAAGCAAGAAAGGCATGGAAGGATCAGGTGACCCAGAGGATCTGAGCCCCTCCAAAAAAATGGGAGACGGATGACGACGGTGACCGGAACAAAACCGCAGGCATGTTCTTCCCGCGAAAGGAGTCGGTGGGGCCCCCGCTTTCTCTCTTGCTAATGCCGAACAAAATCCCCTGATCCACAAGGCGAGATCCACAACGGAAAAATAATTAAATTATATAAAAAAAAGATCCCGACATGGTGGGTTCTGCGTTGGATCTTCAATTAAATGCAGTGCATTTTTTCTCTCAAATAAAAATAATTATATATTTTGAATAATACTTACTTGATATGTGAATGAGCTTGTGAACCAGCTAATGGGGAGACGTGGCTCGGGAGGGGGAGGGATCAGAGCAGTCGGAAGAGGCAAAGCTCTCAAACAGCATATGATTCATCCAATGGAAACATCCACCGTAGCCCAGTGGGTCCCCATCTTCCTGCAACACCAGACGGGCAACGCAAAATAATTAGATTATCTGCAAATTGTGCTATAAAAAGGAAAGAAAAAGGATATATTTATGAAAGACCAACCCTGCAGCGCGTCAGGTCGATCTTGCCAACCGCGGCAGAATCTGCCTCGTCTTCCTCCTGAAAGCCAGGAAGAAAATAGCAGTTGGGATGAGATGATGGGAGAGAGATTACAGGGAAGACTGTCCATAATATGCCAGGAACTATGGATATGAAAGGGGCACGAAATAAAATGAATTGGCATTTATTTTCCCCTAAAACCATATAAAATCCACAGCAGTTCTTGTATCATGCGAATGAATATAGGAGGGAGGGGGGTGGGGGGGGGTTGCAGGAGTGATCAAATGAAACAGAGCAGCAGGATGAGAAAAAACAGATCATATTCACAGCTTTTTTTTTTCCCCCCTGTTCGTCCTGTTTGTGTCTATTCCCTAACAATTTTGCTTCTCGGAATGAATTAATTGGGCTTTTTGTCTGAATCAATTTTTTATTGGGTCTATCCTGAAAATTATAGTACCTTAATTGTCTGGACGACTCCATTCTTCTGGTATTGACCGAGATGACATCATCCAACAAGGTTAGTGACTGAGAAAGAATTCTATTTATCACAGTGTTGATGATATGCTCGTTTGCAGGGCTAGTGAAGAGTCGAAAGAAGAACAGAAACAAAAATTTCAAGGAGATCACACCACAGCCTGGCAATATAAATAATAGATAGATTATATACATATAAGTCTTGCCCTCTTATTTTTATGAAACCCAACTCTGATGACAATGAAATCAGTCGCCAAGCCAGAGAATCTACCTGGAAAGGGACATTAAGGCAGAAGGTAAACATCTCTAGAGCCAGCTGAGACGTCTGAAAGGTAAGAAAACTACATGTTGAGGCCATTGCAGTAAGCCTCTAAAATTCTTCGACCTTTTGAAGTGAAAATAAAAGTCAAAACTAAACATCACATTAAAATTTTGCACAATGAGAGTTCCGTGAGAACTGCAAGGGAAGATACAAGAACACGAATCGCAGACAACTCACAGTTCCTGAACAGGATGCACAATGTAAAGCAATAACTAACAGATCATGAACAGTAATGTAAGATCTATCCAACTGATAACTAATTTGACACCCACATGATTCCTGCCGTAGGCGATTTCCTGAATGGGCTTCTGATGAAATAAATGAAAGTGAAAGGGAAACCAACTGAAGGAGAGATATGAGACGGTGTTTTATCCAAATGCTAATGTATTGCGCCAATTCCACCAAGAAATGGTAAGTTCACATGAAAGGAAAAAGAATAGCCACCACGTCGCACATATGAATCACTATTGCGCAGAAAAGCATAGCATACGTCAGCGCAGAGTGACAGCAAATTACCTGCGAAATTGCCCCGGCTTCCTCCAATAATTTGTTCAAATAAGCTGAATTAACATGTTCAGCTTGTTTCACAAAAGGATGCCTCTCCTGAAAAAACAAGAATGATCCTATGAAGCAGGGGAAAACCAAAAGATCATCTTGACCAAATAATTATCTCCCTAGTAGAAGAATGATATTACCACCTTAGGTGACATATTGGCCCAAAATTCAAAAGCTGCCCTGCCAATCTCCACCCATCCCTCAGCCTTGCAGTTTTTCATATAACTTTCCCTACATGGACAGAAGAAAGCTCCAAATCCATAGCAGCACATTGTCTCAAAGTTTCCATACTAACAAATGGTCGCGCTTACAGGTTCGCAATATTAATAGAATCATCTTATGCTATTCTAACCAGAAACTTACAATTGTGGGCAGTCTCGTTCGGCGATAATCCATTTCATTAAAAAAAATTAGACGTCGCAAAGAAATTTGTATCCTGAAGGCATCTGTCTAGAAGCCTCTCTCATCATTTCGTGGTCTTCACTTTGCTCACTAATGAAATACCCTCGAAGACTAATTTCACCTGCGGCTCAGCTTGTGCAGATGCAACTCGAGCTTAAGCCAAAGACACTGTGGATGTTAGATCGTGTGTTGGAACTCACCTCACAATCCAGATGCAACAAGCTGATGCCTCTGATTTCTGAATAAAGAGAAAAGACAAGCTACCTCCACGCCCCAAGCTACAGTAGATCATAGATTGTGTTGACCTAAGATTTTTACAATCTCTGACACTACACAGAATAGTTGTACGGTTTCCACCCACGATGAAGGCGATAAATCTTAACCAGCAATTGGAACCTCATTTGGTGGAAAAAAAACGATGTTTATAAGATCAAATGAGCCGACAGATATACGTCAGTGATTACTATATATGAATCCTTTGAAACTTCAAGGAAAAAAGTATTTACAGAAACGGCCCACCAATAAAAACATTACAAAGTTATAAATATTTCTCACGAATGTGACATTGTCGCAAGCTGCATGAATTACATAAGAAAAGGCAGCCTATGATGAGGAAAAGGAGTTTCTGACGGAAAGCAAGTACCCGATGCCACCAATGAACATATCGAAATGATTAACAGACGGACGTTGAAAATCCATTGGAACTCGAATGTGCTTCCTGACAGAACCTCGGGCCCGTCTGGTTAATGACTACGGTCTTTCTCGAGAGGCTACGACGAAATAAAAATTGCCACAGTGAAGCGTCGATGGGAGTTTTCCTTTCGTCGAACACACGATTGGAGAGACTAAACTAAGCATAAGCCAAAACAACTGATTAAAAAGGTCTAAAGAACCAGAGCCAGAAGAAGACAAGAAGGTAGCAAACATTCTTGTATTCTTCAGAAAGCCATCTACCTGTATTGAGTAGGAAGAGGAAGAGCCGATGCATATCTCGAAAGACAAATGAGAAGGAGAAATTCCAGGAAACGCGAGACAATAGATTGATTTACATGAAGAAGCAGAAAGCTGATCTCGGCTGGTCTTGGAAGGCTAAACTTTCGCTGTTGTTCCTATGTTTCTTGGTATTCCCACCACATACGTGCATGTCGAGGAGCGAGATCGCAACGGAAGTACCACACTGATCACTGAAAAGTTAACAATCCAACTTCGAGTTAGAAATATCGAAACCCATATGCAAGGTGGAAGCAAATAGGCAATAAGAACTCGATGAGCTAAGGCCACGTCTTCGAGAACTGAACCAGGCACGAAAGGCGTATTGACATGGGAGCCCGAGTCGACTGGGATACAGTGTCATCCAACGGCGGCGGCAGAGAAAGGTTGAAAGAGAGTGAGGAGAGCGAAGACGGAGAGCCCTCGTGGGATGGTGGCGGGGATGAACAAGGCAGACGAGTCCAAGAAGAAGATGGACCACAGGGATAATGAGCATGAGCATGAGCATGAGCATGGTCAAAGGAAAGGGAGACCCCAACCATTTCTGGAAAGAGCTCCCGTCAGGAGCACGGCGTACTGCGTGAACCCTCTTCTTGATGATCCCCGCGTTTCCCGTCATGAGGAACCTCTCCAAGTCTCAGACGTCGACTAACGCGGGAAGAAGAAGAGGAAGAAGAATAAGACTACCGGCGCACTTTAGCGTACGGACGCATTTTTGATCCAAAATTGGCGGGAAATATCCCACGCCCAAGAAAAAGCAATGATCGGTGCCACGTAGGATGTTCTCCGCCACCCACGTTGACTTGAGAGGGAGAGAGAGAGAGAGGCTGAGGTGGGGAGATTACATGTGTCGCCCCTAAAGGGGACGCCCATTGTCTGCTTATCCAGATGAAGGCGGGCGGAGAAAGATGGGGCAGTAGAGCGGCAAGTCGGCAAGTGGGAAAGAAAACCCGGGTGCGCAGCCAGAGTCGTTATGAGACAGGTTTTATCTGTGGGGCCCACATAAGAATCCGGCGCTCATTTTTTAACTCCTTTCGGAACACATAGGAACCTGGGAAGTGCCAGTGGAATGATCAATCGAGTATTTTCCCCCAAACCGCAACATAGCCCACCGTTTTGGAGGCCCCACCGGAGCGGTTTCTCCCCCTATTTCTCCGGCGACGGCGACGGCGATCGGATGACAATCGGAGGAGAGGAACGTTGCCGGCGGCAATGGCGATCTCGTCGCGCTCTGCAAGGTCACCGGAGGGAGACTCCCCCCTTCTCCAGTCCCTTCTCGGTCTGTCGAGGGAGATTTCTCTCTGCGAGCCTCCCCTGCGACAGAGGCGGAGAGCTCGCTCCGCCGCCCGCAAGGCGAGGATCCTGTCCCTTCTCTTCGAGGAGCTGCTGTGCGCTGTCCACCCCGCAGGCGACCTTCCCCGGTCCGCCGTTCTCTGGCTCCGGGAGATCTTCGTCGTTCTCCGACGGTTTAAGAGGCTCCTGGATTCTTGCTCCGATCGGATGAGCAGGGTAAGCCTGGTTCTCGGCCTGGAGAGCGTCGCCGGGGACTTCCACGAGCTCACTCGAAGCCTCTCCAGGCTGCTGTGCGTCTTCCCCGTTTCCGATCTCGGCCTCGGCGAGGACTCTGTAGAGTTGGTGGAGCTGCTGCAGAAACAGTGCCGGAGGTCTTCGGCGGCCGTGGATCCCGAAGACGAGGAACTTCGCTCCGAGATTCTGGAAATGGTAGGCGATCTCGAGCAGAAGATCATCCCCGACCATTCGAAGCTCGAGAACATGTTCGAGAGGTTAGGGGTGAACGATTTCATGAAACTGTGCAAGGAGATCGAGCGACTGGAGGTCGAGATACCCGACCGCGTCGATCCAAATCGGACGGCCAGAATGACCGCTCTGCTCGGCCTCCTGCGCTACGGCAAGTGCGTCCTGTTCGGCGCGTCCCCCGCTCCCGGATCTCACCTCCATGCGGACCACGGCGGCTTCGAGACGTCCGACGCCGCCGTCCCGGCAGACTTCCGGTGCCCCATCTCGCTGGACCTGATGAGGGACCCGGTCGTCGTCTCCAGCGGGCAGACATACGATCGAGAATCCATCAGCGGCTGGATCGCCTCCGGTCACGCCACCTGCCCAAAGTCAGGCCAGGTTCTGTCGAATTCTCGTCTGATTCCCAACAGAGCTCTGAGGAACATCATACACCAGTGGTGCGGCCAGCATGGCGTCCCCTTCGATGCTCCAGAGTACCCTGAGGTCTCAGTCGATCCCGACAGACTACGCACGAGTAAGGCCGTTGTGGAGGCGGTGAAGATGACGACCCTATTCTTCCTCCGGAAGCTCGAGGCTTCCCCGTCCGCGGAGTCGGCGAATAAGATCGTCCACGAACTTCGTCAAATGGCTAAAAGCTCTTCCGACAACAGAGCCTTCATCGCCGAAGCTGGAGCGGTGCCCCTTCTGGCTTCCCTGCTAGAATCCAACGACGCCCACCTCCAAGTCAACGCCATCACCGCGCTGCTCAACCTTTCCATCCTGCCGGTCAATAAGAGGCGCATAATGCTGGCCGCCGGTGGCCTCGATGGCCTCGTCTACGTGTTGAGGTCCGGCAGAACGTGGCAAGCGAAGGAGAACGCGGCGGCGACGCTGCTGAGCCTCTCGACCCACCACGCCTCGTACAGGAGGAAGGTAGCCATGACGGCGGGGGTCGCCGAGGGGCTCGCGGAGCTCGTGAGATCGGGCCCTGCAAGCTCCCAGAGAGATGGGCTAGTGGCCATGCTGAATTTGGCCGGAGACAAGGACAACATAGGTCGCCTGGTCGAGGGCGGCGTGGTGGAGGCGGCGCTGGAGGCCACCGCCGTCCCCGAGGTGGCGGAGATAGCGCTGACCGTCGTCGCCGCCGTCGCGAAGAGGGGAGGCGCCGCGGCGGTGGCGGAAACCAAGGGCTCGATCGCCCGGCTCGCCGGAGCCATGAGGTGGGGGACTGATCGAGCGAAGGAGACGGCGGCGGCAGCGCTGGTCTCGGTCTGCCCCCAAGGCGGCGAAGCAGCGGTGGCGGAGCTGACGGCGATATCCGGCATAGAGTGCGCGATCTGGAACCTGATGCGGTCCGGCTCGGAGCGCGGCAGCCGCACGGCGGCTTCCCTCGGCCGCATGTGCCGCCGGTGGGCCGTCGTCGCCCCAGAGGAGTGACGGTGAGTCAACCTCTCTTCCCGCGGCGCACCGATCAGCGTCTCCACGTCAACTGCGACCCGAACCTGAAGAAAGCCGTCTGGTCTGTAAATGACCTCCCTCATTTCCCGCAGAAGTTATGTACACTAAATCTGAGTAAGTCAGGATTTTCTACAGAAACATTGACGACTATCGGGCTTACCCAACGGGGAAGTTGACCCGCCGTTTTTTTTAAAAAAGGCAAGGAGAGAAGCGAAAAGGTTTTTTTAATTGCGTATTTATGACCTGTCGCCGTCAATGTTGCGATCATGCTCATTCTAGAGATCACGACGGAGGGGTTGACTTCGACCCGGTGGCGCCGCGGCTCTGCGGAAGGATAAAGAAGCCATGATAGTCAAACGCGGTGATTTTTATACTGCAGAATCGCACCCCCAGAAGAGAGAGAGAGAGAGAGAGTTCTCTCAGACTGCGGATGCCAACACGGAATTCCATCCTAGATCGCCGATTCCCAGAAGTCAGACGTAAATCTCCGAGCTGTCTCAGAAGCTCCAAGTCGATTGTTCCGCTGAAGTAAGAAAAACCGGGAGGGTCTCATCTTGTCATGCCCACCCATAGCTGACGTAGGCGGCGGTGCCCGCCTATAGGACGGGCCCCCGCTGTCCAGCCGACCTCCCGCGCGAGAAACTCTCTGAATCCAAAAAAAGTCAACACACGGCACCTCTCTCTCTCTCTCTCTCTCTCTCTCTCTCTCTCTCCTCTCTGTCAAATAAGTTTCCGGTCGAAGAGTAATCGGAGACGCACCCGCCCGTCTTCTCTCTCCCCACCGCCGCCCTGCGAGGGCCGCCGAGTCTTGCTCGACGAACCAAACATGGCGAAAGAGCTGGAGAAGGTCCAGCGCCGGCTCGATGCCGCCACCATCGGCGTAGTCGTCTTCCTCCTCCTCGCCTCGACGGCCGCAGGCAGGCCCGCCGCAGTCGAGAATTCCACAACCCCAACGAAGGAAACCGTCCGAAGGGCTACTCAACTCCCTGCGCCCCCGCCGCCGCCGCCGCCTGAGAGCACGGTCTGGGTCAGCGTCTCCGTGAACCAGGTGGAGCTGCCCGGGGGGAACAAGTCGCTCGTCTTCTATTATCTCCCGAGGCGGGCGACTCCCCCTTCGGCACCGAGCCTCGGCGGAAACGACATCAAGACGTAGAGAGAGAAAGAGAGATATAGAGAGATAGAAAGGAGTGGGGGATTCAATGAGGATCTGATTAGATGCTCGGGTATCATAAAAGAGCTTCTAAACATTTTCCCCTGCAATTTCCCTTTGCCTCTGATTATTAATTCCATGTTTATATATGATGATAATTCAGCCTACGAACCCCATAGAACCAAAGCCCCCAAATGGCGGCGGACCTCCGAGTTCTTCTGAATCAGCTCCTTCGCTTCCCCCAGATCAATCGATCGACGAGACTTGAGCGCTCTGGCATCGCAAATCCCAGACGAAAGTATCATCACGAAAAAGGAAAAATCCCATCTGAAAATGAGTTGAGAATTGATGAACCCACATCACGCGTTCCATCTCGAACCCTATTTTGTCTCCTTCGAAACCATCTGCCCGTCGCCGTCCGCCTTCCACGATGTCGGACATAACTCACCATCCTCGTCTTTTTTGGAAAAAATTGCTTCTTTTTTTCTTTACCATTTATGGAACGGTAAATCCGAAGCTGATATTATCCGGATAGATGATTTTGTTTGTAGCACGTGAAGTTCATTTCCCCGCGATCAGATTCCCATCTGGGATCAAGAAAATCTGGGCAGATAAAGCCTCATCTCGGTCTGAAGATCAGGCCCGTATTGATTAATGGGCTGCAATGGACGAGTAACGGATGGAGACAAAGGAGCCCACTTATGAACCCCACCCCATCTTTATTTTCCCTGATTTTTATGTATAATATTTATCATTATCTTGTTCTAATCGTTAAACTCTCGTCAAATTACTGCAAAAAAAACCTTATTTTTACTGCTAGTGACGTCCTATAATATAAATAGCAGCTAGAACTGGCGCAAGGTTTCTAACGAAAGAAGAAGAAACCTTTTTGCTCCTGTTGCACCAGATCATCCCAAGTTCTGTGTCCTTAAGAGTCCTTGCATCTGAGAAAGACGAGTCCTTGCATCAGTCTTAAGAGTTGACATTTTCCCGAAGTGGCGGCGCGCTCATCCGGTGGAAGACCCGAGCTGAGGAGATTTCGAAAAAGCTCGAGAATGCTTCCATGAGAGATCAGAGGTCAACGAACGTAGATGCTTCATTATATCCGATAGAAACAGTGGCGAGGGCATTATCTGCGGTTAAGCTTGCTCTCAATGCTTTCGCACCATCTAAGTAGAAGCCATTTAAGGGAGCCGAGAAAGTTTCTGAGGAAGATCAGAAAAACAGACAATGGAGTATAGAATTCATATGGAGGAAGGACTCGAGGCGCAGAGCATGATACAACTCCATGTTCATATCATATCATATCTTATCATATCCGGAGCCTATTTGAAGCAGCGTTGCGGCGTACGTATGTCAGTTGATCGGACAGCTGGGGGAGAGGGGGAGAGGGAGAGGAGGGAGCAGGATGGCGGGAACATTCACGGGCGGCGCTGCCCGCCGTGGACGAGCTGCGAGCCTGCGTAGGTCTCAGTTTCCGACGCTCCTCCGCTGGGGAGCGAGGTTGAAGACGCCGTCTTCATGGGGGCGAGAAAGACTGGCGCGGATGGGCCGGGAACGAAGAAGAACGGCGGCCAAGAGGAAGGGACTTCATGGCCGGCGGCGAGTGGTGGGGTCAGTGAGGCAGAAGCAGCCATGGGAGGGGAGATTTGGTGCAGTCCTGCCATTGGACCGCGGGACCGGCCTCTGAGGGATCTTTCTCTTCTTCTTGATACGTGGACACGTCGGAGACAGCGACAGGTTTCGAATAACGAGTCACCGGCTCCTCGCCGTCTGGCTTCTTTCCGCCGATCTGCGTCGGCAGCCTTGCCAGTTCATGTGCCCCTTCTTCGTCTGGAGCTGCTGCGGTTCCCTTACGTGGCCGGGCAGGCTCCCACGCGGAAGCCGCTGGACAAGTTCGATGTTCAGTGGGGCCTCACCTGAACTAAAACTTCTGGTGGCTAGGTGGATGGAGATATATCTATATACGTAAATACATATGTGCAGGGAGAGAGAGAAAGAGAGAGAGAGGACGCCGGAGTAGTTGTAGAGTTTTGCCGTAACTGGCTATTTAACCGGGTTATTTAACTCTCTCTCTCTCTCTCTCTCTCTCTAGAAGAACGGAAGAAATTAAGCTTTTGGGGGGGGGACTGGGGTCTGCTTCTGTCGAATTTAAGCAGACTTGGGCATCCGGAGACTTTTGCGGTCACGGCCGCAAGATTGGTCCTGGCGTTGACGTTGGTTTCAAGGTCCCCCGCCCCCACTCCCTCTATTAACCAAGCCGTCGCATTTATTGAAGCCCCCTTGTCTCCCACCCCGGTTAGAACTGATGAACTGCACTCGGGCCTGGTTTCCTGCCGCCGTGGGTGGGCGTGCCACATTTCTCGCTGGACTCCGCGAGTCAACCTAGTCGAATCTTCTCTCGATAGACGTTGGATTGTGTCCTATTTTTCTAAGATTCGCTTCGTTAGCTTGAGAATATTCTAATAGTAGCATTTCACGTGTGCCCCATATTATAGGCTATCATTCTTAGACATCTAGGGTCTCGAAACCTAGTGAGATAAACTAATATTGTCTTAAGTAATAGGGAGGAGATGGGCTGATCTAAAGCTGGACGATAATCAATGAGCTAATTTTGTAGCGTATACTTCAAACATGCATCGTGAGACGGGGCCCAAACCCTAGATAAGTAAACTTTAATGGCGAATTTATTAAACCTTTGAGACTCCATAGGTTTTCTTCACGGTTCAATTTCACACCTGCACGGAGAGCGGGAAATGGCTTCGAGACGGTTCCCTGGCTTGGAATGACGAGAGAGAGAGAGAGAGAGAGATAATCCGGGATTGTTTGACGTTAAGTGAGCCGCCTCCATTTCTACACGACGAGAGAGTTTTCAAATGAATCTGATCGATGACTAGAGAGGGTCTTCCACTAAGCAACTGATGTGGTGAGTTCTAAATCCGTTGACAGTTTTATGTGTGAACCTAATCCGCCCCTGCAGTCACGGCCTCTCGACCATGACTGAGGAGACTGGCTGCCTCGACTCGACCCTCGTACATTCGGAATGTTCATGGGGAGATTGCGAGCTCGAACATTATCAGATCTCGACATGATCGGGATTAGTTGTTGGGTTGACTTCTGCGCTCGGTGATCTATATATATTCTCGACGACCCGACGCAGTGGTCGACGGGTCGTGTGGTCAAATGACTCGGTGGGTCCAATCGATCCCATCCTTTCCCCGACAACCCTATAATATGTATTGATTCGAGGTGGAATAAGTAACTCGAACTTTGGCCTGCTAGCCAATATGAAAGGGAGCAGCGTCCGGAGTGAAGGCGTTGAGGCGGCGTCATCGAGCAAGTGGCCACAGTGCGGGAGGGTTCACCCGGGAGCAGGTGGGCTCCCACCGTCATCCGTTCCATTCGCTGCCACCTCTGGTTCTCCATTTCTCCATTCCCGGGCCCTCTCCACTGTTCCCACCCCCCACCCCCTCTCCCCTTAAGTCACCTTGCTCTTCCATTGATCCTCACGACCTATGTCTGAGCGCGTGTACAAGAGAGAGAGGAGAGGAGCGTGCTGTCTTTTCTCCCCTTCCTTTTCATCTTCTGTTGAGTGGTTCCTCGTTCTGGGTTTCTCCCTCTATCAATGGGCAACTACAGATTCAAGTTTTCCGACATGATACCCAATGCCTGGTTCCACAAGCTAAAGGACGCAAGCAAGGCGACGAGCAGCTCGAACCTCAAGAAGGCGCCCCCCGCGAGAATGGCAGGCTCTTCCTCAGTCAGGCAGGTACAGGCGACGGAGCCAAGCCCGCAGCAGCCGAGGTACCAGCCGGGGAGAGCTTCCTACTACTTCCCCACTCGGCAGGAGAAGCTCCCGAGTCCATATGTTCGTCTCGGAGGGTCCGGCTCGTCTTTCGTCATCGATCCCCCCAGAAGGTCCAAGAAGAAAACCCAGAAGAAGCACGCCAGGTTGCCCACGGTCGCCGGATGCAGCTGCCACGGCACTGTTTGGAAAACGGCGACAACGACGGGGTTCCCACTGGCTCCCTACAGCTCAACTTACACGGGCAGCGGCGGCGGCGGCAACAACGACGACGACTACGAGGGGGTCCCTTGCTCCGACAAGCCCATCATCGCCGAGCATAGCGAGCACGACAAGCCCGTCATCGCTGAGCATTATGGTTCCGACTGTACAGCGGCCTTCCCACGCTCTTCCAGCTGCAGGTTCACTTCGTCGGCTACAGATATAATCTTAGATATGCGCAGCAAGAGCTCCCCTGGCCGGGAAATTCAGGAGACGGGAGACATTTATGGAATTCCGGAACTCGTCCTTCCCCCAATTCTAACCAGGCCCCTCAAAGCTGGACACAGCTCGAGGAAACTGAACGACGGTGGAAGCGGGAGCGCGAGGGATTGCTGCGGGGAACTGTGTTCATCTCCCCCGTCCAGAGAGCACAGGAAATCCGTGAGAATCCACGGTCTCAGAATGCGCGCATGCTCTCCGCGGCTCGCCGGCAAGAAGATCCGCCATCGGAAGGCCGGGGGGTCATCGACGAAGAAATTCCTGGCTGAGAGCTTCGCGGTGGTGAAGAATTCGTCGGACCCGGGGAAGGACTTCCGGGACTCCATGATGGAGATGATCGTGGAGAACAACATCCGGGCCTCCAAGGACTTGGAAGATCTGCTCGCCTGTTACCTCTCTTTGAACTCCAACGAGTACCACGACGTCATCGTGAAGGTATTCGAGCAGATCTGGTTCGATCTGACCAATCCTAGATTGCGAGGCAGTTCTTAACGCCTCCTTTCCTGCACATTTGGAATTGCTTTGCACCAGAAATCTCCTGTCTTTCAAGGAAATCTCTCAGTTACTGCTACTATTACTGCTACTACTTTACCACTACTACCGCCACCACCAACACTACTAATTAAAGATTTCGAGACGACTCCTAGGACCCTACCCACGAAACTGGAATTTTTATATACGCGAGACTTGAACTGCGTTGACCACTGTCTCAATTCGCTCCTCTCCCTCCCTACTACCATCATCACTCACTAACGTTGCTACTAATTGTAGATTTTGAGTCGGCTGCTTAGAAACTCCTATGCTTTCTCACAAGAAGTTAGAACTTCAGTGACTATTTTCTCCGTTCCCTATCTCTCCCTCTCTATCTCTCTCTCTCTCTCTAAACATGTTGACAATTCCGGCAGTCTGAATGATGAGGCGAGCCGAAATCTCAAATCAGGGAACAGTGAGTCGCCCAAATCCTCCCGAAATCTGAATCACTGTGCCAAAATCTCCCACCAACGAATTTAATCTTCTGGGACTTGAATGCCACATAATGATCCCTGACGGGGGCCCGTCGCGAGAGAGTCGGACCCCATGGAGGACGATCCCGATGCCGATGTTGACTTTCAATGCCCCCCCTCCCTTGTTCTCTTTTCAGCCGCCCATCAGTCCCATCCCCTATCATTTCCGCTGCACGGGGGGCAGTTAAGACCGCGAACGAAGACTTCCCGCGCCCGCTCAGAGTGGCCCCCTTCTCTCGCCGCCCTTTCTCCGACCGCCATCCGAAGCCTGCCGGCGGTCGCCATCAACGGCCGCTTGGAAGACCGAGAGGGGAGGAGCGCGGCGGCGAGCCCGCGTGTAGCTCCTTTCTACCGCCACGTCGAGTCATGATTACCGGAGAAGAGCTGGCTGAGCCGCGGCGGGGGACTGAGAAGAGAGAACAGAAGATGGGTCACGCCGGCGACCAATTAATGGCCAGAGAAGGGCCTGCGCACTGCCAAAGCTAGCTGTGGCGAGCTGCCGCGCAACAGAGACGAAATGTCAACTCAATTAAACCGCTCCTTGCAGGGACGAAGGCCATCGCGGCTGCGCCTCCAGCTCTGCAACGCGCGGAGGAAGAAAGTTATTGCTTCGCAGAAGACTGGCTCTTCTACGTACTCCGATACGATCCATTCCCCTCGTCCCTCTATTTCTCTACCTGCACGGGTCGATCGTTCGTATATGGGGAAGGGAACCCTGGCGGCGGGCGAAGAATGACAGGTGCCGCACGTGCGGGCTCCGCCTCTTCTGAGGACCAAACGAAAGCAAGCACGTCTCCTGCACCCCCCCTACCCTCAGGGCTCTCCGACAAAGCCACCACTGGCTCTTTGGAGAAACGCCGAATGGGTAGTAAATGATCGTGCCGGACAAAGATAGCTCATCCGGCGCCATCGTCGTCTCCTGTCTTCGACAAAATTATAAACTCCTTTAAAATAATGCTGAGAACAGCCACGGCCAGTTCTCCGGTCGGCATCGGCGTCCCAATAATGATGAGCGAGAGAGAGAGAGAGCCAAGCCAAGGGTGTGAACGGCTCTGGTTATCGTTTAATATGGCCGGATACCGGAGAAAAGCCCGGAAATGGGCTCCTCATCGGACCCTTGTGAAGCCTCGTCCGGGCCTGCCCTCTACCTGTACTTGTCAACAGAGAGAGGAAGAATGAGAGAGAGAGAGGGGGATGAGGGATGAGGGCTGACAAGTAATGAATGTGAGATGTTGGTGTTCAGGTCGGACCCTATCGCAACGTTGAAGCAGCGCCTTCGAAATTACTAGACGCGATGGTGGACGGACGTAGAGAGGGAAGGGGACACGAACGGAAGAGAGAGAGGCAGAGAGATGGGAGACCTTTGGCGATGGGAGAGTTGTGCACGTGAAGCACAGAAGAAACGTCCACACGTGTGGATCAGACAAGGCTAAGTGGAGGCCGCAGAGACGATGCAGACCAGTAAAAAGACGACTCGCAGGGCAATCTTCACATAGATTCTTCACATGGGAGTAGAAAAACACGTGGGGCCCGCATGAACCGACACGACGGCGTCTTCTCGTCGTTCTTGAAAAGGCTTTTACATATATATTTTTGGAAATACGCAAAATTTCCAGTAGAAACCCCCGTGCACCCTATGACTTCATATCCGGGGATAATTAATATATTATTGTCACTATTTTGATTATTTTCCTAAAATGGCTCACTGAGAGTATGATTGTAGATCGTAATACCATCCAGGGAATATAATCTATATATACATATTAATAGAAAAAAAAAAATTCACAAACTACTTTATTTAAATAATAATATTTATTTTTTTATTTATTTTACTAGCTGTGTCCACCGTATCACTCTCTTGTTCGGATAAAAAAATTCATACATCTTTCAAAATAAAAGTCGCATGCTAGAATCACAGCTGTATATGGTTAGTTGAAGGGGTGTTATTTATTTCAAAGCATCCACAAACGGCATAAGCTATTATAAATTAAAGAACGAAAAAAATGATATAAGGTACCACTATTTCGGTGTTTTTGATTACTTAATGTATTTTTAAAATGAAAAACTATTATTTTTCTGTTGAGGGGGAGGGGGCGGGAGGAGTAAACTTGAGAAGATTGATGTTCTTCTGGTAAGAGGTAGGAGAGCCAATAGAGCATGGGATACGACGGGGGATGCGGACGTCAGCCGTGCAAATTGGCCATACTGTTCAGATCGTGATTGCCTAACCGTGGATCGCTGTTGCCATGCTTTCCGGTCAGAGGGATGGAGGGAGGGGAGAAGGAGATAGAGATGCCGAGAGGGAGAGAGAGAGAGAGAGAGAGAGAGAGGTTAAGAAAGGGGTTCCTTGAACACTAATTTGACTCGGTATATTTGGTCAAAGATAGGTTGAACTTTACTGGTCCACGTATCGGTGAGATAGGTTAAGAAAGGGGCGATCTTTGGTCTTCCGCCCGAGATCTCAAGGTACACAATTGATGGCGTTTCTACTGTTCCAATCTCTCACCGCGGTGGACGTTCATACCTGTATATATGTATATATCTATTTACTAGAGAGAGAGAGAGAGAGAGAGAGAGAGGAGAGAGGGCGAGGGAGAGAGGGAGAGGGAGAGGGAGTGATAGAGAGAGATAGAGAGAGAGGGGGGGGAGAGAGAGAGAGAGAGAGAGAGAGAGAGGACCATAGAACAAGCCCCGGGAGTAGAGATAGCCCCCACTGGAAGGCTACTACGCGTAGGGTTGAGGAGTGACGAAGTAGCGTTGCAGTTAAAAGATCCTGGCCCAGACTCACTGCTGGCCAGTCACCTTGAGCGGAGATTACTACGTGCGACCGCCCGTGTGGAAGAAAGTCAACGCTTGGCACGATGATTAATGGGCCAGTACACGTCATCGTGGGGAAAGAGACTGCAGCGCTCACGGGAGGAAAGCAGGAGGTTGCGACCAGGCCCATTTTAGAGGCTTTGAAGATTTCAGCCTATGGGCGCAACTCCGTTGGGGAGGCTTCTTTTACCTCTAAACACCGACGGGAAGAAACTCGAAACCCTAACTTCTGTACTGGGGAGCCTATAGCGTGTATTTTGCGAGAAGATGAGCTCATCCCCTTCCCCACGTGAGCCCCGAATTCCTGCCGCATCTGGAGGTGCCTTTGTGGGAGATCTCCCCCGGAGTCTGGAACCCGATGTTCTCCACGGAGCCGACCGTCTTGAACATCCGCTTGTTGACCTCCTCCACCAGCGCCCGGTGCAGAAGCTGGCTGCGCATGTCTACCAGAGAGCGGTTCCTCGCCAGCCGCCGTGGCTCGGGCTCCTTGCCGCACCGCCCGGACCCTCGTGGCGACTCCGGCCACGGGTCGCGTTTCTTCACGGCGCAGTGATCAAGTCTGGGGACTTCTTCGGGGCAGAATCGCGTAGCTCGGTGGAGTGGGGGTTCCCTTCCCTGGGACTCCAGCTCGGTCTCCGGCACCATGCTGGAGATCCAGTTCTCGAACGAGTACCTGCCAGAGTTCGTTGAGGAGCGAGAACTTGCATCGTCGTCGTCGTCGTCATCGTCGTCTTCAAAATCTGTAACATAGAACCAGAGACTTTAGATCTCTTCCTTCGCTACTAGGTACCATTCTGGAGATTATACCGGCGATACCTTTCGTCCACAGAGGCTGAGGAACCCCGGTATGGTGAGAAGGGAGACTATAGGACATGGAACCCTGCGTGGATGTGGACGAGGAGAGTTCGTGGAAAGGGTGGCTGTCGTCTTCGTCTCCGTAGACATAGCTTTGCTGTTGCCCTTCTCCGGTTTCCGGGTCCTTCCAGTCGGGCACCAGAGCTGAGACCTCCCGAGCTATCATCTCGGCAATCTGGGAGGGGTCACGGTAGGTTATCTCCAGCTCCCTCACCATCTCGGTTGCGACGTCCATGGGGGAGTCGCTGACGACATCGAAGGGGAAGTAGATGTTCTGAGCTTCGCCTGTTCATCGTAAATATTAGCCCCCGCGACGAGTGGAGACGGATCATCATCCACTTCAACCGGAGGATTTAATTATCGTAACAGCACGCGACGTTACCTTGTTTGTCCGTGATCTGTACTTTGAGAATTATGGTATCGCCCTCAGAGTTGATCTTCCCGGTTATCTTCATGTCAGGGCTCTGTTTCGCTCGCTGCGATGAGCGCGGTTGGCTGCAGCTATGTCTGGTGTTGCCACTAATCAACATCGCCGGGGGGTCGGAGCCGTGCAGAAAGAGAAGAAAAGGGTCCAGAAGTAGCTCTTTCGCCGGCGACCTCTTCGAAGCATCGTGCTCCAGGCACCTCCCGATGAATCGGCGGGCTTCTGGATCTTTTACTCTGTAGAACGAATCGGGCAGCTTCCCCTGTCAACAAGAGGATGGATATCAACGTTGCCGGAAGCGACATCTCCAACGAAGGAAGACGGCGACGAGAGGCTACCAGGGTGACTTTCCGGTAGATCTGTGCAGGGTTTGAGCACTCGTTGTAGGGATACTCGCCGGTGAGCATCTCCAGGACGCACATCCCGAAGGAGTATATGTCCACCAGCTCGTTGTACACCTCGTCGTACAGCTCCGGCGCCATGAATTCTGGCGTGCCTGGTGCAGAAGAGAAGACGAACTTCACTTCCATAAATAATTCCATTGAGGAGAGAGAGAGAGAGAGATATAATTACCTATGACACTGTGGGCCGCCTGAGAACCACGGAGAATCGCCGCGAGCCCGAGGTCGCCAATCTTGACTTGCCCGAGATGGCCGTTGACGAAGATGTTGTCGCACTTGAGATCCCTGTGGATCACCGGGGGATCGTGACCGTGGAGGTAAACGAGGCCATGAAGGATTTGCCGGGCCCAGTTCTTCACGGCTCGGATGTCAACGCGCCTGTATCTCTGCCGGTACCTGGGCAAAAGTTCTTCCCGGTCAATCTGCAATCATGAACTCCAGGGGGGGGGGGCGGAGGGCGGGGATCTTACTCCCTGAGGGTCCCGGAGGTGAACATCTCCGTGATGAAGTTGAAGGTTCTCTTGCCGCCGTCGACCCAGGAGGTGTGGAAGCTGATGATGGAGTCATGGTGGAGGGTGCTAAGGAGGTGCACCTCCGAGTAGAGCCGCTGCAGCGCCTCCGGTGACCGCATCACGTCGTAGATCTTCGCCTGGTTCCATGCCACCTCTACGCCGTCCACCTCGTCGAAGGCTCGGTAGCTGCAGGTTCCTCCGTCAAGGCGACCACCATTTCACGAAGATCGTATCGAATACTGGTAAGAAACGACAACGAGCTATGGCGAGAGGTTTTGCTCAAGGATACACGGTCTTCATCGCTCCCTTCCCCAGCATCTCGTCGAACTTAGGGATCAGAGAAGGGGGGGAGAATCAAAGTCAGATCTTCGAACCCGGATCCGTATCAAACTCTCATCGACTTAATTGAAAGCTATCAGATCATGCATGCGATGAAAGCCTCGCAACGCCGTTCCCCCCATATCTCGAACGGGAAGTCAACCCACCCGCGGAGGAATCCCCACGAACTCGTCGAAGATGCGAGCGATGAACAACGATGACAAGATAATATATTTAATTGAGCGATCTGCAATTATTGAACTTAAGAAATGTCGACGTCTCTCCCTCCTCTCTCTCTCTCTTCTTTCGTAACCAGAAAACGGGATTATTTCGCCGATAAACGAGCGAGAGATCGCTGGCGATAATTCGATAAGATCAGAAGAGATGAAGAAAAAGGATGAGAAAAAGAGAGGGGGGGCGGGAGGGATTAAGAACTTACTCTTCCGTATCGCCCAGTGGGATCGGTCTCGGCGTACTCGCCGTACTCGCCGTAATCCTCCGAGTTCTGGCACCGGCTGCTGACGGGCCGCTCTCGCCGCCTCCCCTCTGACATGGCTCCAAGATCAAGGATTCCCCCCACTCCCAAACTCCCAGACGCCGCAAGACAGAAGCTCTCTCTTCAAACAAGGCGAGATGCAGTTGCAGAAGAGAAGAAGAGGGAGAGGTATGAGTTCGGACAAGAAACGAGAATCGGAAGAACCGGGGGGGATCAGGGGGAGGTCTTTCCTCTCCAGCTAGATCCGCGGTTTCCCTTCGTGATTCTCGTAGGAGAAGACACCGAACATGACCCAGAAGAGTCTCGAGTAGTCGATTCTCAGCATAGTCCACGCCATATCCAGGACAGACTCCCGCGAGAAACCAAACCGATCAGCTAACATGGGCTGTGGACAGGTGGTCGCACGGCAATTATCCGGAGACGGAGGGGGTGTGCCTCCCTCAGACGGCGAGAAAGCGAGAGGGGGGGAAGAAGGAGAAGCGTACTTGTCTATTCTTCCCTTCGGAATCCCGGCGGCGGGGTGGGCTCTTGATGGGTGGGGGAGATAGCCCTCGAATAGGATGTTTCAGAAGATAGGGGGGAGGAGGACGTCAGCGCAGGGAGAAGCGGCTCTGAACTTGAAGGATTTCCGTCCTCGCTTGGTTGCAGGGGGAACCATCTGCGATAAGCTCGAGGAGAAAGAAGGCCGGAGAGGAGGAGCAAGTCGACAAAAACCGAGCTGAGAGAGGAGATGGCGGGCTTTTCGGAGGTAAATAGTGCAGCACCAGGCATCGCCCCCTAACGGCAACGCTGACGCGTCGGCCCCAGGGGGGGAGTAGTTTTGACGTCATATTCTCACGGCGTTTGTTAACCCGACGAAATATTCTCTTCCAGGCCGTCGAGTGGGGCCCAGAAGCAACGATATCAGTCCACGTGGACACTGACTGAATCCAGTACACGACGAGACCTGAAAAGAAAAACAGCCCGCCGGACATTCTGGCCACCACAAATACGCATTATAAGTGATTAGTCGTCGATTACCACCTCATTTGTGTGAAAGTTTCTTCATAAACGGCCATCTAGTAGAACCAAAGGGTGGGCCCCACGGCCAGCAGCCGCCCGTCCTCCATCCGACGGCGGTGAGCCGCCTTAGCAGGGGACCAAATGACGCCGACCGGTGGCCACATGGTGACCGTACAGAAAATTATTTGGCTATTTTATCTTTTTCGTGGGCCCCACATTTCCAACCGATCCCGCTACAAAAAAGAAAGGTTTAACTGGGCCTATGTGTTGACAAAGTCCCAGACGTCGCGTGGGGCCGATATTTAACGAGCTTTTATAATGGGCCCAATGTTAGAACATGGGCCGACTGAGATTGGGTTAACTGGGCCCATCGACCGGAATATCCAGCCCAGTGCAGATAATAAATAAACATTTATTAATAACCAAGAGAATATTCCACGAACAGAGCATCCCAATTGTGAACCAGGGTACACCAAGGAAGTCCAATCCTGATCGTTAGATGAGTGTCTCCTCCCCAATCGGATGGTATCCGGTCGTCTCTCCTTTCTGAACGTGGTTCTTCTCCCCCGACTGGTAACTAGCGAGGTGGCACCTCTGGTCTGTAATGGCCCCGTGGTAGCAACGGAGAGAGGAAGAGGGATCGCCGGGGGCGGGGCGGGGAGGTGAGTGGGGGAGAGGAGGTGGGGGAGGAGGAGCAGGAGGAACAGGAGGTCGATATACCGCTCTTCTCCTGATCTGAGGATCACGCACGGAGGAGAGGAGGAAGATGGTGTCCGGTAAGATGTTTTTGTGGGGATTCGTCGCCGTCCTCTGTTTCTTCTCGGCCCTGCTCTCGGGGGTGGCCGCGAGGATGGGTCCTCCGATTCTGGATGGAGATATTTGGAGATCCCCGGAGCACATTTTCGACACGTCCAACTACGGGAGGCTTCAGCTCAACAACGGCCTCGGTCGCACTCCTCAGATGGGGTATAATTAGCCTCCTCCTCCCTACCAACCTGATTTGATACTCTCCTCGGCAATTGTTAGCGCGAAGTTTTACGGTGTCCACGTGTCTGCAGCTTGCGGGATTTCTGATGACCTCGCCTGCCGTACGTTTTATAAAAAAATTGTATTACCTTGTTTATTAATTGGTGCATTTGTGGATATTTCACGTTCATAGGAGACAGTCATTCCTTTAATTTTTTTTTTAATTGTTTCCTTGTTCTGTATGACATAATTTTATTGATTTTAAATATTCATTGTTCTTTCCCTTATTTTCTGGTGCAGATGGAATAGCTGGAACTTCTTTGCATGCAATATCAGTGAAACGGTCATTAAAGATACAGGTATGCTTCATTGTCACATTACCCCAACTCACTGGTCATACTTGCCTCATTCCATAGAGCCAAGTTAGCGCGTTAGTTTAGTAGAAGCCTCGATCCCCTTTGCTTGGGATCATGTTCCACCGTCAATGTTATCCAGTGCTATTTTGTCCCCAATGGTTCCGGACAGGACGGGCCTTCAAATGCATTAATCACATCCAGATGGGATTAATCCCAATTTTACCTGCGAATTTTTCTCGCACATTCAGATAATCTCAGGTATTTGTGCAGTCTTCAACGACATACCCATAAAACGTCTTCTGTTGTGGACTTTATTTGATGTTATCCGATGTTTATATATATATTTTTCTGATGGTGGTTATACTCTCTCTATTGCAGCCGACCCGCCCATCTCAGCTGATGGGTAATCCTTTGTGTTTCTGTTTGGTAATATGGTTGCCTTCCTGTATTACAGCTGATTCACTCATCTCTACAGGACTTGCTGCCTTGGGTTACGTCTATGTAAATATAGGTGACTTGAAGAAGCCTTCATTTGTCTTATTTGCACATTGTTCTTTTGTTTCTCATATTTCCATTTTTATTGCAGACGATTGTTGGTCAGCTCCTTCGCGAGATATGAAGGTATGTTGAAACTCTTTTTCTTTTTTAGGACGTTGATAGAATATTTCATCTGGCGTCATTTTTATCATTATAAACCTTTCGAGGAAATCTCCCATACTGGACGATGTTGAAATATTCTAGATGATGTTTCCATATTTAAGGAGATTTTCCTTTTGGTCTAAATGCAAGAACGGGAGTGTTACTGTGGAAAGATGATACGAAAAGGCTTCAACAATTTCTTCAGCAGTCGTTCTCATTGCTAATTGAATAAATTTTTTTAGATAAGTGCAAGTTTCAGTCATAATTTACTAGAAAATACTATTAAGGGTTAGGGAGTTTTTTTTCCCTTTTGAGGGGTTAGGGAAAATGTGGAGATTGAGGGAGCCATTTGTTGATGCTAATGCAGTTGTGATTCTTTTTCTGTCATTAGTATGAAATAGGAGTACTAACCTCAAGTTTTGAATATTGTATCTGCCTTTGTAGGGTAATTTGGTGGCTGACCCAAGGACGTTTCCTTCCGGAATCAAAGCACTTGCAGACTACATACATGAAAAGGGCCTGAAGCTTGGTATTTACTCTGATGCTGGGTACGAAATTTGAAGCCATCATGACTGAGAACTTTGAATCACAATCTGAAAAAATTGCATGCGGATCTAGATATAATTTGCGATAGAATTGCCTTCTGCCTTTTAAATTCTTTCTGAGTCAAGTGCAACTGACAGGGCCTTTACATGCCAAGTGCGCCCTGGATCCCTCTTCCATGAGCAGAATGATGCAGAGCTTTTTGCATCTTGGGTATGTCTACACACAGTAAATCAGAGATGTAGGATCTGAAAGTGTACAATCCTCTCTAGAAACGTTTGTGTAGTTTCCGGATTTGGATTGAAACAAGTGTTTGATATTAATTAATGCAAAACTATGATCACCTTCTCTGCATTTTTTCCGCAGTGTTAACCATTTTTTTTTCTGTGTAACTATATATATTCAGGGTGTTGACTATATAAAATATGATAACTGCTTCAATTTGGGGATCAAACCGGAAGAAAGGTGTGACCTCATTTTATGTTCTCTCTCTCTCGAATCTTGTTCTGTTCATCGTCCTCCTGAATCGAGTTTTTTCATTTCAGATATCCCCCAATGCGTGATGCACTGAATGCAACTGGAAGAGCCATTTTCTACTCACTCTGTGAATGGTAACCTGTGAATCTATTGGAAAGGTATATATCAATGAAGCAAATCTCATACTGGTAAATCCGTTTGATAGGGGTGTTGATGAACCAGCGTTATGGGCCGGAAAGGTTGGAAATAGTTGGCGTACAACAGATGACATTAATGATTCCTGGGTGAGGTCGGAAGTTTTTCTGTTTGCCTTCCTCTGATTCAATATTCTTTACCCCAATCTGAATTATGTATAACCTTTTTGTCTCCTTTAGCATGACGACTATTGCTGACCTCAATGACAAGTGGGCATCATATGCTGGGCCGGGAGGATGGAATGGTGATAAATTTGACCAACGACGTGCATTCAATTATAACTATTGGATTTTATGCCTATCATGTGGAGAAAATTCAGCACTACACTCACAGTGCACCGTTCTATCTTCTTAATAGACCCTGATATGTTAGAAGTTGGCAATGGAGGTATGACTCACCAGGAGTATCGTGCGCATTTCAGCATCTGGGCTTTGATGAAGGTGATGCTAGAATGTTTGTCTTGAATACCCGATGCGTGAATCATCTATTAATGTATGGGTTTTTCTAGCCATTTTAATATTTAAAGTGTCATTGGTATACCATAATTAACAGAACTATCCATAATCAGCCAAAGTGCCTGAAAAAACTATCTTGATGATGCAAATTTTATTTCATATTCTCTGTTGTCTATACCCCGGAGAAGGGTATCTGAAGGTAGAGTTGTAATTACATATTAAAAAGTGGAAAAATCCCAAATATCTAATTGACTACTAAGCGTCCACTTTTTGCATTCTTTCTTCCCCCGATCTTGAATTTTTGAGTAGCAATATCTGAGGAGACGTCATAACTGTGCTACATCATCTTATTTATCTGAACCAATCCTCTTCATCATCTTTCGTCTGCTATTTTTAGGCTCCGCTTTTGATTGGTTGTGATGTACGAAACATGACAACTGAGACGCTGGAGATCTTAAGCAACGAGGAGGTTATTGCTGTGAATCAAGGTAGTATTCTTCTGTTTCCACAGCATATCTGCTTTTTTTTTTTTTCTTTTTTCTGTCATGGATGTACTTCGAAAGCTTTGGTAGAAAACACCATTTTGTGTCAAGACTTTGGATTGTAGAATCAGTTTTATGAGCACATTTATAGAATGTCCTCTGAATTCAGAGATGTTTCACTCCGAAATAAGCAACTAGGATCTATACATGCGCATATTCATTGTCATAAACACAGCTTATATGAAGTTAACAGCGGGAACTATTTCTCATCATTCAAAGGATTGAATGCTGACCTGCAAACTTTATTGGGGCGTGGTTTATTGGTTCAGCCGTTCTGGTCAACTGGGTCTGTGTGGGATAGCCTCGGGAGAGTCTAGGCATAGGTGCATTTTTATTTTTTTTATTTTACAAATTCTGGTATCATCAAATTTCCTTTTAAAAAATAAATAATAAAATGAGCCATCATATGCTTGACTAGCAGAAATAGTAATAATTCATTACATCGGACACACACCTCACAGTCAATATACTTAAAGTATTGAAGAGATCATGCAACAGGAGAAGGTACCATTCCTGGAAATTTTATTATCCTTTGCTGGAGAAGTTCATCTTGGCTTACTCAAGAAAGCGACCAAAACCCTTTGACGTACCTACTCAAGGAAGGATGATATGAGCCCCTTGGAAAATTCCTCAAGGGAAAAACACGTTACTATGCATGACCTGTGATCTAGACTTCTTTGGGATTTATTTTACCGGCTGTTGCGGCCTTGGTTCTTTGGAAGTATTAAAGTCAAATTGTTTGACCCGCCTCTTCTTGCATCTGTCTTTCAGATCCTCTTGGCATCCAAGGAAGGAAAGTTTCTGTCTCGGGAGAAAATGGATGCGAGCAGGTTCTTACTTCTGCGTCTATCTTGTAATTTCTGTATAGCATATATTTTTTTAACCGGAATCTAGGGCATGCACATTGCTAGTCAACCATGGTTTGCAAATCTCTAGTACTGATTATAAATATCTGACTTAGCTTGTTTGCATCACACGTAGAAAGTCAACTTCTTAAGAAATCTTTAGATGACGGGTCTCCCCCAAACTCACACAATCAAATCCTTACATGTGGGAAACTCTTTCTTCTTTTGTTGATTATTCAAGGGCAAGTTGGTTTCCTCATTCGAGCTTCTAACTGAACCAATTATGTTTTCCATGATTCTGGAAAGAAAGAGGGTCAACTCTTTCACAGATCTGTTCCCTGGAGAGAACCCAGTTTTTTTTTTAGTACATTTCTTCTCGACAGCTTCTATCTCCGAGTGTATCGCCGCACCTTCTTTTCCATCAGTCGATGGTCAACGGGCGTTGACTTAATGCAATACCAGGTGTGGGCGGGCCCTCTGTCCGGAGGCAGGCTGGCGGTCGCTCTGTGGAACAGGTGTTCCTCTGTCGTCTCCATTACGGCCAGGTGGGAAACGCTTGGTCTCCACACGTCCACAAGCTCTTCGGTGAGAGATCTGTGGAAGGTGAGGAGGCCCTCTGCGGTCCAATCCGATGCAGTCTCTTAAGAACATGGGCACGAGGAGTTGATCGTATTATGCCACGAAAATGTCTTCTAACCCATTTCACCTGGCAGCACGAAGTCATTGAGGAGAACGCGGTCGAGAGCTTTGAAGCTCGAGTTGACGCCCACGACTGCCGCGTGTTCGTCCTGGCGCCCGAGGTCTCATATTCTGTGGCCTGATTGGAGCTGCCAGTGTGTGGTGCTTAGCGAAGAACCCGGGCCGTGTACTTTGGTTCAATGGGTCTGTTTTGTTAAAGTGGGATTGATATGACTTTCACAAAGTTGAGAGATGTTGTACAGCGTCATTGTTGGGGGGGAGGGCCACGCAGGTTTGCGCGATTGAATGAGAGAGAGCGAGAGAGAGAGAGAGAGAGAGAGAGAGAGAGAGAGAGACAGAGGACTCCAGTCCATGGGGCCTGATGGGCTTGCGACGACTTTTATATAATCCCAGAGGCCATCCACCCGGCGAGGAACAGCGAGAAGAAAAGCAGGGAGATCTCAGACAGGAACAGACAGTCGCAGCAAAATCCCAAGTACACGGGGGGGCTAACAACAAGGCGACGACATCAAGCCGCCTCTCCGTCGAAGGCGTCGCTGGCGTGCTTCCAGTTGATCACCTTCCATATGTTCTTCAGGTAGTCGGGTCTCACGTTCTTGTACTGCTCCCATTCCACCCGCCGTGAGAAGACGAACACCCAAAATAATAATAATAATAACAATAACAACAACAATAATAGTAATAATAATAATAACAGCAAAACAATAGTGGCCACGTCAGCAGTCAAGGAGATTTAAGGACCAACAAAATCTTATCCGTTAATCAATCCCGAACCCACCCTACGGTTTCTTGATCAGGCATGCAAAATGTGGGGACTTAGCTAGCTCAAGTCTCATCCGTTAGACCATTTCTCTTCATTTCAACAGGAGATTTTCTTCTGCTAGTGGTATCAATTCGATCTATTTTCGGCGTCATATGCATGTTTAGACCATATGGTTCTCAGGAGTAATCATTCCTTATTACGCAGATAAGATAATTGCCATTACAGGAACCGAAGAGAATAGGGAAAGGGGTCGTTGACCAGGTGTACTCACCTGCAGATAGTAAGCGTGCTCCCATACGTCTATTCCCAATAGGGGAACCAGATGTAGCCCCTTTGTCACCAGGGGGTCCTGTAAAGTTTTCACCAGGTAGAGTAGAACAACAAGACATGGACGATTGAAGCTGGTTGAATCTGAGAAAGAAATGGCAGCCCCATGGGGGAGAGAAGTGGAAAAGAAACATCGAGATCTTTCTTCCAAAACACAAGCGTATACCGTGATGCATTCTGTCAAAACGATTAAGGAAATGGGAAAAACAGATCATCGACAATAAATAGTAAAAAAAACTGCATCCCTGGTGGCTGTCTCTTCATCTCGTTACTGGGATAAGGACTAAGATCAGTCGCGATTGGTCTAATTCTCAAAAATTAGTACAATTTCATGCACAAAACGAGGATGATTTATGCCACCATCCACCAAACGGTGGCATCCAAGACAGAGCGCTCCCATGGATGTGACAGGATGGTTACCTGGTTTGCAGTAGTTTCAATTCTAACTTTCTTCAACTCCTTGTCCAGAGCAAGCCACTGTAAATATTGTATAGACAGACAAAAAGCATGAAAAGGAAGTGGCTTAAAGGCCTGAAGTTTTCTAACAACATTCTGTATGTGATATTTTAGATTGTAGGGCTCACCACCCATCCGGAACCCTGAAGAGCTGCACCTTCTGAACTCATCTTTTGAACAAGTGCTTCGAAGGAACCAAAATCTGCATCAATAGCCCAGCCAAGTGCACCCTTTGGAGGCTCACCACCTCCTTCCTGAAATATTTTTTCCATGAGAACAAAAGAAAAAGTAGAATACAATGGCCCTCGTGAGAAGGATAAAGGAAAGAAGCAATAAAACGAAAAGAATTAAGCATTCAAGATAAGTAAGACTCACATTCGTAGGGGCAAGGTTTTTCCAGAATATTGAATGGTTGATATGACCTGAGCATCGGTATTTCAATTTAATAAACTGTCAAGTTTGAAACTGCTCCAAAATATAAACTTGAAGCCATGCTCATCAGAATAGAGGATTTCTTCAAGCCAGAAGTCATCAATGGAGGCACGCACAAACACATCATTAAAACTTTTTCCTACGATAAGACCAAATGTCAAATCTGTGAGTCGTGGTGATGACATTAAAAACAAACGATCTTCAGTCAAGATGCTAATGGAAAGGCAATGTTTGATGGCGTTTGTGATGGGAACCATATGGACAGAGTTTGTAATGGCAAAGTTAAAAACATGTAAGATCTACTTGGTGACAGGCAGCATCCTCCTACCCCACATTTGCACTTGACACAAATTTTCATGACCAGCAGAAATTCCAGTCTCCCACAGGTCGAGTTTTTCCTTGAATAACATTCTGAAGTACCTCTAAACTGCAGTGTCATGATTTGACTACCACCTGGGGGAGAGAGCGGTATCAATTTCAAATCTATGGACCTATTCTAGGCGATGCTTAATGGAGTTCTCTTCTTGATATCATCAGTTTGTGGACATCTCAGAGAATGATTTCGGAATATGATAATTTCAATGATTAAACATTTGGCACCAACGACAAACCTGAAAATATCGAGGTGGATATCGAGGTGACTGTCGAAAAAGGCGAAACGACGAAATCGGTTAAAAGATACTCTAATTAAAGCTACACCAGCTTCAAAATCCAAAAAAATAAAATCGATGACGAATTATCGACACTGAAATCTGGATACCAAAAATATCAATCAAGCATAGGCATCAGCAAAAACGAACATCATCGAGTGAAGGAGAGAAATGCCCACCGCCGCCATTAAACTTTATCGCACTCTGCAACCCGACCACCTTGGAGGTGTCCCCCTTCTGTATGGCTTCGTCGAGTTGTTCCAGTGCCTTGTTGTAGTTGGTGATGTAGGCTTGGTGATGCTTCTGGTGATGGATCTTCATGATCTCACCGCTGATGGCCGGCTCCAGAGCGCCATAGTCGTACGAGAGATCAGGGAGCGAGAATGTCTGCAGCCTCCTGATCTGGCACAGGCCTGAACCAAGGTCCGCCGCTCCACTGCGAAGCGCAGAACCCAGCGCCTTCTTGGAGACTAGGGCACAAAAAGCCATGACGAAACTCCTCTCCGCCGATCAGACAAGAAGCAAAGATATTAATAATAATTCCGACCGCCGACCCAGTGCCAGAACGGCGGCAGTCTTCTTATGTCTGATTTTTTTTCACATTAGCCCCTTCTTAAATTTTTTATCTTGTAAAAAACATGCAAGAATATTAAATTAAACTCACATGTCCACAGCCGACGTGATCCCTACCCACCGTCCTCGTCTTTATTTTCTCAGTGGCACCCAATTAATATCATATTTATTATATGCAAATGCTTCAACGACTATGCTTTTTATGTCACATCGTCATATTTTTTTAATTATATTAATATTAATATTATTTTTATTTAACCCAAATACATTGGCAGCAGTGCCAACGGGTTGTAGGCAAAGGTGGGCCCTTGATGGGCCGAATGGTCATGAGGCTGGCCCAACATTGGTTTGGCCCAAAAGCCTGAAAACCACCCCCTTTTGGTCCTCCACCTCTTTAATAACGGCTTACACGCGGGAGAATTTCGAGACCACTACGTCAGCATGAACTAGTGGGTTCCGCAGTCACAACCCCTGCGCGTCACTTTCCGGATAAGTTGGCCGGCCGGCTCCTCTTCTGCACGCCACGTGCTCAAATATTTCTCTAGCCAATTCCGGGGCCTGTCCGGCTTAACGGACGTTAATCCGTCCTGCGCACAGCAAATTAACGTCGGACGGATCAACGCTGGGTTGGGGGGGAGGAGGGGGGGTCGATCAGTCTTCATTGTTCCGGCGAGATGTGGAAGAACTTTGCAGAGATCTCCGGCCAGTCGCCTCCCCTGGGCCAGAGAGAGTTTCAGAGAAGATGATGGAAGCGCTCTGCTCTGAGACGAGGAGTAGGACGGGCGCGAGGGTTGGAGGATGGTGAGCAATCTCGGAAGAGTCGTGACGGATCGTTCCTCCGGAGCTCGGAGACGGCCGCACCGACAGTTTCCGGGCAGCGTGCTGACCGCGCCACGTAGTCGGAGATTGAAGAGGGAGAGAAGGTCGGCTTCATCCCCACGGTCCCTCGGCAGAGGTTAAGCGTCGCTCTCGACAGCGACAGAGTCGTCGCGGTCTGTCTCGCCGTTGGTTACTCGTCCGATCCATTTCGAATCTGGTTGCCGACTGAGCGAGCTCCCCTCTCTCTTTGCCTCATTGTTGAATCGTTCTGGATTTCCTCATATTCGCCGGAGGAGAGCGGTCTCTGAGAGAGAGAGAGAGAGAGAGAGAGAGAGTAGTCCTTTGGAAGATGTGATCGTCCGCCAATCTCTTTGTAAAAAAGTCGGAGATGGAGAGCATCATCCTCTGACCGAACTACCAAAGTGGACTTCGTGGGATTAGGCGTGTACGTGTCGTCTGTATATAGGAGCCGCCTCCGCAGTCTTAAGCTCTTACGGTTGGTCAATGTCGGCCGCAGGCCAACTTCCCGATATGGCCCGCCAATCCAGAGGGCTCCCCACAAGTCAAAAGCGGGGATGCTCAGAAATACCTTCCGACAGACACCTCCTCTCTTTTTCCTCGTAGATAGGGACGCACACTCTAGGGCTGGGGGTGGGTTTGGAATCGGGTTGTTTCTCTACAGGGAAATCACGACAGGAGTGGATTCCGGAGGTGAGGCCGAACCAGAGCGAGGCGATTCCAACCCAAGGCGACAAGGTACTCACCTGGTACACATATATGCATATATAAATGTCTTGACTCGCCCTCTTACTTTCACTTACCTTGAAATCAGATTGGGTTTTCGACATCGTTTCCGGTTGTTTCGTGTTCTTCCTCATGATATCTCTCCTCTTTGTTTGATCGTTGTGTATAGATAACAATGAGTGAACCGGAGGAATGGGGGCATCCCATAGTTTTGGCGAGTCTCCACCTAGGAGGAGGTGACCATTAGGCCGTTGCATCATATTTTCCGGATTGGCCGAGTCCGAAGCTTGAGTTTTACCGCAGGTGCTGCGCGATGTACACAACGGATGAGAGTCACACCTGGAAGGTCCTCTTAGACTGCAGAAAACTGGACTCTCCGCTGTAGTTGCTGCTTATTTGGTGAAGACTTGGAGTCGAATACTGCTGTCTTTAACTCTGGATTGTTTATGAGCACGTTTCTTGCAAGCAGGATTGCTTAGTTTGATGACCACGTTCTCGCACAATCATCGAGTAAGTTTCAATAGCTTAAACATTTTATGATATCTGGAGAATTCATCCGCCTCTGTACACCTTTGCCCCATCATGAGCGGTGGTGATGAGAACAGAGGAGGAATGGGAGCTGATGAGATCCGGTGGCAACAGTTGAACAACGTAGTCAACGATTCCGTTAGTCTCGAAAGTCACTCTTGTGATGTGAACGGTATAATTCCTGATGAACCGTTTGAGATTGACAAGAAGCTGTTGATCGATCCCACCCAGCTACTTGTTGGACCAAAAATTGGAGAGGGTGCCCATGGGAAGGTCTACAAGGGAAGGTAAATCTTAGGCCTTGGAGAGTTAAAGAGAGGCCCTTTTGATATAGTGGTTGTTCATAATTTTAATTAAGAATGTCTCTACAGATGTACTGCCTTTGTTATTTGTTATTTTTGAAATTTATCCCAAGTAGTATTTTAAATTAATTTGAAGCACGGATATTGGATCCTTTTCTTTCATAGCCTCAAATAATTTTAATTTGGTCTTACTATTTTTTAATCCTATCCACGCCTGCATGCAATCAATGTGTTTCTTCTAAATTAGTGCAGACAAGGATTCCTCATCTGGAATGCTTTAATTTCTCTTCAGTTTTTCCCTTAAGACTGTAAGGGATATGCACAACTATGTATGATAATTTGACTTGAGAGTGACGGATATGCACACCTATGTTTCCCCGTATGTTCATAAAATTTATCGGTCTACCTTCTTTTGTTCGTTTCTTTGTAATATCTGAAATTCGAGCAAGATCTCACTATGCCAAGCTGTCAAATTATTTTGCTAGCTTTTTCCTTCTTTCTCCAACTGATCTATCTTTTTTTCAATTATCATTGTTATACACAAGCCATTCCCATGACAGTGCTGAATATTTGGCTGAAAGGAACTGGTCTATAACATCATAATTTTTTTTTGCCGTATTGATCTGGGAAGATGTTCACTATTTATGCAACAAGGCTTGTCAGCTGAAACTCGGGCTTAAACTATTTTTGCTGTTGGTCTTTTGTGCTATTTATAAGCTCACGGAAGTTGATATTATGCTGTTTTACTAATAAATATGGGTGTGCGCTGAAGGCTCTTGTTGGATAATTGGGTTTTCTGTTGCACACCCAATTATTCATAAATATGGGTTTTTGCTGCTCTTTTTGGATAATTAGTAACCGTATCACATTTAAAGTTGCTGGTCTTCGTTTGAGTCCTCAAGTTTGCCCACCCTTCATGTCACAGAATATGTTTGACTTTCTTTTTTTAGTTTATTTTTCCTAGAAAAATATTTTTTGTGTACTGTTTTTAAAATTTTATTTTTTTCACTTATTTTTATTTGGAAATATAATTCTTCTGTTATCTTTTCATCAGGTATCGTCCACATAGTGGACAATTCGTCGCTATCAAAGTTCTTAATGGTGGTTGCACTCCTGAAGAGAAAGCAAGGCTCGAAGGCCGTTTTGCTCGTGAAATCAACATGATGACTAAAGTAAAGCATGAGAACCTTGTCAAGGTATGCAAAAAATATCTACGGGCTTCTAATTGATATTGTTGTTTGTAACAACACGTTATCAGGTGCTGTATTCAATGGGCTCACTAATCAGAAGTTCAGGGCAAATGATTGATGAGCAGATCATTAACATTTCTCAATCATGATACCAAATACCTTCAAACTGAACCACTCCTCTAGAAAGCATTAAAATGCCAAGGTTCACTTGCAGCAAATCGCCTAGGTTCAACAGCGGTTGTTTTTTTTCAAAGATTGAAAGGTCATCTAACTTCGTAGTTAACCACACTTAAAATGGTCCTAGTAATGTTTGTAATAAGTGGGGATTTCTTCTGAATGAGGGGAATCTTTTGGTTGTCACAGGTGACAAAGTTCGAATTGCATTAGAAAATGTGGTGTGCAAACGTATCCTAAAACCAACGTTATCAAAGATATTTATGATGCAGTTGACACTTTGATCCTAAATCAGATTTATTAGATTGATGGGATTTCACCATTTCCATACTGCCTTGTACAGTTTATTGGAGCTTGCAAGGATCCTTTTATGGTGATTGCCACTGAGCTACTACCTGGAATGTCACTTCGTAAATATCTGACCAGCACTCGTCCTAGGCGACTAGATCTTCATGTTGCTGTGAACTATGCCCTTGATATTGCCCGTGCAATGGAGTGCCTGCATGCCAACGGGATTATACATAGAGATCTGAAACCAGGTAGTAATTTCGTTTCTCTGACCAGTTTTGGAGAAAACTCGTGCTTGTTAAATAGATTAATAGATTACCTGTTTTCATCTCATATTTCTACGTAACTGAAAGTTATTCCCTTTTTGAAGTATTTAACGTCGCTCCAGGGCTGCTTTAGTCTGGTGGCCATGCAATTTACGAAATATTTCTTTAATTTATGGTGGCCCTATTCCCCATGCCGTATTATATGTTCTTGATTAAATCCAGACTTCAATAAAATCTTATTGGAAAATTAATCTGTAATTGAATTATGAATTTAAATAAGTAAAAGCAAATCAGCTGCCATGTCTATCCCAAGACAGTGGTCAACAGATTACCATATGGCTGAGGCAATTGTGTAGGCCATCTATTGCTGCGGCAGTTAGCTAGATTGCCTCGCATTCTAGCATTGTGGAGTCAAACACCGTCTCCATCCAGACTTTTCTAGAGTCTAGTGTCTTTCTAAAGCTGTTAATTGCGATGGAGTATTCTCTATGATTTGCATCGTGATAAGGTTCCTCTTCATGGCTCTAGCTAAGCCGTTATTGGCAAAGCTACGGGTAAATATCAACACCGAGATGTGCGTTGTTTTGATATGATTTGCCTTCTGCAGCGCTCAATTAAAAGTCCTTAATGGTGATCTATTTTCCCGTAAGTTCAAGAGCAGAAGTTCTAGTTTGAAGTTTTTGCGGCATTCATGGCTGGCATTTAATTTAGGTAAATCTTTTATTTTGATGTTCCCCTTTCTTGTTTTTTTCTTTACTGAGAGGAACATAAGCATCAGCCTGCATCGTCAACTTACCGTCAGTTTCTACTGAAGGAAGATCTTTTCTTCTTTCTTTTTCGTTTGGGACGAGATCATGGATGCCTGGCGAGTAGGTTTCAGCTTGGAACATGAATGTCGAATGTCTTATTACTCAATGATCTGCCGCTGAAAAGATAAAGCACGTTGATCTTATTCTGTTAACATAATGAAAAGCAGCTAGTGCCGCTCAAATGGTTGGTCCCTGAAACTTGCCTCAAGAAGCAAGGTCATGGATTACCTTTGGTGCCCTCAGCAGGGCGGGAGATCTTCTGGTCAGGTTTCATGAACCTCGGGGGTTTATCTCACCTACTGGACGTTTTGCTGTTTTCTGCTTCCTAGAAATGTGTATACAGGTTTCTCCTTTTCGTATGCGTCAAGTATGGTGGCGTGAAGTAATTCTGGTTTGAATGAAAAAAATGCAGATAACTTGTTGCTGACAGAAAATCAGAAGAATGTGAAGCTTATTGATTTCGGACTTGCTAGAGAGGAATCTGTCACTGAGATGATGACCGCAGAAACGGGGACGTATCGTTGGATGGCTCCTGAGGTTGGTATATCTGTCCAATCACCTTCGTTTTTTTCATCTAAAATACACAGATTTCATTCTAAAATTTTTCTATCAAATTGGCCAGAGGGGTCATTTGCAAGCTGCATTTAGCGTGTATATATGATACTTAAAGAAGGAAAACTAAGTAGATCTTCTGTTGATCAAAAGAGTGAGCAGCTTGCTTTCGAAATGAAAAGAAAATTGAAGTCCTGCATGTCGAACCCTCACGCATGTGGGGTATTGAATGCCTGTTCTCTTGTGGGATGGGTATTTAGGCCCTTTGACTTCCCTGCAAGTGCATAATCGGTGATTCTGCTTGGTGTTTACTAATTTTTATAGCGTATGGGATTAACTCTTCCCCTTGCGATTGCAGCAGAAGAACACACGTTTGATTGCATCCGGATTTGCGATTTTCCCATTCTTACTGCTCTCTCTCTCTCTCTCTCTCTCGCTATTTATGTCTGTGTGTGTGCAATTTGAAACGACTTGTTTCCTATCACTGACGGCTTCATTCTGAATTTATGGTGCTTAAAAGACTATTCTTTTGTGCCACGAGAGGTGTTGATATTCATTATTTTTCCATTCCTCCATGGTATTGGATATGTGACAGCTATACAGCACTGTGACCCTGCGTCGAGGAGAGAAGAAACATTACACCAATAAGGTTGATGTTTATAGCTTTGGGATTGTTTTATGGGAGTTACTGACCAACCGTATGCCGTTTGAGGGAATGTCAAACCTACAAGCTGCATATGCTGCTGCATTTAAGGTAGATGCTACCTCTCTCTCTCTCTCTTACTGTCTGTCTGTCTCTCTCTCATCGCAGTCCATATCGTTTCTCCTGTTCTTGGAGGTTATAAGTGCAGTGCAAATTGTGGGGATGTTGTTTTCTGATTCTCTCGATTTGTTGTGGGGGATCCTGAGCAGCAAGCGAGACCGGATCTCTCCGAAGACATGCCCCCGGAGCTCGTCTCCCTCATGCAGTCTTGCTGGGTCGAGGACCCCAAGATGCGGCCCAGCTTCGCCCAGATCATCCAGACACTCAGCGAATTCCTGCTCACCCTCGCGCCGCCTTCTCCGGAGCCTACTGATGCCGCGGGAGCATCGCCGAGCTGCATGGAAGCCAGTATGTCCTCATCATCCGCGCGGGCCGGAGGCAAGCTGTCCTTCCTTCGGCAGATGTTCACCACCAAGAAGGCGGGAAGCAAGCCCTGATGTAGGCGCTCCTGCCGCAGGAGGATCGGGTTGACTACTACCTCGGCATCTTCTACCAGCAGGTGAGGATTTCTTGGTCAGCGCATAACCATGGTTCTTGTCGATGCACGCAGGGTCTTATCCTTCTCTATTTTTTAGGGAGCTCCTACCGTGCGAGGAACCGTAGAGAGCGTATAGGGGCTACTCGTTGCTGTATAACGAAGGATCTTTGAATCTAGCAATTTATTTAGATTATGATCTCATGGTGAAGGGGAGAGGGGAGGAGTCATAATATTGCAGGTTATTGGGAGGAGGACGAGGAGGAGATGCGCCTATTTCTCGTCGTACGGGGTATCTTGCCCGGCGAAGGGCCCCCAGCGCCAGACCCATTCCGTGCAGGCTTCCAGCAGCGCCGCCGCGGCCCGCCTCAGCTGCCTTTTCTTCCAGGCCGTGGAGGTGTCCCTCAGGCTCTTGATCTGCCAGAGCACGGGATCCACCGCCACCACCCTCACCACGGCCTCCAGCTCGCCCTTCTGGCACTGCCGGAGGAGCAACTTGATCTCCTCCAGCCGGGTTTTGTTGCCGGCCAGCGCGAGGACCCCCGCCAGAGCCTCCCCCCTGACGTGCGGCGAGGGCGCCTCCCTCGCTACCCGGACCAGCCCCTCCACCACCCGCGCCTCCCGCGCCAGGCACCAGTGGTACGCCCGCACCGTCGACAGCCGGTGCAGAGTGCCGGCGGCGCGGCCGCGCGCCTCCCAGGTGTGGCCCTCGTTCAGCAGGTCGATGATAGCGTTGACCCCAGACCCGTTCTCCTGCTCCATGATCCTGGCCTTGTTGGTCCCCAGAGTCGCCATCGCGTGCACGGCGGAGATGGCGCAGGCGCGGAGGACCGGGTCGTCGGCGACCAGGAAGCGGAGGAGGACGGGGACGAGCCCGGCCTCGCCCATCTGGGCGGCCAACTTCGCGTCGGACCGCAGCCGCGGCGTGAGCCTGGAGACGACCTGTCTCGCCACCTCGGGGGCGGCCGGCCGCGCCAGCCTCTCGACGACGTAAGAGGCCACCGCTTTGGGTCCGCCCTCCTCCGACAACTTGAGGTTGATGCGGTTCTCCTCGACCCACTCCTTGATCTGGCGCTGCACGTCTAGGTTGGTCTGCACGGCAGCGTCGTCCTCGAGTCGGCGGTGGGTCACCGGGCAGAGGCGGTGGCCGGCGCGGATCCAGCGCTCGATGTTGGCGCGCTCGTAGGTCTGCCCGCTCGACACCGTCACGGGGTCCCTCATGACGGCCATAGAGATGGGGCAGCGGAACGCCGGCGGGAGCACCCAGTCGGCAGCGGGGTTCCTCTGGTAGACGGTCGCCCCCTCCGGCCAGGACTCCCCCAGGAATACGTGCTTGCAGTAGCGGAGCAACTCCTCTAGCCCCCGACGCCTGGGGAGCAGCTCCCTCCTCGTGCGGATCTCCGACTCCAGCACCATGATCTCGTTCACCTGGCCCTCCACCGAGACGACGCCCAGCTTCTCGAACAGCTTCCCCACCCGCGCCTGGTCCGGGAAGGCGCGTTCCCCACGCTGGAGTGCCTCCACCTCCTCCTCGATCTGCCCCCGGAGTTCCATGTCCGTCCGGTCGATGTGCACCTTCTGCGCCGCCGTCTTGCCGACGACGAAGTCCATCAGGCTCTTCAGCTCCGGCCTCTCAGTCGCCACCCCGAACAGTTCCCAGGGGAACGGCTTCAGCCGGTCATGCAGCTCCTCCCCCAGGTCGCAGAACTCGAGCGCGACGGTGTCCGACAGCAGCAGGGTAGCGATCTTGCTGCCGCCGGCGCAGGACTCCAGCAGCGACCGGATGCGGTAGACTACACCGAACAGCTTCTGTAGGCACCGGACCGCGTGCTTGGGCAGCGAGGAGACGCAGTCCTCCTCCGCCCTCATGCCGGCCAGGAGGTGCCGGAACACGTAGGCTAGGATGTCCACCGTCTCAACGGCGGACTTGAAGTTGCTGTGCTGCGGGAATTCCGGCACCTTGCACCGCGCCGTCCTCCTCGCGAGGAAGGTTAGCGCGCGGACGGGCTTCTGATCGATCAGCTTGTCCACCACGACGTAGTGCTCCTCGGCCTCCGTCGGGCTCTCCCCATCGCGGTAGTAATCCTCGTCCTCCGACGGCGGGTCCTGGCGGAGCTGCCTCGCCTGCTCCACAGTCACCAGAGCTTGAGTGGCAGCAGCGTGCTCCATGGGAAGAAGACGGAGACGGAGCGAAGGGTGGCACCGCGAGGACGAAGACAGACGACGTCAGTGATCTCCCCGAGGTCTGCAAGAACCATGGCAAGAGCCCCTTGAGGGGGTTGGTGGCAGTAAACCCCGCTGGATTTGTATCGCGAGACACGTCCTGCGCCGCCACAACGGTCAGGATGGCTTTAACAGACTCGGGCCTACGATATCGCTGATCTGTTGAGATCCGACGTCGACTCGCCTCCGCGCGCAGGAGCAAGGAATAATCGTAGTCACAGGGTTCTCGAGGAGGAGGTGAGAGATGGCGGGGCGACCTCGCGCTAGCCATTACTACGATCCAGCTCGCCCGCACCGCCGCCGCTCCGGCCACGAGAGCTACCGTTGTGCCGCCGGAACAAGCTAACTGCCGACCGAGTCAGCCCCCTTCTCCGCCGGGGAAGGGCGGAGACCACTCGCCCCATCCGCTCGTTCACACTCGCAGTTTTCAACACGTGTCATCTATTTAGACCGGAAAGGCCCATATGTCAGCTGGGTTATATCCGTTGCAATGTTTACCCGATAATTATGACCGTTAATCCGGGGGGTTCTTCCTTCCATTAACGTCTTGTCCCCCCGGCGAAGTCAGGAGGACGGAAGGTGCGGGCTACAAGGTTCATCGCGAGCGAGTCAGCGCTCGGGAGTGTGGGAGGGAGGGATCTCCCAGGAGGAGGAGAGGGAGGCTGTCGATCGAGCTGCACTTCGCAGTGGTCCCCTTGCTTGTCGCCTCGCCCAACCGTAGAGCTCTCTTCATCTCGGATTCCGGTCGTCCGAAGGTAACGACGTGCCTTCCTAATCCGTTGGGTACGGGGAAAGAAATACGCATGTATCAGATCAAAGAAGGGGAGGAGACGAGTGATTTCGTATAGATTCAAGAGCGTCCTAAATTTTGATAGGAAAGAAGGGCTGCTCGCTTTTGTTTCTGGTTTTCCACATGCAGTTTTCCTTTTATTCTTTCTACTGCGCGTGGCGCTGATCGGTGTGTTTAGGGTTGCGGTGGGGGCGAAGATGGAGAGTAATTCGCATGATGTGTGCAATATTGAGGGTAGCGTTGACGCGAGGAAGGACAGATCGCCTGAACAATGCAGTTCTTCAGCGCCGGTTTGTGCTGGATACCGTCTCTTCAATCGCCAGCGCTCAATTCGGCAGATAATGGGCAGCGGAAAAGGTATTTGACTTGGAAGAGACCGGGGATTTCTTTGATCGCTGCCGCGTCTCCATCTCAAGTTTCTCTGCGAGGCCTCAGCTTTGCGGAACTGATCACGATTGAGCTTGATTCTATGTCGATCCTCGTAGAATTTTTTCTTTATGATCCATATCAAGTTTTATCTTATGTGAATCGTATGCGTGTTCATTTAATTGCGTTATCCCAATGCTATCTTTTCCGATTACTCTTTCTGAAAACCGAGGATTTCAGTTGAGATATAAACGTATGATGTCGGCCCCTTTCATTTCACAAGGATCTAGCCCAAAGCAGATCCAGAGGTCAACATATTTCTCCCAGCTAGGTTGGATCCAGGCCTTTTGGGTGGTTGATGGGTAGAACTTTACTGCGTCTCTGAGTTGACTGCCATCACAATTCTGTGTTTGCTTGTGAGGTAATGTGTAGGCTTAGGGCCACACATCACTTTAGATTATTTCTCTTCATTGATGGCCCGCGTCTAGCTTTTTATCCAAACTTAATGATCCAATGTAACGAACCATATCTGGACGATATTCCAGCATTATCCTTTTAGCAAGTCGATGCTAAACCCATGATTCTTTTCATGAAAAAATTGAATTCAGTTTTTATTATAATAAACCGACTGAAAAATTGGATCCTTTTCTCTTATGGCTCTTGAATCAATCTCAACTCTCTGCCCAAAACAAGAAACGTTTCCACCAATTGATGGAAACTTTGGGCCCCAGCCCAAAATTTTCCATTGAATTTATGCCCCTCTACTCGTTCTTGCTTCTTCCCAGCTGCGGATTTGGTCCTTTGGAAGCACCGGCGGTTTTCATTTGGTGTTATTGCCGTTGTGACTGCGGCGTGGCTTCTCGTGGAGCGGTCGGGACTATCGTTCCTCTCAATTTCTTCAGATGTTCTGCTGATACTAATTGTGATTCAATTCCTTCGGGTGAACGTTGCTGTCCTTCGAAATAGGTACATCTTCCTTCCCTTCTGTGGAAAATGGTTGTTCTAGTTCTAGAAGATATGGTCTTCCTCACAACCGCTCTTCGTTATGGCCTGAAATGATTGGGTGTTTTTTTATCAGGCAGCTGCAGCCACTGCCGGAACTGGTGCTCTCAGAGGAAATGGTCAACAACACTGCATCTTCCTTTCGTGTAAAAGTCAACAGTATGCTTCTCATAGCTCACGACATTACCTTGGGCAAGGACTTCAGAATATTTTTCAAGGTCCGGATTTTATGATTATGATTAATATTATTTTACACCTGATGAAAATTATCATTTCAAAAGCTCAGAATTCTCCTGGTCCTCGTCCTTTCCAGGTTGTGGCATGCCTCTGGCTGTTGTCGGTTGTCGGCAGTTTATTTTCTTTCTTAACGCTGGCATATATCGGTAAGTGGTTCGTCCTCTTATCATTAAGCTTCATTTTTTTATTTTAATCTAATTTTATAATTACTTCCGGGATAGTTTCTACACTTTTCTTGATGCCTGATTACTCCTGCGGATCAACTGGGCCTGCTTTATTATCATATACCCATCTCATTATTCTACTTACATGATTTGATTAGAAGCATGGTTTGCAACCACCTTGCATACATGTCTTATTAGGTCGAATTTATTCATAGCATAAATGTCACATAGATTCTCTATGAATGTCACTTTACCGCATGCATTATAGTTTGAGCATGTCATGTTTTCTAGTATTTCAGACTTTTTGATTTTTTTTTTTTTTAATATGCAATCATTGATAAATTCTCAGAAATGAAACATTTTTTATTGGGCTCTTTTAGAGAAGCTCCAGGCTTAAAAATAGTAGTAACTGTGGCGTGATTTATGTAAGTTTTTGGTAATTCATGGGTGACGTCAACTTGGGTTTTATGTTCTTATGGGTGGTATTGGTGTTGGTGATGGCAGGGGCCCTTGTTTCGATCACAGTGCCCGCCTTGTACAACAGGTACGAGGAGGGTGTGGACAGGTGCGCCGGGCTGGTCCACCAGAAATTCTCCATGCATTACAAGGTAGTCGACGAAAACATCATTAAAAGGCTCCCCAAGAGCTTCTCCATGGTCAAGGGGGATTGAATCCAGGGTTTCTTTCGTCTGAGAACTGGTTTCATTTGAAGCTTGCAATGGAACAGGTTCTCTAGTTGAGAGAGAGAGAGAGAGAGAGAGAGATCCAAACCGGGTCCTGTTAAAACCTATGCTTCTTATGTACCCCGTTTTGATGTTCAACCCTTGAAAAGAGAAAGCTAGAAAGGCATATATCATCTGTACGCTTGGGGAAGATTTGAGATCATGGCTAAATACTGGCCTATGGGGCCTGCTGACTTTATGCCACATCAAGATCTCGCAGGCTGCATCAGCTAGCCTTCTTCTGGCATGCCATATGTTACGGCAGCAGTTCATGGGCAGTCTCAATCCACGTCTTGTGGATCTCATCTGAGAACAGAACAAAATGAACCTGCGAGAGAGATGTCACATCAATTTCATATGGTGCAATCAGAAAAAAAAAAAAAAAAACTTTAGCAAAACACAGCAGAGGAGATGAACAGTGTGTAATTATTTGCAGAATGGAAGACCTCCAACCGGTGATGAGGCCTCTTGAAGAGTTAATCGATCTCTAGTTTGCAGAATTACCATCTGAGTACCAATCACAATCATGTCTTGAACAGCTCTGTGGTTTGAATCATGTGATGTCTGTTCAAGAGAAGGTAGCAGTCGAGAGATGCAGCAAAGGTGCTGGAGATTTGGGTGGTAAGGAATTGAATGGGAGGCGAAAAGAGGAAGGTGGGCCATTGATGGGATGGGGTCGAACAGTCACGATCATACCTAAAGAACGACGGCCACTAGTAGGGTCGGATCTCATGATGGAGTGAGTAATTTCTCAACAGGAAGAAGGCAGCCCCCGGCAAACAAGTGAGGTATTAGACATGGAAAATCTTGAAGAACAGAAGAAAGTCTGCGTTGTAGATAATATTTTTTTCAAAACCATAATTCCAGCAGAGTATTACCTCTCTGAAGTCATTCGAGAAATTCTTGACCTCAGATATGGAAATCTGGGAGGCCTCCTTGTAAGGGTAGCTGCAGAAGAGACAACTTTCTGTTAAAAGTCCTCAGAGACGGACATTCCTCTCTCTTTCTCTCTCTCTCTCTCTCTCTCTCTCTCTCTCTCTCTCTCTTTCTCTTGCCCCACGAACTGATCAAACGTACCCATAAACACCACAGGATATCGCAGGAAAAGCAATGTACTGGATCCCATTTTCTTTAGCAAGGCTCAAGCAGCTTCTGCACGCAATAGGGGCAGGTTACTAAACATATGGTCCACAAGCCACGCAGAAAGAATGCAAAAGAGGTTGGGACACAAGCTTTACAGGCCCCGTGGTTCTCTAAAACGCTATCAAAGGTAAGAGACTGACCTGTATGCGCTTCTAAGAGATACCTTAGGCTGACTGTCGGTATCATAGATGGGCCCCACGGTGTGAATTACACGAGACGCAGGCAATCTAAAGGCCCTGCACATTATGGACGTTTGAGGATAAGTTTAAACCCCAAGATGAGATGCAGGCATAGAAATGCACACAGGTAATATAAAGCTCAGTGGAAAGGCGTACGGGGTTATCCTTGCTTGGCCAGTAGGACATCGGACTCCAGGTCTGACCTCAGGCACTTGACAACATGCAGCTAGAAGTTCAGGGCCAGCGGCTCTATGTATGGCTGGAACAGATGTTAATAAGGGCAAGATGAAGTCGCATTCATCATCTCAGAGAAAATAAAACTAGATGGTAAATTTACCTCCATCTACGCCACCCCCTCCGAGCATACGCTCGTTAGCTGCGTTCACCTGAGATCATTACAGAAACGCATGATTACTATTCATCATTATAAAGCCATAATAATACAGAGTCCAGACAATAATTTGACAGCATCTAAACGCCTTTACGGAGGATCTGCACTTCTTCACAAGAAGTATATTTTTTTTCTATCAGATAAGTAAATACTATACTGATAATGGTAATATCATCGTGGGATTTATCAGGAAAGTGAAGTCTAGTGCGGGCCATTGATGTGTTAAAATGAGGGGGAATTGATACGATAGATGGATGGAAAGTAAAAGGATTGCCACTAAAATGATCTAATATCAATAAATGGGGGATTAGGTAAATGGAGAAGGAAGCATTATGAACACAAACACACATGAATATGTATTGATGAATATAAAAGAAAATGAAGTGATTGGCCCTTTAAATGAACAAAAAGGCCCTTGAATCTAACATAAGTGACAGCAGACATGTACACAGTTTAGTTATGATATCGATCGAATACTTCACCTAAAATTTCGAACAGACTCCTCGGATCAAGGAATTCAAAATTTGGAATAGCCATCAGAATGGTCCCTAGCCAAGCAAATATTGTTACCTGAACATCAAGCTCGATTGAAATCAGCTTGATCAGATTGGGATCAGCGAATGAAAATATTTCTATATACCTAAGAGGATACCGATGTAAGCGGCGAGGAAGCCATCACCAAATATGCCAGCCTTGAGATATATCAGTAAGGTAGATAAGAGAGATAATAACACCACGTCCCCCCAAGGTAAATCACCGTCGGAGATTAAAAACTGCAACGCGCTCGTCACGTACAGCACTCGGTCAAAAGATTTTAAAACGAAATGGCATAACGAAGACGATGTGTTTTCAAAGCTCACAATCGCATCCGTCGATCCGTCGACGAACCACGCCGTGATGTCCCCCTTCCTCATCTTGATGACACTCGAAGGAGAGAGCTCGAACCGATCAACATCGCCGCCACCCGAGCCGTATGCCGCCATCCTGAGGACGATCGTAGGGAACCTAAACCTTCTCAAGGACCTAGGACTCGTGAAGTGGTCGCGTTGGCGGAGTGCCGGGACGTCCGGCCGCCGGAGAGCTTCGAAAACACGGCCGCCTCTCGAGAAGAGGAGTGTCAGAGTGCCAGCCATTCTCAGGAGCTATCTCGTTGAAGGCCCTCCGCTCGATTTGCGGGGAACACAAGCAGATCACTTCCGTTCATCCGCTGTGTCTGCAATACGGAATCAACGGTTCTAATGCTTTTAAAATTATATTAAAAAGAACATTAACGATCATTGATAATGGGCCAGCCTAACGACGAAGCTACGAGCCCAAACCTTCTGAACATTGGTCCGGAGTGGGCCTTCTATTAGCGAGCCTCTCTTCTCAGCTCAATCCCTCAAAGTTTCTAATTGATCTACTCTTGGCTTGGCCCAGTCCCCGGCCCCCTCTTCATCCGTTGGGGGGGGGGAGAGAGAGAGAGAGAAAACGAGCGAGAGAGAGGGAGAGAGAGAGGGAGAGAGATAGAGAGACATAAAGACACAGAGAGAGACCCAGAGAGAGAGAGAGAGAGAGAGAGAGAGAGAGAGAGAGAGAGAGAGAGAGAGAGAGAGATATAATGGGGGGAGGTGAGGGGAGCGGGCCCGTCTATGGTTCTTTGTATGCCATAAATGGGGCAGCTCACGTGTAGCGGAGTAATAGCTGGGGAGCGGACCGGACCCACGAGGGCCCGTCGATGCGCCGACGGGCCCAGCACTGAACAGCCCACGTGCCAGGTCGCGGCCCACCGCCGGCCCCGTGCGGCGGCGCCGTTTCTCACCCCGCCGCGTTAGACAGGAACGAGAAACGCAGGCGACCATACGCTCGGTCTCAGAATAAGTAAATTGACGGTATATTTTATTGACCTCGGGAGGTAGAAGACGATGTTAGTCAATAGTGTCGACTCGTCTTCGTAAGCGAAGGCCTCACAGCGGGTGCTGCTTGAGCAACCTCGGCGTTCGAAGCGGCCTCGTGTCGGCAGAAGACGAGATCTACGACAGCTATGAGGGCTAGAACTGGGCCCCCTCGAAGGTCTGGCCAAACTGCCAGCCGGAGGGGGCGACATTGTAGCTTGTGACGGTCCTCCCATCGCTGGCGGTGACCTGAAAGGAGAGGCTCTGGCCGTTGAGGTAGCCGTTGCTCTGCCAGTTCTGGCCCCAGTTCCGGGACATGGCCTGCCAACCGGAGCCGGAGCCCTTGACGGAGACGGCGTGGACGTCGCCGGCGCCGCCGACGTTAGTGATGAGGACGAGGTTGAAGTAGGAGTGGCCGTTGATGGTGAACCGTATCCCTCCCTTCTTCGCGCACGGCACCCTGTAAATATCAGAATCGTTGATCTCATTAGTATCACACCAATTCCCGTCAATCGAATCACTTTTTCGAGGAAGACTAGACATCTAAGTCGTACAAGTAAAGAAATCTATGCATGGACATGGAGAAGCGTGAGCGGGGAGCATTTTTGGAGGCGAGGGAATAGCGGCGGTGGTGGATGGGAGCTGTGGGTCGCCGTTCTCACCTCCTGAAGGACACTGGCACTATCCCCGCGCGGTACTGCGCAATCTGCAGGAAGGCGGGCTGGGCAAGGTCGAAGTGCTGCAGCGGCGGGTTGCACCAGCCACCGTTGTCGTTGGCCAGCGCGAAGTTGGGCGGGCAGAAGTTGGTGGCGGTCACCACGATGGACCCCGGTAGGCACCACTTGGGGTCGCCAGTGCACATCATCTCGTAGCAGGAGCCGCAGCTGAGCCCGCTACTGAAGAGGGCGGTGCTAAGCGCCGCCGTGTTCGTCCCGTATCCCTGGCTGTAAAGATTGCCGTACCCGCAGGCCCCGCCTGCAGACTCAGAAAACATTCCGCGGAAGCGGTAAGTACGAGTGTCCTCGCGACATCTCCCGGCCTGCATTATTCTCATCAGGCTTACCCATCGTGCCCGATGCATCGGCGCCGCCGTAGAAGGTGGCGTGGCCGTTCTGCCAGCCGCCGCCGTCCGCGGAGGCTCCCCCGACGGAGCAGCAGACGAAGAGGAAGATGAAGGAGAGAGGAGCTGCCAAGGCCATTGCTCTTCTGAAGATGGGGACAGCGGCTACGTTGAGCTAACTGCGGGGGGAGGAGGAGGAGCCTGCGGCGGGTTCTCCCGCCGCTGCCAGCGGAGGTAGATTTATACGCAGGAGCTCGGAGATCCAGCGGGGTACGTGGCCCACCACCCATCTACACTAGAAAAACCGAAGGCAGCAAGACGTGATTTTTATCACGCTGTTGTTGGCCAATCCTCCCCCTCCCCTCACTTATCTGATGGGCCAAAACAACCCACGTGCACCTCCTCCCGCCCCAGCCGCCCATGCCGTTCTTAAGCCCAACCTCCTCCCTCCCTTATCCTTCCCTTCAGAGGCCTCCCAAAGATGACATCGACGACAACCCTCTTTCATGAGGATGAGGAGGAAGGTGTGAAGTTAAAACGGGGAGTTTTCTCATTGTAGGGCTCCCAGCCGAGCCGTTTTGACTCGGATTCGGTGGTATCACGCTATCCTCATGGCAGGGTAGGGGGCGGCTGCGGTGTCACGTGGGGGAAAGCAATCCGAGATGTCAGCGGGGAGATCTAACGTGTCGGCAAGTCAACCCCCCAGTTCTTCACATGGAAGTCTGCTGGATTAGTTGGCGGGTGACACAGGACGGAGGGAGGGCGACTACATGTTCAGCTGCATGGGCACGGCCTCTCCAGACTGACGCCAGACTGAACTTGGGAGGGTCCCGCAGGAGTAGTCTCGGCACCGCAGGAGTCATCAAAGGCCTCGAGAAATAAATACTTCTTCGTTGATGCATCACCGACGTCCACTGAAGAGTATAATATACACTTTAATGTCGGTCATGGTCGTACCTCTTATCCTACTCTATCCTACACAACAGTGGTCGGGATTCTGCATTCATCAATCTCCTAACCACGGATGGCACACGGAGGGTTATGACAAGAGAATTTGGTGAACCTAGTTACAATATTAGACGCATATCTGATTAATTGAGATAGTAGGAATCGGGTCTTTCTTTATTAGCAACTCATGGGACATTATTCTTCGCATGTCTTATCTTGTGCAAGACAACTATTGGACTTGATCACGTAGACAACATAAATGGGATGGGCACAACCGATGATGAATCATTAATTATGCTCATGTGTTTCATTTTTTCTATCTAACTTAAAATTATTGACAATGAACTAGTACCTGAATGTTGCTTGTAGAATTGAGTTCTTTGAAGCAAAGCATATTAGCATTTGATTTCTCATCCTATAGAATAAGATAAGCAAAATTAATGTTATTTAGACAATCTTGCTACTATTGTTATGAAATAGATTATATGAAGAATCGAGGGGGGGGGGACTAATCTTTTTAAAATTACTTTTAAATTCTAGTACTATGAGTGTAGAACTGAAAGTTGTAGTACTTCAGCCCAATTAGCCTACGTCACTCTATAATTATAACATATTTAAGCTCTACTAACTTTAATTACCACATCAACTAAAGAAAAGCTTTAGTTAGCCTCACACAAGATGTTACAGTTGTAGATAACTCAAATTGTTCCTCCAAAATGCTTCTTTTAGATTAACAGCTCTATTGGAGTTAATAAATTAACACTCAAGTAATATATTCTAGATTTATGATTCTATTTTGGATTGAGCACTAAAAAGAATAATTAAATCATCTCATACTTTTGGTATGTAGCTTCTTGTAGCATGATTTTATTAGCCTAATTGCCCAAAAACTTCTTTTGAATATGAATCACTTCAGTGGTTAGTAAACAAAGTGAAAATGTGCTATTGGTGTTTTTAATCATTTTCTGGGGCGTTGGGAGGTTAATCCATATATATTAACTTTTTTTAGTGATTTTTAATTTCTGAATGATTTTTACTATTTCTGCACGACTGCATTCAAACGGGAGGGGGGGTACTGTAGTACCTTGTCTTTATTTCTATTTTGTCATGTAGCACTTCTCATAACTATGCTCTCACCATATGAACTGAATCACTTTTTTAAAGAAAGTTCAAAACACGACCTTACTAATAATTAAGATTTTTTCCATAAGTTAGAATATAGAAATGACGACAAAAGTAAGGGGTTAAGACTTATTTTGTACTAGATGAGTCAACTCATTTCTTTGAGTCATATGTTGATTGATGTCTCACTTAATCATTTAATAGTTTATTTTTCGTATAAGATGAGTGGATTCACTTATATAATTACTAGTTGGTCATTTATCATATCAAATCTTAAATACAAGGCTACCTTCCTATTCTTACACAATGTTTCTTACTATAAGTGAAAATTCATGTCATAAGTGGGTTGACTCATTTATTGAAAAAATAGAAATATTCAATACGTCATCCAACCAATCCTAAAACCATAAATAACATTTGTAATGGTTATTAAAAGAAATTCTTAATATGTTCATAACCTCATCATACTTCTAATAGCATAAAACCACTATTTTTCCCTTATATGTATCTTGTTAACATCAAAACTCAAAATTTTCTAAATGTTATCATGTTCTGCATTGGGTTTAAGGAGGTATATATTTTCCAGACTTGATGTTTATATTATATAAATGGGTTTTCAAGGAATGCTGCAACTATTTGCAATGCCTACGTAGCAAGCTTCAAGAGTGAGTTTCTGACCCCATTTGGTTAAGGGCAACTGAGGAGGGTTAGGGACCGGTTGACCTAGGTTGTGAAGTGGATATCTATTGACCTAGGTTAGGGACTTGCATTGGTGCTGCCAAATGTCACATAGTTCTCTTGATTGGTTGCCTCTTTACAATGGAAAATAGTGACTAGAGTTGTTGACATTTGATTGGGGATAAGCCCTGATGCAGACGAGGTAGATGAAGCTGATCAGCAAGTTAATGACTTGGGGGAGGCCTTAATACCTGTTGGTGGATGTAGAAAAGCTATCCTAGGCGGTCTTCCTCGCCTTATCCGCGTTGAATTTCACGTCTTTCAGACTAGACTTCAAACTAGCAATTAAAAGCAAACCCTGGATGCGCTCAGTCCGTCCCTTACGCAATTAGGGCGAGAGCGAGCGAGCGAGCGAGCGAGAGAGAGAGAGAGAGAGAGAGAGAGAGAGAGATAAGTGCTTCTAACTTAATTGGGCTTTGGACTTCGGGATTGAGCCCATTGAAGCCTAGAGACCACACTAACAGAGGCCGTTCCGGGAACAAGCCCCCGGCTTACTTCACCCATCGACAGGCCCCCGTCTGATATGTGCTTCCCTCCGCTTCTCTAAACTTGTTCCTTCCCAAAATAAGTTTGAAGTATATTTTTAGGGAGAGAGAACAATGAATATGGTATGATTCGTCTTTGGAATAATTCTTCCTCCCCCCTCTTAATTCCGCTAATTTAAGCAGCTCCCATGGTACGTTGTAGCTTATCTGAGCTGCCGATCGAGGTCTATCAGCCAAATTTTCCAAAGAAATGTTAAGCCGCTTGGTACAATGCGGCACCAGTAGCTTCCTCTAGGAATGATAGAGAGACTATGTGCAACTGGACCCATAACCATGGATTCTCCATCTTCACCAGCACGCAGCCGTTTGGGGGAATCTTGACGTTTGCAAAAACCCAAGTTTATTTTGTTGGGCTTGCGTCTGTGAGAATCGCATGGAGTTTAGTTGGGAAAACACCAGTCGGACAAACCTCCAGGTTCAGAAAGTCGACAGATCTGACGGTCCACCACCCCACCACCGGCCCTTTCCCCCATCTGATTATCATTCTTCTACCTAGGTAGGACGATGGCTCTGGACGAGGAGGCTGACAGTGCCCCCACCACGTAAGCCGCACATGTCGCTGCCGGGCTCACCTGCTCCCAGGACTCTTACTACATGCACACCATGAGCGCATTCCCCGCCACGATTTCCATCTCCCTAAACCTTCATCGCGACTGCTGGCGAAGAAGCGTGGTAGCGGCTTCGAGATACGCCTGCACGCCGTCGTGAGTGTTCTTATTATTGTGGCTTCGAGAACCTCCAAGGGGGAGAGAATGCCATTATGCATTTAACTCTCTAACTACATCGGCAGAGATCACCCCTATTTATAACACGGGATTTGGGCAACCACTTAGGGAGCGAAAGACACAACTACCTCAAGTTTAAGTCAGAGCGTCCCTTTTGAACTTCCTGCCAATGTCCCCGCATACCCCGTAGATCAGGGATGATCATTCTCCGCTCATCCCAACAGTGAGCTTCTCCGTCAGTGACCTCCATGCCCCGGTCATGGAGCTTCGCTGTCATTCAAACCCTTTCCCCACGCGGCGAGTCCTAGCTGAACCACCGATGCAGTGGCTGTGGTGGTGGCCTTGGTTTATAATTTAGGATTATCAATGTTTACAATGACGGAGGAGCATACTTAATCATTTGTGACTGTAAGTAAGAAGGAGAGTTGTCGTCAGAGACTGTTGATCTGAGCTAATTGTTGCGAATGGTCGACATTGAATCCCCAAGTTGTTATCCTACGAAAAAATAATTCAGATGCCGATTAAGGGAAAATCCATTATTAGTTGAGCAAATCCTCGGTCCTGGGAAATTGAAGAACTGCCAGAACTGAGTATTATAAATCTTTTTTGGTTTTACTTTAAGCAAGCTGTTCCGGCACGTTCAATGCCAAATCGTTAAGCATTTCGAAGTTGTTGCTGGTGTGTTATACGATACTTATTATAAGGGCCTGGAGCTTCGAAATGGTTATGTTCTTGGAACATCGTTAGTAGCCAATATTAGGGAGAGAGAGAGAGAGAGAGAGAGAGAGAGAGAGAGAAGACCTAAAGCAAAGACGAGTAACTGACATAGAAGACAACCTGGTGTCTGTACCTGCCTGATTACACCTTGCGAAGGCCGTGGAGCACCCCTCTCACGAGCACAAGATACTAAGCACTAAACTAGGAAGGAAAGGTCTGCCGAGATGGGGAAGAGGGATCACGCTCTCCCTGAGGTAGCGGCCTGTCATAGCCGTCCCCATCAAGCTTTTATTCGCAAGAGCCCGACTCAAACAGACGATGACTACATCCGCCCCGGCGACGTTACGCCCTCAGCGAATCCTGCAGAGAAACAACCGAACGAGCGTCAGTCTCTGTCTAAAATTCTTGATGGCTAACGCCGGCGTTGAGAGGAACAACTTATTCTAGAAGGGTCACGTACTTGGAGCAGTCGGTCTTCGTGCTGATGGGGTAGGGGACCCTCACGCCGCACCTGGCCGGAAGTCCGGAGACGAGAGTGGGATTGAGGGAATTTCCCATGCCGCCGGAAAAAACCTTCAAACAGTTGCAGGTGGCTTGGCGGTCCGGAGTGGTGGCAGCAATGATGTTAAGCCTCCGCACACCGTCGCAGCAGGTGTTCGTCAGCGGTGCCTGGCCACGGATATAGGACAGGCAGCCGCTGACGGATATGGCCACCTGCCCGCAAGTGACTGCCGCGGTGGCTGGTGCGGCGACCAGGAGGCAGACGAGCACCGCTGCAACGACCATGAGGCTGATGTTCCGGGCCATGACTTCTGATATCTCAGACCACTAAGCTAGAACACTTCTCCTTCCTAGACTAGCTTGAGGGCGGGGACTGCTTCAGTGGAGGGGAGGAAGGGTCAGGGGGTATTTATATAGTGGTTACTGACGGTGGCGCAGAATAAGACGTAGGAAGGAAGAGCCGGTCTAGATGGAACAGTGGAGGTCTCATTGATTAAGTTGGTGGTGGTGGGATGTGATAGGTCGTAGCAGATCAGTGGCTCCTAACTCCTACCATTGCCATTGGTGATAGATACAGTGCGAGGAGTAAATCTAGACGGGAGAGGAGTTAAGAACCCTCTGAACTTCGCTCCATCCTCGCAGGACCTCGGCATGCTGAAGATCACACAAACTACTGCTGCGCCACTCCGTTCTCATCCATTGTTTCATCACCAGAACTTCCTCTCAACACAGTGTCGCTCGTACGGTACTGTCGCTCGTCTCCTTCTTGCCGTGGGCTATGGAATGCATCCCCACCACACAATCCCCCACCACCCCCCGCTCTGCCAGCGGGCCCCGTTAACAGTGATGGTGGAGACGACCGGCGCCATCGCGTCGAGGGGGGAGCTTAGGAAATCAGCTTAGGCAATAAATACCCTCTCTTTAGGGCAACATGTTACCTGCACATCCGTGAGGCGGGCCGTGCTTGCCGCTGTGGTCACGTCGTGGTCCTCCCCGAAATATTCTAGGATTTTCTAAGGCAGAGTCATGGAAGCACCGTCGTCAACGTGGGCGTCGCCGGCCGACCGGCGGTCTTCCCACGCGCCATGCCCGCCGAACCGTGCAGGCACTTTATCTGCTTGAGGGGTCCTTCAACCGGAGGGACCCGCCGCATTATTGCCCCCAGTAGGAAGGTGGTGCACGCTCCTCGGGAGGCACCGAGCTGTGGCGCTTGGTCGTAGGAGCCTCGTTATGATCTTCATTGTGGCTGGGGCCGCGAGCCTGTATGAAAATGGACGAACTAACAGGAAGAACCGTCCCTTGCGAAGCTAGGATCTACTCGCAGACACCCAAACCGTCTATCTACAGAGAAGCTCCGATCTCACCGAGATGACCTCTAAGATTGAGATTTACCCCAGAATTCGGCCAGGACTACCGAGAGATTGTCGTACACGAAGATTCCAATCATAGTCGACGAAGATTTCAAAAGAAATAACGATTCCCGATGTTCTGCGAATAAAGTCGCTCCTTTCTGATTGTGTACGGTTGGCAGTTGGAGATCAAGGCCCGAGGAAAGTCCATCCCGTGGGACAGTCGGTGATGAATCGGCGCAATCTACCACGTGCAAGTATTTACTTTTCGATTAATCTCTGACGTCGGCATATTCACGGCGCCGTTTGTTGGGTCCTTTGTATTATATCAAGCAGCTCGGGTGGAGCACGTGACTTGTCTAATACAGCCCAATTTTTCGTGTTCCCCAGTATGACCGGATTTTGAGTTGGCCATGGAGAAATGCCCAAAATTAACCGAGGGAAGATTTGATGACTGCTGTGTTCAATTGTAGAGGGAGAGAGAGAGAGGAAGAGGGGGAGAGAGAGAGAGGGAGAGGGAAAGGGAAAGGGGGCTGGGAGAGAGAGAGAGAGCGGGGGAGGGAGGGAGGGAGGGGGGAGGGGGGGGAGAGAGAGAGGGAGAGGGAAAGGGAAAGGGGAATGGGAGAGAGAGAGAGAGCGGGGGACGGAGGGAGGGAGAGGGGAGAGAGAGAGAGAGAGGGAGAGAGGGAGGGAGAGGGAGAAAGAGGGAGGGAGAGGGAGGGAGGGGGGGAGAGGGAGAGGGGGAGAGAGAGAGAGGGGGAGAGAGGGAGAGAGAAAGAGAGAGAGAGAGAGAGAGAGGAGAGGGAGAGAGGGAGACACAGCGGGAGTGACGATATGGCTTTTCTTTCTCGACCCTAGTTTTATAGGTGAATCAAAGAATAAGAGTCGTAATACACTTGCCCAAACTCTGAACGTACCCAATAACCTGATATCCTCAATCTCCACCACTCACTTTAGCACATTTGGTCGGTGTTTCTTTTAAAAACTTGACGAAAAAGATGGAAAGAGTAAACTAATCTACTCCAATCTATCTCAATTTGCAGTTGATTAAATTTAAAGGTCAGCAAGAGCTCTTGACGAAATCTCCCCACGATAGCTTCTTAAATTTTCTACTTTGTGGGACATTATTTTTAAAATTTTAGTTGTAACCTCATAAATGACCTTTATGCCGATTTTCGAGGCATCAAAATCATATAGCCTTTCACTGAAGATCATCTCTGAAAATTATTTTTCATAGCAATTTACTATAATTTTTATGTGAAAAATGGAGTCTGATTCAAAATTTTAAACTACATATTGTTACACTAAGAAAGTAAAGAAGATTCAATTGTTGTTATCACATAAATATTTCTAAATATTCGCACTCACAATCCTAAAAAACTCTACGCTTTGCAATTTTCAGAAATGCATTGATTAACTCTTTTGGGAAAAATATAATTATAAATTTGATAATTAATTTTATATGAATCCATATATTTGGAGAATATTTTTTGATCAAACATGTGAGGATATACATGTCATTTAAAAATCATTTGAAAAATAAGAAGTCAATTAATTTCTGAAATATTCTAAAATATCATATTATTGATATTTTATCAAAATGACAGATTGTTAGAGGAAAGCGTTACATGAGTTGTTTGTGCAGAAGTTAAAGTATGGACTTTAGTGTCACCCACAAGATATGGACGATAGAGTACATTTGATGTAGAATATGAGAAAATTATTCTGTGTAGGTAGAAAATTTAAATCACACCATTTTCTTTTATATTCTTCACCAGATCAAATCATAGGATCCATGTCACTACCATATAGAGAGAGGGAAAAATTTCCTTACAAACGTTCTCACTCTTATGCTTTGCTTCTTCTATTCAATGCTCTACCCTTCTCTTATATCTTACTAGTTTAGTTCAACATCATTATCTAATATATGTAATTGTGAAAAATGTACTAAAAAACATATCTCAATTTCTAATGGAAAATAACTTGCCTGATTTTCATCATCAATTTATGACTAAGGTGATCAGTTGTAATCAAACATATTTTGATTTCTTCAATTGATAGAATGATACAATAGTGACATGGAAGATAGTAAGATCCATGCATGAATCCGCTAAACACAAACTTTGAAGAAGAAGCTATCTTCAAAATCTGCTGAACTAGAGCATTTCAATCTTTTAATCAACAAGAGGGGGTGACCTTGAATCCACTAGATCAACTGAGGACCCTTGAATCCATAAGGAGGAACTTGAATCCACAAATAAAAAGAAATGAACCTCACATGAAAAAATACTTAAAAATATATCATCTTTATGTTACAATGGGGCATTTACATAGGCTTAAAAAAGAGTTGAGGTGCACTCAAAAGGAGGATCTTGCACAGATCTTACAGATGTGCTCTAATTGCCTATGAATGACCTGAAACAAACTTTAATTGACAAGGATTTTGCACAAATATTGAGGATAACATGTGACTAGATCTAAAATGACCTTAAATAGATTCTAACACAGATTTTGAATAGATCTTAGGGCCCGATTCTAAATGACATTTCAAGCACCTTCTAGAAGAAAAGAGGCATAATGTAAGTTTATAGAAAATATTTTTTTAAAGATAACTTATTGTGCCTTTGTTGGGCCCAAGAGTTAATTGGGCTATATTTGAATTTTGTTCTCATGACAAGTCAATTCCAAAGTGATTGGACCTTTAGTTTTTGTCTCTTCTTCATATTATAAATATGGGGCTACATCAATTTCCCTTACTTTAAAAGAGTTCATCCTCAAGTCTTCACTTGAGGTACTATAGTATTCATTAATCTCACATTGAAAGTTTGAGAAATATATATACCTTCTAGCAGCTCAATAAGTAGGCATTGTCATTAATTTTCTGTGACTCTATGAAGAGTTCATATTTATCTGGCTTTAACTTGTTGTAGGTGCATATTTGGAAATGTTCATTCTATAAGTAGACTATAACAAGATCATCTTCTTCCTTCTCTTCTTATTTGTTGTCTTTTTGTACTTTTCCTAATTTGTCTAAGACTATGCATAACATCTCAATGAATTATCTTGATGTGATCAACTATTTTACTTGTGGTAATAGTTGTTCTCATTGCCTTGGTAACTACAATAGATGTTAATGAATTTTTAGAAGAAAATAATGTACTATTAAAAATGAAGATTAATTAATTGAGAAATTAACCATTGAATTATAAGCAAACTCTACTGTGGCTAAATTATAATCCTTTTGCTTTGATTTCTCTATTGAAATACAACATATTAAATTTCTCAATGTTCTATTGACAACTTCTGTTTGTCCATTGGGTTGAGAGTAAATAGTAGTGGTTTTCAAAAAATGTGTCAAATCTCTTCCAAAGTGTTTGCCAAAAATAAGATATAAATTTAATTTCAATTAGAAGTGATCAATTTTGGAACACCTTGTAGACAAAATATTTTTTCAAAAAAAATGTATTACTATATGATTTGCATAATTTATCTTTCTACAAGAGATAAAATGAGTCATTTAGAAAATTGGCCCATCACCATGAAAATTGAATTTACTCATGTTTGTGTTCATAGAAGGCCTAAAATAAAATTTATAGAAATGTTAGCTCATGGAAAATTCATAATTAGTAGTTAACATAGTTTAATCATTATAAAAGAAATCATGCAAAGATAAAATTTGTAAATTAAAAATATTAAGTTTTAGATTTTTAAAATATATCAATTATAATTTGATAAAAGGCTCTAAAAATAGTGATAATTTTGAAAATAGATCAAATGATGTAACATAATATCAAGTAAAATTGCAATTTTTTTCTTGAAGAATATGACTTTTTATGATTTTTAGACTAAATAATTAATAATAAATATATTTAAATATTATTAAAAAAGAAAATTAAGGTGCTAACCTCACAATGACATTAACATCATTGACCAATGTGATTTGAGGAAAAAATAAAG